ATCGGGACGCCGGCGGTTCGAGAGAAAGCCTCGCAAGCAAGGTGACTGGGTCCAAAGGTAGACACGCTAGTTTTGACGTGCATATGCTCGCTGCTCCCATATCCATATGCTGGGACCCATGACTATATGCTGTTCCAAGACCCACATGCTCTTTCTCTTGCAATGGCGAGATGGCCGAGCGGTCTAAGGCGCTAGAATCAGGACCTGGTGGGCCTTGGCACCATTGCGTACACAATGGCGCCAGGACCCACCTCTCCATCTAGTCTTTCGGGGCGCGAGTTCGAATCTCGCTCTCGTCATTGATTGTGCGAAACTGTCTTTTTTTGCGATAGAATATGTGAACGGTTCGTGAAAGGACAAGCAGACGTTTTGCGACAGGGCATATCCTCTTCTTACGCTAGGGTACATCTCCTTGCGCCAGGATCCATCTTGCGATGTCTACGTGTCCTCCGTGCGAGGACGAAGGTGCGACCCGAAGGACCTCTGTGTTTTACCAGGGATCTCTGTTGCCATCCCAGATGTCGACGGCAGGCGACGTTCCAATGCGGTTCGTTAAGTCTACGAGCGAAGGTGTAAGGTATGTGTGATCTAGGGTAACATAGCGTAAGATACGTCGAGCATTCGTGGACCGTGACCAGTCGTCAGAGGCTCCGCGGCTGGCTGATGAGGCATATGGGCTATGTGAAGGCTGTTTGGCGTGTAACGGCTATATGGAATGTATCGGGGGACGGTAGGTCTTCGAAGAAGAGACGGTAGGTCTTCGAAAAAGAAGGTATGTCACGACGAAGGGCAATGCAGGAAATCGCGCATGAGGCTTCATGCACGAGCGTCTGTTGAGTTCGCGCGCATAGCGCGTCGGACGCCCTGGGAGAAGAGGCCTGCCGTTCTCCGATTGCGCGACGCAATCCTCCGAAAGACGGTCGTACGTTCTCCGAATGACGGTCAGACGTTCTCCGAATGACGGTCAGACGTTCTCCGAATGGTATTATCCGAATATGCCGCGACGTTCTGCGGATTTGCCGTAGCGTTCTCCGAATATGCTGTTCCGGATAGACGACGCGCTCCTCCGAATGACGTTCAAACGTCCTCCGAATAGGCGACGCGCTCCTTTGCATATACCGTGGCCTTCCCCGAATCACCCTCTGCAAGGAACTCCTCCGAATGACGATCAGACGTTCTCCGAATGCACCTCCGATGCGAGACCGGCGTCGCCAGGACGATACGTCCGTCACCTGGGATGACACGTCCGTCGCCTGGAATAAACCGTCCGTCGGGCAACGAAGCACATCCATCGGGATTCGACCGTAGACTGTGGCGCATTCGTCGAGCACACTGGCGTGCAGTCGACGGAGAAGGGTCTACTGCTAAAGCGCCGGAAAACCGCGGTGAACCGCCTTCTGCGGTAGCGACGTATCTTGCAAGCCGTGGCCATCCGCGTGCGCCGCGCAAGGTGGTGCGCTTCGCCCTCCTTCCACGCCCTTTACACTTCCCTCTCCTCCTCGTTCCTCCCCTCCATACCCTCGCCATCCTTTCCTTTCCACACATCCTTTCCTTCCCTTTCCGCACATCCTTTCCTTTCCTCCGCACCAAAGATAGACTCCAGCGGAAACTCGCTCGCGCTCACCCCCCACCGACCACCCCGCCAAATACCACGCCCACCAACACTCCCAAACCGATACTTATCGCCACCACCACCAACCGCGCGGCCGGGAACGTCCCGCGCACGAGTGCGGATTGGATGGTGAGGTAGCGGGCGAGGCCTATGTGAGTGTTAGTGCTGCTGCTTGATGTGCATTATACGCAGAGGGAAGCAAGAGTGGGAATGTGGGAACTGTGGGGATCCTGGAGATGAGGCAAGGGGATCCTGGAGATGGAGAAAGGGGACGGATGATGCAAAAGGACGAACCTATAGCGAGCACCAATATCCCGAACGCGATTGTCGCGGCACCGAGCGGCCGGGCCCAGCGCGCGAGGCGGGGCGAGGTGGGGGTGAAGGTGGTTGAGGACGAGTCTATAGAAGAAGGGTTAAATACCGCTCCATGTCATGGATGCATATATTGAAGGTTAGAGGGACAACTTAAGGATTGGGGTAGCAGATACTAGTAGACGAGGACCGCGACAGAAGCACAAACACTGACCACTCGCCCTTGTCTCCGCCGAAATCGTGAACAGCTGCACGAGCGCGACGCCCGTGCTTGCGATCACGAGGCTCGTCCGGGTGTACGCGAGAAAGGTGCGCTCGGAGGCGAGGTGGTCGCGCGCGACGGAGCCGGAGTTTTCGAGGGTGAGGGTGATGGCGGGGGCGAGGTGGGTGTATGCGTGTTGTAATGGCGAGAGGGCGGACGTGAGGGCATTGAGGGGAGGTTTGAGGGGGGAGGATATACGGGCGGTAAGGCGTCTGAAGCGTGAGGGTAGTGGAGCGGCGGTGGGTGTGGTGGACGTTGAAGTGTGGGTCTGTGAGGGCAGGGAAGTGCGTGAGCAAGGGTATAGAAAGGGGAGAAAGACGCACAGTAGACGCTTGTGTAGGCGCGCCATCCACAAAGCGCGGGGGTCCAGGACGCATGGAAGAGAGACCGCGGGCGAGGGCGTGAGGGTCGGAGGTGGAGGGGCCGTTTGTTGGAAAGGGATGGGAACCTATGTGTCTTGGGTCCACTGGGTCGCGGGAGGTTGGGGCAAGGGCAGGTGTTGCTGAGGTGGACGCCGCCTGAGACGGCTCGCGCGTCATTGCATCCTCGCTCCGCGGCGTCACCGGCTGCGTGCTGCCAGGAGTACCGGGCGGGGTGTCACTGGGCGGAAAGTCGCGCGGGGCGGGACCGTTGCGCTGAAAGAGGGTGCGGGCGAGGGCGGACATGGGAAGGGGTCGTAGGGAGCGACTTCGGCGTACGCGGTGGTGTCGACTGCAGACAAGCTCGTCGGGGACACAAAGGCTGCTCGGTCGCAGTGAGACGGTCGTCGGCGAAAGGAAGGGCGGTCGTCGCGTCAGAAAGGCCGGTGACAACCTTCGATACGGAATGCGAGCCACAATACGGAATTCGATCAGCCACAAGGCGGGCAGCGCGGCCCGAGCCGATTTGGCCGGAAATGGAAGTTTACGCTACGAATGGAGATCAGACGCCACATTCGGAGCTCCGGACCGCAAAGAAGCGCTCCGCCCGCGGCCAGGCTCGCAGCTGCCTATCATCGATCCTGCATCGCGCGCGATAGCGAGGAGACTCTGACTCGGACGACCACTGCTTGACTGTACTCTTGACCTCCATCTCGTCAGCGCAAACCCAGTCTAGCGAATATTCCAACCACATCACCCACCATGTCCTTCAGCGACACCACCCAGACCACGATCAGCCCCGTCGACCAGCAGTCCGTCTGCGTCCGCGACTATCCCTCCCAACAGGCTGTCACCACCGCGCTCGATGCTGCATCTACAGCCGCTTCTCGATGGGCGAATGCGCCGCTCGGGCAGAAGCTCGCCGCCGTGACACGATTTGTGGACTTGTTTGAAAAGGAAGCGGGGTTGACAGATCCCAATGCAGGTGCGTCACTTCACTGTGCGTTCGCGCATATGCAAGCGCTTGCGAACCCTGCCTTACTGACGCTCATCGTCCTCCTCCTAGACATCACCCAGAACCCCCTCGCCCGCGAGCTGACCGCCCAGATGGGCCGGCCCACTAAACAGAACGCGGGCGAATTCCGCGGTTTCGTCAGCCGCGCGCGCTGGCTCATTTCCAGCGCGCAGGAGGCGCTCGCGGACACGATCGTACCAGAGGAGAGCGTGAACGGAGCCACACTACAGAGGAGGATCAAGCGCGTCCCGGTCGGGGTGGTGTTGATTATCGCGCCGTGGAAGTATGTGGACGGGGCCTCTCTTTTGGCACTACGCACTCCTGCCGCTTGTACTCTCCAACGCCAGCCTCCCTCCCACTTCACCCCTCATCTCCCCTTCACTCCCTCTCTACCTCCTTTATAACACCTCGCTCGCAATCCCGGGGACTAACATCCCTCCCCAGCTACCCCTACCTCACCACCGTGAACGCGCTCGTGCCCGCGCTTCTCGCAGGCAACGCCGTCGTGCTCAAGCCCTCGCCGCAGACGCCGCTCGTGGGCGAGCGGCTGGCGGAGTACTGGGCTCAAGCCAACCCCGACCTTGGTAAGCCTGTTTGCAACTTTGCGCTTGCATTCTTTTCCTCTCCGGGCCTTTCCCTCTCCCCTTTCCTTTCCTCTCCGGGCCTCTCCCTCTCCCATTTCCCTCCCCCCTCATATCAGTCTCCCCTCATACCTATCTCCCTGTCTCCTTTCCCTCACCCCTTTTCCTCACATCAGCCCCCCCTCCACACCATCTCCCTCAACCCGCAATCCCCCTCCCTTTCCCCTTTCTTCCTTTTTCCTCCCGATCTTGTACGAGAGATCAGAATGATAAACGAATCTTCACTTACCCACCACCCACTTTACTAAACCACCCACCCCAGCCGACATCTTCACCGTCCTCCACCTCACGCCCAGCCTCGTCGCGAAGGCGGTGCGGCATCCGGGGGTCGGGTACGTCTTCTGTCTTGCCGCCGCAGGAGATGAGGAGAGAAATCTGACAATCAACAATGAATACAGCTACATCTCCTTCACCGGCTCCGTCGCGGGTGGGCGCGAGGTCGCGCGCGCTGCGGCGGCGTATGGGGAAGGTCCCAACGAAGTGAGTTTTTTTCTCATCGAACCGTAGGCGCAACCGATACGCTCCGGGATGATACGCGCGACCTATACGCTCCGGAATAATAGGCGCGAGCTACACGCTCCGGGATATCATGCTTACATCCTAGCAGGTCGGCCTCAAATCCGTCGGCCTCGAGCTCGGCGGGAAGGACCCAGCGTACGTGAGGGCGGATGCCGATCTCAGCTTTGTCGTCCCCGAACTGGTGGACGCGGCGCTGTACAACTCGGGCCAGAGCTGCTGTGCGGTGGAGGTGAGTGGATGGCATTTCACGTGGTGGCTGCCGCCACGTCATTCACCGAACCCCGGCGCGAGCGGATGTCATCGCGACAAGGATAAGAAGTCAGGAGCTCACCTGCCAACTCATCAGCGCATCTACGTGCACGCGTCCCTCTACGATGCTTTCGTCGCCCAGTTTGCCGAGTTCGTGAAGAAGGAGTACAAGTTGGGCGATCCGAAGGTTGAGGGGGGTGAGTGGTGAGGCTATTTCGTTTCCGCATTCTATTGGGTCCTTTCCTCCCTTCCGCCTAGTGTGGGAGTGGGGGGCCGTGCTTGCGACTGGGCGAGTGACGAGGCGAAGGGCGGACGGAGAGGGGAAGGGCATGCGAAGAGGGGAAGGGCGGGTGAAGAGGGGAAGGGCGGATGAAGAGGGGAAGGGCGGTTGAAGAGGGGAAGGGCGCATGAGGAGACGAATGGCGCACAAGATGAAGCGACGAACGCACGCTGACCCTTTCCCAGTCAATTTGGGCCCCGTCATCAGCAACGCGGCGAAGAAGCGCATCGAGAAGCAGGTCTCTGATGCGGGTGAGTGGCGCGGTTCGTCTATGTTGCAAGTATTCTGATGTTTCTTTTTTCCTCATTCCCCTTTTCCAATCGTCCACACCCAACCCAGTCGCCGCCGGCGCCACCCCCCTCATCCCCGCTGAGCTCTTCCCGGCCGCGGCGGACCCGAAGGGCGCGTACGTCGCCCCGCAGGTGCTCATCAATGTGACCAGCGATATGGATGTGGTGAAGGTGAGTTGATCGTCTGGTTTGCTGACGGTCGAGTTGCGCTCTCTTCGCGCGACGAAGGCAAAGTGGCGTTGTCCTGTTATGCTTCTTTTTTGAGAGGTTGTCTTTTGCTTACGTGTCGAGACTGACACCCGCCCTAGGAGGAGACCTTCGGCCCCATCGTGCCGATCCTGAAGGTCGCGGACGACGCGGAGGCGGTGAAGGCGATGAACGATAGTCGGTGAGTGATAATCTGCGCCCGCTGTCATCTTCACGAACCACTCCGTCACCCGCTCGCCCCCCATCCCCTTCACCAAACGCCCACCTACCCGTCACGGGCTCCATGTAGTCAGATTACGCGCTAACCCGTGGCCCTTGTCGACTATAAACTGACATGTATAACCCAGCTACGGCCTCACCGCATCCATCTGGACGAACGACACCGCCGCCTTCGACGCGCTCGAGCCGCAGGTGGAGGCGGGGACGGTGTTCCAGAACCGGTCAGTAGGGATTCTGGTAGATCTGACAACTCAAGTGCTGATGGAGACCTCATTTAGCGCCGATTACCTCGACCCCGCGCTCGCCTGGGTCGGCGTGAAGGACTCGGGCCGGGGCGTGAGCTTGAGCAAGCTGGGTGCGTTTGGGTTTCTTTTGGCCATTGTCGCGGTGCATAGTTCGTGCGCGCGCTGATTTGCCGCCCGCACGACCTGTGCTATCATTCTACGCACGACCTGCGTCTAACACCCCCTCCCAGGCTTCGACCAGGTCACGCGCCCGAAGAGCGTGCACCAGAAGGTGCTCGTGGGCAAGTGAGTGTCGGTGAGTGAGGGTAGGCGCGGATGGGGCGAGGCTGACTGGGTGCAGGGCGCGGTTGTAGTGGAGCGATGGGTGCGGCTGTAAGGAGCGTTGAGCGCTGCTGTAGGGAAGCGACGGGTGGAGGAACGGATGGATGCCATACGAGGGATAAGACGAACGATATAGATGACTTCCGTGTACTGTATGGTGCGAGTTCGACATGTACGACCAGTCGTTGTATTTTGCTCGATGTGTACCTCTATCAACTGCTTGGCGCGAACAGCCTCGGTTTTTGTCTGAGAGGGTGCATCTTGGAAAATCCGCAGACGGGGCCGTCGCATTTCGAATGAAGTGAAATGAATATATCCATCCCTGTCTCTGGCACTCGAAAGGACAGAATCCCGCAAAAAAGTCTAGAGCTACGAAGAGATTCGAACTGCTCGTCGGCAATTGCCGATCAGGATTGGTTCCGCTCAATGCCTGGTAAAGCAGCAGCAGATGATACCATCCACCGCACTCTTGTCTTTCACAGAGATGGATACTAGCTAGAACGACCGTGTGCGCAGCAAGAGCCTGATTTGATCATATTTCCTCGGGATGTACACAAACTGGCTAGTCTGGATGACTATCTACGTCCAGCAGCAGAGGATCACTAATTGTCCTTTGCGCTGACTGTGATCGAGGTTTCTTGCCCAACCAGACGTCGGCAATACGGAGGCTTTAAAGCTATCGTAGCGTAGGTCAGCATCGCGGGCAAAAGGAGGTAAAAATACGAAAGCGTACATCGAGTTCTCGAAAATGCTTCTTTTCGTAACCCCAATACGACCCGAAGTTGGTGTACACACTCAGCACACCGCTATCAGCTCCCAGCACTTCCCTTGAGATGCTCAAAGCTTGAGCGTGCAGAGGCCTCTCTTGGTCGGCGTAGATCACGACGGATTGCAAGCGGCAGGTCTCGCGGGTCACAAGACGCTGAACGGACTGCATCACGCGCAGGACGAAGGCTTCGGACACGTCCGCGGCAGACTCCACCCATGGCGAGTCCTCCCAGGGCTCGATCAGGAGGACAGCGAGCTGTGGGAGTACGTCCGCGGGCGCGTCCGCAAGGAGGGTAAATATATCCGTAGGAGAGTCCCCTGCGGCTCGGAGGGACAGAAAGCGCAGGGCGGGGCATAACCGGATAATTTCGAGAAGATGAATATCTCCCGTTTCTTGTGCACCATACGCCGTGCTGAGCGCCGTAAGGCTTGGGCGCCCAGAGCGCGTCCAAAAATCGAGGAGAGCGGGATTGTCCCCGGCATAGGAGTGCAGTTTCTCGAGCACCGGCGCCTCCAAGTACCGCAAACACCAGTCCGACGACTCAAGGCCCAGAGCCCGGAGGCGGAGAAATTGACACCGCACTGGGGAGAGACTGTCAGACGCACGGCTGTCGCCCTGCACGGCGCAGGTTTCGAGGTTGGGCATGTAGGACAGGAGGAACTCGTGACCTTCCTTAGAATATGGTGTTCCCCGATAGCGCGTAATCTGCGCCCACGGCAGAGCGTGAGGCGGCGCGTGCGCTATGTCCGGGCATAGCTTGAGGACGGAAAGGCCCGGCGCCTGCATAATTTGAGCCAGACAAGACAGATCCACGGCGCCCTGCGTGATCTTTCGGAAGCTTCGCAGGAGCGGTAGCGGTACTGCTTGCGACGATTCCATTGACAGCGAAGCCCTAGCGACTTCGGCAAGCTGCTCAACCCCGCTTCCACGGACGGTGACATCCCTCCAGCGAGTGTGATGCCTCCAGACAAGCTCTACAACCGGACACCACCAGGAATCTGGGAATATCCAAAGCGAGTCGATGTCAAGCGGATGGTCGTGGGAGTTGATCAAGTAGCGTTCCAGCACCTTGCAGATCAGTGCTACGCGACGGTCGGAGAGGGGGTGGGCAGTGAACATGAGCCATTTCTGCATAACGGTGTTGATCCTGCACCAGAGGGATGACTGCGCCTGTGCTACGTCGCGCCACCGTTTGCACACGTGGAGGAGCTTCCATACCGGATCGCTGGCCAGTGGATCGAGGTGTCGATCGCCTCGGAAGTGGATGAACACAAGATGAAGCAGCTCCGTGGGTAAGGAGGAGATGTGAGAGGTGATGTGGGCCGCTTCGTGATCGTAGTGTAGCTGTGAGGTAGCCTGCATGCCGTTCGCGACTTCGCTTGGATTGCGTTGAATCCCACGCAAACCGCGACGCCAAAGTGCCTACAGGGAGAGCACTAGCCTCTATAGTTGCCACGGCGTCTTTGAAGAGGAGGAAAAAACGAGATTCCGGCCTACGTTCGTGCCGAGATGTATTCAAAGATGGCGGAAGGAGACACGTTCATTTGGTCACACTGTGACGCCGCAACCTTGCCGATATTCACGTTCTCACGCTAGTTCCCCGCGTCTACCATACTGTACCTACCTGTATGGAGGCAACCGGCCGGCAACCGTGACATGCGCGACAGAGGCAACCAGGCGTCCGGGAACCGTGACAGAGGCGACAATATTGATTTTTCGACGATTTTTGGAGCCAAAAATTGCCATATTTGGCAGGTCCCGAGTTCAAAAAGCCGACCGTGACCCGTGACCCTTGCAACGCAACCGGGCATCCGTGACCGTGACGGTTGCTTCCATACAGGTAAGTAAAGTTTCATTCCTACTTCAAATCCACAGCCAAAGTCTGACAAGGATTTGTGAGGTACGAGTACGTTGGAAGATATGTCAGGCTTTCCGTGTAAGCTTCATGTTCAACGTGTACGACTAAGTAGTCATTGTACTTTGCTTGCCATGTCAGTGCATCTATAGAATATTAGACGCGATGTGGCTTCGGTTGCGCCTGGGAGGTCTCATTGACATGGAAGAAAGCAGATCCGCGCTAAATGACTCTACACCGTAGTACACGGATTTGCAGTTGCTCTTCGGCATTTGCCGGCCGATATTGATGGACACGTGCATGCCATGCGGCGCGTCCATAAACAACTCGCCTCCTCCCGTTATCTTGAAATCCGTCTCGGCACGAGCGTAGTCCGGATTCCTGTTCCCTCCAAAAGCGGAAGCAGCATATTCCGAAGCCATCGCTCTTCTCGTAGGTACTTTGGCGTCACGGTTTGGGCCTGGAAGTCAGGCTAACCCAAATGATAGAGCAACAGCCGGACAGCATGCAGGAGGCGTCACAACTACACTACCATCCAGGATCGGCCCATCCCGTTTCTCATGTCTCCTCATTACCTACGGAGCTGCTCAATCTCGTGTTCACGCACTATCGAGGCGATCGATCCCTCCATCCATCGGCCAGCGATCCAATATGGACGCTCCTCCACGTATGCCAGCGCTGGCGCGACATAGCGCAGGAGCAATCATCTCTCTGGTGCAGGATCAATACATTCTCGAGGGCATGGACGAGGCTTGATATCCATCCTCTCTCGGACCGGCGCGTATCTCTGGTCTGCAATGTGCTGGAGCGCTACTTGGTCAACTCCCACGACCATCCGCTCGACATTGACTGCTTTTGGCTATGCAGAGATGTCTCGTGGCGTCCGGTTCTAGAGCTTCTTTGGAGGCACCACGCTCGCTGGAGGGATATTGATGTCCGTGGTAGCGGGGCTGAACAGCTGGCCGAAGTTGCCAGGGCTTCACTGTCAGTGGAGTCGACGCAGGTACCATTGCCGCGCCTGCGGAGCTTTCGGACTGTCGCGCCGGCCGCCGTGGACCTGTCTTGTTTGGCTCACATTCTGCAGGCGTCAGGCCTTTCTATCCTCAGACTGCGCTCGATCGTGTTGGACGCACCGCCTGATGCCCTGCCGTGGGCGCAGATCACGCATTATCGAGGAACGTCACACACCCATGCGGAACACCACTTTCTCCTGTCCTACACTAGCGAGAACCCGTGCTTCGCACGGGATGGATGCAGACGAACGGAAAGTTGGAACAGCGTGTATTATACATTGAGAAGGACAGGACTGTAACTACTTAGTTCCGCGTTTCCTCTTCCTCGAAGGAGACTCCTCGGCGTCGTCATCGCTCTCAACGTTCGTGAGGGTCGACGAAGGGGACGGGTTCGGCTGCGGATTGGCCGGCCGATTACCGGGCTCAGGCTGCTTCTCCAGCGCGCGAGAAGACGATGGTTGGGGTTGGATTCGCGATGACGAAGGCTGGGAGGGCGGAATTGTGGCCTTCGTGGGGGTGGTGTTCGTTGCGTGGCTTTTCCGGGCTCTTGCCATGGAAAGCGAAGGCTTCGAAGGAGAGGATGGTGCGCCTGGAGACCATCAGCATAGTCATGGAGCATGAGAACAGAATGTACGTACTGCTAGTAGTGGTTGCTTGAGTGGATGAAGGGCCGGGGGTGGTGGGTTCGTTCCGGCCAGATAGATATTCGAGGAAAGACGATACCTCGATGACGAAGAAGGGGTCGGGATCCGGGGCGGAGTTTGCCGCGCTATTGTCGTCGTCGCTGTCGGAAGACGCAACAGAGGGGAATTCAACGCCCTGCAGATGGCCGGTGACATGAACAATAGTATTTATGGTTGGTACACCGCGCAGCTTGTCTTTCGACCACTTGGACTCGTTCGGGATGATGGCCTTGATATTGATGGAGCCTCTCGGGTTGTGCGCCGTCCATTGGCTGGCACGGAAAGTGTAGCTGAAGTCGGTTGGGTGGGTGGAGGATACGTGGGCGGCGACCATGATGAGAGCCGGCCACTCGTTCGTCACATTGTCGAGGGGTTCCTTCTTCTTTGAGGGATCAGAGGTTTTCGGTAGGCGGAAGGGCTTCATCTGCAAACGACATCATTAGCAAAGACGGCAGGGGAAAATGGGCGCAGTACGCACTCGGATGATATCGCCACCTAGCATATACTCCTGGGGCTGTCTGTTCGCATTTTGGGGGATTTGTTCTGCGCCGCGATCAAGTTTGACGACCTACAAAGTACAGATGAGAAAGAGAAGAGTGCAAGGTCAGTGCTGGCGACGCACCTTAGCCATCACATGATACAGCGCTCCTTGCGCAGGAATACTGGGGGCAGGATCTCGCGAGAAATGGCGAAGAAGAGCGTGGACATTGACGGGGCAGCCGTACTCAGGATTTATGACAGTGGAAAAGGAAGCTTCGTATTCGGTGGTTAACGACTGAAGAGACCGGAGGACGCGGACAACAGCCAAACCCTCGATGATGACGGAGGCGTTGCGGGAGGACATTGTGGATGAGGGGGGACGGGGCGGGCAATGTATGGTATATACGCACTGGAGTAGACATCAGTGACGACATAGAAAGATGGGGATTATTCGCGAAAGGTCTCATGGCTGCGCGACGTCATTGCAGGTGAGACAATGAGGGGCGGAGAAGGACTCACCGGTCTAGTCGAGGAGGACCTCGGGGTAGACAACGTTCTGGACAGTGTTTGCATTTGAATCACCGTCAATGAGGACTTTGATGTTGTGCGAGGCGGTGGCGCGAGAGAGCGCGACATAGAGTTGGCCGTGGGTGAAGACGGGAGAACGTAGATCAAGGCCAACATATTTGACCGATTGACCCTGCGCTTTGTTAATACTCATGGCGAAGGCGAGGCGGATGGGGAATTGACGACGACGGAGTTTGAAAGCGAAGTCAGCCTGCGAGATGGAAGGCGTGAGGGTGATGCGAGGGATGAGAGCTATATCCCCATCGTGATCACCCCCAATGAGGCGAACTTCGAGCACGCGAGATGACATTCTGAGCACAACCATGCGCGAGCCATTGCAGAGTCCACGGCCCGGCGAAATATTCCTGAGAAGAATGAGTGGACATCCGACCTTTAGGCGTATGTCACCCAGAGGGAGGCCAGGCGTATTGAGGGAGCGAAGAACCTCAACTGGGAGATTGAGGGGCTCATCGGACCCATCTGCGCCACGCTCTTGCTCATAGCTGTCAGCACTGAGGTACTGGCGCTCATGACCGGGAAGAGAGGCAAGAACTCGGGTGTTGATGGAGTGGACGTCGTCATTCCGCGGTGCGAGAATGATTCTGTTGAGGAAGTATTCTGGAGGTGGGGGTGTGGTCGAGTGTGAGATGTCACCATATATGGCAGATAACAGAGCGTCTTCCGAGCGGCAGATCATAGAGTCCGGGAGAGGAATATCAGCGTTGCAGGATGATTGAGATTGGTCGCTGGACCCGACGCGCCCATGGCCGATGTCGAGCAACCACTGGGCGAATGCGGCAGCGTTATCGTCATCGCGAACCCGCATATTGGAATGAAGCCGAAGAACGCGCATGTTTTCCCAGAGAGGAGAGCGCTGCAGGGACGCATCGACAATGTCTTCACGACTACCTTTGACAACGACGGGGAGAATTTGTTGGAAATCACCGCCGAAGACAACGGTGATCCCCCCAAACGGTCTTTCGTCGTCGCGGATGTCACGGAGAGTGCGGTGTACAGCTTCTGGGCCATATCTGCGTGCAACATAAGTATGTAGGTCCTGACAGAAAAGATCGCCATACCGATGCTGCATAACAGCTTCGTCCCAAACGATGAGACGGACCATGCGAAGCATATCTGCGCGGAGTGATTGTTTGCTGATAGAACAGGATGAGGCATCGGTGAGGTTATCAATTGGAATCCTGAAGGTAGAATGCGAAGTTCTGCCACCAGGGAGGAGGAGTGCAGCGATGCCTGATGATGCGACACAGAGGACAATAGAGCTCTCGGCACGCAGACAGTGGCAGAGCGCCTTGTAGATGAATGTTTTCCCTGTCCCGCCTGGACCATTGAGGAAGAACAGCTGGCCATCGCGCGCATTGACGGAGGCGATGATAGCGTCGAAGGCTGTGCGCTGGTCAGCGTTCATGAGGGCTATAAGCTGGTGAGCCTGCTCGCTCTCGACGTCTGGATCGTATTGCGTGAGCTGCTCTGCGATGTATGGATTGTCGCTGTACGCGCCCCAATCACGTTGCGGCACAGGCATGTCTGGAAAGTCTGGGAGCGACTTGCCGCCTTCGAGTAGTATCCTTTGAAGAAGGTAGAGACCGTAATCGCAGGCATCTTCGATAGATGGATTTGGGAAGTTCATGCGCTGTAGGCGGCGTGGGAGATCATCACAGATCTGCTCACAGAAGGAAGCCCACAGGTCCCCAGGGTGTGCAGGCTCGCAGTGGAGAAGAATGGTGGCAAATAGGAGACGCAGACTTGCACCAGTACGCATGCAGCATGCCTCTTCCAGACATCTCCGCCACTCCCCATCATCCTCAAGCAAGCCCCGAGCAAGGCAAGCGTCCCGGAAAGTAGGGTAAGTGACGTTCGAGAATGTGCGAAGATCCTGGAATGATCGAGGTCCCTGGATGACGGCGAGCAGAGTTCGGAGATAGAAGAGCTCTCCGGCAGTGGGCGAGATTGCGTACATGCGGCCGAGTGCGAATTGACGTTGGCGGATACTCCAGCGCTTGTCCTTCTTGCTCCAGGTGAAGTGTTGGGGGAACTCCTGGTACGTGTACTGTCGGGCGATTGCGCCAACATTGTCGAGACGCGCATTGGTGCGGAAGAACTCGGTGAGCATAGTTTGTTCGTTGGCACTGCGACGAAGGACTTCATCGATGGGTTCGTCGGGGTCGAAGACAACCAGGTGGCGGCCCGGTAGATGCACTTGCAAACGAACAATGTTAGGGACCTGCTCGTGGATATCAAACTGCAGAATACGCCAGATGCTCTCCGCAGCGCTGATGTAGCGAGAGTCAAGGAACTTCTGAATTTCATTATCAGAAGTGACGCAGACGGTGGCGCGGTCAGGTCCCTTGTGAGTGTACTTTGTGATGTACTTGGTTGATACGAAGGAAACCAAGCACTCAACGTTGATATGGCACTTGTACTTCTTTGACATATACGGATTGTGTGGTACAACGTGCCTATTATCAACGAAAACACCACGGACCTGAAGAAGCGAATTCAGCAAGACAGTAAAGGCAATATAAGCAGAAATTAGGAACCTCGTATGAGCGCCCATCGTCAGGCCTTGCATAGCAAGGGTTGCCCTCGTTGTTCATGAATGTTTGCGCAACGAAAGGTTTCGGATAACCCTTCGTGCATTTCCCATTTCGCATGCAAGGCGCATTTGGGTTCGCGTCGCCACAGGGGCCGTGGATCATGCACGTCCTCACGACGTCAAAGAGTTCCGGCTCAGAGCGAGGATCAGGCCAGTAAGCGCGGACGACAGAGTCAACGTCAGCGGGAGTGCGTATCTTCCATCGTTCCTTCAAAAACAATAGAAGATGCATATGAGGTAGGCCCCGCTTCTGGAACTCGATGGTGTAGACGTACGCAACCGCTTCACCAAGAATCCCATTTTTGTAGAGGTCATCAACGATAGCGCGCTGATACATGGCGAAGACTCGCGCGACCAGGTCAGGACGATCAGCGGCAGACTGGCCAGGGAGGAGCTCGTTTGCGATTTCAGGCCAGTTGGGATTGCAGGTGACGGTGATGAAGAAGTCGATACGCCGGAAGTAGCGAGCAAGCGCCATGGCGTCCTGGAAGCACTGATGCATGTAACGCGGGCTGCCGACATGTGATGAGGGGAGAATGAGGCGTTTTCCGACGGAATTAAGGTCAGGGCTCTCGTCGGCAACCAAGTCCTGGAGACCGCTATAGAGCTCGGCGCGTATCTGCTTCTGGTTGTTTTCAAGCCACCGCAGCCGGTTCTGGTCTGTTGTCGCCCAGACATCGACAATGTACTGCTGGAAGAGGCGGCCACCGTAGAAGAGGAGCGATAGCTCAGATGACCGGTAGTGGAGCTGATGGCTATAGAACATGCACTGCGTCAAGCGGCGACTGCCGCTTTCATCTGGTTGCAGCAATTGCATGTCCCATGACCAGCCAGGGGTGCCGAAGGGGAAGAAGAGAACATAGTGAAGAGGCGCATACGCTGGGCTGCAGTCATTGATGCGCCTCAAGCGACCGTCGCGCAGATAGACAACAATGTCTCTGCCATCACTTGCTTGCGCATTACTTGCAGGAAGTATAGCCGCAAGTTCATCGGCAGTGGGCAGGTTATAGCGATGCGGATCTTGCTGCGCGTCTACGGACAACGTAAGGTGAACGTCGGGCGCTTGTGATGAGTGGGTGAGGACGTCGGCAGCATGCCGGTAGATCCGGGTGTACGGGTTACAGAGAAGGAGAGTACGCTGCAGAATGCGCATGGTGGCCGCAGAGAGGTTGTCGTTGCGCGCCATCCGAGCATCAAGAGCATCGCGGGGATCATAGATGTAAAGCTGCGTGTATCTGGGCTGATTACCCTCTGATGGAAGCAGAGCGCCCATGCGATGACACAGTTCCCCGCCAATCTTGAATATGTAGGGTGCACTGCCAGACGTGTTGATACTGTCATCAATGCGAACACCTAGGGAAGTGAACGCAAGCGCAGCGTTGTACTGGCGGACATTATGTCGGAAGTCGCGGCCGCGAAGGTCTTGATCGGTGAAGAGGTGAAGAAGGTGGTGAGGCGGGGCAGGCATTCTCGGAAGCGCGACTTTGCCATGCTTGCAGCACCGACCAAAGGAAGGCCTAGCTTCAGGGGATGACTTGACCCGTTCGGCAGCCCAGTGTAGAGCGTGGCAGTGGCGACACTCGATGGTCATAGAGCCAAAGGTGATGGTGTCAACGTCATATTCGGTATATGCGCCGCGGCCAGCGGGGAGTGCACGATTGCGATGAAGAGGACGTGAAGACTGGGTTCGAGCAGGAGGAGAGGGTGATCGCTGTCGAAGACGCAGATACCAAGGCAAGTGCGCAGGTCGGGGAGCAGGTGGTGGTGGTGGAGGTGGAGGTGGGGGTGGGGGCTGAGGAGGGGAGGTTGAGGTCGGGTGCTGGCGTGACGGTGATCGGTGCAGATTGTTGTTGGTAGCTTGACGTCGGCGCTGTCCGATTTGACGAAGAGACGGACCCAACACGGGCATTGTGGACAGACGCGGAATGGGAGGAGAAGAAGGGCCTGGGAGAGAAAGTCAGGCATAACGCGTATGCTCATGTGCAAGAACATCAAACCTGCAAGCCCGAGAGGTGATCGAGGGCGCAAAGGACGTCGGTTGGGGGAGCGAGCACCATCTTCTTCTCGGACAGTGCGTGATTGAGCACGGGCGCGAGAACGTTCCGATTCAACGTTCACGGTCTGGGCAATCGTAAAAGATGAAGGTTTGGGAGAGAAGAGAGGACGTACTGCTTGAGGAAGAGGTGTATATTGATGGCGACGTTGAGGCATCGGGAACAGACAGTTGACGATAGACGGGGGGGAGGGATAGAGAGGGGGGGAGAAGAAATGAGGAAACGTACCGAAAAGTAGTGGCGATGACGCTGCGTACATTCCGATGTTCGGCAGGGCCTGAAATCAATAATGGAGAAAGTAAAAGACAAATTGAATTGTTAGCTATCGAGAGAGGCACAGAATGTGTGAGAAAAGAGACATGAGGACAGCAAAGTAAGACTCAGAAGTAGGGGAAGCTGACTACTGGTAACATGTATTGAGTACTTCGGATGGAAGTTGAAAGGTGCGTGGGCGGAGGGTGGTCAGGGAGAGCACGTTGCGAGCGTGAGAACTCCCAGAAAGGCAGTCACGATATCATGACATCACATGGAAACGGCAGGCGACGATAACGGTTATGGTACACAGAAAAGAGGGAAAGAGGTGCGAGATGTGAAAAGGGGTGAGGAGGGCAGGGTGAGATGAGAGGGAGGGATTGGATGATTTTATAAGTGAAGGAAAAAGGGGAAGCGCGCGCGGGTAGTGAGGAAAATGGACGCTGACGTCACATCGCGTTGACTCTCGCCATGCGATAGCGGACCGGATGGGCCGGTCGTCGGGTCTGACTTACGACGGGGACGGCGCCGTCGTAATAAGCGGGACGCAGTCCAGAGGGACGGATCTTGGGTGCTCCACGTGACTGAGCACCCAGAATCTGTAGGTCTAGGTGGAGTACAGTGAACAGCCGACGTTACCGAGGGGAGAGAAAGGGACATTCCAAAGGATGGTGTGAAGAAGGACATAGAGAAAGAAAAAGTACGAATGAGGTTGGATGTGGCGGCAACGATACACGTGTAACGTAGAAGGCGAATGCAAGCAGTCAAAGAAGAGAACAACAAAGATGAAAAAAATGCAGGCGAAAAGATGGGCCATTTAACCCAGCAAAGGCAGAGAAAGGGTCGAAGAAGAAAGGGCAAAGTAAGGTGGAGAGCGGGATTGTGAAGGGAAGAAAAAGGCGGGCGAGCGCCAAAAGCGAAGGTGTGATGTGATGAGGGGAGGGCCAATGAGATCGCTCAGGCCAAAGGGAAGGCGTGACGTGATGAAGCGAGAACCAATGAGGACGCTCAGTTAGACGTGACGTGACCCATTTGCTTTATTAAAGAGATATGCTCAACCTCGAAAGCTGCGACGTGCTTGGCCCCAGCCCCGCGTTCGGCAGTTCAAATCCGGCACGACGTCGATATCCACGCCTCCGGGCACTGGGCCATGGTACATCGGACTTGTGCTTGCGGTACATGGAGGCGCCGATGCTCGAGAAGTTACGCTCCCGGGCAAAGGACAACCGTCTTGTCCTCGATTTCCTGAGGTACTCTGGGTTTCCAAACCTTACGACGCTCACTACGGCGTTCGGTGTTGATGGAATGGGAGACGATCATCTTCATCAGATTATTCGATTATGCCCCGCCCTTCGCGTTTTGTCTCTGAGAGGCGAGGGCGATCATCTTGCGGATATATTCTTTCTCCTTGCAGACGCGCCCACGGACGTACTCCCAGAGCTCGCTGTCCTTCTGATCGAGCCATGGAAAGAATATGCTGTGGACGCGTCCGAAGGCTTTGCCCGGCGCGCGATACGGCTCGTGCACCGCCTGCTGATGCGCGAGAGACGCCGCCTGCATTCGGTCGAGTTCCACAGCGAGGCGGGGTGTGTGATGCACACTCAGATTTTGAGCATCTCGAGGGAAGTGCTGGGAGACGATAGCGGTGTACTGAGCGTGTGCACCGACTTCAACTGGCGTTCGCGAGTTGACAACGAGCATTTCCGAGAACTGGATGTACGCTTTGGTCATTTTTCGCTTTGCTTCCTCGATGCTGATATCTTTTCGATAGTTTTAGCCCTTCAATGCCACCGACGTGGCGCTGGACGAGAAACCTCAAAGATAGTTATCGCAGAGCAGTTGAAATAATTTGAGATCTTGTACAGAGGTTCACTGGATGTAGGTAGCCGGACGCAAGCATAAAAGCTGCATACATAGACACACGAGATCTCGAGCAGCGAGCGTCGCAGCAAAAAAAGTAATACGGTCGCCAATAGTTCAGCATCACAACCCTCCAGGACAACACAGCCGATCCGAAATCCTCGACCGTCGCAAGCCAGTTATTGGCGGAAGTCCAGAGTCCCGAGGCAAGAGCGCGCAGCGAGGGGCGTACGAAAGCGGCGGTCGTGGAGCGTATAGCACCATAGGTAATCTTGAGGCATGTAGCGGATTTGACGCGTCGACGAGTTTGTTCAGCTGCTCTTGGGCGAATTGCGAGGACGGAGCTTGAGGAGACTGCGGTTGCGAGGCGTACGAAGGAGGTGGCAGAGTCGTAGGCGGGTAGTTTTGTTGTCGATCTGCGTGATGCGAGCTCGACAGCGAAGACGGCAATATATCTTGGAGCGGAGGTGGCACACAGCGATCGTTCACCAGCGAAGGGGAAGGCGAGGGCGTCATAGTCGCAGTAGGAGGCCGCATTCTGCGCGAGTCAGCGCAGGTTTGAAGAGCATCGTTGGTGGCGAAGAGGTCAGAGCGCGAGTCATGAAGCAGTGTGCAGTCTTGCTGAGGTTCTGGGTCCAGGTGATGTGTCGAACGCCGAAGAAGTTTCGATGCGAGATGTACAAGCCAGCCGCAGGCGATGGGCGCAGCGAGCAACAACCCCTGTCGCAGAAAAATAAGCCTGGGACGATTGATCCGAGGAGAAGGACTAACTAAAAGCGCTCGGCCGCAAGAGATTGCGAACGACCACACGACCAAACCCATCGGATGGAAGAGACACCGAAGCAGCAAGCGTGCACAGTAGCCGGCAGCTGGGAAGTGCGACGTCTCAGTACAATGTACACAGTTCAAAAATGGCTTGCGCTCACCGCTTGTATCGCCGAACAATCCATCACCAACAAACATCTTCGCCCACGCCGCCGTCCTCCGTTCACCAATGAGCCCAAACCACCCCCACCCCGTCGGCGCCCTCCCGACCGCCTCCCTCACCTCGCTCGCCGTCTCATTGATGCGCACCATCTCTTCCGTCGCCTTCACACCCAGCTCTCCAATCACCTGCCCCAGGCCCATCACCGCGGCGCGAGCTCCCTCTTGTAGGACAATCAAGTCCTCCTGACCGGCATGCGCTTCCGCAACGGAGGTCGCGACAGATATCGCAGTATCGTGAAGGCGTAACACGACTGTATGCGCCGCGCCGAGCTCGGTGGCTAGTACGAGCCAGGTTCGATAGGTGTCGGTCTATGAGGACAGGAGGATGTTCAGCAAGGGCGACGCCGAAGATCGAAGCAGGACACTAACCGCGAGCTCGCGACTAACCGTATCCCTTTCTTCGACACGTAACGCTAGGCCGTCCATCGTCTCCTCCGCGCGCACCGCTATGCCTCGAAACAACTCATCAAGCGCATTTCCGTGCTACTCCTAGTCAGTACACTTGCGATCAGGCGGCCTTGAAGCTCGTACCGTGCTTGACACCGTGTCCAGGACTGCATCCATCTGATCTCGTCAGTCAGGTCTCCCTGAAGAGGCTGCTCGCTCCGTACCTGCCTTGTCCACTCAACGAGCCGTGCATCTTGACGTTGTTGCATGTCCTCTAAATCACGTTGCAAGTCTTGAAGGACCTTCGTGAAGGAGAATATCATCAGCAATTGCTGTCGCCCCACTCGACCCTGCCACTCACCTGCCCCATCTGTCGCTCCCATATTTGAGGAAGCTGCTGTAAGCCCTCGGCTAGCGTGTCAAGGTCGCTCAGCGCCGTACGCATGCCCTTTCATTCGGTAAGGGAAGGGTATGATATATGCCGGCGACCGCGACTGACCTCGAGTTGCCCATTGAGCTGCGCTAACGCTTGCGCCTGCTGCGCTCCGCGCACGTCCATAGTTTTGAGGACATCGAGCTCCCGCAGCGTCGCGTTGCGGTATATCTCCTTCGCGGTGTCTGCAAACGCCGGGTTAGCAACGAAGCTCAAGCTTGATGAAGAAGAGAAGAAAGACTCACCAATATCATGCCACCGCCGGTACGCGAAGCAGAGTTGCGCTGCATACAACTTGCATTAGCTCCGATATGCAAATCAGGGAGCGAGGACAACACACGTATCTCGCGCAGGTATCCAGAGTAGCTCGACCAGTATTGTGCGCTGCGAGACAGAGCACTGGTGAGAGTGGTCAGCATGAGCAATGGAACTACAGAGACTGTATAGACTTCACGCATTCACCCGCCGCCCCATCTGACGTGAGGCCGTCCGTTCCGGGGACAAAGGGCGCACATTCGAGAGGCGGCGTATAATGCTTCGCAGTAGCGAGTTCGCAGAGTGTCATGGAGATTGCGGCTGGTCGAAGTCAGCACCAGATTCATTGCTGAGATAGTGCGACTCGCCCCTCACGCGCTCATCCTCCCTCGAGTCTAGCTCTTCGCAGCGCGCGTTAATGAGGGCGGCCGAGTCCTTGAAGCAGTCGGGGCGTCGCGCATATGCGTCGAGGGCTCCTATAATGGAAGAAGAGGTCAGTCGCAAATACGATGAAGCGCATATATGCGCAATATGAAGCCGTGCATACCTTGATATGTGCTTACGAGCGCGATCTCTGCATCGGAGGCGCCTGTATACGCGCTTGAGCGCACTTTAGGGGTCTGGTTAGATGTGAAAACGCTTGATACGTACGGATTGCAACTCACATTGCTGTCCCTGGGTATCGACGCGTCGTCCAGGCCAGAACCGCGCGTCAACGATGAAGGGAAGAATGAGAGCGACGACGGACGAGCGCATGGTTCCCCTCATGATGATGGTGCGGGAAAAGGGGCGGAAGGAGCGGACGCGCGTCCACGTCTAAGCTGTCGTCGTGACGTGAAGGATGAGAGCATGAAACGTGTCGTGACGCCGCCGGCGCCAACCGCGAAGCATACTTCGCGATCACGTGTCATGTCCAAAAGACGGCATCCGCCGGACAGGACCCAATGACTGAGTTTCAGTTCGCCAGGCTCCCTGAGTTAGGTGTAGCTTGACGTGTAGCATATGCACAATCCCTACCAGTACATGGACAAAGTGAGTATAGATACATTGATTTCAGGACGCAGCTTCAAACAACATATCGCCTCACCACACCATCGTCCCCTCCTGCCCATAGCTCATTCCCTCTCCTGCTCAAGCACCGAACCGCGTCGCAGTCCGCCCCTATCAGCTCGCGTTCCACGCTCAGTTCGTTTCTATCGGTGTCTGTGGTGTTCACGATGAACGGCAGCCCGTCAGCCGTGGCAACCGCCAGCCTCGAAGTGTCCAGGAAAGCCAATGCCCCCACTGCCGCACCCTCGCCTTCGTTGCGCACGAACTCGAAGAGCACGACGTCCGGACGTCGCCTGTCATGCACAGCAGCCACTCCGCGCGACGAGCCGATCGCGAACAAGTTGTCGATTGCGTCTATGGCGCTCCCCGCGCCAAACGCCGTCGGTCGAGGCGTGATAAACCCGCCCTGCCCATGTTCGGCGCGCAGATCAATCAGCTGTGCGCGACCGTCCGCTAGCGCCATGAGCGCTTCTGACGGGCGAGTCCTCATAATCTCCCCCGCAAGCGCCGCCACACCCGTTGCAGCGATATGCATCCCAACCTGCTCGCCCTCCTCGACATCCCACTGCCTCACCGTCCCATCCGCACTGACCGACACCGCGCCGGTCGCGCTGATGGGATGCGCACCGGTGACAGTACGCGAGTGCCCCTTGAGCGTGCGCGTAGGTGTTAGGCGCCCGAGTTCGGTAGGGACTGGCGAGGGATGGACCTGAAGGGTGAAGTCGATGCCGCCGGAGAGGATGGCGCGGGAGGAGGCAAAGTAGGAGAGGGTGGTGACGGTGCTGAGATGGGCGCGAGAGATTGATTTGGCAGGGACGGTCTTAATCCCTTCGGCGTAGGGTTTGAAAGGGGGTTCGGTAAGGGGCCGGTTCAAGCTGGGGAGTATATGTCAGGTAGGTTGTGGAGTGATAAGGGAAGAGGCATACCCTTCGTTGGTGATGGGATAGAGATGGATAGATCCATCGAGAAAGCCAGACGCGAAGGTACTCCCATCCGGAGCGACAGCGAGAGCAGTTATTCGATGCGGCTACAGGATCCATCTTAGCCTCGTGCACCTTGCAGTGGACGTATAGACATACCTTCTGCAAATCAGCACGCTCCGGATCCACATACTCCTGACTTGCAAGAGTCAAGGTCGTAGGAGGGATATTCAGGGATGGGCACCCCGACATATACGTCTGCCGACCTCGTCAGTTTCCCTTGCCCCCACCTTAGCCCATCTGTGTACTCACCCCATTAAGTCCCTTCTCCAGCTTCACATCCCCTTCCACCGTATTGAACAACACAAGGTTCCTATCCCTCGCATCCAGCGTCACGTCGATCTTCGCATGCACCGACGTCGGCTTGTTTGCAGCGCCATTCGAGTCGGGTGGTCCTCGCCTATCGCTTTGCGTGTCAGCATATTCGCGCAAGAGGACGGACGTCGCACAAGAGGAAGAGTGTGCTATCAGACTGGACCGGAGTGTACTATGAACTGAGCTGAACCGGTACGCACCTATAGCACGACACCCATATCTGCTCGCTCGGGATGATCCCATCGTCAACCTCGCGCACGACGTCGGGGAAGGAGGGTTGCGCGGTGACGATGGGCAGTATCACACGAGAGGATGAGGAGGAAGAAGACATCGCGCAAGGAGTCTACGCGTCGTCATCGCCGCGGTGTGATCGATGGGTGGGAGCGGGCCGAGTGCCGGATGTGATGCCGGGCCGGATTACCCGACGTGGAGGCCGGCGCCGTCTTTGTTCCCTGCGCTCATCATGACCGATATCAGACCGGACTGTCTCCAACTGGGTGTCTCCGACTGAGCCTCTATGTCCCTACGTCTGCGACAGCTGTGGAGCGCGCGCTTCCCCTCACGCTTTGAATATCGGATAAAGCGGCCTTGCTTCTTCGATGAACACCGTCGACCTCGAACGCGCGCCTTGCCAAACTACACCGCTTGTTGATGGTACTTGCCTACTTTGTACTCTCCGGAAAGCCGTTTATGAAGTTTGAGTTCTCTGACCCGAACCAACACCTACGAACTGCGTCTGCTACGCATGCGAGAACGCCTTTCAGAATCACCGAGTGCTGGCTTTCCTCGTCGGTCCTCCAAAAGAAGATAAGGCTTCCAAGCATAAGAGCGACGACTTGGAACCCTCCAACCCAGTCCCAAACTCCACAAGCCATCTTCAAGCCATGCGTTTCTTCGCTGCTCTTCTCGCCATCGCTGCGCTCGCCGTCGCCGTAAGTTTCTTCCTTTGCCATTTTTCTTCACCCTTTGCTCCTTCCCCCTTTGAACGGATACCCCACATTTTCCCCTTGTATTTTCTGCCTCTACATATGCGCTCACTCACCCCTTCTTAGGAACCCGCCAACACCGTCACCGGCGCATGCTCGCCCACAGCCAGCGTGTACACGTTCACATTCACGACCCCCACATATTCGGTGATGACCTTAACGGACTCGTGAGTCTATTGTTTGTCTTGCTCTTGGGCCCTCGTCGCTTTTTCTTTGGGGCTTCGTCGCCTTGCCATCTGTCACCGGCCAAGTGTTCTGTTCCTTCCTTGCTGACCACCAAATCTCAGGGCGAACGTCTGTCCCACGCAAGCGTGAGGGAAATATTGCAGAGCGGGGCTGTTATATGACGCCGTGTCGTGACTGATGTTTGTGCCTACGCCGTTCACGTTGGCAGGAAAATAGATGTACCTTTGCTTGTTCTGTCGTTCTTCGAGGACCCTCTGACCACGCGTCCCCTTCTCAAAGCCCTGGACCTATCTCTTCCTTATACAGCCTTCCGACTATCTTCCTGGCATTGTCCGTATCATCGCGTCAACCATACCATCCACGCGCACGGAAGGCCCCTTTCGCCGACCCTTCGACATGATCTACCCTTCCAAGAACGTCTTTCTTCGTCAGCTTCCACGCGAAGAACAGGCGAGGCTTATGTGCTAGTTCCCAGCACTTGATCCAGACAAGCCTGCGATGTCACTGGTAAGCCCTTCTTTGTATGCCACACGTCCCTGTACGCTGACGAGACCGCCTCAGCACGCTGACGACGCCGCTGCTGTCAGTCTCGTGGACGCCGCTAACATCAAACCTGCGTGTTGATAGCCCGTGCCGCGTGTTGGCAGGCCGCGGTGCGGTTGCACGGGATCCGCCCTCGCCAGCAGACGTGGGTGACGAAATAGATGGGATCAGGGACGTAGCGTGATACAACAAGGACCTGGCCGAGCATGACGGTCACTTCGAAGCACACATCCGTCATTTCGATGCGCATCTGCCTCGCAGGCGACCTCGATACAGGGGCCGGCAGTTCCGCCGTAGCATGTCGGCCATTCTGTTGTATCGAGCAGGAAGCTAGTGCCCACCCGAGTCCATCACGTCAGGTCCTGGGAGCAGTCTTCGATAGGGTATAAAGGTAGGAGATGCAGAGCCGGGTGCGGTGAAGACGACGTTGCACGCTTGACCTCCTATACTTTAGTCAGTCGACATGCAGTTGTTCATCGCGCTCCTTGCCTTCGTTGGCCTGACTGTCGCTGTGAGTAGCGCTCTCATCTTCTTTTATCGCAGAACAATCGGAAATTCACATCGCGCAGGTGCCCACTCCCTCGAGCAACCCCGACATCGAGGCGACCGAGGCTCCCTGCCACCCGACACCCGTTGGCACGTACACCGCAACCCGCCTCATCCACACCTTGGTGCCAACGTCACCGTACTTGATCGAGCAGACAACGCTGGTGGAGTGGACGCAGTCGTGAGTTCATTTACCTGCTCCTTGCGGTTGACTCGTAGCACGTTCATTTGATCGTGCAAGCCAATCACTCCGTCGACGCATGTTTCTATTCATCATGGTCGCGCGATGATCTGCCAGTCCGTCATGGACTGTGCGCCGCTCTGCACCTGTACCCATATTATCCAGAGTTCCATTGGTTCATGCGGCGTTTCATGACCTGCAGTAGTCGGTGTTATCAAGCGCTAACTACCCTCATAGAAGCGTTTGCACACGCTAGACATAGTTCAGCGAGAACCCTTTGACCTTCATCGTCATTACTACTGTTGCGGATGTTACTCGCGATCCTCATGTCAATATGATTTTCCTGCTTGGATTTCAACGTCGCTGTTTCTTGGGGAGGTCATGAGCCTTCGGAGATTGTTTCGGCGATCCAATGAACCTTCGCCGGGGCTTCGAGAGCGGCACAAACAGCGCTAGAAGTTCAACTTGAGTCACACTGACGCCCTTTAGCTCTTCTCGGAGTTTGCCGTCGATTAGATAAGCGTGTGCCCGTGATTGTGATGATGCAACGTGGGAATCCGAACCGTTGACTCGAGGCTTCATGTTCGCTCTCGCCATCAGGTACTAGGATCGTTACTCTGCTCTTACCACCACGCTCCGGCGCTTCAGTCTGCTCTCTGTTGACCTCTGAGGCTTATTCACTATCTGCTGGGCTACACTCGAGACTCTCAGCTCGCCGCCCCTTCACGCTGCACGCCACATTTGTGCCGCCGCAGCATGTCCGCAACAGCACCGGGACTACTCGGCAACGCGAATCCTCGCCTCGAGGAGGGGTCTCTTCAGGTGACGACCTTTTGTATGATGAACGGGGAGGTATTGACGATGCTTAGGCATCTCCACGGTTGGTTCAGCCGTTGCCACCGAAGCCTGTGTCAGCAATACCCTCGCACCCACGCGAGCGCTACTTCGTCGTGGACTCTGTCCATGGCCCTCAATCTGTGCGTATACGTCTTGGGACACCTTCGAACGCTATGCTTGGTGCGCTCGAGGCGTGCCACTTAGTCATCGTCACGCCTCTTGCCTCCCTATTGCCCACGCAGCGCCGAGAATTGCAATGTCTGTACTCCACACCCTTTCTTGAAAAGTACATATTCTGCTAATTGACTGACACATCTACCATAGGTCAATGTCTCGATCGGGAGACCTTTTGGACTTGGCCAGAGCGAACTTCCACGTCCTGCGAGGCCAGAACGACGTCCCTACAAATGCATAGGCAAGATATATCCTACACAGGCTCGCACTCCTGAAGTGTGTCGCAAATTCATCTTTCGGATTTGTGAGAACGGCCGGCGTTGTCCTCGAATACATTGTTCGAAGGTCGACCAAGATTGTCGTTATTTCTTGGAAGGCAAATGCGGGTATGGCGATTACTGCCGATTTGTGCACGCATCCAGCCATCCTGCCCTGGGGATTAATGTACGCCGCCTCCTGGATAACTTAATTCGCTGCTCACGCCACATACATAGGAACGCCTCATTTGTAACCATTTCTTGGCGGGTCGATGCACTTTTGGGGACCACTGCAGTCGGATTCACCCTAGAGACTCAGATATCCCACGTCATGTACGTCGAAGTGTACCCAGGGGCTGGCTTGCTAGGTACTCATTTGTTCCTGCAGACCCCCGCTCCTGTCGAAGCGCCATCTACAAGCGGCGCAGAGGTGCGCATTGACTATTTCTACTTGCCATCGTTCTCACTCATGCGTCTAAGGCCGCTCCAATACCCCTGCCTTCCGAGCGCGCGACCTCAAGTAGTCTTCCCGCAGACCCACTCCAAATTTCTTCAATACCCGAGCCCTCGGTTCGTTTACCTCAGCGTGCCACGCTCTCTGTACCAGCCCCGGCGGATATCCCTCGTGCGGCATCTCCCGCTTCCTCGATATCTTCTCGAGCTTTGTCTGACGACGAGGGTCCCTCCAACGCCCATCCGTGGAACGGGGACAGCGACACTTCGTGGTTCGATACCGGCCAGTCGTCTGACGGCAGTAAATCGGTTAGTGCATCTCCTTCAGTATATTTACGTCGACTGACTTTACGCAGTTTTTCTCCGCACTCTCGCAAGCGTCGTCTAGCACATCGTCTCTTGCGCCGGAAAAGGTTTCGGCGCCGTCCACCTCGGCAGCTGTCGCGCGAGGGAAGAAACCATCGACGACCGAGACGGGCCAGTGTAGCAAATGCTTGCGCAAAGAGTGTAATGGCGGTTATAGGTGTAAGAAGAAGAAGACGCCTTCCACCAAAGGGACCGCGGGGGGAGCGCCTGTGACCGAGATCTGTCGCGATTGGTGTCGAGGGAGATGTTGGAAGTCCCCTTGTAAATACAGGCACGGACCCGTGGATGATCCTCTCGATGGCGTTGCCTCGACGGAAATCCCTGTTGCAGAGGTTGTCACGCCCAAGGCGACTGAGCCCGCGCAGAACATGGCGCAGCCGGTGAGTAGCTAGGTCGTTTATTGCACTTTCAAGCTCACTAGTCATAGGCGCGCGTTCCACCACGTGTTGTCCTGCACTTCGAAACGAATGCACGTCTAGACGACCCAGTTGTAGAACTGCCTCCCCTATCTTCCCAAGCACGTACCCAAGAGCCGGCGGCTATCCCCGACGTACGTCTGTTGATAAACTTTCAGAGTTATGCTGAACTTCGCGATAACAGCAGGCACCGAGGCACGTGCCATCCATGAAGTACACCATCGAAGAGTACATGTCCGTCAAGCTGCTCCCGGGCTTTCAAGTCGACGAGATCATCACTGGCTTCGAGTCGCCGACGATCCTCATCGACAATGTGCCAGACAACGTACCCCTCAAGAACCTCTCGCACTTGCTGGGCACGTACGGGCGCGTCCTCGACGTGTCCCGGAAATCCAAAGGCATTGTCTTCGTGCGCTATGCGCATGCGGCCGACGCTACGGCGGCGAGCACGGCATTGGACGGCAAGGACATCTTCGGTGCGAAGGCGCATGTTCGGAAGCCGGTGTCGAAGGGTGATTCGAGGAAGCTGACCGTCAACGACTCGACCGTCCGCGTCGACTTCGAGCTCCCGACGAAGGTCATCTACGCAGGATACGAGAACCTGGTGCAGGCGGAGATCGGTATCGTCACCGCCTCGCAAGGCGTCCGCGACCACATCCCCTCCGCCGAGCACCACAAGGGCGTCCCTGCTGTCGGCATCAACACTGTCAAATTCGTAGGTCTGCCTGTGAATGTCAAGACCGATGAGATACGCTCGTTGGGCAAGGTCATCGATCACATGTGGGAGCGGCCGAACTACAAGTCGTCTTTGGAGGAGGTTACGTCGGGACTCGAGCGCTACTTCGCGCGTAATGGCGGGGTTACCAGATTTGCACTTCAGCCGCCACCCTATGTCAACGGCGTCGCCACTGCCTGGGTTACGTACTCATCTACAGCGGAAGCGAAAGCGGCCTGCGTGGCCCTCGACGGTCGGAAACCCGCTTGCGTCGGTTACACACGCATCCATGCACGACAAACGTTCAGTGTCTTGTACGACGTCGAAACGACTTTGTACGCCAAGCAGCGCTACCCCATCAACAGACTGGTCACCTTCGCCCGCGAGCGCGGGGTGGACATGGCTTTCGTATCCAAGGATAACGGATCTACGACGCAAGTACGCATGAAGGCACATCAGCTCCAGGACGTCGTTGACTTGCGGACGGAATTGGAACGTATCCTCCGAGGTCAAGTTCTCCGTGACCACGACAAAGTCATTTGGCACCCATTCTTCACCTTCCCGCAGGGTCACGCGTATATCCGGGACTTGGAGGCCAGTCTGCCAGGCGTCAGCGTCATAACGGATGTCCGTCGACATGAAATCCGCGTGTCTGGGCCACAGGTGGAGCGGCGGGAAGCCTTCGGCAGGCTGAGGGCGAAGATCAGGTCGTTGACGAGCCAGCAACTTCGGGCTATACCGCTCGCCGGCGATGCCATAGGTCTGTATCTCGACCCCGACGTCGTTGCGCTGCGCGCACGCTTTGGCGACGGTGGCGTCATGCTGGACATGGACAAGCGTGCGCTCGTCATCCGTGGCGGCGAGACGGTCTACAACGAGGCGCTGATGGCTGTCCGTCGCGCGAAGCAGCGGCGCTATACGTCGGTGTCCTCCGACCCTCGCGTCTGCCCCGTGTGCTTTGTCGAGGCGACGAACCCCGTTACACTGCGCTGCGGGCACAATTACTGTCGCGAGTGCATGCACGGCTTCCTCATGTCCTCTGCGGAGAACAAGCTCTTCCCGCTGTCCTGCCTAGGCGACGGCGGTCGCTGCACCGAGGGCATCACGCACTACAACGCCCGCGCCGTTCTCAACCAATTCGAGCTCGACCGCCTCGTCCAGGCCGCCTTCACCGCGCACGTCAACGCGCGCCCCGACGAGTTTCACTACTGCCCGACGCCGGACTGCAAGCAGGTCTACCGCACCGTCGGCAAGGGCACCGCGCTCCAGTGCCCGGCGTGCTTGCTGCGCATCTGCTCGAGCTGCCACTCGGAGTACCACGGCGGCCTGCGGTGCAACGCAGACGACGGCGCGGCCGAGTTCGACGAGTGGATGAAGGCGCACGGGGTGAAGCGCTGCCCGGGGTGCAAGGTGCCGATCGAGCGCGACGAGGGGTGTTTCCATGTTACGTGCACGCAGTGCCAGACGCACATCTGCTGGCAGTGCATGGAGACGTTCCCTGGGGGAGACGGGATCTATGGGCATATGCGCACGGAGCACGGAACCTTTGGGCTGGGGCCCATCGAGGACTAGCTAGTTGTCTGGTCGTTTGATACACGTTATGGACTCATGGTATAGGCTCGTAAGTAAAGAGCCGTATGTGTCTTTTATGGCTAACCTATCTCTATGCCCTCCCTTTCCTCTGTTTACTTGTATGTCTAATGTACTATATCGAGCTCCTTGTACTACTTCGCCTACCGTATACGCTGCGCAGATTTCTGACCTGCTTTTAGACGTTGTTTCTGTCATATTACTCGTTCGGTTGTAAGATCTCCGAATACATGAATATCTTCGACGTCTCTTTATGCTACCCGGACGCGAACCAATCTTTGTGGGTAATTGCTGGATGCACCAGGGAGGAGAGCCTGACTCCAGAGTCCAATTCTGAGCCCTGACTTCGGAAGCGAGAGTCACGTGGTGATGTTGAACTTCGGAGATTGCCGCACCATCGTATCCGCCTCGTGAGATCGACTCCAGGAGCCTTAGAGCTCAAGGAAGCCAAGAATTGCCTACGTGAGTCTAGATGTACGATGCAGGGTTGTAGATAGCGTGCATTTAGAATGAGATGACATGTAAGACAGCAACAGAGCCCGCCGAGTTTCACTGAGGGCTGGGCAGTCGGCTGCAATGGAACTTCTAGTCAAGGACGCGAAAATCATATGCGGACCCTACATCCATGAATGAAGTCTCACAGACTGTCCTAGCCAATGTCAGCCTTAGACCGCAGGTCGTCGAGTCACGAGCTGACTTGGTCCCTTCGGTCAACGAAAGTGTACGCAGCGCTCTCTCTCTCTCTCTCTACAGCTGGTATGTATACATCTCCAAAGCCGTGCAACCCGATCCTCTTGCTCTGGAACTTCCTGCGCCACAGGACACGATGGCGTAGAATCTTCCGCCGCTGACGCCGGATCGCAGAGGACGATCATATCGATGGCATCTCGAGGAGTTTTTCCGTCCGGACTGTCGGGATAACCACTGAGAACTTTCCACGTTGCCTGGATAGAGGGCGGACGATGGCGGAGGAGGCACCGGCGCTTGTCCCAAGTTGGCCGATTTGTAGACCATCGACTAGCAGATATCGATCTTTCGGCGGGGGTCCCGGCAATTTTGGCACCATTACCGGAGCACTTGTGAGCAATAAACTGTATTCAGTAGCTGTCCAGGACTCCGATCGCTGCGTGGCTATCCCCGGGACAGAAGAATGGACAGGGGGTGAGAATGTCAGTCGAAGAATCAACAAACGTGCTCGGAGCGGTCCCTCCTTCTCCGCGGGGCAGCGATTTGATCTGTGCCCTCAGCCTCGAGCAGCGGACGATGTCATCGTCAAGTGCCTAGCGTGCCATGCGCAGCGGCACTTTATCAAAGACATGATGCGGTTGCAAACCGCGAGGCGGCGCGTTGCCCGTGGCGTTGCCTTTCACTTCGGTTCTTCATTTTCCGGGCGCGGATTTCGCATTTGACGTCTCACTTCTCGCTGCTTCTGACGACCTATCATATCGCTCGGCTTGTCCTCGACCACCACCACACGACTTCCTCGACGCTTCCCGTGCACGCGACGACAGGTCTTCCTCACGCTTGTTCATGCCCGGCGTCAGACGAAACACGAACGCGGTATGGCCCCCGTCCACCGTCCCGCCCAACGAGACGGAGGGCGAGCGATTGGCGCGCCTCGAGCAGGAGGAACAGGCCAAGCGCACGAGCGATGCAATCGACTCGCAGCTGCGCGCTGAACGCGATGCTCGAAAGAAGTCTTCCGTGAAGATCTTGCTTCTAGGTGCGTGCCCTGCATCGCAGCACGACCTGACTGCTGACGATCTCTCAGGGCAGGCGGAATCGGGCAAGTCGACGATGCTCAAGAACTTCCAGCTTCACTTCGCGCCTAACGCGTTCACTGCCGAGGTGCGCGACCCCTTCATATCGCTGTGGCGCGCATACCCATAATCACCCGTAGTCTGAGGCCTGGCGCCCTATCATCCATCTAAACCTCGTCCGTCACGTCAACTTCGCCGTAGGCATCGTCAGCTCGGACGAGTCCCTGCGGCCGTCGTCCAGTGGGTCCAAGGAATCTGGCTCTAGCAACGACGAGGTCCGCCGATTGTGCATCAAGCTCAGCCCCCTCAAGCGCGTTGAGGAGAGCTGGACGAAGTACATCAGCGGGCCCGACCACGCCGCCATCGCGTCGCACGCCGAGGATGGCACGGTGAACAACGGCTCATTAGCACCGCCCCGCGCGCCCGAGGTCTACGTGCGCTCTGGGCAGGGCTGGCGCGGTCTCATGCGCTTCCGGCGGCAGTCCGAAAGCGCGCCACGCCCGCCCGAGGTCGTCGAGGACGAGCAGAATCGGCATATCCTCGCGGCCTGTGCCTCGGATATCATTGCGTTCTGGCAGCACCCCAAAGTGCAGCGCATCATGGAGGATAGGAAGATAGGACTCCGCGGGGAGCCTGGCTTGTGCGTGCCCATTCAGTCGCTCCGCATACTTTCCCGCTGATCTCGTACTTTCTCAGCTTCCTCGACGATGTTGAACGAATAGCTGCAGCTGACTATAGACCAACGCCCGGTGCGGATTGTCGGAGTTCGTGTTTCGCGCTAGTACCTTACAAAACCTACAGATGATGTCGTCCGGGCGCGAGTACACACCGTCGGGCCTGAAGAGCATCATATCGTCCTGGAGACCGGTGAGTCCCATTGTATACCACCCGACGCCACCACTGACGCTTGTATAGCCTTCGAGAACGGCAAAGTCTGGACGATATACGATGTTGGGGGCAGCAGAAGTCAGCGGGCTGTCTGGGCGCAGTACTTTGACGATGGTAACGTTCATCGACCGACATAGTGGAACATCAACTGACGACGAGCGCAGTCCACGTCGTGACCTTTATGGCCCCGATATCGGCGTTCGATCAGTTCCTTGTGGAGGACAGCAGCGTCAACCGGCTGGTAAGCTGCCACAAATGCCGATCTTGCTTTCTCAAGGGATCTCACGCAACCCTTCAGGCGGATACGCTCGAGCTATGGCGCCAATTGTGTAGCAACCGACTGCTCGAGAACGTTGAGTTCATACTATTCCTCAATAAGCTGGACATCTTGGAGAGCAAGATCAAGGCCGGCGTCAAGTTCGTAGATTTCGTGACCTCGTATAGGCAGCGGCCAAACGAAGCCAAGCATATTGCAAAGTGTACGTATTCGTGTCGCTTGTTCTAACACCTCGGCGCTGATTGCCACCCCAGATCTTCTCGAGGTGTTCAAGGGTCTACATGTACAACATTCTCCCAAGAAACGCGTCGTCCATCCCCATCTCATTTGTGCTATCGTGAGTTTCTTGACGACCTTACAAGTGCGCATGCTGATATGCTGCAGGATACGCGTGCGACGGCTGCAATAATTACGCAAAGTAAGTGGCTTGTTCTCATCGGAGGGGGAATCGTGGGCTTACGCTGCTTTCCAGTCCAAGAGGTCATCCTGCTCAAGGCCCTAAGCTCCACGAATATAATATAGGCCTCCACAAGTCTCCCACTTAAGGGAGCGGACGCTCTTCCACGTCTTCGCGCAGGTCGCAGGACGCAAGGATATTCATCTACATTATTTCGCTCTCTCCCTCCTCCTATTCGCTCCTCCCGCTGCATAGCCTAAGAGCTCTACTCTTCCCGTTTCGGCACTCGCGCACTGCATCTATCGCTCTCTCGGCTATCCCTTGTGCTACATCTGCCGCACCCACTTTGTGAGCTCGTACATACTGTTGTATATCAGCTGTGTCATATAGACCAGTCCGACCCCGCATCGCTATCATTTACTTATTTTACTTTATCTTTATTTTCTTTGCACTTCGCGACTCGAAGTACATACTAGTATGGATCGTACAATGCACTACACACTCCCCACTGGTATCACAGGACTTTTGATCTCTTACTACAGTAATAGGGTACTCCAGAGGAAGGAATGACAGTGCACCGTGCAACCCCTCCTTGTCTTTTGTGTCCAGCTCATTTTCACCCAAATGGGGCAAGCTCATAAGTTGATGCCCAAGATCGATCCTCGATCGCGCGTCCATTGTACTTTCGTCCAGGATAATCATGGGCAAAAATAAGGTCGGCCTCGTGCATCTCTTCCTCCAGTGTCGGAGGTATTCAAAGTCATTCATCCCCCAGAAGTTCCACAAGAACAACAAGCGCACGAATGAGCGGCCCGAGCGCAAGGATGACTGGGATATCGACGGACGGGCGCCGCTGGCCATGAAGAACGACAACATGTTCGCGTACTACAAGGCGCAGAAGCTGTTCGGGGAGAACACAGAGACGGAGTGGGACAACTTTATCAATGCTTTCAGGCAGCCGCTGCCAGTCACCTTCAGGGTGACAGGGAACCGATCGTGCGTTCACTTGCTATGCTCAACGACTTCTAGTGACAACTTCCTGCTCCTTTTCTTCCCCGATCCTTACAGAACTGCGCGTACCCTGAATGAGACCATCGTTCACAAGCATGTCCCCAACCTCCAGAACGTCGTCTTCGAGGACAAGCCCATTCCCCCTCCTGAACAAATCCCCTGGTGCGTTGCATGATGATCACGGCGGTCGCCACCTCGCTTACCCAAGCGTAGGTTCCCCGAGGGTCTCTCATGGCAAGTAAATGTGCCGAAGAAGGTGCTTCGCAAGCAAGAAGAGTTCCGCAAGTTCCACTCCTTCCTCGTTGGCGAGACCGAAGTCGTGCGTGGACTGACCGTGCTGGGGGACCATGACGCTCACGATGTACAGGGCAACATCTCGCGTCAAGAAGCCGTGTCTATGCTGCCTCCACTCTTCCTCGATGTCAAGCCTTGGCATCGGGTGCGTAACTTTGCTGGACGATATGTTTGCCTGCTCATCAGCTCTACCCAGGTAATTGACTTGTGCGCTGCACCAGGCTCGAAGACCGCCCAACTGCTCGAGATGCTCCACTCCGCCCCCGACCCGAACGCCGAGGACGACCTTCTCCCCCTCCCCTCCGGACTCCTGCTCGCGAACGACTCTGACGCCAAGCGCACGCACCTCCTGATCCACCAAAGTGCCCGCCTACCCAGCCCGGCGCTCATGGTGACGAACCTCGACGCAAGCCGCTATCCCGGCATCCGCGTACCCGCCTGGGTCCTCCAGAAGGGCGAACAGGCAGGGCCCAAGGATGAGAAGCTCCGCCGACTTACGTTCGACCGCATCCTGGCCGATGTTCCCTGTTCTGGTGATGGCACGCTGCGCAAGAATTTGGGTATATGGAAGACGTGGACGGTGGCGGACGGGAATGGACTGCATAGGTACGGAGGCCGTTGGTGGTCAAGCTGCCCAATTGCTTACGGTGTCTGGCAGCCTCCAACTGCGCATCTTGACCCGCGCGATGCAGATGCTTTCGTCGGAATCTGGCTCGCGCATCGTGTACTCAACGTGCTCGCTCAACCCGACAGAGAACGAAGCCGTCATCGCGGAGGCTCTGGCTGCTATCAGAGGTACGCTTGGGTCTTTCGAACCTTCATTACCCATCCAACGCCCATACCTCAAGACTTTGAACTCGTCGATGCATCGACGCATTTGCCCGCTTTGAAGCGTAGACCCGGCCTCAAGACCTGGATCTGTGGCGAGAACGTCCCCACCGGCCTCGGCAAAGGCAACAGAGAACTCAAGCTCTTCAACACCTGGGACGAGTATAAGGCCTTTGTGGATCCTCCTCAGGATGCTGCAGCTTCTGCAAAGGAACCCGCCAATACTGACTCTACCGCAACTGCCCCGAAGCCCCCGCGGTTCAAGCAAACACTGACACCGGGTCACTTCCCACCTTCCGAGGACTTTCACCTCGAGCGCTGCGTGCGGATATATCCCCACTTGCAGGATACGGGCGGCTTCTTCGTTGCTGTTCTCGAGCGCAAGGCAGGCGCTTCTGCTTCTGCGCCTGATCCCGAGCTCGACCTGGAAGACGGCGACGAGGAGATGCAGGTGGATGCTCCGGCTGCGGAGAGCATCACACCTGCAGAGATTAGCACCCCCGCGGAGACGGCAGGTGCGAAGCGACCGGCGTCGACAGAGCCAGACGTCGATACGAAGGAAGCCAAACGTCTCAAGGTCGATGACGCTCCCTCGACCAGCGCAGCGAAACCGGAGGCTCGTCCACCCAAAAAGCAGAAGGAGCTCAAGGACGATCCGACGTACAAGGAGAGTCCTTACACTTTCCTCCGCGAAGACGACCCGACGTTGACTGCGTGCCTGTAAGTAATCATCGTCCGCGTGCGTCTTCCATCCTCATTGTTTCTTGCAGTGCGAACTTGCGATTGCTCCCCACCTTCCCTCGAGGCAACGTCCTCATCCGCGCACCGCAACCTCCCTCAGATATCCTCGCCTCCGACGGCAAGCCCTCCATCCGCACCATGTACCTCGCCAACGAACTCACGCGGGAAGTCATCCTGCACAACGACCATCGCAGGTTACGCTTGATGAACGGTGGGACCAAGGTCTTCGAGAGGCAAGGTGGCAACTACGTCTCGAAGGACGGTACGTGCATCTGCTTATGGTCTCTCGTCATATACTCATGCTCTTCATAGACGTCCAATTCCGCATCCTCGGCGAGGGTCTGCCCATCGTGCTGCCCTTTGTCGACCCGTCGACAATCGTTGTGGGCAACCTCGCGACCTTGAAGGCGCTCTTGATTGCGTACTTTCCGCGTTGCGACCACCTACAAGAGCCTTTCAAGAGCATGATCGAGGCGCAAAGTAAGCTAGCTTGCCTCCCACTGTCAGACTCCATCGCTGAACGTTGTACAGCACCTGGTAGCCATGTAATGCGGATACCGCCTGAAGAGTGGGAAGGAGTGAGGTGAGTACTCGGCACTCGACCGTTGAGTCCAACCTTGACCTAGTCGCTCAGCCTCTTGCATGAGCTTGTGCTTCCCATTTGGAAGTCCGAGGCGTCTGTTGCCCTCATGATCGACAAGAAGGCCAAGTCGTAAGCGTCTTCGCTCTTCTGCATCATAGTAGACGCTGATCTGCTTTACCAGCGCAATGAGCCTCCGCCTGTTCCATGCCGACATCACGCCCGCTAAGCAAGCACCAAAACCAAAGGAGGCTGAAGATGCTCCTTCCACCAAGGAGGAAGACGCCGCCGTCATAGCGGAGCCAGAACCAGCCGACGCTGCTTAGAGACCTCCTTATCACACGAGAGTAGTCTGGGCCGAACATGTCTTCAAGACGTCCATCACCTCGGTTCTTGCCCCTGCCCGCGGGCCCCATACAAACACCTATTAGCCGCGACTCGAATATACTTGTACGAGATATGTATGTGTAGACCTGCTGTACGAGCCCCAATGCGGACGAGAAATGCTCTGTACGTATAGTATGATGCAGAGAAGAGATTGAAAATCAGTGAAATGAGAATATGAGCAGTGGAAAAAAGGTGAACTATGAACATCGAAGTGGATATGGCTATGGCTATGAGACAGGGCGAATACTTTTCGTGAGTAAAGTGGGTGAGAGGAAGATGAGAAAGTCAGTGGAGAGAAAATACAAGACAGTGAGGAATGAGTACACGGTGCTATAGGCAAGGGCAAAATGGCGAAGTGATGGATTTCGCGGTGATAGTAGATGTTGGCCAAGAATGTGCAGCTCAGAGCGCAAGAAAAACATCGCATATGCGATAGTGAGTGGTGCCGCAGGACCTCTGAGAAGACGTTCAAGCGGCAGCCGGCGTAAAGCTGGACTCGTTCCCAAGAACGAATTCGACGTCCTCTTCTTCCTCTTCATCGTGGGCCTCCGGCGACGACTGAGCCTCTGGAGGAGCGGCTTTCGCATCCTGCGCGGCGACTGGCTCGGCGGTAGCGCTCTCGGCGGCGGCAAGCTGTACCGGGACAGGCGCCTGCTGCGTCTCCTTCGGAGGCGGCTGCGTGGGCAGCACAAATTGCTGCCAGCTCAGCGGACGAACCCACTCGTCCTGCGCCTGCGCAATCCGCGACAACGCCAGCACCTCCTTCACGACTTGCAGGTCCGTCGTCAATAGCCGCACCCGCTTGAAGGACGCCAGCAAGGGGATGTGTATCCACCCTTGCGGGTTCATCTGCGCGTCAATTGCGATCAGCATCCTCTTGCCGGACTTCAGTAAGCTAACAACTTACCCTTTGACGCAAGAAAAAGTCCGTCGCCAGGTTCTGCGGACTGAGGTAGTACTCCAGCTGCCCCAGCAGCCACCACCTCGTCGGGTCCAGGGGGAACGACACCAGCGTAATCGGCGACGGGAACGGTATTCCACCCTGCGACGTCTGGGCTACAATCGGCGGCACCGCGTGCGCAGGCGGCGGCGCGGGCGGTGGTGGCCCATACGGCGACTCGAAGCCCGCGACGAAAGGCGGCGGGTACGGCACCCCGCCCGGCGGCGGCGCCTCGCCCATCATCAAGGGCTGGAACGGCGGCAGGGGCGACACGTTATACGGCGACGGCGGCTGCCGCGGTATCGGCCCACCTCCCCGCTCGTAGCGTGCGCCTCGATAGCCCCGCCCGCCACGCCCGCGCGGACGGAAGGGACGGTCCACGAAGCCGCCCCTGCGTCCACGACCGGGGAATTCCGGTCCTGGCGCTCCACCACGCCCCTCGCTGTAATCCCTCTCCCGCCTCTCATAGTGGAAACGCTCGAGCTCGTACTGGCGCTCCTGCTCACGCCGCCTTAAGCCCTCCCTGGACATGTGCACCGCATGCCCCGTGCCGCTATGGTCCCCAAAGCCGTAGCCGAAGTCCTTCACCTCCAGGTCAGTGTCCGTGCTCTCGCTCGTCGACGCTTTCTGCGCATGGCCTGCTGCCGGAGGCTGCCCCCCTTCCGCCGCACCATTCGCACCCTCGCCCTCCGTCGATCCAAAGCGCCACTTCGGCGCATCCACCGCAGGCTCCTGGCCCGTCAGGTCGATGATCTCTCGCTCCCCCGCCACCGGCAGGTTCTCCTTCTCCACCCCATTCACTTTGGCCCGCGCCTCCCCTGGCTTCACGCCGATCGTAAACTTCGTAAACGCCTTCTCCGTCTCCTGCACCGACGGCGACGCCGCCGCCCCCGTCTGCTGCGGGCTCAGCGGCCCGCTCAACTGCGTCCCATCCGGCGCGATGCTCCCAAAGACGACCGCGGGCTTCACCTCCTTCTCCGTGATATTTCGGTAGCCGGCAACAGCGGCCGACTCCTCAGGCGCAGGCGGCTTCGCCTGTACACCTGTTGGCTGTGCATTTGGCGGTCCGCTCGCCTGTGGCCCGTCCTCCGCCCGCGGGGTATGCGAAACGAGAATTTCGCTCTCGATGGACGTGTGTGGTACGTGCGCCGGCACCGGCGGCGCCCCATACGGATATGGTGCATATGGGCCGTTCGGCGCCATTGGCTGCCCTCCGAAGAACGGCAGCGGCGGGGGATACGGCGGCATGCCGTTGGGCGGCAGCGCGTGCGGCGGATACGAGAACGCCGGAGACGCGCCGTGTGCGGAGTAGGACGGTGAGTGGGTGTGCGACGGGTAACCCAGCTGAATGGGCGGGTAAGGGCTCGGGGCGTGCGACGAGTACGGGGACTCATTTTGTGAGGAGGGGGCGCTGGAGGGGTAGAAGGTGTGGACATTGAGGGAGAGGTGGTAGCCGTGGGCGGAGACGGGTTGCCCGTACCCATGTACTGGCTCAAAGGGCCGTGGCGGGCCTTCGTAGGGATATGGACGTGGAGGATTCTCAGCTGAGGGACGACTGGACCCTAAGGCGAAGTTCGAGTTGATAGCACCCTTGCCAGCCGTACCGTTGGCATCGACTGGCGCATCGCCTTGTTGGCTACGAGCCTGCTCCTCAGGGAGCGGCTCGATCGCAACAAAGGGACTCGTCTGCACACTGCCTGCGCGACTCTGATGTCGCGAGTTGGCCACGGACTGAGCCCTACTGTGAGGGACGGAGGAGATGCGTGACGCGGGGACTGAGGGGCCTCTGGAGTGGACAGAGGACGGGCCAGCATTGTGAGGACCCGATGATCGGAAGTTGCTGCGTGCTTGGGGATTGCGGCCTTGACGTCTCATGTTTGCGTCTGCGGCTGCCTGCAATTCTTCGGCTGGGATTGGTATCCACTTGGGTTTCTCGCCTGTAAATGAAGTCAGTGAATGGTTCTGCAGCCAAAGGGAGATCGGAAAGATGAGATGAATGTACGTATGTGGCGATGCGATCAAGTAAGCGAAAGCGCACCCTTTCTGGTCGAGCTACTAGCTCGTGTACCATCTTCGTCTCGTGTCCCCTGAGATGCCTCGCTGACAGAAGCTCTCGTCCCTCCTTTCAGAGCCGCACTCGGCGGCGTGACCGCTTTCCCGATCTCTGGCCAGCTCTCTTTGTCCTCTACTGCCGGTGGGACGGCAGGGCGACTCCATTGCGTATTCCAGTGATGTCGTCTGTGTTTCACGACGAAAGGATCGTCTTCGTCATTTTGCGTGCTCGTGGGAACCGTGCTGACGGCGGGGGAGGCGGTGGATGACAAGGAAGGGGAGGAGCCCGTAGCCGCGGATTGGGTGCCAGAGGTAGCGCCGGACTGGTTCGCGGCCATCTGCTCCTTCCTTATCGCCCAGACGTTGACGGTGGGGGACTTCTGCGGCGACAGCGCCGATGCAGCGCGCGCGGGTGAATTTTGCGCGTCCCCGTTCAGCGCCTTCGGCTGCGACGCGGGGGACGAGGGCCGGGTCGTGGCCACGACGGAGGATGCGGGGGTGTGCACATCGGTGGGGGAGGATACGGATGTCGGGGACTTGAGGGAGGAGACGAAGGTGCTGCCGGCGCTGGACGTAGAGATCGTGCTCGCGGCGGATGATCGGTAGTTCGCAGCTGCGATACCCGCCGAGGGGACTGTCGGCGGTGTCGTCGAGGGGGGCTTGCTGGTCGCCTGCGCCTTCTTCGCGCGCTGTGCCCAGGTGAGCTTCGCTTGGGTAGCCGAGGGGGTCGTCGCTGGCTCAGCCATGGTGGCGGGATGAGAGTCGGGACAGATGGGCTCTGATCTGCCCGGTTGAAAATGGAGCGCCAGACGGAGTACCCGGCTATATGGCAAAAAGTAGAGCTGATGAGCAGTGTGGGGGGCCCGCGCTGGTCAGCTTCAGCAGAAGGAGTCGATGAGTGTTCGAGTGCAATTGATTTACAAGCGCACTCCGCGCCTTCGCTACTATTATGCATTGTTGACCATCACCATTATTGCAGCGGTACCCGGTGGCGTTCCGGAACTCAGAGTCACTGGTCAGAACCTCTTCACGGCCACAGGGAACACCCCGAAGCATCGCGCTGGCGCGCGGTGTCGCCCCAAATCGCATAGACTAACAGACCTCACGCTGGAATTCCGTGGTAATCGTCCTGAATCGGCAAAAATGATCGGACGTTGGAACTCAAGCGTTTGGGCAGCGCAGAATTCCCTGACGGTTTCATCCGACCCCCTTCGCCGCCCAGTATTATAGATAGGCTCAAACAAGTGCCTTGCCATCCTTACGGCTTTTCTACTGGACTCCCTCAATACTGCAGGGATCCGTCACAGTGACATGAACCGTCACGCTTCGGTAGTCAACTCGCTGACCGACATTGAAAGATTGCGATTACTGGCTGTCACCAGTTTCCCTGCAGATGTGCCCTTTCTATTGCTACCCAATAAGTTGGCGGCTATTGATCTTGAAGATTGGGATTCGAGCTCAGCGCTGGTTGGGCGCCAGCACCATAACCCAGTTTCAGCGAACTCTTGACGAAGCGTTGAGAACTGCGATACTCAGGGAATAAGATGGCGTCATGGCTGTCTGCTCTAGTATCAATGAGAGCACTGCATGCGTACGTCTGATGTCCTTGCGCCACGGTGCGTGGTGGTACGTAGCCTAGACTTATCCACTTACCTCGAAGCTCGCCCTTTCAGTTATAGATCCCTCTCAGGAATAGTTGATACCGCATCTATAGAGTACTATTACACTAAATACTTCTCGTTGATGTCTTCTGCCAAAAGCACAATGCTGCCATGATCGTTGATTCTCACTCAAATACCACATACACGTGGCAACCTGGATTACTGCCTACTTAGCTCGATTGCTCCTTCTCAAAATTCTCTACGTCCTTCACGAGCCCTGCGCCATCCCTTGCGACCAATCGCTTGAGTAACCAGCTCAACTATCCATTCTTCGACGCCCAAGATCTGTACCGCGTTCCTTCTGCTTGTTCGCGCGTGTTCCTCACGTGACGGCTCGACTTCTGCACGCCTCGCCGACGTCAGCGCCATCCACCATGGCTTCAGCGTCGGTAATCCTGACCCCCTTGTTACACGGCTATGTGGTCAGCCGTAAGCTACATCGTGGACCGCGCTTACCAGGAACCACCGGAAAGGTTTGTATACAGACCTATGTTTTTTTGTTTCCCTCACCCACCGGAATGCACGCCGAGGCGCTCGAGGACTGCCATCGTGCGTGGGACTTCACCTGCCTCCCAGTGCACATCACCCAGAATGAGGTGCTGCAGACCGTCCATCTGCTCAAGGCAGAGGACGAGCGCGTCGAAAGGCCTGTGCATGACGTCTTGCAGCTCGCTCGAACGGACCGGGGGCCTTCAGCGCCGGACGAGGTCGAGAAGCAATTTGGTCGGATCCCCCTCGCGATGGTTGTCGCTGTGGGGAAGGACGGCGTCCAGCGCAGGCGCTGTGATATGCGCGAGGAGCCCGTGCGTATACATGAGCAGCCCGATGCTACGCAGGTCCAAGTTGTAGATGGTTGTCGGCCCCTTCTCCGGCCAGATGACCGCCTCGTTGGAGTACATTTCGATGTGACGGAACGAAGATGTGTACTTGGCGAGCAGGGGGGCGATCACGCAAATGAGAATGTCGTTGGAGATATCCAAGCACAAGAACGCGAGGCAGAGGAAGTCAGGCAGGCGAAAAACGAAAGTTCGTTGGCGGCTAACTATGCTCGTGATTTGAGGATCACGCGTAGTCGAACGAGAGATGTAGCCGGCGCAAAGTAGAATCTTACCCAAGAAGAAGTCTAGCGCGTCGAATTTATAGTCGCAGAGGACGGCAACAACGGTGGTTGTCAGGGATGAGAAATCGCGTGTGCGCGTGGTGGCGAGGAAGCAGCTGTGTCATTCCCGTGCCAACTCCTCCACAAGAAAGAAGACTACGCCGGACATTCTCTCTAGCGCCTTCCATCGAGCAAGGTCAGCATAAATGCTCTCCCGGAGGCCGTGTCTCGCGAGCGGGTGGTTTCGCGAGAGCTGCAACTGGAGGTCTGAGAGCGGGCCGTGAGCATCGTTGAGATAGTCTATCGCGATGCGCGCCCAAAGTATCGGAATCCCACCAGTGACGACACGCAAGAACCTGCATATTCCGCAGAGGACGCGAACGACGAAATGAAGGGATTCAAGTTGGCCATCGCCGAATTTCCTAGGGCGCTACTGCATGGATGGATATCTCTGAGAGCAGCTTGGGAGGTGAATCATAAGCAGGACTAGTAGTCACTAGACATCTGTATCCCACTGTCGGGAGGTTTATCGTCGTCAGGGTTTGGATGGGATGGCGCTCGTATTCTTCGCCTCGTAGGTCCTCACTGGTCGACAGCGAGTTAGACCCTACCTCCGACGAAGCGTCGGGTTGGAGATATGTCGCTGTGGATTTCGAATGGTCCGTATGGATTTGGTAGCGTTTTTCGCGCGCCGCGCGGTGATGTAGGACGAAGTAGAAGAGCGTCGCGATCCGTGAACGAAGCCAGCGATGGCAAAAAGGAGATCCGGAGAATGCCGAACGCCTTCCCACGCTAATAGTGCTACCTCGTGTCTTGCTGGTTTCTGCTCTTGCTTCCGACATCGACTATGGACAGACTCATTCCGCGCCCAGCAGCTCTCCCCAACATTGAGCTCCAGCGCAGTGGCTACATTCCCTCGCCTGAGCAGACTCGAGCGATCGAGGAATACTCCACGCAGTTGCAGTCTGCGCAAGAACGCCTCGACGCGGAGATCGCCCGTCTCTCTGCTCGGCGCCGCGATATCGGGCGCGAATTAGAGATCAATCGCTCTCTTCTTGCGCCCGTGCACAGATTGCCTCCAGAGCTCCTCTCGGAAATCTTCACGCATGCAGCTCGGAACCTACGCTGGCCACAGACGCCATCGCTCTTCGCATTGACCCTGTGCTCCGTCTGCGCGACGTGGCGCGTGACGGCTCGTAGCACGCCGCTGCTATGGCGGGATATTTATCTCAATCGCTGCATGGCAGGAAACGCTGGGAACCCACTTCTCCACCTGCACATGCATCTCTCGCGCCAGCGTCCGCTATGCATCTCCAGTGTGCGTTGCGAAGTTGCGCTTGTAGAGTTCTTGAGCACGCTGCCGGAACCGGATGCTGCGCGCCTACAAGAGCTGGTACTCTCAGAGAACGGCAACACACTTTCGAAAATACAGGCTCGTCCACTCCCCGCCCTTTCTCGAGCAGTGATTACGATCCACGATACCTGCCCACCGGACGCATTCAATGTTCTAGTGAATGCAACTTCCCTCCAAGATCTTACCATCACATACTACGCCGAGTGCACGGACGAAGAGCTCGAGAATGGTCTTGCTTTCCCCCGGCTCAACAACACCTCCGAATTTGCCAGCCTTACTCGAGTAAACCTTTTGCTCTTGGCTGACCTACCCATCTGGGCCCTATTCCCTACATTTGCGACGTTTGCGCCTACGCTGCGCGAGCTCGAGATAGGGGTCAATAGTTTCACAGATTTCGAAGATACTGCGCCTCGCACCATATACGAAATGCCTCGCTTGCGCCACGCCAGCCTCGGGTACCACGCGCACGCATTCCTAGCGCACATCAACGCTCCAGAGCTTGACACGCTCAGGCTGAGCAATACTTTCCATTCGGAATCGTCGCTAGCTTTCTCCCTCCCGGACTTCCTGCATCAGCAATCGTGCACGTCTCTGAGTGGACTGATTGGCCTGACTGGTCTGATTCGTCTGAGTGCCGAGATGTTCAGGCCTGTTCAGACAAAGTACAGGCGCAGAGACGATTTCTCAGTCCAGCTAGCTGTCTGCTGACCAGCTTCGTCTGGCGCTGGTCTGACCCGGTTTGAATCGAGTCTGATAGACAACTGCTAATTATGCGCAGTATGTAATAGAGTGTGTCTGTTCAGTAATTTCTTTCGATATCCTCAGAAGCTTCAGTAATATACTTGGGCGAGTTCGTAATTTATTCGCCATCTTCATAATTTATTCGGGCGCTCTAGAATTTTTCCAGCCCGCTCTGTGAGTTCTCCGAAGAAACCTTGAAGCTGAAGGCCTTCATAAAATGGTAGCTCGTCAAGGTGGGGACCGCTTCCTGCTACACCCCCACTACAAGATGCAAAGCTCTCCCTCGCTACCACTCGCCGTCATTCCGGACCTCCTACCGCCTCCTCGTCTCGTATCTACATGCGCCGCGGTGACTGTAGGTCTGGCTTCGGCAGCCATCGACTTCCATGCATATACGCAGTCCCAGCGATCACGCAGACGCCCGCGCCCGCGGCAAGGTGGCCATCGCATAACGAAGCAATACTTGAGAAGCCTGTCTGATGAGGACTGCCTATGGCGCTTCAGGTACGTGCTCGCACCTTTGTATGGCAGGCCAAGCATTGACACATTTCGCCGCATTCCTCAGGTTTACTGCCGCCGACTTAATCATCGTGGTAGACGCTTTGAAGATCCCCCCGTCCTTCACCACTCGCTCCCATCATCGCTTCACGGGTCTCGAAGCTTTCGCCCTCACACTCGCGCGCTTTCGGTCAGAGGGGGAACTGGACAACCTCTCCATCCTCTACGATCGATCGCATTCAGCCCTTTCGGAGGCGGTGAACTACATCGTCGAATACGTCGATCGAAGATGGCACCACCTACTGGACTTCGATTCGAATGGGCTTCTGCATCCGACGCGCCTTGAAGCCTATGCGCGCGCCATTCATCGACACGGGGCACCGCTCTGGGGGGTCTGGGGTTTCATTGACTGTACTATTCGTCGTATCGCCCGCCCCTCTTGGTATCAGCGCGTCGCATATAACGGCTACAAGAAGTTCCACGCCCTGAAGTATCAGGCAATCATGCTACAGTTGAATTTCCTTTAAGGAATACGGTCGGGAGACGATTTTTCCTATTCCGTAGGGGGGATATTCCGTGCGGAAAACAGCCAATAATTGCTCGGAAAATTCGAATATTTCATTCCGCCTTTCGGGGGCGATTTTCGACCCTTTTTGTGCCACGCCATGCGCTCAAATGGCATTTTGGATACGGGATGGGTAGAAATAGTGCACTAAGCGTACTATAACCTCTCTCAAGCCACTCGCAGTGCATAAATAGGTGGCATCCTGCGAACTCACATGACCGGTATGGAATATTTTGGCTGGTGGGAAGTCTCGCGACCCTATTCCGTATGAGATAGCGGGGTTTTTGGAATATGCCCGCCTCCCAAGCTGGGGAATCGCCCAACCCTATTCCGTAGCGGGGATATTCCATAGGAGGTGATTCCATAAAGGAAATTCAACTGTACCTAACGGCATGATAGGGCACCTATTCGGGCCGATGGAAGGACGGCGAGGCGATCTTGGGCTCCTTGACGAGAGCAAACTCGTCGGCACTCTCAAGGAGAAGGCCATCCGCGAAGGAGTACCACCTGATGGGCCAGCTGAGATGCGCTTTCTGCAGCTCTTTGGGGATCCTGCATATGGCGTCAGCTATCAGATCCTCAGCCCCTTCATGGCGGAGGTGCGAACAGCGGAGGAGGTGCGGTGGAACGAGATGATGGGCAGTGTCCGTGTCCGTGTAGAACACGGTTTCGGTCAGGTATCCCAGAAATGGCCCTTCCTCGATGCTCACTCGCGTATGCGCGTCTTCGCTTCGCCTGTCGGTATCTACTATAGGTTCGGTGTCCTTATGACCAACATACTGAACTGCTTCGAGCCCAACTCTGTAGCTACCTCCTTCTGCTGCTCTCCTCCTTCCCTAGCAGAGTATCTACACGACGAGGCATCCCAGTAAATCACATCACCTGTAGGCCTCTCCTGGACCGTCAAGTAATCTGTCTTGAACATAACACGAGGCAACTTCGGAGCAAGGCCGAACACCTTGTCTGCAACGCTCACCATGACGCACTCGCAGTCATTTTCTCCACTTTTTTCCACTGCACTCCTCGGTTCCGTCACCTCTGTGCTGCACAGCGAGCGCTCAGCAACATGCTGCACCAACCGTCGCGATGGACGGCGATGCGCCCACAGTTCGCGAAGCTGGACCCTTAGATGACCTTTCCACCGCATGTCCTCACCATGACGGACGGGGTTGACGTCAAGCGCCACGGTGCTCGAGTACAAGAGGCAGCAGGCAGCTGCAGCGAGACCCAGCAACGACACCAGCACTCACATCCAATCACTTTCACCAAGCTACTACCATAAACCCACTACACACCATGTCCCAGCCATTTGCACCCCAGCACGACCTGTACAACGCCAACGCCATCAACAATGTTATGTTCGATCCGAGCTACCCGCCTGCGGACTCGTGGAACAGCTTCGCGATGGGAGGAGGGCACGGCGACGATCAGGAGCTTGACGCTGGCGCTTTCTGGCAGCCTCAGGGGGCCCAGGGTATGTGGTCAATTCCTATCCCTGACTCGAGCAACATTGACTGTTAAGCAGGCCCTGCTATCGACGATCCATCGGAAAGCCTTCGACGGCTAGCTGCCGAGCAACCCGCCCCCGGCCCTATCCTTCTCATGACTCCTCCGACAACCACGCAATCGAGCCCCCCACCTCCCGAAACACCCCCCGGTCTCTCCCTGAACCATCACGTAGAGAACACGCCAGCCCCAAGTGAGGAACCTCGCGATCGAGCAAGGCCCGAGCTTTCCGACAGCGACGATGATGAGTTCAGCATCGACGACGACTCCGACGAGGTCTACGAAAGTGCGCTCGACGAGGCGATCAAGAAGCTCAAGACGCTCGGCGACCCGGTGGACAAAGACGAGCCCGGCAAGCGGTCTCGTGTCGTTATCGGTCGCAAGGATATCATCGTTGCGGTGCGCGCCCAGATGCGGCTGAAGCCTCACCTACAGACGTACGGAAAGAAGCAGGAGAGGTGGCGGGATACGTGGCGCGTCGTCCGCAGCCTCAAGTGCTTCGAGGGCGCGTCGCTGGCTGTCTTCCATCGTCGTATGGAAGAGATCATCAAGGCGAAGGATGTACGTGCATACCAATGCCTTGGCGAATTTCGGCTGACCCAGCTATCGCAGGACTTCGATTCGGCGCCTGCGTGGCTACGCAAACTCGGGGACGGCATATACATCGACGTAGGATCCCAGATCGAGAACATCAAGGGCGAAGAGCAACGGCTTCGCAATGCCAGTGACGAGGAGAAGGCGCGGCGCCTTAAGGTACGTCAATAGCGCGTCGCGTGCGAGAGCGATTCACTCACCTTTGTGCAGAAGCAGGAAGAAGACGAGGTGGGCGGCGATGCCATCCGGCGCCAGTCAATGCGTCGCCGCAAGCGCGCTGCTTCAGACGATGATGGGGATACGTCGGACGGGGAGAACCGGCCTCCGAAGAAGAGGTCTCGCCAGAGCGCGCGCGACATCACTGACGAGCTGGTGACGATGAACGATCTCGCCAAGCAGGTGGTTGAAGTCACGCTGCAAGCCTCGGAGAAGTACGACAAGGCGGTTGACCGCCTCATCACTGTCCTTGGCCCGCACCGCCCGGAGAACGGTTCGTCGGCCGCGTAGGTTGCCTTGAAGTCAAATAAATTCAAATGTATTTCTACTGGCTAGTAATTTCTTTCAACTACTTAGTAATTTGTTTCAGTCTTCTCAACTCTCAGTAATCCATTCCATGACCGTTCTCAACCGACGTAGTGACTAGACCCATAATAAATTACTCAACAGACACACTCTAATAGGCTTATTAGAATAGGTATAGAGGGTCTTCGCTACGCGTGCTGAAAGGATCGCAATGTTGCGAAGGGTACGAAGAATGGTACGAGGAGATATCGCAACGAGCGTAAACTTAAAGTACAAGACCGATGGTGAAACGGGCCGATTGCGCTCGGCGTCACTCGTACGGTCGGGCGCACGCCGTCGTTGCCGCACAAACTCGCAACTGAAAGCTAGTGAGGTGGAAAACTTCGTCGGGGAGGAAGTTCGAGCGATGCAGCGCGAGTCGTTGGTAAAGCGATGAGGAAGGGCAGGTGCGGTCACGGCAACCACTGCAGCGAGCCATGCTGGCCAGAACAAGCTACCGCAGCTCGAATCGGCCGTGCGCGCTACGGCAGCGAGACGATCGCCGACGTGGCGAGAAACCCGTGCGCGTCAAGCACTGGGATTCGCCCATGGGCACGCGAGCGCGGCGACGTGTCAGCACGGTCAATATGGAGAGAGCCAGGCTTGACGAGGGTAAGGCGAAACTCGTAAGTCACAGGGGGTCGCCCTAAAGTCGATCATCTGATGACGTTGTCGCGTCGGCGCCAAACAAACAAGCCTTCCGCTAGCCTTGATTCCCGCCCTTCTCAACCCTCTCAACATCGCCGTACGGCGCCAATTGCCTCCCTCCGCTGTCTTTGCTAGAGCTTCTTGCATTCGCGCCAGTCTCCACAAGGATGTACGGCTCATGCCGATACCAGCGCATTCGGTTCTGCGCGCAGCCATCGACGTAGGATCCACGGTCAAGTACGGGAATCAGGAAGTGGGCAGGTCTTTGACATGGCTCTTAGGTGCGTGTGCTAGTGTTTAACCCGTACACCGTCGCTCATCTGCTGCAGGCACCCTCTGGTATCGCTTGCGGGAGCGCGTCGCCCAGCTCTTCGCGCGACCCATTCCACAGAAGCGGCGTAGTCGATTTGGATATGGTGCGTGCTTTGCCAGCTTCGATAACGTCAAGTATAATCTCTGACAGTGCTCCTGTGCTAGGTCGACTCTGTAAGCGCGTTGTGTTCGGCCAATACTAGCATAGCACATCGTTCGGACGTGCCTCGTGTCCTCGTAGGCTTGCGCGATTCACGCTACAGTGGTAGGCTTAGGTACAGCATATCTCGTAGTATTCGTAGTACCTAGGTAGCTTTCAATACAATCATTGTTTTATGCAACTACCGTCCGATTGGCCTGCGAAATGTGTGTTTTGAAGCAATGAGACGGTCTGGCTATGGCCTAAGGGGACCTGTATAACGTCTGTGCGAGCGACTGTACGTGATCTGTTTGGTCTGAAATATCGACGTCTGAAAGGACTGGTCCCAGAAAAGTTGAACTGAACTCAGGCAAGAACCTGTAGAAAACAGTCCACCCGCCTGAGCGCCTGATTGGTCTGAACCGGCCTGAATGGCCTGAATTCAGACCAATCAGACAAGTGCACGATTGCTGATGTGCGGCGATCGGGGTGCCCCATGCGTTCTTTCGGGTTGAAGGGACCAATGGATGAGACGGACCTGGAGATGCTCATTCAGTGCTTCGAGCGTATGGAGGGTCTTCGAGAGCTAATCCTGGAGGACGACCATATCCCTTTCGACAGCGTTCCTTGCATGGAGGAGGTTCTAATCCGCCTTGTATGCGCTGAGGACGAGCCGCCGCTCCTGCCGGATCTCTCATCGCTCTCGCTGAAATTCTTGGGCAATAAAAGACCCCTTCCAACCCCTATCGTGGCTCCTCTGGGTCTGATGCGGTGGTCTCGCAGGGAGCCTCGGATATGCGCTGGACGTGCTGTGGTTGCTTTGGAAAAATTTACGACCAACGCGGACACTTCTCCAGATACGCTGAGCATGTAGAGCGAGTTTGGTATCACGGTATGGACTCAGACGACATTACATACGATCATTGTATCGAAGCATGTAGCAACTTGGTTAACGACGAACAAGTACACGGTAGATTGAATTATCATGCCGTCTCTTCACACGAGGAACAAAGCGAAGTTTGTTGAGTGCGATAGACCTCTCAGTAGACCGCGCCCTGCGTCGACTTGATAAGGTCCACCGCCTCTGAGCTCCGAGGAACGAAGCGGCACTTGTACTGCATCGGCTGCCTATAAGTGAAAGGAGGGAGAATCAGTCCAGCTTCATCAATCTTGTCCTCAACGAAGACACAGGCATTCACAATAATATTCCGGACCGCCACTCCCGCCTCGGCTCGACGGGACTACCATCCGGGCGCTTTGCCTGGGTTCGAATATTGAGTGCCTCGACGTGGATCAACTGATCGTGCAACTCACTTTTTCGATGTTATACACGCGCAAAATGGAAGCAACCGTAAGCCACGTCTCGTCGTAGGCGAAGTGGCGCCCGACGCAGTTGCGGCGGCCAAACTACACGCGCAAATTAGCCTTCAAGTTGACCAGCGCTTGACGAGGATGCGGACGCACCCCGAAAGCTAGCTCCGCCGGATTGTGTACGCTCGGGTCGAGCGTGCCTTCGGGAGTCAAAAAACGCTCGGGCTTGAAGGTGTACGGGTCAGGGTACATGCGCTCGTCGTGACACATAGACCTGAGAAGATATGTGAGTACCAGAGGGGACGAAGGCGCAGGGAAGAGCCAAGAAGACGCCTACCACACGTTGGGTATGACCAGAGAGCCAGGCGGGATAGCATATCCCTTGTAGATGTCAGGCTCTTCGCCGGTATACGCGTGGGGGATGCTCTGTAAGTTGGTGCGCATCAGCAAGCATACGATAGCCTGTATCGTGCAGCTTTGAATGAGGTCGAAGAGGGCTCACGATTGGGAGCGCCGGCATCCATCGCAGACTCTCGCGCACGAACGCCGTGATGAATGGTAGCCGAGGTTCGTCTGCATGGACGGGTAACTGTCCCGGCGTCCCATCCGATGTCTGCAGAGGTCCGAGGACGGCGTCTAGCTCAGCTTGGGCGCGGCGTTGAGCTATAGGATTGTCCAGCATGCCGAGGACGAAGTTCACGAGTGTAATGGCTGTCTGAATGAAGTATCAGCACGTGGATAAGCTGTGGAGATGGTATAGGACTTCGTCGCGAAGTCCAAAAGGCCTGCCTTAAATCAGGCATGCCTGTATTGGGATAGCCCTACTCACGGTGTCAATCCCCGCGGTGTGCATCGTAGCAGCCGCGTCAACAATAACCGCATCATCCTCCCCCTTCTCAATCGCCGACGAGATAAAGGAGGGCGTGATAATTTCTCCCTTTTCCTGCGGCAACATATTAAGGGACCTCTCAATGCAAGTGGCTGTACGCAACGCACCATACTGCTTTTGACGTCGTAAAACGGCCGGTATGTGATCTTCCGTGCTTTGTCCCGCCACTCGCGCGCTATCCGCTTGAAGCCAGCGCCTGGTAGATGAGTCAAGAGCAATACGCACATAATGTCACCAGGGACTGACCGGGCACCAACTCCGGCACGAACTTCAGAGCAGGAATCGAGTTGACGAGGTACGAGCTTGGCAGCGCAGCGACAGACTGTATTTGCACAACTTCCCCCGCTTCTTTGATGTAAAGATCGTCTTTTCCAGCGACACAGATCCCGTACGCAACGTCCATGATGACCATGCCAGCCAAGCTAGAGCACTGTTAGATTGACGAAGGCGAATGAACGTGGTGGGATACGCACTGCCGTAGCTCCTTTTCTACGTCGTCTTCGCCCGCGCTGAGCATCGCTCGGAGGAAAGCGTGCGTAGCCTTGAGCTGTTGGGTGTGGTACTGCCCAACGGCTGTAGGGTGCATTGCACCGTGCATGAGGCGGCGGCGGTCGCGCCTGAACTTCTCGTGAGTGAGGAAAGGGGTGCAATTCATACATTCTCTCACCATTCCTGGCCTGCACACAAAAGACGTCGGCGTCAAAGAGATTGTGTAGCTGTCAGCCGCGCACTCACCATATGGCTTGAATGCGAAGTTGAAATCGAGTTCCATGAGATCGACCGCCATTGGAAAATTCGGGCTATGACAGACAACGAGTGGGCTTATCCCGTGCGGATTTGGGAGACGTCACGCACCGACCCGAGTACGTTCTGGAGCGCTTCTCCAGGAGTTCCACGGCAGCTTCGTAGGTGTCGAGTACGATGATCGAGGACCCCGGAACCTCAAGGTGGAGAATGTCGGTATCTAGGTGGCAAAAACTAGCATATATTTTCTCTATCGATTTGTGTCGCTTACTGAAATCCCGTGCCCATTGCATGAACGTCTCCCATTCGGAGGATGACGGCATGTCGAGTAAATTCCCGATTAATGGCAGCTTTCTGGGACCGGGAGGTAGAGGAAGGGATCCTTTGCGGCCGTAAATGCGACGATAGAGGACAGCGCCAGCTATGGCGACCGCAACGACGAAAGAAAGAGCATGAGAGAGCATGATAGTACGAGAGCAAGGCACTTGGTCGAAGGAGGAGCGTTCAGGGCCCTTATATGACATCCGTGTGTGCTATTCCAAGGAGGAGAAGTTGTACATGCGTCATCCGAGGAGCCGCCCACTCAATTCCACCGATGCATGCACCCTCATAGAGACACCTCCGCGTCCTCTGACCATTGTAGGAACCTGAGAAGCTGGATGTGTTGAGAGTGACTGACATTGCGCGGGAAAGCAAACACGTAAGTTAGCACTTGGCGCAGAGTCTGACAGGAGACTTTGATAGAGAACGTAGTACTTGACGTCGCGTGAGAGAGGGGGAGGGCAGATAGTCGTCGAGGCGGTGGGAAGCGGCGTTCCTGCCTTACACACTGCAACACGGCTACATCAGTCATTAAGAAGCGTACCCCTTGTATCCCTGTTTTCCTGTATGACAGCAAATGTTGAATCGAGAGCGGGAAGAAATTCATCATTTTGCCATGAAGGTCAAGTTCAAGTTGCGAGAATACGACACGTGGGAATTTGAACAACTCGGCCGGACCCGGCCGGTGACGCGGAAGCGAATCCAAGTCACTTTTGTCTCCGTCCACCGTCCGTTTTTCTCGAACACCGCCTGCAGGCAGACATGCTGCTTGGGAACACATATAAAGTCCCCCGTCCTTCGTCTCTTCCTCCAAATCACCTCCCCACCCCTACAATACCTAGCGCGCCATTGGCATGCCTCGACGCACCCCTGTTCCTCCTGCGCCCATCCCAGCCGCTGTAGCCGACGAGCTCGATGCCTTTCGGAAGATATTCCTGTCGAAGCCGCCCTTTGTGAGCGGCATCTATCCGATAGACATGTCTGGCTACCAGCTATACTACGGAGGCACTCATAATCCTAGGTATGTGCACGTCCTGTCCGTCAAGATCGCTGGTTGGACTCATCGTCGCATGTCATCTAGGTGCATCGATCTTGCGAATGCGTCTAGCGCCGATCTCCAGGCTCTTTCGGATGCCTGTCAACCCGCCTCATTTGGCATGAACGACACGAACGTTTACGATGAAAGCTATCGCAAGGCCAGGAAGATGGACGCGAGCGACTTCGCCGCCAAGTTCGATCCCGAGGATTCGGGCTTGCTTGACTCAATTTGGCCCGATTTCCTCTCCGATGGTGGAGATACCAGACAGCGCGTCATCTGCGAGCTGTACAAGCTCAACGTCTATGGTGCGTCCATGAGCTCGTATACGATACGCGTGTCCTGATCCAGGATACGATCAGGCCAAGACTCTTTCTTCAAGGCGCACAAGGACACACCACGCAGCGACACCATGTTTGGGTCGCTTGTTGTCGTTTTCCCCACGCCCCACGAGGGCGGCGCCCTCATCCTCCGTGAGAACGGCAAGGAGTGGACCTACGACTCCGCCGCTGAGGTCCTCGCGGGCGGCTCACCCAAGCTTGGCTACGTCGCCTTCTTTTCCGACGTCGAGCACGAGGTGACGAGGGTGACCGCCGGCTACCGCGTCACCCTCACCTACAACCTCTACTTCAACGCCAAGTCCAGCGAGCCCGTTCCTCCGCACCCTTCGTCTAAAGAGTCGCGCGTTGGAAAGGCGCTCAAGGCGACTCTCACGACGCTTCTGGCGCGCGAGGATTTTCTGCCTGAGGGCGGTTACCTTGGCTTCGGGCTGCGCTTTGCGTACGCGATCGACCCCAAGAAGCCCGTGTCGGCTATCATGCCAAGTCTCAAGGGCTGCGACGCGATACTCAAGATCGTCTGTGAGGAGCTAGGGCTCTCCGTCAACCTCAAGGCGTTATACGAAAGCCACGCCGGGTATTGGAGCCAGTGGGAGGACGAGAGGAGGCCCAAGGACAAACCCGTTCTCGTGGCTCGCGATACCTTCTGGTTATACGAATACGAAGGTGGTCAGCTGTGGATGGAGGAGCAGGCCCCATACCGCTACCTCATGGAAAACTATGCAGAGTTGCCGGAGGGCGTGGAGGAAGAGGAGGAAGAGGAGGAAGGCATTGTCCTGTTGCGAAAGGCAGGAGCAGCACCGGTCGTCGGTAGATACGACGAAGTTGTCGAGACAGAGGAGGTTCACTGGATCACGGAGCTCTCGAAGGACTTCAACGTCGTCAAAACGCCTTTCGGTGAGTTGTGCTCCTCTCATTGGTTGTGTACGAGGCTGACATCATCTTCCCTGCAGTGGCATACGGAAACGAGGCCCAGATGAAGTATCAGTACGGCATGCCTGTACTACTTGCGCTCGTTGAACCATTTGTGGCACGCAGCCTAGGACAGTCTAACAGTGCCGTATCTCAGTAGGGGCACCCTGAATGGCTGGCTAGTACTATTAGCACGAGATTTCATGTATGTCACGTATCTGGGGGACAGATGTTCTCGCATTGCTGAGTTCCTGCGGCTACTGGTCGCTTGTTGCACATGAACCAAATGACTTCCTTTTTGAGATAACAATGGCTGCTTGAGTTCCCACGCTCACTGACGTCATCCCCTGAGTCGGAGCATGCACCGCCACCGACGAAGGCCCTGACCCTGTCCACGCACTCGCTTCTTGTTCTCCTCCATCGTCCTCAGAGACTCCCACCCTCCGAACCACCCTTACTCTTTCTCTCCACAATCTTAAGCCACCATGCCAGTCAAGGGCTCTGACGTTCTCCTCATTCTCGTGCGTGGTAGAGTCCTACGCGAGAGGCGCCGCTGACCCTAATTGTACAGGTCGCTATCCTGTTCCCTCCCGCCGCGGCGGCCTTCATCACTGGCTGCAGCTGCGACCTGCTCATCAACATCTTGCTGACCGTGTAAGTGTCGCAATGCTTACTTTCATGTGCAGAAGGCGCACACTTCGCATCTCACCTCCCCTCGACCTCGTACATACGTCCCCGTCAAATTTTCCTCCCTCGGATGATAGGATACCATTCTTACACAGCTTATTGCAGCCTTGGCTACATTCCCGGCCATCTTCACGCGTTCTGGCTTATCTACAAGAAGATGCGCGCTGAAGAGCGCTACGGGCATGGCGGGTACCAATGTACGTCTCATCAGTCTATCCCTCGACGCATGTCACTGACTAGTTCTTCCCCTTTGCAATCATCTACTTCGCTCTGCTTCCACTCCATCGCACATTCTACAGACGTCGGCAACGGCACTTACGAGCCCATATACACCACCGCTGGCGTCGTACAGCCCGGCCAACAGGCTCCGTACTACGGCTCGACCACCCACTAAAGTGGCACAAGCCGCTGCGCTGCGCCCCTTGCCCTGCGCGCGATGGACGTCTAGGTCAACATACCTCCGTATATAACAGGATTCCTCGAGCTGTAACTTTGTATAGGACATCTTTCTCTGCTCCATATTGATCACTTGCTACGTATCTACATCCTTCTCGCGTGCACTACCCTTCAAGTCGAGAGCACTCTGCCGTCTACGTCCAGGAGAACGTTACAGTGACTGCCTTGGTGCGCAAAGCGGGGAACAGCTGAGGCAGAAACTGCGCATCCTCCTCGCTTTCGAAACCGCCTTCGAAGTGCACGTGCACGTCGCGCAGCGCGTGAAACGCACCCCTAGCCAGTATCTTATCCAGATCGTCCCATCCCACGACCCATGTAGGCATCCCCGCGGGGACGTTCGACTGCGCGGTCGCGGCAGCCGCAGCCGCTGGCGAGTGCAGCACGAGCGCCATCGACTGCAAGCTACGCAGGTTGAAGCGCAGACGCAGCGTCGTCAGAGGGTGGTCCGCGGCGACGTGGTCCAGGAAGGAGCAAAACCAGGGTAGCGCGGTGTAGTCGGTCGTGTGTTGCACGAACGCGCCGAGGGTCGTCAGGTTCGGCAACATGCTGAGGTCGAAGGGATCTGCTGGTTCCTCTGTAGACCAAGTGAGAAGCTCAGTGCGTTGAGGATGTAAGGCGGCGGAAGTACTCACCTCTGTAGGTGGACGGCCCCGTGATTCGAAGCGACTTGAGGCTCGCGTCCGCGCCCGTACTGCGCAGGAGGGCAGCGACCTCGCCTAGTTCCTCGGGGCTCGAGTTGCCAAAGAACTGTAGCTTGCGCAGGTCCAGGGAGCTTTCGGGATCGCATAGATAGCGCAGATGCTTCCCCAGCGACTCTGACCAGGCCAGCGCCTCCAGTGCGATACTGCGCGGTGGCGCACGCGGTACGAACAAAGGCGCATCATACAGATGCAGCTGCCTGAGCGAAGGAATACTCAGCGCAGACGAGATCAGCCTCCCAGGAATCGTTCGCCCCAGCAGGGTCACTGCCATCAGCGGCTGCGTGTTCAGCAGACTGTCCAGCGCGTCCAGCAGATGCAAATCCAGCGGGCGCCGCGCGTCGCGCACCGCGAGCTCCGTCAGCTGCCCGCGCTGCACGAGCGCCTCCACTAGCGCGATCGTCGCATTCAGCACGCCCACCCTCCGCTGCACCTTCCCGTTATCGTACACCGCGTCCGCCCCAATGCCCAGCGCGTGCACGTATCGCGCGAGCTCCGGGGACGCCGGGTGCTCGTCGGTGCCGCCGGCCATGTACCCTGCCAGCCGCTGCAGCGCGCGCGCCTGCTTCGCGCTGTCTTCCTCGTATTCGATGCTGACACGCCGGAAGAGGTACGGGCGCATTGCCTGGCACCAGATGCGGGACACGAGGGCCGCGCTGCGCAAGGTGTCGGCGTCATCCTCGAGGTGCGCGGCGACCGCGTCGACAAGCTCGGGCGCGAGCGAGAGGTTCTCGCTGGCGTCGTGGCTCATCATGGGCCGGTGGCGCGGGTGGTAGATGCTACCAGTGAGACTGGCGATGTAAGGCATGGAGCTGGTGTTCAGATGAAAGCTCACTCGATTCGCGTGGTAGTAGCGTGGTGGTTGATTCCGCGGAGCCAAGCGCAGAGATGAGTCTTTTAAGGACTTTGAAGTGGTGGTCGAGGGCAAGGGAGAAACGCGTCGGTGGCGACGCCGCTCGGCTATTCTGGAAGATAACCGCATGGGGTAAGCTCGCCATCACGGAGGACCGGCCCAGGCTTTGGACCCACAACTCATCATCGACTTCCAAGTTCATGCATATGCTCATTCTTTTCAAGGCTTCCTAGGTCATTTTAATTCACCACAGGACAAAGGCTTCCTTGGACTTTTGGTCAAAAGAGTGAGACGAATCAGGCTAGAACTACAGTAAGTACACCCTATGAACGACCGCCGATACCTATTACCTAGTCCTTGATATGGCCACCAAAAACCACTTCCATTACTGCGTGCAGCGTTCGTTCGTTGTGCTGAGAGAGTGTGAATGCGAATGTTCAGGTTGACAAGTGAATGAAACAGTGCATCTCAGGCCGTGGCGAGGATGAGTAGGCGAATGCGAAGGATCGTGTGTGCAGAGGCGCAAAAGCCAGTGTTGAGGCAGGCGATGAGCGAACGTCGAGCTTCCTATCTTCCAATCCAGTACCATTGCCTAGATGCAAAGAAGGTGTAAGAGTACAATTCATCCGGTAAATTGCGGCGCGTGCAGGCAGTGGGGTGTTAAGAGGATAGGACAGGGCGTGGGGTGGTATGTATACGTGCCGAAGGAATAGTATGGTGGTGTATATGCTACGAGAATGACTGAAGAATAAATTCAAGATAGATCCCAGATATATTCCAAAAGATGAGGGCGAGGATGACGACCCAGCAACGGGGGAAGAAGCGGCCGGGAGAAAACGACCATGAGGAAGGAAAGGCCGTGAAGGAAGCGAAGGATAGAGGGAAGCGGCGCCGCAAAGCACTGGATAATTACCAGTTCCACTCCTCGTCCTGCTCGAACACCGTCTCCTCCTTGATCGCCGGTGTTTTCTTCGGCGCGGCCGCGCTCGTCGAGTCCGGGGTCATCACCTTGAACGCAGGCGCGCTCTTCTGGCCGAGGAGGGTCCCGAAGAAATCGTCATCATCGTCGTCGAGGAGGGAGGAGTTGGTCGAGGAGGATGTGGTCAGCATTGACGCATTGGAGAAGGTGGATCCATTCGACATGACGGAGCCGTTCGAGGAGATCGAAAGATTTCCATTAGATGAGGACACGGAAGGCGTGCTGTTGCGCTTGCGTGCGCGGGAGGTGTTGCTAGGAGACTGGGCGGAGGTAGCGGCGAAGTCTGAGTTACTTAGCGAGGGCGACGCTGGGGAGAGGACGCTGGAGAGACCGTCGGCGAGGAACTGTAGTGAGCCGCGCTTGCTGGTGCGTATTTGCTGCGGGGTGAGGCTGTAGAAAAGTCAGTCAGATTGCTAGCTAGATGTAAAGACTGACATACCCCGAGAGCTCCTCCAGCTTCTTCCCCACCCACGGCGCAGCCACACTAATTGACCCCAAGCCCGGCATCGACGGCGCCGCTGCCTGTTGTGCGTTGGCTACCGATGCTGACCTCCCGATAGGCGCGCTCGTCCCCAGCAGGTCGTCCTCCGGTACCGGTGTCCTGCTCTTCGGATGTATCGTCGCGTCCTCATCCTCGTCGTCCGCTTCATCGTCTGAAGTCTTCGACTTCTTCGACTCGTAAGACTTGGCGGTGCGGTGCTTGGGTCGGCTGGACTGCTTGGGTGGGGACTGGCCCGAGGCCGGTGTATTTGACAGCGACGCCATCCAGCGGCCGACCTCTTTGATCCCGCCAAGCATCATGGTGTTCACGTCGGGAGATTGTACTGAGGGAGAGTGGGTTTGCGAAGGCGGCGAGGTCGAAGCAGTGGTCGTTGATGAGGGTCCTGCGGACGTGGTGTTCGCGCCCTTGGCTACTATGCGCTCCCATTTGCGCTTCACTAGCGAGGAGGGGGATATGAGGGCGCATATATGCAGGTATAGAGGGTATACGCACACTGCAGCAGCTCGGCTTCATGCATCTGAAGCTGACTCCTCAACTCTAGACACTTCGACTCCTTCTGCGCAATGAAGTGCAGCAGTTCGGCATGCCTAAGACTCGTCAGAACAGCCCACGCAACAATGGTCACGATCTACGCACTTCTCCACCAACGTCAACGGCTCCCGCTCGACCCGCTCCCCATCCCCGATGCTTGACAACGAGCTCGTGCTGTCCCGCTGCCCCTTCAGCCCGCTCCCCCTCACACTCTGACTCCGCCCCACGCCCGCCGAGTACCTCGTAAACGGCGACGGCGAGTCCGGCGGAATGTACGAGATGCTCGACTGCCGCCTCTGCGCCTTCGTCGTCGCAGGGAAGCGCGCGGACGCACTCATCGGCGGGCTCATCGTCTTGCTCTCAAACCCCCACACCCCGCGCCCCTCGCCCTGCGCGAGCGGCGCGGTCTGCGGCCCGCCGGCGCCGTCGACGAGCTGGAGGGGGCGCGGGCCAATAGATATGTTTAACGAGTGGCGCTTCGAGGCCGGCGCGGAGGGGGAGGGCGACGCGGCAAGCGTAGACATCGTCGGCGGGGACGACGCGAGTGATAAGTTCGTCTATGTATGCGGTGGTGGCTGGAGGAATCGTGGGACTGCAGGCGCAGCGGTCGTAAAGGAAGGGAACAAGGGTGCAATAATAATGATCGGGCAGCCGCGCCAAATCACTTGTCACCCACGTCCACGGCGCTGCGGACCCGGCCCTTACTGCCACGCATAGCAAGGTCTGGACAGCGGGGGATGCGTCTTGAAGGCTGTTTGGAGGCATGAAGGAAGACGACAAGCTCGACCGTGCCAGGATTAGCGGTAGAAGCTCGCGTATGCTTCCGATAAGCCTTTCAAACCCCCCTCCGAGCCAACGCGTCCGAGAAAGAGGTCAATGACATAGACTAGAAGACATAAGAATACATAGATAAAGCTACATTCGACTTTCCTTCGACACCTACGCCTGCGCCACCAGCTTCGCATTCTCCCTCAGAATCGCATTCAGATCCTCCCGCTTCGCGCAGCTCGCGTACTTGAAGCTCGCCGCAAGCGCGTCCAGCTCCTCGAAGCTCTTCCCCACAAAGTGGTCCGCCCACTCCTGCACCATGAACTCCGCGACGAGGATGTTGCGCGCGAGCCGGGTGACGCGGCTCTCGAGCTTCCAGACGGGGTGCGGATACAGGTTCTGGTACTTCTCCGGGATCTCGTCCTTGATGTGCTGCACGAGCGGGTCGTAGAACTGGTGGACGGCGCTGTCGTCGGAGCCCCAGGCGTCGACGGCGAGGCGCTGCTTCTTGGCGAGGAAGTCCTTGAAGAGCGTCATGTACGGCGTCGAGAGGTCGGTGTAGATCATGCCCTGGTAGCCGATGTCCTTGTACAACCAGATCGTCCAGCTCAGGCGGTCCTGCGAGGTCGTCAGCTACCAGCATTTATGAACGAAACCTGAACACACCTTGTTGTACAACTGCAGCTGATCCTTCAACACCTGGTACCGCCTCGCATTAATCGCATCCGTCTCCTCCCCATCATACTGCCTCCTCGCATACACCGGCCCGAACTCCCCATTCCACACACACAACCCCCGCTCGTCCATCCACTGCCGCTTCTTCTCGTACGACCGCTTCATCCTGTGCTTCTGCAGGTCCGTCCCCGCGTACTCCTCCATCCGCGGGAACCCAAACAGCGAGTAGTCGTGGATCGCGTACGCGGTGTTGTCCCACCCCTTCTGTGCCTCGCCGAAGTGCGAGAAGTCAGAGGCGAAGGTGTTGCCGTCGAAGAAGAGGGCATGGTCGGGGTCGACGGCGCGGATGGCGGCGTGGACGCGGTTGTAGAAGTCGATGAGGCGCGTCTGCTTGGGGTCCGTGGGCTCGTTGAGGGGGTTGTAGCTGTTGAACGGGTGTGAGGGCGATTGAAGCACGGGGAAGAGAGGAATTACGGACCCAGCAATCCACTTGTTTCCCTTGTAGTGCTCCGCAAGCTTCTCCCAAAGCCAGATTACGCTATGTCGAGCATCAGCTACCTACTTTGCGACGCATAGGAGAAGCAACTCACCGGTCCTGGTGGTCCTTGTGGTTCCAGAAGTTCGCAATATGCCCGCCGTGGTCCGAGTGCCAGTCCGTGTTCTGCCCACCAGGCGCGGTGTGCAGGTCGAGAATTGTGTAGATGCCGTGCTTGGAGCAGATGTCGATGACGCGGTCAAGGTGCTTGAAGCCAGACTCCTTGAGCACGCGAGGGTTCATGTCATCCTCGAAGTGACGATAGTTGAACGGCAAGCGGATGCAGTTCAGCCCTAGGCTCTTGAAGAATGCGGCGTCCTCGTCTTGGAAGAAGTATTCGAGGAACTGGGTACGGTCGTGAGCAAGAGTCATTGACGTTGTGCGGAGCAAAGAAGCGCACCTTGTCAAAGAAGAAATCCGCCTTCTCCTGCCCAATCGTCTCCGTGAGTGCTTCGCGGATGGCAGCCTCGGTCGCGGGGTAGCCGGTGATGAAGTTCTCCATGCTGGGAGGGGTGTGAGTGGGTCGGGATGCATAATGATGGGGAGGGAGATGGAAGAGTGGGAAGAGGGAAAGGGGTAGAGGGTGGCGTATGAGGGTAGAGGAGGGGAAAGAGTATGGCAGATGGAATGGGGAGAGAACGGGAAGCTGACACTCACTTCATCCACCCGCCCAGTCCCGCGCCGCGTAGGATAACCTCCTGGTCCTGCTCGTCGACGATCTTGGTCCCGGAGACTTTGAGGAGCGACATCGTTCCCTAGTGAAACTTGTATTGGTGTAGGTGAGGATAATACAGGACCTGGTATGTGGCCTGTGAGAGGATTGGGTACGGAAGCGAGCGCTAGGGGAAGCTGACGCATTTATACCGTTGGACCAGTGGTAATAGACCGACCAGGTGGTATACACCGAGCCCGACATTTCTCCGCATCTGCGAGCGAGGAAGGCCAAGCGCATCGCTGGACCAATGTGGCCCTAGCCCCATAACCAATCTGGGGAAGGTATATTCCCGATCGATGGGGGTAGCGGGGTCTGGAGAAGGCCCGGAGAGGGGAAAGAGGGGAAGTGGGGAACTCGGATGCCGAAGACCAGGGCCGCCTGGAGGTATAGGCCTTGCTACGAGAGATGAATCCTCTTCGGTGAAGCTAAACTGTGGACGCGAAAAGGTGAGACATCTAGCGCGGACATTGTCCGCTGTTAACACCGTGAAGAGGTCTCCCGTAAAGAGAGTGTATAGAAGGCGGGCTGCCTAGCGGAGGCGCGGGGTGCCAGGGGGTGAGGTCGAGCTTGAGCGGCTGTCGGGCCGTTCTCGAGGAACGTCAGATGATGTCTATCGCAGGCGTAGATCCTGAATGTTACATCCGAGTCGATTCAGGGCGTGAACCTCGGGGATAAGGCCGCCTCTGTTATACATTTGCAAGTACAATGGCATCTGCGATCATCTTGTTCAGCCAAAAAGTCCGACAGGACGCGCTGCTGGGCACGCACCTCTAGACTACGACTACAAGCAGGCCTCCCCGGTACCATGGACAACTTCGGTGGGATCTCAGAATTCGTCCCGCTTAGCGCGCTGCCTGGGCTCCGCCTGGACGTCGATATGTATTACGCCGTCCATGCCCTTCAGCCTGTTCGCGATCTCATCCGACCATTGTTCTTTCGGCACGGCGTACAGCTGCACGTCACGTAGCTGGCCTACTGGGCCGACATGGTTCAAGGAGTTCGCCAAGCCCGCAGATGAGGGGAGAGAGGAAGGCTCAATAGACGACGCCAGCGTCAGAGCAACGTATACATTCGCGGCGAAGTTTAAGGCCTGCATGGTTGGGGGAGAGCTGATTGTCGCGCTCAACGTCACGAACGGCGAGCGGACCGCGTCTGACGATACTTCCCACGGTCCGCTCGACCCGGGCCGCGGTCCCGGTCCTCCAACTTCATTCTGACCACTTCGCGGTTCGCGCATTGACCTCACTGCTCGCTGCAAACATGGCGGACGCCAGTGATCCCCTTCTCGCCCTCCGAGAGGCCATCAAGTCAAAGTCCCCCATCACCTTCAGCAAAGACGGCGCGCCGGTGCCCACCCTCGCCTCAGCTACCCACATTCACCTCTCACCATCGCTCACCCTCCCCCGCTCGACCCCCACGCGATGGAAGAAAACTGGAAATGAAACGTACACGCTCGACGCTCTATACCTTGTGCACCAGTTGCAAGGTGCCTCCGGTGGCGAGTACATGAAGCAGGCGCGCGAGAACGGCATGACTGTGGGCATGGTCAGCATTACGGAGCGGAAGGCCGTGCTGGACTACTTGGAGGGACGTATAGAAGACCATCCGAGCATCATACATAGTATGTGGTGTGCATATACTCACGTAGGTGTCCTGACAATCATCGACAGAGGATGCAGGCAAAGGCGAAGGATCTGCGGCGGCTGGGGCTACAACATCGCCACAGAAGCGGCGACACTACGTCCCCGATGCAAAAGACGTGCAGATCGTCAAGCGCATGCGACAGAATGAGGTGGAGCTTGAGGACCGGAGCACGGTTCTGCGCGGGCAGAAACTGAATGTGCGTCTGGCTTTGTCTTCCAACACGGCGCCCTATAACAATTTCTCAGGACTTCACCAATATCCGCAATGTATACGCCGAAAAGCTCAAAAAGCTTAAGGACTCTAGCAAGACCGGCGCAGCAGTACCCGCGCCCGCGGTTGGACTAGGCAAGTCTCTTTGCCTTCAGAACCACCTTCCCTGTATAGGCCCATATCCTGCGCACCTTCGCGCCTCCTCAATCTGCACGCCCTCCTCGCATATGCGCAATCTTCTTCCCAGATGACATGTCCTTCCCGGTAGAACACGACCTAACCTTCATCCCACAGAACCCAAAGCCCGTGTCCACGGCGCGCCTATCATCCTCGTCTCCTCCTCCCCGACTGCGCTGATAACTATGTACAACGTGCAGCGCTTCCTGGGCGAGGCCGTATTCGAAACCTCGCAAGAGGCGCGCCAAAAAGCGGGCAACAGCCGCCCGCCAGAGTTGATTCATATCTATCGCAAGGTGGATGTGCCGAGCAGTGAGCAAACTTCCTTGCCCGTGTCTATTCTTTTCCCCCCTTCTTATTTGTCCGTCATTGAATAAGGAGTCCAAGCTGACCCTCACATCAGACGACGGTACGACGGCGATGAGACAAGCGACACGACGATATGCGGTCTACGACAATGCGGAGAAGATGCCCCCAGATGGCTGGGATCGGTGATTGGCAGTCTCCCCAGTCAATGTCCTAACACTAACCACTCGTCTACCCACAGCGTCGTCTGCGTTCTCACTACTGGCCAGGCCTGGCAATTCCGCCCGTACAAGTGGAGCGAGCCGAGGACGTTGTTCCATCATGGTGCGCTTCGATCCCTTCATCATGCACTGACTTCGTCTTCCAGCCTATACTGACACCCTCGCCTCCCTCCGCAGTCAAAGGCATGCACGTCAGCTGGGCGAACGACCCGCCAAACCCAAAGATCGCGGACTGGAATGTAACGGAGATCAAGGTGTGTAATGTTTTCTCTGTGCTGCCTTCTCTCTTCTGCGCATATGGACTCAATCATACTCATGATGATCCCCCCAGATTGACAAGCACCGGCGACACGTCGACAAGTCTACCGTCGCGCACTTCTGGCGCGTACTCGACAGTTGGATGGGCATGAACAAGCCGGCGCTGATGAGGACGCAGTAGTCAAGGTTTATGTAGCCAATTCCCATCTGACACTACCGGCCTTCATCTCATGCTCATACGGCTGTTTTGACCTTTGTTCTTGTGCATTATCTCCCTAGTATATACTGTACTGACTTCCTAATCCATGGTGTGCTAGACGATCCCAAACTTGCGCAACTGACGCGCACTCATTACAACCTAAACAGCGCCTCCCTCGCCTCCTCCTTTCCCCTCCCCCGATTCCTCTCCTCCACCCCCCGGTTCATCCTCCCATACGCCACATGCAGCCCCACGCACATCACGCTCACCATCAGCAGCAGCGCCGCGTTCGTCCAGTGGCCCGTCGGGTACCCCTTCGCGACCTCGTCCGCCTTGTATATCCACACCCCGAGGATCTGGCCGGGCGCGCCGAAGGAGATGTTCATGGCGACGGCTAAGCCGGTGGCCGAGGTGGAGGGCGCGAGGCCGGTGCGGGTGGCGGCGCGAGCGTTAGCGGAGAGCCAGCCGAGGAGGGGCGGGATACAGGCGAAGGCGCCGGAGCAGGCGATGATGAGGGCGCCGTAGCGGGACTGGCGCGAGGGCGTCAGGTGGTGGATGGGATGAATGCAGGATGCGAGCGTACCTTGTAGTCATCGGCGGGCAGAGCGCCAGAGACGATGAAGCCTATGGCCCCAATGAAGGCGAAGGCAGCAGAGAAGAGGCCGCGGCTGTGAAGGGACCTGTCAGTACTCGCGTCGGGATATCGGAAACGAAGCGCCTCGCCGATTCGTCTTGTCTGCCCCGTACGCGACAGCGACTTGCACGACGTATGCGACCGCGTACGGAGGCACGGTGAACAGCTGAGCGTTCAGCGACGTGTACCCCAGCCCAGACACGATGGTTGGCGCAAACAATGACATGCTCGAGAACGGCGCCGATATCCCAAAGTAGATCTGCACAATTCCGTCAGCGCTACTGCTTCCTGTTCCTGTCTCCTAGCACGCACCACATAGTGTGTCCACAGCCTCGCACTGAACACCGTATCCCTCACGTCTGCCCACGTCAACCCGCTGCTGCTCGCCTTCGACCCGCCCGCGCTCAGCCGCTCCACCGCCCTCTCCCTCTCCCCCTCTGTCAGCCACCGCGCCGTCTCCGGATAATCCGGCAGCAAGAACAAAATCGGCACTGCCAGCCCCGCCGACGGTACGCCCTCCAGTATGAACAACCACCTCCACGCCGACAGGCCGTGCAGGTAGTCCATATGCGACACACCGTAGGCGATGGCGCCGCCGAATGCGCCGGCGAGGGTGGCGGACGCGAGGATGAGGGCAACGCGGAGGGAGCGCTCCTCAGGGCGGTACCAAAAGGTGAGGTAGTAGACGAGCCCGGGGAAGAGGCCGGCTTCGAAGATGCCCAGCAGCAGGCGCACGACGGCGAGGGAGGCATAGCTTTGCACGCCACCGAGACCGATTGTCACGGAGCCCCAGGCGAACATGAGGAAGGCTATCCATCGCTGGAGGGAGGGTTAGCTGGGAGTGTTTCTCGTTGAGGATCGACTACGTACTGATGGTCTCAACTTCTTCAACAAAATATTAGACGGCACTTCGAATAGCCCGTATGCGAGGAAGAAGATCATGAGGGAGATCCTGTGCGTCCGTCAGACTGATGAGGTGGCCTTCTGGTGGGGTCAGGCTCACGTATATTCGTAGCTCGTCAACGGCAATTCGGTCATCAGGTCATGTCCTGCTTCCTTGTTCATAATCTTCGCGTTCCCTGGTCCTGCGCGTCAGCATACTCCCCCTGCACAAGTAGCGTAGAACGCACCAATATTCGACCGATCCAGGTTACATAGCAAGTAGATGAACGCAGAGAGGGGAACAATGCGGAGGTCGGTCTTGCGTAGTAGCCGCCTGTCTTCCGGGGTATCGAAGTATGTATCGTCCTGGGCATCCTGGGGACGTCGCTTCAGATTCCTGTAAGGGGGGAAGAGTAGAAGTTACTGACCGTGCTCGAGGCTACTTCCGAGGTGAACTCTTGGGGCGGCTGCTTCTCGTAGTCCTTCACGTCCATCGTAGTCGGCTCGGTGTTCCTCTCAGCGCTAGCGCGTTCCTTGCACCCTGCTTGCGTCTTTTGATGCACCCTCACAAGGACTTGCAACTAGCAGGGGAGTCGGGCGCGATGAGCGCAAGAGCCAACCTTAGCGTATCCCGAATTCGAAAATGACCTCGCATCGTATCATTTGGACGGTCAGCCCTGTCAGGTCCTCCTCGTTGCCCGGACAAGCAGGAGATCAAAAGGTCAGAAGGGAGTCGACCCCACATGTTTGCCGACCTTCCAACGAATTGCGGAGGCCGCATCTCATCATATGGCCACGCGAAGCGGACCGGAGGCAAATGCGGACCCACAACGTTGGGGTGGGATATGGCGGCAAGTTGGTGGCCATCCGAGCTCGTATGTAAGGACTGGCAGGGGTTCTGCTGAAAGGTTCCCAGGTATTACAGTACACAACCAACAGTAAGTAGATCAGGGTATCCTCCAGATCGCAATACCCGCCCTGTCTGCATCGACCTCCTTCTTTGCTTCCTTGCTATCCCCAGTCCGGATCGCCGCAGCCACGAGCAACGCGATCGCGTCCTTGACCGCCTTCTTCTTCTGCTCTTCTTCCTGCACCTCTGCTACCTCCACACGGCTCCAGTCGATGCAGAAATCCATATACTCATACAGCACATCCACGACGCCCCGGAATTTGTCTCCCTTTTGCTTCGTCTTGTCGGTCGAGCCTTCATCGTCCTCCGCTGGAAGTGGTATCTTCCATAGTTGCTCCAGCGTCAATGTGTTCCATGCCACCAGCGGTGCGCCAACTTTCGCTGGGACGACGATTGCTGGGCATCCGTTGAACAAGACGTACTTGATCACCGACTCGCTAGGCCTAGCGCTCGAGGACCAGATAGACCGGAAGGGTTTCAGGCCCAAGACCACCATCACCAGGCGTCGTGGTGGGATAGGCGTCTCTGGGACAGCCAAGGCTGGTTCCGGGGACGGTGTCCGCGAGCGAGAGAACACCGAGGACAAGGACGGGATATTCTGGGGCATCGAGAGAAAGTCGTGCTTCTCTGCCGGCTTTTCTTCCTCCTCAGAAGGTGGCGGAGGCTCGCAGAACTTGATCTCGAGCGCAGACTGGGTAAGGAGCGCTTTTCCGACTTGGTAATCACCTACGAGACGCTCAGTGGTCACGCGCGTCCACTGATGTTTGGGCTCACCGTTCAAGAAAGGCCCATGGCAAAATACCACGTCGGGCTTCATCGTCCTCGGTATCGCTGGTCGTCGACCACTCGCAAACAGATAGGGCGAGAACCAACCTTTCTCCACTGCCAGATAATCCAAAACCGAAGCAAAGAGCGATGGATCCCTGCAAGCCACATCAGCACCCTCCTACCACCGCCGGACAACCAAACCACTCACTCATGTACACTACTCCTAAAGAACCCCAGCGCCGCATCGTCTCTCGTATGCTTATACTTCAGCGTGATCGTCAGCACCTGCACGCCCGTCGTCTCCAAAATCCCCGCGTGCAGCGGGATCAGCAGCTTCGCCGTCTTGTCGAACACAAGGTCGTTCGCGAGGCTCGTCGCGCCCTTGAAGCCGGCCTCCATGCTGAGCTCGACGAGGATGCTGTCGCCGACGGTGCTGACGATCATGTCCGCGAGCGGCCCGTGCATGACGGGCGCGGCGATGGCGGCGGTACCGCCCTGGGGAAGAGGAATTAGTATGGGGATGAAGGGTTTGGTGTTATAGAGAAGAGGCGAGACTGAGATGCGAGCTCACCGTAGCAGCGATTACGCCGTGCACGGCCAGATCTCGAAATCGGATGCAAGGGAGCAAGAGGGGCGACGAGTCTCCCCACTGGTGATACGGTCAGCTCGGTGGCACGGATGGCGTTGAGCGACCTTACCGGCGACAAGCAGACCACGGACGTCCCCGCGGCCCTGAAGGACTCGTAGGACGACATAACAATGCGCCCGGTCATAGACTGAAATTGTATGTCAGTACTTCGTTCGTCCACCACAATTGGGCTTGAGCAACTGGATAGAAAGAGCCACTCACCCCGACGAGCTTTCGCATAATCCAAGGAGCTTGACGCTCCTTCTCTGCCTCCAGATTAGGGACAGAGGAGGGATCGATAGGCCCCAGTGTAGAGACTTCGACCATGATAGCAGAAGTGGCTGATACACAGCAAAAGTAGACTGTGGGTGTCGGCGAGCAGCTAGGTGTTGGAATTGAGCACGAGAGGTTAGTATACAACCAGCAGTGGCAACAGGCAGCTGAAGACGATGAAAGCAGAGGATAAGCTATGAATAGCTACGATCAGGTCCACAGCGCCCTATGAAAGGGGCGCTATAGTTGTCATGACAGCTGCGTGTGATGCTTTGGGCTATGTTTGTGGTGAGTGGCGCTGGGCGCCTAAGAACTCCGGATGGGGATTGTGGAGGCGTTAGCGGGGTGGGCATGTCAGACTTGAGCGAACAAGGGCAGCGTAATATCGAGGTTTGAGCGTCATTTCCTGCGTCGCTTGACACGCCAACGCACGGGTGTTTGGCTTCATTCATCACCAGTGAAGCATAAACAACGAACACGACAGTGCATACAACATATCAGTCTTTACAGACACGATGGAGGAAATAGCTACCGCCTGTCGACCATGAAGTGGTAAGCGACTCTGCACGCGTGCGTTTCAGAACATGGACGCGTATGCCGAGGTTGGCATAGACCTGGAGGAGATGCATGTCAAGATCGCAGCAGGGCAGTCGAGCAGATTTTTCGCACATAGATATCCTCGTTATGCTCCGCCGTATATAGTACCGAAGGGGTCTCCGGACCTCCCGTCAAAGGCTTCGAAGCCGCGATGACTGACCCATGCTTCATAATGAGGACGATCCAGCGAAAGAGGTGATCAACGACTGATAAACTCGTCAATACACAGGGAACTCCATCATGTAGTGCGACTTACGAGTAGCATCGAACGCATCGTTGTCAACGAGGACCAGATCAGCGGAGGATACCAACGACGGCAGCAGGTTAGCCGAATAGACGCATGCATTCTCGAAGGTCGTAGGTCCTATCTCTTGCTGCGTGCGTTCGCATTGCAAGCGCGCAGAGTAGGAGAGCTCGATGGAAGTCGAGTAAAGGTGGGGGTCGAGCTCGATACCGTAAGCTTGACAGCCAGTTTGGAAAGCCGCCTGGATGACAGCACCGCCCATTCCCGAGCCCAAATGCACGAAAGTAGATTCTCCAGTGAGGGACAGTTCCGTGAGTAGATCCTGCAGGAAGGGCGGGCAAAGGTGGCGACAACGCTCCAGCGCGTCTTCATCCTGAGTAGGTTTTGTGGCTTTGGGGATTTGGCGAGTGCGATGTCTTGTTACTACGCAAGTGCTGTACTTAACCTGTAGAAAAGTAAGACCCCATTACGCGCTTTGAGAAGAGACGAGTATGTTACCTCGCGCCTTTTGGGACATTTCCACTTGAGGCCTTTCGTCTCAGCACGCCGTTGCATTACCCTGAGCGTGAGTTCATTAGAAGTTCCGTAGGTCGGGAACGGAGGTACCGCAAACCTACCGATTCGCGTTTTCCCAAGCGCGGTTGAGGGGATCTTGGCGCCATTTACGAGACCTCTCCGTGGATGAGAGGCGACGCTCTGTCGAGCGGGGTGAGCACGGGCGATGCATCTAGCTGACCGGGGAGCGTCAGAGGTGGGTTAAAGAGCGGAACACACGTTGGCATCGTGGCGCGAATGATGGTTGAAGCAGACCGCATTTCCAAACCCCTGGCGGACTTTTCACACGTCCCGGCGCTTGCCTCATTGGGTCACAATGGCTTTTGCCAGTCTGACTACAAGAGCGGCGCCAAGTCTTTTCTAGCTTGATATCTGCTGTATTTCACGCTGGCTGGAACGGTACTTCGATATGGTATCCATGTACCTGTCGGCACGTACAAGAGGCATCTCAACCCTTCGTACCAGGACTGAAGCGTGAGAAAACTCGGATTTCGGCAGAATAAACGTGGTTCACCCAACCTTGATACTGCGCCCTAGCTATGAGCTGCAGGAACCTCCCACCCTGCATTCCTCGAAGCCATTCCTGGAGCTCTGGGTCTGGCGTATCGAAACTCCAGGTATTTGTGTGCAGTCGCCGATCGCTTGACGCATGGATATTTTGTTGGATAAGGCGACGAGCGTCTGAGCCTTTGACTCCGGCTTCGAACCAGGTGCTACTACGGCGGTACGTCCCATGGTCGTCTTCGTAGTCGCTCCAGCCTGAAGCACTTCAGCAAATTGACAAGCAATCGATACTGAACGCGGACACACCTTGATCATGCGACACCGTAACGAAGGTCAAAGAGCGTAGCGGTGCATCGGGTACCTCGAGCTCCGCATAGACGTAGCTCTGCGTGCGACTGTCCACGGCAACCTTTTGAGCTCGCGAAGCACTCGAGCAGCTCCAGAGCTCAGCAAGGTCGAGAATGTCGAGGACGAGCTCTTCGGGAACGCCTCCTCGCCGCAAAGTGTCGTACACCTCCTGCAGACCGGCATCTGACATCGGCTTCGAGCGCATCAAGCCAGAGACGATGGTCGGTGACCACGGTTGCCCTCTGGCCCAGTCAAGGTCCTCGGCCGCGAAGTGAAGCTGCGATAGGTCGGGTCCGCGTTCCAGCAGACACTGCACGACCTTGGGCGAGCGCATCTCGAGAGCCATCTGTAGGGCGTCCTTGCCGGAGTACGTGCGAGCATTCACGTTGCAGCCAACACCGAGGAGGAACTCAACCGTATCCAGGCTGTCGCTCCTCACCGCTATGTGCAGCGAAGTCTCTCCGTATGCGTTGCTCGCCTCGCGATCCGCGCCGCGCTCGAGCAAGAGCCGCATGGCCTCGATACGATCGCCCAGAGCGGCTGCACACTGCAGAACCGTATCCCTGACCTCGCCATACCGGCGGTTGACCTCCGCGCCACGCTCAAGTAGCAGTCGAAACGTTGCGAGGTGTCCGGGGTCGCGCGTCATGTGCTCTACGGCCGAGTAGAGCGCAGTTCGCGGTACCTCCTTGTTGCAGTCGCAGGCTGCGTTCACGTCCGCGCCCATATCCAGGAGGATCCTGGCCACCTCCGGAAGCCCATGGCGAGCCGTCGCCATCAACGGAAAGCCGATATACGGGTATTCGGACGTTATCAGGCTTGGGTGATCGTGAAACATGCGCTCAGCAAGCCAGGTCTGCCTCGTCTTGATGGCGTACCACCATGATGGAGCTGGCAGGAGGAAAGATCCAGGTGCTTGACGATCTTTCATCTTCTGATTCGCATAGGACGGATGCGTCCACCAGGCCTTGTCGTAGATCTCGAACGCTCGCTTGCTAGTAAATTGGCTTTCTGCGCCTTGCTCGTTCTGGCGGAACGCAAGGCAGTGCGGACGCTTCTTCTCGCTGAAGAGCAGGTCGTCAATGGACGCGTAGACCTCTGCGTCGTATGCCCGTACTTGCGCAACGTGGTCGGTCCAATGATGAGCAACGTAGTCAAAGAGAGGATGATTGCGAAGCCGTGCCATGTAGGACGGTTTGTCGTAGCAAGCTCCGCCGGCAAAGTTGTCGAACGATATGTAGGTCAGACATTGCAAGGCGAGATCGCGGTGCAAGTCGACCAGCTGGACGGAGAAGTGGGAAAGGGTTGAAGTGGCGAGAGACGGTACAAGAAGATACTCCTGAGCATATTCAGTCATAGGAAAGGCCATACGAGGGTACTATGACATACCTGCACAGTGAAATGCGAAAGGTTGACGACACCCTTCGCATTGTCGTAGCTCACGAGCGATGAGCAGGTATGCAGGACGTCCATTGGATCGAAGACGCCCAGATCCTCGTTCAGGGAATCTTCGCCGACTTCGATCATAACGGCCTCTTGAATCTCGTTAAGTCTGATGGGTCGCTGGGCACCGACAAGCCATCGCAGTGTGTGTTGAGCGATGCGTGCCATGTCGGTACCCTGACGGTCGATAGCCTGCAGGATCCGTTCATAGGTCTCGTATAGCGTCTTCGGAAGGTTGTTAAGGGCATGATTGACCGCCTGCCGAGTTCGACATGTGGCAAGGAAGTCGAGCTGGCATTCCACCCATCGGAACCTTGATCACTGTTCAGCGATGATAGTTCACGGGCAATCTGCTCTACGGCTTACATGCAATCCGCCTTCGACAGGAGGGCAACTTCGATCTCCTTCTTTATATTCGATGGAAGACGAGAAAGGCCGGGTGTGGTGGCCAACGAGCGTACAACGTGCTCCCGAATGTCCGCGTTGACAAGGTCCTTCTCGTCCGTCAGGGATATCGTCGGTGTATCTTGAAGGAGTTCGTATATGGCGCGCTCATTGCGACTTGTGACAAAGACGTGAACGCCGCCGAGTTCAGACAGGCGGACGAGGAAGCGTATAAGCTCAGCTGGTTCTTGACATTCATCGAGGGCGTCGATGATGAACAACTGTTCAGGATAGAGGGGGACAGCGCGCTGAACGTAGCCGTAGACCTCGAGGATAGAGCTGGGAGGTTCGCCTGACTTGACCTGATTGGCGATGCTGTTGAGCTCGTCGAACCAGGCGGGAGGTGCATTTCGAAGAAGCTGCACAAACAAGCTGCGCAGAATGGAAACGACTGATGTACTGGAAGGGTCGCCGAAGTCGCAGTAGTGATAGACAAGTGCTGGGTACCGCTTCTGCCTCAACGCGTCGATGAGCGATGACCTGTAGGAAGGCTCAGAACGTCAATGCTACAAAAATGCTAGGAACATACGCCATCACGCTCTTCCCACTACCGGCTGTGGAGAAGAGGTAAGCGACAGGCAAGGAAGACGGATCAAGACGACTCACGTATACCACTCAGCCAAAGCATCCCACTTTCACGCGTGCTCCACTGGCGGTAAGTATCGTGAGTGAAGATCCACTTGCATGTCCCTTCTTGTCGTTTTTGCAGCGATATTGCGTGCTTCGAACCGTTGTCAACCGGTTGGAGCCACCTGATGATCTCGTCCCGCAGCGAATCTATCAGACGAGCTCGTGAGTGCCCTGCAGCCTATTCAGAGTTTAGTCCTGGCATACCACGACGCCTACTCTCCTCCTGTGATGCGCGCTGAGTGTCCGCAATCTCCTTCTCCAGTCTGACGCGCGCCTGCTCTTCCGCGATCATGAAAGAGATTTGTGCGATGTCTGTTAGTTGTTCGCTAGCAAAAGGTCTCGTTGGTGTACGCCGAAGAAGAGTGAGCCCGCGACGAACCTTGTATTGATCGAGAAAGCGAGCATGAGATGCGCCTTATGACGCTCCAGCTGCTTGAGAAACTCCTCGATAGTCTCTTCCTTGAAAGGCCACAGGAGCTTGCGCTTCAGACCCTGCTTCTTCATATCCACATCGAGCTCTCGCAGAAAGTTGTCCAGCAACTTCATACACTCCTTGATAGGCCCGCCCTCCTCCCACAGTCGAAGCGCATTCATCCGCTTCTGCGTCTCCGGCGCGAACCCATCCGCAAGGCTCTCGAAGTAGTACTTGACGTTCATGAGCGTGCCGCTGATGGAAGAAAGCTCCCGCCAGAGAGCGAGTCGCGCCTTGTCAGCGCCTTTGGCGGACGACGCGTACTTGCAGAGTGCGACGGTGACCTTGCCCGCCATGTCTATGACCGCGAGGATGGTTCCTGGATCCATGGGCGAGTTTGTGGAAAGACGGGAAGAAGAGGATGGTTTCTTTCTCACTATGCTAGGCTCTTGACATGGACGCTAACGCGGCTGTGAGCATGCAACGACCATCAGCGTTGCATGAGAAAGCGGATACACACCTAGCAGCCGGTCGGGTAGGCCATTCAATAGTTGACGTTCACTAACAATGACCGTCAATGACTCCTAGTGTTGTTGACGTCTCTGGCAAAGGTATTTTGAGTACGAAGAACACCTTTTGATGCAACAGCAGCCAAATATATGGATTCCATGCGCCTGGAAAGCATGGCGCGCGTCGTTCGTGTGAAGATAATATTCAGTATCGACGAGCGCCGAAAGGGCTTCATCACGACCTGATCCTGCTCTCTGCGATATCCGCAGCAGGCTGAATATTGCTCGGATAAGGGCGGTTAGAAGAAGCAATAGATTGGCCGACTGGGAGAGTCAGCGAATGGTTGAGGCCAACAAGTTCACTCAGCGACAGGGAAGGAGAGTAATCGAAGGTGGCGTGAGAAACTGCTTTCGCTTTTGTGGCGCTATGCGCGTTGGTGCGTCGCAATCCAGCTTTCAACCAGCCTTTGAGCACCAAAAACACACCGCAATGCTCAGTCGTAACATGCATCGCATCGATATTCGTACATATGGAGCGCGTTGAAGCACCAGTTACATTGTATACGCCTTCTCTCCCATCCCCCTCTCCCTGGCCCGCCGCTCGAGGCGCTCCGCGCCCCAAGCAACGAGCGCCTCCTACCGGGAAAGGCGCTCCCTCGACCAAGTTACATCCACAGAATCATCACCGGCGTCCATACTCGCGCGCACAACATAGTTAAATATGTCTCTGGGTCCAGGACGTTGAAGATCCTATGCTTTTGGCGAGGGCTCGTTGAGGCCGTCGTTGGTGGATCGCGATCCCTCGTCTAGTAGCGGTAGTGCGACGGCTTGTACGGGCCGTTGACCGGGATGTCGAGGTACTTCGACTGCTCGTCGGAGAGCGTGGTGAGCTTGACGTTGAGCTGCGCAAGGTGGGCGCGCGCGACCTCCTCGTCGAGCTCCTTCGGGAGCATGTGCACGCCGAGGGGGAACTTCTCCGGGGTGGTCCAGAGCGCAATTTGCGCGAGCGTCTGGTTGGAGAAGGAGCAGGACATGACGAAGGACGGGTGGCCGGTGGCACAGCCGAGGTTGACAAGACGGCCCTCAGCGAGAAGGATGATGTGGCGACCGTTCTTCATGGTGAAGCGGTCAACCTGGGGCTTGACGTTGGACACCGAGGCGGCGTTGGCCTTGAGCCAGGCAACGTCAATCTCGACGTCGAAGTGGCCGATGCTAGGGGCTGCATAAGCGAGGGTCCGGCGGCTGCGCAAAAAGTACCTACTTGGAGACGATAGCATCCTCCGGCATGACCTCGAAGTGCTTGCCAGTGATGATGTCGCGGTTACCGGTGGTGGTAACGAAGACGTTACCGCGGGGCGCAGCCTCCTCCATGGTCGTGACCTCGTAGCCGGCCATCGCAGCCTGGAGGGCGTTGATGGGGTCGATCTCCGTGATGATGACGCGCGCGCCGTAAGAGCGGAGGGACTCAGCGCACTAAAACGACTGTCAGTTCAGTTCCCGGACACTGCATGCCAAAGACACTTACGCCCTTGCCGACATCACCGAAGCCAGCGACAACGGCGACCTTGCCCGCAAGCATGACATCGGTGGCACGCTTGATGCCATCGACGAGGGACTCGCGGCAGCCGTACAGGTTGTCGAACTTGGACTTCGTGACGGAGTCGTTGACGTTGATGGCGGGGACCTTGAGCTTGCCATCGCGGAACGCCTTGTACAGGTGGTGAACACCGGTGGTGGTCTCCTCAGAGATACCGCGGATGTCTGTCAATGCCGATTAGTACGCTTGCATGTATTCATAGCCAAGTACGTACCCTTCAGGTACTGGGGGTACTTCTCGTGCACCATCGAGGTCAAGTCGCCACCATCATCGAGGATCATGTTCAGGGCCTTGCCGTCCTTGAATCCAGCGATGGTCTGGTCGATGCACCACTGGTACTCCTCCTCAGTCTCACCCTTCCAGGCGAACACCGGCACGCCAGTTGCGGCAATGCTAAACACAAGATCAGCACATTGCTGACTGACATGAGAACGTGCACATACGCAGCAGCGGCGTGGTCCTGCGTGGAGAAGATGTTCTATGGAAAGTGATCAGCGACTAAGAGCGGGAACTAGAAGCGGGGGACATACGCAGGACGACCAGGTCACCTCCGCACCGAGGTGGGTGAGGGTCTCGATGAGAACAGCGGTTTGAATGGTCCTGAGGCGAGTACATCAGTATCTTTGCATCTTCCGAATGGACTCCAACGTACATGTGAAGGCATCCGGCAATGCGGGCACCCTTCAAGGGCTGAGCAGCGCCGTACTGATCGACGATGATCAACAGATCGTTCAACAGTAGCAGGTTAGCCAACGTACCTTCTGCCTGATGAACATGAGACCGGGCATCTCATTCTGTAGCGGGAGGAGGAAAATAAGCCGCTGTATCGCCAGCCACCGCACATGCGGCGCACCTCTGCAATCTCGATCTCCTTGCGACCGAAGGCGGCGAGGGAAACGTCTGTTGACGCCGTCAGCACTCAGATCGGTACCCTGATCTCGCTGGGTTACTCACCAGCAACCTTGAAGACCATTTTTGACCGCTGAAAAGAGGAGGATGAAGGAGGTGAAAAGAGAGAAGAGAATGGGTCGACACGCGCTGGATGGATTTTTGACTGCGGCCGGCGACCGGTGCGGTTGGCCGACGGGAGTTGCCGAAACCGCTCTTATTGTTTCCTCCCAAACCGTCTTGAACACAATACCTGCGAACAAGGCACTGAGGGGACGCTATCCAAACTAGCCTTGTGTGCCTTGTTCTGAAGATGGGGGCTAAGCCATCTCTCGCCGAATACCCCGCCTCTCGCTGTCGCATCGAAGAAGTATCCATGTTTTTTGAGTGCCAGCCGAAGAAAGCTCCCGGCCAGCCGTCGAGCATCGACTGCACCCCCGTCCCCCGATTCTTTCTTCTGTTAGTGATGAGCGGAAGACTCTCAGGCCTGGGCCACTTTCTGAACCGCTCCGTAGATGCGATGGCAGTCCAGCCATCGAAGTCACTGGAGCAGTGAGGACTGATCATGCGGGGAAGCCCGTCCTATCAGCTCAACTTCTGTACGCCATCTGTTTCTCGTTCTCTTCGTTGTGTGAGGCTGACTTTGCATGCCATGATAGACGCAATCTTCCCAAGGCGAAGGAGTGGCGGCAAGTGATCAAGAGGCAGACGGACGAGTGACTGATCCTTCGCGCTCCGTCTCGAGGGGCGGACAGCGGGGAATGCGTCGCATAGGCCCGGACTCGGTGGGGGGATTTTCCAGCGTCGCCGTTTATGTATACGCCGATGGATATGCCGCGCCGCTCCGTGATGTCCAACTTTCTTTTGATGCGTGCGGTGGATGCCGATTTCGGATGGCCTTAGGTAACTTGCCTATGGGAACTGGGAAGCTTCGCTGCTGAAACGCGCACCCATAACTCGCCCCGGGCGTTCCAAAGGCTTCTCAGTGCACGAGCGCGATCCGTACTTACAACATCCGTACTGCCGGAGGCCCGGGAGGCGTACTTCCTCGCTCTAAGGAGGATACACAGGTTCACGCCTTTGTTCCAAAAAAGTCTACTCATCCTGGGGTCTGCATTCTGGAGTGAGGTGGTCTGACATGTACAGAGATCTGTGGCGATTTCAGGGTGAGCTCAAGGCGAGTACACTAACACGGCACGATGCAGTGGGCGCCCCTTCGCGTGGTGATATGATCCGCTCATGAAGGCTCTAACGTGGGGCCACGCGCCGAGCACCGACCCGCCCCACGCGGGTGCACGCGAGCCCTCGTGCGTGCAGATCATCATTGAGGCATCGCTTCAGGAGGAGGGCACGCACTCGGAGTGAATGGACTGAAACGAATCGGAATTCTCTATCTTCTGGCGTTACAGCCCTGGCACAGGCCGCCCACGAGCGACGCAATCATGCTTTGATCCCTTCATCCCGTCATGATCCCATAAAGCCTGCGCACTCCTCCCCATCTCGGTCTCCTTCCCGTCTCCCCCCATCTCACCAGCTCGCCGCCGACCCTGCGATCCTCCGCAAGGCGCCACACTAACTCACTATCGTATCCTCGTCCGAGATCAGCGCTTTCGTATATGGATTCCTCCGCTCAGACCTTCGAGTGGTTGGCGGACATACCCCCGGTCAAGACGGAGCCTTCTCTTGACGCATCGCTCTTCTACTCGCACTCTTCTTCCTCTCTTCCACAACAATCCCTTCTTTCTTCAGAGCCGCGGAGGCCACGTTCAGCGACGACCCTCAGCAGCAGCCGCGTGCGCCCATACCCCGCAGTCCTCAAGGCAAGCCGCTCCGAAGGCAACGGCGAACATACCAGCATGCCCTCTGGCTACACCAGTGGATGGTCCTCGCCGCGCATGGGCACCACCCGAGCAGGCTCGGACGGTGACCAGTACTACAGGCCATACACAGCCCAGGTACGGCGTCTACCGTTCATTGCTGTATCGCTGCTCACGCCGATACACAGCAGCAATCTGGCAGCTTCCCCGACAGCTCCTCCGACCACTCGGAGACTAGGCCGTCGTCGTCATCGGGCTCCGGCAACCTTCACCCAATGTACGGCGTCGTGGGGCCAGACGTAGGGCATGCCAGCAACAATGATGTGTTTGGCATGGGTGCGATGAACTGGTCCGCGCAACAAGATGCGAACACGTCCTTGTCGATGTCCTACGCCGACACGCCCAGCCTGTCATTCCAAAACGCTTCTGGTGCCACACTCACTCCCTCGTCGGCCTACAACGCGTTCGACCCGACCTTCGGAGGAGCGTTCCACACGCATTCGCCGGAGTCCTTGTCGCCGCCGTCGACGCTGCCGGATAGTTACACCGGCTACGGGAGCAACCTCGGAGGCCCCGACAGCCCGCACAGCGCCGCCTCGTTCATGGGCACGTCGTACCCCGCGCCGTCCGACCTCGAGCAAGCCCTGGAGCGCAACCGGCAGCTCGAAGAGCGTGTGCACCAGCTGCAGGTGCTCTACGAGCAATCCCAGGCCCAAGTCCGGCAGCTCAGCGCCGCTGCGCAGCGCACCGGCCCGCCGCCGCCCTCCCCCGCATTCCAGCGCGAATGGCACAACCGCACCGAGGCGCGCATCCGCCAGTTCTGCGCCCTCAACCGCGCGGGGAACGCCCTCTGCGCGTGGCACGACTCCCGGCGCGAGCGCCGCGCATACCCGCCGCGCATGGCGCCCGCGGGGCACCTCAACTGCGGGTGCACGTACGAGGAGGCGCTCTTCGAGGAGAGCCTCGCGCGGCACGGCGTCGGCAGCTACCACCCGGGCGAGAGCGTGCGTATGGACCCCGCGCTGCGCAACCCGCTGCTGCAGCTGCTCCAGGCGCGGTACGGGTACCGCGACGGGGACTTCGAGCGCGACCCGCGGACCGGCGACTGGATCGAGGGCGAGGGCGCCGCGCGCTGGGAGCAGAGCGGTGCGCCGAACAAGCGGGCGCGGGCCCCTGAAGTCGGCCGTCGCTGATGGGTGCGCGCTAGCTAGCCTGGCTCGCCTTCCACGCCTTTCCACACCCCATCTTTCTTCGACTTCTTGATCTCTGATCTGCACCAAGGACCTTCTTTTCCCTTCGCCACGGTGCCCCCTCCCCTTCTAACCTATTTTTATTGGCTTCGTTCGCCGCATCGCGTTGGTTCGTCTATCTTATTCTGCTCACGGGTCCGCCGCTACACGTCAACCGCTCTAGAGACTTCGTAATTGTGTAGCATTCTCTCCATCCCATTACCTTGCTGTATTGTAGCCCAGACTCACCCCATTCTCCTCTTCTCCCACGACTCGCGTACCGGTTCTGTATCTATTATTTGCATGCCCCTGTAGCCCATCTTGCTCTCGGCCATCCTCTGCTGTATATTAGTCCTTCCACCCCATGTCCCTACCCATATCTATGTGCTGTCGTTCACACCACTGAATATACCATGATTTACAACAAGATATCTCTTGTTCGAGTTTGAACCTGTCCACCGGCACAAGGTATCGAACATCAAGGAACGCGTGCCCTACGGGAGTCTGAGAAGCGCGAATGTGTACGTGAGGGCTTCTGGAAGATTGGCGGCGTCTGCCGCTTTTAGCACGAACACAAAGGCAGCGCCCATTCGGGTTTCACCACACCGCCTACGCTCGGGCGAATGCAGCGCCTGTGCGCAGATCCCCTAGGACTCGAATAAGCGCCGCCTCAAGCGCGTACAGAAGTTCTCCGCGGAGTACATGGCTGCCTGCTGACCAACCTCCGCGTATGAATGCGCCAAGGGCTAAGACAGGACGGTGCCAGGATCTGCTTCATCTCCGTCCCACGATGTCGTCCTCACACCCCCTCGGCAATGTCATGAACTACTTCTGTGATTTTCCATATCGTGTCTGTTGACTCTCAAGATCTCCGTACGCCGATTCTGATTTCCCAAGTGATCGCCCTCGATAGACTGTCCCTCGCATCAGACAGTCGTCCCCTGCGTTCCCAGTAACCGCCCCTTACATCCTTTCCCCCATCCGTCTAGGTCGCCCTTATTTCTCTTCCGGAAGCGTCTTCAGCACGCTTGCCAACCGTTCCTTCCGCATCGGAATCCACAACGCCTCTGGCGACCCCGCGCCGACAACAAGTCCGTGGTCGCGAAACTCGTGGAGAAGCGCGCGCAGCGCCGTGTCGTTCGTCGCTATGAACTTGTCGCGCGCGGCCGCGAAGAGAACATCGTACGGTATCGCGTGCGCTTGGAGGTTGGTATTGCCTGTGGAAGCGAATGACGCGTTAGCGACCGCTGTAAGTTTTATTATTATTGGCGAAAGAAACGCACCACCCTCCTCTCCCTCCGCCCCGTTCGCGATACTCTCCAGCTGCCGTCCCGCCATGAAAGCAAAGAGCCGCTTCGCCTTCGCCGTCACCGACGCTAGCACATGCTGCGCCGCCGTCTCCGAGACCATCGTCCCCGCCGCCGCCGGCCCCGCATCCGCCCCCTTCCCCCGCCGCGCAGGCCCGCCACCGTGCGCAGCAGACAGCGACGAGCGGTCGACGTGAGCGAGCTCAGCATCGTACGGCAGCAGCGTCGTTGCGTCGTGCCACAGCCAGTTGAACGCGCGTGCGCCGAGGACAGCAGTGGCGTCGGCGTCGTCAGTCATGATGGGCGATTTCCGCGTGGTGGCTTCCGCCGACGTCCAAAGCAATGGCGCGTTGATGTGGTCGACGGACGCAATGAGATGAATTTTGGGGCAGGAAGCGAGCGCCGCGATGCAAGAGCGCGCTCGCGGGGCGCGCATGGACGCGGCGTCGATGTTGTGGACGATGAGATAGAGCTCGCGCGTCTGGGGATCGCTGAAAAATCGCACCACCCGCGCCGTCTGCCCCTCTACTGTCGTCGAGTCAAGTGGCCAGTCCGCGAGGCCTGGGACGCGCTCGATAGACGCGAGCATGTCTTTCATCGTGAAATGTGGCCGGAAGGCGTTCGCCACCACAACGTGGCCCTTCTTTGCGCAGCGTTCCGTTGCGAGCTGATTTAGAAGAGTGCGCTTGGATCCGTAGCCATAGCATAGCACGTTGAAGCCCTCCTGCAGCTCGAGCATCATACGCGTGAAGAGCTCATCGCGCGCCACCTTCGACGTGACGAGTTTTGACTGCACCGTAGAGTAGAAATGCGCAGAACCGATGGCTTCGGCGTATTCCTCGGCAGAGAGTGGCGCGACTAGGTTGGAAAAGACATTCGCAGAGGTCTGAGAGCGCGTTGAGGTGCTGAGGAAATACGAGTCGAAGGCGGTTTGAACAATGAAGCGTTTGTCGTCTTCGTCGTCGTCGAGGGCGGCTTTTCTCTTGCCTTTAGCCTTGGTAGAGGGTCCTACAATAGAACCAACGGAGGAGATGCTCTCCTCGTCGCTGGAAGAGTGCACGGACATGACAGTTCGTCGTTGTCGTGACGAACGCGGCGTCAGATGGAGGCGGGAACAAGGACGCGTTTGTTGAGCGCTTATTTTCCGGACCGGCCCTCCGGAATTTGGGGCTACAGGATTCTTCTTTGGGCTCTGTATGTTGTCTTCTCTATAACCCCTCTTCAACCAGCCACGAGGATTCGATGTGCTTGAACAAAAGGCGAAGTCTATCTCCTAGCAGATCTTCATGGAAATTCCTCAGAAAACAAGGAACTCTCGCTGTCGCCCAAGGGGATTCGGACACGGTGCGTCTTTGCGCTCGCTAGCCCACCTTGCAGTAGCTCCTTTGCCCTGAGCATGAGCACAGGTACCTTCTTCGAAATCGAGTCTTATGCTTGACACCTCACTTCCCTGCCTTGACTGCGTCCAATATGGTGGCAATACCTCATTCGAATCAACAAAACAGGACCGATGCTGCGGTCGGTGCAATAGTTTCCATCGAATTCTCAGTTACCACGGACCTCATAACGTGAGTCTGTATGCCTGCTGTTAGCCTCGCGCTGCGCTGGCCGGCTTTGTACACGCCTGTGATTTGGCTCTCGGATGGGCAGAGATTTTACAGCCGCGTGCTAGGCTTCGCTTCACGCCTACCCTCCAGTCGTAACTCATTTCACCAGGTCAGGTCGAGTTGCTAGTACCGCTACTTATAGGCGTAGGATTTCAGTACCTCCTTCTGGAAGGTCGGCAGGGCCCAGTTGATCGAGACTTTGACATCTTTAGCGGACACTCACCAAACCCAGTTCTCGATTCCTGCCGACTCCCTCGCCTTCTCTCTAACTGCTCATATTGGCTCTCTGCTTCTCACATATGCTGGTTACGCCATCGCTGCGCGCCTTCCAGATGTACACAACAAGAAATGCGTTTTTAACGTCGAGCATGATTTGTCAAGACGGGTAGCTTCTGTGGGCGTTCTACTTTCAAGTGGCGAGCGCGTCTGAGCTCGGAGTCTCTGCGATACCTACTGCAATACTGTGGAGTTCAAGCAGAGGACAGTGCCATACAAGACGATCGCCTCGGTTAGGGCGAGGAATCCGGATCGACACCTACCGAGCGGCCTGGAAGTCCATGACGCCAATCGCTATACGTGGCCTCTATCAGGTGGCCGCTGAGTCTGAATTCCTGCCGCGCGATCTGCGTGTGCATCGGCGACGTCAGGTCCTGTCTTGATATATGTCATCTCCGAAGTCTCCGTTCCATCCCAACAGCCATGTTCGCTCTCCTCTCCCGTCTCTACAAGGTGCGGGACCTACCCACCCGCCAAACCGATACTCTGACGCGCATTCCCCTCACTAGATGTTCTATCCACCTGTGGTACCCAAGGCGGCTGAGCCGATCCGCTTTGGCATCCTAGGTGCAGCTGCGATCACTCCCCCTGCGCTCGTGCTGCCTGCCAAGAGCCATCCAGAGGTCATCCTGAAGGGTGTCGCAGCCCGCGACCGCGGCCGCGCAGAGGAGTTCGCGCGCGAGCATGGTGTAGAGAAGGTGTACGATTCGTATGAGGGCGCGTGAACCTGCTCATGCGAGGGCAGGACTTGCTCACCTCAACCCCCTCAGACCTCCTCAACGACCCAGAAATCGACGCCATCTACAACCCCCTGCCAAATGGGCTGCACTATGAGTGGACGATGCGCGCACTCGCAGCGGGCAAGCACGTCCTGTGTGAGAAGCCCATGGCAGACACAGCGGAGGAGGTCCGGGAAATGTTCGCGCTCGCGGAGCAGAAGAAGCTTATCCTCCTTGAAGCATTCCATTACCGGTACGTCCACCCTCGTCAGCTGTCCTTCCCCACATCTCACACCTACATCCCCAGCTTTCACCCCGCGACTCAAAAAGCCAAATCCATCCTCGAGAGCGGCGAGCTCGGCGCCGTTCAGTCCGCGGAGGTCTACATCGAGGTGCCCCCCGGCCTCATCAGCGACCCCAAGGACATCCGCTTTAGCTACGCCCTCGGCGGCGGCGTCATGATGGACGTCGGCTGCTACGCCATGAACGTCCTCCGCTTCCTCACCGGCGCAGAGCCCACCGCCGTCCTCGCTGCCGCGCACGAGCCGCCCCCCTTCCCCGTTGACGCCAACATCGACCACCGCTCGACCGCCGCGCTTGCGTTCCCGCGCGATGTCACCGGGTCGCTCTCCGTTGACTTCGGGCGGCGAAAGGTGTGGGGTGTTATCCCGCCCCTCCCGAACATCCGTGCAATCGTGCGTTGCGCGGGCGGCGAGCTTGAGCTCGTGAACTTCGTTTTCCCTACGGTGTGGCATTATATTCAGGTCAGGCCCAAAGTGGGTGCCGAGCGCACGGAGAAGGCGTATACGTATAAGGAGGCGGGAATGGAGGGCAAAGGCGAGGACTGGTGGTTGACCTATAGGTATCAACTAGAGGCGTTTGTGGATGCGCTGAAGGGGAGGAAGCCGGCACACTGGATCAGCAAGGAGGATTCGATTTCGAATCTGACGTGGATCGAAGAGGTGTATAAGAAGGTGGGCGAACAAGCTCGGTATGACCGCGCACAATATGCTGACGCTGTGAGTAGACAGGGTATGGCCCTCGCCCTCGTAGTGAGTTCAAGTTGGCTGCCTAGATCACTTTTTCCTTGCCTTGTGACATTATCAGCTGGCGTTGTACTATATAACAAATTGTATTCGGACTACAGCAAGTCGATCTTCCCTGGCGAACATGGAGAGCCCGGACCAGTGACATGGTGTTTCCTCTTTCACCTTTGCTATGGCTGATCTGCATGGGTCGATTTGACTTCTGCGGGCGCATCCGCCCCCAATACCTTGTTGCCTTCGTCAACACCCTGCGGTTCCTCGGCTTTGAGGCTCGCCAACTCATCCGTACTAGAATTATTAATGTCTCTCTCTGCTGACCCAATTAGCAGGATGAAAAGCATGAAAAAATGAAACATACTCTCGACGCGCGCAATCCCCGAAGATCCTTTGTGAAATCTCGGACATTGCTCCACGGCATCCTCTACCTCGAGCGCCAACGATTCGGAGCCGAACACGTATTTCGCAAGGTGGTGCACAATTGAAAATCTGAACCCCCTCTGCGCAATCGCACCGTATAGCGCCTGCACGACGTGCGAGTTGCGCGCGACCGCGCCGAAACGGCCTTCCGACACTTCGTCCAGAGCGTCTACATACACGCCACGCAACCGATGCAGCTCGTCCTCCGAATCACAGTTCGGCTGGTCCATGTACAAATCGTACATCACCGGGTCCCAGTCCACGGTAAGCCACGAAGGGTACACGAGCGCAGCGAGCTGCCTCGGACTCACGTCGACCCCGTCCCAGTCGATGAACCCAGAGACCTCGCCCTTGTCATCCACAAACACATTCTGCGAGTCGAAGTCGGGGTAGGAGAGGTGGAAGGGTGGGCCATCGAACTGATGCTCGGGGAGCGCGCCCAGGAGGAGCTCGAGGAGGCTGAGGGAGGATGTGTCGTCCACTTCGCGGGCCTTTTCGAGGAGCGCGAACATGAAGGCGCGCGTGCTGGAAAAGGGGCCAAAAGGGGCGTCCCCGTCGGGGTGATCGGGGAGGAGTTTGCGGAGGGCAGGGAAGGGCCCAATGTGGTACGACCCGTCGTCGTGCACCTGCAGGCTTCCAATCTGGTCGAACTCTAGGGAGGCGAGCTGCGCCATATGCTTTGCGATGGACCGTAGGGTGTTTTCCCTCGTCCTGCCTCCCGTCCACCACGACGGATCATTCCAAACTTCGATAAGCTTGGTCCCCGAGACAAAGTCGGTGATCATGAAAGGATGCCCTAGTCTGTTCTCGCCGTCGCACAGGTATCCGCGAATTTGAGGGATGGGAAAAGAGGGAATCTTGGAGGCTATAAAGCGCTGTGTCGTAATATCGAGAACCATTGAGCGTTCGGCATTATCATCCCAGTCACCATGAGGAATGCGAAAGGCCCAGTGCCCGCCATCGTTGAACTTGAGTTCGTAGACGAGATTGGCGGAGCCGGATGAAGGGGGTGTAACGACTTGGCAGCGAAGGTCATCCTCGAGTAGAAAGTCCCATCCTCTTCGTTTGCCTTTTGCTATTTGTGCCACCACGTCGAGGTCTATAGACGCTATAACCTCTGCGAGGGACCCATCACTGTCCGTGCTTGAGCGAGAACTTGACGACATGACAGGCGGAAGGAGATGAGTTGAAGTGACAAGATGTGACTGTCACACGCAAAAGGTTCAGTCACGTGCTCCGCGCTGATGGACCGGGCCGAGCAAAACCGGGTATCACCTGTTTTCGCCTTCCCCACCATCGGAGTCCACGGTCATCGGCACAGACGACGACGACAGCCATGGTCTCACCACCGAAGCCCTGGGAGCGAGCAGGCTCTGTCGCTGCCACGGCCGGTCCCGCGCCGTCGACTTCGGCGTCTCAGACAGCGGCAGCCTCTAGTGCTCCCACAACATCCCCCTCGCCATCAACCGCATCATCTAGCACTGCTGTCCCCCCTTCGATTCCGGACAGACCAGCGGCATTCGCCTCCACCGCTGCTACTACATCTGCGCTTTCCCCTTATTCTTCGTATGGTGCATCACCGTACTCCCGGTTGGGAACATACGGCGGAAGCACGTACGGTGCTGGGACGTATGGCGGTTATGGAGGTTACAGTGGCTTTGGTGGGCTTGGATCGACGTATGGTGGCTATGGCGGAATGGGATATGGCGGCTATGGCGGTGGCATGGGATACGGAGGGATGGGCATGGGCTACGGTGGCTACGGAGGCGGCATGGGAATGTTCCCCGGTCAACCACAATTGGACGCGAACGGCCAACCCATCCCCACACTCACCCAAACTCTCGAGAGTACCACTCAGCACACCTTTGGCCTCATCCACTCCATCGTCCAAACCTTTTCCGGCGTCGCCCAGATGCTCGAATCCACATTCATGGCCACCCACTCGAGCTTCTTCGCCATGGTCGGTGTCATCGAGCAATTCGGTCACTTGCGCAACGCCCTCGGCAGCGTACTTGGTCTCTTTGGTCTCGTCCGCTACATGCGCGAGCTTCTCACTGGTCGCCCTGCCGGCGCCGCGCGCCTTGAAGGCGAGTTTCGCGACTTTGTCAATGGTCGCCCCATCCCACCCGCCGGCGCGCCAGGCGCCCCACCTCAAAAATACAGCAAGAAGCCCATCATTATCTTCCTCCTCGCCGTACTCGGCGTCCCCTACGCCATGACCAAGCTCATCCGCATCCTCGCCAAGCGCCAGCAGGAGCAGCAGGCGCTCCTCGGTGGCCCGCTCCCGCCACTTGACCCCTCGATGCTCACCTTCGCGCGCGCGCTCTACCCCTTCGAGCCGACAAACCCGGCTGAGCTTGGTCTGAAGGAGAACGAGATCTTGGCGATCATGGGCAAGCTCGACCCGCGGACGGGCGCGGAGGCGGACCCACGGCTCGATATCCCGGACGCGGAGTGGTGGAAGGGGAGGACGCGGGACGGCCGCGAGGGCTGGTTCCCGCGCAAGTGGGTGGAGATCATCGAGCGGAAGGAGAAGAAGGTCGACTCATGAGTATCGAGGACACCACGTTCGTTGTGCATATGGTATTTATTCTCTTTGTCCCGCGCTGGATCTTGTACTACTTAATCGTTCTTTCGTGTATATCCATTTCGTCGCATTGCTGTTCGCCCCCTTTGTCTTCGTTCTCAACTCTCAGCACTTCATTCGACAGCATCCACTACAAGTACAATCCGCTCTTCAAGGTAAGATCACAAGTACACATCAACTCTCCTACGCCGCACCCGTCACTTCCTCCTCCACACCATCATCCTCTCCCTCCCCACATGATCCCCCTCACTCGTCTTTGGCATCTCGTCGAACACCAGCTCCCAGTCCTCCGCCCTCAGCACCTCCATGTAGTGCTCCGGCCGCACGAACCACGGTGGGCCCCACCCCTTGTCGCGCTCCTGCAAAGGGTACACGAGCGCGAGCAGCAGGCCGTTCTTCCGCGTCAGCGCGGTCATCTGCCTCCCCCACTCAGCGCGCCGCTTGGGTGGGATGGCGACGAAGAAGCTAGGTGGGGATGTCAGTTGTGGTATCGGGCAGGGGGTGGGTGGGTGTATGGTGGTGGGCAGGCTAGTGGGTGAGTCGCATTGTGCACCTTGATGACAGAATATGGGATCGTGGACTCACGTATAGTCGTACACCAGGTCGTACTCGCCGACCATCTTGAAGAAGTCGGCGAGGTGAAACTGCATGAGGGCGCGCACCCCCGGCTTGAGGTCGCTGTGGGCCCATTTCCTGGAGCGCATCGTTCAGCGATCTCCACGGAGCGGTAAACATGAGCAGAACGTACTCTTGGGCGACCTCCAGCCCCTTCGGGGAGATTTCGACACCGACGGACGTGACGCCCAGCGTAGCGGCCAGATATGCGACGTCGTTGCCCTGTGCGCGTTCAGCAAGTGTTGCTACTGCCAACGTACAGAGACCGAGATTAGTAGCAGTCTACTCACCGACCCACAGCCGGGCACCAACGCCCACTTGTCCTTGCCGCGCGGCATCTCGACGGCGCCCGACTCAACGATCTCGCGCAGCGCGGGCTGGGGCTTCTCCTTGAGCCAGGGGGTGATGTTCTTGCGCCTGCGGAGGTGCGTGGGCCTTCGTGTTCTATCGCCACTGACGAAGGAGGACCACACGCACCAAGCAACGTCCCAAGACATGGGGTCGTCGTTTACGACCGTCTCTGGTCCCGGAGGTGGTGCTGCCGCGGCCATATTGTTGAATGGACGATAACAAGCAATCGGTCGATAAAACCCTCTCAGGAAGGGAGGGAGGACTCTCGGTCTGCGTATGAAGGAAATCGTGGTGTTTAACTTGACTATTGAAGTCGAGAGATGTGTGGTAGTTGTCGTCGCTGGGTGCTCTGGTCGACGGTTGGGAGTATCCTGTCCTTCCACCTCTTCCTAAATACCCTTCGCAACGAGTGCGTATTCCGAAAACCGGCCTCAATTCCATAAAAGGCGCACTGACTTCGAGACGCAGTCACCGACAGCCTGGGACAGTGAGCTCCAAGTTTACCGGTTCGCTCACGTGTTGGGATTGTCCGCATTTATTGCCTTTCGGAGACAACGCCTTCCGATTCGGATACAAGGTCTTCGTATTCGGAGACCGCATTGGGCGAAGCGGCTGTTCTTCCGAGTGCCCCCGGGCCACGCAATTACTAGGTGAGTTTAACCTTGTATACCGTCCGTCGTTAATCCTCATATTGTATCTTTGCTGGACTCCTTGTCGAACAACGTACCTCTTTAGTATTCTCAAGCCAAGGGGAAACAAAACTACGAACCACTTCGCACTGCCCCGCGCCACACCTTACGAAACCGTCCCGCAAGCGAGGTCAGCACTTGTATCGGGCCGCAAGGCTCAGTTTCAGGTCCTACAAAACCTCATTGTGCGCACAGGCAGGTGCTGGCTTGAGTAAGTGGTCGACTCTATCTTCGGCCCAGCTGATTCTTCCCGCGGAAAATCTGCAGTGTCAGCCTTCACGGCATGGCCCAAGAAAGAACGAGCTTCTTACCTCCGCCATAGAGTCCCCGCACTCGGACTTTTGGGCTCCCACTCCGACGGTTTTCAAGGCGGGAGAGAACCTTGGCTTTCTTTCAGTGCAGAGGCCAGCTATACGCCTGCTCAAGTGGCAGGAGCGACCGTTGGTATCCAGAACCTCCAGCTAGCAACCGAAGTCTGCTGTTTCGGAATGCGCGCAGTAGAAGGCGGGGAAGGGGACGCATGCGGCTGCAGAGAAGACTTCGGAGGGACTCTTGTCGTCGACGGCATGGAGCCGGATGCTGCCGTCGCTTGCACTTTTCTCTCACCGGAATGCCTGGGAATAGCATGTATGCATGGACGCGGCGTTACTTATCCATCGTCGGACCACTCCTTAATTTTTTGTTCCATTCGCCTCGTAATTGCTGCCAATTCCGACTGCTTCGAATAAGGTGACCTTACTTCCTTCGCCAAGTGCTTACTTCCTCCGCCAGACCATCATCCTCTCGCGGCCCACATGCTCCCCCTCGCTCGCCAATGGCATATCGTTGATCTCTTTCTCCCACTCCTCCGCTTGCAGCACTTCGTCGTAATGCTCCGGGAGAAGGAACCACGGAGGTCCCCATCCCTTGTCCGATTCGGCTAGCGGATAGGCCAGCGTTACGAGCAGCCCGCCGCGCTTGACTAAGGCAGCCATCTGACGACCCCAGTCAGGTCGTCGATTAGGCGGGATGGCAACAAAGAAGCTACACGAGTCAAAGACAGGTAAGTCATGACGCTCTCTCAGACTAGCTGGGCATCTCACTCACGTATAGTCGTAGACCAAATCATATTGCCCTTTCAAGGTGAAGAAGTCCGCTGCCTGGAAGCTCACCAAGCCGCGCGCCTCCTCTGGCATGGGCGTGACTTTGAGCCTCCTACACCCCGCTGATTTAGCGATACGCCCGTGTGGGAAGGACGGGGCTCACTCAGCTGCCACTTCCACAGCCTTGGGAGAAACATCTACGCCGACCGTTCTTACGCCCAAAGCAGCAGCAAGGTAAGCTACGTCGTTGCCCTACTTTCTGTCAGCTAAATAACTCGCAGAGAGCGCGGAACGATCTTACCGAGCCACATCCTGGTACTAACGCTGTCTTGTCTTGACCACGTGGGAGGTCGACTGCGTTCGATTCTATCAGCTCGCGCAGTGCCGGTTGAGGCTTGTCCTTGTCCCAGGGCGTTATATTCTTCTTCCTGTGAGGGCGGGATATGCGAGTCAGCGCCTGTCCATATATCAAATTCTGAAGACCATATCTCGATTTAGAATCTCTAGATTCTAGGGTATATCGAGAAGTGACGGGCTTTCAACGCTCAGCCCTCGAAGCCATTGCCCGCACGCACCATGCAATATCCCAGGAATATGGATCGTCGTTGATTATCGTCCTTGGCGTTTCCTCCATGCTGGCTTGGGCAACTGTTGCGCAAGGTGGTCTTCACAGGAGCTCTCGCGGTAGTTCAGAATTGCACGGACAAAACCGGGAAAGGGTGAGGGCAAGAGGAAAAAGGTTCCGTCTGATGCGAATTCGGAATAGGAAGGCATTGTCTTCCCAAAAGGAGATGCGTGAGTTGAACATGTCACGTGTCAAGCGGCAGATCTGACAAAATACCGCTCAGATTACAGAGCTCGCGACCACCATGAAGCTTGCTGTGAGCTATGATGCTCAAAGATACAAAGCTGTGAGTATAAGGTATCTACAATCGCTGCAAATTTCTAATGTCTATGGATAACTTGGATTAATGGCATCTAATGCTATATCCTTCAATAAACAATGGAAGGCCACGACCTCATGCAAGGGCGCGCGGAATGACTCATGGTCCATCCGGAATCTGATGAATGGCGACGATATTGGCTACCGGCTGAGTCGTTTTTCGTGAAAGGCTTGGGCCAGGGCCGCGCTCATTGGGCTCCGACAAAGGGGTTGGTGGGACCTGTTCCACCGCAGGCTCTTCCACCGGTACTTGTTCCTCTGCATCACCACTGATCACCTTGATAGGGGGAAAGAAGTCGATGGCCGATGCTGCTGGCTTCTTCTCCATTGCCGCCAAATGCTGAGCCCAAGCACGTTCCAAAACAGTGGCCAACATTTCATCGCCAAGTGGGTGATTCTTGAGCGTATCCCAGATCTCCAGTGCCTTCTCCAGATCCGCGTCTCGCAGTCCCAGCACGGTGGCCAGGTCGACACCACCCTCGCTGCTTCCGCAGGCGTCAATGTCCATGGCCGAGGCGTGTGCGTCCGGATTAGAAGGCGAGTCCATGGTTGTGGCGGGTACGCTAGGACAGTCGATGAGCCGAAAGGTGGTCTCCAGGTCCAACTGGTCCCATTGAACGTTAAACAGAGGCAGAGGTTCCAGGTAAGCGGATAGATAGTCGGCCGTCGGACGTCCATCAGGATTGACGAACTTCGTAGGTTGCGAGTGAGGGATGCTTGTGGGCATGGCTAGCGCGGGACGGGGAAGACGGCGTTGGAAATGCCCTCATCGAATTTTCGCCGCGCTCTTATGTATAGGTACCCTTTCGACATGCACCGCCGTTTGTGATAGCGCTTTTGCGTTTAGGGTCAAAGGTCGTCAAAAAGAAATAGGAAGCGGGGAACTCCGAACGGTCATAGCACATGCATGTACAAAGAGCGCTCGGCGACACAAAAATGCCAAACAATGATGAACGTGGACTGCCATAGGCCGCATTATGCGAGGCGTAGCAACGATACAACATGTTACAAGAATAGAGCGTATTAGATTCGATGATACGGGTATCATCGAGAGAAGGCGGAAAACTCTTGGAAATATCTCCACCTTACGAAAGACAAAGTCATACCGTCACAGAACCACCACCCTCCTCTTCGATCTCGGCAACAGCACTGAGCCATCCCGCAAGCGTCGGCTAATCCTCACTTCGGAGTCGAACTTCATCGGAGGACGGGGCGCCAGGTCATCAAACGTCTCCGCGAGGACCTCAGCCGCAAGCCTCTCCCGCTCTTCAGCGATCTCCGATGCCCAGTCTGGGTATCTTGAAGGCGACCACGGCCCGTCACAACGGACCGTGAAATCAGTGGTTTTAAGCCTACGGTCGGCCATCCACCGACAGGGATTGCAGTTCTCCTTGACGACGCCGGTCCTGCGCTTGACGCGTGTATCCTCGAGGGTCGACGCGTAATCATAAGCGGGCGTGTCATCCTGGGAGAGCGACAAGAAAGGTGCATAGATCTTGGCCTTCGCTTTGACAGAGTCAGGCTTCTTCTCGTCGTCGTCCGTACCGCTCTCGGAGTCCGAAGATGCATCACTGGAACACATTGGCTTTTTGTTTGTTGATCCAGGGCTCGGAGAGTAGGGTTGCGCAAGAGATTCGAGTGCACCCGCCTCTTCGTCGAAGCGGCGAGTCATTTCGGCAATGAAAACCTCTAGATCGTCGCAGTCCGTAGCCTCAGCATCGTCCACATGTGCGAATCGAACACGCCGCGTGGGTGCCACCGGATCTGAGCTAACACGGGCATGGCCGCTCGGGATGGCATCGTTCGTGACAGATGTTTGGCGCGGACGGCCTGACGTGGGCGCTGTGGCCTGGTCGGGGGCTTCAGCAGCAGAGTGGATAGGAATGTAAGCGGGCCAATCGACCGGAAACATCTTGCGGGAATCACTGCTCATGAAGGGCAGTTAGGAGACGGCGAGAGTAAGAGGTCGCAAAGACAACAGATGATGAGATGCACTTGATGTGTGGTATGCCACTCAAGTGACAGAAACGCGCGCTGGACCGGAGCAGAAGCAAGCCCGAAGGCGGTTCTGTGGGAGATCATCTCACGAGACGGTCCGCAAAGTCCAATATGAAGCCACTCAACGCAACAGTGACCTTTGCCAAGGTCTTTGGTGGCTTTGCATGGCTGCAAAGTCCATGGGATTCTTCAGATGAAGCCCAGAGCCTGTAAAGAGTACAGAAGACGAAGTATCGTGCACTCGGAGCCAAAGATCGAAGCGCTGTCCTTGTGTCATGATGGACAAAGGCAAGATGCCGTGCTTCACGGCAAACCCCGAGCCTTTACCATGCTGACTTGCACGTGGCAAGCCCGATGTGGACCCACAACGTTTGGTGCAGCCCGCTACGCACCGGCGCCACTTCCGATTTCCCTTTGATGGCTGACATTCACACCGTAGATGATCTCAAATCATTCTATAAGCTAAGACCGAACTAAGTACTTAAACGAGACTACAATACCCATTCCAATCGGGCCTCATAAAGAGCACAATTAGAAAAAAACCAATGACCTATGGCTACAGCGAGCGGATATGTGAGTGATAAAGAGGAAACAATGATGCGAGTCCGTCATTCAATGCAGGTAGTGTGTCCATAGCACACGAGATAAGCGAATCCGGCTAGCGGTTCGCGATGATAAGTTACGCAGCAGTCTCCTGGCTTGGAGGGGCGTAACTGTACGGGTTGCGCGTGGCGCTGGACGTCTCGGTCGCAGAGCTTGCGGTCTCCGAAGCAGAGCTCGAAGTCTCAGCAACGCTGCTCGAGGTCTCCGACGCAGCGGTAGCGGTTACCGAGCTTGCGGTTTCCATTGCGCTGGTCGAAGATTCGTCGGCACTGCTAGACGCAGTTGACTCCACGCTCGAAGTCTCCTCCGCTGCACTGCTCGAGGTTTCCGCTGCACTGCTCGAGGTTTCCGTCGCGCTGCTTGAGGACTCCACCGCGCCCTCCGTCGTCGACGTGGTCGTCACCATGGAGGACGTCACCGTATCCGTGGTGAGTCCCGTCACGTAGACCTCGCCAGCGGAGTCGGTGGAGGTGCCGAGGATGCTGATTGAAGAGGCATCGGTGGTCGCGGATGGCGAAGCAGATTCCGTGGAAGACACAGTGGCATCCGAGGAAGCAGACTCAGTCGCGGACGATGAGGCAACGGTGGAGGTTGACTCGGCCACAGCAGGCTGGGAGAAGGACACATTGGGGGCATCCGAAGTAGCAGTGGGCTCGGCGGAGGATGCAGACTCGGTAGAGGCAGACGCCGTGCTGCTCGCAGACGCGGACGCAGAGACCGATACCTCAGCGCTGCTAGAAGGCACAGCGGACGCCGACGCGGTTGCGCTAGCAGATGCACTGCTCGAGCTCACGGACGACGCCTGTGCGAACGATGCCAGGGTGGATGATGGGCTCGAGCCCGAGGCCGACGCGGACGCAGACTCACTGGGTGCTGCAGACGCGAACTCGCTTGCAGAGGCCGAAGCGGACGCGCTGAAAGAAGCAGAGGCGGACTCGCTAGGAATGGTGGACGCAGACGCGCTCGGAGCGACAGATGCAGACTCGCTGGGAGTAGCAGACGCCGATGCCGAAACTGAACCACTGGTGGAAGCCGAACCACTGTACGCAGTAGGAAGGGCGAAGGACACGAGGTTCGAGGACGAGGTGGTGGCCGTTGCAGACGCGGACGCACTCAGCTCGGACGCAGATGCACTCGGCTCGGCGGACGCAGACGCACTCGACTCGGCGGACGCAGACGCGCTGAAGTCCACGGACGAGGAAGGAATGGCCGCGATACCGTTGGCGAAGGTGGTGCTAATGAGGTCGCTGCTCGCCGCCGCACTGTCGGAAGAGGACGGTGCACCCGAGGCAGCTGCGCCACTCTCCACCGTCGCAGACGCCGCACCACTGGTGATAGAAGCCACCACGGACGACAGATCACCGGATACGGTCGCCGTCTCCGCGTACGAAGACGCGGGAGCGGACTCCGCGCTGCTGAAAGCGGACGCGTACATCGAGGAGATGTAGCTGTCCTCGCCGCTCGCTGAAGAGGGCGCACCACTCTCGGCACCCGCAGTCGATGATGGCTCGACACCCATCGTCGACGACGTGATCGTGGCAGACGGCGCGGCGGGGTCATCGTCGGTCGCGGTGACGTAGACAGTAACATAGTAGGTCCTGTCGTCGGTGGTGCTGGATGGGGCAGCTGTTGCGGAGGCCGCGGACGAGGCGGAGTCGTCGCAGGGAGCTGTGGCGGTGGGTGCAGCGGAGTCGCTCGGGGATGCAGATGAGCTGGCCAGTGCGGTTGAGGATAAAGCAGGTGCCGCTGAGGAGGTAGCGGGTGCGGCTGAGGAGGAAGCAGGGACGGTAGAGGAGGGAGCGGCGGAGGAAGCAGGGCTCTCGCCAGACTCCATGGTGCATGGCACCTCCTCTGTGGCGTCGGAGGTCGTTGCGGACGAAGCAGCGGGTGCGGATGGGAGTACGGAGGTCGGTGTCGCAGATGTCGGCGCCGCAGTCTCCGTCTCGTACGTCGCGTTGTCCGTGCCGTTGACGCCACCCTGGACGCCCAGCTTGGTCATGAGGCCACCCAACGTGCTCTGCGTCGTGCATTGGAGGTCGGTGCCCGTGCTGTCCGTCCGCGGGATCGCGAAGCAGGTCGTGCCCTGCGGGCACTGCAGGCTCAAATCCCACTTGCCAGCCTTGCATTGCGCGAGGATGCCCGCGACGCAGGCGATCTCGTCACCTGGAAACCTGTCAGTGGCGGTTGTAGCAACTAGAGCAAGCCGACGCACCTTTACACGTGCTCGCCTCCTTCAATGCCGCAAACTTCGCGTTCAGCGCCTGCGCCTGACGCGCATTGTCCGCGGTGTTGACGTTGGACTCTGATCGAGCCACCAGCGTACTGTCGATCGGGGCGGCGAACGCGCCGAGCGCGAGGGTGAGTGTGGTGAGTAGTCGGGAGAAAATCATGCTGTTAGACAGAGTGGGTAGATTGTGTCGGGAGATTGGGAGGTGTCGTCTGGTAGATTATCCAAGGAACGAATGGAGCGAGCGGGGGTCGTGGCGGGTCGTCGAGTTCGTTGCGAGAAGGTCGAGAGCGCCAGGCTCAAGGCGGAGGGAAGCAAGGAGTTGAGCACACACGCTTCCATCTCTTATAGTGGCCCGTAGTCAAAGCCGCCCATGTGCTCATCATTGTGCCCCGAAAGAGGACAATGGGACACTCCGAAAAGGATCGGACCATGCAACGTGCATATCTTATTGTTCCCCTTTCGGGGATATACCGGACATCGGCCCGACAGCTGAACGACAACAAAAACAAGCGATATATTCTCGGTTGTGCCATGTTGCTCCCAATCACAGCCCGTTGGCTGCAAGGCGCAGTATCATCAATACCTACCCATGCATGAAGCAGGGTTCAGCGAGAGGTGGAACTCTGTGGATCGGCAGACAAAAAGGTCATCGGTCACAAGGTCACGTCACAATGACAAGCGATCTCAAGGTCGCTGAACGCGTAAAGGCGAATTTCTTCTATCTTGTCAGAAGCTTTACCACTGAAATATGAACACAGGCCCATGAGATTTTGTCCCATTACCTGACTTCATCTCTTCGTGTAAAGGCACGGCTATCCCTCAAGGTAACCACTAGATCATTTCCGAGCCTTAAGGGTCATATCCCCACACTCCAGGCCCTCAACTCCTTGTGGTGTGTGTAAAGCTCACTCTGCATGCGTATACTGAGCACCTGGAATTTCTTGACTCTTCTTTGACCTCTTCACGTTTGACTTCAACCCTGTGCACGTGCAGTACACGTGGCGACTCGGCCTATGCCGACGGGCGCTTACGATGCCGCCGGCGAAGTAATCAATTCCCTTCAAGCGCCCATCATGTTCAAGTCCATCTTTCCTCTACTCGGGCTTGCCGCAGCCGCGGCTGCGTACTCTCAGCAGCCTCTCGGGGTAGGATACGATGTGACCGCGCGGTCCGTATCGGCCATGACGGCTGCCCAGCGCGAGCAGCTCATGCTTGAACTCTGGAAGGGCTTCGACGTGGTTGAGATCATGCACCTGACGGGACATGGTGACGGGCTTGACGAGGAGCGCTTGGTGCATGTATTTGGGGAGGATGAGCCCCGTAGGTGCGTCGTACAACGATAAGCCCGCGTATTCGGCTAATGCATTGCGTCCAGGATGACCGAGGGCGACAAGCTCAGGCTGAAGCAGCAAGGGCTCGAGTTCATGGACATCACCGAGCACCCTACCCTCGGCGCCCTCAACGCACAACGTCCTCAGCGTTTTGTGAACCCTGACCGCAGCATCTCGGCCCAAAACTCAGATGCCGTACGCGCCCTCCTCGCCGGCGAGATCACCACGGACCACATGCGCGCCGACATCGCGAAGCTGAGCTCCTTCTGGACGCGCAGCTATCGCAGCAACTGGGGCCTGCTCTCCAGCAACTGGGTCTTCGACCACGTCTCATCCGTATGTCCTCCATCGCGTCTTCGCATCCCTTGCTGACGCCATTCTGCTTCCCCAGATCATCGCCGCGAACCCCTCGGACAAGACTCGAACCACAGTCACCAAGTTCCCGCACAAGTTCGTGCAGAACTCCGTCGTCCTGCGACTGGATGCGACAGACGACACTACGCCCGACGAAGAGAAGGAGCTTGTCATCGTTGGCGCGCACCAGGACTCGCTGAACTACCGGCTACCCTTCTTCCGCGCGCCTGGGTCGGATGACGATGGCTCGGGGACAGTAACGGTGTTCCAAATTCTGCGCTCGTTGGTGGAGCAGGAGTTTGTGCCACCGAAGGGTATTGCGGTCGAGTTCCACTGGTACGCGGCCGAGGAGGGTGGACTGCTCGGCTCGCAAGACGTGGCCGCGTTCTATGAGGCGGCGGGGACGAAGGTCAAGGGGATGTTGCAGATGGACAGTGAGTGGCTCTGTCAGTGCTTGACAGCTCAACACTGACTATATTTGCAGTGACCGCCTTCGTCAAGTCCGGCACCGAGCCCAAGATCGCCTTCTTCCAGGACCAGGTCGACAAGAACCTGACCACCTTTGCCACCAAGCTCGTCGAGGCGTACTCCCCGCTGCCGTGGAACATGACCACCTGCGGCCCGCGCTGCGGCTCAGACCACATGTCGTGGACCAAGGCAGGATATCCGGCCATCTTCGCGACCGAGGGTTTCTTCGAGGGTAAGCTTGCAATACCTTTCTCTCGTCTTGCGTACGGGGGCACTGATGCGTCCCTCTCATCCTCGCAGACTTCCCTCAACACGCCATCCACACCATCAAGGACGATGTCGAGGCGTACGACGCGGGGTACGACAGCGGCGCATACGACTTCGACCACATGTTGGAGTTCGTGAAGCTGGTACGTCGGCCTCGGTTCTGCGTCCGCATTCTCTCGCTCATATGTCGTAACAGGGCATCGCGTTCGTCGCCGAGCTGTCGGTCGCGTAGCAATAGACATGTCCTGTTGAACGGGCGGAAGGGGATTTCCTTGGATATAATTCGGGTTGATGGTGAATTTGTGACAATGCAGCCTTCAAATTTGGGCTGCAATTCGGAAACTCCAGTCATATGACGAAGACGGAGGTCAGTGGTTCACTTATGAATGTGCTTACCCCGGTCTACTGGGAGAAACGAGCACTTCCGAATGCGAAATCCAGCGGGAAGCGCATGCCGAAGGGCGCCAATCAAGATAAGGAGGGTTGCAAGCGATAAATCGCTCAGCGGACAATCTACTTCGAACGTTCATCAACTGCTCAGGGCACCCTCTAGCACTGAACCTAACATCTTGAAGGAAATCGACATCATGATGGATCCATTAAACCTTGCAGCCCTTCTAGCCGCCGTCGTCCTGGCCGTATCCCTCCATCGTTCGCGCCATAGAGCACCTTATCCGCCCGGTCCTCCGGGATTACCTGTAATCGGCAATGGACTGCAGCTGCCGGCAGACAAGCAATGGCTGAAGTGGGATGAGTGGAGGAGGGTGTATGGTATATGTCATACGCCACCATTAGGAGCTGCTCTTAGTACTCTGCGATAGGTGATGTTGTTCGTATAACGATACTCGGGCAGCCTGCTATCATACTATCGTCTATGAAGGCGGTTAACGATCTGCTGGAGTCGAGAGGTATGGCATGTCCTTCTCTCCGTTCAAGTGCATCTGATCATTCCACCCAGGTCACATCTACTCGGACAGACCGCCCGCGGTCATGGCTGGCGAGCTGTTGGTCCCCTCTCGCACTACAGCCCATCTCTTGAAGGCCTGACGCGCTTTGTAGAGTCGGCTGGGCGCGCGGCTTGGGATACACGAACGGACCGCCGAACCCTCGCTTCCGCGAGTTCAGAAAGCTCTTCCACCAGTTCATGGGCCCGCGGGCGTGTGTGACACCTGAGTTCGCGGGCATGCAGGAGAGGGAGACTCTGAGGTAAGTGCTGCCGAGTTCAATATGTCAACTCACGTGCATTCGATGACGAGGGATATATAGGCTGCTGCAAAAACTACTCGACAGCCCGAAGGACTTCTATGACCATTGCCGCACGTACGTAGGTAGCCATCCCGACTTGAAGCTTGAGGCGAATGAAGGACAGGTCCACCTCGTCGACAATCCTACTTATGTCCTATGGGTATTCCACTGCGAGCGATGATCCGCTGCAGTTGGTGAAGATAGCGGAAGATGCGATGGACGGGTTCTCGAGGGCGTCGGAGCCTGGGTGGTTGGTCGATAGCGTGCCGATTCGTGAGTCTCCAATGTCTGTTGCTCAGGTTCATCACGGCCTGCTTATCGATACTGCATAGTCAAGTATGTCCCGGCGTGGTTTCCTGGAGCATCATTCCAGCGCGCCGCCCGTGCGATGAGGCGCGAGCTGGACCGCCTGTACGACGTCCCTCTGGCTTTTGTGAAGGGCGAGATGGTATGTGTCATGGGTTTAACCCATTGAATATGTCGCTGAGCAGCTTTTGAGTAGGCGAGAGGCACAGCGAAGCCGTCTTTCCTGTCGAGCAATCTCGAGACCAAGGGCGAGCAAGGGGCGTCTGAGCAGGAGGACCTGCTCAAAGCCGCTGCTGGATCGCTATACTCCGGTATGCATTTCGCACCTGTCGAGATTGCTTGATTTAACCGGCGTACAGGTGGTGCAGAAACGGTGAGCTCCTTTCGAGCACTTTCGCGGCATACTGCTCACATGCGATTGATCCATAGACCCCTTCGGCCCTCACATCTTTCATCCTCGCCATGGTCCTCCACCCTGAGATCCAATCACGAGCGCAAGCAGAAGTCGACGCCGTATGCCTCGCTCACGGACGAATGCCTCAAGTAGCAGATCGAAGCTCCCTGCCATACGTCAACGCTATCGTCAAGGAGGTCTGGCGCTGGAATCCCAGCGTTCCCTTGGGGCTGCCGCACATGGCGAACGCAGACGACGTGTATAGGGGGTGGAGGGTGGAGAAGGGGACGGTGGTGTGGGCGAACATATGGTGAGTAGATCTGGGGATTCTACATGCAAGGCAGGCATGCAAGGGAGTGAGATGAAAGAGCTGGGAGCTGATGTTTTGGTCCACTTAGGTCCATCTTGCACGACGAGACGGTCTCCCCTGACCCTTTCGCATTCCGACCTGAGCGATACCTAGGTAAAGACCCGACGCTTCAGTCGGCAGCAGAGGATCCGAACGAGGTTGTGCAAGTGGCCTTCGGTGTTGGGCGCAGGTGCGTCGTGGATAATTGACCTTCACCTCAGAGCTCACGTGCTCAACATCCTCAGAATTTGCCCAGGCATGTACCTCGGCGACCAGGCCGTCTTCATCGCTATTTGCAACATCCTCTTCGCCTTCGACATCGGGAAAGCGAAAGACGAGGCGGGTAATATCATCACACCCGTGGTGGAGTATGGGGGTTTCATAAGGTCCGCCTTCTATGTTCTTTGGCCGTGTTGCAACTTCGCCGAAAGCGAGACTCTGCGTTCGACACGTATACTGACCTGCAATGGCAGCCATCCCAGGCCTTTCCGATGCAGTATCCGCCCCCGAAGCGGGCCTGCGCAAGAGATCGTGCAACACGCTCTGGAGGAACTGAGAGCAGGCGATGGCCTGGGAGCGTAAGACGGGATCGAACATGTGCACTAGACAGAGGCGAACAAATCACAAGCGTTGTCTCATTCTCCTTCTCTTCTCCCTCCTTCCGTCTCAAAGCCACTCCCAAGCCTGACCCAAACCTAATGTCTACCCAAAGCCAGACTTCCGCCCCAAGCCTAAACCTGAACTCAACCCCGGACCCCGAACCACCCACAGTTGAACTTCTCATCTTCGGCGTTTGCCGCCGATTAACGCCGACGCCCCTCCTGCGCGCCTGAAAGATGCTACTATCGCGCCCTTGGCCACGGCGATGGCGGTCAGATGGCGAGCCCTGGGAGCTGCTTGGGATTTCGTAGTCTCCCCTAGCCTCCCACAGCGAATCCCCTGGGGCTTCCGCGACGGCGCGGGCGAAGATGAGTGGGCACGGGCGAGGAGGGGTACGGACATGCTGCCCGAGCCTGCCGACCGGAGGTTATAAGGACTCGGGCGTCTCATCGCACCGTCCCATCGTTATCTGCGTGCCGTTCTGCCGCTAGGTTGTCGCTATCGTCGTCGGGCAAAGTGACTCGGGCGCGTACTTGGGTACTTATTGCATCGCACGCCAAGGCAGATCTACGCCCGTCTTCCGTGTCTTCGACCCCTTGCACTTTCAAGCATCCTCTAAAATCACCTCCCCTTACATCACCCACTCTTCCCCTCACCTTATCCACTCGACCATGTCTGCCCCAGCCTACGTCGAGAAGCTGAAGAGCATTCCAAAGGAGAAGTTCCTGGTTAGTGTTCTACATTACAATGGGAGGTAGACCTATGCTGACGACTCTCCCTTCAGTTCGGTCCCTCCCCGATCCAGTTCCTACCACGCCTCAGTGAGAAGTTGTCAGGTGGCAAGGTCAGTTGGGACATTTACAGAGGGCGTGTTGAGACTGCCTCAAGGAGCTAATGCAAATAACTACAGGTCAAGATTTACGCCAAGCGCGAGGACTGCAACAGCGGGCTAGCGTACGGCGGGAACAAAGTCAGAAAGGTAAGTTTGTGCACTGGTGGCGCGCAAGGGAAGCAGGGCTGACTGTTTTGGTCTTGAATAGCTCGAGTATCTCGTCGCCGACGCTAAGGCGCAGGGCGCGGATACGCTTGTGTCCGTTGGTGGTGTGCAGAGCAAGTAAGTCTAGTAGATGATTTTTCATCGCTCTGGCTGTCGATTCGCTCAGCACCTCTGACGAGCTAACCCCCCTCCAGCCACACGCGCGCCGTCACTGCCGTCGCGGCTGCCTCGGGCCTCAAGGCCGTCACCGTGCAGGAGAAGTGGGTGCCCATCGACCCGCCGCTGTACGACAAGACGGGCAACATCCTGCTCTCGCGCATCATGGGCGGCGACGTGCGGCTGAACCAGGAGGGCTTCGATATCGGGCACAAGGAGGCGACGCTGAAGGCGCTGGAGGATGTGAAGAATGGGGGCGGGAAGGTGAGCGGGGATGCACCATGGCGACCCTGTCCTGGCGATGAACATAGTTGGTGGACGGGATAGTAGTTGGACGGGATAGTTGTTGAACGTGACGCTGACGCGCCTGTTCCGCAGCCCTACTACATCCCCGCAGGCGCGTCGGACCACCCGCTCGGCGGCCTGGGCTTCACGAACATCGTGCTGGAGATCGCGGAGCAGGAGAAGGCGCTCGGCGTGTTCTTCGACACCGTGATCGTGTGCAGCGTCACCGGCTCAAGCCACGCGGGCCTCATCGTCGGCGCGGTCGCGGAGGGCAAGGGGCGCAAGGTCATCGGCATCGACGCGTCGGGCAAGCCGGAGGCGACGAAGGCGCAGGTCGCGTGAGTAGACTCGGTGCTAGTGTCGTGTGCTGCAGTGTTAGCTGACGTGCTGCGTTCTCAGACGTATTGCAAGGGCGACGGCGACGCTGCTGGACCCGAGCCTGACGATTCCGGATGAGGCGATCATCCTGGACGAGCGCTTCCATGAGGGCATCTATGGGATTCCGGGCCCGAGCACGATGGCTGCGATTGCGACGGCGGCGCAGACGGATGCCATGATCACTGACCCTGTGTACGAAGGCAAGAGCATGGCTGGTCTGATCAAGCTGGTCGAGGAGGGCAGTATCAAGGAGGGAAGCAATGTGGTGAGTCGGATGTGCACCTTCAGCCAGGGCACGTGCTGACGGCCATCGCAGCTTTACGTCCATCTCGGCGGTCAGCCAGCGCTCAACGCGTACTCGAGCTACTTCTAAGCTGTGTCTCCGGCGTTTTGCTGATTATTGCTGCGCTGGCATCAGCGTGTGTGCAAAAATGAATGTAATACCACTCGTGTACTTTTGGAAAGCCAATTGCAGTGCACATACGCCCGCGCGCATGCAACGGGAAGCCCGGTGCTGTGTCTTCTGACATGGACTATCCCATTTGTGGAACAATGGCGGTCACACAAAGAACAAGCGCCTTTCTAATTTCGGACAATGGGCCATTCATGTCGATTGGGCATTGGCTGCGTGCCTGGCAACCACGCGGGCCACGCGGCCGATCGCCGGCGGGCGCTCGACCCCGGCTTGGTCGCGACACAAACGAGGCCTGTGAACTGCGCCGTATAAAAGGCGCGCACACGGTCTGCAGACGGCGTGATCCTTTCCCCCCGCTCCTTGCCTCCTCCCTCCACTCGCTACGGCCCAGAGCCCCGCATCCTAGCCTCACGACATCGCTCACGATCCGATTCATGATGAAGCTGCTCTTTTTGCTCCCTTTCTTCACGCTTGCCGCTGGTCGGATAAGCAAGCACCACAAGCGACAGTGCGCGCTCATGTCGGCCTCTGCGTCGGCGACGGCATCAGCACCCGCTGCCTCTGCAAGTGGCACGGGGAACAGTTCCGGTGCCACTGACGGTTCGGGTGTGTTGGCATCGGGGTGGTACCCGGGCTGGCTCGCTGGCCAGAACGCCTCGAGTGAGATCTCGTGGGAGAAGTACAACATGATGACCTTCGGCTTTGCGTATGTGGCGATCCCTCTAGCTCGATCCCGTCTCTGACAGTTCAATAGTACCACAACGAGCGACTCTTCTGTGCTCGCTCTTGATGACACCAGCAAGACCGCGCTCCCAGACTTCGTCCAGCAGGCGCATGACAATGTACGTCTACCACAGCCCCTTTGTTCGTTTTGTGGCTAAACAGGTCCGCAGAACGTCAAGGCCCTCCTCTCGATCGGTGGCTGGACCGGTTCGCTGTACTACTCCACTGCAGTGGCCACGCCAGAAAACCGCACCGCATTTGCTGGCGCGATTCTGGACATGATCAACCAGTACCAGCTCGATGGCATCGACTTTGAGTATGTCCATGCACACCTTGTGCACACTCATACCCATATGCCTTGAATGCTCATCGCGCCACAGCTGGGAATATCCCAACAAGCAGGGTGTCGGCTGCAATGCCATCCTCGACCAAGACTCCGCCAACTTCCTCTCGTTCCTCCAGGAGCTCCGCGCCAACGAGAACACCCCGGCCAACCTCACTCTGACCGCCGCCGTCGGTGTCGCGCCTTTCGTTGGCGAGGACGGTGAGCCTATGCAGGACGTGTCCGAGTTCGCAAAGGTGCTTGATCACATCGCCATCATGAACGTGAGTACTTCGCGTCCCTTCCCTCCGACGGTCGCTTAACCCCTTCCTAGTACGACCTCTGGGGCTCCTGGTCCGACGGCGTTGGCCCGAACGCCCCGCTCAACGACACCTGCTCCGACAACCCCCAAGGCTCCGCCGTCTCCGCGGTCAACGCCTGGACCGGCGCGGGCTTCCCCGCCAACCAGATCGCCCTCGGCGTCGCCGCCTACGGGCACTCCTTCTCCGTCAACGCCTCCGCCGCCTCCCCCGACGGCACCACCCTCGCCGCGTACCCGGCCTTCGACAAGGCAGACCAGCCGATGGGCAGCTCGGACGACCCGAACGCGACCGGTGACGAGCCGGACGTGTGCGGCGTGGTGGGGAGCTCGATCAGTGGTGTGTTCGACTTCTGGGGGATGGTCTCGGAGGGGTATTTGAGTGACAATGGCACGGCGGCGGACGGGGTGTTGTACCGGTATGATGATTGCTCGCAGACGGTGAGTTTGGGATTCCAGCGAGGAAGGGGTGCATAGACTGAAGGGATGTATAAACTGACGTCTCCTTGCAGCCCTACGTCTGGAAGTCGGACACGGAGGTCATGATCTCGTACGATGATGCTACGTCGTTTGGTGCGCTCATTTGTTCGTAATATTCAGTGCCTCATACTGAGTGACCCTCGTAGCCGCCAAGGGCAAATTCATCACCGACGCTGGCTTGAAGGGTTTCGCGATGTGGCACGTTGTCGGCGACTACAAGGACACCCTCCTCGACTCTATCAACACCGCCGCTGGCCGCCAGACGTCCAGCTCATAAAGCGCTGCTTGTCCCTTGGCTCGCGCTGCTTGTCCATTGGCTCCCCCACTCGACTCATGCGCTTCCTGACCGTCAACTTGCAGTGACTTGAAGCACTGTTGCTTGTGCATTAGACCGACAGCGAGCGGCTGCGCTGCTTCGCCTGTCTTCCTTTCCTTCACTCTCGTCCATGCCTATCTATCCTCCCTTCGATAGGGTGCTACATCTCTCACGTCTCTTCTCATGATTTACTTACGGGTCTGTAGCGGTAATATCCGACGAGGCGGCTTGATGCCTCTCGTGCTGTATTATAGGTCACTCACTCTTTTTGGGCTCAATGGGATTGTAGCTTTATGCTGATAACGGGGATTACGTGTGAGTGCGAGAAGGGATTACGGGTGAGTGCAAGAAGGGATCACGTGTGAGTGCAAGACCGTCAACATCGAGAGTCAAGGAATCTGCAAGAAAGCGATAATCACTCCTATTCGCCCTCACCCACTCCCCTAACCTCACCCACCCCTCCTCCTCCTCCCACCCCTCCCCGCCTCCAACAGCCCCTCCTTCCTCTGCTCCACCCGCTGCATGAATGCGACCTTCTCCAGATACCCGCCCCCGCGCCGATTCGCGTCCAGTTCGTCCCGGAGAGGGGTCTCTTGCGCCCCCACGTGCGACCGCCAGTCGAGGGCGGATTTGTCGAGGGTGGTGAGGGTGGTGAGGGTGGTGTTACTGGACAGGTGGGCAGGGTTCGAAGGGTCGGTGCGGCTGACGGGGCCGAAGGGTTTATCGCGGGTGGGAAGATTGGTTGCATGGGCGGTAGGGTCAGTTACGTGAGGCGAAGTTGGCGTTCTGATGATTTTGTGCCCCATAGTGAAACCCGGAAGGGTCACCTTGCCTCTGCGAGGGCCGGGGCGCTTGTATGGTAGTGCAGGTTTAAGTGAGATATCATCGCACGGCTGCGCGGTGAGGTCGGTCATCGGCACGTCCCTTGCTTCGGAGGCGTCAGTTGAAGAGGTCTCTTCCTCGTATCGTGGCCATTTTGCGGCGTCGGGCGAGTCCTCCGGTACTTCGAGGATTTCTCTATGGGCGCCCAATGTTAGATGGATAGAGGATGAAGCGACGAAGGTCGTATGCTCACTCCATCTCCTTGCCGGCGAACTTGTAGGTCTTGACGACTTTGACTAGCTTTCGAAACGGCTCTTCTGACGGTCGTGGTGGATCCATGGCGAGAAACTTGGACCAGACTTCGGCGCGCTGCCTTCGTAGCGCACAGAATAAGCGACGATACTTGAGGAGAGATATGAAACGTACTTTCTCTTCCCTTCTAGCACATCATGCTCAGTTGGCGCCCCAAGCGCAGACAGCACATCGTGTTCGATGTCTGGAGGCTCGGGTTCGGTTTCAGGTGAACTGACAGGGTCTGCATAGACGCTCAATCTGCCTATTCAGAAGGTGCGTACTGGTAATGAGATAGCTGACCTTCGTCGGGGAGAGGTATGAAGTCTGAATCTTCCTCATCGTCGTCAGGCAGTCTAGCAGTAAGATCGTGAATCGTAGACATGAAGATGCCTTGACGCAAGGAGCTCAGGATGTTCGTCGTATAGCAAGGTTTACAGCAGGATAGCCGAGAAGTAGCCTTGAGTAGGTTCTCAGTGCACTTAGATACCCCAGAGAAGTCTCGGCTGTTGTTCTTGCTGTCGCAACGAGCACCAAGTCAAAGTTCAAGTCTAGGGAATACGGTGTGACGTGCGTGACCTCGCCATTGACACCTACGTGACTCCCTGTGGAAGACGCGTGCAGTGCATTCTGACTTCAGCCACCATCATGCCGCCCATTATCGAAGAATTCGACGACGACACCGACCTCCCCCTCCCTTCCAACGTACTCCCCAACACCGGGACGCGCGGTCCGCTTCTGGAAGAGATAACCGATTTCAATCAGTCGCAAAGTGCTGGCTCGGCCTCGCAGGGCTTCGCGCCTCCCCCACGCGCGGCGTTCCCCTCGGAAAGCTCGTTACCCTCTAATGTCGTGACTGACATTACTCCGTACAAATCGTGCGTGGCGAAGTGGCTTGTGCTGGACTTGGTGACTGACCGCAGGGTAGATGGACGTGCATCTATCCCATATACATCGATGCGAAGCGGCCGTACGGGACGGGGCAGCGGAGGATAGCGCGGCAGAAGGGCGTGTGGTGGCCTCTGAGCAAGGACATAGCGGAGGCGACGAATCGACTGGGTCTTCGTACCCTCATGGAGCCGCAGAAGTCGCATCCCCGCGATTGGGAGAACCCTGGGCGCGTACGCGTGCAGTGGAAGCAGGATGGACGTCCTTTGAACCCGGCTGTGCAGACCAGTGAGTGGTTTACTGCTCTCTATATGACAGCTGCTGATGGACGCGGCAGAAAAGCAGCTCCTCGAGATGATCTCCTTCCAGATCCAGCGCTCCAAGCCGGATAACATCCCCAAGCCCCCATATAACACGACCAAGCCCGCTTCAGAACCCTCGCAGCCCGCCCAACAGCCGTCTGCGGCGTCGAAGGGCAAGCAACCGGCGACGGGATCGAAGTTCAAGTCGACGGATGTACCCCCAGAACCTGCGAAGCGGTCAGGAGGGCGCGCGCTGCCTGTTCCCCCAGAACCATTGCCCCCTCTCGCCGAGCGCGTGTCGCCGTTCTCGCCTGCGCTCGCGTCAGGCGTGCTGATAGACACGGTCAAGGCTGGCATGAATGCGCAGGAGAAGGAGCCGGCGCAGGCGGGAGCGGCTAACGCGAACGCAGCTGCAGGCAAGGGGAAGCGAAAGGTGATAAGGGTACGGCAGTAAGATTGGGATCTACAATATAATGTACTACTTGGTTATTCCCTGGACGTAGAGGCGAAGGAAGCAGTGTTTTTCGTTGCCACTCGCCAGTGTGATGGTTGTTTGTGCTCGTGGGGTGTTTGTTAGTCGCGATCAAGCGTACTTCCCAACTTGAACTCCGCGTCCATGCTTGCTCGATGTTACTCTGTCCGCTGAGGGCCACGGCGCGCCTATGCCTGTGGGTCACGTCTCTGCGGTCGCTATTCGCTGCTAAGGCTACCATGCCAGTATAATCCTTGCACTCGTCGCGCTTGCCGTGGCGCAGCAACAGAAACCGGCCCAGGGCTACGATGACCGCCCGTCCACGCATGACACTCACACGCCCGAGGAGAACCTAGTCTGTCTCCCCTTCGGCGTCTGCGAACCATGTCCAGAAGACGCAGTGCGTGTGTTTGCCATGCTGCTGCACTACATTCTTTGACCAACACATCTTCACAGCTCTCGCAACCCTTCTGCCAACCTTTCGGTAACCGCAGACTGCTCCACTGCCGCAACGCCTCCTCGCACGGTGGCTCTCTCAACTCCCATCCTGCCCCTCCTCCCTCGCAAATAACGCAACATGGCGAGACGCTCGCCTGGGGTGCGTGCGGGAAGATCGTCAGCAAGGAGCGCGCGGACTTCTTCGAATTCGTCGCATGCAACGTGGTCTTCGCCCTCGTTGCTCTGGCGGTGCTGGTCGCGCGCTCGCGGATCATCCAGGCTGCGCAGGCGAGGCAGCTGGCGGCGAGGATCGCGCTGGTGAGGGATACGGTACGCGGGTGGAGATGACCCCGCTGTGATGGTGAGCACCATGTCGAGCTGGAAGATTTGGACGCGAGGGCTGACGATGCTGCAGCTATAGACGCTCAGATATATTATGTGTATGATATGGAATCGATATAATGCCGCCATGAGCTCCTTGACCCGCGCGTCGGTTCCTTGCTCAACCTTTCCTTGGATTTCGTTACGCTCGAAGTGCATGTGAGCGACAAAGTCGCTCCGAGTACCCTATGTTCAGGCGTCTGACCCTTTGCCAATGGACAACTGACCCACGTCAGTTTCTTGAGCAGTGCACAACACTTCTTCGATGAAGAGCAACCTTTCCTGTCATCTCTTTCAGGCTTTGATAGATCCGAGTCTGTGCGCCGCCAATTGCAGAAACTAGAAATCTTTGCTTGCGCTAGAAACGCTAGGTATGGCCGCAGACCGATCTTTTCGTACGCAACGCATCATCCCTTGCTGGCCCCCATAGAGGATACATCTTCTATGCCGCTACCATACCTATGTAGGTAGTCTGAGACATCCTAGAATCAAGCCCTTGTTGAAGTTCTTTCCTTTCGGTGTACGAATTAGGCAGCTATTCGTCCTTGTGCGACTAAATAAGGTAATTTTGTGTCCAGGCAACCTCGGACTCTAAATCCCCGCGAAATACATGCGGTCCTCGAGAGGACCCCTGATAATAGGTGAGGAGGTCAGTTCCGCGAGCACCCCATTTGGGTACCTAAATGTCCGACATTTTTTGGTCACTTTTGGGGGGTTTTGTCCGACATTTCCTCCGACATTTCGTCCTCGGGCCCCAATTTGTCCAAAACCGGCACAAAGGTCGAAAAAATGGCAATAAATCTTCGAAAAATTGTATTTTTCGCTCAGGCTCCTCTGAAGATACGTCTAAGGGTGCATACGCGTCGAACGAGACTACCAGCAATGCCCTATTCAATCTGAGGCTCCTTTCGCTGCCTGAATCGCGTGCAGGCTAACTCTAGCTTCGAGGCGCTGACGTGCAACTGCGTGAACCTATTGGGATCCTCCTCGGACAGCGTGAGCGCGAATCCATCCTTTGAGATGCGCGATGGACCGCGGAGCACGTAAAGCGCCAGAGTCGACATCAATGACGATGCGCTGGGGAGATTCCACGCGCGGGGGCGGCGGCGACGAGGCAATGTCGACGAGTGCACCACGAGTGCACCCGGCACTGCGCCGCGGGAGGTAAAAATGGGCAGGAGCGATCGAACGGGTTCGGATGGGAGCCCTCAAGCGGAAATGGCAACAGGTGAAATTCTGATTTGACCGAGGACAAAAAGTCGTGTGGCAAAAAGGCAATAGCAGGGTTCGAACAATAAGTCGCCACCTGGAGAGTGCAGGTCTCAGAGCCAGAGGACCGAACCGCTGCGCCAAATGTCCGACGTTGGCGTCTGACCGTCGCCTGACACCTGCCCTTTTGTCCGAAATTGGGGGTGGGAGAACATCCACGATTTGGCCCAAATGTCCGTCATTTTTTCCGAGCTAGGGGGTCCAAAATCGCTCAAAATGTCCAAAAGTGGGTACTGAGCTCTCCGCCTATTATCAGGGGTCCTTCCTCGAGCGCGCCTGCAGGTTCCGTCGCCGTGTGTTCTATCCGGGGCCCCGCTGGCCACGCCCACGACGTACGTGTCAGTCATCGGGATCGACGCGGAGGCCGCAGATAAGGCCATTGTTTCCGGTACAATAGCAATTTCCAAAACCTTGTCTATAAAGTCTCGGCCGACTCCGACCAAAATTTACAACAAAACTGCCATGAACCGATTGCTCTGCCGCTCTCTGACTCGTACCCCCATCTACACGGCGCGGCGCTCATTCGTATCACCGCTGAGGAAAATGGCCACCTCCACGACGCCCGAGTTTGTGAGTAAAAGTCGTGCGATGTGCGAGGGGGGCGGCGATTGACTCCGATGGCAGAACAAGATGCTCTATGCACCGCTGAGGGAGATCGACCCGGTGGTACAGAACATCATTGACAAGGAGACATGGCGGCAGTTCACTGGGCTGGAGCTCATCGCGTCCGAGGTGCGTTTTGCGAAGGGGGAGGGTGCGCAGCAGCGTGTACTGAACGTGTTGTGTTGGTTTGCAGAACCTCACCAGTCGCGCGACGATGGAGGCGAACGGCTCGATCCTCACGAACAAGTACTCCGAGGGTCTTCCGGACCACAGGTACTACGGTGGTAACGAGTACATCGACGAGCTTGAGCAGCTGTGCCGCGAGCGCGCGCTCAAGGCATTCCACCTCGACCCGGCCAAGTGGGGTGTCAACGTACAACCGTACTCTGGCAGTGTGAGTTTTCCATATCATACTTCACGAATCCGCGCGCTGACAAGTTCTGCAGACCGCAAAGTAAGAACACTCTAGTCATCCTCTGAGCTCCTATTCATGATCGACAGCTTTGCTGCTCTTACGGCCCTCATTCAGCCCCAGGACCGCCTCATGGGTCTCGGGCTGCCCGATGGTGGTCATTTGACGCACGGCTACTACGTGCGTGCTCATCCTACCCATTCATAGCTCATTCACTCATTCCCTCCCAGACTGCCAAGAAAAAGATGACGGCGTCGTCCATTTACTTCCAGTCCTTCCCCTACGGCATCTCCACCGAGACCAAGCTCATCGACTACGAGAACCTCTCCAACCAGGCCAAGCTCTTCAAGCCGCGTCTCATCATTTGCGGTGCCTCCGCCTACCCCCGCGACTGGGACTACAAGGCGCTGAAGACTGTTGCCGAGCGCGAGGGTGCCTTCCTCATGGCCGACATCGCGCACACCAGCGGTCTCGTCGCGGCGCAGCAGCTTAACAACCCCTTCGAGTACTGCGATGTAGTCACCACGACCACCCACAAGACCCTTCGTGGCCCTCGTGCTGGTCTCATCTTCTTCCGCAAGGATCTCGAGCACGCAAAGGACCTCGAGAAGCGCGTCAACGACGCCGTTTTCCCGGCCTGCCAGGGTGGCCCGCACAACAACGTAAGCAACTCCCTACTTCTTCGAGAGTGTGAGAAGTCAACTCATCCCCCGCAGACCATCGCTGGTATTGCGACTGCTCTTCTCCAGGCGGCGCAGCCGGAGTTCCAGGAGTACGCGAAGCAGGTCATCAAGAACGCTCGCGCGCTTGCTGAGGCTCTCGTCGCCCACGGCTACCAGCTGCAGACTGATGGCACCGACAACCACCTTGTCCTTTGGGACTTGCGCCACCTCGGTCTCACCGGTAGCAAGGTCGAGAAGGTCTGCGATCTCATGGGGATCACCATCAACAGTGCGTGGCTGCCTGCTCTGGCATCATCTACTCTTGCTGATCCACTTATAGAGAACGCTGTCAACGGTGACACCTCCGCGCAGACCCCCGGTGGTATCCGTCTCGGCACGTCCGCGCTCACCTCGCGCGACATGACCGAGGAGGACATCAAGGTCGTCGCGGAGTTCCTGCATCGCGCGGTGCAGATCGCGCTCACCCTGCAGAAGGAGGCAGGCTCGAAGAAGCTCGTCGACTTCGTCCGCGTCGCGACGCAGAAGGAGGACGGCAAGGTTGGCTACGAGCAGGTCAAGGCGCTGCGTGAGGAGGTGCGCGCGTTCGCGACCAAGTGGCCGCTGCCTGGTGTGGATGTGAAGAACCTCAAGAAGCCGGAGGGTCTGCACGAGGATTAGATGGGCTGAGTGAAGGGCTTTTATGAGCTCTCATGAGGCGAGGAGGTGTATGTAGGGAAGGATATAGCGGCATCGGTCTTGGCGAAGATTCAACGATCACTTGTACATGCTTTACATGCGGACATTCAACCGTCCGTGCTGTCGTTACTGTATTTCTAGTTTGCTACGTGCTGTCTTACGCTGTGCGATTTCATGATTGAGGAAGTACAACCAAAAAATGATGCCACCTCAAAGACAACGAGACGAGATGTATCAGACGCTGTCAGCATACCAGACGGTACCTTAGGAGAGCGGAGGCCAGCCACTACGGCAGACTGCTCTGATCGGGGAAAGGGGCCAGCCGAAGTGCGCGAACCACGTGGGAGCGCGTCCATTGTTCTCCTGCTTCCCTCCCTCGCCACCGCGCACGGTACCTGTGCTCTCCACAACGATCACCCTCGAGTAGCACTTCAGGAGTCACTGGAACTTTGGCGGATACTTCCGTACTCTGAGCGGGCGCGACTTAACCACAAGAACGCGCCTTCCCCGCCAGCATGCGCTTCACCAAACCAGCTTGGGTCATCCACGACGTCGCCAATGCTCGAGGAGACCAAACGAAGGCGAAGAGAGCTACTATATACTCCGTACACGTCCACCCGGATGGCTCACGAATCGCAACTGGCGGCCTCGACGCGAAGATCCGCATCTGGAGCACCAAACCGATCTTGAACTCCGCCTCTGAATTGTCGAACAAGCCCCCTAAGCTACTATGCACGCTCACGATGCATACGGGGCCGGTGCTGACGGTGCGGTGGGCACATTCGGGGAGGTGGCTGGCGAGCGGGAGTGATGATGCTATTGTGATGATCTGGGATTTGGATCCGTGCGTGCTGCTCTTGTGTAGGAGGGACAGACCGGCTGACGATGGATCCTTGTGTAGAAGAGGAAGGGGACGCGTATGGGGGTCGGATGAGGTGAACTACGAAGGATGGAAGCCGCTCAAGCGTCTACCAGGACATGACAGTGGTGCGTGTGCATAAGTTCGCTTCCCCCTCCCTCCGCACTCACGCCCTATCCTCCAGATGTAACGGACGTAGCCTGGTCTCCTGGAGATCGCTACCTAGCTTCCGTCGGACTTGATTCGCGCGTCATCATCTGGTGCGGGTTTACGCTGGGTGCGCATCCTTTCTGCTCTCATCCCCCATACCATACGTTTGGCCGCCTTCCCAGTACGCAATTGGCATACCCCTACCGTCATTCATCATGTGCCCTCCGTCTTCCCTTGATCGCTGTCCCATTGCATCCCTTACTCATGGCTGACATTCTCCAGAGTGCTTGCACCGGCTCGACCAGCACCAGGGCTTTGTCAAGGGTGTATGCTGGGACCCAGTGGGCGAATTCCTGGCAACTCAGTCGGACGATAGGTCGGTGAAGATCTGGCGGACGTCGGACTGGGGGCTCGAAGCGGAGGTAACCAAGCCTTTCGAAGACTCGCCGGGGAGCACGTTCTTCAGACGGTTGAGGTTCGTGATCTTCAAACTCTACTGTGTCCATCCTGGCGTAACCTCAACCATATCGTGCTCACTAATATGAACAGCTGGTCACCAGATGGCGCGCACATCACGGCGTCCAATGCCACCAATAACAAGGGCTTCGTGTTCATCGCGGCTGTCATCACGCGGAATTCTTGGACCTCTGAGATCAGCCTGGTCGGGCATGAAAACACCGTTGAAGTTGCTGTGTGTACTTCCTCGTCTGCAGCCCTCTGCGCCCAGTTGCTCATAACGTTCACCCAGTCCTACAACCCCCACATATTCCTGCGCGATCCTAGCAAACCCGTGGCGACGTCGAATATCTGCTCTGTTGTAGCACTAGGTGCTGACGACCGCTCTGTCTCGGTATGGCAAACAAAGTCGGCGCGACCACTGATTGTGGCGAAGGAGGTGTTTGAGAGGCAAATTATGGATCTCAGTTGGTGAGTGAAACCATTGTAGGCTGTTCGCGAACGGACGTTCTTCGCTTCTGCCTTCGTCCCCTCTATGCCCTCGCTTCCCTTTTTACCCCCACTCCATCTCATCTCATCTCGCCTCGTGCTAAAATACCCGCGCTTCCAGGTCATGGGACGGCTTCTCCTTGTATGCCGTATCTTCGGACGGAACCCTCGCTGCCTTTCACTTCGACCCCGAGGAACTCGCTGGGCTGGCGCCACACTCGGTGCAAGATCAATATTTGACGAAGTTTGGGTGCGTGTTACTCTGTTTTCTTCTGATAAGCGATATGACTGACGTGCATCCGCCTTTCTTACACGCAATCCTCCTTCATCGTCAAAAATTCACCCTACACACGTACGTCGTCATGCGACCCCATCGCCCTCATCCTCCAGTTACGTCCCACCCCCACTTCCCGAGGGCTTCTCGCACAACGCGCCCCCGCCGCAAATGACACCACCGCCTTCTCCGGGCCGCCAGCAGCCAGCAGCCTTACCCAATATCAACGGGAACGCAAACCCCAGTGTCAATGGCCCTCCACCATCGACTGCGAACGTCAACGGCGAGCGCGTCAATGTACTCGTTGCCAAGCGTAGTCAAAAGAAACGCAATGGTGGCACACTCCGGACGGCCAACGCGCTTCCGCCACAGCCGCCGAGCCCATCGAGAGGGATGGGAGGTAGGGATCACCCAATGGCGCCGGCGATGGCAGGTCCCTCGAGGACGTCGTCCTCGTCCATGGGCTCCGCGTCGGCGTTCGAGAGTGCTTCCGCTTTCGACAACCCGTCAGTGTACGAGAGCGCGTCCATGCGTTCGTCCTTCTTCGCGCCACCCGAGCAGCCGAGGGACCGCAGCGAGTGGGGCATGGACACGGACGACGTGCGCATCGACGCGCTCGATAACGTGATGGCGTCGCCGCTCGGGATGAAGGGCAAGCGCAAGGCGTCCACGCCGCACGATGAAGCGAAGCCCAGTGCGCGGACGCTGGGTGGGGACCGGCCGGTGCCGCAGGGCCAGGTGCACGCCCGACAGCTGGCCGCAGGGGGGATGATAGCGACGTGGGGGACGGAGGCACCGAAGCTGCCAATGCCCAGACTATTGACGTATCTGTCGGCGGAGGTGGAGGGGACGCAGGATACGTTCGACGCGGTGAACTCGGATAATGATGGTGAGCAACCCTGGTTTTACTCTCGCTGGAGGATGGTTAAACGGGATTCCTCTGCAGCGCCAACGGAGGTCATGGGCATCAGCCGGAAGCAGACGATGTGGCTGGACTATCTGCCGTCGCCGGCGTTGTTGTTGCAAGCGACGCCGTTCTATTGTGCGGTGGCGATGGTAGACGGAAGTGTGAATGTGTATACACATACGGGAAGGAGGTAAGTCGTGTGTTCGATATCAGGAAACAGAAGCTCACTTCGCTAGATTGATGCCTACAATAGCACTTGGGTCCCCCGCGGCGTTTATGGACGGCTATAGGCATGCACTCATGGTCATCACCGCAGCGGGGCAGGTGTACTCCTGGTAAGTACGAGGGCCCAGTATACTACCTTAGCGTTGACCTCTGGTCTAGGGACGTCAAGAGCGGCAAGGCCTTCTTCCCGCCCGTCTCCGTCACCCCCGTCCTCCAGCCCGACCAGAACATCGTCGCCGCCTCCGTCCGCCACAACGGGGTCCCCGTCCTCAATACCTCCGCCGGCACCGCGTACGCGCACGACCCGAGCCTCTCGACGTGGGTCAAGGTCAGCGAGCGATGGTGGTCCGAGGGCTCGAACGCATGGTCGGGGCGGCAGCGCTCGAACACGCAGCACGCGATTCGCGGGCCGATGGCGGCGATCGAGAGCAGCATCTCGGTGCTGGATGAGAGCGCGGCGGTGAAGCCGCGGCCGCAGTGGTGGGAGTCGGCGCTGACGCTGGGGCATTTGGAGACGCGGATGCTGTCGACGAGGTTGTTGGATAGCCCGCAGGAGTATAAGCAGGTGAGTGGGTGTAGAGAGGGTGGGGGTCGGTAGAGGTTGACGAGGTTCGGCAGGCTTTGTTGGTCTACGCGAAGAGGATAGCGGACGAGGGCTTCAGGGGGAAGGCGGAGGAGCTGGCGAAGGAATTGTTCGGGCCAATATACTGGTACGTCAAAGCGATTACTGCCCACCTTTGCTAGCGGTCCTAATGCTTCTGCAGGCGCCCGGGTCGAAACGACACGAGCTGGTCTCCCACTGTCCTGGGCTTGGCGAAGCGGGATTTGCTAAAGGAAGTGCTCTCGATATTCGGTACGTGCATGATTTTCGTGGGCTCCTATCCGCGACTGACGACGATTGCAGTTCGTAGCAGGACACTGTCAAAACTCGGCATGGACTACCAGGACATGCTGAAGAAGTCGATTTCAGAGGAATGAGTAGCGTATCGAGTCCAAGTCTCTTGGGTATCATTATTTGTCTGTTTTATACTGCCGCCACGATTGCGTGCCATTCGACTGTCCGCAGGGCCAGGGCGGTGACGGCTAGGCTGTCTGCGACTACAGACAACCTAGACCGTCACAGCGCTGGCCGTGGGTGTCGCTGAGCTGGCGCGTCCATGAGCGTGCGAGGTCGAAGTGAGGGACAAAGGCCCGCCGCGCTGCCGATCACAAAGACGAGCAAACTTTCCGCGCCGGCGAACCCCGAGCCGGCGGGCGGACGGCCACGTGCTTTTCCCGCCGCGTCTGTCATCGTCGTCATCCGCGCGCAACGTCGAGCCCGCACAATCACGCGCCTCCGCCTTCTTCAGTCATGCTGTGGATCGTCTGGAACGTATCTATCTCTTCCCGAACCCTCATCATCTCTTCTGCTCGCCATGTCCGAAACTGTGATTCGTGAGGTGCGTCAGGCGGTGGGGGGCTGGCAGGGGGGCTGACGGGGAGGCATGGACTGCGGGACTCATCAGGTCGCCGTAGGTCGCCAAAGACGTGGTGACTTTCTCCAAGTGGGTAGCAATAAGCTCAGTCTATGCATACAAAGTAACGAGTATATCTGTCAGGCCGTTTTCTCGGTTCGGCCTTGTACCTCTCGGCGGTCGCTCGACGGCGATCAAGCTCAAGGCAGGAGGCGTATGGGTCCTCGCGTCCACACCTCTTGATACGGAGACCAAGACACGGATCGACGCTCTCGGTCCCGTGAAGTACGCCCATAGTCACATTGACCTGAGCGACCTCTGACCCTGCCCTCCTCAGATACATCGTCGGCGCAGACGCTGTCCACCACCTCTTCCTGAGTTCGTCGTCACCGTGGGCCTTACTTACGCCATATCTCATCGTGTATCCCAGGCGACTTCAAGCAGGCGTACCCTGACGCCAAGCTTATCGCGCCAGCGCCTGCGATAGAGCGGCACGGCGAGAAGGACCTCAAGTTCGACGGAGGTAACGGCATGATTTACATTGTGCCTTCCCCTTGACTCTCATCCAATACATTCAGCCTGGGGTAGGGACCCTGCAGACACCAAGTATGGCTTCGAAGACGAGGTGCGTTGATCGTTCATGCTTATATCTAGTTACCGTTCTGACATCCATTTGACAGATCGAGCACTGGTCAGTAGTCTGTCCGAGTCGTCCGGGGTACCCTCTTATTCAGTCGCTATAGCTACTTCTCCGCGTTCAAGAATAAGGACGTCGCGTTCCTGCATAAGGATAGCAAATCTCTGATTGAGGCGGACCTCTTATTCAACTTGCCGCCCAATGAGCAGGTGAATACGCCCCTGCATTTGGCTTGCATGATTGGTGATCTACTCTTGTTGCCGTGTATACTGATCCCTGCCATCAGTACTCGAAGAGCAAGCCCGCAGCGAGGCTGCCGTTCCAGCTGACGCCGTTCAGCTGGTTGCACGCGAAGTTTACCTGGTCGATGGCGGAGGATGTTGAGTGAGTACTGCGCTGAAGTCCCCCATATTTAGGCCTTTGCGTGTGAATAGCTGGCTGATACACACCCAGGACAATGAAGCGCGACGCGCACAAGGTCGCGAACTGGAATTTCGACAGGATTATCCCTTGCCATGGGGTGAGTTGATGCAGTGATTGACTGGTAGGTAGGCGGGCGCTTATTCTAATTCCCAGGACGTCATCGAGACTGGCGGCGTTGCGGCATGGAAGGCGGCGTACAAGAAGTACTTCGAGTAATCTGGTCACTCCTTCCGGGATTCTCGGCTGGACTACGCGTCCAGACGGCTAGCCGATGCCCTTTCTAAGGATAAGACGCCCGGTTTCTATCATGGATTTCTGTTCCCGGAGTGTTTCTTGTTGTACAGTACATGTTCTACCTAATTGCATCTTGGATATCTGCAGGTCCGCTTGCTATCGCTGTCATCGCCGACATTATCGTGCGACATAACCCAGAATCTCAGTCAACTGTGCCCTACGAGGCAGTCAACATCGGGAGGAATCAAGGCCGACATTGCAGACAACATTCACTGACTCACTGAAACCTCTTCGTGCACTCAGTAACCATGCTTTGGACACGTGTTTGCTGCTAATCGTGTGGCCTTGTCTGCTAATCGCGTCTTCAGCCCGCCGATCGCACGAAATTGCTATACAAGTTTCCTCTCGTATGCACAGTCGCCCACACAGATGCCTCGTGGCGGCGTCGCGGAGGGATGCATCTACTATCTGGGATGTGGACGCCACTCCATGGAGGTTCGTGGGCGATTTGAATGACGGTCTTCGGAAGGTTTGCACCAAGGCGCCCGCTCCTTGGAAGTTCGCAGGGGCTACTTGGAAGCTAGCAGGAGCGTATTGGAAGCTAGCAAGGGGCTCTCGTAAGTATCCCTCCCTCGCTGCACTCATCGACACCGATCGGCGCTTGATATCATCGATACGGAGCTTAAAAGGTCCCATAGAAGGCGGCGGGGTGTATAGAAGCAAGACTGTATATCGGTCAGTCACACCGGACCGTGGGCGGTGTGTCCAGGTCACAGTCCGTGTAATTCAAGGTCACGATCCCTCCAATTGAACCGTGGGCACGTTGCAACCGCGCGACGAGGGTGGGGTGGGTTATAAGAGCGCGCTTATTGTCTTCTATCACTCAGGTCTTCCGTTCGCGAACGTCGTGCTCTCGCCTGTCGTCTTCATCGTGGCGATTCCTTGTCACCTCGGTTTCGTTGATTGATTCCTGTCTGCAGAACGACGACGTCGCGCCTCGAATACGAATCACGGCGCGTTCCTCCACAATAAGCGCCGCTTATTCCGACTCGGCGCCTAACGCTTTCGAGGCGACTTCATCTCTTCTAGCACACTTCTAGTCCTCGGATCCACGACACAACTATCCTCAACACAATACTTCTACCTCTCTACGACAACTACCTCTCACCACAACACAACTACCTCTCACCTTGGCACCTCTACCTCACACCACTCCTCTCACTCGCCACAATGCCGTACTGCAAGACCTGCGACCGCAAGTTCAAGGACGTTGCGTCCATCCAGCAGCACCTGCGCACCTCCGCGGCGGAGCATCCGATCTGCAAGCACTGCGACAAGAAGTTCACGGACGAGACTGCGTACGAGCAGGTGAGCTAGGCGGGGAGCCTACCTGGGGATGGTTCAGCGTGGTGTCGAGCGCGACGGGGGTCTTCATGATTTCATTCATCTCCGAACCCATCTCGTTCAATGAATCCTCATGCGTTTTCTTTCGCTCGCTCGCTTCCTGGTCTTCAGATGACTGACGCTCTCTTCAGCACATGGACTCCAAGCATCCCAAGCGATACCCGTGCCCTACGCACCCCGAATCGATCTTCAAGACCCCTGAGGCATTGGAGGACCACTATAGAGGCCATCAGGCTCATCCGAACTGCTATCGCTGCGGCAAGGGGTATCTGAACGAGGAGCTGATGCTGGCGGTGAGTGGGCGCTTACAACGACGTCCCCAAGCTTCGTCCTCTTACCGTCAAGCTTCATCCTCTTACTGTTAAGCGCCATCCGCTTAATACTCTGATACCTACCCCCCGCACACCATGCTGAGCTCGCGCACACCATGCTGACCCCGCGCACAGCACCACGACTCCGCCCACCCGAGCGAGCTCTGCGAGATGTGCGGCCGACACCGCTTAATCTACCACGACCAGCGGCAGAAGCACTGGGTGCAGAGTCGCTGGCATCCGACGTGCGAGCGGTGTGGGGAGGGCTTCTACGACCTCGCTTCGATGAGAGCGGTGAGTGCCTCCCTCTTTTGATTCACGTACCCTTTCTTCATGCCCTATGCCCGATCTTCTCGTTCTATAAGTTCATGAGACTCCATAAGTTCATCAGACTTGCCGATGCTAACAAGCACTCAGCACATCAGAGAAGGCTGCGGCAGGGAGATCTGTCAAGCTTGTGGTGGTACTTTTTATTGCGAATACGTGATGGGGGAGGAGAAGTTGTGCGCGGATTGCGACCCAGACCTACCCGGGGACTTGAAGGTGTGTTGACGAGGTCGAGGGTATGCAGGCGTAGAGTATTGACGAGGGGCCGCAGGTGGAGAACTGCTACCGTGATGGCACCGCTACGGAGGACGCGGACGCAGAGGAGCTGGTCATAGGTACTGCCAAGGAGGAATCCAACGAAGCAGGAAATGGCGAACCGTCTTCCTCAAATGCGGTGCCGAAGCTGGTTATACAGGTGCGTAACTGAGTGACCTCATTCGCACATTTAGTCAGCTTACGCATATGATCACAGACCGAATCCGAAAGCGACGGCGAAGAGAAGTGGCACACGGCACCCACGAACACGCCCTCATGGCCCGCGACACCGTTCTCTGCGCGCTCGGATGGCAAGCCTGCCCCGCTGCCGCCGCCTTCGGCGGACATCAGCAACATGTGGGCGGCGGGAGAGGTAGGTGGTCGGGGTATGCGAATTGGTAGAAGGTTGAAGGGCTGACATATGATTCCTTTTCAGAACAAGTCTGCTGGTCCCCTGCCCTCGTTGCAGCTGATCACCAAGAAGGACTCGCTCGCGTCGAGACATAACCTGCCGACGCTGGAGACGCAAGGCCTGGGGGGCGCCACGAGGTCGACGACGGTTGTTGACCATTCGAAGAAGCCTGGGTGAGTGCCGTGGCTACGGTTCATGTACTCTCTGGGCAAGAGAAAGGTTTTCTGACCAGATTTCCGGTCCAGTGACCCCAAACCCGACGACCCCTCGCCCAACGTCGAGTCCCCTTCCGGGCTGTCAGCACTTCCAGGCGTGAGCCCGTACCCGGCGACGCCGAGCGAGATGAGCTACAACGGACTGGACTCGCGCGAGCCGAGGGTACGGTCGATTAGCGCGCTGTATGCTGGGCCGTCTGCGGAGGGTCTGTACACGAGGGGCCTCACTCGTCCACCCTCGGGAAGCCTAGCTGCCCAACCATCCGGCAGCCTGATCGCTCCGCCTCAGGGAGCCCTGACGTCCACTCCATCGGGACCGTCAACTCGCCCACCTTCTGGCGGATTTAGCTCATCATCCTCGGGCAGCCTGACTCGTGTATCTTCGGCGGGTCTGTCTCGTCCATCCTCGGGCGGTCTGTCTGTGCCCCCCTCGGGTGGTCTGTCTCGCCCGCCCTCAGGTGGTCTGTCTGTGCCGCCCTCGGGTGGTCTGTCTGTGCCAGCTTCGCTTTCTCGCCCATCCTCCGGAGGTCTCTCTCATCCACCTTCAGGAGGTCTCTCTCGTCCACCTTCTGGCGGTCCCTCCCGTCCGCCGAGCCTGCGCAACAATACCTTCACACCCTGGCCCATGGACCGGCGCTCGTCGTCGAATGGACGGGCGAAGGATCTGCACATCATGACGCCCATCGAGGCGGAGCCGTCGTCGTTCGATGCAGAGTTTTCGCCGGAGGATTTGAAGCAGCCGACGGTGGAGGCGAAGGGGCCTTTGTTCGATGCAAAGGGGCCTTTGTTCGACGCGAATGGCTCTCAATTCGGCGCTCATAAGTTGTCTTCGCACGGGCGGCAGTCGTCGTCGCACGGCCAGACAACGTGGCCAAGTGCGCAGACCTCGTCACTGCATACGACGCCCTCTCTTCCTGGATCAGCGCGTGCTCCTTTGGCTTTCGGGTCGCCACCTTCGGCGGAGCCCGTGCCGGCCACTATCTCTCGTCAGGTCTCGCAGGACCTGCCAGAGGGCATGCGCGTGTCGTTCTACGACAACATCTTGGCCGCCCCATTGCCGACGCACGGGGAGGGCGCCGACGAGGACGACGTGTCGCCAGTCAGCAGTCCGGGGACGAATATATCTTTGGGATCTCTCGCGTCGACGAGCTCGGAGGCGACGAAAGCAGAGGTGGAAGTCGAGTTGAGTTCAAAGCTTGGCATCTCCTCCAAATTGGACGTCTCCTCGACCGTCCAGATGTGCTCCGGAGTAGAGCTACGGTCCGAGACAACCACGCCCATGGTGATGGCGCGTCCTGCGAGGGTGGCGAGCCCAGGGAGGGGTGCGAGTCCATTGTCGAGGGCCAGTCCGGCGAAGGAGTTCGAGAACGCCCCGAAGGACATTGACAGCCCTTCGGCTATCGGAAAGCCTCATACGCTGCGGCGCATGTCGCATCTCCCGCGGTTGGCCGAGCACGTCAAGACCCCGATGCGGCCGGTGCCGTCGCCTCCGCCGCCGTTCTCAGAGGTCCTGAAGTGCAGGCTCTGCGCGCGCAACCCGTGCGAGGAGCCGACGGTCACCATGTGTGGCCACATCTTCTGCAATAAGTGAGTCCGCGTCTTGCCTTGAGTTCATTGCTTTTCTAACGTGGATATTCAGGTGTATCGTCGATGCTATCATCAGCAGCAGCTCCTGCCCGCTCTGCTCTGCTCCCCAACTGCTTTACTGTATCTTCAAGCTGCGCTTGGACTAAATTGCTATCGTGTTTGTCTTGCTGTTACCCCTTGCTTGGATATATGAACTTGTACTACTATCTTGACTTTGTTTTGTTCTGTCTTGTAAAGCACGCGCTTGTGCATGAATCCTTTGTTGTAGCATATTGTATTTCGGGGTATCTCTTGTCGTTTTGCTATCACTTGAATAGATCTTGCTTGGATGCCTCGATTACCGGATGCTTGTGAACGAAGTTTGCCGGTATGCGGACGCTCGGGAAAAGAAACAAAGCCTTCCTAATCCGGGTTGTACCTGCTGATGTGAAGCGTCTGACGGCACGCGTCGCCTGCGATCAATCGTCTCTCCTCCTACCCTCCTCGTCTTCACAATGTAGTCATGAATAATCACGATGCAACTCTACTCTTGAGGTCTTGCAATGCCTCCCAGAGGCCCGCATTGAGACTGCTATAGAAGCTCCTGCATCGCGTCTTTACTTAGGGCAAGCTGCAGCGACTGACATCACAAGCCAATACTGGGATATGTCACTTACCCTCCTCTGACGCCATGGTTCTGCAGCGCGCCGCACATATACCCGTCCGCCTGAAGCTTCGCGGTCCATACCTTTGACCACCAGCACGACAATATCATGCCCGGCCAGATCATTTACGAACCCAACCCGCCACCAGACCCATCCCACATCCCTGACGATATAGAGAAGCTCGCCGTGAAGCTCGATGTCAAGGGCTTTCTCTCAGCAGAGGAGCGCAAGGGGATCGAGATGTTTAGACGTGCGGCGGACTACATCGCAGCAGGTGCGTCTCCCCAGTCATGCGTCAGCGAGAAGGTCATCTCACCCCGCCTTACAGCCATGATCTTCCTCTCCGGGACCTGCCAGCATGTACTTCTTGAGAAAGACCTCACCTTCGACGACGTGAAGCCGCGCTTGCTTGGGCACTGGGGCACCTGCCCAGGCCTGGTGATGGTCTACGCACACCTCAGCCGCATCATTCGCAAGAGCGACTTGGACGTCGTATACGTCGTTGGCCCCGGTCATGGAGCACCGGGGATTCTGGCCTCCCTTTGGCTGGAAGGCGCGCTGCAGAGGTTTTACCCCAAGTACACTAGAGACTACAAAGGGCTGCAGAAGTTGATCACACAGTTCAGCGTGCCGGGCGGGTTCCCCAGGTATGGCCCAACTACGTTCATGGCGTGTAACAGAAGCTTATAAGTGCCTTAGCCACATCAACGCGCAGACACCCGGCTCCATCCACGAAGGTGGAGAACTGGGGTATGCGCTAGGCGTGTCCTTCGGTGCGGTCATGGACAACCCAGACCTCATCGTCGCGTGTGTAGTTGGCGATGGTGAAGCTGAATCCGGACCTACTGCGACTGCCTGGCACGGTTTCAAGTACATCGACCCCGCAGAGTCGGGCGCCGTCTTACCTATCGTGCATGTCAACGGCTTCAAGATCTCCGAACGGACCATCTACGGTACGATGGATAACAAGGAGCTCATTGCGCTCTTCACGTAGGTTATCACCGTTGTCCCTCCCCAAATCGACGGCTGACCGCGCTCTAGCGGATACGGCTACCAGGTCCGCATCATCGACGACCTCGAGAACCTCGACGACGACATCGCCGCCTCCATGGAATGGGCCATCGCCGAGATCCACAAGATCCAGCATGCCGCTCGCTCCGGCAACCCCATCATCAAGCCGCAATGGCCTGTTCTCATCCTCCGCACGCCCAAGGGCATCTCTGGCCCCAAAAACCTCGGCGACGAGATCATTGAGGGCTCATTCCACTCGCACCAGGTGCCCCTCCCTAAGGCCAAGACCGACAAGGTACAACTCGAAGCCCTGAACGACTGGCTGAAGCACTACAAGCCACAGGAGCTGTTCGATCCGGAGACGGGTGCGCCGGTAAAGGAGGTGCTGAGCGTGATACCGGAGAAGGAGGAGAAGAGGATGGGGATGAGGAGGGAGACGTATGATGCGTATAGGCCGTTGAAGACGCCGGAGTGGTTGGGGATGGGCGTGGAGAAGGGGAAGGAGGAGAGCTGTATGAAGGTGGTGGGAGAGTATCTGAGGGAGGTTATGGAGGAGTGAGTATCTCGTCTTATCTCGGACATGACGGCCTGTCTGGTAGCAGTGTATCCGCTCGATGCTGACTTGGACTGTGCAGGAACCCCAAGAGCTTCCGCATGTTCTCGCCAGATGAGTTGGTATCCAACAAGCTGAATGCGGTGCTGCAGAATACGGGCCGCAACTTTCAGTGGGATGTGGCGAGCCGAGCGCGCGGGGGAAGGGTTATCGAGATCCTGTCGGAACATACGTGCCAGGCGATGTTGCAGGCAAGTCTCTCCGTGGCAATGCTGTTGTTTGCTTGAACGCTGACCGCTCTCACAGGGCTACACCTTGACTGGCCGGACGGGTGTCTTCCCTTCGTACGAGGCTTTCTTGGGCATCGTACACACGATGATGGTACAGTACTCGAAGTTTACAAAGCTGGTGCGTCTGGAACGGCGACAATTGGTGTTGTGCGTGCGCTCATCCTCGTCAGGCTGTGGAGACTGAGTACCGACAGCCTTGTGGGTCTCTAAACTACATTGGTCCGTCTCACCACGCTTGATCCTTGCATCGGAACTATTCCCGTTTGCTATATTCGGTATGCTAATCCTCCTTCCAGAAACCTCCACCTGGGCTCGCCAGGAGCACAACGGGTTCTCCCATCAGAACCCGTCCTTCATTGGTGCGGTGCTGAATCTGAAGCCGAAGCTCGCGAGGGTGTATTTACCGCCGGATGCGAATTGCTTCTTGTCGACGATGGCACATTGCTTGAGGGCGAAGGTGAGGGTGTGAGGAGTCTAACGCCAACGACATTGTGCTAACGGTGGATAGAATTACATCAACTTGATGGTGGGAAGCAAGCAGCCGACGCCCGTATGGTTGAGTCCGGAGGAGGCGGATTTGGTGAGCCTATAGAGTGTATCAGGTGTGTTCGATGCTGACTGGGAGTAGCATTGCATTGCTGGCGCGTCCGTCTGGAAGTTTGCAAGTGTTGACGAAGGCAAGGACCCGGACGTGTACGTGCCAATCCATCAGCAGCTTGCACATATCTGACCCCATCTCAGCGTCCTCTGCGGCATCGGCGTCGAAGTCACCTTCGAGGTCATCGCTGCCGCCGCCCTCCTGCGCCAGCTCAGCCCCGCCCTGCGCCTCCGCGTCGTGAACGTCACCGACCTGATGATATTGAGCGAGGAGGGCACGCACCCGCACGCGCTCAACAACCATAGCTTCGATACGCTGTTCACGAAGGACCGGCCGATTCACTTCAACTATCATGGGTATCCGATTGAGCTGAAGGGGTTGCTGTTTGGGAGGCCGGGGATCAGCGAGAGGGTGACGATGGAGGGGTACAGGGAGGAGGGGACGACGACGTCGCCTTTCGATGTGAGTGGGCGAGATCCTGGATGAGGAAGGGCTGGACTGATGCGTCTGTAGATGATGCTGGCAAACCACACCTCGCGGTTCCACGTCGCGACGGCGGCCGTCCGTGCGGCGGCTTTACGAAACGAGGCGGTTGCGGTGCACGCGCATAAGCTGGAGGCTCAGCTCAAGCATATGGCGGAGAAGGAGAGACAGTATATCTATGCGACGGGCAAGGGTGAGTTTTCTGCTTGCAGGCTTCGAGGACTTGCGAATGATAATCACCGCGGACAGATTCGGACGGGATATATGCAGTGCCAAAGTTTGAGTGAGGTGTATGATGAACGGCGATGGGCCTTTACGGCGAACTCGGTAACTCTTGATGTGTACTATAGCTTGTATATGCCCACATAATGTGAAGCCAATGATCTCCGTAGGTCCAGCGGATAGGGGCGAAGAACGGTCGTGGGAAGTAGCCAAACAACGCGTAAACATTGACGCGGGCATTGTTCTGCGTGCGCATACTGCTTGGCCTCTCACCATCACAATCCCTCGCATTTCTTGGCTTCTTGGACGACCTCGTGTCTCAAAATCGCTTCTTGGACCATAGAACGTACCCAGAACGAGCTCTGGAACTTACTGCATACTGATCTCTGCCTCACGAACTTGCCAAGATGGACAACACCTCGAACCGACCCTTCCAGCTCCGCCTGAACACGAAACCGAATCCCAAGCCCTTCGCTTCTTTCTTGCAACATCGAAACAACAACCAACAGTCTAGCTCTCAGGACTCCTCTGGCGGCCAGGCCTCTCAACGACGATGGATGGATCCGAACTCGAATGCTGCTCGCGCTAGTCCGGCACCTCCGAGGATCTTTCACCCACCGGAGCCCCAGAATCCTTTGCACTTCAAGACTCCGAGCGATGCGCCTGCTTCTGATCATTCTGTGGATGACTTCGCCGATGAAGGGAGGATCCCGATCGCCCATCGAGCGTCGGCGGAGACGCAATGTACGTCTCAGGCCCATCGCGCGCGACAGCATCGCTGATGAGACAATCACAGACCCCGAAGACAAGACCCAGTATGCTACGCCGCCTCCACCCACGATGAAGATCCCCTCTACGCACTCTCGCTACGAACGCTCCGCGACCCCGCAACCGGCACCACCACTCAAAGGACTGCGCGCGAGGTTGGACACGAACTACGACTACGAACCTGATACTCGCGAGCCGCAACGTGCTAGACAGGCGTCTATGCTCTCCTTCTTCAGCAACGACAACTTGGCCCAGCTGGCGCAAGAGCATGCGGCGCGGGAGGAAGCGATGCATGCTCTGGTGTGTTAGGCGCATATACGCGCCTTTCTACGCGTGTTGGACGTCTCTGATGGACTGTTCAGCACGACCAACTGGAGGAGAGCAAGGCGAACACCTCTCGGCTGACAAGACTGCTCAAAGAACGCGACCACGAACTCGCCGCGCGGACGTCCGCTCTTGCCGAACTGAAGACTCTGACACTCTCGAAGGACGAAGAACATGCGAAGCAAGTACAAGAACTTGGCGCTCGCCTCGACGTGTCTGCCTCTCGGATATCTACTCTCGAAGGCGAAACCGACGTTCTGAAAAAGCAACTGCTAGACGCTGGCGACCGACTGGCACAGGCTGCGAAGACTACTGAGGACTCCGAGCGGCGCGCTGTAGACGCCGAACGACGATGCGAGCAGGCCATTCGCGACAACGAGGCGCGCGTCGCGTTTCTGACGCAGCAGATGGAAGATGTGAGGACGGACGCTCGCGCGCAGGTCGATGAGACAAGGGAGGAGGCGCAGAACATCAAGGACGAGGCGAAGAAGCGGATGCACGACCTGAAGACCGCGATGAAGAAGAGGGTCGATGGGTTGACGGAAAGGTAAGGGTTTTGTTCCCACGGCAAATCGCGCGGCTGACGCGAACAAGGTTCACGGAGTTGACCACAACCTTCACGGCGGTGCAGTCTCAACGCGCCTCATGGGATAGCCGCGCCAGCGAGGTTGAGCTCGGCGTTCAGGACCTTCAAGCTACCGTGAAGACAGGGCTTGCTGGTACGCTGTACCATATTCTCGACCATGCAAGAAAACTGATAATTTGTAGCTATGCAACCAATTCTGACCGCCGACGCGGGCGTCCTGAGGATCGCTGAGACGAGGGCGGTCATTGAAGAGCTTCAGGCGGATCGCGCGAATGGTGCGAGGTTCACTGGCAGTCGCGTAAGAAGCGAAGCTGACCTGCGTTTGCAGCTAATCAGGTCACCGACATGCTGCGCGACAAGCTGCACGTCGTAAGCACCCAGCTCGTCGAGGCGAAGGACCGTGTGGCCGAACTCGAGCGCATGCTCGCAGAGGACAAGCACCGAGTTCAGTCCAGCGTCTCTGAGCTCTCGCGTCTTGGTGCGTCGGCCCTATATGATCTCGATCCGCGTGGCTAACGCGACGAGTAGGCGTCAAAGTCGAGGACATGGCCGTTGAGCTGACGAAGAAGGCCCGAGAGAACAGCAAGAACATGGACGAGGCTGAGCAGGTAGCGCACGAGCTCGGCACGGCCAATGCCACGATCGACCACCTCAGGGGCGTTCTCGCAGAGAAGGACGCTGAGTTGGAGGCTCTGCGGCCTGTCAAGGAGGAGTAAGTCATAAGTCTGGGTAGGCAGATCATATTCGCTAACTGCAGTGCTACAGAGTCGCCCATCTAAGGATCAAGTGCGACACGAAAACTGCAGAGTTGGAGCAGTTGCTTGTATTGCGAGATGAGTGAGTGCTTGGTGCCTTCGCGCACGACATGTACTCACTAGCAATCAGGAAGCCGCACCTGGTACTCAAGCTGGAGGCATTGGAGACGGCTGCGAAGGAGTAAGCTGCTGAAGGGATGGCCAGCCGTTTACTGACGCGTCGTAGGACCTCGCACAAGCTGCAGACCAGCGAAGCGAGGGTTGCCGACCTGTCGTTCAACCTTGCCGCGTCCAACTCCAAGCTGGATGCGATCGAGGATAGCAAGAAAACCCTGCTCCTTCTGTGAGCGCTTGTTCGCTTGCTGTTGTTTCTGGCCTTCGTCTGATCGCTCTATCTCAGCCAACGCGAACGCCAGGCAGAGATGGTGAAGCTCCAGGACAAGTACGAGGAGTCTCTTGCCGAGACAGTCGAACTGCGCACGCAGAAGGCGAATCTAGAGGACGTCCTAGTGAAAGCTCAGACGACAGTGCATTCGCTAGAGGACCGATATGTCGATCTTCGATCTGCGCGCGACAGACTGGAAGCCGCACAAGACGAGGCCCAACAGGCGCGCGAGCGTATGGAGCAGGAGTATATTGCCCGAATCAGCGCTCTGGACGCCACCGTTCAGCAGCTCCGGGGCACCCTGTCGACTGCGCAAGACAGACTCACTGTGGCCGAGGAGAGGGTCCAGTACGTGTCTCGTGTACGCGCACCTGAGGAATCTTTTTGATGGCCCTGCAGCGCTGGCTCGGCGAGCATTCGCTCTCTTGAGGCCACCATCGCATCTCAGGAAGCACTTCTCGGCTCGAAAGACGAGGAGCAAAGGAGCCAAATCAAAGAGTACGTGCATGTCTGCACGATGACGCGTGTCATTGACAGCTTCTATAGACTGGAGGCTTTGCGGGGGCGCTACGATAATCAGACGGAGAGCCTTCGTGCTTGCCGCTTAGAGCTTGGCGAGATACAGGTAGGTCGTGGCATACCTTTTATTTGCCCTTGGTCTGATACTTGCTTAGGGCCGCCTGACTCAAGCTGAGGTCGCTTCGTCTGTGAGAATGTGAGAGCCGATATATCGTGCATCGGTCTAACCTAGTTTCAAGGTGGCTGCAGCGAAAGCCCAAGCGGAGGCCGACCGCAGAGGTGTTGCAGAGGCCGCCCTCGCAGCCGCCAACGATCGCCTGGCGCGACACTCGCAGGCTTCTGCTGCCGTCGACCAGCGGCTCACTGTGCAGGAGCAGGCCCACAACGCCACCGCGCGAGCGCTCAGGGAACGCGCCGAGACGGCGGAGCAAGAGACCATCCAACTTCGGATCGAGACCAAAGCTCTGGGGGACATGATCACCGATCTGAAGGCCCGCATCGCGGAACTGGACCTTCGCCCCGCCGAAGTTGACACGCACGCAAACGACGAGCTGTCGGCTGAGCTGGCTGATGCGAAGGGGAGAGTTGCCGCCCTTGAGCAGACTGTCGCTGAGCTCAATAACGACGCGGAAACTCTTTGCGAGCGGTACCAAGATAATCGTTTGGTGAGGAGATTCCAATCGATCTTCTTCCTCGTTATTCATCGCGCATTCGCAGTCTCCCAAGGAGAAAGAGTTCATGGTTTGCGTTCTCAATCGCTCAAAATCGATTCACGAGCAAGAAATGGTGGCGAAGGGCAACGAGCTGCGTCGAGTACGTGTTCGTCTGCTCGGTTTTTTACACCTCAGCTGATGCTTCCCAGCGCGAAAATACCATCAACAACCTCAAGAAGGAGCTGGCCAGCGTTCAAGCACACCTCGCGCGGGTCCTAAGGGAGCAGCGGCAGGATGACGGGCCGCGGTCGTCGGCGAACAAGAGTATCTTCAACATCAATGCGTGGATCTCCTCTAGCCCGCAAGAGCAGCCTCCTCAAGAGGGTCCCTCGGTCGCGTCGCCCGTGCCCACGCCGAATGCGAAACGCTCTGCAGTCTCTCCACCTATCGGGGAGAGCAAAACGGTCGCGACCACCACCGCAACGCCGCGCGCGAAGACCACGCTACCCGTCGACGAAGCCAAGCCAGCGCGTACGAACGGCGCAAGCTCCTCTCGCACTCTCGCAAACTCCACGCTACGCACACCCGTCGGGCATTCCCTTCGCCGCCCGCTCACGCCCAAGCCCGCCGTCGCACCTCGCAAGCCGTTCGGCAAGATCGACGTGGACACGGAGGAAGATTATCTGTCCCCAATCGAGGACGAAGACGAAGACGAAGACGATGGTGACGACTATATGCCACTTGCAAGCGCGAGGGCGGATGTGACGAGTAAGAAGAAGGGGAAGGGCAAGGCTGCTGTAGGGGCCAAGGCCAAAGCGGAGGCGGTGGAAGGCAAAGTCCTCCTGGGCAAGCGCAGCCACTCCAGCAGGTCGGTGTCGCCGGTGAAGCCGGTGACGAGGCGGCAGGTGGGTGGAGTCGTTATCTGTGTACTTCCAATTGGGGTGCCCTGTCCACGGGGCACGTTTGCGTTGCTTGCTAACGGCGTGAAACTGCTCTAGCGGACGACAACGGCGACGAAGGCGGATTCCACGGCGGCTGCGATGAAGGCCGCGACAAAGGTGAGTTGTGGGTGTTGCGTATTTGGTGTTGATAGAGCCGCGTTTACAGAGCGAGAACAAGCCGACGAGGCAGAGGAAGAGGGGGTGAGATGACCGGTATATGTCGCATCATTCTGTTGCTTTTGACCGAGATAAGGTGGGTGACCTTCCTGCTACTTGTCCGTGATATCATGACGAGTCTCAAAGGAGGATAACGGACCTCAGCTTAATGCGCATGCTTTCGATATTTATGCGTACATTCTACTATCCTACTGCAACGAGTCATTCTATGTTGGGTATTCACGACGTTCAAGAAATCAAGCTTCACGAAAAGTGCACGATGAGTGGACGAATGGCAATCCATCGTGCGTCCAGAGACTTTTGGGGACGATGACGATGGACTCGAGTACTCCTGCTGCTGCCACTCGAGCAGAGGGAGCGGTTGATCAGTCGGATCGGATGTCGTCGCTCTCCACTCGAGGGGTAGCGCTGTCCCCCGAACTCGATCGAACAAGTAACGGCTAGACAAGGGGCTGCATTATCTGATTGCGAGAACATGTGTGCTATCGCCAGCGCGCAGCCTCACCCATGGGAGTCTAAGCCCTCTCCCGTGGACTGGACGTGGGTTACTAAGCGACTAAACCCTTCCCAGGACCAGCACCGGCACACGTGAATTCCCCCGCACTTCCCCGCCATCGCAGACCGCGGACGGCTGCGCCCATCGATGGATTGGGCTATACGATGTCACCCGAGGCACCTCGGCCGGTATCGCAGGAGGACCCTCGGCCAGTATCGACGGCCAGTATTCCGGCATCGCAGGAGGACCCTCGGCCAGTAACGCAAGATGACCCTCGGCCAACGATGCTGCAGCGATGAATCGAGCGTTCGTAGACGGTACAGGTCCATACATACATGATGAATTCAACCTCAAGATGAATCCAACCTCGAGATGAATCCGGGGCTGGACTGTCATCAAGGCGCGCGCGGTCATTTCGGGAGTACTCAGGTTACCGGATTGAAAGAGGAAGGTGGTCCTGAGCGTGGGTGCAGGGGCCAGAGAAGGTGGTCTCCCTTGGCAGCTGTTCGCAAAGAAGGAGAGCACGAGTGCGGTGAGACGTGGCGGTACCTGCAGTGAAGCAGAGGAAGGTCACAGGAAGGTCCCAGGAAAGACCCAGGAAGGACCAAATATCGACGCCGCAGGAAGGACCAGGCATTGACGCCGCGGGAAGGAAACAACATTGACGCCACAGGAAGGACCAACTTTCGTGGCAGGGACCAGAAGGCCCAATCAATGAAGCACGGATCCTTCTCGAACTCAAGCCCCTTCGTGAGCGAGAGGGCTGGCCAGGAAGCCACAGCCGAAGCCTCAGGCTCGTAGACAGACGGTGTAGCAGCACTGAAGGTGTGGTCTGCTGACCCGCTTTTCATCATTAGTGACGGTAGACAGAGGGGGTGACCCACAGGAGGAAGGCGGCCTATGTCATCGGCACATCGGGAGGGAGGAGGAACATCGTCGAGAAGAGGAACAATGGGCAGACCGAATGGACAATGGGCAGTATGAATGTTTGATGATGGTGCTCGATATGGACGTGCCCGATATGCGTACCTAAGGCCCGGGCGAGCGGATAACCGATAGGTGCGGTATGTCATGAAAGGGACAGGGAGAGGACGCTAATTCGCCATTGTCAGATTTGCGGTGGTGTGGGGCCGTGCTTGCAGGAGGCTACGAGGGCGGCGATAGACGTCAGGTGGGTAGAATGAGCCAAAGATGCTGCAAGGCGAGTACACTGTTCATTGCAGTAAAGTGCTAGTAGTCGCGCAGCTATAGAAGCCCGAGCAGCGGCGTGGACATGGTGGACGGAGGAGAGAGGCTTGCTTGCCACAATCAGCGGAGGGAGCGCATGGGGTGCCCTTGCGGCCCGTTTAGGTAAGCGCGCGGGGGGTTCCCTCCCATTTCCGGGCTGATTCCGGGGTTTGTGTCGATTTGGGGTTGTTCTGCAAGGCGGCGAGGCAGGAATGCCCAGTTGTCCTCCCCCGTCACGCTGCCTGCCTGCTCGACATCTGGAACCACTTTTCTCGCGTTCGATAGACGTCCCGCGACGGACGAATAAGGCCCGCACCCTCTGACGACACACGGGAACGGCCCGGGCCTCAATGTCCTATTGCTGCAATTGACGGCTCCAAGCACACACCAGCCCCAGCCCACCGGCGGAGCCATCTCTCCTCGACGAGCGACGCGTCATACCGCTCTCTTCCCTCCCGCATTGCCATAGATTCACGCTCTCCTCCCGATTGTAGACCGGGGCGCGCATCATCCGCCAGTCGTCCCCGACGTTGATTCCGTTTGAGTTTGTTTCCGGAGAACCTGCCTTTTGTCTCCGAGACCGTGCGCCTTCAATTGTGCCGACAGTGCTCAGGCCTAGCTGGTGCGTTTATAAGCCTGCTCGCACCCATCCGAACGCTGACCCGTGCCCCCATCATGCAGCCGCACCAGCACAAGATGGCCACGTCCTCCTACCCGTACAGTAACGCGTACGCCCCTCGAATACCTCCCCCCTTCAACGGTGTTGCACCGCCAATCCCGCAGGGCATCAACGTCAATCCCCAGCAATGGAGTCGCGGGCGCTGGCAGTTCAATCCCGCTTATAACCCCGCCGCTCAGCCCGCGCAAGCCCCCGCCGTTCCGTGGATGGCTGGCAATCAATGGAACCAAGGCCGCCCGCCACAAGCCCAGCAACAGCAGCAGGCATCGTACAATCCGTACAAGCGCCAGCCGCGCGCGCCCACCGCCGAGTACCTGTCTTACAAGCTGTCCGACAATCCTCTGGGATTGACGGACATGACCTCGAGGTGCGCCACAACGCCGCAGGCGCGCCATTATCGCTGATAGACTCGATGCAGAGAAGAGCTTTACGGGTCTGAGTCTGCGCAGACCCCGTGGGTGTGGGCACCTTCGGAGCTGCTGGAAGACGAGGATGACGAGGACGAGCAGTCGGAAGGTACATCTAGTCAGGGGCATGGTTCCAAGTCGAGTCGGCCTAACTCCTCGTCACAATCATGGCATGGGTATGAGGGCAATAACTTTCCTGCTAGCATTCGGACGAAGACCTTCCCCACCCGTCAGTCGTCAGACCCGCCTGGCACGCCGAACCATCATGGTACCCCGTCGCGCTCGAGTAGCACGCAGCCGCAGCAGCAGCCGCAGACGCCGGAGAGGAATGTGGCGCTGCAGCCGACGTTCTCATCGAAGATCGTCGTGACGCCGAACTACTACCGCACGCACTCACGCAGCTCATCTGCGATGGGACACTCGGGCGGGCAGGACTCGCTCACGGAGCAGATGGAGCGCGTCAAGATCTCGTCTACCGCGCCCACGCCGCTCGGCCGGCATTCCTCGATGCCTGCTGTGCTTGAGTCTAGGACAAGCCCGCCGAACGTCACGAACACCTCGATCACGCACGAACCGGATTCCATCCTCAGCCCACTGGTTATGAGCGAGAAGCCCATACCCAGCAGCGGAGGGCGGCCTCTCGGTCGTCACGCCACCGCCCCCTCCGGTGCGCTCGACGCCATCCCCGAGAGCGCGTCCCTCCCGCCGATGCACTCCGCCTCCCAGGCCGCCGCAACAACAAAGCGGCGCAAGTCCACGAAGTCCAGCAAGTCAAGTCGTCACACCAGCCCCACGTACTCGTACGAAGAGATCGACCGTGAGCCGACACCTCGGCAGGGCAACCCCCTCCCGCCACCGCCGCAGGAAAGCCGGATAGCAATGCCGTATAGCCTCCCGCCCGCGCAGAGCGCGTCCTCCAGCACGCGCCCGCGCGGGCCCGGGAGCAGCAGCACGACCTACGAGTACCGCGCGCCCTCCGTCGCCGAGCGGCGCGCGCAGACCTCCGCCGAGCAGCGCCCGGACTACCGCCCCGCCGAGTACCGCTCCGCCTCGTCCATGGAGTACCGCTCGGCCTCCTCTGCCGCCGCCGCCGCCTCGACGAAGAACCCGCTCCCCGCGCCGCCCGAGGAGTCGCGCTTCGTGCCGAGCGCGGTGTCGCCGGGCTCGGGGCGGCGGCACCCGCGGCGGAAGGGGTACTGGAACCGGCGCGGGGACCACCTCACGCCCGAGGGGTACCTGGTGTACGCGCCCCTGGGCAAGACCTACCCGCGGGAGCTGCGCGACTACCCGGATGGGGAGGAGGGGTACAAGGACGAGAATGGGTCGATAGCGAAGTTCTCAGCGACGAGGCCGGAGCTGCCTGATAGCCTGCCACGGCTGGGGAGGCCGCCCGCAAGGCCGTATGAGAGTGTGAGTGGGGTTTGTGGCTGAGGAGGGCTGGCGGTGTGCTGATGAGCTTTGCTTTGCAGTTCCTGGTGTACGTGGACTGACGCTAGGAGGCGCTGGAGAGTCTCCATCACGACACGCACAATAACTGACGAGGAGGGCACCGAGACATGGGCTGCGTGCGGACGAGGGCGTTTTGCACGTCTGCGCTTTCGCTCTTCGTACCGGCGTGCTGACCTATGGCTCGCGATGCCGCCGCCGCCTCACGTTACGCCTCCCCAATTCCTCAAGGTCCCCTCATACATCCCTTCCCGTTCCTTCTGCTCAATTTCCGTCTTGTCTGTTCCCATATCGCCGGTGGTTTGTGCTCATGTCCCGAGTGTACATACACATGTAGCATCGCACTGTATTAGCCCTGTATCCAACATCCTCTCAACCTACCACCTATAGCCAATGTCATCATGCCTCTGATTCGACTCACTGGAGTGCATGAATGCGCGCAGAGTGGATGAGGAAAATGGTTCGAAAACAGAAAGTCGCAACCGGCGCGTCATTATACGCGAGGTGGACGTACGACTAGTTCGTAAGGGAAGGAAGGCTTGAGACTTGAAGCAGACGAGTGGCCGGGCATAATGATATGATGCTCAGCTCTGCGCACTGCGGGTAAGGGCAAACACCACAGGAGGCAGGTGGAAGCGCTCTGGTGATTTGGGTTACATTACGGTGCGTAGACGTGGTCCTCCAAGCAGCAAGACCGTCCAGGGCCTCAGTGCGTCTCCTTCTCTGACTCCTCAATGAAGCGCTTGATGCTGTCCATCCTGTCGTTAGTCGTCGACAACCTGGCCTTTTCAAGAAGTAAAAACATGCGTACAATTGCTCTTCCTCGCTAAACATGCGCGTCAGTCTTCCTGTCCTTCGCATATGCAGCGGCAGACGCACCTGGAGCCAGCAGATATGGGGACCGCCTTCTCGACCTTCTCCGCCAAGCTCTTCGGCTGGTCCTTCTTGGAGCCGCCGGACGCGGCCATGGCGATCGCAGCGGTGCCGCCGAGGACGGCGATGGAGATGTACTCGCTCGCAATCTTTTTGCCGAAGATGACGCTGGAAAAGAGGGAGGGGTGAGAGAGCCGCAGAGACGACGAGGAACGGTCGCGTACTAGGACATGGTGTCGGACGGTAAGGAAATGCTGCAGGCGAGCGGGAACGGCGTGACGACGGGGTGTGTGACCCGATCCGTGCCGCCGACAACGCGGGCACGTGCAGGATGCGCCCACGAGCATCAGCGCGTGTTCGATCCTTGTCCTGAACGATCATCATCGTGCAATCCATCTTCACTGACAGCCTCATAACATCCTATCTTTTTGCTTCAGCTAAGCTCTCGCATATGTCAGACTCGCCCTCGGAAAGTAATCCGCGGAAAGCGACATTCAAACTACCGCCTGCTCCAGTGAGGGACAAGGTCGCTGCCCAGGAGGTGCGGCGGAAGAAGGTACGCGAGAACGGGTGCAATGGATCGTGAGAGGGGTTGAATCTTGATGTGCATAGGCTCTGGAAGAGCAAAAGAGAGTGAGTGAGCTGCGTCGCATGCGTGCACGGTTCGATCGAACATCATCAGCGACGCGCAGAGAAAGTCGACTCGGCGCGCCTACAGCTTGAGAGCTTTGCGAAGCTGTCACTGGAGGATAATGACTCTGATGAGGACCAAGGCTCATATGTCATGAGGGATAAGGGTCTGAACAACTACAAGGGTGTAATTGACGAGGTGCGACCCCCCAGAAGGAGGTGCGGACGCCACTGATCATTAAGCAGGAGATGCGGGAGCAAGACACACCAACAAAGTCCGATCTCCCCACTCAGTTTACCGGCAAGCGCAGGAAGAGGAAGGGGAAGAAGAGCAAGCTCCAGGTCATGCACGTGGAGCGTCAGCCTCCCAACCCAAAGTGGGCAGATAAGTGCATGTACGCTGAGCTCCTCGAGATGTCAGAGGACATGCCTTGGGATTCGGACGGCATACCTGCCGACATCGAGACAGGATGGGTGGCAGTGGCACCAGTGCCCGTGGGCAAGCGATGCTTGGTTGTGACCTCGATGCCATCCGGGACCAATGCTACAGGTGCGTCGGCAGAGCTAGATGCGACCTTCTTCTGTAAGCTGATAATACTTGCAGCCCTTCAAGTTCCGAACACGACATTGCGTTCAAGATTGCTAGGAAAGAGCCTCATACCTCCATTCCCCTCTCCCTTGCCGCATGCAACAGTCCTGGACTGCATCTTGGACGATCACTGGCGGGACAATGGAATACTGCACGTCCTGGATGTACTCAAATGGAAAGGGCGCGACATGATGGAATGCGAGACGGCTTTCCGGTGTGTACGCTCCTCATGTCCGGTCTCTGCCCGTCGCTCACTTCATCTGCACCCCCTCAGCTTCTGGTGGCGCGACATGCGCCTCGCCGAACTCCCACCCTCCGTCACGGTCTCGTCATCCACCTTCCCCTCCGCTCCCTTCGTCTTCCGCGCCTCCTCCGTAACGTCCGCCACCGACGGTCTCCTTACCCCTCACAATCTCCCGCCGCTCCTTCCCTCAGCACCTCGCACCCCTTCCGCAAACCCCCTCACGTCTCCAACAGGACGAAAAGGCGGGCCAAGCGGCACAATACACCGCTTCGCATATCCAGTACTCTTTGTGCCGATACCGTACCACACGGACACGACGATTCCGAACTTGTTGAACTTGGTGCTGCCGCTGGCGAGGGCGGCGAGGCAAGTCGAGGTGCCCCCAATTCAGCACGTTGAGGTCTTGGTGGACGAGACGAAGGGCGCGGAACCCAAGAAGACGGGCGCAGAGCAACAAGGTGACATGGAGGTCGATACAGCGCCTGTCAGCCAGCAGAAGACCGACACCAACAAGAACCGCCGCCCCTCCAAATCCCACCGCGTCGTCCCCACCGGCACGCACACCGTCTCGCCCACCGGCGCCCACGTCGTCTCGCACGCGAACACGAACATCGTCTCGAAGCAGGCCGCCGCCGTGCGCGCGTGCCCCTACCCGAACGGCGCGGCGCTCGCGAGCGTCGAGCCGGACGGGCTGCTGCTGTACGTGGCGGAGGCGATGTACGAGCAGGGGACGAGCCCGCTGGCGAGCTGGGTGCCGATACGGAGCTACGAGCAGCCGGAGTACCCGCATCCGGCGAGCGAGAAGGCGGGCATAGTGCAGGGGAGGATGAGCGGGAGCTCGGGGAGGATGGCGAGGGGCCCGAATGATGGGCCGTTGGATGTGTTTACGAGGTAAGCAGCTTCTTTCGAAAGGCGAACGATGGGATACTCAACTATGCGCTATCAGGCTGATACAGAGACGTTGGGATTGGAGGGACGATGCACAGAAGGGCGCGGATGTCAATATGGAGGTGTGATGACGATGTGCTTGTTAGTTGGTCCAGCCTCGAATAACAATGTGCTTTGACCTTCACCATCAAGCTTGCCTTTACACCGGCCGTTGCTAGTGGCCATTAACATCATCGGTAACCGCAGCCTTTTCCAGGTCATTGCGTTGACCCTTTCTCCTACAGTGGCTCCGGCAAACGAGCTCGAAGATGCAATGGCGGAGGACACTCATAAATTGACCCATCGCTGCCACTCTGCTTTCTGCATCTTCTCAGCATGTCCTCGTTCGACTCAGACGCACTTCCCTCCATGCCCTTCGACCCATGGCCATGCGAGCGTAGCACATGGCACCTCCACTGGGAACTCCCTTCCGACTGCCTCTTCACGAAATATATGCAGGACCCGGACGCTGCTGACCCGCGCGATGAATACCGTGCCTCCGTCCTACCCATTGGCTTTCCGGACGGGCCTGTTGCACGCTCGAGGGCCACTCAGCTTTGCGAGAGAGGCCTGGGCGTGCCGCTTCCCAGAGTTCGTCAGTGGGAGCGGTCGAGCGGCGCGCAGCTGCGACCTTCATACCTTGCTGCGAAAATGCCACTCGCGCGAAACGTCGGCCCCGGTCGGAGACCAGAAGCCGCATTGCGATCTTGCGAGCCCAAGACGAAGGAGGAGCTCGCCATAGAGCGATGGGAACGGGGGACGAGGGATGGGGATCCCAAGGCAGACGAGACGCTGTTCAAGGAGCTCGAAGAATTGTGCGACCACGCACTGAAGAAGGTGGAAAGCTCGTTGAAGCCACCGCGATCTGCGATCTGCTTTCTTCCTCCGGTCCAGGGGAACGTTGAGGGAAAGGAAGTGAGGGAGGACGTGGCGAACATCGCGGCGGGGCAACCCATCCAAGTCACAAATAACTCCACCGGCACGGTGGAGAGGTCCGCCGAAGTCGGGCACGACGACCCCAAGCAGCCCAGGAAGGGAAAGAGGCGTGACGTCTCCTTTACGCTGCAAGAGGTGCCGCCGAAGAGGGTGCGGCTGGCGAGAGACGAGACCAAATCCTTTGTGAGGTGATGCGATGTGAGGAGGAATAATCTGATTACATAAGTCCAGCTGTGGCATGTCTCTGAGGATCTACGGATTATTCCTCGGAACGACGGAGTCCCTGTCTGCTTCGTATAAGTACACATCTTGAGCCATCAGCCAAGATACGTTGTGGTACTTACTTCAGTCATAGCTAGACCTCATTTCTGTCACATCCGATACGATATAGTTATTTGCCCTAGGCACTGGAGGGCATCGAAATTATCTGGGGCAAACGCTGTGGGTCCACTTAAATGGTACCATATGGGGATGATCTCGCGTGAGCGACGGACGCATTGAGTCGGTAACTGCCGATGCAGCGCCTTTTGTCCCCGTCTCCCATTTGCCAAGCTCGCTGCGTCACGGACTACATGTATCACAGAGCCGCAAGCATCAGGAAAAACCTCGAATGGCTATAATCCTCGAATGGACCAGTGCGTACACCAAAGGATCACATCTTCATTGCTTGACTCAATGTAACCATAGCACCTACGCGCCAGGACCACACAGGCTTACTTCCCCCAATGCCCATCGAGATCTACGAAGAAATCTTTGAATACGTAGCCGCTGTCAGCGATCCTCTACAAGACGGGCCCACCTCAGAGGCCGCTGTCACACGCAGGACCTCCCTCGCCAACCTCGCTCTCGTTTGCCGTCTCTTCTGCTCGCTATCCCTACAGCATCTCTTCCACACCGTCGTCTTTCACTACAGATATGAGAACCCACCCAGCATGGCCTTCGCGCGCGCTCTTGTCCAGCAACAGCCCGCCGCTGTCGCCCTCGCGCCGCTCGTGCGCACCGTCGTGTTGGCGCATTGGCATCCAGAGGACCTGTTCGATCAGGCGGTCTATCGAATGCACCAGCGCGCGGCCAGAAGGCTGCCAGGTGTCGCTCAGATCGTGCTCCGCGACGCCCCATTCACCACGGACACCTTGCGCACCCTGCGTCACTCACCCTGTCTAAAGGTCCTGCGCCTCGAGTCAGTCGAACTCGACGGTTACGCAGAAGACGAAGATGACCTCGACCTGGCTATCCCGCCTGTAGAAGAGCTCGTCATCCTGGATACTATCATCCCGGGAAACGGATCCTTGCATGTAACTGTAGACACGAGCAAGCTGCAGGTCCTACGGGTTAACCTTGACAGATCACTGGAGATTGTCTTGGACTCTTCACCACCGGTCTTGAGCGTCCTGGACGTCGACTTTGCTCACTATGGACACTCCATGCAAGCAACGGATGATATACTGGTGTCCTTGCGCACCTACCTGGCCAGCGAGGCGGGACGTAGGCTGAAGGAGAGGATCATACGCTTGCCAGATCATATTCCGGCCATTCCGACGATCATGTCTTCGCGCCTCCAGCAGGACGCTCGATGACTGGGAGGGCTATGAGGACGGATCCGACTCTGACGGAGAGCGAAAGCAGCGAGCGAGATGTTCGTCGTTCGCTAAACGTCGAGGCGTCTGAAGGGCGTCGCTGGTCAATCGAAGGCGTCGCGGGTACAACGTGCGCAATCCTCCGAATATGTGGCTTGCCGATGGCGACGTGTCCGTTCTGCGAACAAGGCCATAAACATGTCTCGTTCCGAGGACTTGGCGAGGGGATTGGATCAGTGCTGAATGTATCGTCGGGTCTCAAGTGTGCTTCATAGCCATACGATCCTGTTCTCGATAGTCTGCTATCTGTCTGTTCCCCCCTCTCTACATACAACCGCTCCTGTACACTACTGCATAGAGCCTGCATACCATTCTCGCTGCTTTTCCCATCCCATTCCCACAATGACAAGTCTGAGCACCTCGCCGTTGATCGAAGCGTCGGCTGACGGCAAGTGAGTCACCGCACCTCATGACGACTGGCGAAACGTTGCCGTACTGTATACGAGCACTCTTGCCGGCAACCTCGGGACCTATTCACTGGGTCCAACTCGTACTTATATGTTCGCTGAACGTTGAGAGCAGACTCCAGCTTGAGTCCTCCCGACGTTCATTGGTATGCCTTTCTTCAAGTCGCGCCCCGCACCAGCCGGCTTCGGCGAGGGCAAGACTCTCCCTGAGGGTAGCGCATGGTGGGTTGTCTCTGAAACTATTGTACATACTACAGCCAGCTCACCACACCACGCCGACGCAGGCCATGGTCGCGGCTCGTGTTCAGCTGGCTTGACCCCCTTCTCAAAGTTGGTTTCTCACGCCCTCTCCAAGAAAACGGTACGCGAAACTCCATTCCGTCCTTTATGGCCTCAAACCTATCAACCTCACCTCAGATCTTTGGTCCCTTCCCGATAAACTTACCACCGGAAGCATCGCCGACCGCCTAGAGTACAACTTTTACGTGCGATGTCCGCCCGAGCAGCGTCCGCTCGTTGTGCGGGAGCGCCATCCCGCCCTCGCGTCCGGTGTCCCAACGGCGCAGGGTAAGGAGCGGGACGAGAAGACGCTGGCAGAGGTCTCATCTGCGTCAGCAGAGGCGAAGGAGAGCGACAAACAGCCTCCGAAGAGCCCGTACGACGAGTCGCTCATCAAGGCCATCCATCGCACCGTGCTGCTGCGGTGGTGGTTGGGCGGTCTTTTCAAGGTCCTGGGTGGTAAGCAAGAAATTAGATTCTTCCAACTGCTTCCGAGTCTTTTCCTCAGATACCCTGCGCACGACCTCTCCGCTCATCCAGAAGGTCATGCTCGGATGGCTCGCCGAGGCGTACTTGTTCGACCACCTCGACGCAGACGGCCGTGACTCCTATTTCCCGAACGGTGCGCCGCGCGGCATTGGTTACGGCATAGGTCTCGCCTTCGCGCTGTTCGCCATGCAGGAAGTCGCCAGCTTGGTATGCAGATCAGCACAACCATCGAATAAGGGCTAATCCAATCTTTCTAGTTCAACAATCACTACCAGCAGCGTATGTATTTTTTTTTATCAGCGCGCCGCTCCCCGCTCACCTTTGTGACTTCGTAGTGGTCAAGAGCGTCGGACTGATCACCAGGACGGGCGTGAGTGTCTAATCTGGCAATATCCTATCTCGGAGCGCTGACTAGACGAACGCCAGGTCATCGGCATGATCTTGCGCAAGGCTCTACGTCTGTCTGGAAAATCTCGCCAAGAGCACAATGTCGGTCAGATCACCACCATGATTTCGACGGACACGGAACGGTTGTACGAATTCTGCCTGTATGCACATGAGTGCGTCCGATTTCCCCCTCTCGTGAATTTCACCCCAGAACTCACATTGCCCACAGAGCCTGGGTCGCACCCATCCAGGTTGCTATCGGGATCGGCCTGCTCATCCACTTTGTATGCTCCCAATGAGAAGTCTCGTTCTCATTTTTGCTGACAGCCTTACAGCTCGGTGTCTCCGCCCTCGTCGGTCTCGGTGTCCTCATCTTCGGCCTCCCCTTCCAGATGATCATGGTCGCCGTCCTGTTCGCCCAGCGCAAGAAGGGTGTCGGCATCACGGATGGTCGTGTCCGCCTGACTAGTGAGGTCTTGCACGGTATCCGCCTGGTCAAGGCCTACGTCCTGGAGGAGTTCTACATGAACAAGATCACCGACTTCCGCAGGAGAGAGCTGGCGACTATCCGGCGTGCTTCGTGCGTAGCTGCCCTCAGACATTGGGCATGGTGTATTAATTGTTACTCTCCAGGATTGCCCAGGCGTTGCTCTTTGCGTCCGTGCACGTCGTTCCCGTAGCGGCTGCTATTCTGTCATTCGTGCGTCTCCAGCTTCTGTCATCCTGCTTGAAACCCTGAACGTGCATTTCTCAGGTTACATACTCGCTCACTGGTCACGACCTCAATGTCGCCATCATATTCTCGTCCTTGTCGCTTTTCAACGTGCGTTTGTTCCCCTATCATTCATCCCTCTCACTCAACCCCACATAGATCATCCAAGCGCCCCTGCTGCTGATGCCGCTCGCTCTCGGCGGTCTCGCCACCGCCCTCGTTGCCACCGGCCGCCTGTCCAAGTTTTATCTCGCAGAAGAGCTCGACGACCCGTACCTCATCGACCCCGAGCGCAAGAACGCCGTCGACGTCGATGGTGACTTTACTTGGGAGTCGACGGCCGAGGAAGGCAAGGCCGCTGACGCCAAACCTGACGAGAAGGCCGACAAGCCTGACGAGACGGCTGACAAGTCCTCGGCTGTGACAAAGACCGGTGAAGACGAGAAGGTGGCTGGCTCATCCGCTGGCGAGAAGGGCAAGGAGCAGGAGGCGAAGGACGAGAAGCCCGCGGAGCCCGTCTTCCAGCTCGAGAACCTCAAGATGTCGGTGCCGAAAGGCGCGTTCGTGGCTATCGTCGGTCCTATCGGTTCTGGGAAGGTAATTCCACTTGCTCTATCGCACACAGGACGTGACTCTGACATGTTTGATAGAGCTCCATCTTGCAGGCTCTCATCGGCGAGATGAGGCGCACTCGTGGCGAGGTCATCTTTGGAGGGTCCGTGGCATACGTCCCGCAGAAGCCGTGGATTCAGTCGACCACCGTGCGTCAAAATATCGCTTTTGGTCTGGAGGAAAACGAGGCGAGGTGAGCATAGCCTCCTTCACTTATCTTCACCGCTGATATGATGTCGAACAGACTTCGTGCTGCTATCCGGGCCTGCTCTCTCGACCACGACATTGAGAGGCTGCCTATGGGCGAACGCACTGAGATTGGCGAGAATGGTGTCACGCTCAGTGGAGGACAGAAGGTGGATATTACACAATTTCATCCCGAGTTCAGGTTGCTCACGTGGTTGGCAGGCTCGCATTTCTCTGGCGCGTGCCGTGTACTCGAATGCCGACGTTATCCTGCTGGACGATGTCTTCTCCGCCGTCGACAGCTATGTTGGCAGGAAGTTGCTGGATGAGTGTGTCGCCGGTGGCGCTCTGGCAGATCGCACTCGTGTCCTCGTCACGCACGCTCTGTACGTCTTGGATCGCGCAGACTACGTGTACGTCGTGGACGGTGGCAAGATCGTCGAGCAGGGGACGTACCAGGTAAGCTGTACATGCCTCACATCTTTCTATCAAAGCACACTAATTTATTCTGCAGGATCTCATGTCGCAGGGTCAGACCTTCGCTCGCCTCGTAGAGGAGTACGGCGTCAAGAACGAGGACGCCGCAGTCTCGAAGGCTGAAGATCGCAGCGAGACGGCCACTATCGTCGATGCTAAGGCCGTGGACGTGCCCCAGCAAGCTCTGATGCAAGACGAAGAGCGTGCCGTCGGCTCCGTGTCGTGGCGCGTCTACCAGAAGTACATTCGCTACGCGGGCGGTCTTACTTGGGTCCCTGCCATCATCTTGATTACGGCTCTCGGTCAATGCTCTCAAGGTGCGAACTGGGCTTCATTTTTCTCGTTATCGTAGCTCATATGGTTTGCAGTCGCCAACACTCTGTTCCTTTCCTTCTGGTCTTCGCAGTCTATTGCCGGATTCTCGAATTCGACATACATGCTGGTTTACGGGATGCTGGGTGTGTTTACTAGTTTTGGACTGAGCGCGCGGTGTCTGACCGCATATCATCAGGTGTCGCCCAGGCCGTCTTTTCCTTCCTGCTCAACTTCGCTGTCGCGTAAGTGACAGTCTGCGCCTCGCGCACCGAAAGTACTGATGCATCCGGTACAGCTGTATCTGCTTGTTCGCAAGTTTGCGCATCTTCCGTGCCGCTCTGCGAAGCGTCTTGCGCTCGTCCGTGGCTTTCTTCGACACTACGCCCATGGGTCCGTCATGTTTTGCGTTTATGTCTTTCTCTCCCTGATAAGCTCAACAGGACGAATCATGTCTCGTCTGTCCAAGGATCAAGACACGCTCGACGTGGCGCTCGCTACTTCCCTGGCGGTCGTACGCCTCATCACAATTCCTTTTGACCCATTTCTGACTCCCCTCAGCTGCTTTCTCTCTTCGGAAACCTCCTTGGCACCGTCGGCCTGGTGTTCTACATCTTCCCCTACCTCGGCATCATCTTCGCGCCTCTGGGAATACTGTACTACGTTGTCGCCCTGTACTACAGGAAGTCATCTGTCGAGACCAAGCGCCTGGATGCTATCCTGCGCTCTTCGTTGTATGCTTCGTACACAGGTAAGTTGCTCCGACGATGTGCAATGATTTTATCACTCACAGTCTGTCGCAGAGGCTTTGACTGGTCTTCCTACGATCAGGGCTTACGCGTCCCAGGATCGCTTCATCACGAAGTCTGAGCAAGGACAAGATCGCCAGAACAAGGCCACTTACGTCTCCATCTCGATCCAGGTATGTCTACGCTACTTCCTTGTTCTCATCGCTCACTCTTCGCGCAGGCGTGGTTGACTGTCAGGCTGGACCTCTTCGGTAACATGTGAGTTGCGCAATCGTGAATGCATAAACCCTCTGACTTGCCTCAGCCTGATTCTGGGTACGGGTCTCTTCGCGGCCGGCTTCCGTAAGTCAGTCGATCCAGCGAAGATCGGTGCTATCATCTCGTACTGCTTGCCCAGTGAGTCTCGCTTCAACGCACATACTACTATACGCTAACAATCTTTCCAGTCACCACGACGCTCGGTCAGTGATCTACGAGCAGTGCGCTTTGTCCGTGGCTCATGTCTTCAACTTCCAGACCAAATCGTCACCCAATACGCCGAGCTCGAACAGAACATGAACGCCGTCGAGCGCATCCTCAACTACTCGGAGCTGCCCGCTGAAGCCCCGCCCACCACGCCCGAGGACCCACCCGCGGACTGGCCATCCCAAGGCCGCATCGAGTTCAAGGACGTCGAGATGGCCTATCGCCCGGGTCTGCCGCTCGTCCTCAAGGGCGTTAGCTTCACTATCGAGCCTGGCGAGAAGGTCGGCATCGTTGGGCGAACCGGCGCGGGCAAGAGTACCGTCATCCAGGCTCTCTTCAGGATGACGGAGTTGCGTAGTGGCTCGATCGAAGTTGACGGTTACGACACCTTCAAGGTCGGCCTGGACGTCCTTCGCAGCCGCATGGCGCTCGTGCCGCAGGACTCTACTCTCTTCTTGTGCGTTGTCTCCTCTTGTTCTTATGCAACTCACGCTAACCTCGGGCTGTAGAGGAACTTTGCGCGAGAACCTGTAAGCTTCTTCCCTTCCTAGACACGTACCACTTAATTGACGATCTTTCAGCGATCCTACTGGTACCCGTACCGACGCCGAGTTGCTTTCTGCCCTGCACTCCGTCCATCTCGTGCACGAAGGCAACGCCGACGACCCCAAGTTCAGTCTCGACGCCGCTATCGCTGATGAAGGTTTGTATAGCCACGCTTTCTCTGTTGACCATATTTTGGTCAACCCGTCTCGCTGATACACCTACTCTAGGCTCCAACTACAGCGCCGGCGAGAAGCAGCTCCTCGCCCTCTGCCGCGCCCTCGTCAAGCAGTCGAAGGTCATCGCGCTCGACGAGGCCACCGCGAACGTCGACGTCGACACGGACGCGAAGCTGCAGCGCACCATCCGGACCGAGTTCAAGTCCAGGACGTTGCTGTGTATCGCGCATAGGTTGAACACTATTGGTGAGGCCGTCACTCCCTTCCCACGTCTACCGAGCCCCCCTCTGACCCTCCAATCTCAGCCTACTACGACAAGATCATCGTCATGGACGACGGCCGCGTCGCCGAGATCGGCTCCGTGCTCGGCCTCTTCGACACCGAGGGCTCCATCTTCCGCTCGCTGTGCAACGAGGCGAAGCTGTCGCGAGCGGATATCGAGAGGATTCGGGGACAAGAGCCGAGTTGAGGCTGAGTGGACTCGAAAATGTTTACGAGTTTTATTTGATCACTACCCCTCCAAGTCCCTGTCGTCACCCTTCATATCTACGACCATCCTCCCATATCACCTCTCTGCATCACCACCCCTCCAAATGCACCCCCCGCCTCGCATTGCTACCCTCGCAGCATCATACCCCAAATCGATCCGAGATCCACCTCTCCTACGCTACCTTACTCACCACTTAGACTGACGACGTTCGTTACGCCTATTTAGATGCTATGATCGTTGAAGCTGTTGCTTGCATCTTGAGGGGTGCGTTGCTTTGCAGGCCTGATAGAACGCTGCTTTCCGATGAGATTGAGTTTAAGATCGTGGGCTATGGAGTATACAAAGTACTCGCCTCGTCGATACCGTGTTCTCGAAGTCGGTATAGAAATGCATCACGGGAGCTGCAGCAGGGTAGGCAGCTCTTTCCCCATGACGCGCTCTGCTTCACTGATGTCACTGATTATTCGCGTCAGCGCTCAGAATGTCTTGATAGGACGCAATGGCACCGACTCAGAACCCCTGGGCGCCCAGAAAGCCTGACTGCCCGTCGGTTCGTGGGTCAATTCGATCGCATTGAGCGCGAAGTCCACAATGGAGGCGGCTGCCTCCAAGGCCTCAATGGCTCTTGTAAAGGGCGAGCATCATCCAGTGGCAGAAGGACTGGGTATCTGTTTACCTACCAATACTCATGGTATTCATCTAAGCCCACCGACTTCGTCATGTCTGTCTGAGCACCAAAGGTGTTTAAGAGCATGCATATTGATGCCCATGCTGAACGTTTCCGCATTCATGAAGACCAAGTCGAGCTTGCTGCCGTCAAGCTCAGAGACTATGCTTTCTCCGGTGTTCTGTATCACACTGACCCCCTAATCTGGCATTTTGCTACAGCGGATGGTGGCATTGCAGTGTGTCCGAGGGTGTGGTGACATTCTGCGAACCCAAAGCTAAGACCCCTGGAGGCGCCGAGGACCAGAGAATAGGCATGCTGGACGTAGATGATGGTAGCAAGTAAACATTCAAGTGAGCTTTTGTCCTTCTGCAGGGTCCTGTCGACGCCATTCAAGTTCTGAGCTGGCGCTCTCTTGCGGAGAAGTATACGGCTGATAGGCGCGAGATTTTGCGTCAAGCACCTTCGATATGTCAGAAATTCTTGAGTCACATACGGAATTGCTGGAGAGCAGGCTCTGAGCGTTACGTCCAGGTTTGGTCACGGTTGAAGACACGATCACGTTGACAAAAACACGCGACGCGTTGAAAGTTGACACATGTTTGGGCGGGCGTATGATCTGCTTCCGGCTCTTGTTCCCATTCATAACTTGACCGCTGCCACCACCGTCCCCCCACCTTGTTCTTTCCTTTGTACACACTTTACCATCCATATTCTCGCTTTATATCTGCCTCCCTCGATTTGTTATACCGCTTCCGAACCCTCCACCGGACCACAACCAACCCAGCGAAATAATGCTCGGAAAGCGCAGACTATCCGCCGGCCAGCTCGAGTCGCCCGCCAAGCGGCGCGCGACGAGCGTGCCGTGCACCCCGCAGAAGCCGCGGCCACAGCGAGCTTCCTATGTGCCCCGGCCCTCCCTCGACTTTAGCGGCCTCCCCGAAACCCCGCTCGACTCCCCCGGGAACCCCCTCGGCCGCCACCATGTCGTCAAGCTCTCCCGCCGGCTCCCTGACCCGTCCTCCTTCGGCAAGCACGTCGTCCTGCGCATGCAGCTCGTCGTCCATTCCGCGAAGCGTGTGCACCCCGTGTACCGCATCGTGCAGCTGCCGCTCAACTACACATTCACGCACCTCCGCGCCCTGATCGCCTACCTCTTCGGCGGCCCGCACGACGGGGACGACCACTCAGGCGGGCGGCACGTCTTCGAGGTGAAGCGCGACGTGGTGATGCACTCCAAGAAGCGCCCGGGCGAGATTTTCAGCGCTGTGACCACGGTCAAGCTCTCTGGGTCCAAGCACCCGTTCACCCACCAAGATGAGGAGAAGGTGTTCGACGACGATGAGGATGAGCTGCAGGAGGACGATACCCGCTGGGAAGGCGAGGAGGATTTCACGATCGCGCAGGTGTTCCCGATGGGACTCAACTCATCGGACGCCGTCAAGGACAGCTTGACGCGCGCTATTGTCTGGGTGCGTGCCACACAACAAGGCTTTTGTCTACCAAATACTGATATCCGCCACAGAAATCCAACACCAACCCCGCCGTCCAACTGCATCTCACGATCAACACCGAAGCCGTCAAGACCCGCCGCGGCAAGGGCAACGCGCCCTTCGTATTCAGAAGCCACGGGCAAACGAGCCTCCTCGCGCGCAATGACCTCGGCGATTATGACGACGTTGAGGAAGACGCAGGTGGTGACACGGAGACGGACGAGGAGGGCGACGAGACGGACCCGATGATCGCAAGGTGGAACAGGGAGGGCGCGTTCGAGAAGTTCTTCCGCAGACGGGCTATCCGCACTCTGGGCGAGCTCGAGGTCGATGTACGTGTGGCCGTCCATATCACCCTACTTTGACTAACGCAAGCGCCTATCTCATAGGAACCCAAAACCCCCGGCCTCACCTACTCCTCGTCCCCCACTCAAGCATCCTCCTCTCCCGTCCTGCCTACCCCAGCCAATGCAACGAACGTGTACCCCTTCCCCTCCGTCTACGCGTCCGGCCCCTCATCGTCCTACATGCACGGCAATGAGCTCCCCTTCTCCACCTTCCCCAAGTTCACGCCCCTCCCGAGCGCGCACCTCCGCAAACGGGTGGACAGCACGGAGAAGTTCATCGCGCTGGAGAAAAGGAAGCCGTGGATGACGAAGTACGATGAGGTGGATAGTGATCGGGGGAGCAGTGCGGAGCCGGAGGAGACGAGGTTGGGGCCGGCGCGCAAGCGGAAGGTGGCGGTGTCGGTGAAGGCGGGGGGCGAGCGCGTGCGGGCTTCGGCGCTGCTGAAGGCGGAGGCCTCACGCTCGCGATCTTCGGCTCTTCTGAAAGCGAGCGCTCCCATCTCGATGAAGGCTGTATCCTCGAAGCCGGCATCCTCCAAACCGGGACCCTCGCATGAGGCGGACGACGAGGAGCTGGACGACGACTTCCTCACCGAGATGCTCAGGCAGTCGCAGGAGGAGGACGAGGATGCTGCTCGGGCAGAGGAGGACGCGGGTCACGACGAAGAGGGTGCGGCACACGACGAAGAGGGTGTCGCACACGACCATGAAGAGAACCCGTTCTTAGTCGACGAAGACGAGCGCGCTGAACAAGAGGAAGACGAGCGCGCTGGAGACGAGGAAGACGGGCTCGCGGGTGACAATGACGATGAACTCGCGGGTGACAACGACGACGAGCTTGCGGGCGACGACGAACTGGTGTACGAGCGGCCGAGCGACGACCTGCTCGACGAGGACCTCTTCATCGACCTCACCAGGGAGGACGAGGTGTACGAGCGGGAGGTGTCGGTGGAGCCGTAGTTGTTCTGGCTTATTCCGCGCGTCTTGTTACTCTCACCGGCGCGTCTCTTTTCAAAGCGTCTTGTGCTATCGGCGCGTCTCGCTCGTGTCAGCGGCGCGCCTCCCTCGTGCCGCTGGTGCGCATCGTCCTCAATACCGGCGAGCATCCACCCTGCGCTTTCCACCCGCGAGGCCCGCACAGGCGCGTCTCGCGATATACGACAATCTCAATTTACCAACCTACGCATCGGTACCCCACTGGGCGACCCATTCCCCATGCATACAGGCCCCGCGATACGACTCCAGACTGTTCATAATACGCACCGACTCTTGCAGATATAGATTTGTTGACTGGTTCATAGCATATGTATCTAGGTTATAGTGGCAGCTGCAGAGCGACTTGATTTCCGAATGCGATACCTCCTTCATACTCTCTCTGCCCTATAGCAATATCGTATTTGCTGGCGAAATGTCTAAGCAGAGACAAAGCCACGGGCGCCACAGTGATGGTCAGTGGGCCACAGGGAATGAGGGTCAGCGACTGAGTCCGACAGCGCATGAAGAGCATTCGCAGATGGCATCTCGCGAGGCAAGATGTGAGGCAAGGGGAGCACCTGAGGCCCATGGTTTAGTCTGTCTGGTCGCTTGTCGAGAACAATGAAGCCTCCGGAAAAGGAAGGCTTTGTGACGCAAGTTAGTGATCTAGACCGACGTCACTGACCATTCCGGGCCTTCCTCCGCATTCGATCGGTGTTTTACGCAGAACGGTCACCAGGATGCCTGCGTGTTCTGCTCGGACTCTTGCCGGACTTTGATTCTCTTTCTCTCCGTTCCCTTTCACGAAACCCCCACGGCCCTTCCACGACTTACTGACTAAACGTGCCCGACGATGTACAACGTCAAGGCACCCCAGCGCCGCCCGCGCCGGCACCCTTACACGCGCATGTCGCACGACAACCTACGCCTGGATGGCTTCCCTCAGATAATCCCCACCCATCAACCTATCCCCCGTAAAACCTCTCTGGACGAGAACACCATCCGTGCACCCAAGGCCACCGCGCCACAGCCCGCGCCAGAATTCGACGAGGCGACGATCAAGGCGCGTCCACCACTCGCGGCCAGGTTCCCCGTGCAGCCCGAGGCCGAGGACCTCACCGTCCGCCCCACACCCGCCCACCCGCGCGGCAACATCGCGCTCTTCCGCGAGGTGCTCGACAAGGTCGCGCGCGAGGCGCGTGCCGAGGAGAAGGAGCGGCGGCGCGCGGAGGAGCTGCGGCGGCAAAGGGAGGCGGACGAGCTCAGGCGGAAAGAGGAGGCGCGCAAACGCAAGGTGGCCGCCCAGGACCAGTACCATACTGCGTGGCACTTCATCATCGCGGGTCGTGTGCACCCGGGCTCACTGCGCGTCGGGTCGTTCCCGTGGCCGGTGCTGCAGGCTGTGCGGTCGGCGGAGGATCTCCGGGTGGAGGATGTGGAAGAGTTTCTGTTTCGCGACGAGGGGCTTACGATGGGGCAGGAGAGGGACCGGCTGAGGCAGGAGATTCTGCGTTGGTGAGTGCCATCGTGCAGGCTTTGATGGATGGATGCTGATTGCGGCGAACAGGCATCCCGACAGATTCAACACGAGGACTCTCTCCTACGTTCATCCTTCTGATCGTGCTCTTATCCTCGAGGTGGCTGGTCGTGTCGCACGCATCTTAAACGAACTGAAGTCTCGCATGAACTGCCCAACTCCTTCACCTCCACACTCTCCAACATCACAACGCACATGAACAAATGTATCATAGCGAAGGCTGCAACCTTACGAACAGCAGCAACCCGTGCATACTGTCTCCCTTACTGATGGAGGAACATGAAACGGACCAAAGGACACTATCTATCGCTTTCGAGCTCTGCAGAGCGTGATGATACTTACTGGACAATAACGTACCTGACCGCAAGCTTAATGTACTACTGCTCCGTATATAAAACAATCCTACTCGTCAAAACCCATACGTTGTCGGCGGTCTCAGTCTACTGGTGTTCTCCTGCTCTCCGCTAGCTTTGTTATGCTCAAGGTGCACTTGTGGGTCCACGCTTGAGCTTACCACGTGATCCAGCCAATGTCCGGACCGCCCTCCCGACTTCCCCACATTCCACCTCACCGTCATCGCTACCGACTTGAAAGCTCTACTCGGGGTCTATGCTCTTGTCCTCAACCCACGACCCAACTTGCGCACTAATCTGTACCAGAAATGATGCGGTTCGTCGAGAAGGACGAAGCAGGGCGAGTTCGAAGTACGTTTGACAGCGAGGACAAGGTTGGACTTCCCCGCGTCCATCAGGCCGGTCACTGACACCTATTCCGCCATGTAGGAGATCACCAGAGTATCCGACTTCAGTACCCTACATATAGGCGAAGGCGGGACTCGAAGTGGCGCAGTAGATGTCTTGGCCAAGGTCTTCCTCCCTGCTGGCTTCCCGAATAGCGTGTCTCCTGGTGCGCGTATATTCAGTCCTCTCACAAGTGCACGAATCCTGATAATCCCTTTCAAAGACTACTTGAGGTGCACAGAGCCTGGGGGCCGTGGGTCTAATAGGATCGTCTTGACCTGCGGCGCAGGTACCAAATCTATAACGCGATCCAGGCGTTTTGCAGTTCGCTGGCAGGGCTGCTGTCATCGAGGGCATTGTTAGAAGGTGCGTTAATCGCTGCATTGATAAGAGACTATCTGACTAGTCTCAGGCTTTGGCGTGGGAGATGCAAATGCGACGGCCACGAATGCCGTCCTGCTTACGGTGGCGCAAGACGTCTTCAGCAGGCTCACCAGTTCGTCGGCCCTCTAAAGTTGACCCTATATACTTACTCATCCATGCACCCCAGCTATCATCGCCGCGTACCTCTTGGGCCCCTCCCTCTTTCCTGAAGCCAAGACCTTCCGCTTCCTTGCCGACGTCTTCAACGATACTGCCATCATCTTCGATGCGTCCACGCCCATCCTGCGCGCCTCCGGCCACGCGAACCTACGCGTCGCTGCCCTATGCCTCGCGGGCGCGTCAAGAGCGATCTGCGGCACCATATGTGGGGGCGCGAAGGCGGCTCTGACGCTGCATTTTGCGACGCCGCTGCGTGGTACTGGCGATATCGGTGATGTGAACGCGAAGGACGCGAGTAAGGAGACGTTGCTTGCACTAATGGGCATGCTGGTAAGCATTCTTTCTGAAGAAGCATACCTGATAATTAGCTGACGACGCACTGCCCAGGCCGGCTCCTTCGTCGTACACCACCTCAGCAGTACGCAGGCGACGCACGCACTCCTATTGGCGCTGTTAGCGGCGCATCTGACGGTTAACTACCTCGGCGTTCGCGGCGTCTGCCTGCGCACGCTCAACAGACAACGCGCCTCCCTCGCCTGGACCTCCTTCCGCGAGTATGGCTCAGCTCCCTCCCCCACCATCGTCGCGGGGATGGAAGGCATCCTCGCCAGACCGGGCGCAATCGTCCACGCCGGGGACGGCGGACACATCGGCTGGTGTACAATCGGGCGACGGCTCTCGAGAGTACCGCCAAGTCTCGAACTGTTCGCCCACGAACGATACGTCGCGTACTTCACTGCGCCGCGGCGAGTCGCCGTCGCCCTCAAAGCCGGCCACGACGGGGTGGACCACCTGCGCGGGTGGGTGCATGCGACGGAGGCGCTGTCCTTGCGAAGAGCAGACCCGGCAGCCCGGGACGAGGATGTCATTCGGAGGTCGTATGAGGTGGTGAAGATGCGATTTGAGGGTTTTGTCGAGGACATGAAGCGGGAGCAGTGGAGGATGGAGGCGAAGGTCATGGAGCTGCTGAGCGGGGTGCCGGAGACGGTGATCGTGGAAGCTGGGATTGAGCAGGAGAAACGGCCACTGTAGGTTCTTGGGTAATGTATGGTGCGTATGAACTGTTGTTATCTGGTCGACGCTCGCGCTGATGGACCTTCGCAGGCATTGTATCCTGGAGTACCATGTTGTCTGTTGTATTTCCATGCTAAAACACTCGAAGTTCTGCTGTTACGCGGGAGAACCTCACCTGCAAGCTACAGGTCGTAGCTTTTGCCACAATCATGGTAATGATGCCCTTCCGGCAAACGCCGGGCGGAGGCAATCAGCTCCGGTAGTAAATTCTTCAAAAAGCATCCAATTATCTAACCGTCCTGTATCGACATCATGAAAGGGTATATCGAATAGTCCATCCTGCGTCCGTGTTTGCTCAGTCTCCGAGCTCGGTCGAGATTTCGTCATGCTATAACTGAAGACCGTTCCTTGAGCTTCGTGGAGCGTTCGGGCTGCATCCCACTCACCTCTGTTACTCCGCCACCAGGTATTTGTCTTCATCTTCTGATACACAAGCCAGAGTGCATGCTTCAAGTTTAAATCAGCATCATGCCTTCAGGCAGCGGAGGGTATGCTTACTATGACTCCTAGAATCCAGAAGCCGAATCTATATGGTTCGGATCGTCAGCTCGCCAAACTCAACAGTCCTTGCATCGTCTCAGGCGCTTACATCGTCAATAAGAGGTTCACAATGAGGTCTGGCCCAATTCCCTTCAGCAGCAACGGTACCACAGGTGGAAGGAGAATGGCGAGCTGCGTGATTCCGGATCAGTGCGTCTCAATATTGCGAACGCAGATGACTTACGACGACAAAGAGCAGATCCTCGTTGGTTGGGTTAAGAGCCATGGTGGTTCGAGGTCAAGATACGAGATGCATGGTTGCGAGGAACAGGCGAGGCACCCGCGACGGTGGCGCGCGGTATGGATGATGTCATGGTCGCTGAGCTCGTCGACATGAAGAGACACGTGGGGTTAAGCATAGGCCAGAAGATTCGATTTCAAGGAGACGGAAGAACTTGGTAGTGTACAGAAAACAGAGAAAGAGGGAATGCGGATTGGTACATGGATCAGAGACTGAAAGAGGTCGTTCATGAGGTAGTCCCAGCCTTGCCGCAAATTTTCTTGTGCGCAGGCCACCCAGCTTTCTGGCATTGCGCGTCGCAATATCTGCGAGTAGAACGTCGGTTAGTATATGTCGATAGCCATGGGAAGTAAGCGTACCTGGTTTTCCCGCAGCCACTGCACTTGCGCAGGACGGCGCTCGGATTGCCGCAATATGAACAACGGTATAGCTGAAAGTCGTTCATCTTCAATTCCGAAGGGCGCTCTTCGGGGGTGCAGTGACAGTGCGCTCCATGAGCATGGGCGCCTGGCCCATGCGGTCCGCCATGTCCCTTTTCCTCGTCGCCCAGACCGGTATCGCGCAACCATTCCGCAAGCTCGTCTGGGGTGGTCTCCCAAGGCTCGGCCGCGCGTAGATGTTCCATCCTATCAGCGTGTGCGAGAACATGGGCCCATTCCTCGACCGCGGATGGATACGTGCGCACGACGGCCTTCTGGATGAGGCGCACTTGCGTCTCCCGTGGGCCGTAGCGCATCGCCTTCGCAAAGTCCTCGGCGATGCTAAGCTCACGGACCAATGGCTGCAGGAGGGTGAGTTTGCTATGCCGCTGAAGACTTGATTGATACGCACCTGAATGACGGCGAGGTTCTTGCCGACAGGATTCTCGCTCATGAGGAAAGTCAGGAGGATAAGGATGTACAGGACGATCAGCCTATGCCGATTATCCGGCGCGGCCTCCTCGAGAAACTTGTTCGCGTCCTCCATAGCGCTCTTCATCAACGCACACCCCTCCGCATAGCGAGTGGCACCGCCGATCTCATGCTTCAGCTGCAACCCCTCTATACCCAGATTAAACGCATGATCAGCGGCGTGCTGCAGCAGCTGTTGTCGTAGGTGGGGCGTCGTCTGCTTGCCTCGAAGTCCCTTCTTGCACGAGCGTAGACCCTCCTGACGGTCCCCGACGAGGCTGATGGCATAGTGAAAGTACGCGTGTTGCGGGTTGCGTGCAGTCGCCCGGCGAGTGAGGGTCAGGACGACCGGTATCTGACGCGTAACGGTGAGCGCATACTTGATGTCGAGGACGTCCGCGTCGTCAAGCTCGCCGGCCGCACGAAGCGCCTTAGCGCAGTGCGGGAGCGCGTCGATATACATCCTGAACGGCAGACCGTGAGGTGCCGGACTGAAGACGTCCAATGAGATGGCCTGCTCGCAGGACATGATGAGCTTGGATATCGTCCGTCCGAGCGCGACGTAGTCATGGTCGTCCGCCGCCTTGTAGATCGCGCGCCCAAATAGTGGCCAGGTGCGCTCGAGGATGCCATTCTCGGAGCGTTCGTAGCCGTAGCTCGTCAGAACGGCCTGCAAACGAGCTGGAAGGTGGCAGCCCGGTAGAAATCCAGGCGCGTCTTCTTCGTAGCCGCGAGAGAAGCGATCGTTGATAGCGCCGAGGCAACACGCGCGGATGTAGTGGTCCTTGCAGCTCAAGCCGGCGACGAGGAACTCGAACGCAGAAGGCGTGGATACGGCGAGGTCAGGGATGGCGGCTATTCCTTGCGCCACGAGGGGGATCGTATGGCTGACCAGTTGCGCTGTAGGGAAACGGTGGAGTACCCGGATGAGCTGCTTGAGAAGGCGCGGATACTGGATGAGCTGTAGCGTTTCAGCCGAGGGGTTCGCCTTCATGCCCTCCATCATCGCGCCAACACAGTGCGAAAGCACTGGGACAGCATGAAGGGCCAGAACTCCGTCTTCAGGATAACTAGCCAGGAGGTTCACGAGCTTGATTGTGGTCGACCTGCCAATCTCCTTTCGAATCTGAGGACCTCCGTGATGGGTGAGTATGGACAACGCGCGAACAGCAAGGTGACGACAGTGGTCGATATCCATCATGGTCATAAGCTTGGCCATAAATTCTGAGGGAAGTTAAGTTATCTTCGAGTTGCAATGGAATGAGAAGAGTCCTCACTAGGTCCATGGATTTTGCGACGAAGAAGGCCGTCGGTGCACATCTTCGTGTAGATGGCCACGATACCACCGGCGATTCTCCAGTCATCGGTGCCCATTTCATAGGCACGTTCCATGCGACGATGGATGTCGTCGAACTCTTGGTACGCCTTCCAAAACAATGAGCTGGCGCATGTATACTACTCAGTGGCCACTCGCCTTTTTCAACCCTCGTCTCGTCTGTATATCTATAATGGACAAAGATCATGCTGTCAGTCAATGTAGCGTAACGAGAACAGGCGCGATACACACCCGGCAAGTTGAGATGCTTGCACAGCACATTCGCGATGGCCGACCATTCAAGAGCGTTGTCGATATCTCCGAATTCGCGATGAAGACGGGCGATGGAAGCCCAGTCGGACTCCGCGGACGAGGACGACGCGCCCTTTGACTTGGATTTCTTGTGTTTCTTGCCTGCCATGGTGAGTACGCTGGAACAGAGACGAAGGCAGAGAGAAAGAAGGAGAACGGGGCCGAGTACAAAGGGATTTCGAGATCAGACTTCGTGCTCACACGGGGGATGATCTATGCACGGAACGCGTCACGGTCACCCCTGAGAGACGAGAAGGCTAATCAGTGCGACAAAGTCCAAGGGATGGTCAGATACACGACGACGGATGGAATACAGATGGAAGAAGTCGATGAAGCAGTGATACATGAACAGATCAGATAGCTGTACAATGAGGAGATGGAAGGCCGAGTGAGAGATCTGACGACCCGGCAGAGTAGATCGTCTATGCCGCAGACTTGCACGTCTTCTTGTGCGCTGCCCAGCCGAGCTTCTGACATTCGGCGTCGCAGTACCTGCGGAGATCTGTCGGAGACTGTCGCTCAACTAAACCAAGATGATTCAGACATACCTCGCCTTCGAGCAGCCCCCGCACTTGCGCAACACAGCGCTCGGATTACGACAGTATGAACAGCGGTACAGCTCGAAGTCGCTCTTCTTGAATTCCCGAGGCTCTGCATGCGCATGATCGTGGTGGTGCTCGTCACCGGCGTCAGCAGTCTCGCCCTCCTCCAGGCGCATGTCGTCCAGCCAAGCCGCGAGGTCGTCGGCTGCGCTTTCGGGCTGCACGCTGCACGACGAGGCGGAGTTCCCCGTCCGCGCTATGACATGACCCCAATCCTCGATCGCAGCGGGGTAATGGCGCAGGACGGCCTGTTGGGCCAGACGTAGGTTCGACTTGGGTGGTACGACGCCAATCGCCATGCTGAACTCGTCGGCGGTCTTCAGCTTTCGGACGAGCGGCTTTGACAGGTTGTTAGCAGTTATGAGTGTTTTACTGAGGATAGCGCCCACCTGTACCTCCTTCATATCAGGCCCTATAGGATTCTCTCTCAAGAGGAATGTGAGGAGAATACGCCAGTATAGAACAGACTTCATGTGCCGGTTATCCGGCGGAGCCTCCTCCACAAACGTCTTCGCATCCTCAGCTGCGCTCATTAAGAATGCAATGCCCTCATGGTATCGCCGCGCGCCCTCGGGATCGTGGTGCATAGCACCTACAGCCGGCGCCTCTTGCAGCAGCTGGATACCCAGATCCCCCGCATGCTCTACCGCGCGCTGCAGGAGCTGGAAGTACACAAACGGCGACGTCTGCTTGCACTTCAGCCCCTTCTTGCACGCACGCAGGCCGATCTGGCGATCCGCGACGAGGCTGATCGCGTACTGGAAATACGCCTTCTGCGGGTTCCGCACGAGCGCCCGCTTCCCTATCTCTGCCGCGTCCGGGACCCTCTGGCGCATGATCGCGTACTTGATCTCGAGGATGTCAGCGGAGTCGAGGTCGCCTTGCGCGCGGAGCGCCTTCGCGCAGTGCGGGAGCGCTTCGCTCCACATATGGAACGGCAGCCCTAGGTCGGTCATGAACTCCACCTTTCCCGTCCGTGGGTTTTGCGTCTGGAATGCGCCTTCCGCGATGGAGAATTCGGTGCGGTGGATGAAGTCGACGAGCTTCCGTCCCAGGCCCGCGAGGTCCTTGTTTGAGACGACCTCCATCATAGCCTGCTGGAATTCCGTCGAAGTGCGGGTGATGATGTACATGTCCGAGCGCTGCATGCCGTAGTCCATGATGATTTTCTGGAGGTGGGACGGGAGGTTTCTGATGCCAGCCATGAACTTGTAAGGATCGAGGTGACCGTTTTCGTTCTCGGCCTCGTGCCGGTATCGTCGGATGATGCCGCCTAGACAAGTGGCGCGGAAAATCCAGTCTGGGCTATTCAGGCCCGCCACGAGGAACTCGAAGGCGCTGGGTACGGCATTGTACGCGTCGTTTGCTCGCATAGTCCCCATAGCCAGGAGGTCGACGGCATGGTCGATGATGAGCGGCGTAGCGAACGGCTTGAAGAGAGCGGCTACGATTTGCTTGAGAACGCGCGGGAAGTTCAGGTTCTTCAACGTCGCGTCGGACGGCGGACGCTGTAAGTCCGAGAGTATGCACGAGACGCTGTGAGAGAGGATAGATACAGCGAATTCGATGAGCACACGATCATCCGGGTATGCCACCATGAGATCCACCAGTTTTGAGGTCGTGCTCTTAGCTATTTCCGTGCGAATCTCTACGCCACCGTGATGGGTGACAGTCGAGAGGGAACGGAGAACAAGGTGGCGACAAGGTTCCTCGTCCACTAACGACATGCACTTGTCCAAGTATTCTGCGGAATGTCAGAAGAATGTGTCGCGAACAAGTCAAATAGATTACTTTGGCCAAAGACCTTGTTACGCAGGAGCGAATCCGAGCACATCTTGGCGTATATGGCCACAATGCCGCCCGCAAGCTTCCAGTCGCTAGAGCCCTTTTCGTAGGCATCTTCGAGTCTCCTGCTGATCCTGTCGAAGTCACTATAGGCCTGTCGATGGTCAGTCAATGGTTTAATCCAGGATATCAGGATAGTTGTGTACCTTTTTCAACCCTCTCCGCGTCTGCAGATCTGTGATATGATCAGAGGGTTTGCCATCAGCATGAGTCCAAGCTCGTGCTCACCTGGGATATCAAAGTGCGTGCAGAGCACGTTAACTATCACGGACCACTCGAACGCGTTGTCGATGTCGCCCAGGTCCTTGTGGTCGCGCGCGATGGACGCCCAGTCAAGGCTGCCGCCAGACCGCGACGGGCCAGCTTTCTTATGCTTGTATTTTCCTTTCTTACTGGGCCCTGGCATGATGGGTAGATGTCTACTGTCGTCGTTGGTGGCAAGATGGTCATCGTCGGGGACGGCGATCAATATAAGATCACTGACCGGGCCGAACTTGCCGCGCCTTGTCTTCGACCTCCGTCGCCGTCCGTCGGGTTCTCCGCGCTTCAGGGTTCACAAGACGTTCGATGATGTAAAATGAGCAACAAGGTTCCCTTTACCATTGCGACAGTACTACTACCGGGTATGTATTATTGTCCAGCCAGTAGTCCGTCAGCAAACCCAATTATTACAGCCACATTCTTTCGTATGCGCGCTTCGTTCTCAGTGCGAGAATTATCAGGGGCAGAAGGTATGCGTGAAGCTCGCCGAGATGGGCGAATTGCGCACTGCCGCGTCGTCGCCATCCTGGTGATACGCCTGGTCGGTCGGGCACGAGTTCGACGTGCAGGTGACAGACTGGCCATCGGTCGCCGAGAGACGCGCCGGGATGTTGACGCTTCCGCCGACAAAGGAAAGGTTCCAGTACGTGCGCTCGCCGCCCCACTGGCCGTTGTCGCCATAGCCGTACTCGGAATAGATGGCATGGGCGGTGATGCCCGCGTCGTTGCAGACGAGGCCGCCGTTGCAGGCGCCTGAGTGAGAGGTGAGCTTGGGAATAATTGGCACAGGAAGATGTCTTACCCGTCTGGCAGTTGGCTCCATTAGCGTCGCAGCCAGTACGGCCCCAGCCACGAATGCCCTACATAGGATATCAGTAACTTGGACATATGATAGATCGTCGCTACGTACGAGCTGGTGGCCGTCGATGTTCCAGGAGATGTTCTCGCCAGGGTTGAGCTTCGCGCCAAACCTCACCGAGTTGTCGACCTGACCCTGGGGGGCCTTTCCGACGGCGGGCCAGACAGCTATATAGCAATTTAGCCATCATTGATGATCTGTCCTAGGGGTCCGCACGACGGAAGCTACTCACCATAGTTGCACTGGTTCTTGAAGGTGATCGTGTACGCAGACGCGGACATCGATGCGGCGAGCGCGACGAGGATGGCGGAGGTCTTCATATTTAAGGCGAAGGAGATCTGAAATGGAAGGGAGTCTTTGAGTAGTCGACTGGGTCGATGAGCTCCTCAGTCTCTTCATCTGCCTTTTGTACTCAAGACTCGGGGCGGAGCATGGAGAGCCAGACCCTGTAAGAGAAAGCATAGCCGCAGGCACCGTGAAGCTCGGCGTGTAGCGAGGGACGGCGCAGGATGGGCGTACGCTCAAGAGCACCTGGAAAGAGGGCTAGATTGACCGTAGGTTGAAGATGCCAGCACATAGCTCGGTCGTTCGGTGCGGTGAGTGAAAGACAAGTTGCAGCATGACTGAGATCTAGTTAGCGTTGAAATGGACGTAGTCGACGGCCGTGAGGTGAGAGCATGCTCGCGTACCGAGGCTGCGTTCGGATATGCAGTACTATTCAGTCATCGAGTACGTCTTTCCGTACTTGCCGGTGTCTGGAAACCCTGGTGTGGTCTCTCGATGACCTCGGCAAGCTGGATCAAACCGCCAGGAAATAGTCGAAAGCTGGATTAGTAGTCATGGCGAGAACAAACAAAGTTCTGACCGTCCCTTCCTCCTATGAATCTGAGTCCAAGTATGAGAGGACCACTTTGGGAAAGGACTTGAAGGTAGATTGCGGCAGCTTGGAGCGACAGTCCGCCTACGTTGGCGAGGTACAAATAAGTATAGACCATGAAGACTGACCGTCGAGATCATGCTAGATACAGCCGAGTGCAGTATCAAGTAGTGTCATACGTCGCGGCATGCGTCGTTCCTGGCAGACAGATCATGGAGAATGGCTGTCTCGACAAGCGGACGGCGAGGTCGGGAAAAGCATACAAAGTCCGCTGGCACCGAGGTTGTGTTATTCATCTTGTTCCGAGTCGAGAGGCGGGCTCAACGAGGGACCTGCTTTAGCTGAATAGCGATTCACGGTCGAGTCGAGGGGGAGGGTGTACTTGTTATCGACGCTCGTAGAAGGTCAACGTTCGCGACAAGGTGCAGCGGCAAAATCCGATCCAACGCCACATTGCTTCGGTTGAGTTACCGAGCGCACGTGTGTCGGTGTTCAACATGGCACAGCCACAGAAGGTGCTCCGTCTTCCCTGTCCGCCAGCTTCAAGCTGTCGGGACTGTATCTTTGCTCGCTTTCTCAATAGGAGTATCTCCGCATCCTTCGGATTCTTGTCACTGCCCTTACTCCATGTCATCCCCATGGATCAGGAGCTCGCGCAATTATGTCTGAACAGCGACCCATTAGAAAGCCTATGGCAAGCACGGGCTGCTGCAATCGGTCTATCCGTTCACAGGCTTCATCTACTTACACTGATCACGGAATCACATACATACTATGCCCTCTCGGGAGTACCCCTTTCACAACTGCCGAAGTCACTCAGCCAGGCGCGCATCACGGTATGGTATAGTCATGCTTTGACAAAGCCCGACGACGACCGGTAATCCCGATGTAGCCAACGCCACGTTCCCGATGACACCGTCCGTCTTTCTACCTTGTTTCTACCACTCACAAAGGACTGACATATAGGGAGATCAAGTGCGTCGCTCATCCCTAACCGTCCTCACCGCAATCATGCAAGAAATCGTACTCTACGACATTCAATCCAAGGTCGGCGCATATTCCTCGACGACTTGGAGGGCAAGGTCAGCCATTGTTGACCTTGACTCGGAGTGATGCTCAACTTTTCTACCGGACAGATATGCGCTCGGATACAAGCGTCTACCGTTTCGCACCGTCTGGGTCGAAATTCCGGATATCTCGGACGTCTGCCGTCGCATCGGCGCACCGCCAACAAACAAGTCGCCCAACGCCAGCGACCAATACTCTCTTCCCGTCATACAGGACCCAAACACAGGGCGCTGCATCTCCGACTCGTTCAAGATTGCTGTCTACCTCGACGAGCGCTATCCAGACGCGCCGCTGCTCTTCCCTCATCGCGACCTCGGCCTTCAGAAGGCCTTCCAGGATAGCTTCCACTGTATCTTCCTCAGCTCAATCGCGAAGCCCTTGCGACGGAAATCGTTCGCGGCTTTCGACGACCGCACAAGGGAGTTTCTTGAGCATGCGCACGGGGTGGAGGTTGCGTCGGATGTATCACTCGAGCGGTGTTGCGACGAGGCGAAGGCCCAAGCGAAGGAGACTTACGCATGGGTGGAGACCTGTATACAAGCGAATGGGAACGACGCTACGTTCCTCGCTGGAGATGTCCTGTCGTACTCGGACCTCGTCGTCGTAGCTTCGCTCAAGTGGTTGAGCAAGGCAAGTGCGGAAGACTGGTCAAAGGTATCGGAATGGCACGACGGGCGATGGCGTAGGCTACTTGCCGCAACGGAGGGACTCATGATGGACGGGCTTGAGGACATGTAGACGAAGACGCGCGTACTGGTATGTATTTTTTGCTCAATACTATCATAAATGGCTGACTCGACATATTATAGACTATAAACGAGCCGGAATTTAGTATACCTCTATCACAATCTATGAGGGAATCATCTTCTATGATTCCCCGGGAATGCCGGTCAATGAAGGTCGGCGGAAGTCATAGCTGAATCCTATGCCGTTCCGGTCGGAATTCCATACTCTACGCCTGGAAGACCCTTGGGTGACGCTTGCGAGAGCCGGGGCTCTGAGCTTGATGGCTGCGTTGCTGATCTGGTCTTGATCTCGAAGGAGGCTTGCGGCTTCGCTTGGCTGGGCTCGCAGGCGTCACTTCTGCAGCCGCCGCTGCCGCCACCTCCAGGTCGCATACGTTGCCTTGCAGGCTCGGATCCGTCAAGTACAGTTCGTGAATGTTCAGTCTGCTGATCTGCATCAAGTTCTTGATCTTGTCCGTCGTCAACGGGTGCAGGTCGGTGGGCATTCGCCACACGCTCAGCTCGACCTGGCGCAGAAGTGGCCGGCAGTCCAGCAGGTCCAACAGAGCGCCGACCCTGGAGCTGTCCATCTTGTCCGACAGCTGCAGCGTCATTCCCAGTTGCGCGAGCGATGGCAGATTCCCGGAGCCCAAGAGATACAACAGCCAAGGATAGAAGTCGCTCGGGAGCTTCAAGGTCAGCCCCTCAAGACCCTGGCACATGGACAGCGCCTGCAGCCCTTTCTCCGGAACCATCTCTACGCCATCCAGCGTGATGACCTTCAGCGTCTGGTGCATGGGTCCCAGAAAGCGATCCAGATGAACGTCCGCCACTGATTCGCCGAACCTTCGCTTGCGGGATATATAGAGGAGTTGCAGACGGGGGAGGGACACGCTGACCACGAGCGCGTTGAGCGCCAGGGAGGAGAGATCTTGGAGGATGAGCGTCGTGAGCGCGGAGGGCTGGATGATGTGGGTGCCATGCTGCAGAGCTTTGCCAATGAGCATCGCCACTTCGGCCCCGGCTTGAGGCCCTTCGGGATCGAGACTTTGATTCGCTTCAAAGTACTGTAGGGACTGTTGGTGGCTCTCGAGGTGGTGCATGATCTCTCCGAAAGACAAGGGGTCGGATGGGATGACTGTTGTGAGTGGCTTGGGCTCGTATGGGGCAGGTGGCGCGGTGTACGAGAACGTCGAAGAAGGGTGCATATCGTCTGAAAGCATCCAAAGTGGCGCTTGCTGAACAGCGGAAGAGTCGCCATTAGTCCAGTCGCGCGTCTGCGCATGGTCGGGCGTCATCGAGGTCATGCTTGCGGTGGTGGCGAAAGGGGAGGGCAATGAAGGGACAATGGGCAACGAGCAACGGTCCTTATATGAATGCGCGGGCGCTCGGGCCGCTTTATGAAATCCTCATGCACGATCACAACCTCGAACAAAGGAGCACAAAGACCTTGCAAAGGCCAATGGCCATAAAGCACGTGAATTGCTATGACAACGCTTGCGATCCCCTTTTGGCAGTACTTGTTTATGATCTGGCCAACAAAAGCAGGCAAGAGTACCCATGCAGCAATAGATGCTGCTCAAATTGCATTACGCCAGAACCCATTATGTAGCGAGCACGATGAGACCCTTCACACCCTTATCTACACCTAGGAGAGCATTGGAAAGCCTGACTGAACCTCTAGAATACCGGGAGGACGGTAGAAAGACACAAATGACAAACGATAGATAGAGGAATGAGAGTAGACACAGAAACACGTATACACAAGCCCGAGATGGATAGATAGCTACATACAAGATGACACACCCGAGGCGGAATAAAGATAGAATAGATATCTGAGGATACAGCCCAGAGGGGAGAGCAGATGAGGCCCATGTTGCAAGGAAAGATATAGATGAGGTAGGGATAGATAGCGAAAAACAACAGTCCTGGAAAGCAAAAGGGAGGCGCAGCGCGATAATTGCATCACGGCACTATCTCCTGATTTGGCGCACGCCGCCGGTCGGAATGCCTGGAAGAGGCTTCAGCGCAGGGAGGCGCAGCTCGGTAGTGAGGTGATGGGTAGTAGGAGGTGGTAGATGCCACTTGGCGGTAGGCGGCTGCCACTGGGAGGTAGATAATTGTTGATGAGACGTCGATGCTTGCGCTGCTAGCGGGTTCCAAGTCGAGATGGTAACTGCCCTCCGCGGTTGCACCTTCAGCGAAAACATGGGCTGCAACTCGCGCTCGGCGTTCAGGAGGGGTGGTCGGTCGTCGCGGGAAGAACGGAGGTCGCCTGCGTCGTAGTCATCTTCGTGACCCATGCCATCGTCGTGGTCGGCGGCGGTGTCCAGGTCGGGGGAAACCCCGACGTGCTCGAGCCCGTCCGATTCGGTGTCCGCCGCATCATCCGCTGGGCAGAACATCCGCCACCCGCACCCCGAGGAGACCCGCGGGTCGTACGAAAGCTGCAGCAGCGCGCCGCAGGCCGCCTTTTCGTCCTCTTCGCGGCGCGCCCGTCCTAGAGCCGAACCCATCTCGGGCGTCGTCGGGCCCTCCGAGGAAGGCGTCTCCGAGCTGAAGCCGTCGGCCTCCATGCTCTGCATGCTTTCCGTGCTCTCGACGCCCTCCATACTCGCCGTGCCCTCCATGCTCTCAGTGCCTTCCGTACTCAACGCGCCGAATCCACTCTCCACAGTGTACCCACCCTCCGCGCTATACGCACCCTCCGTACTATCGCCGCCCTCGACGCTATGCGCCACCACACTAACACAGCCCCACTCGAGCTCGGGCGTCCGGCTGCGCGCGCGAAGGAGTAGCGCCTCATGGTGGACGAGCAGGTCCGCCTGCGTGATGGCGAGGTCGAAGCGGAGGGCGCCGAGGATCTCGCGCTCGGCCTGGGAGACGGAGCAGGGCGGGATGTCGCCGGCGTACATGGCCCAGTGCTGGTTCTTGGGCGGTGCGTCCTTGGTATACTGGGGTGATGTGTGAGTACGGACAAGTCAGTTGGTAAGGGAGTATGGTATGTATCATGAGGGGGTCGGGTATGACGCGTGAAGAAAGATGGACAAGACTCACCTTCGCTGCCACTACCAATGCGCCAAGCACCGCGCGCCTACACGGCCAGCTACCCCTTCCTGACGCGCATCGTCCCCGCGCGCGCTGCAAGTATGCGAGCGCAACATGCACGACAGGGGTGTCGGCGCCCGAGGCCCAAAGAGTGGTGTGGACGAAGTCGGTGAGGTGCGTGCGATAAGGAGAGTAGGGGGTGGGGTCGTGAAGGGAGATGGTAGAAGTTGATGAAGGGGAAGCAACAGAAGAGGACGAAGCTGCAGAAGAGGCGGAAGAGTATGGAAATGGTGCGATCGCAGCAAGGGCGGCGTCGACGAGAAGTTCTGCAAGATACATGTGATTAGGGGTGTGCCAAGGTGAGGAGCAATGACAGCGGCGCACCTACGAGATCATCGGTGATGCCGAGGTCAAGGAGCTCATCCAGGACAGGGGAATGCGAGGATGGTTCGACTAGGCTGGCATGGTGGACGTGGCGCGTGCTGCGGGTGGTAGCCGTGGTCTTCAACGAGCGCGACATGATGGTGTGCTTCGCCATGGATAGGATGTCCTTCACGCTTCGCTGCGGTCGTGATCGACGATGGATAGAAGGCTGGCGTTGCAACGAAGCTCCTCGTAACGTGTGTGGGGGAAGGTCGGGAGGGGGTCCTGACGGGTAAGGGTACGATCGTCGTTCGGGATAAAAGCTCCCCATCCCTTCGTCCTCTCGACCCATTATCGCGACCGCGAGTCTTGATCTGCGCACCCTGACACCTCGATCTCATCCGAGACCCTTCGCGGCAGTGAGGGTCTACAGCAGAAGCTGCTGCGCGGGACAGCCTGAAGTAGCACGAACTGCCCGGACTGCGCGTGAGGTCCTCGGGTACGCGGATGATGTCCTCGCGCGGGCGAGCCGCGGATTGATGCCCGAGGGAGCCAAGTGCAGGGGGGCACCGAGGTGTAAGATTGCTGGGACAGCCACCAGGGGCTCGGGGGAAGGAGTGTCGGATCCACTGAAAAGTGGGTTTACTTCCGGGGTCAGACACCGGGAGCAGCGGCCGTTGGGCGCTGTGAGCGCCGGCGCCGACTGCACGGGTGGTGAGCGCGGGGAATGTACAGGAGAGGGGAAGGGGGAAGAGAGTGATCGAGGGGGAGGGGAAGAGGCACGGCGATCAGAGCCATTGTTTTCGCCTACCGCATCTTATAGCGCGCCTATTCGGCTAACGCGGCGATCGACGCCGACGAGAATGCAGCAATAGACGCCGACGCGGCGGCGTGAATTAGGCGGCGCGCGCACGCATTTGGCACGGCGCAGGTGCGCAAGGCACGGCGCGAATATCCGACGAGAATGCACAGGCCACAGCTGCGCGTCCCGATGTCACGCAGGGCCTCGGCCAGTTTTGGCCTACAAAAGCATGCGCGGGCGCCTTCGCGTCGGGCTTGCTCCCCTGCGAATTCGGGCTCGATGCCCTTCACACACAAATCGGGACTGGGGGTGGGTACGTGAGTAAGGGCTCTACAGCAGGTGTAGAGGGCTCTTACGGTTATGAAGTTGCATTAGTGCATGATACGTCTATAGGGTAGGTGCTACACGGTAGTTTGTACATACAACATGGGGTATCCATCGTAATTTCTTTGACTTGACTGGGGACGAGACGGGACGAGGGAGGGAGGGGTAGCTTGCTATCCCCTACTCGCGAGGTAGGTCTGGTACTGCGCCGGGGTAAAGGTTTTCTAGGCAAGGGAGGGGGGCTGTGAGGATAGGCCGGTCACGGGAGGTATAGACACACCTGCGAGAATGCATGCATCTGCGCTATTTCGTTCTTCAACATCTCGTTCACTGGAAAGCAACCGTGAGTTGGTATGCGAATACGGAGGGCAAGGGAGACCGTACCCATGCGGTGCCGTGCGAGGGTGTTCTTCCCTTCGAAGGCCTGGGAGGTACGAACACTGATCAGAGAACAAGCGCAGCAGGGGAGGTGGGGGAAGAGAGAAAGAGACGCACAGGACTAACGAGGATGATCGCGTAACTCTCCCCGCATCCGCTCGACTGGTCCTCGATCTCCAGGTGCGCGACTGGAATCGCATTTCTGATGGCAGCTTCGAGCTGTGTAGTGTCTATGGCCATTGCAGCAGTGAATTAGTCTTGGCACTGTTTGCTAACGCAGGGGAGAATCTGGGTGAACTGGAAGAGCAGCGCGTCGCGGGTGAATCTGATAAGATGAGAAGCGTCGTCACGCATGAACTTACCGCATGGAGCAGTCTCCAGACAAACAAACAAACCGAACAAACAAGACGTACTAACATACGAAGATGAATTCCTACCGTCGCACATGTAGTCCGATTGCACGATTTCAGTACTCAGAAGACATCCATTAGATCTACTGATTGCCACGGAACTCTGCGGAGGCCAAATCGCTGGAGTTCCGTGTATAACCTGGGAGTTCCAACGTCCGATCACTTTTGCCGATTCAGGAGGATTGCCATGGAACTAACTGGCTCTGTACGTAGACGAGCGGTGCTGTCTTCCTTTCCTCAATTTTATCCGCCGTCTCATGGATCGTCGAGCTCATGAGGGGATGTAGACACATGTTTCGCGTGAACTCGCCCTGCGGGGCCGTCTCCAGACAAACCAGTTGCACAAACAAGACGTTAGCAGTACTTGCATCCAGCGGTAGGCCGGCGTCTTGGAAGATAGGTCAAAAGAGGGAAGAACATCTGCGGTGCCGATGCAACATCCTATGTCGAGTACAATCAATAGCAAGCGACTCTCTTTCCACTTTTCCTTGCCTGAGTCTGCACAGAAAGGAACTTGCTCAATCCGAGGTCTGAATATGCACAATATACATTTTTAGGAGCGCGACGACCTATCGACATAAGTACTACAGGTGCGTGCACCGAAATCAATCCATACATAACCAAGGGTATGGGCTCATCGACCTCCGCAATCAAGCGGTACGTGCCGCGATCTTGCTCTTGAGCTTGTCGTTGACGGCGTCCATGTACTCGTTTGTGACGACCCAGTGCTCGCGCTTCATGTTCTTGCCGTGGATAGCCAGGGCAAGATCCTTCGTCATGATGCCGTCCTTGTCGATGACCTCGACACACGACGCCTCCAAGTCCCTAGCAAGTCATTGGTCCCGAGCAGAAAGTTCTATTGAGACAAGCGACTCACTTGCAGAATGCCGTCAACGCATCGTTGCCGTCGAGCTTGGCGCGGTGAAGCAGGCCGCGAGTCCACGCAAAGATGGACGCGACCGGGTTTGTCGACGTCTCGTTGCCCTTCTGCCATTCGCGGTAGTGCCGAGTGACCGTCCCATGCGCCGCCTCCGACTCAATCACATCCCCGTCCGGCGTGATCAGCTCCGAGGTCATCATCCCCAGCGAGCCGAAGCCCTGCGCCAAGATATCCGACTGCACGTCACCGTCGTAGTTCTTGCACGCCCACACGAACCCGCCCGAGCTCTTGATCGCCTGCGCGACCATGTCGTCGATCAAACGGTGCTCGTAGTAAATGCTCTTCTTCTCGAAGTCGGCCTTGTACTGCGCCTCATAGATCTCCTGGAAGATGTCCTTGAACCGGCCGTCGTACTTCTTTAGGATGGTGTTCTTCGTGGACATGAAGAGCGGAGCGCCCTTGGCGAGCGCCATCTTGAAAGAAGCGTGGGCGAAGCCAGTGATGGATTCATCGGTGTTGTACATGGCCATGGCGACACCGGGGTCCTTGAAGTCGAAGACGTTCATGGTGGTGGGGGCGGAGCCGTCCTTGGGGGTGAAGACGAGCTCGAGGCGGCCTGCGCCAGGGACGATGTAGTCCGTCGAGCGGTACTGGTCACCGAATGCGTGGCGGCCGATGGTGATGGGCTTTACCCATCCCGGAACGGGCTTGGGGACGCGCTCGAGGATGATGGGCTCACGGAAGACCGTGCCGCCGAGGATGTTGCGGATCTGGGGGACACCATGAGAGTGAGAAGAGAGGGGGGTAGAGGCGCACGCACGGTGCCGTTGGGGGAGCGCCACATCTGCTTGAGGTTGAACTCCTTGACGCGCGCCTCATCTGGCGTGATGGTTGCGCACTTGATGCCGACTTTGTTCTCCAAAATGGCCTTGGCTGCGTCCACCGTGATCTGGTCGTCCGTCTGCACGCCCCCGGCACGCGTCAGCATCGTTCCCCCTCCTAGCACACTAGACCACGCACCGCATCGCGCGCCTCCAATCCCAGGTCATAGTACTTGATGTTCAGGTCCACGTACGGCAGAATGAGCTGTAGAAGAGCAATACATCAGCACGCAGCACTGCGAACATAGAGCGCGACCGCACCTCCTCCCTGATCTTCTTCCAGATGATGCGTGTCATCTCATCGCCGTCAAGCTCGACGACCGGGTTCTTCACGGCAATCTTCTGCGCCGCAGCGACTGCGAGACGAGTCTATCAGCGGCGTCCTCTCCGAGCGACACGGGAACCACTCACACGCCCGCGCCGACTGCGAGAACGAGCGAGAGGAGAGCGCGTACACCGAGAGGGCCGTGCGCCGGGCGGCGAAGCCGCGCATGTAAGGGGCGCGCGCACAGAGCATCGTGGTATTGGGAGCTGGGGGTAGGATGAGGACGTGTGCGCTACGCTGCTGGCGCCTCCACGCACGAACAGGGCAAAAAGGTTCAGGTCAAGAAGCGCTGACCGTTGAATATGACTCGCGCAGCTGACCCCTCCGGACGTACACGGCGCAATACCGCACCGTCCGCGCACGCCTGACAGCCGGGTAACACCTGACCTTGGTCTCTCACGACGAGGGGAACGGTAGGTGGGGAGAGGAAGGGAAACCCGCCAAGTTCGCAGTGCGAGGCGCTCGTCTAGCCCGGTGTGGGCTCCTGCAAGATGCACATAATAACAACGGTCGCTAGTCTCTGGAAGGAGGCCCTCGGTCTATTCCAAGGCCATAAAGGTATACGCAGGACGCGCCTACCGCCGAGGGATATGTATAGATGTCTACTTCGTCCCGTCCCAAGTCCTTCACTGCCAGTGTCCCATTGGGCAAATCTGTACAATATGCATTTCTTGAGACAGCCCTGAGAGGTGAGGGAGTATGTGTGTTGGGGGGAGCGACAGGGGGCAGCAGCGCCCTTCACGATAAGTACAATAGAAGTGGAACGACAGCTGCAGAATGTGAGTTCCGTAGCAATCCGCCTGAATCAGCGAAAGTGATCGGACGATGGAATTCCCACGTCATTTACGGAACTGCAGCGTTGCTGCAGCGATTTGGCCTCCACTTCCGTGGTACTTGATGTCGTCTGAGCCTCTGGCTCTTGCAAGACGTCTGGTAGTAGGTGAATGACCAATGATATGTCTACTACAGCACCGTTGATAATAATACTGGATAAATACCACGCATTCCGAATCCCCCAGTTGGTACACTTGAACCCCTTCATGTGCTCACATTATCTTCGCAGACTTAGGGGCAGAAGGTATGCGTGTAGCTCGCCGAGAGGGGCGAGTTGCGCACTGCTTGGTGGTCGCTATCCTGGTGATAGGCCTGGTCGGTCGGGCACGAGTTCGACGTGCAAGTAACAGACTGGCCGTCAGTCGCTGACAGACGAGCTGGGATGTTGACGTTGCCGCCAACGAACGAGAGGTTCCAATACGTGCGCTCGCCGCCCCACTGGCCGGCGTTGCCGTAGCCGTACTCTGAGTAAATTGCGTGGGCGGTAATGCCCGCGTCGTTGCAGACCAGTCCGCCGTTGCAAGCACCTACGCGCGACGTAAGTCCCTAAAGAGTCATAAGGAACGTGCCAATCTCACCAGTCTTGCAGTTAGCGCCGTTAGAATCGCAGCCCGTACGTCCCCAGCCGCGAATGCCCTAAACAGTGCTTTAGTACATCGAGGGCATGCGTCTCCTGCTTTTACGCACGAGCTGGTGGCCGTCGATATTCCAGGAAACGCTCTGGCCGGGGTTGAGCTTCGCACCGAACCTGACCGAGTTGTCGACCTGGCCATTGGGGGCCTTGCCGACGGCGGGCCAAACAGCTACGCAAGGAAGATCAGCGGGCTGTCGCATCGATAAGCAAGACAAGCTCTACTCACCGTAACTGCACTGGTTCTTGAAAGTGATCGTGTACGCGGATGCAGACATAGACGCGGCGAGCGCAACGAGGATGGCAGAGGTCTTCATATTTGCGATGGAGGAGAGCGTAAGACGTGGAAGTATCGAGGCGGTGATTGAGTCGTTGAACTCGTTGAACTTTTGAGAGCAGTCCTCGAGCTTTTATATTGGGTGACAGCGAAGAGCTACGCCCTGTAAGAGACCTAAGGGAGCCAAGAAATTGCATACCTGCTGACACCGTGAAGAACGGTGTGTAGCAAGGCACGGCGTAGGAGGGGCAAGCCCACAAGGGGGCTAGATTGGCCGTAGCTCGAGGACGCTAGTACGCAACTCGGCCGCAAGAGGCGGTGCATTGAAGACAGCCCGCACCAGAATCAAGGCCTAGTTAGAGATGCAATGAACGTAATCGACGGCCGTAGGGTGAGGCGTGCTTCGAGGTAATGGGTCCGCTATGAGGATATACAACGTTAACGAGGCACAATTCAAGGCATGTCTACCTGTGACTGCCGAGAGCGATGTGGCCTTGCATAGTCTCTGGGTAGCGACGTTGGCTAGCACGGATGAAAGTGCACGGTGAGAGGCGATACATTGGGAACTGTCGGAGCCCTCTGGAAACAGCATCCTGTCATCATTTCTCGGTGATGAAGAGAGAGGTGTGCGCGCCAAAGGATAGACGAAGAGAATAAGATCGCCGCGGGTTTGAGAGACTGGACCATGTGATTGCGGTAATGCATTGTTTTGGGACGCAGTTTGCGAGGTCGCGAACTGCCGCAGCCCAGTTGAGGGGTCAAGCGAGAATGCTCATTCCGAGGAGTGATGGTTGGGTCAAAGAGCGGGTCGAATACCGTTCTTTGTAAGCAGAGCGGTCATGGAGAAACAACAAGGGAACACTTTCAACCTTCCTTAGCTCAGTTGGAAGAGCATCAGACTGTAATGGTTACAACACCATGGGGCATGATTCCTATGATACTGTAACATATGCTTTACATGCGTTAGATGCATTCGTTTTTCAGATAACACCACCTCCTGCAACTCCAGCATCCCTTCTTAGCTCAGTTGGAAGAGCGTCAGACTGTAATTGGATAACATCTGAATGTCGCCCGTTCGAACCGGGCAGAAGGGAATGCGGCGACTCTTTTTTTGCCAATCCCTTTGCATGGAGGGCCAACGATGGCGTCGTACTCGACCTCCTTGTGAGAAGCGGGCTTGGACAAATTGGTATGCATCCGCTACGTCGAGCTCACTGCGTCGCGCGCGCGACTGTCTGCGTCGTCGTGATCAGGAGCGGGAGCCTTGGCGCGTCGGGCGCCGCTGACACGCCGTGCGCCCTCTGGTCTGCCGATGGTATCCGGCTTGAGTACCTTTTTGAGCGCGGCGAGCTGGGCCTTGGTCTGGCGGCGAAACTCGGCGGTCATCTGGCGCGTAGGGAGCGGCGGAATGTTGGACTCGGTCAGCTTGCGAAGGCGGCTGAGGAAGCGGTGGTGGGGGCCGGGGAGCGCCATAATGTCCCTCCTCTGCCCCCACCACTCACATATATACATCGGCGGACTGGCTGGTTCAGACTACGAGAGGAGTGAGAGGCGACGACTGGTTCAGACAATGTTCCCTGGTTCAAACCGCGCGTAAAATAGTGGGTCGCCTGTTCGAACCAGGCAGGAAGGATTACTTTTGACTTGACTCCATGCCTCTTTTTCGCGCTGAAGAGAAGCAGAAGTCGTGAAGCGGCTGCCTTCATATGCGTCCGAATATTGAACTGTGACACCGACTCGGTCACACGTCACTCAATATCACAGACTTGATCGCGTTTTTGGGCAGGCTCTTCTCCCGGACGCTTCAGTTTCCCTCCAAACCTCCTTTCGCTCGTTTGACGACGAGTCGAACAGATTCGGCGCTTACCTTCTCTTACAATGGTCTTCCCATTGGCGCCGGCGCTGCGTAGGTCCCTTTTGTCTCGCGGGGCGACCTCCGCATTCCTTCACCGCTCTGCTTCCTTCCTCGCCGGAAGGACTGTGCAAGTCGGTCTGGTGCAGTCTCTGAGGGCGTCAAATGTACAGCTTAGCAGGACAAGATGGTGCGTCGTGAATTTTTTGTCGTCGTATGCGGAGAAAGTAACAAGTCCACCGCAGGCAATCGACTGCTGCCGCCCCTGCGACCGCGCACTTTACTGGCTCGGCCGAAGATGAGCTTGCTTTCGGTGAAGGCGACGGCGGGGATAGGCCCGCACCCACCCTCGACACGCTCCAGGGCAAGGTCTCCGAGGAGACGCTCAAGGGTCTGCGCGACATGGGCATCACCCGGCTCTCCCCCGTCCAGGAGGCCGTCTTCTCCCACCTCCCCGCGCTTGCGGTTCCCATCTCCCAGCGCCCAGAGGGCAGCAAGGACACACGGGACCTCCTCGTCAAGGCGCGCACGGGCACGGGCAAGACGCTCGGCTTCCTCGTGCCTGCGATCGAAATGCGCAAGCGCTCGATCGAGGCCGCGGGCGCCGCGGCGCTGAAGGAGGCCACTAACGAGTCGGACACGCGCCTGCGTAGACAGGCTGAGCGCTCGTTTGCGAGGGGGAACGTTGGTACCCTGATCATCAGTCCGACCCGCGAGTTGGCCACGCAAATTGCGGCGGAGGCAATCAAGGCGACCAAGTACCACGGCATGGAGGTTCGCCTGTTCACGGGCGGCGCCAACAAGAGGATGCAGATGCGGGACTTCCTCAGGGGTCGGCGCGACATCGTCGTTGCGACGCCTGGTCGTCTGCGGGATCTGCTCACCACGGAGCCGGATATGAAGGCCGCATTCGCAAAGATGGACTTGGTGAGCAGCTCATTTGGGCCTTTCCCATATCTCAACATTACTAACGTGCATCTCAGCTCGTTCTCGATGAGACCGACACTGTCCTCGAGATCGGTTTCCGCGACGACCTCGACGCCATCAGCGAGTACCTTCCGACGGCCGAGCACCGTCAGACCCTCCTTTACTCCGCTACCGTGCCCCGGAATGTCCAGCAGGTCGCTCGCAACTTCATGCACAAGCAGCATGAGGTCATCGACTGCATTAAGGACGACGCGCCCCCCGTTCACGCCCACGTACCGCAGTACTTCACACTCCTCCCCAGTGCTCGCGACCAAATTCCCCACCTCCTCCGTCTCATTGCTCACGACCAGATGACGAACCCTGGACACTCGAAGGTCGTCGTCTTCTTCCCGACATTGAAGCTCACGCAGCTCTTTGCCACCATCCTACGGAGTCTGGCCTCGAAGACAACACCTGCAGGTCGCGCCACGCGTGTCCACGAGCTACACTCGAAGATGACGCAGGCCGGGCGTGACAAGGCGTCGCAGGCGTTCAGGAGCGACACGTCGGGCGCCGCCGTCATGGTCACCTCCGACGTGTCTGCTCGTGGGGTTGACTACCCGAATGTCTCGCGTGTCATCCAGGTCAGCATCCCCTCATCGAAGGAGCAGTACATCCATCGCGTTGGCCGCACCGGACGCGCGGGGTCGAAGGGCGTTAATCCTCGCGGTGACCTTGTCTTGCATGAATGGGAGGGCGCGTTCGCAACTTGGGAACTTGCGGACATCCCTATCAAGCCCACCTCAGTTGACGCGCTGAAGGACGAGGTTGCGGACCTGGCCTCGAAGTTCGACGCAGGCGATCTCCAGCTTCCATCCGAGTTGCGCCGCTCAAGATTAGCGGAGTCTTGGACAGGGGACGCCAGGCAAGTGGTGGACGAAATCGAGACCGCTACGCAGCAGTTGTTGCGCCGCGTCGACGAGATCGCCGTGCGGGATACCTTTGTCTCGATGATTGGCTTCTACTCCGCGAAGGTTGAGACACTGCGCACCAGTAGGGATGCCGTCGTCGAGGCGCTGCGTGCGTGGACAGTAGACGCCATGGGGCTGGCGCAGCCGCCATACGTGTCACCGAGCTTCCTGCAGCGGATCGGCATGGGCGACACCGGCAAGAAGAGCAGCCGTGGCGGCGGATATGGCAGCGGGTTCGGGCAGCCGAGGGAGCGCTCAACGAGGAGAGGAGATGGGCCGCGGCTATCGAAGCCGTGGACGGGCAGGGGGCGGCCAAGGTCTGATGAACATGAAGACCGCGGCGGCTATGAGGGAAGGAGGGAAAACAGGGGGTACGAGGGCCGCAGGGAACGCCGCGAATTCGACGGGCGGAGGGAGTACCGCGACCGTGACGACTTTGGCGGCAAGAGGGAGCGCAGGAACTCGTACGAGTCCCGGCGCGACCGCTTCGACTTCGACGCTTGATCGCGCCGCTGGTCGATCTCCCATCCCCTTTCCCCTCACGACACACGGCGGCAGGCTCACCAGTGAGTCTGGCCGCAGACCTGATGCTGCATGGTGGCGGCTAACCGCCATCCTGGGGTCGCATCCACCCCAACTCACGTAGAATACTTGTACAGTCACTTAATACGGGGCGCCTAGGGCGCCAGAGGCGCTAGCCACCAATCACAACTCACTCCTCCGGGGAGATGCTCGCGCGCCATTGTCTTTCCCGCACGTGACCTAATCATCGACAATGATCGCGACGCGCTTTGAATAAAAATTTGCACGACGCGCCTCTGCTCTCGCACTCACCTACCCTCGCTGCTGCTCGCCGTCGTCGTCGCCAGCAATGACCAAGTACATTCTCGTCTCGGGAGGTGTCGTGAGCGGCATCGGGAAGGGTGTCATCGGTGCGTGCGCTGTGCTTCGCGTCGCGTGAGGATGGGGACCAATGGATCGTAGCCTCATCGACGGGGTTGCTGCTCAAGACGCTGGGCTTGAAGGTCACGGCGATTAAGATCGACCCGTACATGAACATCGACGCGGGGACGATGCGGCCGACGGAGCACGGTGAGTAGCATGGCTGATGTTATCGCGCGGACTGAGGGAGCTGATTGGTCTTTGCAGGCGAGGTGTACGTGCTGAACGATGGGGGTGAAGTTGACCTGGACCTGGGGAATTACGAGCGCTACTTGAATGTGACGCTTTCGAGGGATAACAACATCACGACGGGCAAGATCTATAGGGAGGTGATCGAGAAGGAGGTGAGTGATAAGCTGGGTCATTGCGAGCCAGTGTTAATGTGCATATAGCGGAGGGGTGATTACCTGGGGAAGACCGTGCAGGTATGTACAGACTTTGGCAGAGGGGAAAAGGAATATTGACTGAAGTCGGCAGATTGTCCCTCACGTCACGAACGCCATCCAAGACTGGATTGAGCGCGTCTCGAAGGTCCCCGTCGACGATACTGCCGAGGAGCCCGATGTCTGCATCGTTGAGGTATGTTCTAAGAACTTGGTTTGTCAATAACTTTGCTCACATGTCGCCCAAGCTCGGTGGTACCGTTGGCGACATTGAGTCTGCTCCCTTCGTCGAGGCCATGCGCCAGTTCCAGTTTCGCGTCGGTCACGACAACTTCGCACTTATTCACGTCTCTCTTGTCCCCGACATCCACGGCGAGCAGAAGACGAAGCCCACGCAGACGACAGTGCACTCCCTTCGCGGCTTGGGCTTGCTGCCTGACTTGGTGCGCACGTTCGTCATTTCTGGGCTCGAACAGCCTTCTTATAACCCCGTCAGATCGCTTGCCGTCTCATCGTCCCTGAGCCTCTCCAAGCCCCGACTAAGGAGAAGATCTCCATGTTCTGTCACGTCAGGCCGGAACAGGTCTTTGGCGTTCACGACCTCGCGTCGGTGTACCACGTCCCTCTCTTGCTGCGCTCGCAGGGTATCATCGAGTACCTTCGCAAGAGGCTGTCCCTCGACACCGTCAGCATCACGCCAGAGATGAAGCTGAAGGGTCAGAACTTGGCGAAGCGATGGGAGGACATCACAAGCAGGTATGCTCTCCGTTGCTTGCATTGAGGCAAATGGCTGAGGCACAGTATAGCCAGGAGCGCTTGTTCGACTCTGTCAATATCGTCTTGGTTGGCAAGTACACTGATCTGAAGGACTCGTACATGTCCGTCACGAAGTCGCTTGAGCACTCTGCGTTCCGTGTGCATCGCAAACTGAACGTCCTGGTGCGTCTTCTGCGTCATCTTTCCAAGTTTGTACTGACAGGTACCAAAGTGGATCGAGTCGAGCGACCTTGAGCCTCAGGCAAAGGCAGAGAACCCCACGAAGTACTATGATTCGTGGCGCACAGTCGCCAGCGCCAACGGCATCCTCGTCCCCGGTGGCTTTGGGCACCGCGGCACGGACGGTATGATCATGGCCATCAACCACGCCCGCGAGAAGAAGATCCCCTTCCTCGGCATCTGCCTCGGCTTCCAGCTCGCCGTCGTCGAGTGGGCGCGCCACGTCCTCAAGATGCCGCACGCCACCTCGTCCGAGTTCGTCAAGGACACCGAGGAACCCGTCATCGTGTTTATGCCCGAGATCTCGAAGACGCACATGGGCGGGACGATGCGCCTTGGCCTGCGCCCGACGGTATTCCAGCCGGGCAGCGAGACGTGGTCGAAGACGCGGAAGCTGTACGCGGGGGCGGAGAAGATCTGGGAGCGCCACAGGCATAGGTACGAGGTGAACCCGGCGTTGATAGATCGCTTGGAGGGGAGTGGGCTGCCCTTCGTGGGGAAGGACGAGAAGGGGGAGCGTATGCAGATCCTGGAGCTTCGTGGTGCGTACACGTTCAATCTTCAGATGCGTTCGCAAGCTGATCTTCGCGATAGATCATCCCTTCTTCGTTGGCCTGCAAGCGCACCCTGAGTTCTGCACTCGCCCGCTGAACCCTTCGCCGGCCTTCCTTGGGTTCGTTGCTGCCGCCTGCGGTCCTGAGGTGCTCGAGCAGCAAATTGCGTACCAGGCGCAGAACTTCACGCCACCTCACCCGGAGGAGGCAATGGTCAGCGAGGAGATTCTTCGTCAAGGCGTCCCGATCGCAAAGGGCAAGACGCTCGAAACCCAAGAGGTCTTCGTCGACGGCAACTCGCGCGACAGCACACCGGAGTGAAGGCTCGACGTACTGTAACAACACCACACCTCCCTCTCCACTATTTATTGAGTCCCTGTACTCACTAAAAGCTTTGCTTATCGTAGAGCATTCCGGTCTCGTTCATGTTCAGACCGTGAAGTAGATCTCTGTAGAACATTTGACAGCATCATAACCTAATACCCCACGCACCCCTCGCATTGTAGCATTACATAGTATATCTGTAGCTCTCAATAGAATAATTTTGCAGGAATGCTGCGCTCACCCTGCGCGCCAGGAGAACAGGTCGAGTACGCCACCGTCACAACCACGTGCACAAAGTTGAACTCTGTGACAATACGTTCGGACTTTGCCGACAGCGTTTTCTCCCGGCCGCACGACCCCCCTCAGTGACCCTGACCTCTTTGCAACCGACTGAAAGGCTTTGAAGATTGCATTGGTCCATGCAAAAGAAGTCTGAGATGACATGGGCAGCAATACAGCCCTTGAACGTGCTATAAGCCATCGCGCAGACTCGCCACCCGGAAGGCGTCGTCAACAAGCTCGCGCTAAGCTACAACGACCGGTCGTGAGCGGATCCCGCCACGGAATGCTATAGACGTGCGTGACAGCGACAGCGAATACTTTCGCTCCGGAATACCAACCTTTAGTTCCTCCGCTGCGACTCACATACACTGACTTCCACAGTCGCAACTGCGTGAAGTACGGGTTAGAGGTGAACATATGCCCGCCACGTTCTACATGTCGCCCCCGAACATCGATTCCGAGCTCAGCGGGTCGAGCGCTCTCCCAGCCACGTCGGCGCAATGAACACGACCTCGACGACAAATTCCTTCCGCACGGCACGGTCACGAGGCGGCTGACGCATAGAACATTGGCGCGTAGCCGTGTCGGGAGTGCGGTAGAGAATTGGGAAGATGTCTGATGAGGACTTGGTATATAAACCGTGTTCTTTCCGTCCGTCATACCCCGCTGCTCCCTCGCTGAATCCCCGCCAGAGACCTAGACAGTCGCTCGTCCTTAGCGACCTCGTTCCAGGCTGGCGCACGTGCCGTGTCAATAGACATCCTTTCGGAATTCGAACGACGGCCCCCTATCTGAATTTGACCTCCTTTAGCTATGGTACGTTCGTCTCACACTGTGGAAAGGCATCCTGTGGCTCAATGTACTGCACACAGTCCCAGTCAGCGACGCCTTTACAGTCATTCCTGGGTGGCATAGGCCTAGTCTTGCCCGCCCACGCGCTCCTTCTCCTTAATGGGAAGGTATTCGGTATTTCTGGCTTCATGCACCGCTGCCTGCGTGGAGATAAAGAGGCTGCCGCTGGAGTCGCTGGTCTTATAGCTGGTAGGCACTAATGTTGCCATGCCGCTCACTCTTCTTGACTAAATTTCCTTTTAGGCGGTGCCGTGGTTGGCCTCATTGATCGCGCAGGACCATCGCCTATCACTCTGCCGTTGTCTCTCGTTGCTCTTTCCGGAGGACTGGTTGGACTCGGCACTAAGGTTCGTCCTATAGGCTCTCATTAACTCTTGGACACTGACAGCTGTCTGAAAGCTCGCTAATGGTTGCACATCTGGGTAAATAACCCGGTAACGTCGAGATTCTGTCCAAGCTGACGTTCATCTTAGCCATATGGTGTGCGGACTATCGCGCCTGTCAATTAGGTATGGCGAACTCCTTGTGTGATATACTCGTTCGCTCATAATTTCAGGTCGCTGGCCGCCACTTGCACGTTCTTTCTGACTGGAGTCTTGACTACGCGAGTGCTACACAGTACATCCAACGGCACTCTCAGCGTCGGCACGGATTGGTCATTGGGCTTGCACGGCTACAGCCTGCTCGCTGCGCAACTTGTGCCGCTCGCTTTCATAGCTGCGTCTTATCTCAAGCCTGACGTTAGAACGACTGACTGTCTTGCGCGTGCTCACAGATACTGATACTTCATCCAGGCCATAGCCAACGACGAAGAAAAGAAAACAACGCGTTCGACGTCTCGCCTTCTCGCCGCCTTCACAACCGCCGTCGACTTCGCACTCGCTCTCCGTCTCTCCAATCTAGTCGACCCGCAGAAAGTCCTTTCCTTCCTCGTCCTTCCGCCCGTCGTGCGTAATATCGTCGACGCGCCCCTCCGCGCCGTTGGTCTCATGACTGGTTCCCCCACTCGACCCTTCGATCCATCGCTCGCGTTCCTCGCCGCTGGTGCGCTGCCCCTAGGCATGGCCCTATACCGTTTCTTCAGAGGACCGGAAGTCCCGCGCCTAGGCGGGCAGTGGAGCATACCCAAGGGTGGTAAAGTCGATGCGCGTCTCATCGTCGGCGCGGCGATCTTTGGCGTTGGGTGGGGGATGGTCGGGATCTGCCGTGAGTCGTTTTCCTTTTCGTATCCCAGAAGGATATGTAAAGCTGAAGGTATTGTAGCTGGTCCGGCACTGGTCAATTTGGGGCGCACTCTGTCGTCGAAGACTGACTTGGGCCCTCTTTTGGTCTGGTTGAGCACGTTCATCGTGGGAGGGTTGATCGCGCCTGCGTGAAGGCTGGACTGTGATAGCAGTCCTGGTTTTACTGAATGCTTCCGTGTGTGCTCTTGCTCTCCACTTCGCTCGAGCTTATGTCCATACAAGGTCCCCTTCTGCCCCTTGTTTACGGTCTCTCGAAAATGTACCCTATATCCGCCCGCCATAGGCCGAGCGAGGTTCAATGCCACAGCTCTATCCTTCTGATAGGAGGGAGTGCCCAATTGCGCGTGCTTTGGATGAAACGCTCGCAACGCGCCTAGGTAAAAGCACCGTTAACCTCCTCTTCTTTGCCTTACCCTCAATTCATGTGCATTCCCGTCCGAGTCCTTCCATTTGCTTGATGGTGGCGAAGGGAAGGGGGTGTATCGCTGGCTACAACCGCGCGAGCGCCCTGTCGCTCAACTGACGCCGGGCGATCTGGACTTCACCCACTCGAAGCAACATGAAAGCACCCTCTAACTCACCGGCACATTGTCCCGATTCTGGGCATCGCGCGCCGATGCCGATGTCAGAAGCGACGAGCCCTCGTTAAGCAACAATCACCCCTTGGTCGAAGCGACATAACATATCAAACAGGTGAGTCACCTCTCGAAATGAACTATCGAACGCCACAGGCTGATTTCATCTCAAGAAAGGTTGCCTTCTGTTCGGGCGGGCCGTCTGGGTGAATATTTCCGCAGGCTGAAGTTGCAACACCCCTCACCCGGGAGCGCTGGACAGATCGCGTAGCTTGCACCTGCTTATGAGTGCCACCACCGTCATTAGGTTCGCGGGTCGTGCAGTTGAAGTTCAACATCACCATCACGTGACTGTCTCCATCTGCAGGATCGTCTCTTCCCCAGGTGCTTTGGGTCCTTCATTCGGGATTAGATGCACTCAAGGACCACAACCTTGTGCGCACAGACCTTGCGCAAACCCAAAATAGAGCGAGAAACCCCGATCCCAGAACAGAGTTTCTGCCCATGTGGGCGCCGCTTCCTCGCCGAAACGCACGCTCCGGGGGGTGTGGGAGCTCATTGGGACATGGTCTGCTTCTCGAGCGGACGGCATTATGGCCGTGGCACGGCGAGCGGTCCAAGTGCCTTCGTGAGAGCGAAGGAGGCGGCAGGCCGTCGTCATGGGCAAAGTTGGACTGTATGAGCAGGGCTGAGGGTGAGTCACGCGGGGCTGACGCTGCGGGATTTACAGCATGGGCTACGTATGGGATAGCCCAGGTATGGTGCGTGACACCTAGTCACCGCTACTTTTGTACAAGCGCTGATGGAGGTGACACAGTCACGCTTTCCCTTTTTCCTCTGACGAAAGTGTAGCAATGGGCAAGGGGAACAGATCTGTCAGAGGAATAAGTCATACGTCGAGTTTTCGAAAAATAGTTCCTTTGGAATTGGCCACATTCCTAATTAGGAAGGTGGGAAATCATGTAGGTCCACATGTGCGCGCCCTTCATCTGTTTGGTACGGCGTTCATGCCATTCAGTTGGAGGTTGTAAACAGCATTTATAGCATTATGACCCTGATGCATGTGTCTGGTCCTGCCTACAACCCAGCTCAGGAAGGCATGTGCAAGCATGGGCACGCGACGCCCTTTGTTCACCTCAGAACCGATGTCACAGACCCTCGAAGCAGGTAATTGAGGACGCAAAGATAGCCTGTTTGCCTCCCATAAGTTCTGACCATGGAATCCCTCCATCGTAGGCCCTCAGCGACCATTTTTAATCTGATTTTTGCCGATTTTTCCGCTGCGCGGCCGATTTGGCCGCTGTGACAAACTGGTGGTGACTAGGTGTCACGCACCATAGTGCTGGTTATCGTACGAGGTCTGCATCGATAAGTACTGTAGCGTGGATTGAATGACCTCGCGGAAGCTTGAGGGAAGATGAAGACGAAGGGGGCAGGGCTCAAAATATTATATAACATCGACTTCATACTTATATTCCATTGCACTTCTCCTTCCACCGTCGAGGATCTCTAACGCTACAGGACACCGTATAAGTAGTACAGGCCAGCTCGAGGCTGGTACTGTAATTGGGATTCAAGAGATAAGTGAAATATAAGGACGTACACGGGACCTAAGCCGCCAGTCGTGAACAGACACAGACACAGAGACGAGACACAAGGGAAACGCGTGAGCAACGCTGCTCTCGCCGTCGAAGTGTAAAGGTACAGTTGAGTGGAGAAGCAGAATCAAGCGGGGACGAGGGAACAGAACCAAGCACAGGAGAGCGGAAAGAACAAGCGTGCCGTCGCCAGCGAGGGAATAAATTAATGGCACAGGTAGGGTAACGCGTATGCGAGTCGAGAAGTGATATAGTTTGTGCTGTGTTGTGTTGGAACAATACGGGTACATCCAGCCGAAGAGGGATACATCCATCCGAAGGAGGAAAGACAGATAGGCGGAAAGGAAGGGGTATCCAGACGAGGGATGTCGACAAGCCAAAGGAGGGTGTATGGTGCTTTGGCCTACGAAGGACGCGCGCAAGGAGTCGACAACGCGCGAGGGTCCGCGCGCGCTCAGAACGCCTTGACCCCGTCGAATTGCTGGTCCGGGACGAGCGACTGGAACTCGTTCGCGTAGATCTGGTCGTACGCGCCGAAGCCCATGGGCATCGGCGTCATGTCCACGGCCTCGCCGCCGAGGAAGTCGGGCCCGCTGAGGAAGGTCTTGTCGGGGACATCGGTCGGAGCGTTCCACCAGTCGTCGGCGACGCCGCCCTCGCTGACACCGCCCATGGTACCCGCACCAGCCATGGTACCCTCGCCGACCATCATGCCTTGACCGTATACCGCGGGCTGCTGCCCGTACTCGGCTGGCTGGTGGACGTACTCGGTGCCGTACGCCGCAGGCGAGCCCATGTACGTTGATCCGTAATCCGCAGGAGAGGGCAGGTCGCACGGCGTGGGGTAGGAAGCGGCGCCGTTGTCGCTGCAATTGGTCGGCGGCGCGGCGTTGAAGTTCTGGTATCCTCCATTGTTGTTCATGTCGCTCGCGGTGACCGGCGTCGGGTAGTACATCCCCGAGGCGTTGTACTCGGGCGCGCCAACGCTCGTGTCAATGGTGAGCTGCCCGTAGGGGGACGGCGCGGCGTAGACGGGCGTGGGCATCGCATAGGTCGGACCTGCGGGCATCTTGGTGTTGTACGGAGGTTGCGCAGCGGGCGAGGGCGCCATGTACGAGGCGGGCGACGGCGTCGGATACGGTGCCATGGGTGCATAGGCCGGTGACGAGGCATCGTAGGCCGGCGATGACGCATCGTAGCACGGCGAGGGCGGCGCGATGGGCGAGGACATGTCCTGGGGCGGACCCGGAGAATACTCGGCGGGAGAGGGTAACGAGATGGGGCTCGAGGCAGTCGCACAGCGGGGACTGTACGGGGTGGCGGGCGCGCGCGATAAGGAGACATTCTCGTTCGGCGCCACCGGCGTCAGAGGATCGACCTCGACAACCTTGGGCGCAGCGCATGTGTTGGTGAACGAGAAACCGGCGAACGACTATGGACAGCGTCAGCTGAGGAAAGAAACACACGAGAGATAACATACAATTTGTGGGTCCGGCTGGTCCTGACCACCGAAGGATTGCGGTTTAGGGACCGGTGGGAAGCGGGCCACGGCCGAGCGGTCCTCGGGTTCAACAGTCGAGGGGCGGCGAATAGGGTCAGGGAGCTGGAGGAACTCGTTCGAGCGGCGGATGTGCTCCGTCTCCTCGGGCGGCGCCGACGACGAGCGGCGGAAGGCGCTGGCGGTCACGGGTGGCTCGAAGCGCGTGACGGCAGGCTTGACGCGGGAACTCTCCCAAGCCTGCAGTTCCTTGTCTAGCGCATCGTCCGTGAGTCCTTCGGCAATGAGCTCCGTGATCTTCTGAATGCGTTCTTCGTCGATGGGCGCCATGTCCCGTACCTGACGCTTCCCCCCGATGTAGCTGGGTAAGTGGCGCGGCTGGAACTGGTAGTCCGGGAAGCGCAGGTGGTGCTCCTTCGTGGCGTCCGCGGCGCGGCTGTACCAGTAGGTGCGCTCGGCGGGGGGAAGCTGCTTCCAGGCGGCGGCCACAATCTTGGACAGGTTCGCGTGCGAGTTCTCGATCGCCTTGCTGACCTTGTGGGCCTTGATAAAGGACGAGCGGAAGATGATGAAGGCGTTGGGGGGACGGGGGATGTGGTTCACCGAGCGCTTGCGCTGGTGGGACCGCTCGCGGCGGGCGTCCAGGTACTCGCGGGCATCGCGCGAGTAGGGCTCGAACTTGTACTGGGTCCAGGCGGCGTCGCTGCTGTAGGACTGGGGAGTGACGTTCTCCGTGAAGGCAAAGTCTGAGGGGCCGTTGGCAACAATTGTGGCCTTCCAGACGGTTTGGGTGCCTCCGGCTACGGGGGGAGTGGCTGTCAGCGTGATCGACGGCGAGCAGGGCCGTCTGTGCTCACCGGCTCCCTTCGCCTTCGTACCCTTCGACTGAGACTTTGGTTGCTTGCTGCGAGTGGGCGCCATGACGGTCGGTGGAGAGCAGGGCGGGTGCGCAATCAGAGGGGGCGAAATTCGAGGGGGAAGCACACGGGGCGCATGGGTGAGAGCTAGCCCTTAAATGGCGGCCACCCTGGCTGGTCTATTAAATCTCCGAGTGATCCAAGGTGATCCATCAAGATTCACGAAGTCCTCCAACGCTCAGATAGGCATGTCAGACCCGTTCCTGCTCGTCCCTCGGCCTCCATCACCATCAACTTCAGCTTTCCCTTTCGGCAGATCGCGCGCACGTGCAGCCACTTTTGCTTCCGCCCAAGTTCAACATCGATAAGGTTGCTTCCGAGCTTTATATCCGTGGATGCAAACCTCTGAGCCTCCCTCGACGCTGAAATCCAGCAGAGAGCTCGTCGAAGAGCGTGCACAAAATTTTCTAGCGCACTGCCGGCATCCGATATGGCATCATCATGTGGCTGCCTGGCGCACCCGATTGGCGGTGCCCGGGGGGCACGGTCGAGCATTACGTGGGTGAGAACCCTTTTCTTCTTGGTCGGGCCCCTCAGCAGCAAAAGCCACCGACGTGCCAGATCGCCCAAAACCCCTAGCCATTTTCCAACCGAACGTCGTACGCATTCTGGAAATGAACAGAGCACTCCCCCTCAACCCGATGAAGCCCGCCCTACCCTCTCGACGCAGGGCTCGACGCTGCGCTGCAGAGAGGCCTGACGGATGATGACGGATGAGCTCCCCTTCCAAGCTTGATCGCCGTTCGTCTTTACTCGTAAAACACCTCGGCAAACGTTTGCCGCAAACCTTCAGTCCCAGTTTGGTTGTCCTTGTCCCTGCTTAGCTACAGTCGCCCCCGCCACCATCCCACATCCCTGGACCAGGCAATGCGCTCCACTGTGAAGCTAATCTCTGCTGGAGCTCAATCGCGGGCGGCCTGCGCGCGTCGAGAGGGCAAAGTGCAGAGAACCACTTCGACGATTCATCGCTATCACCACGAGGCGGACGAAGTGTAAAAACACCCGTCGACGCTCGCGGTCATTCGCAGCCCCGGGCACGGCGTCTGAAGGAACAGCAAAGATCTCGTGGCCGCTGCGGGCGGAGGCGCTCGGTGGACGGTCGATGCTCTGCGGAAGTGGGCTCCAGGGGTTTGAGCAATGATGAATTCATACGGCGAACGCCGCCACCGCGCAGGGTCCTCCACACCATGCTAAACAGATAAGTGGAATAGTAGGCATCGCTCTGCTGCTAGGCCAGCCTTACATGGTCCAACCCTGGGCAAATATGACATAGTCTGCAACGCTCGACGTCGCTAAGTCCCGGGAATATCTATGCGGGTGCCAACCGTGCTAAGCCAGGTCGGGGAAAGCGCTCTCTCGCTAATCGAGCGCCAGGGTGACGAACGTTCTCACCCGGACTGATGTGCGAGCCGAGAGTCTTCCCTGCGATATTCGACAAGTGGGCGCCTCGAGTGCATACGGAGTCGAAGGAGTTGTATATTCTGCGGGACAGGTAATTATGTGTGTAGGCGCGAACATCGACACGCGTGCACAAATGCGCGCGAACCGCGTAGCCCGATTCTGCCGCGGACGGCCAGGGACCCACATTCAAGAGCACGGCAGCACCAACGCACCTGACTGACCCCGTCCCCCGCCCTCACACGCAATGAGCGCCTCGAGGCAGCCCGAAGCCCTCACAGCACCGCGTAGCAATGAGACGGAACATTGCCAGCCTTCGCCGTCAACATGAGGTTGACTCTGTATAGTGATCTCGCAGCGCAGTGAGGGACATTGTGCTGGCAAACAGTATAGCGGGCCTCGTGGCGCTAGACTTCGCATGGCGTTAGACTTCGTATTGCGTTAGCGTTCGGCGGCACCGTGTAGCCCTCAGCGGCACTATGTAAGCTTCAACGGCACGCGCGGCCAGAGCTAGGCTGCGGTGATGCACCGGATATGCCACCGGGCGTGGGTGCGCGCGAGGGGGAGGCGGGGGTCCAGGCGATGGAAGTGCGTCAGCGGCGCGGGCCGCGGTGAGCCGATAAGAGTTTCGCAAGGACCTGGGAATGCCGGTGGAGAGGAGAAGAGGGGGAGCGCAACCAGCTGGGTTCTCGATCTGCGAGCGCGCGCCGGCGAAGTAGCCGAGAGGGCGCAGGACTTTGGATCTTCGATAGGGACACAGGTCACGGCGTATTGCAAAGAGCGACGAGCGCGACCGAGGGACGGAGAGGAGAGCATAAATTCGGAGAGGGCGCCAGCCATCGAGCAAACAGAGCTAAGTTAACAGGAGAGGCCAAAAGTTCGAGGAGGCGAGAATGATCCAAGAGAATATTCTTCTGTAAAGACCGACGTAAGACTAGCATCACCTGGCGACGCAAACGACGCCCAAAGCGCGCCAGATAAGACCTCTGGGCAGTCTGCTGATCGATCTGACGTGTTAGGCAGCATCGTGAATAGCAGACCACCGTATAGATATTCCCCACAGTCTGCCGTCAACCGCGGAACCGCACATGGGCAACAGATCGTTAACCACAGGGTTGCAGAACCGCCCCCGCTGGTGGCAGAACCACCCTCATTGCTGTCGCCGACGGACTTATTGCTGTCACTGGCGAACTGTTGAGGCTAGCGAGTTCATATCCTCCGCGAGGGGCGCAACTACCAGGCCCGAGAATTGAAGGTCGACAGTAAATGAAAACGACGTGCTCGGGAATGCGACGCGAGGGACACGTCGCGCCTCGAGGCAACCCTGTAATGCAGCGGTCTGTTGGAGGACCCCCGACATTTCCGCCAAAGGCCTCCGGAGAAAATTCCGACTTTTGGGCCTCGTGAGCCTGCGCCGATTTTGAGCATCGAGGGGGTTCTGAGCCTGCGTTTGCGGAGGGGTCCCGCTGGACCCTCGTTCTGAGCCTGTGTTCTCGCGGAGGCCTCTAAAAAGGCCAATAAAATCGCAAAAAATCTGATTTTTTTCTCCCTGCGCGCCGCTTCTACTTCTGCGGTCTTCGGAACGTCTTTCTTGCAGAAAATGGCTGTTTTTGTGCAAGAAACACGTACTTTGCTTGGCGCCGAACGTGCCGACCGTCCGCAAAAAAGAAACAGCCATGCATAGGTGACGTCGCAGCTGCTCAAAGCCTCGCATACCATAGAAAGGGTTTGGGGATTGGAAGGATGGTGCACCGCGGCGCGCAAAGTACCAGGCGCGCCGTCGCCAGCGACGATGGTGCGGTCAGCGCCACCGAAATCCATTCATGACCTAAATCCATTTCGGACCCACCTCTTCAATGTCGCAAGTCGTTGTTGACTTCTTTTTCTAACGTTTCTAACGGGGGTCGCCTCCTTAGTGACCGTCAGAGCTGCGTGCGAAATCAATGCAGGATAATCGCCACCACGTGTCGTCAGCTGGGCTTCGGGGCCCCTTCCTGAGCCTGCGCACCTCGGAGACCCTCACGACGACCCCTCATCTGAGCCTGCGATTTTCGGAGGCCCAAACGGCAAATCTGGCGCTTCTGAGCCTGCTTTTTGCGGAGGGTCCCCCGGAGGGGGACCCTTTCTGAGCCTGTCCGGCCGGAGGCCTTTGGCGGAAATGTCGGGGGTCCTTCTGTTGGTGGCGGAGGCGGTAAGTCGGTTGCCGATGGCCGGTCGCGTGGGACGCACGTATCCGCCCACGTGGCCAAATAAAGGATATTGCCGCGACCATCGAGAGTCGGGATGGGCGCCTCCGCCGAGAGGGAGAAGGAGAAAGGCGACCGCAGTCCTGGCAGGGTCCGCGAGGGGCCTGCACAGGTCAGGGTTTGGTAAGCTCACAAGAGGAAAGCAGTGCGAAGGTGCTACCACTCACCACATTCCGCGCCCACTGGCCACATTCCTGCCGCCGATGAGACTGATGACAAGACTTGGGGTCAACAAAATGTGGCATATTACTCACATACAGCATCAAAACAGTCCAATGGTAGCGTCCGCGTCGTAAGGCCAGCGGAAGAGGGTCGTGATGAGGGCCGACATCCGCCGGGAGTGCATATTCTCCAGGGATGGCCAGTACCTGCCGCGTAAGCGCTAGTCCCCAAGGAGCTCCTGGAGAGCCTCGGGTAGAATACAGTATGGGCGTCCTTCCGTAAGCAGAAATCATAAGGACACCCGATCCGCAGGTTGTGGGCGCACGTACAGAAAAGAAGCGCTCTTCGAGCCGATGATCGCGGCGTGAGGGGACTCCTTGCGGACTGCTGAGCATCAAAATATTCCGCGGGGAATCAAGAACACGATATGATGCGGGAGTGTGGTGAGAAAAGGCGGCAGTGTTGCGCTTCTGTGTGGGCGTACAACGTCGGAAGGCTCGTGAGATTGGTGGGATGACTTGTGAGCCGCGTGCTAGCGCGGGTAAGGACATCACAAAGGCGCCCACAACGGCAAGGTTCCATCAGCGCTAGCGTTTTACGGGGGGGCAGGACCGTGTACCTCGAGATGAGAATAAGTCTGCGCCGCTATGGCAGCGCGTGCAATCGGGTATTACGCCTGAAGGTCAATCAGTGCATGCAGTACAGCTCAAATCTGGGGTAGAATACTGGCTCTACAGTGGGGAAGTACCGGCGATTGAGTAGCGGCACATCGAGTGTTCCGTCAAGGATAATGGGAACTTGTATAACCTGGAAGGAGCACTGGCACGTGATGTTTGCCATCCCACCGCCGTGCACGTACTTCACACAGCACCTAAGGGAAGATAGGGCTGAGTTAGAGGCGCAAAGCAGCTGCAGCTGGGTGGTGCTGGCGGATTGGCGGGTGAGGGCAAGAACAAAGGGGAATCAAAGCACAGCCCGCGAGGATTGCGGTGAGAATGTTGCCGGAGATAGCCGGTCACTTCTCCTTTTGCTCTGCCATGTCGACTGCCTCTGAATTTCTTGGACGTTCATCTCTGTCGCATTCGGACTTTCAGCTGGTATGCAATGTTGAGATCACCCTCCAATGTCCAATCAACCATTCTTCAGCACTCAAGTAGCGCTCGCTACCACAAAGACACCCGAAAACCTCACGGCAATGTTCCATCTTCTCTGTCACTGCGCTTTGCTACAATGCCCGTATCACGACGCGAAGGCAACTAGTGTCCACGATCACTGCGATGACATGCCCTCTGCTGAACAGGCAGTCTCTTTCAATTCTATGATTCCAGGTCATGACCAGCACCTGCTGCCCTACGATCCCGGGATGCGTGCGATACTAGGATTTCTACTCTAATCCTGCTTTTGCCGCAGGGCGCTATAACTCGGACTGTATGTGCGCGTGTATTGAGGTATGTAAACCGGAACACATGCCCCAGCTTGGCCCGCTGTTTCCCGAAAAGCATCAACCTTCTTCAGCGCTCATGGGGTTGGCCAATATTGGGCTTCCATTTAACTGCTCAATGCCAACGTCTTCCTCGCCTTCCGTGGCTTACCTGGCTCCAGCTGTTATCGATAGACCCTGGACTTGTCCTCGTCATTGCCGAGTTGGCAGGCAAGGCCATTCGTACTCTTGAGCAGCACTCAGTCTCCGTCATCAAAGCCTAGGAAGCTCGCCATCGACTCATCAGAACCCCTGCATCAGAAACATGCTCGAGGACGTGTCCAGTTAGGTCGACAGTGGCACCGATGGCGACATGGTAGGGGAGCAGAGGAGGGTGCGATCGCGTCAAGGCGGCCGAGGGACCACTCGCTCAATATCAAGAGACGCTGGCGGACTTCCTGCAGAAGCCGACTGACGAACAAGCAAAACGCGGCTGCAAAGGAAGGGTCGCATGGCAGGCCATCCGAGGAGGAACAGATTGAATGATTCCTGACAAAGATCGAGCGCTGCAGATTGGACATCACCCACGCCTTTGTTACAAACACTGACTTAGTGAAGACGCATGTCGAGAGGGAAGATCACTCATTCATACCGTCAAGCCTGCGGTTCCAGCGCATCGAGAGGAATACCATCGCGTTCTCGAATGAGCAGACGCGCGCGAAGCAGCTTGCGACTGTCAACTTAGCCGATTCACTTTCGAAAGCATTGGCATCCCGGCTCGAGGCAGAGGGGAGCTCAGACAAGCATACGCAGGCGAACGTGCATGCGTCCGGCGAGCGCCGACGGCTTGTCAATACTCGGGACTGTCGTCCGCCAGATAAGTACGAAGTGGACGAGCCTTTCATCATCGGGAGAGGAGCCACAGCTCGCCGCCATCGCGCAGTGTCTACGATGGGAGACTCACTCATGTTATGGAGAGATACCGGTTTTCTCTCGCTTCTGAACTTGGACACCGGTGATATTTTACAATATTTCGTAGGGTGTGCGTATGCATGATTAATGTAGACGCCGACAGTATTTCCTCCAGGCCATAATGGAGCGTTCGACGGTCCAGCTTTCTGAGCTTATCACGCTGTGACCGAACGGAAAAAAACCAAGTGGCCAGTCGAGCACAAAGGTCGCCCTCGCTCTCACCGTTATCCCAAGTCCGTCGTCGGAAATGGCCGAGCGGAAGCAAAGGACGAAAAAAACCTTCCTAAACGGGAAACAAGAGCAGCCGAATGCGGAAGCTTTCTCACGCTTGGCCCTGAGAAAACCTCATTCCGACTTTCATGTCCGGCCAAAATCCTCCCCCAAAGGCCATCTCGTCGCTCGCGAAGCCGGCGCCGAGTCAGACGACGAGGCAGGGCGCACCCAAACTCAAGTTTGTCCCAACACTCCCCGCGCGCAGGAAACCGCAACCGCAGGATGCGCAGGTGAAGCAAGTGAGATCGGGTGTGGCTGAGAGCCGGTGACATCGAGCTGATTGGTGTGCAGGAGCCGTCGACGTCGGCGATCCCGGCTGATAATGCTGGAGAGCGCGGTCGGGGACGAGGGAGGGGCAGAGGGCGCGGGCGAGGGGATGGAGGACCGCGTCCGCCGATCGAGATGACCGCATCAGGGCCGTTTGCTATGGGCCCGGCGATGACCTCCGTTCGGCGCGCGGCACCGGCGACGACGATCGTACCCAACAGGCCAGTGGGCGCATTGGGTGCGGGACTTGTGCCGGTGAAGCAGGAGCCAACGCCGATCTCGCTAAGCGCGAAGGGCAAGGGCAGGGCCCGCGAGTCGCTCTCGGAGACGCCAGCTCCCTCGGAGGCCTCGAAGAAGGAAGAGGACGACGATCATGAAGTGTACTCGGACCCTGACGAGGGTGTGGAGATTGTCGACATGGACGACGTCAAGACGCTTGATTACATGGCGCCGGACAGCATCAGGCGCGAGCGAGAAGCGAAGGCCAAAGTGAAGAAGGAGAAGCAGGAGGAGAAGGGTACGTGTATGAACAGACTGTAGTGACTACGCTTACTGACGAGCCGGACCAGAAACCTCCGTGACACCACCGATCGACGCCTCCAATGCGCTGGACTTGTCCGAATCCGAAGATGAAGAAGAGCTAGAAGACATTGTCGAAGACTTCACCTTCAAGGCAGACGTCGCGGATGGCACGGTACGCATGCAGCTCCAGACTGCGCGAAATCGTGCTCATCTCGGATCCAGCCCGCCTTCCAAGATCGACTATACTTCTTTCAACTACCACATCCGTTCCCCGTCCTCGTGCAACCTACGCCCATCGATGGGATGGACGTAGATGAAATGTCGGCACCCAATAGTCGGCATGTGTCCTTCGCGCCTGATGTCAAGCCCGCTGCCGTACCAGCGTCCGGCGTCACCGTCAAGAAAGAGCCAGGCGTGAAGAAGGAGCCAGCCGACTGCGTCTTGGACGGTACTGAGCGCCTTGACGGTGTCATCGGTACGCTGCTCGTACGACAGTCGGGACGCATCCAGATGGAACTGGGGAACGGCGCGATTTACGATGTGCGTAATCCTAACTTTACCGAATAACACAAGTCCAAGACTCATGGTCTCTTAGGTCACGCCCTCCACGCAGCCGTCGTTCCACCAGGCCGCAGTGCATGTTGTGTATCCCGAGGTACCGAAGCCGGCCGCACCCGGCCAAGCTACTGAAGGGACTCCGCCGATCGAGCCGCCAAAGCCCACTGCGCTCACGACGTTGGGACCGGTGACGCGCCATTTCAGCGTCACGCCTTCCATCGACCAGCTGCTCGGCGCCCTGGAGCGAAAGGATCACGAGCAGCAGGGAGCGCTACGGATCAGAGGGCTCCCTGAGGGCGCTGAGGCGGGCATGATCAGGATGGAATGAATCAGGTTACAGCTTACAGGTATTCTTCGGCTAGCTGGTCTCGAACGAGACACCGCTCACGACGCTGCCCGCACCTTCTGCGTCCTGTCCCACACCTACCCTACGTACATAAGTGAGTAGTACCAAAACACGGTCGAGGCGCTTGACCTCCTTCTCAGCAGCACGGGGAACCCCGCTGCGCTCGTCTTCGTGTACGTAAAGTGCATAGTTTGTCACTGTGGGCTCATGATGATCTCAGGGGTTCGCGGTCGAGGTTGCCTCCGCCGGTTCGTCCGCTGGGCGTGACGAAGGCTCCAGAGCCTGCCATGCAATCACGTGTGGGTCTGATCTAGTGAATTCTGCCATTGTCCCCCCGCGCTGTTTCCTATCTGGGACGAGCAGCAGGTTTTTCAGACCCGTCTTCGCCAACGGAGCTGCACGTATTTCGGGGCGTGATGCGCGACTACGCCGCGTCGACTCTCCATACAAAAGCACTTCCCCTGGATTCTCCTTTGCTTCCTACCCTTCCCCTCCCCCACCTGTCAACCATCGTGCCCACCGTGCACTCCCCGCATCCTTCCGGATCGCCTCCCTTACCATGCCCTCTACGGTGCACACTCATGCCAAGCCCGAGCTCTATCACGGGCTCCTGCAGACGACATTCCGCGGCGTCGAACACGACGTGTCGACGCCCGACGCGTCCATACAGCAGTTTCGCGGAATCAAGTTCGCGAGCATCCCCGCGCGCTTCCGCCAGAGCAAGTTACATACCGCGTACCCTGCCGTGACGGATGCGACCGAGTACGGGTAGGCGATCTCGCTTAGCGGGGTTTGCCCTCTGCTCACGTATCCTGCAGGCCCATCTGTCCTCAGGCGTACAACACCCGCACCTGCGAAGAGCGCCTGTTTGGCGTTGATGATGCGGAGTTGCCCTGCCAGAGACTGAAGCAAAATGAATTCGAATGTCTCAATCTCAACATCACCAGGCCTGCAGGCCTGTCGCGCCACTCGCGCATCCCCGTCATACTGTGGATCCATGGGTGCGTATTCGCGTCGTCACTGACGCTTCTCCGATACTCATGAAAACATTCAGAGGCGGCGACAGAGGCTCTGGCTCGCATTGGATGTACGATGGGGGCAACCTCGTTCGCCGCAGTATCCTGTGTGGCCGCCCTATCATATGTGTCACTATCAAGTACGTCCCATCTCACAGCCTTCTGTCTGACCTGTCTGACTGCTTGTATAGCTATCGCCTGGGCCTCTTTGGCTTCGCTGCGAGCCCGCATCTTCGCGAAGAGGCTGCTGTCTCGGGAGAAGCCGGGACAGGGAATTATGGTCAGCCGACATTGTGTTGAGATTCTGTGACAGTCTTGTTTACCGGTGCTTGGTCTAGGCGTGCGGGATCAACGAAAAGCCCTGGAATGGATTCATCGCTACATCAGCGAGTTCGGCGGCGACCCGCGCAATATCACGGTCTTCGGCGCGGGGACGGGGGCGTCAGACATCGTGTACCATTGTCTGTCCTCGGAGCATGCTACCCGACCGCTCTTCGCTCGGGCGATCATCCAGAGCCCGATCGGCATCGAGCCTAGCCTCCCTGACGTTGCGGCGGCGGGCTGGCGGCTGAACCGCGTGATGGCTGCGATGAAGCTCAGCTGCTACGAGCAGCTCTGCGAGCTTCCTGCAGAGTGCCTGGTTCCGTTCGGGCACGTTCTGCGCGTCGTGGACGACGGGCACTTCCTGGCGCCTGGGTGGCAATCTTGCATCGTCCCACAGGAGGCGCACCACCATCATCACCACTTGGAGACTATCGTGTCTTCTGCGCATAGCAAGTCACCGGCTCTGCTGTCCCGGCACAGTTCGCCGATGCCTCATATTCACCTGCCTGCTGACCTTCCGCCCCTGATCATTGGCGACTGCGTCGCGGACGCGGACCTGTGGGCGCTGCCCATCTCTCACTGGAACGCGCCCGCGGTCGTCCGTCGCCTCAAGGCCGTCTGCCAATCGCTCAACAAGTCGACATCCCTCATGCGCGCGTACGACTTCGGGACCAACACGTCCGACGAGGAGATAGCCGAGCACCTGCTGGAACTCGTCTGCGACGCGCGCGTAACGTGGCCGACGCACACCTTCCACGCCGCCGCGCGACATCAGCGACACGGCCGCGGTGTGTTCCGGTACGTCTTTGACCAGGAGAGCCCGACCCGCCGCATGGCGCACCACGCTGCCGACCTCATCTACCTCTTCGACAACCTGCCTACGCCCGCCGCCGTCTCCCCGCCCGCGCCCGTCTTCGACTTCTGCGACCGGTTCGATGACGTGGACAGCGACGACGAGGAGGAGTCGTACAACTCGCCGCTCAGCGACGACGGCGATATGTGGTCGATGACGACCGTCGACGAGTTCAGCTACAGCCGCGTGCGCGACACGATGCAGGAGCGGTGGCTCGCGTTCGCGTACGGCGAGGCGCCCTGGGACGAGAACAAGCTGTTTGTCTTCGGACCCGAGGGCGAGGCCGGTGAGCGCTCTGTGGGTGTTCTGGACGGCCGGCGACGCACGCGCGTGTTCAAGGAGGTCCTCGCTCCCTTGGGCATGGAGCTCGTGCAGAAAATCGCCACCGAGCTCAGTCGGGGCCCTCCGCTGACCGGCCACCGTTATGCTTGATTTGTTCGTCTATGTTTATTCTTTTTTCTCTCTTCAACGTACCTATGCGAACACCCCTCATCTTCATTTCTCCCTTCTCATTGTACATATCCTTTCATCGTCCATATCTCCTTCCACCACTTACTTACATATCATTGCCGCTCTTTTCGTCCACTTGGGCCATCTACCCTCGGTCTGAGCGTCGCTTCATCTGCTTCATTCATCCTTTATGCGCCCGAGCATCCCACCACCACCAGCTCGAGCGTCGCTCCCTTCATATGCCTCACTCACCCTTCACTTGCTTCTGCTTCATCCCTTCTCTTGCTTTCACCCCCGCTTTCGATGGGACTTTGTCGCAGGTTATAAACGCAGGGCACAAGGTCTCAAAATGGTAACCAATGTTGTATTTATCCCCAGCTTGTATCTCTAGCATACTCGCATCAAGTGTAATCGGTACATAGTAGCATTACAAAGGAATGAACATACGGGAATTATTGTTGTCTTCGACGTTGGATGGATTGCGGAAGTCGTCCAACGCGCCTTGGAGATGACTTCCACAGTGATCATCCTTCATTTCCGGGGATACAAGCACCGAGATCACCCCTCTGGGGCAGGTCGTGAACACATGTTCTGCAGCTGGTTGATGAATCCAAGATGAATCAGCTGAGTGTAGTACGCTTCACAGCTTTTCGCCAGGCGTATGCCAGAAGCAACCATGTATTCCGTGAGTAGCTAAGCACGGCCGTGGCAGCGCACCACCAGTGGCACGCACGCCACAATATATAATCTAAACCACATCCCTACTATAAAGCACCGCACAAGGACCGAAGATAAGTTAAAGATGGCGTGGGCGACACGGCATGGGGCGACCACGCATCAAAGGAGGATGGCGGCTACCCCAAGCGAATGACAGAGGTCACCGCTTAGAACGAGCCACGACGCGTGTGCGCGAGCCGGTTGTGGTGGTGCCCGCGGTGCGGCACGACGATGTTCGCGTTGCCTGCCGGCGCGGAGGCGGAGGGGGCAGCGGACTCAGTGCTGGAAGAAGCAGGGGCGGCGGCGCTGGAGGCCGGGGCGCTGGCGCTAGCGGCGGCGCCCATGGGCGCGCCGGACACGTAGGTGACAGGGTTGTTGCCGGGGAGCGTGGCAAGGTTGCCGGTCACTGGAAGGGAGAAGAGCGTGAGCAGGACTATCTAAGGGGAGAAGATAGCCTTTGGAGAACGCACCCTGCTCATCAAAGTGCGAGTCGATCTTGCAGTTGTTGGCGTCCTCATTCTTGGTGACGACACCCTTGTCGTAGCAGCAGTCAATACCGCCGTACGCCTGGGAGGTGCACTGACCGCACTGGTCCATGAGGTTCTGCAGCTTGTCGTCCTCCCAGCCGTTGATGAAGTCTAGTAAATGAATTGACTTCGGCACGCTACATCTCCCAAAGTCTCAAAACGTACCAGCGTGGTATCCGAACCCAGTGGGGTCACCGTTGGCAAACCTGCAAGTACATCGTCAATATTCTGTATTGGCTCGGTCACACACAAGGAGAAAAAGACGTACACGAAAGGCTGCGTGGTGTTCATCGCCTCGCCCCACTTGCTCGCCCAATCGCCCGACGCCCAGTAGACCTCGATGAAGATGCGCGGGAGCGTGACTGGGAACGCAGGGTCGTCGCAAGTGCCAGAGTCAGGGCCGCCCGACGGAAACGCGACGTGCGACTTGTGGTCGTCCGAGTCGGTGTTCTGTGAGTTTTTGTGAGCGGCGTGAACTGACATTGACGTGTACGTGAGCGCGAGCCAGAGTGCGAGCGTACCTTACCGTCCCAGCACATCGGGAAGTTCTGTTAAACGGCGTCAGCGAGGTGGGAGGGGGGAATTCAATGCGTATAGGGACGCACGATCTGCGCGCGGATACCCGAGGGGCAGTTGACGCTGGGCAGCCAGTTGTAGGTCACCGACGTGCCCTCGAAATCAAGGCAGTTGAAGGAGACGGCCTGCTGGGCCTTGCTCGACTCGTCCCACGTGCGCAGCATGGGGTCACCTAAATTGCGGTGTTGAGGGGCCGCTCAGCAAGTACGAAAGCTTTTGACGAACCAGAGACCATGCGGAACTGTCCCGCGTTTAGCGAGGGGTAAGGATTGGGTGGTAGATCCGGCACGTACGTTGTCAGGGAAGGCAGTCGCGGAGCCCGCCTCGTCGCCGAAGAGGTAGTCTGCTCATTTCAGTTATGCCGTATGAGAATGCTTGACAGATGCTTACAGCTGCGGTGGAGTCAGTAGGGAGCTCTAGATACGCTGATAGCAGACGTACGTGACAGCACCACCGGTGAGACTGCTGAACGTCCCGTTCGCCCATCTAAGACCTCGTGAGTACAACGAAGGATTTCTGCGAGTCAAAGGACTAACTGGAAGTACAAGTGCTAAACGAAGGATCAACAACAGCGATCAAACATTCCGGAGCAGTACGCACGGGGAACCAGTAGTTCGACTTGTCCTCCTTGATCTGCGCGGAGGTGCACTCGCTCTGCTGCAGATACGAGGTGTTCGTGATGAGGTCGAAGTTGCTGCCACCAATGACTGCGGCGAGCGCCAAGCGTCAGCCCAAATTACGCTGCAACGCGGCGACGGTAAACGCACCCGAGTGGACATGCGACGACTGAATGCCCGGCTCAACGACCTGCGCGGGTGCCTCAGTCAAGGCGCTGCGGCCGGCAGCGTGCGCATCAATAACGCACGGGGTCAGCGCGCTCGGTGACGATGAAGTCTGGCGGGCGCGTCGGTCAGCAAGCGGAAGTGGTAAAGAGGATCTCTTCGCTCACCAAGTCCTTGCAAGAAGAAAGCACTCGCGCCCGGGGCGAGGGCCGAGAGCGCAGTGGCTAGCAGTGCAGACTGAGCAATGCGGGACATGGCGAATAACGAGTGGGCGGTAGGAAGAGAGTGACAAAGACAGGACGACGATGAACACGCCCGGGATAAAGAGGAGGGGAGAGAGGGAAGAAAGGAAAGTACGTATGCGGCGCGCTTGGAGGTACGGCGTACCTTATATACCTCGATCGAGCATGTATTGATACGATACCGAGGTCAACTCAGCACATTGTCAAATTGCGGGGCCTTCACGACCGATCTTCGATGGTCAGGAACACGGAGGGGACAGCGGCCATTTTACCGGAGGAGGCATATCCGCGCGGCTGGCATAATTGCGTCGTGCTGCGCTGAAATATTGAGTTTACAAAACCCTCTGAGCACAGGATTTTTGAGCGGCTTCCAGCGTACGTTGAGCGCCAATCGATTTCATTCTACTACAAAAAACTCAGCATGAATAGCCCGGCCTGACGTGAAGGACCCACCTTGAAGTCGTAGATCGTGGACGCTCGGTCAAGGAACGCCCGGGCATGTAGGCACTCGGAGTACCCTTTCCCCTCCCACTCCTTCGAAAGTCTTCCAGCGCGTTGATCCCCACAATGATAAGCCGAGCCGAGTCGTCAAGTTTCATCTTTGGGCTTGGGAGCTGGAGCAGCGAATCGGGAGCGTCCATGACTGCACGTGGCGTGACAGGAATTACCGGATTCAAACGCAAAGCCTTCCTTATGGGGAAGGGACGGTCACTTGGTTGGCGTCTAACCGGAAAGACCATAACTGCCTCAATTCTGAGAAGAGTTCAGAGGGATATGAGGCCTCGTAGCCTTGAAGGCAGCTCGACGCTGACCGTCAATCCTGTGACAAAGCAGGCTCGCCGTCACTGGGCGCATCAAATGCGGCCGTCGCCCCCTGGACAGCGCGCGCGACGTGCCATTCAATCGAGAAAACTCGAGGATTAGTGACGCCGCGTCCGCAGCTCCTAATCAGGCCCGCACTCCCAGAAGGAGCCAGCTCGTTCTCGTGCGTCCGCCCGTGATTGTGGCGGTAGGCGGTTGAATGGAAGTGGATGTAGCCTCGATAGGGCACGCCGGTTGGTGCGTCGAGGTGACGAGGAAATTCTTCCCTTCATGTGTGGCCATCGTGGTGGCTTGGAGAGTACATGCATGTTCTCAAAGCTAGCCCGAGGGCCGATCCGAGGTCCTGAATTTTTGAACATGGAAGTCGGGGAGAACATGCGGATGTCGGTCCGGAGACGGGCGCTTATTCACGAGGCTTGCTCAAGTTGCTCTTGATGTTCATGGTCTTGAATATGGCCGGATACGAGAGTTCCTTTTGAATGTCTGTCTTCTTCTATCCCTCGAATACAATGACTCTTTCCGCTATAGACCATTGAACTCTTCCGGCCCTTCACGCTCTCGGGTTCCCTTCGTAAGGGCGCAGGTCCTCGAGGTACTTCAGCAACCGCCCATTACCCCACACCGAGACCGCCTGCCACAAATCACTGTCCTCCCCCAACGTCACCCTGAACCACTGCAAGAAGCCGCCCACGATGAAATCCGCGAAGTTGGGCTTATCACCCAAGATGAATGGACCACCCTCATCCAGCCGCTTCGCGAACGCTTCGAACGCCTCTCGCATATGCTCGAGTGCCGCCTTGCGATCCTCGCCCTGCGGTACGAGCTCCTCGAGCTTGCCACCGAACATCTTCTCGCGCGTCGTGCGGAAGTACGGTTTGCTCACACCGTTGAGGATGTTGACGACGGGCGGGATGACGAGCGGGCGGAGGGCGGGACCGCCCTTTTGGATCAGCTCCGCGAAGACGGCGTCCTGCTTCTCCTCCGTTCCCGGTGGGAAGAGCTTGGGCGTGTCCGGGTACGCATCGTCGAGGTACCTCGCGATCTTGGGTCCGTCGCTAACGACCCTGCCGGTGTTCGGGTCCTGGATGACGGGGAACGTGTAAAGGGGTTTGTCGTCGCGCGTGCCAGTGGGCTCGGCGCCGATCTCCTTGCACTTGGCCTCAATGTCGGGGTACTCGACCCATTCGGTGCGGAAGGGGAGGCCCTTGTAGTTGAGGGCATAGCTGTCGTGCAATGCATAGTATGAGATGGCGCAATCGCGGATAGAATGAGAACATGATCTTCACCGTATCTTCCACGTATTTGGTGACCAGCAGCCCACCTTATCGGAGGGGATGTCGTAGAATATTATCGGGTTGGGAGGAGGCGACTTCTTCATCTTGTTGCAGGCCATCGTGCGGCTTGGTTCTTGGGGCGAGGCAACTGGACGCTTTCAACCACTGATGCTGGACTTTATATCCACGTCGTCGCCAAGGAACCTGTAGTCAGCAGCCTCGCGCTCCTCATGACTCGTCCTTCCCCCCCTTTCCCGGCTGATCTGCCAGCGCGGCGAAGTCGGAGTTCACGATGAGCTCCCTTGATGCCCGAAGAGGATATCCGGGTGCCTCGGCCCGGGTATGCGCGCTTGTCAATGTGCGGCGGCGGGTGGTTGTCCTCAGATATTCATTCTCTAGTTTCCCCGTCAATTTTCGTATGTCTTATGTCTTCCCTGACCTCGCCCGTCGTGGATGCAATGACTGCCTCGCTAAGTCTCCACACGGGCTCTTCACCCTTCGCACGATCTGCATCACGTCTCGCATCGCCCCGAGGCCTTGAGGCCGCAGCGCTTGCCTCCGGCCACCACAACAACCGTCCGGTATGATCATTGGTGTGTAGTCGCTCAGTCCCATGCAGCATGTCATGACTTACTGACCTTTCACCGTCTCTTTTCATGGTCCATGCTCGCCTTTTCAACAGGTTCCTCCCAGATACCCCCAGTGATGCCTCCACGAATGTCCCCTAGACTGTCTAGCGACTCTGCATCTACAACAAGCTCTTTTACGGAGTCAACTGAGCTTCCCGAGTGCGTGGTGTGCCATCGTCTTTCTTCTATGCCTGACACAAAGATCGTTAGTTATGCATCGATGGAAGGAGCGAGCTACCCCCCACAGTACGCAATGTCTTTCATGGCTCATCCTGAATTCTTCCCCAGGCCTTCCCCCTCCCATTATCGCACTGTCTGACTGCATTCACTCAGCTACCCATCCTACCCACGCCCCTCCGTCCCCGTCATCTACTCCTTCTCCGAATGGGAGCCCTCAACAAATACCATGTACCTCAACCCGCCCGGGTCCGAGGACCCCTTCGCCTCCGACGCCCCGGCACCACTCTACAAGATCACCGTCTCCATTAACCTCGACCCCATGCTGCCCATTTCGTACGTGACACGCCTGCACCGGTACGGCGCGCCCGGGCCTCCCATAGGCTCGTTCGAGTAGGTGACGCTTCTCGCGAGGGGCCGAGGTGCGAATAGGGCTGATTTTGGGCTTCTGTGCAGGGTCTCTCTGGCGCAGAAGAGAAGGATAGTGACGTTCGGGGACGTGTCCGCGCGGTTGGATAATGCACTGGAGAGTGTGGGGGCGGTGAGTCGTTCGCGTACGCGGATGCACGGATAGAGGACTGACGTCGTGCTTTGCAGCAACGATGGCAATGGACGATAAGAGGAGTCAGGCTACGATGGGACTGCCGGACCAGATTAGACGATGGGTCGCCCATGTGTTATGTGCGTGCGTGCTTCCATGCCTCAGGACATCAAGTTTGCGCCTCGGTCCTCTCCTCATTATTACTTGCTGCGTCCCCTTGCACCTCGGTACCGATGTCTTCACTTACGACGTACTGACTGCCCATCCAGTGCCACGTTTCTCATCCACCGAATCACGACGTGCAGCTGGCCTCCTTCGTCCCACCGCCTTCCCTTGAGTCTCCACCACTGCCACTGGCAACGCTCACGGTGTTCCCGGACGGTCACCAGTATTTGGATCATATAGTTTTGTCCGCGCTAGTGGTGGTGAGGCAGATGACGGCAGGATTGTAAGCGTCTAGCAGTCGCAGAGAGTCCCTCTGTCGTGGTATATCTGACCGTGTACAATGACTGAGCACTGTATTATGCGCATAGTTGATGTACAGCCCGCCTCGATATAGTGGTTGATTAGGGCGCTACAGCCAGATGGGTGCGGGGGTCGGATGGCGATACCTCCGTTCCGTGCTTCGATCGATGGGTGTTCTCCGAGACTTCTCGACTTCTTTCTCGCTCTCGGGCACATTCCGGCTTCCATTGCCCCTGGGATACTCAGACATCACTGCCTATGTCATTCGTCGCGCATGCGATGCCAAGTGAGATGAACGCGGTTGTAGAGCAACCGCCTACCGCTCAGAAACCGCTGAAGCTGCTCTTTGTGGGTCCGAAGTTCAACAGCCACGTGACTCAGGGTCCGGGAGGCGGCTAATATATCCAATTGGCTTGTCCTGAACTTCCGTCATTGCACACGAATCCCCCGCAGCCCCCGCGTCTTCTGGGGCATCTTATCGCGCTGTTTCGCTAGGAAGGGCAACACACAAAACGACAATGGCGAAGCACAAATCGCCGACCCCGCAGGAGCTGTACAAAGCGCGGAAGGAGCGCGAAGAGCAGGAACGGACGGCGCTTCTGCCCCCCGGACTGATAAATCATGGGAACACCTGCTTCATGAATTCAGTCCTCCAAGGAGTGCGTTGTCAAAGATAGATCGTCGAAGTCCTATAAGACTGACATCCTCTGCTTGCAGCTGATCGCCACCCGCCTACTCTCCGACCTCGCGCAGTTTACCCCAATTTCCCCAGCGGTGCAGCGGCATTCGCGGATACGGCTGCTATCACAGCGATCTCCTGAACTCACGAACGCGCACAGTCAGGCGGGCGAGTACGAGCGCGAATGGGTCGACATGATGCCGATCGGCGACGTGTTCATCGACACGATGTACAAGGCCTGGGATAACCAGAAGAACCTCAAGAGGGAGAACATGAGTCCAAAGTACGTGGCAGTATCGTACCACAATGTGCATCCACTGACAATATACGTAGATCGCTCCTTCACGCGGTGGGCAAGAAGTACGACCAGTATCTCGACTTCGCACAGCAGGATGCCCATGAGTTCCTCCGTATCCTCCTGGACGCGATGCGCATGGAGGAGTTTGACGTATGTGACGCGCCCCTCGGTGGATCCGGCTACTAATTGCCCTTAGGTCATCAAAGCGCGCCAACCACCGCCGGCCAACGCCCACAAGAAGCGCAAGCGACGACGAACCGAGCTAGGCGTCACACCAACTACCCCGCAAGAGGAAGACGACACCAAGCTAGTGTCCTTCACCGACATGATCTTCGCCGGCCGTCTCACGAGCGTGCTGGTCTGCCAGAAGTGCAAGCACGTCTCGCAGACGTACGAGGACTTCAACGATCTCAGCCTCAGCATCAAGCCCGATGACGCGGGCAAGGGCCGCAAGCGCAGCAGGTTCAAGAGCTTTGCGAAACGGCTGACCGCGGGGACCTCGAACTGGAATGTCGCGTCGCGCTCGGCATCGACGCCCCCGGCCCCTCGAGAGCGGGCGGCGACGATTGACGGGCCGGAGGATGGAGATCCGCCACCGACGAGCCAGGATGACCGGCGGCGAAGCTTGGATCTCGTTACCGACCCCGGGTCGTCGGATGAGAACACGGAGGGCGACGCCAAGAAAGATACTGCCAAGGTCGACGACAAGGAGAAACCCACATCGGAGAAGGACAAGCACGTCTCAGAGAAGGAGAAACACACTTCGGAGAAGGACAAGCATACTTCAGAGAAGGACAAACATTCTGCTACTTCTGCAACTTCTGTTGAAGGGGAGGAGAAGCGAGCATCCGTGGACGGTGACCACCACGTCGAGTTCTCTGGAAGCAAGGATGGCGACAGCGACGAACGGAAGCGCAAGGACAAGAGCGCAGACGGTTGGGTGAAGCTCGGGCGCCGCATCAGCGTCTCGATGGGCCTCGCACGCTCATCGAAAGAGAAGGAGCGTAGGAGCCGCTCCCGCCAGAGTCGTGAGCTCGTCAACAGCAGCTCAATTCCTGAAGGCCAGCTCCCACCTGCGAACAACAGCAACTCCTCTTCTGACAGCCTGACGAGCGCGGGCGCTTCCGATGCGCCGGCCCCACTAAACGTGTTCCGCGCTCGCGTTACCTCCTGGTCCTCCAGCCGCCCCGGGTCCGCCGCCGGCTCGCCACGTCGCCCTTCCTTCACTCCCGCATCGCCATCTGTACCATCGACAATGCCTCCATCGGTGCGCCCGACGCCGAGCGTATCTCCAAGCCGTACCGGAACCCCATCGCTGAACCACCATACGCGGCACAAGTCGCCGAAGCCGCCAGAACTCCCGCCCGCGGAGGCCGAGTTTCTGCGTCGTGTGCTGCCGGGGGAGCATGGGGGACTGCTTGGGCACCACCATCCCGGCCAGGGGACATCGACGGCCCAGAGACCGAGCATGTGGGCGAAGCTGGGCCACTTCCCGAACGTGGAGGAGTGTCTGAGGGCGTTCACGGCGGTGGAGGTGCTCGATGGGGAGAACATGGTGGGTTGCAGGCGGTGTTGGAAGATCGCGAACGGCGTGTACAAGCGACCGAAGACGGGGGACGAGCCGCAAGAGGGAGAAGACGCGGACGACACGGACAGCGCGGAGGGGGCGAGCCCTACGGCGCCGGACGATGCGATGCGAGATCTCGCAGAGACGCTGCGCTCGCAATCGTCCCCGGTGTTCACGCCGTTGGATGAGGACGGCTCGATGACGTCGATCTCAAGTCGTGCGGCGGCCTCTGCGCCGGACTCGGCTGTCGACCTAACCGAGATCGAGGAGCAGCCGCTCTCGCACGACAAGCCGCTGCCATCCGTCCCAACGATATCCATGACCGCAGCCGAGGGCGATAACGGCGAGAAGCGTGTGGCGGCCGCTGGCACATACCCCGGCAGTCCACCACCCGAGTCGCGCGACTCGCTGACCATCCCGCGCCGCCAACAGCGACCGCGGTCGGACGCGGACGGCGCGTCGGGTGATGAGAGTGATGGGTCTGCGCAGTCTTCCACGTACTCTGGCGACACAGACGACTCGATCCAACCGCATCCATCTAACGCAGTCGCCAAGAAGAAGAAGCCGAAACCAACGGTCCTGCGACCAGCATACAAGCGCTATCTCATCGCAGCGCCGCCACCGGTGCTGGTCATCCACCTCAAGCGGTTCCAGCAGATCAGCAAGACGAGCTTCGTAAGCTTTTCGAGCGGGTTCAAAAAGCTAGAGGACTACGTCGCGTTCCCGGAGTGGCTAGACTTGAAGCCGTACCTGGCGCCGACGAAGGAGGAGTGCGCGATGGGGAAGAAGGCGAGTGCGGAGCATGCGAGGAAAAGCGAACCGTGTATGTACCGCTTGTACGCGGTTGTTGTGCATATTGGGAGCATGGTGAGTAGCTAGTTTTCGAGAAAGTTGATGATGTGCTAATGAAATTCTCTCTAGCTCGGCGGTCACTACATCGCGTACACTGCGCTTCCTCCGCGCGAGGACGAGCCGATGCAGGAGACCGAAGACGGCAAGAAGGTCCCGCCGAAGCGCCAGTGGGCCTACATCAGCGACACGTTCGTGCGGCTTACCACGATCGAGGAGGTGCTCAAGGCGAAGGCGTACATCTGCATGTACGAGCGGGTATAGCATCGTCGTGTGTCTCCCTCACCCCCCTCACATCACGTCGGTATCACATTCATCTAAGTTATACCTTGCGTTTTCACGGTCCACTGGACTCGACGTCGCATTCATGGCTCGCCGATGCACATATACAATACGCACAATACGCACTGGACTCGTTCGCACAATGTAGGTTTTGCTGCTAGCTGGCAAAGGACGCGCTCGAAGTTGTACACCCTATCACCACATAGATAGTGTACCGTTGTTTATTCGATATTAAACTAGAGTTTAGTGTACACGTCTACGGGACGGCGGAAGCCTGGAGGGGCGGTGGAGTGAGCGGAAAAGAACAGGGTGGCAGAGGCAAGGTACGCACCGCCCGAACCAGCCGCACCGTAGTGCTGCGCTGGGCCAAAACCGATGTCGCGCAGGAGAGCCTCGAAGTCGTCGGGGCGTAGCTTGAGGTTCTGGCCTGTTTCTTTCAGGCGCTGAAGGTCGTATGAGCGAGGATCGTCTCATGTATAGCTGGTTGATCACCTTATCCATCCGTTTCGCTTTGTGGTACGAGTCCCAAGGTTGGGGTTCGAGAACGAATGACCCGCCGGTATGTAGAACCGAGTGAACCTTGCGGAAGAAGGCGAGCAAGCCATCGTCGCCTCCATTAAGATGTATCCATTTGGAGACGGACAATCTGCGTTGAGGTCAACTCATGGATATCCAGAAATGAGGATGGAGCATAGAAGGATCACATACGCGAGTACAACATCGTATCCCTCCTCGTCCTCGGGTATGGACACCGTGGTCCAATCAGCGGTACGGAAGGAGACATTGTGAGGGAAAGAGGCTCTACCTCCGCTGATTTCAGAAGGCGGGATGGGTATAGGACCGAAGAAGTGTTCGCAGGAGGCGGGGAAGTAGTCTGGCTCAGGTGGCGCAGGGGACCTGCGTTTGCGCTTCCCTGAGACTTCACCGGAAGCGTGGTCATCCTCTGGTGCTTGTAGAGACCAAACAATTCGCCGATGTCTCCAAGCCGCGCGAACCAGCGTGTCGTCGATGTCAACGCCGACAACGCGTGAGGCGTGGTGCTTCTGTGCTGTACGTTATGTCAGCGAAGCATTAGTCTAGGTTGACATATATATCTTACCTATCTCGCAGGTTACCCATCCCTCGTTGCATCCTACATCGAGGACGGTAGCGTCTTTGAAGAGACTGACAGGCAATAATGCGAGCCGAGGGTCATCGTGGGCCGGACGCTTCAGATAGTATCTATCTTGTTTCGGTCAGCTTCGCAGCAAAATTCTTCATTCTCCACGTACCCGTGGTAGTTTCCGTGGATGGGAGCCTGTGTTGTCGACATCCTACGGGAATTTACAAGAGCTCGTGGTGGTTGGTCGTTACGTTCGTGTGTGACATCCGCGTTACGCTCTTGATTCCCACGGTTGAACTTTCCCAAACGCCAGGTCAGACAAGTACTGAAAATAGGACACAGCTCAATGCATGGCTGAATCCCGATTGGTAGAGCGGGCTGCAGTAGTTGTGACTCGGTCAGACGACTGCTATTTAACCTGGTCTGCCACCTCAACGAGAAAGGACCGAGACGATGGCTCCGATAATCTTCTATAGCATACCTTCGCAGAAAGGCTGCTGGTCTTTGCACACGCTAAAGATTCGGTAAATCATTCTTCATTTATACACAACTAATCGCAAATTCACACTTCGAATCAACAGGTATGCGCTCAACTACAAGGGCCTTCCCTTCCGCACCGAATGGGTCGAATACCCCGACATTGAGAAGAAGTGCAAGGAGATCGGCGCCGAGCCCACCGAGACGAAAGAGGACGGTAGCCCCCTCTACACTCTGCCCGTCATCTCCGACCCATCGACGGGCAAGGTCATCAGCGACGGGCCCAAGATCGCAAAGTACCTCGACGAGGCGTACCCGGATACGCCTAAGCTCTATCCTCCGGGCACAGAGGCGACGCAGAAGGAGGCGATGGCGCAGCTCTTCGGAAAGGCCGCCCCCGCGCTGCGCCCCATGGTCGTGCCGTGCGTCGTGCACATCCTCGGCGAGGGGAGCAAACCGTACTTCCGCGCCACCCGGGAGAAGGCGCTCGGCTGCACGCTCGAGGAGAAGATACCGAAGGGAGAGGACAGGAAGCTCAGGCTGGAGCAGGGGAGGGAGGCGTTCGAGGCGTTTTTGGCGAGGTTCAAGGATGCGAGTGGGAAGGAGACGCCGTTCTTGTTGGGTGAGGCGCCGTGCTTTGCGGATTTCTCGGTGGCGGGATTCTTGCAGTGGATCAGGGTGACGCTGGGAGATGAGAGTGATGTGTGGAAGGCGGTTGAGAGCTGGAGTGATGGGAGGGTGGTCAAGTATCTCGAGGATCTGCGCAAGTATGAGGGGGACCCCAGGGCCTGAAGACCTACAACAGACCGAAGTTGTGTTAACAAGCATCCTGTGCGGATTGTAACGTCTACGAAGGCATGCTTACAAGCCCTTACCCACGGTTGCCTTGAAGGTAGAGAGGCATTCCTGATATCCCAAGTGAGGGGCACACTACGATGAGTAAGCGCTAGTAAGCGCCCGTCGTCATCGGACAGCTTGCCGCCCACCTTTCAAATCATTCAATATCAGCGTTACAGTATGCACAGCGCGTTTAGATATTGAATGGTATACCAAAGTGCGAGTCATATCTCATACATGCGGGTGGTCTTAAGAGGCCTGCGAGGTGGCTAGTAGATCCAACGACACTCGGCACTCACCTCGACACGCCGAAAGCCCCAGCGAAGCCTGCAGTACTTCATTCGCAACCACCATGGCACCTATTATATTCTACGACTTAACGTCCAAGGTGGGACCTTGGTCGCCGTCGACGTGGAGAATTCGGTGAGAATGCGCCTTCGCTGGCCACAAGTCTCTGCCCTAGCGATCACTCACGCCTCGTCCCCAGCTACGCCCTCAACTTCAAAGGCCTCCCCTTCCGCACCGAATGGGTCGAGTACCCCGACATCGAGGCCAAATGCAAGGAAATAGGTGCCGAGCCCACCGGCACGCGCGACGGCAAGCCCCTCTACACCGTCCCCGTCATCCAGGACCCATCCACAGGCCGCGTCGTCAGCAACGGCCCGAAGATCGCAAAGTACCTCGACGAGACGTATCCGGAGACGCCGAAGCTCTTCCCCTCGGGAACAGAGGCCAAACAGACCGACGTCCTCACCCAGCTCATCCAGGCCGCGGGGCCCTCGATGCGGCCCCTCGTCGTGCCCAGTACGTTCGATATCCTGGACGACGTCGCCAAGCCATACTTCCGCGAGACGCGGGAGAGGATGTTCGGCTGCAAGCTGGAGGAAATTGCAGCGAAGGGGGAGGCGAGAGAGGCGAGTCTGGAGAAGCTGCGCGGGGCGTTCGAGGTGTTTGTGGGGAGGCTGGATGAGAGCGGGAAGGACACGCCCTACCTGCTTGGGGAGAAGGCGTGCTATGCTGATTTTGTCGTGGGGGCGAACTTGCAATGGCTGAAAGCCTTGTTGGGCGAGGAGAGCGATTTGTGGCAGATGACCGCAAGGGTGGCGGATGGGAGGCTGATGAAGTATCTCGAGGATTTAGCCCCGTACGAGGGAGAATGGCGGGCTTGAAGAGGAAAATACAGCGATGGCACTATAGAAGTTTGGGGTGGAGATATTCTGGGGTCTCGAGTCCTCGCGCTCGCTCGCGACTGTCCTTCTCGAGCGAGAGGTGATAGTCTAGCTTCGTTGGGGATGGGGCACGTACTTCTCGTGTAGTCTACGAGCCTTCGATGGTGGATGGCACGATCCATGGGGGCCACGTCTACTCCAAAGACCTCGGACCATTTATTGGACTGTGTACCGCGCCATAATGGTGCACGTGATGGTTTAACTGCCTCATTCGGTTAAATCAGGATTCTTAATGTGGGAAAGGGGGTGCACGTTTTGTGGCGTCGTTGTTTACGCAGGGTTTGCAGCTCGGAGATGGAGCTCCCAGGGCTGCCTAAACTGTGGTGCTACTCGCCTGATACCATGATAGTGCTAGATTGAGGCTTACTTGATGACTCTTCATCTCAAGGCAGCAGCACGGGATATTGGTCGGATTCCGGCCCGAGACCAAAATTCAATTATTTGAGGGGGCCCGCGGCGCGTCGGCTGACTGCGAAAGTGGCCTGATCCTTGGGCGTTTAATTGAGGACGTTCCACGCTTGCTCTCTGCCGCCATCTCGCTCTCTCCGTCCGCTCCTTATCTAGCGTGATGGATCCTAATCAGCCAGAGAGCTCTGGGTCGCCCCGCGCCAGCGAGCCCAGCTTTTCCCCCGACGATATCATGGACTTCCGTCTTGACCCCTCCGACCCCCTCAGTTACCTCCTCGACCACAGCGGACGCGAGGACTCTTCGGCGGAGGGCTCCTACAGTGGCTCCAACTCGAACGTGAGCGATTCGCCGCAGCACTGGTCAGACATCTCGAGCATGCTACCGCCACCACCGGGCCTCGAGATGGGGGAAGGGCAGGTCGACAAGTTCTACGACACGGATATGAACATGGACCTCGAGAACTTCTCGCTTGCGAACCTCCTGGACATGAACTTCGACCCCTCAACAATGTCGGTCGACCCGAGTTCCCTACACTTCAACCCTGCTGCACCCTGCCCTGCGCCACCCAGCGTAGTGGACGCCTCCCCCTTCTCCTTCTCCTTCCAGCCCCATGGCACTCCAGTAGAGTCGAGCACCCCAGAGTCCGCGCAACAGAGCGTTGACTCTTCTCCGTCTTCTTCAGGCGCCTCCCTCTCCCCTGTGATCGAGTCGCAGATGGTGTACCCCTCCAATAACGCGAATCTCCCTACTCCCCCTGCCCTCATGCCCCAGCCTCCTCCACCCCAGCATCACAGCGAGGACCCCAACATTGCGATGGCGCAGCGTGTACTGCAGGCCGCCGGCGTGATGCACGCCGTTCCGATGTCTGCGCAGTATAACCATCGTGAGCAGTATGCATCGCGATCCTAGTCTCCTTGCTCAATACATTCCATAGCATCCCAGCAGCCCGGCGCGCAGACGCCCCCCATCGCCCGTCTGACAGCTCACCCTCCCCCCTCGGTCGGCTGCTCATCAGCTTCGTCGACTCCCCCGCCGCAGACGCCGCCTGCTTCGGGCGTGCAGGCCGGTCCAGCTCCTTCTGGACGGACCAAGACCTCGCATACCACCATCGAGCGGCGCTACCGCACCAACCTCAACGCGCGCATTCTGTCGCTGCGCAATGCCGTCCCCGCCCTGCGCTTCCTTGAGGACCGCGAGCCGCGGAAGCCTTCGATGACTACCCCGGTGAACGATGTACCGAACACGAACCCTGTCATTCTCGATGACAAGGGTCTCGCGGACGGTGTCAAGCCACCGAGGAAGCTGTCGAAGGCGAACGTCCTCCTGAAGGCGACGGAGTACATCCTCGTTCTCAAACGCCGCGAGAAGCGCTTGTCGCGTGCACAGGACTCGCTGAAGGCCCTCCTCGGCGGACTCGTCGGCGGCCAGGTGCTCGTCGAGGAGTGGGAGCGCGAGTGGCGCCGCATGTGGGGCGACATCCTCGACGACCCGAGCGAGGGCATCTACTCCGAGGCGTCCCTCATCGGCCTCGGCATGGCGGAGGACGACGAGGACGAGGACAGCGGCGACGAAGAGGCCGGCGGGAAGCGCAAGCGCCCCCGCGTCGAGGCGGCGCCGCGCGCGCGCAAGGAGAAGGCCGCCGCCTCCGCGCAGCCGCAGAGCACTATTGTCGTCAACGCGGACGGCAGCACGAGCGTCGTCGTCCCCGAGAAGCGCAAGCGCGGCCGCCCGCGCAAGAACCCGCTCCCGCCGCAGGTCATCGAGGCGCAGACCGCACCGCTGAAGACAGAGCCAGCGCCGATACCGCGGGCGAGCAGGACGCAGCAGTTTTTGTTTGCGACCTTCGCGCTGTTCTCGTTCGTCAATAACGGCCCGCTGGCGAACTACACGATGCCGAAGCAGCAGCACGCGCATAGCGGGGTTGTGCTTACTGCGCATCCGCTCTCTGCGACCGATGTGCCGACGCCGACGTCGACGTGGGTGCCGTCGACGCACGAGATGGTGCAGTACTTCCACTTGTTGGTGTCTGTACTCGTCTTCGTGTCGTTTTTCTGGCCCGCTCTGTCGGCATTCTTCGGCCGCAAGGCGTCGGTGGGTGCCCAGGGCGACGACAAGCAGGTGCTGTCCGCCGCGCTGGAGCAGTCGCAGCGCGGCAAGGAGGACGAGGCGCAGAACATCCGTGATGCGCTTTCCGGTGCGTCGGCGAAGGGCCTCTGGGACCTTCTGACCGGCTGGCTGCCGGGGCACGGGTACGACCATGCGAAGCACAAGAAGAGCGGCAAGTTCGAGCAGCTTGGCTTGGAGCAGCGCGCCTGGGTGCGCTTGGGCGAGCTCGAGGTTCTTCGTGGTCAGTGTCTTTTGTTTTGTGCGTTGGCTTCATGACTGCTAACATCGACTTCAGGCGAGACGAACGTCTTCACTCGCTTGTCGACTTACGTGCACATGCGCCTCCATCTCTCGTGGTTCACCGCTACCGCCGCCGACCTGTCGACCCTCGCCCTCATCCTCTACCCCATCGGCCGCACCATGGCGCGCAGGACGTGGCGCGCCGCGCTCAAGTCCCAGACCGACATGCCCGACCGCGCTGCCGGCCGCCGCCGCATGAGCGTCAGCGGCAATGCCATCGACGTCCAGGTGCGCGCCCACGAGCGCCTCGTGCTCGAGACGCTCGACGTCGACACCGCCTTCGAGAAGATCGCGTGCGCCGGCGCGGGCCACAGCCGCCTCGCGCCCATCGGCGTCCTCGCCAGCATCCTGGCCAAGGAGCGCGTCAAGGCGCACCTCGCCGCCGCGTTCGTGCGCGCGGTGCTCGGGCCGGACGACGGCGAGGAGGACGACACGCACGAGCTGCGGCGCACGGTGGACGCGTGCCGCAGCCTGGGCGGCGAGATGCGCGCGCTGGGCGACCTGCTCGAGCGCGTGGTCGAGGGCGAGGGGGAGGGCGTGTGCGAGGAGAGCCTGCGGTGGACGGGGAGCGGGGCGGGCGCGGGGGACGTGGAGAAGGACATCCGCACGTTCTTGTCCGCGATCGCGCGCTACCGCCGGATCGCCGCGCTGGGCACGGCGGCGCGGTCGGATGAGTATGAGCTGCGGAAGGCGCTTGGGGACGTTGTGTTCGATGCTGCCATCGAGACGAGCCCGCGACTCGAGGAGGCGCGCGATCAGGTGGTGGAGATGCTATGGAAGCAGCGGGCGAATGGGGGGAAGAGGGTGCGGTATGCGCAGGCTTGATCTACTCTATGCGCAGGCATAATTGTCGATTATCTATCGCTGGGATTCTTGGCCTGCTCTCGTTATTTGACTTTGGCTTGCTTTCGCTTTCATCTACAATACTAATGCCCTTGGTTAAATATGAAGAATACATTGTATGCTCGAACTTATACCTCAATCAATGAGCTCAACTTGGCACCATGACACAACCGGCAACATTGGAGGGGTTTTGACCCAGAACTCCTCCAAAGGGTTGCTGTGGGAGTCGTCGTGGTTGACGCATGTCGTGCCGAAAACCGGCAAGGGGCTTATCTACTCGATGTGAGGTGGCAATCCTCGTGATGAAAGCAAGACGACATGCGACCGACAACTTAAGGCGTGGGGGTACCCGCACCATATATTGTGTTCAGCCCGCCGCCGCACAGGGGAATATTTGCTGACAAACCTAACTGTCTGCTTCTGCGGCTGTTGATGCAGGCAGTGTGTCTTAAGAGCACCTCATGTTTTTATGCACAGTACTTCAAGCCTTAGATCAGACTTATAGAGGATATACAGCAGAGTCGATGCGGGAATCAGGGGGCCCCACACGCGAACGATTTCATTCCCAGTTCCCATTGTCACCTGCTTCTCACACTATGATGTTACACTTGGTATAGGCTACCTTGCTCTTCTTGGTGGTGAGTTTGTACTATTTGGGTGTGTAGAGATATACCTCGAGTATATTGAGATACATGGAAAGCTATGTCTTCAACATGATGTCTGCTGGTCCACGGACTGAGCGTTGATGCGAACTGTGACCTTTTGTGACCCGATCGAGCGGCACTTGCCGTGACGCTGCGCGAGGCAGTCATGTCGGCTAGATTGACTCACTCTCGGCAATTGGTCGGTCAACGCAAACTCATGGCTCCCTGCCGTTCAAACCCTTTGGAAGGGTTTTGGGTCAAAACGCCTCCAACGTTGCCGGTTGTGTGACCGATTTGCTTGCGCTCGGCAGACAAAGCCTCCCAAATGGGGATTTCGAACGACGTCAACAAAGGTCAAGCACCCTTTGGCCGCACATTTACTGCCTTCGCCGAAGATGTATGGATACTTTGCAATCGCGGGCTCAATTATCCGAAGGAAAGAGCCGATGGTGAGGTATGTGGAATCGAGATGCAGCTTCTCTTTCATGGTATTACAATCCTCGAGGGTATACATTAGGTATTATAGTGGGTATCCCTTCTACGTGAGGCGTCACGTCGTTGCATCAAAAACATGTTGTGCAGTCGCTGAAGAAATGTGTACAATCGAAGACAAGTCCTTTGTAGAGTCCTTATATCCACGGCACCACACCCGCCGCCGCTTCCGCGACGCGACGAATGTGTCTGCGATCCCTGCCGACGCGCTCGTCGTCGGTGCTGCGGTCGTCGGAATGGCTTGAGCTGGAGTCCTCTTCCTCGTACATGGGAAGACAGAGGGCGTCAGGGGTGCAGAGAGGCTGAAGGTTTGAGTCAGCAAACGATGCACGTCGAACGAGTAGATGTGTTGGTGTGGATTGCGGGCATGAGAGGATGTGTATTGGATTAATCCAACGGACAGGCAGAGCTACCGACACCAGACTCGTAGAGATCCGTGAAGTAGGTGCCGTCCGTCAAGTCCCACTTCCGCCTTGAGATCCCTTCGAGGAATGTTACGCAATGCCGCCTATTTCCCAAACCCATGCCCACAGACAAAAAACCAAAATCAAAGGAGACATGGACTCACCGAATATACATGCACCGGCATCCGTATCGTCACGTCGAACAGCTTCTCCTCCAGTACAACCTCGGCGAGGTTGACGCCTGCGGACAGGCCCGAGTGGCGCCGGTCGTCGGCTTCGGAGGAGCGGCGGGGTTGGTCCACGCTATTCCTCTCACCCACCACGGGGGCCTGACCGGTCCTCCCCGCCTCTTGGCTCGTCTTTGGCGCCACCTCTTCCCCCGGCCGGACCCCAACGCGCATCGTCACCGCCAACGCGTGCGTGATCAGCACATTCGCCGCCCGGTTCTCGTTCGTGGGGCGCAGGCCGCGCGCGGGGACGCGGAGAGCGGTCGTGAGCGCCCACGGCTCGTGCAGCGCGGAGGGGAGGTGGTGGGGCGGTGTCGAGGGATGTAACGGGGAGGAAGTGGCTGAGGTGAGGGGGTCGTAGATGGAGAGGGGGTCGAATGTGGTGGGGTGAGATGATGAGGCGTGGTGCGACGGAGAGGTGGGCGAAGATGGAGAGGCATGAGACGAAGCCGACGCCGAAGCCGAATGCTCCAACGCGCAAGCCGCCGCCTTCGCATGTGGCTGCTCGTCGTCCAGCAACTCGACCACCTCGTCCCCGCTCAGCGTCCGCACCTCCTCGCCGTCGAGGCCCTTCACGCGCTCGCCGCTCTTGCACTTCATGAGCGGGATCGGGAGCACGCCGTCGACGCGGACGACGTCAGTCATTTGGGAGAGGTAGGCGACTTGTTCTGCGAACAAACCTATCAGTAAAAAGGAACAAGTTCAAAAGGAAGGCCTGATTACTGACCTTCGATCAAAACTGTCACCCGATGCAGGTTGACCTTCGCCAACGGTACCAGCACGAGCGAGATCGGTAGCAGCCCACCCGCGCTGACGCTGCGCGTACCGACCGTTAGCGTATAATGCAGGCGCGCACGCCGTTGCGGAGCGTCGTTCAGGCTGATGTGCGGTGCGATGCTGGTGCTTCGGCGAGGGGAAGGGACATCCGTTCCACTGACGCTCCGTCGCGGAGGTACGCTGGTCGTTCGGCGGGGTCCTTCATTCGAGGTCGATGAGGTCGGTCCGTCACTCGATGACGGTTCACCGGCAGATGTAGGCTCCTCACCGCCCCTCCTATGCTCCTCGCCGCTCGTCCTCCTACTCGACCTCGCATCCCCCCTCGATGGCCACTCCCGCTCCACCACCGCGCACCCAATATCCGCCCCATCCGCCGGCGGGCACGCAATCACGCGCACCTCGCACGCGTCGACGAGCGGCTCGGGCGGGTGCGTGAAGTGGCCGGAAGGAGACCGCGAGTGTTCGTGGGTGGTGCCGTGTCGCGCGACGCCCCGACCACGGGCCTGAGCAGCGTCATGCGAATGAACGGGAGCACTGTCATGCGAGTGGAAGTCAAGGAGGCCGTGCGCGTGCTGCGCCATCGACCCCGCGCGCTCGACGCGAGCGACGAGCTTCCAGCGGAGGGAGCCACGGGCACACATCAGTGTTGGCGGCGCACCTGCGGGGAGGTTGAAGGCGACGGGGTAGGTGTAGGTTCCTGGAAAATCAGAAAAATCAGCACTCCGAGTATATGATTATATGCGTGAAAGAAAGCACCTGCAGCGAACTCCTTATATGTTGCCCGCGCATGCGGGTCCGCAGGCTCGTCTTCTGAGACGGAGATCACGGGCAGCCGTGTTTCGTCGTGTGGGTGGGAGGTGTCCTTGTGTGACTTCCATGCGCGCCAAGGAGAGAGGAGGTGAAGGATACTGTGAGTATGGTGGTCGGAAGAGGAGCTAGAAGAGCGCGACAGGGATCGTGAGGTCACACGATGCGAAGTCGACGAGGTAGGTCGCCGAGTTGGGCGAGAAGTAGAGGGTGACGACCGTGCATTAGACATAGCTGATGTATGTGAGAGTGTGCGGTACACCTCCGGGGGAGTGCGCGTGATCTCGTCGTCGACATCAGCGCTGATGATGGCCGAGAAATCTGACGACGAAGTAGATGAGGTCGATTGTACAGAGCGTGGACGAGAGAAATCAGTCTCGGTCTCTACGTAGGTGGGTGGTGGCAGATCGTCACCGTCGTCGGCATCTTCGGTAGCACTGGCATCGAAGAGAGTGCGCGACTCGCGGTGGACGATGTGCACCTCGTTATGGTCGGCTTGGGTGCCGTGGCCTGGATTTCCTTCAGTCGATGACCGATAACAAACTAGACTGGCTCACCCTCGGGCCAATGCACAAAGGATGTGCCACATAGAGTGACGTCAATGGAGGTAACGCGCGTCGGGCGCGCGAGGCGCATTACCAACTCGGCGCGTACCATGGCGGGGGAGGCACTACCGCCATCCTCCGTCATGTACACTGCGCGCTCACCGAGCTCAATAGACACAGACGACTTGTCTTTCATAGTCGAGGTCGCGTATCAAGTCGTCAGTGATGATAGGTTGCTGGTGTAAGAGCTGCTCGTTCCTGGGTTATTCAACGTATCCGCAGGCGTCAGGAGTAAGCAAGTTGCTTGGGGGCTTTCAGAGGCGCCGCGAGCGCGACGGGCGCGCCTATAAGAGGCCCGGGACGCATCTACGAATTTCTTACTGATGGTGTATCCGGACTACGAATTCGCGGGGAGTGGTCGGGGATGTGCCCAGAAGCGGTCTCGAGCGACGGCCGGGATCTCACGCGTCAGAGGCCCTCAGGCCGTGCTGCAGTTATCTTCGGAATTCGCAACCCGCCAAGTCCGCCTCAGAGCGCGCACCGGAACATGGCGGTGAGTGGGCGAAGGCGGAGGACGACATGGAAGTACGGAACAAGACGGAGAGAACATGGATGAAGTCAACGAAAGAATTCCCGAATTCGGAAAGGGGCCCGGCTTTCAGCGAGCCGGCCCGGTGCGGCCGATATCGCCGGCGCTTGCCCCAGGCTTGTCTTCTGACCCAAGCATGCCTTGCTGGCGCTTAGCGCCCCTTCGAGCTCCGGGAGGCGCGACTCTCGCTGGCTATATAAGCGACAGTGCTAGCCGACGCACCTTTGGTCTCGCCAACGTCCAGACGTTTCCTCAAGTACTTACAAGGCCGGTTGCGCCATAGCGTACCACGGTCTCTTTTGCGCTCTTCTTTCACACGCAGGAAGGCTTCCGGTGGAGCGCACCCTCTGGTATTCGTAGCTAACGCGCCCTGCATTCGTATAGATACGCTTTCTATTCGTATCCAGCACGTTCTCTGACTCAGTGCGCTCTCTTCTCGCCGCCTTGTCGACGACGGCAGCCCATAGCGGAGTGGCATAAATTCGGATTTCCGTCAAGGTCGCCCCTCAAGCACGCGCCTACAAAACCTTGCCTGTATTGGCCAAGCCTCACGTACTCCGAATGCGAGCTTCATCCTCCGCACCAACTACGACTACTGCCTTAGGGTCTGGCGCGTTGCCTCTTGGCGTACTTCTGCTCTCTTGACGTCTGCGATGCTGGCTTGACGCCCGTGAGATAGTCAACATTTGAGGCAACTTCTGCTCCGTCGACCATTCCGCAACCTACAAGCTCTTCTCGGATTACCCTCAAAGAGCACGCGTACCTCATCTTCCTCCGTCGTCCTGCGGTGATTAACCTTGCTCTATTCCGAATCACTCTCCGAATCACATTCCCGTGCCTTACGCAAGAGTACGTTCGTCGTCCACTGTCATAAACCCTCAGTACTCACAGCTGCAACCCCTCCGTCATCGTCGCGCATTCGGCCTCTTTTGACACTCCACCATCGACCATCCGTTGCTCCTCTCAATTATGATCGACGCTGCGATATGTACTACTCCCTCGTCGCCATCTCACCGACCGCCTGCTCTTTCCGCAAAGCACGACTGTTCATTCCGCAATGCACTGCGATTCTTTTCGGATTACCCTCAACTCTCATCTCTTCCTGACACGCGCATCTGCGCTTGTAACCTGCATCGGCGTCTAATACGTGCCCCTGCGTCGAGTGCCCTGCGGCCCGTATCCTCGACGCCCGAACAGACCGGAAATATTGTCGTCGCCCCGGGTTGCGTACTTCACCCTCAACATCCTCCTCGCCGCAGCCAGGAATCATCTGCTATCAAGCTGTTGAGTCCATCTATCCAACGTCTTCACCTTGAACTCTTTTGCGGCCAGCTACTACTGTACCTGCCGGTTTTTTTAATGCCTCTGCACCTATTGGCATCTATCCGGTCTGACTCTTCTAATTCGAATGCGAACTCTACAGGACGCCGCCGCACATTGCTTTCTCACTTCCTTTCTCCTGCGCCACCGCACCTTTCTCAATTGTCGAAGCACCCGATAATTCACTGTCAATTCAGGCGAACATCGAGTCCCTTTTCTTTCCGTATCTTCATAACACAAACGTGTACTCACCAGACGTTCTGGCAATCGTCTGGGCTCTCCTTCTCCGCTCTTGCGCCTAGGAAATCGTTAGCGCACCCAGCATCCATTGCAACGTTCGTGCTACGCGTTTATCGTGTCCTTCCGCGTCGTCCATGCCCCGGCATTCGTCTTCCGCTCCTGTTTGGCTGAGTATCCGTCTTCCGCCCTTACTTGGCTAGGTCTTCGTCCTCATCCCCTGCTTGGCTATGTATTCGTCTTCGTACGAGCGCTTGTCTAGGTTCTTTGGTGGCTGAATAGAGACACGGAGGGCCGTTGGGATTTACGCGTTATCAATATCCCAAAAAGACATGTGACTGTAAGTCAACTGTGACCATCACGTTGCTGGCCGCAACGGTCGACCGCTGCTTCCGAATGCCGGTCTACCTACTGCATGTCTCCGTCAATGCGCGGCGTACTCTGAGACACCATTCTTCTCGAAGGGAAGGCATGCAGAGGAACATCATAAGTCGCCAGATGAATGAAGACCTTCGCGCCAAGCAGCTCTCGCGGGACCTCGCACCATAATCTTCACTGATATTTCATTGTTCTACCCTACTGACAGGTCATGCAGTAGACCTCGCTGTTCCGCCTATTCCGTCCATTGAATGGTGTGTTCAGGTTTATACACTGTATCAAGCCGTTAGTATCTATCCAGTCGAACTTTCCGCTCTTCCCGCTCTCCAAATCCCTCGAACGCCTGGGCCGACGAGCTGACTGAATTGCGAGTACTCACACCGTCCGGACCCGACGTTCTCCTCCTCTTCCTCGTCCCTTGCACCTCGGAGGTGTACCTTATCCTCAAGGTCGTAGCCTGTCGTGAACACGATTCGAAGGCCCTCGTCATGTATACATCTCACAGCTCCATCACTCACACGAATAAAACCCAAAAACCACGTATATCAACCCTCTCTACTGGTCCGGTGAGTACTAATCGTCGACGGGGGGGCGTAACTATTCGTAAGTGAGGTGGCGGACTTTTTGCTCTAGTGCGGTAGTGGTACAAGGGCGGCTGCGTAAGGCAGGCAGGCCCGGGTGCGAGCTGCCGTGTAGTGCAGCAGGAGAAGGCAGTCCAGGCGTTGGAGCCACGGTAGTGGGGGTAGGTATGATGTGAGACGGCTCGGTGCTAAGACCGTTGCGGCTGGGTCCAAGGCCGCTGGCGGGGTGGGTGAGAGAAGAAGTGAATCGTGCAGCGCACGAGTGCATGGGTAGGGGTACGAAGAGAAAGAAAAGCGAATAAGTTAGAGCACGCCGAAGGTCAGCAGGGCCGACACTGGGCAATCGGGGGTGCGAAGCGAGGCGTGGGGATATGGGGTGAGGGTGGATGGGTGTGTATGTGGGATGGATCCGCGGGGAAAGATAAGCAGGCCGTGTCAGTGACAATGACAATGTCAACCGACGACCTGTGTATCGATGATGGGGAGCTGGCCAAACCGTATATGGAGAACGTATCAGTAGCCAGAACGTATCGGTAGCCAAAGGAGGAGAAGAGGTAGTACAAAAACGCAAAGAGACACCACCAAGTACAAACAGAAACGATGAGATGGAAAAAAGCACCGCCAGGAGAGAGAAGAGCATGCGTGATATGGTTGAGGACCCGGTTTTTGTAAATAGGAATCAAATATGTGTCCGAGGGGGCTGCCTGTTGACGGCGATCGGCCGGTGGGGAGGGATAGGGTGGGGTGTGCAAGGGGCTGGACGAGAGGAAACGTGCGTGGGCATCAACAAGGCGTGCGCGACCAACAGGGCAGGCGCCCGCGATCGACAGTGAAGGCGGTCGCGGACTCTATGCGGCCGAGGGGCTCTATGCGCTCTACCGCCGCCGAATCAGCACCTTCGCGGTGGAGGTGAGGTGTCAAGCGCGATGACAGGATAGCCGCCCCGGTTACAGGGCAAGAATCCCGAGCGATGACAGGACACGTCCGACGCGGAAGATGAGTCCAGCGGACTTACGCGCCGCGCGCTTATGCGGCGATGTAGTCCGCGACGAGCGGCGTCGAGGTGGTGAGGAAGCACCACTCGCTGATCAGGTCGCGGTACGCGGGCGCGGACAGAGGCGAATCTGTCACACCCTTGGCGCTGATCTCCGCGGGCTCCTCGAGGTCCTCGGGCGTGCGGATCGCCTCCTCGTCCGAGGATGAGTCGGAGTCGGAGTCTGACCATGCGCTGCGCGGGGCAGTGATGATCTGCGCGCGAGGCGCAGTGTTGATCTGCCTGCGCGACGCCGCGACTTCGTTGAGCTTGCGCGGCGCGGTGTCGATGTGCACGGGCCTGCGGGGGAGCACCGCGGGGACCACGGGTGCTGGCGCAGGTGCGCGCGCGGCGAATCGTCCAGCCTTATTGACCGGGGCCGTTGGCGGGGGAGTGGGTACTGAAGAAGATTAGATATGGTTCAACAACAAAGGATAGTCCCAACGCACCTCTCCGAACCAAGACCTTGTAGTTAGCACCATTGTTGTTGTCCCACCATTCACCGACACCCTGGCTCGTGTACCGTGCAACGCACTCCATGAGGCGCTCGTCGCGTGAGCCGGCGAGCGGGATCGTGAAGTTGAAGCGGTCGCGGCCGTCCGGCGCGCTGCTGGCGTACCGCGCAGCGACCTCCGAGGTGGTCGTCCAGCCGTCCATAGTGAACCGAAGGGCGACGTCCTTCTGGAAGGCGACGTTGCGCACGAGGACGCTGCCAGCGATCGCGACGTCGGGCGTATTCGATACCGATAAGGACTCCAGCCGAATGTAGTCGCCCGCGGAGGCGCTGCAGCTGGGTATCGGGCTCGACGCGGCGACGTCGATCTCGTACTTCGCTGGCGCCGGCGCTGGCATGATCGGGAAGTCGAACTGCGTTGCGGCTGCCGTCTCCGAGGACGGAGACAACAAGCTCGCGACCGCGCTCGACTTCGTGAACGTGCACACGCGCTCGAGCTCCTCGTCGAAGCGCACGCGGAGGGAGCCGCCGGGCGTCGCGGGTGCCGAGAGCGCGCGCACATGCGGGGAGGAGGCGCTCTTGAGTGACGGCTTCAGCGGGCGGCGCACCGTCGGCGCGGACTGCGAGCGCGGGAGCGGGGGTCGCGTCGCGGTCGGAGAGGGCGCGGGGGACGCCGTGCGGGGGAAGGGAATGGCCAGCGAGGGAGGCCTGGGGATGGCCGACGAGGAGGAAGGCCCCTGCGCTCGATCGTCGTCCGAGGAGCTGTCCTCATCGTCCTGGATGTGGAAGACGCGCCGGGCGGGGCGGACGGGGAAGGGGAAGGCGGCGGGTGCTGCTGCGCCTGCGCCAAAGGTGGGGAGGCCGGCTGCTGCTGCTGCGCCTGCGCCTGCGCGCGAGTTGAACAGGTCCGCGGCCGGCGAGCGGCGGTGGCCCCGGCTGCGGGCGAGCGGGAACGTGGTCGCGGTCGCGGTCGGGAACGTCGTCGCTTGCATGGCGTGGACGGGGGACGGAGGACGGGGCGGGGCGGGGCAGAGGTCGTCGACAAGTGCTCCCGCGCGGGCGGGGTGCTATATAAGCACACAAAATGTCAACATCGAATGCGCTCCCAGACTCAATTCAAACCGTGCGTGATGCGATGCGATGTTCAAAATTTCAGTCAGGGCTTGCCCCATCCGGCCTGATCTCACTCAATGGACCTCGTCCCGGGCCCGCCGTCAACCGTCTTACGAGATTCGATCCCGTCTAGACTGGGCTAAGGCTCGCGCTAATACCAACAGGACAGACACGGCTCAGCGTTGACCAAGGCGTCGACCAGCGTTCATCGTCGCCCAATAAACTTTCTCGATGGGAAGCACCTCCTGGCAACAAAGCAGTCGTGTCAGGCCATCAGGCTTCCTCGTAAGAAGAACGTCATTCATTTCTATGCCCGCCTCGCCGGCGCTCAACGCACAAGCACCTCCTCGAAGATCGATGCGATAACGAGTGGGAGTACGAGGCGAGGGTGCGACCACGATAGCACAACGGCCCACTATCAGCACAATGGCGTCCCCACAGTGCCACCCCGCTCCCCATGGCACACCCGTCCCCACGCCTCCCGCGGTGAGACTCTGAACTGGGGTGACACACCTCCCCATGGTCACGGTTCGACTTTTTGGCTTCCCGCGGGGGCGCGGCACGCCACAATTCCCTTTTTCGACGCATTCCCACGCCGTACGTCCTTGGCCGAGGACGGTCGACAAAGGGTGCTCCCGTTCTACAAACGAGGTGAGACAGGCCTGCCTGTCGCAGTCGCCATGGCGGGGGACGGGCTCGGCGGTCGGGAGGCGCACGCCACGGCGCGCGGGAGGTCATCTGGCGTTCCTCATCCTTCCTCGAGTCGCCAAAATTCGCCTCGCGGCGGGCGTGCAGCGCGGTCATCGCTGGTCATGGAAAATCGTCACCCAAATTCCCCGCCACCGTCATCGGCAACCCCCGCCCCCGTCATCGACGTCCCCCGCCGACGTCATTGTCTCCACCGACATACGGGCGCGCGCGTCCTCGTCCTTCCCGGCGATCAAGCGGTCGCATTCAATCTTCATCGGATGCGAGGTGTGTGCCCGCGAGCAACTCGGGACTGTACTTCGTGTGTGCATCTTACACTTCGTCACATTCAGTCGGACGGCATACCACCCCGTCTCGGGATATGCAACAGTTTCCGATGACGTCGTGTTGCACGGACAGACCCAGCCCTTGTAGGCCTCGCGCTCGGACAAAAAATCGTATACATGTCCCTTACATGTCTCTCTGCTCACAGTAATATTTTCTCGAATATTGGGCCAGAAGCGCTCGCCGTATACGCCGTGCAACACCCAACGAAGGGCAATGCAACACTTTCTCGGCCGTTGCCGAGCACCTTGTGGATTTTCTGCACGACGCCCAAGGTGCTCTATCCGCTCCAAAGTCGCACACGGTATACAATGTCATGCATAGAAGAGGTGTACGAAGTATCTAAGCTATATCTGTCTTAAGAGGCCAGGAAAGCGGTGTGTTGCATTTCTGATACACCCCGCCATTTTGTTGCATATCCCGAGACGGGGTGGTACGGCGCTTACTCGTGCCACAAACCCAGCGCTACTCACCGACAGCCCCCGACGCAGCAACAAGCGCAAAAACCGGGTGGGTCGCTGATAATCGCGTGTATATCTGGCTACCACCGAGCTCGAGAGGGCGTCGACGACTGCCCAGGATGGTATACTTCACCCTGGTCGGCGAACTCAAGACTGCCACAGATGGTATGGTATTAATGGTATGGTCTACCCAAGAGTACCCCGAGAAACGTCGTACGCAGCCGATAGCGTAATTGACTGCCTCCGGTAGAGGGTGCGCAATTGACTGCGTCCGACGTCGACGCGAACATTGCATGATTGATACAGAGTTGTTCATCAGCCTCCGCAAGCGCTGCGAGTAATCGACGTTCATATCACTAATAGTCATCGACACCGATATCACTGCTGGTCATCGGCGCCGATATCGCCTTCCGCAGATGGTCAAGCAGGCCAATATACCGCAGCGAAGATGGATTGCGAGGCAAGTCTCGCACGCAGTATTTTCTCAACCGCGCAAAACCATCTTCTCAACCGCGTAGGACCACATTCTCGCCCGCGCAGGACCGTCCACGTTCGACCCTCCGTACGTCCGAGGCTGATACGCGCCACAATGTCCTGCGGATGCCACCCGAGGCAGAGCACATCTTCGGTCGACTGCGCTATCTCTCTTCGCGAGGCTGCGCCATCGGTCTTCGGATGCTAGTCGCGCTGATTTGTTGAAGGATTACCTTTGTCCTCGCCTTTGTCATTTGCAGGTTTATCGCCGCACTTGGTCCCGCCCAGGCGGCGGTATCCAGCTTCAGGCTTCGTTGAGCGCTCGCCTTTGCCGAATATCGTCCCCTCCGCCCTGTCCGGCAGCCCTTCCTCTATCGCACTCGGCCATAAATCGTTGGTTCCCCTCTTCGCATCTCCTCGTTCTGCTCTTCAGTGCGGTCGCTCGCTCTGCCCCCTCTTTCTTCGCTATACAGTACGCCCCCTTCCTCCGAGGCCCGCTACATCCTTCGAGATCGACAGCGCCACGGTTAAGCTGACCGTTGACGCGTCGCGGGTGCCCCAAGTTTATAATAATATTCTCCGCACTCCTATCATACGCACTACCACTACGAGATGCGTCTTCCTACCATTCAAGCCTCACTACAATACACACCTACGCTCGAATCGTGCGCATTCCGCCAGTACAAGACGAAATGACACTCCGAAGCTAACATTGAAAGGTCAGTCGGGGTCAAGGTAAGGGGTCAGTAAGGGTCACTGTGACGTGACCGTGACAGTCACGGTTGGAGTTGAGGAGATAATTAGATAGAGCGACGGCTGGCCGCTACTGGCAGGAGAGGATTCACGTCAAAGTCACAATTTCCAGACGCTCCGCTGCGAAGGACGAGCAGCGTGCTCCATTACGACGGCCAGTGTTACAGTCCACGAGTCCGCCCCCCTCCGGCCCCTTCTAGCCGATGAGCACTCCTCCTGTAGTGATTGCGGCTCCCCTCACTGATGAAGTGTTAACGGGCTGCAATGTGAGGCAGGCCTCTCATCTGGACGCACGCAAGAGCTCTCGTCTGGACGCACGCAAGAGCGAGCTTCGCAGTTTGGGCAAATTTCTCAGAGTGAAGGATGAGCGCGAAGGAAAGGTACGACTTCGATTGGCCCGGGAAGTGTGAGGCCACGCCATTCAGTAGGGTGAGGCCGTGCCATCCAGTAAATCGTCGGCCCAGAGCGCGAGAGGAATTTGGGGCACTTTACGGAGCGGGAAGAGCGGGAAGTCCGATTGAATGGGTAGAGGACTTCGACTGAATGAATAATGTAACTATCAGTTAGGTAAAGGACTCGGCAGGACGACAGGACCATTGCTACTAACGACAGGACCTCTGCTGCTGACGGCAGGGGACGAGTTCAGCAATGGAATAGCAAAGACACATACTGAATGAGTCACAAAGATAGCGAAGAAGTACTCAATACAGCGGCCATTGTGCGAGGTCCCGCAAGCGCCGCCCATCAATGGAGTCCTTCAGTGAGTAAAGGAAGGAGGGTAGGAAGTTAGCGCCGCGTTCCTGTCCATTGAGATGCTTCGCGCTTATCCTTCGCGGCCAGAAGGACGTCTCCCTTCTTTGGTCGCTGGCAGTTATGGGAGAGGAAGTAAGGCGGGATTATGATAGAAGGGGAGACGATAGAGGGAGCGCGTGGGATACGAGGGTGTAAAGCGTGACGGTCACGGTTGGAGTTGAGGACGACAGTAGCAGGCGAAGATAGGGCGCGGTTGGAGTTGGCGACGACGGGTGGCCGCGACGAGAAGACGAGGGATCAGAGTAGACGACGGCAGGCGGCTCCGCCCCAGTATACTAAAGGGCTTTAGCATCGAGAGAGTCGGGCGAAAGATAGCTACCCAGTCTACGCGCAGCTCTTCGTGTACGCGAACATTTGCCGTAGAAGCGCACGCCCGGAGATGGCAGAGCTGCGTTCGAAGCGTTGTAGCACCCATAGGCACTTACCCGGAGATGCATACCAGCGGAGAAGGCCTTCTGAGGATGCAGTCCGCGTATCTACGGACGCAGACCGACCTTCTCAGGATGCAGGCCGAGTGTGGCTTGACCTTCGATAGATACAGATTGTGTGCAGGTTGATCTTCCATAGGCACTAGCCGCCCTTTCATAGGCACCACCCGCCCTTCTTCAGGCCACTCGCCCCTTCGACGGCCTTCCGAATCAGTGCAACCTTTGTTCTTAGCGAAAGGGGGGTCGCCAAGTCGTAGCCCTGCATGAGATGCCCAGAAATTGCGAAACGGCCACCTCGTATAGACTGTCCAAATATCCTTGACGGGAGGCTCCCGTCGGGAGCGCCCAGAAGATCTTGCAGTCGAGATAACCGTGAAGCCTCCGCCCAGATAGCTTCGAGCAGACCGCCCAGATAGCCTCGAGCAAACCGCCCAGATCAGCGCGGCAGGGCGGTCAGGTGACCCGCCACTGCCGCCTCCGCCCCTGGCGACTGCGCGACAACAGGGTGCCGCTGACTTCCGACAAATGAGTTCAGCTGACCGGAGGACGACTGGGCAGCTGACGCTCCCCAGTCTAAATGTGATAAGATTGACGTTGCGGGACCGAAGCTATTGATCCCCTTTCGTTCGAGGGTGGCGGTCACTGTTCGGGATGCGGAGCAGCTTTGGTCTAGTGACGGTCCCTGTTTGCTCGGAGGCGGAGGCGGTATAGACTAGTGGTGGTCCCTATGATCCCTCGTCAGTAAGGCGAGAACTAGAGGCATTGACTGAAGACGTACCTGCTCCATCGCCGAGCCCTACTCGCCGCGGGAGCGGCGTACTAGTTGACACGAAAGTCGGCTACTAAGCGCAGATCCCACCGTCTAGACCGTCGACAAAGAGGTAGCACTCCACGCAAAGGATGACAAGCACGATCGAGAAGAACGCAGAGCACCACGAGAAAGACGAAATGCACCACCGCTAACGCTGCCTCCGAGCTGCGCAAGGATCACATCATCAACGTTCCCCGCGCACCTTATCGGTACTGGGAGCCTAGGCGTTGGCAGTTTGTATGGCAGTTTGTAGGCCGTCGTGGACGGCGCCCAAAGCCTCCCGCGGAGGCCGTAGATTGCGACGAACGGCTCCCACGACGTGCCAAAATGCACGTACTGCTTTGTAGAACACGATGAACTCTACCGCATCGTTTGTAGGCCGTCCTTCATTTCGACGATCGAGACGCTCGGGCCCGCTCGGTGCGGCGGCGTACACCTAATGGGCGTGGGTCGAAAAGATGCGCGAGCTGGTCGACTGTATGGCTCAAAGGCAGGACAAGTATGTGTTTGGGAGATCATCGAGAACGAAGCACAGATAAAGGCCCATGGATCGGTCTATTTCCCATAGTAGGCAAAGCTGTTCTCGAACTCGGGAGCACGAGGCGGTTCCCGAGTCAGGCAGCGGTGATGTCCGGGGCGATTACCTTGCTGGGCGCACAAGCCGTTATTCCGCCCCAAACACGTGATCCCATGTGCGCCAAACAAACCCATTGCCGAGAAGCCGAAAGACTTTGTGGTGTCACGCAGCAAAATCCTTCGCAAGTCGCCACCTTGCGAAGGGCAAGGGCTTTCGAGCCGGAGGTCAGCATCAGGTGCTCTCCTAATGATTTCGATTTGCTTATACATGTCTTACTGTGGAACTGATATAATTGTCGGGGTCACGGTGTTCAAGTGGCCACCTTACCTCCAAGTTTGCCACCCAATAACTCATATTTGTGGTGATCAGAGAGGTCCGCTACTTCAAGTCGTTGTGATAGAGGGAGGAAAGGTCATATATTCAGCCTAATATGATGACTACTGAGCTGTGCACGCCTCAGGCAGACCGTGGGTGAGGAAAAGGGAAGTGGGCCACCCGAAGTCATCGGTGGCGGAGAGTCTTGACTGCGCGTATTACACACCTATATTCATCGTAGAGCAAGACCTGGCTTGCCTAGCGCGCGAGAGGAAGGCTTGATGGCGGGGAGAGGCGCGGCGTGGCGTGGCATGGTGAGAGTTGAACGAAAGGACAGTGTGTGCTCTATGCACTGTCACGCACCGGAAATTGGCCCGGAGATCTCCGAAACGTGCACCACTGACAAGACCTCTGTTGCAACAGCCCCTTGAGCTCTCAGGGGAAACTGATGCATCAAAGGCCTGAACTCATAGGCCTGAGCTCTTAGGCCTTTGTTGCATCGGCTGATGCAACAACTGACTGAGAAAACTACTATAGCTACAGCTACTCGGACAGTGCCGTACCCTCCTGCATCCTCGGCCATCGCCGTGGTCCCCGTCGTCGTCGCCAGCAGCGCGTGCACCGTCGTCGTCGTCGTCGTCGTCGTCCCGCCCTCCCGCCCTCCGACGCGCGCGCACGTGCAGCCCGCCTCCCGAAACTTCCCACGCTCCTCCCGCCGCGTCGCCCCGCCCTCCTGCCGCGTCGCCCCGCCCTTCCCGCCGCGTCGTGTAGCATCGCCCAGCCATCTCGCCACGCACACGGCTTGCCCCACTACCTAGCGCGTCGGGCTCGCACCATCCATCGCGCTCGCACGTGCACCTGCGATCCCTCGCCTCCCGTTCCCGCCTCTTCCCACGCTCCTCCCGCCGCGTCGGACCACCAGCCACCCCGTGCATGCTCGCGGTGGGTATCCCACACCCGGTTCCTCGCTGTTGCCCTCCTCGTAGTCGAACATACAGCTGCGCGCTTGCAGCTCGCCACGCTCTCGGCAAGCGCTGTGCGCTCGCTCATCACCGTGCACGCACGGCCGGCTCATCTGCACGAGCACCAGCTGTCGGGCTGCGTGTACTCGGCAGCTACCGCATACGTCAACACGCCCACCAGACAACGCCCCTGCCCTGCGCTACTCGTGCACCTAGGCGCAGCGTCGCACGAGCAAGTGCCGGGAGGTCGGGCCGTGCTCGCGCCGGTCCTCGCGCATTGCCTGGGATGTCGTTCGGGATGATACGTCGAGCAGCGCGCGAAGCTGTTGTAGCAACGTGCTGTACGTGCTTTGACGTGCGCCTAGCTCATCCCGACAAGGCAGGAGGCTTGCATGTATGCATACGGCGGCACAGACGTGCCGTGTATCATGGCATGCACGCGACAGAGGGTCTTTGGGTGCGTTGACGCGTCCATGGCGGGAGCCGGCGGGGACGAGGATGTGAGTGTGTAGATGAGGGTGATGGGAAGAGTGCAGGATGGACACTGCAAAGGGCCGGTCGATCGGTCGTGGAGAGACCGGAGCAAATGCTGGACCGATGCGCTGTTGAGCGCGATGGTGGAAGACTCGGGGTCGTACAGTCTAAGAGCGTGGCCAACGGCGGCGGCGGCAGCGACGGGGGTGAAGAAAAAGGAAGTGAGCGTGATGCAGTCGACACGTAGCGCGACTGGTGATGGTGGAAGAGAGCAAGAAGGCTGATGTGACACGTCAAAACCCAGTTTAGGAGCATCACGTGGCAGATGTGGGTCCATCTTTATGTCCAAGCTATCCACTCGAAATTCTTCTAAGTCAAGGTCGTGTATGGTACTACTCAGGTACAATGGGGCTACCGTCCTCTAAGTCATCCAGTTCATCTCGTTCTACACCATCCAAAGCATCTTCCAGATCTTGCCGTGCATCCTCGTCAGTCAGCTCCCCAACCTTGTCAAACAACAGCTCTAAAGCAAGTCTAGCAGCCTCCCTAGGCCGCTTCCACTTCGCCTCCAGGACGGTTGCCCGCTCGATGCAGACCATAGACTGCTCCAGCGCGTACGACCGAAGGCCATCCTTCACAAGTTCGTCGCAGGTCGTGCGCGCATGAGCACGCTGCTGCCACTGTTCGGCGTCGTGATCTAGCGACGCGATCGTGCGACGCATCTCCTCTAGCAACAGCTGCGTCTCCTCGCGGTCTCGATCACGGCGAGCTTTCGACTTGAGAAACTCGACTCGAAGAGCTAACGAACAACGGGATCAATAGGACACGGATGTAGAGTAGGAAGCACTCACCCTCGTTCAGTTCAGCATCACCGGCACCCTGTCCGGAATCCATATACCATATCCACGAAAGACGCCGCGAGCCCTCGCCGGCGTTGACCACGCCGGCGAGAATGACACCGTCGGCAGCAGTCCAGTCAGTGTCAGCGGCAAGGGACCTTCCCGCAGCGCGTTGAGCTTTCTCCTCCGACGTTAGGGCTCGCTCATTCAACGCGCGTACATCTTCATCTTGCAGAACGCGCAACCGCCTCTCCCAGTCTCCAGGCCCTCGCAGATGCAGCAAACAGTTGCGAGCAAAGCGATAACGGACCTTCGAGGTATGTATCCGTTTGGCCAGCTTGTCGAATGCCTGGCGCGCCCGCGTCGCCGCACCGATTTGGCGTACGTTGGCCTGGCGATATTGATTCGTGGCCGTTCGTATGCGCAGGCCACGTCGAAGATCTTCTAAACACTCTTCTGCCTCTGCGGTGCGGAAAGCGATCTCGGTTTTGGCGACGTGAGGCGCGCAGGCTGCAGCACGCGCTGCATCCGTGAGTTCGGACGGCAAGAACAGACGTATATTTTCGATTGCTTCAGGGATCCTGTTGTACGTCGCAAGGTCGGCGCTCGAAAGATTGTCTTGAAGCAATGGCATGAACGTGCGCTGCCAAGCGCGTAGCTTGTCGACGGATTTGCGTAGAGCGACCCGCTTGTTGAGTATGGCGAGCTGCTGCGAACTCGTCGGGTTGTTGATGGCTTTGACCTCGAGCGCAAGGAGGCGCCTGAGACGCATTAGTACGTGGCGACGTAGACAGCTCGACACTTACTGGGCATGCTGTACATCAATCCCGAGCTTGATGAAGGACGTCACAGTCATTTCTTGCGGGACAGGAGTGCCATCGGCGGTGTGCTGGGTTTCTTGTTGCCGAAGGGAGAGCTCGACATCTCTAAGGTTTCGCACTGAAGGGAATAAGCCATCGTCATCGCCCAATGCGTGCAGCCTCACCTTTCGTCGTGAACTCGTAAGGACACGGCACGCTCGTCCGGTCCTGTTGCCACTTCGACTCGGTTTCGAGCCATTCTTGCACGAGAGGGGCGTTGCGCTTCTCAACTCCGTCACGTAGCTGTTCATACTCGTTGTAGGAATCCATGAAAGACACGACGGACTTGACGAGTCTCCGGGGCAACAATCGACCTATGGCAGCTTCAACATCACGTTAGATATGCACTCGAAGAAGTGACTTACCTAAGCTAACATCCATCTCATGGTTATGACAGCCACCGTGATCTTCGAGGGTGAGCTGCCGCGTACCAGGACCCATTGGCTTCGTCTGAGCGGCGGACTTGTTGAGGAGGAACCAGTTCTCCTCCACCGTCTCTCCGTGCGTCCGGCCGACACCCAGCCCAAAGTGGAATGAATAGAGCGCATGACAAGCCGCTCGATGTGCTGGCAAGTGGAAATTGGGGACGAAGTAGCGCAGTACCATGTCGGCAATGCGACCCTGGATGGTCGCCGGTAGGGTAGCAATGCGGTCCTTGAGCTTCTTGTCGAATACGCAGGCAACATCGTATGAATAAACGACGTTGGGTACTTCTTCGTGCGCGAGAGCGGAAGCGAGAACATATGTCATGTTGCAGAACCTGTCTAAGCCGTCAGAGCAGTCGAGCAGTACTAGAACTGGAAACGTACCGTTCGCCTTTCTGCAGATCGCCCATGCCATTCGGTAGGAACATATTGTGGCGCGAGCAGATCACGGCCGCGACCCCCGTTGCGCGCAAACCGCGCACACGTTTGGCATTCGCGAGGAAGATCGCGGCGAAGCCCGAGCACGTCGAGATCTGTGGAGCCCATCAGTGCGTTTACAAGTGAGCTCAACATCAAACTTACATCGCCCTCGCTCGCAAATGAGCTCACATACTTCAGGTAAGGTTCCCTCTTGACGAAGTAAGCCCAGCCATCTCCCAGCGGCGGATTTCGCGCCTCGCTCGAGCGGACTGCGTTGGCAAGGCGGAAGTTCGCATCTTGAGCGATGAACTTCTGATAAAGAAAGCTGTAATGCTTTTAGCTGAACACCTCGCAGACTATCGGCGCGGGCATACCTCGTATCCGGGCCTGCTTCTTGCCAACCTCGAGGTAGGTTACGACCAGGCTCAGGGCATGCGGGACATCTGATAGCCAAGCCCCCTTGAGGAGTTGTACTCACGCCGTCGTCGACGTGGGCCCTCCCGAAGCGCCTGAGCATGACGACGTGCCGAAAATGATTGATCATGCTGGCGAATACCTGGCGCTTGCTCTGCGTCTTTGTTAGCACTGGGTACATCTTACACGAAGGGGTCAGACGTACCTTGATGTGTATCGTGCCCGTGTTGTCAGTGAGGCGCTCAATCGCACGCCAAAATTCGTGTATAGAAATCTTGCTGCATGCGTTCAGCTTGTGGAATTGGCGTAAGCACGCGAGCGTGGCGCAAGTCTGAGGATTCTTGATGGTTCCCGGCCACCAGCCAACTCGCATGAGTTGTTGGCGGTGGTTCTCGGCGCTCTTGCCGCAGCCGCAGAATTGGACAGCTACAATATGCACGCCATTCGTGTCGATTACAGTGAAGTCGCTATGGCCACGGTCGGCTTGTATGCAGCATTCGCCGGGCGGATGGCCAAGCTGTACGACCTGCCCAAGACGCTTGAGGGACGAGCGGCGGAAACATTCGTGTTCGGGATTCCATTCCTTCGGATACAATTAGTTAATCGATCGAGGAGCAGCGCCAGCCACGTACCTCAAGCCAGTGAGTGGGCAATAGTGCATGCGCCTTCACGATGCAGTCGCGGCAGTACAGCCAATGCCCCATGCACTGATCTCGGCAGCGATAGAAGGCATCTTGCGAGTTGCAGCCAGAACAGCTCGTCCTAGAGCCCCGACCTTCATAGCGGAACGTTTCGTCGAGGTACTCCGATCGCACAGATTCCCAGTCCAATTCGGCATCGGCCTATAGTACCTGTGAGCAAGAAACGCACAATACAGCGATAGGCCACGTACCTGTTCTACGGTTGGTGCGGGTGGAATATCGTGCACGACTGGCTCAGCATCGCGGAAGAGCTCGAAGAACCGGTCGCCTTGCGTGAAGTCGAACTCGTCACCGGGTGTCCTTGTAGGAAGAGAGGACGATGAGGAAGAAGAGGTGGCGGCGGGAGCGTGGCGCGGCGCGGATATGTGAGTTGTCACTCGTTGGACGCGGCGCCCATCGGTCGATAGTTCGCTTTGCTTGGACGTGAAGGGCCGGTGACGGAAAAGAGTGTCTTCACTGGAGTCGATTTTGCGCCGCTTGTGGCTCTTGCGCTCGGTCGCGCCAGGGGCGCTGCTCATTCTGCGCGAGCAATGCGAAGGGGCACCGGGTCGAAGGCAAGTTGTATCTGCCGGTGGTTATAGCTTGTTCGGAGCGCGAAATCCGCGTTCGGACGTACTGTGAGCTCCTGAGGATACATTTGAAGCGTTTGGAGAACGTAAGCGGATGTCAGGGAGAACAAGCAAAAGCGCGATGTGAAGGCAGGACGTACGCCGTGGGCGGAAGCGAAGTCGGCTGTTGCCGAACGATGGTCACGAGTTCAACTGTCACGCTTCTTCGCATCTCCCGCCGTATCCTACGCCTGAGCTATCGATGCATTACTCGTTAGATCAGCACGTCTAGACAAACTGATATACTCTACTTTACTTCTTGATCTACGACGTTTCTTGTAGAGCCTTGCAGGCGTCTGCACTTGGGAAAGCTGTCAACAGCACACTGTACATATGTCCGTGTATCAAGCACATCCACGAGACTACGGGAGTCTCCACGCAAAACCGTAATGCAGAGCCAGGCGCTCTTTGATGTCAAGCCCCTCGCTCGAAGATAGCTCGCTTACCGGCTACTTACATATTTATACTTCGTGCTGCTGATAGCTGAACCTGGGCTTACCGTGCATTCCTACAGGACGTGCTGATTAGGCGTAATACGCTTGTGGTTCTGTCGTAGCGCTCCGAGACACGATTTGTAACGCTATTGGCTCGCATGACTCTGACGTGAATGAGCGCGCCAGTACGAGCAGGTGTCTCGTTAAACGGTCGCATCTGATTGCGATTTATGGCAATGAGCATCGCTAGCTCAGTCGGGCTCTTCAACGGGCCAAATATATTTCATGGCCACCTGACTTGATCATTGCTTTAGGCGAGGTATCTGTATCTCGAGAATGCTGCGTTTCTACGAATCTTCAGCAGGCTTAGCACACAACTCGATACAGCTCGGACCGCTGGCAGCAGTCGGTCGGACCGCGTCATATACATCAGTGTTCACATTGTAGAATCCATTCGATTACCACCAAAGTCAGTGATGAGGATATAGTACACAGGTACTTGGTATGCTATAGGGGCTCACCAGAGAAGTGAGAGATATTTTACTAGTCTATGGCCGTTGTACATATCGCTCGAAGTTCGATTTTCGGTGTTTGCCGAGACGGCGTGATCGGCCGGCCTGACGTCCGTCGGCGCCTCTGAGTCTCTCCTCACGCCTTCACGTCTGGCAGCCCCCATGCCCCTTGCGGCGCCGAGCACCTCTAGCAGGGCTCGGCAAACATCTCTAGCTTCTTCCTTACCTCCTACACCTGCCATTCGTCGACCCCAACACGGGAACCCTTACAGTGCACGTCTTTCCGACACCAGCACCCTTGAACCACCACGTCGGTCTCGGAGCATCCAATTTTTTCAAGCGACCTCGCCCCGCGTAGAGCCCCGACAGGGTTCGTCTTCGGCAAACCGGCAACAGCCTCTACCGAGAGGCTGGCGTCTGTCCACGAACGGATACGTGCTGCGCCCGGGTGAGGTCGATTTTTTCGAGGAGGAGGATAGGAAGGAGCAGGAACGGAAGGAGCGGAGGGAAGCACAGCTGGTCCGCGTCGCAGAGGCGCGCGAGAGGCGGGCTTTGGCGCGGGATCCGACCGAAAGGTCTCGCCTATTGGTGTGTCTATATGCCTTGCTTGTGATCATCGCTAACTCGTCTTTTCGACAGGACGAGCGATATCCCATGCTGCCATTCGAAGGGACACAGTTCTGGGAGGCAGGGCTCGACGCTCACGAGCAGCAGGCTCGCTTAGCTCGTGCACGAGAGCGGTACTTCAACCTTGTAGTACGTTTGCGCTGCGATCCGCAGATGTACGAAGAACACCGTCACCACTTCAAACCGACAGAACGGCTTCTAGACCCTATTCATGACCATACTGAGCTGGAGAACCTACGCCGTACGTTGTTTACTCCTCGCGGCCCCGCCCCTCTCTCTCGCTTGGCACGTCTGCGCCAGGAACGCCGTTACTCCCCCATTTGACCTATATGATACATCCTTCCTATTTTGAACCTGAATGGACTCAGATTGATACTCTTTTGTTTTGATATCGCTTTGATCTTGCATTTCGTCTGAGAGAGGTCCCAAGGACCGCCTGTACGCATGGTGGCAACTGTTTATTTGGTCGTGTTGTTGCACGGCAAGATGCGGCAGTTATTTGGTGCTCACCTCTCTTGTTACGCAGTCATCTTCTAGCGCGGCTCAAGTGCCCGTCCATCGCTTCTATGGCGCCGGCGTCGTGGGTGTGTGGCAACAAGTTCGTCTACATCGACCGCCACCGCGCAGAATTCGAAGCCGCGACGTCCGACCGAGCCAGACGCCTGGTCTATCGCACTGTCGCGCGAGGATTGCTCTGCCTCGCTGGCAATAATCCTTTCGAATTCGACTTCAGGAAGCAGGATATCGAGAACGGCGAGGAAGAGCCGACGCAGGCGGATGTCGATGCACTCGTCACCACGAGGGGCTTGACCGCGGACGAGTGCGGAAAACGGGCAACAGTCATCACCGGGCTGGCTTCTGTACGTGGTTCTGCCTTCTCGCTACTGTCCTAGCTCCTAACGCGTCTCTCATAGGACATCAGTGCTTACTACCGACGGAAAGCAAAGCAACATAATCGAACGGTGTCAATTGACCTTCAGGCCGTCGCGCTCGCCCAAGCTGCCGGCAAGACGAAGATCACTGTCTCTACCCGCACATCCCAATACTACTCGACTCTATGCTACACGGAGCGTATCAAGAAGACTTTCGAGGAGCGCTTCCAGGCGGAGATGCAGTCCTGGCAGGCGAAGAAGGAGGCAGCCGAGTCAGCGGGAGCCCCTTTCTCCGAGGACAAGCCGACAACCATGGGTGTCCGTAACCGCGTTACGAACGAGTTTTGGGCAAAGGAGCCCCCCGAGTACAAGGCTATGGTGGAGAAGATGCACGCGGAGGAGTTGGACAGGCAACGGCGAGCGGCTCGCGAGCTGATTAACCCCAACGCGCCGACGACGCCTGAAGAGCTCCAGAGGTACGTTCCTGACCTTTTAGCCGTGTTCACCAGCTCAACGCGCGACAGGTTATACGATTCGGCTGCCCTTTACCTTCAACCGTTCGCTGACGCTGCGGCGGGGTCGTTCAAGGGTATTGCGGCGATCATGATATGTGCCCCGATGCCCGAAGACGGAGGAGATCTTGGCGTTTTTAGGTGCGTGAATAGCCTTACAGATCGCACGAGTTGCTGACCGAAGATGGACAGCGTCCATGCCAATCCGGCGGATTCCCTCACGAAAGCCAAGTGGCCGCAGCTCTTTAAAGAGAAGTTTCGTCAAGTGGAGAAGGGGATGCTGGAGTACGGACAGCATGTATTCAGTGAGTTGCTTGTCCTCCAGTCCAGTCATGCTCTAACACTCAGGCAGGCAAGAAGACACGCATGTCGCGAGCACTTCCCTCGACGTTGACGGGCCCTCTCGAGGCCGAAAACGAGGATCATTCAACACCCGATGAGCAGGACGACAATCCCCCCAGCGTGGACGACCTCTTCGACGACCACTTCTACGACCATGTTAACGATGACGAAACCTCCGGATACGACGCGAACGAAGTTAACGACGAGCAGGGTCAGCACGAACCTGGACAACATGAGCACGAGCAAGAGCAAGAGGACAGCAACGTCGAGGTCGCTCGCGAGGGGGACAACAACTCCTTCGCCCACGTCGACGACAGCCTTGAGCGCGAGCACGACATGATGCGCATGATCCATGAACAGGACAACACCAATGACTTCAATAATGCGCCACGTCCAATGACCCCTACCCTCGAGGACGAGCCTCTGTTCCTCCACGCGTCATCGCCGGCTCAGCCTTCTCGTGCATCATCCGTCGTCTCCAATTCTGCGTCGCGCGCTATCCAGGCGCCAGCTTGTCAGCAGAACCTGCCGCGAATGGATGAGCCGCATGCGCCATCGCAGGCGCTGCCTCCGCCGCCGAGCGCTTCTCTGCAGCCGGTGCTGCGTACGGCCGCTACGCCCACGGCAATCGGCTCCCATCCGAACGTTCCTCCCATCATCCACGACATATGGAAGCTGAACGCGATGCCGGCGTGGTCTGAGCACGTACGCCTGGCTGTCACAGCTTGTAGGCGCGGACAGTCTTGGGCAACGGCTTTCGGAGATGCCGTCAAGTCGTACGTCGAGTTTGAGGAGGCGCATGGCTTTCCAGCGAAGGACGCGGGCCGCAAGGTCATCAGTGACAAGAAGACACGCCCGCCCCAGTATGCTGCTTGGCTCAAGATTGCCCGCCCCTACGATCGCCCAATGCTCATCAAGGACATCGACGAGTACACTCAGCAGTGGTGGGGCTGGCTGGCGGCACACCTTCCCGAAGGGCTCCGCAACCAGAACAGCTACTTGCTCGACCTGTCGCGCGTAGATCTCGCCGACGCGACGACCTGGAATGGACTGGACAAGGCCTGCGGAAAGGACGGTGTCCTGCAGATTGTGCTCTCGCTTCTCTGGTGGGGCGATGCGGTACACGGTCACGGCACCTACACTACCACCCAGCGCGATAATTGGGAAGCTGCATGCGTCGAACTGAGCGGCATTCTCAATGCTATGGCCGGTGTAACTCGGAGGTCCCAGACTGGCAGGTTCGTCATATTCTCATGCCCTTTGAGCCTTGTTTCCGTACTGATATCTATGCTATAGCAAGAGGATGTCATCGGGCGATGCTCCTCCGCCCCCGCCTGCTAAGAAGCGCAAGCAGCAGGAGTCGAAGGCTGCGACGCCATCTCACGTTAGCCGTGCCTCAACTTCCACCTCTTCGTCCTCTCGCCGCCGCCGCCGCTGATATAGCTATGATCCTTTCGCATATTTCGCACTGGAAGGCTGTTATTTCTCCCTTTACGACCGCAATGCTCTCACGAACGACGCTCTCTCGCTATCCTGATGTCACTGACGAACTTCAACTTCTCGTTGTGCTTGTACCTTCATTCTTTCATCTGGACTTCGTGTTACCTTACTTTACAGCTTATATACACCCTTATTATATATCACCCATAGTACAATATATCCCTCGACTTACCCTCGTGAATACACATCTTGAACTGCGGAGATTTGAACTTGTGGGTCCGAGTGTATTGTGCATGACTGTTTGTACGAGCTTTGATGTGGCGTTACGACTTGAGCCAAACACACCTCGCAACTCTGTCTTCCACCACCACCACCTCGATCGTCCCACCATTGGTGCCGCCCATCGCGAATGCTTTTCCGGCACTTCAAGCGCTCAATATCCCGGGCCCTGAACTTTCTCACTACATCGAGCATCCAATAACGCGCTTTCACAATGATCAACGGCGGCTCTCATTTCGCCTGCATCGCACGCGCGCCCACCGCACCTCATCTCGCACTGCTCGCGATCGACAACTACAACACCGCCAGCGCATTCCCTATCACACCAGCCGCACCGCGCTCACCACACGCTCCTGGCTTCCTCACCCACGTCATCGGCACCTACATTCTCATCTCTACACCCTTGCCCTCGTCGGCCTCCACCTCGTCAGTTGGCACGCTACGTGATTCTCCACGTGCGCGCCGATTGACACGCTGCGCATGTGCCACGCGCTGCTCTTCGATGGGTAGTGCAAGTCGCTCGCGTGGTTGGGTGTGGATGGCAGTCACCTGCCGCGGCTGTCCAGGGCACACATTCGGGCTCCCTGACTACCTCCGGCCCAGCGAGAGCGCGATGTAGTGCAGCGTGGCAGCAGGCGAGCCCGCGATGGCTCGCAAGCGGGGCTGAGTTTCCCAATGGACACATGCGGGGTACCCATGCAAGCCGGGAAGGATGAGCGTCGGCGGGCCTGCGGCTGCACGTGCAACTGCGAGGAGAGCGAGCGCGATGAGCCAGCCACAATCGTGTGCGGGGCGAAGGCGGGGCGACGCAGCGGGAGGAGCGTGGGAAGAGGCGGGAACGGGAGGCGAGGGATCGCAGGTGCACGTGCGAGCGCGATGGATGGTGCGAGCCCGACGCGCTAGGTAGTGGGGCAAGCCGTGTGCGTGGCGAGATGGCTGGGCGATGCTACACGACGCGGCGGGAAGGGCGGGGCGACGCGGCAGGAGGGCGGGGCGACGCGGCGGGAGGAGCGTGGGAAGTTTCGGGAGGCGGGCTGCACGTGCGCGCGCGTCGGAGGGCGGGAGGGCGGGACGACGACGACGACGACGACGACGGTGCACGCGCTGCTGGCGACGACGACGGGGACCACGGCGATGGCCGAGGATGCAGGAGGGTACGGCACTGTCCGAGTAGCTGTAGCTATAGTAGTTTTCTCAGTCAGTTGTTGCATCAGTTGATGCAACAAAGGCCTAAGAGCTCAGGCCTATAAGTTCAGGCCAGTGATGCATCAGTTTCCCCTGAGGGCTCAGGGGACTGTTGCATCATTCATAGGGACTGACCTCGGGCGATCGCTAACCTCTGCGCGGCCAAGCTTCCCCGGAAGTACTGGATGTACGCGATGGAGTACGCCACCGACATGATCAATCTGTCGCCCGCTAGCCGCCAGAAGGGAGAACTGCCCATCAACCGCATGCGCAAGGTCAAGCGCCCTATTGACGTCCACGCCCTGCACCCCTTCGGTTGCCCCGCCTACCCGCTCATCCCAAAGAAGAAGCGGAAAGGCAAGTTCGCCGACCGCGCCCGCCGGTGCATCCTCATAGGCTACGCTTGGTCTGAGGGCACAAAGGCGTACAAGCTCCTTGAGATTGCCACTCGGAAGGTCATCATCTCCCGGCACGTCAAGTTCGACGACGCCTCCCCCTCTCCTGACGAGATGCGCGCGGGCGAAGATGATGTGTCTGCCGAGCAGTGGGAGGACTTTGGCAAGTACTTCCGTCTGCCGCCCAAGGACACTCCTGCACCAGGTGCGGGAAGTGACAGCGAGGACGATGACGATGACGATGCGCCGGCCCAGCCACCTGCAGCCAGGTCAGTGGGAGCACCTCGTCCACCCACGCCAGAGCCAGTGGGAGATAATCGCCCGCCCTCACCTGACTCGGACGGGCCACCACCTCCTCCGCGTCCACCTAAGACACGCATACCGCGCCGGTCACTGCCACCGGCCACGCCACCGCCGGCTCCCGCCCCCGCTGCTGGTCCATCGCGCCGCCCTGGCCTTCGCAAGCCAGAAGAGCGAACAGCGAACCAGCACAAGGACCAGGGCTACATTAATGCCCGGGAGCGGCAGGAAAACCACCGGAAGGTGTCCGCCCAGCAGCGGAAGCAGCGCGAAGCGAACATCCGCGCGCGCGAGCAGCAACTCGAGGACAATCGCCGACGTCGAGAGCAGCCGCCTCAGGCAGAAGCTCCTCCTCCACCTCCGGCACCAGCTCCCGAACCAGAACCTGCACCAGCGCCTCCCCAGGGGGGTGGGGATCCCCCGGGTCAACCTGACGAAGAGGGCGAGTCTGTGAACTTTGCTTTTCTCAATGACGAACTCTTTGCGGGCGCAGCATCTGGTGGTCGGTCAAGCAGCGGTGCGCGGAAGATTCCCACCACTTGGAAGCAAGCCATGGCGAGCCCAGAGCGCGACAAGTGGTTGGACGCGCAGTCGGAGGAGTTGAACAGCTTCAAGCTGAACGATGTCTACGAGGAGGTACCCATCCCGGAGGGCGTCAAGCCGATCACCTCCAAGCATGTCTTCTCCTTGAAGGAGGATGCTCAAGGGAACATTGAGCGGTACAAGGTGCGCATTGTGGCACGCGGCTTCACTCAGCAGGAAGGAGTCGACTACCAGGACACCTTTGCGCCTGTCGCAAGTCTGGAGTCCATCCGCATCATCCTCGCCCTTGCCGTTCGCCTCGGTCTTTACACTGACCAGATGGATGTGAACACCGCCTACCTCAATGGTGAGCTGCTACAGACGCTCTACATGCTTCCCCCGACTGGCGTAGACATCCGGGAGGGCTACTGCTGGCGACTCAAGAAGTCGGTCTACGGCCTCAAGCAGGCCGGTCGCGCGTGGAATCAGACACTCCACAACAAGCTCGACAAGCTCGGGTTTGTGCGCCTCAACTCGGAGACTTGCCTCTACGTCTTCCGGGATGGTAAGCAGGTCTGCTTCCTCGTCGTCTACGTTGACGACCTACTCCTCGCCGCTACCTCGCGTCCTTTCATGGACAGCATCAAGAAGAAGCTCACCGCCTCCTTCAAGATGCGCGACTTGGGTCCCGCCAAGTACCTCCTGGGCATCGAGATCATCCGGCACCCGGGCAAGCGCACGATCTCCCTCTCCCAGAGGAAGTACATCGACACCGTGCTTGAGCGGTATGGCATGTCGGACTGCACGGGCGTCAGCACCCCCATGTCCACAAGCACTCGCATCTCCGCCGATGACCCGAACGACAACGAGGTGCGCACTCATATGGCCTTGGTCCCTGGAGGTCCTGTCGTCTCCTACCAGAACGTAGTGGGCTCGCTCATGTACGGGATGATGGGCACCCGACCGGATACCGCCTATGTGGTGGGGGTTCTTGGCCGCTATAGCGCCGCCCCCAAGGCCTGCCATTGGGAACTGGCCAAGCGCGTCCTCCGGTACCTCAAGAAGACGCGCGACTGGTGCCTTGTCTATGATGGCGCTGACGCCGGCATGGACCTCGACTTCCATGGCTACACCGACGCTGACTGGGGCGGATGCAACGACACGTCCAAGTCTACCTCCGGCTTTGTGTTCATCTCAAGTCGGGGCGCCATTGGTTGGTCCAGCAAGCGGCAGTCCATGGTCTCTCTCTCTTCTACCGAGTCGGAGTACATTGGTCTAGCTAATGCTGGCCAGCACTTGGCGTGGCTCCGCTCATTCTTTGAGGAGTTGGGACGTCCGCAGGCCGGTGCCACCGAGCTTAGGTGCGACAACCGCGCGGCCATCATCCTCAGCCAGGATGCTCAGTTCCGGGCTCGGACCAAGCACATCCAGCGGAAGTACCACTATATCCGCGATGGGCTGGTTGCCACCGGCGAGTGCGTTGTCCTTTGGTACCCCACGGACGAGATGGTTGCGGACATCTTCACCAAGGCACTACCTCATGAGAAGCATCTCAAGTTCTGCCAAGGTATGGGTTTACGGCCAGACTCGAGTGGGAGTGTCAAAAGTAGGGTATAGAGGGCGAGTCTGCCTCCTCCCATGGGCGGACGGTTTGCCTCGCGTCCACGCTTTTGGTCCGCCTTCCTATTCGGGAAGAACTTTCCCACGCCGCTCCGGGGGCGTCCGTATTTATCCTTACTGTACATCTCTTTTCCCTCAGTCGCTATTCCACTAGCAGGAAGACTGAGGGTATGTTATCTCACTTACTATACTCATACTATTTACTGACTGTACTTTAGTCTTGCGCGTCCTGCGCTTCTTTAGGTATGAATATCAGTCGCTATTCCACTAGCAGGAAGACTGAGGTCTTGCGCGTCCTGCGCTTCTTTAGCTCGTGAAAGCGGTCAAGGTGTATTCCGAGCCACCGCGCGCACGCACGGGCGGACACGGTGCGTGTGACGCCATCGCGGTCGGTGATCTTCATGGGCGGGTTCTTGTCCTTGTCTTTCTTGTGCCGGCGCGTGAAATGCATAAGTTCGCGTTTGTCCACGTCCGACGCTAGTCCGACTTCGGCGATCCAGCCTTCGACTATCTTGTAGGCCTCCTTTAGGAGTTTGACGTTGCGGTCGAGCGAGTCGGAGGAGACATATAGTTTGCCGTTGTCCACGTACATCAGCAGGGTGACCGCAGTAGCCACGTCGCCTCGGTCGACGGCGCGCTGAATGTTGTCCTCGTTGTCGGGGTCGAGTCCTTGTGCCGTTGCTGTTTGCCGCCGATATTCTAGTTCGCGCTGGGCAAAAATCTTGATCAGCTCTGCGGAGTAAAAGGCGGCGAGGATGGGGGAGATTGGCGATCCCTGGGGGATGCCGTTTGCCACCGGTTTCATGTCCCCACGTTCGCCATCCAGACATATTGCCACCTCTCGATCAGAGAGGAAGCTCGCGACCCATTGTACATATGGGAGGGGGAGGCCTTCAGCCCGCAGTACATGTAGCAGACGAGTATGATTGACATTGTCAAAGTATCCTTTTATATCAAAGTCGAGAGAAGACGTCACCTTGCCATTGTTCCAGGCAGCGTGGACGTCGCTAACGAACGTCATGATTGCGTCTGTTGCGGACGCGTTCGGTAGTCCACCAAACTGAGTCGGCGGGATGAGACCGTGGGCACCGGCGATGAAGGCCAGTCGCTTGGCCATGACCTTTTCGACCACCTTTCCCATACACTCGAGGAGCGTGATAAGGCGATATGCCCTCGGCTTGGAGTAATCGGGCTTCCTCGGCTTCCGCAGTGCGACTGCCACTGCGCGTCGCCAACCCCTTGGGTGGTGGCCAAGGCGTACGCATAGCCGGACGAGGGATGTAATCTGTTCCGTCGCCTCTGGCCAGGCCCATTTGATCACTCGGTACGAGTTTTGGCTGGCTCCTGGTGCGGACACCGAGCTGGCGTCGCGTATGGCCTCATCAATCTCTGCCTCCGTAACATCCTGGAATGGAAGCTCGTCAGCTCGCGGGTTCTCGAGGTCCACCTCGTACGTCTTTGGGAGGGGTGGAGGGGCCTGGAAGAGCTCCTCTCTGAGTGCTTCTCGCTTGTCCTCGGGTGTTGTTGCGACGGAGCCATCATTCCTCTTAATGGCAGGGGTCGGGTAGTTGCGTGAGCCTGTCGACCACTTCCTGAGCCCGAACGACTCCTCGAGTGTTGCGTTCTCCGTAATCTCGGTTACCCAGGCCGTTTTCGCATGCCTGACGCGTCGGCGAAGGTAGTTCTTCGCCTTGGCGACGAGGAAGCGGATGTGGCGGCTTCGTACGCCAAGTCGTCGTTCTTCGTCCTTCATCTGCCTCTTGAGGTCGTTGAGTCTGTTGGCGGCGTCAGAAAGCTCCGTGTTCCACCAGGGCTTAGCTTTTGGGGACGGGCGGCGTGGTTTCCCGACTCTTGCTGTTGCGTTGTGCATTGCCATATCAAAGAGGTCAGCGGCCTGGTCAAGATCGTCAGTCGTGACAGCATTCGGGTTCTCGCAGAGCTTATCGAAGATTCCGCGGATGTGGTCCAGCTCCTCACGAAGGGCCGAGCGCCAGTCATCCGGCTCGACATCCTTCAGCGAGTACTTCTCACCAAAGGGGTTCTCGACCTCATGCATCCCGGGGTCCACTACCCATCGGAGAGCAAAGTGGTCGGAGCCTAATGAAAGGCTGTCGTCGATCGCCCACTCCTTGACGGTGTCGTCCTGTAATGTCGGCAGTGTCGAGGGAGGGTGCTGCCTAGCTCACGTGAAGGGTCCTTCTCCTTCGGAGGCAGACCACAGTCAGCTTCCCCGCAGACGAGGTTATACTACCCCACGGGGGAGATGGGGATGTTTGGGGGGAGGCGTCGAGGTCTTATCGAGCCGGGCAATTGAAAGCAAGGATCGCGAAGTATCGATAGAGACATTGCAAGAATCAGTTGAAGGATATCTAAACGAAGATCCTTGTGGTAAAGTAGCCGACCAGGGTCTGCGATGCGTGTTTAGGCGTCGGATATCAGTCAGATGGCCTCAGCTTCGTCTGAGATGTCGCGAGGGTTGAGCCTGGAGGTTTCGACAGGTTGAGCATATTCAGCCAGGAACACCAGAGAGTTAATGAGACTGAAAGAGCTCTCCGGGTTAGCCTCAGAAATGCAAGTACACAGAGACTTCTGCGTCTTCAGATTCAAGTCGTGGCGGGAGCCCCGAAGATACAACCGCACGTGCACACCTCAATTCGAACAATAGCGTGGGAGATTACGGTGATTGCCGCTCATCTCGAACCACGATGTTCGACACGAGCCTTTGTTGGTCCGACACGCCCTTGTGTTAGTCCCGACATCCGCGAAGGACATCCGCCGTGAAACGTTAGCGGAGCCAATACACGGTAACGTGCTCTTCATCGTCACCTATAATGAACAGAAAATAGGGCTGTAGAGCCATTGTTAGTTTTGCAAGGGCCACCGTCCGACGAGCAGCGACCGCCTGATCACGGGCGGCGCGAGAGAAGGCACGGGAGGTGCGATGGAAGGTATGCACGGCATGAGAGAAGGCGCGAACGCGCTGAGAGTTGTGCGCCCTGAGAACGAGACGCACGTAATAGGGATACCACCAGCTGTGCATTGAGGACCACCTAACGCGCTTCGGCGCCATGCATCGTGCGAGCGCGCCGTCGGCCGCGGCGCCGACGTCGACAATTCAACGATATCTTGGGTTTGCCGACGTTCATGGGAGCGGGAACCGCGTACGCTGCGTACTGTGTCCCATCGCGTGAACAAGGTGCCTTCGGACGATGGACTTCGACGCCGAGCGCAGTCTAGATGGAGTGCTGTTCTATTCAGTGCGGGCTGGGAATTGACTTGGAAGCAGGATGAGCAGGACAAGCGCACAAGGGATATGGAGAGCACCGAGTCGATCCGCGAGCACAGCCGATGGACGCATCGAGCTCCGGCCTTGTCTCGCTTTTAGCGGAGGAAGGACGCGCCTCGTACCTGCCTAGCATGACGGACACAAAAGCTAGACAAAGTGCGTGCCCGAAACGGAGGCTGGGCTGCGCATGTCGTAGAGACCAGGAACATGGGCTCGGCAACATAGCATTGCTGTAGCGTACGAGCAGCGGGGACCGGTGAGCATAAGTTATCTAGTAAGTGCAGGCGTGGACGGAACGGGGAGCGTGTCTATGATACAACAATGAGATCCAGCAGTCCAGAGCAGGAAGCGGACGTAGGTATGCGGTCATGGAATGAGATGAGAGCATCATGAGATGGGTGGGTGCTCAATGCAATCCGTGCGGGTACCCCGAGTAGGGGGAGCGAATGCTGAGGCGCCGTGCGCTGCGCGGCTGAACCGCGCGCGACATCTTCCGCAGGCGCTCAATGTTCTCCTTCGCGAGGAAGACCGTGCCGGTGTGCTCTTCGTAGAGCGTGCCCTCGTCGGCGAGGACCTCCAGGATGCGCAGGTCGGCGGGGTGCACGGCGAGCGTGCCGGCGAAGCGGAATACAGAGACGCAGTCGTGGCGGAAGACCTTCACGTCGACCGCGGTCATGCCCGTGAGGGGGGTATCTGGGCACACTGCAACGTTGCGCGTCAGTCGCGATGCATACAAGGCGATCAGTAATGTCGCGCGCACCCTGAACAAGGTGGACGGCGTCCTTGATGGTGGCGAACGCGAATGACGCGCCCGGGCACGACCCTGCAGGCGTCGTAGTCGTCATCGAAGGCGCGTTGCACGGCGTGCAGATCGTGGCGCTCATTTGGAGGGGCAGGCGAAGGGGTGCCCGCCCATTCTCGGTGCGTCACCTTTATACGCGCTACCACGCGGTGGCGGTGACGTTTTAGGCGCCGTGCCCACCGCGGCAGTTTAGGCAGCTGCCCCTGAATAGCTCCATCCGGAACCTGCGCGGTCGAATCTGTGTCGAATGGAACCTTCAGAAGGAGAACAAAGCGCGGGCGAAGTTGATAGCATGGTGGTTTTGCTTCCTGCGCAGAGGCACATGGGCCGTGGTAGAGCGGGCAGCATGTGCTGGGAAGCGTACAAGATACGCAGAGCAAACGCCGTGAATGAGCGCGCAGGCCGCGGGCAGAGGGCTGAGAGTGGTCTTGAAGACGTATTGGGAGGTGATAGTGTGAAGAAAGCGATCTAATTGCGGATGGGATCTGCGTGATTGACGTCTAGACCGGTGCGCACATTGTGATGGAATAAGTTCGAAGGTTGGGGGACGGTCCAGGTAGCCTTGCGGCGAAGGGCTGGAAAGGATACAGCAGGTATTGTCTGGCCCAGACAGCTCGGATTCCAATGTTGAGGCGGGGCAACGACAAAAGTTCGTGGAGGAACGGGAGCGGGGCAGCAGTCTGGATTGGGCGACCGCGGGGATCCAAGGGTGCTGGGGAAAGACTGTGGAGAGAGATCGGCCCCTTTTGTGTTATCACAAACGAGATCCGTCTGTGGCTGAGGTCAAAGAGAGAACGCGGGGGAGGAGGCGAGTCTGAGTACGTACGGGATTCTTGTCACGTCCGCAGCTAGACTTGGCGTAAGCTGTTCAGTTTAGGAGTTCATGCATATCTCTCTGAATCATGTTCATCATGGGGATTGATTGGCCTGTGTTCACTACTATCGATTGCCGAGAGTGAGTCAAGGAATGGACGTTCAAGACGAGGAGCAGTGACGGGATGACGCGCATGTCACATTCATGTCACAACATTGCTCTTGCGTCACGCCAGCATCCTCCGTCTTCAGCCTGAACTTCCATGCAGCTGTTACCCCTGCTGAATTTTACTGCAGTGCGCACGAAATGCTACAAGATATGCACGTGGATCTTCTCTACTGGATTTGACCCAGTGTAAACGTATGATTCGCGCGCGCGGGAGGGCCGCAAAGCTACGCCGTGGGTGCTTCTGATTCCGCGACTGGCACTTGGCCTGCCTGCCCTATAGGTGAATATATTGCATAGACCGTTCCCACTGCTCTCACTTGTCTGTGCGCATCGGGTGCTTCTCGGATGTGCACGCATGCCAGTTGCATGCGGTCTCGGGTCGTATGAGCAACAGCCGGGCCGCTGTCGAGGACATCGCCCTCTCTTAACGACGGCAGCTGTACCGTTCTTGACAGACACGTCTGCCTCTTGCCATGGCGCTGTTTACTTTTCTAGGGTTGCTGGCGTCGCTTTGTACCTATGTCATTGGTCTTCAAGTGTACGACGGTGCGTGTGATCGCTCTAAGTTTGCACTTACATCCATCCTGGATGCAATGTAGGTCCCACGCCCGACCTCTCAAGCACTCCGTTCGGCTACGCGCAGGCGTCAACGGGCGGCTCGACGAACGAATCCGCCGTCTATGTCGCATCGACTCTCGCAGAACTCAAGGAAGCCGTCGAGCTTCCCTACACGAAGACGGTATACGTCAATGGCACCATTCACGGCAATGAGCTAGCTGACGGTAGGCACCTTCTCCTACCTGAAGGCCAAGATTCTTATGAACTTTCACAGGCTCACTCGCCGACTGCCAAACCTACATCGACACCACCGGCTCTGACGGTTCCGCCGTCCGACAGTTCAACTTCACTCTGTACATCCTGAGCCTCAACTCGACGTATACGTCCCTCGTCGACGCCGCCGCCGAAGCAGGCGAACCCTTCGAAGGGCGTAACGCCACGGAGTACAAGGAACTCCTTGGACACCAGAATGGCTGGCGGCCCGTTGTAGTGGGGACGCAGAAGGCTCAAGTCGGTCTCCGGCTGACGAATAACATGTCAATTATCGGCCTCGACAAGTCGGCGGCTCTGGATGGGGTGAATCTCTATTTGAGCTCGGTTGATAATGTGTGGGTGAGGAACTTGAAGCTGGTGAGCCCGGCGGACTGCTTTCCGGCACCAGAGACATTTCCGAGTTCGTGGAATGCGGAGTAAGTGAGTTGTGTTTACTGTGGAGATGACGCCTCAATATTGGCAGGTTCGACGCTGTCGGCCTGGTCACGAGCACAAATGTCTGGGTCGACGGTTGTGAACTGCAGGATCAGCTCTCTGGAGAGTATGTTGTCCCTGATGAGATCGACGGCTGGCAAGTGGACAGATTTGACGGCAAGCTAGAGTGTCTGGCGATGAGTGTAATTGTACTAACTTTCTGGCCCAGGCTTGTTCGACTGCGAGGACGGCACCGACAATGTCACGTTCTCGCACAATATAATTCGCAATCACCACAAAAGCCTACTCATTGGCGGTGGCACGAAAGAAGCGGACCGTGATCTAGGGAAAATGCAGTGAGTACCTGCACGTCGCCTTCTGAATACACCGCATTGATCCTCACTTCAGCTTCACGATCTTTGGTACGCAGTCATGTTTACCACTTCATGAACTCCGTCAACTCATACACTTCATAGGCAATCACTTCAACAATTCCGCCTCACGAAACCCCCTCATGCGCTTCGGCACATTCGACATCGCCAACAACCTCTACTCTTACACCAACGATGCCGAGCCGCTCTTTGATACCGACACCACTGCCAACACCACCGATTACTTGACTTCCCGCGCCGCCGCCCCTGCCGACGCCGTCTTCCAATACAACCTCGGCGTCTACAATCAATCCACCGTTCACGTCCGGGCGAACGCCTTCATGGCCTCGGGCGCGCATGCCGACGACGCGTCGCGGCTATTTACGATCAGCGAGGCGACGCTGCCCGATCGGCCCGCAAGGGTGTGCGTGGACGCAGGGGTTGAGTCGACTTTGAATGGAGGGGCGGTGAATCTTGCAGATGTGGCGGGGGCGACGGTAGATTACTTTGTGGAGGAGGGCCGTGCGGTGGAGGGTGCGGTGCTGGTGACGTGCGAGGGGGTGGTGGAGGAAGGGTACGAGCTGCCGGTGACGCTCACAAACGGGAAGGACGTAGAGGAGTATGTGCTCGCGAATGCGGGGCAGGTTTGAATGGGAGGGCGAGCAGGATGCGGATGAGAAGGTATGCCGAACTCAAGTCAGGCGCGTGCGTGAAAGCTGATCTTCTTTATCCAGTGTACATGTGTATTGTCTTCTCTAGATTGCTGCTCTACTTCGTCGCCACCTCAGCCTCCATCTGCTCGCCCTTGATGCCCGCAATAACATTCCGTACCGCGCGCGACGCCATAGCACGCCGCGTTTGGTGCGTAGCGGATCCGATATGTGGCAACAACACGCATCTGCGGGTATTCGTGTCAGTCGCACGCCCGACGAGAAGGACAGCAATGCTCAACAGGAGCGACGGAAATGCTCGGCGACGAGAATGGTGGAAATGCCCGACGAGAATGGCGGCAACGCTAAACAAGCGCGAATGCGATGCAAGACACTCACTTCGGTTCCTGCACAAGCGGGTGGTCCTTCCCAATATTTGGCTCGCCCTCAATTACGTCCAAGCCTGCACCCCATATCCAACCCTCCTTGAGGGCCTTAACGAGCGCGTCGGTGTCGACAACAGTACCTCTGCCGGCGTTTACGAGGACGGCGGTCTTCTTCATGCCCCTGGGATGATTGTCAGTACTCCGTCGGTGCGCAATAGGCTCGGACGCAGTATCCAGCAGTGTCCCAAGATAATCCCAGCATCAGAGAAGCGGCGAAAAGGAGACCAAAAACAAACGAACCTCAGGAAGTCTTCGTTCACGATGTGGTACGTGCTCGGTCCTCCCGGTGCGAGAGCGAAAACGACGTCCGAGCCAGCTGCGATCTCGGCGTGCGAGGCGCGCTTCACCTCTTTCACCCCAAAGGTCTCGGCCCACTTAGCGTCCTGCGCTGGATCGGCCTTTGCGTCGGGACGGGTGGCGTATAGTACGCGGGTCACCCCGAAGGGCACAAGCCGTCGAAGGGTGGCCTAGGAAGAAGTTTGTGAACAGGATCTCGGAAGCTTTGGACGACATGCTTACCTGCGATATGCGACCGAAGCCAAGGAAGCCGACAGTGAGCGTAGGCCTCTCGGGGGTGACCGACAATTGGGGTCCACAGAACGAGAAGGGGGCCCAGGTAAACGAGGGCCACTACGTCAGGTGAGCGTCAACACAAAGACCTCCGAGCGAACATATACTAACCAGACCGTCCTTTGCTAAGGTCAGAGACTTGCCGTCGTTGCGACTAGACATAAGAGCAAGCATGATGGAAACATCCGCGACTACCTTGAGCTTCAACAATAAGTTCCGAGTCTCGAATTGAATAATTCACCTGCGTCTGTCAGCACGTCGGGTGTATAGCCCAGTCGTACACCGCGCTTGCCGAGCGCAGCGATGTCTACATGCTCGTACCCTACGCTCATGGTTGACACGGCCTTCAAACTCGGCCCAGCCGCGTCCAGAAGGTCGTTGTCGACAGCCATCGAGAGCAAAATGATGATTCCCTCTGCACCGGGCGCATTCTTCAGCAGCCATTCGCGCGTACACGGGTTAGCCTCATCAGGCCAGGTGACCAGCTCAATGTCGTCGCGCGAGGTGAGCATGGGCATGACATCCGGACCCAGATCGCGCGTGAGGACGATCTTGTGCTTGGTGGGCGCGCTGAGATGCGATCCGATGGACGTCAGTCGGCGAAGCGCGGAAGAGGAGGAGGAGGAGGACCTCATCTTGTTTATGGCTTAGGAATCTGGGAGTTATGGGAACGAGGGGAGGGGTAGATGAGCGTTGAAGGCAAGAGCTGATAAGTACCCTCGCGCTCGGTCACCCGGTCCGACATTGGGGCGGTAGTCGGCCCGCCCCACAAATATCTGCCGCGCCTTTACCGTGAGCCTCGTTGATTGCTACTTTTACCTGTCAGCAGAATACCATCTGACCAGCTAACTGGAGCTCTATTTGAAGAAGGAAAACATCGAATTTTGCACCAATTTCTAGCATCTAGCCAGGTATTGTAAAGTTGAACTGCGTGTAACGTGACTGTTCGAGTTGGCGCGTGACTTTACCGGCAAAGGCCGATCACATCGTGGTGAAGCAATGCGTGCGGTGCCCTGTCGACAGCCACGTATCGTAGGTTGCTTCGACTCCCTAATCCACGAGATCCTCGTCAGCTCAGGGTCCAGCAAAAATTGGCTTGAATAACAACATCAGGCAAGAGCCTATTTCTTCCACTTCCCAAAATGTCATCCTCATCGAGTCGATCTTAGACGACAGACACCAATTCTGTGGGCCACAAGATGTTCCCTGCAGAGCTATACGAAGCCTTTATTGATCAACTGGATGGAGAGAAACATGCGCTGGCTATGTGTGCGCTCACCCACCGCTCTCTACTGGATGTATCACAACAACGGTTGTTCGCGGATATACGCCTCAACTTCGACTCGCACGCCACCGAAACTGGGTCTCGCATAACTCAGCTCCTCGCTGCATTAGACACATCTCCTCGCCTTGGTTCCTATGTTCGGCGATTCACCATCAGTTGCGAAGCTGACGGGGAAGCGCATCTCCACTGCGCGAGCCTCCTTCCCCCGCTGCTGGACCATCTATCCGCTCTCCGGTGTTACAGCAGCCGAAGGGTGTTCAATAGCGCTGGGGATCCCGTTGAACGCGCTGTCGAGCGCGTGTTGCAGCTACCGACTCTCGAGGAGGTTTGCTTACGCCTGACATTCGATTTCCCCTTTCACCTCATTCGCTCTCCCTCTGTGCGACACCTCGCGCTCACCGACGCGGGAGAGACCGGAATCACTGCTCTTCGGGAGACAGAGCAGCCGCCACTCAAGCTGCTTACCCTGAAGCTATGCGCATCAACGGAGATAGCGCAGGCCCGCGCAGCTGAGTGGTTGAATAGCGCCCAAGTCGATCTGAGCGATCTTCGTGCATTCATGCTCGATCCGGGATGGCTGAGTCCTTCGTCCGCACGGCGCTTCCTCAGTACGTTCGCGGGAACACTGCAGCTGCTTGCCTTGATTCCTCACAGTAAGTCCTGTTCCCCTTCGTTGTCGTATTAATTCTGACCTATGTCGCAGATACAAATTCGGAAGTCACGCACGATTTCCTGCGCATCATGGCTCAGCCGTCGTTGTGCTGGCCATCATTGCGCACGCTGGTCTTGTATGCGACCAAGGGATCTGACTTCGGCCTTCGCATTCATCCCCTCGACAAGGAGCTGATGCGGTCCCTCGACGCTGCCCTGGCGGAGCGGAAGGATATGTATCCCGCCTTGCAGGATGTGATCATACGCTCACACGCGGACTTGGTGGAGACCCCGCTGTACACCCTCAAATCCAAGACCACGGACGGGGAAGAATGGTGGAGACTTCGCGACCCGGTCAACCTATGGATGGCGCACTCCGTCGTGGAACGCATACTGAACGCACACAGAGAATTCGTAGCTTGCTTCCCGAAATGTGCGGAGGCTGGTCTACTGCGCGACACCCCTTCGACAAACGTAGTCGCATAGGATGTATGTTGTGCGTTGAGTGCCAGAAAAGGACGTTGAACGATATACACTTCGAACCTGTACACTAGCTACAGCCAACTCTTAGCCAACCTCTCGCGAACCGGGTCAGACCATGGCGCATCATCATCGATCAACGCCTACGCTCGCGATTGTCGAGCCTTACGCATGCGTACGTGTCCTGCTCATACCAGGCGATGGCTTCGCTGCACACTAGTAACTTCCGATTGACAATCCTCACCGACACCAGTCACTGATAGAAACCTTTATTGCTACGAACTTTGTATGTTACACTTCTCTTGGAACTATTACTCGAGCACCGATGACACTAGTAAGTATATATGTAGGCGGTAGGTAAGGAAGACAGAAAGCTAGAATTCACAACGAGGATGGGGAAGGACGAAGGGAAAAGGTTCACAACGCCGGTCATGATGCGTTCGTCTCGGCTCGATGGTCGAGCTCGAAGGCGGGGCGACAACGCCCCAACGAACGAACAGACCGCGAGGTAAGGACAGTGGTATGGCTATGGCGCACAGGAAAAACAATCGAGTCCGCGGTGGCGATGGTGATGCTGGCAGCAGTGACGCTTTGTGGATTGGTTCGGTTTGTTTGTTGGAGTGGGGTGGATGTGGCCAAGAATAAATAAAGAGGAGGAAACAAGGCCGACAACACCAACGGGAACCGCAAGGATAGGTAGGTAGGTGAAAGTATGCTTCAGGGTGAGAGACGATGTGACAGAATCCGAGACGGGGAGACAAAGTGGATGGAGTAGTGCGTATATGTAGGTGGATGAGTGAATGGACGATTGATGAACGATGCAACAAGAAACAGCTGGCGACACTCCGGCGCTCGCCACGCTGGGCGGTAGATGATGGATTGAGAACCAACATCTTACGCCCTCCGACCCAAGCTGAGACTGCGCATACTCTCCTCGAGCATATCCGTCATCGACATCGTCGACGCACACTTCTCTGACGAGCGCTTCTCCCGGATCGTCGGGCGGATGGGCTTCAGCGCGCTCGTGCTGGACTTCAATGAGGCCATGGACGGCGACGGCGACTTCGGCGCCTGCGTCGGTGCCGTATCCACATCGACAACCTTGAGCACGGCCTTGCCCTCCAGAACGCGGCGGACCTTGTCGCTGTCGAGAGACGCTGAAGATCGATGTAAGCGGTCACTTTCTCTCGCAGACAAAACACTAGATAACTCACCACCGTGTGACGACGACGCACTGCCCGAATTCGATCCTGAGAACGCGTCCCAGAACGCACTCCCGAGCTTTCCAAGCACCGTCTGCGACGCGACCATCGCCGCGGCGGCAGCCTCCTTGTGCTGCTTCTCCTCGTGGGCGCTGGGCAGTTTCGCGCGCTCCTCCTTCGGTGTCGGCAGCGCAGCCGCGAGCGACGACATCGACGAAAGACCCGAGCCCGAGTGCTTGCCGGACAAGAGACTGCTGAGAGAGGGCGAGGTAACCGGGGCCTTGAAGTATGCTGGACGCAGCGCACCGGCAAGGCCGGACAAATAGGGGCTGTGGTTCGCGGCGGGGCCGGTGTAGAAGGGCGAGGGAGATGAAGGCGGAGATGGCGAGGTGTGCGACGAAGAGGGGGAGTAAGGCGTCGTGGGGCGCTGCTGTTGCGGGTGGCTCGCAGCCATCTTCGACCAGAGGTGCATGCGGTACCTATTCGGTGTTCATGTCAGAACGAGGGGCTCGAGGAGAAGATAAGCCACGTACGCATCCAAAGACTTCATCGTGAACATCTCCCGGTCGGCGAAGCCGTCGAAGCCCGCCTTGGGGGCGATATCGCTGACCCGCGCGTTGAGGTTCGGGTTCAGGTTCTCGTTCATCGCCGGGTTGATGTTCTCCTGCAAATCCTTACGCTGCGCGTCCTTCTCAAACGGCGACGGGACGAGGACAGTGTGCACAGGTGTGACACCACCGCCCATACCCCAGCCGCCCCAGAAGGCAGAGTTGGCGTTCGGGCTGAGGTCCTTCTGAGTATTGGGCTTGACGAGGTTGTCGTCACTCGAGGAGGGCGGAGTGGAGGGGCGAGCGTTATTGCCAGATGTAGCCTCCATCATCTCCTGCACGCTGACGAGTTCCTTCGGAGGCGGGAGTTCGACCGCACCAGAGCGACCAGCGAGGAGCGCCTGCTTCAACGCCTCGACTTCCTTCCGCAGCGCTTGATTCTCACTCTGCGTGCTCGTGAGATCTGTGCGGATGGCGTCGAGCAAACGATCGCGCTCGGCAATGTCAAACTCAAGATGGGTGATGTACTCTGTGCGATGAGTCAGCGTAAGTCACAAAACGAGGATAGATTACTCACCCTTGCGACGAATACGGAAGTTCCTGGCGCTGATCTTGTTGCGCAGCTGCCTCTTCTCCTTGCTTGACATCTTCGCAAGTACCTCGGGCGACGGACGCCAATCCTCCTCACCCATCATATCGTCGGAAGGTGTCGGAGACGGCGCGCGATGAACTACGGGGGAAGGGGGAGGCGCCTTGCGAGACGCGCGCGTCTTGGTAATACCGCCACTTGCGACGGTACCCTGGCGCTTGGAGCCATGTCCGGCGGCCTTTACAGGTTGAATCGTGAGCATGATCTTCTCCTCGGTCTTTGGGGCCGGCTGTGGCTCCGGCGGCGACGACTGCTGCTCTTCAGCTGTAGCGGGTTCGGGGCTCTCGTCCGTCTCTGCAGTAGGTGACTCCATGAGTTGCGGATCAATGCCCATAGTAGGCTGGGCGTAGTTGGCGTCGACCATAGGGGATGGCTCGAAGGCTGACAAGACGGCGGACCCGCTGCCGAAAATGTCGTCTTTCATTTGATCGCCACCAAACATGGACGAGAAGTCCCACTCGCCCGGGTGCGTCTGGGGGAAGGTGTGCAGCGGGTCGTTGATGGGGCTGGGGGTGGCGAGGTGGGAGTACTGGGACTGCGGGGAGGAGTCGTTTGAGGCGCTGGACGGATGGGAGTCGTTCTGGGTTGCTGGGGCAAAGAGGTCGAGGTTGAAAATCTCGGAGATGATGTCGTGCTGGCCTGGGTGGCCGAACGACGGCGCCTGAGGCGGGCTCTCGACGGACATGGCTGGGGATCGTTCAAGATATGGTCGGGGTGATGGTGGAAAGAAAGAGAACGAAGGCGGTCGGCAGCCCGGCACCACAGCAGCTTAGTCAGCGCCACCTGTCTTACGCGTTCGCGGCGTCACGGCAGCGGCTCGGCGATCCCCGGAAGTTGAAAAGGCGTCGAACAATGGCGATTTTCCCCTTGCAAGTTTGCGAAACCAACACAAATAGCAGAAGTCAGAAGATGGCAGGAAGCAAGACGCGTAAAATCCCGTTTAGAAAACATTTACGAACTTGTCGACTGCTTGGTGCTGTTTGCCCTTGAACGTGAATACTTCCCTTTCCGGCTACACGTGGCTCTAGTAGTGAAATTCGTGTACCTTGCTTACGACTGCCACGTCGAATGACAGGACCACTGGGAAGAACACGCGAGTTTACTTGCTGTGCGTACAGGCCAAGTACAGGCCAGTTGCGCCTCCCCCTGGAACACTATAGATGAGACAGTGAGTCATCGTACCATCGGAAGGGCTTAGAGAAGAATTTGGCACTAGCTGTCGTTCCGCTCGCAGAATCACGGTTTAATCACCTTTTTATGGGAAAGGTTAGGTCCAGACGATATCCTAGGTAGCCAGTCCTTTTCGCTCCTAGCCGTATGAATTGTCCACGGCGACTCCACCCGTTGGATGTACGCGAGAGATGTGTTGAGGTGAGCTGTTCAAGGAGAGGTCTTCATACGGTTGCCAATGCCGTGGTGCTTTCTGTGGTGGTCAGAGGCAGAATTGTACGCGTTTCCAGTCAGCGCGACGCGCGTTCGTCTAAATTACGCGTCATGTCACGTGGGCGTTTGACTTCAAAGTTGAACTCTACTGCATCTATGGTCTTCCTTTTCCTCGGCATTTTGATTCTGCATCCACTCACATCTGTGTACCACCACAGTTCTCAATCCTGGCTTGTCGCCCCGATATGTATCGGATCGCTGGCTCGCGTATGTGGCATGACTGGGCGAGAAACGTGCGGATCACGCCCGCGGCTCTGTGCGTCCCCGTTTACCACCTTGAAACCATCGGACTTGGTTTTGTTCCTACGTTTCGCAGCCGAAACCAGTCTTAGAATGGTATCTACTGGCCGCTTTCTCCCCTCAAACGCGCCCCACGACTCGCCTGAACACCAATGTGACCCTTCTCCGCTGCCGACATCGATTCCGATAACTATCTGAGCCTTCCTTGGGTTCGCTAGTCTTGTCTTCTGTCTTCTTCTAAGCGTGTCTGGGCTCTTATTAGACGTGCTACTCGTCTCCTTCCCGAGGCGTGTCGTCCTTCCCTTGTCAAGGATTCGACCCCCATCTGTTCAATCAGCGAGCGGATCGACCTCATCTTGTCCATCTGTACTTCCTCTTGTCTGCGCAACTTTCCTATTGCCTATTCATTTCCGTGCACCGTCTTCTGAGCCCTATCGACAACCGCCACGATGCCTTCATTGACGGCCGCGGCGTTCTCAGAACAGTCAGAACAAAGCAAGAGCCATGATTTTAGACTGCCCCCGCACGTCCGGCCAACGCACTACTCCCCCCCACCAAAAAAACTCGCCGGTCCGACCTTGCCGATTCGACGTGCTGCAGACCGCGCGCAGCGCGTTCCCGCTTGGTAACGCTTATATATGTATACTACCCCTTATCATCTACAATACGCTGATAGACCTGGGAAATTATCCCCTGGGATCGTAGAATTAACGTGACTTGAAGGAGGGGACCTATCGGCGAGCTTTCCCAAGTCGATTTTTTGTGTCGAGTGGGAGCCCTTGTGTCTCGAGTATAATGCTTAAGTAAGAGGGTATAGCTTGGATCAAGGCTGGATGGTTATCAGCCTCTCACCGGGTGGCATATCTGGACAAAAGCAAGTTTATTACAGGCCACCATTCATCCTCTTCGTGGCTGCTATTTGTGGCCGGCATGACCGCTGATAGTATGTACTAATATACAGAGTCTAAGTATGCATGTATGCATAGGAATGTCTGTTTCATGCTTCGATGAAGCGGAGAAAATTGGGTGGGAATGGTTGTCACGCTCACTCGAAGCGGCCTTCATTCTTTTCAAAAATTTATTTCATTGAGGGGATAACAAAGCCCGGTGCAAAAGAGTAATGGAATGGTAGCATAGTATGTATAGTACTGTATGGCATGCTTGGCATAGATCAATCTGTCAATGTTCGAGCTGCAGAGTGTCGGCAACACCCGAAGTTCAACCGTGAGAAATCAGGTCATCACGCTTTGTCACGTGCACCTGGGGTCTCGCTCTCCGCTACGCCCAATTGCTTGAGAGGCAGTCTACACACATGCTAGCATACTCTGACTTTAGCACCACCTATGAAGGAGAAAGACGAGAAATTTTCATTGACTCCGGACCGGCGAGTTTTTTTGGTGGGGGGGAGTATGATCTCACGATTCAGACCGACCTCGGGAAGCTCACCTACAGCGGGTTTGTGAGGATAAGGTGGGTGGGACGACGGTAATCCCGTGCGACGGTGTGGCGCGCGGCTAACATTCGTTGACAGCTTGGATGTCCTTACAGAAACGACCCATATCGTCCTGAATGCCGGCGAAGGGTTGAGCATCGATTCGGTGTAGGTTCTGCTCTGGCGCAAGAACGGCTAGATACTGACACTGCTGTACAGGACTCTGACCGCGCCGTCTCCTCGACAACTCGCAGCAGAGACTCTATCACTCGATACATTCTCCCAGACATTTGACGCCGAGAATGAGCGCCTCAGCCTCATCTTTCCTACTTCTCTCCTCGCGAACTCGACAGCCATGTTTACTATCCGGTTCCATGCGCCGCTTACAGACAGTCTCATGGGGTACTATTACTCGACATTGGAGGACGAGGATGAGAACGATGATGAGGACGAGGGCGGAGACGGTCATGACGACGACCCCGACAACGTCGAGCGCAATGTCAGCGAGGGCGAGGGTACGGAGAAGCGCGAAAATGCCAACGACCACGACACCGAGTCCCACTCAGCCTCCGCCTCGAGGTACTACGCCCTCACTCAATTCGAGCCCACCGCCGCGCGCCGCGCGTTCCCCTGCTTCGACGAGCCCGCGCTGAAGGCGACATTTGCGCTGACGATGGTCGGGACGGAGGGGACGGTGAGCTTGGGCAACATGAACATTGTGAAGGAGGTGGAGTACGAAGCGGCTGAGACGCCTGATTCGATGGAGGCACCTGTGGATCTCGAGGGAAGGAACGCGGGGAAGGCACAGGAGCTAATCACGCAAGACGCCGAGCTGGCCGCTCTCCTCGCGCGCAGCTGCTCCTCCGGCAAGTGGATGATCACCCATTTTGCCACCACGCCGCCGATGAGCACCTACATCGTCGCATGGGCGAATGGGGACTTCGAGTATCGGGAGACAAGGGTGGCGTTACCAGTTAGCGGAAAGGAGCTGCCGCTGAGGATTTACGGTGAGCTTACATGATTTTTGCGACGTTTTCTGACCTTGCATTCCAGCGACCAAGGACAACATTCATCAGACTGACTTTGCGCTGGAAGTCATGGCGAAGGTGCTCCCGCTGTACGAGCAGGTTTTCGACGTCCCGTATCCCCTGCCGAAGTTGGATATCCTGGTGGTAGGCTGGCTGGCTTCTTGCCCTACGTAGTCTAACACCTCGTGCAGGCTTCCTCCTTCGACGACGGCGCGATGGAGAATTGGGGCCTTATCGCGGGCGAAGAAAGCGTTCTCCTCGTCGATCCCGTCCGCGCGGACTTCGCCACCAAGAACCTCGTCGCCTGCGTCGTCAGCCACGAGGTGGCGCATATGTGGTTTGGGAATATCGCGACGATGCGGTGGTGGGATGATCTGTATCTGAATGAGGGATTTGCAACGCTGGTAAGCCGTTGCTTGCTGTACGACGCCTGAAACTCGATTTTCATTGTGGTCTATGCACAGGTCGGCGAAGTCATCATCACTGACAAGGTATTCCCGGAGTGGCACCTTCCGTCCGAGTTCATCAACGTGCACTGGGCGGATGCGCTAGCCATGGATGCGAAACCCTCGTCGCATCCGATTGAGGTCGAGTGCTCGGATGCGGATCGCGTCAATCAGGTGAGTGGCAAATTAGTATTCCCTCGTCCAACCTCTCTAATGTTCGGTCCCAGATCTTCGACGACTTGTCGTACTCGAAAGCAGCTGCAGGTACGGCAGGATATGGATGTGGACAGTAACTGATGAAGACCGCGAAGTGTTGCGCATGCTTGCCGCCCACGTCGGGGAAGACAGGTTCCTCAAGGGTGTCTCGCTGTATCTCAAGGATCACTTGTACGGCAATACAGTGACACACGACCTCTGGGACGGCATCGCCAAGGCCACAGGCAGGTCCTTCACTTCACATCAAAATCGCCGAATTTCTGAGTTGTTCGCCCATCCAGGCCAGGATGTCACCGGCTTCATGACGAATTGGGTTCAAAAGGTTCCTCGCTTCTAGAACCTAGCCAGAATTTCTTCTACTGAGAACAGTCAAATAGATCGGCTTTCCTGTCGTCACCGTCACAGAAACTGCGACAGGGATCAAGGTTCGGCAGGATAGGTTCCTTGACGCTACTGAACCTGCGAATAACGAGACGATATGGTATGCGCAAGGATCTCTGGCATCGCTTCGTGACGCTTTCACTCAGCTTCCTGTAGGAGTGTTCCGCTTGCCATTCTGACCAAGGACGAGACTGGCAAGGTGATCGTCGACCGCGCAGTCCTGAGCGAGCGAGAGGGAAGCTACGCCATTGATACAAGCAAGCCGTTCAAGCTCAACGCAGATTCGACAGGCGTATGTGCGTAGAGCATTTTCTCTCCATCCTGATTTCGAGCGCTCATGCATGATTGACCATGTAGACCACGTCCTGTACACACCGGAGCGCCTTAACAAGATCGCACAAGAGGCGGCAAAGGAAGACTCGCTGTTCACTCTCGACGACCGCTTGGGGATCGTGCATGACGCGTTCGCAACCGCAAAAGCCGGGTTGGCGACTCTGAGCACAGCGCTCGATGTTGTTGATACTTTTAGAAGTTTGAGAGAATGTGAGTGGCATGGTCCACTGCGCCGTCCTTGTGTGCTGATGACCGCTTTGTAGACCTCCTCTGGAGTTGCATCGCCAGCCATCTGGACGAGCTTCTATCAGTCTGGTGGGAGAACGAGGAGGTCGTGGCGCAACTCAAGACCTTCAGCCGTGTAGGTTCTTTCCTGTGCCGGTGGATACTCTACTGACGCTTGCAACAGTCGCTCTTCGTCCCAATTGTGAAAGAGCTCAATTTCGCGTATTCTGACTCTGATTCGGCGGATACGACGCAGTTGCGCACCCTGGCTATCTCGCAGGCAATCTCCAGCGAAGATTCGAAGTATGTGTCGCGTGAATTTGCCTGTACAGAAGCATTCTGACTTCTCAACTTCAGTGTCATCGCCCAAGTCGGGCGTCTCTTCGAGCCATTCTTGCAAGGCGGTGACGAGGCCTCAATTCCGGTTGACCTTCTCCAGCCGTTCCTCGTGCATGTATGCTGTGCTCTCAGCGGCCGTGCATCCCGTGCTGACAATTATGCGCCTGTCCCATTCAGCACGTCAAGCATGGCGGACGTGCCGAGTATGAAAAGGCGAAGCAAATGCTCGATAATCCTGATGCGCCTCAGGACGCCGAGATTGCGATGTAAGCAGGGTCTCTTGAATCAAGTCGATGAGGAGCGTTGCTGATATTTAGCAGAAAAGCGATGTGCGCGACTCGCGATCCTGTCCTGCTTGAAGAAGTCCTGCAGTATGCGCTACACGAGAGCCGCGATCAGGACGTGCTCGAATTCTTCCACGGCTTGCAAGGGAACTTTCAAGCGCGAAGGTCTCTCGCAAGCAAAGTGAAGGCGAACTACGACGAGGTATGCTTCCGCGCAACCCTTGCAAGAACGAGATTGCTGAGTTCAATCGATAGATATACGAGCGCCTGGAAGATAACTTCTCATTTGACAGCATCATTACCTGCCCCTTCGAAGTCCTCTCCACCGAACAGGACTACGATGACGCGAAATCCTTCTTCAAGGTATGTTTGCCGTTTTGATAGATGATGCGAGGTCTCACGATTTGTATAGGACAAGGATGTATCGAAGTTCGACATATCGCTTGCGCAGGCGTTGGATAGCATACAAGCACGGTTCACGTACATTGCGCGATCCACCAATGATTTCAAGGCGTGGCTGGACCGATGGTCGCAGAAAATGCATAACTAGCATGTAGAAATCAGACCGATTCGTCACTTTACAGGTTGGTAATGACAAGCATACTTCTTCAAGCATCTATATCCGTTGACGGAGTATCGCGTAGCATGCCGGCTTCAGCGCATTTCGGAAACGAGGTCTTCCAGTTACTGTGCTGGTCCGCGACGAATTTCTGCCATCGATTTCGCATACGGATATCGATCGGCTCGCGAAACCTCCACCACCTCTCCTCGTCCACAGCCAGCGCACGGGACTCATGCCAGGAAATTTCTCCAAACGGCGCGCAAGGCAGGATGATCACATCCTGCAGGGCAGGGTACATATCCTTCCGTTCTGACAGGGCAGCGTCGAGGGACCCCAGTTGATGATCGTCACACGATGGGAGGCATAGACCGTAGGAGCCGGACAGCCTGGCCGTATAGATGACCAGGGTGCGCAATGATTTCCAGCAGAACGGGGGCTGTGCGAGGAGATCCAAGAATTCGTACGTGACGCGGTCGTCCGTACCTATGTTCGAGGTCAGATATCACGGCCATGGGAGTGAAGGCAGGAACTGACTGTGAGGCGCCAAAGCAAGCAACTGCAATGTTCCTGCGGAAACACGAAGCAACTTCTGCGCAGTGGCGACATCCATCCATTGTATATCGAGCATAAGCGCTTGGAGATCACTGAGGTTTATCTGGGCGCTCTGTAACCACAGTAACGCGCGCGACTGCACCACGCTCTGCGACGAGCACAATTTCAAGGTACGCAGCTTGAGAGGCGATTGCTCGGCCGCCCATAAAGGCGATGACCCGGTCTCTCCAGCGTCCGTGAGTACCAGGTGTCGTAGAGAGGGCGTACGGATGAGATGGAAGGGGAAGTCGACTGTCATGTGTAGGCAGACCTGTTCCAGAGTCGGCAGTTGGAGCAGGTGCTTGGTCGCGCGTTCGAGTGCCTTTACGCTGAGAGTCCTTCTGAAGACATTGCGGCCGCTGAAGAAACGGAGAGCGGAAAGATGTTCGAGTATCGGTGGAAGGAGGTAAGTGATGACGAGAAGCGAGTCTGACTCGCAACTGACGGTGAACCGCCGGACATACGATCCCAGATGCGGAGATGTCTCTAGCGCGGAGAGGAGCTGGTATGGACGAGACTCGAGGTTTGTGGCCTGGGAGTCGAAGTCGAGGCGTATATCGGCAAATAATCGGTGTTGCGCTATATCTAGCAGGGTGCGATTTGCACGAGAACACATGGCAAGCGAATGTTTGTCGTCTTCAAGCTGGTCGAGCACTGCTTCATACAGCTCTATAGGCAACATAGTCACGGTGTTCTCCTGCGGAGGATTTCAAGTCCCGCCACACTGCAACCGTATACTCGGCACTTACCTACCGTAGAGGAAGAGAGAACAGAGTGTTGGGCGGTAGCGTACAAGTCGGCGTAAATCGCGATAATGAGGAATCGAATCAGAGATTTAGAACGTCGCACGATCTTCGGCATTTGCCGGACCCAACACCTGACAAGTCACGTTACCCGCAGTTCGACTTTACAGACCAAAAATTTGGAACCCATCGTTCAACGCTATCTTTTTGCGGGAGCCAGTCTACTGCTCGATAGCTGACGCTTACCCGTTTTGACTCTGATGTACAAGGCATGGAAATCCTGTGGTTTTGCGCCACACATCCAAATGAGCCAGGGATATTCCTCAGGTATCCAAGCCCATGGAGCGCAGTGTCAAAGGCATTTCTGCCATTGAGTCTTGTCTACGTGTCAAACGCCATTCATCATTTCCCGCTGCTCAACAGCGCGCTGCAGGATGAAGTCCTCACCGCTTTTGATCGTCTGGGGCGAATTGGTAAACGTGAAGGCCATCATGAATACGACATCAATTTCATCCGCGTGGCCTGTCAGTATCATGTATACTACTGGTTTTGTATGATACTACTGCGCGTTGAACTTCGTGGATTCGGCCAAAAATCTACTTCACATTCTATACATGGACGTTAAGGGGTTTGAACCCTTGACCTTTCGCATGCAAAGCGAACGCGCTACCGCTGCGCCAAACGCCCCGTGCAATTCGTTTCCTCCGGCCAGTCTTGGATCTGTCTTTTTTTGATTCTCACATTCGTTGGAACTCGCCTCCGTCCCCTTCCTACCTTGATCTTGTGCAACTCTCATCTAGGACCGATGTGGATAACCAATGACATGATTCGACTGGATCATCAACCGCATCGGCAACTCAGATGACGACGGCATGTATGTCGGCTGATAACGACTCTCACTTCGTTCTCATCCCCACGGTACTCTGCATACGGCTACCGTTACCTCGATGTTGGTCGTACATTGCTCTGGTCAGCCCTATGAGGTGAGTGGATCTAGTAGCGCTGATGCCCTCATTCCCCTTCGTGACTCTCGACATTCTAAAACTCCACACATCCCACCTATCATTCGTGAACCACTCTCCTCTCTCGCTTCCCACCTGCCCCTTACCCCGACGCGCCCACCATTCAACTCACTACACAGATCGGCCTCACCCATGGCCGCGCCGCCGCCGCCCAAGTCGCCTCCTGCATCGATTTCTACCGCGCCTTCTTCGAGCGGTCGGCGCAGCTGGGCTGGGAGCGCGTCTGCGAGGAGGCGGCGAAGTTCTTGCCATATCTCGGGAGGGAGTGGGCGGGGTATGTGGAGGAAATGAGGGGTGAGTGAATTGGCCATGATACTGCTTAGCGCTTGCCTCAAGGGCCGTCGCACATCTCTCGAAGGGCGGAGGTGAAGAGAGGACCGCCGAGTCGAAGCCAAAACGGCTGACTGACATACGATACTGACCGACATCGCAGGTCTAGCCGAAGGCGCTGGACAGCCCTTTCTATCTATTCTGGCACTCAATGTACGCACGGAGATTGCGTACGGAATGGAGAAGAAGAAAGAGAACGATGGATGCACGGCGCTGAGCTATTACGCTGACGGGAGCGCTTACCTGGCGCAGAACTGGGACGTAAGTACAGCAATCCACCCTTGCTATGCCCATTCCTTGGTCCTGGTCCCTGACCTACGCACCTTTCGCTCGCTCACCTCAAGGGCTTGCAGTGGCTCCCCTCGCAAAAGGCGAACCTCGTCGCCTGCCACGTCGCCCAGCCCGGCAAGCCCTGCATTAGCATGATCACCGAAGCAGGGATCATCGGCAAAATCGGGCTCAACGACCGCGGCGTCGGCGTCACGCTCAACGCCATCCGCGCCGTGGGCGTCCGCTTCGACGCGCTGCCGACGCACTTGGCGCTGCGGGCGGCGCTGGAGGCGGGGTCGCGCGCGCAGGCCGCGGAGAAGCTGGAGGCGGCTGGCGTGGCGGCGGCGTGCCACATACTCGTTGCGGATGGGAGTGGGCCGGCAATAGGCCTTGAATGCACGACAAAGGATGTTGTGCGGGTGGAGGACAACGGCGGCCCGGGGTGTGTGGTGCATACCAATCACTTCCTGGTGCCGCACAAAGGGCTCGATGATCCATGCATCTTGTGGAAAGATTCGGTGCCACGGCTCGAGCGCATCAAGGTGTTGGTAGGGCAGGCAAAGGCGAAGGGGGAGGTGAAGATGGAGGATATCGAGTTGATGCTGGAGGATGAGGGGGGTTTCCCGACGTCGATTTGCCGGGAGGTGGACCCGAAGAAGGAGTGGACAAGCTCGACACTATTCAGTATCGTGATGGACCTGAAGAGGGGGGAGGCGCGTGTGCGCAAGGGGAGGCCTGTGCGGGCGGAAGGCGAACTTTTGTTGAAGCCAGCTTCCTTGCAATCATGAAGTTTTGCTGTTCATATGCCGTATGCGTGTGTGATGAACGTTCATGAATAGCGATGGGAATTGTCAGCATGGCTGTGGCTCCTTTGCTCTCGCTGAAAGCGATTCCCCGGCCGATCCATGGTTCGACTTTTGTCGAGGCGCGTCACGGAGTTGACCAAGTGCTGACGCGCGCATTCACGGCTGAGTCAAACGCCTGTGCATGGCGCTGGGCGGGCGTCTGATTGGGCAATCTAATCTGATACGGGTCTGATCCATCGGACGAGACCGGTCGCGACGCGGTCATTTGTTTGGACGCGACGCGCGACGCGTCAACGGACGCGATCACATGCACGCGTGTTGACCGTGATGTGACATAACGGGCAGTTTTTATTTAAGACGGCCTCCCCCCTTCTCGTCTCCTTGCTCCCGACCACCACCTCGCTCTTGGTCATATCACCCACTTCTTCTTCCTCGCTTATCATCATGTCTTCCTCCCGCGCCACCTCCCCTGTCCGCGTTGCGCGTGCCACCACGCCGGGTCCCACCCCGAGCAAGAAGGTACGTGGAGCTAACCTCGGCGCGTCGCGTCGCGTCTGACCGTCTTTACGTAGGCTGCTGCCGCTTTGGAGAAGTTCTCCCTCGAGTCGCCTACCAAGGCTTCCGCGAAGGAGGTTGTCGACGACAAGAAGCGCTCGGTGTCCCCAGCGTCTGTGACGGAGGAGGCCAAGGCCCCCAAGGAGAAGGCGACCGAGCTCCAGGATACGGAGGACGATGATGACTGGCGCTTCCAGTACGTTGGCGAGGTGGAACTCCCGGAATGTGAGTGGCAGATCCTATCGCGCGTCGACGCGTCTTACTTATCACGTTGTCTCAGCCGAAGAGCCTTTGCTCAAGGAGTCCATCCGCCGCTTCGTCCTGTTCCCCATTCAATACCCTGAGGTGCGCGACGCGTCCCCCTACTCATTACGCGTATATTGACGCGTCCCAGATCTGGCAAATGTACAAGAAGGCTGAGGCGTCGTTCTGGACCGCTGAGGAGATGGACCTGTCCAAGGACCTCCACGACTGGCAGAACCGGATGAACGACAACGAGCGCCACTTCATCTCCCACGTCCTCGCCTTCTTCGCCGCCTCCGACGGTATCGTCAACGAGAACCTCCTCGAGCGTTTCTCTGGCGAGGTCCAAGTCCCCGAGGCCCGCTGCTTCTACGGCTTCCAGATCATGATGGAGAACATCCACTCCGAGACCTACTCCCTTCTCATTGACACCTACATCCGCGAGGCCGCCGAGCGCGAGCACCTCTTCAACGCCGTCGAGACCATCCCCTGTGTCGCGCGCAAGGCTCAGTGGGCTCTCCGGTGGATCAATGACGACCGCTCCTCCTTCGGCATCCGTCTCGTTGCCTTCGCCGCCGTCGAGGGTATCTTCTTCTCCGGCAGCTTTGCCAGCATCTTCTGGCTCAAGAAGCGCGGTCTCATGCCCGGTCTCACCTTCTCCAACGAGCTCATCACTCGCGACGAGGGGATGCACACCGACTTTGCCTGCCTGCTGTTCGCCCACCTCCGCCGTCGCCCCCACCCCGATGTTGTCCGCCGCATCATCATGGAGGCTGTCACGATCGAGCAGGAGTTCTTGACTGGTATGTTGTCGATCCTCTATCAATGTATGTCGTACTCATGGGTTCTTAGATGCGCTGCCCGTCAGCCTCATCGGCATGAACTCGACGCTCATGTGCCAGTACATCGAGTTCGTCGCCGACCGCCTGCTCGTCGCCCTAGGGAACGAGAAGGTGTACAACGTGACGAACCCGTTCGACTTCATGGACATGATCTCGCTCCAGGGCAAGACCAACTTCTTTGAGAAGCGTGTGTCGGACTACAAGATGGCGGCCGTGAACAACACGGGCGAGGTCAAGTCGTCTGGGAAGACTTTGTGAGTAGCCCCTTCAAGCTCAACGTCTACATGGGTGCTGACGACGGTCTCTAGCGTCCTCGACGAGGACTTCTAGGCGTGTTCGCCGAAGACTTCTAGGCGCGTTGTGTTGTTTGTTTGTGGGCCCGTGTAGCGTTGGTGGATCATGCTTTCCTGCGATTCCGAGTATCCTGCATGCTCTCATGCGATCCGTATATCTGTTTCTATCATATCGGTATGTATCACTCATCGTTTTGCAATCTGTACATTAGCATACAAGTCAGACCATATAGACCATGGTTGGGAGCGTAGTTGCGTGGGATGTGTGAGGTTAAGAGCGAGTCGAATGCTGCAGCGCGAGCACGACGACAGGTGAGCGCAGGTATCTGCTGCATGACTAGATGCCTTTGCGTCATGGGCAGGGCACGCGAGTGGCGGTCCGTGCGTCTGTTGTTCGCTGTTTTGTTGAATATCGCGGTACACGTGATGGACGCGGTGGCGTGGGAAGAAGCGCGCTTGTCTTTGTTTGGTGGCATCCCCGTTCATCGTGCTCTTTGTTCTTACGGTCATGCAAGCCGCGCCGAGCGACGAGCGACAACTTATCTATCTTCTGCACAGTGTGCGGACGCGAAAAGACATCATCCCTCCTTACCCTTCCATCTGTGGGTGCAGGATAGGGATGCGCACCGTCCGTAAGCATACGGTTCGTACGGGACCGTAAATACGGTGCCGTACCCGTACCGTGACCCCTTCACCAGCTTGCTGATACGGACGGCGACGGTACGGGTGGGTGACCGTACGACCGTACTGGCAGGATCCGTATACGGGCTGGTACGGCTTGCGGAACGGGTGCCTCCAAAGTGTGCAAGACTTACACCAGAGCTTCAGAAGCCCTTTCTGTATAACCCATTGGTATGACGGCTGCTCAGGCAGGAGGAATTGATGACCATTACACTTGCTAGTCGACTAGGTCTAGAGAGGGCCAGCGCTTCGCGTGGCGTGCGGTGGGGTAGTCTAAACAGGGGGGTTTTTCTCGATAAATTTTGTTCGAGTGGACTGTAGTGGAACAAGAGTGGTATGTTGTTTCTAAAATAGGTTAACCCATGATCACCGGTCCAGATCGGGTTTACACTCCCTTAACCTGATCAAGCCAGTCTAGATCGGGTTAACATCTCCTTAACCCGATCAAGATGCCACATTGCTCGATCAGTGAGGCCTCACCGCTCCAAAAAACATCCTTTTTACAGCTATGAGCTTGACAACATTCTCTTGTACATGCCCTGGGTATCACCCTCTGTGCATGCCCCAACGAAGCAATTAGATTACTAGGTACGCTATCACAAGTAGCTCTCCACAGGACATGCGAACTGAGCAGAAATCACGGCTAACCCGCCACAAAGTCAGCATATGCTGGATGTCGTATATCAGCGCCCCACTGCTAGCTAATCCTTGATGTCCTGCACCACCATCGCCTGTGTGGAAACTCTGCTTCTGCCTACCTCCCCATGCAAAAGACTACACCTTGACTCTCCTCCCTAGTAACTCCCTATCAGACTGCCAAAGTTTGGCATAGATACATGGCCGTGACAAGCACGGAGATCATAGTCTTTCCGGTGGGCGACGCTATATAGACGTTGAAGGGACACTCTTTGGGCGGAGACTCGAGAACGATGTCAAGTGGGCGAGCGCGGAGGGCAAGTCTGTGGTGCTGATCTCTTTCCTGTTTGGCTTGTACAGATGAGCTATCCCAGCACTATCATATCCCTTCAAGGGCCCTGTAGAGTTCAAGTATGCGGTCCTTCCGAGCAAATGCGGAGGCGGACGACCAGGGATGAGTGAAGCGTGGCACACATGTGTGTTTCTCCCGTGAGAACATGTAAATTGTGTGGGAAGCTTCTCATCGCATTGAGCGTGACTGTCATACGAGTGGGCACAAGCAGTAAGCGGACATATTCCGAGGGCGGGTGCGCGAGTATGTGCGCGTGGGGAGCGGACAGAGCGGGAAGTGGGCACAGCGCAAGGGGGTGGGAGGGGACATGTTAAACGACGTCGAGAAGGCGCACTCGGGAGGCAGGGGTCCTACAGGAGCGGGAGAGTGCGACCGCGGCGAATGAGAACGAGGGGCAGGAGAGTGGGAGCGAGGCGCATATCTCTTGTCCTCATCCTCATCGTTGTCGCGCTTCCGGCCCGTTATGGGAGCACCAAGCGCGATGGTGTAGCGCTTGCGTGGAGGAGGTGATGGGCTCGCGCTTGACGGACGCGCAAATGGAGCACGAGGAGGCGAGAGAGGCGTCGGCGAGGTCGTGCGCTTGGCGTCCGTCATCGATGACTTGTTGGTCTGCGCAGTCTTCAACTCCTTGCCGCACTTCGTCTTGTTGTCATCCAGATCCAAGCTACCTAGCGAGGAAGCCGACCCATATGTGGTAAGCGAGTAGCTGAACGTGTTCTTGGTAGAGTAGCCAAAGCCCGCCGACGCGCCATTACCGGAGTTATGCGTGTTGACGCCATACGTCGACGACGGCAGGCCCGATACGGACGTGGGCCGCGAGCGCGCAGCCAACGTGTCGAAAGGCGAGGTCATAGAAGTGAGCAGTGGCGAAATCAAACTCCCTGTCACTTGAGGCGACAAGAATCCCGTTGACAGAGAAGCTAAGAATGAGGTCAGCATAACTCATAATGTTGGAGAAGCTTGGGAGAAGCCCTGAGAGCACTCACCCTGCGATGAGCCAACCGGACTGGTGGTATCCTGCGCGTAGTCTATGGTAAATGTGTTCCGCTTCCATGTCTCCTGCCAGAACCCCACGCACTGCCCACGAAGCGCGTGGGCGGGCTCGTCGACTCCCGTGCAGTAACGGAAGGTGCACGACGTACGGGTGTCAGCGGTGAAGGTCCACCAAGAGCGAGAGTGAGAGAGAAAGGCACGGTCGGCGAAGGCGTGATGTTGCAAAGCCAGGCTCGACGCAGCCGTACTGGTGACTTGCGCAGGAGCACTCGAGGTCGAAGTGTCAATCGGTGCAGTCCACAGTGGAGGAGATGCCTTTGACTCCGCAGAGGACGGCGACGGCAAGCCCGACATCGGCACGTCCCCACCCGGATCCGGCAGCCCATCAAACGACCCCAGCACCGCGTCCTCCCCCTCTTTCTTCACCGCAATCCGGCTCCCCACCTGCGGCACACGTGCTCGACCTGCACCGACGCCCGACTTGGCCCCGACGACAAGTTCACCGGCGACACCGCCAGCCTCGCCATCCCCCGGCTCACATTGTGCACCTTGTGCTTAACGCCCTCCACCTCACGCTCGAGCTCCGCCGTCGTCCGCCCGAGCCAGTCGACCTCGCGCGACACGCACTGCATGGTCCCACGGACCTGCTTGACCTCGCGGCAGATTGCGCAGACGTCCTCGCCGCCCTGCGAGGGAGCTTGTACCTGCGCCTTTCCTCAAGCAGCAGCACGCTGGGAGCTGCACATCTCTTTCCCAACTTCCGCCATCTCGCGTCCAAGCTCGCTGACACGACCCTGCAGCTCCTCGAGCTCGTCGCGGATGAATGACAGGTGGGGGCGAGCATCGTGCTGTCTTCTCCGTGTGGTATTGTGCTTTGCGGCAACGAAGGGATGGTCGTCGGATGGATTGGTGGAGCGTTGCTCGACAAGGTACTCCTCGACAGTGACCATGCGCCTCTCGAGTGCGCGGTCGTGGTTCATGGTCCATCTGGCAGTCTAGATTAGCAACGTGTAGACGAATAGAGTGGTCGAACACGCACTTCTCGGGCTTCTCCAACCTCCTCGCGACCGCGAGCACGGTCCCCGACACATCCAGTGCGCCTGACGGCGTGAATACAGTATGTGCCTGCTGCTCTGACGGTGGCTTGGGCAGTCACACAGAGCTACCTAGTCCGTCTGACCCGAAGTCAAGAAGGGATGAAGTTGGCGATGAGCTCACAAATAAGGATCCCTCGGTCACGCGTTGAAAGAGGAAGGTAGGCGCGGGCGAAGTGGTGACGACTGTGATGCAATGACGGCACGGGACTGTGTCCGGCCCCAACAAGCTTTGGCAGAGGTGGGCGGATGCTCGACAGCGCGAAGGGCACGTCAGGCCAGCGAGTCAACGGTCAACCACTGGCAGCCTGCCCTGCGCGGCCGAGGTGGTCTTGGTGGCGGCGAGAACAAGACCCCCCTCGCGACGTTCACCGGTGACGCTCCGTCGCTGCCACCCCGTCGACTCGATTTCTCGCTGAAGGGCGGCCTCGATGGGCATCACCGGCCTTCACCCCGTGCTCAAGTCGATCCAGACGACGAGGAAGCTATCCGACTTTGCGGGATAGACGATCACGGTCAACGGATACATATGGCTGCACCGGGGCGTCTACAACTGCTCGGTCGAGCTCGCGACGGGGAAGGAGACACAGAAGTGCGTGGCTGACAAGCTCTATGCCTGCTTGTACTGACATCGCGCAGATACATCGACTACTTCATGCACTGCGTGCGGATGCTGAGGCATAACGGCGTTGAGCCGTACATTGTATTCGACGGAGGGCCACTTCCGGCAAAGAAGGGGACGGAGAATGAGCGTGGGCAGAAGTGGGAGGAGAGCCTGGCGCGCGCCAACATGCTCGCCGCGCAGGGCAAGCACTCGCAGGCGAGGGACCAGGTCATCAAGGTGCGTGGCGCATAATAGGACCCAGAAGCACTAGCTAATCTAGGCACTCCGCATCGAGAACGTCAAGTACGTCGTCGCGCCCTACGAGGCCGACGCCCAGCTGGCCTTCCTTGAGCGCACCGGCGCTGTGCACGCCATCCTCACCGAGGACTCCGACCTCCTTGTTTTTGGCTGCAAGAACATCCTCTTCAAGCTTGACCACGCTCAGTGCACCGTCGTCTCCATCTCCCGCTCCGACTTTGCGTCCGTCACCGCGTGCAACGGCGTGTCCCTCGTCGGCTGGACGGACGCGCAGTTCCGCACCATGGCGATCCTGAGCGGCTGCGACTACCTGCCCAGCATACCCGGCATCGGGCTGAAGACGGCAGGGGTGTATGTGCGAAGACACAAGACGGCGGAACAGTGCGTGAAGGTGATCGCGCGGGAGGGGAAGAAGAGGATTCCAATGGGCTATGTATCCCGGTTCAAGCTGGCGGAGCAGTGCTTCCTGCACCAGCGCGTGTACGACCCAGCTCGCGACGAATTGATTCACTTAACGGACATCGGGGACAACTGGACGGAGGAAGCAGACTCATACGTCGGGCTGTGAGTGACGGCCAAACCTTTCCAGGATTTTGCTCATTCTGCTTCCAGGCATATTCCCCTAGACATCGCGAAGGGCATCGCTCACAGCGAGCTCGATCCGGAGATGCATCTCCCCGTGAAGAATGTCTACCCAAAGTTCGTCCCACAACCACTCAAGACCCTTGACCACAACATCGTCGAGAAGTCGAGCATCAGCAAGGGAAAGGGCAAGGCTATCGCGCCTCCAAAGAGTGCCACCCCAAAGTCGGGTGGCATTCTGAACTTTTTTGGTACGTTGGTTGACTTCTTCGGTACACCCCCTCCCCTTCCTGCCGCGGTACGCATCCCTCCCCTTCCCAGCGCAGTATACGACCCGACCCGACCCTGGCAGTACACGCCCCTCCCCTTCCCGGCACGATACACACCCCTCCCCTTCCCGCTGCGGTACATGTGAAATGAGGGTGCCTGCGTTCGTGCGGCGGCGCTTGGAAGCGTGGAAGAGTGGAAAGAGGGGGGGAGCGAAGGGTAAGGAGGAAGGGAGGAAGGGGCAGGGGGGAGAGCGAAGATGGAGGAAGGGGAGGAGGAAGGGAGAGCGGAGGGGAGAGCGGCACCTCTCGTCGACCAGCGTCGAGGTGGGCACGAGGCAGGGGGCAAATCCCGCGCAGCAAGGCGCGGCATTCGAGGCTTTTGCTTGTCGTCATCGATGGGGGTGCAGGGCGGGTCATGCAGCGCGGGTGTGAAGGACAACGAGTGCCTCGCGAGGCGAAGGTGGGGAGGGGAGGGGGAGGTTGCGCGCGAGGACAAGGACAAGGGGGAAGGGGCGGTGCCTGCCTGCGTGCACAGAAAGGGGAGGATGCATCTCGTGCGTCGTCGTAGTACATCGTAGACAGAACCCTTTGTATCATGTACATATGCAATGTAGCTCGTTGTCCCTTCCCCTTGAGTGTGGTGTCCCCCTGCCCTTCGAGCGTGGGGTCTCCCTAGCCTACGTGCGAATGAGACGGGGAGAAGCGAGAGTGAGAAAAGTCGGTAAGGGAGGTACTATGGGGGAGCAACTCGAAAATGCGCGACGAATGAAAAATTGGTACGCACGAAGGGAACGAGAAGGAAAAGACGTGCGATGAAGCGGCATCACGAGATGAGATGGTAAGTAAAGAAGAGGTGGGAAGGAGAGAAAGGACGAGATGGGGTGATGGGCGAGGGCAGTTGCACGCGAAGCGCAGGCAACGACGCTCGAAAGGGAGGTGAGTAGGCTAAGGAAGGGGAGGGGAAGGCGAGAAAAGCAAAGGACTCAATGATACGCCTGTCGGCCGAAAAACGCGGAAAACATACATAAACAGGCGATTACCTAGTCGCATTAGTCTGGATTGTATGGGCGGATTCGTATATACTGCATCGACGTCGTGACTGTACAACGGGCGCGTCGAGGGTATTTTATGGCACAGAAACACAAGGAGATTACGCTTCCTAACCATCAATCGAACTGTTGTGCGGTCTTACCCACCTGCAACGACTGACCAGGGATAGCAGCGAGCTCTTCGGCGCCGGATCACGAGTCTGAGCGTCGTCGATGACATTCTGCGAGTCTTCTGGCTGGCCCTACTTAATCAAGTAGCTGCGCTCCTTGCGCCACAAGCCTTCAGTCGGTTTGCCTACTGCTTCAAGAACATACTTCATTGTTGGGGCTCGGACAGGTCTACTTGTCGCTCGCCGTCATGCGGAGACACGCAGAGCACCGCTCAAGCGGAACTCGAACCATCAGCGTGACTGCACGTGACTTCGGGTCCGAGACCGGAACTTCGGGTCCGAGCTCGTGATCTCGGACATTGCCGAGTTGAACTCCGGACCAAGTGTCGGCGCCGCCAAATGCTGCGCACACCTCGGCAAGGACATCGTTCACCGCGTTTCAACCGTCTAGACTGCGTCCTCCTCACCGGACAGGCCTCTGAGCCTGCGTCGAGTCAGAGGAGACCGGTGGAACCCAAGCAGGCACTGCCCTTGGTAAACATCAAACCGTGTGGAGATTGCGCCCAGCCAAGCTGCGCAGGAGGATACCCAACCAGTCAGCCGCTCTACCGCCAGGAACCGGAGTATTTGCGCGATTATTTGGACAAGAGAACGCATGGAAAGGCGCTATTGTTGGATTTTGACTCGGAGATAGGGTTTGTGTGTTACCGCTCGGTCTAGATGGCCGAGACGACGCGTTTCCGTTATATACCGCGCCCTACATACGATTCAGGGGGCCCGGAGGTCGCCCCCAAGCGTCCCCCTTGCTGCCTCTGGCAGGGGTTCCACAACCTACCACCTACTATACACCAATAAACCCCTCATGCTGTCAGCATGTTGTACATCATAAAACTAGGACTTCTAAGTGCCTGATAAGCCGTGAAGATTCCAACTGAAACCTGGGAATGCTTGTGTGAATTCTGAGGTGCCTCTTGCACGCTTGAAGTCTCGCATCAGTCCAGCTCGTCTGTGAGCCGCCAATAAGGCGCAGGGTACCCCTAGCAATACAAATCAAGCGGACTCGCTCGCTCCTTGGACGAAGCTATGAAGCTAGACGCACGTTGCTGTCGTGGTTGTTGGTGTTGGGTGGTGTGGTTCGTCTAAGCAGACTGTACCGTGCGTCTTTCGAGGAGCATACGGATCCCATCATCAAAGGAAAGGGGGAGGAGGAAGGCGAGGCGAGTGAGGACTAATGTAACGTGACCGTTACTGGTCACGTTCCTCGACTATATAAGGCAGGCTTTGTCCTGTTGTAGATACCACCTTTGTACCCTACGTCCATCTGCTATACACTCACGGCTGTCATCTGTCACCTCGTCTGAGCCCCCGCCTTTCAGTGAAGGAAGGCTAGCGCCCCCTTACACTTTTTTTTTGACATTTGACGGTTCGAACTCGCTCTACACGCTATCAACACGCGCTCGGCGTCGCTCATCACCGCCATCACTGATCTCGGCCTCGGCACACTCGCCCACTCGCCCACCCCCACCTCGGCTCAACTCGCCTTTGCCGGTTCTCGCTGTAAGCCCTCGACAAGCTGAGGCCTGCTCGACTCACCTTCGTCGTCGCCGCCGCTATGTCGCCGAGGAGAAGGATGAATCGGGAGGACTCGGAGGGCTCGCCCAACAGCTTGCCCACGATGGATTCGGGCGTCACACGCGCGCGGCATGCCTCCCACTGCCCTCGCCCACGCTCGCCGTCTCGCATGACGTGCTGGAGCTCGTGCTCGACTCCGCGCGCGCACCCGCCAACCCGCCGTTTCTGCCCCCGCTTAAGCCCTCGTCAGAGGCCCGCGCGAGCTGCTCAAGATGCGGCGCGTTTGATCGTTCCCCATCCGCTCCCCGCCTTGACCGCCACCTCTGCCTAGTGCGCCGCCCACTTCGTCCTGGCCCCATCACTCCCTCCGCACGCGTCTGCGTCGCCCGCGCATGAATGCGCGTCCTCGCTCAAGCTCCCGCCCGAGGCCCGCGCGCGACACTCAAGATGCTACATTTCCGATCCTCGCCTGCCATTTCGGCGCCCGCTCTGCGTCTGCCTCGCGCGTCGCTCACGTACCCCTGCCCTCCGCGTCTTCCCAACTGCCGCCGCCTCCAGTCGCTGGCGCGCCGCTGCGCATTCTCGCGCGCGGGCGCTTGCTGACTAATCCGGCCCCGCGGCCCGGCCTTCCGCTCGCGCTGTTCCGTCCGACTCTCGACGAGTCGGCGTCGCCCGCTCGAGCTGCCTACAGTATATTTCGCCTATCAACACCGCATGCCCTCTAATTTCGGCTACGCCTTGACGTCCTCGCCAATTCTCCGTCTGTCTGGTACCTCGTCCTCAACTACACTTGCCGTCGCCATATTTTGCTCGCCATCGAACTGCCATTTTCTCGGTTGCTCGTCTCGTTGCCTCGTCTCGCCTCGCCTTGCCTCGCTCGCTCGGTACTTCGGTGTTCTTGTTTATATGGCCTTGGTTCTTGTTTTTTTCGGACACTGGTGCTTGATTTTCGAGGGGTTGGGCGGGTGTAACGTGACCGTTACTGGTCACGTTCCTCAACTATATAAGGCAGGCTTTGTCCTGTTGTAGATACCACCTTTGTACCCTACGTCCATCTGCTATACACTCACGGCCGTCATCTGTCACCTCGTCTGAGCCCCCGCCTTTCAGTGAAGGAAGGCTAGCGCCCCCTTACAACTAAAGGGGGAGGGACAGAACAAGATACGACTGGGGAATGGGAGGGAGATGCTCACGAAGGCAAAGGGGATGCTCATGAAGGGAGGGGGCGAAGGTGAGCCCAGATCTACTCACCTACCGCACGAAACGGCCAATTTCACGCCTTCGCGCATCGATTGGGGTTTTGAGGTCTTCGTGCGCGGCGCAAAGTCTTTGAGGTTGGAAGGGGTTATTCACACTCGAAATGCACGCGAAGATCGTGATATTGCAGGTAGGGGAGATCAAACTATACCTAATGAACCCCTCCTTCGCACTTAAGCCCAGTCGGTGCCCTTCGCCTCGCCCCTCAACGCCCCCTCGTGCCCTTCGCACCAGATCCCATTCCCCTTGCGTGAAGGTGAATCTCACCCGCAACAAGCCTCCCCACCCCCAACTCAGCGACACTGCACCCCTCCACCGCCGTGCGCACCCTTCAGACAACCCGCGCGCACCCAGCGGCGGGTTGAAGGGACCCCCTTCCCGTACTCGCACCCTTCCCCCTTACATCCTGCACCCGCGCGACAGAAGAAGGCACACCTTCGGTGCGCTTACCTCCACAAAATCACTCTCCGCGTGCTTGAGACGGTGCTCCCTTAGGTCGACGAGGGGGGCTGGGTCAGCCTACCCCCTCTCCATGTCGGTAAGCGCCCCATCCGCCCACGCCACGCACCCCCCTCTTGCACTCCTCCCCCAGGCCCTTCTCCTCATCGACCCAACAAGACCCCTCCCGCGAAAATGGCGGCGCACCCTTCCGGGCGTAGGTGCGGAAGTTGGGGGCAATGTCAATTTCAATGGCGCGCACACGATCTCTGCCAATTTGTGAGCAAATTCCGCACCTCGCGCTCGAACTGGCACCTTTCCGCGCAGGAAAACGGCCCCCTCCCCCACTCGAGGCACCCCTCATCTTCTGGCGCACCTCCCTCGACCCGTGCCACACCCCCTACCTGGCTCCCCCGACCTGTCTCATTGACTTGAAAGGCCCCCCTTCCCTGCGTACCTCCCCTTCTCATCCCCCCTCCACCGAAACCACACTCGCACAAAAAAGCGCACCTTTTCTCAAGGTGCGAGTACCCCCGCCCCCACGCCTACCCACCGAAATTGGAGGCGCCGTCGATTTTGACGGCGCGTGGACAAATCTGCGTATTTGTTAGCGCATCTGAGAAGCACCCCTCCCGGGAGATGGGCCACTCACCGGAAGAAGGCCAGCGAGAACAAACCATCCACGAGGGAAGCAGCTCCAGAAGGCTCCTCCACCCCTCCCCCACCCCCTTGCGGACATTTTTGCGCTGCATTAGCACCCCCTTCCCCTCGCCAAAGGCGCGCAACGTTGCACCCCCGTTGCCCGAGTGCAAAAAAGTGTTAACAAGTATGTTTCTAGAAGGTTGTCAGCGTCGGGTAGATAGGTCAGCGAAGGTGCAGTTGACAAAGGGGGAGGGGGTAGGGAGGTGAAGAGTAAGGGGGAGATAGAAGTAGACCTGGATAGGTCGCACATGAGCTACAAAATCACGGTGAGGCGATGTAGTGATAAGTAAAAGGAGGGAGGGGCAGCGGTAGGTACTGCCACTGAAGGGAACGAGGCCGACGAGCGCAAAGGTAACAGTAGAATGATTAGTAAAGCGACGAAATCGTGGGTAGGGGGACAAGCCTCAGGGGAGGGAGGGATACACGGAATCAGCGAGGTGGGGGAAGTCAAGGGGGAGGGACTGTTAAGCGATGAGATAAGGTGGGAGTCGGTGAATAGTGATTGGTCGGTAAGTAATTAGCGATGGGTCAGTAGTGAAATAGTGATGGGGGTCGTTCAGGTCGAAAATGAGGAGGGGGGACGTGTTGCTCGACTAGATCGCGCGGTGCGTGGGTCCTCAGAGTCCGCCGGCGTGTCGCGCAGGCTTCGACGTTGACGAGCACGCGTCATCGTCGCATATACGCGTCGAGGTCGTCGCGTCGGATGACGGTGAGCGTCGGTTGAGCGGGGTCGTCCGAGGGCCGTCGAGTCGACGTTGGTCTTCGCGTGCAGCGTCGCGCTCGCTGGCCTCGTCGAGCGCGTGGGGCGCGGACATCACAGGTCGACGTCGCCATTGCTGTACACGATGAGCAGGTGAGGGACGGAAAAAGGACGGAGCTCACCTCGATCGCTGCCCGGCCGTGCCCAACACGGCGCGCTCGTCTTCTGCCGCCCGCCGTCTGCCCCTCTGCGCGCACAGGCCGTGCTCGACGTCGTGGACGAGCGCAAGCAAGCTCTGCGGGGGAGAGGCGGCGCGGAGGAAGCAAGGGGAAGAAGACGTTGGAGGTTGACATTGACAGGCGCCCACAAGAACCAACTCACGTCATATGTGGGCGCGAATGGGCGCGAATGTAAGCCCGACGCAGTCCGGGAGCGCATAGATGGCTTGGGAGGGCATACGAGAACCGAGGCCGCTTGGATCAGTCTCTGTAGGAGGAATCAGCACGACGAGGTAAGAGCTCAACGAATGAATAAGAATAGAAAGGTGGAGAGCTGCCATGAAGCCCGTCGGGAATGTGGTATCACAAAGAGACACTCACCGTAGGGCAGAACCAGATCACTAGGGCGAGTAACCGGTGCTAGCAGAGAGCACGTCGCCGTAGTAGTGGTGGGCCGGCGTGCCCGTGGGTCTGAGTAGAAAGCGAAATTAGTAGAGCAGCTGATTGCGTTGCGTGAGCTAGACTTACCAGGAATAAAACCTGCGCTTGCGGCATCGACAGTAGGCGTCAAAAGCGCTAAGCGTAGCAAATCAGCGAAAGTAATGAAGCATTGATGAGGCTCACCCATTGTAGACAGTAGCCGAGGTGATAGACGAATCTGGAAAGCGTGGTCAGCATAGGATCGAGGGTTAGAGCAAAAGAGAGAACGTACAAGAACGTGAAGGGATGAGCGAAAGATAGGCGGGCTACGAGTGAAGGCGCTTGAGAGAGGCGGAGGGAGGAAGGAGGTCAGGCAGGTTGATGTCGCTACTGACCTCCATGCCCGCCTTCTATACTCAGTCCGCCTCACGTCCTCCGTCTTCCCCCGACCTGGGCTCCTCGGCGAGCGCTCCCATCGCCCATTCCACGCATCCTAGATCCATTTAAATGTACGTTAGCGGCAACCGATTAGCTCGCCGCAGTCGAAACCGAAGTTTGCGCGCGCCAGGGCGGAAGATTGAGGTGTAGTCCTCCCCGGGGGCGGCGTACGTTCTGCCAGTCTTGCGTAGTGATGAGCACCCGTAACCTGTCGGAAACACGTACCAGATGACCTCCGCAGTCAGGGGGTGGCGTTCATGAGCGGCCGAGACGGAAATGCGAGAGCTGCCTGCTGAACTTTTGGGGGTGCGTTATTCAGCGCAAAGGACGTCTCCTTCGGCACCTGGACGGCGCAGCACTCGCCAGGGAGCAGCAAAGCAGTGAGAGAACACATAGAAATTGACTGGTCATGCGTCACAGAGCCGAGGAGCCCGCGAAAAAAGCCACGAAATTCGAGGTGGTGGTCGAGTTGTGCGCGATCAGGCTGTTGCTCCATTGGGAAGGCCTTGAACTACTAGAAAGTGCGCGCGCTGAAGGCGCGCGTCATTCTGCGTCGCCTCCGTCCTTCCCAACTGTGCCGACCCCCGGAAACTTTACCGACTATACTTCCGCTCTCGAAGTCACGTTCTTCCGAGGAATCTATGCAAGATACAATGCTGTTACTTGATATGATATGAGCTATTGAGCTCGCAGAGAATCGCCCTCGAGAGCGCGCGCATCGCGCCCGCTGTCACCGCACCACGTCAGAAATAAGATTCGGCGTGTAGTCCGCGGGCGAGGAGAAGTCGCCATACAACGCGACACCGTTCGCGCGCGCGTACGGACCTGGCGATGCACCGCGCGCTTCGAGAATCGGGGAAGCAGCGCGTATCTCGTGTGCAGTCATCTTTGGCGTAGAGGGGAATTGGCGAGTGAGATCATGCATCGTCACGCTAGTCGTCGACGTAGTCGATACCTGACGTGGACTTGCGGGTGGCGCGTTGAAGGGGTTCGAGGCTGAGGTATCGGCGATGGGGCCCTGCGAGCCTAGCGTGCCTGTAGTACGCCTCGGCGACAGGTTCGGCGGGGTCGTTGCTGCTATCGGACGTGCAGAAGCCGGGGCAGGGCTTGAGGAGACCGGGGAACCGCCCATAAGAGGAACAGGTTTGTACGAGGAGGGAGTGAAGGGCGCAGGTGCCCTGATCGTGTCACCTCCAGCCTTGAGATGCGAGAGCGCCGCCTCCGTGCCGCTCTTCAACGCGGACAGCGCGGGGTCGTTGTCGTGACTCGACGTGCTCGCGGGCCACCCGCCATCCTTCCCTTTCTTCGCCGCTTTCATCTCCTCCTTCTCGCGCACCTTCTGCTCGCGCTCGCGCGCCTTTGCCTCCTCCTTCTCACGCGCACGCGTCTCCTCGATCACGTTCTGCGCCGGGGTGAGCTCCTTCGTCGGCATCAGCTTGCTCTTCGCGGCGGCCCACCACGACATTGTCGTATGATCGGCTTTCTGGGCGGTGCGATGGGCGGGGGTCTGGGATTGCTCAGCACGGCAAAACACGCAGCGGGCACCACTCACGATAATTCTGCGCACCGTGCTGCTCCTAGCTGATCCTCCGCCGATGGGGGGAGGTGGTCGTGGCGCCGCTGTGCGTGTGCGCACCTTCGACGTGCATCCTCTCGCGCTTCTGGATCTCGGTCTCGATCTGCTCCTCGCGTATGCAGATGCGCGATGCTGTCGTTGTGCTCCGCTCGAAGTCGGACTCGGGGGTTCTTCAAGCCCACTTCGTGGTCGCGGATGGCCTCCTGCGCGAGCATGTTGAGATCCTTCTGTACCCGCACGCAAACCTCAGCCTCCTACGCATCGTCCGGCTCAATCAGCGGATCCATGCAAGGCTGCAAGACGTGAGGGGATGAGGTGGGCTACGTCCGATAAGAGGGAGGAAGGGGGATGGGGATGGGATGCGGGAGTGGAAAGCGAGGCCCCTGGCTTATTGGGGGTGAGGTCTATGCAGGGTGTCGGACAGGAAGCACTGCAGGTACATAGTAGTTAGTTAGGTCAACAGTGCGGTGTGTTCACGCACCTGCACCCCCTCCGTTGACTCGATGGCAATTGCCATCGCCATGTTTTCGTCAACATGTGCGACCCGATCACGGGCGAGCGCCTCAACGGCGGCTTGTCCGAAGCGTCAAGAAGGAGTAGGATTGTAGAGGGAGCGGGGGGACGAGGTGAGCGGCGGGGTGGTGGTCGAGCGCGACGAACGCGAGGAAAAGACGTACTGATTGCAGCGCGTCGGCGCTGTCCGGCCCGAGCTGCCGAGCAACGTGACACGTGTCGTGGCAGTGGCGTCTAGAGTCGCACCCTGACGCACAAGATGTTTGTCGGCTAACGCGAGAAGGAGAAGGAGGTCTGGAGGTTGTTGGCGTATAGCAAAATTGGAGGGAGCTGTAGGCGCGCAGGGACGGGGGATGACCGAAAACACGTGAGACGGACAGGTCGGCCGAATCGGATCAATTCCCGTTCACCCGAAAGTGGTTCTGAAAAATCTCCGCAAACGATACCGCAAGAAACGGTGAGATAGTAACTTTGAGTCACTACCCCACCAATGGTGTCGGCGCGCGTGACTAGTTATCACACGCTGTGACCAAGTGTGACAAGCGCGTCGCTGGGCCCTCGTCGCCTTCCTTTCCCCCATAAAAGACTCTCATGGCTCAGCTGAAATCTAGAAAGCGCGAAGATGTATACCGGCACTCTATCTGACTCAGTGCGGCCTTCAGCGCAGAGCATAATAGACAGAGCCCCATTGCGTGACCGTATACCGTATACGGCCGGTCCGGTCCCGTACCCGTACCGTTGCTCCCTCCTACCCTCCACCATACGGTACGGGTATGCTACGGATGCGACCGTCGCGCCCCGTACCCGTAAATCCCGTACCCGTAAAACGGACGGTGCGCATCCCTAGTGCAGGACTAGTCGTGCTGATTCGGATTCAAGAGGGAGGTAATTCGGACTCAAGAAGCAAGTGTGGCTTGCTCGACGCGTGCAAACAATACATAAATCATCGATAAATATGCGAATAAGACATGCTTCGACGACGTTCAATCGCTCAACAGCTCGGTTCTAGTCACAAGCAGCTCAGTTGGTGACGCAGGTGAGGACGCCGCTGCCGTCCTTGTGGCAGACTGCGAAATGCTGGTCAGACATGGCTGGATTGCGCTGCAGACGCGGGGACTCACCGCCCTCGGCTGTGCCGTCGGCGCTCTTGAAGGCGCAGTCGTGACCCTCGCCGTAGTGGTTGCTGCCGTTGCAGGCATCGACTGCGAAGAAGTAAGTGTCTGGACACGAGGCCAACGAACGAGCGCTGCTCACCAGGGTTGTCAGCGAGCAGAGTCGCAGCGGACGCCTGACCGAAGAAGACGGCGAAGGCGGCGACGATGGCGACGGCGAGCTTGTACATGTTATTGGGTGTGGGCGAAGGTGAGTGTTTGTTGGGGCTGAGTTGTGAAGGTAGTTGGCTGATGAAGATGGAGGGCAGCGTCGAGGGCTTATATACCTCAAATTCCGCCGTCTACCCGGGGTGGACTTTGGCTCTGTGACGATGGGGTGCCCCTTTGAGAGGAGCGCTGCTACTCTGCATGAGCGCTTCAGTCTGCATCGAACGTCGGACCTCTAGTCGTGGAGCAGAAGTGTATGCTAACCTTGCGGGCAAACCGCTCAGCGAGACTAGGGTGAGGCATTACTCATTCAAGGTAGCCACCCGTCGCTCACTGGTGAGGTTAAGTCGCTCGTTTTGAGACGTTGGATAGCTTTTCCGATCCATCAAGTTGCTCGTTTTACCCTTCCGGTTGCTCGTTTGAGGCGTCTGGTGAACGATTCGTGGAGCCTTCAATTGGCTGCGGACGCGAGAAGGTGGATAGTCTCTGCGTCGTAGCGGTCATGGGCGTTGCAATGACACGGTTATCGTCATTCAGTATGTAGATGAGGAGATCATCCCCGGCACTGCTTCGCCCCCAATTGTCCACGGTGACAGGATTGACCACCGTTTCAGGGATTGAATTGGTGGCAGCGTAGGTCAAGGGCGTTCATCGAGATCATAGCTCACTGCCTACTAGGGCACGACACGACGAAGAGACACATACATTCCTGCCGAAGTTGAGCGGCTACGTCCAGCATATATTCCTCTTGAGTCTTATCAACAACCGCTCTAGCGCAGGATGTCAATTTCACTGTCAGTGTTCTCGCCATTCTTCAGTCAAGATAAAGATACCCAAGGCGGCAGCGCTCCTCTCAATCGTGCCCACTTCCTGCGATCACCATGATAATGACCCAACGTCGACTCCACTTCACTGATGGTTTCATTACAGTCTATTCAGCGCGCAAGTCGGGCCGTCGACTTGTTATCTCCCTTCTTCTGGAGTACATGCGAGAGCTGGGTGCGTTGTTGCAGAGGCTGAAGGGGAAATATTTGCCTTGCGAGCAGCATCGCGGTGAACATTGAGTGAGCAACCCGTCCGTTTGCTGTCTTCTGTCTAGCTGAGCTTGCACACTACAGGCGTTGCACGCGGGAAGAAGACATGCTTGTTTCTGTGTAGCGTCACCCCCTTGGTGACTGTTCTTGTTCTTGACTTCCATAATTCGCAGGCTACCTCTCGCCCCCGTCTCCGCCATCCTACTGATTCTCTTAGTTGCTTACACAAGGTCGCCTCAGCACATCGTTCTCCATCTTCGTCTGCTCATCTCCCAACGCAGCCAAGATAAGTCGAAGGGACACTTGCGTATTCGAATCCATTGCAGGCAACAACCTCCTGGCGCATCAACTACCGACGTTTTTCAGGCCATACATATTGAGTCTCGATAAAAATGCGAATAATACATGCGTTGACGTCCAACCACCCTGACGCTCAGTTCGGGACGCAGGTGAGAACACCGCTGCCATCCTTGTGGCAGACTGGGAGGCTCCATCAGCTCTTCTTCGCCGAAGGTGAGTGGACTTGTACTTACCACCCTCGGCCGTGCCGTCGGCGCTCTTGAAGGCGCAGTCATGGCCCTCGCCGTAGTGGTTGCTGCCGTTGCAGGCGTCGACTGCGAGAAGGTGAGCGCCCGTCGAGGTTATGAAGCGCGAACTCAGCTCACCAGGGTTGTCAGCGAGCAGGGTAGCGGCGGACGCCTGGCCGAAGAAGACGGCGAAGGCGGCGACGATGGCGACAGCGAACTTGTACATGTTGGTGGATGAAAGAGACGACGAGACGTTGTTTGGTTGTTGGTGTGGTGGGAGAGGGCTGATGAGGACAGAAGGCGCTGGCGCACCCGGTATTTATACCTTTCCTCTGCCAAGGACCTTATGCGTTGAAGTCCAGCAACCTACCCTCACCACCTCTGTCGTGGGCCAGGCAGTGTATGTGAGTCTATAGCCCGCAACTCACGCTCCACTCGCCCAATGTCGGCACCAGCCCTCGAAACGCCACGCGTGACATCAACCGTGACGCGCTCCTCTCGAAATGATACTGCGAACTGATTCCCGATTGCAGACTCATCCCCGCCAGTCGCGACCTCTGTGTCACATCTGCGGGCACAGAACTTGGGCTCCACAGCATGGGCGACAATGAGTAGGTCGTTCGGGTCGTGTTGGTAGGGCGCTGAACAGACTATACCGAAACCATCAGTCAAGTGGAGTTGACGCTGGGTAATTTTGGTGATCGCAGGAAATGGGCGCTGTCGAGGCGAGCGACGCCGCCTTGGAGTTGGCGTCGTGCACGGTCTAGTGGCCAGGGAGCAGCAGGTAACATCAGTAGGGGTGAGCATATATCGCTCATATCGATAGCGATGATACTCACCACTTCGCCAGCCTGCTCGTATTCTGCAGAGATACGCGTAGGCCTCGTCGCGCGAATCATACGATGTGAGTTACGATCTCGATAGAAGGCTCAACCTATGCTGCTACCTATTCAATCCATGAAACGGTGGTCAATTCTGTCCGCCTCTACGGGTGGGGGCCAAGCAGTGCCGCGGATGATCTCCTCGCCTATGCTGACCGCCTCGATACAACGGCCATGACCGCTTCGACGAATAGACTATCCACCCTCTCGCATCCGCAGCCGATCGAGGGCTCCACGAAATGTTCACAAGATGCCTCAAACAAGCAACCCATCGCGTCCAAGAAGTGACTGAACGTCGCAAGACGGGCGGCCTAACCTCACCAGTCAGCGACAGGTGGCTCAATGAATGGACAGCGCATCACCCTAATTCTCCTCGCCGTCTTGCCCGCAAAGGCAGCATACATTTCGACTCCACGACGAGAGGTGCAACGTTCGATGCAGAGACAACGCGCTCCTCCTCAGTGGCAGAGCATCGTCACAGAGCCTAAGTCCAGCCCGGATAGACGGCGAATTTGGGGGTATATAAGCCAGCGACGCTGGCTTTTCTCCTCATCAGCCAACCGCCTCTCCCACCACACCAACAACCAAGCAATCTTTCTTCGCCTCTTCCACCCAACAACATGTACAAGTTCGCCGTCGCCATCGTCGCTGCTTTCGCCGTCTTCTTCGGCCAGGCGTCCGCCGCGACTCTGCTCGCTGACAACCCTGGTGAGCTGATCTTGCTCCTCTGAACCGCGATGAATACTCACCCTTAGCAGTCGACGCCTGCAACGGCAGCAACCACTATGGCGAGGGCCACGACTGCGCCTTCAAGAGCGCCGACGGCACTGCTGAGGGCGGTGAGTACTTCTTTCTGCAGCGCACTCCACGCATGTCTAACCAACAATTCGCAGTCTGCCACAAGGACGGCAGCGGTGTCCTCACCTGCGTCACCAACCAAGCGACTCTCACCAACCGAACGAGGCAGGAGGGAATATCTTTATGTGGCGAGCGGCGTCGTGTTATCTTATTGTAAATTATCCACGGCTCTGCCGCGCATCGAATGATTTTATCTCTGCTGCACACGATATTAGGCGCTCTCTCGTCGTCGAGAGTTCCCGAACAGTATGTAGACTAGAACAGACTTCGACAAAGAAGTTGCCTCACGGGGATGCGCATAAATGGAGATGGCTGGAATGCTTCCGGCCTTCCCACCCAAGTCGTTGGCACTGTCAAACGGTGAATAACAGGTTGAGCCCGTTGCCTATGCACGGGAGCTTTACTGAAGGAAACAACGGGCAGGAGGGCACTGTTCTGTCAACTCCTGCGAGTTCTCTGCGCAAAACATCAATCAATGTTTCTGAGCCATGCACCGCCACACCAGATTGAACGTTCATGTCCTCGGGATCATTATCATACTTTCCTCGAATCGTAAGATATTCGACGTTGGAAGAAGAGCCACGAAGTTAACCTTTGAATCACCAGTCATAGGATTTCCGAGCGCGTGATGCAACATACAGTACTCGTATCTTAGGATGCGTCCGGAAGCTTGCCAGTGCGAGACACGACGCGGTCTTGACTTTGCATGGTCATCGGTAACGCGGGTTTCAGACTTGTTGTGAGAAGTCGAAGGAGACGAGGACATTGCTGACGCGCGAGCCTTGCCTTGCGCCTCCTTGCGTTCACTTCGCAGCGGCAAACACGCATCTGCAGTCAGTCGCCCCTTTCACATCGAGCCTCGCCTTCTCCGCTCTGAATCCCACATGGAGTACGCACCTCTTCGCATAATACGGCGTCCGTTGAAGGAAGCACACGCAGGGAGATAATCACTGGGTAAAATCGCCAGTATCATTGCCCAATTGACGCAGGGGTCATCATCAGCCGCGGCGTTGGAGCATCGCGGCGGGACGAGTGGGCGTTGGAGCCAGCGACTCGGGGTGGCGTTGGAGCCGGGCGGCCCTCGACGCGAGTGGGCGGTAGCAAGCTTCCCGTATAGGGAGCAGCCACGAACCCTGGTCGAGGGGAGCGAGAGGGTGTGGGTGGCGTTGGAGCCAACGACGGTCGGGCGGCGCAGTTGGATGCGCGCCCGCGACGGCATGTTGGAGCCAGCCTCGATGAGGGTAGGAGGGGAAGAGTCCGTGGATGGAGGTATTACAGGTGTATGCTACAACGGCTCTTATGGGTATGGCCGATTTTTGGTGTGGTTATCTTTTCCAGTGGTAGGGTTAGAATAGCCAGGGGCCTAAGAGGGATAGGTGTTAGCCCCGGAGCGAAGGAAGAGGAGGTAGGTAGGCTGAGACGAAGTGAAGGAGCTGAACCTACCAGTGGACGGCTCCGGCTTGATGTTCAGACAGCTCTGGTGAATGAGGTTGAGCGCCTTGACCGCATCGCGCGCCTCGATGACGCAGGAGATGTTGATCTCGCTCGCGCCCTGGCTGATCATCTCGATGTTCACATTGCCCTGCGCCAAAGTCGTGAACATCCGCCCCGCAATGCCGACCATATTGCGCATCTGCTTCCCGACGAGGGACAGGATGGCCATATCGCGGTGCGCCGACACCGTCCCGCTCTTCCTGAGCTCGGTGACGAGCCGGTCGAGCAGCTTCGGCGCGAGCGAGTCCTCAATCGCCATACTGACGTGCACCTCGCTCGTGCTGATGAGGTCGACGACGACGCCGAAGCGGTCGAGCGTGCCGAAGATGCCCGCGAGGAAGCCGTGGCTCACGCTCTTCCGGTTCGAGTTCACGTTCAGCACGACGATCTTCTCCTTGATCGTCACCGCCGTCGGCATCTTCCGGTGGTGGTGCGCCTCCGCCATGAGCGACAAGTTCTCGAGCATCGACAGCGATGCGGGCTCGGGCACCGTCCCGCCCGTCTCGGTCTCCTGGATCGCGTCCGCGTCGGGGTCAGGGAAGATGACTGTGCCACCACCGCGCGGATTATCGACGTTCTTTATGCGGATGGGGATCTTGCGCCGGATGACCTGCTCCATCGTGAACGGGTGCACGACCTCGCTGCCGTAGTAGGTCAGCTCGGCGGCCTCGTCGGGCGAGATGATGGAGAGCAGGCGCGCGGTGGGCACTTTGCGCGGGTCGGCGGTGAAGATGCCGTCGACCTCCTTCCAGATCTGCAGCTCGGACGCTTCGAGGCCAACCGCGAGGAGGGCGGAGAGGAGGTCGGTGTACCCACGACCAACTTGGTGCAATAGGGAGCCAGGTACTGGACCGAAGAAGCCTGCAGACGTAGCATGAGAATGAGAGCATTGTACAAAATAGCAAGCTCCGTACCGGTCACCACTGGCACACGGGAGCCACATTGCTGGATGCGCTCGCCGAGAGCGACCGATAGGCGATCGTAAAAGCTCTGATCTAATGAGCCCGGATTCGCGGAATCGCTGTCGTCTTCCTGAGGTACGACGTCGTCTAATGATACGTATTCTGCGTCTATACCCTGCGTAAAAACCGGATTAGGAGGCGGGCTTGACCAAGGATGGCGCAAGAGCGTTACCTGATCACGTAGTACTGCTGTCATGATTTTACACGCTAGCCGTTCGCCCAGACCGACTATGGTGTCTCTTGACCGCGGGGAGACCTCGTCGATGATCTGGACAGGCATTGAGCTAGATTCAGCGTGGAGCAGGAGAAGCACGCGTACCTGAGCAGCAGACAGATAGTGCAATAGCCAGTCGCAGTCGCGCTCGATCTCGTCCTCTAATTGTCTCCGGATGTCTAGGTCCTGCACGGACTCTCTCGCGGCCTTGAGGTGCTCTTGTCGGATGAGGTCGGCGGTGGCGTGGAAGTCGGGCGGAGGGGGTGTCATGGGTGTGAAGCCACCGAAGGAGGTAGAGGGAGATCCGTCTCTTGCGTTGGAGCCATTGCGGCTGCGCGGGCTTGAGGGAGGGGAACCGGATTGTGGGGGCGTAGTAGAAGAACCAAAGACACTCTTGGTGACAGGGGTCATGATGCCCGGAGTGTCGATGCTGCCATTGCGCTTGGGACTCGCAGGACCGCGCCGAAGTGCTTCAGATGCTGCCCTGAGTAGCAGACTGGTCGTGCCAAGAGCTTTGGTCGAGCCCGAACGCGCTGAACACACGACGGCGACCTTATTGTCGTCCACATAGTTTCTGCAGGCTCGTTAGCGAATTTGTCGCGTCCTAAGGCACAAGTACGCACGCAACGATCTCCTGCGCGATCTTCACTGGAAACTTGCCAACGCTCGTCCCCCCGAACTTCTGTACCAGCCATTTAGCTGAGGGATCGATGCTGTTCTGATGGAGATTCGGGGGTGTCCGTGGTGCGGACGAGGACGCCGAGGAGGAGCGCGAAGACGTCGGGGTGACCATGGCAGGAGGAAAGAAGGGTAAAATACAAAACCAAGGAAAGGAACACAGAAATGTTATGAGCGCATAAGAGGAGATGACTTGGTGAGGGAAAGTCCAGTCAAATCAAACGACTGATCTCGTCGGCGCGCAAGCCGATCGGCCGAATGTGCCAGGCCACGCAAAAGTCACGTGCGAGATGTTCAACTTTTGAGCGGGCAAAAACAATGTCAGTATGCTACATACATCGTCAGTGTCGTGTCAAGAATGGTCAGTACAGAAGCGCGAGGCCTTCGGGTTACTCGACTTCGCGGAAAACCGCAGGAGCATCATCCACACTCTCATCCGAATCGTCATCCGATAAATCCACCTCCACCCCTCCCTCCTCGTCCTGCGCGATCGTCGACCGCAGCTGCTGCAGCAACACCTTCGCCTGCTCCGCTGCTAGCTGATTCATCTTCCCGTCATAGCCCTCCGGTCCCGGGTCCAGGTCCTCCTTTGGATCCCAGGTAATGGGTACGCCTCGCCAGCCGCCCTTGTTGTGAACGTAGTTCATGAAGCCGCGCCAGTTGATATCGAGCGACAAGATTCTTGGGTTACCAACGACGATGAGCATCGCCTGGGCGCGGGTGATCGCGACTGAAACAGCGTCAGCCAGAGTACACTGAATAGATCGGAAACACAATAGACCATTGAACCGTCGTGGGTTTGCCACAAATCCAAGCATGCGACGAATATCCGACACCAGGAAATCCTCGCTACTACGAACGGTCGAAATGATGATGACGCGCCGTTCCTGCAGAAGTCATCTGAGTCAGGATTTGTTGCACACCCACAGCGTAAAGCATTGCGCGCACCTGGCCCTGGAACTGCTCAATACTCCCTACAGTAATGCCTCGCAACCTATCGTCCCGGTCGACCAAGCTCGCAATCTTTTGCGTCTGCGCATGGTACGGCGTGATGACACCGATATCCTGCGGGCCTATGGCACGCTCGCCAGTCAGCAACGTGGTCGCAGGGGAAGTACGCCATCAAGCAAAAAACACACTCACGCAGCTGATGCTTCCGATCACTCAGCAAAGAGGCGCAGTATTTCTTGACCAGTGATGCCTCCTCAATGTTGAAGAACGACGGCGACGACCGCTCGCGCGCGTCCTTGCCGATGACAGCGTGGAACAGGATCGGGAAACTCTTCTTGGGTAAAATCTCCGATCCCTCCAGACTGTGCGTTAGAATTGGGTCCGCGCTGGCGATGAGCTCGCCGTTGTAGAAGCGCCTGTTCGAGTAGTCGAGCAGCGCAGGATGCGACCGGAAGCTCTTGATCAGCTTCATGATCCTGAAGAGGTGTTGTGAGCTTCCACAAATGTGTACCATCGCGGAAGTTACACTCACGTCACCCCCTGCCACTTCTTCAAATCGTACACCTCCTGCTGCTCCATCAACCTCCCCATATAACTCTCCTTCAAGCCCAGCGTGTTCGCAAACTTCGAATGCACAATCGGCCCCAACTGCTGCGGGTCCCCCGCCAGCACCACATTCGTGCTCTTGTCAACGAGGGTCTTCAGCGGGATCATCGCCGCCGGCTCCGTCGCCTGCGCGCACTCATCAATGAAAATCCAGTCAAAGTGCCCCGCGCGGATTCCGAGGCCCGAGGGCACGCCCGCAGTGATGCACGTCGAGACGACGACGCGGTAGGATGCGAGGACGTCTTTCGGGGGCACGGCGAACACCGTGTTGTCGTTGATGAGGCAGAATTTCTTGAGTGCTTGCGGGAGATCGGAGACCTTGCGCGAGAGCGAGTTCAGCCGGAATAGCTGCGTCCTATCGAGCAGCGCGCCCGACAGCTTCTGCGCGAGGCCGTCCGCAGCGGTGTTGCTCGGCGCGCAGGCGAGGATGCGCGTATTTGGATCGCGCTGCAGTAGCTGGTGAATCGCCTCGACGATGGTCGACGTTTTCCCCGTGCCCGGCGGGCCGAAGACGATAAGCGGGGGCGATCCGGGCGGCAGCCTCAGCACGGCAGCAATGGTACGCAGCTGCTCCTCATCATCCGCAATTGCGCGGTTCACGGGCACGATCGCGTCCACTCGCGCCTGCGCGACGGGCCCGCGCACCTGCAGGTGCTTCTCGGTGGGGAAGAGGATACGCATGGGCTTGTTCTTGTTGACGAGCGCATCGTGCATGCGCCGATAGGAGAGGCGGTTGAGCACGAAGCGGACGTCGAATTTGGAGCCGCGGTAGGTGCTGAACTCTTCTGGGAAACGGAGCTTGACGGCTTCGAGCATGACTGCGTGAACACGGCCTTGGAACCAAGGGGCGTTGCGTTCCCCCGAGCGGCGAATTTCGATGAAGTCGCCGACGAGCACGCTGGGGCGGCCCTCGGATAGCCCCTGCACTTGCAGCCTATTGATAATGTCAGTATAAAATTCTGAAAGAGTGGACCACCACCTACTCATAATTCGGATAATTCGCCTTCAGCTCCACGCTTTCCATCGCATAGCTCTCCAGATCCTGCCGCTGCTGCTCTTCCTCCACATGAAGCAGTACCTGGAAGTACTCTCCATACTTCTCCCACCCGAATCGCGGGAGAAATTGGTTCTGCAAGAGCGACAGCGTCGCCCTCTCCGACTGAGCTCTCCTTCCACGTTCAGTGCCGTAGACGGCTTCGATGAGGGCCTTGGGGGGTTCGTACTGCCCCAAAGGTCGCTTCCACACCGTCTTGGACCACACCTCCGGGCGCGTGCCCTTCACGATGGCCCCCTCGAAGAACCCGGCGGGCATCTGGCGCCGCGCGTAGGGAGCGGCGGGGCGCAGCTGCTCGTGATCTTGACGCGAGCCGATGACGGCGCTGACCTTCCGCGCAATGACAAAGGGGCGCGTACGCTGCGCGACGTCCAGGAAACGCAAGTACACGGTGTCGTCGAAGTTGCCGACATAGCTTGGATGGAGGGTAACCGTAACCGCCCTCGGTCGCCCGGTCTTGATCCACGGCCCATTGCCCAGTAGGGAGACGGAAAAGCTGCGAGATCACTGAACATGAAGACATCGCACGAAGAACAGCGCGTGCGACGTACTGCTCTCCAAGCGCGTCTTTGCGCTTGGACGACTCCATCCACCACTTCATCAGCAAGATACGCGACTCCTCACCAGCCGTCTTCGCAAGGGTAAGGTTGACGCGAGGGCTCCGGCTGGGCTCCTCGAATTCGTCGACGACGCCAAAATGGATACCATCGCCCGGAGTGACGGCTATGCCATTCTTGTCCTCGTAGAGAAGTGCCTGGGTAGCAGCAATATCGTCCTGAATATGCTGGTGTCGATGCCGCTGTATCTGCGCAGGATGCACCTCCGCACCGCAGGTCTCGCAGGTTATCTTCGCGGCTCTGGCTGGCGGAGGTTCCGCTCTGCGAGGAGGAGGACGCCCAGCGTCGGCCTACAGACCACGTCAGAGACTTGCCGCTATCAGGATATCTACACTGACTGTATAGGCGCGTCTTTGCTCTGCTTCTTGGTGCTTCTCTAGCAAAGCCTGATGCCTCCGCCCTCGTTGATGCTGGCGCAGATTGCCGAACGGCAGAATCAGACCACAGCTACACTTGCACAGATCATGCCGAAATCGACAGAGGTCACCAGCGGTACACAGTCCCTCTGGAAAGTCTCGGCACGAGCCTGGGTAGCGCGCAGGGCCTCCGTTCCCGCCTGAGGGCATGGTGGTCGAGAGCAGCGTGCAGCGCGCGTGGTCCCCAGAGTAATGGAGCAGCCCTAGTAGAGCGATTGTACGCTATCGCTGATAGCCGCCCGTCGGTGACCCTGTTGGAGCGGAGAAAGAGCGGCTGTTGTACGCTCTCGAGGCAGATGAACCCAGAGATGTCCGGCACGAAGATTCCAGCTAGAATACGCGCCCAGAGTACGAGTCCCTACGCAGGCCTTCCGGGCCTTCGTAGCTTCGACCCAGAAATGAACGTAGAGTACGAAGACAAGGTCGAGAAACCGAAAAACAAAAATTCGGATTTAAGGCACCGGCCTCCGTGACGCGTCATCGTGACTCAACATAAGCGATTGCCTATTTAAGAATACAATAGCAGAGCGTGAAGTACAGCGAGTCCACGGGAATGGGATGCAAGAAGGAAGACACGAAGTCAATAATGTACATTGGGGGATGAAGAGCTTCGGAAAGAATTTCGATAGCGTAAAAAACCTCTGATTCAAGATCCGACGCCGTCCATAGTGACACCTTCGAGCTCGTCCGGCGCTTCCGATGTCGAGGGCAGACCTTGGCTTACTCGACGCTCGGTCGCAGAGTCGTTGCGAGCGTGCCCCTGGTCGACGCTGCTCCTCCTGCTCTGGCTATGGCTGCGGCTGATATCTGCCAAACTCCCTGTCTCGGCGACTCGCCCACGGAACGCGCTTGAGCTACGGCGGCTCAATCCAGGCGAGCGCGAAGGGTCACGCTCGCGAGAGGGCAGATAGGATGCTGTCGGAGATCCGAAGGAGCTCGAGAGGGAGGGTGGCGGCACAGAGGGGTATGTGAGACTCGAACTGGCTGTCGCTGTCCCGGGCGTTGCACCCCAATTATGCGGCACCGTGAAGGACGGCGGGCTCGTCATGTTTGTTGTGTTGCTCATGAAGCTTGCGGGATTGGTGTGCAGAGGTGAAAAGGTATACGGGGAATCAGGAGAGGAAGGGGAGTACGAGAGCGGGGTAGAGCTTTCCGAGGGCACGTTCGCCGGGCGATGGATCTGCGATGGCGGACGCGGTATGGGTACTGTGCGCGCGGAATGCTGCGGGTTTGCGCCTGGTGCGGGCGCAGAAGGCGAGGATACGCTGGATTTCCGACGATGGAGCGGTTGCGAGTAGGGGTCAGACGAAGCAAGTCCAATGAGGTTATCCACAGGGATGCCCAGCTAGCCGAGGTGCGATTAGATAACGCTTGGGCGCACGAGATGCATAACTTACCCTATTCCTGTGCTCGATGAGCTCCTCCCTATAGATCTCGTTCAGGCGCGAGATGCGCACAAAGTCGCGCTCAACGTCGGCGAGGCGGTGGCGCAGCTGCTCGTTCTCGCGGCGCATGGCTTCGAGCATGGCATCCGCGCTCGGACCCTGCCCAGACATGAAGGACTGTGTGCCCAAAGCATTGTTTGCAGGCAGTGGCGCGGACCCGTTCGTCGCTTGCTGCTGCGCGAGACGCAGCGCTGTCAGCTCGCGCATGAGCTTGTTCACATGCGATTCGGATTCCGCCTCGAGCGCATTCTCCAGGTCAATCTTCTCCTCGCGCAGCTGAAGATCCGTCAGCGCATATATGCCGCAAAATCAGGATGCAACGCACCCTCTCAAGCTTGCGCGACAGCGTATTGATGATGCGCTCTTCCTCCGCCTCGTACGCATTGATTAGCTCCTCCTTGCTGCGCTGGTCTTCGGTCGCTGACGAGAGACGGCGCCGCGGCGGCGAGCTGGGCGTCGACATCGTTGGCTGAGAGTCGGGGACAACAAGTGCTGGCATCGGTCAAGGTGAGTCCAGTTCTGTCCGATCCGGCGATCAGGCAGCTCATTTATGTAAGGTCACAGGGTGGCGTATACTCGAACCTTCCGCATCGCGCCCAACTCTCGAACGTTGCTCGAGCACGTCCAAGAAAAGTCGAATGCTCGAAGCCAAGACCACATCGACTCCCAAGACCGCAACGGTTCGCACCACACATGCCAATGAACAATATGTTGAAAACAACGCCGTAATGTACGCAAAGTAGCAAGAACAGGAATGAACACCGCGATTACTGGGATATCAGAAGTCGTACCCTTCCACTTTGAACACCCTCCCATACTGCAAGTAACTGTCCATGATCTTCATAATCGACTCCGGCAAGCCCATGCTTAAGAGCGTGAACGTGATTTTCTGGTGCCCGTGTATTGTCCCGAGCTTGAAGAAAGCGCGCGCGATGACGGTCGGGTACTGTAGAGACGTTGTTAGCATACCAGTCGCAAACATCACAGCAACCACGCACTGTCATCTCCGTGTAGTCCGCATACTGGTACGCGGCGACCCGGATGGCCGTCTGGATGGTGCGCTGGATATCACCCTCATCCGCGTACATCTCCATGAGCTTGAGCCATGGCTTTTGCGAGTAGCGGGGTGTGTCGAGACAGCGCTGGTAAGCCTCCTTCGCCTCCTCCTTGTGGTGCAGACGTAGCCCCAGGTCGCCAAGGATCTCCCACTCGTGCCCCGTCTTGCGGTACGCAACTCGCTGCGTCTTGAAGTGCGCAATTTCGGCGCGGAAGATCGTCCATACTCGCAAGTCCTGTCATACGTTAGCCGATGCTGGGCATGTCTAGACAGTGCATTCCCACCTCGTAGAGGACCATGAACAGGTTGTCGAGCCAACGCTCGCAAAGGCGCTTGTTGCTGAAGGAGAAGCCCTCTTGAGCAGGCTCGCTTGCAACTGCCTTCTGCTTCGCCATCTCATCGGCTTGGCCAACAGCAGAGAACGCCGGCTTCTCGATCTCGTCAGCTTTAGCGTCGCCGTTTGTGGCAGGTTCTTTGGCGGAGTCGGCGGTGGGCTCAGGCGAAGTCGATGATATTCGGATGGCAGGAACGTCGGCTGCATCGGTAGAGTCATTGCCATTGACCTTCGTATCCGTAAGTGTTTCTTCGTCTCCGCCGTTCGTCGCTGCGTCGTCATCATGCTTGTCCGTTGACGGCGACACCATGCCACGAGTTGACGCATCATCGTCGACATCCCTGCGCTCAGCGGTACCGTCCTCGTGGATGACGACGGTTGGGTGGGGTTGCTCTTCGGGCTCGTTGACGACGCGCTTGATGTCAGACTGCGCCTTCTGCATGCGGTATTCCTCCTCCATGACGAAGACGGTGCTTCGCGTCTTGAGGAGCTCATCCCAGCCAATCTGCGAGACCAAACGCGTCAGGAGGGCGTAGGCGCGAGCCCACGTCCCACGCAGGCCAGGGGCAGGAAGTCGCATGAGTGCAGGGTCGGCCTAAAGAATTGTATTGGCTGATGGTCTGCCTAGACGAGTAGATCTCAACTGACCTCGTCTTCTTCTGTTGTCGCCCGCTCAGGGAGGATGTCGCCGATCAAGCGGTGGAATGGGAGGTGGACCTTGGCCGGAGTCAAGTTGCGATGCGCGTCGCGACCGTTATACGTGAACATGGGGCAGGAGTTCAGCGTGAGAAGCGCGGACTCGTATTCACCCAGATCCATGTACAACTCCGTGAGCTTCTCCCAGGTGACGAATTCGCTGGGCGCGCAGTTAACCGCCTGGCGTGCGAGCTTGAGTGCCCACTCAAATTTGCCCTTGGACCGGAGGAAGTCGCATTGCGCATGAAGGAGGGTGTATGACTGGGGGTTTTGCTTCATTGCGTGCGCCATGATTTGTACCGCCTTGACCTCCTCGTCTGCGATAAAATTAGCAAAGGCGGATGCTGCGGTGACGCGCTACGCACTCATGCCCACGTAGCTCCTCGCCAAGAGGGACGCGACTTCAGGTTCACGAATTGAGAGCTTTTCGAAGAGGTTCGCAGCCGGTTGGTAGCGTGCGCTGTCACCGAAGTACTTCATGATACCCGCCGTCAGGTGGTTAGAGACGACGGTAGCGACCTGGATTTCGGGGTCGGAGCCCACTTGCCAGCCTGACGAGATCGTGAGCGAAAGTTACCGAGCATAGGAAGGAAAGCATACCGTGCAGGAACAACTGCTCTGCCGCCTGCAGGAATCGCAACTCGCTCTCCGGGGTAGTAATGGGGTCGAGTTTGCGATAGGCGTCGAGCTGGTAGGTGGGGTCGTCGGAGTAAAGGATGGATCGCAGAAGAGCCGACACGTATGTTTCTAGCCATATCTCGGGCGTCGCTTCATGGCTGCGAGGATATTAGCATCTGAGCTAGTGGGAGCCATAGACAACGCACCGCTCCCCCCTCAGATCTATAACATATGCGTTGACACCTCCAGGGATCTTCACGTCAACACGGATGTCAACGCGCGAGAACGCGTTGAAGCAACTGCAATGGCGTCAGTATTGCTCGCGTCTAAACGCATTGTATGCATACCAATAGCATCCATTCCGGACCTTCCACTGGGGGGCTTTCGAGAACCAGGCGGAATTGTCTTCGATCGCATAGGTCAGGGAGTTGATGTATGCGGCGAGAGACGCAGAAGAGGAGGCGTCGACGCCAGAAACATAGTGGTAGGAGCCGAGCTGTGCGAGGGGATGAATTCCTGGCGCTTCTCGTGCATATCGACACGCACCTCCTTCGTCGCGCTCTTCCCCGTGCTTTTGACAACATGGCATAGGTCAGGGGGACCCAGCTCTCGAAATGTCGCTATGGACGCGTCAGATTTGGCGTCCGTCCGCGTCAATTGTCCACGTACATAGACTCTCTGTGCGAGCGGCCAGGCATTCGCCGAGCTCGACCTGAACAGGATGAGCTTTGAGTCACGCCTTTGACGCGACACGCACCTCGAAGAGCTCGGGGATGTCCTTAAATGTTGCCTCCGCCATCGCGGACGACGTCGAGAGCGATGGGTCGGGAGAAGCCGAGATGTCACGGTCCTGGCGACACGCCAGACAGGTCACATGATCACTTGAGTACTTCCAACTTGAACCGCTTCCTCAAGTTGCTCAGTGCTAAAGCTGACAATGAGCAAAAAAAATCAGGAGACAGGCCAGCTGCGAGAAAGTGGTTGTTATAATTGAGGACCATGTGCAGGCCGAAGGTAGTCTGCAATACATTTTACAGTACACTTCAGAAAGTAAACTCTTCAGACGGAAAATCGTGCAGCAGTCCAGCCTCTGCACACTTCGGAAATACCGCCCTCCACAGCGTGTCCTCATTGCTATCTTTCGGCAGAAGCCGGTGCGCGTTAGAAAAGGCCCACCACGACTCCCCTTCCAGATTGGTCTTTCTCCCGCGTGTTTCGGTATACGGGTACGTGATTATAACCACGTCTCGTAGATTTGGATATGCGTCCTTCCTCGCAAGTGCGTCGTCAAGATCACCAAAAGGGGGACCCCTCAGGGCGACGCGACGATGGCCCTCCCTGACTGCGTAGATGACGAGCGCACGCAGACGCCGCATCTTGAAAGGGAGTTGGGCCAACATGCGGAAGATCTCCAAGGTTTCGCCAAACCTTTGATGATCTGCAATGTATTTAGTGGTTTGTAGAAAGGACGAAGGAGTTGATTTACAGTCAGGAAGTAATACCAGGAGCTCCAGGGTTTTAGATGCAGGACGCAGGATATTCAATACCGCGCTCGATTCATCCATCCACCCCATATCGAGCTGGAGTGCCTGAAGGCCGCCGAAGTCGAAAGCTCCACTCTGAATCCAAGCCACCGCACGGTCTTGGGCCAGACCAAGTCGTGTAGTGCCCAGTTTAAGCGTACGCAACTTGATTGGGGATGAAACGGCAGAGGCAGCTTCCCGAGGCTCAAGCGTGTCCTGGCTTTGGCCTGAATCGATGACAGTGAGATGTTGCAGAGATTGGCCACGCATGAGGTAGAAGGGGAAGTTGCAAGTGGTGTCCAGATGGAGATGCGTCAACGTGGGCAGACGCAGTACATGTTCAAGGGCAGGGTAGAGGGCAGTATATTCTGTTTGCTTCAAGAATACGTTGTAGCCGCTCAGAGATCGCAGGGAAGGAAGGTGCTCGAGAATCTCGGGTAGGACGTCGGCGATGAGCTCGGCGCAGAGATGCGCCCAGTCGTCATCGCACGTTATCGCACACCGCTGCACGTACGCCCCGAGATGAGGGGATAGTTTGAGTGCGTCAGAGATCATGCCCGGGATTTGTGTGGCAAGGGGATCGGTATAGGTGAAGTGAACGGGCAATTCAGCGAAGAGACGACGTTGAGCCATTTCCAAGAGCGAGCTATGGGCGCGAGCGCATATCGCTAGACTGCGCTTGTCATCTACAAGATGGTCAAGGCAGGATTCGAGCAGTTCCAAAGGCAGCATATTCGAGGATACTGTGATCGTCCGTGGACTCTTAGAATGGCCTAAAGGAAATTGACGAAGATGCAGGCTCACCTACTATCAAGTCACTGGCCCTCCGGTAAGGAGCTTCAGAGTGCTTTATCTTGTCGAGTTTTCCAGGTGTTCACCGGGAAAATTTGGCCATCGCCGACGAGAACAAGTCTAGTCGACAACCGCGTTCGGACTTAACTGTACGGCATATGCCGGCCTATCTCCCGCCGGCCGTGCAGTCACGCACGTTCTCTGGTTCAACTTGTCCATCATCACACATCTCGGAAGATCTGAGAATCCACACGAATGCAGAGGTAAACTGGCATACACCTATTTCTTGAGAACGCTCGTCTTCCATCTGGTTATGCCCGCCTGCGGCGAGTCGGCGGCGCCGCTCTTCCATCTTACACGTCGCCGCAAAGACGAGCGCTCCTTTCTGACCGCAACTTGACCTCGGTCCGCGCGTCCCATGCCCACCAAAGCACGTTGATATGCCCACCTCCCACGACCACACGTGCGCGTGCGGCATCCTATCGCCCCGATTCCCATCCTGATCTTCGCGCGTATATAAGAAGCGTGCGTCGAGGTCCGCCCAACAGGCGCCGACGCAGTCATGCGGTCCCCGTGCGCGAAGTTGCTCGGCTCACTGCTGCTCAGTGTCCTTACCCTCTCACCCTCGACCTACTCACCGGCCTCAGCCATGCGCGTGGGCAGCTGGAATCTGCGGTACGACTCGCAGCCCGACAATATCACCGTCGCGGACTCCCTCGCCGCGCTCGGTGACCCGCTTCAGGAACCTACCTACTTGCAGAATACGAGCGAGAGGCCCTGGAGCACCCGCCGAGTGCGAGTTGCTGAGCTTCTGCTGAACAAGGGGGTCGAGGTGATAGGTGAACTCGTTCTCTCTTCTCGTGCGGTGCACCTAATTCGCAATCGCGTCATAGGATTTCAAGAGGCTCTTGTGCGGCAGGTGAATGACCTACAAGAGCTCCTCGGCTCGGACTGGTCATGGGTAGGTATCCTTTTCTTGACATTGGCTCACTCTGCCTCTAACTTGATTGCTCGCAGGTTGGTGTAGGGCGCGACGATGGGGTAGAGGCTGGTGAGTATAGCCCTATCTTCTGGAAGAAGTACGTGGGCCATCTTCGTCCGCTCTAATGTATTTCAGGGCTGACTTTACTCTGGCAGCTCGACCCTACAGCTCCTCGACTGGGACTACTTCTGGACTTCGTAAGTCTTCCTGATTGAAAGAAAATTCATCTCGATATCTGACGAACTTTCAGCAGCACTCCCTTCGAGCCCTCTAAGTACGAGGGCGCAGGCTCCTACCGCATCTGCACCGTCGCGCACTTCCAACCTGCCACTGGACCGACGCTCACCGTCTTCAACACCCACATGGACGACCAGTCGGATGACCAGCGGCGTCTGGCAGCGTCCCTCGTCCTCTACCGTGCGCGATATGAGGCGGTCAACGCGGGCGGTCCCGTCCTGGTTATGGGCGATTTCAACAGGCGAGTAATCATCCCCATCTCGTAAATTAGGACCTGATTCACTGACCCCAACTCACAGCCCTCCCACGGGCGGCGACAGCGGCGCATACAATATCTCCACCGGCGTACTTGAGCCAGTCGCCATCAACCAGACCTTTGCGGACAAGTACGCCGTCACGGATGATCAGCTTCCAGACTTCACGCTCCTCGACTTGCGCGGGCAGACCCCACGACGGAGCGTGTCGAGCAACTTTGCGACCTTCACCGGGTTTACGCCGCCGAATAACGCTTCAGACTGGGGCAGGATTGACTTCTTGTTCGGAGGGTCGAATGGGGGATGGTAAGTCAGATGTACACAGAAAAGTGAACGTAGCGCTGATCAGGGTGCATTGCAGGACCTCTACCGCGTATCACGTCGATCCCTCGCTGACGGACGATGGCCTGTATATGAGCGACCATCGCCCGGTGTTTGTCGATGTGTCCTTGGATTGAGGGTCAGGGTTTGGATGTATCTCCTGATGCAAGGGTGTACAAGTACAAGCTCAACGACTGTAGCCATGTAGAGTTTTTCAATTGGGATAAGGCCTTCACTGAGAGACGATGAAGTGAGATTGCTTCAATGGAGCGGCAAGTCGGGCCGAAGTGCCTGCCGCCGGCGACTGCAGCGTCGGCGCCAGGCCTTCTCCCCCTCAACCGTTCCTGCGCCCGCCAAGTCGCCTAAAGATGGTCGCCCCTCTCACCTCTCGTCGCTGGGATCTCATCTACGTGATCTACTTCATCGTCAGATAGCTTACCTCCCTGCAACGCCGTCTTCTGACGATCGCTTCAGACGCACATCCCTCCTACCCTTCTGCTCGATCTTCAGTCAATATACCCCAAGGAGCATGTCCCGGCTTTCATGAGTGGTCTTTTGAGGACCTACTTTGACACATTGCATGACCCGCTTGTGGGCCGTGCCGCGGGGTTCTATGGGGAGAAGGCCGCGGACGAGATGCTCTGGCTGAAGACCTTCATGAGCCTCGAGGCGTGCGTAACTCTCCAAATTCATTTACCTTCACTGATCAGGCGCATACAGTGTCTTTCAGCTACCCGTCTTCTTCATCGGCGCGTACTGCCTGATTAAAAGTGCGTGTCCTCCTCTCTGTCCCTTTCATGGCCCATTGACGCGCCCTTCGAAGGTATCCGCTCAATATATCCGATCCTTCTCATCTATGGCGCGTCTACCGCAACGACAACGCTGCCGTGTCTCGTATACCTTTACACCACCCCGAATACCGACGAGTGGACGCAAGCGAACAACGTGCCCTCGGTCACTTCTCAAGAGCGACTCATCCTCCTGTCCAGCTACGCGCCATACTTCTTGATACCCCTTGTCATGGCAGTAGACATGGCGTTCCGGCTGGGGAGGACGAAGAAGACCGGCAAAGCAGGAAAGAAGGATTAGACTCGAGGCAGTTGCGCACCAATCGTCCTGTAATGCGAACAACACCTCCCCCCCAGTCATGACTCTCGTACTTCCTGCGCTGACTTGGCCATGGGCTTCTTGTGCCGTGACTCACAGATAAGCCACGACGACGCGTCAGGTCGCGTCGCGTCGGGGTGGCTGTGCTTGAAATCCGCATCAGGCGGCGGATCAGCGCCTCAATTACCATATCTGGATTACTTCCACCACCGCCACGAGGCGCGCCTGACTCAGTGATTGCCTCCGGCTCCGGAAGTATATATTGACTCGGGAGTAAAAACTGCGCGTTTTGCACCCGAACCGCCATGTCGTACGCCCCGCCCTTTCCAGGACAATATGCAGGCAGTCAATCGAATCCGCCCACGCCTCACGAGGGTGCGACATCCACTTGGGAGAGCCTGCAGCAAGCACAATCGCCGCAACATCAGCAACAGCAACAGCAGCAACAACAACCACATTCACAGCCGCAACAGCAACAGCAAGAAGCGCAACAAGAGACACAGCATCCAGACCTATCCCCCCACTCCATATACCATACCTCTTTCGATGATCCCCTGAGCCAGAGCGGGCTGCCGGACTTCGCGTCCTTCAACCTTCCCCCCATTCCCCCCATCACCCTCTCGTCAGGCCCGAGCAATGAGGCAGAGCCTGGCAGGCCAGCTGAGCCGCGCAGTGACCAATCTCGTGTGTACACTGCATCCCTTCCCCCCATCCCCAATCTCCCTCCCCCTCCATCCCTGAGTTCCACCCCGGGCATGCAGCGGACCTCGCATGCGTCGCGGAGGCTGCATCCCTACCAGCGTCCGTCGAGCGTCGCGCCCCGCCAGACACCTACTGTACCCTCACAGCAGCATGTAAGATTCGGGCAGGCGGGGCCCATGCAGATGCAGTCTCGTCATCCATCGTCGAGCTCCTCGTCGGGGACGTCGCCCATCACAGGGATCGCGGGACACCTCGCGGCGTCGGGAGTTGTGCAGCAGGCACAACAGAGGTGCGTCGCTGAATTATTCTTCATTGAACCGCGTCGTTGACTGGTCACCGCCTTCTACACAGTGTGCAAGCAACGTCGCCCATCACACTCCCGAGCGCGCACTTTCCTCCCCTCGCTCAAGGCGGGGACCGAGCCTCGCGCGCTCCATATCGTTCACGTCCCCTCGGACTGCGCACCGAAGAGTACTACGATGAAGGTGCTGGGGAGTACAGCGCCCACCTCGAAGTGCCCGGCGTCCGACGGTCCGACCTCAGCATCACCCTCGCGAAGAACGCCCACAGCCGCGCGCAAGAGATCGTCATTCAAGGTCAACGACAAGACCCCACGTCGGAGGGCAAGCAGACGCGAATCTGCTCTCGCCTGGTGTACGGGCGGTTTAGGCAGGTGCTGCCAGTGGGGAACGAGGTCAAGGTGCGTCGCGCGTACTTTGTGGGCTCGGTATTGGGTGACGCGACTGCTGCAGGGCGAGGATATCGTTGCGAGACTGGCAAATGGGATCCTGACTATCACTGTGCGCGTTGGACCTCCGATCACGCCGCCGGCGCCGCAGAATATCTTGATTCTCTGAGGGCGAGGTGCGCTGTCTGCCGCCCGGAGCGCGGTTCACAGTGACTCAGGGACGTTCGAGCTACCTTGACCATCGGGGGTTGGGTCACATACCGCAAGCGCGAAGGAGGATCGCCGTGTTTGCGTCCTAAACCGCAACACGCCGTGGTCATACAAGGCGCAACGCGCCCTTCTGTCAATCCTCATACCGACGATTCCTGTTAAGAGCTCTCTCAAGGAGACGCTCACTGCTGCGACATCTTCAGCTCCGCGCAAAATGCTCTAGCTTCATTTCTTGGGCGTTCTTCTGACTCGGCGCTTTCTTGTACTCTTCGTCTCCCCATTTCTTGTCTTCAATCCTCCCAACTCCCTAATCGCATAACCCAGGAACGTTTATCATTATTCCGTCGCTTTCCTCGCACTATCTGTTCCCTTGTACTTTACTCCCTCACATACTCGCACCAATTACCGTACCCGCGTTAGGCGGATAGCTACGACTTCCACACGGACGCTGCTGTAGATGGTCAAAATGTAATTGAGACTCTTTTCTTGGAGACCAACAGCGATTCTGCAGAGTATTCGAGCCCAGGCACCGAGAACAAAACCTTCCTGATTAGGACTGTTGTTTGGCTTCACAAACAAGATCAACGTGGCTTGCCTCCTCCCGCGCAGTCAGTCGCACTTGGTACCTTAGCACGGCCCTCGAGGCCTGCACACCTCCCCTCGCACTCCTTTGAACACCACCATGGTCGAAGACAAGTACATCGGCCTGGCGCTTGCGGTCTCCGGATCCATCGCCATTGGCACGAGCTTTATCATAACGAAAAAGGTGCGTGAGGTGTGCGCTACGCGTGAGGAGGTATGCTGAAGGGATGTATGCATAGGGCCTCAACGATGCAGGGGAACGCAACGTTCATGGCTCGTCGGCCTCGGAGAACTTGTCGTATTTGCGGAATGTGATCTGGTGGGCGGGGATGTTGACTAGTACGTGCCGCGCCACTTCGTCGTACGACAGGGGACTCATCATGCCGCAGTGGTACTGGGAGAAAGTGAGGATTGTGCTCAGGGAAGCAGGACATAGCTCATGTGCATATCGCAGTTGCAAACTTCGCGGCATATACGTTCGCGCCGCCAATCATGGTCACGCCGATAGGTTGCCTGTCGGTACTTATTGGGTGCGTCATGCGTTGACGGCGGCGGGGCGATTGCTGACTTTGAACAGTGCTATACTCGCCTCGTTTTTGCTCAATGAGAAGCTGGGGCACCTGGGACGCTTAGCGTGCACGCTCTGCCTAGTTGGCACGCTCATCATCATTCTCAACGCACCAGAGGAAACACCGGTAGACAGTGTCGAGGACATCCTGAAATATGCTGTACAACCAGGTGCGTACGACTTCCTATACCTCTCGCTCATACTCATCTCCCTCTAGGATTCATGCTGTACTGCTTCACGGTTACGGTCTGGACCCTCGTGATGATCTACGTCGTTGCACCTCGCCACGGACGCTCGAACCCCCTCGTCTACATCTCCATCTGCTCCCTCGTTGGTAGCGTCTCCATTATGGCGATCAAGGGTTTCGGCATCGCCGTTAAGCTCACGTTCGCCGGGAGCAACCAGTTCGTCTACCCCAGCACATACGTCTTTGGCGCTGTCGTCGCCGGCTGCATCATGGTGCAGATGAACTACTTCAACAAGGCCCTCGACACCTTCAACACCAATGTGTAAGCATTCCTTACCTCCTCTCCTTCCTAACCCCCCATACTTCCCACCCTCTCTCATCCTTCCGTGCGAACACCTCGCTGACTCCACCTCCCTAGCGTAAACCCGATGTACTTCGTCGGCTTCACCACCATGACCCTCGTCGCCTCCCTCATCCTCTTTCAAGGCTTCAACACCGCGAGCGCGGGCAGCACCATCTCCCTCCTCTGCGGCTTCATCATCACCTTCCTCGGCGTGCACCTGCTCAACTACTCGCGCGACCTGCCCACCGAGTTCCCGCTCGACGAGACGCCGCACGCGGAGGGCGGCGTGTGGGCGCCGCGCCTCAGCCTGCAGGGCCGCATGTCGATGGACGGGTGGGATCTGGAGGCGCCCCCGGGCAGCGCGGGCGGGATGCGCCGCCAGCGGAGTGGGGGCCATGGGCGTGGGGGGTCGTTCGGCCGCCAGACGTTGTTTGATGCGTATGATACGAGGGGGGCAAGGGAAAATGTTGGGCTCGCGGATCTTAGGGAGGAGAGCGAGTCGGAGGATGAGAATGCGGATGAGCATACGCACCTACGGAGCGCGAGCGATGTGGGCCGTAGGGTGGCGTCGCCGCGAGGCAGCAGCCACTCGCACTCGCCGAGGATCAGCCCGTCGAGGTAACTGACGGGCTCCGCCGATGGTATTCGTGGGCACCGTCGAGGCTATATACGAGTGTCGTCCAGGCCATCGACGGGTGGCCGAAGTGCGCGCGGCGGCTGGTGCCGCTGTGTAGGTGTTTGTACGTATAATGCATGGACATTTCTGAGGTTCTTGTTTACCCTAATGCATATCCTATATTCCCCATTCATGGTTGCTCACCAAGGACTGTGGTAAGCGTTGCGATATGCGCAGGATGTAAAGTTATCCCAAGAGATCCCGCCTTCTCCAGTCATGCACTCAGGCAGAGCGCCTCAGGCCTCAGGGCTCGTAGTGACGGCTTCCCATTCAGGCTGCAACCTGGAGTAATGTCGAAGCTGGCACTAGATATCTCATCCTTCTTTAGATTGACCATCTCTGTTATCCTACAGGCGTTTTTTGGACTGCCGTTCCCCTCACTCCGTCTTTCTATCCTCAAGCAACGCAGACGAGATTGCTGCAAGCGTTCCAGCGGCAGTCTGTCACTATAGTAAGTCCCTCCTTCGCCTCTTGACTCAGCGAGTCCACTCACGGCCATTCGCAGTCCCAGCACCCGTCTTGAAAGCGCAACTGTGGCCCTCGCCGTAGTGGTTGTGGCCGTTGCAGGCGTCGACTGAGGGGTGGGATGGTGAGTTGACCGACCGCAGTTAGATGACCGTGACATGGCTTGTAGCAGATGCGGACGAGGGTCGTGAAGCGAAGGCAAGAAGCTCTCTAGCCGAGGGTTGTCAAGAGAAATTCAGGAGCTCACCCGCATTGTCGGCGACCTGCGCAGCGCCCGACGCCTGACCGGCGAGGAGGGTGAATGCGGTAAGAGCAAGGACAGCGAGCTTGTACAACATGGTGAGATTACGAGGTGAGGAAGATGAGCTGGCTGTGGAGGAAAGTCGTTGAAGTAACTGAGAAGACTACAACAACGTGAGCAGTATATATACCTCGGTGAGATGGCTGACCATAGCTGAGTTTGAGAAAATTATGAAGCGCATACTGCATTAATTCCAGCTTTCCTGCTTTACAGAATCAAACTGCAGGGGGTCCCGCCTAGACCTCGGGGCAGTACGAAGACCGATTGAAGGACGCATACATACTGGGCTAGGTATACCTCAGATGTCGCGGACTGCATGGCTGTCGCTGTCCAGTGGGAAGGCAATCACAACCGCTAACAACGGAGCCAGGTCAAGTGCTGCTTCACCTTGACGCTCGTCCCTGGAGTTGATGGGCGGTCTTGCGGGAAAGACAGGGCGGTGGTCATATGGCGACAAGGTCTGATCCAGGCGTAAAGTCTGGAAGCTGACAGGTCGCCAGTTCGAGTACGCTTCCGCTAGGCAGTGATAGAGCGGCTCATTGCAATATTAGTCTTGTGTGTACAGAGTGGTCTGCCTCGGAATCTGAAGCATCGACTGCAGGATCGACGAGTGCAGGGGGCAGCAGAGCCGCAACGCCAACCCCGTCGAATGCCGAAACAGCAGATCAATGAACGGGTGTTACCTTGGATCTGAGAGATTCGAGTTAGCGGTGTCAAAGTGTGTTATAGCACCGGCTAGCCATTTACTTCTCGCGTACATGCTCTTCTCTCGATATCCACACGCACATATGTACTGGTCCGCAAGGCTATTGTTGTACAAGTGTTACATACGCACAATAAGTACATGATGATGCTGCAATTATATTGTTACAGGCCCGTACGGCCTGCTGCCCTTACCGTGCCTTCTATCTTCAGCTCGGGCAGCTTTTTGGCCGCCTCACCCTCAGGCGGTGGCGGGATAAAGCCCGCGCGGATCAACCACGCCAGGTACATCCCCGTCAACTCCTCGTCCACCGTCGAGCTCGTCTTCTCCCCGTGCGCGGCGAGTAAAGCCACCGTATTCCGGTCGTCCAGCTCGGGGCTCTTGGTACTTGTCGGCAAGTCGTCGAGGACGAAGTGCAACAGCGGGAAGAGCGCGTTGTCGGCGGCGCCAGACATGACGTGCTGTTCGAGCTCGCGGCGCCAGAGCACGTATTCGACGGGAGAGACGGCGAAGCCGTAAGCGGAGAGCGCGCCGAGGAAATCGTTGTAGGTGGGTGGTGGGGTGGCGGTGATGTGGAGGACGGAGAGGGGTGCGTTAGAGGGTTGGGTGAGGGCGGCGAGGGCGGTGCAGCGTGCGACGTGGTCGACTGGGACCATGTTGACGGTGTTGTTCATGTCAGGTGTATGCCCGAGCTGGATGCAGCCCTTGACCATGCGCCAGAGGAAGTCGTCGGTGTTCGTGACTGGAAGAGATGAGCAAGTGAACCGAACGTTAACTCAGACTCTCATACCTGCTGTCCTAGAATCACCAACGACATATCCAGGCCGCACGATGTGTACGCGCAACCCGCGCTTGCCCGCCTCAAATAGCAGCTTTTCCGACACCCACTTGCTTTGGCCATACCCGGTCTTCAGAGTGTTGCGAGCGCCCTCCAAGTCATCCGCCTCCGGCACACCACGATACTCCGAGCGATTGTTGTTCACCAGCGCTTCAGACAGTTCGACATAGTGCGCCGCATCAATGGCAGACGTCGAGGACACAAACGCAACGTGCTTTGGCCTCCCCGTCGCTGCGAGCTCAATCACAGCGAGCGTCGAGAGCACGTTCGGCGCGCGCAGCTTGTCGTAGGGGTAGACCCAATGCACCAGCGCGCCGTTGTGGAGCACCACGTCTGCCTCGTCAGCGATGCGGGTCCAGGTGGCGTCGTCCAGCCCAAACTTCTCGAGGGCGAGGTCGCCGGTGACAATCTCCAGACGACCGCTCTCCGCCCACTTGTCGTCCCAGACGCCGCGGTCGATGGAGCCCTCGCGCAGGCGGGCGAGCCCCTTTGCAGCGTCGCCGGCGCGGACCAGGCAAATAACCTTCGCTACTCGATCCGGACGATCCAGCAGATCCTTCAGGACGAACGCGCCAAGGAAGCCAGTTGCACCCGTCAGGAACACCGCGACCTTCTTTTGCGCAAAGTCCGCCGCCGGCGCCGCATATGATTCCCTGAGATTCGGCAGCAGCGCGTCGAGGTCCTTCCCGTACTCGACTGCCGGGGAACCCTTCTTCGCTGGAGCGGCAGCGGGCGCGTCACCCTTCTTGTAGTCGAGGCCGAGGTCCGAGTTGCGGAGGGCCTCAATGGCACCGACAAGTCCCTCAATAGTGGGCTGCTCGAATATCAGACCGAGCGGTGCGTCGACGGCGAAAGCCTTGCGGATCTCGAAGACCAAGCGCGTAGCCAGAATTGAATGCCCGCCAAGGTCGAAGAAGTTCTCGTCGATGGGGACGGGCTGGGGTGCGTTGGGGAGGATGTTGGCGAAGATGGACTGGAGCGTCTCCTCGGTGCTGTTGCCCTTGCGTACAGGGGCGGCAGCGGCCTGTGCAGTGTCGGGGAAGGGAAGCGCGGGCTTGTCGATCTTGCCGTTGGGGTTGAGGGGCATGCGTTTGAGCGGGACGAACACTAGCAAATGCAAAGTCAGTATATGAACCCAGGGAAAAACGAATGCACTCACGAGTCGGAATGCTGTAGCTCGGCAGCTTCTTCTTGAGATGCTCCCGAATATCCTTGATGAGCCGCCTGTACCTCCTCATCCCCTCCGCCACCCCCTTCCCATCACCCTCCTCCGGCACATCGCTCGCGTACTCCTCCAGCCCCGGCCCGTCGAGCGGCACGAAGTAGCTCACAAGGATCTTCTCCTCGTCCTTGTCGCGCCTCACCAGCGTCACATTCTCCCGCACGAGCGGGTGCTGGCTCAGATGCGTGTCGATCTCCCCGAGCTCGATGCGGAAGCCGCGGATCTTGACCTGGTCGTCCGCGCGACCCGTGCACTCGACGATGCCGTCGGGCATGTAGCGCCCCAGGTCGCCCGAGCGGTACATCCGGTCGCGCACGCCCTTCCAGTAGCGCGACTCGGGGCCTGGGAGACCGTCCTTCGGGTGTCGGATGGTGTCCTTGGGCGGCTGCGCGTTGGCGGCGAACCAGTTGTTCACGAACTTCTCGGCCGAGGCGTCCGCGTCCAGGTATCCCTCCGCCAACCCGCCAGAGCGTACGTAGATCTCGCCCACTTCGCCGATTGCGCACGGCACATTCTTGTCGTGGCGGTTCACAACAAGCAGCTGCACGTCGATCATACCACTTCCCGCGGGCATGATGTCTTTCTGCGTCGCCAGGAACGTCGGGTCCTGCGCAACGGGCGGGATCGCAAAGTACGACACCGCGCGCTGCGTCTCAGTCGTGCCGTACATGTTGATGATGCGCACGTTCGCGGCCAAAGCTTGCAGGCGGAGGCAGTCGCGCTTCGTGAGCACGTCGCCGACGAAGAAGGCGTTCTGGAGGTGGGGGATCTGGCGTGTGGCCTGGGCGGAGAGCAGCTGGCCCATGGCGGGCGTGAGGTGAGTGACAGTCACCTCGCTGTCAGCCATCCACTCGGCGAGGCGGCCGGGGATGCCAATGTCGTCCGCGGTGGGGATGTGCAGCTGGGCGCCGAAGAAGAGGGGGGTGAACACTACAGAGCGTTAGGCAGGGCACTAAGCGAAGAGGGGATGCACGTACTGTCACGCTGGATGGGGTCGTGTGCGATACCGCTCAGCATAGTGAACTTCGAAGTTTCGTCAAGACCAAAGCGCTCGCCCATCCATGGGAAGAAATGTGTCAAGCTGAAGTGGCGACCCTTGACGCCCTTGGGGATACCGGTCGAGCCGCTGGTGAAGGAAAGCGTGCCAACGCTGTCGGGACCGAGGACGACATTCGGATCGGTGTCGGCGAGGTGTACCTGCGGATGCAAGACATCCTGGCCGTCAGGACCCGTACCGCCATTGATCGGGCCGTCAGGGTGAACTTGCACAGCGGGAACCTCGACGCGAAGGTGGAGCTCAGTTGACAGGAACTCTCGCACGGAGGGACCGATAGTGCCTGCACCCTTGAGAACGACGAGTGCGCGCGGCTGAGCGACGCGAAGGTAGATGATTTGCCGGGATGCAGGGTACGCGGGGTCTGCGCTCAAATAAGTACTTCGGGGTGGCTGCGATACAGCTAGTCTCACCGATTACTGAGAAAGTGGCTCCGACCTTCAAGACCGCCATAACCGCTACGACAAGATCGACGCTACGGTGCGCGTAGACCATGACGACCTCTTCGCGCTGTACTCCAGCAGACAGGAGGTGATGCGCGAGAACATTCGAGGCATGGCGGATCGCGCCGTAGGAGAACGTGATCTTTTCCTGAGGGTCGGAGAGAGTGGGCGCGGGTACGCTTTGGATGACGCATGGGCGATCCGGCCATTGCTTCGCGTTGCGCGTGAAGACGTCCGTGATCGCGCCCTTCCAGCCACACCAGTCGAGGTCGGCGGTCGGGTTGGGCAGCTTCTCGCGCTGCGAGGGCGTCAGGAGCGGGATAGAGCCAACAGGCAAGACGGGGTTTGTCGACGCCTTGCGCAGCAGCACCGACAGCTGCTCGACAATGTATGCAATGCGCGCGTGCGTAAACAGAAGCGAGTTGTACACGATGCGGAGGGATATGCGCGGGGCGAGGGAGGCGTGCGAGGACGCGCTGCCGCGGGTGATGAAGACGGTGAGGTCGGAGGTGGCGCTAGTGGCGCTGAGGAAGTGCTCTTTCGTCTCATCCGTCCCGTCGAAGAAGCGGACGCGGAAGATCGGGCCCTGGAGTGCTTCGTTCTTGTTGAGCGCCTGCACGATCGAGTCAAAGGGGACCGCGTCGCGCTCTGCCTCGTCCTCGACTTGTTGCACGCGGCGAAGGATGGCCCAGAAGGGATCGGCGGGCTCTGCAGACAGGCGCAGGACGAGGGGCTCGCGCGCGGACGCGGAGGACGAGCCGATCACGAGGTCGGTGTCGCCGGTGTAGCGATGGAGGAGGACGGTGAAGGCCGTGAGGACCAAGTGGAAGGCGGAGGGGCGGTTCGTGGGTGACTCGAGCTCGTCATCTTCCTGCTCGTTCTCATTGAAAAGGGCGAGCTTGAGGAGCGCGAGAGCGGTCTGTTCTGAGAGCTCGGCTTGGTGTACGGCCTCGACGACCTTGTTGCTTCCCGATGGGCGGGGATAATCCGTGGGGAGCGAGATCGCGGGGAGGTTTTGGAGTCGGGAGACGACCCTGGCGAGTCTGCCGTCGTCCGCCATCGTTGTCGGCAGTGGAAAGAGGATTCCGATTCCCCTGGATGTCGATCACCGAGTCACTAGCAATGAATACGGTCACATGTCATGCAGATCGTTCTGCACGTCGCGTCCCGCATCATGTCCGAACGCGTTGGTCGCAATATATGGGCACAAATGGGATCCTTCCAGGTGCGTTCTACTCGAGGCAGTCGATATATGCGCATGCAGCATCTTTCAGAGGGGTGAGCAATGAGGATCAGACATGGCGCTGGGCGACGCACCGAACACAATTGTGAGTCTTCTCGCCCCCTTCCGATTCATCCCATTCAATAATAATATAATGCCTTCCTCATCCTTCTTGACTTGCCAATTAGGGGGGTGGTGATCGGTAGGACGTAACGAGGCTCAGTTTGTGGGATGCATCGCACAGCGAGCAGGGCGCGGAGGGAAGGTCAGATTTTTGCCCTGCCAGCCCTTCTGGAAAAGGATGCAGCAAGTTCTGACAGAAGGTATCATGGTGACGGTTGGGAACAACCTCGCGCTGTTGATGCGTCTTTGTGCCAGTTTGTGCCTCGTCGCAAGCGAAGTCATGTCACAGCCACATATGACGCTGCCCCATTTGACCATGTCTTTGTTTGTTGCGACTTCCTTTCTCAGATCTCATCAACATGACCTTGCGAAGAGTAGACATAATCTACTCCTTGTTCCTCTGCGCATGGAGGTGCGCCATGGCCCATGGCTACGCATATCTCCAACGCTCGGAACACCTCGGACTCGGACTCGGACGCGCTGGATAAGACAGCATCGTTGATCATGTTACGCACGGTCTCGGCGCTCAATGCTCGAGGCATTGAAGGCCGGTATGTGCCGAAGCTCTGCACCCAGCGTTGAAGGTCCTCCCGTTCTCTGTGGCGAGCGTAAGTACACGATGCAGAGCGACAAGAAAGAGCTAAAAGAGAAGGTGTTCGGGCCAACTCACTTGGCATGCTTCTCATATAGCGCGCCCCACAGTCCCGTCGGAGTGCTCCAGGACGCGCGCTGTGATATTTGACGAATAACCCACTCGGTGTCAAGCATGGCCATGGTCGTCACATCTCGCCACTGGGACTGCAGCGCGATCCAGAATGCCATACGGCGCGTGCCTTCGTTAGAGAAGCCTCTGAAGAGCTGCCATGAGTACCATGCTGAGGAGTCGGTTTGGAGAGTACTCCAGCATCGGACAAGACTATCAGAGGAGAACACAGATTCAGAGGAATCAAGGAGACATTGCTCACAGTTTCCCAAATAATGCTAGAGCGGCCTGCACCTCGGTTTCGCCCAGTCCACCCAGTACATGCGCCTGAACGCGGTGTGCACTTAGACCTTCGAACGCTCGCGGGATGACGTCCACCAAGATACGTTGACCGAGTCCTCAATTCCGAAATGGCGGCGCGAGATACAGACCGATGTTAAGGATGTGCCTAGGCTCATCTCCTCCAGCGCTGACCAGGTACACGAAGCCCGCGATCCCTTTTGGGAGCTCCTCAGGCTCCGATGGTGTCCGCGCCTGCGAAGATCCTCTGCTCTGAGTTCCATGTGAGATCATTATTGTATCATTGAGGCGTCTCACGAGCCGAAGACATACCTGGCGATCTCTGACGATGTCGAACAGCTCCTCAATAAGGCGCTGAGTCTCTTCGGCTTGTCGAGGGGAGAGAGGCTCCATTCTGGGCGGTTGCGAAGGACCAGGGTTTCCGCTAGTAAAGCCATCCGACTCGGACTCAGAGGAAGGGGTACCGTCGTTAGATGGAGCCCCATGCTTGATGTCGACGACGGAGAAGTACGCAGCATCCTGCGCAAAGCTGATCAGGTCCGTTTGAGGGGAGCTGGCTGGTTCCATGCAGGAAACTTGCGCTTGCTCCCACAGCGACAGCAGGTCATCGAGGTGATCGTCCTGCCCATCGAGACCTTCGGAGAATGTTATAGCGGTCGAAGTCATGATCAGAGCAACCGTTGGTTTGGGCAGGCGCTACGCTGCTTCAAGTTCGAGGCATGTACAGAATTATACGTGCCCTTAGCGCTCGAAAGCTGCGCGTTGAAGCCGATGAGCACAGCTGATTGCAATGAGATGCAAGGACGGATGGAAAGCCATACATATGCAAGCCTGATCCACAATAGAGATGGCGGAGATTGAACCTGTGGTGCACGGGAGGGGCCTTCGAAATCCAAGTATGGGTATCTTCTGGTACTGCGTGGGGTGCAGTCGATGGTGTGGTGACCCGTCAAACTTAGTCACTGAGGGCCCCTTGGCTTAGCAGAGTAGACGTCCCAGACCTCACTCTGCGTAATCAAGTATCCGGCTATAATCGAGATGAGCGCAAAGGACAAGACCCAACATGCACAGCCACTCGAAGCCTGAGAAGATCAAGGTCTGTCATTCCCCTGTCCACCCGTTTCGACGCCTTTCGACTCGTAAGGATGCAAAGTAGTGACCATCCGAGTACTGTAGTAGAGTACCAGAGATGATCAGTATGCGTGTGTTCCGCTACAATGGTTATAGAACACATAGCCTACGAATCGCTCAACATATCATACGAGCTTACGGAGGACGTCTCGACCGCACTCCATTCTCCATCGTCCGTACTACCACCATGAGAAGCCCTCCCAGACCCCCTTGACCCGCTCCTCAAAGATGACTTCGACATGCTGTCCTCTGACGCCGCATAAACCGAGGACCTCCTCGAAGACACCGGTGACGAACTTTTGGAGGACATTGGTGACGACCTTCTCGTTGACATGGGCGACACGCCTCTGCTCGACGCCGGCGACGTCCTTTCGCTCGACATGTATCCCGACTCCGAGGGGACCGCTTCGTTGTGCAAGCGTATCGTCTCCAGACTGGCCGTCCGACGTAGGTAATCTGGCCTCTTGTCCTCCCAGTCCAGGAGCTCTTCGCGTTCTCTGGAAGACAACGTGAGTGTCCTCTCTTCGGTTGGAAGGTACTGCACATACCTAGCATGGCGCTCGACCAAGGCCTCCCAGACATCGGCCGGAGCCCCGCGACGCGCCAGCGCCCTGATGGGCCTCATAACCCAGTCCGTGTCGAGAATGGCCATCGTGGTCTCGTCGCGCCACAGCGCCTCAAGCGGGCTCCAGAACGACGCGCGCCGCGTACCCTCGTGTGCGAAGCCACTATCGGGAAGGGGTCAGAGCGCTTTCAGAAAAAGTATGGAGGACAGTGGATGATGAACGATGGACCACTTACAGCTTCGTAAACAACGCCAGCGCTACATGCCTCTCCCGATTCCCCAAAATGCGCACCTGCACCCGATGCGCGTGCATGACCTCGAACGCGCGCGCTAGGACGCTGATCAGTACGCGCTGCCCGAGGCCCTGGTTGCGGAAGGTGGGCGCCAGGTAGAGCCCAAGGTTCAGGGTGACAGGAATGTCTGGCGCGGTCTGCGTGGCAGCGTCGACGACGAGGTACACCAGCCCCACGGGGGACTTGACGCGCGACTCTGGGGCAGGTGGAGGCGAGTCGTACTCGTCCAAGCAACCCCACGATTCCAACATCTGTCGGTTGGAGATATCAGCAGCTTTGCGCGCCTTGCCAGTAGACTTCTTGCAAGGGTCTTTTTCTGATACGTCCTTTCCAGATGGGGTCTTGGTATTGGTCTGGGTTGCCTTTGCCTCCTTCTTCACCTTTGCCTCCTTCTTCGCCGCTGCCTCGATCCTCGCCACCCCCGCAAGGTGTTTCTGGCTTGACCGATGGGCCGTCTGACCGCCAGGCCCCATGATACGTCCGCATTCGCACTTCCAGAGGTCATGCTGGAGCCCGCAGTCGGTGCCAGCGTTGCAGCGACCCTCAGGATGGTCGAGACACGATTTGGGAAATTTCTTGGCGAGCTTTTTGACACTGTTTGGGGGCGTAGAGGCCGTGGGTGAGGAAGTGCTGGCGTCGGAGGCGAGTTCAGGTTCAGCGGTAGAGGATTTCTTGGGCGTAGCACTGGTCGATGTGCCCGTCGATGAGAGGTCGACGTTGATAGAGCCATCGAGGAACATCACAGCACCGGGTGGCCTCGACGCATCATCAATTCCGCCTCCATCATCCTGCGTGTCTTGTCAGTCGTGTTGCTCAGGAGCATGATGGTATAGGGTGTACGTACGATGCGCTTCCCCTCTAGCTCCAGAAGCTCGTCAAGAATATCCTGGGTATCCTGATCCTGCACCACCGAGAGCACATCGGGCTTAGCAGACGAGGTCGACGTCGCACGAGGTGTAGCCACATTAGCCTTAAGCGCCTTCTTGCCCTTAGCCAGCGACTCGATGGTTTTGAGTTGCGGCCGCGTCGGAGGAGGCACCTGTTTGTTCGCAGGTGTCGCGGTCGTCGTGTTCTCGTCGATACTGCCGTTGAGATCCAAGTATCCCTCCTTCACATCCACGACGGAGAAGTACGCCGCCTCGTGCGCGAAGCTGAGCAAGTCTGCCTCAGGGCGCGCCGCAAGGTCGGCGCACACAACCTGCGCCTCCTCCCACATCGTGAACAGCGCATCGAGCCGCTCATCCTGGTCGACAAGGCGGTCGGAGAAGATGATGGGCGAGTGCTGCTCACCCATTGCCATAGGTGAGCGTTGGTCGCCTGCAGTAGCCATCGCGGGAGCGGGGAAAGAAAGCTGTACTAGTATTGCCGCTGATGCGAGGGTATATATGGGGGCGTTAAGCGCCCGAGCGTCACGGGCAGCCACTCAAGCGCCCGGAGGTGGTTCTGATAACGCTGATGAGCCAGGGGGGACGGACGGGGTGTTGCCATGCTGATATCGCGCGCAGTTCGTTAGGACTGGGTGCAGACTCTGCAGAGGTCCTAAAGGAGAGTCCGAGAGTGATTCCACAGCGTGCTTTCAAGCGCAGGCACCGGGGCTCACGGCCGGAAACGTCAGCGAGTATCCATCATCGGCCTAGTGATAACCACGTTTACGAGGGGGACACAGGGACGGACGCTGATTGTGCTAAGAAGGGATTTACCAATTGCCCCAAACCTCCTCCGCGTTTGACACCTGTAATCAATGAAGTTAGCTGGAAGATTAACAGTGAAGTCAAAGACACACGCCAGGATAGGGCAACATGGCTGATGAGGATAGAGAGCAAGAAACATTGAACACAGCCACACGAACTTGGAAACAACTTCTCGAGAATATTTCCGCGCATGGACGCAGCCTTCGACACCAACGTTTTGAGCATAACGATTACATAACAAACCAGCTACATGACACCAACCAAGAACACAAGAACATGACTCTACAGCACAGCGACATACAGGCAGACTAATACATTGGAAGCAAACAAATAACATGCAGAAGTATCGTACAACGGCACTCCATACCCTCTCTAATCAACGTCGCTCATCATATCGTACGACCCAACCGAAGACGTCTCCGCAGCATCCGACGCACTCCCCTCGGAGTCGGTGGGAGGATAATCGTCTTCCACGATGGGGCTGCAAGGGTCGTCGCAGAATCGGAACGAACAGCCGGGTTTCCAGCCACCGTCGTTGTCCTCGGCCGCGCTATTAATCGCGGGCGGCGCGGACAGAGTAAGGCTCGGGGCAGGGTCGTTCGCGGAGGGGCATAGGTCGGGCGTCGCTGCTAGGGGAAGCGGGGACGAGGCGCGGGACGCCACCACGCTCGAAGCGCGGGACGTCGTCGCGCTGGGAGCGCCGTCGTTGATCGTAATAACCGCGTCCATGCTCGACGAGCGCCGCAGGACATACGGCTGCCTGTGCGCCTGGCGCAGAAGGTCCTCCCGTTCGCTGAGTGAAGGGATCCGTAAGCACAAAGATGGAAACGGAGAAAAAGTACGATCACGAAAGGGGCAAAGAGGTGTGGCAGGACGCGTTGCGAGGCGCAAAATAAGTTACGTGACTCAGGGTGAATAGCATGGCGGTACACCAACGAGACCGAAGCCGCTGCTCTCTCGACTCACCTCGCATGTCGTGCCTGCAACGCATCCCACATCGTTCCATGAGCGCGCGGGAAGTCAAAGTCCGTCGCGCACATTCCCATCGTCAGCTCGTCGCGCCACTGCGCACCGATTGGGTCGTAGAAGGCACCGAGGCGGGTGCCTTCATCGCGGAAGCCCCTGAGGAGGTGTTAGTGGGGTAATCATAGGCATTGTGAGATGAGTGAGCGGCAGGGGGAGAGGAGAGGAGCACTATGGAAAAAGAGAGGAGCAATAGGGGAAAAAAAGAGGTGGAACAGGGGCCAGAGATGCGTTATGAGTGAGGCCCATGCATTGGCGAAGACGTACATGTCATGATACAGCCCCCTGTAAAAGAACTGGTCCACGCCATCCAGCAGGCGCACCTGCACCCGGTGGGCCTGTAGATTCGTGAACGCGCACTGCAGCATCGCCTGCAGCGCGCGGCGCAGGGAGGCCATCGAGAACTCCCCGCGAGAGAACGTAGGCGAGAGGTAGATCCCGATGTTGAGGTGCGGGGCCACCTGAGGGAGCTTAGCGCCTGCGTCTCCCGCTCCCACCTCTCCCGTGTCCACCATGTCTGCGGCAGCGTCTCCATCATCCAGGCAAGCATACCGCTCGGACTCGGGGCCCGCAGGAAAGAGGTAGACGAAGCCAATCGTCGGCAGGTCAACTCCCTGGGGTTCAATCCCGAGCGACGACTCCCAGACGTCCTGTAACTGAAGTCAGCCCTTATAAGCGCTGAGTGCGAGATGGGACACGTGCCTCGTTCCACTGCGTCTCGCGCTGAGGCTGTGAGTAAGCGCCCACTGTCCCCCAGGTGTTTCTCGGAGGGCTGACGCCCGCGTCGATGATCGCGCCGAAGTAGCGGGCCCGCTCGACGAAGGCGAAGAAGTCGAGCGGGCGAGGGTGCCCAGAGAGAATGTCTGGTAGATGAGGCCGAGCGAGGTCGAACATCAGTAAGAGTTCCTCGATACGATGGTCGTGCCCGGCGAGGCCATCAGAGAGGATTATGCCCTGGGCAAGCTGGCTGGAGTCAGAGGCGCCGACAGACATGGCGGGCAAAAGGAGGGGTGAAGAAGCGCCGCACGGGTCGAGATGGTATATACGCCAGCAGTAAGCGCCTGGGGGCGGCCGCAGAGTGCTCATCGAGGAAGGTTAACATTGAATTGAATGGCGAAGAGTGATACATTGAAGTTGGTCGTGAGGTCCGGGATTTGCAAGGCGTCCTTCTTGAGCGCATGTTGGGGTCAGATGTTTGAGTAGCGCGCCTCACATAGAAAAGAAGACTGTGTTCCTGGGAAGCCGAATCCTGGGATGGTTGAGGTCAAGCCTGGTCAAGCGAGCGGTCCGATTCCCGCTGTCAAACGGACATGGGAGGCCTCGATGACCAACGTAAAGTCAGTGCAAGATGCGCATGGTATGCGGTCCCAACATATGCCTCGCATAACAAACTTTAGTCTGGTCAGGGACCTTGCAGTCGAGTTTGGCGAAGAAAGTGGAAGGAAGGAAGGAACGTGGTCCGTCTGCGCGCCACGTGTAGGTGACAGAATGATCGGATCAAAGGATTAATCCCATTCGAGCTGTATCCCCGGCGGGACATGTCCTTGTTTCCGTCCATCATGGCCCAATTTCTGCGGAGACTGGCTGCCAATGCGCACTCCCGGTACATGGCAATCAGAAATTCTATCTCTGGCGCATGATCTGCAGCACCCTTTAAGGCCGCGCAACTTCCCGGCGCCGTGACGCGCTACCCTCGTCAACGGCAGTTCCATTGGCTCTGACGCCTTAAACGCCCCCGACGAGTCCACGAGTGACGCGAATGACTCACTTGGACCTTCGAACTTCGACGGGGATGACATCACGCGCAAGCTTGCACTAGTGTCGCCTCTTAAGCGCCGGTAATTCTCTGCCTTGACTTCTGTCTTTCTCGCAGTTTCACAACACCATTCTCATCATCAAGTCCCCGCACCATGTCGAAAGGTTGCTTAGTCGCGAAAGATGATGGAACAACACACCTTCCAGAGCCCTCTATCGACGACTGGATGCAGCATCCGCCGTACGGCCCGCCGCCTGACAAGGATAACCGCAAGATTTATTACACAGGTCGGCTTTCACCGTCTGTCAATCTGCATACTATTCTGACGGATTTCTTTACGTTCAGCTTCATGCCACTGCAAGCGAGTGAAGTACGCCATCCTCACAGACGAACCCATGGAGGCCAAATTCTGTCACTGTACCGACTGTCACAAGCTCTTCGGCTCCCCTGCGCAATGGGTGCGTTAGGCCCTATTATCGTCTTCTACAGATTACCATCCCTCATCAACGCTCGCTTCGTTGCGCTTCCCTTACCTCCTCCCGCACTCACCCCCTCCCAGACCGCCATGCTCGAGAAGACGGACGTCCACTTCCTGTCCGGCGTCGACAACCTCGCCTTCTACCACCTCGCCGACTCTTCGCACGAGCGCAAGCTCCCCTGCAAGATCGCCTGCCGCACGTGCCGCTCGCCCGTCATGGACGAGGGGCGCAAGATCCTCGTCATCTACCCGTCGCTCATTGACTTCGATGAGTTGCCGGTGGGGGAGGGGGAGGAAGGTCATGATGGAGCGACGGCGACGGAAGGGAAGGGTAGCTCGAAGACGGAAGGAGGAAAAGGTGGCATGAAGACGAATGAGGGCAAAGCCAGCACCCCGTCGGACCCAGGCGAGAGCCAACTGATCCTAAAGGGCGAGGAGGGCGAGTTGGCGCTTGGAAAGCGAAAGCGCGGGGCGACGTCGACGAAGGGTGGGCTCACGCCAGAGGAGGGAAAGAAGAAATTCTTCCCGACGTGCCACATATTTTACGAGCAGCGGGTCGACGACTACGTGGACGGAAAGCCGAAGTATAAGGGCCATAAGGAAGAGGGAGAGACGATCCCGGAGCATAAGTGGTAGTAAGACGAGCGAGAGGGGATGGGCTGGTCGACGATTTCTTGCTACTTACGACGTCGAGGTATTGACCATTAGGGAGTCGAGGCGTTGACCAGAAGAAAGTTCGACCGATAGTGCAGTCCGCAACGCTCGGTGCGCGATAGATAGATAATTTATAGAATAATACACTGGCGCCTCGAGTTGAGTCGGGAACTTAAATCATCCTATCTCCTGCTCCATGCGACGCCGACCATCCGCTCAGTTTGGGACGCAGACGAGGACGCCGCTGCCGTCCTTGTGGCAGACTAAAATGCATCTCGTCAGCCCACGATTAACCCTGAAGAAATCATAGGCACTCACTGCCCTCGGCGGTGCCATCGGCGCTCTTGAAGGCGCAGTCGTGGCCCTCGCCGTAGTGGTTGCTGCCGTTGCACGCGTCGACTGCGTGAAGTTCAGCATCCCGTCCGCTCACACTGACCGAAGAACTGAGCTCACCAGGGTTGTCAGCAAGAAGGGTCGCGGCGGAGGCCTGGCCGAAGAAGACGGCGAAGGCGGCAACGATGGCGACGGCGAACTTGTACATGTTGTTGGATTGGAGAGGCGAAGAGAGGTTGTTTAGCTGGTTGAGTGGGAGAGGCGGTTGGCTGATGATGAACTCGGAGGAACTGCCCGGTATTTGTACTTCCTCTCCAGCCACGAACTCGAAGCGCCAAAGTCCAACAACCCACCTTCATCTCCCTATCACCCATCAGGCTGTGTACGCGAGTCTATAACCCGCAACTCTCGCTCCACTCACCCATTGTCGACACTAGCCCTCGAAACGCTATGCGTGACATCAACCGTGACACGCTTCTCGAGCGATGGTTCGAACCATCACCAGCAACTGTGGGCTCTGTCTCACACCTGCGGGCACGTATATGGGGGCTCCACAGTTTTTGGGTGCATCGAGGACGTTGTTCGAGTCGTGTTGGCAGGGTGCTGAATAGACTTTACCGAAACCATCAACGAAGTGGAGTCGACGCTGGGTAAGTTGGATGATCGTAGGAAATGGGCGCTGTGGAGGCAAGCGACGGCCATAGTGCTGACATTGTAGCGGCATAGCTACACGAGAGCTGCTAGATCGCTCGTTGTCGAAGTAAACGGTACGGCGATTGCGTGACGCACTGGAAGCAGATGAAATGAGTTACGTTCATTTTCTTTCTTCTCTGCACAAATGAAGGCATTCTGCCGTCGCAATATGCACCACCAGATGAGTCAGAGCCCTCGATGGAAGCTCTCCACATACGCTACCATCAATCCAATCAATGAAACGGTGGTCAATCCCATTTGTGTATAGGAGTGGAACCAAAGCAGTGCCGCGGAAGATTTCCTCGCCTGTCGACTGAATGGGCCATGTCCGCTTCGACGAATAAATTATGAGCCCTCTCATATCCGCAGCCAATTGAGGGCTCCACGAAATGCTCACATGATACCTCAAACGAGCAACCTAACGGGTCAAACGAGCAGCCCATCGCATCCAGTGTGCAACCCATCGCGTCCAGTGCGCAACTCATTGGTCCAAGAGGAGCAACCTAACGTCTCGATCAAGCAACCTATTGTCTCAAAACGAGCGGCCTAACCTCACCAGTCAGCGATGGGTGGCTCCTTGAATGGCTAGCGCCTCACTTGTATTTACCTCACACTTTTGCCCGCAAAGATGGCATACATTTTTGACTCCACAACAGCAGTCGCGGCGCTCGATGCAGAGCCAGATGCGCTCCTCTATGGTGGCAAAGCACCGTCAGAGGGGCGGCACAGTGTCAGAAAGCCCAACTCCAGCCCGGATAGACGGCCAATTCTGAGGTATATAAGCCAGCGACGCAGTCCTCTATCTTCATCAGCCAGCCGCCTCTCCCACCACATCAACGAGCACTCACCTCTCTACATCCACCACAATGTACAAGTTCGCCGTCGCCATCATCGCCGCCTTCGCCGTCTTCTTCGGCCAGGCCTCCGCCGCGACTCTGCTCGCTGACAACCCTGGTGAGCTCGCGTCTCTCTTTGGGCCCTTCACAGCCGCAACAAACACTCACCCCTTCACAGTCGACGCCTGCAACGGCAGCAACCACTACGGCGAGGGCCACGACTGCGCGTTCAAGAGCGCTGACGGCACCGCCGAGGGCAGTGAGTACCTATGGATTCTTCGAGTTCGACTGCGGACTGACGGGATGACTTCCAGTCTGCCACAAGGACGGCAGCGGCGTCCTCGTCTGCGTGCCCAACTGAGCGACAAGACCACCTTGCCTTTGCGCGCAGTCAATGCGTTCCAGAGCACCAGCGGAGGGGAGGAGTTGTCGGAGATGCTCGATGAAGATGTGTCGATTGTATTATTTGCATATTTATGTTCACATCTGGTCCTCTAATGGACCGCGCATGAACGAGAAGACGACCTAAGGCAAGGCAAGGAATGCATTAGATGACGCCGGTAGGCAGGCCAGGCTTTTGGAGCCACGAAAAGCGCTCCATATGCGAATATCATCTGCTGTTTTCGGTTGTCACCTTGTTCAATAGGCGCATAAGACGCATAACTGCCGTCTCAGAAGAGTCGCAGCGAGAGCTCGATACGGTTCGCTGCTAGCCTTGAGGCCTTAGCAAAGCCAGTCCAAGCAGCGGTGAGGGAGTGCCAGCAGTAGCGAAGAGACGCATGGCTAGCCTCCTTCAGGGACGAAGAGCAGCGCGATGATGACCATCAAGAGCAAGGACGGACAAGCACAAAGAAAGTCGCAAATGGGGAAAGTTGAGCACGCGTTTCTTCCCACGCCACCACCAACACGATCACGTGAGATTTTCGTTGAAGTCGCGTCCTTCGACGTCCGTTGGCATGGTCTGGCCATCCCAGTGCGTATATAGCATCACGAAGGCCTGACAGGTCGGCCTGTCTACAAGAGTGAGTACAAGAGATATATCGAAAGCAGTGCCGACTGTCTCGCCAGCAGCATCCAAGAGTGTGCAAGATCAAGCATTCAGCAGTGTGAGGTAGGTAACAACGGCCTTCATTCGCACCAAGCACTCCTCCGCAGTCCTTCATGTCGAAGATGCAGGCTGAGACGTGACAGGCACGGTGGCGCTCGCCGCCCCTCCTGCAGCCGGCGCAGCAGCACTTCCACCCGCTGTCGTTCCTCCCGCTCCAGCAGGCGGGTATCCGGGCAGCAACCCAGCCTTGTACATCGCCGCAAACTTAGCGTACAGCACGGGATCAAAGACCTCGGGGAAGAGGACCGGAATCTTGGGCTTCAGCGCGTCGGGGATGGCCTTCATGTCCTGGTGGGTAGGGTGCGCTGAAGAGAAGGAGGTGGCAGTGGGGCCGTGGCGAGGGGGAATGGCGGAGGTATGCTGAGAAGGAGCAGTGTAACTGTAGCGGGGTGGGGCGGCGGCGGCGGTGGCCGATGCGGACTCGGTGGCGGACCTGGTCGTTCTCGTGGAGGTCGTCGTTGATGCGGAGCCTTCGTACGGCGTCCACACCGACGTGGGCTTCGAGGCTCGCGTCACCTTCTGCCTTTTTGCGGGGGCTGGAGCAAGATCAGCACGATGGGGGGTCGCGAGCGCAAGAGATCACGCACGTAGCACGCTCGCGACGGTCGCTGCATTTTCCTTCTCTTTGGACATGCTTGTCGATGCGTTCGACGCGCTGATCGACGCGCTCGACGCACTTGCCGGCGCCTCCTCCTCTTCCTCCTCCCGAGCGCGCTTCCTGGCCTGAAACTCGGCTTCAAGCTCGTCCGCCTCTTCGAGCTGTAGGGAAGGGGGGGGGGAGGAGTCAACAACGCGTCGCGCCGATCACCTCACTCAGTCACTCACCGCATCGTTGATCACCATCCTCCTCCAACTTGCCTGGCTCATACCGAGACCGTTGTTCTTCCGCGACGTGTATGTACGCGCACTCTTGCGCTGCGTGGTGTTCGATCCCCTGGTAGTACGCGTCCAGGGCATGGTGTCGCTCGACAAATAGTGCAAGTGTGTGCGCGTCGAAGCTACTGGGGAACGCGTCGATCGAAGCGCGTCTCGATAAGGGCAGCAAGAGAGAACTACCCTGACGAGATGATGGAACAAAGCAAGCCGTCACGCAACGCGCGCAAGCAAGTAAACACTTGAGTTGTTTGGCTTACTGTACATTGGTTTGGCTCCACAGTCCATTCAATCGCCGCCGTTGACGCGCGCGTGATCCACATCCAGACGCGTCCGAGAACGTGACCGCGTTCGCCCACATACGTCCATCCGCACCCACAAGTGCGCCACAACCTCAGCCCCAGTAATCATGTTGCCGTCTCAGGCTCGTTCCCCCACTGGTACGATACGTGTGGATTTCGCACCATCAACCCTTCCTCACTCCGCCTCAGGGTCTACCTTGACCACCACCTTCCCCTTCGCACGGCTCGTCATGATCTTCTCGTACGCCTTCAGCACGTCCTCGAACGCGAAGACGGAGTCGATGACGGGCTTGAGGGTGCCTGAAGTGAAAATATGCTTAGCATACAGTCTCTACCACGCTCGACGCTGCTCCCGCGAGCCACAGAGGAGCAGCGAATGTGAGAAGAACAGGCTCACTCACCCTTCTCCAGCATCCCCGCCATATCCTTCAGATCTTCTTCCTTATGGTGGAGATACATGATGATATGCTTTCGCGGCGTCCCGCCCAAGACGCGCGGCCAGACCGTCGCGAGTGCGTGCTTGAAGGTGAGGGTGAACTGGGGAAGCGGTCATTCCCTGACGATGACGAGGTAACACCCAAGTTCTACTCACCTCGTGCAACGCCAACGAGTGCGGATGGTATCCAGTCGACACATACACGCCGCCCGGGACGAGGCACGCTGGGCTATGCGTGTAGAGGGCGGGGTCGAGGATGCCAACTGGCGGACGTGTCAATCGAGCGTAGACTCCTGAAGGTACAGACGCGTAAAGTGCGGTTCGAGCACTCACCCGCATCTACGATGATATGGAACTTCGGATTCGGCGGGTTCTCCAACAGCTGTTCGTGAATCGGCTTCTTCGTGTAGTCAATGAACTGGCGAGGTGTACGTTAGCGTCATCCTTTTCTTCTTCATCTTGCTCCTCTCCTTTCATCCCACCCATCCCTTCCCTTCCACCCTTCTCCTCCCAGGTGCATGCACGAATAACCGAACCGACATGCAAACTCACCTCATCCGCCCCCAAACCCCTCACAAACTCCTCATTCTTCCCGCTCGCGCTCGCCACCACCCGCGCCGCGCCCTTCGCCTTGGCGATCTGAATCGCGAACGCGCCGACGGAGGACGAGCCGCCGTTGACGAAGACGGTCTGGCCGGGCTCGAGGTTGCCAGCGGCGTCGACAGCGAGGGAGTTGGAGCGGAAGAGACACTGGGAGGGTTGTTAGTATGAGAGCTTCTCAAGAAGGCAAGGTGGTAGACGAGGGAAAGGACATCGGGGAGGCGCATGTATGCACCCATAGTACAGCGCGAACAAGGATACATGCGCCTGTGAACTGTAGCTCACCTGGTAAGCCGTCTCCCCAGCAAGTGTGAGACCTGCGGCCCCCGTCGCGGAGACGTTCGCAGGGCGCGGGGCAACCATGTGGGCCGGGACGCGGACGTACTGTGAGAGCGCGCCCTGGCGGGATTTCCAGGATTGTTCTGAGAAAGAGTGGGCGTGAGTATGCGATGAAAGTGGATGAGAGGCACGGGGATGGTGAAATTGAGGACAACGGCAAGGCGAGCGAGGGAAGGCGAGCGAGGGATGGGGGCAAAAGGACGGTGCATCGATGGGCGTAAGATGTTCTACTCACGAACTTCAATGAACCCCCACACTGGGTCTCCCTCTTTGTAGCGCGACCCGTTCGCATCCGCGATCGTGCCCGCGAAGTCGTACTCCGCGGGCAAGGGGCGCTTGGCGAGGAAGTTGGGGGCGACGGCCATGAGTTTGAAGCCGCTAGTAAGGGACGGTCAGTCGAGGGATGTATGCGTATGCACCGTCAAGCAACGAGGCACTCACACAGGGTTCAGCGCCGCCGCCTGCACTTTCACTAGCACGTCCCCTGCTTGGGGCTTCGGAACAGGCCAGTCTTCATGGAGGCGAAGGGCCTTCTCGGGAGGCCCGCGCCGTTCGACGATCCACGCGCGCTGGGTTGTGGGAAGAGAGGCCTTGCTCGTGGGTTCGGTGGAAGTGTGTTCGTCGCTCATGTTGGCGAGCGTTGGGTTCGCACAGGTTGTTGACAAGTTCTGCCGAGACGATGGAAGTAGGAGACAAGTCCGATACGGCTCAACGACTACCCGCCCTCAAGGTTCTCTGTGGCGGGTTGTGTTGCTATCATGACACCAGACGGCTTCGTGTGGGAGGGCTGGAGCTTCGACGACGAGGAACGCAGGTCAGGCGGACAACGAAAGACTTGTCGTGGGTGGTCGACGCCACCGATATGGAGGCTAGCTTGCCAAGCATCGAAGCCAGCCCTTGGGCATCGCGGCCTCGTCCGCGATCGCTGTCGCTGAGAGGTACCCGATCGGCGCCCAGAACCATGTGAATTCGTCGGTTCTCGATTAGGAAGGCTTTGTTCTCGGTGCCTGACGTCAGGGGAGTCGCCCGCGCGCCTATCCGTCTCTCCAAAGAGCAGCTCAGAACAATAGTTCACAGGGATCAGAGGAAGTTCAGCTCTAATTAGGTTGCACGTACACATACAATGAATACACCTTGAGCCAACAGCCCCCCTCATTCGCTCTCCGGCATCCTCTCCCCACCCTGATGCCCTCTATACTTGGGCTTCCCGTCCAATATATCCACCACCCTCGACCCATAGAATATATGACACTTCGGCAGGAACAACTTTCTCTTTTCCGCTGCGGACTTCGCCAGCATATCCACCGAGCCGTCCTTCGGTGGATCGTGGAAGTATATCAGCGACGGAAACACCATGAGCATATTGCGCCCTTCGTCGAGGAGGGGCGCGCGGCAGTGTGCGCAGGCGACCTTGCAGGGGAGGGTGTGGGCTTGTGTGTCGGTAGGCGCGTGGTAGAAGGCGAGGTGGGGGAGGGAGGAGGGGGTGAAGCGGAGGGAGGTTTTGTGGAAGATGGCGGCCTGAAGGGGGTGGATGTTAGTGAATGTGCAGCTGAGTAGCGGGAGGAAAGGGGAGAGAGAGACGAGGGAGAGAGAGGCAGCGCACCCATTGCATCGGCGCGCCGTGTAATCGCTGACATTCGGTACAGTGGCAGAACTTGCTGTCCAGCGGACGTTCAGCGTAAATGGTATACTCGACGCGCGAGCAGTAACAGGAGACTAGTGAGACGCAAATTAGACGGCAGAGGAGTTAAAAGTAGAAGCCTTGTCAGTACTGGTGGACAGGAAGCACGGGTTGTCGAGCACCTGTATAGTACGCGATCTTCTGTCCCTCCGCAGGTGCGTACGGCGGCTGCGTGCGCCAATCGTCCGCGACGATCCCCTCCTTCTGGACGTTAGGATTTGCTATGGTGTGTTGATCCATGCTTTCTCCAGTTACGGCAAGTTTATCTAAGTGGGAAATGAAGAAGATGATCGTCGAGGACGGGAAGGCGCGAGAAGCGACGGCGTTCAGTGCAGAGTTGATGTCGAGAATGAGTCAAGCCAAGGGCCTGTACCAGAGCAAGTGCGCTGTATGAGAGCACGAAGAGAAGTATGTCGAAGCGCGATAGCAAGGCTCATGCGAGGGGCGAACAAGGGCGCAGAGCCGTAGCAGCCTCATGAGTGATGTCATTTCTTGAGCCCCGCTCCGCGGGTGCTGAGAGCGTTCCCTCCCTAATCTCAATGTCGAGAGTGTCATATAAATGCTCGTCGTCAACGAGCTGCACGGTGAGCTGAGCGTTTCCTCCCCACTGTCGACGCTGGAAGCGAGGCGGCCAACGATCATAAAATCACGTGCACGTGATACGCGTGCGCGTCGCGCGACTGTGATGTGATGTTGACGTGCACAGCCACTGTCACATCACATCACAGAAGCAGCACAGCCACGCGGAGACAAACATTCAAATACCTGGCGCCCCGCTCGTCCTTCCCCACTAATCCTTCCCTTCCCTTCCCTCCCCCTCCCCCACGCCATCGCCATCGCTCATTCCCACATTTCTTCTTCGCTGTCATTACTCGCGTACTCCTACGACATCGAGCTGGTCCGGCTTTGCTTCGGCAAGAGGCGAGTTTGGTGTCATTCACTTCCTCCACCTTCCCGCTCGTCGTCCTCCTCGCCCTTCCTCACTCTTCTCTCCTACTGCCTCGCCAACTTCGTCGACGCGCCCGCCTAGCACAGATTGGTCCTCTTTCCTTCCTCTCGCCTATGAACACTCACTGACATTGCTCGACAGCCAGTACCCACCCGTCGGGCGCGTTGAGGGCCGGCCCATGCCAGGTATTGCGCAAGCAATCGGCCATGGGGCGGTCCAAAAGTACGCGTCCGAGTGGCTCAAGGGCGACCGCCTAAGAGTATGGGGACGGTCCCGAAGGGCGAGCTCAATAGCGGACCCTCGGGCGCCCATGGTGGGACTGGCCGGATTTCAGACCTCAACGGCAACGTCAAGGCGTCAAGGTCGCCGGCAAGAGCGCAAGGGCGAGAGAAGAGCGTGTTCGATTGGTGCGTGGTCTGCTTCGGTTCGGCGAGGCTGATGTTCGTTGCCGGTGCGACACCGAACTCGACGCCGCAAGTGTTCTAGCCAGTCGCCCGCTAAGGGCGAGGTCAGTAGTCGTCACTCCTTACAAAGACTCATGCTTACCCTTGCAATACACGCTCGTACCATCCCCGGCGCCGCGCGACTCCGAGTCATCTCTACAAGACGTCCAGCCCGCCCGACAGTTTGATGTTCCTCCTTGGGTATGCTTCCCCGCGCTGACGATCTTGAAGGTCCTCTTGCTCGCCCTTGTTCGCCGCCCTCAGCCTGCTGTCCCTTCTCGCCCAGCACGTCTTCGTTCCTTCCTCTGCACGTCTTCCTTCTTTCCATCATCGCGCCTTCGAACGCTCGCTGACATTGCTCGAAGGCCAGTACCACCCGTCGAACGTGTTGAGAGCCGGTCCTTGCCAGGTATTGCTTGCGCGATCGGGCCTGGGGCGGTTCAACAGTATGCGTTCGAGTGGCTCGAGGGCATGCGCCTGAGAGTATGGGGACAGATCCTGCGGGACGCCCATGGTCGGTCTGGTCGGATTTCAGACTTCAAAGGCAAGTCGTCAAGGCGTCAAGGGTTAAGTACAGCCGCAAGAGCTCGGGCGATAGGTGCGTGGTGAGGTCGGTAACAGCGAGGCTGACGTTGTTCACCGGAGCGATGACCGGACGCGGCAAGAACATCGGCGAGACGCCTGTGTCAGGCAGGGTAAGCAGTTACCATTATCTGTGTAGGCCTACGCTTACCTCTGCAATTTATATACCTTCCGCGTCTGCGCAATCTGTCCCCAAGACGGCGATCGGATCGCTCCGTAGTTTGCCCTTCTTTTCATCTCGTTCGCTTTGCAAGCACTGACCGTTGCCGTAGTGCTCCTGCGTCAGCCTTACCGTTCTCGTCAAATCCGCGCCCTCCGCACGTCAACAGCGTGGGCAATAGGTACGTGGTCTGTTGCGTTCGACGAGGTTGACATGCATCTCAGCACGACGACTCGAAGTGGTGAGACTTTCGGCCAAGCGCTCGCCCTGGGCGAGGTTAGTAGTCGTCTATACTCGTATTTTGCATGCACTGACCCTCGCAATGCATGCCCTTCACGCGCAAATCTGCGATTCGCAAGATGTTCGCCTTGCTCAACAGTTTCCCCGGTCTCTCTCTTGCCGCTATTGCGAAGCCCCCGTTTTCCCGCGTTGGCTTTCAAGATTGGGGCCGAGAAAGCCGGTAACAGGTGCGTGGTCGGTCCCGGTCAGCAAGGCTGACATCCATTCCCAGCGCGACGACCCAGGGCAGGAACGTCTTCGCCGAGTCTCCAACTCGGATCGAGGTCAATAACTGCGCACATTGATATGGGTACGTCAAGCTCACCTTTGCGATACATGCTCGTCTCCTCTCGCGCGACAGATACTCATCACAGGTCCTGGTATACACCCACTCTCGTCAAGCCATACAACTCGTTCGCCTCACTAACCTCGTCTTTCCCTGTCGATCCGTTCGTCTTCCGCATCCCGCTCTTCGCTTCGACGAACGCTTGCTGACATTGTTCGAAGGCCGATACCAATCCGTCGGACGCGTTGAGGGACGTCTCACGTCAGGTATGCTGCGTCGAGTTCGCTCCGCAGGTCGGACGTGGTACGGTTCAAGAGTACGCGTTCGAGTGGCTTGAGGGCGCCCGCCTGAGAGTATGGGGACAGTCCTGCGCGGAGGCCCCCAGGCGCCCATGGTTGGATTGGCCGGATTTCAGACCTCAACTTCAAGGTCGAGGGCGGAAGTGCGAGGGTTGGGTACGTTATATTCGGCCAGCCAACGTAATGAAAATAACTGAATTGAGGGTGGGCCGCAGCACACGCCGAGGAGCGAAAGGGCTGTCGTAGCGAGGTCAGTATCATTTTGCCTTCGTGTTGAATGGACGCTGACCTATATCGTATGCTCAGCCCCACCGGCCGCTCTGCATCTCTGTCTTCTCCCACATCTGTCGATGCAGCGGGGTAGACGAGAAGCACAGCGGTCAGAAGGGCGACTTCTAGCGCCCTCTAAGTGCCAATGTTCACGCAGATGCTGCAAGTTGACAGGGTGGAGGAGGTTGGCGATCAAGTCAAGGACGTCCGTAGAAAGATGCAGGATGTATGAGTAGTACGATCGTAAAGTACAACAGGCGGGGAAAGCAAGAACAGACACAGCGAGATACATGTACACACGAATATAATTTACAACGACCCAGACCGTGCGATACAGCTCTAGTGATTGCCCGACGTCGACCGTTGCGCCGTGCGCTCAACGATGGATGTGCCATCCCTGAACCTTGCCTTGAAAAGGACATTGGCGTTGGTGAACAACCCTTCCTTGAGGGAGACGACGATGAACTGGGAGCCTGGAATGTATGTTAGCAGGCGTAAGGAGTGCAGTTAGACAGAATAGTTACCCTTGAACCGCGTCCGGAACAGCTGGCCGATGTGTTGCGTATGCTGCAAGTCCAGCGCCGCGTCGATTTCGTCGAGAATGTACATCGGGGCAGGCTTGAACTGCAGCAATGCCATGATGAGCGAGAGCGCGATAAGTGACCTGTCGCCAACGAGTCAGTCATGTACTGTCATCGCTGTAGTATTCAGACGTACCGCTGACCACCACTCAACTCCGTCAAGCTCTGCTTCCACACGCTGCCGAGCTGCACCTTGACCTCCAGACCCGTTGTGTAGTCCATGTTCTCCGGCGGTACGAGCTTGGCGAAATTACCCGGGAGCAACTCGCCGAAGATGCCACCGAAGTCCTTGTCGACCTTCTCCCACGTCTTGCGCAGGGCATCACGCTTCTCCTTGTCCAGCTCCTCAATGGTGTGCTCGATCTTGGCCTTGTCCTCGATGATGCTGTCGATCTTCTTGAGCGACTCGGCTTCGCGCTTCTCGACGCTGCGGGTGGGGGATGGTCAGGAAGGTAGTCTAGAGCAAATGCGCAAAGTGACGCACGTATCGAGCAGCATCAGGTCCTTCGGTGCTATCCTCTTCGTCTTTGTCTTCAGCTGCTCCTCGATCCTCTTCGTCTCCTGTGCAATGTCGTCGACATTCGAGAAATCGTAAGGACCGCCAGGTTGGCCGAACGTGCTGCGCAAGAAGGTCAGTCCTCGGACTCGTTGTCACTGATCATCGCCATTTGCTTACTCCTTCTCCTTCGCGATCCACGCGAACTTGTCCTCGAGCTTATCCGCATAACGACCTAGCGAGGCAGCCTCTTTCTCCACGTTGGACGCCTCTTTCTCGAGGTCCTTGAGCTGCTCTTCGAGGGTGTCCGCGGTGGCCCTGCAGCTCTTGATCTCGCGCTCGACGTTCTTGATACCGTCGTCGAAGCCCTTGAGAGCTGCCTTCTCCGCATCGAGTTCAGCCTCCTTCGCTTGGTGGCGTTCCTATACGATTGTTAGAACCATGAGATCATGAAGATGCTTGAATGAGAAACGCACCCTTTGCGCATCGACGGCCTTCTTCTGCTTCTCGAAGTCTCTGTGCGCCTTCTCGATGGCATGCTGGCAGTCCTTGATCGAGTCCCGCGTATCGCATAGCTCATGCTCGAGAGCGGCTGCACGACAACGACGTCAGAGGCGTGAGGGCAGAGCAAACCAGGGCTACTCACAGCATTCGACTGTCGCATCCTGGCACTCCTTCTGCTTGAGCTTGACCTTCACGCTCTCCTTCTGCAGCTTCCGCTTCTGTTCTGTGATCTCGTCCTGCGGGCAAGTCAGTACCATAACGCGCTCAATTATTGAAACAACGCACCCTCAACTCATCAATCTTCCCATCCTTATTGTTCTTATACTCCTCCTCATCCCGCTTGAACTTCTCCACCTCCGCCGCCGCCTCCTTTTGCCTTTGCTTCGCATCCTGAATCGCCGCCTTCAGCCCCTCTATCTTCTTCTTCAGCTCCTCCACCTGCTGCCCAATCTGTGCCGCATTGCTCCCCTTCATCTGCGCCTCCGCCAGCTGCAGCTCGTGCCGCTTCATGTCCAGCTGCCGCACGAGCGCCGCCCACTGCTCGCGCACGCGCCCGCTCTTCTGCTCGTCGCGCTGCAGGGCGGCGAGCCGCTTGCGCGCGTCGTCGAGCGCCTCATTCACCTTGACGAGCTCTTGCATGCGCGTGAGGATGCCCGCGCCGGCGGGGGCGGAGCCACCGGTGAGAGAGCCGGAGGGCTCGAAGACGTCGCCCTGGAGGGTGACGGTGCGTACTTGCGCGTTGAAGGTGACGGCTTTAGCGGTTTCGGCGTCCTCGCAGATGTATGTTGAGCCGAAGACGAACTGCATGGCCTTCTCGACCTCTGGCGGGTAGGAGATGAGGTCAATGGCCAGCCAGCCACGGCCGTTCGCGAAGTGCCTTGCACGGCTCTTCTTCTGCATTGGGTGTCAACATTGATTCTTGTTGTGCTAGTGAGCTGCAGATCACTCACGTCGCCCGACAAAGGATGCGGCTGAATCTTGTTGAGCGGTATGAAGCTGGTACGCTGCCGAAGGTTGGCTTTTTCGATGATCTCCTTGCTGACTTGCTGATCGCGAACGACGACGCTTGCAAGTTGCTTGGTGTTAGCGGCGAGCTCGAGCGCAGTGGCCTTCGGGAAGTGCTCCGGGTCCAGGCGGACGAGCGAAGCGACGGTTCCCTTGACTTGCCGCGAGTCGAAGCCCGGCGGGCAGTCGAAGCTGAACCTGCCGAGCGTGTTGCTGACTTCGTTGCGGCGCTAAAGACATCATGAACGCACGCCCAGATACTGAGAGCACATACTCACCATATCAAGCTCGCGCACTTTGGCCTGCGTCTCGCGCATGTCCGCTTGCGCCTGTTGTTCCTTCTCCGCGTTCCATCCGCAGTTCTCGACTTGTCCTTCGAGCCCTTCGACCTCCCGCCGTAGAGCATCCGCCTTCTGCTGCCCGCCGCTGACCTCCTTCTCCACCTGCTTCCAGCGACTCTGAAGCTGACCCAGCTCGCCCTCCTTCATGCCGAGCTTCGTCTTGAGCTGTTTCTCTTCAGCGGACGCGTCTGTCAGACGCTTCTGTGCTGCCGCAATCTGGCCGAGGTAGCCGCCCGCTGCGTTGTTGGTGGAGGAGTTTGAGAGACCGGTCAAGAGCGTGGAGAGTAGGTTCTCATTCTCGTCAATCTTCGCTTGGAAGTCCTGCTCCTTCTTCTTGATGGCGTCGTAGTTCTCCTGGAGCTTGTCTTTGGCGGCCTCTTTCGCTTTAAAGGTTGCCTCAAGCTATTATTTTGGTCAACACTTCGCACGCGACGGAAAGACAAAGTATACGCACGTCTGCAACCTGCTTCTCTGTCTCCGCCAGCTTCTTCTCTTGCTCGGCAATGTTCGCCTTCTGCATATCGAGCTGCGTCTCGAGGCGCGCGACCTCTTTTGATAGTTCGCTGACCTCGGACTCGAGCGCAGTCAGCTTACCACCCTTCTTCATCTCCTTCGCGCGGTCGTTGTTGAGTTTCGTCAGCCGCTCTTCCAGCGCCTCGATCTCCTCCTCCAAACGACGCTGCTGGCTCTTCTTCTGCTCGACCGCCTTCTTCTTCTCAACCACCTCCGCGCGCTTCTTCTCCTCGTGCCTACGGTGCTCCCACCAGTCATGCGCCGTTACCGTCTTCAAGAGCTCGTCCAGGCGCTTCTTCCCCCGCTCGTACTCGTGGTATGACTTCTTGTCCTTGCGCAGCTTGTCGAGCTTGGGCGTGATCTCGTTCTCCAGCAGCTCGCGTATCTCGTTCACCTTGCGCTCCTTCTTCGCAATCGTCTTGCGCGCCTTCTCCTTGCGGTCCTCGAACATGCGCGTGCCCGCGGCCTCCTCGATCATGCCTAGGATCTCCTGCGGCCTCATGTTGAGCACCTTGGTGATGCGGCCTTGCATGATGACGAAGTTAGGGTTGTTGATATTGAGCTGGACTGATTGAAAGAGGGTGAGGACTTGTTCTTGCTTCGCTTTCCGTCCGTTGATGAGGTATTTGGTCGCGATGGGGAGTGTAATCTGCCTTGTCTCAGTTTGATACCAAACTCGAAGGCAGGGAACGCACCTGTCGCGTCACCGTGATCTCTCTCATGCCCTCTAGGCCTTGCGGACTCTTGTCCTTCTCAGAGTTATCGAAGACTATCGTGACGCTGGCTTTTGTGATGCCGGCTTGGCCGCGCTTGTATATGAGGTCCTGCAAGGTTGCGGCGCGCATCTGTACCGGGGAAAGCGTGTCAATCACGTATCTCCCGTACTCGGTTATTGCTGCGCACCTGCTGCATGTTGTTGATCCCGAGAGCGAAGCATATCGCGTCAAGGATGTTGGATTTGCCAGAACCATTGAGACCAGTAATCGCATTGAAGGAAGGGTCCCAGCCATCTATACGCGTTCGTACAGGATAGGATTTGAATCCTACGCCAGTTTTAGTATGTATATGCGTTTGAGCTCGCTGAACTCACCCTCCAACACCAACTCCGTTATCCTCATGATGGTCGTGTTCAATGAACGCGTCTTGCGACGCCACAAAGAGCGCATGTGACGGTAACGCCTCACGTGTGCGCGACCAACCGCGACTGTCACGGGCCCTTCTCTCGTCACAGCGAACTGTCATATCTTCGGGACTTGTCCTCTTCTGTTTCAGCAGGCTGGTATCTCTGGTCTGGACGGCGTCTGTGCGATGCTTCCCGGATACTCATCCTGTGTTTGGACTGGTGTATAACTCGGGGAGGCTCGGAAGGGTGTATTGCGCCTTGCTTGTCCTCAACCATGACCTCCACCGGGCTTGAACAGGTCAAAGTTCATCTGGACGTACTTCTGCGCCATGCCTCCGCCATAATCTCTCGCCACCGCAATTTTCTTGCTGTTGCAGTCCCAGCGACCCTTCTCTCCCTCTGCATTCCGACTATGTTTCGCGACTACCGTGCATATCTCAGCCTCGGAGAGGGTGGTCTCCCATACAACCCCATAGGGTGGATCCTGTCGAGCGCTCTTGGTATCTTTGGCCGCGAGACCATTAGCATCGAGCTCTATGACAGTATGCCGGAGAAACGCTCGTGGCTCGCCGGGCCTCTGCCTCAGCGCGAAGGACCACGCCCCACCATCGGCAAACATGTCATCCCCCATCGCCAGATTGACCAATTCCCGCCGGAGTCGCTGAAGCCTGCTGCTCGTGGTCTCATCCAAGTGATGCACGAGCGGCATCCCACGACCACCAGGATGCAGCCGTCTGCCCACGAAGGGCACGCCCTCGCGCTCTTCGTGGTACTAGACGCACCATGCCCCATCGCGGACAAAGCAGTTAACCAACATCGCGGTCGCGAGATCGAGCACGTGCACCCTCTGCTCGATTGCAGTTACCACGCGCTGCTTGCGCCGCAAGACTGCAAGGAGGTCATCGCGAAGGGATGGGGCGAAAGGCACCCGCTGAGTGGCTGCTTCGGCGACAAGGATCTACAAGCGAATTACTTGTTCATCTATGCCCCGCGTTCGGAACAGGAGCTGGAGATCATCACTCGTATATTGGAGGCTTCTATCGGGTACATGACGCTGGACGAGTCGTCGGTTGCCAAGGCTGGTGAGTTTGCGTGGTTTTTATACCCCAAGACGCGCCTGAGAAACGATTCGTCCTGCAGTAGTCTAGTAGTATGGTAAAATGTGCGCTATAGGTATTCTTGTGCCTCGAGGTTGTAGTGCATAATGTTCATTGAGCGCCAGGCAGGTACAGTAGTCCTTCAATGAAGGACCCCAGCGAACCTCACGGGCATCCGCCCATTGACTTGCCTAGTATACGAGCGCTCGCCAGCGGAGGAAGTCGCAGACCTTGCTTAGTCCCTACGGTGACCACAGTCCTGGGGTAGGCACTGATGTAGACGCCTGCCCATGCTCATTAGCCTACATAGTAATCAGAGTCCGATGTACACGCCAACGAGGTCAATTAGGCAGCGAACTGTTTGTTAAGTGGCATTGCGCCTGACCCTGCTTGACTTTCACAGTTACTCAGTCTACTCAGCCCCCATCGCCGTACTACTGCCCTACATTGACAGCGAGACCCGCGCCCAGGGCGAGCGTCAAGGTGAAGCACACCTGGGAATGAAATCCGTCCTCTGCGGTTACAGCGGTGCGCGCGCGCCTCTCGGGGGCGGTAACTCGCCGATGCCTGTCAAGGTAAGGACCCCTTCAGTGTTGTTTTGGTTTGACCCAGGACATTAATTTACTATTGGAGGTTTTTCAAACTCAGCTAACCAGGACTGCGTATATATACTGCGTCTTCTGTCCCAATCATTCTCTAGCTCGACCACTGACTGCACTGAAATTCACCCCTCGCCACCTCACCATGTTCTACAAGCTCGCCATCGTCGCTCTCGCTTCCTTCGCCCTCTTTGCAGGCCAGGTCAACGGCGCTGCGCTAGTCGCCGACAACGATGGTATGCTCGTCTTCGACATTGTCCCTATCCAATGATCTGACCTCTTCACCTCATAGTCGACGCCTGCAACGGCAGCAACAACTACGGCGAAGGCCACAGCTGTGCTTTCAAGTCCAGCTCTGGCACGCGGCAGGGAAGTGAGTACGGTCGTAACGCTGGCGTTCGTCGCAGAAGATGCTGATGACTTTGTCAGCTTGCCGCTGGAACTCGTGTGGCGTCCTCGTCTGCAAGACTTGAGCGTGAGGGTCCTAGAGCTTGAACGAAGGGATAGGAAGATTGACGGTGTCGAGAAAATCGTGTCAAATCTAACGTATTGCAAGAATAGATATTGGGCACATATTGTGTGGGTCTGCCTAGGCCAGAGCGATACTTCGTCGCGCTGGCGTCTATTGTTCCGGATGCGGAAGTCGAACTGTGACGCATGTGACGCTCCTTGACTTCACGTGCGCACTCATATCTGACGACGGACATTTCTTCGGCTGTTGCAAGAGCGGATGGGTACTAGATCAATGGTGATGATAGACATATGGCGCCCCTGTTGCTGTATGTAGTCCAAGGCCTGAGTAGGGGTACGGAAGAAGCAGAGATATCGATGTCCAGTGATAGAAAATCGCATACTAGTATTTCTCACAGAATTTCATCGTCAGTCCTAGATCTATGGTACCATACACATCTATCGAGACTTCAGCGGAGGTTGGACTGGAGCAGGTATGGTCGGCATGCGTTCATCTTCGTCCGCCGACCACCGCTGCGTGACAGCTACCCCGTTTACGAAGGCCTGATGCGTGCGCACCACGCCCTCCATGGTCGTCCAAACCCCACGATACCCCAATCCTCCCTGCTCCGGCGGCAATCGCGCTCGAGAGTCATCGAAAATAAGCCGCGGTCCAGCGATATCCCATAGAGATGGCTGCAGAGCCGCTACCAATCCCCGCAGACTGGGCAGGAGACCGGCCAGCTGCGTCCTCCCTCCTATGAGCAGCCAGTGGCGCGCGACGTACACCATTTCGATAGCATACGCCACGAGAAGCATGAGCGTTGACGAGATTCGGATGAACGTGCACTGACCGCCAGAGAGCACCGTCAGCGCAACTCCTATATCGCCGTACGTCTGCGGCGGACCAGGATCCGTCACCACGAAGACTCCGCCGCCGATGTCCGGGCAACTGTCATCGCCGCGCTCGCGGGCGAGGAGGCGTTGCTCGTATAGCAGATGTGCTAGGGAGCAGTTCTCGATGTAGATGAAGGACTGCAGGGAGTCTAGATACCACGATGGGTTTGTGCCCCTGTTGAGATAGCCAGAGCATATCGCGTCGCCACCGGGGCCATAGATGCCATTTCCTGGGCGCAAAATGCCAGTGCGAATGGTGCCTGTACCGGAAGGCAGGTCGTCGGCGGCTCGGACGTGGCGCTCGGCGATGCACTTGGAGGCTGCGTAATTAGACCAGTGGTCCTCGTGGCGCTTGCAAACGAGCGCATCGTCCTCATTGAGGACTCGCACGAAATGCCTCGGCTCGCGTTCCCATGGCCAGAGGAGGTATCGTGAGCGTCGCAGTGTGACAGTACCGGAGGAGGTCTGGACGAATATACTCGCTCCAACGCGTAGGGATGCGTCGAGCAGGTTCTGCAGGCCGTCAACGTTGACGCGAGTAGAGCGCGGCATCAGCATCTCGCAGCGCTCGTAGAAGAGTATGTTGGCGGCCGTATTGAAGACGGTCAAGCCAGAGCTATCCCCGTTCGGCCACGGCAAGTCGAAAGCTCGGTCGACGGCATCGCGATTTGTGATATCTGCTTGGAAGAAGGCGACGCCCTTAACCTCATCCGTGAGTAAGTCAGGCCGCGAAGGCGGATGCAAGTCGATAACGCGAATATTCTCGGGGTCTTCGCCGCGCCTGATGAGGTGCAGAACCAGCCAGCCGCCCAGGAATCCTGTCTTCGGTAATACTCGTCAGGTCAGGATGAACGCCAGCGTATCTGAGTTCCGCACTTACCCCGCCTATGACGATGTACCTTCTACCTGTTACCGGTGGCATCTGGTCGTCGATCGACTTGGTTTCATCCTCCAAGCGCGCCCGCAGAAGTAGTATATCTTCAGGTTTGACCCGCTTCGGCGAGAATTGGAGGGCACGAGGGGGTATCTTCCCAAGGCGTGAGTCGTTCAGCTTGATGTACGCTGCTGCCGCAATGACGATCAAGACAAATGTCTGAAAAGAGGAAAACACCATCGTCGAGGACGAGGAGTACTGTCTTGCGCTTTCCGTATCAGGGGCACAGGCTGCTCCTCTGGATGGTCAGCCTGGTCGCAGTCGTGCCTAAATAGTGAGTACAACCCGAGAAGGAGGCGGAAGACAACTTGGTGTAGAGATTAGGCTACAGCGCGACTGCCGCCTAAAACACACCCAGAAGGTCGTGTTGGGACTAAATGGCCAACCAATATGCCTCAAGGTGATGAGCGATACAAGCCAACTGTCAGATTTACCTCCTCCAGAGTACATCCTATATACGCGTCTCCAGGATCCGGAGGCGTTCGAAGATAGCCTTTGCTACGAAGAGGCTTGCCTTTGCGTCGAATGGCAGCTGGGTCCGAGCAATACAGTGCTACTCTTGCAGAACAGGCATAACGTCAATTCCCGTAGTTGCTTTGACCTGGTCCACGACCGCGGCTGCCGGAGCCGCGTCGTATGACCGCACCTGCGACGAGATCAAGCCCGCCGCGAACGCCTGGTGCGTCCGGATCACGCCCTCCAATGTCGTCCACACGCCACGGTAGCCCAGCCCACCCTGCTCGGGCGGCAGCCTCGCTCGTGAGTCGTCGAATATAAGGTGCGGGCCAACGAGGTTCCACAGCGAGGGCTGAAGCGAGGTTACATCGCCCCGAATATCTGGCAGCAGGCGCGCCAACCTCCTCCACCCGCCCATCAGCAGCCGATGGCGCGTCACGTAGATCGCCTCGACGATGTAGGCGAGGCAGAGCATGAGCGTCGGCGAGACCTGCGGGAACGTGCACTTCCCGCCGCTCAGCGTCGTCAGTGCGACCGCGACGTCGCCGTATGTCTGCGGCGGGCCCGGATCCGTGATCGCGAAGGCCTGCCCGCCGATGTCGGGGCAAGACTCGTCCCCGGCTTCGCGCGCGAGGAGGCGCTGCTCGTAGAGCAGGTGCGCGAGCGAGCAGTTCTCGACGTAGATGAACGACTGCAGGGTAGTGAGGATCCAAGTTGGGTTCGTCCCGCGCGCGAGGTATGCTCCGCATACTGCGTCCCCGCCGGGACCGAAGATGCCATTGCCTGGTCGTAGAGCACCCGTGCGTAGCGTGCCGCCAGCACCCGAGGGCGACTTGTCGGCAGCGAGAACGCGGCGTTCGCATATATACTTGGATGCGGCATAGTTGGAGAAGTGGTCGACATGGCGTTTTGGGATCAGCGAGGGATCTTCATTGACAACTTGAACGAAGTACTTGGACTCGCGTTCCCAGGGCCAGAGGAGGTAGCGTGAGCTATGCACCGCAACGGAACCGGAGGAAGTTTGGATGAATATGCTCGCTCCGACGCGTCGGGACGCGTCAAGGACGTTCTGCATGCCATCGACATTGATGCGCGTAGAGCGATGTAGTAGCCTCTCGTCCCGCTCGAAGAAGAGAATATTGGCGGCCGTGTTGAACACAGTCAAGCCAGAACTGCCGCCATTTGGCCACGGGAGGTCGAAGGCATGGTCGACTGCGTCTTTGTCGGTGATGTCGACTTGCAGGAAGGTGACGTCCTTCACCGCGTCGCCTTGCATATCAGGTCGATCCGGTAAACGGATGTCAATTACGCGGATATTCTTTGGGTCTTCCCCTCGCCTAAGCAGATGAAGCACAAGCCAGCCGCCCAGAAATCCTGCCTTAGCGCAATGTCAGCCGAGATTCAGAGTAGGAAGTATAAGCGCACCCCGCCAACGATTATGTACCTCCTCCCAGTCTTCGGGGGAAGTTGATCCTCGATGGAAGCGCCCCTTGCCGCAAGTTCCTTCTCCAAGCGCGGCACATCTTCGGGCGTCAGACGCTTGGGGGAGAACTGCAAGGCGCGCTCGGGTATGCTCTTGATGCGAGAGTCATTGAGCTTGAGGTAGGTGAGCGGTGCAACGACGGCAGCCGCAGCGCAAGCCAAGAGCGGCCAGTTGGCGGGGAATAGGATATCGCTACTCGTCATGAGCGTGTACGAGTGATGAAGGAGAGTAGGTCAAGATAGTGTTCCTCAGCTGCAGTGCCGGGTGCCGAGTAGTCCAGTGATCGACGCGCCCTTATGATTGTCTTCCCCTGTATATTATGCGAGTCGCAGCACCGCTTTGGGGCCCAAGCTTCCCAGTGAGAGCGGACGGAGTAGGTTCTTGGCCCTGAGAGGCGACGTGGTATGGGGGGAAGAGGGAACCTCGAAACATCGCCAGAGTTCAGCACAATGATCTATGTGCGGGATCGCGAGCCGATCTCCAGGCGGGCGGCGCGGGCCGGCCGCTGCCAATGCCGAGCACTCTGGCACTGGTTAAGGCGGCAGGAACTCGAGAACTACAGGAGGGGACACGAGAAACACTGATTATCAGGCCCTAAGAGGTCGAGTAGGGGGAATTTATCCCGATCGCTCGAATCCCTTAAGACTCAACACAATACCTTCCGGATGGGGATGCGCGCTGACCAGCTGCTTCCAGGCAGGATTCGACAACGTCCGAACTCATTTTGTCATTGACGTCAGCGAGTAGAGTTATGAGCAGAATTGATGAAGCGGCGAGGCAAAGTCAGTATTATCTATCTACATCGAATGAACCGCTAGCGCTACACAGATACATGTACACTCTCGATAAATATCCACAATTAAGGTCAGCACCCGCCCTCAATGGGCTGGACGCTGTATTGAAATCGCCGCTGAGCTTGACTTCGAGCCCGACCCGACAACAGCAGTCCGTATTGGCCGGCCCGGCTCAAAAGGTGGCGCAGCACTCGACAGCGTCGATCCCGAATTCCTCGTCGGCGGTGTTGTTGTACTCGCTCCTGTCGTCGGTATATGCGAACTCGAGCTCGAGCCAGATGATAGCAAAGGTCCTGATGGCGGTGTCGTATTGTGCAATGGCGCCCCGCTTCTTCCACCTTTGCCTCCATTGGGATGTGAGTGGTGGTGGAAGTGGTGATGCCGATGGTGGTGTGTCCTGGGTCCGGTGTGGTGCGGCACTGGTCGATGCGCAGGCGGACGAGTGATGATTCCCGGCACACTTCCGCCGAGCGGCGGGTATGAAGGTGCTCGGGTCGGCGGCTGGCGCGGCGGGAACAAGGGGTTCGCGAAGACCTCGCCGAACTCGGTGACATCGGTGTCGAGCGGCTCGTCGAGCTCGCCACCGTACAGCTCCTCCATCTCCGCACGCTGAAGCTCGCGCTCGAGTTCGCGAAGTTGCTCTTCCAGGTCGGGAAGGACAGTGCCTTCGAGCTTGGTGCGCTTCGCTTGCAGGCGCTCCGCGCGCGTGTCGAGCGCGGCGAGCTCGCTCTCCATCGCTGCCGTCTTCTTCCGCGCTTTCTCCTCTGAGCGTTCGCGCGCTTTGCGAGCCTGGTCTGCCGATCGCTTGAGTTCGCGGTGCTTCGCCTCCCGTTCACTTCGTGTCCTCTCCAACCCCGGAAGAGACTCCTCCAACGCAGCCGCCTCCTCTTCCAGCTCCTCCCTCGCCGCATTCGCGCGCTTGACCGACTCTTGCAAAGCAAGCACGCGCTGCCGCGCCCGCTGCTCCGCCACCGAGTTCTTCTCCGACGCGCGCTTGAGTGCGTCAATCTCGGACCGCAGGGCCGCATCGGTCTTTTGCGCATCTCGCCTCGCGGACTTGAGCGCCTGGGTCAGGGTCTCCTTCTCGGACATGAGGGCGGACAGGGTCTGCTCCACCTGCGCTAGCCGGTCTTCCATGGTGAATGAGGAGGCGACGCTGCTTGGGGGCGAGCCGTTGGCGACTGCGGGGCGGCCGGCAGAGACGGATGAGGAGGAGGGGGTGGATGGGGCGCCTTGATCAGACGAGGAGGACGAGCCATCGTCCTCTATCGTCGCTTCGTCAACTTTAGGGAACTCGAAGTCTGTGAGGGGTCGGTTAGCACTGTACATGAGCGCCTTGAAGGGGGAACGCACCTTCTGTGATAACCTGCCGCCTTATAACATTGCTCTCGCTCCCCTGCACCAGGCCCAGGTCAATGTCATACTGCCGCCCAGGCATCAAACCATAGATGATGATGACCGCCTCGTCCACCTTGTCGTCGATTCGTATAAGCACGCGCTGCCATGGCGCTTCGTTAACGTTTACCGACAAGCCCTTCGCCAGCACATCGGAAATGATGGCGCTTGTCGAGGGCGCGTTGCCTGCCTCGGCGTCACCATCATGAGCCTCGGCTTCCAGAGCTAAATGGTCATCGACGTCGTGCAGGGATGAGGAGAGGATGAAGGTGGCGGAGACGGAGGATATTTCGCGGACGGATAGTGACAAAGGGGGAGCCCAGGGTCGTATGGCGTGCCATTCTTGCTGCGAGTCGCCCGTTCCCGACATTGTGTAAGATCGAGAAGGGGGATAGGGCAGTGAGTTAGTTACACTGAGCAGATGAAGTTCAAGTTCAAGAGGAATTTCAGATCTCTGTGGGCGGCCCGCGTGAGGCATTTTCCGGGATCACGAGACGTCATTCAAGTTCAACTCTGCTGCCTCGTTTTAACACTTCGTACAGTAGGAAGCACAGCCGCATAAACGACCCTATGTAGGGGATATATACATAGCCTTTACATGTCATAGATAGGCGGTCATCATCGCCCCGAGAGCAGCTCCCGCGCCCCCTCCCGTCCAGCAATCCTCTCGAGCCGCATCTTGTCGTACTTCGAGTAAATCAAACGCGCAGTGACATCGCCTGGCTCGACGCCATCGTCGAGAAAGGGGAAAGACAGGAACTCGGCATAGTATCTGTTCGTAAATCAGTCACGCCTGCTCAAGGGAACCCAGGCCGGAATGGAAAACAGACCTCGCATGATCAGGGGGGCCGTAGAACAGTAGATGTCTGATTCCTCGAAGCTTGTACCGCCTGTAAAAGTGGAACCGCTCGCTGACGAGCAAGATTGGCTTCTTCCCGAGAAAGAATGCCTGGCGAGCGCGAGAGATGTCCTGCGGGGTGGAATACCTGGATGAGGGTAATTAGCATATGTAAGAGCATGAAGCTACGGATACTGGAGGGCATCGAGGGGCGCGAAAATAACAGGTACTTACTCGCTCAACTCCGCAAAGCTATGTCCCTCTTTGCGCAAATGATTTTGTACGCGGATGTAATCGAAGGAAGAGGGCACGAAGATGCATGCGCGCTCGCGCTGAACAGCAGATTTCATGAGGCCGGGGAGAACCTGAGGAGTGTGTGAGCATCCAGTCGATGTGACTTAGTCGCGTAACATACCTGCGTCGTGAAGAACTCAAACCGCTTATCCGGCTCGCTCTTCGCACTCGGGCAGTCAAAGTACATGAAGTCGGTGTGGACGCCCTGATCCCGTCGTCAGCCCAGTCCATCCACGTACACAAAAAAGTACACCTACCTCAGGTACGCTGACCCCATTCTCCCTCGGCCCAATCGCCAACCGGCACTTGCCCTCCACATTCTTCAACTGCGAGTTGAACAGCGCGCGCTGCTCCGGCGTCTCGTACGCGGTGAAAAGTAACGACTGCCGAAGCAGCGCGGCCTGCCCGTCTAAGCACCAGTTGCGTATGCGGGAGAAGTCGGCGTCGCGGGCGTCTTTGGGCATCTGATTGAGGTGCTCAAGGACGAACTTGACGTGATCCCAGTTTTGCTGCGACATGACGTCGAGGCCGTCGCCGACGAGGATCTCGATGGAGGAGAGGAGGTCCGCGTTCCTGATGAGAAAGTAAGCCTTGATTCGGAGTATCAGACGAAGCAGCAAGACGTACTTCTCATTTTCGATCCCCGTGCGCAGGCCTAACGGGCTGGCCAGGATGATATCACAGCCGTACAGCCCACCGCTGTCATTCTGCTTCTTCTTCTTCTTGCCATCCTCCTCGTCATGATGTCGCTGAGCACCGAAGATGACCTTGACCGAGCGCTTCGTGATACGCAAGCCTACGCGGAACTTGTCGTCCACATTGCCAGCGAATGTCGCGACGTGGTCAGGAGGGTAGGTGCCTGTAAGGGATCAGCATATAGTGGCCAAAGTGTAGATTGACACACACCTGGCGGCGCCTCCGTCAACTTGTCCACCGCGCCCTCGGGCAAGCCGAAAGCCTTTGTTATACGATCGCGATCGCGGCCAAACACGCTGTAGCTCTCAGGCAGCACGCCGGGAGCGGTGAGCGCATTGAACCACTTGAGCGCAAAGGAGCGGAAGGGACAGAGGATGAGGATGGAGGGGCGCGTGAAGGACTGGTCCTGCAATGTCTGATCGGGGTTTTTGGCGAGGGATTCGGTGTTCTTGAGCACACGCTTGCGTTTCCTGAGCTAGATGAGCGAGGGAGGAGGTTGTTAAAGACGAGCACGCACCTCAAGACATGAGTGAGAGCGTGGCGAGCGACACTGTTCCGAGAGCTTCCAGCGCGAGAAGTATCAACCACCAACGCGTCGCGGTACGCGGACATGGCGGCCTCCAGATTCAAAGGAGCGTCTTCGGCCGGTAGCGGGGTACCCTCCGGTACCTCCACCACTCCATCCTTAGTCGCGCGCTTGTCCCAAGCGCGCCGCTCGACAGCTGCGCGCGCCCCCTCCGTAAGCGCCGCAGGCTCATTCCCCCAATGCCGATCATACACCTCCGCCTCATCAGCCACAGCCAGCGCCTGATCCTGTCCCTCCTCATTCTCCTCATCCACCTCCTGCTCCTGTTCCCCCTCCTTGTTCTCCTTCGCTTCTTCCCCTTTGCCGTTCTCCTTCGCCGCGCTCTCCACCTTGGGCTTCTTGCGCGCGTTCAACTTGGTCTTCATCGGCACAAAGCTGTCTTCTGCCTCGCGTTTGCGCTTGTGCGACTTCGATTTGAGTGCGGAGACATTAAGGAGCGTGAGGAGCTTCGTCCGACCATCGTTGGGGTCGTAGACCTTCATTGTGGGGGGCGCGTCGAAAACAATGGATGGCCGATCGGGAAAAGTGATCGCGCCTCTGTGATTGATTCCGTCTGCGCACGTGTTCGTATTTGCTCGTTGGACGAACAAATAAAGAATGGCTCGGGCGAATGATTCAAAATACGTGGAAGAAATCACAATCGATTGAAGATGCTGTTTAGCATGATTTCCAGATATATAGAGCTACTAACGAACGTCTATGTGTGTGTGTGCGTCCAGTCCACGTATACATACCATCTTTCAACAACTCGATTTGAATACTAGTGGACAATCCAAGGACCATGTTCACAGCTTCTCCGACGCCGGAGCCTCCTGCATGCGCACCCAGAGGCCATCCTATGCAAGCGTCAGCCATCTTAAGCTCTACTCGAGTGGAACAGATATCACCAACCTTCAGATACATCGTCAAATGCGCCGCAAACACCCTTTTCTCCACCTCCGCATCCGGCGCGTCCGTAGTACGGAACCGCGCCACCGACTCCGCCGACTGCACATCGTCCGCCAGGGTGAATGACGAAAAGTTCTGCAGGAGCCTAACGAGGAAGAACGACATCTCGTTGTACGCGAACTGCTGCCCGAGGCAGATACGCGGGCCGGCGTTGAAGGGGACGAAGATGTACGGGTTGTGGGTGAGGTACTTGGCGAGGCGCTCGTCGATGAAGCGGTCCGGGTTGAATTTGCCGGCTGAAGAAAGGTAGTCAGCGGCGAAAAGGGGATGGTCTGAGGGGGAAGAGACATACCATCAGGGCCCCAGAGGTCGGTGCGACGGTGCATGAGATAGACGCTGTAAAAGCAACGAGTTCCCTTTGGTACGAAGATGGGGCTCTGGCTGTTGTTCTTGTACGGTAGGACAGTGTCGCGGTTGGCGGTCCTGCTGTTGACCGGACTATGGGAGCGTTAGCGACGGTTTCCTCTTCGCAACGCAGAGCACATACACAATGGGGTACAGACGAAGGACCTCGTTCAGGAAAGCGCGCAGGTCTATGGTTCAGATCAGTCGTCGGTTCGATGGTCTGTGTTCCGTCCGCTCACACTTCATGTCACGGATGTCCTCGTACGTGGGGCGACGCGTCGGTCCGACCTTGTCGAGAATCTCAGCGCGCAGCCTCTCCGTAATGTCCGGGTGCTCAGCCAGCTTGTAGACACCGTACGCCAAAGTACCGGAAGTCGTGTCACGACCGGCGACCAGGAGGTTAACGATCTCGTCGGTGAGAACCTGCTTATCTGTGGATATGCGGCGTCAGTGACCTCTCGGCATGGCCCAATACGCGTAGGCAGCTCACCCTGAGTGTGCTTGAACAGATGGTGCAGCAGCGTGTCGTTCTCGCCCGGCTTCGCCGCCGCCCCCGTCTTCGCCTCGATATCCTGCCTCGCAAACGCCGGATCGTCCAGAATGCTCGTCACAAACCCATCCACAACCTTTCTGTTCGGCGCAATCTTATCCTGCCAAAACTCATACAACCGCCACGCCGTGCCACCCACCCTCGAGCGCAGCGCCATCAGGTTCTGCCCCTCCCCGAAGGCCTCCACGAATTTGTTCGACGGGTGCTCGAGGAACTGGCGGGAGTTGGCGAGGGGGGAGGAGGGCGGGTAGGGGAGACCGGCGCCCGCAGAGTTGACGTCGTGCCCGAAGAGGAACTCGGTGGCGGAGTCGAGGGTGAACCGGGCGATCATGTCCTGGAAGTCGATGGGGAAGCCCTGCGCGAGGCGCGCCTTGGCCTGCCGGAGAATGTCCTCCGCGTGCCGGTCGAAGATGTCGAAGTGCGCGATCTTGTCCTTGTTGAAGAAGGGGCGGGTCATGGTGCGGTGGAACCTGGGGAAAGGGGGTGTGTTGAGGGGATTTGTGAGGGCTGGGTTGATTGTAGAGACACTTACTTCCACATATCGCCATCAGAGTTGAAGACGCCACGGCCGAGGAGTGAAAGGCCGATTTCGAAGGTCACAGGGCCTTCATTCGCGCGGAGATTAGAGCGAGCACGGGTCCGAGGGAGTAGACTACTATGTACCTTTCTCGAACTCCTCGAATTGAGTCGCTAGGATAGCCTTTGATACGCCGGTGCGTCAGTAAGAGCGGCTAGCTTCCAGGGTATCGACTATACCTTCACATGGTCGGGCTCAAGAGTGAAATACTGTACACGTGCTTCAGTGAGAGATGGTGTATACTGTGCAGTGGAGTTGTACTTACGCGGGTATCTCCCATAATGTCGGCGCGGAAGACATTAGAGCCCGTTTCTTTGGCCCAAAGACCGATAACATTAGCTGACCAAGAGTCAGATTGCTAAGGCTTCAGATAGACTCGCAGCGCACTGACCGAACAACCCCTTCCTGACCGAGTTCCGGATAGTGGACAGATGACTGATCCCGAAAGGGTGCTTGCTCTGGACGAGAGGCGGGATGACGGCCCCAGCAGCAGCGGCCTTGCGACGGTTTTTGGCCTGGGTGAGAACGCTGGAGACAAACCACGAGAGCGGGTGCACGAGGATGATGGCGGCGGGGACCCACGCGGGCAGCTGGACCTCGCGGACGTTCTCCAGCACGCGCAGGCATCCGTACGCGAGCACAGACGGGTAGACGAGGCGGGGAATTGTCCTGAGCAGGAACACCACTCCAGGAGGGGCCATGATAGCAGACGAGGGAATGAGGAAGGCTTTGCTGGAGAGGGCGGGCCCTTTATACGATCTTCTTCATACGACGGTAACGACAGTGGCGATAGCCGGGCTACTTCTCTCCTCGGGGAGGGTGCTTTGCCGACCGAGGCCGACAACCTTCGCGCGAACGGCGTGGGGAAGGAGTTGTTGACAATAGAGAAGAGAGGGAGCGCGTCACCACAAGCGAGTCGTTGACCAATTCGGGATTGCTCTTTGGCTGCGGGAGTCACCCGCATGGTAATGGCCGCCTGCGTGAGCTGCCCAGATGATCAGCAAGAGCGTGAGAGGGGTCAACAATGCGACCATCTGGCAATCATATCGCTAGTGAATATGGTTGGTTGCCGCTGAAGCGGGATCTCTGTGGATCTCTGTGCAGTCAACAACCATTATGGCGATTGGGTGCGTTCCCGTATGCAAAAGTACTGATGACATTAGTGTCGACTACACAGAGGCGGAGAGCGGCGTCCTTCCCCAATTTCTTTGAGGTGTATCGATTGCGGCGTGTACGTGGGCATCTGAACGCGGTGCTCCGAGTCGGCGACGAGGGCTGACCGAACGCAAGCGCTCTTGGTGTTTGAGACTGCTATCGTATTGCACCAAGTTCAGCAAGCTCTCAATGGAGAGCTCGAGCGCCCTGCTCAGAGACCGACAAGGGCCCCGAGTTCATCCTGAGTGGCAAGAGATGAGCGATGGAATCAAACAGAGCGGATGCGCGGATCAACGATCACTGCGGAGGCTTTTCCTGTCGTCAAGTCCGCGGAAGTCCGCGGCCTGCCCTGGCGTATGCTCATGTCCTCACCTCCGCTTCCGTGTCGAAGCGGGAGCAGGTGCTATATGTGGGGAGATGAACTCGCAGAACACATACATTAGGGTTCGAGGGCAGGACTTTGCGGGATGAGCAAACCGTCTGTGACCACCAAGCAAGGTCGCAAACCTCACATGAGCTGTTCACCGTCTGTGTAGGGAGATCGGCCTACGTCCATGTTGGGTTGTTCGTCCCTCATCGTACATTATATTGACTGGAATTAGTCGTAGGGGTATATTAGAGGTCCTAGCAAGCTCTACTACTCAAGCAAACCCACCATCTTCGAGCGAGTCCGGTAGCGCATTTGTGGCACTACCACATCCCGACTCTGGAGGCGACGACCCCACCACGATTTCAATGTTACCACCGCCAACGATATCGTCGAACGAGATATAGCAGATGGTATCGCGCGCTTGACCTGTGTAATATGCGTCAGGGAAGATGCAGTACACTGGGCGGAACTCCACGCACCATTGACCGAGACGCTCTGGACGTAGAGGTTGCTGCCATCGTCCGGGCTCGCCTTCAGCGTTGACGAATCGAAGTTGGTGACGCTGACGGTCGTCGACGTGCCAAAGAGGTCGTTGTTGATGATATAGCTCGACAAGAAAGGCGATCCGAGAAGCAGTTGCTTCGTCGCAGGGACCGGGTACAGACCAAGGAGATGGAAAGTCAGGAGCGCAGCCATTGCACCGGAGTCTGTCAAGCCTATTCAGCGATACATAGCTACATGAATTTCTCACGCATACCGTCGTTCCCTGGAATCTGCGACAGCTGTTAGCATCCTCTGCTCTCCGAGCCAGAAACATTCGACGTACTCCCTCGACGCCCGTCCCGAAGTTCTCATATACAACCTTCCGCACCCGCTTTGCGCTCAGATCCGGACGATTCGCATAGTGGTACAGCCACGGCGTCTCGAACGACGGCTCGTTGCCTGGCAAGAAGTATCCGCCGTCGAAGTAGCGGTCCCTGTGGGCATGATGTTAGCCTTCCCTATAGTAGCTATGCAGCGTCTTTACACCGGCACCGATGTGCCGTCTGAGATGATTTTTGACAGAGAAATTCATTAACTTACAGCCTCGTCACAAAGCTCTCCGCGCCACCCATGAACTTCACGATCGACGACATCGAATGCGGAGCCCAAAATGAGTACTCATACGAGCTTGACTCGTAGAACCCTGTATCGTTGTCGTCGCCCCGCGCGCAGGAGTGCGAGCCAGAGTCGACCGGGGAGCATGCGTCGGGCGGGGTGTATACGAAGGTGCCGTTCTGGGAGGTAGATCGTCAGTTTGGATATTGTATTCATTTCATTGCCCGTTACACAAGGCAGCCCACACACCTCCAACCTCTTCTGCACATACCCCGTTAAATTGTCGTACTGCACATCCGCGTCCCACACGTTCTTGAAGTTCAGGGACCGGTTTGTGTACGTGGAGATGTCGTCCGCAGACTTGCCGAGCGCCTTCGCGGCCTGGCGGACGGCGAAATCGTTGTGGGCGTACTCGAGCGTGCGGGAGACCTCGCGGGTGGCGAGACCGGTGGAGGCGCGCGTCTTGGAGCCTATTCGGGATTACTTGTCAGCGTCCGTGTGGCATTGAAGAGGGGGGGGCAGGCTGGGTAGAAGGGCAAGAGATACACTCACCATCCGGCGTGCCCCCATTCGCCTCCACCAGACACTCATCCCGCACCGCCGCGCACCACTCCTCGTCCGGGTTTGGCTGCATATCACTGATGCACTGGTCGTACTCTGTACAAAGGTCAGACACGAGCTTAAAAAGAATTGGTTGATTTACCATCCTCGCAAAACGACGTGTTATTTCTCGGCGAGCAGTGTTGCGACTTGTAGTTCGAGCCGATGTACGGGTCGCCGGCGACGCAGGGGTGGTCCGGGAGACACTCTGTGCTGCCCGCGACGCAGTAGGCGCCGGTTTTCTCTGGGAGGCGGAAGTGGGATTAGAGTCCCTCCCAATGATCCGTGAACAAGGAGCTCGAGGAAGCACTCACTCCTGCAAACACTGTCAATGCACTGGAAGCCGTCGGAGCCGCAGAGGGAGACTGGACCCGCGTTAGTCCCCCGCAAGGTGATAGCAGAAGTGCAACTCACGCCCTGTATCCCCACAATCTGCCGCTGTCGAGCACGCGCTGCCCGCTTTGGAGGTGCCGGCGCCTGTAGTTGACGTCAGTCTCAGTGGTCAGGTCATATTCACGTCATGGAAACCACGCAGAATTGAGGCTACGCACATCGATCGAAAGGAATATACCCAAACCGCTTCCATACGTCGTTCTGTCGACCGTAGCGGTACCAGTCGTCCGGCGTCTCCTCCGCGGTGGTGACGAGGGCATTGTATAGGTCGTCGGTGTCTACCTGAAGGCGTAGAGTAAGTCTTCTGGTCCCTCTCGGACTCGAACTTCCTTCGCATTCTCCATCTCGCATTTAGGCGGAAGTGAAGGCAGAAGACACCCCTATCCCTACTCACCCCCAACTCCGCCGCCTGCTCGGCGTACTTGACCGCAAACTCGCCAAGGACGGGCATTCCGTTCGCGCCACCTTGGATGTAGCCGGCCTTCGTGCTGACGCGGCATTCGGGTATGTAGCCTAGGATGCATTGTGAGGGCGAGTTCCAGCTAACTGATACGCAATGTATGGGAACAGCTTACCATCAGCGCGCCACCCATCGATATACGTTCGAACGATCTCCGACCACTGTCGGGGCCAAAGGATGGAAAGCAGTGGATGTTCAGTCCTGAAGGTGTCCCAGGAGCTATCGAAGCGGTCAGCGAGCTGCATCTCCCTCATAGGGCAACCGTACATACCAGAACAGCGAGTCATCTGCATAGTAAACCCATTAGCACTCAGCGTCCCTCAGAGACTAGAAACCCAGAAGAACAAACGAGCCACCCACAAAACGGTTCCGCACTCCCCGAATACGGATTCTCCCCAGTAAAGTTCGCTGGTACGAGCGCGGCGCGATAGAGGGACGAGTACAGCAGCTCGACCACTGTGGCATCTTCCTTGTCCGTGTCTACCTGTACGGCGTTCAAGCGCGCATCCCAGGCTCCTTGGGATGCTGCTTGGGTGGCGTTCCATGCCTGGGCTGCTTCATCGACTGAACCTTTGCCGTATCCGGGCACCTCCGCTTCCGCATTCGCGCACGCTTGCGCGGAGCTGAGCATCGAGACGCCAAAGCGGAGGGTGACCGGATGATCATCGCTGCCGCTGAAGGAGAGGAGCGCGCCGGCGTCCAGCCCAGCATACCCGTTGGCGTTATAGTCGTATGAGACTGAAGTGCCAGTCTCGGAGATCGTGCCGTTGGCGTACGTGCCGGAGGCGACGAGCGTGTCGGTGGGGAAGTCGTAGCAGGCGTAGGCGGTGTAGTTGTAGGTGCCGTAGGACTGCAAGAACGTTCCCTCAAGCTCGATGCGTCCTGCGCTAGAGTCCAAACTCGAACTACCGCCGTGAAACGAGCGCTGCAGGTCATTCGTCAGATCGACGACGACGTGCGTGCCATTGGCTCCGGCAGGGTAGGTAAAGCGGATGAGGCCCGCTCTACGAGTCGAAGTCGTCTCGATTTGGATGCCGGTGGTCAGGGTGGAGGTGAAGTAGCCAGGAGACGCAGAGTCGCCTTCGGTGCGTTTGACTTTCCTGGAGTGTGTTATGTGTAAGTCGTCTCGTCAGCGAAGACTGGAGGAATTACTGACCTGTCGTCAATGCCGACGGGACAAGAGGTAAAGTCGCAATTTGAGAGCGGGAAAAGAGGGAAGATGCCCCAGCCGCCGGTGGCCGTGCCGCCGGTACCCTCGTCGTGCATGAGGGAGACGCCTATATGGACAGATGGCTGAGCTAACGGAAATCTCTGCCTCAAGCAGACTTACCTGTCACAGAGTAATTGTCAGCTTTGTAGCCGGCTTGGCGAGGGCTGGTGTCCATGTCGAGACCAACCTATTAATACACTTAGTGTGTATGGAAGGGGGTGATTCGAATTCTCTACTCACCTTTGCCATTCCATTGGGAACTGCAGCACCTACAAGACACAGGGGTCAATATTCTCACGGAAGTACGCGCCGCAACGCGGCAGCCCCACCTGGCAGTGCATTGCCATCCGAGCCCGTGCCGATGAAAAGGTTCACAAGCGGCGTATACTGCGCATGAGACGCAGCTATCAATGCAAGGACGGTCACCGCACGCATCGCGGTCGCAGAGGTCAGCAGGCGCGCGATAAGAGCAGCAGCAGTGGCGACGCAGGACAAGAACCGTGCGCGGAGTAGCAGCTATAAATGAGTGTGAAGGACGCGGTCACGTTTCTCGGAATGCGGGACACTGCAGAGTGGGCGCCCGCAGGGCCGGGAACACGCGAGAAACGTTCGACCTCGAGACGGGGCAATTTGGGGGGGGGGGGGGGGGGGGAAAGGGGAAAGCGCAGGGAGTCCGAGTGGGAGGAGATGAAGGATGCAACCGTGCGTCGAATTCTTCGTCTTGCTTTTATGTTGTCGTTCGAAACGTAAGGATCTGGTGTTTGATGGTACCGCTTTAGACTTCCTCACCACCCAAGCGTTTGAGGCAAGCTCGAGGTCAATCAACTCCACCCTTAATTCAGGGTTGCATCCGTGAGCGCGTTTCCCAGCTTCAGGGCTTCCGAGTGAGGTCTGAACTATGTCTTTTCAGAATCCAGGACGGTGAGCTTCAGTTAGTAGTGAATATTCCTCGGGACAGATTCCGACATGACGGTAGCGCCCAAGATGGCTTTCCCACGCGCCCGGCGCATCTGATCCGCTTGCCTCGGGCCGACAAGCCGGAGTAGCCCCTGTCCGGCGTGCCAGACGCGCTCATGTTGTCGTTCCGAAGCGCGTCCTTCATCGTCCTCGTCGTTGCGCTCCTCTTCCGCACCCTATCATACCCAGCAGAACTCAATACAGATGTACTGTACTCCTCCGATGACAATGGCGACGCGCGCGCCCTCCTCGTGACCGCGCACCCGGACGACGAGGCCATGTTCTTCGCGCCCACACTGCTTGCGCTGGCGGCGAAGGTGCGTACAAGCGCGCGATATTGTCGAAATATAGGACTCATTCTCTGTTAAGGACGTAGCTGTATACTCTCTTTGCCTTTCCGTGGGGAACGCTGACGGCCTTGGGGACGTACGACGACGGGAATTCGGCGAGAGCCTTGACGCGCTGGGAGTACCAGAGAAGAGGCGATGGGTGCTGGATGATCCGTATGTCGCCATATAACCTTTCTGGTCTCATCTTGACCACCTTCCCTAGCGCTCTGCAAGATAATTTTACTGCGATTTGGGATGCAGACGTGATCGCACGAACAGTGCTCCCCTACGTGGCAGAAAGCGCTATCACTACCGTAAGCTATCCCCAATTTTCCCTCATTAACCTGTGCTATTTTTCTCCCTTGTATATGCATATCACTCGCACCCGGCCCTTTTATCTGAACCTGCACCCCAGATCCTCACCTTCGACCGCGAAGGCGTATCCCAACACCCCAACCACCGCTCTATCCGCGAGGGCATTCGCACACTTCTGTCCTCACCCGACTTCGACGACTTAGACTCACCTGCCACCCTCGCCATCCACCCGCGCTTCTTCACCCTCGTCACCGTCCCCTTGGCCTCAAAATATCTTGGCGTCGTTGCGTCTCTGCAAGCTAGATTCGACCTCGCGGCCATCGCGACATTGGATGCGCTCACGAACGCTTTTGCTCGGTACTCCGGCGGCGACAACACTGACAACAGCGAAAGTGGGTTGGAAGCCCGCGAGAAGACAAGCACCAAAGAGGGTATGCTTGCAAGATCCAACAATGCTCCCGTCATCCCCGCCTTCATCTCCGGGTGGACAGAGTACAAGACCGCCGTACGTGCCATGCTCCGCCACAAAAGCCAGATGGTGTGGTTCCGCTGGCTTTACGTCGCGTTCTCGAGGTACATGTGGGTGAATGAGTGGTTTGAGGTGGCGGTTTGAGGGTGGCGAAGTTGATGCCATTGTAACCATGTAGCCCTCGATGCTAGCATACCTTGCCGCAGGGATAGACAGCCAGTCTTGCGGTGGAAGATATCGCGGGTGACATACAGATAAACATCGCAGACAAATCATACGGCCAACGTCGGGCCATGACAATGCGACGCTTGTGATCGAGCGCGATGTTCTACGTTCTCAATGGGAACTCTTCCGTCTCCGCTTCCGTCTGCGATCGAAATTTCTACGCAATACTACTGAAAGCACGTACTCTTGTCACTTTACACTCGAAGCCCAAAAAGCCGTCCTCAGTCATTGCTGCCTCCAGTGAAGACCTCGTCGAATCCTCCATCTCGTCCGGTACCGACCCGTCTGCAGCATTTATCGAGAGGTACTCCAGCCGTGGATGAGTCCGCGACTTGACCATGTCGACGAGCGCCTGGTGACTGAAGTGTAGGATCCCTTCGATGGTCCACCTCGTCAGACACGGCAGCAGGGGTGGTGGGCCTCCCTTTACAGCGGTCATCCGATGCAGCAGATCGTCAGTAACGGACGACCCCGGAATCATGCCCAATACATCCTCCCGCACCGACGACTCTTCCTCCAGGACGAAGTCCGAGATGGACGGAAGGCGCTCCAGCATGCCGAGGAAGTCGTTGATGGGTATGATGATGGTCTTCAACTTGAGCGCGGTGATAGTGCATTGCGAACGAACTAGGAAGGCGTCGAACTCACGCATCGGCCACGCATCCAACCGGAGTCGCCCGTAGGCCTCCTCCAGGAGCGTCCGGCGCCCAGCAAGACCGACACCGTGGAGGCACAGGCGCCGCAGCCTCGGAAGAATGAGAGTCGACAGGAGGTGAACGAGGACCTGCGGGGAGTCCATCACGAATGTCACGTCCTCCAAGCACGGGACCTCGTGAACGGAGCCACCCGGCTCGTTCCCCTGCTGCCCGACGCAGACCTCGAGAGTGACAAGTCGGCGGCAGCTCGCGAGGATATCGGTGACGGCGACCATCGACGTGAAGTCGTGCACGCGCAGCTCGGTGAGCTGCGCCCATGGCAGCGTGCCGGCGGAGTTCGCGACCGGACCCGTCCAGCTATGCAAGCGCGGCGCATTGCTGAAGCTCTCTACGCTGATGTCGTGCCAGGTGTGTCGGACCTCCACATGCTCGAGGAGCTCGGGTATGACGCCGGGGGCGAGCTCGGGGACGACATGCGCGAGAAAGGCAGGCATCACGCATGTCTTCCACCGGGCGAATGTGGTGAAAACCAAGCGCACGATCTTCCCGACGATTTCCTCCCAGTATCCTTCGTGGTACAACAAGGCCTGCAGCTCAACATGCAGCGGTGCCAACCTGGAGCGTGTGAGGTAGCACTGTAGGAGGGATAAAGATCGCGAGATGAGGTCCTCTCTTCTCTCCAGCAGTTTGTATGCAAGATGCTCATTCGTAGAGTATCCTTCGGTATCCGCCTCGAAATTGTAGAAATCTATGCGGATAGGCGGCGTCCAGAACTCGGCATCGGTCACAGCAATGTCGGCCCATAGCTGGCACACCCAGCTCATTATAAGCGCAGGAGGGTGCAAGTGGATCCTCGCATAACGTCGAGGGTATGCTTCGCGCGTAGGTGGGAGAATCAAGGATTCGTCGGAACAAGCGTAGAGAAGAATGGGCCTCAGGAGCTCCGTCGGCAAGGTATTTATGAGAGCAGGCGAGTTAGGACATAGAGGTGGTGTGCTTCCTTCTTCATCCTGCGCTGATCCGTGGGCCATTTCTTGCTCAGAGGAACCGCAGTCCCAGAGCTCGAGTCGAAGTCGGCTTGGATGAGAATATGGGGCTCAGACGGGAACGCCTGGAAGCTGCTGAAAATCCAGTTCAAAACGCTGTGTTCAGCTGAAAGAAAGTCATTACCAGTCTCCAGTGCCAAACAGAGTCGCACACGCAGGCTACGCCCTGCTCGAGCCTCGAGGAAGGTAGATGGCGAACCGTGACAACCCACATCTCCATGTGCACGCAACGAGTCTCATTAGTCACGTGTCAGTTGGAAATGGTGCGTCACGGTCACGCGCATTACCTCTCGCGTCTTTCTTCTGACCGCCACTCATATCAACCGCGCTTCACCAATGGGCAAGCGAGCATCTGAATCTGATCACTCTGAATACAAAGGCGGAAATAGCTCAGGCTCCGACTATGAAGTCAAACCAGTGCTCAACAAACGCAAGGCGAAGGCCGCCCCGAAGACGCGGACCAAGAAGGTCAAGGTTGCTTTAGAAGACGAATCGCAGCCTCGTACCCTCTCTGTGCAGCACTCTTCCTCTATGCACAAGATAGACGACCCCGCGCCCATGCGTGCGGCACTTCTGGCCTGGTACGATGGCGTCAGCACCTCCCGCGGTATGCCCTGGAGAAAGCCCTTCAGACCAGAAGCTACACGCGACGAGCGAGCGCAACGTGCGTACGAGGTATGAAGATAAATGTACTGGGCCGCACGTATCTGAGCAAGTTCTGCCGCCCAGGTATGGGTGTCCGAAATCATGCTTCAGCAGACGCAAGTTAGCACCGTCATTGCGTATTACAATAGGTGGATGGAAAAGTACGTACACCGAGCTCTTGCTTGCATCGCTCGCTGATAGTGCACCCATCGTAAGGTTTCCCACTCTCGCCGACTTGGTATGTCGCAGCGATCGCGCTTTTGAATGGTGTTGACCCTTGGCAGGCGAACGCAAATATCGACGATGTCAATGCCCTATGGAAAGGCTTGGGATACTATTCGAGGGCCAAACGCCTGCTTGAGGGCGCTCAGAAAGCCGTCAAAGATTACGGCGGTCAGCTGCCTGACAATGCGAAGGAAATGCAAGCCAATATACCTGGTATCGGTCGTTATAGCGCGGGTGCAATTTGCTCTATCGCGTATGGTGAACGCGTCCCCGTGGTACGTACACAACCACCTCTTTCAGGGTGATCGTGGCGCTGACCTTCGCGGCTAGCTAGATGGGAATGTGCACCGCCTGATGAGCCGCGTCCTGGCGCTTCATGCGAACCCCAAAGCCAAAGCGACATTGGACTTACTATGGACAGCTGCGGAAGCGATGGTAGTGACCCCGGAGCCGGCCATCGATACGTACGTCAGCGCTTGTGCGCCTCGCTGCATAGCGCTCATCTGTCTGCATTCAGCGTTGGTCCCATGCAGCACGCCGGCGATATCAACCAGGCGTTGATAGAGCTGGGAAGTACCGTATGCAAGGTCAAGGACCCCAACTGCGCGAGCTGTCCCATCTCGTCATGGTGTAAGGCGTACACGCGGGCCAATCATCAGGTAAGTTCCCCGACGAGGTCGTCCTTGCGTGAGCTCAGTTCATTGCAGGAAAACAACATTCAGGATATAGAGGATCTATGTCAATTATGCGAACCGCTTCCAGACGACACGAGTGTCACGGTTTACCCCATGCGTTTAGAACGCAAGAAGGCGCGAGAGGAAGTCGACGCCGTCAACGTCATTGAGTGGCGGGGACATGATCCGGACCAAAGGTTTATCATGCTTGTTCGCCGACCTGAAAATGGTATCCTACCCTTTGCTACGAGTCTTCTGAGCACACTGACTAAGTACAATTTTCAATGTTTTTTCAGGCCTCCTCGCCGGTCTCTACGAATTTCCGACCATCGAGAACGTCTCCGAGGGCACTTGCGCCGAAGGCCATACACAGAAGCTTCTCCACACATACCTCAAGGATGGCGTGCTGCCTGTGGAATCTGGTGAAGGCTCTGATGATCAACTTCGAGTTGTCTCCTCGCGCCCCAAGGGCGACGTCCTCCACATCTTTTCTCACGTCAGAAAGACCTATCGCGTTATGCATGTCGTTATACAGGGTGGCGCTTCCCCGCCTGTTCTCGCCGCGCGCGCGTCCCAGGACCGACCCAGCGCGACGCCGAAGCCAGTCAAGAAAGGGAAGGCCAAAGGCAAGGCGAAGGGTGCCACCGCCTTGAGCGCGTCGGCGCCTGCGGACGGCCCGTCGGCCGTGTGGACAGAAATCGCGAAGGTTTCTGATGCGAAGTGAGTGGTCACCGGTGTCTACATTTGGGAATGCTTAACGCATCCGCGTAGCATCGGGACAGGCGTGGGGAAAATCTGGAGTCTGATCTGGTCAGGCTGAATGGCGCGGCTCCGAGCGCTGCAAGCATCGAACCGGTCATTCTCAGGCGCGGCGTTGGGGTAATCTCGGGACGTCGCTGTTGGTGTGCCTAGCGGGATGAGCGTGAGAGCTCGCATGTCTTCCCTTGCCTCAGTTGACCGCTTCCATGGCCTTGAAATGACATTTTCGTTCACCCCCTTCGCACGGCGCGCCGCAGGGACGTCGCCGCGGCCGAAAGAGAGACGGTAATACCCTGCAGCATGCCACCTACATTCAAGCGGTTAAGGTTCCGGCATATATGTCTCTCTGACTGACAGACCGTCTAGCGCTAATTGCCGGGCCAGCGAGCTAGCGAGTCGCTTGGAAAGGTGTAATGGTACTGCAACCCTAATGACCATGACGAGATTTTTCTCGAGGTCGATGTATCTGCCTGATGAACCGCTGTCGACTCGAAAGTAGTTCGACTTGCTTCCCAAGTAGCATCCGACGGACTCGCGCGTCCTCCCCGATTCGACCGCTGATTTTTGTGCAGTCAAGGGTGATTTCCGGACACCGTCAGGTGAGTCTTCTGTCCCCCATGCGATATCCTACTCTGTAACTGACTTCTCTACTAGCCGGCCCGCTACTGAATACTCGGCGAGATATCACTCGAAGACTGTTAAGCGTCGGTCGACGTGTACAGGCAACACGCCAACCTGCAATAGCAAGTCGGCTTTGACGTTGCTTCGCTTTTTGCGAAGCGCCGCTGGTGCGCCGCTGATCGGTGAGTGCGCACTTAGAATCAGTGGACTATTGAGTTCACCCATCTCCATGGGCCCCCGTCGCGCATACAGGCTTACAACGCAGAAGTCCGGCGGCTCTAATGTTGCCTTTGCTAGCTACGAATGCACCCCACGAAGATTCGACTACGTACAATTGACAACCAAGTTGCGACCCACCTGACAGGCCTCTGAATAGTCTCTAAGTGAATGGTGGGAGAAGAAACTGTGCCTTCGCTCACTTCCAGGCTGAGATCTCGTCGCGCATCAGAATTGCCGAGGTTCCTCTCGCTCGGACCCCGGTCCAGCTGTGGAACATGCCCGGGATGTGCCTGTACACCTAGGAAGCTGTATCGGCGGCTCATCCAGTGTGTATCCAAGCAACTATACTAGCATTTGTAGGTGGTTTTGACGTCGGCGATTCCGTTGTTGTTCGTTTTCTCACACGCTACAGAAGACGCGATTCAAATCGGCCTCTTTGCTACGCCAAATCAAGTCCGCAAGGCTCGTTATTGTTTCCATCGTGCCATCGCACGATCCTTTGCAATCGGCTTCATCGATATCGAGCCAATCATCCTAGCCGCGAAGATAATCTATTTAGACTTTCGGAGATGTTTGGACCCTCAACCCAGGGGCGCAAATCAACGGTCCCAGGCCTTCTTGGAATCGCCCGTGGCATACCCGTTGTTTCTCCCACCGCCGCCGTCACCAGATGTTGTGTTTCTGGGTGGGCCTACGAATAGGAATCGCTTGTACGCATGCTGTTCTACCGACAAGCACGCACCTCGCAGGCAGCGCTTACGGGAACAAGAGCAGGTGGGGATATGATTTAGGGGTCTATTCAGAAACGTCACCGGAGACGATCACTTGACAAACTCAAAAGATACCAAATCAGGATATAGTAGGGTGCGGACACGCTCGCCGCCTCCCCGCGCATCGTATCCCCTGTCATCCTGGTCCCCTTCCATGCGCTCCCCCGGGATGGCCGCCGCCGCCACGCCGATGCCGTACACGGCGCACCCTACAATTCTCCGTGCAGCCAGTAGCACGCTTTCGGTAAGTTTTAGGCTGTCCAATCTCAGATAGCCTCCGCTCAACGCCCCTGGGCGCTGAGTATTTTTGTCCAGGTGATACTTATTAACTCGGCGCGCGTGCTCGCTGATGCGGCTACCCCCCTCATCTCAATATAAGCCTTCACTTCGACCGGTCAACGCGAGCGCTGTCACCAGCACCCCTTTCTCCCTTTGACGCCGACGCTCGCCTTTCACCCTCGACGTGCTTGCTTGTGCTGCTGTCTCGACTCCTTTTGCTCGCTCAGACATGAGCTCGTTCGTACCATCTACTGCCAACGACTACACACCAACAATGCAACATCCGACCGTCGTGAACACGAAGATCCGATCGACGCAGGACGCTCTGCAAGTCTTTAGCGCCGTGGCCAGACACGTTCTGCCCCTCATCACCCACCGCCTCGACGCCGAGGAGAGGCGCGCAATATGTTCCGGCAACGTATACGTCTGGGAGGAGAGAAGCGCTGACACCGCGGGAATGGGCATGGAACGATGGTGCGTGTTCTGCACGCTGGCTACTCACTGGGAACTGACTTCGCAATAGGACAGATGGGTTGAGCTGGGGTCCGAGTCGTGTTCGCGATGTGAGGCGATATATTGCTTCTTTGTGGGCGTTCGTGACGTGGGCACACAGGAATTCCTCTACTACCAGCAGAAAGATCTGGAGGTCGTCACGGAAGGTCGCGCGGGATCCTCACAGCATCTCATGCGGTACGCTCCTCCGCCTGGTGACGGTGTCGTTCTGGTTTCTGATGCTTCGCGCAGCGTGTACACACCCGCGGGAAATCATGGGGCAGCGGCGGCGGACAGGTTGATCAAGCAGACATATTCTGTCGTGCGTTGCCGCTCTGTGCTGGCGGCTACACTGCTCACCGCGCCTAACAGCACGTCACCCTACCTCGAGATCGTCAGCGCGGCACTTCTCGGAAGTGGCACTTGAGTGAGCCTCGCGCTAGAAGTCATCGGTGTATTGTTTTGCTGAACGTGGCGACAGCGGCGTACTTCAGTCAATCTACTCTGGACAGCCTTCGCAGCGTCGAGTCTATACCGGGAGTTGGAGACGTCCCTGTGCCAGAAGGATGGTTCAGGGGAACGCGTTCGTGTACGCGGGCAGCGCCAAATCCACCCCCATCGACCGTCGATTCTGCCGTCTACCTGACACCACCCGAGAAGCTCCCTTCGGGCTCCCAGCCCACTAGTTCTCGGAATATGCCATCGCCTATGATGCTCGGCATGCGCGCCGCTTCTCGCGGTGCAGAAGGGCGTTCGATGTCCCCTCCACCTCCACTTCCACCGGTGTTGGCGCCATCCCGGGCGGACCGTCGTTCGAGCATGCCAGTTGGCGGGTATGCTCACGCACCCTCCGGGCGGGCGGTGTACGGAGGCGCATCGCCAGCTTCGCCCGGGTATGGATATCTTCCTCCACCATCCCCATATCAGCATGCGGAGCGTCGTGGCGGAGAAAGGTTGGTGGACTTAGCATATCTACAGTCCTTACCCGCCAACCCTCGGCCTGCTGCAGACGAAGAGGCTCTGCGCAAGCTGAAGCGGCGGCCGGCATTCTGAACGGACTTTTGAGAGAACACGCATGGACCTCTGCATTGCTACTCACCACCAACGTATGTATCGTATACTTATCACTCCAGTAATGTAGCCCCTGCATGCTTCGCTTCGATGACCTTGGAGCTGCAGTGCCGGGGTCGTACTACGAATGCCACCTCAGGCTTGGACATTAATTGTTGCTTGCGGTGTTATCGATGCCACACGAAGAACTCCTTGGAAGTTTAGATGCACGAGAACGGGCTATTTCGATCGAGGCAGAGAAGGCAAGAAGTTAGATGAGGTGTAGGCTCTGACGATGCCATGACCGCGCTACATGCAGGCAATGCACGGCGCGCGACTTGCCGCTCCATTCGTGGATGTGTCCTCCCTCCGTTACGCCACTCATTAGCGCACGCGACCTCCATGGGAAAGGAGGGGAAGGCCCGTTCGGCGCCGCTTGCCACCAATTCGGGTGAAGAAGCAGATAGTGATCACACTCCAGCTCGGTGAAGTAATAGTCCTGGCGCTGAGCAGGATGACCGTTCGCAGGAACGATGCAGATGAACGGGGACTGTCGATTTTAGCGTTGAAATAAGCATTACGTGCATCCCAGAACATTACCTTCTTCAATCGCGCCTGTCATTTGGCAGAGAATATTCGGTGGCTGGACGTATGTTGAGCGGCCTAGCGCTTGCATAATAGAAGGCGATGGGAGGATTGAGGGGCGACTGCGACTGTTGCAGCCGCGAGCATTTCTGGACTCCATGTGAGCGGCGGAGGTACGTACTGGTTTCCAGACGCCGGGGGAGACGGCACGGGACACGGGCCACGATATGGATTAATGTGCCCGGGGCGGCATCCTTCTGGGTTTGATCATTGATTAAGCTGTCCGAGTCTGAAGCTAACGGAGCGACGTTGGGCGCTAAAAAGTCTGTGCTAGCCTTGCGTTAGCTTAGCTGCATTTGGGGTGCGCACCGAACGGGATGGGCCGCTCGATGTAGAAGGAATTCTGGGTGGGGGTCCTGCGCTTGGCTAGGCGGCTACAAACGCTGTCACGACAAGTTGGGGCTCGAGGGGACGGTTATGGCCGGTCCAGGGCGGGTGGCATACCCAATTTCCGCGTCGGTCCGCCTGGCGTTTCGTGAGAGGGAGAAGGTGCACTGAGGAGGGTCGAGGGACGGGCTCATGCGAAAAGGCTAGGTACCGGTTCCAGTAGAACGTTGGGAAGGAACAGGCGAGCGCGGTAGAACCCAAAAAACGCGTGGCCGGGATAAACGGGACGTCGTCGGTTGCAGAAGGACCTATTCTCTGGTGCGGATATCGTACACGGAGTCCAATACCGTCGATAGACAGGAAGGCGTACGCCATGCTGTAATCCGAGCGGCGCGGGCTCGCGTGGATGAAGCGGTCCGCCAACTTCTCTGCCACGGCAAATTTTCGAGGTCCGTGAAGCGTGCGGGTCTCAGTTTGAAGGACGTCACTGAGAGAACGTACGTCGTTGAGAGCTTGTCGGATGGCTGGCGCGGCGGCGACGAGGCTGGGCGTACCTGCACGGCGCTACGAAGAGTATCCAGGCGGATGACGGGTCAGCGACGCTTCCTTGCCAACGAGGCTCGTTCTAGGTGGTCGTATCTGCGCCGTGCGGCGGCGCAAGGACGACAGAGAAGCAGGATCATCTGATTAGACGGGGCTTAGGCACAAAAATGGGGTACACACAGGGATATATTTCTCCTTGCACCTCCCGTTCGTGCACGCTATAGGATGGTGATCTCGGCCGAGTATAGGACAACCGCAGGCTGGGATTCGCCGAGGAGAATATATGTACGGCGGCAATTCTCGCGTACCGGGCAAAATTGTCGGCCGCCAAGCGCTGACTCGTACGACGCAGTAATTAGCTTGTATAAGGAAGGAGCGAGAGGCAGCTTTAGAGCGTGAGCTCAAGAGAACGGCGAGTCTGTAGATGCCGAGATATGGCGTCTGTGGGGGCCGAATCCCATTCGGCTGACTCCCAATTGCGGCCCGAATGAATCTAGGGCACCCGGTCTCGTACAAGCCTCGGGATCACGACGGCAGGGTAGAGCGCCACCGCGGCGTTTCCTGATGACAGTTAGAGCACCCTGAAGCTATAAAGGGCTCACGCCTGTAGACATCCTGGCCGCGCGCGACGTCCGTGTGGGGTAGAAGCCGCATATCGGAAAAGCGACGGCCTTCCGCCTGCCTAGTCTAGCAGAAAGGTAAGAATTAGGGTTGCGATGGTTCAGAAAGGAGCAAGGCGGGTAGCTTACCTTTCCATGCACGCGTTCTGTGGGTGTTGGGGCGGTGCCGTTTTTCCCTAGGGTCGATATAAATATGCGAGATGCTGTCAGCTGTTCGACCAAGGAGAAACGTGCACCAATTCCTGATGCGAGCTTCGCCATTGGCGCTGAGCGGCGGCACTTCAGATGGGCGGAAAGATGCGATGATCGCAGATATGGGGTCTGTGGCTAGCTTGTGTGTGTGAACTTGCGACGTGGCCTTCTCAGTGTACGTATGGTTTACCTCCTGCTTCATGTAGGACAAGCAAATATACCCGTATATGACCGCTCGATTGCGCTAGCTGCTGGCTCCTGACACTGGTCTGCAAACAATTCGTATAAACCAGTGTGAGAGATCATACGACATGATTACTGGCTGACCTCCCCTGGCTCAATAGAGCTTCGTAGTTGGGTATTTCAGGGGAAAAGGGAGATCTTTTCCGTAGATTGGTCCTGCTCGGAGGACCTACAAAGAGTGCGTGCTGTTTGCCACCGGCGGTGGCAATCGGAATCGACGAAGAGGCTTCGCTGGCAGCGAAAACATGTTGGTCAGAAGACCGGCGGCATTCTAGACGATAAGAGACGTGAAGGCTCAGCAGCTACGGCTTGTATTTTCTGGACGGTGGCGTGCGTCGAGTCGAAGTTCAAGTACAAGTTCGCAATTCCGCGAAAATCTTGTCCAGAAAAGGCAATTCGGCGACTCCGGCCCGCACGAACAATGGCATCACAGGGTTGTCACAGACGCGCTCATCGTCTCAGACAACGACGAGATGCCCGAACAGCCAGGACGACGACCGCCGAGCAGCGCACCCGCCGACGAGCCTAAAGCCCGCGGCGCCAACAGGTCTACGAAGGTCGCAGGGAAGCTCAAGGTCCTCCCTGAGCAAGCCGACCTCATCGCTGTCCCGAGCGCGGTAGCGAGGGCCGCGTCGACCGGGAGCGACGAGGATGCCGACGCCGACGTCGAGGAGGAAGATGACGAGGAGCAGGTTGACGCCGATGATGTCGAGGTGCGTGTTAAGATAATGCAAGAAGCTCTGTTCACCGACCGACCGGCCTAGGTTTACAACCAGCTGGCACTTATTCCTCAAGGGACGGCCAGACGCGACGCGCAGAAACTCACAAAGAAGAAGGCGAAGTCTCTTCCCAGAGTTACTGCCTACGCGACCGCTGGGTACGTCGACCGCGTAGCTCCAGCACAAAGCGCGCATTGACCTCAGTATCAGTTCATACCGTATGTCCGACCTAATGAAATTCTTCAACGCGCGACGAACCGCCTACCATACCAACCCTCGCATGATCGACGAGGTCCTGTATACGACCTACGCGTACGAACCGACTACATCTGACGACGGTCGCTCGAGTACCAAGAATCAGTATCAGGGTGCGCGTACTGGGGACCTTCTCGGTATACCAGAGCTTCGTGAAGACGGCGAGGACGAGCCACAAGAGCGACCTCGCACTCCGAAAAGGAAGAAGAAGCCCTTCTTCGACGCTGCTGGTAACGAAGCAGAGATCTTCCTCTTCCAGTACGGCACTGTTGTGCTGTGGGGCATGTCAGAGCCTCAAGAAAGGCGTTTCTTGTCTACCTTGTTAGTTTCTTTTGACTTTGTGATGATCGTCACTAATGTTCTACCAGGAAGAAGTTCGAAATTGACAAGCTGCGTATGTGGCATGTCGCCCTTCACTTGCACACTGCTAAACTGCCCTTGCAGCGCCTCACGAAGTTGAAATGGAAGACTTGAATTTCTATTACGCGAATTACTCGCGGTAGGACGACGCCTTTAGTGCTCGCTGAAATGCTGATCTCTCGACAGGATATATAACGATGTCATCACTTTGAGGCGTGGTTCGAGCTACATGTGAGTACACCTCGTCATTCCCTGGTGTTCAATACTCACAACCTCGCAGGACAAAGTTGTCGCTATCGCACGCGCTTTCGCAGTCCGTGAAGATATCCTTGGTGTGTCTTTAGCCTGTACGCTCCCCCCATACTCACCGCTTCATCAGTTCGAGGAGCGCATATCCAACGCCATCGAGGACACCAAGGACATCCCTGAGATTATCAGCGAGACCGGCAAGATTGCTATGCCTCACACCGGTGCGCCGCATCGCACGACGACCTAGTCCCCGATCTAATGCCGCACCCAGACATCATGCAGAAAATTGGACAGCTCTTCTTGCTCAGGAATAACATCAACTCTGTGGGCTCTGTCTTGGACTCGCCGGTGCGTTGCATTTTTTGTCGGCTTTCGTAAGGCCGTGTCGTCGGGAAGGAAGCGCTGACGATCTTTTCTGTCTGCTTTAGGAAGTCTTCTGGGTGCGCCCACACCTGCACGTGCTGTAGGATATGCGCTTACCTCACTACGGAAATACAGACCTTCCCGGATTTGCAGCCGCTGTACGACGCTGCACGCAGCTACCTTGAGATACCCCAGCGTATCAACCTCTTGAATACCCGTGTGGAGGTGAGTAGGCGCTTCGACTTTGGACTTCGCCGTCGTGCTTCTGTTGTCTTCGCCTTGACCATCCCACGCCCTACCCCTCACCCTCCATCTCCTCAACAGAATCCACTCCGTCTAATCATGCCCTCTCTCTTCCTTTGTTTGATATGCTCAAGAACCTGATGCCTTGAACGCCTCACTCACGCCCTTCCCTCCCCAGGTCCTCCAAGACCTCCTGCAGCTCCTGAAGGAGTCCGTGTCCAGCCGACACGCCGAGCGCCTCGAGCAGGTCGTCATCGCGCTCATTGCGATCGAGATTGGTATGTGTTTCGTGGTCCGGGTGTGCGCGGTCTGGTATTTACGTTTCTGGCGATCCTCTAGTGTTGGGGGTGATTACGATCCTGGTTGATTTATTGCTGTAGTGAACTCGCGGTTTCCTGTAGTGGAATTACTATACTAGTCCTGCAGCTTAGCGCTGTGGTAATCTGTGGCCATTGCAAGCGAATTTTTTCGCCACTCAGAACCAGCTGTGTCACTCGATGAATCGAGCGTGGTGACAAGGCGGCAAGGCGAATCCCTCGGCCAGCGGGGGGGAACGTTACACCATCTGACCGCTCTGCTTTACGGGCCAACAAGAAAGAAAGGGAGACTATGCGACGTTCCATTCACCGGATGTAGACAACCATTTCGTAGGATACACATGGAGGAGGCGGATAGTCATCCATCAGGATACAAAGAGAAAAGATGCGGACTACAGAGAAATGAGTATAGAAACCATCCGCACGTTGAGCGAGGTCACGGCTCTGAGGCCGCCGAACGCTTCGGTGCTGCACGATGAGCGGTCAGTACTTCGCTACTGTCCGGAGCGGGTACGAAAATTTACGAAGGCATGTTCTTTAGAGATCGGCGGTCTTAGCAGACAATGCACCAGGCGAATGCACTTTGCGTGTGGTGGGTGCCGTGGTGCTCCTTGTTGGAAGGAACATCTGCGCTGTCGTCGGTCTTGTTTGTGACACCGTCATTGGTGGGCTCGGGAGTCGCGAGTGGCGCCTCATTGAGAGGGTCAGACGGGTGGTTTGTCGAGTCGGTGGCGAGCGTGGTGGCGGGGGTAGTGGTGTGATCCATGGCGATGGCGATGGTCGATGGTAGCGGCGACGCAAGTGGCAGTACTGAGATGAGTGGCGGGAGCAAGCCAGTCAAGTGCAGAATATGTGAGCTGCTTGACAGAGAAGAGTCCCGGGGGAGAAAGAGGACTTCTCGATGGTTGTTGTCAGGTGAGCAGCAACGGCGCTCTTTATACCAGCAGCCACGAGGCGAGGGGTCTTAGCAAAGACAATAAGACTCAGACTGACGCAGCACCTGGATGATGGCATGAATGCAGCGCAACAAAGCCCATTGTTGCGCTGACTATCGATGGCAGCGAATATGATGATTGCTATGCAGACCTGTCTGGGAACAGGCGTATCTCGGACCTCCGCCACGTCTTGAGGGAGCAGAAGACAAAGGCCTGTCAGATGAAATTAATGGTCATATACCCAGCAGAAGAGTGTATGTCTTGATAGAGACCTTTCGAGGGAGAAGAAACAGGGAACTCAAGATAGTGGTGTCGCTGGAATGGTGCGAAGACAAATCATAGGCCGAAATCAGCACTTGCTTGGAGGGTCCTGGATAGGTAGCAGGGATAGTTGCACGTACAGGGAACCAGCAATGTAGCGCGCTGTGGGACATCTCCGTTGTCTTCCGCCTGCGAAATATTCTGGGGGCCGATACAGGAAGTTCGTCAAAAGCTGGTGGCCATAAAATCGCGGCAACGGGCGGCGCGAATTCCCGGCCGTGGGCGTTCGGCAACTTCCGGTGGCGTGCAACGGCACGCCGCACGGGGTGCTCGCCGTCCCTGACGTTGACCAGAGCCCCCTCAGCCCCGAACGTCTCCCGTGCACGTACTTTGTTCTCGCCTATTATGTGGCCTTTCTCGAGCTCAAAGGAAGAAGCAAAGCCCGCTGCTCAGTCTCGCGGGGACCGACAGAAGTGCTGGGACACCCGAGACGCATACTTCGCCTGCTTGGATAAAGTCAAGGTCGTCAAAGCCGGCGACGAGGGGGATCAGTGCAAAGCAGAGAACGCCGCATATGAGAAGAACTGCGCACGAAGCTGGGTGCGTCGCAAAGCCTCGCCTCGAACGAAGTACCGATCGCTAACGAGCATGCGCGCAGATAGACTACTTCAACCAGCGGCGTGTCATAGCGGAGGCGCAGAAGGAGCGCCTCGCGCAGGCGGCGAACCAATTTCAGAAAGCCAAGTAGTCCCCGCCACTGCGTGAGAGCGTCGCGCCCGGAGGCACCAGCCCCGGCGTGATGGCGACTACGGACGCGCAGAACCTCCGGCCAGCTGAAAACAACATGCGCGATTCGGGTATCTCAGCGCGCCAACCCACCCGTCCTGGTCATCTTACCGGCTATCCGATGATGGGTTCCTGGTGGCAAGAACCGGCATGGATAACTCAGTTGCCGACTGAACTTGCAGGCGGCCCTGGAAAAGCACGTTCATAGCGTCAACTCGGAAGACGGCAGCCAATGCAAAGCGTACCCCCACTTCACAATAAAATACCAAACCCACCTCTGAAGATTACAAGCGCATCACAATCAGGAGTAGGCGGGGGCGCCTGACCCTCCTGCATATCACTGATTGACGCTCCGGGCGGGCAAGAGGCGGGGGAACCCGCAGCGCCCGCCGACTTAGAGAGCTGTTCCGTCACGACAGACACGCCGCGTAAGTGCGGCTCGCGCTGCAGCGCCCCCTTGTGGTTCGCACACGGCATGGAAACCACCGGAGATTGTGATGACAAATGGGATCTTCGTCGCATGCCGCAATCCAGAACATATGCAGCGGCGCGCAGGCCCGCATATATAGTGAAGGCGTCGATGGCGAGCTCTATACAGTTCCCCTCCCTACCGTCCCCACCCTCCTTCCGTTTTCTTTCTTGGTTCAGTCTATCATCATGGGTATCGCTCCTGGTCTCGTCTTCATCGTCAAGTCTCTGCCCTACGTGATCTACCCGTCTGCAGTTGCGTATGGCCTAATCCACGCGTTTGCACCGGACGCTCCACTGCCTGCTGTGGCCGCTGCTCTCGTTCTCGCGCACCCCGTTTTCTGGTTCCTTGAGGATACCTACAGAGAATGGCAGATCAAGCGCGCTGCTGCCGCTGTAGGCGCAGTGACCGCACCCAGCGTTCCCAGTGCTCTCCCCGGTGGTCTCAGCCACATGAAGTTTATACGCCAGCATATGAACAGCGGCGAGCCTTGTGAGTACACCTTTCCTTCCGCTGTGGCGCGTAATCTCATGTCAATCACTAGCCACCACAACGGAGCTTTGGGCCGAGCAGATGGGTACCTATGTGTACCAGTTGAATCTGCAGGGAGACAGACGGGTACGTCTAGGTCGTCCTAAACGACGCATCTTGCTGATCAGTATATTCAGATTGTCACGCTTGAGCCCGACCATGTGAAGGTCAGTGTTCCTGCAACCTTCTGTTCCCAAGCGTGAAAGTAATTGAAAATTGATAGGCAATCCTCGCTACAAAGTTCGAGGACTTTGATAAGGGGCCCTTCAACTACGACGTCCTTCACTCCCTCCTCGGCAATGGCGTCTTCAACGCCGATGGTGAGATGTGGAAGTGAGTACGCGGCCTATCTCCTCACTGTTTCCTACTAACAGTACTCACCAGATTCCACCGCTCCATGACGCGCCCCTTCTTTAACAAGGAAAAGATCGCGCACTTCGACATCTTTGACCGCCACGCCGACGATCTCCTGCGCAAAGTCAAGGCCCGCCTCGCCGAGGGCTTCCCCATCGACTTTCAGGACATGATCGCGCGCTTTACGCTCGACTCTGCGACGGAGTTCCTCTTTGGGTACGACATCAACTCGTCGGGCGCGGGGCTGCCCTATCCGGAATACGCGAAGGAGCGCAACACGGAGACGTTCACGAAGCATCCGTCGAATGTCTTCGTGAAGGCGTTTGCGGAGGGACAGGAGCTCACGGTACATCGGTATCGTGCGGGGTCGGCGTGGCGGCTCGCAGAGTTCTTCAGCGATAGCGTGAACCCGAGGCGGTACGTGACTTTGAGTCCGGGGTATCGCAGTTACTCATTCGCGCTACAGGGAGGTCGTGAACGACTATGTGAAGATGATCTTGAACGATCCTGAATTCCAGAAGGCGGCTCAGGCGACCGAGAAGGGCAACGCCGCCGACAGCGCCTCCCTGCTTCACCACCTTGTCTCGTACACCAAGGGTGAGCTGATTCGGTTTCGGTATCGAGGTGCCTGTCTAATGCACTTCTCAGACCCTAAGGTCCTCACGGACGAGATCATCAATCTTCTCGTCGCCGGCCGCGACACCACCATGGGCACCCTCTCCTTCGGCGTCTACAAGTTGACCGCGCACCCTGAGATCGCGCAGCGCCTGCGCGAAGAAGTCCTCGAAGTCGTTGGTCCCAATCGTCGCCCCACCTACGAGGACGTGCGCGACATGAAGTACCTACGCGCCTTCCTCAACGAGGTGCTCCGCCTCTACCCCGTCGTCCCCAACAACTCCCGCGCCGCCAACAAGGATACGACGCTCCCCTTTAAGGACAAGGACCGCGCGCCGATCTTCGTCCCCAAGAGCACGCGCTGCTCGTACTCCTCGTATCTCATCCACCGGCGGAAGGACCTATGGGGCCCGACCGCGGGCATGTTCGACCCGGACCGTTTCCTCGACGAGCGGCACGCGAAGTACCTCGTGCACAACCCGTACATCTTCATCCCCTTCAACGCCGGCCCGCGCATCTGCCTCGGGCAGCAGTTCGCGTACAACGAGATGAGCTTCTTCCTCATCAGGCTGCTGCAGAACTTTGAGGCGTTCGAGCTCGCGCGCGAGGCGCAGCCGAAGTCGTCGTTCAAACCGGAGGGCGCGCCGAAGAAGCCGGATGCGGAGGATGAGGAACTGATGTTTGCATCGCACCTGACCATGTCGGTGAAGGATGGGTTGTGGGTCCACATGCGGGAAGCGCCTGCGGCTTAATCGCTGCGTTGATAGTTACACACCAGAGTAAGTCTGGTTAGAGGGGTATTTCGCCATATTTATTCAGACACTCGGCGATCCGATTGTGTACACTTACTTACCTATCTAGACGGATCGGCCATACTGTATTCTACGCCTAATGTACATACTCGCACATGTCTATCTCCTGGAATACAGCGCTATCTTCTACAGCTTACACCTCCGCATACAGTGTCGGTCTTTCAGTCATCTCACACAGTCCAGGAAGGTGTCCAAGGTTTGCTTGGGATTGTCGAAGATAGCCTGGCCGGAGTGAGTTCATTGCAGCACCATCATTCGAAGTCGACTCACAAAATGATTACCCCCTTCCACCACTTAAAAGATCAAGTCCAGCTTGCCCAAGCCTCGCGCCTTGCACTCATCCTCCAACGCCCATGCCATCCAAACCGACGTCCACACGCTCGACCCTCCCCATACATACGCAACCTTCGGATTACCCCAAGCGCGCCGCACCTCCCCGTCGAATAGTGCCTTGTCTCGCGCAGCACGAAGGTGGGCCAGCATGTCGGGCTTGAACAAGAGCTCGTCGCTGCTCGCCGCACCCGCGATGTCCGCGAACTTGGCGTAAAAGCCCTCGATAGCGTCGGTGGCAGGTCTCGTGGGATCGGAGTGCTGCTTCTCTAGCTTGTTGACGTCGCGCGAGGCGAGGTCATGCGCAAAGTAAGAGGCAAACCAGTGGCCGCTGGCTTCAGGGTCGCCCGGGATGTAGCCGTCAGGTGGGTTGAGCATGCCCATGGGTTTGGGGACTGCTTCTGTTGAGAGGTTAGCAGGCCGTCTGGATGAAGATGATTGTAGATTCCGTCAGAGAACACGCACCAAAGTAGATGAACGTTCTCAAGTGCTTGCTGAGGCGCTCTCTGGTGACATCCGGAAGTTCATGCACCGCTGCAATCGTCGCGCTCAGATGCGCATTCGCAATGGACCAGGCAACGAGCGCGACGCCGCCTGGCCCGACAGTTCCGTCTTGGACCAAGGCATCGAGAAGCTGTGCATAGTGATGCCCCTCATCACGATAGATGGCAGCGCGCTCCTCTAGCGTGCCGTTCTTGAGGGTGAATGACTCCGCTGCGGTGTAAGGCGAGGAGCCTGGGTAGCCACGACGATTCACCGCGATGAGGCGCACACCTGAAGCGGGGGCGAGGGCAGCGATACGCTCGGTGATGCCTTCAAACTCAACCTCAGGAAAACGGACAGCACGAGTACGTGACGCTTACCTATCGAGGGTATACCATAACCGTGAAGGAAGACGAGAGTGAGGTATCCGGCGAAATCACTATCCGGAATGCCTGTATCCAGGATCTTGAAGCTGGCGCCTCGCGAGGTAAAGACTGTGCGTTCGACATACATGAGAGAACAAAGGCAGCTTGGGTAGGAACTTTGTGACCGAGGTGCTTTCATGCAAACAATTCACCCGGTAATCAACCGCCCGTACTTACTATAACTATGATAGTTAGCACGCAAAGCCAAGTGATATCGCGATCCAATGTTCCAATGCTTATCCAGTCCTACAACAGTCCATACACATATTCGAATAAGTTACTGTTCTTTCGTCCTTTACCTTGTCCTTCATGCACCACTTACAACTGCCCCACCGTCGGGTTGAAGTTGTAGTACGCGCAGTTAGTCGTGATATCGTAGTTGCCCGAGCCCTCCTTCACCGTCGCGCCATTCTTGACGAGCTTGAACCACGGCGTCTGCCCGTCCTCCTTCGGGAACGGCACCTTCCCGATGGTGAGGTTTCCCCCGTTCGCGGTGAATTCGGCATGGTTCGAGCCGACATCGAGCGTGACGGTCGCGGAGGGCGTCGAGTCGGCGAGCATGGCGAGCGCGAAGATGGCGTCCTCGGGGTAGGAAGACATGCGCACGGGTGCGCCGCCGGAGCAGGAAACGCCCTTAGGGTGCGTGCGGTACCAGTACACGACGGTGTCCTCCTGCGGTGGGACGTGAGTGGGTTGGGAAGAGGAGAGGGGAGGGAACCCACGGTCAGAGTCGGCTTGCTGCCGGTCTTGTACCACGCGATGTAGTACTTGGCGACGGTGCGCCAGGCAGAGTGATTGATGCCGCGGACGTAGTTTATCGCGTCGCCCATGTCGACGTTGTAGTTGATGTCTGCAAAGATGGCGGGGTCCATGATCAACAGAGGATACGTGAAGGGCAGAGTGCAGCATACCACAGATGTAGTGCGACTCGCCAAAGTCGTTCCAGGTGACAATCTCAACAATGTCGGGGCGGACCTCGTCGATGGCCTGCTTCCAGCGGTAGTTCCACAGCGTGTCGCTCTGCTGAACCCATCCATCGCCGTTGAGGTCCTTGAATTGCCAGGGGGAAACGGCTGGATGTCCATTATGAGCTATAGCGCTCCAGCAAGAATGCAAAGAGGGAGACTTACACATGATGTACGGGCCACCGCGGTTCGCAGACTTGACCGCCGACTGGAAAGCAAGGTCGATCTCCGTCGTCAGAGGCTCGTTGACATCGTTGGGCCTGTCATCAATGTCAGCTTCCACCCCTCGACTCATCCTTCACATTCACTCACCAAGACCACCAGTTGAAGAAGCCATCGATCGACGGGAAGTTGCCCATGACCGAGCCCGCCGCGCTTGTGCTGCGGTAGCCCACGAAGGCCGGCGCCCACGTGATCTCGATGCCCTGCCCAGCGAGCGTGTTCTTCACGCCTGCGAAGAAGCCGTCGCCGTTGCCCTCTCCGCTGTACGTCGACACGAGGACCTTGTTGTTCCAACGGAGGGTCGCGGGCGAATTTGCGTGCGCGGCGATGAGGGAGACGACCTGGTCCTGAGACCAGGAGCCGCCAGCAAAGTCGAAGGAGTACATGAGCTTGAAGTTGGCGGCCTCGGCGGCGGCGTAGGCCTGCACGATGCGGTCGACTTCGTAGTCGGCGAAGGCGACGTTGAGGGCTGGAAGTGGGCGTAGTCAGCGGGAGGGTATGGCGGACACAGGAAAGCGACTGACCGAAGCCCTCAATGCCAATAGACTGAGCAGAGGCAATGTCGTTTGCCCAATCATTCTGTGAGTACGAGTACGATTGTTGCGCCTGTAAAATACTGAATGTCAGACACGCTCAGATTACGACAGAGGAGACACTGACCATAAAGTGGGCAATGACCGTCGCCGCCGACACGAAGCGAGCGGCAAACGGCAGCAAGCCTAGCGCGAGACCCAAGAGTCTGGCCATTGTGTTTGGTCTCGCTGGAGTAGGGAGAGGAAGGTGTTTGCTGACCCTTCCCCCCACCAGGCAAAGGCTTTTATACCCAGCACTTAACCCACCGTCACCGCGCGCCTCGAGCTCACTGCGAACGCCATGGATCAATTCCTTCGAGCACTCGTGATCTTCCAAGCTCTCCGCGTACACCGTAAGGTACAAACTCGCAGATCCGCAAGACGTTGAGCAGCGATGAGCCCGATCCGAGGCTATAGCCGGCGCCCGCAGGGCCGAGGCAGTCTTTCTGCGGAGTGTATGACCCTCGAAGTCCATGTGATCTGCGCTCTCGAGGGCTCGAGGAGAGTGCAGAAAAGAGCGTTGCCCGGCTAGAGAGTATCCGATAGCTTCAATTCGCAGTGAATGTCTTCAGGAAAGCGTTGAAGAGGTACCTATGTTCCAAGGATGAATTTCCGCGTAATTTAGTACCGACGGTAGGCTCTATACATGCGATGAGGTCACGATGCCTCATCTATCTTGGGACCTTGGCGGTAGAAAGCACACGACATGCTCTCCGGAGAATCCAACAGTTATTCTCGCGAGTGGTAGTCAACGCAGATGGACTGACGAGGAAGGTGCCTGCGGACGTCGAAGTCAAGGCGCAGCACTCTCGGTCTCGGCCGAGATACATGCTCACGATCACATGATTTGCCCCTGTTGAAGTTTCCTGCTTGACCTATGGTCCACTGCTCTCTGCATTCTGTCGCCCAAGTCTGACAGTGACAATTATCTGTTATATGGGAAGATCTGTTGTTATCTGGAAAGGGCTGCTAGTTTGTGTGCCAAGCCTTTGTACAGGCTGACTCATTTGCCGTCATTGCATGTTCTGAGCATGTTATGAGGGGATGAGAGAGGCTCACCTGTCTCTCTCTCGCTCCCCCATGTCAATCGAGCGCACAGTCACCACCTTGCTTGGTACAAGCTATAGGATCGTTGATACCGGCATTCCAACCACCAACGACGCAAACTACCTCACTCTCGTCTTCCTCCATGGCTGGGGCATGCCCTGCTCCCTCGGTTGGCATTTCTTTCGATACACTTCCCGAGGTTATCAACTCATTGTTCCACAGGTATTACCAGCCGCATAGCCGCCCTTTCCCCCAGTCAAGGCGTCCGCTTCATCGGCGTAAACCGCCGTGGTTACGAAGGCTCCTCGCCCTACACGCCCGACGAGGCGCATGTTCTTCAGCATGGCGCGCCAGAGGATCGCGGTGCCGCCTACCGTGACGAAGGGCGGCAATATGCGCATCTGCTCGATGCACTAATGCAGGATGGGACTGTGGGTGCAGGCGGCGTCGCGATGGTAGCTTGGTCGATAGCGAACGCGCACCTGAATGCGACAGTGGCCTCCATCCATGACTTGCCAGATCATGTTCAGGAGCGACTGAGTGGGCGCGTGAAGGCTTTCATCTACTTTGGTGCATCGATGCATTTTCCCGCGATGTCGACGCTCGTCACTGACCATTTGTATATTCTTTCAGAGGCAGGTCCGCGCCTCATGGGTCTCGAAAAGCCACCCGGATACGTCCCCGCGGAAGACAAGTCCGTACCTCCCAAGACGCAGCTGCGTAGGGCCCAAGCTTGGTACGCAGCGTACTTCAAGCACAACCTCGCTTCGCACAGAATCGACGGCCTCGAGATGCGACATGGCGACCCTGCACGCCCACCCACCGACGTCGTACACGAGGATTTCTGGGTTCGATACACCGACCCAGATGGTCCATTCCCGGGAGACCCAGCTATCTTTGCACCTGATGTCCAACCGTACATACAAGCCGCGGCGGATGCGGCGCTGTTCGATGCTGGGGTCAGGAAGGCCTGGGGAGATCCCAAAGTCGCATATGTGTACGGAGATTTCAGCGTGTGGACAGCAGTATGGACGGCGTGGGCATTGGAGGATGAGTGGAAAGCGCGGGGTTCCAACGCTCCGGAGCTGTCATTTAGAGTGGTGGAAGGGGGGAATCACCAAGTGAGTGCATAGTCGCTTGCCGCTGGCCACGCACCTCAGCATTCGCTAGTGCGTACTCGACTTGCCCGAAAGAACCTTGCAGGCCTTCCTGGATTGCGTTACATGAAGAATCTGCAGCTTGCTTTCTTGTCGAGAAGGCCGTGGTTTCCTGCCAACGATATCATGCAAATCGCATAAGTTATGGACGGAAGGACAGCAGCAAGATGGACGGGGGAGACGATATAGCACGAGCAAAGATCGGTCATAGCATGAAGGAGCAAGTGATGAAGTACACAGAGCAAAGTAAAAATCAATAAAGATGAGCAGCAAACACCGAGCATGATGAGAAAATGAGCAAGGAGCGCATGGGCACTATTCGTAACAAGCACTAGCATCATTCGTCCGAGGAAGCCGCTTTTGGCTTCGTCTTCCTCCTCGTAGCCTTCTTTGCCTTCGCCTGAGAGCATGGTCAGCACCCTAAATAGACAAAAGCAGACAAAGTAAGCTCACCTTCGCTCGCCCTCGAGCACCACGGCCCAGCTTTTCTTCCGTCTCGTCGTCTTCTTCCTCCTCTTCCTCATCGTCCCCGTTCAGCTCCGATACATTCGTCAGGGGCGACGACATCTCCACGTCGCTGCCGTCCCCGAAGTCCTCGCCTTCCGACGAGTCATCATCAGCAGGGCGCCTTTTCTTGCGCGAACGCCTGAACGAAGAGCAGTGATGAGCCGAAAGTCAACGAAAGGAAAGCACAACACGTACTTCGTTCCATTCGTTTTCGCACTCGGGCTAGCTTTCCGCTTCCTGGTAGTCGGCTTGCGTTCCTTCTTCTCCTGCTCGTCATCAGCACGGGGTATCAAATCCATGGATCGCACTCACCTTGTTTTGCGCAGGCTTAGTCGACTCCCTCACCCACGCCAAGGTCTCATCGCTCAGATACACCTGCTTGACGACCGCATTCGCTGCTTCCGGGCTGACCTGCGGTCGGAGGATATCCGGTGGTAGCTTGACCTTGCCTGGGTAGCTTTGGATGTTCCACCCATGGGCGTGCGAGCGGAGCTTGATCAGCTCCTGCGCGAGTTCGCAGATCATCCAGAGGTTCTGCAAGACTCGTGGTTAGACTACCTCTCCAGTATAGCACAACATGACGCACCTCGTTATATGCATCGTCCATATCCCGAACGGTCTTTCCCTTCATCGCCAGGTGGTATAGAAGCGACACCGTCTCCTCGTTGGCCACAAGCTCCAAGTAGAACTTGATGTAGCTGCAAAGCTATCAAAAGCCGCCCCGTTTCTAACTAGGCAGATAAACTCACTTCGCCATATCAACCAGCGCATCGTGCGTCCCGTCCATATCCGGGTGGTGCGCCAGTAGGTGCAAGAGATGTATGAAGATCGACTCGATGTACTCCACCCGAATTGCAGCGGGGAAGCGGCGCATACAGTTGTTGATATACGCAGATGCCTGGGGAGGGACGTCATGAATACATTGGAGAGGATTCAGGAGAAAGCTTCATACCATGTTCTTGATGTCCAGTTCCGGATCATGCACCGTGAGGAAGGGTATTACGTTGAACCGCGGCGGCAGCTTGCGCACCCCACCGAAGACGCACATCCGCGAGAGGAAGGCATGGCGCACGTCGTAACACGTGTCCTGCACAACGATCGCCAACCTCACCATCCGCTTCGTGATCTGCGCTGCATAGACCGTAACCGTCGACAGATGGAGCAGCGATATAGCCGCCTGCAGTCGCATCCTAGACATTGCCTTCACGCTAAGCAAGTCGTCAGCCGTCCCACTTTTCGCGACACCAACAGTTTGCACGCACTTTTCCGGCTCCTTCAGAAACGTGCCGTTCCCCTCGAGCAAGTTCATCAACATCACCAGCACTGGTCTGGCAATCATAAGTGCTTTGTCGCCGGATGCGTACGACAGACAGCGCCAGCGGCACGCCTTGACCGCAAGGATTTTCGCGCGCAGAGCGGGCCACATCTCTTCGTCTGGGATCCATTCCGCAGTCTCGTCCGTTTCCTGTTTTTGCGTCAGTACATCACTTGGCGGGTACGTGCAGTGTCAGACGCACATCATCGGGCGGGATCGCCTTCAGTAGCACCTCCTTGAGCAAGAAGGCCATGATGGTCTCGCTCTTCTGCTCGAACGCGTCCGGCTGGTATCGCGCAAACTGCACTAGAACGGCGACATGGGCGACCAACTGCTCCGGAGTGGCCTCTTCAATGTGCTCAAGGATGTCCTATATATGGCGAGATACCGTCAGTAATCGTTACGTGGCGCAAGAGCGATGAGCACTCACATCAATCACCTGAACGCACGCCGTCTCCTTCTCCTGCGAGAACGCAAGAAACCTTGCCGCAAATTTCGCATGCCTCTCATTCTCCCCCATCACGAGCTCGCGCATCCGATCCATTGTGCGGCTGCAACAAACCACAGTCAGCCTCGTTGCCCTCCCATCCAGTCATACCACTAACCTATCCCCCGGCGCCAACGTCTCATCATGCATCGCCAGCGCCGCCAGTGCCTGCAGCCCTGTCTCCAACACGGCCGCATCCTCGCTCTTGCTCTCCCTGGCTCCGCCTTTAACTTCTTCACCTTCATCGTCCCCGCCCCCTACCAGACCCTCCTCCACCACAATCGCCCCAAGGGCCGCCGCATGCGGCATAAACAACGCCGGCGCGTGCTTTGACACATAGCGCAGGACCGTGCGTGCATGTTCAGCACTGATTCGCGCCTGGAGCTGCGCGGCGTTGCTCTTGCGGCGGTCGCTGCCATCCGCTCCCGCGCGCATGCGACGCAGAAGGGTGGGGATGGAAGAGGTGTTGATGATGCGGAGGGAGGAGCGGCGGAGGAAGATGGACATCGTTTGGAGGATGGCGGGTGATTGGGATTCGATGCGGCGGAGGAGTTCGTTCTGCAAGAGTTGTCAACAACGAATGGATAGATGGGGATACTGGAGCCTACCGTTGATTTGACTAGACTCTTCAAGTCAACTTGTATATCCATCGCATTGCGGAGGAGCTTATACAACCGGCTTTCGTTCATCTTGGCGAATGTCCTCAGGTCGTCGGCCGCCTTGACGGGGTCCGGAAACGCGCTCGTCAGGTGCTGGATGACAGCGTTCAGCTTGCGCGTAATCTGCTCCTCGCCATTGTCGATGGTGCCGCCCTGTGCTTAGATCAGCCAGGGTGCACACGACGATGTGTACAGTGGGACTCACGTTGAACTCGACGCAAGCGTCCACGAAGTGGTCGTAGACCGAAGGCCGCCTGTAAAGAAGCGTGTCAGTGCTAGATGCACACATGTCCACAATCAGGCTCCTAACTTACACATGCTTCAACCCACTGTACGACAGCAGCGTGTTCACCTGCTCCTTCAGCAAGTATTGCATGACATTAAGGAGCCGCTCCGTCCAAGCAACCTCGTCCACTTCGACGTTCTTCGACGTGGAGGGCGAGTTCGGCGTGGGTAAGGGGAGAATATATTCGAGGAGCACTTGCTCGGCGATGTGTCTGAAGGACCGTGGTAAGTAGGTGAGGGGTAAAGGAGGCCATGACATGCACGCACCTAACTTCCAGGTTGACGCCAGCGGAGGTGAGAATCTCCTGAGGTATCCAGGAGAAGCGGCGCACGGCTTGGGCATCGTTGTTCTCGCTGTGTCGATGTGAGTAAGGAAAGCAGATTAGAGCGAAAGCATACTCACATCTGTGGGTACGCCTGATTGTATATCTTGCCCAAACACGTCATTGCCTCCATCCTGACAGACGCGCGCTTGTCCACCCCTCGCCCCGCGATCGCCCTCAACTGATCCTCCCCGACATGGTGCAGCACCGTCTCATAGTCAAGCTGCGCGTACACGCGGCACACCGCCGCGCGTACCTTCTCATCTGGATCGAGCAGTTTGCTCTGCAGCGCCTCCTCGATCGCGGCCCGGTGCTCTTGCAGGTTAACGAGCAACGCGCGCGTGGCCTCGACGAATTTGAGGCGCACGGCGAGTGCCTTATCATTCTTGCGCCCAAGCCAGACGTTCCACAACGCAGGGAACTTCTTGACGAGGTCCGTGCCATTGGGATCGGCATACATGCTCCCCAGGGCAGCGGTGGCGATGAGGCGGGTTTCAACGGTCTCAACGCGGAGTTCCTCTTCAAGCTGAGGAATGAGGGTGACGAGGACGGCAGGACAGGCACGGTTCAGGCGCTGGATGATTTCGTGTGCCTCGCGAATCTCCTCGTAGTCCTCGCCTTCCTCGAAATCGGGTTGTGTGGTGATGATATCGGTGAAGTAGGAGAGAACGCGGGTGGTCAGCTTGTCGGCGCATTCGGTGAGAACGTGCGCAGCGACGCGGCGGGCGCTCTTGTCTATGATCTAAGCAGGCGGTCAGCAAGTCTGTAGCTAAAAGCCCATGCAAGAACAGGATTCAGAGGAAAATTGCAACAACGCGCCGCTGGGATCAGCCGAACGCGGCAGGTACCGTCGACGCCGCGCTAGTCGCACGCCACCCGCCGCCCGACGCGCCGCTGGTCGTCCCCGTCGATGCAGAAGCCCACAAACACTGCGTTGCTCAAGGCAATGAGCACATGTGTGATGCGTATAACGACGGGGATACGCTTGCGTGGTCTGAGCACAGCAGCGATGATCAGCGCGTCGATGAAGTGCATCTTCGAGACGGCGGCGGCAGCGAGCAGACGCACGGTTGCGCGTAGCACGACGGCCCCCGCAGCTGTGGCTACGGCGGCGATGACACCAGCAAGTTGCCACAAATTTCCTCCAGTGCATGATAGGCTCTGAATGACTGGTACGCACCGAATCGCCCGTCTTGAACTGGGCTATGAGCTTGTCGATTATGTCGTTGGGGATGACAGAGGCCTCCTCGAGCACGGCCACCATAATGTCCTGCATGAACATCTCGATCTTCTTGGGAAGGTTGCGGCGCGCGAGCACGAAGAAGTCGTTGAAGAGGGTGACCATGAGCTCCTCCGCGCTTGGGATGTCGCATATGAGGACGATGGACTTGACCTCAGAGAGGGAGAAGAGGAGGTAGTAGTACTGGTCGTAGTAGGGGGAGTCCGCGCCCTTGAGTCCGGTCATAAGTTGCTGGAAGAAGAACTGGAAGATGTCGCGCAGCTCGTCATCGCTGTACGGTGCCTCGGGCGCGTAAAGCTTGAGGATATCGGCAAGGCAGCACGCCGCGTACGCCTTGACGCCGCGGTCCTTGTGGAGGGTGATGGACTTGTTGACGAGCTCCTTGCGGACGCCCTGGAGGGAGGCCTGATCGACATTGTCCTGGTCTTCGCCGAGGATGCGGAGCTGCTCGTGCAGCGTCTTGAGCTTCTTGAGGAGCGCGTCGGTAGATGTGCCCTTCGCGAGCAGCTTCTCGCGGAAGTTGAGCTTTCTGGGGGTCGGCTGGGCTGCCTGTCGCGTACTGGGCGCCATTGCGCGTGGCGGCGGAGGACAAGACGCGTTCGGTCACAAGTAGTCACGCGCTGTTGATGGGGGAAGGTGGGGAGACGACGCGCGCGGTGATGGCGCAAACGAAGGTCTCGGGGAGGAGAGTGTCACTTTCGTCGAGCGCTTGAGATCGTGAACGTCGAAGTTAACCTACATAATTATCATCTGGCCACCGTGTAGGGAGTCGGAGAACCGGCCCGATTCCCGGAGCAAGCTCGCACGTGACATTGATGATGCGCGCCTACAACTTGAACTTGAATTGCAACAACAGCGATCACGATTACAGCTTCGCCTTCGACTTAGTCTTTGACTTGGGGTTTGGAGGCAATCTACAACATTCTGTCCCTTTTCCGGCACAGCCGCTTGTTGGGGAGCCTTCTGTGTTATAAACCGTGGCATGTTCTGTTCCCAATGTGACACTAGCTGTACTTGACATATCACTCCCTCACGATTGTAAAGACAGATATCCTCAAGCAGAATGTGATGCTTACCTGCAGCCTGGCCCAATGCGAGAGCCGAAACAGAATGGAATAACAATCCAATATTTCCCGATTTGGAAGGCCGCAAGAACAATGGAAACTCCCGATTGGGTAGTAAAAATTATCACCTCCTTGTTCTCGACCATCATGACGGACTATGGGGACGTCAAAGTCTACACCGTCAATGGCGCAACAGCCGGCTCTCCATCGTCCCTCCCCGACTGGCTTACCCGAAAACGCGCGGTAAAGGGGAAGAGCCGCAAGCGCGCCGTGCGCGAGCACGTCGAGGGTACCATCGAACTTATCCAGGGTTTCGAGTTCCCCGAAGCCAGCAACCGCGTCAAGACCACCCGAGATGGGCACCATGTTATGGGCACCGGCACCTACAAGCCGCAGATGCGAGTGTGGGACTTGGACCAGCTGTCCATGAAGTTCGAGCGGCACACGGACGCAGAGAACGTCGACTTCGTTGTGCGTGAGTGTCAAGTACCGCGCCCCCCTCCCCCGTTGACCCAATGCAGATTCTCTCCGATGACTGGACAAAGTCCATACACCTCCAAAACGACCGCACGGTCGAGCTGCACACGCAGGGCGGCTTCCACTATCGCACGCGAATACCCAGGTTCGGGCGATCGCTGGCCTACCACTTCCCCTCCTGCGACACGTACCTCACGGCGACGGGGAACGAGGTCTACCGCCTCAATCTCGAGCTTGGAAGATTCATGACGCCGCTGACACTCGAGGATGAGCAGGACGACGCGCCGATCGCGGGGGTGAATGTCGTGGATATCAACCCCGCGCACCAGCTTCTGGCGTTCGGTGCTGAGGGGAACGGCACTGTGCAATTCTGGGACCCCCGATCACGATCGAACGTAGGCATACTACGTCTGCCCACCTCACGCCTCCTCCCCGCGGGCGCGCTGGATACAGGCGTCAGCGTCACCGCCCTCTCCTCCCGCTCCGATGGCCTCTCGTACGCCGTCGGTACCTCCACCGGTCACACCCTTCTCTACGACATCCGCTCCCCCCGCGCGTTCGCGACGAAGGACCAGGGCTACGGCCTCCCCGTCAACAATGTGATCTGGATCGAGGGCGGCAGCCGGATGGCTGGTGATGGTCTCATCCTCAGCGCCGACAAAAAGGTCATCAAAGTATGGGACCGTGATTCCCCGTCGACGAACTTTGCCTCGATCACCCCCGCGATGGACTTGAACGACGTGCACCACGTCCCTGGCAGCGGTCTATTGCTGACTGCCAATGAAGGCATCCAGATGGGCTCGTACTTCATCCCCCAGCTCGGACCTGCCCCTCGCTGGGCGTCCTTCCTCGAGAACATCACCGAGGAGATGGAAGACCAGACTGCCCGGAGCGCATACGAGGACTACAAGTTCGTCGAGCGCTCAGAGCTACGCACCCTCGGTCTCGATCACCTTGTCGGCACGCCGGCCCTTCGCCCGTACATGCACGGCTACTTCGTCTCGCTCCAGCTTTACGATGCTGCGCGCCTTATCGCCAACCCGTATGTGCACGCTGAACAGCGCGAGCGCGCCATCCGGGACAAGATGGAGAAGGAGGCCGAGACGCGCATTCGGGCTCGCAAGGAGCAGCCGGGCGTCAAGGTCAACAAGGCGCTTGCCGAGCGTGTCATGCGCGAGCAGGAGAAGGAGCGGAAAGCGGAGGAGAGACGGAGGGCCCGAAAGGCCGCCAAAGCCGCGGAGGGCGAAGGCGATGCAGCCATGGACGTCGATGGGCAAGAGCTGGAGTCCACCTCCACCGCCGCTGGTCTACTTTCCGACCCCCGTTTCGCGAAAGTGTTCGAGGACCCGCAGTTCGCGATCGACGAGAACAGCACCGAGTTCGCGATGCTTAACCCCTCCGCGGCCGCGCAGAAGTCACGGCGACGCACCCAGGACAGCGATGAGGACAGCGGGAGCGACAAGGGCTCGGACAGCGAGGACGAGGACGACGGCGGGAGCAGCGACGACAGCAGCGACGCGGGCGAGCTCAGCAAGTTCGACCTGCGCGCGCATCCCGGGCAGCGCAACGTGCGCGCCGAGGAGGCCTACGCGCGCAATCGCCGCCAGACGAGGGTCAAGATGGTCCCGCTCAAGGTGCGCGGTGGCCCCGGTGGGGCGGACAAGGCCGCGTCCTTCGGGCAGCGGAAGTCGGGCACGGGCCCGCGGCGGTCCGGGGGCGATGACACGATGGACGGCGGCGTCGAGGTGTCGTGGGTCCCGGCGGCATCGGGCGGAGATGAGGCGGCGCAGGCGAAGGGGAAAGGCCGGAGGAAAGGCGTCGAGACGTTTGGCGCAGGGATGGAGCGGGGTGGGGAGGAGGACGAGGGTCGGGCCTTGTCTGAGAGCGAGAAGAAGGGGCGCACGCATCGGCGGAAGGGTGTGCGCAGCGGGAGCAAGAGCGCGTTCAGGCGGATGCAGTGAAGCAGTTTCACCGCTGTCTGTCGAGCGCCGTAGAGCTGCTCGGAGCGTTCCGACCAGCGACCCCTTCTGAGGGCTTGCCTGTGTAATGGGAGGCTGTGGCTCGTCTTGTATCGCTATGTAACGTTTCACTCAGTCCATTCTCGTTGGGCTCACCACTCACCGTACGCAGTGCTTGGGCTGCTTCAAGTGTGCGTATGTATGTGGTCGCTGTCGTATCCAGAACGGAACAATGGTGTATTTCCCGTTATGGCCTTCCCATTATCGTGTTCATCATGTGATTGTGTTCGCAGTTTTTGTCACTGTGCCTCGAGCACCTCGATCGCATTCCGCGTCCAAAGTATCTTCTTTTCCTGGATGATATTCAGATTGTATCGATCTTTCGATTGGATGCCATGGCTTGCGCGAATGAGGTTGCAAAGCTTGGCCCTGCTCAGTTTGATCACAGTAAGTGCGATTGAATCAGCGGGTTGTTTGAGATTGTTTGTCGGTCTGAGGAATACGAATGTGCGGAAGTAGTGATGTGATCTATGAAAAATAAGGCAGACGACAAGGTTGCAGAAGGTTGCCTGTCGGCGCCCGTCTATAGATTGATTGTCAGTTCGGCCTTCAAATCCCTCCGTCCCCCCGATATCGGACTGTGTAAGCCTCCTATTGGGAGAGTCATCAGAGCTGAGTACGTCTACATCCCACCTGTCCCAGCAGTACAAAGCTACAAGCCCATAGGCCCGACCGGGTCGTAGAACGGCACAGACAATGACAATGCGAAGGTGAACTTGGGCACGTGCCTCGTCACGCTGTTCCGTATCCAGGTGCCTGTCGGCTGTAACCGTGTGTCCTCGCAGTTCTTCCATTCACACTTCCACAAGGGACAACCTTCTTCATCAATACACCGGCTGTCAGGTGCCATGGAATAAGCAGAAGGTCCACTCGCTCAGATACCGAGGACGTGAGCCACTGGCCAACAGACGGACAGCAACAGCGCCTCTCCTGAGCTCAAAGTACCTTTCATAAGGATCGCATACCATCCCGCGGTGCTTCATGATCTCCTCGGTCTGGGCATGAGCGCTGAGTTGCAACGTCCAGCCACTGCCAATGGGCTGTCTTGGCGGCCGCTGCAGCTGCCCATGACGCAGAGGCTAACCGCGATTCGCTGATCGGCACTCTTCCTCCACCGCGGGCGCTTGCCGACTTACACTGAACGGAGGAATCATCGGTCACTCGGACATCGTGATTTCACGCCCGGACCCGGTTGTAGCGTGGTAAGCGCACCGAAGGAAGCTCTATAAAGGCGTGCTTCGCGAGTACCTGGCTTCTTCCTTCCCCCATCCCATCATGGCGCCACCCGGACCTGCGTTCCTTGTCAAGATCCTTCCACGCCTGGTATACCCCTCCGTTATTGCGTATGGCTGTCTGCGCGTGCTGGGGAATGCCTGGGAGGTCAAGATTCCCGCTTGGGTGGGCGCATGTGTCGTCATACTCGTGAACCCTGTCCTTTGGACGATCCAAGGCATCCTCAAGGAGATCCAGACGCGCAACAAGGCCGCCGCTGCTGGTGCTGACCTCCCTCCGCTCGTTCCGAGCGAGCTGCCTTGGGGGCTTAGCCACCTCGTCGCACTACGCAAGTCAGCCAAAGAAGGCCTTCTCGGTGATTATCAGGGAAAGGATTCAGTGTTGACTTAACCGACTAATTGAGTTCCTAGCTTACATCTTCGACTCGTGGGCCAAGAAAGTGGGGAGCGCCGTCTACCGAGTCAACCTACAGGGCGATGTTCGGGTCAGTCATCGCGGGAGAGTTGCTATGCTCGTGCTAACTAAGGAGTTAGATAGTAACCCTTGAGCCTGACCATGTCAAGGTAAGAGTATCGCGGCACCGTAGCGCTCACTTTGTACTGATAGCATTCATGTAGGCTATCCTTGCCACCCGATTCGAGGACTTTGACAAGGGTACGTGACCCTCGATGCTGGATCACGAGAAGGGTGCGCTTAATCTCTGTTTAGGTCCGGTCTTATACGACCTGCTCTATTCGCTGCTTGGTAGCGGCGTCTTCAACTCTGATGGCGAGATGTGGAAGTAAGTCTACGACCCACCTCCTAGCGCCGGTGGCGTCGCTAACCAGAGGTAGGTTCCACCGGACAATGACGCGCCCGTTCTTCAATAAGGAGAAGATCGCCCACTTCGACAACTTCGACCGACACGCGGATGATACCATCCGCCAGGCGAAGACGCGCCTCGCCGAGGGTCACCCCATTGACTTCCAGGACATGGTCGCGCGCTTCACGCTCGACTCCGCCACCGAGTTCCTCTTCGGGCACGACGTCAACTCGTCCGGCGCGGGCCTCCCGTACCCGCCTGGCTCCGCGCACGCCAACTCGCCTGAGTTCTTGAACCACCCGTCGAACCGCTTCGTGCACGCGTTTGCTGAGGGCCAGGATATGACGGCTATGCGCTCGCGGGCTGGCGCGGCGTGGCGGCTGCTTGAGTTCTGGAAGGACCAGGTCAAGCCGTGCAGGTGCGAGGGATTGCCGTATGTCCGTAGTAGGCGGGTGCTAACCCACCTTAGGGATGTCGTCGATGACTTTGTACGCGAAATCCTCGCTGATCCGAGCCGCACCAAAGTGGACATCGAGGCTAGGGAGGGCGGCGCTGAGCCGAAGCCGCGCGAGGATGACTCGCTGCTGGACCATCTTGTCAAGTTCACGCAGGGTGAGCTTCCAGCGACTGATGAAGGCGAAGTAACCGTACTAATAAATTGCGATAGACCGTAATATCCTTGCGGACGAGATCGTCAACCTTCTCGTCGCGGGCCGCGATACTACTGCGGGAACGCTCACCTACGGAATCTACAAGCTGGCTCAACACCCTGACATCGCGAACAAGCTTCGCGCCGAAATCCTTGACAAGGTCGGTCCCACGAGGCGGCCCACGTACGACGATATCCGCGATATGAAGTGTACGCCCACCTCGAGATACGCTCTGCTCGCACGCGCTGACACAATTCATAGATCTGCGGGCCTTCTTGAACGGTAAGCGCGGTCGTATGTGGTCGTCTATACGTCTTTCTGATTCTTGTCGCCGCTCCGCTCGCAGAGGTCCTCCGGCTATACCCCATCGTGTACGTGCACAGCCCCTCATTTACCGTTGATGATGTACTGACCATCTCTTTAGTCCTGTCAACAGTAGGCAAGTTGACAGTAGCGCCTTGACCGCGTATGTCTAACCTGAAGTTAGGACCGCAAATAAGGATACCCTTCTCCCATACAAGGACGTCTCCCGGCGCCCGATCTTCGTGCCCAAAGGGACGAGGTGAGCGCTCTGGCACTCTTCGTCCGTATTTCGTTGTTGTTGACTCCGTGAACAGATGCTTGTATAGCGTATTTTTGATGCACAGGCGCACTGATCTTTGGGGCCCGGATGGTGAGGGCTCTTCCTTTCTGCAGAGCAAACTTCCTCTGACAATTCCGATAGCTGGCAAATTTGACCCTGAGCGCTTCATTGACGACCGTGTGCACAAGTACCTGACGCACAACCCGTACATCTTCGTTCCCTTCAATGCAGGCCCGCGTATCTGCCTTGGCCAGCAGGTTCGTTTTGCTCGTCATCTGTATGGACTATATTGACTGCTCGCTCCTCACCTAGTTCGCGTACAACGAGATGTCCTTCTTCCTCATCCGCCTGTTGCAGAACTTCACTGGCTTTGCGTTGGCCGACGATGCTCAGCCGCAGGAATCCATCGCGGACTTCCGCACCACGGATACACCCGACGCGGAGCTGGAGAAGCGTGTATTCGCCGCGCACTTGACAATGTATCTCAAGGTAAGCATCAGCAGCTGTGACCGCTACCCTTTCGTTGACCCGCCTTGTGCAGGACGGCTTGTGGGTAAGGATGGCGGAGGCACCGACGATGGAAAAGTAAGCTGTGTAACTTTGGTGTAGAAATTGATTTCTCTCGAATCGATGGCCTGTACGCGCATAACGCGCTGTAGACACTTACTATGCTCTATATTATTACCAATATTCTCATTCTGATGTGGAGGGTGAACGCGAGACGCTGCACGCGGAGCACCACTTCGTATCGGTGAATGACCAAGAACGTGACCGAAGTACTCGCGGAGTTTGTCGTTATGGCAAATGCGAGACGAAGGATCGTAATGCTGCTGATTATTGCCAAATATGGACATTTCATTGTTTCCGAATTAAGCTATTTCTTCTGGTTGTCCTTGTTTGCGCATGTCGCACGCGACCCCGAAGCCGGACCTGACCCCGACCCAGACCCCGACCCAACGCCGACCTGACGCGTTCTTGGCCGCAAACTCCACGATTTAGTCAACGGTTGGACAGTCGCGACCATGACCAGGCCCAGCGGGAGATGCACCTTGCCAACTCCCACAATCCTCTCATCGTGCACTGCGTGAGATACGGTACGGTACCTTGACCGCAGGTGCGTCCACACACGCCAGCATCGATGACACGACGCTGATCATCCCTGCTTACAGCGAAAAATCTCTCCATGTCGCAGAACGCCTGTGATGACCCGACAATCTCGACTTTTCCCATAAACAGGCTTCCCAACGAGCTCCTCGACTGCGTCCTCCTCGAAGTGTGCCAGGACAGCCACGACTACGTTGACGTGCCCCCACTGTCACATGTGGACAGTGCACACCAGCACCCCAGGTACTCCGCTCTTGCCATCAGCTGGGTATGCGCTCGATGGAGAGCCATCGCCCTCGCGAATCCCGCCTGCTGGACACACGCAGCGATCGACATCCGCCTCCCGGCGATCGAGGAGGTGGCCGACGAACCGACCGAGCATAGCCGCATTGTTGCGCAAAGCATCGCCTTGCTCAGGTGCTACTTCGAGCGCTCGAAGGATGCGCCGCTCGAGGTTCACTTCTCCGAATACCTGAATGATGAAGAGCGTTGGGAGGCGACCGTTGGGGAGGTCGTGCGCTTCGCGTGCACGACCATGCCGCGCTGGAAGACCTGCTGGCTTCCGTCATATCTCGTCGACTGGCTTTCCACGGACCCTGCTCAGCTTGGGTCGCCCCTCCAGCTCCGATCAGCAATCGTCTACTTCCAGCCGGTGTACGATGACTTTGCGGTGGACCTCTTTGCCAGAGCGCCTCGCCTGCATCGCTTGGCGGGATCTTTTTCCGACAGGACTGCTGGTGTGCTGCCATGGGCGCAGCTCACGCACCTGGGCGTGAGCCGCTTCGTTTCCATCCAGTTCTTCATGAGCATAGTGTCGCAAAGTCAGCGTCTGGTGAAGATGAAGGTTCAAATCTGGAGCAACTCGAACGAACCCTTCCCTTCCCACGGATCTGATACCGCGCCAGTGGTTCTCCCGAACCTCGAGAGCGCAGACTTCATCGTGGACACCGGCGCCGTCCTTCAGCACCTCCTCGCCTCGCTGACCACCCCGAAGCTGTCGTCCTTGCGACTCCGGGGGTCCGCCCAACGCGGAGATGACGACGAGCAATTCTCAGGATACATCCGCCTGTGGCGCTGGCCGATGGTCCACTTCGAAGGCTGGCTGCAGCGTTCCCGATGCGATCGGCTCACTAGCCTGATCCTCGCGGACATCCTCATGCCGCGGGGCGACCTCATTGGAATCCTGGAGCGCCTGCCTCGCCTCACAGAATTCGGCTTGAAGGAGCATATGGCGCTACAGCCGCCCGAGCGGCAGCACGACTTGCCGGTCGATAACTGCCTTCTCCGTCGCTTGACTGCGGTGGATGGCGCGAAAGCAGAACTCTTCCCTGAGCTCAGGAGCTTCATACTCAAGGGGATACTGAGGTTCGACTGGCCGTTGCTGCTTGACATGGTGCGCTCGCGGGTTGTTCCGCGTATAGAGAACCTGGACATATACATCGACGACCAGTCGACGTCGGATATTGATCGGGACACGGAGGCGGAATTGAACCAAAGTCTCGGTCCACGAGGTTTCACGAACAGGTGCGGGTCGAAGTGGGACTTGGAAAAGCCGTGGATGCAGGAGCTTCTTGCGAACTTGGAGATAGCGGAACAAAGGGCTCAGGAGATGGAGGCGCAGGAGGCAGGCGCGTCAGGTTCGGTCATGTAGATTACTTGGCTTGCAAAGTTGAAAACATGTATTTTTGAATCCAGCTTTGTAAGTACAGACAGGCCGTATTTAGCTAGGAAAAGGCGTCAAGACACTGGAAGCCGCCGCATGCGCGTCAATAGGCGTGTATTTGTTGATATTTGCGTCAATTTACTAAGAGGGCCGTGTAACTGACGATTATTCCTGTCAACGCATCCTTGACCTCGTACTTTTACATCTCTTCTCACTGTTTGTACTGCAATACGACTCACGAAATCCTTTCCGAAGGAAGACTTTGGTGCATAAGTACTGAGGACAGTAGCCGAGTCCCAGGGGTGGTACGTATGCCGGCTACCATACAATGAATTTACAAGGTGACTTGGCATAGCCTCTCGCACTCAACGATGATGGAGCGGTCCCCCGTGTCCTGCGGCATACCCACCACGCAATGCTCCTGGCACCTGGGGACATTGATTGGCTCGAAGCCAGATCCCACGCCCGGATGCACGGATGGGGAGGCGAGGACGACACTTATGGCTAGCCATGCGCAGTGCATAGTCATGAAATTTACGCAGAACGCCTCCGCGCCGCGTATCCTCCTGGCCCTCGCTGCTCCCAAGCTCAGGTGTACGCTTATCTCTTACCGAACCATGCCGTTGCTGTAAATGCGACAGGTCATATAAGAGATTTCATGGTGTACGCAATTCCTCACTTCTCCATCCCTCCTTCGACATGGCACTTCCGCCTGGCATCGTCTTCCTCATCAAGGCGGTCCCGCCCCTGCTTTACCCCGCAGCCATCGCGTATGGCTGCCTTCGCGTCTTCGAGAACGTGAAGGAGGTCAACCTGCCGCTTTGGGTGCCGGTCCTCGTCGTCCTCGCTGCGAACCCATTGTTGTGTATGACCCAGAGCGTCATCGAGGATCACCGCCGCGGCAGGCAAGCGGCAGCGATGGGCGCGGTGATCGCACCCATTGTACCCAGCAAGACTCCTTGGGGATTGGACAATCTCGCCATTGTGCGTCGCGGAATGAAGGAGGAATCGTTTGGTACGTTCAAGACTTGTGTTTGACCTTGTACTGACATGTAAGCAGTCGGTGTGCTGCAAGGCTGGTTCAAGCAGATGGGCACCACGACCTACCGTGTCAATATTTTGGGCGATGAGCAAGTGAGTGACGGCACGCTTCTTCTCGTCAGTAAATCTCAGACTGATCCGAATCACAGATCGTCACGACCGAACCCGAGCACGTCAAGGCCATCCTGGCGACGAAGTTCGAGGATTTCGACAAGGGTGCGTGTAGATTATGAATCGTCATGGGTAGGCTCTTACTATGAGCATAGGTCCTGTAGTCAACGACGCCTTTTACTCTCTCCTCGGCAACGGCGTTTTCAGCATCGATGGTGACATGTGGAAGTGAGTGCCCTAGTCCGCTCTCTTCTTCCATTCGTAGCATCAGTCGCTTCATCCATGCTCACCCCCCTCCTTGCGTCTCGTCCACCCACTCTTTCCTCAACACTAACCATCCCTTCCCCAGATTCCACCGCTTCATGACCCGCCCCTTTTTCAACAAGGAGCGTATCTCCGACTTCGCCAACTTCAACCGGCATGCGGACGCCATCCTCCGACAGGCTAAGGCGCGCATCGCGGAGGGCTTCCCCGTGGACTTTCAGGACATGGTCGCGCGATTTACGCTCGACTCCGCTACCGAGTATCTCTTCGGATACGACGTCAACTCCACGGGCGCGGGCCTGGCGTACCCCGAGGGCTCGACTGCGTCGAATGCGGCGTACTTTCTCAACCACCCGTCGAATCGGTTCGTGAAGGCATTTGGAATGGGCCAGGACTTTACGGCGGCAAGGGTGCAGGTGGGCACTGCGTGGCGGCTGATCGAGTCCTGGAAGGATAAAGTGCGGCCATTGAGGTAAACGTGGGATTTCAGGAGTTCCGATGAGGTTGCTGAGCTCCCGAAGGGCTGTCGTGGACGATTACATCCGTGACCTGCTCGAGGCCGCTGCGGTCGAGAAATCCGACGTCGACGCGACAAAGCGCCCCTCGGATTACAAGCCGAAGGAGGGCGACAATCTTCTCCAGCACCTGGTTAACTTCACGCAGGGTACGCTTGGGTGATGCCCCTTGCTTTCGTCACTAATTTCCCCATACCGACCCATCCCCTCTTACTTTTCCATCCCATTACCTCCTGACCGCTAATTTGCTCGGGCAGACCGCAGCATCCTCGCCGACGAGCTCATCAACCTCCTCGTTGCCGGGCGCGACACGACGTCGGGCACGTTGTCTTTTGGCATATACAAGCTGGCAGAGTACCCCGAGATTGCGGAGAAGCTGCGTGCCGAGATACTCGAGAAGGTGGGCCCGACGCGCAGTCCGACATACGACGACATCAAGGACATGAAGTGTGCGTGTTTGTGGGAGTTCTTCTGCGATTCTCTAACTGATAGCCGAAGCAGACCTGCGCGCGTTCTTGAACGAGACGCTTCGGCTGTACCCCCTTGTGTATGTCGTCTCGGTTGCTTGTCACAAAATTCGAAGGCTGACCTGTCGTGTAGTCCGGTCAACGCTAGGCAAGGGCTTGTAATCATGGCGCTTGCCTCCCCTGCTTACTCTATATTTGCAGGACGTCTAACAAGGATACGTTGCTTCCATCGAAGAATGCTGCGAAGCCGCCCATTTTTGTGCCCAAGAACACCAGGCAAAAACTTCGCTCCTACAACCAAAGTTCCCATAGGCTGACGAGGAAAACTCAGGTGTCTCTACAGCGTCTACCTCATGCACCGGCGCACGGATCTTTGGGGACCGGATGGTGCGTCCTTCTCGCTGGTTTCGCCCACGCTCGCATCCGCCATCACTTGCCTTGCTAAAAAATGTCTCAGCGGGCAAGTTCGACCCCGACCGCTTCATCGACGAGCGCCTCGGCAAGTACCTGACGCACAATCCGTATATCTTTGTCCCCTTCAACGCGGGTCCGCGTATTTGCCTTGGGCAGCAGGTAAGGGACCCTCGCTGAAATACTTATTGGGCTCGGACGCAATGATGACCTCAATCCGTCCAGTTCGCCTACAACGAGATGTCCTTCTTCCTCGTCAAGCTCCTCCAGAATTTCGACTCTTTCTCTCTCGCGACGGACGTCCAGCCGCGCGACTCCATCAGGGCGCCTACCGCGGCTGACACGCCGGGCTCGGAGATCGAGAAGCGCATCTTTGGGGTGCACTTGACGATGTACTTTAAGGTGAGGTTTCTGTCAAACTCTTTGTACTTCGGTACTCACCGCTTATGCTACTAGAGTGGGCTTTGGGTGCGCATGCAGGAGGCGCCGCCGGTGCAGTCTGTCTAAGGTGGCATGGTATGCCACTGGTGCCACTTGTGAATGGACTTTGTTGTGAGCCATGTTCATAAGGCTGTTGTACCCCATAGAACCCACTTTTTATGTCTACCTATCGTTCTTGGTCACGGAATACATACTGCATATTCACTTGCAAATTCTCTGTCCATGTCGGCTCGTTGCCGCCGTCTGGATAAGTATAGTGGCTGGCGGCTGCCCCCGCCAAACCATGGAGGATCTTCAGAAGCCAACTTAAGCACCGCATCTGTGCGCCTCCATTCATCTTATGCCGTCATTCCAATACGCGCGGCCACTCGCCTTCTTGCATGGTCCGCAGCAGCTGTTTGTTTGTGTCATGGCCTCATGGCCTGCGTTTATGTTTGTAACGCTTTGGCCCGGCGCGGTCCCGTGACGTGCGCGTGTTTGTCGCCGGCATCGGCCCGGCGGGGTACATAAGGAGGGTCCTTGCGCTTGGTCCCGCCACATCTTCTTCTGCCTCCTGCCCCCATCATCGCACCCGCCTAGTGGCATTTCCTCTTATCTTCTTTTCCTCCCTTCGCGTTCTCCTCTCTTCGTCATGTACTGTATACGAGTGATGTTCTGCCTACCGCGCCACTCACCGATTCCTCCCATCCTCTGCCCGCCACTCCTGTTGCCCTCTTCCTCGTGTCCTACTATACCTCACCTGCCTCTTACTTGCCTGCGCTCGTCTGCTTGCCACAACGTTCCTCAAGATCGCCGTCAAGTACCGTCCACCTCTGGCCACTTTATGGCGCACTGACGCCTGGCTCTGCGATAGCTCGAGTTCTCCGCCGATGGATTGGGATCACCATTTCTGAGTCATTTGGTGCGTGTCAACTTCTATATTACCTGCGCTGTCGCTCATATCTTGCACAGCTTGTCGACGCCACTCGATCTGAACTCCAGCTCTGACTGCCGAATCTGCTTCGCGTACCCTCCCCTCTCATTGTGCTCTAGGACATACGTTCACGATCGAGGCTCTGCTTCTGACATGCTCACGCACTTGACTACGCGGCTACGACATCTTCTTTCGTCGATGCCACTCGTACGTCAAGGTCCGCACCGCTCAACTTCGTCAAGACCGTCCTCAATCTCTCGCCTTCGCCCCGTTCGACGTGCTTAAAGTCCTCTCGATCTTCTTCGCCAACATGTTCGAGCTGCTCCTCTGGTCGTCAATGATCCTCTCCCGCTCTTCTGTGCCTCTCCTCCGCTCTATCAGGTCGTACCTGCGCACGCCGACGCCTCTGCTCCGCTCCTCTCAGTCAAGACCCGATTCGACGCTCTCGATTCCCAAAACCTCTGGCGCTAACTCTTATATATTTGTTCCTATTTATTCTTTTCTCTTTCTCTTGGTCTCCCTCTTGGGGAGACCGGCCCCTTGTGGGCCTTTCCCTTGGAATAGGACCGCCTTCGGGCGTGCTCCGGCGCCAGGCCTCATCGTGGCCCAAGGGTGAACCTCATCTGCTTTGCGGGTGGGGGCCAACTGGCGTGCCGTTTTGGCTTTGTTCTCTCTCCCTTCAGGGCCGGTGTCACACGCAAGGTCGGCTCGACATGCAAGATACAAGTCGCAAGACGGGCGCACAAGATCGGCTCGGCTCGCAAGACTAGCCTGCAAGCACCTTGAGGCATGCAATCCGAAGGCGGGCAAGAAGCAAGACTTCTCGTGGAGTGACGTCTAAGCGTCCTGAAGATGCGGGGTCCAGGGTTGTGTGCCTCGAGACTGCCTTGTAAAACCTGAACGCGGTCCAATTGAGGACCTCTCGGCTTTGTCGAGGGATCGATCCATCCATGAAGCTCAAGCACAAGCTCGGCGACGAACAAGAAATCGAGAGTAGAGCATAAACTGCTTGATACAAATGCATAAGATATAGATAGTCAGGTACTTGTTTCCGACATTCCTGTCCTCGATTCCTCCTCTTCCATCGCCCTGCCCATCGCTTCGAGGACGCCCCGCTTCCTGAAGCTAATGTCCGCCGACCAGCTCCACGTATATCCCTTCTCGCCCATGATGCCCTTCAACCGCCCCTCCAATGGCTCGTTCACGTCGACGACGGACTTGCCGTCCATGTGCAGATGCAGATGCTCCAGCCGTGGGTTTGTCCTCGACTTCACCATCTCCACGAGGACCTCGGGGTCGAAGTGCAGCGACCCGTCGATCTTGAGCACCCTGAGCTCAGAGAGCAACGCCGGGTCAGCCCCCTCTCTGACGATCATACGCTCGAGGACAGTGTCGCCGATGGTCGTCGGGCGGTCAGGCCTCGCGGGGTCGTTCGTGACATTATGATTCGTGATAGTGAAGTCCTGCAGGCGGGGGACCTTCTCCAGTAGGGCGACAAACTGCGCTTGCGGCAGGCAAATGTACTCGAGGTGCAGAGACCTTAAGACGCATTGCGAGCGCTCGAGCATCATAGTGAATGTTCGCATAGGCCAAGTGCGCAGCTTCAGACCGGAGGAACCATGCCCCGCGCCGATCACCGTCAGGTCCTGTAGCTCGGGTGCTTTCAGGGCGGAAAAGAGGCGAGAGAGCACACGACGGGTGGGCACTTGCACGCTCAGGATGCGTAGACGCCGGAAAACGACCTTAATGACGGGAGGCTCGTCCGACTCCTCGCCGTTGATGCGTAAGTCGAGGTCGACGACCTGCTTCAGCTTCGGCAGCAGCCTGAAGACATCTCGGATGGGGGTGGAGACCGTGACGTGCAGATGCGTGAGCTGCGCCCACGGCAGCTCGATGCCGACTATCGGCCCGGTCCACTTGCGCAGACGAGGCGCATCGACGAAGACATCGGAGTCCAAGATGGAGTCGTACGTGTGCGGCATGTGCACGTCCTCGAGTAGGAGGGGCCGCGCACCTCCTGCGATCTCGCGCAATATGTTGGCGAGGAAGACCGGGATGGTGCATTCCCGCCAGCGCGGCAGCGAGGGGGCGAGCGTGAGGAGGATGGGCCCGAAGCTGGGCTCCCAGTAATCCTCGAAGAAGTCATACTCCAGGTCCAGCAGTGCGTTGATCTGCACGTACGGCAGCGGCGCCGAGCCCGAGCGGTCGAGGTAGCACTTCAATATGGTGGCGGCGTTCGCGACCTGGCGATCGTGCTCGGCCAGCCGGGCTTTCCTTTCGGCGGACTCGCGCTCGGACTCGCTGTCGCTGTCACCGTCGCTGTCGTCGCTTTCGGACCATTCTTCCCAGAGCTCCCCGAGCTCGTACTCCTCGAGGTCGATCTTGATCTTCGGGGGCGTCCAGAACGCGGTGTTGCCGAGGGTGAGGGCTCTCCATTGCCGGCAGACCCAGCCCAGCTGAAGAGGTGCGACGGGAAGCTGGGGTGGGTGTAGTTGGGTCTTGGAGGGGGGCAGGATCAAGGGGGTGCTGTCGCATACCCAGAGCAGGATCTTTTCGAGCACTTCGACAGGTATGCAATCGATAGGGGAGGACGGCGAGGGGGGGAGCATGTCGACGTCTGTCATGGTGGATCGCCTTTAGAGACGTGAGTTAGAAGTTCCGCAGGTATTCAATGACAACACACCTTCACTGGACTGCAGTGCTACAACAGTGAATGCTGGGACGCTCAAAAGTTCGCTGAATTCGCAGTGCTTTGCCGAAGACACAACAACCGTCGGTCTCTTCCTTGAACACAAAGGGAATCATACCGTCTGAAGCAAGCAGCGTATATATTTGCCGGGCGTCTGCCAATGGAAAGCACGAGAACTTGAGGGAAAGAGGGGCGTCGCGACCACCAAGCGGACTTTCTCACGTGGTCGCTCGCCGCAGCGACGGAGCGTGGGTTCGAGCCTGGGCAATGTCCATTGCTGGCCTGCTGGCGGGAAAAAGCATCCCCATGTTGTAGGTCATAAACCTCTCGAGGAAGTGACCTCTGCAGAAAGTCGACGAGACAAAAGGGGCTCTTCAGCAGATCATACAATTAAAGCGGTGTGGAATACTCGGTGAATGTGTCGAAGCAGGGTGTGAACCCTTCACAGAAAAGCGCACGCGAAGCGCGCAGATAAAATACAATAGAAATTGTTCCATGAGCTCTGCGCTGTAACCAGCAGAGCTCGGTGCCGCATGCGCCATTGGCGCATGGTTCCGAAGGAGGGCGTACAGCGCAAGGTCTACATCCTAACTTCTGCGGTGCATCCTCTGAAGATGACTCTTCAGATCGTTCATTGTATTGAAGGCTCCGTTGCAGCCGCGTTCAGGGCATTTGAACGCTAACTTGTTCTCGTGGCGTCGGATGTGATCTGAGGCAAGGTATCGTCGATTAGCGAAATCATAGCCCAGCAAGCCACGTACCCTTGAGATTATTTGTTCGCGTGAAGGTATGTCCGCAGTGGGGACATATCCTCAAGTGAGCTCCGCGGTATGTCTTGCGGCGGCGGCGGCGGAGGGAGGCGTCCGTCAGCGCAGCGGAGCCAACAGCTCGACGAGCGACTCGACCAGGTCCATTGACTCGTGCGCTGTCAAGTGCTTCTGCTTCCTTCTCCGGAGACTGCCGTCGAAAAGCGTCGGTGGCGGTGAAACTCGGCGTGGGAGACGAAGACCAGCCGGCCTCCGGGGAAGGCCAAAGGGCGGTAGGGCATGTCTGCGTGTAGAACGAGGCCGCGCCAGAAGCGCAAGCATCGTTCTTTGTATGCGGGAACGCCGGAGCGCCGAACTCGTATGGGCCTCTGCTTGAGAGTGAGGGGATACCGAAACCTTCGCGATAGCCGTTTGACGCATGCGTAGCGTAGCAGTTGCCCAAGCGAAGGTCGACGCCAGGGGAAGCGGCCATCTGTGCGGCGGGCGTAAAAGCAGCGAAGCCCTCATCCGATAACTCGGCCTGTGCGTGATCGCAGACGAAGGGCGGGTAAGCGGAGCTCGATCGGGCTAGTATAGTGAGTAGAAGCTGTCAGCGACGAGAGAATTATTTGAGGCACCGAGGACGCACTTAAGTGCGACCTGGCCTCAGCTCGAGAGAACGGGTACGGCCCAAGGCCGTCAGACGAAGCGGGAAAATCCCCAAAGTCGTCGTGTGCAGCGATCTCGGGAGACAGTTGAGTCTCGTAGAGGGCCGCTTGGAATCTGCGTTGGGGCAGTTCGAGCTCTTGCGGTTGCGTAGCGTAGAGGTATCGATTGAACTCGGATTGCGAGTTGGTCGGCGAGTAGGACATGACAGGGTGGAAGGGCAAGCGATTGCTGGGGGCGGGGGGCGCAAGGTGGTCGTGGTTGTGAGTCAAGGACGTCCGTGATGTCAAGTTTATGTTGCACATTCGGCTGGCAGGCGCATGTTATCACTGACGTCGATCTACAGCTTCCCCTAAGGTACAATGGCGCTGCCTGGACCGCTCATCCTCAGGTGACACGACTCACACGAGAACCCATCAGGGTAGAAGGCAGGTTATCGATGGAACTGAATGGCGCATTGAAGGTGTACGCCAGGTGCAAGAGATCCCCGGTGGGGCGGCACCTGTACCCGTACAGCTTCGGATGTTGTGGCGGGGGACAGGTGAACCGTCGCGAGAACGGCGGACTCCCGTAGTCGAGCAGGCAGCGCGGCCCTGCAGTGCGCATCCTGGGGACAGTAGTATGCCTCTTAACGCCGAACTGGGAAAAATATGCGAACAGCGCATTGGTAACGGGCGAACGATTTAGAGGCGGAGCTTGGGCGGAGCAAAGGGCAGATAGAAATCTCGGATCTCATCGACAGAGTCCCAACGGTCAATGATAATTTGTAAAATGTTCTTGCGATACAGGCTTCGTATCTTGCAGTGGTTGTGGGCATCGAAGGGCGTCGGATTCGCCACAGAAGCAGCGCCTAGGGCTATGTGAGTATCTCGAGTCGAGAGGGGCAATTCCCGCGACGCTTGGGTGAGTAAGTAGGCCCCTTGTGGATAAAATCGACGCTGAAGTGTGACGGTTTTCAAAGCTTCCGCGACTAGTAGACTTCGGCGATTCGATCTGCCAGGATGGAATGGGTTTGGTAGGTCCAACCAAGATCGCAATTTCAGGAGCGCGCATGGGCAAAAGTCGTTGGCCGTAGGCAGTAGAGAGTAAGGCTGGCTTCATCAAGAGGTTGCTGAAACTGCTGGAGAACGGTACGATGAGACGAAAACGCAGACAATGAACGGTGGGAGGGACACGTAGCTTCGTCTATCTATGTTCAATCGATCTCGAAGTCCTCGCAGAGTTCCAAGATATACGCAGTGTAATTGGGCATAGTGCCGGAGGGGCGAGGGGAAGCATCCTGCCGAGCCATCGCCATGGACAAGAGCAACATACGCTGTCTGCCCGGTTTGGTTCCGTCGACGGAGGCATCAGGAACCGGCACATTCCGATCACCCATCTCCACTAGATCGTGGGATGATTTGCCCTCTTTCGGGCCCCGTACTCACCTTGTCATGATCAATGCTTTCTTTGCTATTACATTGCTGTCGCTTTCTTCAGCCTCTTCGATGTGTATAGAAGTAATACTATGCACCAAGACCGTTGCGAGCAGTAGGAACTCGTGGTGCTTCTCCCGCCCTATCACTGCTGCTGTTCAGGTACCCTACTTTTGCTCAACACCCGGAGATCGTTTGACGTCCCCCATCCATCTCACCCTCCGCTAACAGTGATATTTGTACTCTTTACAGCCAACAGTCTCGGCGATATAATGCTTGAGCTATCAGATCAAGGCCCGTCCCTGGCCCGTCCGGTTCTCATGAATCTGAATAGTGGCCGTGCATATATTTTGGCTAGTCAGCCTATGGATTTCCATACTGTAGCAGATGACATGTACGGCAACCTCCCCAGTTCTATTTCACGTCTATAAGACATGCGAAGACATGAAAAGTTGAACATGTAACGTGACCGTGAAATTTTGGACCGCGGACCGAGTGCCGTAGAACGACGTACTAGCGCGCAAGTTGAGGGAGCGCCGTTCGTCCCCGTCATGTCCAACAAATTGGCCCAGCTCGGTCTGCAAAAGCGTCAGCTCCCCTCGAAGGAGAGCTCGCTGTTCAAAGAGCTCCTCGACTTTTACGAGAGGAAAAGCATCAAGAAGGGGATAAAGACCGCCGACGCGATCTTGAAGAAGTTCCCCGAGCATGGTGGTATGTGCTCGAACATATCCTGCTGTATTTGGGCTGAACATATACCCCAGAAACGCTATGCATGAAGGGGCTCTTTCTGACGCACGCGGGGCGGCGCGACGAGGGCATCGAGCTCGTGCGGAAGGGCGTGCGCCTCGATCTGACGTCGCACATCTGCTGGCACGTCTTTGGCATAATACAGAAGGGGGAGAAGAACTACGAGGAAGCGCTCAAGTCTTACACGCAGGCGCTCAAGTGCGATAAGGTGCGTGGTCTGCACGATGGGTGCGATCGGCGCACTGACAGTCACGTAGGAGAACCTCAACCTGCTCCGCGATGCCGCGCAACTGCAGACGCAACTCAGACACTACGATGCGCTCGTGGAAACCCGCTTGACGATTGTCCGCACCCGTCCACACCTCCGGCAGCACTGGGTAGCACTTGCGGTCGCGTACCATCTGAACGGCGACCTTGAGGACGCGAAGAAAACTTTGGAGCACTACGAGCGGTCACTGAAGGTGCGTATGCAGTGTATTCAACCATTATCCATGCTAACGACCGTACCAGGATGTCCCGGATTACGACGTCGAGCACTCCGAGACCCTGCTGTACCACATCCGCATTCTGGAGGTGCTCGGCCAACTCCAGGACGCCCTCAACCTGCTAGACCACAACGCGAAGCAGCGCGCCATCGTTGATCGGACAGCGATCATGGAGACGCGAGGTGTGTCCTTCTGGCCGGCCTGTGTATTCCGGCCGACCTTCTAGCCGATCATCGCTAATGAACGCGCCCCTAGCTAGACTCCTGACCAAGCTCGGCTCGGACGAAGCGGCGAACGCCTGGCGCGCGCTCATCGATCACAACCCCGAGAGCTATGCGTACTATGCTGGGTACATCGAGCGTCTCGGTGGCGCGTTAGGTCCGTCTGCGTACTTCGTACTTCCTACGCACCACTAATCCCCTAACCATCCTCCATGTAGAACCCGGCTCCTCCCCTGCCCTCAAAACCCTTCAAGAAATGGCCGAGATCCACCCACGCGCCAAGGCCCCTCGCCGTCTCGCCCTCGTAGTAGCCTCCGTCGACGGCACCTCCGACGGCGCTTCCTTCGAAGACCTCGCGCACGCATACGTCGAAGATGGACTTACGAAGGGCATCCCATCCCTCTTCGCCGACCTCAAAGCCTTATACGGCGACGCGGCGAAGCGCGACATAATTGGCAAGATCGTGGAGGGCGTGCGAAGTGCCGCAGACCAAGCTCCGAGCGACAGTGAGCCGACGACGTACCTGTGGACGCTGTACTACCTGGCGCAGCACCACTCGTATCTCGGGCACCACAAGGAGGCGCTGGAGCTGTTGGACAAGGCAGTCGCGCATACGCCGACGCTGCCGGAACTGTACACCATCCGTGCGCGGGTGTTGAAGCGCGCGGGCGACCCGTGGGGTGCGGTGCGGGCGGTGGAGGACGCACGGCTGCTGGACGGCCAGGACCGCTTCCTCAACACCAAGAGCGCGAAGTACAGGTTGCGAGCTGGTCTCAGCGAGGAAGCCAGCGCGCTGCTCGGCATGTTCACCAAGGTGAGCATCCTATCCTGACGGCGCCTTATCATCTCTCGCATACTCTACTATAGTTGACAAGACTTGCTAATCCTCCCTCCAGGTAATTAGACCCCTTTACCGCCCACCACGCGCTAACAGCAGCAGAAAGATGCGCCCAGTCCGGGCGCGGACCTCGAGGACATGCAGAGCCTGCTGTACCTCACGGAGCAGGCGAACGCGCACGAGCACGTAGGGCAGCCGAATTTGGCGCTCAAGCGGTACATGGCGATCGCGAAGGTGAGTTAGGGGCCGATGAGGCGGTGTCCACGACGGGGGAAGGTGGGAGGCTGAGGTGATGCTAATGAGCTCGTTGTAGGTCTTCAACGACATCGAGGACGACCAGTACGACTTCCACGGGTACTCAATACGCAAGTTTATGCTCAATGCGTACCTGGAGTATGTCTCTCCTTCCGTAACTCCCGTGTCTAGACATCCTTACAACTTGCTACAGCATGCTGAAGTGGGAAGACAACCTGCGATCACATCCTGCGTACGTCAACGCCGCCATCGCTGCTTCGCGAGTGCGTATGCCCATGCATGGATGTGGTGGGTACGGCGCTGACTAGGCCTGCAGATATGGGTCTCCGTCCACGACGATCCGACACTAGCCAGCTCTGCCGGATCCGGCAGCCAGATGACCGACGCGGAGAAGAAGGCAAAAAAGAAGGCCGCCAAAAAGGCCGCCGCTGCGAACAAGCAGGACGACAAGAAGGGTCAGTTATTCACTGATGCGGTTTGCACCTTGGCAAGATGGTGTCTTGAGAATGTCCTGCTGACGCATGCTTCATAGCGAACGGCATTGTAGCGAAGGATCACGAAGACAAGGGCATCGAGCCTCCCACACCAAAGGACGATGACCCCGACGGTCTGAAGCTTCTGCGCGCGGATGACGGGTTGGAAAGGGCCGCCAAGCTCCTGTCACCATTGTCGACCCTTTGCCCAAACAACATCGATGTCTGGATAGCAATCTATGATGTTGCTGTACGGAGAGGTGCGTATCCCCAACCCTTCTCACTACTCCCAAACCTGTCAATCTCACAACACTATAGGCAAACATCTCCAAGCCGTCCAGGCCCTCCGGCGCGCCAAGGAGCTCGACGCTGAGCATCCCGACGTTCACGTCCGCCTCGTCGACGTGCGCCGCCGAAACCCATCACCACCGGCACCCATGGGGCCTGTCGTCGCGGATGCGCTGAAGGAGCTTCTGCCCGAGGAGGTCTCGCTGGAGACGTACAACTCGCAATACCTGCAGCAGCACTCGACGTCGCCGCGCGCCGTGCTTGCAGCGGCGCGGGCAGCGCAGATCCTCGGTGCACCGCTAGCGGAGGTGGAGAACACCGCGTTCGCGGCGCTCGGTGCGGAAGTCGAGCTGGGTATCAAGGTAAGCGGCAGAGATCAAGCCGTGGTCGGAAAAATGCTGACTCCTGCATCATTTTGTAGGACGCCCTCGCCGTACTGGCCTTCTTGCGGCGAATCAAGTCGGGGCGGGCAGACGAGTTCCGCGCGGCGTGCGACGCCAAGTTCCCGCTAGCAACCGTGTTCAAGACGCCAACCGAGCAGGAGGAGCTGAAGAAGCAGGCCTTGGCGAAGCTGGATGATACGCGGGAGGTGGATGTGGTCGGGTCGTGAACATGGGTGTAGTGAGCACGCTGGTCGGTGTAGGCGAGCTTGTTGGTGTAGGGGAGCATGATGGCGTAGGTGGATATTCGCCTTGTAATGGGTAGAAGTAGACGTGTGTCGGAGCGACGCAGAACAATGTATCAGTCTGTCTGGAAAAATTTGTGAACATGTGGTGGACCTCTAGGTAAGCAAGGCTGACACGATGAGCAAGATACCCGTGATGAGCAATGCCTGGGACGAACCCAGTCGTCTTCGTGGCAGTACGAGACGCAGTACTCTTCAACACTCGACTTGTTCGCGACGATTCGCTCCGGAAAATTCAATGGCAGATGGCGGGCGCTATGTGCAGCCCTGCCTATGACATTGGGGTATCATATGAGGTCAAAAATACAAAGGCAATCCGTGCTGGATGGGGAGAAGCGCTACAACTACTAAAGGATGACGAGCCAGAGGTGCTGAACGATACGAGCTAAAGCTGTTAAAGGGTACGAGTCAAAACAGGTAGAAATACAAGTCGAGTCAGGTACAGTGAGAGATACAAGCCAAGATATATAGGGATAAGTATGCGTCCGTGTTAGCGGCGTGCCGTGCGAAATGACTACAAAGCGTGTGATATGCTAGCGAGGCTGGGTATGCGAGAGCGAGATGGAGGGAAGATAGAGCATATGGGATGAGATAGAGCAGACAGGATGAGACGAGATAGAGCAGGTAAGAAAACAAGAATTGGATGGGAGAAGACAATACGAGATGGAGAGGATGATAAGACACGATGAGACAACAAGCCAGAGGTGGAGACGGCGAATAGCGGGAATGAGATGGGACGTGGGATGTTGACACGCAGCTGCAACGACGAGGGTGGACGACGACAACACGGGACAGAGCATAACAGCGACGACGACGATGCAAGTGGGACAGTGAGTCGAACGATGCGTTGACGTTGATGCACAACTAGTTGTTGGCCAACATGAATTTGAGGAGGTCTTGCTCAGTCAAGTGGCGCGGCAGCGCATTCGTGTCACGCAACAACCGATAGACAGGCTCGACAGAGTTCACCCAGAATGAAAGCAAGGCGTCTGGGTCAAGGTGCGCGAACATCGGATCTAATGAGGGATCGTAGGGCGACAGGGACTCGACGTCGTGCAGCGGGAGTGCATTGTTGCCGAGTGGCTGGGACGGGAAAGAGCCATCCAACGATGACGAGCTGCAAGACGAGCTCGACGATGACCACGCAGGGGCGTTGGTCGTCTGCTCCTGGTGAGGCGGCGACATCCTCTGCTGAGGGGCCTCAGAGCACTGCTGGTAGGTCGAGTCGTCAAAGCCTTGCAGGAGGTCGTCGAACACTTGCGGGCCGTCAGACCACAGCAGATCGGCAGTGTTGTTCCACTGCTGCTCGAAAGATTCGTTGGGACACTCCTGACTGGCCTCGTTCCACAGCTGCTGGGTGTTGGCCCACGGCTCGGCTACCGGCTCGTTAGGGTTGCGGTACTGGCGGTTGAACGAGAACCGGCGCGGACGGAAGGGCTGGGCGGCAGCCGGCGCGGCGGACATCGAAATCGGCGTGTTGGGCATTGGGTTGAGCATCGAGATCGACGTGTCGAGCGGCGGAAGGGCAGCGCTGAATGTCGGGATTGTCGGGACGGGCATCGAGATCGGCGGGGTGAGCATTGATGTCGACACGGGGGAAGTCGAAACGTTTGAGGGCTGATAACCAACTTGCGAACCTGCAGAAGTGTCCGTGAGTATTGTGCCAATGAGAATTGGGAGTCCGTAGACCGATACGTACCGTGAGAGGAGTACGAAGAGGCCGGCGAAGGGGCGTGGGTGTTGAAGGGCTGGCCATAGTAGGTGTTGGGGGGTGGCTCATGATAGGTGTTGGCAAGCGGGTGGGAGTAGATGTCGGCGGGCGTCTCGTGGCAGGCATCGGCGACCTGGTTGCAGTTGTAAATCTGCGGGATGAATTGGTTCGTGAAGTTGTTGGTGTGCTGGTAGTTGTTGCAAGAGGTGCCGACGGGCTGGACGTAGGCGGTGTCGATGGGCTGGCCATTAGTGTTGGCGGACTGGCCGTACGAGGCGTCGACATGCTGGTCATAAGAGGTGTTGACCTGCTGGTACGCTGACGCATCCGTGGGAAGGTAGGGGTCCTGGGCGAGCGGCGCCTGATGCGCCATCACTGGCGGCGTCAAGGGCTGGATGGGCAACCTCGCGGCGGCCAGCGACGCTGACGAGACCGACATGCGCGAGATGGAGGCCGTGACGGTGGGCGGGGAGATGGCAGACGAGGCGCGGCGCTTGCGGGTCGTCGTTGGCGGCGGCGGCGGTGGCTGCGACACAAAGTGGGCGGCGTTGGCAGGGCAGTTGTGGATATCCGCGACCTTGGAGCTGTCCTCCTTCGCGGCGGTCATGTCCAGCGGGGTGGGTGCGTCATATGTCGACGCCAGCAGTGGCGTCGACGTCGACATCCAGGCAGGAAGCTCGTCCTTCCCCGGCGACTTGCAGCCATGGATGTTCTTGCAGTGCTTCTGCATCGCGGAGGGGTCGGAGCCCTTGTAGTCGCATTGAGGACAAAAGTATCTGCAGAGCTTTGTGCTAAGCCTCAAGTTCAGTACGGTGGACACAATGTTGAACACCATATACGCACTGTGTGCGGACATGAATCTCGATTTCGGTTTTCTGAGCGGCGTCCTTGTCGCACGAGGGACAGATATAGCGTCTGCACAGACTCGTGAGATTATGGCGTCGTCAAAGAGGTCAGCACGCACCTTGCGCCGTTCTTCTTGACCACCTGGATCTGCTGCTCGAGCGCGAGCGCTTCCTCGACGGTGTAGCTCGACTTGCATTTAAATCGCCATGAAGTCGGAAGCGGCGCGTAGGACCGCTTTTGACGGTGGTTCTGAGAGCAGCAAGTCAGATACGACAGTGACGACCGTAAGGGCCGGTCACCAACCTTGACGGCGCGCGGTACAGCGGGCATAGTGGGCAGGGCGGCGGAGTCGGCGGTGACGACGACGGCGATAACGAGGGCAGAAGAGTAGAGCGCCTAGCAGAATGTGATGGTGGGAGAGAGTAAGGGTGGGAAACAATCACTTGCCGAGCGGCTGGCTTTATAGCAATCCAAGTCAGCCGCGTCCTTGATTGCTTCCCAACCGTCTTCCAAATACGGTAATTTTCTGCCCTCCCATCCATTTCGCGTGAAATATTGCAGAGAAAGACGGGGACGTACCAAAGCCCACAGAGACATTTCTGCACTGTAGGCACATCCTCTGATGGGACTTTTACGGCTTCCCGCCGAGCGACGCATCGAGAACGCACATCAGTGGCGAAGTCCCAATCCGTGAACATTGCCCCATTTGGGAATGTTCACCGTGTGCTTGGTCGTGTTTGGCACAAGGCCCCTTAGCAACGGGCCTTGGAAAAACGGCTTCGCGCCGGGCCGAAAATCATGTGGAGAAAGCTGTGTCCGCTGGACTTTGCAGAAGGCCCTGGCATCTGCCTCGAGGATTCCTCGAGGCAACTGAATAGAAATGCTGTGGAGGGCGCCTGGGCCGTACAAGGAGGCGAAGCCGCGCGGCCTTCCGGTAAACGTAAGGCTGACGCGGCCGGCAGCCTTCCACAGCCTTCGAGTCAAGTCGCTCGAGCGCGGTGCCGCCGATGTGCGTGGGAGGGCGTCTACGAAGCTGGAAAGGCGTGGAACGAGGAGGAGCAGAGCGAAGAATAAATTCTGCCGCTTTGAGTCCGCAAGGGGCAAGTGATGTCACCCTCTTGAATGTTACTCTTGTCTCGCCTTCATCGACTCATACAAGCCTGAACGCCTATACTGCTACTGATTACCGACTGTATTGAGCTTCGACTTCTTGTGCTGTGTACAATGGGCTCTGCTTGGTCTGATGTCATCGGCGATTCCTCCAGCGAAGATGGCCATAATGACCCTCTGCGATGGGAAGGTGAGCCTCGCCTATTCCTCAAGGGTTAACACCTCCCTGAAGACTGATCTACTCCACGCTTTGCAGGCAGCTACTACCACCCTACGTCTTCAGACGTGGATATCGTTGAGAACGGGCTTGTGAAGCTCGGACTCCCGGTTGAACTCGCACTCTACATACTTGACTTGGCCGAGTACTGGGTACGCGAGATACTCTGCGAGCGCGCTGGCGAGCTGGTTGGTGAGTAATCACTATTGCTATACGTGCCTTGCAGTCATGCACATGGAGGTGGCATGACGTTAACTTCCTAACAGTCAAAGCCATCGGCAGTCCAAAGAATAGCAGCACCTGGTGCTACCTCGTCTCCCCGCCGCTATCTTGTAGGCCGCGAAAGATACGCTTCCATGTCCTCTCGCACGATCAAGGATGGGGCGGGCCGCCGGATTGTCGAAGTAAGTGTATCAATTATGTCCTCAATGCTAGCGCATCCTCCTTCAAGCCGTCCTCTCCCAACTTACCGACCTTACCTTCAGAGACATTCCGAGGCTCGTTCTCCTGGACGGAGGTTGCGCTCATGCGCCCGAAACGCACTGAAGCCGACAACGGAAAGCGCCTTCCAGCCAACGACGAGAAGCCAGCACCTTCAAGTGAGGGCGCGCTATCGGACGCGCCCTACCTCCCCGGCCGCCTCACCTGGGTCGAAGCCACCCAAGCGGCCAATTTCGTCGACGTCACCTCCGATGACCCCAACGACATCGCGCTCGACGACCCGCTCTACGAGCCCGTAGAGATCGACGGACGTACCCATCGGCCGCTGCAGCACAACCGCGTCGCAGTCAGGGCGTCGGAGAGTCACGAGATCGAATGGCGGGAGGATGAGGGTGAAGTTGAGGAGTATCAAGGAGATCGGAGCGACGATACTGGCGCGGGATATGGGGGCGGCTTTGTGCGCGCGATTCAGGAGGGGGATTGCATTGCGGTGTTTGCGAGGGCGCAGGTGGGTGGTTGTCTCCTCCATTTAGATGGCTCCAAACTCCTTCAAACGATAATTTGGAAGCTAATATTGATGTCCTACAGTACCCCGGCTGGGAGTGCCATGTCGAGGCGGTCACGATTGAGACGTTTACTGGGCGTTAGTCTGCCGACTGCTCTAGGATCTCTGTATTTAGGAGTACGCCAATGGTGTATGTTTCGCGCACAATCCACTGCTGTGATGCCATAATTACTCGGTGATGGTCTGCGAGTGGCAAGACGGGGACATCGACAAGCGATAACATCCTACTAGTACTACATACTTCAAGATTGGCACCTCCCGGTGATCCCGGGCCGGATGCCACCTCCTCTGAGTCTACTTCCATCACGCTCACAGTTCGATACAAGGCTAACCTGCTACTCATCCCCTTTCACCAGCTGTATATCTTCCTTCGAACTTCTGTACCATCTCGTCTGCAATGGGTTCATCTTGGTCTAGATCCGCACCCCATAAGGAACCTTCACGATGGGAAGGCGAGTACGGAGGCTTATTGACAAGACTACGTCCCCCCTATTACGCTATGCTGAAGTGCTTACTCATAATCTTGCATGTAGCTGGTCTCTACCAACCTACACCCTCGGAGGTCAACGTCGTCAAGACCGGGTTACTCAAGCGCGGGCTTCCGACGGAGCTTGCGCTGCACATTCTCGACTACGCCAAGTATTGGACCAGAGAGACTTTCTGTGAGCGTACTGGGAATTTGGTTGGTGAGTGACTTCGCCATTTGGAATACACCATCACTTTAAGCGTGTCTTTGCTTTGCGGCTGTACCAGCGCCCTTTCTCGGGTACAGAATGCGCTAATGCTCCTCTTGACAGTCAAGTCCATCGGCACTCCAAACGAGAGCAGCACCTGGTGCTACCTCGTCTCGCCGCCACTCGAAAGTAAACCGAGGAAGTTGCGCTTCCATGTCACCTCGCACGATCAGGGAGGCGGAGGCGAGCACTTTGACTACTATAGTAAGTTTGAAGATGACCGGGGCCTCCCCATCTCGCGCCGATCCTACACTACTAATACTGACCTCTTTCCTTTTAGATCTTTTCCGGGGCTCTCATTCCTGGTTCGAAGTCGCGCTCATGCGCCCGAGGCGCCTTCCAATTGATGAATCGGATGAGCAGCAAGTATCCGAAGCCGCGCCGTCCTGGGTAGAGGCCGCGCAGGCGGGGGACGCCGACTTCGTTGACGCCACCGCCGCCGACCCTGGCGCTATTGCGCTCACCAGCCCGCGGTACGAGCCGGTGCGGATAAACGGACTCACCCACGCGCCGCTACAGTGCAATCGCGTCGCGGTTGATACGGCAGAACGCCATACGATTGAGTGGCGCGTGGACGAAGATGATGTGGTGCGGAAATGGTACGTCTCCCTTAGAAGGCCAGTCTCCCCTAGCTCGGCTAGCTGCCCAGTCCTCCCTTCGATGTAGTCGTTCGTGGGCAGGATCACGAGTCACGATCTCGCCGTAATCACGCGTAAGGTATCTGGCGCTGAAATTACGCGCAGGGGCATACAGAGCGAGGACACGGGCTCTGCGTTTGGCGGTGGTTTCGTGCGCGCTGCCAGACCAGGAGACTGCATTGCAGTGTTTGCAAGGGCACGGGTGAGTACGCAGTCGTGATCTCAGTGATCTTTGCTGACGACGCCTCAGGGACCTGGCTGGGAGAACCATGTCGAGGCGGTCACAATCGAGGCATTCACTGTGGGTTAGCAAAACGCGGTATCCTGGTTGCAAATGTAACATAGGTCGGATATAATATCTTGTAAAACTAGGGGATCCTCACATTGCGCACAATCAAGTGATCCTAGTTCCATAAACTGCGTCCACTCGTCATGGGGGTAACTGCATGGCTACCAAGAACGGTTCGCGGCAGTAAGCAGATCCCATTTTCATTCCTCCTCCTCTTCCTCCGACCCCGATGCCAGATCTAAGTCGCTAAAATCAAGAGCCAGACCTGCCCTTGCTGCAGCTGAGGGATTGCCAGCCAGCATCCGCTCGTGCGCACGGACCCTCGCGAACACCGGGATCGATCTGCCCACACGAGCCCACCGCCTGTTGAGCAACTCGTCCGACGAGTCAACACAATTGAGTTTCGGAAAGAAGGTAGACAGGTACGCTGCGGCAGCGCGCGAGCTCGAGATAGGCGACCACTGCACGCTGAGGACGGAGAGACCAGAGGGCACCGACGATAACGTCGCCTTAAGGTGAGTTAGCACTGGTGTATACGACGTTCCGGATTGCAATGCGCACCGACGCGCCGGGCGACCGTATCTCGAAAGAGACACTCCTCGCATCCAGCTCGATCTCGATCTCGTCCAATTTCGGGCAGTGGATGGCAAACGACTCCAGTGCTTGCAGCGTGAGACGCCTCTCCCACCGAGGACGCGCCCATGCAGAGAGGCCCAGCCGCTGAAGGCGGGGAAACGCTTTTGCAATGCGTTCCGTCGTCGCGGGCTCGACGTTGACGCCGCCTTTAGCTTGGATGACCATCACTTTGAGGCCATGGAATTCAAGCAGATGCAGAAGGTCGCCGTCGATGACGGGAGCTGTCATCGGCGGATTTCCATGACCACTCGATTCATCTTCGGTGACCTGGAGACATTGCAAGGTTTCTGGTCGCGCATGCGCGTGGCGGATGGCACGGAAGAGGTCTGACCAGTTGGCAGGGATGGTCGTGAAGACGCCCAGATCGAGGTCGATCAATGCGGCGAACCTGGCATTTTGCAGAAGCTCTATGCATAGACCTATATGCACCTTGCGCAACTCGAGGCACTGAAGCGAGCCGAAGCAATTGGCGGGCAGGTCAGGTAGCGCCGAACGTCGCGGCGGTCGACTCGTAAGCTTGATGGCCAAGCGGGTCAACAATGGTAGGTGTGCGAGTTTGGTCAGAGACGTGAGGTCCAAGGTGTCGCAATCGAGGCAGCGCAGATTCCAAGATTGGATAAGGTGAGCAGTTGCAGTCTTGATGCCGGCTTCCGCCTGCCTGTCTGTGCAGGTGATGTCGAATGTGTGTACGTTCGGACATCGGACTGGCAGATTCGACAGTAGTGTCAGAGACGACATGGGCGCCTGGTGGAGCTTCAGCTCGAGTGATACGATCGACGGGGACAGGAAGGATTGTAGGTGATGAAGCCTCGCCACTGAAGTGTTCCAGACCACGTGGCGAAGATTGACGAAGGCCGAGGGGTCGAGGACGGCCAGAAGAGCAGAATATCCATCGTCCGAAAGTTTCGATCCCTTCCCCCCTGGATAGTTCAGCGACAACCAGTACATGAGGTCGGCAGCGGCCCCGAACGTTAGCTTGTTGACAAAAGGTGCATAGAACAGAAAACGCTCTAGATCCGCCTTGTAAACAGGGCGTCTGAGAACCTGGAAAAACGTCGTGAGACCTTGAGCACCCACGATGTATCGAGATGATTACCAGGTTATTGACTTTGACCACTTGATCCTCTACGTCCTCATACTTCTCCCAAAGGTTTTCCGGAGTGCAGTGCAGAAGTAAAGTCTCGATAGTGAGAAAAGGGTGCTTCCATAGCATCGTAACGGCTGGGAGGTGGAACGCGCGGCACGTCCTAGCACAGGCGGCCAGCGTCTTTTTGTCGACAAAGAATGGGCCTTCATCTTCTACCACACCGTTGTTTTTGACAAGGGCGCCACATATCGCGAAAACGACATCGGGGATGGCGAGAGCACGGTGCATGAGAAGGAATCTATAAAAGAGACTGATAAGTAGGTTTATTGTTGCTTGAAGGGCGTAAGTGTGGGATTGCATGACAGATCGCTCTCCAGAAATGTCATCGTTCAAGGTGATCATGTCGAATGAAGGCTTTGAGAACAACGTCCAGGGAGTAATGCAAAGGAGCAATCGCCAACACGCCCATCAAGTTATATTGCGTGCATTCAGAAGCATCGCCGACTCACACACAGTGTCCAGTCGTTGTTTAATAAAGGCCCCAATAAGATACGGTTGTATGCCTTGATTCTCTGATGCGTTTGGAAGATTGCCTGGCGCAAGGGTGTTAATGTCGAAGCCAAGTCGTGCGACGCGCGTGATGGACAGTTACGGTCACAGGTCACACATTTCCTGGACGACCTTGCTCAATCTTCATTCTTGCCTTGAGCCACCATCAGTACCTCCACGGCCATCAGCATCGCCTTCAAAGAATCAACCCTGAGAGATATTAGAGCACAGAACAGCCCTTCCATCAGAGCCGGATTCGAACCCTCGACTCTACCAGGTCTCGAACCCCAGAACGCAAAGCACCGAAATTGAACTAGTTGTTCCCGTCGACGCCAGTGCCACGTTGACGCGCCAGGACACGTCTCCCCGCACCGCCGCCGTTTATTCTCTTCCCTCGACCGTTGTTCACCCTCTCCCTTCGTTTCCTTCTCTCCGTCGCCGACGATGACCTCGCGCATTTCCATCGCGCGCCCCCAGCAGCCGAGCTACAGCCCAGACCCCCACGGGTTCTCCAACTCGCGCCCAGCGTCCGGCTTCCGCGCTGCCGACCCCGATGACCCGCTCGAGAAGTTGCGTGCCGTGGCGCGCACGGTCGAGGACTACGTCGACATCTACTCGCAGCCGCTGAAGCCCCATCTGCCGGCCATTGGGCGCTTCTTGATCGTAGTCACCTTCCTCGAGGACGCGCTCCGCATCCTGACCCAGTGGGGCGACCAACTGTGGTACCTCCAGAAGTGCGTGCAAGGCGACGATCTACGTGGGACGTGTGCTAACGCGCGAACAGACACCGCAAGTTCCCCTGGGGTATCTCGCATACCTTCCTCCTTCTCAATGTCATCGTGCGTGCGCGTCTGAAGCATCGCGGTTCCCCACTCACCTCCTCGCCAGGTCATGCTTGTCGGTTCGGGCGCGGTCATCACCAAGCGGCACACGGAGTACGCGGTTGCCGGTCTCCTAGGCGTCGTTATAATTCAAGGCTTCGGCTACGGCCTCATCTTCGACCTCAACTTCTTCCTCCGCAACCTCTCCGTTATTGGCGGACTCCTTATGGTCTTCAGCGAGTCCATGGTCTCACGCAAGAAGATCTTCGCCGGCCTGCCCTCCATCAGCGAGACGGATAGGAAGAAATAGTGCGTGCTGAATCAAATGCCGAAGCGTGTTCGAGACTAACCCGCGCATCAGTTTCCTCCTCGCTGGCCGCATCTTGCTCATATTCTTGTTCCTTGGCTTCATCCTCCAGGGGTCATGGAGCATCGCGCGCCTCTTCGTCTCCATCGTCGGGCTCGCCGCGTGCATCATGGTTGCGGTCGGCTTCAAGGCGAAGTGGTCCGCGGCCTTCCTCGTCCTCGTCCTCTCCATCTTCAACGTCTTCGCCAACAACTGGTGGAGCGTGCCCAGCAAGCACCCGCAGCGCGATTTCCTTAAGTACGACTTCTTCCAGACGTTATGTGCGTGTAATCAGTGGTGCGAGTTGTATCCGGGTGCTAATCGCTTGCCTTGTAGCCATCGTCGGTGGCCTTATTCTCCTGGTGCACATGGGTGCGGGTGGGTTCTCCGTGGACGAGAAGAAAAAGACGTATTAGAGTGAGCCTTCGCTCGCCATTCTCTTGAATGAAGAATTTACCTGCACGTCGTAGGGGACCCAGCGCAGTGCGCCGTGTACATGTAGCGTTGGGGGTGGCGGAGCAGGGGATCGTTCAGACACACGAAGTGGAGAACCTAATCATTCACGAAGTGGGGAGCATCATCATAGCTCACGAAAAGGTCGCGCATGTGTCGGACTCCCAGGACAGATTCCTCTATGTATTGATGATCCTATCATCGCTTTCGCTATGCAATCTCAGGGCTGGAACATGAAGACGGACTGGGCATTCGGCCGCAAGTTGTAAGGCATGCGGTTACAAGCCGTATGCAAGATGGGCAAGGGTGCGTACCGAATTGGCGATTACGTCTGACTCACAAGTTCGAATCGTTTGTGACGAGGAAGCGTGACAGGCAGTCCCTTCACCTTGTTCGTCTGCGCTGAACCTTCGCTTGTAGTTTTACCTCTAGCTCCGACGGGAAGCGTCAAAAACGCTAACCTACGTGCTTCTCAACAGACCTCGACGACAATAAGGCTCGCGAACCAACCGCAAACCGTGACAAGCCTTTCTCCTGTGCCTGCAATCGGAAGAAAAACTTCGTGAATCCTTCGGCCGCGAACGAGTCTTGCCCAGGTCTGCATAATCAGCTTTCAGTTCGCAGTTGCGCCACCAATCCTACGCTTTGCTCTGAACCTAGGTCCAGCCATGAATCAGTATTTGCCGCCTAACGGCTTCAACTTCACGCTGCGCAAGCCCTTGTTCCTCGACCCCTGCTTCTCACCATTTACATCGTACTGAACTCTCGATTAGACGTGCAGATTGCAGCCACGCTCTGCCGATAGGTCATGGACGAGTCATACCTTGTATGACGGTCCTCGTCTGCCTTGTATCACCATCCAGCACGTCGCAGCCGGGCAGGGCCCACCTTGCGAACACACGCTTAGATTAAAAACCGCTCTCGTATAGCGGCCTCGTCCATTCAGCCCGTCTAATTCCTAACTTCAGCTGTTAGGTTCATCCAGGTGCGTCGATATTCACCGGTGGTCGGTTGCTTGCAGCCAATGAGCTACCAACCACGCGGCTGGCCTGAACTCGACGTACAAGAAGGAAGGGCGGGCCTTGACTTCGGTGTTCCGGCGATTCAACCTATTTGCACAGCTATCAAGAGATATGACCCGTCGGGTCTGCAGCTTTAGAGCCTCAGCCCTGGCCATTCAACTTCGGTCTTTCGACGCAAACTCTCCGACCTTCGGTCATGAACCTTCCGCTCCCGCTGGTCAAGCCTTCGACTATCGGACGTAAAAGCCTCATATTCCGCTCATTGAGTCGCCAACTGCTGGCCCAGGGCGCCTTCGCACACTCATTCTGGTACTCAAGGTCGCATCTCACTCCATTGGACAGTTCGTCGTTCCGCTGTATAGGGCGCCCCTCGGACCCACGGTAAGCGTCCCTCTGCATAGTTTGCATGATCCTACTGAACAAAGCGCGTAGTCAAAGCGGCACTTCGCCCCGTGAACCGTCGGATGCGTCTGTGCAATCTGTATGAACGTCTTCACCACTCATTGACTCGAGAGGGATGATTGGGCCTGCCCACGCGGGTTCAGCAGGGACGGGAGTGGGAGAGCCTTCGCGGCCAATCTGTGTTCAATCCGCGCGTTCCATGTTCAGTTTGTGGCAAGGTGTATGTTGAGTTCTCGGCGAGGCGGTGGTCTTCACTTCGTCATGCTAGGGTTCGCTAAGCGAGCCCACTCTTAATTCGTGAGTGCGATGCGTTGGGTATATAAGCACCGCGAGCTCAGTCGTTTTCTACAGCCAGCTGCCTAGTGACATTCGTCTCGCCAACCCTCGACTAACCACGTTGAAGTCTTTTTCGACCACCCACTCGACTTCATCTATCGGTCTCCCCACCCAGTGATCGCCGACGACATGCAGCTCCTCGCCGTCGCCACGTCCTTCCTCCTGGCCGCCAGCACCGCTCTTGCCGCGCCTGCCGCAGACAATACTGCCGGCATGTGCGCCGTCTGCCCCGACACAGCGCTCGACGGCGCCTCGCTCGTCGCATCCAGCGGCGGCACGATGGGCGTACCAAGGTTCTGTGGGTGAGTGCGCCTCACATTTCCTCCCTCTCTCGCTTGCGCCGTCATTCTTGCGCGTCGCTTCTCGTCTGTACCCTCATGCTGACCATACCCTCCAGCTTCTCAGCCGACTCCACAGGCGCGTCCGGACCGCAGAGCATCTGCTTCTACAGCGTACGTTGCTGATGACACGCGGAGGACTGCAGCTTTTCTGACACGATGATATGTTTGCAGAACAACGGCCAGCTGTCGTATTCCTCCACGGATGCTTGCCCCACCGAGACCACGCTGCAAAGCTGCGTCGCGGTCCCCTAGATGGGCACGCTAATGGAGCGATATCAACTTATGTCATGCGGACTAGATTCGACGGATAATGGGCTCTCTCATATCTACTATGCGAAGTTTGGCTCCGTCGTGGGAAATCTCGTTTCAGGAGAATTGTTATGACTTTTGCTGCATCGATTACCTTACCTTTGCTTCTGCGCCTCATCGTTCAATAGACATGACTCAACCGGTCCTGAAATGCAGGGAGTTGCGACCGAAGAAATGCTGATGACGAGTAGAAGCTAGGTTCGATATCCGGGAAGTCGTACAGTGCGGGCTCGGTAGAAGCTCACAATGTACAAGGTAGTCGTCAAAAGCCTAACTGTTACCAACAACGATCGAGTTCGTCCCAGGCGTCCAGCAGTATCCGTTACTCAGTCGCGTCCCACAGGTCGACAGCTGATGGCAGCCACCTCCGCAGCTTTGTCTACGCGTCAGTATGGACTGAACGAATCGAGCAGACATTGATCTCACCTTCTATTGGCGCAAAACCCGACGTTGTTGGTCGCGGCCAGGCAATTCGTGCCCGGCGCGGACAAGCACTTAGCCTGCCCATTATACACCGTGCATGCGCCACCGCACACGTCGTTGACGCGCCTGTTGCAGTAGGTTACGACGGTGTTGAGGGCGGCGCGGCGGTCGAGAGCGTGATCCTCGGGTGCGTTGACACCAGGGATGGGCTCGCCAACGAAGGTGAGCTCGGCGTCGGTGGTCTGGAGCCAGTGAATCATCTCTTCCTCGGTGAGGAGGCTGACGTGGGGTTCGGCCTGGCGAACGGAATGTCAGATTGGTTGATAGACATAAGGGAACGCAGCGTACAGTCGTAGCCGCCATAGCAGCGAGGGCGAGAGCGACAATGGCGGTGAGTAACTTGATTTGCATCTTTATGGGACTAGAGGCAGGTTGGATAGACTCCAGGCGTTTGGGACGAGGCTTATATACCCCTCTCGGTCGGTCTCCTAGTCGGTGTAGATAAAGGCGGATAGTTCGCAAGACTCTTGGGAACGTCGTTCATACTCGTCCCGTCTCGATAACTGCATGCAACACCCGCCACCCAACTGAAAGCTGCTCCCAGGGCAGAGGGTGTAGACAGGCGATCTGCGCCTGAAAGGTGAAGTGACCGAGGACACCGGGCGCAGACCCTCAAAGAATAGCTACCCGGCGGCGACAGGCTGCAGGCCCAGTGACCACAAAAGTCACAAAATGGACGCACCAGAAGCGGAGGCACGAACAGGAACCTCATCTTGCGCGCTCATCGTCGTGCATAGAGGACAAGGTCCGGACAGTGCACGATGATCCTCAACTCCACAAAGCTACATTACAACTATAGTCAAGCTGAAGGACGATCTGAGTATGCCGCGGCGTGTATGGAGTATCCTAGCTCACCTGTCATTTGATCCTTTGATTTTCTGTGGCCATCCCCTCACACCTTCTCCACATCCTTGACGACCGTCTTCTCAACCGATACCCTCACCTCTTGACTAGGCGTAAGCTCCTTGTGCGAAATCATGAACAATGCCACGAGGGTCGCCATCCCCGCCAGACAGGCGTTCATGATGAACACTGCACGAAACCCTGCCGTGTAGCCGTGCTCCAATAATGATGTCGCCTGCTCCGGTGTCAAACCGCTGCCATGGGTCATAGACAGTAGGAGCGGGTTGCGTAGGATGCGCTCGATGAGGATCTGGGGAATGCGCAGCACATGACTGGCATACGACTGCATGGAGTTGTTGCTGTCAAGGAGCCCCGTCAGCTCTGGAACCGGGGGAGACAATGAAATAGGCGCACATGATAGCGGACCCAACTGTGACCGACAGCGTCCCTCCAAGCAGGCGTACGAACTGTGGTCAATCAGTACGTGCCATGGCCAGTGACTTCAGCACTTACGTTGCGGAATGAAGTGACTACGGAGACATCCTGACGCTCAACGCTTGCTTGCGCAGCTACTGTAGTCGTTTGCAAGGTCTACGAAGGTGGCTCAGCTCAGATAGAATCCAGAATGAGGCCGAACTGACCATGCCAGTGCCGCACCCAGCGATGACCATGTAGACAACAGCGGGCGCCTTGGGTGATGACGGTGTCACCATTGACAATAACCCATTTCCTAGAGCGTAGAGCCCAAAGCCGGTGTAGATGATGGTCTAGCATGGACGTCAACGTAACCAAAGAGAAACCCCAAAGGACGGGAAGACATACGCAATAGCGTCCGGTCTTGCTGACGATCATGCCTGCGACCCAGCTGGCAGCCATTTGCGACACGAGCAGAGGGATGAGTAGCATAGCTGACTCCAAGGGCGAGTACTGGTGCGCTGTCTGGTAGAACTGGGGAATGTAGAAGATGGAAGAGAAGAAGATGAAGCCGTTGATGAACATGGCGATGAAGCTGGGATTGAGAAAAGTTAGCGAGAGTGCGAACTTCGTATGATATGAGCGCGCACACTCCGGCGACGGTCTTGACTTTGAATATGTACACTGTAGCGAATCATGAATCACAGGTTGAGAAGGCGTGTTGAAGGTCGCGTACTCGGTATGATCGGCAGCGAGGCGCCGCGCCATTCCCAAACACAAAGTACCGCAAGAAGGAAGATACCGGAGATCAGCGGCGCGAGAACCTCTGCCGAGTTCCATGCAAAGCTCACACCTCCCCAAGTTATGGGCAATATGACGAGCACGCAGCCCCCCAAGACCATCGCGCATCCGGGATAGTCGACAGCCAACAGCTTACTTTGTGGCGATCAATACAAAGCCACAGCAGCGCAAAGCAAGTGATACGAACCTCTTCATGTTTCCCTCCACTCGCTTGAAGGGCAGAGCAAACGCGACAATGCCCATGACGCTGATTGCGACCGGGATTGTGACCCAGAAGCACCACTGATAGACCGTTCGAAACCGTCTCGACGCATGACGGAAGAACACTCACTTGCCACCCTACGCGTTGCGAGACGGTGCCTCCGATGATAGGCCCGAGGGCGAAACCTATGACAGGTCAATGGCAGCGCAGTGGACAAAAGGGGAGACGCTCATACCCAGGGCGATAAATCCTCCGACAATGCCTTGATATTTGCCGCTATATGATCCGATGAGGTTGGCTAAGGTGCATCGCTATGACAGCCGCGTACCGCTCTCGAAGGCTTACGATGTCGGCGATCTGGGATCTACCTTCAGCACGTCGTACCTTCGGTGCGAAACCGCATGCCTACTCACCACAATCTGCGCCAAGCTGACAAGCCCGCCATCCCCGGCCCCGGCTACGCCTCTACAAACCACCAGCTGCACCGTCGACTTCGCGAATCCCGCAAGAAGGTTGCCCACAGTAAATAGGGCCAGCGCGAAGCACAGAACGACCTTCCTGCCAAAGATATCACTCAGGCGCCCATACAACGGTAGACACGCGGTGGACATAAGCAGATATCCCCCGGGGACCCACGACGCGGCGGATCCGGCACCGAGCGCGGCAGAAATGGTGGGCAGACCCGCGGCGACGATGACGGAGTCCATGGTGGAGACGACCATGACGAGAGCGAGGCTAGTGAAGATGAGCAGGCGCTGCGCGAGCGGGAGCGCGAGGTTGGTCTGGTCGGTCAACACAACGCGAGGTGTTGGCTGTTGAGGCTGCTCATCCACCGGGTAGTGGCTCTCCAGCGAAAATGCCGGGCAATGACTGTCCAGCGAGGACGCCGTGTCATGGTCGAGGGATGCTGCCCGAGAAGACTCCATCGTACCGCGAGGCGTCAAATCCGCACTCACCCGCACATTTATACGACACGCACATAAGGTTGGGTGTGCACGAAATGCAGAGAAAACGCCGTTCCCAGAAACGAAGGTCCAGGGTTCTCGCTAGTTGCCGCCTGAATGTGCCATTGAGTCGGGGACCGCGGACAAAGGCACTGGGTAGTCGAAGGCGAACGCCACGACAGTACGCATTCGACTCCCAGAGAGTAGGCAAACAGACGCGTGCGGCTCGCCACGCGCGTATGGTGTCCAGCAGCCGCGATGTGCAGAGAACAGGCTGCGCATACGGTCACGGTAACTGCCGGGACGTCGCGAACTCCGCGAGCTTCGACATACAAGTTGCGGGCAGACATCGATGGAAGAGAATCGAACCTACTTAGGCAGCCTGAACATAAGTCAGCCAGGTTGAAAACACATGAGCCACGAATCAGAACGTTGCGGCTTGTTCTCGGACTGCAGAGGACTTCCGTTTGGGGGCTATACACTCAGGATCTCACGGAGATTTCGACAAGGTGCGTACTCTCGAGGTTCGTCCGCCTATTTAGGCTTCGGCACGCTTGGCAAGAAGGTTCCATGGACGCGGCAGGTGGATGGCATATCATGGTGTCATACATCGGTGCATGTGGGGGTGAAGTACATATATGAAAAGGTAAGACGAAAGACGGGCCGGCCCGCAACGTTTACTGGGGGGAGGGGTTAGGCACGGCCCGATAACAAGCAGATGAGCACGCACAAATTGGAGGGCAGCACCCTTCGTCTTCTTCTCACCACCGAGCTCGAAGCTGATGATATACGTGAGATCGTGTGGGTATCAGAAGAGGGATGTACGCACTGCTTGCAGCGCTTCAAGGGGAGCTGCATTTTGTACTTGCAGGAGGTGCACTCGAGTCGTAGCACGACCTTCTTAGTCGTCTTCGCCTGTTATCACCAATCATGGTCAGAAACGTCTTTCTCATACGAGACACAGCAACGCACCTTCTTGTGGAAGACGGGCTTGGTCTGACCACCGTAACCGCTCTGCTTGCGGTCGTAGCGACGCTTCCCCTGCGCGAAGATGGAGTCCTTGCCCTTCTTGTACTGGGTGACCTTGTGCGGCCTGTACTCTGGTCAGCGAAGAGTTCTTTCGGAACGCAGGGAGTACGAACGTGTGCTTCTTGCAGGCCTTGCCCTTGCAGTCTACGAGTGATCGTTAGATTTATCCAATCATACTTTCAATAGATCAAACGTACAGGTCCGGCGCGTCCTGCACAACTAGGTCAGCAACATGTTCTTCAGGACGAGCAGCATAACATACTTGGGGATGTTGACCATGATGCTTGCTGTGGTCGCTGTCGCTTACGCCGTCGTCGATGAGCGCGCCTAGTACAAACCGTGACGAATGAGGAAATTCGGCGAACACCGAGCGCTGTATAGTCCCACGTGATGCATTTGTGGCTTCAAGTTGAACTTCGGGAAATGCCGACGACAATTGCCTTCTGCCGCCAGTGGAATATAGGAGGCGATTCTGGGAGTTACTGCCCTTCTTAGTGCCAATAAGGACCCCACCGAGTTAGGGTCCTCTTGCGATTCATCTCATCATCGAAATAATGACACTGATTTCCTCGACTATCTGCATTATGCGGCGACTCGCCTTGTGCACGGTATTCATTGAACAATGAATCAACAGACAGAGACTTTACTCGGAAGATTCATACTATAGGAAGAAATGAACGGCGTGTTTTGAGGAACGAATGTCCACTGCAATCAGGATCGTTGTCGTACAATGATCAAGTCGCACCCTTTAGCTCATGCGCCTCGCGCTGAGAGATCAGGTCCGACTCGTCTAGCAGCCACCCAGGGTGCAGAACATTCACGATGAACATAGCAATGACGACCATTGCTGCATCGAAGATCACTGTGTATCGCGTCAGCCCTCTCTTCACCTTGAACGAAATCCTTTGCGCGACAAGGCACTCACAGAACCATGCCTCCGTCTTGATGATCGTCCCATTCCACCCATCCGCGAGCTCAATGACACGATACACCGCACGAATCAGAAGTAACAGTGTTGACGAGCCAAGGCATCCGACTGCTAGGATCAAATTCCTTGTGAGGACACCGCGCGGCTCCGGATGAATGAACGCGAGCTTCGGGCGCGGGCGGTCCTTAAAGTAGCGCCAAAAGAACTCGGAGGCGATGATAGAGAAGAAGACGATAACGGCGAGCTGAAGGCAGATGCCGCCGAGGACGATATTGCCTCCCTGGTAGACACTGTCGTTCTATATCAAAGGTTGTAATTAGCGAGTGGGACGTACCCGCTCTGCGCCCTCGAGGGTATCGGCTCCTACGGCTACGCCGCCACCACCACCTTGAACAAGGAGTGAAATAACGTCCTAAGCAACCGATCAGCCTTGCGACACTGGCCGCTGGACACACTCGACATACCGTAGAGGCGAAGACAATCGTATCTGCATAATGCGCATCAACATCCATGTCTTCCGTTGAGTAACAGAAGACTCACATGAACGCGGACTCAAGCGACTATACCTGATACCCAGACGGCGCACGATGCGGCCCATCATGACGAAGTTGGCGGCCAGCAAGGGCGTAGGTGCGACGATAAGCATGACGCTCCTGCATAGCGTCAATTAGCAAGGTGCTTTCGAGGAAGAAAGTCGATGTTTAAGAAAGGAGCTAGGAAGACTATACGCACTGGATCTTGTACGCGTTGTCCGCCAAGATATCGCGATTGCTCCATAGACGACATGCCCACCCGACGCACTCCATCGACCCACAAAACACTAGGGTAACGAAAAGCCACCAACCGCGGTATACGATAGCTTGACCAAGGTGGGCAACTGTACGGGACTCAGTGACGAATGGAAACAGGCAGTGAGATGTGCTACTTACACGTGGTTACGCCAAAGAGGACGAGGAAGAAGATACTCGCCCATTCCGTAGGCACATAGCCGTAGGGCGAGAGGTCCTTGATCTGGTCGGGCGCCAAATCAGACATCGCCGACATGTCGATACCGACGGCCGAGACGACGTTAAAAGCAGCAGAAAGGTGAGGATATGACAGGGAATGGAGCACAAACTGGCGGATATCCCCCCGCGGAGGGCCTGCACTTTATATACCACAAAAGTGCGCGGTTATCACAACCGAGAGCGTCCTGTCGCTCTTTTACCTTTAAATCGCAAGGGCGCCGACTGAGACCTAAATTCTGCTTGGCCCAAAAAGGTCGCGAGGTCAGCAATTATGGCCGAGGAGCTCAAAGGTTAGGAGTGGCGTAGAGGTTCAGAGTTGCATGCAGCGTCGAAGAGCATGACGGTAGCTCGAATGACAAGACAATGTCGAGAGCGTCAGCGATGCTATCGGTGACGGTTAACGCTACCGAGGACGGTGATCTTGACTTTGTGAACGAGTCGGACGAGATGGATTTGCTTGGCTTTGTTGGGGCCATAAGGGCGCACGTCACGCATGAGGACGTGTATAAAATCGCTGGATGATATTCTGCGCTTATAAGACGCCTTTCAGAGGAGCATGCAAGCAGACTCTCGAGCAGGGATTTGCGGGCGTCGGGATGGCGTGAGACAAGCGACGGAGGCAGAAAGCCACGTGCACGCCACGCGACCATCAAGTTCAACGAGGCGGCACGAGGCCGGAACACTCGCAATTGCCGGTCATGTAAAGCAAATTCGCGTCAAGCCTCCCACGAAGTCTATGCAACGAAAGTGGCTCGATTCCAAAAAAATAAATTATACAGTTAAATAACCCGAATATCCAAATCCCTCCAATGCTCACAGCTGCCCGACGGTGGGGTTGTAGTTGTAGTACGGGCACGCAGTCGTAATGTTGTGGTTACCCGAGCCCTCCTTGCTCTTCTGGCCGTCCTTGAGGATCGTGAAGTACGGCGTCTGGCCATCCTCGGTCGGGAACGGCACCTTCCCGATCGTGAGGTTCCCGCCGTTCGCGGTGAACTCGCTGTGGCTCGAGCCGACGTCGAGGGAGATCGTCGCCTCGCCGGTGGAGTCGGCGAGCATCGCGAGCGCGAAGACGGCGTCCTCGGGGAAGTCGGCCATGCGGGGCTCGGTGCCGGCGTCGCACTTGACGCCCTTGGGGTGCACGCGGTACCAGTAGACAAGGGTGTCCTCCTCGATGGCGGGCGCGCTGCCGGTCTTGTACCACGAGATGTAGTACTGTGCGATCGTGCGCCATGCGCCGTGCTCGATGCCGTTGACGTAGTTGAGCGCGTCGCCCATGTCGACGTTGTAGTTGATGTCTGTAGTGGGTGAGCATACCAGTCAGACTTGAATGGCAGGTGAGCTCACCAGAGATGTAGTGCGCCTCGCCGTAGTCGTTCCAGGTGACGATCTCGACGATGTCGGGGTGGACCTCGTCGACGGCCTGCTTCCAGCGGTAGTTCCAGAGCGTGTCACTCTGCTCTACCCAGCCGTCACCACCAAGGCTCTTGAACTGCCACGGAGAGACAGCTATCGATGCGTCAGCTTACCGCTATGACTTCGCGCCCGAGGGAGCACTTACACATAATGAAAGGACCACCACGGCCGGCGTCCTTGACCGCTGACTGGTACGCGAGGTCCGTCTCCGTCGTGAGCTCCTCGTTCACGTCCGCCGGCCACGACCACCAGTTCACGAACCCGTCAATCGCCGGGAACGTCGAGAACACCTCCTGCGCCTTGCTCGTCTCGCGGTAGTCCACGAACGCTGGCGCCCAGGTGATCTCGACGCCCTGGCCGGACAGCGAGTCCTTGACGCCCTGGTAGAAGTCGTTGCCCTGGTCCGCGCCGCTGTAGGTGGACACGAGGAGCTTGTCCTGCCACTTGTAGTTCGCGTCCGAGTCCTTGTGCGCGGCGATGAGGGAGACGACCTCGTCCTGGGACCAGTGACCGCCCGCAAAGTCGAAAGAGTAGACAAGCTTGAAGCCCGCAGCCTCGGCGGCAGCGAAGGCGTCAACGATGCGGTCAACCTCGTAGTCGCTGAGTGCGACGTTGAGGACTGGGTGAAGCGTCAGCAAAGCCGTGAATGCTTTGGTGGAAGATCGACCCACCGAACCCATCGATGCCAATGGACTGAGCAGAAGAGATGTCCTTCGCCCAGTCATCCTGGCTGTAGGAGTACGACTCTTGCGCCTAATGAGGATAAGATGTAAGCACCAACTCAAACCGTTGGTCTTGAGATTTCATACCATGAAGTGAGCAAGGACCGTCTGCGCGGAGACAGTGCGCGCAAGCAGGGGCAGCATACCCAGAAGGGCGGCAATAGACCTCGCCATGACTACACGTATACACAAACGAAAGTGAGGGGTAGGAAGGAAAGGGGAGATGGATGATACAGGGAATGAACAGTTGAATGAGAGGAAACCAGTATGCCTTCCCCTACCCCCTCCCCCGCCTTAAGTACCTTACCCAAGACCGCCCTCTACCCACCTTCCGCCCGTGAAGCGCATCTGCCCGGGAGCCGTAGCTGGGCCGTAAAGTGAGGGAAGGTGAGCGATCAGCGGGAAGAGCACGGGGGCGTCGTCCCAAACTCCATGGATGGATGGCAACGAGTGACGCGCCGCAGCGCCCGCACGCCTTGTGACGGCGGAGGAGGGCTCGCCGTTGCGGGCTGCGCAAAAGGCCGGCGAGGCGTTCATTCTTTGACGAGCGCCTAGAGGGGAGCCATGTGACAACATAATGGCGTGAAGGAGAGGGGTGATAGATGGAATGAAGGTGCAGATCCTGCGTTGTGGCTCAAGCTCACTGGGCAGAGACGGCAAGGTGTCGTCGACAAGAACATCGACTTTCGCTATGTCAATAGACCCAGCGCCTCGAGCACCCGACCACTCGCGAGAAGGTTCATGTGCACCGTCCGCCGCGTTGAACGGCAGCCCACCCAAAGTCCACTCGTCGCCGACAACGATGATGAAAGATCAGTGCTTCAGTCTCGTCGCACCGGTAGAACCTTTTTGTATAGGAAAATCCCTCTGAAGATTGGCCGATGGAAGATGCATATATGCCAAGGCGCGGACGCAGCGCGAAGGTCAGCGCCGCACACGCAGACGGTCATGGTGGGCGAGGAAGCGCCTTCGCGTGGCCAGCAGGTATCGGGGGATTCCGAGGCACGTGACAACCTGTCTTCCCACGGTTGAAGTGGACCCACAACAATCGTCGTTCGACTCTGCGATGACTTGACTTTGCTCTTACCTCGCGCCGAGGGGAGAAGCCGCCAGCTGACACTTCTAGTGAGGAGTACTTTATGTATAGAGCTCCAAAAGCTGTCATAATGGGACTGGTCAGCGGGGCGGGAAACACTCAACAAACTACCGCTGATTCCCTCGGAATCATTGCCCGTTCTTGCCTGAATAAGCGAGAGTCAAAGTATAGTGAATTTGGGTTTCCGAAATTTGAGATATAATAGGGAACTTCACTCGCCGACGAACATCGCGCTCAGACGTACCAATCACTATCAAGGTACAGACCATTCGAGTACGCCATCGCACAGCAGATAGACGCTGGACAGGGCCGCAGGCTGAGACTCGCAACGTTGGCAGAGGGGCATGCAAAAGAGGCGGTGAGGACTGATGCACTGATTGACAAAGAAAATTTGTATACCAGGAATCCCCAAGGAAAACGATGCGCTACATAGGACGGGGCCGAGGCGATATAATAGCAATCGATAGCCGTCTCTCCCCTCGAAGCACGATAGCCATCCGCGTAAGGGAGTAGGTGTGCGTTGGGCTACTCGTGTGGAGAGTCCGCAGCGATATGTCGGTCAAGACAAACGCTCGGAAGCCTGGAAGCGCGAGCTACGATGCCAATCAAGAGGCGCCGGAACCGATGGCAGGAAAAGCGCGCGCTCCTTCGTCTTGGCAGAAGGTCTACGACGGCCTTATCTGCGAAGTTATGGGCAGAGAAGAGTAGAAGGACGATGTCTCTTCAGTGATAATGCTGATTGCCATCGAGTCGGAAGAAGGAAACTGACGACAAGACCGCGAGTGTAGATATCGTAGGCGCCGCATGTAAACATCTTTGGCGCCGCATAGCGAATGCCATGGGTTCCACCAGATAGACGTATTGGAGGCGGCGCAGGGAAAAGTATCATGTACGCCGCAGAGCATACATCGCAGGAGCTCATGACAGACGCCGCAGAAGAGCGATGTAGCGCACGAAGGGGCCGAGATGATGACAAGGGAAAGGCCGGTCCGGGCGGCGAGTGCGTCGACGCGACTGACGCCTTGTAAGTAGCGGCTGTTGAACGCAGCATTTGTAGTGATAGCGATGGAAGTCAGCGAGGACTTGGCGGCGTGAGAGGCGCTGGCAGAGATAACCCAAGACACTCGAAGAAACCTCGGTGACGATTTGGCAGATACTGAAGATTAGGGAAAAAACTGGTCATAGAACTGCACCTATATCACCTCCCAGATGAGTCAAGCTGCAGAGATGAAGTGAATCAGGCAACAGAGATTGAGTGAGACCTCGGGCGAGATCTGTGCAGGATTGCGCGCCATACAAAGCCCATTGCGCGAACCCAGTTGGGCCCTGGTGCGCTCTTGACGAGCTCGTGGCTCGAGCACGACGAACAAGGGCCATCAGCTCGCAGATGGCTGTCTTTGTCCTCTCGATAGCTATACTGATCTCACCCATCGAGCTTGGCTGATCTTGCCCATTCACCTATACTGATCTCGCACGATATCCATATGATGGAAATCGCTGTGCTCCTTGTAACCCGTTTGGCGCGGAGGGTACGAAGGCGCCTCCGTTCCGGGTGGTGCGAAGGGGGTTCCGGTCCCCGGAGAACCGAGGCGTCTTCGTTCCGGGTAGCATGGCGTTGTCGGCGTGCAGAACCAGACATTGCGCCGAGGTTACGAGGCGCCTACGCGGGTGCGCAAGAACACGTCTCGGGTCCGGGTAGCATGGGGTTCTCGGTTCGAGGAAGCAGGTTTTGCGCGCGTCGTACGAGGCGTCGCAGTAGGTCGAAGTATGAGGCGCTTTACGGTGGGCTCAGGCCTTGACGAAGAGCCCAAAGAAGTCCGTCCCCAGTGGTGTATGACGCCCGGTCCGAGGCGTACGGCCGGATCCGCCTCTGTTCCGCGACTCGCGAGACGCTCGGGGGGTTCCTAGTAGGGCGCTTATGGTCTGTGAAGGGGGTTTGGAGGCCGAGTGAGCAGTTAGAGGTTGAGCTTCGGAGGCGATGATACTGGATGGGAACATGGTTGAGCTGATGTCTCAAGCGAGAATGAGTGACGCGTAACGCTTGATGGATGGGTGGTTTCGTCGATGAGAGCGAATGGAGACGTACAGGAAATGTGCTTGAGCAGTGCGTAGCTTCTAGAGATGCGGAGACAGACAGCTGGTGGAGCTTCGCTTGCAGCTGGAGTATGTACTACTCCTGTAGATCAGTAGAGAGACGGCCGGCGGCTGCTGTAGCTGCAGGCTTCGGGTATTAGGGTCGGGCGAGTGCAGCACAACGTATGCAATAGAGGAGCTATGACGAGTCTTGCATTTCCTACTAGCTCTTTTGAGATGACAGTGTACCTTCCGAAGCTGGGAATACCCAGGGCGCATCGGAGGTTGTTTGCTGCGACGCGCCCAAGTGAGTCGAACGTCACAGATGCGCGCCTTCCAGGTACGGTGCGCGAGAAGTTCGCGGTTCAAATTCCATCAGCGCCGCCGCCCACGTGGTGATCGGCAGTTCGAATCGGTGAGGTGCCCCGTTTTCCTTCATTTTTTGCGCGCTCCTTTGTCTTGCTACGCACACGTATCATCGCTTCCTGCTAGTGTATGCGGCTGTAGACATAGAATTCAGTCCAAAAAAACGCCAACCGCGAGGGCGGGCAACATTTCGGCATTTGCCGAAGCTTTTGATCGGAAGTTCCGCAAATGTTTGGTGACTAATTAGTAGCCCACGTGGTCCGGCCCAGAGGCCGAGCACATTTCCCCAAAGACCTTCGGCGGTTCATAAGCCGCGCTGGTGAGCCTTATAATGACCTTTGCGTGCTGTATGGCATGCGCGTTGGGCTAGGTTTGCACTCGCCGTTGCAATGGTATTGGTAAACAAGAGTCGACACTAGGGCTGGCGGGTGATAGGCGCCTCGGCATTTGCCGCTCAATCGGTGAAAATCGGTCTGCAGACCGATTTCCGACCATTGTGCCCGAGCTCTACGGTCAAACTCAACCGGTACTTACCCATGTCAGAGAGGACTTCCCCCACGATGACCGGCGTGATCTGCGATGGGTAGGCATCCCGCGGGAGAGGGATGAATTCGCTGGCCTCCCTTTTGGGAAATGTGCTCGGCCTCTGGGCCGGACCACGTGGGCTACTAATTAGTCACCAAACATTTGCGGAACTTCCGATCAAAAGCTTCGGCAAATGCCGAAATGTTGCCCGCCCTCGCGGTTGGCGTTTTTTTGGACTGAATTCTATGTCTACAGCCGCATACACTAGCAGGAAGCGATGATACGTGTGCGTAGCAAGACAAAGGAGTGCGCAAAAAATGAAGGAAAACGGGGCACCTCACCGATTCGAACTGCCGATCACCACGTGGGCGGCGGCGCTGATGGAATTTGAACCGCGAACTTCTCGCGCACCGTATTCCAGGAGTGGACAGCTCCCGGAACCCAGCCAAAACCAAGCTTTTTGTCTTGAAAGTAGTCCAAAAAACCGCCAGCTAAGCGCCCGATGGTGTTGAATTGGCGTGATGGGCAGAAGCAAGGAGTGGCAGCGAAGAGCCCGGCGCGGAGGCCGGACAGGCATCTCATCCCCAAAAGTCTAGATCGCCCCTATTCGAGCCGGCGGTTGATGGCGACTATTTCGGGATCCTGCAGTCGTACCATATAATAATAAATACGACGGGGTTGGTTCCCTCGCCTTGTTCCTGTTCCCCCTCACTGTCGCCGCCGCCCACAGACGTCTGCTCGTCGCCCCGAACGTCGGCGCGCGCGAACGAAGTCGCCCACACACCCCGCACACGACCGCACGCACGTCGCGTCGCGCGCCTACCGGGACCCCAACTCGTGCACCAGCGCGCGAGGGAGACTGCACCCAGGCTCATCTAGAACGACTGCTTGTTGTGGGGGACGCACGCGCTAGCGAGTACTTACCCTCAGGCGGCAGGAGCGGGCAAGGTGCGCGGCGCAGCGGTTTTTTCTGGGGGTTGTGGTACACATCACTGACGGTGCCGCTCCTCTGCAGATGCGGTCATTACTGAAGCCGCTGGCTATCCAGGCCGCGTACTCCCCCATTGAGACAATTGTCTTTTTCTTCATCCTCAGCACCCTCGCCTACTTCCACATCCTCGATGCCATCAAGAACTCGGCTTTCTTCGAGCGATACCCAAGCCCTCCCCTCCCCTTCGGCAGCGCAAGGAGCGTTGAGTGCGTACTTCTCACATACTCCTCAATCCCCAGACCACTCATACTTCCCAGATACACATTGCGACCCGCCCACATCCTGCTGAAGACCGAGTCCGCGTCCGCGGACACCACGGAGTGGATCCCCATCCGCGAATCCGCCTTCTACCTCCCCTCCCACTCCCCCGAAGTCGTCAAGGTCGAGCTCCAGCAAATACACGTGCACGCGGAGCCCGAGTACGTCGAGGCAGTCGCCGATGCGCTAACAACCGCTCCCGAGTACATGGAATGGTGTCACCGCCCGTCCACCTCCGTCACGGCCGAGCATTCCAACGGGACGTGCTTTGCGCACCGCGACGGCGCGGTCGTCACGCTCGCGTTCGCCTCGTCCCGGGGACGCGAGTCCTTCGTCCGATCAATGGACCACATCCATCTCCCGGTCGACGCGCAGGACGGCGCGCCTGCGAATGTGGAGCTGTTGCCTGCGCCTACAGTATCTGGCGCGCAGGACCCTATGCGCAGCCCGACCTGGATGGCGTACGCGCTGTGGGCTGTCGGCTCGCGTTTCTGGGAGCTCGCCAAGGTATGTCCTGACGTCCAGTCGACATCATCGCGTCGGCTAATCACCCATATTCCCAGAACGCCCCGTCACTGGATATCCTCCTCATTCTAGCGGGCTACGTGCGTGTTCTAGCTGCCCTGCCCCGCCTCGAGGGTGATACTGATACCGCCTGCAGACCCTGATGTACTTCACGTTCACGCTGATCTTCGTGCGCAGCCGCCGCCTCGGAAGTGAGTTGGAGGCTCCTGACGCGTCGCTTGCGATTGTTGCTGATCATCGGTTGCAGGCACGTTCTGGCTACCGACCGCGGTGCTGTCCTGCGCTGTGTTGGCGCTGCTGCTCAGCCTGCCCGTCGCGATGTGGCTGGGGGTGCATATTGATGTGGTGGCGCTAGCTGAGGCTTTGCCCTTCCTCGTGTGCACTATCGGGTTCGATAAGCCCATGCGCCTGGCGAGGGCTGTCTTCGAGCATCCAGGTGTTTTGGGAGTACGTACATTCTGGTGGAATTTGTTGCCGCAGGAAAATCTGATCACGAAATTATAGGATAGCGCAGACTCGGTTACCTCGAATGGCAAGCACTCGAAGAAGAGCGTCAGGCATGCTGCTCCGGATGCCGGTGGGATAGTTCTGGACGCCCTGAAGAGCTGCTACGTCCCAATCTTCCGCGACTATGTATTGGAGATCATCGTCCTTTTTGCTGGTGCTCGCAGCGGTGTCGGAGGTCTTAAGGAGGTCTGCGCACTCGCGGCTGTTACCCTCGCCTGGGATTGCCTGCTCCTCTGCACCCTGTTCAGCGCCATCCTGACCATCATGGTCGAGGTCCGCCGTATCAAGACGCTGCGCTCGACGATCTCCCGGACCTCCAGCATGGCAAGCATGCGCGGCCTGGCTACCAAGATCACCGCCTACACGCCCAGTGGCAGCCCGCGCACCAGCGCGCTCAAGCATGCCATCGAGCCCAACAGCCAGTCCCCGCCCACGTCGCCCTCCATCGGCTCGCAGCTCCAGAAGCGCGTCGAGAGCGTGCTCGGCGTCAAGGGCGCCATGCTCGGCAAGGGTCGCCTGCACGACTACGACGAGGAGCGGAACGCGGAGCGCGAGAGCCCCGTCGCGCGTCTCAAGCTGCTGCTCATCGCGTCCTTCCTCACGCTGCACGTGCTCAACCTCATCACGCCGCTCACCTCTGGCCCTCGGCAGCGCGCGCCGCAGCCCGGCGGCCCCGTCGGTGCGAGGAAGGTCGATATCGGGACGCCCGCGGTGCAGAAGGTGCTCGACGAGCTTGTGAGGGTTGAGGTGCCGGTGTACTCGGTGCAGGATGTGGAGACGAGCTGGGACCGCGACGTCGAGCTGCTGGTGCGCGTGGACCCGCCGCTGCACGTGAGCATTGCGGGTGGCGATGTGCCCATTTCAGGTGCGTGCTCGGAGCTTGAGGCGGAGGACAATAACAGACGCCTAACAACACTCGCAGCGGACGACAAGGCCTCCGACCTCTACCCTCACCGTACGCCACAACCTAGCGACTATCCTATCAGCCGGATCGACAGGTATGTCGGCGGTGTGGATGGTTGGGGGGGGGATGGGAGTGCTAATAGAGCCAGCAGGTTCATGACTTCGGTCAGCGATTTGATGACGTCGTTGACGCGGATGGTGGCGGACCCGCTGCTCTCGAAGTGGATTGTCATCTTGCTGGCGATTAGCGTCTCGCTCAACGGGTACCTGCTCAAGGGCATTGCCGCTGGGCTCAGCAAGGACTACAGCCTGAACAGTGCGTTGCAAATGAACACCTGTCCCCCTTGTTTTAACCGTGCTTTCAGGCGAGGGAGTCCGCTTCAAGAGTGTCGAGCGTGGTCGCTCATCTGGCGCACGCGTCGAGGAGGAGAAGGAGTCTGTCAAGCTTGGCAACTCGATCACTCGCCAGGCAGCCCCGCCGTCCGTCCCGATCCCCGCGCCCGGTGCTACTTCGGCTCCCGCTACAGCGCAGATTCCCGCAACTGGCACCCCCGCTGTCACCGTCGCCCCTCAGCCGATCTACCGTCCTGCGCCTCTCCCGGTCGTGCCTACGTTCTCCCTCGACGATGTCGATCGCAAGCTGCAGGAGCGCAAGAAGCTGCAGATCACCATGGGCGGGTCCGACTCGAGCAGCGATGATGGTGCGCGTGCACTTCTTTTCATCTTGTGCGGATGCTAACGACAGTACAGAGAGCGCGGACAACACCAACGTCCGGTCACTGGAGGAGTGCATTGAGATCTTCAACAATGGTCCGCGTCCCCTGAGCGAGAGCCTCAAGCTGCTTAACGACGAGGAGATCATTCTGCTCTCGCAGAACGGCAAGATCGCCGCATACGCCTTGGAGAAGTCGCTTGGCCTGGACAAGAAGGGTCTCGAGCGCGCCGTCAGGATTCGGAGAGCTCTCATTTGTGCGTAGCCGAGGCCTCTACTGTTCTTTATGCTGACTTCCTGACAGCGCGCGCCTCGATCACCAAGACGCTCGAGTACTCAGACATCCCCATGACCAACTACGACTACTCCCGCGTCTTCGGCGCATGCTGCGAGAACGTCGTCGGCTACATCCCCATCCCCCTCGGTATTGCCGGTCCCCTAAAGATCGACGGCGTCAATGTCCACATCCCTATGGCCACCGCCGAAGGCACCCTCGTCGCTTCTGCCTCTCGCGGCTGCAAGGCGCTCAACGCCGGTGGCGGAGTTACGACCGTGGTACACAAGGACGGCATGACGCGCGGCCCCGCCATCGACTTCCCCTCCGTCGTGCAGGCTGCCCAAGCCAAGCAGTGGATCGACTCCGCGGACGGCTACAACGCGATCAAGACCGCCTTCGAGAGCACGTCGCGCTTCGCGAAGCTGAAGAGCCTGCAGACTGCGATCGCGGGTCGCACGCTGTTCGTGCGCTTCGCGACATCGACGGGCGACGCGATGGGCATGAACATGATCTCGAAGGGCACCGAGAAGGCGCTCGAGGTGCTGCAGCAGGCGTTCCCGGAGATGGTCACGCTCGCGCTGAGCGGGAACTACTGCACGGACAAGAAGCCGGCGGCGATCAACTGGATCGAGGGCCGTGGCAAGAGCGTGGTGGCGGAAGCCGTCGTGCCTGGTCGTGTCGTGAAGAGCGTGCTGAAGACGACGGTGGACGCGCTGTGCAACCTGAATGTCAAGAAGAACTTGATTGGTAGTGCTATGGCGGGCAGCATCGGCGGCTTCAACGCACATGCGGCCAACATCCTCACGGCGATCTTCCTTGCTTGCGGTCAGGATCCGGCGCAGAACGTCGAGAGCTCGAACTGCATGACCCTCATGGAGCCGTAAGTTGTCGTTCCCTCGTCCTATGCCTGCCGCTCACCATACTGCGCAGAACAAACGACGGCGAAGACCTGCTCATCACCGTGACCATGCCCTCCATCGAGGTCGGCACCGTCGGCGGCGGCACCGTGCTCGCACCACAGCAAGCTATCCTTGAGATGCTCGGCGTCAAGGGTGCCCACCCTACCTCCCCCGGCCAGAACGCGCAGACCCTCGCCCGCATCGTCGCCGCCGCCGTCATGGCCGGCGAGCTCTCGCTCATGAGCGCCCTCGCCGCTGGACACCTCATCCGCGCGCACATGACGCACAACCGCTCGCAGGTCAACACGCCCGCGACAAGCCAGCCCGTCACGCCCGGCGGCACCCTCCCGCCAGCGGGGCCGGCGCAATTACCGGAGAAGCCTGTCACTGCGACCGACGCGTCGAAGGGCGAGCCCAAACCTGAGGGCCCATCTGTGCCGGTCTCCCTCTCGACGTCGTCCTCCATGGGCTCATTACCGCCGCTGCCCCCGTACTCGGAATCCAAGTAACCTGGGTTCGACTCGTATCGGGTTCTGTTGGCTTCTTTGCTTGCTTTCGCGCACCTCATGTACACTACGCACTTTTATTCACGCTATACACACCCTGCTTGACACTCACTCACCACTGGGACGCGCGCAGAAACACTCACATCACATCGCTGGATCTACTCACCCTGCCCTCCGTCTCTTGTCTTATCACTACTTGCTTGCGTACTACATTCTGCGTTGGATGTACGGTTGGGTCTCCTTAGGCTAGTGATGTTGTGCAATAATATGGAAAGATAGAAATCGCAGTGGATGGTGCGGAAGGAAGGAAGTTGGTTGCGCTTGTAGGTCCATGGACTATGGTATCGCGGTCACGTTGCGCGGGCATTGACAGATGCCGGACGGCCAATTTACGGCTCGTCTTGTCGTGCACCATCATGCAGCACACCTTCGTCAGTTGTTGAACATACTATCTCCTAGGTACAAGTGGACTTTCAACGTCTAAAGCTATCTCAGCGACCGCAGGTATGCATAACACCGCTCCTGGCAGCTGAAATTCTTGACTGACAGGCCACGTTGCCCAGCATGCGAACGCCCCGCGCCTACCACACGCCGGCCTCGACGTGTCTCTTCGACCGTGTCCCAACAGAGATTCTCGAGCACATCGTCCTTGATGCATGCGCTGGGTACCCTTTGGACGTACCCCCGAAATGGAAGCAAGGCAGGCGAAAACGTCGTCACCCGTATCCCGCCCTTGCTGTTAGCAGCGTCTGTGTCAAATGGAGGGCCGTTGCGTTAACGAATCCTGACATATGGACGCCGTACACGATTGATGTTCGCCTCGATGACTGTGAGCCCAGGCGCTTCGCAAACGAAGAGGCGTACGTTCGCGTCAAGGCGCAGTGCCTTGGTCTCCTCGGGTGCTACTTCGAACGTTCTGGCACTGCGCCGCTGGACATCCACCTCGACGGAATCGTGCTGGACGAGCCGGGAGACTGGGAGGACACGGTCGGCGAGATTGTCCGGCTCGCATGCTCGACGGCTCATCGCTGGAAAAGCTGCTACATCGGGGGCTTTGTGGCAACATACCTCAGCACGCTACCAGAGACTTCCGCGCTCCCATTCCCTCTGCTCGAAAATATGACAGTGCGCGAGGAGGAGGGGTGCCACATGTATCTGCAGCTCTCTCTGGGAGGGGCGCCGCGGCTGCGAAGCTATGTTGGGCCCATCAATCCTGAGGCAACCATCATGCCGTGGGGCCAGCTCACTCGCCTGACCCTTGAGAATAAGGTGTCCGTCCAGTACTTCATGTCCGTCATTCCGCAATGCCAGCAGCTCGAGGACATCTCGGTTAGTATTTGGAGCAACATAGCACTGCCGATGCCGACAGTTCCAGAACCTCCAGTCGTGCTCACTCGGCTGAAGCGCGCGGAACTCCTCTTCGATGACCACGAGGTCCTCGCTCACGTCTTCGCGGCGCTTACAACACCGCAACTATTGCGTCTCAGGATACGGGGCTGCGAGCTCATGGAGACGGAGGAGGACGGCGTGAATGGGCATCTACACCTGCCAGTCTGGCCCGTATGGGAATTCGACGGCTGGCTACGACGCTCGGGAGAGAGCCTCAGGAGCTTATACCTTTCCGATATCCTCATGCGACGGGAGGAGTATACCGCTCTGCTGCGCAAGCTCCCCCGCCTCAGCGAGCTCGAGCTGAGGCGCTGCGACGTTCCGGACGAGATGTTCCCCTTCGCCATCGACGACGGCATTCTCCGCAGGATGGTCCCGCGAGGCCGCGAACCACCGGAGCTCCTCCCCGGGCTGACGAGCTTGGCGATAGCAGGTGCCTTCGACTTCGACTACACCCTGCTCCTCGACATAGTCCAATCGCGGGTCGCGCTCGCGCCGCGTATGGAGCATCTCGAGCTGCAGATTTCCGGCGAGTCGCGAGCGGACATCGACCGCGAGACGGAGGCGCAGCTGCAGAAGCTGCTAGGGGATGGTTTTCAGTGCACCACTCAGGGCAGATTCTTCATGGAGAGGAATCCCCAGATCCGTCTTTCGCTACGGAACCGCACGGGGGATACGGATACAGAGCCCGAGGACGAGGACGAGGAAGAGTCGGAGGATTCAGATTTTTAGATTTTAGTGAGGATCATAATAAATGAAGGCGTCCATAACGCAGGGTTCGCGAGGGTGATTGCTCACCACCGAGCGCATACCCAGCTGATAACGAGAACTGGACATGAAAAGCGGTGACTTCGATTGAACGCGTAGCCTCGGGGTGGGACAATGAGTGAGTGGCGCGCGCAGACCTCAAGACGGATCTGTTCAAGAATTCCCGGGGGCAAGTAGTTCAAAGGAGAGATAGAGGAGTCCGAGAAAGGGAGCGGAACCATGTCGCTCTCGGGCGCTTTTGTCATCGCAAAGCGAAACTGCTAGATCATAACCGAACGTCCATTTCAGAATTCTTGCGTAGTCACTGACCTGTAGCGTACCTGGTCTGCTGTTCAAAGTAGGATTCGTGATATTGTGTCTTCTTTCCTTACTGTGTTACAGCCAATTCTGGACAAATGAGCTGGTCGAAGTGTGAACAGCGAAAATGCCCGTGACGTGACGGGATTTGTACCGTTACATTTGCGCGGTCACGTGCATTCCGCGCCTGGGGCCGCGCAGGCTGCCAGTGCGTATGCACTTTATGGACGGAGATCACGCACAATCACTGTCTTTCACTAGAAGTAAATTTCCCGCCCTTATTTTACATAATTCTCTGGAGGATGAGGCAGTAATGGTATAATATGCTATCCACTGTATTCCGATAAGTTACATGTTGGTCACTGTATACTGTGTACAGGTGTCAGATGATGTACTATTCCATGAATTCAGGCTGGTATCGGTATGTCAATGCTTGGGGCCGCTCCTTGAAGTCCATAGCACGTCTCTGTGAACGGATGATAATGGCGCTCTCAGGTTGTATGAACTTGTCGCCCAAAAGGTCCTCGAGTTGCATCTCTGTCGAGTCATCCAGTTCCGTGGTCGAACATATCTCGGGATAGACGCAGAGAAACTCGAGGTGTGAAGGAGATTCGAGGTTCAGGTCGACCCTCGACTTGACCATGTCTAGAAGTACATCACCACCAAACTCGAGTACACCTGCGACCGTGAGCCCCCTGAGCTCGGGCAGAAGCGTTGGATTGCAACCGAGCGGCGCGGTGAGACGACGCAGGACGTTATCGTCGATGGACGAGGCGTGCTGGTGACCCAGGACCGGACACGGCGGCTGACGCTCCACGAGCTCTTGGATAGAGAGATGCTGGAGGTGCGGGAGCTGCTCCAGGATCCAGACGAGTTGGTCGCGCGGCATCATGATCTGTGCGAGAACAAACCCCTGCAGCGTGCACTGCGAGCGCGCGAGCCACCGATAGAACGCGATCGACGGCCAGCGCTGGAGGCAGAGATGTCCCTCCGGCACTTCGCGGCCCGGATCTGCGTTGCGGCGCGCCTCCTCTGCTGGGGATGAGTACACGAGCGATAGGAATGTGAGCCGGGGAGTAATGAGGGTCGAGAAGAGGAATGACAGAATGTCTTCGTTGTTCAGGGCGAAGGTAGCGGTGTCGAGTTTCGGGAGCGTCACGCTGTCGAATGATGGGAGGGGGGCTGTAGGAAAAGAGCTTCTGCGCAGACATACTTGAAGGTCGACGAGCTGCTCGCAGTGCCCGATGAAGCACATAAAGTACCTGACCGACATGAACGGAGTTATACAGATTTGTGTCAGCTGTCGCCATGGCATTGACAGGATATTAAGGCTCCTGCACTTCACATGGGATGTCAACCGGCGCAGGCGTGGTGCTCTGCGAAAGAAGTCCAGGCGCTCGCACGTATCAGCGCTTTCCGCCTCCAAAACCACCTCTTCGAGAAGGACGGGGTCCGGAGCGGCATCAGGAGTGATCGACAGCCAAGAAGCGACGTAATTCGGCATAGCGCACTTCTGCCAGCGATGCGCAGAGGACACAATGCAACGCACGAGCCCGCCGATCGTATCTTGCCAAGTCTCGTACGACTCCAGTTCTCCACTGAAAGTGACTTTGGGCAAAGGCAGGGAGCCGGACCTCTCGAAGTAGCGACCAAGCAAAGCGATACCCGTGACAGCTTGCCTGCAAACGTTACGCTCGATACCTCTATCCTCATAGCATCCCATAAAAATCATGATCCAGGAGGGTGTCCAGAAAGCAGGGTTTGCGAAGGTGACTGCTCTCCAATACCTGCATACCCAGCTGAGAGTCAAGGGGGGGTACGGATAGGCGTAAGTGGATGCCGAAGGGAGTATTGCTATATCATTTGCAGGGCAAACGTAGAGAAGGATCTGCTCAAGAATCTCCAAGGGCATGCTGTTTAAGCTGACGGATGAGGCGGGAGACTCCGCCGGAGCATCGCTGTTCTCGCTGACATCGCCTGCGATGTCAATGTCCGAGTCAGAAGGCGCTGACATCGTAAGATCGGCTGCATTCCCATTGAGCATATCCTTCTCGACGATATCATGAGCGTACCTTTCGAGTACGCTGAAAAGGATGATCGAGATTCCTGTATGCTGCAATGGGCAGGCTTCAATAGAACGCTTGTGGACTCGTGTCTTGAGAGGTTGTTGCGTGAAGTCTCTGGACAAGGGAGATGATGGAATAAAGGCGCCGTGATCGTGACACGGTTCGTGACGGTGACCTTTGACGCGATCACGTGCGTTGTGCTTGCTTCCTACTCACTAAGTAACTTACGCCCACGCGGCTGTATCTGCCATATTTCGGCTCACCCATATCGAACTGGAGAGAGATCAAAAGACTCCGAGAAAGGAGGAATTGTATCTTCAAGCTCAAGACGTATCGTCTATTGAGGTACGCAAACGAGAACAAGGGATAGGATGGTGCCAGACTGACGCCAAATGTTGGCAGGCCTTGAGCAATGCCAGATACGAGAGACGGCCGTGGACTGGTCTCGCGTCACTTACCGGACGCAAGTCTTTCTCCCATGAACCATATTCCTCCGGAGATCCTCGAGCTCATTCTTCTCTGCGTCGCCGCCCACGAGCCTCTCCACCTTCCGCCAAGCAACTTCCGCGTCTACCGGGAAAGATTTTTTGCGTGTCCAGCGCTCGTCCTGAGCTGGGTATGCTCCCGATGGAGGGCTATCATCATATCCAACGCCGCGTTCTGGGCACCTGCTTCCATCCACATCACCCTCACGGACTACGTGGCGCGTGAGGACGAAACTGTCGCGGAGCACGCTGCGCGGAAGGAGCGGTGCATAGCTCTGCTCAAGTGCTACCTGGAGCGGTCGCGATCGATGCCGTTGCGCCAAGTCAATCTCAATTCGTACTTTGACGACCCGGAGGACGAGGAGCACTGGGAGCCCGCCTTCGGGGACATCGTGCGCTACATAGCGTCGACCGCGCACCGCTGGAAGGCCTGCACCCTCCCGGGCTACGTCGTCGAATGGCTGTCCGTCACGCCCGACGCCGCTCCCGATCCCGTACTTCTCGAATTCGCCGCCATCGAGGAAAAGTACACCGGTACAGTGTACGACCGCCTGCAGTTCTTCCTCCGCGCGCCGCGCCTGCGCCGCTGGCTCGGCGACATCCCGAGCAGCGCCGCGGTCTCGCGCCTCCCGTGGCAGCAGCTCACCGAGATCCGCATCTGGCAGTTCATGCCCGTCCAGCGCTTCATGCGCTTTATCCCGCACTGCGCGCAGCTCGTCGACCTCGAGGTCAGTCTGTACAAAAGCGCGGGCGGCGCGCCGCTCCCGCCATACGGGACCGTGCTCCTCGCGCACCTCGATAGCGCGACGATTGCGCTCGATAATGGGGAGATCTTGTCGAGCCTGTTTGCGACGCTCGTTACGCCGAAGCTGCGGTACCTGGTCCTCAACGGCGCGTCGCCCACGACCCAGTGGGACCTCGAGCGCAGGGGGCATCTGTGTTTGCAGCGGTGGCCGACGCTGGCTTTTGATGGCTGGCTGGAACGCTCGCGGGGCGCGCACTCCGAGTCGCGGTGCACGCTGCAGGGCCTGGTCCTCGCGCACATCTTCATGCCGCGCGACGACCTCGTCTGGGTCCTCGAAAACCTCCCCGACCTCCAGGACCTCTCCCTGCAGGAGGTAGACGATGGCTATCCCGAACAGCATGGCCACGTGTCCTCCATTGACGACGACGTCCTCCGGCGTATGACCGTTCTCGAGCGTATCACCGAGCGTACGACAAGCCTCGAGCGCATATACGAACTACCTGACGAGCTACCCGACCGCAAGCCAGAGCTCCTACCCGAGCTTCGGGGACTCACGATCGCCGGTGCCATCCACTTCGACGGACGCAGGCTCCTCGACATGGTCAAGTCGCGGGCCATGGTCGATTCAAGGGTGGAAATGGCTGACGCCGCGCCGCCCCTCGAGTTCCTCTGCATCCAACCCGAAAAGGGTTCGACCACGATGCTAGACGAGGCGACGCAGACTGAATTGCGGGACATGGTGATGCAAGCGCAACAGCGCGACATGGTGGTGCAAGCGCAACAGCGCGACGTGGTGGCACAGTCTCAACATCGCAATACGCTGGGAGACAAGTTCTGCTACGGCGACGCGGATATCGCCATGCAGAGGCTGGGTATATTTTTCAAACAACAGCCGCGATGGGTGCCTACGCTTCGTATCATGGATATCGATATCGACGCTATGGAGGAGTAGCGTTGCATTCACGACCGATGTGCTCGGGTGTGCTACTCTGCAAGGTAGACTTATTCTACTGCACGATTATATTTTACTGTCATGCATGGTAGACTACTAAAGCGGGCCGCTCCGAGACTACTACGTATTCCAACCGTCCGAATAGAGCATCTCCCTCGCACTTTGACTACTGGCTGTGCCATCGTGCTCGAACTTTTGACCAGGGGACTGGGTCGACGTGTCAATCAGCTTGCAATGGTGGCCAGCCGGACGAACGGTCACGTGCCTGACTCGACGCGTCGCGTCCCGCCCTGTTCGTGTTCTAGCATCTTCCATGATGTCACTCCTACTGACGGCCTGCCCGTCCATCAGGCCGCTTTCTCTCGAGCACCTCTACTTCCCGTGAGGGTACGGAAGTCCTGACAACACGCGCGTCTCAAGCTACCTGTATTATTCCACCTTCTCAAGGAATATACCTCGCAATTCGGACGAGAGTAGGCCTACCCAAACTTCCATGTACAACTCGAAGCTCATACGCCCGCAGCCATCAACATGTCTTCGCCTCCCGCACTGCCCAACCTCGCCCATCCACACCATCGGTCGCTCATGGACCGTGTACCCACGGAGGTCCTGGAGGACATACTTCTCCGCGCATGCGCCGACATACCGCTGACTCTGCCCCCTTCGGATTGCCACGGCTCTGCGTATCCGGCGCCCCCGTTTGCTGCACTAGCCCTCAGTTGGGTGTGTCGGCGGTGGAAAGCCATCACGCTCGCCAAGGAGGAATTCTGGACGCCGCCCGTCATCGAGATCGTCCTCTCCGCCTACGAGTCAAAGTACCGCGACCCCATGGCTGATCCCGAGCAGGATATCTGGGACGGCGAGGCGAAGGTCCGCGAGCGCCTCGACAAGCACGCGCGGTCGGTCGCGAAAGCAGTGGCCGTCCTCCGCTGCTACCTCGAGCGCTCCAAGTCGACGCCGCTGCCGTACGTCAAGCTCTGCTGCCCCATGAACGACGAGGCGCGGTCGACTTGGGAGACCAGCGTCGGCGACATCGTGCGCGTGCTGGCGCCGACTCTCCCGCGCTGGAAGCGCTGCCTGCTGCCGCCCGTCTTGGCGAACAATCTGGCTGCGCTCGCACAGGGCGCTCAACCTCTCCTCATCGAGCGTGTCGAAATCGGATACACCATGCACGAGTTCCTTCACGTCTACTGCGATGTCTTCGCGCACGCACCCCGCCTCCGCTCGTACGAGGGCCCCATCGACCCCGGCGTCGTCCTCCCCTGGGCGCAGCTCACCGACCTCACCGTCACCACGTTCGCGCGCATCTCGGACGTGCTCGTCGTCATGCGGCGCTGTCTGAGCCTCGTCGCCCTCAGCGTCTGCGCCTGCGAGGACGAGCGCTTCATGCCGCCCGTCCGGCTCGATGTCCCGCTGCCGCACCTGCGCGTCCTGCGCGCGTACATCACGAAGGGGCCGGTGCTGTCGCGCATCTTCTCGTGCATTACTGCGCCCGAGCTGCAGGAGCTAGAGGTCGTTGGGAAAGGCGCCACCGCGCCCTTCGCCCACCTGCACGATGCGGCGGGCAGCGTGAACATGCACTGGCCAAAGGACGCCTTCGCGGAGATGCTGCGCCGGTCGGAGTCGCAGGCCATGATTGGGTCCAAGCAGTACACCATCCGCATACTGCGCCTCAAACACCTCTACCTCCCAAAATCGCACATCCCCGCCCTCCTCGAGCAGCTCCCCCACCTGCACGAGCTCGTGCTCTGGAAGACGTGCTATCTGGAGATACGGGCCAGTGAGAAGAGTCGACGTGGTAGCGGGGAGAGCCACCGATCTGAAAAACGGGAGAAGAATCACCATGTGCTGGCACTCGACAACACCACTAGTTAACTTGGCCTGCCGGCATGTACGAGACCTGCGAGTGCGCGGCCAGCTGCATTTCAGATAATGTCGAGTTCGGAAGAAGCTGTCCGTGCGCATTTATCCACATATGGTAGGCCTTTGCGCGGACTGCTGTTTGACTTCACGCCGCCGCAAGCGCGCGCTCCCTGTCGTAGAGTTGTCTACGACATGCTCCTGCCGCATAGCAATGCATTTGTTGTACACAACACATAGGTATACGCATGTAAACTCTCCAGGACAAAAGAAATGCGCGAAAACACATCAGAAAGTGCGAGTAGAATTGTTTCTGCCCGTGCCGGCAGGACACGCAGTTGCGAGAATGAGCGGGGGTGAGCATGTTGAGGGGAGAGGAAAGGAGGCTGACACGTAGTGAGCATGTCATATATGGTGTTGGGTTGGGGGAGGATGGCTGGCATGAGACTGGAGACGGCGAGGAGCACGCGAAGGACGTGTGATGTGTCGCGAGCGCATACAGTAGGAGAATACGGACAAGAGAGGATGGCCCAGTGGCGGATGGAGCGTGGAGTGCAGATCACGCGGGACGCGCATCGCGCGCAGAAGCGATTGGCCTCTCGCTCGTCGAGCACGCGTCCGGACGTGTCGCGGGGAAAGGGTAAAGAGATGATGAAGGAAGAGGACCAGTACGCACCGTAAGATAGATGCTAAGGCGGCCGAGTAAGGGGGGATAGTGGATGGCGAGGGGTGAGAGTGGGATGAGAGGTGTGAGCATCCCTCCACTGCGGAGGGGAAGAGGGAGGCGCGGGTCGCAAAGAGGTGCGCGATATAGGGGGAGGCGAGGCCAGTGCGGGGTGAAGGCAGATGTGAGGGCTGGGGCGCACCCGCTTTGGCCGTCATCGACGGCAAGGGTGTTTCCCAACGTCGTTGAGGGTAGGGAGGGAGGGGGGCAGCTGCACTTTCGCCATCCCCGCCCACCGTGCCTCTGCTCATACCGCCATACCCGGGCTGTCATACGTCTAGCCCCTATGTATATCATGCGCAGATAATCACTGGCGTCAGGGACGTGCAGGGTCCACGTGCGGCGCAAGGGAGAGGTAGGGTAAGGCAGGATGAACATCAAAGGAACACGGGAATGCTATGCGCTTGGCCGCGGGTCGTAAGGGATCCGCTCGATCTGGGCTTGTGCGTTGTCTGAGGGCTAACATCGCAGGGACGACGCGGTCAACAGCGCCCCTGCGCAACCCACCATGTCGTCGACGAACGTACCGCGCGTCGCCGCGGACGCGTGCCAAGATCGTCAGCATTGTTGAAAATAGAGAGGGCGTGATCACGCACCGCTTCCCTGTTTCCTTGCGCGCGTTCCAGTTTTGGTTCCAGTCGTGGAGTTTCGCTGTTGTCGAGAGATCGTGGGACTCAATTATGAGTGATGATGGTTCCAAAATTGTCAAAAGAGGAGTCAGATGAGAGCAGGGAGAGAGGTAAGGGTGTGCTGGACGTAGGGGACCGGAGGCGGTTGGACGCCGTGGTTGAGAACAAGCAGCAGATCGAGGAGCGGGTGATCGGCCCGAGAGTGCCGAAGCTCCAGCGAACTTGACGGCTTTCGTCAAGTCAATCGCTGCAAGCAGCCTGGACAAGGTGGGAGAGTGCTCAAAGTAGGATCTTTATCGTTTTTGAGAATTCAGATGACAACGGGACGGCGAAAGGCTCGCTTGTCGAATTTTACGGCTGTCGAGTGTTCGAGCTACCGGAAGTTGCCGGGAACGCACGTGTAAAGACATCGTCCAATTCTTCACAGTGGCAAGACGGCCAAGGCTGACACTTGGCAAATCAGACGAGCCATAGCATTAGACCATGCTTGAATTTTCACAAAGGAGAAGAAACAAACGTTGAAGGGGAATTTTTGACCGACCTTTCGACATTCGGAGATACGTTTTGATCGACCGCTTGGACGTCTGATCTTGCTGACGGTCCATCGGAATAAAACGAGCCTGGCAGGCAGGTCTCGTAATCCTCCGCCGCATGACGGCGGGCAGAGACTCTGGCGCTAGGGCGCGCACAGGCTCTGGCGTAAGGGGGCGCAAATGCTCCAGGACGACGGCACCTCTTGACCTCTTCCCCGAACCTACGACGCCCGCCCTCCTCCCCGAACTCAAGATCCTGCGCCTCGCCGGCGCCCCCTCATTCGACTGGGCCCTACTTATCGACATGGTCAAGTTGAGGACGGACCCGAAGCTGGAGCATTTGGAGTTGGTGCCGACGGATGAGGCGGCCGACCTGGATGCGGAGACGGAGGCACGGCTGAGGGAGATTTTGGGCGAGAAAGACACAGACATCTTCGGCGAGAAGGGCTTCTCGTGTCGTCGTCAGTTTCCCATAAAGGGTCGAGCCGTGGCAGCCGAAAACGAGCTGAGGGGGTTGCGGGTCGCTGTTGGGCTGATTGAACTGGGGACGTGTGGCGAGCAAGACATAATCCAAATTTACACCATTTCCTGGTTCGCGATACTATACAGCTTTCGTCTGACATCGCGCATTCTCCTCATGCAGGAGTTGTACACCTACGACCGGTTCTCCGCGTACACACGCTCCAGCAGGGCTGTGTTGAGGTATTCGTGGATCTCGACGATCTTCCCCTCGGGCGAGAAGGTGAGGAACCAGGCGTATCTGGGACAAAAGCGATCAGCGACTCCGAACGCGAGTCAGTAACGTCGAGCGCAAAGTCAATGAGCACGATAGCAAGGGGAGCGCAAGAGTGCGAGGTTCAGGATGAGCATGTTACGCACTTATTGTTGTACGGCTTCCCGTTCTTCTGCGTAGCGCTGCCCGCCGTCTCGACGATGGCGACGTTGCCGGAGATCTAGGGATCGATGAGCACGCAGTACGCATGGCATCACTGCAGTATACGAGGGACTACAACAGCACATAGCCAATGTCTACACTCACATAGACCTTATCCGTTCGCAGGCCCAGTGATCCCGCCACGAGGCACGCGCCGAGCGGGTTGCGCACCTTCGTCTCCCATTCTTCGAGGGTCTGCATACCATCATCAGCGTACGAGCGTCACAGTAAAAGCAAGGGAAAATCGGAGAGATCTACGCACGAAGACACCCTCCGCTTTCACGCCCGGGATGCACTCGCCCTCAGCGTCGGTGATCACCCAGCGCAGCTTGGGATCGATGGCCTGCATCAGGGGCGCATCCGGCAAGAAGGTCTTGTAGCAAACTTCGCCCGGCTTCTCCACGCCGGGCTCGAGAAGGGAGCGGACGTGGGCTTCGGTGAGGGTGAAGGTAGACATGCTTCCAGTGATGGTAGTCGGTCAGCGTGAAAGCAGAGAATCAGATGATGCCGATATATATGTCGAATGTCTGGCAACCTCCCCGGTCTAGACATTCGGGGCTACATAGCCTTGAGCGCCTCCATCATGCCATGGGAAATGCACCCTTCCTCCATCGCCGAGCTGGATGAAGATGGTGACTCACGATTATCAATTGGCTCAGGTCATCTTTACCAACCTGCGGGTCTTGCCGAAGTCGATCCCGCGAGAGGCGGAACGACTACACGGCTGGTCAGTAGAGCCGGGAATGCTCGTCAGATACTGTTCGTAAGTAGAGAGGCGGTTGCGAGGACAGGACCATCGCGAAAGACACGAAGAGTCTGAGATTCAGGGAGAGGTGAGGGTGAGTTCTCATAGTCGTCCGTCAGTCCGCGCAGGATAAGCGGGCAGTGGAAAGAGTGGGTTCGGACGGATCGAGTAAGGTGCTTCGAACGCGGCGTTGTCTGGCGTTGACAATGGCCACGGTAATTACCTCCATCGGGAGCATACCCAACGTCGCTATTCATGCACTTTGCCGCGTGAGCGTTCCTGGAGCTACCATGATCCCACATCGTTCAGATTGCAGGTCGGGCAGCCGTGAAGACCACATCAGAACGTGGAGGAGCGAGACATTGACAAGGCATGACAAGACGCAGCAAACGTGACAGTTACTCAAATTCACGTGTCAATGTGACTTTCATTGTGCTGGATGCGGTCACAATTGATGGTCTCGCCTTGTCCTCTTCTTCGACGGTCGCTCAGAACACGCGCACCTACAAACAGCTCTGCCTTGCTCTGACGCTCTGACGCTTGCGAAAATCAACTCAACAGACTCCTCATCGAGACAAATCCAATTGCCGAATAGACCTTGATCGGTGATTGCAGGTAAGTGGCGTGCACTTTGCAGTCGTATAGTGTACCTGACCTCCTCCCCCTCCTCCTTGTAGTCAAACATGGATCGGTACATCGCCTCTTGCCGCGCGTCACTGGCCGCCCGCATCCATGACCTACCCGCGGAGCTCCTCGAGATGGTCTTTCTTGAGGTCTGCAGCCAACAGCTCGACCTTCCGCCAGTATACCACAAGCGAATCCGAAGAAATTCGTGTCCTGCTCTTGAGATCTCGTGGGTCTGCTCCAGGTGGCGCGCTGTAGCCCTTGCGAGCACTGCCTTGTGGGCACCTTCGCGCCTCGTTGTCGATCTTGGGCGTTACGAAAAACTGATGTCTCGGGCCTCCCCTGCTCTCGTCAAGGAAAAGTGCAATAACCTGCTCCAATGCTACCTTCAACGATCGGGCTCAAGATCAATCGACGCGTACATTCTGGACAAGCTTCGCGATGTCTACACATGCGAGCAAACCGTCGGTGACATCGTGGATCTTGTCTGTTCGTCAATTTCTCGCTGGAGGCTCTTTGTGGCCCCGAATTACGTCGTGTGTCGCATATCCGCCGCTGTTCAGACCGCGAGACCTCTTCTTCTCAGGGCAGCAAGGGTGTCAAACGATGTCATGCCAGACTTCGACTTCGACCTCGACCTCGACCTCTCCAATGTGCCTAAGTTTAATTATTGGCATGGCCCTCTCGCTTCCGTCGCCGGAGGGAAGCTCAGTCTCCCATGGCAGCAGCTCACTCACATTGACAGCGACGACTACATGTCGATCGGCACCTTCATGCAGATCATGCCTCTCTGTCAAGCTCTTGTCGAGCTCCGCGCCAGCATATCCAGCAACGAGACCTCCGATCCCTTGCCGGCAAAACAAGCTGTTTCTCTGCCTCAACTTCGGGATGTATCTCTCACTTTCGAAGACTACAATATCCTTGCGTACACTTTCTCCGTGCTCACGACGCAGACCCTGGCCGTCCTCAGTGTCTTCGGTAGCCTTAGAGAGAGAGAATACGAGCCGGACTACCCTCCCTATACCCACCGCCGGTCTATGGTGGACCTGCCGCACTGGCCCGTCGACGAGTTCTCCGGATGGCTGCGCCGCTCGGGGAACAGCCTCAAGAGCCTCACAATCGAAGGCTTTTCCATGCCGCGGAGGAGTCTCGTCGATGCCTTGGAGCTCTTGCCCGAACTCACGTCGCTCTCACTCTTTCTGCTCACAATCTCAGATCTCCTCAGCCCCACGTACGCTATCGACGACGACATGTTGCTCCGTATGACGGCGTGCGATGGGGAACTGCCAAGCCTGCTCCCGCAGCTCACGGACCTGGAAATCCGCGGCATAGGCGCTAGCAATGAGGCATTGGCTATCGCCATGATCAAGTCGAGGAGGGACCCGCCCTTCAAAGACGTGCTCATACATATCATGTGGAGGTGCATATCTATGAAGCAAGACGGGGAGTTGGTCGTCACTGGATCTCGATGAAGTGACCTGATGAGCGACACGGCTGCAAATCGCTGAGTCCTGACCCAATCTCCCTGCTGAAGAGTGCGAGCACGGCGTAGAAGTGGCGCGGTCGGTGGCCGGAGTGCGAGGCAAATGTTCTGTTCAGACGAATGGGATGCGCGCTAGAGGAATATATCGCAATTGTGCAGTAGAATATGTCTATTTTGCAGTAGAGTATGCTCATCTTGCGGTGGAGTGGACCTCAAACAATCATCCTAGCACTACACTTCCATAGCATCTATATTAATCTGCATACGATGGGTCGCCATCAACCGCGGCCACTCCTTGAAGTACCTGAAGAGTGTCTGCGCCGACAGATGGCCGTCGCCATAGATGAATTCATCTCCTAGGATGTCCCTCAGTTGGGCCTGCGCCGCATCGTCTAGCACTGTGGTCGAACCCCTTTCGGGCTGGATGCAGAGGAATTCGAGGGGTGATGCGGCGTCAGCGATGTCCGCCCCCAAATTGGCCACGTCAGCTCGCGACTTGACCATGTCGACGAGCCTGCGCCCGTCGAAGTGGACGACGCCGGCGATCGTGAGCCCTCCAAGCTCGGGGAGGAGCTCGGGCCTGCGGTCGGGCAGGCCGTCCATGCTGGTATGCCTGAGGACGGTCATGCGCCGGAGGACATCGTCGTCGATAGAGGACGCGTGGTCGTGTCGCTCGGGAGAGCCGTCCTCTAACTCCTGCAGTGAGAGATCTCGGAGGTGGGGGAGGTTTTCTAGTATCCAGACGAGGTCATCCCGCGGCATGGTGATGTGCGCGAGGAGCAGTTTCTGCAGCGCGCAGCGCGCACCGTCCGGCGCCGCGGACCGCGACCGCTCAAGCCACCCGTCGAACGCGAGCGTGGGCCAGCGCTGCAGACAGAGATGCCCCTTGCGCTCGAGGTCCCACTGCGTTAGGGGCGATGAGCCGTTGAGGACCAGACACCTGAGCTTCGGTGTGACAAGCGTTGCGAAGAGACTCGACAGGATCTCCCCGTTGTCCAGTGTGATGGTTGCGCTCTCGAGATGCGCAAGTAGTACGCTTCCATAGGTTGGCAGAGGCGCAGCACCCGCGCTCCTATGCAGGCTAACCTCGAGGTCGACGAGCTGCTCGCAGTGCCGGATGAGGCGCATGAAGCGCTGGATGGGCATGAACTGCCAGATGCGCACCTCGGTGAGCTGCCGCCACGGAAGGCGCGAAACCGTGGCGCTGTTTGGGATGTCGCCGAGCCATCGGCGCAGGCGCGGCGCATGCAAAAAGAACTGGAGGCGGTCATACACTGTGTCGGTGTACTTTTCCTCAATAGCGGCGGCCTCGAGGAGAACCGGGTCGGGGGCTGCGTCGGGCGTGACCGATAACCATTCGACGATGTATCCCGGCAGAGTGCAGGATTCCCAGCGGTGCGCGGTTGATACCACGTAGCGTACGATGTCCCCGAAGGCGGCCTCCCACTGGTCCTCGTCCGCCGCGTCGGCAAAAGCTCCATACAGAATGACTTGGGGCAGGGGTTTCAGGGGAGACCTTTCGAGGTAGCACTTGACAAGGGCTAGGCCGCGCGCCTTCCGCGCAGCGTGTTCTTCGACAGTATCGTCCTCATCCGCCACGTAGTCCGTCAGGGAGATGTAGATTGAAGCAGGTGCCCAGAATGCGGAGTTGGCTAGCGTGATGGCTCGCCATCGGGTGCATACCCAGCTTAGAACTAGAGCAGGGCACGCAAAGTAGTACCTTTCCCCACAGATGAAGGAGTTGTTTGGCGGAAGTTTGAGGGGATGGTTGGCAGCAACGCAAAGAAGGATATGTTCGAGGATTTCGGAAGGCAAGCAATCAATTATAGAGACGCCCGCCTCAGACGGGTCACTCGGGTTGAGAGTACGGCCGACTTCCATGACTGGTATCGCTCAAAGCCTGTCCGAAGGAGGGTCAGCGCGGACATCCTGTGCCTCACTTAGTGATGCGCACCTATTGGACGACCGCAGAACCACTTCCTCCTGGTTGTTGATCTCTCCGAGCCCGTCTTGTCTGAACGCGTGATCAGGAAGATCTGAAACCAATCTTGGCGCGAACGGTCCAGATGATGGTTGGAAGCAGGCGCGAGGATACACACGTGATCGCGTAGAGGTGACAATACATTGCACCCTTCTCAAAGATCCTTCCAGTGTCTTATTTTCACAGATGCACTAGCCCCGCCGCCTTCTACCTGCCATTCCGGTATACGGACTCTCTGGGCACCAAGACGCATAACGACCCAGCGCCTCTTGCTCAGCCCCTAGCAATGGCTCCGGAAACCGTCATCTTCGGGTAAGTGACCACAAACGTGGAGAGCGACGAGACGTGAGGACAGTTAGACTTTTCTGGCAGGGCATGGGGGTGGGAACGCTCAACAGGCAGGCGGTCGAGTGCTCGTTGCATGATGCTATGTGTTTCGAATTATTACACTTTGCTTGCGACCTCCCCAGGCGCAGCGCTTTTTACGCCTTGTTCCCTGCAAGGACACGCTCAAGCAAGGCCGTGTTGAGGTACTCATGGATCTCGACGATCTTTCCTTCGGGCGAGAACAACAGGAACCAAGCGTATCTGAATGGACCGAGTCAGTATCTACATCGAGCCGCTACACGAATGCCTACTTGTTGTTGTAGGGCTGACCATTCTTCTGTGCGCAGCTGCCTGCGGTTTCTGCGATGGCGACATTGCCAGCAATCTGCAGAAACGATCAGGATACAGACAAATTGGGGGAGAACAGCGGGAGAACGGGAGGGGGGACATAGGTCTGACTTACATATACACTGTCTGTCCGCAGACCAATGGGTCCAGCGAGGCAGGCCAGGAGAGGGTCGCGGACCTTCTGTTCCCATTGCGCGAGGTTCTGTAAAGGTAGTACGCCAATGAGATGAACACTATGCAAAAGGGGGGGGGGAAGCATAGATACGTACGTAGACTCCCTCTGATCTTACGCCCGGGATGCATTCTCCCTCGGCGTCCGTGATGACCCAGCGTAAATTGGGATCGAGAGCCTTCATGAAGGGACTACCGGGAGCGAAAGCCGTTAGGGATACGTCGCCGGGCTTCTCGACACCAGGCGCGAGGAGCGAGCGGACGTGGGATTCAGTGAGAGTGAAGGGGGGCATGCCGTTGGCGAGAAGATATGAGGATATGGGAGAGCCGTGAGAGCAGTACATATATGCGTGAAGCTGGTCTCAGCAAACCGAGCAGAGACAGATTACTCACGATTATCAACACTCAGGTCATCTTTACCAACCTTGCGAAAGAGACTGAACAGAGCCCGAAGGTCTTGAGCCTGCCTCGCCGAGTCGGTAGCTTCAGGGTGGCTCGCTCGGATATAAGCCGGATTTAGGCGTTAAGCAAGTTCAACTTCGTCTAGAATCTACAGAACCCATGTCGCTGAAGATGAGTCTAATGAACGCGAGATCTTCAAGCGCGAGGTTGCCGGGACAGCGTGTAGTTGGGTGCCCCTTGATAAGGTGGGGTCAGCCCGATAAGTGTGTAGCAAGTAGTGGTGGTGGTTCGAACGAAGATGCAACGTGACGAAATGCCGGCGTTTTCCGGAAAGTCACGCCTCTTCGTCTCACAGTCACATGGGCCGTAGTTCAAAATGGGCCGTACTCGATCGTTAGGCTTGAGCGGATTGACTCCTACCTAGTCTCAATGGGAATATTATCAAACCCTTTTGATTGGAAGGTAGCCACGGGTGTGTTGCTATAGCCACCACGAATCACCCCGCGCCGGGTTTGTCACCATTGTCTGAGGCTACGTCGGCATCCCCTCTATATCAATTAAAAGAGGATGCCTCTTCCATCCAAGCCTGACTCCGCAATGATTCCAAAAGCCGTAGCGTCCCAAATGCTCCATCAGCCGCTCCTCCGTGTCCTGGTCTATATCCGACCTCGATGAATCGTCGACGAAGATATGCAGATGCTGCAAGCGTGGATTCGTCCTCGATTTGACCATGGTCAAGAGCATCTGCCAATCGAAGTTGAGCACGCCCTTGATCGCAAGCCTCTCAAGTCGCGGCAGCAGCTCGGGTGCAGAGCCGTCGACTGAAGAGAGCCGCTGAAGGAGGGCATCGTTGATAGAGGACGAAGTCGGTTGTCCCCGACCGTCCTTGATCTCTCGCTCGTCCAGCGCGAAGTCCGAGATATGCGGGAGCTTGTGCATGATGCGGATGATATCGTCCTGAGGGATGGCAAGGAATATGATGTGCAGGGTTCGAAGACTGCATTGCGAGCGCTCTAGGAATCCCTCAAACTCCTCCACCGGCCACCGCTGCAGACGCAGGTGCCCGAAGGGTTCTTGCCATTCATCATCGATCGCATTGCATCCCAAGAGTGAGAGATTCGACAACGCAGGGAGCGTGAACGACGCAAGGATATGCGCAAGGACGTCCTGATCATCCAACGTGAATTGCACGCTCAACAGATGAGGGAGGACGACTTCGGCACCCCGCGGTGGCATAGCTCGCTCGGGATCCCTCCAGACGTTGATCCCAAGCTCGACCAACTGGCGACAGTGCGCGATGAAGCCCATGAGAAACTGGACGGACACGAACTCGGAGGGGTGATCAACGAGCAAGTGCGTAAGCTGGCCCCACCGCAGGTGCGGCTTGTCCACGTCGAACGTCACTGGCCCTTGCCACTGGCGCAGGCGTGGCGACTTGGCGAAGAAGTCCGCGCGGGCGATGTAGGGTCCTTCCACGTGCGCCTCCTCGAGGAGCAGAGGCGCAGCACACGTCGGCGTCTCGGATAGCCAGTCGGCGACAAAGTACGGGAGTCGACATGCTTGCCAGCGGAAGGCAGAACTGCATGCGAGGCGCACGACGTCGATCGCCTGCATCCATTCCTCGTTGTCGGACCCGTCGAGGTTCATGACCAGCGGGACCAACCCGGAGCGCGTGAGGTAGCACTCGAGCAGAGCGAGGCATCGCGCCCGGGTACGCGCATGCCTGACCGGGTCCGTAGACCAGTCGGCGAATGCTTGAAGATCTATGTCGATAGACTCAGGCGACCAGCATGCGGGAGTGGCAAGCACGATGGCCCTCCATCTGGCGCAGACCCATGTCAGCGCGATCGCGGGGTAGAACTGGCATCTGGGGGACCGATTTTTGAGGGAGAAACGAAGGGGAATCTCCAAGGGGGTGTCTTGGGAGGCGTGGTAGAGCACGCAAGCAAGCAGCTCTGTCGGGAGACTTTCGATTGGGAAAGGTCGTGCTGGCGGCAAACTGGAGGAGGATTGCTCCGTAACTTGCGCCATCCAGGATACGCTGACTGCTTGATGCACCTGGCGAAATGCGTCAATCCTCGTCCTTAGCCTGCGATACACCGCTGCGCACCTTCAACGCCCGAGCTATTGTTATCGACCGACAGGGAGGAATCTTTGGTCAAGGTGCATACCTCGCGAACCGCAACACCACACATGGGCTCAGTCGTACGTACACTCGCAACCTCGTGTCGCCACTTGTGTGTGGGCCGTGCCTTCAGCTTACATCCTGACACCACTCACGCACTCACAATTGCCGTACAAGGAGAGGAAGTCAATAATGACAGTTACAGTTGGACTTAGCGTAGGGTAGTGGTATGGGGGGAACGACGAGGAGACCGGTACATATCGAGGGAGCGAACTCCCTGGTAAAATCCCAAAAGACAACTGCATGGACCATTTTGCTGAGCGTGCATGGGTGGCATCCTCTACGCGGATGGGAAACATGCGCGCGGGCAGCGACCGTGCGCAAGCTTACACCGGCAGGTAAGTGCCGAAGACCTTGTCCCAGAAGGCACCTGGACGAGAAGTCAGCAAAAAGGCTTAGGAAAAGTGAGAGGATTGCATACTGGTCACACCATAGCCAAGATCGAAGTTCTTGTAGTGGTGGGCAAGGTGGTACTTCTTGAGCTCGGTCCAGTACTTCGGGAGCTTCGTGTGGTGGAGCGCATAGTGCGTGCAGTCATACAGGACATCTGCAAAAGCGTCAGCATCAGGTCTCCCCACACGAAGGGCAAGGCCAGCTTACAGAATGTAAATGCGCCCGAGATGATCCCATTCGCCACAGCCGGCGGGAACAACGCGTGCGCAAGCTTCGTGAACGGCGACTGCAGCAGCGTGAACAGCACCGGCGGCATCACCAGCCGCAGGCGGTCCATCGGCAAATAGTGGTGCACGCCGTGCATGAGGAAGTGCAGCATGAGCGCGAGCGGGTGGTCCGGCAGGTAGTAATCGAGGTGGAAGAGGAAGCGGTGGAGGAGGTACTCGAGGAACGTCCAGATGATGTTGCCAATCACGAAGCAGATGCCGGTCTTGAGGAACGAAGACGCGGGCAGGCTCGAGAGCGCGGCCATCGGGAGGCGCGGGTTCGTCGTGAAGGCGGGGATGGGGCCCGAAAATTGGAAGACGGAGCGCAGGCCGAGGTACGCGGCGATGGGCAGCCAGACGATGGGGATGACATACCAATTGGTGCGGGTGAACATCTAGGACGGGGGTCAGCAGAGTCTTGGGATGCTGAATGGGCGAAGAAGTACCTCGAGGACGTCAGGCCCGAAGAAACGCGCGGGGTGGGGGAGATGGCGCGGCTGGTGCACTTGCTTCAGGTAGTACGATTTGCTATGGAGCAGCGCGTCAGCACAGAATCGCGCAGCCATAGCGCCCTACGTGCCTCCATCCCGCACGCAAGACCTGCATGACCATAGGCTTGCGCAGGTCAATGAACTGGAACTTCTCGTAGTCTTCGAACTCGTCCGTGTTATCCGGGTGCACTTCCTCAGTAGCCTCCCAGTCTGCGCACCATGGTCAGCGTTAATCATCGATATAACATCGCCTTACGCACCCTCCTTGACGATCGTCTCTTCCGTACCGAGCTTGCCAATCTGGTAGTCGGACAGCACGTCGTACGCGCTATCCGAGTGCTCGTGCTCGAGGGGGTCCTTCATGATCTCGTCAACAGCCTTCCCGGCGTACTTGAGGACGATATCATCGCCGCCAGGGTGGTCGGGGAGGAATTGGGTGATGTCGTACACCCTGTCCTTGTACGTGACCCAGGTGCTTTCCGCCGTCTTGTGCTCGGCGACGTCCTCCGCAGTGAAGATGCGGATGCGCTTCGTGGCCTTCGACATGGCGGCAGGGAACGCTTTTAGCGAGAAGGAGTCAAAAGAGGGAACGCGAACGGTGCTGTTCGCTGTTGGACTCGACTGCTCGCTGAGGGTCCTGGCGGCAAGAAGGAAGATGGAGTCTCGCCACTTTCGGCACCTTCATTTTAGTGACGGCCAAGTTTGTCACGCTTGACTAGCGCCGCTTCACGTCACCACGCCAACTGCGCTGGGCGCCGGATCTCGCCCCCCAGCGACACGAATAAATTCGGAGGGTCCCTCCCAGGTCCCGGAAGACGGCATTTGTGTTTATGGGCACGAAGTCGGGCTGGAAACAGGCCAGAGCAGTGTCTGGGCAGCCACTCGGCAAACCCCGGAGATGGACCCACAAACCCATGCACGCTAAGATGAATAGTTAAGTGGGCGAGTCTTCACATCCACGAAGAAGTTTAGAAGCTTCGGATCCAGTGCCACCAAGAGACTAGGACTGACTGACCACTCCTCAGAATCCCAATCGCTGGTGTTCCGTTTGTAACATGGAGTTCCAGCGTCCGATCACTTTCCCGTCTATCTGCTGATTGAGGTCGATGACCACAGCGCTAAGTAGTCAAAATGTCGACTTCTTATGTGATTGCAAGCTTGATATCTATGGGAACAGTTGTGCGCCGCGTCAGGTAGCTGTGTCTTCGTGGAGTGCTTTGGACTCGAAGCGACGAAGTCGAACCGGGGCGTGACAAATGCGAATGTCACAATCACATGCGCGTGATCGTCCGGTCGCGCCTTGTCCTGAACGTCCATCGACATGCGTTTCTCCAGCCCTTCGTGCTCAATCCATTCAATTCACCATCAGCAACGATAGGCTAAAAGCTCTAGACTCAAGAGAAACCCAATGCTTCGTTGGCCAGCTCTCTGGCCCCCCTTTGCCCCGGCGTGAGCCCTTCAGCGTCAGCGTCAAACTTGTCGAGGCCGAAAAGCCGTCGTCCCTCTGCCGTAAGGATATTCTTCTCCGACCCTCGATCTTCGTGGCTGCTCTCCAAACCTTGACCTGGACGGGGAGGCATGTCAGGTGGTGGAACACCTGCTAGGAAGGCTTTGCGCTGGTCGACGAGATTGCCGACGTTGTACCCGCACAGCGGAGCTACGGGGATGAACGCGACAGACGAGTCGACCGCGCCGTTGTGCTCCTTCTCGACTTGATGGACCTGTAACACATGTGTGAGATCCTTGCGCCTACTGACGACTTTGACCTTACCATATCGCCATGCCAGAAGACGTAGTCGCCCGGGTCTGCCTTCGGGCAAGAGACGACGGTCTTCTCCAACTTCAGGTGCGGGTGCCAGTTCTCCTTGCAGACTTGACCCTGGCCCGGGTCTGCGCCATAGAAGTACGTGCTCTCCATGTCAAGCACATCCTGATCGTTGAAGAAGGGCCGCAGGAGCACATATGCAGTCGAGATTTTGATATCGGGAAGCAGCTGGATTGTCCCGCAGCCAGGACCGTTGTCCGACATTGACAACCAACCTGCGACGATGAGCTCATCTGCAGATAGCCAAGCAAAAACAATTCGCACCTTGCAAGCTACGGTAGCCCGAGCAGGATCCAGCTCCGCCATACATATCGATGACGGCTTCGGCGCGATGATCCATGTCCCAGGCGTCGTATTCCTCCCAGCGGCCTTCCCAGATTGGCTGGTACGCCGCGCTATATTCCGCATCCTCCCACCGCTCAATCGACCCATTGTCCAGGTGCGGCGGCAGCGTCCCCACCGCCCCAGGCATCCTTACCCGGAAGCGGTCCGCATACACCACCTGCTCCGTCAAGTCTACGATCGTGTCCTCACTCGCCGTGTACAGCTGGCTCATCGCGACCTGCGCGCGGAGCATGTTGGGGTGCGTGCGCGCCTCTGTCTGCGCGGGCTGCCAGAAGGTGCCGTACATCTGCGGCGCGCTGGGCGGGAAGCGCGGTACATCGGGGTGGCGCGCGCAGTAGTCGAGCATGGAGGCTTTCCAGGCGAGGGCCTGCTCGCGGGAGACGACGCCACGGACGACGCAGCAGCCGCGGGATTTGATGAGGGCGGCGATGTCAGGAGGGAACTTGCCGTCAGGCCCAATGGACGAGAAGTCGACGTGGGGGACGGCCTGCAGGTCACGACGGGCGCGATGCAGGTGAGTTCAATGTCGATCGCCAGGCAGAAGCAAGCTCACCGACGGCCCGGCACTCTCGATTTCTGCAGCACGTTTTTCGAGCGCCTCGATGAGACGCGTCCAGCTCGCCTGCACCGCTGCGTAGTTCTCAGGCTTGATCAAGCTCTTCTTCACATTCGCAAAGCGCGTGTCCAGCGGAGCCGGCTTGTCGCCATCGAGATTTGCCCACACGGCCTTGGTCGTGGTTTTTGTGAGACGCTTGTGCAGCGCGGCACGGCTGATGGCAGACGCGTTCGTCGCGCTCGACCTGAACGACTCGATCGAGGATTGCGGGCGAAGAACTTGCGCTGTAGCCATGGTTGGGGGAGGTTCGTGGTTGTGAGGAGGCTCGTGGTCGGTGGAAGCAGGGAGCGTTCAGCTGTGTCTACCCCATCGATGCGATACCTATCGACGAAGTCTGGCGGTAAGTGGTGTTGACTTCTATCTTCTCGAGATAGGGATAAGACAAGAGGGCTTACACGACAGCAGGCTTGATACAGACGTGCGCAAGTCCGTCGATCAGGACGAGGGCGCGCTCCGACCCGCTGCACCCAAGCTGCAACCCCGTCGCACTTCACACGGATCCCGCACTCGGCTAATACGACGCGTGCGACGGCCGGAAGCGCACCGGGCGCACGCCCGCCTACTCAATGGGGACCTATCAACACGCGACCCCGCCTGACCTGCAACCGTTCCACGATCCCGAGGGCGCGCACGCCCTCCCCGCCACCGCAGATAGAGCTATCAGTTCGTGTGCCGCAGCCGCGCTGCCCTGCGGAGCATGGCGATAAGGCGCGCATCACCCATGATACGCGTCCGCTCAATCCACTCTGATAGCTGCTAGCCTGCCAGCCAGCGAAACGGGCTCCGTATATAACGGCGACCGGTCGGTGTCGTGGGGGTCCCTTCTGCTTTCGGTTCCTTCGTGGCGACGTGGTCTTGCTTCATCCCTCCCTCCTCCCTCCTCACAACTCCCCTTTCCGTGAGCGATGGCGCCGAAGACGGAAGCCGATGGCGCGAGGCCGGATGCGGACTGGTACTGGCGCGGGATTAGGCTGAGGAACTATCGCTCGCCGATGGTCCAGGTCGCGCTTGTCGGGTTCATCGCCTTCATGACCGTCGGCATGTCGAGTGCGCTGGGTGGCGCGGGAGGTGGTGGTCTACTCAACACGAAGCAGAGCACGAATGCGAATGTGGCTGGTGCGTAAATTTACCCTTTATTGTGAATGGAAGCTAACAATCCTATCAGTATACGTGAGTTCACGCTCGACCTCTTCCTTGACCTGCTGATGCGAACCTTGGTCGCGCGCTCTAGTCCAGTACGTCCGAAGAGTGTTCTTCATGACCTTCAATTCTGATGTTCTTCGCAGCATTTGCTGCCCTTGCGTTCTTCTCGGGTACGATCTATAACCGTGTTGGTATCAGGGTATGCCTCGCGTTCGGTGGTTTTGGTGGGTCTTACTGTTCCTTCCCGAGACCATGGTCCTGATGTTTCTCAGGCTATGCCCTCTTGTCCGCCGCCTACATGGCGACGGCGCATCTCGAGGACAAGGCCACGCCCTTCATCGTAGTCGCTGGCTGCGTTGAAGGTCTAAGCGCAGCCATGCTCTGGACCGCGCAAGGCGCCGTGACGATGTCCTACCCCACCGAAGACCAGAAGGGTCGTGCGTTCTCCACCTTCTGGACGATCTTCCAGATGGGCGGCGTCATTGGGTCCATTATCCCTATCGCTGCGAACTGGAACTCCTCAGCGGGCACGCTGAACGACGGGACGGTGCGTGGAGCACGTCGGTGCGGGCGCGTACCGGGCTGATGCGCTTGCTGCAGTACATCGCGTTCATTGTGATTATGCTTACAGGATCGTTCGTCCTGCCGTTCTTCCTGCTGCCGTCCGACAAGGTCGTCCGCTCGGATGGCACCCGCGTCGTGCTTCCTGAGATGCCAACATGGAAGTGAGTGTGTTCTCATGGCGGATGGGTCAATGTCTGACCTTCGCGCAGGTCGGAGATCGTCGGGCTCGTGAGCGTGCTCTTCGAGGACAAGTGGATCATCACGCTATTCCCCTTCTTCATCGCCTCGAACTGGTTTTACACGTACCAGAAGAATGACTTCAACGTGCCGAACTTCACGTTGCGCACGCGGTCGTTCAATGGGCTCTTCAGCAACCTGTTCAACATGGTATGTCGCTACAAACCATCTTACATTCGATTGCTGACTATGCAAATCAGGTGGGTGTCTGGGCGATGGGTTCAGCGCTGGACTACCGGCCGGACAAATTCTCTCGCAAGCTTCGCGCGCGCATCGGAATCATCGCTCTGCTGACTGTGACCCTCGCGATCTGGGGTGGCGGCTGGGCCATGGTCAAAGACTTCAAGCGCGGCGACCATCCTGTCCCGCTAATTGATGTGTGAGTGGCCTCACACGTCGCTCATGTTGCGCACCTTGACGAACCTCATAGCACCGAGTCGAAGCGCTACGCACCCTACGTGATCATGTACATTTTCTGGGCGATGTACGACGGGATCTTCCAAGCGTACGCTTACTGGCTCATGGGCTCCCTCTCCAACAACTCCCGCCGCCTCTCGCACTACGCCGGCTGGTACAAGTCCCTGCAGTCCGCCGGCGCCGCGATCGTCTGGCGCCTCGACGGCCTCGAGGTCTCGTACAAGTCGATGTACCTGAGCACCTGGATGATCATGGTGTTCGCGGTCATCACGGCGTTCTACGTCGCCTTCTCGCGGGTGCAGGAGCACTGCAACGACGAGCCGCAGACGGCGGCGACACCGTCGGAGGGGTCGGATATAGAGGCGGCGAGCACGACGTCGAAGGGAGAGGGGAAGGGGATGGAGGTGGAGGTGTCCACTTTACCTGCGAAGTCGTAGACCTTTCGCTATACATACTGGGTATTTATTGCTTTGCTGCCCTGTTATCTCTGTAACACGACTGTCTGACTCTCATTCTGGATATTTGATGATGACTATAGATATGCCGGTCTCAACGACGCGTCGGATTCGTGGGCGTCTGACGCGAAGACTGGATTTGGGGCCACCTATCGGTGCCGTATGCGAGGTCTACGCTCTTACTCTTGAAGACGACGGCCCTACTGCCATGTCGTAGTCGGGTGGTAACGTGCCTTCGCCGTGGTGATTCTGGTGCATGTCTGCGACCTACAAATCATCAGTACAATCGAAAGCTTGACGAACATCATGCGCACCGTAGACGTAGAGGGGTGCGCTCCTCCACGAAGTGCAGATCGTCCTTTGTCCGTAACCGGAGTTTGGCTACCCGACGAGTATGCGTACGGTTGTACGAGCCGGTCCCGGGACTCAAACAGCCCCACTTCGTCCATGGTGTTATTGGACGATTTCCTCTTGCGCCGAACGATCAAGAGGGCCAGGAGTGCGACGGCGGCAATGAGCACGACGCCGCCAAAGGCGATGCCGACCAGCTCGCCAGTGGATAACCCCTGACTTCTCACGAACAGCATCAGCACATTCGGAGACAGAAGGATTGCAGCGCGCACGTACTTCTTGTCCTGGACGTCCTTTGGAACTATATCTGTGTGCTCGGCCACGCTGACGACGGCGTAGTCGATGAGGACTGAGCTCTGTGGTGCGTCCCCCGTCGGCGCATTCGCTAGGACTAGCTTATGAGTGCCGTTGCCGATATTGTTAGCGTGGTATAGCAAGACTTGCGTCTCCGTGTACACATCCTTCGCGTTGAAGCCCTGGGCGCCGCCACCGTCCAGCTGGACGGTGTAGCGTCCGTAAGCTGGGCCAACAGTGCCGTACAGACTGACGGATTCGCCCTGGAAAGACATGAGTACTATGCATGAAGGCCATCAATTTGAAGAATGAACCGAAAACTCGAGCGTGACATAGCTATCCCCGTCTACAGCCTGGCTGTATTGAGATCGTTGAGTTGAAGTTCACGATGAATTTAAGATGCACCACATACTGCGCCGCACCACCCTCGTACCGACCACCCGCGTCGGTTGTGGTCCATGGTCCGGTGTACGAGAAGTTCGGATGGTTGTCTGGCAGCGTCATCTGGCCCGACGTGTAATCATCCCCGAAATCGGTAGTCCAGGTAATCTGCGCATTACTCGTCACTTAAAACTCGAACGGCGAACATGGGGTATGTACATAATCAAGATCCAACCAACCCTCGTCTCCAGACCCATCGCATTGGAGATGGACGGTATGAGGTACATCCAGTTCGAGAGGGCCGGCGGAGAACAAAAGCTGCTGGAATAAGGCCTCGCCCGAATTTCCGTTGTGGCTGCTCTTGACGCCGTCCAATTCAACAGAGTATGGACCTTCTCAAAGATCAGCCCGAAATACTGCTCGGACTGAAGGACTTTCGTCGTACCATGATTGGATCTTCGCGCATCTCATCAGACAGTATCTTGTAGGGAAGCATCATGTTCACGCACCTCTTTGCGCCATATAGGTAAACATATGTTCCGTTGAACGTGAAGGACGCCCGCGAACCGTTTGTCTGCGTGACCGTGAATGTGCCACCATCCGAGTATCTAGGTGTGGTTGAGCAAAGGCTACTTCGTGTGACGTGTCAGCTCACGAGAATGCGCTGGTATCCTGGGTTCTGTTCCCCGTGTGCCAGCCGGTGTAGGTGATGAAGGGACTGTTGTCGTCTACTGTGAAATTCTGCGGGGACATGGCGCGCGCAGACGTTGTCAGTGAGAGTAAGGACAGATGTGCGAGAACGTGAACGGCGAGAGGAAAGCAGATATAGCGCTGTGGCAAGCTGCAGGGAGTCGAGACGACATGGACTATGGAGGCAGTTCATGCTGATGCGAGCGGGTCGAAGGTCATGATGGCCGCCGCCGCGAGTCGCTGATCTCTGGGGCTCACCCTCATGCAGTAGATCGCATGCGGCTGAGGTCGCCCAGCTCCTGGAGGGGTTTCTTGGATGGCTGGCAGGACTTTAGGGTGATACTTGACATCTTTTGGTGAGCTATAACTCGAAAAGACGTCCTCGGGGATGCACCGCGTTTTCTTCGCGCTGGAGTGATTCGGGATGTGGCGCTTTCCGAGTGATCGACCGGGAGTGAGAGCATCGAAGCAGATGGGTAAGGATCGTCCCACATACCTCGAAGATGAAAGACGTTCGGGCAGCCCTTCGATGTATGCTACTTCATACCGGACAATCATGGAGTCACTGATTGACTCGCGTGCGACTTCCGCATTATATGGGTCCATACAGAGCAGACAGGCTATGTCAGTCATTAGTGATCCTAGGTGCAACACCACGGCTGTTTTGAAAGGAGCGCAGGCAGACAAGAGCGTCAAGGACAAGCCGTGTTGAGCCATAAACGTGCCACGTGCCTCATTGATGGCTGTCCTATCGTCACATATGTCACAATCACACGGAACCTAACGGACTCTGTTCCGCGACGCTCACCAGCATCAACGACCGTCTTTAGGGCTGAGCCCACGTCTTCTCCTACTTCGACATGTACCGACTCCTCACCGAGCCCCAGAACAATAGGTCTTGGTACATACAGAAGCTTGAACGACGTCACCTGGCTGCCAGACGCCCGAAATAGCAAGTCCTTGCATGCCGGTCAGCACGTTTCCCTGAAGCCCTACCTGGATAAAGCAATTTCCTATTTCTCTTGATCTACCCTCATCACCGCGCATCCCCCACTTATAACGCGTACCCCGCTATGAGCGACAGCGACTCCGAAGGCGGCGAGATGGGCGGTGTTGAGGCGACCGTATGGCCGCATCCCGAGAACGTCACATTGTCGATGAATGCAGATCGACTAGTCAACATCGTAGACACCGATACGGATGGCGAGGTCCCAGAAGACATCCAGAAACTAGTTGACTGTCTTGACTGCGGAGCATCTGCCCATCAGTGGCTTTCGACATGGGTGCGTCCATGTACCACCGACCCGCGAGAAGTACTCATTTCCTCGATAGCAGGGTGGTTCAGGGCATTGCCACACGGCTCAAGCTCAGCATGTACAGGCTGCAAATAACGACGTGCCCCATCGCGAAGAAGATCGCGTCAGCGACAACGAGCGCGCCATATTGAACGAGCTATACCCCTCAGTCCTGCACGCCATACAGCTGCTTCAGCACTCTGTCTCGCGCCCCATGATCGCCACGCCAGAGATCATGACCATCTTCTACTCCGTCATACGCGTCGTCTTCAAGGATCATATACAATAGTGCGTTCCCTTTCAAAACACCGTCTTCCTTTATTGACCTTGAACGACCAGCTCCGGCGGCGGCGCCACATATGCAGTCGCGCGACCCCTCCAAGATCACCCTCCCCTCGATCCACAGAAATACCGTATGGCGGACATCATCGTCCTCTCACCGCATGCTGCTGCTGCATCCGCTATTCCCCGCTACCTCCGCAGCGCGCACGCCTACCAGGCGACCGACATGGCGGACGACGGCGAGGAGGGGCTCATGGGCCCGCCACGCACGGAGCCAGCGAAGACAACGGCTGCTACCATATCCGCGGCAGGCAGCACGACCGACGTCGACATGGAAGATGCAGCGGACCAAATTGACCGCGAGGCGCAACTCATTCGGACGGAGGGCGACAAGCCGCAGGGGCCTGCGGCCCTCGTCGTCGCTCAGCTCGGAGAACTTCCGTCCCTGCTGGCCAGCGCAGTATATCACCGTCAGTATCTAGGGCTCTCGGACCCTGTCATCGGCGTTGGCTTTTCGAAGATGAGAGGCAACGTCCGCGTCGTGATCGCCTGGCTGGACCACCAGAAGGAGGACGAGGTCGGCTTGGTACGTGTCCCTAACTTCGTCTCCCCTCTCGCTTATCCCACCCTTTCCTGCGCGCCGACTAACCATCCCCCAGCGCGGCATCCGCCTCGCCCCCCTCTCCTCCCAAAAATTCCCTGGCGCCGACTTTAACCTCACCGAACCCGCCGAAGTCGTCCGCCTCGCCCTATTCCTCATCCGCGCGCAGAGCATCACCCACACGACCACGCCCACCGACTTCGCCCGCCCCTGGCGCGCGGACACCTGGGCGCCGCACGCCGTGCACTCGACGAAGGGTAACATCGCGCAGTGGGTCGACGATGTGCAGAACTGCCCAGCGCCGAGGTGTGTTTTCTTTTTGATCGGTTTTTGATGGGGCTGGCGAAGGTGTGGGGCGCTGATGCTATGTTTTACAGCACCGTCGACTCGGAGGATCTCGCGTCGAACCTCGAGGAGGGATCGGAGGTCGCGTCGGTGGCGTAAGGTTTTAGGGCGTTTGGATGCGTCTGTGCAAATCGTTCGCGGATGATGAAGGGCTACAACGGCTATTCATTATGTACGTCGATACTTTGAGAAGGGATGGGGGATCTGTGTCCAGTAGTGTAGTCCATCATGTACTTTTTGTTGCTCGAGAGTCTAGGCATCATTTTCGGACAGCAAGCCATAGCTACATCTGAGGGCACAGTTGTGTATAGTCTTCCTCTCTTCTATACTTTTCTTCGCTCGCCAGCCGCGTTTTCATGAGCGGGATGTTTTGTGCGTCGAGGTCATGGCGTCTCAAAGCGTGATTGTCACAGTTCATTTTTGGAGCAGTCACGATTGTCTGCAGCAGACAACGTGCCGCCAATGTCGGTCCCGCGTCGACAACAACGGGAAACTATGCTGCGGGCAACGGGATCTTTGCGTTGCAGGCAATATAGCTGCGGGCAACGGCGTTCTCGCGGCGCAGGCAGACGGCCGGCAGAGCTGCAGGCCAGGGATAGAACAGCAGACAATAGTTCTATTTGAGTGCAAAGCGAAGGTCAGAACTCTCTAGCTAGGTATGCTACATAACAATGCGCTTAACACTTGATAGCTATGATACAGAGGCGTGTCGGATCAGGTCGCGATGTTGGTTATTGTACAAGGAAGTGTGGGTTCGGTTACGCGTCTAGAAACGCTCGGGGTAGCCTTCCGCGGTGAGTTTCTGCCAGGCGAGGCATGCAGCGTCATTATCTGCAGAAGCCATCGTGCTTCCCTCCGCACGAGACCATTCGGCACCATCAACTAATGTAGAGGGATGGTCAGCTACGCAAGCGGACGCAAGAAAAGGCATACTGACTCCGTACAATGGCTATCCAACGGGTAGCCCCTCCTACGCTAGTCTGTACGTGGTCGTAGGTAGGAGTCGACCAGCCGTAGGCTGCAACGCGGTTGTGAAGCCTGTTCTTCCAGTCTGTACGCTATGAGACGGGGGGAGAAGACGGCAAAAGTATGTGGAAACTCACGAGACATAGCGTATTTCTTCTCTGGCGGTGGTGTTGCAGGGCTCGGTAGGGATGCGGGGGACTCTGAGCTCGTTGGTGAGGACTGAGCATTGTTCCATACGTCCTTTATAGGGCGAAATGGCACTTGGGATCGGCGAGCTCCCATCTCGTTTTTATTCCTGGAGTGAAGCGGCTCCGTTCTTACGAAGGCGTGCTACTGCGAGAAACGGTGGTGGGGTTAATCTCGTTGATGTGATAGGCGCCCAGCTGTGTGGTCGGTATAGAGGATGATTGGCCCAAGGCCCGCTACCGAGAAGTACAACGCCAAAGTCAGGGAGCTCCGCGGCCAATGGACCTTTCGACGAGTACGGAGGCGCGGCGGCGCGACTGATTTTTTCCCGTTGTCTGCAAGCGAGCAAAAGAGGAGACGACCCCAGCACGCGCGAGCTCAGAGTCGTATTGAAACCTTCGACAAATCCAGAGAATATTGATGCTCGCGAGAGGCGCAGTAGCCCTCCGCTACAGCGGTGGCGGGGACGACGAGGGTAAGAGATGACGCCAGTCCCCTATACAGCGACTGTATACCCTGAAGTAACGCAGCCATCAGGATTGGCGGATGCGCCGATGTTGACTGCAGCAGCTGTAGTTGTCGGCTCGTTCACGGCTGTCGGCGAGTCGTTCACTGCTGATCCTAGTATAGGGCCACGTGGTTGTTTGTCAATGCGAACGGTTCATTCGAGGGAGAGCAGACAACAGCATAAGTCAGGCCGGAGAATGCTTTGATACTCAGAGCATGATCAAGACCAGATTGAGGCGGACGTCAAGTTCGCGGGCGCGGTCGTATGCCAAACCAATTTTTAAGTTAAAGCTTGGAGTGTACAGCTTTCGAAGAGCCGCGGAAGCCGAAATACCGTTGTTGCTTCAGTCATTTGCGTAACTGGTGGAACCGCTGGGGTGAAACTCGATTTTCGGTGCAGTGAGCCTTTGCAGACAGTGAAGGCAAGACGCAAGTTCGGAATGAACCGCCGGCAACTCATATGCCAAGCGAGCAGTTGATGCCCGGGCACGTTTTTCCTCGGTGATATCCGGAGAAGTTGAACAGTCGTCGGTCCGACTGTGCTTGTTCGTCTACAGCTCAGGACGTACCATGGGTCACCGAATCGAGTACGCGGGGTCAAACTTAGCATATTCTCGTCAGAAATGAGAATGCCGACTTACACACAGGCGTTGAACGTTTGAATGTGACGACGCGGAAATGCGATATTGTGGCCACGCCACCCTCGTAGATCGGGAGCCAGACGAAGGGTATGCGCAAATCCGAATACGTCGGAGGTACATTACACAGGTGGGTTCAGTCTCAATCGCCGCTCGTCTGTCTCCATCGTCGCCGCGATGACACGCTACTTCTTCCCCTTAGTCTGATCCTCCGTCTGTATCCAATTCTTTGGAATTCCCTTCTTCACGAGGTACTCCACGACAGTCTTGGCCTGCTTTCCTTGAACGAGCACCTCTAGCTGCTTATTGGGTCCCGGCGCCACTGTAAAAACATCGATTGGCTTATCCTCGGGCGCTGAAGCGGCAATCCCACTCACCCGACGTTGCGCTCGCGCAAATTTTCCTCAAATCCTCTGCCATCTCCTCGGAGTTCACCGCCATCTCGAATGGCTCAAATCCCGTGATAATCGTCGCCGCCTTTCTCCCCTGCCGTATCTTGTGCGCCACGTTCACCGGCTTGAGTGTGCCCTTCTTCCTCGTCACGCGCTCGCCGTTCGCGTGCTTGACTTCGTACCACGGCTGCATCTGCTTGATCAGGTCGCGGAGGATGTCTTCGCGCTTCGCGAACTCGGGTGCAGGTGGTGTCCCCTTCTTGTTCGGCGGGTACGCCGCAGCGACGAGAGACGATGCAGCGGGGACCTTGAGGCTGATATAGGCCCTTTCGTGCGGATTTATGGCTTCGGGGTGCGCTTCGAGCCAGTTGTTGAATATTCGTTTCAATTCTGGGAACGTATATTGCTCGCTTGTGCTGAAGGACGATTAGATAAAGAGCAGTGATGACGGGCATGGCATTTGACGGACCTCAATCCCCAGTCCACGAACAACGGCACCGTATGCATATGCGGCTTCCATAGCTCCGTCGCTTCGAGCATCGAGCCACGCGCCTCCTCCTTTGCGCTGAGCTCCTCTTTCCTCGCCTCCCTCTTCGCCTCCCGTTCCTCGACCTCACGCACAGTGGGGAATTGCCGGTGTGTTGTAACGTCCGGATGTGTAGTGTTCACGGATGTGACCATCACGTCGTTCTTCTGCTTCGGCGTGGCCTTGACCGTAAGTAAGCCCGCTTTCTCAGCGGCCTTGAGGAAGGCGGCCAGTGATTTATGTGACGAAGTCTTCAGCGATATCTCTTGTCGGAGAGCGGCGCTATCTAGATTTGCGGGGCTCGTGGCAGGAGGAAGAACGAGGTCCGGAAATGCAGGTCGGGATGGAAGAACGTGGCTGGCGTAGAAGGTGTTCGAGGGTACGGGAAAAGAGGAGGGTGGCGATGTAGCTATTGACTGCACGAGAGCAAGGTGGAGGAGTTGCGATACCTCGGCAGGAGTATACACCGGACCTTTGAGCGTTGGCGTCGCGTCGGGCTCCTTTGAAGAGCCATTCGCGTCGCCAACTCCCGACCCTTCGCCCGCTTGCGAATTTGCGGACTGATGGGATGCCTCTGCATGCGATGGGGCCTTCGCCCCGTCATCGCTATCTGCATCGGCCTGACCGTCCGCAGTAGGTGCTGTTAGCGGCGTGTCCTCTGGCGGCTCAGTCTTCGGACCCATCTCCCAAAGATGATCTTTCCAGGTGTGCGTGATCAGCACGGCCTTTCCCTTGTGATCTTCCTTGAGCTCATCCGACGAAAGAGCCATGTGGCCCACAGCAAGAGGCGGCGAGACCTTAGGCGAAGCGCCACCAATCAGACGACGCACAGCAACGAGCTGGCCTTTCTGCAGACCCGGAATATAGCTCGTAACGCCCGGTCGCATAAGATCTGCGCCGCCGATGAGGATCGAGATGACCTGGGACGGTGTCGTGACGAACGGCAGCAGCTCGGGTCGTTTCCATAAGGTGTAGACCGTCGGGATCAAGTCATCGCCAGCCTTCCCCAAGCTGAACCACAGAGGAGTGTCGTCGGCGTCGAGGTAGGCAACTCCCGGAGCGTCCATGTGGGTGGTGAATTTTATGGACTGAATGCCCTCGGGAACCAGCACGTCGCCATCCTCTGCGGAACAGCCGAACGTAGATATAACGCGCTGCTTGAGTTTGCGCCTATCGGAGCTGCGAAGCGCAGAAGAGGTCTTCAAGTGCCCGAGTGGTTTCTTGAACATGACGGTTGCAGACACGCGATGACGGCAGCGGTACTACGCCACAAACCCAACAATTGCCATCAAAATCAACTTCGCACGGCGTCGCGCACGGTAATCCATTTCCTCAAGTGCTTGCTTCAACGAGAAGAAGAGGAATGATGCACATACGTATTTCATTCGGAAGTACGGATATAAGGGAATGTTGTATGCCACACACGGTCGCGAATCCCGACGCTGCCACCCCGGCCAACCTACTATATCTCCATCACTAGATAGCATCCGCATTGCAGAAATATGTCTCCCCCAGGTCTACTACTTTTGACCTTTCTTGTGCGCCTCTCTCTTTTGCGCCTTCGTCAGCCCTTCCACGCGGATGAGTTCCCTCGGAAACCCGACTTTGACCAAGTATAGATCAATCGAAGGCGCTTGCAGCGCTCCCCGAACAATCACTTCCAAAGGCTTCTTCGGTCCGCTTGGAGGAGATACTGTGAGGATGCGTTATTGACCGGGCACCACTACCGAGCGGTAGAAGCTGCGCACCGAAGGCCGAGCTCGCGCAGACTTTCCTGAGGACGTTGGCGAGTTCTTCGGGATTGACAACCGTCCTGTACGATTCCAGGCCCGTAATCGTCGTAATCTTCATTCGAGGCTTCCGAAGTTGTACGACCTTGATGGGGGTGAGGGCATGCTTGGGCTGAAGTACGCAGTCGCCGTTCCTCGGCCGTATCTCGTACCAAGGCTCCATTTGCTGTACCAGCAAACGGAGCACGTCTTGCATACTGGCGGACTGTGGTATAGGCGCCGTGTTCTGCCGGGATATAGCGGCAACAAGAGGCGCGAGACTGGGATGTGTCAAGTCGATTGGCGACGCTCCGGAAGAAGCGACCGCATCTGGGTGTGCGCCGAGCCATTTGTTCAGTATGCCCTCTAGAGCGGTATACGAGTATTTTTCGTCTTCGCTGGAGAATGAATCAGACACGGTCGTATGGTCGGATAGAAGACAAGAACTAACCTCAAGCCCCACTCTTCAAAGAGCGACACAGTGTGGTGGTGCGGCATCCACACTTCTGTGAATCTGACGATGACATTTTCTTCGTCCTTCTCCGCGGCACGAGATGCTTCATATTCCCTCACGGTGAGGAATCGGTCGTGATTCCCGACATCAGGGTGGTTCGCGTTGACGGACATTACCGTCAGGTCGCTCTTCTGCTTCGGTCCTTGTTTTCGCAAGGTCAGTAGGCCAGTCTTCGCTGCGGTCGCGAGGAACTCGGCCAATGACTTATGCATGGAATTCTTCAGGGTTATCTGCTTGCGGAGCGCTGCACTGTCTGCATAGGTGTCCGTTGATGGCGAAAGTACGGATTCAGGAAACGCGGGCCGGGATGGCTGTACATGATTGGAGTAGAATTCGCCAGCGGGAAGGGGGAATTTGGATGGTGGGAGAGTGGCCAGAGACTGTAGAAGGGACAGATGGAGCAGTTGAGAAACCTCGGACGGCGTGTATGCTGGTTGATCGGGATCATCGCCCGTGACGAGGGCCGATAACCCTTCACCTTCAGGCTGATCGGATGGGACGGGAGGTAAGGTAGTACTCGCTTCGGCAGCGCCGTCCGTACCAACTTGTCCTTCCGTAGAGCCCACCGACACGCCTTCCGGCAGCGCAGTCTTCGGACCCATCTCCCACAGGCAGTCTTTCCAGGTATGCAATATCGCAATAGTATCTTTCTTCTGGGAAGCTGCCGCGGGCCCGTCCAAGGATTGCAACACGCGCCCGATAGCGTACGGGGAAGGTGGAGGGGCAGAAGAGCCAATCGTCGACTCTCGCAGAGCGACGAGCTGGTCTTTCTGCAATCCCGGCGCATGCTCCCTCAGAGATATTCTCTTCAAAACCGAATCGCCCTCGATGACTGTCATCATAGCACGGTGCAACGTCGACACGAATGGCAGTAGGTTCGGTCGCTTCCAAAGCGTGTAGACGGTAGGGATCAGCTCATCGGACTTGCCTAGGCTATACCACAGAGGAGTCCCGTCGGCATCGAGATATAAGACGCCAGGAGCATTGTTATGGCTGCGAAAGTTGGTAGACTGAATGTTGTCAGGAACGAGTAAGTCCACGTCCTCTGTCGAGCACGCGAAGGTCGAGGCTATACGTTGCCTGAGCTTGCGCTTGTCCGAGTTGCGCACGGCGGAGGAGGCTTTTAGTGTAAGCGGCTTTCTGAACATCATGGCTGAGGGCAGGCGCGAGTGACGGCAGCTGAACGCCACAAATGTACATCGGTGACTGCCGGTTGCAAGAGGGTTCAAGTTCGCACGGCTCATCGTTGATCTCCGTCGCTCACCACTCCGACGTACATGTACTTTCCTTCCCTGACATTCGAGGAAAGCAAGGAGAACTTTGAATGGCATAGGTATTCGAAGCAGGACGTCCATCTCGCAGGCCCAATTCTCGCAACAATCATGCCTCCAGGCCTATGCGGTTGAGCTCGGTGCGACACTGCGAGGAGGACTCAGGATCAGTCCGCCCTAGACGTGCTCAACAGAAAGCTTACGAAGAGCTGGTTTCGCGAGGGCAATAGTTGTACCACTCGAGACTACCCACTTCCCAGCTATCGCAATCTATGAGGACGCAGTCAATATATTGCGCCCGAGATTCCGCGTCGTTGCAGATGCAGTTGCTGAGACAGGATAGGTGAGCATCGTCTTCGAAGTGAATACGAGCATCTGACTCACACGTCTCCGCCGCAATTCTCCTTCCCAACCCAGCGGTTCATGAAGTCCCAACATACTGGACCGCAGTCAGCGGAAACGACGGTAAGGAAGGCGCTGGTGACGAGGGCGGCGAGGGTGTGCTTAAACTGCATATTTTCCGAGGGATGGATTGATCTGTGAGCCTGGAGAGGATGCGCAACTTCCCGTCGCTTTTATACTCGAGCCATTTCTCACGAAGATGGCAACAGACGAAGTGAAGTGAATGACCGTATGCGCCCGCGCGTCTGAGGACTGGCGCAGAAACTGGCGGTATGCAGCTCTGGCGTGCGACTCTACGCTCGTACTGTGACATCCTCGACTGCTACTCACAAGGAATGCGGCAGGCCATGTGGCGGGGAAGCCGACAATCCATTCACTGCAGTGCAATTTCTCGCTCTCGTCCGAACCCCGATCAAGTTCCTCGGCGATTCAAAATTCTCATAAATTGAATAACGGAAGATTGCGAGAACCCAAGCCCTCTTTCATTCATCCGACGCAAACCACAAGAACACCCGCAACAACCGGACCACGGTGAGTACACAGTACACATGTCGAGCTAGTCCCGCGCCTTCCCGTCTGCCCGTAGCTTCATATCGACGCAGCGAGTGTATGAATCTGACCGCGTGGTGCCATATACAGTTCCCTGCAGTGACGCCACGCTACCGCGCAACTCGCATTTTCCCTTGCACCTTCTTTGGGCCTGCGGTAACCACTGCGAGAGTCTCTACATTATAAGGCAGCACAGTCATCTGATATATTACACAGGCTGAATAACCCTCTCGACAGAGTTGTTCAAGGTCAAATGAATCATCGTTCCGTACCGAGGTTCGATATCGAACTGTGACCGGGCGCTTCCGTCACATCACGTGAGTGCTCCGCCGGCGCCGGCAATCCATAGGGTCCGGCGTTCAAAGCTTGGTCTTGACGTTCACTCCGACACTGCTCGACGTTGACTGCGTCTCTACTGTCGATATCCCCCTTGGCAGACACTCGCAGCCCTCGACGTCCGTGTACACCGGCTTTGAGCTGACGACGCGCTCCGCTCCGCTTTCTACGCCTTTCAGCGTTGGCCGACTGCTCAACTCACCAAGGTCTCCGTTTGAGTCGCAAGCCGTCTTTCATGCTCTGTAGCCGTCCAACGCTCTGCCATAGGTATGCTCAGGATACTTGTTTAAAAGCCCTCGAAATCACAGGACACTGCTAAGCAGGCATGTGACCTTTACTAGGCTTCGTCAGTCTACGAAAGGTTGTGCGTGCCACAAATGGGACCAGCGCCTATGCGCAGGCGAAGCACGCCCGTGCGTCTACGGAAATCTTTCCGTCGATGCTGCGCGTGCTCTGACATCCCCTACACAACCCTGAAGCATTCGTCGTCCCGCACAAGTGCAGACGTTCCCGTCAATTAAGTGCAGTTTCCCTCTCCGCCGACGTGATTCCCTATAGTCCACTCCTCAGACGCCCCCTCGCGCCAATCTCTTGGATCTCAAACACTGATCAATGCCCTACAGTCGCTCTGGACGAGGGACTGAACCTTTAGACTAACGATCAGCAGCTACGCGCGGCGCACAGCGTCACGCGTTCGAGCAGGCGCCAGCGAACGATATTGAAGGGAGCCTGAAGGTGATCGAGGTAGAAGGAGGCCCTCTCGCCCATCGGTGTTACTGCCGAGCGTCGCCGCTGCGGACGACGTTATCAGTACTTCGGGGCTCTGTTTAGTTGACGGTGAGTCCACTGATGATGCTTCCCTCGCTATGGCATCCGTCTGACCTACCTATGTAGCGACCGGGAGATTCGATTGCCATCTAGTCTAGAGAACCCGGCGAGGCGCTGAACTCCACATCCCGCCAACTGCCACGACAACGTGTTGTATCATTTTTGTCGCGCTAAACATCACACTGAAGGTCTTCCGAAACACATCGTCCTCTGAAGTCTTTCGAGGGATTGATATCCCACCCAAAAATGGATGGAACTACCACGTCTACTGCTTACTCGTGGCTCGTCGCTGCGGCATTCGAAAAAACTTCGGCCGCCCGCTGCATCTATCTCCCGACGCGACGGCCCTTGGGATCGAGGGCTCAGCTGCTAAGTGTGATGCCTCAACTTGAACCGTGACTCCTATGTCACATTTTGCAACGTGCTTTCCCGCCGGCATATCCCGATGTCGTGCCGATCCGCCAGCTTTCGGCTTCAGCGCTTGTTTCCGACGCCCACTCCGACGTTGTACTGCTCGAGGGCGGCCGCTGTTCCACTGCTGTTATCCCCCTTCATCGACAATAGCAGTCGCCGTGTACATAGGGATTTACCTCGACGAAACACACAACGTTCTCTATGTCTTTCGTCGCCGTCGTCCGAGCAGTCAAGTCAGCCCTTCGAGCTCGCCGAGGCGTGGTTTCCTAGTCGACATCTACTCGCTGTGAACTCCCGCCATACTCCCTGGAAACGAGTGTCTGTGGAACGACCAGAAACGGATTTTTGCAGCTGCATCTACGCGCGCGCCACAAATAATCTGATCCTTGTCGACTGCCTTCCCAATTAGAGTCGACGCGTATCTGCTAATGGTCTGCTTCGAACCATCCCCCGACTTTCACTCTCCTGTAAATGCCTGCAATTCTGTTGGCTAAGCGCCCTCAGCCTCTGCTAAGCGCCGACGTCTACGCGATATCGAGCAGACGGCTATCTACACAGTCACTGTAAATACTACCTCAAGCTGAATGCACGTCGAGATATGTCTACCCAAGTGGCTGTGTATCGAGAATCGTCCGGCGCTCGTCCCGACGGGAGGACGTAAATGACCGGGATAGGAAGTCTCCAGGTGGCCGAAATAGGACCTACCAGTGAACACGGAACTGCAAGCGCCAAGCGATACTTCCTGAAACCGTTGTCGCTGCATTACAACGCGCAAGATACTTTGGTACGTCCGACGATGTCGTCTGCGCTGTCGATCGGTCGCGCCAAGCAACTTCTAGCTTGCCTACTAATCGTCGTCGAACCATTGCAATTTAATTCAGACGGCAGAGTCGCTGGATTCCTTCCCCCGTCAGGTTGCCACAAAACACGCTTCCGGTATTCCTCGCGTGTCTCCACACTTGATTGCAGGAAGCCGCACAAGAGATGGGCGATAACGCGTCGTCCCTCATGTTCTCCCAGGGGACCGTCAACACAGCGCAAAACTACCGCGCCTACTGCTCGCATCCGGTCCGTTAGGCGACGCCCGACACTATCTCTTGACACGATCTCCCGACGGGATGGCTCCGCCAGCGGCAAGTCCGGTCACTCAGCCTAAGGCCGTGCGATTGTGTGCAATGTCGGGGCCGACGCAGTGCAGTATCGGGTGCGTCATGCTTCAGTCGTCCAGGTTTGATGATGAGGTACATTGTGCTGTTTGGGGTTGCAGATCATACTGCTCGCGTGGCTTGGGTCTATCAGAGCAATGAAGCATGTAAGTGACCGTGGCCCTGATCCTCAGCAATACGCGCCGCAATCCTTTCATTCACTGGGTACTCTGGCGCGCAACTAATACAGTTCCTCTCTGGCAGACATACGCCAAACATCAGGACGACCCCCTCCGCATAGCGCCTACCTCTGCAAGGATGTAGGGCCCTCATCGCTACTGATTTCAAGCTCGAGTGCAGATCACTCTGGGCTCGACTGTTGCCTCGACTGCAGGATTCTGTCAGTATTTTCTGCGCCACTCCACGCTCGCCTGCAGCGGTGCAGGAGCTGAGATGTGGCTGCTGCTCAACGCACTATAAAGGCGGAGTATCACGATACTTCCTCAACATCGAGTTCAGCGAGTCCTACATCCACTCCGACAGACGCCAAGCAAGCTGCCCAAGCAGGAATCACATCTGACCCAAGGAGTACCCATGGAGCGTATGTATCTGATGTCGTATCGTCAGAAGAATGCTCAAAATTCCTTTGCAGACTGGAGGACTAAGCTGCACAACAAGGTTCGCGGCAATGGGTGGCAACCGCCCGTTTACGACTTCAAGGCGTTTGGGCCTTCCCATGCCCCTATGTGGTTATGCATCGTACGGCGTACGTATCCCAGTATCATTGATTCTCATGTCGCTCATATTGTGCAGTCCAGGGTGCCGAATACGGCCGCGGTGACGCGCCGACAAAGGGGGCTGCTGCCGAGATAGCAGCCCAGCGAGCCTTCCAGGAGCTCTTGCACATGGGATTGTGATTTCTTTTCCCCCATTCGCATCTCTTCATGTATCGCTATAACCACTCATTACCCTGTAGCATAGTTTCAGGGACCGTTCACCGCTTTTGTGTATATTAGCTTACGTGCTAAGCGTGTATGATTTTGTACAATATTGCTCTGACATCCGCTTCTGCACGGTAGATGCTTCTCTATATGCCTACTTCGGTATAGACGTGAACAATACATCGTTTCATTGTCCATTATCGCGTCCAACGACTTGATGCTGGCAAAGTCACATTCACAGGTCACACCCTTCTTGCTCAACCTTTTGAACACAGGAACTCTCTTGTCTTCGACCGTCACCGTCAAACTTCGTGCAAGATCACCTTGCAAGAAGGACGCTGTGGAACGGAGAAGATACTCAACCCATTACACCAGGGTTCGAACCATTGACCTAATCAAGCCTGGACCCGCCGAACCGCGAAATTTCAATTTTGAACCTGACTGTTCCCCTCGTCTTTTGTGAGTCAAAATAGTTATGCTCCGCCTGGTGACTCGATCGATAAGAGTACAGGCGCGATGTCCGCCGCGTCGTCCACTCTTCCTTCGAACGCTCATCATGGACGCCGTCACGAAATCCCTCGCCTCGCTGAGCATTCAGCCGCGCGCGGTCGAGCACGCAGCCGCTGACACCCCCGACGCCTGGAGGGAGGCGGTCAAGGGCGCGGGAGCCGCCCCAGAATCCTTTGAATTGATCAAGGTCCTCGTCTACAAGCCAAAGACAGCAAAAAGCGCGACCCCCGTTCCCGCAGTAGTCATCGCACGCGAGTCGACCGAGACGCAGACGTCGGCGATCGGCAAGAAGTTTGGCCTCAAGGACCTCCGCGTCGCGAACGATGACCTGATGCGTGAATTCCTGACGGTGGACAGGACAGCAGGTGTGTGGCGCGCGCAGCCGAGCCCCCCTTCGCGCTAACACCCCGCAGTGTCCCCCCTCGCCCTCAACTCCACCACCTACCCCAAGGTCTTCACCATCGTCGACGCGTCGATCGAATCTTCCCCCGGTCCCTTCGCCGTCCGCGCCCTGTCCTCCAGCTCCACCGTCTTGCTGTCCGGGAAGGAGCTCTTTGCATACCTCAAGAGCCTAGAAACCGCAGAGCAGAAGCTCAATGTCGTCGACTTTGCCGAGCTCAACTCCGGCGCCCCAGTCGTTCCCCCAGCCGGCCCGGCCAAGGCCAAGGAGGATGCGAAGATCGAGGGTGCCGTCCAAATCGCTATTGGCGTGAAGAAGGAGGTGGACTTTGCTGCCTGGTATACCAACGTGCGTCTCGCCATGTCGAACCTATCCCCATCACTAATCTCGCCACCAGGTCCTGCTCAAAGCGGACATGCTCGACTACTACAGCGTCAGCGGCTGCTACATCTTGAAGCCGTGGTCGTACAGCATCTGGGAGGAGATACAAGGTGAGCTACGTCTCCTTCCCCTTACCAATTGTGGCTGACAGGGCTGTAGACTGGTTTAACAAGGAGATTAAGAAGCTCGGCGTCCAGAACTCTTACTTCCCCATGTTCGTCTCTCAGAGCGTCCTTGAGCGCGAGAAGGACCACGTCGAGGGCTTCTCCCCGGAAGTCGCATGGGTCACAAGAGCGTACGTTGCACATCCCTTCGACTTTCGACTCGCGTTGACGACCTTCCAGAGGACAGTCTGACCTCCAGGAGCCCATCGCTATCCGCCCCACCTCCGAAACGGCCATGTATCCCTGTGCGTACTGCTATGACCTTCGTGACGCTCGCCTCGCTCACCCGTGCTGCGCTAGACTACTCGAAGTGGATTCAGAGCCACCGAGACCTGCCCCTCAAACTCAATCAGTGGAACTCCGTCGTCCGCTGGGAGTTCAAGAACCCGCAGCCCTTCCTTCGCACACGAGAGTTCCTCTGGCAAGAGGGCCACACCGCCTTCCTCACTAAACCTGAGGCCGACGCCGAGGTCCGCCAGATCCTCGACCTCTACCGCCAAATTTATGAGGACCTCCTCGCTGTGCCCGTCATCCCTGGCATTAAGTCAGAGAAGGAGAAGTTCGCCGGCGGCTTGTACACAACGACCATCGAGGGCTTCATCCCCACCTCAGGACGCGGCATCCAGGCTGCGACTTCTCACTGCCTCGGGCAGAACTTCTCGCGACCGGAAATGTTCAACATCTCCGTCGAGGACCCGAGCAAACCGAATGAGAAGCTGTACGTGTGGCAGAACTCTTGGGGCTTGAGTACGCGGACAATCGGTGTTATGGTCATGGTGCACGGTGACAACCAGGGCTTGGTGCTCCCGCCGAGGGTGGCGAGCATCCAGGCGGTCATCGTGCCGTGTGGTATTAAGGCGGGTGCGTCGGACGAGGAGCGGAAGAGCATCAACGACAAGTGCGAGGCTATCGCTCAGGAGCTGCGTGACGGGGGTGTTCGCGCGAAGGCCGACTTGCGTGATATCTACACTCCGGGCTACAAGTTCAACGACTGGGAGCAGAAGGTATGGCAAAATGTCTTGTAGAGATCTACACGGGCTGACGTGTCGCTCCCTAGGGTGTTCCCCTTCGCCTCGAGATCGGCCCCAAGGACCTCGAGAAGAAGTCCACGCTCACTGTCCGCCGCGATACTGGTGCGAAGGCCCCGCTGCCCCTCGAGAACATTGCCGCCGGCGTCTCCTCCCTCCTCGAGACTATCCAGCGCGAGATGTTCACGAAGGCGCGCGACACCTACTACGAGCGCATAAAGGAGGTGACGAAGTGGGAGGACATCGTGCCGACGCTCGACGCGAAGTGCGTCGCGGTCATCCCGTGGTGCGAGGTCGAGGCATGCGAGGATGATATCAAGGACCGGAGCGCGAAGGAGTGAGTAGGGTTTGAGTGGCATGAGGATCATAGAACTGACCTCTTTCCAGGTCTGCCCCCACCGACGAGCGCGCGCCGTCAGCTGGTGCGAAGTCGCTAGCGATTCCGTTTGACCAATCGCGCTGGTCGCCCATCGAGCCGGGCAAGACGAAGTGCCCGGCATGCGGCAAGGACGCGAAGCGGTGGACGATGTTCGGCCGGTCCTACTAGACATTGTCGTTTGGGACTTGTCGACGTGATGGGTGTCCGCGCCAGGTGCGGGCTGTTGTGATGTCGGTGTTGGTCGCAGTGTTGTCGAGTTGCTAATCGCGTATGTGCTCTGACGTTGTATGTTTCTTAGTACGCTACTGGGTCTTGCAGTCAATCGAAAAGGGCAGCCTTGAGGCTGCCCAATCCACTCTCACTCAGGCTTCAGTCAGCTGCTCCTCACCTGCAATGGTCTCTTATCACCCAGAACTCCGCGGGTACCCGTCTTTCCAGTCCGGCTCTTAAGATAACTTCAAGTGCCTTGACCTCTTTCCGAGCCTTTTCCTTCGAGCTATTCTCCGGACCCGCCGCTCCTGGAGTTGTTATTGACGGATCACAGCCTCAATAACCAGGCACCGAGGCTTCTTTGCGCCACGCGTTCACAACTTTCGCGGACCTGTCTCTCAGTCCGACTGCATGCGCATGCTCTCATGGGAAGGTATGTTTGTCGATCACCAGACGATGCAACCGACTCACGAGGTTCGAAGAACAGGTTGATTCTCCGGTAATTCCTCGACATGGCGACGGGTCTGGCTCGACCGTCAGCAGCGTACGACGGCCTCCGGTACATCGCGTCCCTGGAGATGGCCAGGCGCTTGCGGTACTCGTGGTCCCAAGTATAAAGCCAGCTGAGCTCAACGCATGGCACGCTGTTCGCTCTTCGTATCATCGTCCCGTGGCGCAACATGGCGATACGCACCTTCGCTTTCGCATCCCTCCTCTTGCTGTGGTCCGGCCTGGTCGCCGGGCTGACCTCCACCTTGCAGCAGGTCACCAACTTCGGGACGAATCCTACGAATGTGGGCATGTATGTTTACAAGCCGACGACCGTGTCGTCCTCGCCTGCGCTCATCGTCGCGATTCACTACTGCACTGGCACGGCGCAGGCGTACTTCAACGGGTCGCCGTACGCGCAGCTGGCGGATCAGTACGGGTTCATTGTGATCTATCCGAGCTCGCCGAACTCGGGAACGTGCTGGGATGTCAGTTCGAAGAAGTCGCTGACGCACGATGGGGGAGGCGATAGCACCGGCATCGCGAGCATGGTCGCGTACGCGAAGACGCAGTACGGAGTGAACCCAGACCAGGTCTTCGTTACTGGATCTTCGTCTGGAGGTAAGTATTTCTGGCAACAGTCAGACTATTTTGGCTGATACCCAACAATCAGGCATGATGACGAATGTCCTTGCTGCCACCTACCCGGACGTCTTCAAGGCTGGTATCGTATACTCCGGCGTTGGCGCAGGCTGTTTCGTCTCCGCATCCGGTGGCGTCGACGCCTGGAACTCGACATGCTCGTCTGGTCAATCCACCGCTTCTGCGGCCCAATGGGCAGCTGTCGTTCACGACATGTACCCCGGCTACACCGGCGCCTACCCGCGCATGCAAGAGTACCACGGCACTGCTGACAGTACGCTCAACTACGCCAACCTCGCTGAGGAGGTCAAGCAGTGGGCAGGCGTGCACGGTTACGACGCGTCCGCGCCAACGCAAGTGCTGCAGAACACGCCGCTTTCCGGTTACACAAAGTCTATTTACGGGCCAAATCTCCAAGGCATATCAGCTGCGGGTGTGGGGCATACGGTGCCGATTCAGGGAACGGAGGATCTCAAGTGGTTCGGGATCATTGGGGGTTCCGGGACGACGGCACCGTCGGGCCCTACGACGACTGCTCCCGGATCTACGACGACGGCACCTGCATCGACTACCTCTTCGGCTGCCGGTGCTACACAGACAAGATGGGGACAGTGCGGTGGTTCGTCGTCTGCCCTTTGTTCGCGCAAAAGTATCTCAGCTCACGTCGACGCATAGGTACTGGGTACAATGGTCCCACCACCTGTGCATCTGGGTTGACTTGCGTCGCTGTCTCGCCTCCGTACTACTATCAGGTCAGCGTTCTGCGGTCTTGCTTTTTCTACAATCATCTGATGATCCCATAGTGTCAGTGAATGGGAAATAAAGGATAAAGGGAATCATCGGGGTTATGGGCTCGGTCAGGGCGCGCTGCTTAGCCCTGTTGCGCGGGCGCCGACGGCGTAACTTGTATCGCTCTTGAGATGCTTTTGGACTCTGCAATCGAATGGAAAGTGCATCACCGAAAACAGTCTCATCTGGCAGGCTGACAAGTGCCTTCGGGGAGCCGTCTTCCCTCCTCCGATTTGGCAATGCCTCATTTGCGATGTGAGTGTCTTGAGTCGGTACCGAGCCTTTCCCTTTGAACGCCGACTATGGGTCCTCCTGCTTAACTATCTGCTATAGACGGATCACGACTTCAGTACCCAGGAACCGAGACTCCTCGACACAAGACGTCGTGTATGACCCGCGAAGCTTGAAATGCAGTTCTATTTCGCCGGCAATCCTTCGACAGCCATACGATGGCGACGGAAGGCGGCCCATCCGCCTGGAGCACGCAACCTTCGCCAGTACACCGCGTCCCGGATATCATCAGGTGAGGTATCTTTGCCCTCGTATAAAGTCGGCTACTGACAACGCAGACCGACGTAGTTCTTCGTGGACACTGAACTCCCTTCCCAACGCACGATGACAGTCCGAGCCTCCGCTTTCTTCCTGCTCCTCTTGTGGCTGGACCTCATCGCCGGACAGACCTCGACCCTGCAGCAGGTCACTGATTTTGGAGACAACCCGACGAACGCTGGCATGTACGTCTACCGTCCAACGAATGTAGCGTCATCTCCAGCCCTTATCGTCGCGGTCCACTACTGTGGGGGCACGGCACAGGCGTACTACACTGGCTCTCCGTACGCGCAGTTTGCGGACCAGTACGGCTTCATCGTGATCTATCCGAACTCGCCGAACTCGGGCAGCTGCTGGGACGTCAGCTCGAAGCAGTCGCTCACGCGTGATGGAGGCGGCGATAGCACCGCCATAGCCAACATGGTCGCGTACGCGAAGACCCAGTACGGCGTGGATCCAGACAGAATTTATGTGACCGGGACGTCCTCTGGAGGTCAGTACCTTTCCTATGAGCTACCGAGGCGCGGGGTTGACCCATCGTGAAAAGGCATGATGACCAACGTCCTTGCCGCCACCTATCCCGACGTCTTCCAAGCAGGGATCGTGTACTCTGGCGTGGGCGCAGGTTGCTTCGTGTCCGCGTCCGGCGGCGTTGACGCCTGGAACTCGACTTGCTCTACAGGCCAGTCCACCGCCTCCGCCGCTCAGTGGGCTGCTGTCGTCCACGACATGTACCCTGGCTACACCGGTGCCTACCCGCGCATGCAGGAGTACCATGGTACCGACGATACCCTGCTCGACTACAAAAACCTCGCCGAGGAGGTCAAGCAGTGGGCGGGCGTCCACGGATACGATGCGTCCGCGCCGACGCAGGTTCTACAGAACACGCCGGTGTCGGGGTACACGAAGTCGATCTACGGGCCGAATCTGGAGGGAATCTCGGCGGCGGGGGTCGGGCATGTAGTCCCTATCCAGGGTACGGAGGATCTGAAGTGGTTTGGCATCGTTGGGGGTGCGGGTACTACGTCGACCTCCGGCCCTACGACGACTGCTCCTGGGTCGACGACGACGGCGCCGGCCTCGACCACATCATCGGCTGCTGGCGCAACCCAGACACGCTGGGGCCAGTGCGGAGGTGCGCTTTTCTCTTCTCGATATGCAGAGGGAAACGCTGATCGGGATGCGGTGCGTAGGTACTGGCTACAACGGTCCTACCACTTGCGCTTCTGAATTGACTTGTGTTGCTGTCTCGCCGCCGTACTATTATCAGGTAAGCAGGATCGGACTAGGAAAGCGTCTGACTTTCGTCTGACTGTCTTACAGTGTCAGTAAGGGTTTCAAGGTCTTCTAGGGGTTTGGGAGAACGGTTGAACGGGTTGCGCTAAGTGGTTGCTCTCGTTTGGCACTGTTTCATGTGTATGCCTACCTCCAAATATGATTGTCGTATCCCAACGGAAGCACGGAAAAGCGGGAGAGCGCATGCTATCACACACCGGGAGCTCTCTTGGTCGAACGCGAAGATAACTCGCTTCAGTCCACAGGAGATAATGAGTGCAATCATCTCCATCAGTCCCACACTCGAAAGACGATTCAGAATATAGTGATTACGGATGCGGATAGACTGTCGACGAGGCTATGATACAGTGCTGGTATAAATAAGGGTGACGCTCAAAACTAATGCGTGAGGGATAGCGTGCTGGAAGTAGCAGTGGAAGAGTCCGGGACGCGACGCAGTCTAACCTCTTTGATGTACATCCTCCGGAGGTGGCTCGGCCCTTCAGGCGTAGGTGGTCCGAACCCTTCAAGCTTACACGGGGCTGTGGGGGCTGCGGACAAGGCCGACCTTCGCCTCGTCCAAGGCTACGTAGCGAGATTCCTTGGCGCGGCGCTCGTCCGTGAGCTGGTCGACGTAGTTGTCGACGATGATCAGACCATCTATCAAGTAAGTCAGCAACATGTCCTTCCCTTGACAAGCACGATTGCACCCACAAAGCTCGAGGATCCAGGCGATGACCCACACAACGGGAACACTCCAGCGCGCCGCACTATACGCCGCCTTGCAAAGATTCTGCTCGTCCACGTCCGAGTTCTTGTTCGTAGACTCCCAGTCCTGGAAGCTGTCGATGCACTTGTCGATCCATTCCTGCTTGCTGTCGTGGAAGAACTGGACGAGGCTCCAGATGCCGGTGCCCACGCTCACGATGAAGTGCAGCGCGAGCATGAAGAGGAATATGCGCACGAGCCCACGGAGGCGGAAGACGCAGCCGATCAGCCTGAGAGGCGATCAGTCGGATGGATGTGTGGTGGAGGGGATGAGCATACCCGAAGAGGCATATGAGTGTCAGGAGCGTATATATGGCTGCGCCGACTTTGAGTTCGGTGGAATCTACTCTTGCCGCGTAGTTGGATTCTGACAGAAGGCGATGAGCGACATTCACGTTAGAGATGGACACGCACTCACCCTTGTGAGCGAGCGTGTACCAAGATACACCCGCGATGAGACCACCACCGCAAACGCCAAAGAGGGTCATGACCTTGCATTCCCGATCAATACAGCTGACGGGAAAGAGAAGACTACAACTCACAAAGACGCCAAGGCGGACCGGAAGGCAGCAGCAAAACTTGCGCGAACGAACACCGTAAACCATGGTTGCAGATTAGGAATGAGTATCAAAGTCGTGAGGAGTTTCGAAAGCTGGAGAGGGCCGACGAAAGCAGATGAAGACCTTGTATGTGAACCGGACAGAACCTGAGCGCCGAGCGGGGGTGCTGGGCGCTGTGAGTGGGCGAAAGAGGGCACCGCGAACGCGCTATATAAGCGCCGCGGGGCATGGAGGAGCGGCGGTGCCGGCGAGGCGATCAAGAAGCTGCGGCAGTGGTGCTGATGTCGTGTAAGTGATATCAAAAAGGCGGCGCGGGGCACGACAATGCACGGGCGCTTGTTACAGGCGCGACAGCGCCGCCTCGGAGTAGGACCCCGGATAATGGGCGACGAGGTTAGTTCCGGAATTCCTCAAAACAGCGGCGTTCAAGTCCGACATTTTTTGGCCAAAAGGGCGGCCAAAGTCCGACTTTTTAACCAACCTCGTCGGCCGCCGAAATTTTTTATTTCCCGATTAGGGAAATCAGTTATTTGTTTTGTCACGTGAGCAAATATTCAGCATTTCCTGCGACTTTCTGTGCCTCTCCCGAGGGCCTGTTTTGAACGGGAAACCACGCCATTCGACGTATCTCGCTGTTCGCGCGTACCCAGTGCACCATGTAGGCATTTTCGTGCTGTTTTGTCTGATACCTAACTCAGGCAGGGTACCAAAAGTCCGACTTCCAAAGTAAGCTGACGCCCTCAACCTACCCATTTCTCCGACTTTCTCAGAGACATTTGGAGCGTTTGAGGCCCCAAAAAATCCGACATCGCGAACTACCCCTCCCCCCAATTATCCGGGGTCCTCTCGGAGTTCAATCAGCTCCTGTCCATACGGTCACATTGCACCGCCTCAGCTCGTCAACAATGTCTCCTTGGGCAAGCTGCAATATTCTTCGAGATAGACGAGGGTTTCTGGGCACGCTATGCAAGGTCCCCCATGAGTTGCAGATAGCTTCGTCTTGGCATGGTTTGAGTGCTTCCCTTCTGCCTTCAGAAGGGATCGTCAAACAATCGATGATGGCAGGCGCGTACCCATCTCCGGAATAGCGCCCGAGCAGAAACGCTATGCAGGACTAGCTGTGACGGCGCATTCGATCGGTAGAATCACCACGAGATCGTCCCCCATCCTGATCCTGGATATGGCTATGCTTACGCGGGGAAGGACGCAAAAGCCACTGTGTACTGTGTGTCTGACCAAAAGGGTCCATCGTCGCCGACTCTGGTTGAGATTGGCATATGTGAACGTATCTCGTTGAGGTAGAGGGCTGCTGTGTAATGCTTATCGCTTGAATAGCTTTTCGAGCATTTCAAAGTGCGGGAGGGAAAGACCCAGTGTTTGTTCGGTCGTGGGAATGCAAAATTCCATCTCAATGGCGACCACGTGGGTGTCACGTTCTGCTTGTTGAACTTTGACGCACCGTGACTGTGGACAACCTCTACGTGCCCGTGCATCGATTGCTTTATCGCACTATGGTCGTGTTGATTGCTTCATGAAATTCTGTATGTGTGATGAGTAGTCGTGTGGTATATATACAGTGTGTCAAAGTCAGCGTTCGATCCCACCAGTCCGTGCCTTTAAACCTCCCGATCTGGGACGTGGCGATGCCCATTGTCCGCGTTCTTCCCCTCTTCCACCTCTCGTGCCTCTTTCTCGGTAGTTCGGCTAGTGCGTTGTTCATTCGCGCTGGTGCGCTCATCACCCGCGCGCGCTGTATACGGCTGTCGCGGTAACAGCGCCACAAGCCCAGCCATGCCCGCAAATGCGATGGCCACGCGCAAGACCAGCTGGATACTGTCGGAGAACTTAGTGCGCACTAACTCGCGCGCTGTGTCGCTGAGGAGGCCGGGTTCGTTGACGAGGTCAGCGTTGCTGAGGATACGGGAGAGCGTGTCCTGAGACTGAGGGGAGGACAAGGGCGCGCGAAAGGCGGGGGTTGCAGCGCGGCAGGAGAGAATGAGCAGACACAGTTAGCTCGAGGTACGAACGGAGATGGATGCAAGCGACGTACAATGATGTCCTCCGATATGCCTGCGAAGGCCCGCGACAGATGTGCACGGTTTATAGCACCGGCAGCTGCGAGCCCCGCAGTGCTGCCAATGTTTTGGAACAGCACGGCGACGGAGCTCGACATGGCGATGTCTGGGCGCAGCGTATATAAGTTCCTCGTCCACCTCTACGCCTTGCATATATCACTTGCCATCCGGACGCACACACGCCTGCGCGTCGAGAAACGACGATTGGATCGTGAAGCCGCAGCCGGCGCCGTACACCATGAGGACAATGATCTCTGCGGCGACGTGGCGTCCGGGCGCAAAGACGAAGCCGATGAGGAAGGCTCCGAGGAGGTGGACGAGCACGCCGATCAAGAGCATCGTACGTGTTGGCCGCCAGCGAAAGCGGCTTGCGACCTTCATCGCTGGTCCGAAAATAAGACTGGCAGACGTGAATGTGCCCAGCAGTGGGATTAGTAGGACGCCGGCGATGACGGCGGTTCTGTGGTCGACGACCTGGGACCACATTGGACTGTGAGAATGAGCCGCATCAGCTTCAACAGACGGATGTATAGTGGGGGGAACCAGCGCACATATAATACAGATACGTGATGAAGGTCATGCCGTAGAAGAACAGTGTCATCCAGGTCGCGACAAGCCCCCCATTCTTCATGAGGCGTAACGGGATGATAGGCTCCTTCGCAACGTAGAACTCGCCCACAAAGTACAGCGCGAGGCTGATCGCGGACACGACGAACAGGGCGATCGTGACTGGAGCGTTCCAGGCCCAGTAGCTTCCCGCGAGACTCTGCGGGACGGTACGTAAGTAAAGGGGAAGGCGTGCAGGGGTGGGTGAGCAACTTGACACGTACCACGGGAAGCACGAAGCACGCTATGCTCGCGACCATGAAGAGCGCGCCGAGAACGTCGAGGCACTTCATCTCGGTGCGATATCCGGCGTGGGCTCGGCGAGGGAGGCGGAGGAAGACGCCGATGGCGAGGATGGTTATGCTGACCAAGGGTATGTTAATCCAGAAGCACCATCGCCAGGTCGTCTGGCTGGAAAAGACTGGAGACGCTCGTCAGCGGTAGAGTTGTGGCTTTTACGAGCATTCTGTACCTCCGCCCAATATGGGGCCCAGGACGTTGGAAAAGGCGAAGCCTAGGGAAAGAAGTCCGCGATACTTGGGCCCTTCCTCTGTTACACGACTCAGTGTCGTGCGCGGTAGTGAATAAGACCGACTCTTGCTCACCTAGAGAGAAGAGGTCGGCGACAACGATGTACGCCATATTGATGAGGCCTCCGGCGCCTATACCGGAGACGGCGCGAGCTGCGATGAAGAAAATCATGCTCGGACTGCAGCGGAGGTAAGTATTAAAGGCAGATCAAGTCAATGGTCTCACGTACGCCCAGCCGCATCCTATACTGCCAATGAGGAAGATTGATAGGCCAAAAAGGAGGACGACTGTGAAGGGGTAAGCGAAGAAGTTGTTGCGGAAAGGATCAACGTACGTCGGCGACCAAAGATGTCGGACAGCTTGCCTAAGTAAGGAAATAAGCGCCATTACTAGTGTTCTAGTATATGCAAAGAAATCAGCACCGTACCGTATATCGGCTGTACTGCATTGATTGTGACGAGGTACGCGACAGGTACCCAAGAATACAGTTCGTACGAGTTGAAGTCAGACGTAATGTTGACTGCCGCAGTAGCCACCTCCACAAGACAGATCAGATCAAACGGAATTTCAGGGATAACTCAGCCCACTCACTATTGTCTCGTCCAAAGCAGACACGAAGATGGCCAATATGAGGCCAATGAAGATCAAGATGACAGATTTTCGGCCAAGGATCGGCGGCTCGCAGGCTTGAGGGGACTCTGTCCTCTCAGTGACATTCTGAGAGGAAGAATGGCGCGAAGGGCTTGGCGACAACGAAGGAGGTTCGTAACGCCCTTCAGGCATTGGCGAGCTCGTCCGCGAGGGAACAGTCATGTCAAAATGCGGATAGCGATGTTCAGGGAGCGCAGCTCCTGGTAGTGAGGGTCGTCAGAATCGCTTGTGGAATTGCGAGGTCGTGTCAAATCGTTCAGGTCGATGTCATGTTCGCAGGAAGCAATGATGCGCGAAGGAAGAGACGTCGTGCCACAGCAAGGCGATGAGATCGTCTTCGACGTCGCTTTTCAACGAAAGAAGTGGGTCCGTGTCAGCAAGATGTTCTCAAAACTGTGCTTGCACAAGAGCAGCCTGAGCAGGAGAAGTATGGGATGGTCGTAGTCAGGAGCAAGAGTGGCTAGCGGAGTCCGGACCGTCGACCCTTCCACCACGTGAGGTGGCGCGGCCATTGTAGAGTAATCGGCATTTGCCGGAACTCAGGCCTCGCGCTCCTTGTGACGAACTTCGACTTGACCTTTCGCCTCTCTTCTCTCCTCCCTCTGATATCAGCCCTGGGGTGTCAATTCTATCAGCAGCGCCGAGCCAAAATTCTCGGATGGCTATCGCAGCTTCAGCCAGCGGCTCAGGCCCAGCTGGATATGCTTTTGTCTGTTGTCGGTACGTTGCATGGTAACTCTCCTGCACGCACGGACATACAGAACAAAGACATGAACGGTACTGTCATCAACATGCATGGCTTTGTGAGGCGGGCCATGATGCTGCTATGTCACGTCACAGACAAAGGGCACAGCCGAAGGCGGTTTGACCATCCGTCAAAGATGGCCATTGTGCGTCACATGAATGGTCCAGAGGCCCTCTCTGAATCGTATAAAGGCCTTTGCAAAGAAGGCGCTGTGCATAGTTCCGATTCCTCCCTTTCCACATTGACTTGCTCCTTGCCACCACCGGAACCGCTACGATGCGTCTTCGCTCCCACACCCGCGCTCAGGCGGCTCAGCAGCAGCAACAGCAGCACGCAACACATGCTGCAAGCAACAATGCCACCCAGACCGCCGTCGCGCCACAGCAGAATGCCACCGCCACAGCTGGTACTAGGAGGGCAGGCACCTCCACCCGGCGTCCTCTTCGTCGGACTGGCAGTCTGGTGGTGACCGACAGCAACGGTCAGCCCCTCGCACGCTGTGATGTGCAAGTCGGCGAAGATGGCGTGCATACTCTAGATCGGCAGGGCAGCATCACATTCACCAGCGCCGCAAACTTGGCGCGCGATAGTCAACGGAGTAACGACCAAGTGGCGAACAGCCAGTCGCAGCAAGCTGCCCCTTCGCAAGGCTCTTCCAACCCAAAGCCACTCGAGCGCTATACCACTCCCGCACCCCGCCCGGTGCCCGACCAAGAGGACCCTCTCCGCGCGCCCCACCGCCCAACGACGCGCCCAGACCTCCGCAACCACCGCGTCTTCTTCGTGACCGACGATGAAGACCCCGAGCTCGCCGAGATCCCGATCCCGCAGCACCAGCGCCCGCCCCAGCTCACGCAGACGGAGCTCCTGCGAGAGACCCACGCCGACGCGATGCGCAACCAGCTCCGGCAGCTCATGCTTCTCACCGACGAAGACCTCCTCGCGCTCCGGGAGACGGACGTCCTGCACGAGCTGTGGAAGTTCCAGCGCGAGCGTCTCGGTGAGAAAACGCGCAAGGGGCTCGGGCCCGAGGGCACGATCCTCGTTGACGAAAATGGCCAGGCGCTGAACCCGGAGCTCGAGCGGCAGGCGGAAGCCGCGGCTTACCCGCCCTTCTCGTTTGCCGCGTCTGATGGACAGTCATCGCAGGGCCTTCAGCCGACCGCCACGCCATGCCCAAATGCGCAGGCGCTGCGCTCGCCGTACCACCACAACCGTCCAGTCAACCCTAACTATCACCGTCGGGCGAGCACTCACCGCCACCCGCGTCTCCCAGGCCCGACCATTCTCTCGACGCCTGCCCGGCGCATGGTGCAGACTCCCCACCGCCCCAAGAAACCTGCGCACGGTACTCCTGCCGGATCCGCTCCTGGGTCCCCTACGCCGGCTCGCAATGGCCCGGGGACGGGGAAGACGCCCGCGCGCCTCACCCGCCTCCTGCACCAGCCGTCCACCTCTGGCGACTGGGGCAGCCCCAGCGCGCAGGCCGCCCTGGTCAGGGACGCTAACGGGGCTGGCCCCAGCAGCGCGCCCGTGCACTTCCAGCAGCACCAGCCCGCGATCCCTGTCGGTCACTCTGCCGGCCGGGGCGGACTCCTTCGCCGGGAGATGGCTCTAGAGAACATTCCTGAGGATAGACCCCTCGCGGAGCGCTCCTTGAGCCCTTTGACGCCGATGAGCAGCGAAGAGATCCCCACGGAGTTGGAGGAGGATGAGGACAGTACCCCTCAGCCGAGTGGCAAGGGGAAGCGACGGGTGTGAATGCTCTTGAGTCTTGTGAATTGCTCAGCGTAGATTGTTTTCACGACGTCCATTGTATTGTTCTCTCAACCTACACATCCCTTTTATGAACCCGTAGAGCGAAGTTATGCGAAACCAGGTTGCGATTACTTACTTATCTTAGTAGACATCCTAATCCAATCCTATGTATCCATGAACAGTATCTGAGAGCCAAGTCTGAACTAGGAGAAAAGTGCATCTCCAGTAAACCTTCTGCGGGGTCTAGAACGGCGAGGGCGTGCTGCTCCCAAACGAGATGTTCACTGCATAAAGCGGTCAGGAGTCCAGTGCCGAGGCTCATAAAGAGAAGGAACGGACAAATACCTCATACCGAAGCTGAGGGTGCCTCCCGCAAGTAGTTATCGATGGATAAAATCTTCCGAAGTTCACAGGGCTTGTGGTACAGTGGTAGCACGTTCGCTTAGCATCTTCCATCACAGATAATGCAACAACGTACGCCCCAGACCCCTCAGTCACGTCGTCAACTGCAGAATCAGCAGCAGATGCAACGTATGTGTGCATATGCAGTCCTTCGTATCTAATCTACCCTCAGCGCCCTTCATGATCAACCCTGCCTTCTTAGGTTCCGCACCCTGGCTTGAGGGGTACGCTATGCAGGGGATGCCATACGCTCCGGGTCCTGCCCAGCCCACCTCGTCCGCTGCTTCGTTTGAACCTGGTACTTAACTCACTTTCACCGTGTTTTTGTCTTTGCTATCTCGCTTTCGCTGCAGTTCGTTGCTTTCGTTGTTATCAAGCACGTATCATTGTACATTACTATCACACACTCTCTGATTACACAGGTCTACATGTCGTAGAAGGATGTATGATAAAGCTCATCAATGCCACGAAGGGCATCAGCTACCTCGTCCTCCCCAAACGTCAAGGGGATCCGCTGAGCTACCTCGAATGCGTGTGCCATAGCCTGTGCAATGGCCTGGTCTTCGCCATTGTACTGAAGAAGAAGGTAAGCGCCAAGCGAGCGGGTGGGGGAAGTGACGAACCTCGCTCATCAAAGCCTGGGCACGAGCCAGGGCATCGTGGACCTGGAGGGCGGATGAGTCCGCGGGTACATGCAGCACATGCGCCTGCAAGTCTTGAACAGAGATGTCGCTCGGACGAGCGAGCGCCTCCTCCAGGAATTGGCGGAGGGCGTGGGCGCGTTGATCAGTAACATCATCTTGTATCAGCTTTTGAAGTCTGTCAGGAAATTGTGTGCGCGAGTGGAAGAAGGTGATCGTACCTCGTCTACACGCTGCAGCGCGTTCTGCATGAGCACAGCAGCAGTCGGTGGAAGAGGCGACGACGAGGGCGTGATTGAATCGCCACGGGCTGCGGCGAGGTCCTGAGACGCAGGCGTGTGAGGGTCGCCCGAGTCGTCCGGATGATGGGCGATGATAGGATCGACGCTGGAGGTGTCGACGGGGAGTGCGGCAGAGTTGTCTTGGATCATCGCGTCACCGAGAGTGTTGTCATCGTCCAGGAATGCGAGCCAGCTGTCCATGAGGGCGGGATCAATGTTGACATCCGGGGGAGCGATGTCGAAAAGCATGTCGGTGCCCTGCGCGGACAGTCCTCCGCCCAGGTCGCAGTCAGGCAGCACCTCGGTCAAGTCTGTCACCGCAGGAGGTTGCGCGCCCGATCCGAGTGCCGTAGAGGTCTCCGCAGAGGCGGATGGAGACAGGAGGTATGGCGCGCTGGGTCCACCGTGGATGTCCTCGTCGCTGGCGCTGCGTATGACGATCGGGGGACGAGGAGCGGCACGGATGGGCGTTGGAGGCTTGCACACATCACCGCGGTCGCTGTTGTCTCTGGCCTTGCCCTTGCCCTTGCTGCTGCCGGCCTTGCCCTTGTTGATGGTCGCATCCTTGCTGGCGGTCGTGCTCTTGCCCTTCTTGCCTGATGCCCTGCCGATGCCCCTGAGCGTGCCCAGATGCTCACCGGTGCTCTTGTCCTTGGAGTACGCGAGCGAGCGATTGATGGTCTTGAAGTCTTCGTAGATGGCGAGGTACTCCTGCGCGCGCGCACAGTTGGTGTGCATGTGTTCGACGAGGGCAACGTAGTCGGACGCGCTGCGCAGGCGTCAGTCCACAGCAAGATGTGATAGACGGGAGCGTACAAGGCGTCTCCAGCAGGGCACGCGAGGCCTTGCTTTGTGCGATAGATTTCGAGAATTAATTGCCGCCACAAGTGATGGAGTCGCTTGCTGCGAGATTCCGGTCAGCGCGCACGAGACGAGACGGCGGAGGAGACGTACTTGTGCTTTCCGTACGCACTCAGGCTCTCGTACGTACCCTTGAACTTGGGCACGTACAAGGCGCTAACGATAACATTCTTCTCGCAATGCCTGGCGAGAATGAGACAGCGGTTGCAAACAAACTTCTGCTTCCCTCCTTCCATGACGATCAGCGGCTGCTCCTGCGCGCTCGTGTAGAAAGGGCCATAGACAATGGCGGCAAAGGCGAACCACGCCTGCACCATGTCCAGCCCGGCGAGCGTCGCGTGAGGCGAGGGTGGCGGCAGGTTGGAAAAGTCGCCGTCCGCCTCTTCCTCCTCGTCGTCTCCGCCCACACGACGGGTCAGCAGGCGATTGAGGTTGCCCCGACCCTGCTTGGCCTCTTTGAGCAGCAACGCCCCCTGCTCATCGTCCTGCAGGACTGGCATGAGCTCCGCCGGGTCGCGGCCGTCGCCGGCGAGCGATTGGAGGATGAGGTTCGTGATGGGCGCCGATGGGTCGCGTAGGAGGTGTACGGCGGCAGCACGCTCCTCACCGGTGCCCTTCTTTACGCCATCGATGGCGTCCTTGTTCCGTTTCTTGATCGCGCCTCGGCTGGCCTGGTGGCGTGTGGTCTTGCGCACCTTGCCGCAATTTTCATTGAGTACAAGGTACTCGTCGTATAGCTGTGAACGAGTTTGCCCGACGGGTCACAAAAGCACGCTCAGCTCACGCACCGACTGCGCCAGCGCCTGGTTCTCGGGCGTGTCGTCGACGTAGCAGGTCTTGTGCCCGCTGATCTTGGCGTTGTTCATCATGTTCCTGATGGCATCCGGGCGCACGGACTGTTTGTCGTAGCCAGTGAATAGCGCGTAAATCTTGTCGACAACGGCCTGACGAGCGGCAATGGCCTGTGTCTGCTCCATAGTCTATGGGCTGATGAGGGAGAGGGACGGGAGGAGAGGGATGTGACTGACCGAATCAGCCGCCGCGTTCACCTCCAGGTGATTCTCGCGGGCAGCGAACGTGGTCAGTTCCTCGACGGACGCGGTCGCGGCTGTCCCCGGCTGAGCCGCAGCTGTGTAGCGACTGGCTGCCACGCATATAGCGTCAACCGCGACGGAAATGCGCAGATGGCCTTCGCGCTGGTGCTCTGTTTTTTCGGGCAGAATGCCGTCTGCGACACCGAACCGAATGCCCGTCCAGTCATAGTCTTTGGCCCCGCGTAGGTAGTGGTTGCGCAGGATGGCAGTCTCGCCCACCGCCCTGTGGTTGAGAAAGTCGAGGGCGGCGACATGGCCGATCACACCAGCGATCTGTTCGTGCACGGATGAGTATATGCGCACGCCTCGAGGGGCTGCTATACGCACCCAGTTCGCTCCAGCCCGGCGAAGTACGTAGGAGCCGGTGGCGGGCAGCATGGCGGCGGCGGCGGCATGGTTGATAGCTTCGGTGATCGCTCGTGCAGAGCAGGGCTGGTTGTAGTCGAAGGTGCGACCGCCTTTGTTCATGGCAGGGAAGCTGGTGTACGCAATCAGTGATGTGATGGGCATTGATGAGAGGCACGTACATTGCTCGCTTCCTGAACTGTGGCAGGTACGTTCGCTCGCGGGCGGGGTGCTGGAGAAAGGCAATAAAGGTCTGGAATCAAGAATGAGCAAGGTGTATGCGCATATACAGATCATACGTACATCGCCATACTTTGTGCCAAAGTATCCCTCATGGTAGTGGGTGGCGAGGAGCCAGATGGTGAGGTCGAACATGACGAACTCGGGGCGATTGACGGAGCGGATATTCATGACCTGCTCCCTGACATTGTGCGAGTGGAGAGCACCCTAGGGTGTGTTTTGAGCAGTGAGGGCTGGCGAGAGAAGAGCGAGAGCGTACCTTGCACGAGTCGAACGTGATCTGGGCGATGAACATCGCTTCGCTCACCCTCTCCCAGAGGATGCTCGAGAGCGTGAGCATGCGGGCGGGGTCTGGCTGTCCACGCGGATTGATGTCTCCGATGGTGCTCGGTCGCGAGCCACAGTAGAACATGACGAGCACCTTCTGGATGCGGTAGCAGTCGCGCATCCAGTTGTTGGACGATAGACGCCCTCCCAGCACGGTGCCGATGATCTGGCCAACTTCAGGGTAGTCAAAGTAGAGCTTGTTGGGCCGCTTCCGTCGCAGGTCATATTTTTTGGCGACTGAAGAAAGGCGTGAGGAACGAGAGAGGAGTGAGGAGGAAGGCGACGTACGGGCGACGACCTGGTCTATCATGCGATCATACAGCCTGTGGGTGACGAGGATCTCCGCAGCGCAACGGTCTTTGGTGACGGGATCGACGGCGGCGCGGATTATGTTGGACACGTGCGAGTGAGCCCACCAGGCGATGGTCATGGACTGCAGCTTTTCGGTGCGCGACATGGAGTTTTGAACGATGACGAGCTGTGAGGCGGGACATGTGAGCGAGGGCGAGCGTGGCAGAGGAAGGTACGGACCTGATAGTCGAGCCAGGAGAGGGTGAGATCGAGGATGGACTTTGCATGCCAGGCGTACTCCTTTGGGAGGCCCGGGTAGCAGCGCTCAAAGTACGCCTCGAAACGGACAGCGGCGCGAATCTTGACCGCCTCGGTCTGTGGTGCAACACGCGAAGGCACGTCGTCTCCCGAGCCTCGGACGGAGTCGACGAGCTGATCGGAGGTCATGCCGAGCTTGGCGAGCGCCCTCTCTTCTGCGCGCCGGACAGTTTGCTCAGCCTTGCTGAGGATCTCTGGGTTGCCGAAACGCTTGCCGACGACCGGAATGTCCGCGAGACTGACTGGGGTGTAGTCGGTCGTAGCTGGTGCGGGCTCTGGCACGGCGGGAGGCTGAAAGCCAACGTCGGGTACGTGAGCGGCGGCCATCTGACTGAAGACGGGCGGCAGGTGGGTAGCAGCGAGTCGAATCTCCATGTAGTCGGCGTCGTCATCAGCCTCTGCCTCTCCATCGTCCTCTGCACCCTCGACGGGGTTGGCTGCGGCATCGGGAGCGGGGTCTGGCGGAGGAGCCAGCGGAGGCGGTGGTGGTGGTGGTGGTGGTGGTGGGGCAACCTGGCGCCGTAGACCGGTCATCATGGAGGGCGGCGCGCGAGGCATGTGCGACGCTTGCTGCGCCGCTCGGCGAACGTTGGGTTGGAGTGCGTTGCGGATGTGGGCGGGGAGGTGGGCATCCATGGAACGCGAGCTCTGAACGTGCTGGTTTTATGCATGTCGCCGTCGTAAAGGAAGCTCAATGCTGTCACCGGCGTCATGAGCAGCGACATGAGAGGAGGGCGGAACGAAGAGAGCGGGGACGAATTGTTAGGAATTGGCGACGGGATTCGCACAACGGATCAAAACTCGGGACCGAGGCACAAACATGACGTGGCAAAAGTTCAACATGATCGATATGTTTTGTCCATGCATTGCATGGGCCTAATCTTGGTACAGAGGGAGCTCAAACACTACTTCGTCGTCGTCGTCGTCCTCCTCCTCCTCCTCCTCCTCCTCCTCCTCCTCCTCCTCTCCCTCATCCACGGGCACCTCCTCCGCCGCGCCAAACAGCTCGCGTTCGAGCGTGTACAGGTCCTGAGCACGGTCGCGGTATGTCGAGTTGAGACTGGTGAGGAAACTGGCAACGGTCTGATTAGAGGGCAAACGTGATGCCTTGTGTTGGTCCAAGAGGAGGGCGACAAGGGTGGGAAACTGGCTCGTCCGGGCGTTGTTGTACAGCTTGCGCGCGTCCCAGAAGGGGTCGATGAGAATGAGGAAACCAAACTGCGGGATATTAGCGGCAGGAAGAGTGCGCAAAAGTCGACTCACCTTGAGATAGACCTGAACGAGTCTGTTCCTGCCGCTGACGACCGAGCCCATCACGTTCTTCTTCCAGCGCGCAAACTCTGGGTCTTGCTGGACGGTGTTCCTGTCGGCGGCGGGAAACTCGGCGAGATACGCGTTGCGATAAAACTCTTCCTTGACGATGGAGCGCCCGCCATTGGACGACGATGCGCCGATGGCGAGCCAGCGAAGCCCAAACTCGAGCGTGTCGAGCTGAATGTCGAGCCGGGTGTAAAAAGAGCTGAGGTCGCCGGCGGTCTCGCCGGACGAGATGCGCTAGGGAGGGAGAGAGAGAGAGAGGTGAGCGTGTGAGACGAGATGACGGACGCACACTCACACTGTGCAACTGGACGAGCCGGCTGCCGTCGTCCCCATAGTACGTCTGGAGCTTGGCGTGCGCCTGTAGTGCGTGGTGGCGCTCGTTCAGGTGCGGGGCCGACTTGCGCCAAGTGCCGGGCCGGTGGAGTTCGATTCCTTGCAAGAGTCTGCCGATCGCGGCGTCCTCGGCCTCACGGCGGCTGACCTGTGGCGGCGGACGGAGGGCAATGCGCCAGGTATCTGCCATGTCGCGCTGGCCGGGCTCGAGCTCAAGGATGGCGTCAAGCCGGGCCTGGGCGGTGTCGACAGCAGAATTGGCGGTGGCGGTGGCGGCGGAGGCGGAGGCCCGGGCTCGATGCACGCCCTTCGAGCGCCGCGGGGTGGCAGCTCCGGCGTAGGCCTTGACGATGGCGAGCCGCTCCTTGAGCTGCTTGTTGAACGCCGCCTGCTGCTTTTTTGGAAGCGGCGCGAGCGGGTCGTCGAGAAGCGCGTTGAGGCGCTCAAGAAAGCGTTGGTGCCGAGGGGAGAAGGAAGACATGAGAGGGGCGTGCGCGCGCGCCAGTTCCCTCGACATGTTATATGCCATAATAGCTAGGAATCGCTGGACTCGCTAATTGCCAGGAATCCGACCACAAGGATCGGCGGCGGCGCGCGCGAGTCCCTGGACCCGCCCGCCCGTCGCCGTGCCCGCACCCTCGCACCCAAGCGCACGTCCTCGAGGCCTCCCCCGCTATCACACAATCGCCGCGGCGGCGAGGGAGAGAGAGGGCGGGGCGAGCGCTGTCAGTAGTGATCGACGGAAGAAGCAGCGGGAAGCTAAATAAGAAGAATTGATGGCGAGCATCGCGGCGGGCGGATGCTCGTCGACGACCGCGTCAACGGTGGCGAGGGCGAGGGTGTTGGTGAAAAGCTGGAGTGCTGGACGTTAGGTGAGCTTGGTTGGGGGCGAGATGAGATGCGACGGGATGCGACGGCGACGCGAGTCGAAAGACCAGCCCGCGCAGTGATACCCACGGCGAGGGCAGCCACTGTGACCCCGATACCGGGTGACGCTCATCCGTTTTTCGGTGAGGTATCACTGGGTATCGGATCAGCGGTTGCTAAATGGGTGAAAAGTGATCTGGAGAATGTCAACTGGTACGTTCCCGACGAAGGCACACCCTGGTTAGCGGTTGACTTTCCCCCTCTTTGTCCTCGTACGTACAAGCGCGTTCCGTCAGTGTATTGGACTTTCAAAGTAGCGTAAATCAATTAGTTTGTGTCTGGTATGTAAAGGGAATGATTCAGGTCGCTACTGCGATCCAAGATAGCGTACAGATCCGGGTTTGGCCACCGGCGCGGGACACGTCCAACCAAGCACTGCACAGTGTGAATGTCCACAACTTCGTACCTCCCCATGTCCTTGTAGTACAGTTGGCCCAGACTATTCGTATTGCATGGCGTGCATGAGTGGATGCGAGCGAGTATCACGGTTTCTGGTTCAGTGAGGTGGAGTTGAGGTGAAGCCAAAACCTCAACGACGTAGATGTTCATGAGTTGCCCGAAGAACGACTTGGGCACGAGGATTTCGGGCGCGCGACGCCGGTGCTTATTGCGATCTACAAGTAGGTCATACTGTAGGAGGAGAGTAAGTAGGGTCATCGCTGGCAGGATGGTACCTCGCACCTTGACCCACGTCGCATCACGCCGGTCACTGGCTAGCGGGACAAGCTCTGACGCGCGCATGTCATCACCACCATTGAGAACACGGACACGGCCATATTGACGAATCGAGTCGATGTTGATGCGCTGCCGCACATCGGCCGCATCTGCATTGTACCGTGTCTGAAGGTGTACGCAGATCTTGTCCAGCTGGGAGCTGTCGATGGGAGCACGTCGCATGGGCGGTAAGAGCGCGCACGTCGGGTCTGGGACGAATCGGTTAGGTGAGAAAAGTACTTGAAAGAGCCACTCACAAGATGGATGCCTGAACTCTCCCTCGACGCGCTCTTTCGGTGGCGCCGTCAATGACAGCTCCTGTGCGATCTTTGGGCCGTAAAGCAGCTTGAGTTGATTAATTTGCGCCATCGCGGTAAGGTGGACATCGATGTTCGCCCAAGGGAACCTACGGCTGTGTATCGCGCGCTGCACGCGCCCACAAAAGCGCTCCATTGTAAACGCCCAGTACGTCCACACCGGCCCCATCTGTTCGATGCTGTCAGCGATGTGGAGAAGGGCATGTATGGTGACCGGGCATGTGGCTATGCGGAGGGGATCGTGCTGGTAGTAGAGCCTAGGTAACAGTGATGAGTTGTTGACAAGACAGGAAGGAGCGAAAGAGAAGGAACACGCACTTCTCAAATGTAACAACCCAATCCCGAAAGCCTTGGCGTACTAGGTCGAGCTCCTGACGTGATATCTTGAACTTCATGCACGAGTTGACCAGGCGGACGAAGGAGATGAAATGAGAGTAATATACGGGGCGTTTAAAGCGTGACGAAAGGAGGGCGGGGCCGATATGGAGGATCCAGAAGGACCAAGTGTCGGCAGTGGAGCTAGTGTTGTCCTGAGCGATATCGGGTGGACGGGCGCCGAAAACACCTGGTATGGTGTCCCCAGAAGCGCCAGTGGCTGCACCGATGGCATCCCAGGCCGTGCGCTCGAACTGATAGTCGCCGGTTCCTTCGGGGATATCCTTGTAATCACCCGTCCAGAGCTTGATTAGGTTCTTGATAACGTTCTCGAAGATGAGGTGCATGAAGTCGTAGGGAAAGGAGGTGGGAAACTGGATGGAGGGGAGTTGATATAGGATTGAAACCCCCTTCACGCCGGTGCTCTTGGACAGTCGGTCTGCAGCCGCCTGCGAGGGAGCCAGCTGTACAGCGCGGCCTTGCTGAAGGATCTGCACATGCGAGCGTGAAGGGAGATGGGCTGGATCATAGGACTTCGTCGCGGTAGGATCTGCTCTTGTGGAGGGATGGCGCGTGCGGTCTAGAGGCACGTAGTGCGTGGTGACGCGGTCGCGACCAGGTATACGCAGGCCCTTGATGCTGCACATGCGACAAGGATGCAGGCCATTGTGCCCCTTCATGTTCATGATCATGGAGACTGCGGGGATGTCGCCAAACGCCAGGATCAAGTATGACCGGAGCATAAACTTCTGCTTTGTCGCAGAGTCGTAGGCTGGAACGCCACCCGCCAGACGTATCAACTCCTCCACCAAGGGCCAGAGGTACGAGTCAAAGTCTTTGGGCTTGTTTGGACCGGGGATGACGCCCACACACAGCACGTGCTCTAGCAAGCACCGTAGCTCGGGTGGCAGATTATAGTTGAAGACGAGGAGCGGCCAGCAAGTCTTCTTGCGGCGCTTGAAAGGAGCGAAGCCATCCGTTGAGAGTCCGAGGGCTATATCGTGCTCATCGTCAAAATACTTGTGGGTGAATGTCTGGCCTTCGACAGAGACGTGCTGACTACGCAGAGTACGGTAGTGAGAACCGTCCATGACATCCTGGACGTAGTCGGGTTCGCACGTGAAGTTGTGGCGATAGCGTAGCTTGTCGATCATGCCGAGGTTGCCATAGAAGGTACGGAGTCGGGGTATGAGGGGGATGTATGTGAATCGCCGGCGAGGGTTTCCGTTTGCGTCTAGCCGATCGGCATTGCAGAAGGGGCATTTCTGCTTGTCGGCGTGTGGTCCGGTATAGCAGCAGCAGGAGTTGACACAGCAGTCGTAGGGTACGGGCTGAAACTTGGCAAGGAAAGCGGCCCTGCGACGTGTAACCTTGTACGAGGCAACATTCGACTCGGGGAAGGCGAATCGCAGCTTTTCGAAGGTGGCCTCCGTCATTTCTGTTGTGTTCTTCAGAGCAAAATGGCGCAGCAGGGCAATGTCATGGTCAGACAGCTCCTCTCCTGCAACGCGATCAGCAAAATCACAGATGCAAAAGCGATTGACGCACGAAAGTCCATAAGTTCCCTCATCAGGACTTCATCAAAGTCGTACTCGTCATCGGGGTCGTAGCGTGCCTCATCCCAGTTCCAGCCGTCCTCCACAGGGTTCGACTCATCCTGGGGGATCTCGTCATCCTGTCCTTCTATCCACTCATCCTCCCCGAAGCCAAAGACTGTTGTGGGCTCATCATCCTCCACCACCTCAATGATAGGGTATCGCTGCCGTATAGGCTCGGTTGTAGGCAGATCGGTTGTCGTCAGCTGGTCCGTGGCCTCTTCGTGATCAACGGACAGTCCCGCATCGACATCTTGTACCATCGAAGACTGGGTGGAAGATGGACGAGTGGGCGACGGAGCGTGGTTGAGGTCATCCGGAGTTGATGATGATGATGGAAGATCACTGGGGGGCCCAGGTAGATGAGTGGTAGGTTGACCAGAGGATCCGCTCCCGCCACCAAAAAGCTGCCGGGCGAAGCGCGAGATCTTGACCTTCATCGGGGGGTTGGCGCCAAGGTGATTTCGCTCGACGCGGTTGGTGACATATTTATTGCACCCACAGCTGCAGATATGCTTCGCCTCACGTCGCTTGGGACCCATGAATGGAGTGAGCTTTGGATGGGAGAGCCACCGCGAAAGACAAGTGTTGAGAAGATGAAGGACGATTGCAAATGCTTTTCGTGTCAGTCCAAGGCAAAGTCACGTGAGAGCAGGTCCTGGTTTATCAGGAAGGAAACAACATGGATTCTTATGTTTATGGTACATGAGCTATCACAAGGTGGAAGGTTCTTGCTTTCCCCACCCTCCCCTCCTCTCCCTGTCCTCATCACCCTTCCTTCTTTCCTCGCCTCGCCTATCTCCCACATATGATTTTGCTTCCCCGACGGCGCTATTGGGTGCGTGAGCAGGGCCAACATATGGACTATATGGAACCAGACATGGGCTGGGTGGTGCAGAGCCAACTCGTCAAGAGCGAGACGAGGCGGCGCGAGCGAGTCGCCGGACTCACCGGACCATCGGTGCCGGAATAGTCAGCAATTGCTCTCAAAAGTCGGGCGTGCGGAATCGCTCTCGAAGAGTTGGGCATATAACGCTCCCTCAAAGGAGGGCAAAGGGCCAGCTCTCTTGAAGGAGGGTGCGCCGAGCGAGCAAGGCGGGCGTGCAAGGGGGCGCGCGGGTACCCTCTCTCGAAAACCGGGCGTGCGGGAGCGCTCTCTCGCAGGTGGGGGCGAGGCGCCTCCGCTCCCACTCGAAAGTCGGGCATGCGAGGGGAGGCCGCGGTTGATTCCCCGGCGATTTCCTCGCCCGAAGAGGACGAGGGCTCGGGGCTCGTCTCGCGCGGCTGGGTGCTAGCTACCCGCGGCGGCGGCTTGCGCGGCACCTTCGGGACCGGCGGTTCGTCCTCGCGCGGGCGCCGGCGCACACCCACGCCCTGAGGCGGCGGCGGTATGGGCTCGTGGCTCGGGCTGCTCTGCACGCTCTGGGGCGGGAGCCGGCCGCCCAGCAGCCGCGTCGTGTGCAGGAGCGCCCACGGCAAGAAGCCGGCGCCCTGGAACGGCGTGCTGCTCATCGTCTCCGTCGTCGAGAACGCGTCCTGGTCGTTCTGCGCATACACCTGCAACTGGCGCGCGAGCTGCTCCTGGATCGCCGCGGGGTGGTTGGGGTCGGGCGGCGCGACGTACGGCGCGGCGCACGTGCGTGAAGGGGTACGGGTAGGGCGAGCCCGCGGGGACGATGGGGCTGAACGACATCAGGTCCTTCTCGTACACGGCGCGCGCGTTGGCGTTGATGAGCGGCGAGGGGGAGGGCGCGGCGGTCTGGCTGTGCGGCGTGGGCGGGATGGGCGCGTCGGGCCGGGGAGAGGAGAGGATAGCCTGGAGGGAGGCGGTGGTGGGCCCGTCGACGAGGAAGGAGCCGTCGTCGGTCGAGGGAATGTAGAAGCGCGCAGCAGTGGTGCGCGGGTCGAAGGTCGCGGGGAAGGTGTGGTACTGCGGCTTAGGCGCGTGCCGCCTGTCCATGTACTGCGAAGGGTTGCTCCCGCCGTTGGCCTGCGGGTCGGAGACCATGCCGTCGAGGCCTTGGAGACCGAGGAGGTCGGTGGCGCCCGTGCGAGCGCGGCCGCGGACCGGGTCGCCGCCGTGCTGGTGAGGACCGTATGGCGTGTGCTCGGGAAGGTCCTGAGCGGGCGACTGTGGCGTGTACTCGTCCTCGTTCATTAGGCCCTTCTCACTGTCTTGACCAATGAGCATGCTCTCATCACCCCGGCGCATGCGGCTTGTGCCGGATGAGCGGCTCTGGTTGCCTTCGGGATGGAGGTCAGACGACGGTGTGGGTGAGCCACTGTTGTCGTCGTCGTCACAGTCATGGTCTTCCTCTTGCATGGGCAGCGAGCGGTCTGATGTCCGCCCGTGTGTTTGCAGCGGTGCGTCTGCTGATTCGAGATCGTCTACATGGGCCGCGTCTCGGCGACGGGTGCGCCTGTCACAGTGTTGTGCCGCGAGGGCGTTGACAGCCCATTGGGCAAGTACTCCGGGCGATACGCCGCGCTCTGCTCGCCAGGAGAGCTCATCGGCGTGACAAAGGCAGGCGAGCCGCATCGCTCGGGCGGCATCATGGGCTGCTTGGTCGACGACGGCGAACCCTGATGGCTCCCACCGTGCCCGTGCGGCTCGAGACTGAGTGCGCCCTGCCGGGGATTGTGTCGCTCCGAGGTGCGCAGCCGCTCGACCGCGGGGTCCTTCATGTACGACTCTCTTGGGAAGGAGAACGAGGTCGCCGGGGCTGTACCGTACGCGAGCTGCTGCATGTCGTGCGCGCGCTGGATGTCCGCCTCGAGCCCGGGCGTCATCTGGAGATGTTGACAATCGTTGCCGGCCTGCCCGTAGGACTACCGAGTGGGGATTGGGTGGATGACACCGCGCGCATTGTGGACATTCGGCATGCTGTTGCTATGCTGGGGCGGTGGTGGTTGGGGGACGCCATTCTGGTCGAGGGGTGTGGCGGGGTGGGAAGTAGCCTCTGGATCTGGGTGGGATTTGACTGGAACTGGGGTGCCGCGCCGATGGTCGGGCCCGCGCCCATCGTCGGGCTCGGATTGGAGGGCTGTCCGCCGGGGCTTGGGTAGCCTTGCATAATGGGCAATAGACTGCGCCTTCGCAGATCGCGCCTGCCTGTCGCGCACGGATGGGGACGCAGAGCGCTCGTGTGCTTGCAGAAAGGCTACACCTAGACATCGATCCGGTCAGCTCGCGAGTAGGGCGTTGCGTAAGAGCGCGTATAGAGTCGGCAGGACATGAAAGGTCACTCAAAAGGGAAAAACAGACTCTCGCTCGATCCCCGCTTCGCGGGTGTGATCTCGGACCATCGAGTACGCGCGGATGCGACGTCAGACGGGAAACAAAGGGCTCACCTGGATTCTGCGGCGTGGGGCGCTTGTGATTGCGCACGGGCGAGTGGCTGGTCATGAACGGTGATTGAGGGCGGTGAGGGTGTTATCGCTCAGCGCGCAGCGGCGGATCGCGGGAGAGAACAGAAGATGGCGAGAGACGCGTATGACAAAGCGCAGAGACTTGACTGGAACATCGTGCGGCCTCACGATGCCAACGTGGCACAGGGCAGGTCCCGACAATGAGGCGACCGCCGGGTTTGGAGGGGTTGGGAAGAGTGGAATTGAGGTGTGAGTGGCACTAGTTACGCTTCCGTCATGGGATCTGCTGGGCGAATTAGAGCTATAAACATACTTGGAAAAAGGTGTGGGGACTCACCTGCCGTGATGGAAGGTCATTGCACGTCTTGCAGCGATATGAGATCGAGCGGTGCGTGTTGAGTGCAAAGTCCATGACGAGAGGTCCACCCAGTTACTTGAGAGCGCTGCTGGAATGACCCCACCAACGAGGTAGACACTGCCACAGGTGCGCCTGCAGCGCAGCTCTTGCAGCTCAGCTGGGTGGTGATGGGAGGGAGTAAGTCGTCGTGTCACGGCGTCACGCGAGGTGACAGCACGCGTTCGGCACTCGTCTCGCATCTATCTCGACAATGGCATGCCTTCTCACTTCGAACAGAGGATAACGGGAGTCATAGGCAGCTATATTTGTTGAAGGGGGTACTGCCAGTGATAATTACTAGGAAGTTCTACCTGGTTGGAAGCAGAACTCCGATGACTTGCGCCCTCAACGCTGATTCCCAGGCTTCGTCGTCTTCTCTCCATACACGGTGCGCCAGTTGTACGAGAGTGGGGAAAGATATGGTGTAAGAAGTGCCTCGGGTCTGTGAAAACACGATTAGCAATGTACAGGCAGTACTTGAGCCCACCCACGCAAAGCCATATCAAGGGCTCCCATCGCTCGTCTGCACCACTAACGGTCATCTAGCAAGGTTGGTAAGATGAAAGATATATCAATTGGACGTTTAAGATACACGTACCGCACCGCCCTTTGACATGAGTCCGTAGATCATGACCGCAACGATCAGCGCCGAATCGACGAACTCGTAGCAAGAGGTAGGCCAGCTAGCCCACTTCGGGGCATGCCAATCGAGTCCACAGTGGTAAGTCTCAAAGATGAAGCGTGAGGGGAAGAGATGGTTGCGTGTATCGTGCTTGCCGGGGGTGATCGTGCAGTAGAGTGTGAAGAATACAGATTTACTGCCCCCGGACTGAGTATTCTTGAGCTGAGTGCATATCAGGGATAGCAGAGACCTAAATTACTGTCAACGCACCAGTATTTGTTCACGCTCAAAGCAGCACAGCACCTCGCCTGGCCGTACATCCTTCCGATGCCATACGGCATGGCTCAATGGAGAGATCGGTGTTTGGTCCATTCCGCGGCCGCCTAACCAACGGTCGGCAGCTCCAACGTGTATCGTGCGCGGGTCAGGGTCATTCAAAAGGGTGGCATCGTGGTGTTGAACAGTAACGCTGCGTCGGATGGCAGGAATGCGCCGAGGAAAGAAATGCATATCGGGATGAACGTCACATTTGGGCAGTCCTGCGGCTTCTAAGAGGGGGTCTGAGCACTCGCAGTACTTTGACATGCGCGTAGGTGACAAGGAGAGATATGGAGAGAGCGTGAGGTTAGTCGCAGCCCCATGCACGACAAACGTGGCCACAAATTCAGGTCTCCCGATCGAAATTCGCAATTTCTCTCCGAGGACTTCCGACGCACCTCTCCATCGCCTCTCGTATTCTTGCTCTGCATGGGAAACACACCCGAACCCGAACCGCGCAGAAGCAAACGGAACCTGGCCACGGCTGAGGGCCCTCCGTCAGAGGATCCGCAGGCGAAAAAGCGCCAGAAACGAAAGAAGGGCAGTCAGAAGAAAGACAAGCAAAAGACGGCAGGCGCACCTACAACGGGTCTAACGTCTCCGTCTGGCCAGGTATCTCCTCCAGAGCAAGGCTCTCCACCAACTGGGCAAGCACGCGCACCTAACAATGCCGGACAGCGTCAAGCCCAGGTACGACAATCATCGCCTGCTCGGCAATAGACTGACAGATCGTAGCAGTCTGTGAACCCGTCAAGCGCTGCTCGACCTCCACTTTCGTCAGGAAATCGGGGCAGCAATCAAGAGCTCACCGAAGGCACACCGAGAGGCAATCAGAGCACCAGTGATCAAGCCAATCTTGACGCGTCGGATGAGAGAGACGCACAGATTCAGGCTCTGCGGGGTGAGTTATGTTCAATTGCACTTACTGAATGAACCTAGAGGCTGACGTTGACTCGATGCTTCAAGCGCAGGTCGCCGCGCTAGAGGCCGCCGCCAACGCAGCCCGTGACAAGGAAAATCGCCCCACGACGAATAATCGTCCCATCGAGTTGAAGAAGCCCGATGGTGAAGCTGGCGGAGGCAAGAAAGGGTTCAATCTTCAGCGTGCCATGGGTTTGGAGGACGAGGATGAGATCTACAAGCGGATCCAGGTGCGTGATGCATGATGATCGCCCACGCCGCCCCGATTGTTGACTTGCTGGCTTCTAGGCTGATGTGCGCTTCAACATCTGGAAGTACGGGCTTGACCCCTGGAAGAAGTATATGCGTCAGAGCCCCGAGAAAATCAGCCACGTACTCCAAGCGGTAAGTCCCCTCCCGTATCTCACGATTTCCAAGTATTCAAGTGCCTTGCAGGGGCGCCAGCAGCATAAGTACCTCTGTACTGAGAGGTTTCCCGATGATTGGGCACAAACGGAGATGATCAAGACCATCACACGCAACCGACGCAAATACCTTCGGCGCAAGGCCCGTGCAGCGGGTAAGGATGTCGCAGACTCATCTGACTCTGAGGAGGAGGACGAGGAGGATAATCTACCTGATCTCGACGCGCCTCAGGATGGACAGTAATTCAGGTGCGCAATCATCCATGCCCTCGCTCTTGGCGTAGGACTGATACTTGTCCTTCATCTCCCAGCTACTGAGGCTACCGACATTCAAGTTGACGAGCTCAGTCGCATGGGTCCCGTTCCTCCGTATTTCCTACAACCCGCCATGTATAGTAGCGTAGAAGATCCTATGAAGCGTTGTATATGCTCTCCTCCGCTTATCGGCTCACACTGCACCACCTAGCGGGTACCATCTATTGCCTGAGTTACCATGCGGAATTACGCCAGGGGCCGGGTGAACTGCACGAAGGGAGTCTCACCCGGTATGCAGGTAGATAAACCAACCGCGGGACGGGTAACATCAACCAATGTAGCATTTCCCCCATAAAACGGATGACATGCAACCGGTCTGCTCTCGACGTTCCGACCGGTTGACTTACGGTTGAAAGTAAGCCAGTCTAGTGCAGGCTTTCACCCGTCCGGATATTCAACCGATTCACTGGTCACAATCCCAAACGGCGGGTGTTTGTCAACCGCAAGCTGGTTGTTGTTACACCGAATAACTAGGGACTCGGCGGGTGACTTTCACCCGGTCCTGGCTTCTCAGTGAGCGTGATTGGTGTCGGCGCGACGAGTTGCATCTTCACCTGGCACCGGTCCCCATCACTGCACGAAAGAATGGCCCCTCATCGCTTCGCAAAAGAATGCTCGGCGGCCCATAGCCCACCAGTCGCTGCGCGAAAGAGTGCCCAGTCGGAATCGCTCCGCGAAAGAACGCCCGGTCGGAATCGCTCCGCGAGAGATTGCCCCCCATCGCTCCGCGAGAAAATGCTTGCTCGGAATTTGGGCCTCGCTTCGCTCGGGGCCCAAATCCTTCACGAAACCCGCTGCATCTTGACCTATAGCACCGGTCCCCATCGCTGCCGGGGCGAAAGAATGCGCACACGCACCGCGAAAGGATGCTCACCGGTCGACCGACGGTCGCTGCGCTCAGTCGCCATCGCTCCGCCTGGTTCCTCTCGCACGCTTCCCCCCGGCTATTAGAATACAAGTCCAAGAACCGGCCGCTACGAACATTCTCTGGCGTGCCCCTTTCTTCCTCGCTGGCGCTCGGGGGGCACGCCAGCGAATGTTCTCCGCGCCGGTTAGGAATTGAACCAGGGCAATGGCTCAAGGTCCTGGGTTCAATTCCCAGCAAGTCCATTGATTTTTGTAAGTTCCTGTGAACTTTTGACCGAGCATTCGGCGATGCCGAAGGGCGAACTGTTCCTGTTGTGACCTCCGTCACGATAGTCACGTCACGCTGGATCATGCTATTGCTACTTTCATGCACTCTCAATATGCCTCCCTTATGTCTACTTCATCCCGGATCAGAGAGGCATGGCAGCTCTGCCTATGTTGATGATTTTTTGGTCCTCATCGGCAGGATGAGCGTGCAGAGCGACTCACAGCGAAAACGCGTGGGATCATGCCATCAGATTTGGTTCAACTTTTGACTGCACTATTTGTCCTCTTTCCTCTGTTCTCTGCCTCAAAAGCATCTCGAGAGGCCAGACAACAGAAGCATACGCCATTTTCTCCGATGGCCATTGGGAGTGACTGTTGCCGCGAAGTCGTCACGAACCTGAATGTTCGCAGACGAAGTACACACATTGCAGCCTGCATCTCTATACAGCTGCATCGTCCACATTACCGGGGCAATATAAGTATGCGTAAGAGTACCTATCCAGAGTAGTCCATGCGATGTCGTGTGGGACGTAAGGGAACGATGTCCAATGCCAGAACGGAAACGTAGAGGTGAAACGGAAACTGGTAACGAAAGCGACGGCCCACAAGGTCCATTCCCAACCAGTACGTATGCCACCAGCCTGCACCTCAATGACGCTGGTCCCGAAGCAGCTGGATACCAGACAAGAGCATCACGACGAAAGTGACAACAATGCCGAGGAATGCTGGATTGGTCGCCGCATTGGTGAGTGAAGAGTTGCATGCACCACATCTCCAGCCTATGACAATGGATGAGTCTCCGTAGTACAAGCAGAAGAGGATAACGCACCGTCACTGATCGACGTATAGTCCGCCGGCGTGTACATCGCAAAGACCAGCTCTCCGTTCGGCTTCATGTACCCGGCCTTTTGACCAGCGTCGGGCCCACGATCGTCCCATAGTGACAGCGTATAGCTCGCGGGAACGAGCGGGGAGTTGGGATTGTGCTGTTGGTACGAGTAGATGTCCCAAACGAGCTCCGTCGCGTCACCGTCCACAATTCCCACCGGGTACGTGTTCCCGTTCTCGCAGATTGCAGAGACGGTAATGGACGTCGGCGTTGCAATGACCGAGGTCATATTCCAGCCAAAGGTGATCATCTGGTTCTCCGCGATTTTGTAGTACGACGTCGCGGTCACTTTTGGCTGGGTGATGGTGACACCGCCCACGGCAGCGGTCTGGGGGATCTTGATGGTGGACGACGACTGCCGCGAGTTGGAGGAGGACTGCTGGTTGTTGTCGTCATTGTTGCCATTGTTCCCGTTGTTGCCGTTGTCAGACATGGCGGGCAGAGGCAAGGAAGACCGGCTGAGGCGGAGACCGGCAACGGCGAGCAAGGCCGTGACTACTCGATCACGTTTTGCGTCACAGCCTTCGTTGTTCTTCCATCGCCATGCGGCCTGTTCCAGGCTTCTCGAAGTGCTTTCACCACGATGTCTGGGAACTTGACAGCAGCAGAGGGCTCCCTGAAGCTTCTGCCTGCATATTCTTATATGGTCGGCACTCAAGAGCTGGTCGACGTTCATCAATTGCTTTTATACCGCCGACGCTTGGCCACAAAATCGAACGCCAAGTCTCATCCTCCTACCGACTCGGAATCATACCCAACTGTACTCTTTGATCATCCAAAGCGTCCACTATGCGCGATATCACCAACATTCGATGACATACGCTAGCAAGCGCTCCCCTAACATCCCAAGTCGACAACGTCCTTGGAGTCGACTCTGCTCACTGTATCCGCCTCTGGAAGCTCGTCCGGTCGCTCGAGACTGGACAACGACAGCAAAGAGTCCTACACTCACATTGGCGGTAAGTTGTCCACCTGAGCCTTCCCAGCATCACCTCCCAGCACACGCATATCAGGCGGGCGGTCGCATATCGATCTCGTCGGCACCTCGCGAAGCTCCTCTGCACAGCGGGCAATACACGCCCGTGGCCACACAGGTCCGAAAGCCGATGCGAGAGTCTATGTGGTGAGTGGGTATACACTATGGGTCGCTGACGCGATAGCATGGGCGCCAGTGATCATCAGCTGTGTATGGTCCAGCTCACATCACCTTCCCGCGTACAGACGAGCCGGGAGTTTAGGGCATGGGGGTGCACCTATCTGGCACAAAGGGTGTCGCGGATCCATCGATTACCGCGACCTGCCGCCGGCAGCTCAATAGCGCCCTCGAGGTGGCATCGCCCACACTGCGCGATGCCTATACAGTATGTCCTCAATCCCCTTGCTCATTGAACTACCAGGACTCGTTCATGACCAACTCATCGAGGTAGTTTCCTTCTTCCCGCTGCCCCCCTCTACCGAAGCTCTCTCCCCTCTTTTTCGTTCTTTCTCTCTATCATTATATTGTGGCGCGTCTCAGTCAGTGTGAAGACCAAACCCTCGCGGCGAAGATAGAATTTTTCTGCAGTCGCTGTCGATGTTACCAACGCCTTCTGAAATAACGCACAAGGGCGCCCATATCAGGAGTCATCGGGCCATTCATTGAGTCGACTAGCGCGCCGCCATCGCCAGCTCAGGCTACGTCAAGGTACAGTATATTCACCTCGGCATACCTCTCTTTTCAAGACTCTATTCCGCTGCAGCCTGACGCACGCAAGTCCCTCCCGGCTTGCACCTCGCGATATTCTACCAAGCGGCTAGGTTCCGTCTACGCCCCATGCCCCGCTGCACATCCCCCTACATCCCGCCAACTCGCACTCGGAGTCGCCCCTCACGCACACTGCGAGTAAATAAACAGGCAGGCGAAGATCATCGCGCTCGTCGCTGGCGGGCACACGCGCAGTTGATCCTGGACCTGGTTCGGAGCCGCGCGAGCTGGTTCAACAGTGACGATCACGTGTAAAGTTCAACTTCAGTGTGACTCACTGTAACTCTGGCGCGCTCGTCCGCTGCTGACCGCCAGCTGTACCGCCGAGTACCTTGTATCGAATGCAGTATGCCGACCGCCGATGGGCGCGCCTGATTATAAGTCAGATACATCGGAACGCGGAACATTGCACATCACGACGAAGGTGCGATGACAACTCGAGCGCGCTGTGGGATTGCGGCCGAAAGAGCTTTTTGCCTTTCTACAGACATACGGCGGTGAATTTATATGATATACTGTGATGCTTACCGCTGGCTATTGTCGCTGTTGAGGCAAGCAGCCTGCTATGAGTGATCTACTGTAATTTAATTTTGCCGCACCTTAACTGCCCGTCAACTGACTAGTTCCGGAATATGAACTTATCAGCACACTTCTGGCCATTATATCATCGACAAAAAGAACTTCTGAGAAGGCCCGTTCTCTTTATTCATCTTGATTCTAGTGCGCGCCGGATAATGAGGACACAAAGGGCCATAGATTTATGGGCTTGTGGTACAGCGGTAGCACGCTCGCTTTGCACCTTCGAGGAGTATGCGAGAGGTCCGGGGTTCAACTCCCCGCGGGTCCAATATAAAATCCGTGTATATTTTTTCATGCAATGCTATCACTCGTAGCCTCGTGCGTCAACCAGCTTCCGCATCGATGGTGGCTCTTGTGCAATAGCTCAGCGCAGTATTGCACGTGTCGCTTGTTGACGAATCATTTGTGCGACGCAACAAGAGCACGGGAGCCTGGTATTGACATCGTAAGCAGGAATAGAAAACAGAAAGATAGCTTCAATAAATTACATCGGCTCGCGCCATTACAGTACGTATGCACACACAAGACAGGAATCCAGATCCTCCATCCAACCACCTCCATCCGCCACAACACATCTACCCACCATCGGCAACTTCCCCATCACAACCATCCACCCTCACTATCGATTCACGACCCGATACATATCCTCCTTATTCAGCCGCACCTCCTCGCCTTTCGAAGCCTCCTTTTGCCGGAAGAGCTCCTCACGCGAGCCATAGCGCCAGCTCTCCGCGGACGACGCACCCGAGTGCGCGGTGTCAATGCTCAGGCCCGAGCGCGAGCGGCTCACGGCGTGCCGCGTCGTCGCGTACTTGATGCCAGGCAATGGCTGCGTTGGGTAGCCATCCGTGTCGACGTAGTGCGCATGCGCGGCATCCTCGTGGTACGCGTCGGTGCCATGGTACACGGCGGAGTCCATCATGTGGATCTGCGCGGCGACGCGGGAGCCTATGGGCGCAGAAGGAGGTGGTGGAGGGAGCGAGCCCGACGCACTGCGGTCGCGGCCCTCCTTCTCCTTCCCGCCACCAGTGAGGCCCATGGAGAGCCCCATAACCCCACGCCCGCGTTTCTTCTTCTTCTCCTCGCGCTCTTTCGAGTTCTCCCCTTCCTGCTGGCCCTTTCGCTCGCGCGACGCCGACCGCCCCCGTGCCTTCGCCTTCCCGCCCGTCGTCACATACGTGATGCTCCCCACGACGCCGCCCTCCGCCAGCTGCGGCGCAAACTTCATGAACGCGCTCGGCGGGCCGAACTTCTCCTTCTCTTTCTCAGCCTCCGGCGCGCGCACAGGCGCGAGCAGCGGTTGATGAGAGTGGTCCGTCGACGCCGTGCTCGGCGTGTCGTAGTCGACCTGAAAGGCGCTCCCCGCGTACCGCCCGCCAAAGTCGTCGCGCAGGCCGGCCGCGAAGGTGCTCGTGCGACGCGAGGTGAACGAGAGGTCGTCGCGGCTGCCGACCGAGTGCGAGCGCCGTGCGGACGGGCGCACACGCCGACGCGGTATCGGTGGCTCGCGGCGCGTCGAGGAGAGGCTCCGGCGGGAGCGCGTGCTTGCGCTGTACGACTTGCGCCGCCGCGCGCGGGTGGGGAGGCGGATAGGCGACGTCGGTGACTCGTCGACGGGGCTGCCCGACGTTGGACTGGGATTATCGCCGAACATGATGGACGAGACGTCCGAGTCCGCGTCCGAGCCCGCGCCGTCGGCAAACTCGTCGTCCGAGTCGACCTGCGGCGCGTAGCGGATGGGCGAGAGCGGAGAGGAGCTGCGAGAGGAATAGGGCGAATAGCCGTTGTCGAAGTCGTCGACAGCGGGGGAGATGTTGCTGAAGACGAGCGTCGAGAGCGGCCGGGTGCTGATGGGACTGGGTCCAAACTCGGTCATCGCGTCGTCGTTGACCACGTCCGCAGGATGTGCGCCTTCGTCTTCGCCCTCGACCTCGCGTGGATGGCGATGCAGCGGCGAGTCAACGGTGCGATCCGACACGGGGGACGAAAGCACGCCCATGTCTCCGAGAGTGCGATGTAGGCCCTCGTCCTCGTCCTCATCATATCCTGTATCCGTCTCGTCACTATCCGATGCGTACGATAAGTCGGTGATGTTGCTAGTAAAGGACTGTCGCCGCCGTATCGACTTAGGCCGGATAGAAACGTCGTCGCGAAACATCTCGGATTGATCACTGCGCGAGCGCGCGTGCGAGAATCGTACACGCTCGGTAGGATTTGCCAGCTTGGGCGGGATATTGGAGGTGGAGGCCGATCCCGATGGGCCCGCTACCTGAGTCTGCCAGTTCATGTCGAGGTGATCGCGAACTTCGGCTTGCCTCATCGCAGATGGTCCCGGCCCTGGTCTCGCACCTAGCCGCAGGGGGGTCGGCGCGAGTAGTGGCGGGGGCGATGGGACAGCAGGAAGCGGTCGTGGGCCAGGCGGGGGCGACAAGTACCCGCTGTTGGCGATGACTGGCGTCTCTGGAGACGACGGCTCTGAATTCTGTTGCATTAGCTGCGGTGGCTGCTGCTGGCGCGCATGTATAGGTTGCGGTGACGCGACGACGAGTTTCGCGAACTGGGCATCTAGGTGGCCGACAGGCGTCACGCTGGCCGGCGGAAGCGCGGGAGGTGGTGGGGGAGGGACGAGGGGAGATGAAGACGGGCCTGCTTCCGCAGGCGCGGGCTGTGCCATATTAGCACAAGGCGACATGGGCATGCCCGGGGGAACCGCTGGCAGTGGCCTTGGTATGCCAGTGCTGACGGACATCTTGCAGCGCTCCTGCATCTGGGGCGTCGCGGAGGGCGAGACGACCGGAAGGTGACCGGTATCCAGACGGGGCGGCCGCGGTGGGCCTGTGACTGACGGTCGCCGCGAGGGCGCCGCATGTTGTGTTGATGCAGGCGGGGGCAGACGGTTGATCGCCACCAAGTATTCCTGCATGGGCATAGGCTTCCAGCTGCTCGTCGAGGGAGCATTGGGGGTGGGTAGCGCGCCGGGGGAGCGCATGCGCTGTTGGGCGCCGTGTGAGGACTCGGCTGTCCGATCTGGGAGCGAGACTGGGTATTCGGACATGGAAATTGACATGTTATGGCGCGGTGCAGAGAGCAGGGTGTGTGTAGCGATGCTGACTGAGACCTGTGAGCGCATGGGATGAGCATCTGTGGCAGCACGTTAGCCGGCGAACAGCCAACTCACCTGATCGGGTTTGGTACGTCTCGTCGTACGGTTCGATCTGCCTCTGGACGCGTGCTTCGGCTAGAGAGGCGGCTGGTGTAGCGTCCACGGTGAGATTATAGGGTCGAAAGCGAGGTGCTGGGAACGAGAGCGAACAAGATGCCAGAAAGTGCGCGGAAACCGGGAAATATCAGATGCGGGTGAGATTCTGGGGAGGGGTCCTCGGGTGGTGGGCGAGGCTTGCTGGTGTTCTATGTCTCCGCCGGCGTCTAGGACGATGGGAGGAAGCAAGAGGCGACGACGGCGCTCGTCGTCGGTGACGGAGAGAACGAAGTGATTGTCGCTCCTAAGCTCAGGCGTGGGAAAGCTGCGTGGGAAGAAGTCGCGTGGGCGGCTGAAACTGTCTCCTCTCCTGAGCGGCTCGGTGGACGTTCGTGTTCGGCGGGCTTGACGAACAAGAGCAGCTGCCGACGGAGCGCGAGATGGGCGCCCTCGTCTGCGCTTTCCTTGCTCTTTGCGGGCGCCCAGGCCGTGTGAATGCCCTGCGGCCGATAACGCGCTTTCAGAAATTGCCTTTCTCGGCCTTTGTGGGTCCAAGCGACGCGCAGCCGCCACCGACGTCTGCGCCTCCACCACCGCCGGCCATCCACAGCCCCCGCGCAAATTTTCACCGTCTCGCGCTCCCCGTCGCGGCACAGAGCTCTGCACGGTGGCCCGCCGCCGTCGCACAAAAAATTCCAACATCTGGGCGCCCATTGGGCCGAAGAGCGCCGCTGATAGATCCATCATCAGCCTGCCTGCCTATCTGTTTCGAGCTGAAACGAGTCCGCACTCCCCTCCTCGGTTCGCCCCCGTCCGCTTCTGAGCGCCCCCAACTGGCTTCTGAGCCCCGTGCTGCTGCTGGTTCTGCACCGCGGGCCGTGATGGTCCGTCAACTCTGATTCTGAGCTCATGTTGGACACACAACGTTGAATGGCGGCGACAACCCACAGAACATCGACCCATCGATGCAACATCGGACATCCGTATTTGTCTGAATAGCCGTTGTTTGTTCCTTTTGTCTCTTTCTCTCATCCGCCCGCCGACGCCTCATTACATACCAATCGACAGGCCGACGCCGACTAATGGACTCTTCAAACCCGCTCCTTACCCGCCCTGACGCCTCGGTTCCTGATGCTGTCTCCCTCCGCGAGCTCTGGACATCCGGAAGTACGAGCGCATGCTTACACCATGCCTTCGTGACTGGAATACTCAGCTGTGGACTGCGTATAGACCGCATACCCGGCGTCGCTCCGCAAGCCCCGTGCAGATCCTGCTTACCCGGCGACGTTTCCGCACAGCAACTTCACTGTTCATGAACGCCTTTGTCCACTTACGAGCATGCCTTGGACCTCCTGCGACTCGCGCTCCAAAGCACGCTCGACCGGCTTCATACCACAGACAGTTCATTCAGTGCACGTCTGGACCGTCCCGGCTCCACCCATCGTCCGCTTTGCCTCCCACTGCTCTCTTGCGCTACCCTGCATGATGACCCGCTATGGTGCGCCTTGACAATGGTGCCTTTCTGAGCACGCCCTGAAGCTCGTATTGGTATGCCTTGTCAGTCTACCGGTATGCTTCGTACCTAGGCCATCGCGGCGTATACGGTATGTATCCATCGCCCATTTGTTGCTTTGCTGGTACGATGCGCATCCTTGGTCCGGCGTTACTTCACGGCCTTTTCTGCCCAGAGACAATACGACCATCGTCCCAAGAGAAACAACAAGCTCCATGCCGCTTCGCCCCTCCGACGGACCATTCTTCCCCTCGCCAAGTCGCTGACGAGTCGAACCGCAAACCACACGATCAAACAATGTGCTCGTCGTCTTTGTGAACCAACGTCCGCGCGACCCGCACTCGAAGCATCGTTCACTCAAGCTCACGGGCCCGGTCGTCGGCGAAAGGCTGAGAAGCCGCTTGTGTCAAGCGCGAACTTACGACTTCACTCCGGACAGAAGGGCTGCATTGTCAACGGTCCGTATAGGAAGGCTACTAGATTCCTATGAGGATAGTGTTCCTGCTGCCCCAGTTTCTATGCCTCCGACTACGCGCTCTGTAAACGACGCCTTCTCCTTCTCTACCGCTTCGATATGGAACGTAGAAGTCACGAACTGAAGCGGACGGCTCCCGCGCCACTCGGGGCCGAAGGAACGAGGACACAGTATCTCATGAGCTTCTGACCACAATGGTGCGCTCTCCTGGAAACTTCTTGCAACAGAAAAAGACTCGACGCCATTGCGAAAGGCTCGCTGTCGTCGTAGGAGGCTTACCGTCATCGCGAAAGGCTTACTGTCACTGCAGAAAGGCTGTCCGTGATCACGAAAGGCTTACTGTCGTCGAAGGAGACTCGCCCTACCGCGTGAGGCGTTCTCCCGACCGGGGCTACCAACGCGCGAGACCCTTTCGTCTTCTGCCCGCGGTGAAAGTCTGACTGTTGTTTTTACAAAGGCTTTTCGCCGGAAGGTCCCTCACCGTAACGCTCCAGCGCAGATGGAGCGAGACGCATGTTTCCAGCGAGCAGAACAAGAATTTTCGCTAGTGCAGTACGCTTGTCCTTTGTGCAGAACAAGATGCTTATTTGCCGTCCGAGTAGATCGCCTATTTTCCGCCAGAAGCATTGTCATACGTTGGTGCTTTTGTCGCGAGCTGGTCGACGTCGCGTTATCCTTGTTCTGCCTTTGCGAAGGCAATATATCTCCTCCGCTTCTCGCCTGGTTTCGTACGCGTATTCCGTGCTGTCCGAGGCCTCCCCCTTGAGGGACATAATACATTGTTCGAAGTCTGCGACGCCTGAAGTAGCTTCAACGGCCGTTCGAATAGTGGCCAGAAAACCCGGAACGCAGAGAAACCCTCCGTTGAACAAGGACAAAGTCAACGCGCACCGCTTCAAGATATTCTTCCGCGTCTTCTCGGTCTTGTTCAATCGGCGTCGGTTCGGAGCACTCAATGACGGATTTCGACGGCACTGGATGAAGGTGACGAACACCAGCATCCAATGTGATCATTGTGATGACACTCAATGGCAGAGGCAGACAACGTTAACGCTGTGTTTCTTGTTGTTCTACCATGTCCGCCCCTCGTGTAATTGCCAGTGAACCGTCTCGGTGTGCTGTGCTCGGGATATGTTCTACCCAAGGTTCACCGGAGAGGGCGGAGAAAGAACACTACTACGGTAGAGTCCCTCGAGGATAGCACGTGTATGCGTTAGGTAAATCTGATCAGTGTTGAAAAGTGTTGACGGATAGAGCGGGTTTCGAACCTGAATTATGGCCGCGATGCGTGCGATGTCTTCGGGAGGGCGAGGGCCAATGAAGGGAGTGGCTAGATAGGAAGTGTATCAGTAGTTGTACATAGTAAAGAAATCGTGGAGGCTCAATATGAGGGATGATGAAGGCAAGAAAAAGGGTGAAAGGGTTCTGAATGAGGTCGCTGCCGAAGTTCAACATATGTCACGTGCACTCGGTGACTGCCGAAATCCCGCTGATCCGTCCGCGACGCGTGGTGCACACTGATGTTCGTCTTCAACTCCGACCATGTTCCCTGGGAACAGCGATGTGCATTTGGTCCTCAGGTCCGGTCTAGACGCTCTGGTGGACGCGCACCAATCCACAGCACTATTGCGATCACAATTGAAGCGCGTTTACCGTCCATACTTATCTGTGCTTTTCGTTAGGTCCAATCGAGTGAAGGACCCTGTCCCAACGGCTACTGTCGTCCTCGGATTATCCGACAGCACCCTGACCGCGTACTCTACAAGGGTAACTGTATCTCCATCTCCGTACCTCCTCATTTTTTTTCTTTGCTTGCACCGCTACGATTGGCCACCGTCGGCAGGAGATGTCGGTCCAAGCCGACGACAATTGAGGTCCCTCGCCGATCAAGATTGAGGGCTCTCGCGAGTGGATAGGTAAGTACGTGTGTACTTTGCGCTGTGTCTTCTCTCCTTTCTCATCAGAAGTGATTTTCGTAGCCTTGCAACTCCGATGCGGCTGCTCAATGCAAAGACGCCATAAGCAAGACGAATGCACAAGGATACCGTCCCTCAGGAAGAAACCGACGCTTTCCGGGACGCGGGCGCAGCCAGAAGCGCGTCAGAAGAAGTACGCCTCCACAGTACCGGAAGAGGATTCTCTCGCCGCGCCCACAGTGAAAGAGGCCCCGATAGCTGCGTCGGCTCATCGGAATCTCGCAGACCTCTAGAAGAACATCTCCTTATGTGTCTCCTCACACGGCTTATGTGTACCCTCACGCGCTCTATGAGTTTTCTCATTGTCCGCACGAGCTTTCAATGAGCGCCAGGCGCAAACTGTGAGGAACGCGCTCCTCGAACTCCGGTGGTTACCCTCTTTTGGGACGTACCTATCGCTGCGGGGAGCGGGTCTCTGGTCTTGTGGCCAGGTAGGATGTTCTCAATCTCCCGTGTTTACGCTTATCACGCAGAAGGGTGATTTGGGCGTTCCTTGGCGGGGCCGATGTGGTACACGGGGTTATTGAGGGAGGTGAAAGGTATATAAGAGATCGGGGAGCGGTTGAGGACATCAGCCCATCTCCTGGTATCGATATCCACCCAGCCATGACCGTCATCCAGCAATCCCGCAGGTACCATGACTCCGACGCGCCGTACTCTGTCCCCGTACGTCGCAGACGCATACGCACCTCTCGCCTTCGCTGACCACCGCCTTCCGTAGAACGACGAGCCCGAATGGGAGAGGCACGTTCTCTGTTCGACGTGCATGACGGCGACGCTGACCACACGCAGGCTTGACGACATGACCAGAGGCTTCAGAGCCTACATGGACGGCAAATTGACGCTCGCCCCTCTGGAGAACCCCAAGAAAATCCTGGAGATTGGGTGCGTCGCGTCACTGTCTCTCCTTACTTCGAGACTACATACTCACTGACTCCCAGCGCTGGATCTGGTGCATGGTAAGAGCTCGCCATCCTGGGCATGCGAATCTTGCTTAGGGCGCTTCAACAGGGTCATACAGGCCGCTGAGACTTACCCCGACGCTGAGGTCGTCGCGGTGGACGTCTCCGATTTGCCACCCAGGTATGTCCTTCCCATCATCCTCCGACCTCCCGGCTGAACTGACGGTGCTACTTTAGGCCGTTCCCATCTAACGTGCGCTTCGTCAAGCACAACGTGATTGAGCCTCTGCCCTTCGAGCCCGAGACCTTCGACGTTATCCACACGCGAGCTCTTCTTATTCACGCAAGTATCACTCTTCCATACCATCACTACAAATCCCCTGACTTTACTCTCACCAGCTCCCCGACGTACGCAAGCACCTCGCACACTTCGCTACCCGGGTTCGCCCCGGCGGCTACCTCATCGTCGAGGAGATCTCGCTCTTCACGTCCAAGACGACGCCGCCGACGCCGCAGAGCGCGGTCTACCGCAAGGCATGGGGCGCGTTCGTCGATCACATGCACAACAACGGGCAGCAGACGGAGCTGGGGAACGTCCCGGACCAGCTTCTGCGGGATATGGGGGACGTCTGGGAGAGCGTCGAGGGTCGCACGCTCGAGGTGCCGTTCAACCCGCTGTCCGATGGTATGTGTTCGGTTCCCGGGATCTCCGGCTGCGGCGGCTCACATTCGGACAGATCCCAATCTCAATATCCTTGGCAAGTCGTTGAGGACTTCGCTGATGCGGGCTATTATGGCGGAGCAGATTCCGGAGCGTGTCGCCCTGGGGTTGACGCCACAGCTGCAGGAAGAATACGCCCGGGACCACGATAGCAGCGACCCGGCGTCGACGACTATCGTTCCCGTTCGCCTATACTGGGCCAAGAAAGCCTGATTATCTGATCGCTCCGTACACGGTCGAGCATAGCATGTAACATTGTAGCACTTAAGATCGAGACATGCGCGTGTAAACTGTAAGGACTGATATTGGGTGCATGCAAGTACAAAATCACTACAAACAGGTGTACCTGAGAAAGAGAAAAATCAAGGAGCGTGGGCGATGCCCGCATCGCAAAGATGAAGTAGGTGAGACGAGAACCGGGAGATTTACAGAAACAGACAGGCGAGTGCAGGTATGTTGGAATCCTGACGAGAATGGCGCTGCAGTCGAGCTTCCGAATCAGCGCCGACCCATCTTCTTGCGAAGGATGATGAGCAGCTGAGCAATATGCGTCGCAAGCTCCCGCGCCTTCTTCTTGTCCTGGTCCTTGAAATACTTGAGCCCTCTGTTGTCGAACTGGTCCGAGTGGTATTTAGAAATCTCCTTCGACAAATCCAGAGGCCCTGGGCGTATGGGGTGGGTGTAGTAAAACCGGAGCGAGGCCTCTGTGACATGGTCGATATCGGCGGATTGGCCAGGGATGACTGGCCACGGGAAGTTGTCGAAGTCGAAGGTCGCCGTCGCATTCCCATTCAGGATCTGTGCCCAGCTAAGGTGATGGTTGATGAACATCTTGCCCAGAGCAGCAAACTCCTCGGCCTTTGCGACCCCTTGCGTCGGCTTGTTTCGCGCAGGTCGCGCAGCAGCAGCCTCGCGAAGACGTTCGTTCTCCTGCAGCAAGCGCGCTGCCTCCTGCTGCATACGGCGGGCCTCCTGCTCGAGGTGCTTGATGCGATCTGAGAGCAACTGCATGGCCTTCTCTCGGCGAGAGATCTCGGCGCGACTGTTGTTTATCACCTCAGCATACTCCTCGGTTTGGGCACGCAGCTTTGCGTTGGCGTTCGTAAGTTTTGTTATGTCGATCGAGTGCTGGAATTGCTGCGCCTGCAGCTCGGCCTGCAGACGGTTAATGCAGTTATGAGTGTCCCTGATCAGACCCTCGCTGTGGCTGGCCTGCAAGACCTTATAGCGACCCTTCAGCTCCGGGTAGCTCAATCTCTCCAGAGCTTTGTCCGCCTTCGCATCGCCAGTGGCTAGAGCGCGAAGATAAAACTTGCGCTTGGCCGCCCGGGTCTCGCGTCGCTGAGGCTTCGCATCGACGGGCTCCGCAGTTGCAGATGGCCTGACAGGGTGTTCAGGAGGCGAAAAGAGGCACGCCTTGGCGAGGGAGGCCCAAGACAATGGAGTATTCGCGTCCTGCGGCGTCGTCGTCGACGAAGCAGAAGGAACCGAGGCGCTTGTGGTGTTCTGCGGTTGTGTACGAGGAAAAGAGCCTGGTATGGCAAGCAGCGTCGACTCCTTGCGTAATAGGGCCTTGCCCTCGCGCCGGTACGGATTCGTGCGGTGGCCAGAAACGCGCTTCTCGGACGGTTGACGCAGAATGGACGAGGCAGAGCCAGAGTTGAGGCTGGCTAGGGAAGGCGTCCTAGACGTGCATCTGTACACACCCATGTCAAGGTCTGAAGGGAGGGTCAGTGGCGCGGGATGACCCAGGAGTAGTAGACGCACCTTGTGGCTGGTGGCGGTCAAAGTCTTGAGGTCTTGAGGTCTTGAGGATGGCGACTGTTGAGGTCGCTGGCGGATCGGCGGTCACGGCGCGATGGCAGGAGTGAAGTCGATGATGGTCGAGGGTGGGGAGGCGTCGATCCTTTTATACAGGGCCGGGGGCAACAACAAGGAGCGGAGTGTGATTTCAAACTCAGGCATAACCCATATGGCAAGAGACTGTGACACCCGCGGAAAACAAAGGTCGGCGCATAACAGGTTGATGTGGCGTTATCTCCAGTAGGCATCTGATGGTCCCTCATAGCGGCCAAACAGATTGTCCAAATTCGGCTGGCCAATGTCCCCTTCCACGGGAAATACTGCGAGAGCAATATCGACGTATTTTTCCTGTTGGACTGGGAAAAGTCAGCAACAGAGGACCATACAAAAGAACACACTCACCTCAAGTTCATGCCACAAAAGTTCTGCTTTGTTTGTTTTTGTTACGGTCACAGCGCATGACTATGCGCGGACACACCCTACCATGCAAGGCCCGCTTGATAGATGCACGTTCGGTGGGCTTGTAAGGACTGCGTATACATTCATAGACTATAGATTGCCAACAACACATACACATGGAGAAGCAAAGACAGACCATGCAAGAGGAACAGGTCGTTTTGCATCCCAGAGAAGAGCTACACAGGAGGGGAGGGTTCACTAGTACCGAGTCGTAGGTATAGGTAGAGACGAGGGCTAGGAGCGTTATACAGTGACATTCGGGTCGTTCGTACGGAGGAGCCGAGACAGCATGTGCAGCAGCAAAGACTGCAAGGACGACGTTGACGACGGGATAAATACGTGAGATGAGATGGGCGCAGTAGATGGAAGGCCCGTAAGACTGGATACCGGGGGGGAAGAGGATAACAAGGAGAAGGGAGAACGTCCGATGCATGCAAGGCAAGTCATCAGGAGACCATAAAGTACAGTTGGAAAATTGTGTGAGGAAGAAGCTCGGACAGACGAAAAGGGAACAAGCAACATGCCAGAACTCGACGAGCGGCGATACAGATCAGAAAACAGGACAAAACTAGAAGGGAAGACTCGTAGGGTAAGTCTAGTTGCTGTGGCCTTGGCGGGCATAATAGTCGTTATACAGGTCGTCCACAAACTCCTTGTTGGTCTGCAGAATGCACATTAGCTCGTCGTGCATGCCTAGGTCCACTGTCACTCACATAGAATAATGATAGGACCTCCGTAGTAAACTCCTTCTGCTCCATCAGCCGGGCTGGCAGCCGACCCTGCGCCTGCGCTAGGATAGCGTCCTTCAGGACGTTCGTGTTCATCTTGCCACTCCCAGACTCCTCGCCGGCCTCTGCGCGGGCTTTTCCTTTCCCATTCGTTGTCGCCTTCGGCGGCGCCTCGGGTGCGGGAACCGACGCGGACGGCGGCATCTCCCACGTCCGCTCGATGTGCTCGCGCTCCGCTCGGTCCCGAGCCCGCGCGCGTTCTCTGCGACTCTTTTTTCCGCCCCCGCTGGTACTGTTACCGGAGAAGCTGGCATCAGTCCCTTGGCCGTTGGTCGAGGAGGGATGCTTCTTGGCGTATAGGGCATCCGGGTCGCTGAGCGCGGCGGTCTCCGAGAAGTCGAGCTCGATGATATCGTCGCCGTCGTCGGGAGCTTCGCCCTCAGCAGGTGGATCGTACGGCCACAACTCGGAGTCATCCTGGAAGGGCACGAGCGACTGCGCTCGAATTGTAGCGTTCGACTCTGACGACATTGCCGGCGCCATCTCTGGCGGAGGGGTGGGCATGAGAGGCGGCCGGGGCGTCATGTCCCCTTGGATGCGCCTGCCGTTACGAGTACGCGAGTTGCTAGCGTGCTGCGCTGCCTCCGGCTCGTCATCATCTTCGCTATGAGGCGCCGAATGCCCATTGATACGGATGTCCGCGGCATACACGACCTCCTCGCCATCGGCCTCCATCTCGTCGAGCACCGTGCTGGACTCGGAGTACTCGTAGCCATCGTCGAAGCTAAGCTGCGCATTGTCGTTGACGTCGTCCGACTCCTCATCATCGCCTTCATTCGAGTGCGAGCTGGAGCTACGCGACTGCGAGCGACGTTCCCAGGCTGCAACCGCTGAAGGCATACGCCCACCGCGCAGGAGAGTCGAGATGACATCGTTCGTGAGCACACGCGCGCTGTTGCCGTTCGCAGTGCCCTGCGGTTCACTCGACGCTGGTGGCACCGTCGTCGCTGGCGCGCTAGTCGACGGACCCGCCTCGAGGTTCGCATTTGGGAAGAATGTGTCCATCAGCGACTTGCCCGACATGGGACTCGCCTCACCATTGATCGATGGCGACTGCGGGCCATTCCCTGCGCTACTTGCGCCCATCTTGGCGAGGATGTCACCAATGGTTAGCGCCTTCGGATTCGTTGGAGGGGCTCGTGCTGCGGAGGGGCCTGCAGCCGCTCGAGGGGGTCCAGCTGGCGCACTTTGAGCGTCCGGCGGAGGGCCACCACGCTTGATGTTCGAGAAGAGACCATCGATGGCGGACGGTGGCGCGCGCGTAACTTCTGGCCGCTTGGGCACCAGGTTCGTCATGGACTGAGAGGCCTCCGCGTTTCTCAAGTAGGGCGAAGAGTCGGATGCTTCTGAGCCTTATGTCGAAGTCAATGTCCTGTCTAGGGGTAGGAGCGGCGATGGACGCACCACTATCATTGACAGGCCGAACCAAGAGTGGAGGTGGGTTATCCGGGCCATAGCGACACTCATCCGGATACCGATTATGCTCCTTAACATGCCTGTATAACCTGCACAAAAGTGAGCCAGACGCATACGCATTTAAGCCACCTTACGCACCTCGACATGACGTCGTCCATCGACTCCCGCTGCTCCGTGCCAAAGATCCATAACGAAATGACCGTCGGTGGCCCCTTCTGCGTGTTGTTCTTGATGTGGTCTGGTACCTTCCATATGGCCGAAAACAAGTCTGCCAGCTCTTCCGGAGCATGTGTCGCGCGCAGGTCCGCCAGCCGCTTATCGGTGAAGGAAGGGTACGACTGGATGACGACGTAGTTCCCGTACGCATCGAAGTTGTCCTCGGGGTACAGGTACTGGACGTGATCCTCCGGACCCTCTTTGTTCAGGATGCAGAAACCGTACGGCGGGAAGACGTCCCTGGGAGAATGTGGCTTTGGTGAGTGGCAGAAGTGCATCTAAGAAGTATCTCAACGCACCTCTCAAACAAAAACATGCTCCCCTCATAGCCGCGCTTCTCCCATCGGCCGTCAACGTAGTGGTAGAGGCAGACATGGGTGAACTGATCGAATATGGATTGTATGTGAGGGTCGAGGCGCCTCAGCACTTTCAAGTTGCTATTATACCGCGCAACCGCGTTGAACGCGGGCGTAGCCCTCGCCGTGGGCGAGCTCGCGATCGACGAGGGGGCGGTATGCGCGACATTGTGATTCGTTTGCGTTCGTCGTACCATGCTGAAGATGGCAGATTTGTGGCTTCGCTGGTCGTTAATAAGCCCTTCGCTTGAGGTAGACCTAATCCGAGGAGCTCACGAAGAGTTATCAAGCGAAGCGGTGGTGGTATACAGTGGCGGATCGCTCCTTGGGTCGATTCGCGAGATGATTGCGTAAGCACGGAAAACCGAGACTTTGTGCCACCTGGCAGAGAGTATGCGATAGATATCCTGAACGAGCACAGAGCAAAGACAAGTGCGAATAATCGAACCGTCGAGGATGGGGGCAAGGAAGAAAACAAAAGCGTGACCACAACCATGACCGTGATGGTGACGTGACCAGGTCAACGCTGCGGGTCAAGCCGCCTTTCTCCCCCTCCATGTCCTCGTCAGAAGTTGGATGTGTATTCCTAGTCGCTATGCAAACAACACTATGTACATTTCTACAGTCTCTATGTACATTTTGAGAGGTATCTATGCCGCAGGAGGGTCGTGGTACAGGGATAGTGGGATATAATGTTCGTGAGCGTCCGTCACCGCCTCCTCGTGAATAGGGAGAGCTGGCTCCCCAATAGTGTGTCGTGATTGGTCGTAAGTAGGTTGTGATCGTAGGACCCCGGCGCATATCAGGCCGCGGGGCCCTTCCCCCCTCTCTGGGACGAGCTGAGTCTAGCGTCGAGCAGCTCACTCGACCATGGCCGCCATCGCATCCGGCTCGATGTTCGCAGCCGAGGGCTTGTCCCCTCTCGGCATGCCACGCGTGAACATCCGCCCCGCGATGCTCAGCACGATCATCATTACCACCCAGAAATGCCCGCCGAGCAAGTTATTATCCAAGGAAACAGCAAAAGCCAAGCTAGATTTCGTCAGCTCAACCCATCCCTCCCCACAATCCTTAGAACCACTCACCTGATCACCGCTGGGCTCACCGCCCTCGACATGCACATACTGAGCTGCACCAGGCCATTCACCGACCCCAGCGCCGCCGGGCTCGGCGTGTGCACCGCGCAGAGCATCATACTGAACGTGTACGCGAGCGTCGCCACCTTCGCCAGGCCCATCATCAGGAGCACCATCACCCACAGCAGCGCGCGCGTCTGGCCGTCGTACGTGCCCGTCGCCGCGTCGTACCCCGCGCGCGCAGTGAGCTGCATCGCGGGGAAGATCGCGAAGACGAAGGGCCACACGGCCATGGAGAAGTTGTACGCGGCGGCGAGGTCGAAGCGGCGGATGATGAGCGGCATCGCGCACAGCTGCATAAACGCGGCGTAGACCCCAGAGGCGGCGAGCCCCATGCCAATTTCGGAGTCCTGGGCGTGAGTGAGCAATGGAGAGAAAACGGGTGCGACTGACGAAGACGTACGCTGAAGTGAATACCACCATGCTCGACGGAAGAGTAGCAGAACAGGACAAACATGACATCGAACGCGGTGCAGATAAAGCTGAGAACGAACCCGGAAATGCTGAGCGCGCGAACGGCCGGGATCTGCATAAGGGCCCACGTAGATGGCAGGCGTGGCGCTTCTGACCGCTCAGGGGACGGGGAATCGCATCTGCTCATGTTCATCTTACGCTTCGTTGGCAGGGTCTATGGGGTACGGGGCCGTCGTCAGCTACATTCCTTGCGTCACTAACGCCCACGCACCTCCTCAAGCGAGAACCAGCCCAGCACGAACCCAAGCAGCCCTAGCGAACCCGTGACAAAACACGGCATGAAGTAGGGATACTGACGTAGGAAATCATAGCCGAACAGGGAGGGATATTTCTGTGCTGCATTCGCGAAAGCTCCGCCTATCATGGGTCTGAGGGAGTGTCATTAGCTACGAGCTCCGCGACAGGAAACCGGGTGGGGGGCAAGCGGAGGATCATGGAGTGAGCTCCGGGGGATGCGTGGATTGAAGTTTGGAAGACGGCTGACAGCTAAGGCTAGGGTATGGCCGAAGGTTGAGGCTAAGACAAAACGCTCACCCAGCGATACTACCCACCGGCCAGGTCATGCCATAGATGGGTACTGCGATAGCACGATTGCTCGGGTCTGTCATTTCCGCAAGAGCGGAGTGCAGAACGCCTGCGTTCCCAGAGAAGATGCCGGCTGGGAGGGGTAAGAGGGGGAGTTGGGATGCAAGCGTAAATCACGCACCAAGCGAGCGAGAAAGGAGCAGACCAGCCAAGCTCTGCGAGCACCCGAAGAGCAAGGTGGAGAGCGCGATTCCGAGCGCACCAGCGAGGATGATAGGTCGTCGACCGATCACGTCTGAAAGTATGTCAGAGGGGGTTCCGTAGTAAGATGCGTCTCTCCACACCTGACAATCTGGCCGTCGGGTAGATGCTCATGAGCTGCGCAAGCGCGAAGCTCGATTCGACGAGCCCACTGTAGAACCCAATCTTCCCCGGGTCGTCCGTGAGGCGGAGGTACGTGATGAACTCGTTGATGTACGGGAAGATCTGCGTGAAGTTGAGCGGGTCGACGAGCCGCACGAGGCAGAGCGCGGCGAGCTGCGCATAGGGGAGGGGCGTCGTCTGCGGTTGCGGCGGCGACTGCGCCTCGTCGACCGTGCCCGCGAGAAGAGGCGTCTCCTCGGTGGGGAAGCGCGCGGGGGACTGATCGCGCTCGGCGGTGGACATCTGCGACTCTTGACTAGCGCTGGCGGCGGGGGAGATGAAGGACAGCTGGGGGAACGGAACGCGGGGGGAACATTCTTATACGTGGGCGCGTTCGCCGCCGTTCGGGAGTCTTCGGCGGTGATCTCTGCCGTATCACAGGACCCCGCCGCGCTGTGATCGCGAAATTTGCTGCTGCGTCGTCCCGTTCGGCGACATCAATGACTGCAGAGGAGAGATTAGATTTACGTTCAGACTCTAATAGAACAGGGCGTTGACTAACGCGGGCGCTACGGGGGAGCATGCTAGGCGGCCGGGGCGTCGTCCGATGACCTGGGAAAGGCTGCTGTCAGGGCACTCCACGGTAGAGCCTTGCTAGAACCTGGCTTTACTACCCGATATGAACGACTTCTGGGACGTAAAGGACAGACTTATACGGCAGGCCCTCCCCTCTCCGCAGTGAACAGCCGACGATCATCACATGTCGGTGCGGGGAACTGTGAGGGTGAGAGATAGCGGCCATAGCTGTACTGTCGCACTTCACAACCGCCGCCTAGAGTCCGTGGAACGCAGATTCATTGAGCTATCTCTGGTGTACAAGGGCGTAAAGCGAAGCTCAGATGAAGGCAGGAAGCAAGTGGTGTTCGGCATTGCCGATGTCTGATCCGAGCTCAGCAGGCTGCAAATCGAGGCCAGCCCGCCAGACTTGCACAGGATGCGTCCAGATGCGATTCTGGTGCTTCCAATCGCAGCACGGACTCCAGACAAGGGGACGTAAGGGGACGGTGTGGAGGAGAACGATGGCGACTCTGACTCTGAGGCGAACTTCGAAGGACAAACACCAACGAACAAACAAATGCACGCGACTCGGAGCCCGGGCCGATCGCTGATCCTTCTCAATTGAGGCGCGCGACACTCGCGACGTCAAAGCGTTCCACAGCACACATCGACCGCGCCATTCGCCCAGTCGCTGGCGCCCTCTCCTCCTCCCAGATCCTACATGCGCTCTGCAAGAAACCCACATAAACGTCTGGTCTGCTTTATCTCTTTGTTCCTTACCCTCGCCGTCGCCCAGTCTACGACCCTCTTCCCCAACGCCACCGACGACCACGAGATGGCACCCCCACAGCCCGGCGGTGTCTTTGAGCCCCCAGCCGGCCCCTACAACTACGTTGCGCCGCAAGTGCCATTGGACCCGGAACGCTACCCCGTCGCGCCGCCCGGCCTGGAGCTGGAGCAGGTGCACATTTACGTGCGCCACGGTGCGCTTCCTCATTCAGTGCCTTAGAGCGTAGGAACTCACCCACTTCTCTTCCCCTTTCCTGATATGCAGGCGAGCGCACCCCTGTCGGCGTCCGCCTCGCTGCGCCCCCTGCGTCCATCCCGGAGCACTGGATGCTCTGCAAGACCGCGAGGCAGCTGCAGGCGGCTGTATCCGGTACGATAGGAGGGACGGCGGTAGTAGGAGAGCATAATGATGGGTTTTTGCGGACGCGAAAGGTGCTGGAGCGGCGGGACGGGACCAGCGCGGAGGGCGAATGGTATGTGGTCAAGTCGCGCCGCGATCAATCTCCTCCCATCTCCGTCATGCGACCGCGTTCTGACTTGGTTCTCCCTCTCCCCATGTGCATTGTTCTCGCGCGCTTCCACATCTATACCATGAATACGCGTCCACTCCTTGATGAATACGCCTCTCCCGCACACCAGCCTCTTGGGCGAATTGACGGACCTCGGACGACAGGTGCGCGATCACCCTTCCATGACGAGACGCACAAATAACGCGTTTCTCAGTCGACATATAACTTTGGGAAGTCGTTGAGGGAGCTATATGTGGACCGGTGCGATCGTATCTACCTTCAGGCCGTCTGCACGATACTAACAAGAGTTCTGACAGACTCAAATTCCTCCCGAATTTCCTGGGCAACCGAGATGAAGTGTACTTCCGGTGCGCGTCCTTGCCTACTGCCTGCTGTGCCTCCATACGGATGCTCACCATCCGTCCATCACTCCCAGGAGCACCAACATACCCCGCACCATGGAATCCCTCCAACAAATCGTTCACGGACTATACCCGACCAAGAAATGCCACCCCGACCAGGTCCCGCCTCTGCTAGTTCGGTGAGTATCCGATGATGATTAGTGCATCAACGTCGTAGTCCTGCTTCTGCCTTCATCTACACCTGATGATCGTTCTCCGCTAACACCGTGAAAGGAACAGCCAGGACGAAAACCTAGTCAGCAATACCTACGCCTGTAAAAGGCTCGAGTTCTTGAAAATTGGTTTCGCGCAAGGTGTGTACCATTATTGACCTTACACTCCCCCTCCCTCTCGAAGGCTTGCACTCAATCCTGAGCGGCCTGCTCTGACCTTCTTCCTACCCAGCCGCCGCTGCCGCATACAACCCCTCGCTCGAGACGCTCGACAAGAAGTTGACAAAGTACACCGGCGGGCCGATACGAATCGACGGGAAGCCAAGGGCGTCGGGTATCCTGGACACAGTTAGTGGAGATTGACATCTACTAGCGGTACACATCGAGGCTGACCGAATGCCCAGATACGCGCCGCCACCGCGCACGGGATCAAAGTTCCCCCAGAGTTCGAAGAGAAGGCGGTGGTGGACGTGTTGGTGGGTGATCGCTTACTGGGCGCGACCCAGTGCTCAAGAGTGACTGCACATAGGAACGCGCGGTGGTGAATGAGTGGTTTTCGGGCTGTGCGTTGTTTTTCGGCGCCTTGCGCATGCGGATCAGACTCTGACCTGGCCTAACCCTCCCTTCCTAGACAAAACTGAGGAAGTCCGCCGCCTCGGCCTCGGCCGCCTCCTCGACGACATGTCGCGCAAGATGCAGCGCAAGGTCCAGTCGAGCAGCAAGAAGGAGGGCGAGAAGGATCCGCTGAAGATTTTGGTGCACTCGACGCACGACACGGCGCTGGCGGGGCTGCTGTCGACGTTGGATGTGTATGATGATAAGTGAGTGGTGTTTTTTGGGTGTTGAGGTAGAAGGGGAAGGAGATTTGGCCCTTTGAGCACCTCTTGTGCGCCCATCTGACGAAGCATATACACTCGCGTGTGAAGCCTTGCTGATCGCTCTATAGGTGGCCCGCTTTCACCGCTGCTATCACCTTCGAGTTGTTTAAGCGCGATCCGGTCGCGCAGGGCGGGTCGATTATGCAGACGATACTATCGCCGTTCCGTGCGAGTCCGGCGCCGGAGCATTGTGAGTGGCATCCCATCTGGCTCTCGTATTTCATCACTTTCGCCCGTCCGCCCTCGTCGCGTCGGCCCATTCATATCCGCGTCTGGTTTTAGAGGGCGAAGTCTCATGTTGTCTTATCACTGAATTGGTCCGCGAGCTTCATTTCCGAACCCTCTTCAATGCTTTGCCTCCCGATTCGATGCTCTGCTGTCCGGTTCCGTCTATCATTCCACACGATCCTCGCTACTCGCTTGCGAGCTACCTTACAGATTCGCTTTTCTCATTGCCCTGTCCTCATTCATCTGGCTGTTAACTGCGAAGCCCATCTGCTGACATCTGCACCCAGTCGTCCGCGTCCGATACCAGAATCGCACGCTACCGTTACCGCTCTGCGCCGATGAGGGCCAGCACCTGGAGGGCAAGCCCGAGTTCTGCGCGCTTGAGGTGTTCCGTGCACGAGTCAAGGAGCTGACGCCGGTGGACTTTGAGGCGGAATGTATGCCGAAGTGAGGGAGAGACGAATATAGGGAGGTTCGGTGCGGAAAATAGAGCGGTGTGTGCATAGATTATGGTATAGTCATACTAAACCGTATGCTCCCTCGTAATGCAGGAAAGTTTTTATTGTAGTTGGACCGTTGGCAACGCTGCGACATAGGCGGATGCTCAGCAGATCTCAGATCGGTCAGGAGTGCTGTAGCCCGCTTTCGTACTGACGATCTTGCGCGGCTAACTCACGAAGGCGGCAACAAGATTCCCCTCAAGAACTTAAAGGCCTTTCGTACGGCCAGCGCATATTTTGGTTGCCGTTCGTGGGGCCCCCAATCTTGGACTGGGTCCGGGGCGAACCATCCGCGACGCGGTCCCGGCGGGCCGGTGGTCAGTCGTCATTTCCCGCCCGATTTCTTCGTTTGCGTCTCCCTCTATTCCGACGAGTACCACTGTACACTTTCACCTAGCTCTCAGAGCTCGGATGCGCGTTGTCTCTCACAGGGCATCAAGTTTCGCGCGCGTCAGCGACGCGACACGCCTTGGGCGCTTACAGGGAAGCCGTGCTTCACCATCGCTGCTGGCGATCACCACAGGTCATGCGCCACCGACGAAGGCAGCATAAATCGATCAAGCGGTCTACCCGTTCCCCCGCCCATTTCATAGTCATCGTCCCGTATATAGGCCCTCCCTCGCTCTCCACCTCTCCATTCACCTCTCCATCCTGCATCCCATCATGCCCCCTGCCCTCAACACCCTCGGCGTCACCTGCGTCCTCTCCGACAAATCCCTCGCGCAGGTCCGCGCGCTCTTCCCCACCGTGCACTACTACCCCAAGGAGGACATCCCGCTCGACCTCCTCGCGCAGTGCGATGTCCTGTACGCGAACCCAGGCGGCCTGCCCCCGCACGTTACCGACGTGAAGCAGGTGCCGAAGCTCGTGCATTTGCAGCTAAGATGCGCGGGGGCGGACAAGGCGCTGAAGCACCCAGCGGTGCTGCCGCTGCTGGAGCAGGGCAAGGAGCCGCCGTTCACGCTGGCAACGAGTAGTGGGCTGCATACGATTGCGATCCCGCAATACATCATCGGGACGACGCTGGCGGTTTATCATCGGTTGCAGCAGCAGATCTTGTTTACGAAGGTACGTGTCGGGCACAGCTGGATGTGATGAGGCTCTGTCATCTAACACGGTCTTGCAGAACGAGAAGCGCTGGCCGTCGCACTCAGAGGTCGTCGGTGATACGGAACCGTACTACCCACCATCAGTGAACGAGTACAACTACTACGGACGTTCACTGAGAGGGAAGACCATTGGCATGCTGGTACGCCGTTCCTCGTACTGTTCGACTTCGCCTTCATGCTCTTCAGGGCTATGGACACATCGCGCGCGAGACTGCACGCTTATTCCAGGCCTTCGGCTGCGAGGTCATCGCCGCCAACACACAAGGCAAGGCGCGAGTGGACAATGGCGTGCGTAACTTCACTTACTCCCTTCCTCCCTTCGATCTTCGCTTCATTTGCTCGTCGACTGACTATCACCTAGTTCTTCTACCCCGGTACAGGCGACAAAGACGGCACCATCCCCCGTGCCTACTTCTCCACCGAAGATGAGGCCGGCATGCAGGACTTCTACCGCCAGACCGACGTTCTCGTCGCCTCCCTTCCGGGAACGGAGAAGACGAAGGGGTACCTGACTGAAGAGAAACTCAAGCTACTTAAGCCCTACGCAGCGTTCGTGAACGTGGGTCGGGGAAGTCTGGTCACCAGCGAAGCTCTCCTCGCCCGTCTCGACGCTCCGCAAGGATTATGCGGCGTCGCGCTCGACGTCACGAACCCCGAGCCACTGCCGCCCAACCATCCGCTGTACTCCCATCCTCGGGCAATTATTACGCCGCACGTCTCGGGTGTCGGGGAGAACGAGTTCGAGATCGCGGTGGACGTGTTCGAGTTCAATGTGAGGAAGTTGAGAGAGGGGGAGGGCGTGGGGCATCCGGTGCAGTGGTTGAGGGGGTACTAAGCATTGCTTAGAGTAAATAGATAGCGACGTGTAGGATGCATCGGCCTTTAATCATGGTCAAGAACACTTGTATGGCTCGAGATGTCCAGCAAAGCGCCGGGCAAGGAGCGATGACGCCACCGGCAACATGCGAGTGATCATGTGACACGTATGGGCGCATCAACAATCACAAACACGCGCAAGATTCCCGTCAACAAACACCTTTTCCGCACCGCCACTAGGCTGCTTTACTCACGCACTGCCGACCGAATCTACTTCCGCGATGGGTATATAAGCCGGCGGCTCTCTTCCCTACAAACCGTGGACTGGCGACAGAACTTCCCACCTAAGGGCGTCCTTCGGGGCGCTCCCAAGGCGGATTCGTGGTAAGCGGGGATGTGGGTCGGTGGACATGTCGTGCCGGGCTGGGGATCGTGATTGCTGGGAGGGGCGAAAAGCAGTCTCGACTCTCAGTCCGGTGCGGTGGCCGCCCGGCTCTATTCGTCGCTCCCGATGCGCGTTGGCCTGCAAGCTGAGGTCGGCGTGCGGAGAGTGAAGGCGGCGTTCGGACTCAGGATCGGGCGCCGTTACTGCGTTTAGTTGTTGCCATTCCTGGACCCTTCTCGAGGCCGTTGCAAGGCGAGTGCCCAATACCTACTACCATCGCTGACATGATCGCAGATCCGCGGGCTCGACGCACTGGCTGACGACGTACTCCGCGATGGCTATTCTTCTGCATGGTACGCCTCCTCACCTTCGATACGAGTATCTTTCTGAACTTCTTTCCGCAGCTTCAATATCGAGGGTAGGATGGGGGGTTTTGGCTCTCGGTGGATTAACTCATGTTTTGCTTTGCTCATCATGGCGGCAAACACTTTGTATCAAATCGTTCGAAGAGATCGTCAATGAAGGGCGCCTGCAGTTCATGGGTATCCCAATTGTCGGGGCATCATCTCTTGCGCAGTTCCCGTGGCCTTTCCCACCCCATTCTGCTTGCCTCCTGCCTCCTGCCTCACCGCCTCCCTTCTAATCACCGTCTCCTACCTTCGCCTCGTCAATTGCCATCCCTTCCTCCGCCTCACCACCGTCTGGCGTCACCTCGCCATCTACGGCTTGCCCGCCCTTCGCCTTGCATCCCTCGCCTTCCTGCGCCTCATAGTCCTCTGCCTCACGCAGAGCCTCCCTTGCCTTCCCCGCATCCCAGGAGCACGTCACGTAGTCGATGTCCTCTCGCGGGATCAGCCATTCGAGGATGAGGAAGAAGAGGCAGTCGACGACGAGGATGATGACTTGAATCATGCCGAACCAGGGGCCGAGGGAAAGGTTCCTGAGTGGAGTGGGTGAGCGGGGCGTAGGTGCAGAGATCGGCAGGACGAGATGACGGGCCTGGCTACCACACTAGAGGCCAGAATAAGGCTGCCAGTCGAATGCAAGTTGAGCAGAAGAACCAGCCCAAACGGGGGAACAGCAAGCCAAATGCATCGATGCTCACCTCCTCATCCTCTCCATCAGGTCGCGCTCTGGCGCTGCTATCACTGCTCGATAGACACGCTCCGTGCGCCCAGTGACGGCAGCCCAGTCGTAGAAGGTGCGCACGCGAGCGTGGGCACGAAGCGGATCGTGCGCGCCGGCCTGAATGTGACGGACGGCGCGCGCGATGGCGCGGACGACGTCTGGAATGGGGGTGATTAGTGAGTTGGGATGGGGAACGAGCTCGCCGTGATATCTCTGCCAAAGCTCGTTGATTCGCCACCTCCACTTACCATCCTCCTCCGGCTCCGCGAAGCAGATCATGTCCTCGGGCAGGATCTCCGGCACGCCGCCGACGCGCGTCGAGACGACGTAGAGGCCGGCGCAGGCGGCCTCGAGGATGGCGATGCCGAAGGACTCGGTGAGGGAGGTGTTGAGGAAGATGTGGCCCGCGGCGGAGGTGCTGGAGTGATGAACATCGCCAAGGCAAGGGATAGGTCGTGTATCGAAGTCAATGGACGGAATGGATATGAGGAACAGAAAGGCACGAAAGAGGAGCACATTAGTGTACGGGCCAATGCAATCAATGTACTACCCACGGCGAGGACATCACCGTGCGCGACGGGGCCGAGGAGCTCGATGCGGTCCTGTAGGCGATGTTTCTCGCGCATTTGCAGGAGGTCGATTAGTTTGGGGCCCGTGCCACCTGGGCGGGATGTGGGGTTTAGTGGATATTGAAGTCAAGCGGGGGATGAGGAGGCTTAGTAGACGAGGACGTAGAGCGGTCGAAGGATGTAGTCCGCGCTCGCTGAGAAGTCGGACGTACCAACCAAAAAGCGCACGTTGGGAAAGAGGCGGCAAACGTGCGGAGCGGTAGCGACAAGGAGGTCGATACCCTTGCGATATGCGAGGCGGGACATGACGACGATGGTTACTGGAGCGAATGAAAGTTAGGCTGCTAGGAGGGACGCAATTGAAGGTTTGAACTGACTGATATCCGTCGAGGTAGGCGGGTCGGGTACGAAGTGGTCAGCAACGAGAGCGTTCGGGATGACATAGACGTCGTTGCGAACAGTCAGTGCAGTTGGGTCATCCTCGCGAGGCTCGAAGAGCTGCCCTCGGAGTACAGTGTTTTCTCGACTATGTGGCGTCGGTTCGCGATACTAGCAAAAGAAAGGAGGGGCGCTTACCCAGTATGCGACACGCAAATCACCGCATCCACATTCTTCAGCGTCCCCACCAGCAACTTATTTGTCAAAATACTCGCCGCATCCTCGAACCCAAACAAACTATGGTCCGAAAACACGGTGCGCACGCCCAGCAAATGCGCATGGAGCAGCGCCTCGTGGCCCAAAGAGGACAGGCTCGCGTGCGCGTGCACCAGCTGGATGTGCTCGCGGAGGATAATAGTGCGAAAGTACGGGAGGAATGTGAAGAAATTCGGGAGCGTCGCCGAGTTGGCGATAGGAGGGAAGGGGATGTGGTAGACCTTGAGGCCGGGGAGGAGCCAGCGGATGCCGACGCGGTCGCGGTGTGAGTGAGTGATGACGATGACTTTGTGTCCGCGGGCGAGGAGCTGGACGCCGAGCATGTAAATGTGGTTTTCAACGCCGCCGACGTTGGGGTGGAAGAAGTCGCCGACCATGCTGGAGGATGGTCATTGGGTGAGAGTATAGGTCGGAGGACAAGAAGGGTCGTACGCTATGTTTATGGGCGGCATGGTTTCGCTGGTCATCGTCTTCGCTTCATCAAGTGTTGGGCGCTAAACTGCGATAGGTGATGGTGGTTGCAGTTAAGCAGCGGTATATCTAATCTTATCTCGGGCGTGATTAGATGTGATGACTGCCACGTGCGGTTGAAGTTCAACTTCGATTCCAGACGTCCTTCCTCAGCCCATTGTAGGACCACATGAGTGGCTTCTATTCTTTGCATTGCAATGTATGCAGAAGATTGGAGCATATACTGAAGGTTTTAGTACCATGGTTAGACTGTCCCCGGTTGTAGACGGCTACAAACCAGCCGAAGGCCAGGTGCCACAAAATATTCTAGGTCATCAACATCTGTTCCTGGCGACTCGCAGCAAGCAGGCGCGGAATCGATCACGAGCATGTCAGACCCGCTCGGATGAGGAGTTACCATCTGAGGAGGGAGCGTCGATGACCTTCGATGATAATGAGGGATCTCTTGTTATGTCAGGAGGCGGGCAGCGGCGAATAGAGATCCAAGATAAGAACCAGCAGTGGTTTGCCCCTGGGCTGCGAGCGAAGGGTACGTCTCCACAGGAGCTGGGGAGGAAGCGCATAGGCTGCAGCAGAACCCTGTGGAGTGAGTTGCCGAAGGCGGGAACAGGAACCGTCAGCAGTGGGGTATGAGGGGACATAGCCTGCAGGAACGGTCAAGAAGCACAAGTAGAACGGAGGTGCATTGAGTGCGCCTCAGTGATGTCAGTCAGGGCACGATGGGTGCCAATAGAACGGCGGGTGGCCTGGATAGTACCGCCGGGTATGAGCGGTGGAGGGTTCGGGGCCAGTAAGTCGACGGTACTGAATGTCCTGAGGTAACAGGGACGGTCGGAACGAGGCCTGCAGCTGCATGACGCGAGTACAAAGACGCGAGAGATATGACGGCGTGCGAGTAATTTAGGCGTGGACTTTCGTCAGCCGACAATCGCCCCCCATCGCGACACAGTTTCCCCACTCTAGACGGTGGCCGGGGCGTCCCAGCGTGAGAGCGCAGGCGCCCGATAGGCGACTATCACGGCAGGAGTGCGTTCAGAAGGAGCAAAGAGCTGCCCGAACGGGCAGGATCATCGTCCGAAGTGGGCACAGTGTTCGCGGTCGTGATAATGTACGCGGGGACCCGTCAAGCAACGGACTGTTCGTAGATGGGGGCACCTGGGGCACGCACGAGACCGTCGTAGAGCGCGAGCGACGGGGGTGGTGCATGCGGGGCTGTATATGGTGGTGCGTGGGCGCGTGCGGCTCAGCCGACAGCGCGCCAGGTACGTGATCGCATTAGGCGGCGGTCAGCGGGTCCCGGGGGCCACAGCGGCGGAGGGGAGGGTGATCCGCGGCGGACAAGGCGCAGGCGCAGACGTGTCGTCCCTCGCGGCCGGGGTGCCCGCTGCTGCGCGCGCTCTCGTGGTCAAAAGGCCAAAAATCAGAGTCAACCTGGTGGCATCACGTGGCACGCCTGGGTCCGCGCTAAAATGTGACACACCAGGTCACGGCGGGTCGACCGCCGCGATCATCATGCCCGTCCGCCCGCCCCGCGCGTCAACGAGCGGCGCCGTCGACCCCTTCGATGCCGCGCTGCGCCCACCGCCGGACGAGACCCCAGAGGAGCGTGAGGCACGCCTCGCTCGCGAGGAGGAGGCGCGCCGAGTCAGTGCCGAGATCGACGCCGAAATCAAGGCCGAGCGCCAGGCGAAGAAGAAGAAGCGCATCGTCCGCCTTCTCCTTCTCGGCCAGAGCGAGAGTGGTGAGTGAGGAAGGAGGGGGGCTGCTCGGTGTGCTGACGGACGTGCAGGAAAATCGACGACGCTGCGACGTGAGTGCGCGGGGCGGAGGGTCTGATGAGACGCGGCTAATCGCGTGCAGAATTCCAACGATTGTACACCCCGACAGCATTCAGAGAGGAGCGCATTCTCTGGCGAGCGGTCATTCAATTGTGCGTGCTCATCGTGCCGCCCCTTCCCCCGCTCACGTCCGCAGAAATGTCGTCCGTTCGATGCGCACCATCCTTGATGCCGTGCACCACGAACTCGTCGCGACTGCGGCCCTTGCGCCAGCACACAAGAGCCGTAGCATGCCTTCCCGACCACGTCATGGACCGTCGTATTCGAACGACTTCGGCGTACGCCACCCCAGTATCCCCGGGCAACGCAGACGCACCCCTGGGTCCACCATCGACGGCGCGGTAGCAGAGTTCTCTACGCCCGGTGCAGGCCCTTCCCATGCTGCGTATGACTCCAACGCGGCAGCCGGCCCCTCTCATCCTCCCCTGCCCGGCAATCACGGCTACCCCATCGCGCCCCCCGCATACCCGCACGTGCCCTCCGTTCCGCTTAACGTGGACTCTGGCCCAGAGTCAGACTTCGAGCTCTCGGATCCTGAAGCAGATGATACCCTCGGCTCGTACAAATCCACCATCTCGCTAACGGCCAACCATTTGGAAGTACTCCGCGCACGCCTCGATCCCCTTCGTCACGTCGAGCGCCTACTGGTAGCCAAACTCGTTCCGCCTAACGAAGATGAGGCTACGAGACTCGGCGGCCCCACCCTAGCTGGGCAAGAAATTGTCGTACGGCCCGGGCAGGAAGTATATGTACGTCCTGGCGCAGGATGGCGGGGTGCGCTCGCCCGCGCGCGTGTGCTCTACCCATCCGGCCGGAACGCCAGTGGCACAGGAAGCAGCGGAGGAAGCGTCGGCAGCGGTGGAAGCAGCAATAACAGCGGGAACGGGCCCCATGGCATCACCAGAAGAACGAGTTCCAGCGGCAGCGGCGGCGGCCTCGCGGCCAGCATAAGCGGCTTCGTCCACCACACGAAATCCATATCAGGTCACCCCCGCCAGCATCCCGAGCTTCCGTCGCACACGCAGCAGTCGCCGTCGAGGAAGTCGAAGGGGGGCCACCAGCGACAGCCGACGGACGTCTATGCCTCTCAGGCTGGCCGCCCCTCGGAATCCGATCGTCGCTCTCAGCCTTCGCAGTCTGACAGACGGTCGCAGCCCAGCCGCCAACGCTCTGAACGCTCGCGCCCCAGCAGCGTCGGCAACATTGGGTCGGAGAGCCCCGACCAGGCCCAGGAGGTGCTGTACGCGTGCCGCAGGGATATGATCCAACTGTGGCTCGACCCGGATGTAAGGACGATTTTGAGACGGAGGAAGATCAGATTGGAGGATGCGCCGGGATTGTGAGTGATTTTCAATGATTATCGGGTTCTGGTGATTATCTGGCGGGATTGCGCGGAGAATTCGTTGTGGGCTCGGGTGCGTGGGACTGCGATTCCGGGAGGAAGGGAGTGCCATGAAGTGCAATGCTTTCTGGGCGTGTATGTCGACGAGGAAGGCATACCAAGGATCCCGAGATTTCTTCATTGATTTTGCCGTCCATATGCAGCCTTTGAGGCTGACCAATTTTCCAGCTTCCTGAACGACCTGGAGCGCATCACATCCCTCAGATACATACCAACGGATGGTGAGTCTCTTACAGATCATGTCACTTCCCTCAGGATATTGCGGCGCGGCGTCACTATCGCTAGACCAATGTCGTACAGCTATGCGTACCCCGCAGGCACTGACCCTTCGGCATTTTGCTCATGCGTCTTCTTTGCAGAGGACGTGTTGAAGGCGCGCCTCAAAACCGTCGGCGTTAGCGAATACAAGTTCGAGATGGAGGTCGCCGCGAAGGATACCCCGAGCGAGTGGCGCATCGTCGATGTAGGAGGTAGTCGGAGTCAGGTGAGTCTTCCTTCCTTCCTTCCGCCTCGTCCAACGATGCTGACGGTTTTTTCTTTCAGCGTGGTAAGTGCCACAATGTGCATATCGTCGATACAGCTGGTGACCTTGACCTGTCCCGCAGCGACGTGGGCGCCGTTCTTCGATGATGGTGAGTGACATAGCCATGCGGTCCATACATGGACAGACAGCCTGTTCATGGCGGTTGCGTTGGAACATGTGGGCTGATTGGTTTTTTTGCAGTGGAAGCAATTATCTTCCTGGCGCCGATATCGGCGTTCGACCAGGTGTTGGTGGAGGACAAGACTGTGAACAGATTGGTGAGTCGTTCGTCTAACCTCAGCCGGAGGCTGAGCGCGTGGGTAGCTCGTTGCTATCCGTACCACGTAGACGAGTTGTTGCATCCGAAGGGATTTTCTTTATGTTGCTCTCCTCCTTTCCCTTCCGTCCTTCACTCGAGCAGTCTAAACTCTCTTCCTGGCTCGCACTACACTTGCTTGCTAACGCGCCACTTCCACCATTGCTTACACCACCCCCTCACTACAGGAGGACTCCGTCCTGCTCTGGAAGGCCGTCTGCCAGAACAAGCTGCTCGCGAACGTCGATCTCGTGCTGTTCCTGAACAAGTGCGACATCCTGGAGGCGAAGCTAAACTCGGGGATCCGGTTCGCGAAGTACGTGCGCAGCTATGGGGACCGGGAGAATAGCTTTAGCGCGGTTAGCAAGTGTGAGTTTCATTTCCCGTGGGTTGAGTGTGTTTCGCGGTGGTCGAGGGCGCTTCGCGGCGTTCCAGTGCATCTGTGTCCTTCATTTCCCGTTTTCTGAGCACCTCGTCCTGGTGTTCGAAGACATGGTCCTGTGGTGCGAAGCCTCTACCCTGGTATACGAGAAGACACGGTCGTGTCGTCCGAATGCGCCCCAGAATCTGGTTTTGACGGATCGACACTGACTAGTCTTTCACCCAGATCTGCAGAGCAAGTTCACTGCCATACATCGGGAGTACTCGCCGCCCACACGGAAGTTCTACGCGTTCTGCACGTCTGTTACTGTGAGTCAGGCAGCGGGCGACGACGCATAATCGCTAATGCACGCGGGTGTAGGATACCCAAACGACTTCGGGCATAATCGCGAGTGTGCGCGACATGGTCATCCGACAGCATTTGAAGCAGTCAAAGCTCATGTAAACCGCCGCCAACGGGCGTTTGACTGCTGTTATGTTTTCGACGAAGGCCACGAAGTTCGCGGAAGGAGGGTGACGCCGCGTGAGCGCACTTCAATGCATATACTATGCACTTTTCACACTATTCCTTTTCCGCTATACCCCTCGTCGTGCTGCTCATTGCATAGGATATGCGGTGGGCTTTCGGGAAGGGCGAGTGCCAACTCCTTGATATGGCATCATGCCCTTTTAGGAAATCGCGCTAGACCTTCCCGATGGCCGGCAGCCCAAAGGAGAGCCTGTTGTGCTTCCCCACCGTCGCTCGTTGACCTCCTAGCGCAAGCTAGCTCACGCTCATGAGAGACCGTTCGATATCATCTACTGACCCACCACTTACGCACCTTCATTTCTCTGCCACAATCAGTGCTGAATTGTTGTAGTATTATCTAGTTACATATTTGCCCATCTACATACTCAAGATCGTGTTATAAAGGTCATATATCGAGGAATGGCTCTATTGTATGACAACGATGGATGCGAGTTCGGCAAACGTGAGTCACGGTTGGTGTCACAGTCACGACTGATCCTTGTCCAGTTGATGAGATCCAACTCGTCCCGCGCGGTGGCTATCGAATCACGTTTTGCTACAGCAGCCACTCCATGGTGAATTACCATATCAAGTATGAACCGGAGCTCAACGACCATCTCTCCCAAAGCTGCTTTATCAGTGCTGAGTCACGTCTAACTCTCTTGTTTCCTTCTTGGGCATCGCCGACGATTGCACCCCCGAACGCCGGTCGGCGGTCCCCTTCGCTCTTCCTTAATCAGCAGGCGGCGACTCTGTAACCTCTTTCTCACTCTCTGCCATGGGCGGCAACGATGCCAGGGCCTATCTGAGCAGCGCTGGCGTCTTCTTGTATTACAGATCAGCGGGAACTTGTGCTTGTCGGCGTGCTATAAAAGCCAGCTTGAGATGCTGCTCAACACCAGCAAATCACCTCTTTATCTTCCCTTCCTCGGCTCTTTTCAACCTCTACAACCTCTATAGACATGCCTGCCTCTCAGACGCTCTTCAAGCCTGTCAAGGTTGGACCACTCCAACTCCAACATCGCATCGTCCTGGCCCCGATGACTAGGTTCCGCGCCTCCGCAGCGCATGTACCTCTGCCTAACGTAAAGGAGTACTACGCTCAGCGAGCGAGCACTCCTGGCACGCTCCTCGTCACCGAGGGCACCTTCATCGCTCAACAGGCCGGTGGGTATCCCCATGTCCCCGGCATCTGGAACGACGAGCAGATCGCTGCTTGGAAGGAGGTGTGTCTCTTCGTCTCGTCTGCCAGTCCAGCACGGCGCTAATTTTTTCACAAGGTGACCGACGCCGTACACGCCAAGGGCTCCTTCATCTTCTCCCAGCTATGGGCCCTTGGCCGTGGTGCAGCACTCGCGCAACTCCAGTCGGAGGACCCATCCTTCAAGCTCGTCGCACCTTCTGCTATCCCCTTGACTGGCACGGAAGACATCCCGCACGCGCTTACGGTCCCAGAAATCAAGGAGTACATCAAGTTCTACGGCGACGCTGCAAGGAAGGCTGTTCATCAAGCTGGCTTCGACGGCGTTGAGATCCACTCCGCCACGGGCTACTTGGTAGATCAATTCTTGGTGAGTGCGATTGCCGTTGTCTCTATGTTGCACGATACTGACATGAACTGTAGCAAGACAACACGAACCAACGCACGGACGAGTACGGCGGCAGCATCGAAAACCGCGCACGCTTCGCCCTCGAACTGCTCGACGAAGTCGTCGCTGCCGTTGGCGCTGACCGCGTCGCCTTCCGCATCAGCCCATGGAGCACCTTCCAAGGTACGCTTCCCTTCCCCCTCAATTTCCCATATCCTCTTCTCACATCCACCCTCCAGAAATGCGCATGAAGGACCCCATCCCCCAGTTCTCCTACCTCGCCGAGCAGATCAAGAAGCGCTACCCCAAATTCGCCTACCTCTCCGTCGTCGAACCGCGCGTGGTCGCCACGGACACGCGCCCCGACGAGGAGATCGCGCCGGAGGAGCAGAACGACTTCTTGCGCAAGGTCTGGGCGCCGTTGCCGTATGTCAGCGCGGGTGCATACACGCGAGACCTCGCGCTGAAGAGTGCGGAGGAGAAGGGCGAGTTGGTGGCCGTTGGGAGGTACTTCATCTCGAACGTGAGTTGCATTGCATGATTATGTCGAAATTGAATGGCGGTTGACAGCACTCTAGCCCGACCTTGTACGCAAGTGGAAGGAAGACTTGCCGCTTACGCCCTACGACCGGGACACGTTCTACCTCCAGGGCGACGCGAGTCCGAAGGGGTACACCGACTATCCGTTCGCTGAGGGCAGCCGGTCATCTTCGCCGAAGCAGCGGTGGCACAAGAGGTTGAGCTCGGCCTTCCGTCGTCTCTCGGGACAGTAGGCTGCGATGCTCATAGTTCTTGTATACCCATGATCTGAGCGGAAGGTGTAATGTTTAGCCGGACTGTACTTGCATCGGCAACCGTATATAGAAGCTGCCTCCTGCCTATAGAAAAACAGGTCCCCCGTCTACAAAGCAATCGTATACAGACAACATGACACAAGATGAGAAAGAGGTAGGTAAGTGTACAACTAGTAAAGCCAACGGCTTTATCGTAACGAATCATGAACCTCCAAGTACAGTCGTGAAAGTGAAACTCAGTGACGGCGGATCTCTCTGTCCACCTCCTCTATCTCCAATCCATGCACTCTCAAATATTCCTGCTCGGGAGAGGGACCATGCGAGAGCCCGCGAGCCTTCCTCGCAAGGTACTCCGCCGACTTCTTCGCAAAGCGCTTGCGCTGCGCAGCCAATCGTCTCCGTTCGGCGGCCAAGCACTCATACGCAGAGGGTGGGCGCTGTCCTGCGCTGACGTCTATGCTGTCTTTGTCTTCCGACGATGCCAATGAGAGCTGGACTGTCGGGGCGTGATGTCCAGCCTCGTCGATGCTGGCTGCTTCCTCCAGGCCAGCCATGGGTTGCGCGAGCGACTTGTCCTCACGAAGAACCGCTATGAACTTGTGAACGAGCTTGAGGATATCTGAGGGGCAAGTCCAAGTCAATCTTCGGAACGACGGAGCGCAAAATTGTGCACGCACATATCTGGCAGAGCCATAGAACCACGATCGCCCCTGTATATGATGCGACAAAGATGCCCATCCACGTCTCGCACTTCACTTTGTCGGCACCGCTGACCAGGTCGCACAGTGCGTCCCACTGCAGTCGTGTCTCACGGTAGAGCCAAATGAGAAGGTAGATCCCCACTCCTATACTCTGCGCGGATTGCAGCCACAGCAGGGCACGGTACATGCGGGTGAGCGTGAGTGAGCGGCAGAGCGCGGAGTAGAGACTATTGAGGAGGAAGAGAGGAGTGAGCTAGCTTCCTCAAAGCCCAGGTCTACACACGCACCCAAAGCACGTCGAGATAGTAACAAAAGTACAGAAGCTAGCGAGGACGAAGAAGAAAAGGTCGTTATTGACGAAGAGAGGGCCGCCTGCGAGGGCGACATCAGTTGGCTGCTTCAACCTGACATTGTGGCAAGCGTACTGGGATTTGCGATCTGCGCCCACGCCATCCCAGCTATGGGACCACAGGTGAATATGAGGATGATAGACATTATCTGCGGTACGTGAGCGGGCAAGCCTCCCATTCAAAAGATATCTCCAACGCACATAGAGCCCAAGACGAAGCGGAAGACACCATATGAACGTCCGTGACGCAGGGGTACTCCCATCCGAGGCAAACATATGCAAGCGCTTCTCTCCGGGGGTATACATCCTTGCTGTAGAGTCCGACGCCTATTGAGGTGCTCCAAAGTCGTGAAGTCGTAAACGTCGTAGAGCCTCTGCATGATCATGAGTTATGTTTTCCCTGCTCCGTAGAAACGTCACACCTTCCACCCACAGGCACTCCCGAATCTCGCAGGACGAAGGGGCGGGAGAGGGGAAGAGCAGGCGAACGAGTCGATATATAATGCCCGCGGCTCCCTCCTCGTACCCGCTCATACACCGACGATAAGGGCGCCTAGCCAGAATCGGAGGCGAACGTGGCCGACCTTCCGACGGTTATTGCGTTCAAGATTCGCGGTTGACGAGATGCATTAGCCTTTGACGAGATCAGCTAGGGTGACGGGTCCGCCCTCCCAAGCGATAGTGCGAAGATACACGCATGAGGTGTTGAGGACAGCGAAGGCCCTCTCAACGCCACAACCGCCGGCCGCGTCCTTAAGTAGGGCGTCCTGCCAGTATAAACCTGTCACAACCTGTCACCTATTTCAGTGTCAAAATCCAGAAAGATGAGCAAACAACATGGAAAGCCTTCACGTACCGTCTAGACTTTCTCGATATCCCCACCCTTCCAATCCAGCCAACGGCCGTTACCCACCCATATAGTTCAAGAACACGTACCTGCCACTCCCATCCTCATTCTCATCCAGCGCATCCACACTAGAAGAATGTATATCGTACATTGTGCGAAGGCTAGTTGTCATCTAGCGGCGCAACGCGTTACGCGTCGCCGCGCACTACTGCTATTACCGTACCAACATCTCAATGAATCGTCCAAGTGCAAGACCCTCGGTCTGCGATAAGCGCAGCTAAGGGCCTACAGCGGGGAGGTATACGCCCCTACATGGGAAAGTATAAGCTACTTAGTCCCACTTGTCCACCTTCATCGTGCCCTTCTCCTGCAGGTTGATGTGCATCTTGAACGCATTCTGGGAGTGGGATGGTAAGCAGGATGATCAGATTCTGTGAGGAGAGTACTCACCTTGAGCATATGCGGCTCGTGGCCCATGCCCTTCTTCAAGCAGTCGTACAGCGCGCGCTCATAGTAATCCATCAACGAGTCCCTGTAGTCGGGGTGCGCGCACTTCTGGATGATGACCGGCGCACGCTCACGCGGGGCCAGACCTCTCAAATCCGCAAGACCCTGCTCCGTCACCACCACATCCAAATCGTGCTCCGTCTGGTCAACATGCGACGCGAAGGGGACGATGCACGAGATACCCGTCGGGTCCGTCTTCGACGGGCGGCTCGAGGGCGTGTGCATGATCGACAGCTTCGCGTTGCGGAGGAAGTCCGCGGAGCCGCCGAGGCCGTTGAGCATGCGCGAGCCGAGCGCGCAGGTCGAGTTCGCGTGCGCGTAGATGTCGACCTCGAGCGGGGTGTTCATCGCGATGACGCCGAGGCGGCGGATGACCTCGGGCGAGTTCGCGACCTGCTGCGAGCGGAGGAGCAGCTTGTCCTTGTACTCGGCCCAGTGCGAGTAGAAGTGCTTGAAGCCCTCGGGCGTGAAGCGGATGCTCGTCGCGGTGGCGAAATCGAGCTTGCCGGAGTCGAAGAAGCGCAGGAAGGTGTCCTGCAGCACCTCCGTCCACACCTGCACCTTGTCGAACGGACCGTCGGCGAGGCCGCCGATAATCGAGTTCGCCACGTTGCCGATGCCGGACTGCAAAGGAAGCAGCGAGCGCGGGAGGCGGCCTGCCTCGACCTCAGCGGACAGGAACTCGATCAGGTGACCGGCGATCAGCTTCGACTCTTCCGTCTCGGGCGCGTTCTTGCCAGTGTTATCGGGGTGGTTGGACTCGATGATGGCGACAACGCGGTCGGGGTCGACGGGGATGGCGGTGGTGCCGATGCGGTCTGACGTGTGGGTGACGAGCTGGGGGTAGCGTCAGTATGAACTCAAGAGATGGGCGCGTGAGATCGCGAAGCAAAGCGCGCCACCGCCCATGATATCAGGTAGACGTACGTAGGGTTGGCGGTAGGGCGGGAGGTTGGACTGCGTGATGTCGTGCAGGCCAGTGAGGTCGGGAATGCTGGTGTTGACTTCGATAACAATCTTTTCCGCGCTTTGCAGAATTTCGGGCGTAGCGCCGACGGATGCGCCCGGCACGATCCATCCCTCCTCAGTCACGGCGGTAGCCTCGACGATCGCCCAGTCAAGGGGTCGGCGCGGGTCGCCGTGTGTCTTCTTCAGGCTGTAGTAGCCGTATGTCAGATCCTGGGGGAACACTACGTGCGGCGTTAGCGATAATGACGCAGGCGGAGGGATGAGAACTTACTGGAAAGGTGCTTGTCGGCGAAGTTAATCCTGCCGGCGTTGATGCCCTTGGCAATGTCCTTGCCGACCTGGTGAGGGTAGCGGCGGGCAATCATGTCCATCCGTGCCCAGCGGTCCTCGACCTCAGGGCCTACAGACGCGCCGACGAAGAGGTTAAACTTCTTCTTGGTCGCGGGGTCGGCCTGCAAGTTGTTCTGCTCAACATGGTCCGCGATGGCCTGGGCATCATCAGTACACGCGCTGCGCCCCCAGCTATTCGTCACGCACCGTTGGGGTAGCCTTCGGGTAGCCGACTCCGGTGAACCCCGACCAGCCGATCTGTATCGTTGTGCTCAGCGTACGCTCCCACTCTCGCACTGCATACACCTACGTAGTCATCGTTCTGCAAGCCCGCCGTTAGCAATCGCGTACAAGCAGTCGATATCCATCGCGACGCGTACCTTAAAGTGCGGGGCGAGCGCCTCCGGGCTGGTGAGCTTGGAGAGGTACTGGGGGCGGCGAACGCGCTGCTTAAGCGCGGCGGAGGCGACGTTGCGCAGGAAGGGGGTGGCACGCATCGCGGGGGTGGGGTAGGAGGTACGAAGCGGCGGGCGTGATGGTGGTAGGCCTTAAGAGGTGCTCAGGAGGAGTACGGGGGCGCGCGCCGCCGGCATTGGCGCGGCATATTCATGAGCCCAGGCGCGCCGTCGGCTGCACGCGATGCGCCGAGCTCGCGTGATCCACAAATCCTCGAGCACAATCTAGACCTTGCCTCCTGCACCCACTCCCGGACGCCCAACGCACCCGCGGCCGTCCTCTGCGACCTACAGAGGGATGGGAACCGACACAGAGACGCGGACTTTGTGCGAGGGCAGCATCTCGCCGCTCGGCAGGCGCACCCAACGATAAGCCACACGGAGCTCCGTCTCCTTCGCCCGCTCGAAAGACATCATGCACTCCGACCCAGTCCGTCTCACGCCCTCGCGACGTGCGGAGCTTGTCGCCCAAAGTCCGTGTTCGGGAACAAAAGGCAGAATATATGGGCGCAACCCCGCACTCGTAAGCGCCCTCTCCAGGCGGGGCCCCGGACATGAGGATCGCGCACCGCTTGGGGAACTCAGCTACGAGCGCCTTCGCAAGCACTTGCATAGGCTGATGGACTGGTAGTCAGCCTGCATTCACTCGCTGACCGAGGTTGCAGATAGTACAACACCCAAGACTTCGCGAAGCAGAAGATATCGCACGGCCTCCCTCGGGAGAAGGCTCGCGCTGCGTAAACGTTCTTTACTCTTGGTACACGACACTACGGTGATACAAATACACTTGGAACCCTTCAGAATGACCGGAACCCTTTCGGACACTCGGAACCTTAACGAACACTACACAGCTTTCGCACATCGTCCTCGATGAGGGGTTTCACGCAAATGAGGCGGACACCGGCGACAGAGGCGGCGACGGCACAAGCGACTCGCGGCGCGCAATGCTGGCCCGCGGGGAACGCAGCGACTGGGCGAGGAAGGACCCGCCCATGAAGTGCATCCCAGGAGCCACGCTGTGGGCGTCCACAGCCGCACCAGGAACGAAGGCATTGACGCCCAAGACGGGAGCAGCGCCGAGCGCGGCAGCGACTCCCAGTCCGTGCGCGACCCCGAGCGCGGTCGGCACGGAAGCACCGTCGATGCCGTGCTCGACGGCGGTGGCCATGGTCATGGCCGCATCCTTGACGCGGCGGGACATCCCCAGAGGGATGATCTCGAGGGCGACTTCTTCGCCCTCGATGATGTTACGGAGGTTTTCTGCGGTGCAATATCAGCAGCGAGTCCAATGAAAGATTAGCGGCGAGGTTGGAGGTTGGGCGCAGGTTAGTGGCGACTCAAAATATCGCAGCTGGTGAGGCGGGTGCCACAAAGGGAAGGTGCTCACCGATCTTTATGACGAGGGGCGCGAATAGCAGGCTGCATTCTTGAGCCTGCTGGGCCTCGTCGAAGGTGAGAAGGGGCGCTTCGAGGGAGGGAACCATGGTGAGGATGGGATAGGGGGGCAGCTTTGATTTACTGGCGCGAGGCGGATGGCTTTACTGGCGCGAGAGGGATGGCTCTGAGTTTAGTGAACCGATGTGTGCCAGCCAGCTGACGATGGGTCGGAAAGGTGGCGCGGGGTGCTTCAGAGGCGGGACGCTTCAAGCGCTGAAGGCTATGGGTAGGCGAGGCTTCGGAAGACGAGGCTGAACACTTCGGAAGACGAGACTAGATGAAGACAACCTCGATCTGACGAACAGACGGTGATGGGATGAGAAGAAGAGCGACTACTGTGAGCGCCCACCATCACTGGTCTTTTATACCCACACATCTGGACGCCACCTGGTCCCATCGACACGCCACTTGGTCCCATCGACACGCCACCTGGCCCTACCGACAACAGCGATATACAACTGCACGGACCTGTTTGCTATACAGTATACACGGACGCTCTGCAGCGAGCCTGCCCTCGATTCACGCATCTGTGTGCCCTCACCCAGTGTTACTATCTCAGTGCTACTGTGCCCCTCCCCCAGCGCTATACTGTGCCCCCACCCAGTACCCTTCGCAGTGACACGTCGCAAAAGGGGATACTCAGGCTTATTTGTAACCCCTTATGGCAGTCTTTGTTCGTTGGTGGTCCGATTGTGCTGTTAGAATTGCACTCTCCTCTCGAGGCACTCCATTGAAGCGCTTGCCTTTCTACAGATTTAGTCCAAATTCCAGCATGTAATATTCGACAAATATCTTTCTAATGGATATGCAAAGCTGCATCACACTACTGCTTCAAGGCCACGGGGACTCCACTGCATCCACAGCTACAGTCAGGGAGAGCATAAAGTGGTGATACATATGGGGGATAAATAAAGCAGTCAGTTCCTTAGGACTGCAGATAGAATACGCTGAACGCGAGGTTCGATAAGGGCGTCGTGCAATACGTCAGGCGCCTAAAAAGCACATAAAAACAATAGCGCACCAAGCACATAAATCATGTCGGAAATCCGACGGGGATAATAAGCGACATCCGGTGTCGCAAAATAAGAGTAGAGTTTACGAGCGCGCCACGAAAAGGAAGGCGCGCCGCATTGAGGTGTCCTGAGGATGCTCGAAAGGCATCGAATCAAACGCTCGAAAAACATCGAAGTGTTGAACCCAAACCAATTGCGAGGGCGAATCAAACCCAGGGAGACCGTAGTATGAACTCAGCGACGGCCGCGTAACTGGCTCAGTCCCTCATCGGTGGTAAGTCAACGGGACGAAGGCGCGGCGCGCCCGGCGGCGCCGACGCCGACCTCTTCGCCCTGGGAGGTGGGACGCGGGAAGTCCCCGCATGCGACTCGGAGCGGCGGCGGTCCTTGAGTCGACCGTGGGTGGGAGGTGCGAAGCGGTCGTCGATGTCTGGGGGATATGTCAGCGATCTCGACTTATACAACGTGCACAGGCAGAGGAGCCGGCGGCCTTCCAGCCCGGCTGCGACTTTCGATTCATAATTTTGAGGCTTAGCAAACTTACCTTCCAGCAGAAGGAAACCGTCCTCGCCATAAAGCAGCCCGCCGCCGACGGCCGCGCCGCCCTGGTCGAGTATGTATCGACCGGTGTTTACGGCCATGCCCATGGCGCCAAACAAGAGGGTGTGCTCGGGGCGGGGGAGGGGGGACTTGGGGAAGCGGAGGTGAGATGTGTGCTTGGGTTTGCGGATGTTGGAGGGTTTGACGGCGGACGCGGTACTACGAGAGGACTTGGTCTCGACAGGGGCGCGTTGCGAGCGGTAATCCTTTGGTTCGGCAACATAGGAGGAGGCCATGTGGTGAGAGTGAGGGGCCGAGGGCGCAGGCGACGCATAGGGATGTGCAAAGGGCGCATCGACGTCGTAGGGCCCGTGGGTCGTGTGCGAGGGCCCACGGCTCGCAGACAGGGTGTTGTGAGTGGGTCGAGCGGTCCCGCCCCGGTGCAATCGATCTTCCTGCCTATGCATGCTGGGAGTGGCTGGGGGATCGCCTGCGTGTGCCCGCTCAGGCAGGCCCATGCGATCGCGACGAGGATACATAGCGAGCAATCAGCAGAGGGATGAGGGCAGCGTGTCAGAGGCTACGGCAAGCTCGACGTCCTGGCACGTTTCCGAAGGCTGTTGGGACGAGCGCAAGGTGCGAGGGCGGGAACATCGGTAGCTCTCTAGAGGCTTATATGGCACCCGAGAAGCCGGCAGAGTCACATCAAGCGGCAGGGGCCTCGCAATACAAGCGGCACAAGCGGCGGCACCGGCGCGACACAGCAAAACAACAGCAGAAGCGCCTAGCCAGGCCGAACGCGGGAGAAGACCCAGAGAAAGCAAGGAGTGCGCGAGGCAGCGGCCAATCGTGGGACGATGAACTTGCTCAGGTTGACTGAGAGCACGTCTTGCGGAGTGTAAAGAGATGAAAGAGCTGTGAGGCATGACTGAGGTAGGGCTAAAGGGCTACGAGGCGAGGGAGGCGCATGAGAGCTCAACGTCGCGGACTTCAACTGCTCGCGTGGCCTACGATCACCCACGTGCCCGGCCCGTCCGCCGCCGCTGCCCACTTTCTTCCTCCACCCAAGTCCAAGTCGACCGTCGCCGCGCGCCATGGCAGCCCCCACGCGCTCGACGCAGGCCATCCTGCGGCGCATCACCGACACCAAGCATGCGAACCTCTACACCCGCGAGGGCGTTCGCGTCATGCGCGCCGTCGTTGACCAGCACCGCGCGGAGATGGCCTCCTCCGGTCTTTCGACACATCAGCTCTTCCGCCTCGCGCAGGGCGTGCAGCCCTCCGCAGACTTCAAGCCGGACCCGGTAGTGGGCGAGGGCCCCCACCCGCCGCATCCGGAGCACCCGATCAAGAGTGTCAGGTGCGTTCTGGTGTTCATGCAGGAAGGAATAGTGCTAATGCCCACCCAGTCAAGCGAAGCGCATCCTCGAGCACCTCAGTGGACAGCGCATCATTGCCATGAGCAAGTTCAAGCGCGTCACCGAAACTCCCGCCGCCAGCTCGTCCTCCAAGCACGCTTCCGCGTCCGACGCCGAGGCACCCGCCGCGAACACCCACACCGTATACGCCTGGCGCTGGTTGCAGGAGCTGCCGCGGGATCCCCCACCCGCCCCGGCGCCGAAGCGGCTGCCGTACGGGTGGCAGGTCGGTGTCGGCGAGGACCGCTCGCATCTGAACAAGCGGCGGCAGCGCGCGCGAGGACCGAAGATTCGGGCAGCGGTGATGCAGTGGAAGACGGAGGTGAAGCCGCAGTGGCTGCAGGAGGCGCGGGAGAAGGCGGAGAGGAGGACACAGGCGACGGCATAGAGCACTGTTCCCTATCTCCTCGCAACACGACTCTCACTTCAAGCTGCTTGATTGACTCCTTGCATTGGATCTCATTCTGTCCTGCTGATTCGGTAAAGTATACAGTTGAATTTCCTTTAAGGAATACGGTCGGGAGACAATCTTTTGTATTCCATAGGGGGGATATTCCGTGCAGAAAACAGCCAATAATTCCTCGGAAAATCCGAATATTTTATTCCGCCTTTCGGGGGTGATTTTCGGCATCTCTTGTGCCACACCATGCGCTCAAATGGTGTTTTGCATACCAGATAGGTAGAGCTAGTGCACTAAGCATACTGCAGCCTCTCTCAAGGCACTCACAGTGCATAAATAGGTGGCATCCTACTAACTCACATGACCGGTATGGAATATTTTGGCTGGTGGACAGTCTCGCAACCCTATTCCGTATGAGATAGCAGGGTTATTGGAATATGCCCGCCTCCCGAGCTGGGGAATCGCCCAACCCTATTCCGTAGCGGGGATATTCCATAGGGGGTGATTCCATAAAGGAAATTCAACTGTAGTTCATCCGTCTGCTTCCTTCCTAAATCGTCTTCCCCTCTCCTTCAATCCCTCCCTTTACTCCTCCAACACCTTTAGCTTCACGCTTAACTCCTCATCCTCCCCATACTTCTCCTTCCACGCCTTGATCCCGCCCTCCAAGTAGTACACGCCGTCAGTCGAAAGGCCCCTCTTCTCCAGCGCGTCGGCGTACCAGCCGGCGGCGCGGTAGGCGCGTCCGCCGGGGAGGCAGGCCTGGCAGTGGAAGACGACCTGAGTGAGGAGTCAGTCGAGCTGTTGACGTCTAGCAACAAAGGGCCGGAGGAATGAGCCATTTACCTTCTTGACGGTCTTGAGCAGCTCAACCGCGGTGTCGACAGTCTCGTAGAAGGAGTGCGCGGGGAGGTTGATAGCGCCCTTGATAGCTACGCCCTGATGAGGTTGAGTGAGCGCCAATCGCCCAGTGCTGCCTACAAGTTGGGCTCGAATAGCTTGTATGCAGGGGATCTCTCGCATGTAGAATCTCCAAGTCTCGCATGTAAGAGACGTTGCGCGACTGCTCGCAAGCTCCCGGAAACCCTCCAGCGAACGACCTACCTCGAAATCGGTCCTTCGGACGTCCACCACTAGCACATCCTTCGCAACCTGTGTAGCCGGATCGCGCAGCACAGCAGCAAGGTCGTCGGGCGAGATACCCTGGAGCTCGGTGTGTTTGGGGTCGGGAAAGGCGGAGTACCAGGGCATGATGGTAGCGGTAATGGGAGTGGAAGAAAGTGGGTGAGGAACGGAAGCGGGAAGTAGAATGGGGGCGAGGTCAAATCAGGGGACAATGGGATCGATGTCAAGGAGCTGGTGGCGAATCCTTGCGCAATCGCCAGCTCACTATGCGGCGGCCCACGGTCCTGTGACGCATTCGGAATACGCAGGGGACCTCAACTTGGAAGAGACGAGCAAGGGACAAGATCACAGCAGAGAGGAAAGCAGTGGGAAGTGCGTGTATAACATCGCATGCTCTACGGGGGTGGATACATGCATCATGGGAGTGAATACATGCATCATGGGAGTGAATACATGCATCATGGGAGTGTACAGATGCATTATGCTGTCGGCTGGGGCGCCGCGTCCCCTGTCGACTCCATCGCGAACAAGGACGCGTCCACGGCCTGCTGCTCCTTCTGCTCTTCTGGCGAGGGTTTCGGCGGGGCGATGACCATGCCGCCGAGCCGCGGGGGCGAGCGCTTGTTGATGAACTCCATTCGGCAGGGGAGTTTGGAGGAGGCTTGGCGGAGGACTGGGGGCACTTTGTTAGGTGGGGGAAGGAATAGAAGGGAAGGGAACGCACTTTCGCGGGCCAGGTCCTCACGGATGGGTACGCCGCCAATCTCGAAGATGACACGGCCGACGGGGACACTTGGAGGGCGTGAGTGGGAATGCTCAGGTGGTAAATTGCATAGAACGCACCGAGTCGCCCAGTACTCGAACGTTCCCTTACCCTTACCCATACGAGTCTCGTTACCCTGTCATATAAGTCAGCACTCGCACTCCTCCTCTCGAGCACCCTCCACGCACCTTCACGCAAACCGGAATATCCGGGAACACGCGCATCCACACCTTCGAGCCCTTCAGAATCTTCAGCTTGCGCTTGATGACCTCCTCCGCGGTGCCCAGCTGCTTCGCCGTCAGCCGCGCGCCGCAGCCAATAATTCGGATGCCCCAGTCGCCGAACGCGAGCGTTGTCCCGCGCGTCGAGCCGCCCGTCGGGATCGGGATGCGGCCCTTGTGCTTGCGGTCCCACTTCACCTGCTTCGGCGCGAGCTGGTGCCGGCCGCGCGCGAAGGTCGTCGACGTCGAGACGGTGGGTGCCGGCGCGCGGAGCGCAGGACGCAGCGCAGAGCGCAGGAGGCCGAGCATGGTTGTCGGCAGAGGGTGCGGGTGGGTGGTGGTGGTCGAAAGAGGAAGGCGAAAACGAGAACAATGGGATTACGTAACGCGCGCCGCGCACCTTCCTCCTCACCACCAGCATCACACGCCGCGCGCGGCCACCGACGGCGACGATGAGCAAGCGCCCGCATGAGGCGACGAACGGAGAGGCTGCGAGCAACAAGAAGTTGAAAAGGTGGGCTTTTCCGGCGTCAGTTGCTAGCTTTCACTGACTTGAACCCGCTTTTGTTTTGCAGCGACGTGAGTACATATTCCATCTGAAGGTGATTCTACTCCTGACATATTCTTGACATCGTCTCTATAACCCTCCTTCCCATAGAATGCACCCACCAATGGCTCTGCAGCGGTACGTTTGTATTTGCTCGCAGAGGCGTCTGGCTCATGGTGAACAGCTGTCTCCCGCAGAGTTGATCGCGCAGAAGCGCGCGGAGGTCGCAGCGAAACTGGCTAGCATGAAGAACCTTGCGGCAGGGGGATCGAAGCCGACAGGCTCGGTCGCAGCTCCACAGCCCATTCGCGCCAATACAGGACTGCCCGCAAAGCCAACGGCCGCGTCCACCCCTGGTACTCCCGGGGCGCCTGGCGCGTCCGATGACTTGGCGCGTAGGATTGCAGAGGCGAAGCGGCTAGTCGCGAGCGCGCAGAGCAAGTTGGCGAACAAGGACAACCCTTACATGGTGTGTGTCGCATCTTTTGAGTGTATATGACCCAGACTAATGTGGGAACAAGGCCGTCGCACAGTCGAGCAAGAAGAGGACACCAGCGGCACCAGAGCCACTGCCGGTGCAGCAGGGAGCTGGCTTGAAGATGGCCGCGCATCCGCTGTTGCTGGACCAGACGCCCACGGTGCCACAGTCCAAGAAGGACCGATACAAGCCCATGCAACCCAAGTTTGCCTCTATCAAGGCGAATGCCCGCAACATCGCTACTCCTACTCCGCCGCCTGCCTCAGTGACCCCTACTCCAGTCGCCGTCGCGAATCCATACGCTGCGGCGGCTGCCAGCGCGTCATCTGCAATCTCCAAGAGCGACTTCACGGGTGCGCCACGCGAGCGTACTGGTCGACAATTGCGCTTTAACCCCAAGGGCAAATTCGTTGCGCAGGGTAACCAGCTCCGCCAGGAGGCCAAGCTTGAGGAGCTCAAGCAGAAGATCGCCGACAGCGCGCGCAAAGCCGGCCTCGATGGCGACGCCGTCATGGGCATCGGGTCGAACGTGCGCCGCGCGCCGCCCCCGGAGGCTGAGTGGTGGGACGTGGCCCTGTTGCCGAACAAGAAGTACGACGACCTGGATCTGCAGGAGGGTTTTGCGCACTTGAATATCCGCAACCCTGACTCGCCGATTACTATTTATGTGCAGCACCCCATTCCGATTCCCGCGCCTGGGGATAAGGACAAGATTGCGCTGAAGCCGTTGAAGTTGACGACGAAGGAGCAGAAGAAGATGCGGAGGTTGCGTAGGAAGGCTGAGCAACAGGACAAACGGGATCGGATAAAGATGGGCCTGTTGCCGCCGGATCCACCCAAGGGTACGCTGGGACTATTGATTCTGTGCAGCAGCATACTGACGTACCCTCGTAGTCCGCTTGGCAAACTTGATGAAGGTGCTCACATCGGACGCCGTTCAAGACCCCACAAAGGTCGAGGCCAAGGTCCGCCGCGAAGTCGCCAACCGCAAGCTTGCGCACGAGAAGATGAACGCGGAGCGCAAGCTTACCGACGACCAACGCCGCGAGAAGATCCAGGCCAAGCAAGCCGAGGAGGATCGCAAGGGCGTGTGGGGCGCGGTGTACAAGGTCCTCAAGCTGAGCGACCCCGCGCACCAGTTCAAGGTTCGCAAGAACGCGGAGCAGAACGCGCTCAGCGGCATCTGCATCTTCCACCCGGCGTTCAGCCTGGTGTACGTGGAGGGCGCGGCGAAGTTTATGAGGAAATACCGGCGGCTGATGACGGAGCGGATTGACTGGACGCAGGCGGCGCAGCCGCGGGGCGCGGAGGATGTGGAGCTGGAGGGAGAGGACGGTGGGAGTGCGCCGCCAATTGCGTCGACTTCGAAGGAGGGCGAGGCCGATGCGGTGGGCTTGGAGAACAACGCATGCTATTTGGTGTGGGAGGGCCCTGTGCGCGAGCGCGCATTTAGCGGGTTCAAGGCGAAGGCTGCGCCGACGGATATGATGGCGAAGGAGACGCTTGGGGACAAGTTGAAGGGCTACTGGGACATGGCGAAGAACTTCAAGCCGGAGGAGGAAGAATTGTTTTGATTGTGTGTCCGTCCGTCGTGCTTGTATCTTGCGCTTGCCCTACCTTCTATGCTATGTTACTCACGGATGAAGATACACGTGTCCATCTCGGCCATTTTTAAGAGCTGAGGCTTCAGCCCTGCGAATCAAGAACTACAGGCTTGCACACCCCTCAATTACTTGGTGTTGGAGAAGGCTGCATTTGTGGCGTAACTTGTTTGTCTCCCGTCTCCTGCGCTCATCCAAACTGCTGATGGGTTTCACGCAGGACTATATGCTTCGAACGTTTCTGTTACATTGGTATTCGAGGCGCTAGCACGCTCGACTATGGAACATATCCCAGTCCCATGCAGTAACGAGGGTAAAGATGGCAGCACATGTAGTGTATGAACAAGAGAAAGAGGGATAAAGTACGGTGCGTGTGGGTCGTGACGGTCGCGCGGAAGGCGCGAAAAAAGGGAGGTGTCTCAAGCTGATAAAGATAGTAATACAAACAGGTGGTGAAGAAGGTCGAAGAGGGGGGAATCCATGATGCCGAACGATGCGATGCTGTATAACGGATAACGGTGCGTAATGCTGTCTACCGGCCGTCTACTGACGCTTCTGCGCGAGGATCATGGCGATGTGGTGGCACGAGTTGGGCGTCGTGCTGAGCTCGTGCTCGACGCCCGCGATGTCCGCGTCGAACTCCTCCGACGTGTACACGAGGCCGAGGCCGCCGAGCTTGAGCACGGGCGTCTTCAGCCCGCGCAGCATGCCGATGAAGCCCTCCCGTGCGTCGGCGGCCTCCTGCGTGCCGGAGGACATGTCGCAGCCGTAGTCGCGCTCGACGACGTGGATGTCCGTGAAGCCCGCGTCCGCGAGCAGGTCCGGCAACGCGGCGACGGTGTCGAAGAAGAGGTTCTTCTTGTCCGTCAAGCGCTCGTACATGGTGAGGAACTTGCGCGTGTAGGGGCCGACGACGTTCCAGGTGCCGCCGGTCTCGATGAGCTGCACCCAGCCGCCGGGCTGCAGTACGCGGTGGATCTCGGACAGCGCGATTTCCCATTGCGGCTTCTGGAGCGCGGCGGTCAAGAGCGATTGGTGGACGAACTTATAGCGGTTGGTCCACGCGGAGGGCAGCTCGGTGACGGAGGCGAGGCAGAAGCTGACGTTTGATGGAGGATGGCGGGGGAAGTTACGGCCCTCGATGTCGAACCCGTCGATCTGAACTTCCGAGCCAAGCACCTTCGCGGCCTCCATGATCCATGCGCCTTGAGGTGAGTCAGCCCATGTCATGTAAATTTATGTGGCTAAAGACATACCAGAACCCGCACCGCTCTCCAGTACGCGATCCCCTGGTGAGATCTTCACGCAGGGGTAGATGAATTTATTGCCGAACGAACGGCGAATGACGAGGTGCTGAAGGTCGAGCCTATTCGGGAAGGTCAGCCACTGGGCACATACGGGAAGGTAGAAGACGCACCTTCGCCTCTCCTCCTCGTCCGCGGGTAGGACGTAGTTGGAGCCCTTCCACTTCTGGTATACGCGCTCCTCATGCTTGATAGCGACGTCGACGGTGTCCGTGGACGCCGTGAACTTCTCGTTCTTCTCGCTGGGCGCCACGATGGTGCGTGCGGAGGACTCGTTCTCGTCGAAGCGCATAGTGAAACAGCTGATGGCAGAGAGCGCCGATAGTATGCGGTCTGTAGTCGACGTCTTCATCGCGATATTTATCGGGTTGCGCGGAAGCAAAGACGCGACTGAGATACAAGAGGTGGGCGAGTCGGGGAGGACGTCTGATGCGTTTTGTCCCCGTTCCTCCGCCCTTTATCCACTTTCTAATATTAAATCGTGCTTTGTGTCGACGTGCGGACCCGCCGGTAGCCTGTTTCGGCCGCCTCTTATTGTCTCTGGGCCTGACGCCGAGCATCCTTATTGTTACCCAGCGGAACGGGCGTGACCGTCACCGGGCGCACGCGGTTACAACAGTATGGAAATGGGCAACTTTCTTTTGTCTTTCCGCCACGTTACTGATGGCGGCGCCGTCTTCTGGAGCGCAATCCTTGTGAAAAGCCATTTATCATCACTTGTACGCTATCGCTGCCCCTCTCCCTCCCGATGATGCGATCCTTGAACTTACTCTGTCGGGTTTTAGCTTTTGTCAAGCAGGGCATGTCTCGCATTAGCATCTGATATGAACGTGTCTAGCCATCGACAAGGTGCGATTATTGTTGTTACTTCTTCAAGAGGTATGTCCGTTCTCACGGAAGACGTATCCCCCCGAATGCAGCGATTCATAGCGGATACTGTATCCGACCTTTACGCTCCGTCTGATATACCGATGAACAGACGATGTCCAGGCGATTGAAGTACGAGAGTCACAGTCGGGCACGCCCTCCGGTGTCTTCAGCGGGGAAGGCGGCGTCTTATTGTCTTTCGTCGGTCGGTGTATCCAGAAGAAGTTGCTTGATCCGGATACAAGGTTCACCTGCATCTGATGATGGACTTTGTCGCCTCGTGTGTGAACGGATGTACGGCCGTGAACATTGTAGCCATTGTTCTCTTTGGGGGGTTAGAGGCATGCCGACGACAGGTGTACACGATCGCGCTATGATCGCTGACTCCAAGACGCCGCTGACAGGTACGCAGGAGCTAAAGAGCATGCATGCAGCCTGCAGAATGCGCAAGGTTCAGAGCATTGGGATGCCGGAAAGCCGGTACCGCCTCATCACTAGTCTGCAATCACGCGCGCCCCCGACATCGTCTCAGCCCCATAGCAGTCACATGATGCTTCCCACGGTGTCATTCTCGGTCAGGTGGCTGCGCGACGCGCGCGCCTCTTGTAATTTACGACCATGTATACCTACCGACTCCTTTAATTCAGCATATATTCACATATTCGATATACCATACTCAACGCGACATAATGGAACGTGAAAACATCGCCGGACCACCATCTGCTCGACGCCCATTGCAGCTCTGCGCGGATCGCTCGCCTCTGCAAATCCCTCCTCTAAGGACGGCACCACCGACGACACCTATTGCAGACTCGAGCAGCGCGCCAGCGTCAACTCCGAGCTATCTGTCGCTGCTGGAGCAGTTCCGACAAGCGCAGGCCCAGTCAGAGAACCTCGCCCCGCAATGCCTGTCGCGGACAACACCATCTGTGCCCTTACGAGGAGCATCAATCACCAGTCCTTCGTCCCTGGGTCCTGCCTTTGAGAGCCCTTTCCTCGACTCGCATTCCTCTTTTCTCTTTCGGACGTTGACACCTCGGACCGGCCTTCCCAGCTCAGCGACTACGCCGTACAGTGCTAGCGCATTCTCCGAAGCCACGCTGCCCTCGCCTGTCCCAGGCAATACAGCTCTTTCGCCAACGGCTCCAACTGCGCGACAATCCCTCCGTCGACCTGTAGCTCCGCGCGACCTCGGCGAAAGATTAGCAGCTCGCAAAGTCTTCGATCCCGTCGCTTCCGCACTCGTCGAGCATCGCGGCACCAAGCGAAAAAGCTCCGCTACTGGCGCATCGACTGAACTTGACGCCCCGCTGTCGAAAAGACCCTGTCGAGTGCGACGTGACGACCAGCAGAAATTGGACCTGCTCTTCTGGTTTCTGAAGGAGGAGCTTAACTGGACATTTGGAGAGATGCTGTACAAGAGTAGTCTCTACGTCGCCTCGCGAGGATCCGAGACACAAACCAAGATGCTCACGCACTTCTTTGCTGGTCACGACAAAGAGTTTCCCGTCTCGCGCACGCTATCGGTCTGGCTCAAGCACCCATTTGGACGACACCCTCCTCGCGACCTGATGTACTGCGTGGACCTTCCCTACACGGAGATCAGGCAGATGCGACCGGCCCTTACCTCGTTCTCCGCGCAGCTTGTGAAGCAGCAGCTTGTGCGCGAAGCGGAGGAGGCTATCGAAGTCAAGAGCGGTCTGCACGTGTCTATAGGAAAGAAGGAGCGAAAGAATGTCAAGCCCCTGGTCTGGGACGACCTGGGGGTGGGCACGGTGGACCATGTCCGCGGCATCATTCAGCGCACCCAACCCCTCCTGCTGAACTTTGTCTCCGAGCTCTGCTCTCGCAAGCCAAGAAGAGGCCTGCATGGAGCCGTGGTTGTGCGTAAACAGCGCACTGTTTCAAATGTACGCCCTCGCTTCTGATCCCTTTACTCTGCTGACTTCTCATAGGTTGCGACGCAAGTCATAAGCTCCATCGATTTCACACGATCCAACCACGCCAACCTCTTGCCTCTTGCTACAGGTGTTTTACACTTCGCCTGCCTTGCGCCTTTCGACATATTTCGCTGGGGAAGTCGTGTGGGCTCTATGCCATCCTACTCCACGATTAATCGAGCACTCGAGGGTCTCGCAACAGATGCTGCTAATAAGTCTCTGGCTTTTGGCCTTCGCTCCAACCGTGTCTCCGTCTTTCGCTTCGACAACGTTCATACCTACCATCTGCATCGCGACGTGCGCGTTGGGCGCCAGAACGAGCTGCACACCGGTCTATTTGGTGCTATGTACGAGGCGGAGAGCTATGTCGATGCTACAGCCTTCAACATCGCCGACAACGATGCTGTGCGCAAGCGTGGCCTTCGAAAGACTGTGACAACTCGAAACCTCTTCAACAAGATCGACCAGAAGCATCTCAACAACGTCCTCACCCTCCAATGGCTACGAGTCCTGGTGGACTACATCCCCGAACTTGCAGATCTCTCTGCAGCTGTCACGCACCTCTACCGCACCACCGCCGCTATAAGCCCTCTTCCCCCTTGTCGCACCGTTGTGCGGCCGCTTGCGTGCGACGCTAAGAATGAAACCCATCTCGAGGAGCTGCGCGACTTCATTCAGGACATGTTCTCGCAGGGGGGCCTCACGCCGGAAACCGCGCATAACCGGTTGATCCCCTGCGGAGGCGATGGCATGAGCTACGAGCTGCTTCATGTCTTGAAGTCTGTCCTTCGTGTCGAGGGAACCGAGTGGAGCAGGTTCGAAAATCCGAAGCCCATGCTTGAGGGTTGGCACCAGAAGTGGACCGAAGTATGCGCTATCCACGAAGAGCACTGGGGAGATAGCCTTACGCGCGACTACTCGACTCTCGGGCACAGCGCTAGCCGGCTCGGTAGACGGCGCCCTGCAGACCTCAAGAAGGTTGACTTCAAGCAGGGCACGCAGCTCATGTTCACCGTTGTCGACAGTCGCATGCTTGACTGTTGGAGGTATGCAGGCCTACTTCGTTCCATGTATGTGCTTATGGTTGCGGCACAGGCTGTACTTTAGTGCAGACGACATATTCGCGTACTTCGCCGACCTCAAACGACGCAACAAGCTGCCCGCCATCGAGGAGCTCCATGACATCGCCAAGAAGCTATGCTATAGCTATATGTCGCAGGGATTTGGAGGCGCGGTCATGAGTGGCGAAGGAATAGAGTCCAGCGCTATCCCAATCGGCGAACCATGGGATGGAATCGTCCTCGATGACTCGAGCAAGGACTACGACATCATCAATCAAGGCAAAATCGCTGCGCATACCGGCTCTGCTAAGTCCAAGGCGCGAGGAAGGAAGAAGATCAAGCTGGCTACACCGATGGACTCGAATATCTCATTCGCTGGCGACCACGCTCTTGCCGACTCGCGCCTGCTCATGCGCAGTGTTGCCCTCCTTCGCGAAAGCATACTTGCTTGCGCCGAGGGTGATCCAGAACGTATCCTGCAGATATCCATCGTCCAACTATTCCAGTTTGCCGGCTGCGCTCATTCGAAGTACACTGAATACCTCCTCGAGATGATCATCGATCTCGAGTACGAGTGTACTCCTCAGCTCCGAGCAGCACTTCTACAGGTCAGCCTCGTCAATCTTTCCGGAAAACCTGGCGGCTTCGCGCACGGCGATCTCATTCAAGAGTACTTCAACCGCCTTCTGGATGCCGTTGTGAAGCACAAAGGCGTCCCGTATGATGACAGATTTGTACGCGATGTCTGGTCGCGAAATCTGCATCATGTTGCACGACTTAAGGGGGTTGGTTGGATGGACTGGGGCTTGTGGCTCGCTCCAGCCGCCATTGCGACCCCGCTGCCCTCGCAGACATGCAGATTCTGCTACAGACGTACAAGGACCACGAGCTACACACCTTCAGGGCTGGTCGCCGCTTCTCCGACGATGATCACGACCGCTTTTCGAAGGGATACGCGAAGCTCGACAACGGCAAACTGGACAGCTATGTTACCAAGTCCCTTGCGCGTTGCGCCACCGCTCCCATAGCGTCTGACCTGGCTGCCGAAGCGAGATCAGAGAGTGCGACGACTCTAGCAGATTCCGGACCGGAAGAAGCAGATCCTGCTGAGGACGATGAATCGGCCGAGGAGGACCTCGCACAGGATGTCGCACCGCTCGTCTTCGCAGAAGTTGTCGAGGGCGAGCTGATTCTTTTCGAACCGAATGTTCAAGCTCGGGCAGAAGAGCTCGTGCGGGACTGGGAGGCTGAGTTAGGGGACCTGTTAAAAGAGGGCGAAGGCGAAGAGGAGGAGAGTGACGATAGCGATATAGAATTACCAGAAGTTGACCGAGGGGATTTGGACGAGACAGACGAGGAGTAGAGATAATCAATCATTCGGACATACTGTCTGACTCATCTACAGCTGGAACCGAGCATTCAACATCCTCCAACTTCGCCTCTTTCTCAGCTGCTATCTTGGCTTGCCGCCGTGCTCGATTTTGCGCGTTCCGCCTGTCTTTTTCGACTCGTCTGGCGGCCTCGAACTCCTCGTGTAAGATGAGCATAGCCTGCAGTAGCTGTACAGCATACTTGTCGTCAACGAAAGCGATGTTATCCTTGACGATAGGTTGAAGAACCGGGTGTGCTGATAGCGGAAGGGAAGAGACCGAGGGAGGGTGAATGTCTGCAGACTCGGCAGCCGGAGCAAGAGACGCGGCTGACGATGCCGGGGTCTCGGGAGCGCAAGGATTGGGTATTTCGTTAGCGAGATATGACGACCAAGCGTCTGCGACAGCTATAAAGTCGTGGGCGGGCATCTGCATCAATAGCAGCATCTTCTCCACTTCGCGATCCGAAAGCACAGCAACAGGCGGAAGGTCATAGTCACCGCTTGGGTCCTCCGCAAGCTGGCGCGCGAGACGCTCGCGAAAGCGCACGAGGTAAGGCAAGGCCTGCTCACGCATACGCTTCGTGATCTGTACGGACGTCGAAACCTTCGGCTTCTCGACGACAGCCTTGACGGCAGCCTCCTTCAGCGGCTCGGGTGAGCAGCCAGAGCAGTGGCACGGCGAGGGAAAGGGCGCGCGCGGGTGAGCAGCACAATACGGACACGAGCATGGCGCCTCCGTGGGGTTGTTGCCATATTGCTCATCGATATTCTTCAATTTGCAGTCGGCGAGGGCGAGGCGTGGCAGCGTTGTATCAATGCGCTTGCCAGGACTGGCGCTGGCTTCAAGAAGCAGCGAGTTGGGATCGTAGAAGGTCTTGTTTGGAAGATAGAGGATGGCGTGCGGCTCGGGGACGAGCGCGGGATCCCGTCCGGCACGACCTGCCTTCTGCAGTCCATCGTCAATGTCCGCGGGATCTATAACAACCACCAAGTCGATACCCGCGAGGTCCATGCCCACGGAAAGGGTGTCCGTAGCAATGACAAGTGCAGAAGCACTGTTGCGGAGGTGGTCGAGAGTCTCTTGATTATACTCCGCACTGTGAAGGCGGTGGTAGGTGCGCGGGTAGTTTGTGCATGCCGTTTGACGGGCTTTCTGAATGAGATACGACGCAATCTTGCTGCCCCATCTGATACTAGAGCAGAATACGAGCGTCTTGCCAGGCGCGTTTAGCAGCCAGTCCAGCTCCGTATACCGCTCGCTCTGTTTGCCATGAGGAAACGGGCGGAGCGTGATCTTCATCTCGTAACGCGCGCACGAGCGATGAACGACGTGAAGGTCGCTTGCGGATAGGCCAAGAAAGCGCTGGATCGAGTGGAATGGGGATGTATCGGGGGTTGGGCCGCGACGAAGAGTGGCTGTGAAGGCAACAAGAGGTAGTCGTGGACTGCTTGCAAAGCGCGCACGAGCGTTGCCGATCTGCGTGTACTGAGTTCGAAATTGACGTCCCCAGACGTACATCAAGTGCACTTCGTCAACCATGAGGGCGATAGGACGTTGACGAAAGGTGGGTTTGTTGATTAGTGCAGTGAATCCCGGCGAGGTGAGCATCTCGGGCGTCATGAGGAGGACGCGATGACTGCCAGTTTCGATCGCCTTGAAGATGTCGATGCCCTTCCGCTGGAACTCCTCTCGCCTCTCCTTGCTGAGGACCATCGACTCAATGTGGTACTTCTTCATCTTTCGCTCCTGTTCGCAGATCAGCACAAGCCCCCATTAGTAGCTTGCAATTACGCACCAAGTCCTCCTCCAAGGATATAGTCGGGCAAATCACCACTATGACCGGATTCTGAGGGAAGCGCGCTGTCGGGCAGAGCTGAGGGTTGCAGATTATGGCGTCCACGACCGCGACGAGCATGTAGATGTAGCCGGACTTGCCGCTGCCGGTATATGTTACGGCAAGTACATCTTTGCGATCGAGGGCGTTGGTAACGACTTCGAGTTGGTGGTCATGCGGGTGCTCGTGCAGACGTTCGGAGATGATCTTTGTGCAGAGCTTTCGCCCCCAATCGGATGCGAACTGGTATGGCATTGTAGACGTGATAGTACTGAAGACAGACGCGATTGCTATATTAGGACACGCGTCGACGCGTCTGCGGAGTCACGTTGCCCCTGAGAACGCGTCTCGTGACGCCTATGGGGCTGAGACGATGTCATGGGGTCAACTGATAGCAGACGTTCGATCCCTCACTGCGAAGCTTCTTCGAACGTCTGCCTACGGGAGACTACCTCATCACGTGGATGGTTGAATTGGAACATACGGCGTGACTCACCTCAATGTTCAGCTTGACCCTCGTTCGTGTTCTGTGCTCAGTGCATGCACGGAGACGGAAGCGCAGAGACTGCGAAGCTCGTAGAAGTGTCGATGCATGAGCAAATGAAGAGAGATGAAAGATCATATCCAAACACAATAGTCCGTGAGGCAGACATCGAACGACTCGCCTACCTCGATCCATCCCTCGCCCCCCTCGCTTCCGATCTGTCTCTTGACTTTCCACCCTCCTTCCCACCGCCCTCCTTCGACTTACTGCTCCCACTCTTCGTCTGCCTGAAGCACAAGAACTCGATCCCCGTCGCCCGCCGCGTGTCCGCCAGCGTCTTCTTCACGCCGTCCAGATTGCTCTGCAGGTTCTCATCGCCCGGCCGCCGCGCGTACGCCTGCGAGATCTTCGTGTAGAGGTCGGAGAGAGTGCGTGCTGCGGGCGGGGTGATGTACCGGCCGAGGGTTTGGTGCATGAACTCGATTTCGAGGGTCGCCTGCGAGGTGGATTAGGGTGAGGACTCAGAGCGAGAGCGAGGATACATACGCGAAGCATGCCTCCCATGCCGAAGCGTTTGACCTGGCGGAAACAGCGCAGGGCTTCCTCGGCAAGCTCTTCGACGAGGAAGCTGAAGGTGCGCTCCAGCAGGGCGGGCGCAACCTTCGTAACTTGCGCATGCACACCAACGAGGAAGAGCAATGTTTCGTACATATACGGCCGAATTTCTGGGGACTTTGTCAACTTACAAGTGCCGTACAGCTACTCTTTGACTTACCTGTCGGTTGCGGCGTCTCGTACCAGTCCATGTCGCTGGCGAGTATACCGCTCCTCAAAATGCGCATGACGGCGACGCCTTTCGGCTTCACGAACGACTCGAACAGCGTCTTATCCAGTTCTTGAACAACCGTCATAAGAGTATTTCGCTCCTCAGCGACCGAGATGCCGAACGCGTTCTCCAACTGCGTGATCATGCTCGGAATCACGGATGTTGTCAAGTAGTTGAAGTTCGAAATAACCAGCAATAACCGCGTATCCTGCGAAAACGTCAGTCAATCTGAATGTGATCCAATCCTTAGATCTACCCACCGTATCCCTCAGATCCAACAACTCCAAAGGATTCCTCCCCCCAGGCGCCGACAGCTCGCCCGCCACCCCCGGCGCCGCACTCACCGCCGGGCTCTCGTCCGACGCCAGATGCACCAGCCCATCCAAGAACGCATACAGCGCGTCCAAAAACGCCTTCGTGATCTTCGCGACGAACGCCTGCGGGATCGCCTGCTGCTTCACCGGCTTCGAGATCGAGGTCGCGACGAGGTCGACGCCGCCGGCGAGCTTGTAGGCGGCGGTGGTGACATGCCGCTGGAGTTCCTCCATGAGGGAGACGTAGTGCGTGTGCGAGGGCGCGTCGGGAGCGGCGACCCAGGACTCGAGGTGGTAGAAGATGCTGGCGTCTGGGTGGGGGTGAGGTCAGTTCGGCTGGAGCAACGTTCAGGGATAGCATACCTCTGAGCCATGCCGAGATCAACACGTCCTCGAACGTCCATTTCGCGCTCTCCATCAAGCCGCGTAGACTAACGCCAGCGTCCGACGAGATCTCCATCGAGTTGAGCTCGTTCACCGTCTCTTGTATCTCGCCCATTATGCGTAGGAGGTAGTGGGTAGTCGACAGGGAGTGCGAATTTGCGGGTAGAAGTGAGTCTAGAGTGGTAAGATCAGCAATGATTAGGCTTGCGCGCATATTGTATGATCGCACCTGACTTCTCCGCGCTCGGCGAGCGGACAGCCATGTCGCTCAGCCGGAAGAACTGCGAGATGAGGGCGATGTACTGCTTGACCATATCGACAGCCATAGTGCGACATTGCGTGGCGCTTCGTCGTGTGGAAGAGGGCTACGGGAGTTGATGAGCGGCCATAACGAAGGAATCTTTGAGTGCATGTTCACCCGCTTGAACCGTCCATCCATGAACGACTTCGCTATACGCCAGAAATTCGGCAGGGATGTAAGGAGAACCTCCGAAACCGCTTTGACCATGGCGAGGATGGCGATCCAAACGGGCTCGCCAGATGATTTTGCTAGTGTAAAGTCAGAAACCAGCATGGTATATGCGCACAGATATAGAGAATCTGCCCATTGCACGCACCCAAAACCGCTTCTGGCTGCTTCGTTTCCAGTGCCGCTACTGCGACCCGCAGCTCTGCTGCAATGAGTGCGGTTATCTGCGTCTGATCGGTCTCGTGCTGGTCGTGAATTTCTGAATAACACAATGGTGAGCGTAACTGCAGATCAACAAGCAGCCATTCGCCGCACCTTGCACTTTAGCGACAGCAGTCTTGTACGCCGCGTTCATCTGGTCGGTAATGTACTTGTGCTGGCTGTCGAAGAACGTCCACATCGGGTCCTCTGCCGTATTGAGGTCCATCAGGATCCTGGAAAAAGCATGAGCAACCACCACTCATTGTGTCACCATGCGGGAATAGAACAGGAACTCACTCCAACGTCCGCTCCTGCTCCTCCACACTCCGCCGCGGATCCTGCAGCTGCGCAAACAGCACCCGCCGCATCTCGCCCATGGCCTTCTCCACGCTCGCCCACACCTTCTCGAGGATGCGCTTCTGCTGCTGCTCCATCTTGCGGTCCGCGCTGCTACCTGTGCCCTCGCGGTTGCGCTCCGCGCTGCTCGGGCTGATGGGGAGGAGCTGGCCCGGGCGCGTCTCGAGCAGGAGCTTGCCCTTCTTGTAGTCGCGGATGGCGAGGTCGAAGCGACCCTGGTGTTGGGGGTTAGTCGGATGTGGGGTGGAAGGGTGGAAGGATGGATGGGGTGAGGAAGGGCGAGTGAGGATGGGTAAGGGATGAATGGTGGATGGAAGACGAAACGCACTGCTTCGATGGACTCGATGATGAACCCGGGCAGGTTGAAGAAGAAGCCTGAGCGCTCGAAGACGCCGAGGGTTGTTCGTAGTTTCTGCGCTTTCGACGCGTTCTCCAGCACGGGCAAGAAGACCTGGTCCGCCTTAATCGCCGCCTCTGCTACCGTCAGTTTCCGCGTAACCTACTATACGCAATACAATACCTTTCAGCTGGTCGCGCAAGGGTTTAGAAGCGTAGTCCGATGCTGGCGCAAGGAGGCCTTCCTTCATCTCCGCGTGTAGGGCTGCATATATGCGTGTTAGGGCAGGTTGCCGGGCACAGGCGGACTGCCGCACCATCAGTAGAGTTCTTCACCGCCACGAAGCGGTCAAAGTTGTCCTCGACCAGGATCCTAACGGCCTCCGAGCGCGCGTCGATGGATTGCTTGAGGTGATAGATTCCGGCTGAGAGGTCCTGATATGTTGCATTCGGGTGCACGATGGAGAGGAACGCTTTGGGATCGAAGGACTTGGACGAGATGACCACGGAGGCCTCTGGTGGGGTGTTCAGACGCGTCTTCGAGGGTGAGGGAGTATATGTGCGCACTGGTTTCCATATCCATCTCTCTGATACTGTACAGAATGTAAGGTTGTGTTCCCGAGGGCGACAAACATCACTACGCACTTTACTTCGCTGCCGAAACCCAGCGGGTCGCCCCCATCACCGTCCGCGCTCGCGTTCGCCAGCGAACCCGCCACGGAGTCCTCGAGGTCGTGGTCTATCTCTTCCCACTGGCTGGGGTGCTGTTAGGATGCGAAGAGCATGATAACGCCGCGCAGAATGCGGCTCGGAGGCACGCACGTCGGCCTGAGCGACGAGATCTTGTACGCCTTAAGCAGCGTCGCTTCGTCGACATCGAAGTTGAGCTTGGGCATGGTGGGCAGGTGTTGTGCCTATTGTGGTATGCCTTACGTCTATCTCAAGGTGATCATGGAAGAGAAAAGCAGGAGAGGGTGTGCGAGATGGGGATGAAGATGATGAAGAGAGGTGACAAGTAGTCGGGGCGACGCCACATCGTGGTGACATCTTGCTCTCAACCTCCATGATCGTCTCGACGCCCTGACTCTCTGACCTTCCTACCTCCTCTTGCTCCTCAAATGTGTTCTCTCCAAGAATCGTGCTATACGCTTGCTTCATACACTGTCGATACTATACACTCTAAACGCGAGACCCCACGAATCGAATTAAGTGACTATCGAGTGCAATCTCAAAGGCTATCATGGACGCTGGACCGAAGGACCTCAATTGATCGTGACCTCGACGTTCCTCGCCTGGTACGTCGCCCCATCCGCAGGCCCCGGCGTCCCAGACGAGCCCTCCATCTGGAGGTTGATGATCCTGCAAACCTGGTCAGCCATCCACACCCTCTGTTTGCTCCACTATTCCTTTCCATCTCCCCATCCTTGTCGATCTCCATCCTTCCGCCCTACCGCCCTCCCCCGGCTCCATTCAATCCACCAAAAGAACTGCGACACACCAAAATCAAAGCAACACTCACAAATTCAACGCCTTCCCCACATACCCCCTCCCATACTGCGTCGTCTGCAGCGCGTCGTCCATGTAGAAGTCGATCTTCACGTCCGCGCCGTTCGCCTCCGCCGTCAGCACCGCCTGCAGGGAATGGAAGGACAGGTCCGCGGGCCAGGCGACGGTGGTGGACTTGACCTCGGAGGAGGTGTTGAAGGTGTTGTACCAGTTGTCTGCGGTACCCTTCCATTCGCCGATGTCGACCTCGGGCGGCCAGCCGGAGGCGGCCTATGATACGGCGGTGAGTCTATCTACCTTCTCGAGGGTGGTAGTATCGTACAGTTAACCTGATGGCGGGAACTTGATGAGCTTGGGCTCTCGCTGAATGCGGACCACTTACCAGAATGCAGGCCAGGTTCCTACAGCGGTCGGCGCGCTGAACTCGCCATATACGGTGTACGAATTCTCCGCAGTGACTGTGATTTGCTCCAGAGCGTGGACGGCGCCGCTGTGGAGATTCTTCAGCTCATGCACGCAGCCCTTCGTGGATTCCATGATCACCTGATATAATGGATCGCGGGGTACGGGTCTGCGGTGCTCGTCGGCGGCGACGCGTTGCTCGTTGGCGTGGCCTTCAATGTCAACGTCCCTGATTCGACGACGATATTGCTTTCTGCCATACGCGCGCCTGTGAAAAGGCGACTCGTGAGCGCTGTACGAGGAAATCCCATTTCAGCAGCAGCGCAGACGCCGTCAACACTTACTGCCATTGTGGTCGCTGCCCCAAGGATAAAGGTACGCCCAGAAGTCATTGAAGGATGAGAACGAGTCTTTGGGGATGACTGTGGTGGCGGCCGTCGCTAGCGGCACGTCACCTGAAAGCAGCAGCGCGAACGATGCAGCGATTGCAGCGCTGTTCGACGCCTTTAGCATCGCTTAGTATCAGCGAAGGGCAATACGCACTGCGAGAGCATGGCTAGGTACCAGGGAGGATAACGCTGCATGCTCAACCCCTCGATGTCCTTATATACCCATAGACCTTCTGGTTGCCAGCGTTATCCACGATGTCATGAGGTCGCTGCTTCGCAGCAATTATCCGGACTGTCAATGCAGAATCTACCGCGATGCACGAGCAAGCTATGTGTGCATGTGATCAGGCCTGGGTCTTTGAAACCAGTAAGAAAAGAAACGAAGGTGTACAGGGAAGGAATGGCGTACAGAGTAAGTTGGCGCATTTGAAGTTGGAGGTTGGACTTCAACGGAACCTCGGCAAATGCCGTTTCGGTGCCGCCGGCTCGGTACCGAAGGATACCGCCGGCCTCGGCACCAATTTGGATTAGAGTTTTCTTCCGTCCATTCCCCACCCCTCCTCCTTGGTTCTCACCTTCATGAGCTCTCGGACACCCTCCCAATAATGCTGATCAAATGTACAAATATTCCAGAGTCTTGAGCAGAATGCTTTATCCTCGGGAGGATGCTCCTTCGACTCACCACGCGCTAATCAACGAACCCAATGATCAGCGATCCGCACGTGGTCTCTGACTCTTGTTCCCCGCACTCATCCCTTTCTCTTGAGGACTCTGCCATGGCAAGCGCGCCCTTGCTATTGAAGAAGGAGAGGAGGAAGATCTGGCGACTCGACGTGGACCTAGACAAAGCGCAAGAGACTCTTAACCCCGAAGTTCGCTTTGACTGTCGTGCATTCCGCTTGTTGGGCGACCCGGAGCGGCTGGTATCTGTCCGCTTCATTCGCAAGCCCAAGAAGGAGGACATCAAGGGCTGGATACGCCGCTGTCAGAGTGGGGGAAAGGTTCTGAATGTCGATGGCACAAACGTGAAGTGAGTGTTCGACTGCCTGGTTGATGTTCGACGCGCTCACTGCCGTACTTCCTCCACCTTATTCCCCCCTCCTTGCTTCCCCTCCCCCTTAGATACTCCTGGCTCGGATTCACCGAGAGCCAGCTCAAAGACGGGACATTCTTGCTTCTGCGTGAAGATGAGCATTGGACTGTCGACCGCTTCCTGGACGCCCTGGGGAACGTGAAGAGCGTATACCAGCAATCTGGATACGGCAGGTTCTGCGCGCGCCTAGGGCTGTCGTTTTCCACCACAAAGCCTGTAATGGATGTTAGCGGCCTTTCCTAGCTTTTATAGGTCTTGACAAGCCTGACTGTACACCGTCTCTTCACAGATTCCTGACGAACTCGTCGCGACAATACCCGACTTCCAAGCTACTGATGGCACCCTGTTCACCGACGGATGCGGCCTCATACGCGACTCTTGTGCCGCGGAAGTGTGCTCTGCGCTAGAGATACCCGAGGATACAACTGGTATGCTTCTCTGTCGTGCATCTCTTATATCTCTACCCGTCGCTTTGCATTGTCATCTGCGCAATGCGCTCTTAGACGAGTTTCGTCCTGACCTCACCCTTCAGTCTTTCAAATCCGCCGCGGCGGCGTCAAGGGCCTCCTCGTGCGGTACCCTGATGTCGTCTTCGACCGCATCTGCAGGGACGCTGGTCGTCGAGGTCCAATGAAGATCGCCCTCCGCCCCTCTATGCGCAAGTATCCCGGCGGCCCGACGGTGCTAGAGATCCATAGCGTAGCCCGCCGACCGAGGAGCGCGCGGTTGAACAGGCATTTCATCATATTGTTGTTGACGTTGGGTGTGCGGTTGGAGGTGGGTGGTTCGTTTGAATTTGAAATTGCTCGGTAATTTGGGGCACTGTGTTGAGATTTTGGGGCTTCTTTGCTGCACTTTGGGTCAGCGCCTGCACATCCACATCGCGAAACTAACCCAACCTCCCCCACTCGCAGGCCTTCGAGTCCCTCCTCCGCGCCAACCTCGAGTTCATCGACCTCATCATGACGAGCCGGCAGCGCGCGCTCGATGCGCTGGAAGCAGAGCTGGACGCGGATGGGGCGGGGTTTGATCAGGAGTGTGAGTGGACATTTGATCGTGTATATTCATATTTCGGCAGTCGTGGTACGCGCGTTGGGGGCATCGTGGTCCTCGTCGCTTTATAGAGCTCGTCGTCACTATATAGAGCTCGTCATCGCTTCATAGAGCTCTTCGTCGTTTCATGAAGCTCATCGTTGATACTTTGTTACGCTAGCGCGCTTCGACCGTCACCATCCATCCCTTACTAACGTCTCCTCGCCTCCCAGTACACGACCTCCTCCTCGCCGGCTTCCAGCTCTCCGAGCCGCACGTCCGTTGCCTCCTCGAGCGGCTGCAGAAGCGCTCGCTCGATGTGCTCCGGAAGAAGCTGAATATCAGGGTCAAGGTGAGCTCGCGGTGTTGGTGTTGTGTACTGCTGTCTGCGCTTGCGAGGATTGCCAATTGTGCTTCGTGCACCTCATGTAACACTTCTGACCACCTAAGTCCTGCTTTCTTCCTCAACCCTCCCTCTCTTCCTTTCACAACCCCTATTGATTCTAACCTATCTCCCAGAACTCCTTTTACCTCTTCGGCGTTTGTGACGAGCTCGGAGTCTTGCGTGAGGGCGAGGTCTACATCAACGTCGCCGGAGACGTAAAGCTGGGGACCGTGCTCGTGGGCAGGAATCCGGCCTATTCGACGAGTGGTGAGTGACTATCCAACCTGACTAGCCCAGTTGGGTGGACTGAGGGGTGATGCAATGGCCTTGGAATAGTTGAATGAATGTCGGTACTAATCATGGCTGACAGTCCTGCGCGTCTTGCAAGCAGTGAACAGGCCAGGGTTATCACATTTGCGGAACTGTATAGGTAAGTACGCGCAAGTTGCATGGTCGCAATTGCAGTCGTTGCGCACTTCGAGCGCGCAGGCTGATCACCCTCTCAGTATTCGCCTCGGGGGGCGCACGCTCGGAGACGAGCAAGATGCAGGGGTGAGCAAACCATCATTCCCTCTGCTGGTCACACATACCGCGCCGAATCCACTCACCAACCTTCAGCGACGTCGACGGCGATAACTTCTGGGTCACGACGGAGCCCTCGCTCATCCCACCGCGAATGGCTGAGCCGCCTCCGTTCGCGCAGCCTGTCTCGACCGCTCCCGCGCCAATGTCCCCTGAAGCTAACACGGTGCACACGGTATCCGAGATTGACATGCACACGATATCCGGAGTCGACATGCACACGGTATCCGAAATCGACATGCACGAGGACGCGCTCAAGACCTACATGCGCCTGCGCCACAGCTTCGTCCTCGGGCAGGCATCGAAGGCGTGGATGGAGAATGTGGTGCTGACATCAGAGCTCGCGGATGCGCCTGTCGCGAGGGAGTTGGCGGGGATTGTGGAGCGCGCGGTGGTGAGTTGGGGTGATTTATCGCGCGCAGTGTCGCGAGGGGTGCACGGCATTGCGTGCCGTACATGGTATCGCGTACGGTACACGATGCCGCATAGACTGATACGCCTCCCAGGACCTCGTCAAATCCGGCGGGAGCGCCAGCCGACTCGAGTCTAATCTGAAGACCACCCTCGGCACGATGTCCATCCAGAGGACCCCAGGGTGGCAGGACCCGCTCGCTTTCTTGGTCTCTATAATTCCATCGAGTCCCAGAGGGCAACAGACGGACTTCACCATCGACCCCGATTTGGATTTGTCCGGGAGCGTTGATCGTGAGGAGTGGGAGAATTTGGTGGAAGAAGCTAGGCGCATCATGCCTCTGTTCAATAATGCGCTGGCGTCGGCTATCCGGACAGAACAAGGTAAGCGCCGACTGCCTTTTGTGTGCTGCCAGGACTTGAAATACTGATACAATCTCGTAGAGACGGCAGAGGATGGTGACGACGAGCGGGAAGCGATGAAGGAGACTGATGTAGTCAAGGAGAGATTCTTGAAAAGCCATTTCCCTCGTGCGATCTTTTCTGCCTTGCGCTCATTGAGTTGCTGATGACAGATCATCAGGCGTGAATATCATGACTTTGCCCAAGCAGTGGGCGAAGGCGTCAGCGTGGTACGTCACAGGCTACCGCGCGCATAAGGAAGCCTTCTCTTGGCTGCCAGCCCGCTACCTGGCACACATCAAAGCCCGTGCGTCGCAAGCCGCTCATTCTGTAACGCTTGAGCTGACCAACGACCATGCATGCAGACAGCACCTCTCAAGGAGGCATTGCGCTCGCGGTCGGTCCGACGAACAGGCCTCTACACGCTTCTTCCCAGACTGTAGCGCCGCCACATCCGCCACCGCGCTCGATTGAGATACGAGCTCCCGCTCAAGCTGAGAATGCTTTGCAGAATATCCTTGTCACTGTGCGACGCGGTCGAGGTCCTCCCATCGTCTCGTCGAGTTCCTCCTCGAGAGATCAGTGGCGTAACGTTCCCGTAGCTACGACCCATATCCGCTCGTCAATCTCCACTGAGCGCTCTTCGGATTTTGGCTCTCCCCGCAGCACTATGCGAAACTCGCGCTCCTCCCGACGGTCATCGTCTCAAGGCTCCATCTATGAGGACGCGCGAGAGTCGTTGTCCCCAAGAGCCCCATTGCGCCCGCTGTCAGTGGCTGCATACCCCATGGCCGAGTCCATCAGCGCGGTCACTCAAACATCGCGGCGCACGGCGGACCCTCTATCGCGCGCATCCTCTCATACTCTCATCGGCGATGACGGACCCGTCACGGAACCTGCTCCTCGACGCTACGCCGGTGCTGCAACCGCACCCGTCATACGCCAAGCCCCATCGAGCAGCTCTACTGTCGATTCGAGCGTCACCGCTGCGCCAGGAAGACTGCCACGAGCGAACAATAAACCCAAGGAGCCGCAAGAGACGTTCATGCGGTGCACAAATGGGAAGGAGGTGCACAATTCTTGGGTAGTGCGCCACGCCAACGGGGTGCAGCGCACCTATCATTGTTCTGATTGCGGTGCTTTGGTGAAGGAGCGCTATGACCACGTCGCTGGTAGATGGCTCTCGACGAGTGCATCGCGTGCCCGTACCGCGGGAGCATGATTCTACTGCTTTATATTGTCTTGTAACTGTATTGTATCTCGGATGTGTGCTTTTCTGTCAGAACAACATAACTGCGTTCGCAATCATTGTGTGTGCATGTACAAGCTCGAAGTGAGCAGCTCATGAGTTGAACTTGGCTTCCGGCAAATACCGTTTGCACAGGAAACGACATCAACATTCACGTGGCCAGCGTACTGAAAATTGGTCGATATGCAGGCTGCAAGACAAGCCCAGTCCAAGAAGACATGTCGGATCGTAGTCAACACTGTCCGCCTACTACTCTACATCGCGCCACGGCCTGTCGATAGCCCCGTCATCGCCAGCCTGCCCCTCCTCGCCCGTTCCGACAGTCGCTAGCGTAAGCTCTTCCATACGCCTTGTGAAGTCGTTCATATCGTCGATGGCTTCCTGCGCAATCGTCTGGCCGTCCTCTGGCGCAACCTCGTCCCACGATGGTGCACCGGTCCAGCCTCCGTTGTCGTGGATGTAGTGTAGGAAAGAGCTCCAGAGCGGGTCGAGCGCCAGCACGTTCGGATCGCCGATGATGATGAGGAGCGCTTTGGCGCGAGTGACGGACACTACGGGAGATGTCAGAAAACTATTTGGCGAGGTAAAGACAACGTACGCACCATTGAAGCGGCGCGGGTTGGCGACAAAGCCAAGCGTGTGACGGAGATCGTACTGAACGAATTCTTGACTGCTCCTGACCGTGGAGATGATGATCACCCGCCGCTCCTGCGAGACTTCGTCAACCTATGATACCTTCAAAGCGAACATCGTGCATACCTGGCCTTGGAACTCCTCAACACTCCCAACCTTGATTTTCTCCGCGCCAGAGCTCTGAAGTGCCTTGCGTATTTTCACGCACTGCGCGTGATACGGCGCAATGACGCCAATGTCGTCGTCAGCTGGGAAAAGTCGTAAGCACATTGCGAAGTCCACATCTCCATGGTGCACGTACTGGCCCGGAACCCGGTCGTTGAGCGCGCCTGCTTCAGCTTCTCGATATAGTTCTTGACCTGCAATGCCTCGTGAATGTTGAAGAATGAAGGGGACGACGCCTCGCGGTCGTCCTTGCCGGAGATGGCGTGGAAGATAATGGGGAATTTCTTGTTGGGGAGCTCAGGCCATCCCATGTAGGAGTTGATAGCCTTCGGGCTTGCGCAGGGCTCGAGCTCACCGCGGTAGAAGCGCTCGTTCGGGAAGCGCAGGATAGCAGCGTGCGAGCGGTAGTTCTTTGTCAACTTCACGACGCTATGGCTTTGTCAAAAATGAAACGGTATCCTAGAATGCACAATGACTCACGACTTGCCAAAGCCCGTCTGCTGGTCGTATACCTCCCTTTGCATCAACCTCTCAATGTAGCTTGTCTCAAGGCCGAGTTGAGAGGCGATCCGCGACCGAATGATTGGACCAAGCTGCTGCGGGTCTCCGGAGAGGATCACATTCGTATCGTTGTCCGCCATAGTCTTGATTGCGATCATGGCCTCCGGCTCCGTGGCCTGACCGGCCTCGTCGATGAAGATGTGGGAGTAGTGCCCTCGCGGCATGCCCCGACCCGTGAAGATCGATGCCGACACGCACGTCGTAACGACGACGCGGAACCTCTTCATGATCGCGCCAGGCGGCACTTTGAACGGGCCGCTGTACTTGATTTTGTCGGTGACGCATGTGTACTTCCTGAGCTCGTCCGGGACATCGTTGGTATGCCGTGACGGGGCGTAGAAGCGGAACATCTCGGTGTCCGACAGTACGGTCAGGCGAGACGCGATGAGGTCGGCGGCGGAGTTTGAGGGTGCGCAGGCGATGATGCGAGCGTTGGGGTCCTTCTTCAGTACTTGCAGAATGGCTTCGACAATCGTGACCTAGAATATATGAACAAATGGAAGACAGGGCATGGAACAATACGCACGGTCTTGCCTGTCCCGGGACTAGAAAGGATATCAGTCAATGACCTCAGGCGAGTGCAGCAGGAAACACTAACGGCCCAAACACAACGAACGGGAGCGAACCCTTGGGAAGCTTGACAATGGACGCAATCGCCTGCAACTGCGGCACATTCGTCGCAATGAGCGCATTAGTCGTCCGTATTCCGCTCTTCGAGATGCGCGAAGCAACCAGCGAATGTTTATGGTCGGGGAACAGCACTCGCGGTTGATCGAAGACGGTGTCCAGCGCTTGGTGCTGTCGACGGAGGGGGATACGGTTGAGCTTGAAGCGGACCGTGTAGCGCTGCGACGACGACCATCCGAAAGACGAGTGGAACTTGAGCCCGACCTCAGCCTGACGCACGACGTGCACGCGACCTTCGAACCAGCGGCCGTTGTTGTCGCCGGATTTCTGGACGAGGATTCGATCGCCTAAGAATGTCAGATGATTGAGCATACATATAAAAGGGCCATAGACTCACCGATGAGCACGCTCGGCCGTTTTTCAGCCAGACCTGGCACGTCGAGGCTGGACCACAGTTAAAGATGTAACGCTCGCACAGGCAAGCGACGACGACATACTAATAGTATTGATCCTGTCGACCAGTGGAAAACCCCAACCGATTGAACTGGGTGAACCCTTGTCGCCTGAGCTCGGCGTCCTCGATGTCATATATTTCCAGGTCCCGCCTAAAGATGGGCGTGAGCATGATGACTGAACGATTGATACAGCGACGTACTCAGAGCGGTACTCTTCGGCCCACAGCAAGCACTTGAAGTGCTTCGAGTGCCCAGCACTGTCGAAGACGCGCGGAAGAAACCCGGCGCGAAGCTGGCCGACGATCTCGTTGTCAGAGCCCCGCGACAGTACATTGTGTAGGTACGTCGGGATATTGGCGTAGGGCAGCTTGCCGATATATGTGATAGCGTCAAGCAACTCGGGCTTGGGGCCCTCGACGATTTCCGTCTCTGGTGCGCGGTCGACTCGTCGGCGAGGCCGGTATGGCGCGATCGGCCTGAGTTCTTCGAATGTCGCTTTGTCCCCAACGCTTGCGCGCAGGCTTCGCACGATAACGAACTCCTTCCTGAGCTGCACATCCTGAAAGACGACTTCGATGCGGTCCTGGAATATGCCGAGGAACTGCGCGCGGAATTCGACCTCGATACGAGTTGACCCAGTGGACGAGACATCCCCGAGGCTGCCCGCTCCGATGATGCGCGGCGTGAATCTAGGGAAAGTTCAGTTCACATACAGTACAATTGGAATGTCGAGTACGAACCCAGGGGCCCGAAACTTGCTCTTTGAGGACGCCAGATCGATGCGGACGATGCGCAAGGCTGCGTTGACCGTCTTCTTGACAGTGCGAGAGCACACAACAGTCTGCCCTCCGGCTACGACGTCGAAGTCATATTCTCCTTCGATGACGACGCCATTTCGGTCTTGTTCGGCGTCTTCTAGCGCAGAGTGGTAGATCGCATAGTCAGCGCACGCCCTGTGAACTGGCGACGATACGTGTGCGTCCCAGCGACGAGTTATAATGTCCTTCCTGCATACGTTGCAATGGCGGAAGCCGGGCGGTGTGTCCTCCACGGGCTCTACCACCGGGGACACACCTTGCAACGATGCTTGTTGTGCATGAAGTCGTCCATTGATATGGTCGTTCCAGGCACCACCACCCATTATCCTGTCGCATATAGAGCAACGCAGGCTGCCGGAGTACCCATTCAGGACCTTCCGATGTTTCTTCCCACTCAAATGGGAGTCAAGCTGGCCTTGGGAAGAGAAGAACCGAGCGCAAACGGTGCATTCGAAGGCGTCATGCCTGTAAGTGCAAGAATCGCGAGAGCAACGACCAGAGGCGACGAGGTCGGGACAGAGGGCGACAACCATGATGCACCAATGTAGACCGTGAGCAGTGGTGGTGCAAAGGCAAGGGCAGACGAAAATTGCAGAGTTGAACGCCTCGCGGATACAACGTGTACGGCATCATGAGTCTTCTCCCGCTCCGCTAAATGGACGCTAAGGCGCTATGATAGGCGCCTGTCCTGTACATTGACTTCAGCTTCGTCGGGTGTAGGTGCAAAGTAAAGAGCTCGTATGCCTGTGCGAATACGAGAGGGGAGAAACGACCATGCCATGGCTCCTTATCGAGTTTCTCAGAATTCCTAAGGCTCAATTCTGTCGCAGGAAGCTTGGTCGTCCTATGTCCGCTGTATTGAGTATCCTTGCCAGCTGACGTTTCGTTTTCAATGGTAATCACGACCACCGCTACGCACGCCTGATGATCCGTCCAAAGTCATCCCTAATATCCGGGAGACGCAGTCCTTTATAGACAGCGGTGGAGTAGAGACCATGGACGTCTGTATGAGAGAGAGCCCAAAGCCAAGCTGTTCCTTCGCTGCAGGTTATTTCTTTTGAGCGTCAGATCTGGTTTCCCGAAGTGCATTATGAATTAAATAGCCCAACTCGACGTAAGGCACTGACCTAATTCGCCACAGTTTGCCCAAGCTAGACGGGCTAATTTACTTTGGTAGGGCATAGTGGTGAATGCCTGGGGAAGATCAACTTGTCGACGGGTACATGAGGGTCGAGAAAGAGAGTCGTCTATGTAGTAGATACGTGACTATGTGACCGGACATCGGTCCGAAGTTGCCAGTCACATACTGTAAGTTTGACCGCAACTGTCCGACTTGCGCTCTTTCAACTCGAGCATTGGTCTCTTCATCCTGCGAGCACACTTGCGTGAATCCAGGGAGCTTGATTCCCAAAGTCGCTCTACCAATCCGAACGTAGAATAGGTAGGCCAACGATCCCGAGTTGTGTAAACCCCTCGCAGGTTCTTACGCGCCTTCGGCCAGTCCTTTCTCAGCGTCCTCGCACAGATACAAGGAGTCTAGACAGTCCTATTACCCACAACCTACCAACACCACCGATGTTGTCGAAGCAGAAGCAGTGACCAACTCAGGGCACATCATTCTCCGGTCGTGCTTCTGAATGCTCAAGCAAGCCTCTGGACTTCGAAGACCGGACCCTCTCGGGAAAAGACTGACTTCCCGAGTTCTTTGCCATCCTCAAACTCAATCTAGACTGAGAGGATTGGTCCCATTGTAGGTAATTAGAGGTCGGCGGCATCTATTGACACCTTGGTCGTGCCGTGCGTCTTACATCTCGGTCAGAGGTTCGCGTGCGGTACGTGCGAACGGTTTCGTCCCATAGTTCTCTTCTCATGGATTGTGTATAGGGGGTCCTGTACCTTCAACCCTCGGCATGAATGACGCCTTATTTGTCTTTCTGGATCTGTAGGACCATGTCGTACCGATGGCGCCCCTTCGAAGGCGAAGTATTTGCAAGTCTCAGTCTACACGGAGTCGGTATCATATGAGCCTCTCGATGCTGCCAGAATGAAGGAATGACTCATTTACGCTGACGCCAAGATCTCTATGTTCTCTTCTGCAGGTCCTGCGACCTCCAAGGTATGCACCCTCAATCTACACCCTCCATACAGGGAGGGGCAATCGTACCTTAGCGTACCTTTGCTCGACCTTCCTATGTCGGATGCCTTGGGCTACCCTCCATCGGTACCAGGCCGCGCAATCCGCCCATGGAGTCTACTTGTACGTCCTTCATGAGCTATTATTGCTTGGCCACTACTCATATTGCGACCCCTCTTGTGCAGTCTGACCTATGACCAAAAACACCATCATCGTTATCGCGTCCCCGGGGCCACCCCCTGGCACCATCGCTCGGCAGAACCGCAGAGGACCTCGGCATATCGATCTTCACTGCGGGGGACGGGTCTGGACTCCGTCGTACTGAACCCTAACCCTCTTTTGGGTATCCGATTCATGTCCTTAAGGTTATATAAGACGCCAGCAGCCTGCCGCCGTAAAAGCGTGTCCCGATTAGGGCCCAGTCAGGATCCATCCCCTCCCGGGATTGCTCTTCGCTTCTGACCGCCATCTCGCCCGCCCACTCCCCCAGTCGACAGCCAGCTTGCCCATGGTCTCGCCGTTATGTCTACTATCGACACATTCCTTGACGCTGCGGCCACCCTCTCAACAGGCCTCTCGAAGCGTGGTATTCGGCACGCATTTTACGGAGATATAGTCCGCGACATACTTCAAGGCAATCCGGACAGCAAGGTACGAACTCGCCTTGCTTCCTTGCTCTGCTCGACAACTGAAACGTATGGCCCAGGAAATATGCTGCATCGTGGAATCGGCAGGAATGAACACTTGCCCATTCCGACGCGTTCGTGACGCTCTACAAGGCGTGCCGTCTATGACGGCCAATTTCACGCCTTGGTCGAAGAGGTAAGCCATTCAGCGAAGAAAAATCAGCTCATCTGACTGACGACGACCGGATTAGGCTGCATGTCGTATACACCAAGGTCTCTCCGCCCATTCGCGTGCGTATACTTCCTCCGTCTGGTACTCGTCGCGATTCTGACGTCCGCAGATTGAGATCCTGCCTTCGGGGGAGACAGGCCCGCTGTCGCTCGATGATTCCGCGGTCATGATGTTGAGGGGCGTGCCCTTCCTCAATTTCTCGGAGCTCATTCGCGCGCGGCTCAAGTCGTGGATGATGTACGTACTGCAGCTGCTAGCCGGCAAATTTTACTGACGGTGTTGAAGTGGCCAAAAGGACACGCAGGCTCGCGACATCATATATTTCCTGCAGAAGTACTGGCGACGCATCGACATCAACCGTATACCAGAGGCCGACATGTCGGTCTTCCTGCGCTGTAACACGGTCGCAGCGCCGGCGTGGCTCGCGATCAACAGCCGGTACACTACGTGAAGCGGGTGCGTACGCGAGGGTGAGCCTTCGCGGTCTTCTCGAGGGCGGTCGCGGCCTACCAGGCTTGTGCGCTGGTTCAAGTCGGAGATGAAATCCATATGGACTCTAGGCGATTGTTGTGTGTATGTACGTACTCTGGATGTCTACCGCATCTTCTGCATTCGAAAACTTGTACTAAGCGGACGGATTACTTGTATTAATGGGATTGATGTCCAGGTCCAATCGAGCTTCAGCCTGCAAGTTGTTTGTGCACGTGCTTCAAGCGAGCGGCAAGTAGGCGCCCACCCCAGCTTGGGGCGCCACAGATGTGTCCTGGAGGCGCCGCATGGGAACCTGAACTGGTCAGCTGGCCGGCGAGCGGAGGGTTGAAGGTGATTTATTGATCGGGGCCGGGTCCAGGTCACAAGATCCGGCGCATACGGCTCGTCTCGTGCCTCCACCTGGCCGCAAGCCATTTAAATAAAAGAGCCGCCCGGCCAACCGCCCCAGCTGCATTGACATGATCATGACGACTGCCGCTTCCCCCTGCACCACTCGCCCACGCCCATCTCCGTGCTCCTATTGAGTGCAATGGGGATTCGGGCGGCAGTAAGCACTGGTATCTATCCTTGTTGTCCCCATTAGTCAATCACAGCTTGCCATTCTCGAGGTCACGCCCCAGCGAACAGGGTGTGGCTCGCATCGGCCAATCCGTACCCCGCAGCAAATCAACATGTAATAGATCGCCGAAGATCTCTGACGGTCTTGGTCCCCGCCCTTAACTCTCGCGTTTCCTCCTAACCTCAGCAGCGTGCCCACCGCCCTCGCCCCACTTAACATGTCTTGCGCCTGACAGAAGACATCCCCACCCATCCTACCCCCTCTCCATCCACTATGCGCCCCGAGGAAACGCAGCGGCTCCGTCAGACGGCAGCTGCCTTTTCGCAGCTCCTCCGCTCGCACGACATTCCGCACGCCTTCCATGGCAACTTTTTGGTGTCCTTGGTTTCCCGCAGACAGCTTTGCGAGGTGAGTGCGCCCGTTTACCGTTGGTACCTACCCCTGAGGACCAAGTATTCCTAGGAAATGGTATGCATCGTGGAAAACGGGCAACGACATGCCTTCCGCCGGGTGCGGGACGCGCTAGCGTCGTCCGAAGACTTTAGGACAGTCTTTTCACCGTGGACAAATCGGTGTGTGCCCCGCCTTCATCTTGCCCACCCACTGACCCCTCTCCCAGATTACACGTTACATACACCGAATTAATCCCTTCCATCGAGGTGATGACTTCGTGACCCGTGCCACCGCCCCTCTCGCTCATGAGCTTGTCCCTTAGTTCGAGATTCTACCCGCTGGCGAGACGGGTCCGCTACGTCTCACTCGACATACTGTTATGAAGATTCAGGGTGTACCCTTTCTGACGATCACGGAGTACGTGCGCGCCAAGTTGAACAGCTGGATAATGTGCGTCCGTCATCTCTTCATCTCTACGGTGCGGACTTACGAGCGATACAGCCGACGACTTGACCTCGACGCTCACGACCTGCTGTACGTCCTAGCGCGGTACTGGAACAGCGTTGACGCCAACCGCATATCGGACACCGACATGAATGTATTTGTCCACGAAAATCCTGAGGCGGCGCCACCATGGGCGGCTATCCGGCGAAAGTACGATTTGTAGCATGGCTGTTATTTGCGGGTATACCCTACGACACGGAACGAGGCCTGTATTGTGGAATTTAATTTATTGATATGGTCAGACGCCCAAATTCACCGCATCGACAAAGCTCTTGACGTTGCATTGCCTGCCGTCACCCTGGGCGTCGGAGGAGTTGAGGGTGTGTCACCCATTCAAGGCGCCGCTGTCAGCGCCAGTACCACATCCGTCTGATCAGTGGTATAAGCAGTGTTATCGAGCAGCTATCGGGAGGCCATGCCACCGTCGTGTGCAGAGGTGTGCGCCTTTCTGTGGAGCGCACGGCCCTTGTTGCTCATTCAGCGGAGGCGACGTTGTGTACGACACATGGGCACCGCGTGCATCATAGCATATAAACTTTAGGTGAGATATCAGTATGCGGATAAAGAGACTTCGGCAGGTATCACGAGTGCTGAGCGTGATAGCGAAAAGCGGCTACTGCCTCAACTCTTCAGCACTTTGGCTGCGTCATATACTCGAACCGCAGCTACCATGATTGCGAGGGCTACGATAGGCTGAGTGTGTGCGCTGCAATCGCGAAGGTATTAGCAGAGCTGCCTGGAGCCCGCGATCTGAGGAGCTTGGGGTCGATCACATCGAGTGCAACGCTAGATGTTAGAGGGAGAGACGGCCCGCCAGGCTATCGATTGCGGGATATGGTACGCGGCAGGCAGCTCGCCCATCGGGCCATCTGCACCTCCATGGACGCCCGGTCCTGTATGGGCGCCTTCGAGGGGTCACAATTCAATGCTCGCGCTGACAGAAGTCTTTCATTCAGTCGCGATCCGCGTAAAAAAGACGTAATGCTCACCTTCTCTTCCGACAATCACTGCAGAGGGCGACCTACAATCGCCCTGACTATGTATAGAGTGAATGGCGGAGTCGCCAGGACCTGCCCACGTCCGGGAGGGTCCGCGAGCCACAGGTATACTGGAGTGGACCTCTGTCAGCGGTGTAGCAGCAGTCCGCGATTTAGCCACTTCTTCGGGGGCAAGGACGGCGCGGAGCAGTGTTGGCGAGGGACGCAGAAGGATGGCGAGCTGGCGGAGGCCTGTCGCCACCTTCATGTAGAGCGTATCAGAGAGTTATCACAGTCATCCGTCTAAGATCGATGGATAAACACAGATATAGTGGAGAAGAAGAGCAACGAGAAGAGCGGAGGCCAGGTCTCCCGCGACGCATGACGAAGCCCGAGTCGTGTAGGTCGGCTTTTGAGGCCAATGTCCGGGCTGAAGAACAGACGGTCGGCACGGCAGTCTAAAGCGAGTACACGAAGTCAGGAAGCCGAGGACTGAGAAGAACCTATCCATCTCGTGGAATGCGACCGGATAGCGCTGCGAGAAGTCAATGACACGCAAAAGACCGAGGCCACCACACCTACGGGCGGCTTGCGATAGCTATACAGGTGCAATGCTTGCCGTAGGCGAGATACAGATACACCGTACGCATGCGCCTTGACCGACCGCTCGTCGTGGCGGGCCGTGTCCACCAGATCGGAAAGTGCCTAGCTTGTTGTTCGCCGGCGCAGAGAGGGACGAGTGGGTCGACGTCGGTCATCAGCGAGCAACTCTTAGCAGCAGCCCACTATCAGCGAGGGAAGGCTCCATACAACGGTGGCCCATGCAGTTCGGATCGAACGTCGACGCCGGAGCAGCGCATGAGGATTCGGAAAGAAGTTCAACTTGTATTGGTCGCGTGACACTGATGCGCCCGGCCATTGCCGGGCCCACGGTTCAACCACGATTTGGGTGCATGCGCTCTCCCATGTCCGCTATCTGCCATCTTGATTCATTCGTGTATGCACCAGCGAATACACGTAGCGTATCATCGTCTACGTCGTATATGTATATATGTACAAGAATGTCGCGCCGCGCCACGCCTCCGACGACTGAATCGGCAGGGAGATCCAAAGCAGTCCAATAACGAACAGTAAGCTAAGTACTAAACACAAATCCGAGGAGACGAGCGCGGCTGACTGCATTGAAAGAAATCCGAATCGATGAAAGAGCTGGGTGGATGCTGACAGGACATGGGTAGACTCGGTGATAGGGCGACTCGAGTGGAGTCGGCGGACAGGACCAGGCGCGGGGCCTGTTAACATGCGCACCAAGCCCCACCGACCAAACACAACCCTCACAAGATTGCGCTCTATCAACGCGCTGCAGGGTTCGGGGCCTCCCCATTCACCGTTTGCCCGGCCAGCTTCTCCGCCAGCCCCTCCACCGACTCGTCGCCCTCCTGCACCGATGGCGTCTGCCCCGTCCACACGCCCTGAATCAGGCTCATCGTGCTCTCCAAGCTCCTCCTCCTCGTACTCGGGCTCGTCATGGTCGTCCCCAGGCTCGCTTGGCGCCCGTGGCCACGCTTGAACGGCGTGCCCGCCGTTGGTGTTCCCGGCGACGACGGTGTGCGCGCAGGAGAGCCCGCGGGCGAGGCTGCTCCATCGGAGATCGCCTGCTTGAGGGCATCAGCGGAGACGGGCTGCGACGGATCGTGCGCGCCGTTTTCCGCTGGCGTCTGTGGGAGGGAACCAGAGATGATCGCCTTGCCCTCCTCCGAGTCGGCGTCGTACAGATCGGGCGGCAAACGCTCGTTCTCAATATCGGACTTCCGTCTGCACAAGCATTAGGTGAGGAGCGGGCACGGCAGATGAAAGACTTACGCCTCCTCAAAGCCAGTGATGGCCTCCTTGATACCCTCGGTACCGGCTGCAAGCGTACCATACGGGAGCTTGCTCGTGCCGGAGATGTTTTTGAGCTCAGACACCTTCTCGGACTCCTCACTATGAAGGCAAAGTGAGTGGAGATTTCGGGTGCGGACAGAGGTATGACCGACCGCAGCAAGGCAAAGACGCGCGCCATACGGCCAACAGCCATGATCTTGTTCTTGATGACCTTCTTGCGCGCATCACCCTCGTCCGCTGTCGGTGAGACTGGCACTTCCTCTTCGTCGCTCTCCTCGAGTTCTTCCTTGGTACAAGTGTTAAGCACGGCAACAAGCATGTCAGTGACTGTATGTGTGTCAGGGATCCATCAAGTCCAACAGGTTGAGGACGCACTCTTCTCGCCAACGAACGGCAAGCTCCAAGTGAACACATCCATGAAATTAGGCAACCAGTACGGATGCGGGGTGCAGTTGAACTGCCGGATGTTCATGACGTTGCTCTCATACTTAAGGACCGCCGCCTTGTTGTTATAGACGTCAAGGTAGTTCGGCGCGGAGAAAATGGTCATGACGGAGGGGAAACCGGTCGACTTCGTCTTGCGGTACATGCGATAGCCGGCATCCTGCGCTTCGTGCGCACGGATGATGGACAGCAGGTTGTTGCGCTCGAGGAACTGACATGCTGCTTGATAACTGTGGCGGAAGGTAAGTCGATGCCACAAAGCAGAAAAAGCGCGCTAACGCACGTGAAGAAGTACGAGCAGCCTCGTACGTGGTTGTGCAAGAAGTTGTCCGTGACCTTTTCCGTGCCAAAGTCTTCGACGGGATCTGACCAGAGGATATCACACATCAGGCCGTGGGTCGGTGGTTCTCTGAACCGGTCGATCTCGCGCAGGTCGTCGAGCGTGTTCAGCTCCGGCGATAGACCACCGTGTATGCACAAGAACTGCTTGTTCATCACGGCGGCGAGCGGAAGCGCGCAGAACGACTCCATGCAGGCGTCATAAATCCTCTCCGAGTACTTGTGCTTGCCTGACGTCTGATCAGCACGGTGTCAGCTGGGCAGCGATAACGACGCACACTCGAGCTTGAACGTGAAGTAGTCGGTGAGATGGCGGCACTCATGGTTGCCGCGCAGGAGGAAGAGGGTGTCGGGGTACCAGATCTTGAGCGACCAGAGGTAGAGGACGCACTGCCATCGCGGTTAGCAGTTTCCCGGTGGGCAGCGGGCGAGGATGCGTACTTCAATCGAGAAGTATCCACGATCGACGTAGTCACCGAGGAAGAGGTACCGAGTATCAGCGGGGCTTCCCCCGACTTCGAAAAGTTTCATGAGGTCGTACTGGATCGTCGCCGCTCGTCAGCCACAATAGAGAGAGCAACGATTCGGTCACGTACATATTGCCCGTGGATGTCGCCGCAGACTGAGCGAGCATCGGATTAGCACTCGTCGCTAGGCGGGCTGCGCTGCGTGCGCACCTGTTATGGGAGCGTCTACGGAGAGTACGTTCGGCTCCTCGCGGAGGATAGCGGTGCCCTGCTCGATGATCCAGAGCGCCTGCTCCTCCGTCAGTCTGCCCTCGCGATAGAAGTGGTTCTTGAGGAACGCTATGTCTGGTTTGGTGCGATCCTGGCCGCGGTTGGCGAAGAACTGCTCGTCGGTGGGTGTGGACATCGCCGGCGCCTGCACGTCCTTGATGACCCTCTCCTGTGTGCTGACGACGTTGCCATCTTCGAGCGTGTGTTGCGTGAAGTCGATGTCCGGCACGGGCGGCTTCGACGTAATCTCCCCAATGGCGCGTTCTACTTGTGTGCTCATGGTCGTCGTCGTCGTCACCAGCGATGGAGGGAAGGAAGAAACGGCGCTGGTGAATGCAGTGTCAGAACGCGATCGCGTGGGTGACCAAACTCAATGCCACGCGCTAATTTATGGGCGTTTGTGGACCTTCTCATTGGCCCATCTTTTCTTCCTCCTTCTCGCACTGCCAGGCACTGTGTGGCCACAGCTCTAGCATAGGGCCATGCCAAAGTCGAAGGTTATCCGGTAATCAATGAATTGACATAACTCTGACTTCAATAGATGAGCTCAGACCGTAGCACTCAGTATACTGTGCGAGAGGCTTCGGATGCACAGCTGGATTTAAGTTAAAGATGCTAACACCTATTCGAGAGGTACGAAGACGCCAGATGCTGTATTCCAGCCTCAGCCTACAGCAAATAAGCGCCCAAGACCGTTTCCTCACAACTGGCGACACGGTTCTGCGAATCAGGCGAACTTCCCTTGAAACCTGTATCCTGACCCTACTCACGGACGCCGAAAAGAGAGAACCTGCGTGCTGACGCCTCGTACGCGTACACCGGAGAAACGAGCAAATATTTGTACACATTTGGGCTGTGGCGCGCTCCGTCGGGCCGAGCGCCGAATGCCGTCGCCCGTCACTTTTCGTGATCTCATTCATGCGCCCGGACGCGTTGTTCCCTCTCCCCATCTGCTGGCAGCACTGATACGCGCATGAATGCTCGGCTAGCTGACCTCTGTGGACGATATGTAACCACCAATGTAAAGTCCTCAGCCAGCTTGCACAGGATGCGTCCCTGGCCGGGCCTCGTAGGACTCGGCTCAGCACGAACGGCGTTCCCCTCACGGTCGTTCCACGTCAGGCTCCGTGCGCAGAGCGAGCACGAGAAGCAGCCGTTCCGCATCATACACCATATCCGCATTGGTGGGCTCCGCGGGTTCAACTGGTCGCTCGGCCGAAGCGAGGAGCAGGACGCTTGGGATGCGGAGGCGGAGGTGCAGAAGGCGGCTATACTGGAGAAGCTGATGAAGGGGAGGCAGCCAGCAGACCTGAAGATGAGATGTGCGCCACAGCTCTTCCTTCCCTGAACATACAGCTCACAGCAGTGTTACAGGTACGATTTTAGACGCCCAAGGTGTTTATTGAGTTAGCTTGTGAGGAAGTAGGATATTCAACTTTTTATGCCAGGAAACGTCGAGACCGTGTCCGGTCATTTCAAGAAGTCCGATCTAAGCGCCGAGCATGGCCTCAATGTACGTGCACCTTCCCCTCCCCTAGAACTCAACATACTTACCGCCGTCCAGATACGAGATCTCCGCAAGATTGATTCTCGAATACCCAACCTCGTCCCCACTATCCTGGTCCGCAAAGAGTCCATTCTAGTCAACATCCTCCACCTCCGTGCCCTCATCAAAGCCGATGCCGTCGTCCTCTTCGATACGTATGGCTCTGTCGACTCCAGGCTACACTCCACTTTCCTCTACCACTTGCAGGTATGTAGCTCCCCTTCATATTAATCTCATTCCTTCTCACCGTTACCTCATACACCCGCTGATATCACCGCCCTCTCTAGCACAACCTCCGCAGCAAGGCCACCGGCCTCCCCTACGAATTCCGCGCCCTTGAGTCCATCCTGCTCTCCTGTCTGAGCGCCCTCGAAGTCGAGATGGTCTTCATTCGCAACCTCGTCGGCACCCTACTCGCCGAGCTCGAGGACGACATCGATCACGACCGGTTCAAGCGCTTGCTGTACTACTCGCGTCGGCTGGACAGCTTCCAGAATCGGGCGAAGTTGGTGCAAGACTGTTTAGACGAGCTGCTCGACACGGACGAGGACCTGGCGGCCATGTACCTGACGGACAAGAAAAACAATGCGGAGCGGCCGGATGAGGACCACGAGGAGATCGAGTTCATCCTGGAGTCCTTCTCGAAGCAGGTGGAGGAGATCGTGAATGAGGCGCAGAGTATGCAGGTGTGTGGCCACTGATTACCTTGAACGTAACTAGTGGTTTGCTGACCCCGTCTGTCCCCATAGAGCAACGTCCAATCCACCCAAGAGATTGTCGAGCTCATCCTGGATTCCAATCGGAACGCGCTCTTGACGCTTGACCTCAAGGTCTCCATCGCCACCCTCGGCATCGGCATCGGCACGCTCATTGCAGGCCTCTTCGGCATGAACCTGCGCACAGGCTGGGAAGACGACGCGCACGCCTTCTGGGTCATGTCGGGCGTCTCGGGCGTTGTCGCGATCATGGTGGCGTGGAGGGGATTCAGAATGTAAGTGGTTTTTTGTTTGTGGGTCTATTGAATAGTGCGGGGGTGCTGCGCTGAATACTGCTCGCCGTAACCCATATTCGGGTGTCGTTGATGGTGAATGTGGGCTAAGTTGACATATCCTTCAGACTTCGCAAGATCAGGAAAGTCGGCCTGTCGAGCACGCATAGCCCACGGCAAAGGAGGCGACCCTTTTTGCCTCTGCCTTTAGGGCGCGAGCGAATCGGCGACGGCTGGCCATAGTCCTAGCGTTTTTGACAGGCTTGACGACATGGCAATGCGCTCGTTGGGAAGGACACGCAATCGAGTCGAGCATGCGCTTGACGTTCGAGGATGCGCTCGTCACGGACGATGCGGTCGTCACGGAGGGCTCGGTTGCTCGGACCAGGGAACGAGCGTTCATGCACCCCATCCGACCGAACGACACCCCCAAAGCTCCCTAGATGTACACTATACGGCAGGGACGACGCCATAATTGTGCTACCTTGACACGGTTAATTTCCGGACATACTTGTATACCGCCCCTACTCATCTTACCCCCACTTCTCCATGCAGCAATTCACAAAGCTGATGCAACCAGGGATGGCAGTCTTAGTGCAGCCCAAGTTGAGCATCTGTTTGCCTTTCGGCTTTTGCCGCTCCAAGTTGAACTTGCATCACGTGCGCTCGGCACCGTTGCGTTTACCGCTGAGGTACGTTACACCAGCTCACACAACGCAAATCTGCCCATAGTAGGGTTATGGCGGGACGAAAAGCATAGTGGCAGGCGGAAGAGAGCATGAACAGTCACGCAATAATCACACGACTCTCACAAGTTGTGGCAGAGTTATCTCATTGGACATAATAGGTGTACATACAATTTGGTGCATACAGTAAGAATCCTGCATGCTTTGAGGCGACGCATATTTAGAAGACTCCAGGATACTGACGGTCTCGGGAATGCGTGACGAGAACATGCTTCTCGGTGAAGGCATCGACATCGAATCTGCCATAGCCAGAAGCCCCACTGCGCAGAGTCAGACGCGAGCTTAGACGAAGTTTGTAATCCACGTACCCGAAGCCATGTACCGCAATCAGAGACTCCCGGTGGAACGTTGGCCCGTTGATGTTGGTGAAGCCTAACATGGATCAGACGCTGTATCTGCGATGCCCCAAAGTGAACTACGCACCTGCGTTGATCTCAGGCGCGACCGCCTCTATCCTGTCGATATCCTGTGTCCATACAGCGGACGTCAGCGAATAATCACTTGCGTTCGCCCATTCGACGGCCTCCTCTAGGGTGTCGACCTCGGCAATGATTACAACAGGACCGAAGGTCTCCTTCTCCCAGATCTTCATCCCCTTCTTCACGTTCTTCACGATATGCGGCTGGACCAGAGTGCCCTGGCGGGTCACATCACCCAGAAGAACAACAGCACCCTCGTCCTGCGCCTCTTTGATGAGGCTAATGATGCTCTCTGCCGCAGGTTCGCTGAAGACAGCAGACAGCTTAGCGCCGTCGGTGTAGCTGTTGCCCGCGCGGACATTCTGCGCGAGGGCAACCATCTTCGTTGCCAGCGCCTCGGCGACGCCTCGCTGCACGATGACGCGCTCGGTGGACTGGCAAACTTGACCAGAGTTGATCATAGAGCCCCAGATGATTGCTTTGGCCGCCGACTCGAGGTCTGCATCGTCTAGGACCTAGGATGGCGGTCAGGGCATGAAGTGTAGGCGAGTCAAGATGTATGCCTTACCACAGCCGGCGCCTTGCCACCGAGCTCGAGCACAACCGGCTTGAGGTTCTTGGCTGCCTCAACTGCGATGATCTTGCCTACTCGGTCGCTTCCCGTGAACTGAGATTGTCAGTGCGCGACGACTGATGCCCTGATGCCCGACTCACATTCACATGTCGCACCAGCGGATGCGCAATGATCTTCGACACCAACTCAGGCGATGCCTCTCGGGAGATCGACAAGAAATTGAGAACCCCTTTCGGTAGACCGGCTTCCTCGAAGAGTTCGGCGACGACAGCGTGTGTGCGAGGCGTCGCTTCCGAAGCTTTGAGGACAACGGTGTTACCGCATAGGATTGCGCACGAGATGGCGCGAAAAGCAAGTGCGGGCCCGGCGTTCCAGGGCGCGATGCCAAAACTGTTCGAATAGGTCAGGAAACGCCGACCATGCGAACAGAAGACACGTACACCACACCCCACGGCTTCCGCCTAACCTGGACATGCCCGCCTGCCGTACTCGAGGGGAAGTACTCGCCACGCAAACGCTCGATCATGGACGCGCTAGCCCGCAGGTCACCCTGCGAGGCGAGCCAGCACGCGTAGCCCCAGATTGGCGTCGCAGCGACCTCCTCCTTGAGCGCAATCGCGATCTTCGCCTTATACTTGTCCCCCGCGAGCAGATCAGCAGCCTTGTTGAAGATGTCGCGACGCGAGTCCAGGGTGGTCTTCTTCCACGTCTTGAACGCACGGTGCGCAGCTTCGATGGCGGTGACGGAGTCCTCGTAGGTCGCTGCCGCCGCCGTACCGACGACATCGCCCGTCAGCGGGTTGCGGACCTCGTACGTTGCATCGCCGGTTGCAGGTACGTTCTGTCCATCGATGTAAAGAGGGGTGAAAGGCGCCATGATCGCTGTGCTGAGGTCGATTGTGTCCACAGGAGGTTATATACGCCCAATCTCCTCTGAAAGGTACATAGAGTTGAGACGGATTCTGACCTTCGCAATCAGCGTTCCCTGATAGAGGAAGGCCGGCGCTATAGCTATGGGTGATTGGGCGCCAGGGCGTCCATTGAAACAGGACTCGACCGGTATGAGGGTTGTAGCTGGATCTGATACAACGCGTGAGTAAGACAGGCGAGTGCGCCCATAGAAGCTGGGTATCAATCAGAGGGGGATCCGCTGTGGGCGGGAGACCATTGTGCACCGGGTAGGCCATGGCGACTTGTTGTAAGTCGGAAGCTACGAGGTGGCGACATATCGTGAGAGGCTGCAGCGTCGGAGATGGCCCGTCGCAGAATGCTCGTGACTTTGGGGACAATATGTCGCCGTTGCAGGCGGACAAAGTAACACCGTTGCCATATACCGATTGCTAGCAGAGACTAATGTTAGGCGAATTCATCGTTAGGGATGTCATCTGTGAACACAATGGTGTCAGGCCTTTACATAGTGCGTTGAGCATGAGAGACTGACCTCAGGACTCAGCTTCATCGGGAACCTCCATTCAGCACTGCAAATCAGGCATACAACAGGATCACCCGTTGAACAAGTCATGCGTACCCAGAGGAGTCAATCGAGCCAGGGCAACGAACACCGGAGCTAGCGAGCAACGAAAGATACGATAATAATACAACACCTGATAGAATCCACACACAAGAACGACGACGTCTGAGCTCAAGCTGTCACTTCAGGCGCATCCGCGAGCGACTTCTCTAACCACTTCTTCCTCAGCTCTTCCCTCTTCCCAAGCCTCGTTCGTAAGTCCTTGTCCCTCGGCTGAGGAATATGCACGAGCACATCCTCCCTGAGCGGAACGTAGAAGAACCTGTATGTCCTGACGCATATGCGGATCTCAAGTCCGTCGTCTGTCAGAACCTTCGGGCCCTCCTGACGAACATCTTCGGGGACGTTCCTACGTGAACGTGAGTGGCTTGGTAAAGGTCGAGAATATATAGACCATACGTACCGTCTCAGGAAGGGACGACGCAGATGCGCCTGGGGGACACCTGGCGTATCCCCATCGGCGACATACGCATCCAAATACGCACGCCAGCGCTCGGCGACCGCCTCGGAGTCGTCAACGCTTGGCTCATCCTTGCCAATAAGCTGCATCGTCATCGTTCGGGAGTCGTGCAACTGTAAGGGCAATGTTAGGCTCGGAATGAGCGTACAAAGGCCAGCGTCACATACCCAGTCAATGCGGAACAGGTTCTCGTCCGGGCCAAGAATCTTCTCAGCGTTGTGCCGAGTGTTGATCTGGTCCTGCACAGTCGGCGAAGTGATGGAACGCTCGCGCTTGAGGTTCTCCAGCAGCTCCTGGCTCTTCTGGTCCGCGAGAACATTCTGAACCTGCTTGACGAGAGCACCGATGACTTTGTCGATGGTGAAGATCTTATAAGCGTTCTGGAAGGTGTTCAGTCGCCCGTCTTTGTATTAGTAAGAGGCGTAACGGACCTTGACACCGAACATGAAGCGCATCTGCTCCTCAAACGCGGGCTGCTCGATCTCATTGTCGAACAGACGCTCGCAGGAGTCTAGCAGAAGATCGTAGTAGTGGTCAACGGTTGTACGCTCAGCGATGCTCATCGTCTCCGATGAGTAACCAAAGGTGTGGGGAGGAGGCTGCGTCGGATCGCCCTCCATGCTCAGCGACTTGAAGAGAGCCAATCGAGAGTAGATAATCTGACAGACTGTCAGCCTTGCGATGTTAGAATCAAAGAACCATTGCCTACCTCAAGCAACCGAAGCACGCAGTAGAACGTGGTATTCGTGAAGAACATGTTCTTCCGCCCCTTGCGCCTCTGTGCCGCAGCTGCCTCCGCCAATGCCTCATCGTCCGCAGGAGCCGGCGACGCCAACCTCGAACCTGGGACCGGGCTCGCATCCCCTCTCGACCGCGTCACCCGCGTCGTCCCCGTCGACTTCGCCTGCTCGCTCTTCAGCAACTTCTTCCGCAGATCTCCCGCCGCCGCCTTGCGACCACGACTCGCGCGCGAGCCACCGCTCGCGACGCTCTCGCCATCGTCTTCCGCTCCATCCTCGCTCGGCTCGCTCTCGAAGGTCTCCTGCACGACGACAAAGGCATTGTTGAACGCCACGGGATCGAGCATGAAGAACAGCGGGACGAAGGCGCGTAGGAAAGCCTCGATACGACGCCGTTCGTTAAAGGGCACCTGAGCCTGGGTACGATCGACGAACGAGAGCGTGAGCTTCAGCGCGTCCTGCAGCACCTGCGGGTCGTCGATGACGAACTCCATCTGGTGCCTTGGCCGCGTCCGCGCAAACAGAGGGTCCACCAAACTCGCCCTCGCCGAATTCTGCTCATCGCGCGCCGCGGCGATCTGCTGCACCAGCGTCTTCTGCGCCGTCGCGCGCTTGTCCGCCGCGCGGATCGCCAGCGCCTGGTAGTCCAGACTCTTCGCATAGTTCCTTGCGTCGACCTCGCGCCACACCTTATTCCACTCGCGCTGTGCACGCTTCCACTCCTCCTCCTTCTGCTTCAGCCGGCCAAGCACGACGGGGATCGCGAGCGCGGGCTGCTCCTGCATCATCTGCACGACCTCGACGCCCGCCGCGCGCCCGTAGATCTTCTTGATCACGCGGTGGTGCACGCTCTTGCCCGAGCCGCCAAAGTTGGGCTTGAGCTTGAACGTCGCGCGGTCGTCGGGCCCGAGCTGCATGATCTTGTTGTTGATGGGCTCGAGCATGGCTATGGTGCGCACGATCGCGTCGATGTGGAAGTCGTACTCGTGGCGCTCTTCCTCGGAGCGGTGCAGCGCCTCTTCGTACGGGTTCTTCTTGAGGGGCGCGGAGGTGATCTCGTCCTCGTTCGTCCAGGTCGCGTGCGAGACCCACTCGTCGTTCAGTACGGAGCGGCACATCTCGTCGCGTCCGGAGCACTGCACCTGTGCCTCGCTGGCGGGGAGCTTGCGGTAGCTGCCGTACATGACGCTCATGTCGATGCGCCCGGGCCGCATAGTGACGACCTGCGGGTGGGGCCACGACTGGTTCTTCGGCACGAGCAGGTGCGACTCGTCCTCCTTGCGCTGGTCCCAGCCCACGATCTCCTTCAGCTGTCGAACTAGGTCCTCGTCACCGCGGAGGAGACTTCGGCATTCCTTCACGAGTTGCACGCTGTCGATGTGATCTTGGGTGAAGTTATTGATGTGCTTCAAGAACTCGTTATACAGCTCCTTCGATCCCAGCGCACGCTGCACACGGTTGAAGAACACAAGCTGCTCATTGGTGGGCTCTTCTGGCGGTGGAGGGACAGGTTGTTGCGCCGGTGCGGCTCGACGACTTGGCGCAGGCGGGGGCGATCGATCGCGCGCATTGCTGGTAGCTGCCTGTTGCTGCTGTTGATGCCTCGAGCGCTTGGGCTTGATGGCGTGTAAGCCAAAGACGGTACGCGGAGGAAAATCATACACTGACCTTCGCTGCAGGCGGCTCCTTCTCCCGTTCCTTATCCTTCGCCGTCTCACGATCCCTCTCAACCCTACGCTTCTTTTTGGCTTGCGCGACAGGTGCAGGGCCGTGCTCCTTATCCGCCTTACGCTTGCTAGCGCCTAAAGGCGTCATCGTCCTGAGTGCAGCAAAATTCTCCGGCGACCAAGGCTGCTGCATCATCTTCTGCCACGCAGCCGCCGTCTGCGGCTCGTCCTTGAATATAGCTTGGATATCTTCCAGATATTGCGCCCGATCACCAGTGTCCTGTCCGGCCGCGCGAAGGACGCCCATGAGCTGGCGGTGCTTCTCGGGGTTGGAGTGCTTGATCGACTGAAGGTACTCCATGGCCTCTGGCGCAGCCGTTGGAAGGTGGTGTGAGGGGGCTGGCTTGTGCTCAGTCCATCGCATGTCGGAGGCCTGCATGACGTGTCCGGTGGGTGTGGTGACGGTGATGCCAGAGACGCCAGTGCATTCAATGCGATAGCCGATCGGGAGGAACGTATTGAAGCCTTGGATGAGCCTCGGGTGGCCGTGGAATAGCTGCGAGACGCGCTTGATGACGCCAGGCGTGTCGATCCTACAAAGCGTGAGCAAAGAAAGACAAAGCGCAGAAGATATACAGCACGCACAATGAGCTCTTAAACTCCTTCATGATATCCAGAAACTTGTTGTACACGTCCGGTTGATCGCTGAATTGCTGCTTGACATTATCGAGGTAGCTGAGCGCGTCGGTGACGTTGAGCGACCGTTCGCCGCTAGGATGAGGGGGTGGGTTCTCCAGGCTTGGAGGAGGGGGAGGGCGAGACGGAGGGGGTGGCTGATCGTTGGGGGTGGCGATCATACGCGGAATAGGCGCCTTGCGTTCATCGGGGGTATCCTTCAAGGCGCTGTTCGTATTTGTGTCGGGTGTGGCCTCCTTGATTCTCGGACTCGGCTCTGCCTCAGCCTTGGGAGGAGCAGTAGGAGGTCTGGATATGGCTTTGGGCTCTTTGTCGATTGGTCTTTCGGGTACAGGTTCTTCTCGCGCGCAACTCTCCGGGTTCTCGTCCGTAGGCGGGGGTTGGGATATTTGAGAGACAGGTGGCGCAGAGGGCGCCTCCTCAGCAGGAGGGGACATTGCCTGAAGGGTCGGCGCCTCGACGTCCATTTTCTGGCGTTGGGCGTTGCTGGTCGAGAACAAGGGTTGTCGCCGCCGTATTCGCCTGTGCCCAGATACGCTTCCGGCGGCCCGCCATCCGTCGCACGTGGCCGCCATGTGGAATTCTGGCAAGCGCAGAAATCGAACCTGGACTCAACTTCGACTTGTCCGCAACTTGTTGAAGTGGTGACCCATACTCCCCTGTCCCGTAAGCCGCGGGCTATCTCGAAGATTGAACTAACGTTTCTGCTGTGTTCTCACCTCGATTGCGTGATGACCGTCCTTCTCAATGGCTTGCCCAGTTCCCTTTGAATCATAGCTGCTTGTTAAGCTTGTTTTCGACGTCGAGCTGTGGCCTTCGACAACTCACTCTCGAGCGCTGGCGTGCCTTCAACCCCCAAAACGATGACTGTCTCTATACGGCCTACCCTATCTTACCCTTCCACATCAGTACCTGCCACACAGTCCTGTTCCGACGACTGATTAGGCGGGCCATGGGCGTCCCGCCCATGCATCACTCCCAGGATCCAGATCACCCCCCCCCCCATCCTCATATATGAAACCTTGCGATGGCGACAACATACGCTTGCTGTCGTCCTGGTACACCCTGCGCTCGAGCTCCCTTGCCGCCAGTGTCAACCAGTACTCCACTTAAGCAACTAGCCAGTACATCCTCCCACAAGCTAATCAACCCGACTCCCACACCAATGGGTTCCTGGTGGTCAAAGACCGTTTCTGACCCCGCTCAGTACGCCACGCCCGTGGCCGCCGGGAAGGACGGCCAACTGCATCCTCCCATCGATGAAGTCCGAGAATACGACTACGTGATCGTCGGGGGAGGTGTGTCGTCCGCTGAGGACTTCAGGGTAGAGGCGCATGCTGACAGGCGCTACAGGTACGGCAGGATGTGTCCTGGCGTCGCGGCTGTCTGAGGACCGCATGAGTTCTGTCCTACTCTTGGAGGCCGGTCAGAGGTGAGCCCCGAGTCAAACTTTGGGGTTTGTCAGTCGCATCCGTACGCGCAGTCAGGGTCTCCGCCTGCTTGTCGAAGTTCCTGGCCTTTTCAATGTCTTTTGCGGCCGATACAGCAACTACCAGAATCCATCGCTAACGCGCGACCCTTCCAGTCACGAAGGCAATCTTCTCGCTCAGATACCCCTCGGATGGGGTCAAATTCTAAAGACTAGCGCAAACTGGGGGTTCCATACGACGTGCGTATAGAGGGGCAAACGTTTGATGATGTGTCCTGACTCACGCGCACTTCTCAACCGTGACTTATTTCTTCGCGTTCCATGTCACACAGCGCCCAAGATCACTTGAAGGGGCAAGAAATCTACTTTCCTCGAGGAAAGATATTAGGCGGCTGCAGGTGAGTGAATTCGCCGGTGCTCAAGCCTGGTGCTATAGTACTATGCCTTCCGTTCGTGATTTTCCGTGGGCTGAGCCCCTTTCCATAGCTCCATCAACGCGTACGTGTACCACCGATGTACTCCAGAAGGTTAGTTCCGCGTATCTTGCTATATTTTTCGTTTCATTGCCCTCACGCTGCTCTTGGGGGTAGAACGGCGTCCAAATGCCGTCGCCGACTCGGATACTGCCTCTGCTGCAATTGTTGACCGCTGAGCATCGACCGCTGACGACGCGCCTGTTCCGAGAACATCGAGACTGAGCTCCGTCCGCGGGAAATCGTGTTGCGCTTGCCTTGCGACTGATAGCCCTACGCTTCTCTGCGGACATCGTGCAAGGAGTTGCGCATAAATCTGGCGAACGGACATGAAGATTACTTCTGAGTGCTGACGCTTCAACAGACTTTGACGGCTGGGAGCGGGCTGGCGCCAAGGGCTGGGGCTATGCTGAAATGGAGAGGTGAGTTGTCCGTGTCTTCTACCTAGTAACCAGTGTTTGCGATGGCCAGCCGGTATTCTCGTTAACCGAGTTGTCATTCCCTTGACTGCGCGGCGTTCTCCTGCTCCGTACAATGTCTTCGCCGTGCAGCAACCGATGCCGTACACGTACGACGCTCCAGGCCAAGTCCGCGGAATGGACGGACCTTCTTGTCGTTCTCGGATTTTCTGTCATTTCCGCCACTGGATACGCATTTCCCACCCTCTGCTTCCGACCAAGCTTTGACCTCCATCTGCTGATGCTACGCTAGCCGCGTCCGCCTCATCGCAGTCCCCCATCCTCCTTCAGCATGCCCTTGTATCCCCTTTCACTATCCTGTACCGTCCCCGCTCGCATTGTCCTATCCCCTTGCATCATACACCGTCCTCTTTCATCTCGCATTTTCCCAACATCTCGCACCCTCTCAACAACTCGCAGTCTATGATCCACTCCCATCTTGCCCATCTCGCTTCCCCGCAAACTCCTGACGTTCACCCTCACCTCCTTCCCCACAGGTATTTCCTCAAGTCCGAGCACTACGTCCCTCACTCCGAGTTCCCGGACGTCGACGTCGCCCAGCACGGTACCTCCGGCCCTATCTATACGTCGCACGGGCTTCTCGCCGTACGTCCCATTCGGTTCTCTATCATAGTCTCATTGCCTTCGCCCTTCGACTCTATTCTCACCCCTGACCTCCCCCAAACGCATCCCGCCAAGTGCTCTACGTGATGATCTGCATGCACACGATAATCTTCTACGTGCTCAGTATGATGACCCACATGCGCACCAAGCCAACCTTTATGGTCACGATGATGATATGCACGCTGACCATGATGATCTGCAGCCCATTCTCAAGGCCACCATCCAGTCATGCGAAGCGCTGGGTATACCGTACACGCAGTGCGTTTCGCTTGGGCTTTGTTCTCTCCTCTCCTCCGCCATGTGATGGCTACTATCAGTGATGGAACTCGTAGCTAATACCACCGTGTCGCTCACAGGGACATGAACACCCGGGACGGCACGCTGGGCGTCTCCCGCGTCGTGTCCGCTGTAGATCCCAAGGGAAACCGTGAGTGCTTCTCGCGGATCTTCTATCACTGTTCGCGCAGCACGAACTTTGCCCCGCTTGACTTTACACCTCACCGCCTACCCTATGCAGCACAACTGACGAACCCCATGCAGGCAGCTCCGCCGCGACCGGCTACCTCTCACCGGACGTGCTCGCGCGGCCCAACCTAACGGTGGCAGTAGGGGCTATCGCGGACAGGATCCTGTTCTCTGGGTCGAGCCATGGACAATCTTTGGGGTCAGGCTGTGGACGGTATTCGGAATCGAGTGAAAAACAGAACGGACTCCGCGCCACCGGCGTCCTCCTCAGCAACAAAGCCTCCGTGACAAAGTACGCCGTCGCTGCGCGCAAGGAGGTAATCCTGACCGCGGGGGTGGTCGGCACGCCCCAACTGCTGCTGCTGTCCGGCGTGGGCCCACGGGATGAGATCGAGCCGCACGGGATCCCGTTGGCGCACGAGCTGCCGGCGGTGGGGAGGAATTTGAGCGATGTGAGCATTTTGAGGCGGTCGCGAGGGAAATTGAGGGCCACGCTCTGTAGCTTGCCACACGCTCTGGAGCTGGTCAGGCGCTTTGACGTTATCGTGCTGATATTCTACTATTTTCTCAGCATATGGCCGCTGGTGCGCTCAACTTCCGCGCGAAGCCAAACGCACAGACGTGGGACTACCTTCTCCGACCGCTCGGCGGCGCGGTCGCTCTGGCGAAGTGGCTCTATCAGGGCTTTGGGACGCCTTTGGCAGCCCAGGGCGCGCAACTTATATTGTTCTTACGCTCGGATGATGAGAAGTAAATGTGGTTTTCTTATGCAGGTGTGAAGCACAGACTGATACGGCTTTCAGGTTACCCATGCACGACAGCACCCCCATCGACGCCATCCAGGATTTGACGACCGGGAAGGGGGCTCCCGACATTGAGATGCTCGTCGCCCCCCTGTTCGTTCTCAACGACGGCGTCATGGTCCCGTCGAACAATGGGATCACCTTTGTGAGTGATGTTGATGTTACGCCACGCGTGGATAACGTGACCAAACACATGCACAGAGCACCATCGCACTACAGCCCAAGAGTACAGGCTCCATCACCCTCCGCAGTGCGCACCCTTGGGACGCGCCACTCATTGACCCGAAGTGCGTCCACGAGCATCTGGACTGCAGGACCACCGCTCAAAGCCGCTATCTTCGCGTTATCTTTTTTAGCTACGGCGCAGACGACAACGACCTCGCTATAGTTGCCAAAGCGGCCAGGCTCGCTATGCGTATTGCGCGCACGGAGCCGCTCGCGTCGCAGCTTGACCTGCCCGCTGACTCCAAGGACGAATCCACGTATTTCTGGCCTGGGGACGCCAACCCGGACACGGTGCGTCCCTCATTCACTAGTTGCCCTACCCAGAGTCTGAATCTCGCGCTTACCCTCCCTGTTTACCCGCCGTGCAGATTCCGGACGATGACCTCAAGCGCTGGATCAAGCGGAACGCCGCCACGCCTTGGCATTCTGTACGTCGTGTCGATTCCTACCCCGCCGGCTGATACCACGCCCCCCATTCGTTCGCGCACCCAGAGTGCTGCTGTTGCTAGCAAGTTCTAACGCGTCCGCACCAGACGTCATCAGCGCGAATGGGCGAATCATCAGCGACGTCCGTCGTGGACTATGCGCTGAATGTTCATGGGATCGCTAGCCTTCGGGTCGTCGACGCATCCGTTTTTCCGACGCAGGTCTCGGGACACCCGTGTGCCGTGGTCGTCGCTCTAGCCGAGCGGGCGGCGGACATTATCAGAGGCGCTGCTGGGAAGGAACAAAAGGACTGAATGGATGGGCAACCGGAATTCGGTCTTGGTGGATGCATCACTTTCGCTTGATGGAGGGAAGGTCGATGGGCCTGGCCTCGTCCGTTTCCTCCCGCTGCTGTATTGGGCTCATTATGGAGTCGCCAGCGCTTGCTTATGCTGCTTAAAGTAGATCCTGCGACCTGACCCGCGATGTACGCCGGGTGTGGTCGTGTAGATGAAGGGATGGTCCTCGAAATCCTGATCGATGCTTGAATATGCCGCAGCTCGGGGACAGGCTTTTACTGGGAATCCGCAAGAATTCATGCACAATCCTATTGTACGATAGGTTGCCGGTGGCGAGGAGGCTTTCAGAACATTGAGCGGATTTTCTTGAAGATGGTGCTAGCGAACTCGGACATGACACGTGACGGGCATGTGGTCGGAGCCGAAGGTAATGATGGTTGAAGTTCAACATTGCGCATTGCGCGCACATGCACGGACATGGCCAGCATTGCTTCTAGCCTCTACAGGACAGCTAATCTTACTGCACGGCTCTCCGATATAGGTCACTCGCCACGAAGCTCCATCTTTTCTTTTGCCGACCTTTGCGCAAAACAGTAAGGACGGCCGGTTCTCCGATCGAGTGTAGCGTACCTGGGTCGTTGATTCCACATGCCCAGGCTTATCCACTCGGTGCTGTGAGTCTTTCCACCGACTGACGCGGATCCATATCTCTGAGCCAGGTATGAACGGAGCAAGCTCCGCGCCGAAGAGTGGATCGCTGTGCACTCCACTTGCTCGCGCTAAACACCTACACCTGTCTTCGTTGACAACCTGGGTGCCTCGAGAGCAACGGCCTTCGACCATCAGCTACGTCGCTCGAGCCGGCGCTTGCAGTCGCCCACACTGCCCAAGCTTATTTACTTTTGAGTTTCGGTTTCAGGCCCTCACCGACGAGATACATCCGTGATGGTAGTCTCTGCGCCTATGAGTTCAATTAAAAGAGGTTCTCTGACTTGTATAGCCAATCTTTCTCAGACGCGAAAGCAACGGGCCTCCAGAGGGACATTATTGCGGCTCATAATAGTGTTCGAACGGATGCAATGCTGAGCAGTTGCCCGTCGCTACGCTGTTTGGCGAGGACAGCGGCCACGCATGGCGCTGCAGCGGCGCTTAATGCTCTCCGACGCGTCACGAGCTTCCTTTGAGGCCAAACGTCGAGAGCCACCTCTTTGATAGACGATATCACAGGCCATGTTCGTCGGTAGAACGGATCGCAATGTTTGCGACGAGAACGCGAGGCGAAGGATCTTTTGCATTGGCTTCCACCAGAGTTATTGGGGCAAAGTCAAGTGTTCCTCCAACGGAGCGTATATTCCTAGAAGGGAGGGGCTTCAGCTCTGTTCTTTCTACTTCATGGTAGGATTGTGGGTGTCGCGCGTGCTTGACTGCATGCAGCGGCAAGTGGCCACGCGCTGCCACGCGAGAGCGCGGATGCATCATTCAAACAACTTACGTTTTTCCTTATATGGATTGTTTTGATCGATCAGTTCATTAAGGAGATCGCCGGCGCGGCGGGCGCTCCTCCTGACTTCCATCATGCCACGTATTTCTCACCGCCTTCTCTCGTTTGAGCGGAGGCAAGGACTCTCGACTGTAGCAGCGAACCCGGACGGTTACTTTGGGGCCGCCTTCAAATGATTGCAAGTGAAATCAGGGCGAGAGTTGGAGTGTGATGCAGATATGGGGTCCGAGGCAAGCACGGGCCTATTCGGCCCTCTCGGATGCGAGCAACCGCTCTCCTTTTCCGAATTCTCGACGCGGATATCAATCCAATTTTATATCTTCAGAATCAAAAACGTTCGTAACCGGCACTTTTTGCGGAGGCGTACCGAAGGCGAGTGCCTTCCAAGACTTCCTAGCCACGTTGCTGTCTTTGGCGCTCCGGCACTCGCGGGGCAGTCCTACAGCTGTACTCTGCTATGCCCTCTCTGGCTTTATGGATAGGCAGCAGAGATATGGGCGCTATTGTTTCATCTCAGGCGAGCCAGCCTATCACAGGATTTGTTAATTGTTACGTTCAACTACGCTGGCGGAGGGCAGCGCGAAGGAAATTGCACCACGCTTATGCCTTTCCACTGACAAATTTGCTTGCTTGAGACGCCTTTGGGTCAGGAAAACTCAAAGCAACGCATGGGTCACTTCAGGTGCGTCGTATACTCAGTCAGCATATCCCGCCCGACACGGTTTTCCGCCGAGAGTAGCTCGCTCTCGGCTCCCACAGACTGTATACCTCTAGCTAGTACTGATATCTCTACGAATACATGCTTCAACGGTGGCCTATCGGCGGAGGGTATACGCTGAACTACCGAACTAGACTCAGTCGGAGCAGCGGTCGAAATTTCGGCCAAGGCCTCCCATCTCGTGGGATGACACCGTTGAGGTGAGTGGCTAGCTTGTCTACCCGGGACCACCACTGACGATACACAGAGCGTATACGGCATCCCTTGAGCTGCGGATGCTGGCCGCAGACTCCCTGCCGCCCAGAAATGATTATGCGACGTACCTCTACCCCATTTACACGCTTGATGGACATCAGAATAGGGAGCGACTGCGTTACCAGTGAGTGACCTTGAAGGCACCTGCGGACGCTTACGATCATTCAGTACCTCACCCGGCACCGCAAGGGTCCCGAGGTCGAGCGCACTGCGCTGCTGAACATCCGAGAGACTACAGGCCCTACGCTCGCTCGATATGTACGAACAATGGCCTACGTTGTCAACCCACTGGGGCAGTGATCGAAGCTCAACGACGAGGAAAGATAGGTAGGTGCTTCGCGAAGATCATTGCCGGAGTTAACTCGCGGAATAGAAATGTCAGGCGCCGAGTAAGCCGGATGGAGCTCGAGAAGACAGTTTTAGACTGAATACACAGAGCCAAACGTATCTGATGTTCCCCGTCGTCGACAGCTTACTCACATGTAGCAGAGTCTGCGGATGGTACGGGCCCGAGTACCTATTCCCCAACATCGATCCGGTCCTTTCTTACGTTTTGCAGCAGGCTCGTTCGACGAGATGCTACTGCCGCCCCCCCTGCTCAGAGTGGTCGTGGAGGCTACCCACCTCTTTAGCGCTGCGAAACAGCCCGCCTCGACGGATCAATCCTGTGAAGTTGCTGCAGTCGAGGCACGAAACGGGTGATTTGCGTCGCGCGGACCTCCACGTTTGAAGACCGGCATCTTTGGCGCCTGCTCTCGGCAACGAGAATTCGGAGAACAGCTCGGAGCGGGGTAAAATCAATGTGGGCGCGTTCAGTGTGATCGTGCCAGCGCTGATGTCGACATGACAGCGTCGTCGCTGCAACCTCCTGCTCTATAGAGATACTGGAGGATCGAGGTGGTTTGCCCCGGGTAAGCGCGTGGGGGGCGTGCGATGTGTTTCGCCACACCCTCGCCCGTTCAGGGCTTTGGCTGCCAAAATCCTGGGCACTAAGTTTGTCACCGGGGCGGAGCGCACTGCCGACATACATACTTAAGCACCTACAGCTACCCGTCTCCACCCGTCGTGCTTCTCCCTCCCCGCTTAGAACAAAGCTCTACGAATACTAAGGAAATGGCGCCAAAGCACGACACCAGCCCATGCTCTTCTGCTTCTGTACAAAAGAAGCCCAAGTAAGCATGTGCCGCTCATTAACGCGCTCGACGCTGACGCGCCTGCTAGACGTCGTAACAGGGTGATACTCTCCTGCCTCAACTGCCATGCATCGCGTCGTATGGTGAGCATCGTTCACTTTGGCACGCGTCGTCGTCGCTCACCATGATCCCAGTGCGACAGGGAACGTCCCACGTGTGGACGATGCGCGCAGCTTGGTCTCGCCGCGCTCTGTATGTACCAGACGCCGGATCCACGAGGGATGCCCCAGCCGCCTCCACCACCGGCCCCTCAGGTCGTCGAGCAAGAGTGTGCGCCAGTCGAGGTACGCCATCTGCCACTCATCATCCGCAACATACGCTAATGCCACCGTAGCCACCTCTTCCTGTTCATGAGCCGATGGACACGTCGCCTACCGCGTCCACGTCCTGCCAATCACCGCAAGCGCCCATGACGCCGCCGACGCTCCCTCCATCAGCTCCGATGACCCCGCCTGTTCCATCACGCGCACCCTCTCCCCCTGTTTACCCGGCGTGCATGCTACGCAAGCAGGAGTCGCCAGTGCCGCTCCCGCCAGTGCCGCCCCAATGCGAGGTTGGTCGGTCTTCGATGTCGACCGATCTTCGTACTGATTGACTTGCTAGTTACCGCCAAACGACGATCTCTACGCACACAACCAATACAACGCACTGCCACCCACTCAGACGACCTATCCGATGCCACCGATGCCCAACGGGTGGCCTCCGATGCCACTCATCTCGTTTGAACAGGCATGCCTGATGGCAAGCGCCTTCCCTTACTTGCCATGGTGGAACGCTATGCTCGCTCTCGCTTCATGCCCGCCCGTACCACCGCCAGCACCGCCCACCCAGGAGCAACACTCCGCGCCAACCGTACCTCCATGGGACATGCCCGCACCCGTCGGCTACGGCGGTCAGCAGCCTGGCTTCGAGCAGTTCATGGCGAACATCACGAACTGTCCGACGGCGTGGGGTGTACCTCCAGTACCGCCTATGCCGCCTGTCCCTCAGCCGGAGGTGCCTCTCGCTAACGAGACGTGCGGGGCCGCGTCATTACCGTCTGATGACTTCAGCCAGCTGCTGCTGGATAGCATGCTCGTCGAGAACATGCCCTGCTCGATGGACCCCATGACGTGGGAGTCATCGCCAGAGTCATCTTCAAGCGACGCATCGCTCTCGCCGCTGTGCTCATCCTCGTCTTCGCTTGACACATCGTGCCCTTCCCTCTGCACGCCAGGCGCCTCGCCGGGCATCGAGTCCTTCGAGTCCGACAACTTCTTCGGCATGCCCCCGTCGGAGCCATCGGGCCTACCCGACATGAGCATCGACTTCTCTGCCTGGGACCTCTCATTACCGTGCGAGGACGAACAACAGCAGATAGACGCACAGGGCATGTTCCAGCCATTCCTGCCGCGACCAGATAACTGGCTCTCACCGGAATTCGCATGATAATGCCTTTCTGGTCTTAGACGACTCTTCGCTCTCATCTACCATTGCATCTCCCCAAAATCCCTCGCCATCTGGGTGGCGCGTACTCGCTACTTGTCTTCGTTCGCATGTCATGTTTTTAAACCTATCTATTGCCTCTACGTCGGGCGCCATTTCTTCTAGCTATCGGACATTGGCATTGTTATCCTGGAGTCACCCTACATATCTAAGATTTGACTACTCACTAAAAACCTGTATCCTATCGTCTATAGATGGAGGGCCGCGGCGCGGACTTCATCTCCCACTGCCTATCGTATTGGAATCGCATATGCATCGTGAATATACGTCAACTGTATCCTCATCTTGGCTTTGTGGCACACGGCGGGATCTGCTTCAGGGACTTGCGGAAAATGAAGTACCTGACGAGTCGAACGTACGACTTGAAGGTCAAGCTTCAGGTGTGCGTTCCAGCGATTGATTGGTGGTTGTAACCCGTGGACGAGTCTCAGCGACCTCTTACCCTCGTGACGAGGCGATGAGTCACCCCACAGCCGGGAGCAAACGTTGCAGTGTCCTCAGAGACGACCAGCATCAAAGTCGCGGAAGTCGCTGTGCCCAAGCTGCGGCGGTATGCAGCGCGTTTCGCCAGCCTTACCGAGTGTCGCTCGTTGCGCCGCCCCGCCCACCTCTGATGGGCGCCCGACTCGCACGCGCGTGTCCCTGCGGTGTCGAGGATATGGTATACGGGCCTCACAAACAGTAATCTTGTATGGACACAAATCGACCGATCCAACCGTTCGGCTATAGCTTACCCTCACCTCCGCGCCGCACGCGTTGACGGCACTGTTCAGTCCGAGGGTGCACGCTGACTTACGGGAGCTACAATGCCACGGGCATGCTCCGATGATGACTTGATGCCTGCGTCGTATGCGCCTCCCCCATGGCAAAGGCGGAGTCGAAGCCTGCGCGCACGGCGATCGCAAGTGTTTCCGCCGCTCGTGAATATGGGAATATTTCGGCGTACCACAGACAGTGAGGAGATGGAGCATCACCACGACAGTACGACCGACTCGGAGTCGTTACATCGCACTAGGAGTAGATAAAAGCAAGGCGGCGGCGCCAAGCAGGACTACCCTGGCTATAGCAGTGGCTCCTCAACGACCGAGGTCGCCTTCGGATGCGCGCTAGCGCTTGCGGTGACAAGGTGGGTAATTTGTGGCCATCGGCTCGGTCCGCCTACCACTCCAACGCTTGCAAGTACAAGTTGTCAACAAGTGGTCATATATTCATTTACCTACCTATCAGTATCAGATTCAGATCCAAAAGGACTCCCTATCAATCCCTAAACATGCTCCGTGCCTTTCAGGGATTCCACGAGCGACGAGGTGCCCATGCTAGCCTGTCCTGTTCTGTCCACCCAAGTCGACCTCGGTGCCCTGGTGTGCACGCGCCAGTTTCAGGCCTTCGCTTCGACGGTCGCCAGCCCCTTCTCCTCCACCCACTTCTCGATCGTCCCGTTCACTTGGTCTGGCAGCTCGAGCTGAAGCCAGTGGCCCGCGTCGAACACCTCTACCCGAAGATCCTCGCACGCCTTCTTCAGGTTCTCGTCCGCATGCAGCTCGGGGAGGCAGACGTAGTCCTTTGACCCGCCAATGTACAGGAAGGGCTTCTGAACCTTGACGGTGGCTGGCGAGATATCTGCGAGACCATTAGCGTTCGAGGCTCTTTGGGCAGCCAGCGCGTACTCACCGAGACCATCGCTGTCCTGTAACCCCCGGCAAGCCATCTTGTACCAGTTGAGCGGGCCCGAGAGGCCGTTGTTCGTGAAGGCCTGTCGCCAGATCTCGCGGTGCTGGGATCAAGGTAAGTTTTGCCCATCGCCTTCCTATCATATTCACTAACCTCTTCCGCGACGTAGTCGCCCGCCCCATGTTGCCTGCCTTCAGTCAAGAACACGTCCGCGGCACCGACTGGGGTCATGTGCGTCTTCCATAGCGCTGGATCCTTGGGATAGAGTAGGTCGAACAGGGAGTCGACCTAGCGAAGCAATTCAGGTAAACCGTACACAGGCCGGAGCTGAAGATCGCGATACTCACGTTCTTCTCAATGATGTCTGCAGCCTCGTCCTTGTTAAAGAAGGCCCAGTATCTGGACGCTTGAGGTCAAATGGCCTACGCAACGACGCAAGGCAAGTCTTACCCAAACAGTTCGGTGCCGAATTTTTGCTTCATGGCGACCATGACTTCCTCCAGGTAAAATCCCCGCCTGATCGCGAGACCGACGGAGAGGTGCACGAACCCGAGGAAGCGATGCTGGTGCAAGACTGCAAGATACGCAGTTGGCATAGTACCCCTACGAGCGCCTCAACGGTCGCCACAATCCATTTCTTTCGCCGTTCACTCACCAGTCATGCCCAACCACAATCACCCTCTCCGCCTTCTCGTGCTCAACAAGATCGACGAAGTCCCGCGACTGCTTCGCGCCGATGTATTCCGCAGGGTCGCCAGGCTTGTCCGTGCCGCCGTAGCCTAGCATGTCTGGTACGATGAGGCCATAGCCCTTGGCACCGAAGTGCGCGATCTGGTGTCGCCAGTCGTGCGGCGTCGAGGGGAAGCCATGCAGCAGCAGGAGCGTCGGGCGATCCGCCTGAGGCGCGGCGTAGCGGTAAGTATACCTGACCCCGCGAGAAGTGGTGAATTCTCTAATGGTGAGCGAGTTCAAAGGCATGACGGCGTCGTGGAGAGTAGCGAAGCTGCGTTGGTAGGACTGGAAGTCGACGACGCGCCGCTTTATGCAGAGACTGCTCGCCGGTTACATCGGTTATGTTACTCCCTTCCCGAGGCCGCTCGTCTTCTTGTATGTCGGTAGACGACAATGACTGCCTCGGTACAGATCGTTCAAGGCGTGCGCGCCACATCTTACTCAGCTTCTGCCCAGCTGCGTGGGAGTTCTATGCCCTGGGCTTCTTGATTGGCCGCGTCGAATCCTTCTTGCTGACTGATCTTTAGTAAGGCAAGGAATGTGGATGAACCTCTTGAGATCCTACCGATCTCCGTCCTCTGAGAAAGACGGCGGGGAATTAGGCTTGAGCTATCAAAGTCGGTACGGAAAATGCACGGTGAGTTGCAACCCTCTTTCCTTGAGCAAGTAGCAGCACCACTTGTAGGGCTGTGGCCTCACAGCACACTATATAAGTCGAGGCGGAAGTCGAAGAAGTAGAAGCGCAAGCTTCTCAGTTGCCGACTCGAAGTTGAACTTTGCCGTGACCATGCTCTGTCACGGCTGTTAGTCCGAATATGGCAGTCCTTGAGGGTAGCCGCAACTCACGAGCACTTTTTGTCCTTCCCCCCGATGTACTATGCTACTACGATCTTTCTGGTCTTCCCCCAATCAGAAACTTTGTTTTCATAAGGATCCGGCGCCTTCTTGCAGCTATCTGATCCTCACGGATGATCACGCGGCTGGTAGAGGTGGTGCAAGCCATTGCACTGACCAGTGACCTGGTTTGGTCAGAAGCAAGCACGTCGCACCCGGCGTCGCGCAGGATCGCTCAAACTTTCCTCAAAGTCGAACTTGTAGGTGATGGTGGGTGCAGAGTCCAGACGATCACCGCTGTGATCCCGCGGGTGCGCGCCGGCACACGTGGCGATGGGCGCCTATTCATTTCAACAATCTGCAGCTCGCGAGGGCTGGCTTCCGCGCCATGAAACAGGGGAGCCCATTCTCATGGCCTATATTTCGCGCAGATCCCGTCTGGATACCGTCTTGCTTGTCCTCAACGTCGACGTAGTCCGTCCCCTCGCAGTTGCCTAGCTCCCTCAAACAGTTTCTTCGCATCTTGCACACCACGCTCATAGTCACCATGTCTGATACAAAGCACCCTCTGGCCGAGTACGGCGTGGATCCTAACAAGATTGCGCCCGACGCGACGCCTTCTCCTTCTTACAACATGCCCACAAGCATGCCTGAGCCCGCGACGTCATGGGACAACCCCCAACTCCCCACCCAGCACGACGCGATGCCACCCGCGTACGAGGATCACACGAATCAGATGCTCTCTCAGCCCCAGCCTCCTCAGCCATCGAGGCAGCCCCAACCCGTGCGGCCCCCCTCCCACCAGTCGCGCCCGAGCTCGTCGAGAGCGTCCGCATCAAGCACGAGCAGCTCTCATTATGATACCCCCGCCTGTTTCTCTCGCCAAGCGCCGCCGAATCTCACCTATCCTGACTTTAACCCGACTTTCCTGATCGCAAACGGGGACGGGGAGCACATTCACAAGGCTTTCCCGATTGCCGTGCCGCCTTCCACGGCGTTTCCCCACCCATTCCAGTCGCACGGCGTACTCGAGGAGGATTGGAAGGCGTGAGTCCTGCGCGGTGTACGGATGACGTCAAGTGCTGATACCGTCTCTCTCGCCAAGGTTCCTCCAGGCCATCCAGCAGAAAGCAATCATATCAGACGAGCAGAAGTCGCGAGCACGCATCCCCATCATCTCGCTCATCCCTGTCGTCAGTACGTCGATTTTGTTTGTTTGCACCTTTCCCACATCGCGGCTCACTTCCGCCCTAGACATCATCGTGCGCGAAGGCATCACGACCTTGATGAAGTCGCGCAAAGTTCACCCTGTCTGCAAGCTTATCCATCTCTGGAATCACGTACGTCCGAGCTCGCCTCCCTCCTTGCCCCCGCTCACGCACCTCCAGCACTACTTCAACCCCCGCCGGATAGAGGTCATCCTCATGCAGGGCAACGCCCGCGTCGACCAGGAGAAGGCGTCCTTGCCCAAGGAGTACGAAAACAAGGGTTACACCCAGACCGCCGGTGGCTCAAATCTGAACTTCGACGACGACAAGACCTTCCGACTCGTCGTGCGTTCACTCTCGGCACCTAGTTGCTGAACGATACCCTTGCGCTACGATTCCGTTACCCGCCGCAGCCAGGCTCGCATACACTTATCTATCTGGATCTTCCTTGAGTTGTTTCAGTATACGACTACATGACTCGCTACTACGACCACTATGATAAGCTAAGACTTACTCATGGAACAGACTTGATCGTAGCCGACAGAAGGGAGCAGGAAGCTGCTCCGCGCGACTCAGTAATGCTAAGTAACTTACTAAGTATACCTCTTTCATCCGTATTCTCCATAAGACCTCGCACTTTTGACATCCTCCTTGCGTCCTTGAATGCAGCCTACAACGCGATATCGATGCGCACAATGCCTTTTTCAGTGCGTTGAACTGGTGTAGAATAGTATCCAACGCACGCCAGATTGCCAGCGTTACCATGACATACCTCCAGGATAGGGAATTGCGCAAGCCTACAAGCCGGTCGCACATACGGTGCCAGAAAGAGAACGTCTTGTCATCCGAGTTCAGCCCCAGCATGCTAAGGAGCTAGCCAGCAACTACTATATACAGTCCTACTGATTATCCAACGCGTAAGTAATCCAAAGCAAGGTTGTTGTGTACATAGGTGATGGGGATATTGTCGTTTCGTGGTCATGAGCGCTTCTAATAGCGGGCTAGGCTTGTGGTGGTGATATACAGGGAGCACTGAAGAGCGCGCGATATGAGAGGGAAGCGACGAGAGAGGGCGCCGCGATCGGAGAGCAAGAGGACTAGAGGGAGCGTAAGAAGAGAACTATGCTGGGAGGGGAGCCTTCGCTGCTTCCGGCGTGTCTTCCGGTGCAGGGTCCTTCCCCTCCTTGTCGTCCTCCTTGGCCTGTTCTGAAGGCTTAGCGTCCTTCCCCGGTGCGTCCTTCATGATCTCCTCGACCACCTTCTTGCCGGCGTCAGTGAGCGTAGCGTATCCGGTGCTGATGTCCTTGTCAAAGTACTTGGGAACAAACCTAGCAAAACATCAGCACCGCCGCGAACCAAATCCAGAACAGGACTCACTCCTCGCCCTTCTTCTTCCGCTCGCTCGCCAGATCCCGCTGTCGCTGCTCGATCTCTATCTTCTCCCGCGTCGCCTCCGAGTACTCCTTGTTCGTCAAGTGCTCCGTCACCTTCCCCCACAACTTGCGGCTCTCGTACTCGTCCATCTCCTCCAAGGGCCTCACCGACTTTGGCAGTATCTGCAACGCAGCGAGGTCGATGAGATCCTCGTACTCGCTGTTGTCGCTCTTCGAGAAGTCCGCGACGGACGACATGGCAGACTTGCCACCCGCCGTGACGCTCGGCGCCAAGCTTGTGCGCGACGCACTTGCAGAGGCAGGAACGGTGAAGGAGCCTGCGCCAACACGTCGCCAGCGAATCTTGCCCCGCCATGAACCATCGAAGATAGCGACGACACGGTTATGCGGGACGGCCTTGACCTTCGTCCACGGCTCATCGCCGTCGTGCACGGTGTGGATGACGCCCTCGACGAGGAAGTGTGGCCGGCCGAGCCATGACTCTTCCTTGTATTCAATGATAGTGCGGAATTTGGGCAGACCAGGCTTGGCCCCGTCGCAAGTGATGATGGTCGACTCAGTCATGGTCGCGTAGAAGTTGCCGCGGAGGACGCCATTGACCGATGCTGACGGGTGCGTGATGCGGTACTCCTCGCCAGCTCCGGGCCCGCCGGTGAGCTTGATGTAGATGCCCTTGTTATGCTGCCCAGGCAGGACGCGTACGGTGGTGCCGGAGACCTGTAGACGTGGGGCGTAAGTGTCGACACTCGATGACGATTGCAGGGCGCAGGGGGCTTGGCATCCTTAGCCTGCCGCGAAAGACTGCGGTCGCTCGGCATAGCGCTATGAACTGCGCTGCCGCCTCCAGGCATTTATGCGCAAGGCCAGTGCACAAGAAAGCGTACCTTCGCAGATATCTGGTCCGTCCCATACATCTCTATATGTCTATCCGGGCACGCAGCGTAATACGACGACACCGGCGGATGGTGGCTAACCTGTGCGACATTCCGTTAGATCGCGCGAACCCTGAAACCCATCGCATATGCATACCTGTTCCGTGAGGAATACGATACGTGTACGCTGCTCCTCCAAGCTGAGGTCCGACATCTGCGCCTCCACCGAGGTAGGGGCCGTGGAGGGGCTCTTGCCTGGTTTGGAGAGCAGGCTAAGCCCGCTTCGGGTGCTCTTGGAGCTCTTGCCAGAGCGGATGCTGGCGGTCTCGGGCGCGAGGGACGCCTGATCGGCCGCGCGTGCTGAGGACGTAACGAAATCGTTCGCAGCGGGGACCACATCCCAATGTGCGCGGAAGTGCTCGCCGAGCACGGAGTTGTATGGCTTGCAGATCTTGCCGTGCTAGGAGGGTGTAAGAAAGTGGAAAGCATGCAGATAGCCGCTACGCACCACAAACTTCAGGTCCTTCGTGAAGGTGAACTTGACGACGGCCAGCATGCGCTCGAACGGATCCTCCGAATCATTGATGCTATGCACTGCTCAGTGCTGGGCGCGACTCCCACAACACACAACGCACGATGCAAACACATCTGGTCTATCCAGGTAGTGCCAGTACTCAAGATTCGGTATGGGTTCGAGCAGAGAGGCCGGGAGCGACAACCGCCTGGGATGACACGTCGGTCAGTTCAGTCTGGGGTAGCGCATACGTCCTGTGGCTGACGCACATAGCCGCGATGTCCTTCACACCAAAGCACTTCTTCACCAGCTGCATGATCATCTTCAGCTTCCCGCCCTCGCCCGTATCGTTGGATTCGGGGACCGAAATCGCGGGGCCCGGTGCCTCCTCGTCGTGCACCGCGCCCGGGTCGACTGCAGGCTCGCTATCCTTCGCGCTCATGCCAAATGTTCCTTGGGATCGTCGCAAAGGTATATCAGAGACCGAGAGACGTCAAGAAAGGAAGCGAGAGGATGAAAGTTGGTAGCAAAACGCGGTCGCAGCGGAGGCGGTCCGCTCGTTCCAGTGCTGCATCGTAATTACCTCGTCGCACGTGCGCCGGAGTTTGCCGGCGCGGGGCGCCGCATCAACGCGCGAAAGTCGAGCTTCACTTGGTTTTCTCCACCACCAAGGCCAACTTTTCATTGAGCACCACCGGCGCTAAGACCCTGCCTGCACTGCCTCTCGCCTGTGGAGGATGAGCGGGTATGTCCTTGGTATGTCTTCATGAAGTTCTCTATGGTCGCGAGGGTCATAGGTTGGCTTCGTGTCGAGAATCTTCTATATCTGAGCTTCTCAAGTCATCCGACGAGGACGCTGCTATGTCATCGACCGCAGGATCGCTCGGACTCTGTTGAAGACGCAAGCGATAGGTTGACGCTACAAGCGATAGTTGACGATACAGGCGATAAGGTGGCGACTTGCCTCCTCCGAGCCCGCGGCAGGTTTCCGCTACGCACGCGCAGGGATGGATCATGTGGAGGACGTCTTTCAGGTGAAGTCCTCGTCGCGTGTCTTCCTTTTATACCCCCGTGTCGTCCTTTTATACCCCCTCGACGTAAGATAAAGTGCCGGCTGACGTGCTCATTTCAGCTCGCGCTTGCCATGATGCACCCTAGGCGCCCGCCATGAAGCACCTTGGCAGGCAGAAGGATACAAAGAAGAGTATGAAGGGTACGCCTGGGCCCGATGATTATGTCCCTGGGCTTTGGCGTACCGCGCTTCGCGGCTAGCTTTGAATAGTGCTTGAGGTGAGTTGAATTAGCACGTTATGGTCGAGACTGGAGGGTAGGTCAGAAGCAAGTCAGTTGACAAGGTAAGAAGTAGGCTAAGATCGCCCCCAAAGCCTACCTTCTATACGCCTTCATCGTGCGTACGCGTCACGAATTCTCTGAAGCTGAACCCCTCCTGCAAAATCTAGCTGAATGCAGGGTGTTTATCCCCGGTGACAATCGATCAGCGCGAAGAATCTGAACGTGCTGGAGGTTGTGTGGTGAAGCAAACCTACCTTCAGGCTGAAAGGTTCTGTTTAGGACGGCCGCATGCGCACGAAGTCTCTCAAGCTTCAAGCGCCTTGCGCCTCGCCAAGACCAGGAAGAGGCTTCCTCGACGCGACTTGACTTCGTGGAGTCCCTTCGTGCGCTTTTCGACGCCGGACGTATGCTGTAAGAAGGCTTTTTGTGGCAATGCCGACGAGCGAAACGCAAGAGCCACCTTACGACGATGCAAACGCGCTGGATTTATGTGGACTGGCACATCGCTGTAAATATCACTTTGACAAGTTGACGATGTGGTAGTGGATGCCTTCGCGCGATGGCGGCCGCATTTGAGGCAACATGCGCCACCCAGCGATTTCAAGTTCAACGGAGAAACTGTGTCGGTGGCGCTGCCTCAAGGCTCGTGCTCGGCGGCTCATCGTCCGACGCAGCGACGAGGCCGATAATCGGTGCCTGTCTTCTGCGCACAACGATGATAGAGAACAGCATCGGTGCGGAAAAGGCGTGCTCATTCACTTCAAGGAAGTGGAAGACGCGCGCGCAGAAAGAAAGATGCGACGCTGCACGCGCAGAATCTGACGATGATGGATCATTCGGCTGGATCCTGGAGTCATTAAGACTCAAGAAGGGCTACAGATCTTCCTGTTGCTGTCCGCGCTCGGCAGAGGAGGGGAAATACGGCAGAATGAGAGGTAAAATACAGCACCCGAGCTCGACGATGCTGGCGGACAGCGTGGTTCTTGGAGCGAGGGCGACGCTGCCCCGGCCCAGCGCGAGAGCGAACCCAGGATAGAAGTTGAACCGTGGGACCGTGCCGGGACTTGCCGTGCTCGTGGCGTCACGTGTGTGCCAGGGCGAGACTGGCCGAGACTCAGAGTGCCGCCGAAGTTTCCTTTTCGAGGTATGTCTTTCATCATCTCCGCGATCTTGAACCCGCGAACGCTGCAGCTGATCGCCCTCGCCTGACCCTGCTGCTGTGCGACACCCCCATTGTTATCTTTTGGGACGAATGTGTAACCCCTGATCAGTATCGTGAAATGTCATTCTGCCTCCCGCCGTTACACTCTGTCACCCCGTCCCCCCTCGCCGGTGGACAGGATTAGAATGCGCAATGCACCTCTCGCCGTCGATACAGCTCTCGGTCCAGCCTGAGGGCGCTCCTCGACCGCCCTCGGACCGTCGGGAAAAGCTCTTTGAAAGGTACGCACCGCACGCGGGCGGGCTGGATCCACCAACGCGCATACGCGCGCCGCCGGACTATGTCGGGCGCAGGCCGATCGAGGCCCGCCCGACCCCTTCCTTTGCCAATCACGTCCGTCGGGCGCGCCCAGTGCGCATGCGTGACATTAGGCTCCACATCGATGTCGCGGGCAGCGCAGAGAGTATATAAGCCATGTCGCAGAGCAGACCACCCTATCCGCATCACTTGCAACCGCCACAGCAGCTTCCTCTAGAGTCTTCCCACTCTACAGCTCTCCTAATCGTTCGACATGTCTGAGCAGACCGTCGCCAACACCCGGGCCCAGATGGACCGCCTTCAGCTCGAGGTCAGCGAGCTCAAGGGCCAGAAGGGCGTCGAGGACATCACCGTCGGCGACTACCTGCTCGCGCGTCTCGACCAGCTCCAGGTGACGGTGAGTACCAGTTTGGATTGTGCGGCGCGATCGCGGCTCATCAGCGCATCAGAACATGTTCGGTCTTCCTGGAGACTTCAACCTCGGCTTCCTCGATCTTGTCGAGGACCACCCCAACATCCACTGGGTTGGTAACTGGTAAGCGCGCACCCTCTCTACTTCCCGCCTTTCGCTCATCCTTCCCAGCAACGAGCTTAACGCTTCGTACGCCGCCGACGGCTACGCTCGCGTCAAGCCCGGCTCCATGGGTGTCCTGCTCACGACCTTCGGTGTCGGTGAGCTCTCCGCCGTCAACGGCATTGCCGGCTGTAAGTCTCATCGCGTCCCACCTTCATCTCATCGAGCTCATCCCCTCGCCAGCCTATGCCGAGATGGTCCCCATCCTCCACATCGTCGGTGCCCCGTCCACGTCGCAGCAGCTCTCGAAGCCCCTCCTCCACCACACGCTCGGTGATGCGCGCTACGAGGCCTACGCCCGTGCCTACGAGCAGTTCACCTGCTGCCAGAAGTACCTCATGAACAAGGAGACCGCCGCCGCCGAGATCGACCACCTCCTCACCGAGATCCTCGTCAAGGCCCGCCCCGGCTACATGACCCTCCCCACCAACCTCGTCTTCGAAAAGATCTCCTCCGAGCGCCTCCGCACTCCCCTCTCTGGCCTGCCGCCCCCGAACGACCCGGAGGTTGAGGCCCACGTCATCGAGGAGATCGTCGCCAAGGTGAAGGCCGCCAACGGCGGTGTCGCCGTTCTCGTCGATGCCTGCGCTGTCCGCCACGACGTCGTTGCCGAGCTCAAGGAGCTCATCGAGAAGACCCACCTTCCGGTTTACTCGACGCCCATGGGCAAGACCGTGATCCCCGAGAACTACGACCGCTACGGTGGTGTAAGTGTCCTTGTTCCGCTTTAGGCAAGCGGATCCGCTGACGTCGCGCGCAGATCTACATCGGCTCGATCTCGCGCCCTGAGATCCGCGAGAAGCTCGAGGCCGCGAGCCTCGTCCTCTCCATCGGTGGCCTCCGCTCCGACTACAACTCCGGCAACTTCACCTACAACTTCCCCGTCTCCCACACCATCGAGCTCCACTCCGACCACACCAAGATCGCCTACGCGCAGTACCCGGCCATCGGCATGAAGCAGCTCATCCCCAAGCTGACTGCCAAGCTCGAGGCTTTCGCGGCGGCACAGCAGGCGATCGCTGTCCCCAAGTTCAACGCCGTCTTCCCCAAGGAGGACACGGAGATCATCTCCCAGGCCTGGTTCTGGCCGACAATGAGCGAGTTCTTCAAGCCGCACGATGTCATCATCGCCGAGACTGGTGAGTTCTGATCTGGCCTGACGATCTCGGCGGCAGAGGCTAACTCTCTTCGATAGGTACTGCCAGCTTCGGTATCACCAACGTCCCCTTCCCGCCAGAGTCCGTCTTCATCGCCCAGATCTTCTGGGGCTCCATCGGCTACTCCGTCGGCTCTACGCTCGGCGCTGCCCTCGCCGCGCGCGACCGCAAGCTCGGCCGTACTATCCTCTTCGTCGGTGACGGTTCTCTGTACGTCGTTTTCCCTTGGTTTCTCTTTGCGCCTCGCTGACCTCCATCGCAGGCAACTCACCGTCCAGGAGCTCTCGACCATGCTCCGCATGGAGTTGAAGCCGATCGTCTTCGTCCTTAACAACAACGGCTACACCATCGAGCGCTGGCTGCACGGCAAGGAGCGCAAGTACAACGACATCTTCCCCTGGGCATGGGCCGACCTCCTCAAGGTCCTCGGTGACAAGGAGGAGAAGCGCTCGACATCGTACACCGTCAACAACAAGAAGGAGCTCTCCGCCCTTCTCGCCGACGAGACCTTCTTGCGCGCAGACAAGATGCAGCTCGTCGAGGTGATGATGGACCAGTTCGACGCCCCGATCACGCTCGTCAACCAGGCTGAGCTCTCGGGCAAGACGAACGCGTACGTGCCAAAGTAAAAGGTCTCCTGTTGTTGTATGATTTAGATGGGTATTTGTGCATGGTAATCGGGACGATAGACATAGAAATGTACCACCACGAGTAATTTATGTACAGTTAGAACGGCCACAACTTCATTCTTCCTCTCTCTGTTGTTGTGACGACTTTCGGCTTCTAAGATGGTCTTCGAGCAAGTACAGCGCGTACTTCATGCAAATTATTTGGAGCGTGGACGCAAGCGCTACCTTGAAATCAGACGGACCTCTGCGCGTGAGACAAACGTCACTGATTCCCATAGCGGTCGACCTTACTATTAGGTTCTTGATTCTGGCTGTCACCTCATCGTCGCCTAGTTCACGGTCAACCGCTTCAGCTGTACTCCCTACTTGTGAGCAGCTCTCATCTCGGCCACAGGCAAATATGCCCGATCGCGCGATGCGTCTGCCTCAAGAACTCGTGGATGCCATCGTCGCGCACGTCGACTACGGACGAACGTTCGAAAATACCTTGCTCCTTCTTCGTGCACTGTCTTTTCGCCTCAGATCTGCATCAATCTGCATGACGATACCATCGACCTCACCGACGAGAGGTCCTATCGCACGCTCTTCGCGCTCTTCGATCTCTCTCCCTCCATCCTCTCCAACGTATGCCACATCAAGATCGACTTTCAATATCCCATAGACCACTTTCCACAAGAAAATTCACCGGTCACGTTGCTTCGTACATGTCCTGGTCTTCGGTCCATACACCTCTACAGTCTCCTTCCGTCGAGGCTATCCGACGAGCGCCGACGCACCGTACTCCACGCCATGCAGTTCCCTACCCTCGAGACGCTGCGGCTGACCTCCTGTCAACTAGACCCGCACCTGATGATGGAGCTCAGTGCCCTGCAGATGCCACCCCTACTGACGAAGATACACCTTTCTTCAGTCAGGCTATCGAGCAGGGTCCAAGACCAGCTCAACGCGCAACCTCCCACCGCACCACGTGGACATGCGCCTGCCTTCACGACGTTCGTGAGCGACCAAAAGAGTCTTGCCTTCGCGCGTCTGCTCTATAGCTCGCGACCGTACCCCTTCGGCAACCTGCGCGAGCTTGGGATCACCCGGGATAGGGCAGATCCGTCGACGTCCAAAGCTCAGCAGTTGCTCAGAAAAAACCCGCGCTTAGCGTGCCTCTCAACTAGCTGCGGTACATCGCATTGCTTCTCCGCCACGATTGCTTTTCTGATGTTTTGCTTCTCGTCCAGGAGACTCACCGCCACGTTATGACCTATCCATCAACGTCGCGTTGCGCACCCTCAGTATACACCTGTTCGTGGTGGAAGCATGGACTCCGATAGGCGTCGTCGCACTTCTGGAGTCCATTCCTGCTTCCGGGGAGCGCACTCTAGAACATTTCAGGCTTAAGAGCGCGAATGACGGAGCCAGAACTGTAGAGGCGCTGGAGGGATGGCAGGCGATGGATACTGCGCTGTGCCGATTTGAGGCCCTACAAACGGTCGAGATGCACTTCGGTATGGTTTGGGCTTCCGCGGGCGAGAAGCTGGCGGAACTACCAGGTTTTATGGAGAAGGTGCATGAGAGGGGGATACTAAACATCACTTACACGCCTCATCAGAAGTGACCTGATATGCGCGTTTGAGAAGCTTGATTTACTTTACTGTAGTCATTTGGAGAATGGTTGATCTGTACTAGTAGTCTCTATAGCAGCGACTTGCAGGACTTCACCGACATCTAAAGCCCACCCGAAGGCGGATTCCATTCAACAAGAAGTAAGATACGCAAGCCCATTCCACAGCGCAGGGACGAGGCAAGGGAAAGTAGACTGAACAGCTACGTATACAAGTCCGGACCGACTAACAGCTTTTGGGTCGTTAAAGTACATCGTGCGAGGTAGCACATCATGCAAAGTAGGCATAACAAAAAGGCGAAGGATCATGCATAGAACAGAGCGTGTCGTAGCGAATAATGTACGAGTAAAAAAAAGTCGGTGACCCCGGCGCCGTAGGGCGGGAGGGGATGAGCTTGGGCGCAAGGGGCAAACAAGTACCTCTTTTGCTCGAGCAAGCATAGGATTCAGGGTAGAATACGTAGCACACTGCAGATGATGCTAGATGTAGGATCCGAAGGCTGTCGCGAAATGTCCGTCCTGTGAATCCATTCCTACATCTACTGCGGTGGCGGCGGGGGCATGTCGGGAATGAGGAAGTGCATCGGGCGCTCATCCCAACTGTTCTTGTTCTTCAAATCCGGTCGGGTAGGATCGAGCGTCGCCGAGCGCGCACTGCCCACCGCGTAGTGCCCGACGCGCCCTCGCTCCGCCTCACCCTTCGCCTGCAGGCTCCTGCGCCGCGAGGTCTTGCCACCTGGGGTGTCGACCGTGTTTACAGAACCTTTGACGGAGTTGTCTGAGGAACGGTGCACAAGCGCGGGAGCAGAGCTAGCAGAAGCCGCCGCTGCAGGAGTGGTCGGGCTCGCTGGCGCAGACGAAGTCTCCTCCGCGGCGATGTAGGATGGCACGGGCTTGCGAGGTGTCTTCCGCGTCGTCGGCGCACGCGTGACCGCGGCAGCTGGCGGAGTCACCTCGGGCGTAGGGGCTTGGGGAGGATAGCTGGGCGTGCGACGATGTTCCGTGCTCGCGCGTCGTGGGGCTTCGGCGCTGCGGCGTTGCTCGTGACTATTCGCGCGTGTGGGGACGGCGCTCTCCAGCTTCTCCTCACTCTCCGAGGTCGGAGACGTGCACGCGCCTACTGTGCTCTCCGACGCGCTGCCGTGCGAAGCGTGGGACAGAATGTGGCCTTGTGAGCCGTCGCTGCTGCGGTGATGGTGCTGCAAACCGAATGGCCCGTTCGTAGCGTAAGGCTTGGGTTGCTTGGAGGGCTTGGTCTGGCGCATGGAGGCAGTCTCAACGCCACTAGGGGTACGCTTGTGCTGCCGGCGGCGGCGACAGAAGAACCAAAGGAAGGCACCAGCAAGGAGCGTAACGCCCGCGATCGAACCGATGACGGCGCCGGCGATGGTACCGGCGTCGACAGAGTCGGAGGAGCTCGCACCGACCGCGACGGCAGTGGCCGAGGAGCCTGTCGCACTGCTAGATGTCTCGGCCCCTTGGCTACCACTTGTGGTCGTGGTGCTAGCCCCCAAGAGGCAGCTAGTATCGGCGCCGTTACGCACGTAGAAGCTGGGGGAGAGATTCGCGACGTAGTTGCGGGAGGGAATGGACGCGTTGAGGTGATACCATCCTTGAGGAACCTCGACGGACGACCATGTGAAGGTGCGCGCGGACGCCCGTATGTCGGTGGAGATGAGGGAGGTAATGCCGCCAGAGCTGGGAGACGCAGCCTCGGAGGTGATGATGCCCGTGGCCTCTCTACGCGCAGGGGTCAAGGTCCCGTCCGACATCGTGAGGTGCAGACTGCGCGACACCGTCTGGCTCGTGGTTGACGACGGCGCGCCGCTCTGTATGACGTCGATGCTCGAGATCTCGAGACGCACTTGCGCATCGGGCCCAGCGTACACCCACTTGATGTCTGCGCCCTCGCAGGTGCTCATCTCGTCTACCGAACTGAAGATGAAGGTCGGGGAAAGGGTGGCCGTAGACGAGCCCGCACTCGTCGTGGTCGTGCCGGTCGTCGTCGTGAGCTGTCGTCCGATGTTCGCTGCATGCGCGACGGGCATCGTGCCCACCACGCCCGCCATGAGAAGTGCCAACGAAGACCTGAGGAGAATGTCGGAGGTCGAAAAGGAGAAATCTCGTATGCAGACTCACATGTCCCTGACCTCGTTGCGCCCCCGTTTCTCTTGCGTGCGACTACCTTGAGGGCCTGATAAGTGCCAGCCGCGTTGTATCTTCCACGTCGCGCTGGATATGCTAGCACCGATGAACGCTGGCAAGATGGAGATGACGGCGAGAGAGAAGTCGCGGACCTCGGAACGCTCTACCGTTGCCGTCTCGGTCTCGCCCACCCGGGCCGTCCCACGCTTAGCATCGGTTTCAAGTTCAAGTTCAACTCGAACCTGTTTCTTCTCGGCAAGACACTCGGCAAGACATGCAATTGAGACGGGCGCGCTGTCTATTGACCACTGTCCAGTATACTCTACTTTGACAGGATCTATCGCGATCAGGATGAAGTGACAGTACAGTAACCTTCAACCTCGACAACTATCACCGCGCCGGAACCCATGCTGAATGTAGAATACAATAGGAAGCGGTATACCTACCAACGGGGAATTTTAAGGACGTATCCTATGAGAAATTCAACAAAGCGAGAGAACAGCGAGAAAAGAGAACAGCATACAGGCTCGAAACCAGTCGAGTCTGCGAGAGCAGTTGCGCGAAGGTATAATTGTGTCATGATGGTATCGTTATGGGGCGGCTAGCCGTCAGAAGCTCACGCCGAGCGCCGGCGACGTGGGCGACGGGATAGAAGCCGGAGAGCGAGGCCGAAGGAGCGCGGACCTGCGCCTCACCAGGATAGGCGGAAGGGCAGGACGCGCGGCGGTAGGCGCGGTAGGCGAAGTGGGTGAAGAAGGCAATAGAATGTGAGGCGAAGGGATGGCCGAGCTGGACAACGGCGCCAGCGCCGCGATGCGCGAAGGCGTCTGGGACGCAGTGGTAGTGCTCGAGGCCTCGGAAATAGCTGCGAAAGGATAGTCAGTACGGATGATCCACATCAATCTAAACGATCACGCACCATCCTCCAATGAGGCGGCCCTCGAAAGAGCGCGGACGCGCGGCGACATCGACAGTCGCTGGCGCGTCGTAGACGGAGAGTGGATGATGGGGGACGATGGCGCGGCGCCTATCACAGGAGACCTGCTCGCAGTGATGGGGGATGCGGTCCCCGACGAGCTGGCCTGAACGGCGTAGGATCCAGCGTCGTTCAAGGATTTTCGCTTCTTGGCTGCGATGCTGATGGTGTGCAGCTCCTGACGATCGTAGTACTCTGGTCAACGTAGGCGTCAGACAGGCCATCGGAATGTGCACCGAAGACGCACCAAAATCCATAAGACTCCCAAGTTGAGGATGAGGACTCCATAGTACTGATGGCTGGTCGTCGAACGTCCGGAGCGCGTCCAGGGAGGCGTCCGCAACTGGCGTGAGGACTGCCTCGGTAGCCGATACGAGCCCGAAGGGAGACATGGTATTGGTAGACAGTAGAGTGTAGCGTGCAACGATGAGGAAGTATGAGGGCAGATCGACGCTCGTGAAGGCAGGATGAGCAGGAGCGAGCGGATGTGGGGGAAAGGAAGAGCAGATTGGATAACGACGCGTCAGAACGCCGGCCTTATATACGGGACGAGCCCTTTGACGAAGAACAAGAGCCCAGAAGAGGCGTGGCGTACCTTGCTCCCCACGAGGACGTTCATTATACGCTCCCCACAGGTGCATCATGACCCCTAGAGAAGCTCTATGAGTACCACGAGGGCCTTTTGTACTCCGACGGGTCGTTGTCAATGGTTGCCGACTCGTGTCAGTCTTCTCCGAGAAGGACCAATAGTCACCGAGCCGCGTCAATCGTAGTCGCTGAGCAGTGTCTGTTGTACCGAGCCGCGCCAATCCTCCCCGAGCCGCATCGGTTCGCGCCATACGTCGATGAACTCTATATCGACGAGTGGTCCCGAGCGCTTCTATCACACGCATCGGACAGATCTGCAAGAATGTTTGGCAGGCGGACAAAGGGAATCACATTGACAGCTCATCCCCTTGGGGAAGTATACGCACCTTCGGATCCCGATCCTGACGTCTACGCGTCGAAGTCGCGCGTTAGCTGCGTGGTAGTCGCTCGCGGAATTGGTCGTCGGTACAGGCCGATGTGCTAGATGCCGTCGATAGGCGTCGTTGAACTCCGCGCCACTGTCAGCCTCGCGGCACCCGGGCGTGTGGCGAGCGGAATACAAAGGGAAGTACTGTGAAAGTCGTGAAAGGTTGGGAGCACGTTGAGGCCGGCCTTGTATCCCGGCTGCGATAAAGGCCTTCGGCGCCGGATCTGAAATGGTCAGCCCCTTGGGTTACAATAGCCGCTGCGCCACAACGCGAGGCGCACGACCTGGTTACGCCTTTCGGCAAGTTTTCTTTTCAGCAACTTCAGGTTCGAAACAGATGAACAGAAAGAAATCTTCCGGCTCCAGCAAGACATGAAATGCAGTGTTGGATACAGAAAGAAGGGGATATGAATACAGAAATGCGGTGATGAATGCGATAGCAAAGTAAGTCGGACAAGCAGCTCAGTTGAACAGCTTGTTGACGGACGTGTTGCCCTCTTGGTTCTTCTTCAGGACCTGTGCGCGATTGTGATTAGCCTCGAAAGTAACAACAAAGTGGACGTTGCCGTACCTTCGCCACCGCAAACTCGAAGTCCTCCTGTGTGACGTGTTGTCTGCGCTCGCGCAGCGCGTACATACCAGCTTCCGTGCAGATACCGCGCACTTCAGCGCCAGAGCATTGTCCCATCTTCTCGGCGAGTGACCGGAGGTTGATGCCTCGTTGGAGGGACATCTACGTCGTGGTAAGTATGATGATTAAGGTACGGTGCGGATACTTCTTACCTTGCGAGAGTGAATGCGAAGAATGGCGACACGAGCCTCTGGCCCTGGTGGTGGGAACTCGATCTTACGGTCGATACGTCCGGGTCGCAAAAGAGCAGAGTCAAGGATATCTGGCAAAGAGTAAGCAAATGTACTTAGTTCACGTCGAGATGATGCGCACCTATCCGATTTGTGGCCATGATGACCTTGATGTTCTTCGTCGACTCGAAGCCATCAAGCTGGTTCAGCAACTCCAACATGGTACGCTGGACCTCAGAGTCGCCACCGCCTCCACCACCCTCACCACGCGAGCTGCCGATAGAGTCGATCTCGTCCATGAAGATGATACTGGGTGCGTGTTCCCGCGCCATGACGAACAGCTCGCGCACCATGCGCGAACCCTCACCAATGTACTTCTGCACGAGCTCGCTACCACTGACACGGATGAAGCGGCAGTCTGTGTGATGCGCGACCGCGCGCGCGAGGAGGGTCTTTCCAGTTCCGGGTGGGCCGTACAGCAGGACGCCCTTTGGCTGAGCGATACCAAGGGACTCGAAGAGCTCGGGGTGCTTGACGGGCAGCTCAATGACTTCCTTGATCTCCTTGATCTGCTTGTCGAGACCGCCGACCATCTCGTATGTCGATTCGGGGACCTTCTCGACCATCATGAGCGAGACGAGCGGGTCGACCTTGTTGGGCAAGATCTTGTGGATGGTGTACGAGTCGGAGCGGAGGGCGACGCGCAGAGAGGGGGTGAGCGTGTTGACATCGATGTCGCTGTCAACGTCGACGACTGGGACGCGTAAGCGCGAGTCGCAGATGGTAAGTGACAGTACGCACTGTACTTCCCCTCCGGTTGCACCTTCACCAAGACCTTAGTCTTGCCCATAACCTTCACGACCTCGCCGACGTAGCTTCCTGGCTCATGTAGTAGCTGAAGCTCTTCCCTGAGGAGCCGAACTATACGACAATCAGCTACGTCGAGGATTATTGCGGCCTAACTCACCACGCGCGTTCAGCGCATTTCGTTGGGCTTCCAGACGGCGCAAGTTCTGCGTCTTCTGGTTTATCAAGAGCTCGGCGGCTTCGATCTTGGCCTGATAATAGGCCTTGATGCCGCCGGGGGCGGTTTGTGGGCGTACGGCGACTGGCATGGTGAGGGTTGAGAGCAAAGGTGAAGAGTGCGCTGAATGACGCGTCGCGTCACGCGAATGACGTCGCGCGGGATTCTAGATCAGCAAAAGCAGTTACTGGCAAGGGTCCAATAGTCTAGTGGTTATGACATCTGTCTTACATTCGGTCGTATAGTTGTATACACAGAAGGTCTCCGGTTCGACCCCGGATTGGACCATTTTGTCTTTCTTGCTGATTTTTGGGTTCAGTTGGATAGCCGAGGACTCTTTTTTTTGTTCGCCAAAGTTGCGCTATAGTATTTGACTGCTTTTGTGTTGCCCAGAATGGAGGAGCCGCGCTCTGCTGTCAATGTCATGGGAACAGCTCCGAAATCTGTGAAGACCAGAGGGAACGTTCTTGCTCTCAACTTCCATGACGACCCTGCCTACTGAGCTTCTCTTCACTGTCCTCGAACGCCTGAACGGAGAAAAGGCCGCTCTGAGCACCGTCAGTCTCACTGGGCGCACACTTCTCACCCCCTCTCGGGCTATACTCTTCCAAAGCGTCTGCCTGCACCCGGCTAATACCTCGTCGTTCATCGAGTTGCTCGCATCTCCCCATACCACACTCCCTCCCGCAGTGCGCCAGCTTAGTCTTCTGCAGCGCTTGGACCCTGACATCAGCGAGACGTCTGTGAGCGGTGACGCTGATGGACCGGAATGGCTGGATAAATCCATCGATGTTCTCGCGCGCTTGCGCTGCGTGGATGTCCTGCAGATAGACCGCATCGAATGGTGCCAGCTCGCGCCTGCGACGCGCACTACGCTCACGACGGCACTCTCTGGGATCACGCGTTTCCGCTTGTCTGCGGTGGCGATGGACACACTTGACGACCTGGTTGCTCTTGTTTGCGCATTCCCTCACCTCGAGACTCTCGCGTTGGATGATATTGGATGGGACGTGCCCGATGCTAGTCCTTCCCATCGGTTTCCGGCTGGATTGCGCAGACTTCACCTTGGTAGCTTATGTAAACGCGACTTGCTGGAATGGATGCGCGCGCGGTCGCCGGTCCCGCTTGTCAAGCACCTGAGCCTCGGCGCCGTGTCACCCGCCGATGCACAAGAAATTGGGGAGTACATCGCTGTCGCAAACTCGCAGCTTCAGTCCCTACGCGTGGCCTTCAACTCGCTCGATGCTGGCGGCGATGCGGGTGCGCCACATTTCCCGTCCGAAATCTCACGCCACTTCCTCAAACATTATACCAGAGGACTTCTCAAAGGCTGTCGACCTATCACGATGCACAGCGCTGCGCTCGCTTTGGATAGACGAGCTCGTGTATTTCGCACTGTTCCGCCTCACCAGCCCTTTCCCATGGCTCGTGGACATCCTTCTCCAAGCCGCCGTACTTCCCGAGCTCGAGCGCATAACGTTGACACTTTACATCGACGCCGCCGAACAGCTTGACGCGAGTGAGAAGCCCGCGCACTGGGCTGCGCTCGACGCCGTCTTCGCACCCCCGAACTTCCTCAACCTCGTCGCGCTTGACGTGCTCATCTGCGGACATGCCGCGCTGCCATCCGTAGACGTCGCACTCCGGGCCAAACTGCCGACCTGCGCGAGCCGCGGCCTGCTCAGGGTCATCGCGTGCGACGCAGCGGGCATCTGGGACTGACCGTCCTGCATCAGGGCCCGGGGAGGGGGAATTGTGATGGGAGCGCGAACCCCGCAGGGCCTGGGCGGGAGCTGATATAGACTAATGTGAGGCACCTCATCCCATTGAGTCCTTGATTGAGCGGTACTGACGTCGGGACGGGTTCCGTCAGACTCGCAGGAACCCGCAGGGGCTGACGGTGCTAGCGGCGCGATGAGGGCTCGCCATCACGAATCTGCATTTGTCTGGCAGGCTGGCAGTGGGTGATGCGGGGATCAACGTCGACGACATAGCGGCGGCGCCGCCTTCAGGCTGTTGGTGATGTTTTAGAGCAGGAGACGGGTGTACTTGGATGCACTGAATGAACTGTCATCATCGGCGGCCTAGGAGGAGGTTTCGCGGTTTGAGGATTTTGGTGCGGAGCTATTGAACAGTGGGGTCCATGTCGCCACCAGTGCTGTCGTTATCGCGGTGTATCATCAATCGTCCTTGTTATTACATGTCCCAAAGGTCATTTGAGCCCTCAGCACCTGAATGCGCAGCCTTTATTGCTGATGATATCGCGCCGAGGGAGCTCAGACCGCCGCACGCAGACCGCACGCCGCAGGGACATTTGCCACTATTTGCTGCCCATAATTAAATCTATCGGCTATCCCCGATGCCTTTGTATTCCGAAAGGGGAAAGCAGTGATTGTTCCTTGAGCCTATTCATTCCCATTCAGCGGATCTCAGGAGGATTCCCATGTCTGCTGTGGGATTCCTGTGCTGGGGATGCGTCCCTTGGGGCTGTCTAGCCTGTACCTCCTTGACCTGACGGGATGGGGTGCGAGGCGGACACGGGAGGACGTAAGACGCCAGACGGTAGCACGACAGCGGTTTGGTATTGACAGTCGCACCCGGCTGGCGCGCGACCCCAATAGCCAGGAGTAGCGCCGCCCGCGGTAATAGGCATTGCCTGGGCTGGTTCACCTAACTGATATAGTGGGCTTGTGGTTAGCATGAGGTGGCCACCCTGTTTCTTGCAAGGCTACGGCGATTTATCTCTCTAGCACGAGGCCGGACATAGCAGTCTAGACCTCCAGTATACTTTAGAGGCGCGAATTATACAGGATTCGCGACGCACCTCGTTCACACCCTCGCTACCATTGAAGTACACCAGGCAGTGCGCATGGAGACCCGCAAGTTGATCATCGCTGTAGCCCAGCTTGATTGCATTGAAGAGACGAGTAGAATAAAATTGCTGGTAAATACACTTGGTTTGTGATAGAGCAGGTTGTGACTTTGATAGATTGATGATTCCTCGACATACTAAATTAGTGGGGGAGGGTAGTACGAAAGGGAATCGTAGAACGGCGACCATGCGCGCGCGCCTGGGTCAACAGGCGCTGATAAATTGTCCATATGCTCCGGCGAACGTAACAACGTGCGCTGGGCAGCATGAGAGGCAGGTACGACGAGGGTGGAGGAAGTCTGGAAGTCCGTCCATGGCGCGAGACCACGGGCAGGAGAAGGCACGCCTGGCTCGCCCGAGGAAAGCAAGGTACGCTCCGTAATCCTGCGCGAGTCGAGTCGCCCGACCGGCAGGGCAGGAACGACGATGCCGGACGGGAGCAGAAAACAGGAGGCGCGGGCCCGGCAGGAACCCTCTCGGCGTCACCGGGACACGCGATGGCGGCGGCGGCGTCAACGGCGTCCTCGGTCCCGCGCGCCGAGAGCTTCGGACGGCAGCCCGAACAGTCCACACGTCGTCGAGAGGGTTGCGCGCGAGCTTGCGAAGGGCGCGCCCGACTTCGCAGCGGAGTCCGCGGACCCCGCCTCCTGCGCGCAGGCTCGCGAAGCGGCGCGCCACCGCCATACGTCCTCGCCGCCGCGCCCGCGTCGCTCATTTCTGATTGCCAGGGTGCGCTTTGGGATATTTCGTCCTCGGACGGATCTTGTTCTTCTTGAGGGCTAGCGGACGCTCCTTTCCACGCAGACGCGAGTACACACCGCAGGCGTTGCACACCTGCGTGCCGTCCTTCCCTCTGCGCCAGACAGAACTGCAACGGTAGAGATCAGCACGAATATTCAGGTGCCGATAGGGAAACATATAGCAAGGAGACGAGGGTGAGATGATGCGAGACGAGGCGATGAGGAGAAGGTAAAGATGAAACAGCCGGTTGTGGGTGGAGAGTATTCGCAGCGCGTGTAGGGGAGGGCCAGAGTACGCAGGAGGGAACGATGGGACAGACGCAATGAATGGAGGACAGATGGCCGATGCGAGTATAGCGCACTCCAAACACGGAGAAGTCGAAGACCCGAGGGATAAATCAGGAAGAGAAGGATGATTAGGAGAAGGAGGAGTTAACGGATGAATTATGGGAATAAAGGTGTACGCGGGAGAGGGGAAAAGGCGTGACCTGAGCGCACTCGCTCCGGAGCCAGGTCAAGCCTAAACATAATCATGGAAAATGTGCGAGGGGAGCGGCGTCACGGTGGAAAGAGGCGGCATAAGAGGAGGAATGCGAGGGGGTTGGTGACGACAAAGGGGCGTTGTTAACTTTACGCGCACCGTCGCCCCCCGGATAAGACAAAGAAAGAGAAACAGGAACGCAATGAAGGAAGCAAATGAAGGGAGCCAATAATAATGAAGAAAGCCACTCACGTCCGATGTGTCCCGCAATGGCTGCATGTCGGGGCGTTGGGGTCGTCCTCGCCAGTATCGTCCTCCTGGTCGGCCTCGATGAGGACCTTTGGCCGGTGCATATGACGCTGCTTGTAGAAGAGACCGCATGCGTTGCAGAGGAGCTGGAAATTCGAGGGATCGCGCCGCCATAATGGACTGCACAGAATATTAGTGGACGTCGAGAAGGACAACAAGCGACGCACGTCTGCTTCACGCCGCAATGTGAGCACTGCTTCTCCGTCTGCTGAGGCTTTTGGGAGGCGTTGGGAAGCGATCGCTCGCTGGTCGTGGGGGAGGATGCGTCGTGGAGGTCGAGCCCGTTCGACTCGGGCGAGTCGCGCTTGAAGGTGCGGTCTTCAACGACGCGAGACGGGCCAGCGTCCATGCCGCTACGGGAGCCGGTGTTCATGATAACGCGCGCGTCGAAGCTTGTCCGTAATGAGCCAGATTGCGACCCGTCCCCGTCGATCCAAGAAGGACCGTCGCCCATGACGCCCGGCATGTAGCGCTGCTCCCAATTTGCGTCGCGATATCGAGGAGGCATATTTGGCGAGTGCGAGTGCACACGGGAGTTGGTTGGCGAGCGAGGGGAGGAAATGCGGGTATCGGGGGGCAAGGGTAGGTCAGGAGGCATGCGTAGATCGCCAGCGGGAACGCGGGGGTCGCCTGCCATACGCATGTCGCTGGACAGACGAACGTCAGAGGACATACGATGATGTGGGGGGACGAGGTGATCGTTGGATAGGCGCTGAGAAGTCAGGCGAGAATCGGCGGACATGGCGTCAGGGAAATAATAGGGCTCCATTTCGCCGCGTCCCCAGTTTATGTCGAGGGACTGCGACGCGTGCTGTATTTGCTGAGGATGGGAGGAGGACATCTGGGGGTGCGAGGAGTTCATGGGCATCATAAAGTCGTTCTGCTGCATGATGGTGCGTGGGTGGGATATGTAGCCATGGTCGGCGAGCCTCCCGTGCTGCTGAGGAGGATAGGAGGAGGGGAAGTCGTAGCCCACTAGGCCCGATGAGCGTGCGGGAGGGGGATACAGAGCACCGGACTCACCATCCCCCCACTCGCCCTGGGAGGACGAGTCAACGATCTGAGTGTAGGAACGCGCCGGGCGGCGCGCGTTCATGCTGTAGTGGCCGTCGGACATGCAGAGAGGACCGAAAGGGGCGGGGAATGATCACGACCGACCATGGGCGGAGTCGCTGGTTATATAAATGATCGAGGAACCTGTTGGATGCCGCATCGCGTGGGACAAGCGTGCTGCGTGTAGTATAACAAACGGAGCCACCCGTTTCTGCGGTACCATATACGGCACGAATGAACAACTGAGACCGCGCGCCCGATCCGCCAATTGACCCGGTTTATCGTGATAACGTGACGGACCGGCGGGCTGGCCTCCTTTTTACGGAAGTTGACCAGCCCGCTCGGGCCTGCCACCCGGCTGCGGGTGCTGTTGCGCATTTCTCGAATACGAAAATGCAGGGTCTGCGCCGTGTTGGAATGACGGCATGTGCGGCAGCGCACGCGCAGGACAATGGCCAAGGCCATGGCCCGAGGCGCAGAGAGTGCTGCGCCGCTGGCCTCGAGGTTTGCGGGCGAGCACGGAGGCGCGCGGTGCTCGTTATGGGTAGATGAAGGTGGCCCGGTGCGGGGATGGCGAGTAACGCAGCACGCTGGGCTGGGCTAACTGTCAATGTCAGTATAGCTAATGGTTCCGGCCAGTCAATTACACCGTCGTCATCAGGTTTCAGCCTCTGGCGAATATGTATAGTGCCTGGCTTCACAGCGAGCCCGCTGGCATTCGCCTTGTCAGTGGTCGGGGTAGATCATCTGAGGAAAAGACGCCCAGAAACTGAGTCGAAATTGAGTGGAACTTCGCCGTGATGGAATACATCAGGACAAGGAGGCAAATTTGCACGTATTTGTTCCGGGGGTCTGGATCAAGCCCGGGCCCCCGCCCGAGGGTTGTTTCTGCTCTTGTTCCTGATTTGTGCATATTCATCCAGAATTCCCTCCCGCGATGTCCGCCGCCCCCCCTACACACCGCATCGTCCCCGTCGCAGAGCTCGAGGGTACTCAGCTACTTCCTGAACTCGTCTGATCGCTCATCGTCCTGCAGGCCACGAAGATCGCGCCTGGCATGTAGCATGGAATCCCACCAAGCCTCTTCTCGCCTCCTGCTCAGCAGATAAAACAGTCCGGCTCTACGGTTATAGCGCGACCACTGACCCGGAGAGTCCGCTGAAATTTACACAAGTCACTACAATACCGACAGGTCACCTGAAGACCGTACGCGCACTCGCTTGGGCGCCTTCGGGCAACACGCTCGCCACCGCTTCATTTGATGCAAACATCGGAATTTGGGAGCAATCTATTGATGATGCGGACGACGAGGGCGCACCTAGCGCATCTGCAGAATGGGAGTGCGTCAGTCTGCTCGAGGGGCACGAGACGGAGTGCAAGAGCGTAGCATACTCGAGCTCGGGCACCCTCCTCGCGAGCTGCAGCCGCGACAAGACCGTCTGGGTTTGGGAAGGTGAGGGAGGCCGTAAAGACGAGCACGCTGTCTGCTCAACAACGCGTACTTCCAGTCCAGCCGGATGCGGACTTTGAGTGCATGGGCGTGCTCATGGAGCACACCCAGGACGTCAAGTGCGTCGCCTGGCACCCGTCTGAAGAGGTCAACCACCTCTCCCTCGCCTCCGCGCGGTCCTCGCGCTGACGCGCGCCGGCAGATCCTCGCCTCCGCGTCGTACGACGACACTATCAAGCTTTACGTGGACGACCCTGCGGACGACTGGTTCTGCTTCGCGACGCTCACCGGCCACTCCTCGACCGTCTGGTCGCTCGCTTGGGCGCCGCGAGGGAGCTACCTAGCCTCCGCCTCGGACGACAAAACGGTCAGGATCTGGAAGCGGGTAGCTGAGCATCAGTGGGTAGAGGCAGCTGTCATCGGCGGACATGGACGCAGCGTATATTCCGTGACCTGGGGCCCCGGGAAGAGCGACGATCCCCACAGTTTGGGATGGCTGGCTAGCGCGGGGGGTGATGGTGTTATCCGCGTCTTCGACATAATTGTGCGTACCCCTCAGCTCTTTTCTCTTTCCCTTTTCCTGGAATACCTCACATGAGAGGCATCATTCGTATTTCTGGTGGCGAGTGATCGTCAACCCCTCGCCGAGTCTCATCTATCTTCACTTGACTGATATGCGTTGCAGGAACCTGATGTCGCGTCCGAAAATCCGACTCACAGGCTCATCGCCGAATATTCTGATGCTCACGGCGTTCACGACATGAACGCCATAGCTTGGTGTCCGCGAGACGGCTTCCAGGACCTGCTCGCCAGCGCAGGCGACGACGGCGTCGCAAGAGTATGGCGAGTCGTACCTCTGTAAATTATGGTGGGTGTCCTGCTCTTCGATGCCACCCACACCCGGCTAACATTCCGGAGAGCAGTTGTCACATCATGTCACAGTTCGATTTCCGCCCGGCATTTCCGAAAATGGGGCCTACTGTTCTAATCAGAATCTAACTCTGGCCTAAGGGTTCCACGAACCAGCGCGAGCCTTACCATGATGCCTACCGACTCACTCTTACTGGTCTGTAGTGACGACACGACGAACGGATGTCGTCGAGGCGACTGTTCTTGTCCCGCCCCTCGCAAAATCAGAATCGGGCCCGCGTCTAATTCGTCTACGCGACTCCATTATCGGATGCCCGTCTGGCCAAACTTCGGCGCTTTCGCACATAAGGTAGGCTCCCAGAGGGTCCCGTGTTGAGGTTACAGGTAAGAGACGCCCGCAGTCTGCCACCTAGCGCGTCTGCCACCCTGCCCCGCGCGTAATCCATGTCCCTCGGAGAGCGTCATCCTCTCTTCATTGTGTATGTCGCCGCGCTCTTCCTGCGTGATGCATCAAATATATCTACCGCGCGCGGATCGGCGCCGGCGTTGATTGCCTTCGTGACAAGCATCTAGGTAGGCTTGTATGTCGGCCATCGAAGCGCTGTCGCGCGACGTGGGGTTGCCAGCAGCCCGCTCGACGCGCAGGCCATCCACGCCAGGCACTCTGCGCGTCGAGGCGGGATGGGACGCCGCGTCGAGCGCTGCAGCGATTTCCGGCAATCATGCTTTTGACATGGGAAGAAGATCATCGCCCTTCGGGGCTCCCTGGTCCTCCCCGAGGCGTTTGACGCTCTCATCTATCACAGAACCGCGCACACATATCACGTCCTCAGCTGCACGCCGCGGTGCCGTTGGTTGACTTGCTGCCCGCGAGCTCCGCTATCGAGGCCACCCACGCCCCAAGCGGGACGTGTCGCCTGGACGCCGCACTCGGGAGGCGCCGAGATTATCTGCGCGGCGAGCATCAACCCTGAGAGAGTGGCGGACGCGCAGGACGCGAACCTGCGCCTCGTGCCGCGCGCGGCTCAGGAGGCTGAGATGAGGTGCGATTGGCGCGTCCCTCCCCGGCGAAGTTCAACATCCGTTCACGTGGGCGAATTGGGTGACGTCGGCATTTGCCGGATACCCTCCCATTGGCCGCCTCTGAATTCCACCTCCTTGTCCCGCCCGCCGGCACACCAAGAACGAAAGCGGATTTCTTGCCGCCCTCTTGCTCCAGCGCAGTCCAGCGAGTCCACTTGCCGCCCGCCGGATGCGCGGACAAAGGCCAAGATTCGCTCCGCGGAAGTAGATTGGCGGCCATCCCAAGTATGGAATTTCATCCTGCGCTCCCCTCCAGCGCGAGCGAGAGAGAAATATTCCAGCGAGATTCCAACGACCCTGCAGCTCGTCCGCGTTGCCCGGCATTGTTGGTGGGACGTACAAGGGGACGCACGTGCGCCGGCGCCGACAAGGGAAGTGTTCCGTTAATTATCGGTTCAATTAAATGGGTACCTCGTTTTTCTATTATTCCGAATGGCTCAGTTCGCGCCGAGGTGCCGAGACAGGGCAACCGGACTGGACGTTCGAATCGCCGTCCTCCCCAGTACCAAGCGTCAGGATGTGTGCCCGCCGCCACCGGACTGCGACGCTTGCGACGGTCAACAGCAATAGGGACTTGATTTACGAATTGTTGAACGGTCACCTGCTTTTTTTCCTTGAAGTGCACTGTACTCGCGACCCAAAAGAGCTCGCAGTCGAGGGCTGCCTACGACTGGCTCTTCCAAGCTTCAGACCGAAGTGGAGTATCAGGTAGGCCAGCGAGCTCGTTCAGCACAAACAAAAGATCCGCTCCTTGCGAGAGAACGGCATAGAGCGCCGTCAGACTGATCAGAACATTCACCAGGTATCATCACCCCAGCTTCTCTCTGAATGGACCCGTTCAGACATCATCAGTACAGTACGTACACTCTACGCTCTAGCGTCTCGTACTGCCTACGCTTCAGCGGTCCCGTACAGTCTGCGCTTCGGCGTTCCGTAAAGTCTACGCTTGGCAGCCTGTACTGCACACACCCTAGCGTCCCGTACTTACCACCGTATTGCACACGACAAACACCGCGATCCATCCACACAACCCGTATATCAAGCTAAATAAAAGGCTCCCGAGCCTCGTCGAACCGGCTTCTACATAAGCCCGCTCGTACCACATTATTGCTGCATAGTGTACAGTGCATAGGAGTACATCAGTAAGGAGCTGTCGCGGTTAGGTAAGGTAGTCCGAGGTACCGTCGACCGCAGTAGGTGCCATCGACGATTAACCACAGCGAACGCCGCCGACCTCAGCCGGTACCACCGACCACGGCACGACAGGCACGCCGGTCCAGTGGTCTCCAACGCTCCAGCGCTCCCTGGGTGGCAAGAGATCCCTGGGTGGCAGGAGTGTCGAGAAACGGCAGCTGCCGCGGAGAAAGTGCCTGCCCGCGCCTGGGGTGAGGCGCGCGCGGCGTAGCGCCTGCGCATATGAAGCCAGCGAGGCCGTAACGTCAGCTGGCAGGCCTTCTCCAGGGTAGGCGTATGTGTTCGAGGACACCGGGCATGGAGCCTAGAGATAGGTCAGTAACTACTTAGGAGGACGTGGAGTGCGAAAGGGAGGGTGGAGCGGGTATGTGGTAGGGTAAGTGTACGAATCGGTCTGTCATGTCATGTCGCGCACGAGAATGCATGTCGTGTACGAGGAGGCATGTCGCGCACGAGGAGCCATGTCGTGCACGAGAAGGCATGTCGTATACGAAATAGCCAACCAAGAGATGAAGGGCACAAACTAGACGCACCGAAGAGGATAGCCGGCGCCCAGCCAGCTAGGATCATGGCTACTTCGGTGGTCCCAAAACAGGTCGGACTGCGCTGGCGCGCGACGTCGACGATTGTACTGACAGATGCGAGTACGTGGACGGTGCAGAACATCCTGGGAGGGGGGCGTCAGTTTCGCGGTAGTGTAGGATGGGTGGAGTAAGGATAGACGAGTGGTGGAGTAAGGATAGACAAGTGGGTGGCGTCAGGATAAACGAGGTCGAACGATGATAAGCGCTCGTTGACGGCTTCCACATACGGACGACTCCCACATACGAACGGCTCCCATATGCACCCAGACAAAACAGCTAGTGAATACGTACAACTGGAAGACAAGACAGCGCCAGATGATGGGGGCGAGCGAGGCCGGAGGCGGTCGCCGCGACCGGTGCGAGAGGCCTGGAAACCTGTGAGTGTCTAGGACTACGGGCCGACGTCAGGATCGGGATCGAGTGGTGCGTGAGGAGAGAGGAGGATGAGTGTAGCGAGAGGGGATCGGGGGAGGGGAGCTGCAGTCGGGAGACGGCAAGTGTGAGGTCACGGAGCGTAGTGATAGCAAATGGATGGTAGCATAGAATATGCAGAATATCACTCACGTCCGAGAGGCGAGCGCGTGAACGCCTGCAGCTGATGCCCCTCTGCATGGGGCGCGTCGTACGCGAGGCTATCCTCGTCGAGCGAGTCCTCGCCCATGCTCCCGCGCTTCAGGTCATCCTCCGCACCAGACTGCCCGCGCTCCCACTGCAGCGTCTTGTCCGAGTTCGTGCGCATGATCGAGGCTCGGATATCAGCGCAGGACGCGTCGCTGCCCTCGACGGTGTGGATCTCGGACCGCGACTCAGAGTGGGACGGACACTGCGACTCTGACTGACACTGGGATTGAGACCCGCTGCGCACGCGTGACCGCGAGCGCGGGTTCGCAAAGGTCGGGAACGTCTCCGACGTCGGCGAGTCGCACTCCGTGGTGTGCGCGGACGAACTCGCGGTGTCGAGCGGGATGTCCAGCGTCGGCTGCACATGAAACGAATGCGCGGTACTGACCCCGCCCGGCGAGCTCGCGGGCACGCTCTCCGAGTGCGCCGTGAGCGACTTGTGCTTCACATGCGCGGTGAGGCGGCGGAGCTTCGAGCGCGAGCGGCGCCGCTGGCCCGGGTTGGTGAGGTCCTGAGCGGCCATGAACTCCTGCTGCCACGAGCGCTGGATGTGCGCGTTCGTGCGCCAGACGCGGCGGATGGAGACGACGGTGAGGATGAGGCAGGGGAAGCAGGCGAGGAGGGGGATGCCGGCGTAGCCGAAGAAGCGGACCCTGGAGGTGAAGCGTCAGGACGCGAGCGATGGACGGCAGAATGAGGGGGGCAACGTGCCATATAGGATCGTTGGCGTCGCAGTGTATCGCGCCTGAAGGGCCGACTGCGTCAAAGTGGATGTACAGCCCCGTCTGAACCGCAGTGAGTAGCACGGGGAGCACGACTACCGGCATAATGTATATAGGGCGCCACTTGAGGGTACTGGACAGTGGATGGTCAGAGGAGTTGCAAGGGAGGCTCAGTACGCACTTGGTCTGCGATTCCCCCCATGTCTTCGGCTTGATCACACACATGGCGGTCGCGCAGGTGAATGTAACGGCGACGCCGGTCATCATGAAATCAGAGAGCGTGAACATAGTTGTTTGAACTGGGGGATGACTTGAGCGGAAGGGCGGGGAAAGTAAGGCAAGGTAGCGCACCGATGCAGAACGACTTTGGCATGAGGTGGGTATCCATGCGCCAGATCATACCTGTTGTAGCACGCGGTCAGCTAGCAACACGTTGTGTGCTGCGGGGGGACGCACCGAGGAGAAAAGTAACTTGCATGGTGGTGCAGGCGGCGAGGTATGCGAGCGGCGCCCACAGGTTCCCCAGCGCCCGGCCCACGGCCAAAAAGACGACCCAGCATACAAGAAGTCCTGCAATGCATGTGTTGAGGGAGGGCGCCTGATGCTGTGGCGCGAGGGGGACGTACCCACGGAGGAGAGAACAAACCAGAGTATGCGGATACCAAACGGCACCATCGCTACTGACCGAGGACTGGCCTCCAACGCATGCGGGAGAGGACAAGAGGCAGCAGAAAATGAATTCGTCCAATCAAGCGGACCTGAGCTGAGTGATGAGTGATAGGATGGGGGTAAGCAGTGATGGCGCCCGATGGAGTCTGCGCGTCAGCCGTTGCGGGCCTCGGTGGGTCTATGTTTGGTCGTCTGCGCTCTGTTTGTCCGCCCTCTGAGAATAACGGCACGGCCAGAAACGAAAGAACAATGGACAGCGGAAGGAAGAAAAAATGACAGGGTATGCGTCTGAGCGGCTGAAGAACGGGACCTGACTGCACGGAGTCAATTCTGGCGCCGGCTCCGGTCCGCGTGGCTGCCACGCGTCGCCGGAACTTCGTCGGCGGTTACCGTCGCCAGTCGGACAAATCGGCTGTCGTCAAGGCTGCTCGCTGATCGCCATCGTCGACTGCGAGCGTGCAGGGCTCAACGCCGCGCTCTGCGGAGGCCTCGAGCACCTCAAACACCTCTGGCGCAGCTCGCGGTGATGGGCGCAGTCGGCTCTCGAGGACCGGGGTAGACGATGGGCACCATCATCTTCGGTGGCGCACAAGTGGACTTCGCAATACAACTCAAGGACGAAAAGACCCACATTCGCTCATTGTCGAGACTTGGTCCCCCTACGGCGCTTCCACACCCGACTCCAGCTCCGCAAGTACCTTGTTAGTCCGCCCGAGGAAGTGCCTGAAGCCTGGTGGTGATGTTGAGCTTCCACGAAGCTTCCAGCATACCACACCGCGAGAGCGTCTTATGCTCAGGTTCTCAGCTTGAAGTCGCAGAACGAAGGTATATCCATTGTACACAGTATTACCACTTCATTATACCCAAATGTGCCAGGGCCAGAAGAAAGAGCGGCATAGAAAAAGAATGAAGTTAGTACAAGCGAACCATGTCGAAGACAAAGTTGGGAGACCTGGAGAGGGTCGGTCAGTATTCTCCTTCTCTCGCACTGATACTTCTCGAAGCGACTCACAAGAATTGACTGCCCGAAGACCCAGAGATAACGTTGATTGTAATGGTGTTCTGCGTGTTGCCGGTGTGGAGGACGCCGTCCGCTGAGATGTCATTCAGTCTCGTTCATCAGTTTGTGTAACTGGAGTGGAAGACTTACGAATGGCATACGAGTAGAGGATGTTCTAATAGAGGTGATCAGCCTCCTCTTCTCATCGGAGAAGACAAAGGACTCACATTCCCCCTCCACGTCCCCCTCGTCACGCCGCGCGAATCGGGCTGGTTGGGCGCGGACGGCGCCTTCCCGCTCCAGTCGTTCACCTGGACCGTGGGGCGACCACCTGCGAAGGCGAGCGTGGTGGCGATCTCGAGCGTGCGCGCGCCGCCTGTCAGGTAAGTTAGGTCGACGTGGCTCAGACGTAAGTTAGGTCGACGTGGCTCAGGCGTGGGGCGATGATTGGAGACTTCGCGCTCGAGTGAGTGATTGAGAAAGAAGGACTCACCCTGCCCCGACTGCAAGCTGAAGCGGATAGTCGTGGCGCCGACGTCCTGCCGAGGTTTAGTTAGCGACTTCATCTTTCGCACTGGTGCAAGACGCGTGAGTGCCAGGATAAGGGGCCAACCTCACCTTGAAGAGCGCCATGGGGAAGTAGTAGATGTTGTTCGTGCTGACAGTGTAATCCCTGCGAGCGCATCGTCAGTACCCATGTGACAGTTCAAGAAAGGCGTCGCATGTTCACCTGACCCAGTCGTGCATCCGGTTGTCGCTCGGGCTAGAAGCTATTGTCAGTTCCCACTCTGACACTCAGCACACGTCGCGGGCATACTGCATAGTCTCAATCATACTACGAAGGAACGTCAGCAACGCAATACCCCACCATCAGCAAAATCACATACTCAGCATTCAAGAAACCCCTCGGCGTCCCGTCGTACTCGCCGATTTGCCAGATCGCGCTCGGACGCTGCCCAGCGTCACATCGTCAGCTCCCCTCAAAACGATCTTCAAGGACGACTTTCGAAGCGATCTCGAAAGACATCCAACCACTCACCGCAATCGTCGACGCGATATTCGACGTCGCGAGGCCGCCGGCGCTGACGGTGACGCTTTGCGAGGCGACGGCGAGCTCGACTTCGTATACTGGGGGAGTTGTTAGATGTTTGGTCCTCGACGCATACTGCTAGAGGAGAGAAAACCAGACAGAACGTGACACTCACGCGTCATGGTGTACGTCCCGGGCTTCATGTACGGGCTCGTGAAGCGGCCGTCGGACGAGCGCGCGCGGACCCTAGAGGGGATGGTGTCAGCACTGGTGATTCCTTGAAGCGGCACGAGCTAGAGGTGTGCGACGAAGCAAGTAAACTCACCAATACTGCGCATCGCTATTCGCGAAGCCAATTACGATGTACTCAGCCTGACCCGAGGCGTAGCCGGACGCTTTGCCCGTGACGCGGCCACGCTGAGCCTGGGTGACAAGGCCCTGGACGTCGCCGATCCCTTCCCAGAAGGAGGTGTCTGTCAGACGAGCGGTTAGCGCAAGGGACCAAGTGAGTAGCGGACAAACATCAAAGTGGACGTGATGAGGTAAGCAATGAAGCTACTCACCAAGATCGCCAGACGGTGTCGAGCCGGTGGTGAAGGTGAGGGCGCTGCAGGTCGCGTTAGTATTCCCGTCTTCGAGGGAGAAAAACGCCACTTACTAAGGCCCATGCAGCCCCATCCGGTAGCTCTCCGTCTGTGTGTGGCCCGAGTTCATGTCTGATGCGAGTTCTGGTCAGCATACGTTCTTCCCTCCGTCCATCCAGAACATCCTCGCCCAATTCCCACTTCCCTCTCTCTTCCTTCTCTTCCCACTCTGCACTCCAAGACCGAAGACAACACAAAGGAGATCCCAACACTCACAGAAGTACAGCTCCTGCTGCGACCCGCCTTGGTTGTTGATATCTCTAAAGAACGGCCCACCCGAGGAGCCCTCGTACCCCGTGCCGGGGATGATCATGAACGCGCCGATGTTCGAGCCCGTGACGCCGTGCACCTGAGAGTGTTAGGTTAGCGGTGATGCTTGGATGAACCGTGGGACGATGTCTAAAGAGCCCCTAGACACTGGGCGTCGTCTAAAGAGACATCTTCCAACGCACCTGGTCATCGATATGCTGCCTGGAGGAGTAGAACTTGGACCTGGTCTGCCCATTGACGAGGAAGACATCGGAGCCCTCGATGGCGGTGCCGCCCTCCATCTCGGAGACGGCGTACCCGTTGGGGAGCGCGGACTTCTTGAGGCGGGCGATGAAGCGGAGCTCGCCGACGGAGGGCTCGGAGGAGGTGCTGGGGAGGGATCAGCATTGTACTTAGGCTTCGCAAAGCTGTTATGTGCTGAAGAAACAAGAGAGCTCACTAGGTCGCCATATGGATGCTAGGGTCGTTGTACTTGGCCACGTACTAGGGATAGTCAATTGAGCAGGAAGCTCGGACAGTCAAGCATCAAATAACGTACGTATTGCACAATCCCAGACGCCGTGCAGGTGATCTTGATGTAGTTGTCGTTGTGGCCTGTGCGGGTCTGAGTGGTTCGGTCAGTTAGGATCACACTCCTTGAGGGAAAGACAGTGTCTGAAGGATAGCAAACATCTGAACGAAAGCAAACGCACCCAACTGCAAGACGCGCCGATCCCGGACGCGATATGACTATGCTTGCTCGAGTCTTGCGCCTCGATGCCGTTGAACTTCATGGAGGTGATGTCCCCAGAGGTTTTGTCGACTGTGTGAGAGTTCAGTTTTTGATCTAATCCAGCAAGCATCGCTCTCAATCGTCCACCAAAGATCTCTCACTCACCCGTGAACACAAGGCCGCCAGACGTATCCACCACATAGTTGTTCCCGCTCTCAGTGAGCCCAAAGGCGCGCACGGAGAGCGCGAACAAGGCCGCGTATACGAGGCCGAGAAGGAAGGAGCGCGCCATCGTGCTCCTTGTGAGGGACGGATATGCAGCGAGGGAAGGGCGGAAGGGAAGGGTAGCGATACACGAGCTGGCGAGAGGTGAAGCGGGCAGCGATGGACGCTCACACACACCCATGTGCTCTTATATAGCGCCTGTTTCCCCGATATCGAGCCTGGCGAGGCACGGCGCGACGATGGCGACCACAGGGCGACTATCTGACGACCCCGGCGCGGTGGTCATGGGCCGCCGAGGACAACGCGGTGACCAGAATTCTCGGATCACACGCGTCGGGATCATCACGCTCGGGAGGGCCTGTTGTCGCCGAGCAGGGCGTTAGGGACATGTTGTAGATGAAGTGGTCCTACAGGTCCCCCTTGCAGCCCCTCGCACGCGCTAGAAAGTCAATTGATTCTCGGGGACGTACTGCTGGGCGTTGGGGCAGGTGAGTGGGGCGCGGGCCGGTACGTACCTCAACAGAGGACGCGTGCGCAAGTGAGGCGTGAGGCGTGCTCGGGCCCAGCGTGCAGAAGCGGAGGTCGCATGCGGAGACGGTGTGGTTATTGCCAGGCACGCGGCTAGAAGAGCTTTTGTCGGGTTATTCGAGGGAAATCAATGTCGAGAACGGGCTTTCGGTCCCAATGTGCGCTGTATGTGGGACCTCAATGAGTGGTGCTGTACTTCTGCCCGCATCGCTGTATTGTCGAGGGCTGGCTATATGGCCCGGTATCTCGGAAGAGCCTCTGCATCGCAAGGAAGATAGTCGCTCATCGGGGCGAGCCCGAGGAGGTCTGGATTGTCTTGTTTTCTCCGGGCGCTCTGAAGAGCCGCGAGGGATCTATGGCAACAGCTAAATGGATTCGTTACCATCTCCGTCGTTTACAGGCGCCGAGCCAGATTTGTGGATATCGAGAGAACACATCGCCTTGACACGAGCAACGGTGAAGGCAAGAGCCAAGGCGAGCCGCGGGCGGAGGATCCTGCCTGTCCCGGCCCGACCGCCGCAGATAAGATAAGATCGGCAATCTTGAAGTTCATGCAAAGATGACTTGATCGCTGGACGAGTCAGTCACCCTATCCCTCCCCCCATAACTACCGCGATGCCTATCCACGGACTCCCCCCATCCACTACACCCATGAAGCCCGCGCACTTCAACATCGAAAACGCCGTGCGGCCGAACATCCTCGCGCTGCACCCTTACCGCTGCGCGCGGGACGACTACCAGGAGGGCATACTGCTCGACGCGAACGAGAACTCCTTGGGGCACTCCATTCCCTCGGGGCAGTCATTACCGCAGGAGATCCAGGACACCCTTGCCTTGAACCTGCACCGCTACCCCGACCCCTCTCACCGCGCGATCAAGGAGCGCATCGCGGCGCTTCGTGGGCTACCTGGGCCCGAATATGTCTTCCTGGGTGTGGGGTCGGACGAAGTCATTGACTTGTTGATGCGGATATGTGTGGCGCCGGGGAAGGAGAAGATATTGACGACGCCGCCGACGTATGGGATGTACGCGGTTTGTGCGCAGGTGAATGATGTGGGGGTCGTGAAGGTCCCTCTCGAGTTGAGCGGCGCGAATGGCGAGGGGGGCGAGCGTGGACGCTTCAGTCTCAATGTGGATGCGGTGAGTGACTTCGTTCCCTGCGCCTCATACTCGACCACCCCTTCTCAATTCATCCCCTCACAGATCAAACAAGCCGTCGCCGCCGACCCATCCATCAAGCTCATCTTCCTCTGCTCCCCTGGAAACCCCACCGGCACCTCCCTCTCCCTCTCCTCCATCCGTGAGCTCCTCGAGTACGAACCCTACAAGGGCGTTGTCGTCGTCGATGAGGCATACGTCGACTTTGCCGGCGACGAGACGAGTGCGGTCAGCCTTGTACGCGAGTACGCGAACGTCTGTGTGATGCAGACGCTCAGCAAGAGCTTCGGGCTTGCGGCCATCCGGTGCGTGTACCCACCGAGCCATGGTACAACCACTTCCTGACGTCCCCTCCCCAGCCTCGGTCTTGCCCTCGCCCAACCACCGCTCATGCAAGTCCTCTTCAACACCAAAGCGCCCTATAACATCTCCACCCCTGCCGCGCACCTCGCCCTTTCCGCCCTCTCCGACGACGCCCTCGCCGCTATGCGCGCCAAAGTGGCCACGCTCACCGCGTCCCGCGCGAAGTTGCTAGAGAGCCTGAAGGCGCTGAAGGACGTTGGCCTGGCACCCGCGATCGGCGGGAACAACGCGAACTTCGTCATGGTGCCCGTGCTCGCGAAGGATGGCTCCGGGAAGCCAGACAATGCAAGGTCGGAGAAGATCTACAAAACCATGGCCGAAGAACACGGCGTCGTCGTGCGCTTCCGCGGTAGGGAACCCGGGTGCGAGGGCTGCTTGCGGGTAACGGTGGGCACGGAGGAGGAGAATGGGGTGCTAGTAAGGAAGTTGCGGGAGGTGATGGAGGCGATATAGAAGCGCGCTTGCATTCGTGTCTCCGAGACCAGACATCGGAAGTTCTGTAAATGTTGATAGTGCGCTGTACCCATTAGACCGCATCTTCCCTTACATATAGACCGCTTTTTGGGGCTCATTTATGAAGTTCAACCGTGACGCCCGCACGTGCCCTGACGCGGGATGAGTCAGTTACGCAGCGCGTCGCGACGCGGGTGGGCGGGTTTTCGTCTCATCTTGCCTCTTTCCTCTTCTCATCTTTCCCTCCCCCTTCCCCTCACACAATACTTTCCCTCGATCCCCCTTCCCCTCCTCACCAGCCTCGCCTCACTTCCAACTTCTACCACAGTCATGTCCACCCTCCCTCCTACCCTCGAAACCATAATCCCCAAAGATACCTCACCCGAGTCCTGGATTGAGCACTCCGTCGGCGGCACGCAGCATCCTTGGATGGACCCGCGTCCTTTCAAGGGCTATACGAATGCGTTTATCGTAAGGGATGGGAAGGTTAGTAGGACGGATACTATAGCTAATCCCATGCGTACTATGCTACACAATGGTACCTTATATATATCGGACTAAGCACACCCCTCTCACTCAGATCCTCCTCGGCATGAAGAAACGCGGCTTCGGGATTGGCAAGTACGATCGCTCTCATTTCTCTATCTGGACCCTGGTTGAGCGGATGATATAACAGGATAAATGGGTTCGGTATGGCGCGCGGTCATCATCGCCTGTTGGCTTCCGTCTCATACAATACCCATTCAACCCAGGCGGCAAAGTCGAGCCCGAGGAGAGCTCGCGAGATGCGGCGATTCGGGAGATGGAGGTGTGTACGTCCCCCGAGTCGTCACTGACGGCCAGAAAGAGAAGAAGAACGTAAGCAGCATGCTGACGCCGCTCTCAGGAAGAATCCGGCATACGCGCACCGCTCGAATGGGCGGGGACGCTCCTTTTCTTCCTCGAGGGCGTAGAAAAGGTCTTCCACTGCGATGTGTATCGCGCGGAGACGTTTGAGGGGGAGGTTGTAGAGTGCGTGAATAGGCATTTCACCACATCCTCTTAGACGTCCAGAATAAACGTGATGTGCTGATAATTCTTACTTACTCATCCAGGACAGAGGAGATGCGCCCCGCCTGGTATTCCGTCGACGACATCCCATACGCACAGATGTGGGAGGACGACCCCTACTGGCTGCCTCTTCTCGTCGCCGGCACACCGTTCATCGGGCGCGCGGACTTCGACGCGAAGCCAGGGGCGGAGGGCGAATTTGTGATGAGGAGATGGTGGGTAGGGAAGCGTGAATGAATGAGAGTTCGGGCACGAAGGATTACACGCGAGGTACTCAAGGTAGGAAATATGCTTCAAGGAAGTCCTACGACAACTGAGAAGCGATCGTCAGCATATAGAATAGACAATGGTCAAAGAGGGTGAGATACCCACGTATAGACGTCCCGGTACGCTTGAAGGAGATCTAGAAAATCCGCATCAGTACCCTGTCAATCCCAACTCCAAAGCATTGCGCCAACCCCAGCTCAGACATGTAGAAATATGTATCTTCATAAGCCACTCACCTGATATACGTCGTTCGTCAACACCAAGACATCCCCATGGACCATGCCCACGCTCAGGTCAGTCGCCTTCTTACCAGTGTCGGTAGCCTTCTTCCCTGTCTCTGCAGCCTTCCCCTTCGTACCCGACGGCTGCTCTTCCTCCGCGTCTTGATTGTCTCCGTCCTCGTCCTCCGCCCTGATCCTGAACGAGTCCTTTACAGGGCAGTACTTGCCCTTCATAGGAACGAGCCTGCTATTCGTGATCGTCAACCGCGCGTCGCATCCGAGGCACAGCACGACGACAGGATGTTTCGTGGCGTTCAAGGTATCAGCAAGCTGTAGAGGATCAGTCAGGCGGCGAACGCCAGCGAGGAGTGAATACGTACCTTCCTCGAGCCAGCACCGATGCCCGCGATGCAAAAGAGTCGGCGGATTGGGAAGTTCGTCTCTTCGTCTGTGTACTCGTACGCGCGGTCGATGAGGTGGTTATGCAAGCGCCGAGCAAGGCTTTCGGTGGTCGTGACCTTCTCCTCATTGGACATCGTCTGTTGGCCTCCCTCTGATGACACGGGCGCAACAGACAGCTCGCAGCGAAAGACTGGCGCTTAGGTGAATGCATAGCCAATCGAAATGTGAAGGCCACGTACTGTTGTCCGACACCCTGGAGCGCCGCAGGTCCGCATACCGCTGCACATCCAGGAAGAGCTGGTCCGCATTTGACTGCAGCGAGCGCATGTTGCAGGTGAAGATGTGAGTGGCGAGGAGCGTCCCTACACGAGAAGCGCTCTCGTATATGTCCATCGGGTCGTCTACGACTGTTGGCTCATCCTTCTCCGATGTGATGGCCTCAGCTAATGCGGACGGCATCGCACTACCCAACTCCTTGACGGGCATCTGCCGACTTTCGCGCACTTCGACGATGCGCATGCCATCCTCAGCCTCTGCCATGAACGACTGCACCCCGCTCGGGTACACTGAGACGGGTTGAGCCAGCGGTAGGGTATCACGCGGGTCGCGCACGTCGTCGAGGCGCAAAGCATAGCCCACGTAGGTGGGTTTTTGGTCCGCTGGCTCGAAGTCGGGCGAGGCAGCGGCCTCCTCCTTGAGTTCGGTGCATACCGTCGCGCAAGCAGCACTTGCGCACGCTCGACGTCGCATGCAGAGCTGCAGATTGATGCGCCCACACCGCCGACAGCACCATCCGGAGGGGAAGGTTTCATCCGATAGGCAGTGACCTACCCGCGGCACGAAGGAGACGGGATAGACGCCTCTGTCGTCTTCAGAAATTGAAGGGTCGGGGTCGCGGTCGCCTGGGAAGACCGACATTGCGGCAGGCGACAAGTACGAAAGCCATGTCCGCGCCATGGCTGCCATAGAGTCTGAAGGAGGATCATCCGCGCCGGTAGTGGATGGCCCTAGTTGTTGCGACGTTGATGTTGCTGAGGGCAATTCGGAGGAATCGTCAACCGTCGTCGGCGTTGGTGCATGTGTCGGGAGCTGGTCTGGTACCCACCACGGCCGTCGAAGGTCTTCGTTGCCGAGAAACCTCTCGCCACCTCCCACCCATCGGAGCGTCATCGTCCACTGAACGCTTCCATTCGTACGACCGCCGCGATCGACGGCCGTGAATGGCTCGCCGTCCGGACCGCGTGCGATCTTGTCCTGGGAGCTGTTATGAGCTGACATGCAGGCTGGGCGGAATGTTGATAGGACTACTTACCTGCATTTCAGCCAGATGGAACAGCCCCAGAAAGCAGTACGCATACTCTTCCGGAACAAGCACATGCCAGCAAGTGGCCAACGTCGCTCGAGATGCCACTAGCAAAACAGGATACTGCTGGATCCACGCCTCTTGCAATGCGGCAATGTCAGGAGGCAGATATTTCGGCAACTGCATCTCTGGGATAGACGTCTTTTCCATCTGACATGGAGGATTTTCAATTTGCGCAACAGCCAGGTCGCCGCCAGGCGTGACTTCGTCGAGCACGCGTGCGTCAAGTGGTTGAAAGTCAGAAAGCGCGTGGTGCCACAGTGCCGTTAGAATTTCGGACGCGTATACCAAGGGTACGATCGGTAACTTCGTCGTCATCGAAGGAGGATACTTGAGCTCGTCACCTTCAGTTAGTGGATCTTCAGGTACAGCAAGGCCATGAACGGTTTCGGCCTCTGGCGCTCCTTGAGACTCTTGGATCTCCAACTGTGTGGGAACGGCGGTCAGGTGTTCTGAGGCATGCTCAGCTCCGGATGGAAGGGATGACCTCGCGTCATTCGCTTGTATTGTCTACAATGGAGTCAAACCTATTCCACGAAGTCTTCATTCACAGATTGCTCACCTCAGTCATCGACTCGGGCTCAGAATGACGCTCAGTACACGGAGTCAAGGGTATTCGCGGCAAAGTCGCCATTTCCAGTCCATCGGGCGCCAAATGTGGCAAAGCAGCGCCGTCGCAAGAGAATTTCCTCGAGCTAACTTCTGTTTGAGCACATGTAGGGACAAGTACATGAACGACGTACATAGTAAGCTTGCAACACAGCGGGCTTCCCTGGTCCACGGATACCTGGATCCTCTCTTCATCCAGCACAATCACCGGCATGTAGTCCACCATGGTCGAGATTGGAGTACTCGTCGGCTTCGTGCCGAACAACTCTGGAAGTACGGCGTGGAGATCGGCCTTGTTCTACGCACTCGGTTAGTCGGGGCGCCTGAGAGTTAGAATTGTACCACGCACACTAGCCCATATCCTCGGCCGCAGCTCTGCAGCACAAGTCAAGCCATCCTGCGCAGATGGCATCGTACGTGTCGGGCCCAGCCTCGGTGGGAGCCAGCGGGGCCCATCTTCCGAGGCCGTCGACGTCGCCGCCGGCCCCTCTCTTCGCCTCTTCCTCGGTGCATCGTCGGTTGGGACAGGTTCGGCTTTGCGCTTGTGCAGGTCAGTGCGTCTGCGTGCGCTTGGGAGTGCGGCAGGGTCTAGGGGTCCGCTGGCAGAAGGGCCCAGAGGTTCGCTAGCGGAAGGGTCTGGCGCGCCACTTTCTCGAGGAGCGGGCGAGATGATTCTCCACGCAGGCTGAGGACCGTCTAGAGCGTCCAAAGTCACTGCACTCGACGATGCGACCGCATTGACGCGTGAAACAACCTAACCGAGCACATTAGACACGTCGTGGGGATAGATATGTGACGCACCTTACGCGACGCGATCGGTGCGTCCTTCCGTTTCGTGGTGCTCCCCATCGGTCTACCCCGTGGTCGCCTCGTCGGTAGGGGAGCAGAGAGCTTGGAGGGGTTTGCGGGAGGCTGTATGGCGGTCGGCCGGGCCTTCCACTGCTTGCGGCGACTCGAGTCGGAGGAGGGGATCGTAATTCGCAGCGCGGCCGACTCGGACGTTGTCGACGTGCTGAGAGCTTCGGCACCCTCAGCAACGGAGGGGGCAGGGCTGCTCGGTCGTGAAAGGCTGGTCATGAGCGAGGGGAACTTCACGCACCATGGTGTGATTGAACCCATCTCGCTTGTGCCGATCGGGGCAGGTGCACTGGGTTCGGGTTCCATGATGCTAGTCTGTCAGCCTCGATAAACTGGTGAGCTTGCTGTGCACGAGAGAGGGGACAAGGTGGGAAGACACTTTAGTGCCAGAGATGCATCGCGGGAGAACTTGATTTCGAGGGCATCGAAGTGCGGGAGTTTCCCATTGGGAAATTCACGAGCTTCGGGAAAGCAATGGCCTGGGCTTTAGCATCAGGTGCATACAGTACCATACAAATGGTCCTCTCTTGGTGATCTCAAGAAGTCACAGCACTGAAAGTCAACATGGAAGGCAGAAGAGAGTTTCTGGTGCAACATGGTGGTTCAAGACAAGAAAGAACATAGGGCATCACACGTGTGGTCATAAAGAAGCCTAAATAGGACTCTGAAAGCACCACACCCCCACACACATGGACAAGGACTGCCAATACATCCTTTGACGCAGAAGCTACTATGATACACAGAACAGACAATCCAGGCATCCACAGTGACTTATCGAAAATCTGGCAATTGTCCCTGTACCCTACGAAAACACCTTCGTCGCCTTCTTCACCGGGGTATCACCTACCAGCACCGAGCCTAGCTCCTTCTCCTTCTTCGCCTTCTCCTTCGCGCGTGTATCCTCCACCATCGGTGTTAGACTTCGACCACTGACGCCAGGCGTCAACCCCCGACTCCCTGGCGTCAACCCCCTACTCCCCGGCGTCACCCCGCGACTCCCCGCCGCCTCCCCCTGCACCCGCGCACTCCTCCCCGGCCGCAAGATGCGACTCATGCTCACCTCCCTGCTGATCTCGCGCTTGCGCTTCACGCCCGCGCCCGCCGCGCGGTCGGCCTCTTCCTGCGCGAGGGACTGGGAGAGAGAGAGCGAGCGGGCGCGGGCGAGTTGCCGGGCGTGGGATTGGGAAGAGGAAGTGCGGGATTGGGAAGAAGATGCATGAGACTTTGCAGAGGAAGTGTTAGGTTTGGAGGAGGATGCGCGCAGGTTGGCCGATGAGGAGGTACGGGCGACTCCTGAGGATGACGAGGTCCGCGCGAGAGAGGATGATGTCCTCGCCAGTGAGGCCGCGCGACTTGGGGGCAGCGAGGGCGCTGGCGCTCTGCTCGACGCCCGACTAAGCGTCGGCGCCCGACTTGACGCGCGACTCAACGTCGGCGCGCGCACCGTCTCCTCGTCGTCCTGCCATTCATCCGGATCGCTCGAGAGCCTGTCACCGAAGCTGGATGCGCGGGATTTTGAGCGCGCGCGGTCGGAGCGATCGTCGTGCGTTTGTGATCTAGTTGAATACGAGTCGAAGGGATCGTCGAACGCCTGCGAGCCGAAGGGGTCATCTTCGTCGTACGTCTGCGAACGTACTCGCTGTGCCTGCGATCCGGCGAATACGTCGTCGTCATACGTTTGCGACCGTCCCCGCTGCGTTTCCGACCGTCCTCGCTGTGCCTGCGACCCGCCAAACACCCCCTCATCCTCGCTCTCCTCGTCCGAAAAGGGCGAGTGCGGGAAGACCTTGCTACGAAGCAGAGCGCAGAGTTCGGGGAGAGTGGATTTGAATCTGGGGGAGGGTGGTTAGTTGACGCGTTAACGACAAGAAATCGCAAGCGAGAAGGCAGCAGAATCTTGGCACTTACAACGGCTCCACTACATCCTCGCAGAACACCTGCATCCAGTCGCGCTCGTCGTCCTGCCTAGCCTTGCCGTTACCCACTTGTCCACCCTTGCTCGCCTTCGCTCTTAGCCCTGCAGGCATCGAATCCACCGCAGGCCTCCCATCCTCCAGCCCTCGCACAAGCTGCCACATCGAGAGCTTGTCCATGAAGGCTTCCAGGTAAACTTCGGGTGCCAAAGGTGCGGGTTCGGGGGATTTGCGCCGGCGTTTGCGAGGGAATGTTTGGGAGGGGGTCGAGACAGAGGCGACCTTGTCCTGAGAGGCGGACTTGTCGTTCGCAGGCTCCACTCGCCTGCGCTTACGCGGGGACAACAAGATATCCTGCTGCATCGCCGCGGCGTGCTTCTTGGCTGGGCTGGCAATGGGGTCGGCGGAGGGCGAGGGCGGGAGGGAGAGCTTGAAGAGGTAGAGGAGGATTTGGATCTGGGCTCTGTCGGGTGCATTGTCAACACCACTGATTCGGGCAGCATGAAGGAAGAGGCATCACGCACTCGCGCCGCTCCATGCGGTTCAGCCATCGTGTTTGCCATTGCGCGTCGGCGTCCTCGTTAGGTTCGGGGTTGTTTGATTGCTGGCTGCTAGAGCGATGTTGCTGGCCGCCGGAGGCTTGTCCACTAGACGCTGCCTCATGCTTCTCGTGCTCGTAGGCGAACCACATCATGGCCTCTTCGGCTTCGCCCGCGCCGCCGCCCTCGGCGAGGATCGCGGTGAGCTCGGTGTGGTATTTGTGTGCCGCAGAACGCGCAGTAAGCAGTAGAGGTTCTATGAGCGCGTGTAAGGGGTGAGGGGTATTGTTGTCATCAGGGCTAGCGTATGTGATGCGTCGTAAGGCATGGAGGAAGCCGTGGAGGGGCATGATCGACTGGGGTGAGGTAAATTGAGCATATACGCAGCGCTACAGGCAGTATTACGCACCTCTGGTAGCCATAAGTACTGCAAGTACGTTCGCGCGATGAAGCTCTCTGCGTCCAGCGATTCACCTCGCGTCTTCTGCTTCACCTGATTATCCTCCTGACCGGCTTGCTCATCGCTCTGGCCGATGTCGTTCCAGGGCACGTCCTTCAGAATCTGTTTCTCCTGTGTAGCCGTCCATGCTATGTTATCTCCCGCCGACAGAGCATAGCGCAGAGGATTGACGACCGTCATCGCTGGCCGTCGTCGTTCGTGTTGAGTTCGCTGATGTCACAAAGTCATTTGATGTGACTGCGCGCGTCCGTGACAGGAACGTCCGCGGCTCGGCGTTGGCCGCGGCCCTGTCCATGGTCATCTCTCTTCCGCACAAGACTCTCCAGTGATTGAGTCAGTAAATAGTGACTCACCATGCTGCTAGATAAAGATAATAGGCGCCCCGGATAGTGCAATCTGGGGTATCCATCTCCTCCCGGACTCTCACATATCTGAACTTGAAGGGAGGGCTCGCTCGACTCTCGATGGCAGCACCACAGAACAAGAACATCGTCGTCCTCGGCGCAGGTGCGTGCAGCGTCGAGGAAGATGTGATCACGAGGGGTTTACGGATCCGTAGGGGTGGTAGGGTTGACCACAGCGCTGAAGCTGCAGGAGAAGGGCGGCTACGCGGTGACCGTCATCGCGGAAATCTTCCCTAACGATCCCCTCTCGATCAAGTACACCAGCAACTGGGCTGTAAGCCTCGTAGTCCAGCTCTTGGGATCGCTTGCCTGACATCCTACTCAGGGTGCCCATCATGTCAGTCTGTGCGGGGACGATGAGCGCCAGAAGAGTGCGACTCCCTCTACTTCCGCAATTGCCGCGCTGCTGATCGTCTGCAAGAAATGGACCGCGAGACATTCGACGTGATGTGGAACCTCTCTGCACCTGGCGGCGCCGCGGAGGGCTGCTTCCTGCGCATTCCGCAGACCGAGATGTACCATCAGCAGCATCGTCAGCCCCACGAGCTTGAGGAGTGGATGCCCAACGTGAGCTGCGACTCAACTTTCCTTCGCTTACGATGTGGAAACCATCCATATCTTCCCATCTCCCATTCTCCTCGCCATCGTCCTGTCGCTGTCAAAACCTCCGTCGTTATGTCCTCTGCCATCCCCTGTTTCTTACCGACCTTCATCCACTACTGACACCAATGCTAACCCTTCACCCTCCCAGTTCAAATACCTCCCCAAGGAATCCCTCGTCGGCGGCACCGTCTCCGGCGTCTCCTTCGACACCCTCACCATCGATACACCGAGGTACCTCGCCTACCTCCTCGCCCGCTTCCTCGCTGCCGGCGGAGCCATCCAGCGCGCCTCGGTCAACCATATCGCAGAAGTTATCGAGGGCGGCGCGGGTATATATGGGCCTTCGAGGAAGCGTGAGTGTTGACAGTCACCATCTGTCGGTGATCTCTAAGCATTTTGACTCATTTTGCTCTGACGTGCACCATCGTACTCTGCTCTCTTACTACCTTCTTTCTTCTCTCTTATCAACTTCTCTCTGCTCTCTTACTAAGTTCCCCCTTCTCTCTTACTAACCTCTCTCACCTCAGCCACCCCGCCCGACGCCCTCCTCGTCTGCCCCGGCCTCGGCGCGCGCACGCTCGGCGGCGTCAACGACACGCGCATGTTCCCCATCCGCGGGCAGACGCTCCTCATCCGCGCCCCGTGGGTGCGTTTCGGGCGTACCATTTCGAGCAAGGACGGATTGTGGACATATATTATTCCGAGGCGGAGTGGGGATGTGAGTGGCGATTTCTTCCTTCTGGACGGTTGGAAAATCATTGGGTCCAACCGGCACTTAGCATCACTTACCTAGGTCATCGTCGGCGGCACGAAGATCGTCGACGACTACTACCCCGCCCCGCGGCCCGAGACGGCAGAGGATATCCTCAAGCGCGGCTTCGAGCTCTGCCCCGAGCTCGCGCCGCCGGAGATTCGCGCGTGAGTGCGGCTCTTGACCGCTGTACCTATCCAGCCCCGCTTCTTCCCCTCCCACCCCCTCTCCTTCATCGTAATCTCCCCCCTCTCCTTCCCAATCCCCCCCTCCGCAATCTCCCCTCATCCCTCTTCCCCAACTCCCTTCAACCATCCACTGACCTCCTCTTCCTAGTCAACGCACGCCCACCATCGACGACGTCCGGCCGCTCATCCTCATGAACGGCTGCGGCCTGCGCCCCGCCCGCGCCGGCGGCATCCGCCTCGAGACGGAGTGGGTGGACGCGCCGAAGGGGGCGAACGTTGGCGTGGAGGGCAAGACGCCGGTGGTGTTTAATTATGGGTGAGTGGTCGTTCTTGCCATGGCGGCTGTGCCCTCGTCCAAGCATTCGATGCGGGATCGCCAATTTGATGCGGGCTAGCGCTTCGTCTGTGGGGTCGTAAAGAATATGTGCATGGAGGGAACGACGGGGCGGAGGGTGGCGAGGAGCATAAGAATCGGAGCACGAAACAAGCTAACCTCCCCTTCAGCCACGCCGGCTATGGCTTCCAGTCTTCCTGGGGCTCCGCGAGCATCGCGGTCGGGCTGCTCGAGAAGGCGCTCGCGGAGGGGCCAAGGTGAGTTTGCACTTTTTGTTCATGAGTGAAGGAGAAGTTGACGATTACACCCCTATAGCTCCCAGCCTCCCGCCATTGCGTCCACCACCCAGGCCGACGAGGACAAGAAGCACCTCGCGCAGCATAGCTGGTGAACAGCCCTTGCTGTAGATCCATTGAGTGACCTGGCACAAATCCGACTTCGCTAGGGAGGTTGCGAATGTAAAGCTAGGGAGGCCGCAGATGCAGAATAAGCATGTCAATTTTTCCGGGTCCAGCAAGCCCAACCGACCAGCGTGTGCGTATCAACATGTAAGAAATAGAATGTACAATCCTTCGCATACGCGAGTGAGATCCGCTTTTGTATGTATATGTACATGGGGGAAATACAGCAGGCTACCGTGGAGTCCTGGGTATCTAAGATAAAAGGAGATGGGATGGAGGAAGCAAGCCGACCGAGCGGCCGCAGTAGATCCTTGAGTAAAAGAGGAAGAGGGGAGTGGCGCGGGCAGTAAGTGTAGCGCCTACTAAGGCAAGCAAGACGACGGGCAGCGCCACCCCCGCCCATTTGGCGAGTAGCGCACCTCATCCGATGATCAAATCATCCTCCGACGAGCTGTCCGAGTCTGGGGTGTAGAATCCTCTCTCCGTGAGCACATCCGTCCACGGCGTCTCCATCGGCGCCTTTTGCGGCACTGGCCGGTCCTTGCGGTTTTCGGTTTGGAGGACGAGGTCGCGGAGGCGGGGATTGACGCTGGGTGGGGGTTAGTGTATGGGGACTCGGAAATATAGGCAATGGTTAAAGCAGCATCCGGGGTTAAAGCAGCACTCGGGATCAGAGCAGCACTCGGGATCAAAGCAGGCACTCGGCGCGAAAAAAATCGAGCAACGATGAACATGACACTCACTCATCGGGGTATAGCACCAGCATGTAGTGCGGCCCGCGCACTTGGTAGACGCCTGCGACGTTGACGCCAGCGGAGCGAAGGCCCGCCTCGACAGCCAAGGTGTGCTCGAGCGGGTATGCGATGTCGTCGCGGCCGTGAATGAGTTGAACCGGGACGCGGATCTGGAGGGTGGGTGAGTCGCTGAGTAGGAGAGGAGAGTTAGATGCACAGTTCGCGGGGGGGAGGTGGAGAGGAGGGGAGGTGAAGAGGTTGGGGAGTAGGAGGGATGGAGGGATGGGAGAAAAGGGAAAGGGTATCCGAAAGAGATGGAGAAATCCCCAACGCACCTGACTCAGCTCCTTCTCTGTCAACACCCGTCGGTTCATGAAGAAGTTGAGGTTGACTTTGCGCGCGATCTGGATGTTGTCGACGGTGCCGAGCCATGCGCGGAAGGTTTGTTGAAGTGTGATGTCGCGGATGCTAGCGAATCGAAGTCAGTCGGTATGCCGACATAATAAAGGGCAGCAAGGTCCCCGATGAATGAAATATAACGCACGCGTTCGACTGGTTATTAATTGCCTCATGGAACACAAGCTGCATCGCGCCGAAGACGATGTCGTCCAGGAAGGACAGGTCGCTCGAAAGGCCCATCTCCTGCCAGTATTCGAAGATCTCCGCGCGGCCTTCGTTGACTTCTTGTGGCTGCGATATAATTTAGTTCGGTGACATGAAATAAGTTCGATGACACGAGGGAAGGGCCGAGATATTCACCTCTTGGAATGGTGCGGGCGAGATGAGGGTGACGGACTTGACTTCGTCGGGGTATTGGATTGCTAGCTCGAGAGCAACCATGGTGCCGATACCCAGGCCGACAGCGTGGAATGAGGTGATCTTCAGGGCGTCCTGTACGTGAGGGAGTACTGTTGGTACGACAGCGAGTGAAAGGGAATAATGGAGACGCACCAAGACTTGCTTGAAGTCTACTGCAGTCTTCTCGGGCACCGTGTCCTCAGTGACGACACCACGCGAATCACCATGACCTAGCCGATCAATTGCGACGAGGTTGAACTGGCGTAGGCGCGGGTCGTTGAACTGAGCTGCATATACACCGTCAGACTCCCTCACTCGGCCACAGGTAAAGGCGAGCACACCACGCACATTCAAAAATCTGCTGAGCCATGTACACGCCATGTATAAACACGAGCGTCGGCAGGTCTGGGTCGATGGCCGGCGCAGACGCCTCCTTCGGCGTCGAAATCTGGACGTGGAACTCCACTGGCTCGCCTGCAGTGGTGGTGACGGGGACGTGCATGATTCGGATGGTGAGCAGGGAGGACCAGGTAAAGGCGAGAGGAAGGAGGCAAAGGCGAGCGAGAGAAGGGGTCCGAAAGCAGGTGCGCTAGTATATATCCGGGATATATATTTGGCCCCCTCCCCCCTAAGTAGGGGACGCGAAAGTCAATCGTATTTGTGATCGACAACACCCCGTGGGCGGCCGAGGCGCGGCAGGGGCGTTGTCGCGTCATGAGGACGCGTCTGTCTTGTTGCTTGTGAGTCGGCCGCGCACCCGCCAATTTGTTGCCACCGCGAACCAACCGCGCCAAAACCGTGCTTTCCAGAAGAGAGATTTGTGCATGGTTGTGGGCATGGGAGCAGGTTCGCGAACCTCGCGAAGATCAGGCAGCATGAAGAAGCACAGGCCCTCGCGTGAATAGCGAGGACGTCAGCGGGAGACACCAGGCGAGAAGGTTGTTCCCGCTACCACGCTGCGCGCTGGCAATAGCCGCGGCCGGGCTGGGAACCAATTGAGATCTGCGCAGGAAGGGTCGTCCGTCGCCGTCGGGTGGGCAGATCTGCGCTGAGAAGACAGCTCTTCATTTTCCAAGCAATTGAGTGGGAGCACGCGGCGCGGTTGAACAGCGCTGACGGGGCCCGTCTGACGGGAGCCTTTTGAGTTCCTCAATGCAGGGTGGCTCCCACGGTTGATTTACCGTTTTAGGAGCGCGAGCGGGACCGACGCTTTCGCACCCTCCAAGATCAGCAGAAATACACCGACAGACTGCCGGAACGGCCTCGGTGGAGCGGTGGATGCGGTTAGATGCGGTTCGGGGGTTGTGTAGAAGTGTGCGTATGACGCAGACGTCCTGAGCGCACGAAGTGTGAGGCACAAATCAGCTGCGCGGAAGCTTCACCTGCTCAACACGACCACCATGCCCATTATCGATGAATCATTAAATTAGTGGCGGCGAGACAGGCTTACGACTAAACTACACGGTCCGAGCCCAGCGTCCAACGTCGTGCACCGAGCGCTATGTTGCACGGAAATACAGGTCGAGGACATGCTTCGCGGTGTTGAACCCCAATAACGACACGACGTACGCGCCGAAGAGTGGGATGAGGGGCGCGAGAAGCAGCTCGGAGCGCACGAGGAATGGAAGCGCATTCAAGCCCAGGTAGATCCCATAGAAGTACTGCGCGAACCTGTGCGATGCTGGTGAGCGTTCAGAGTATGTAGAAGTTGCCCATGACGCACCCGACAAGGTATAACGTGTTGCCCACCCACATGCATACCCAGTTATCCCGAAGTACGATAGGTAGCAAGAAGAGTTGGGCAAGGTAGAGGGCGAGGTAGAGGGGGAAGAAGGCGTTCGTGTGCACGTCGAACGCGTAAGCCCATTCGACGCGTGCGTCGGCTGGTGTGGAGTGTGAGGGAGGTGAGAGGAGGAGGCGGTTCGCAGTGAACCTTGGGTGAAGTCAGTTATGAGATGTGATCGACAGGCAAGTGACGCACCAGATTATGGTTGCAACTATGATGCCCGTGAGGAGATAGTCTCGCAAGACCATGAGGATCGCGAGACGTATGGTGCCAACCAAGCCGAAGGAGTAGACAAAGCCCCAAGCTATGGCGGATACTGAAGGGGTGTTAGCATTGCTCTGACGCCCGTCGTGCATGGTCGCGCACCACATAAGCTCGCGGCGATGAGAACTAGGATTGCTGGGTCGTCTCGTGCCCAAGTGTTCTTCGTTTCTGTTGCAGATTCAGCACCGGGCTCCCTAAATGGACCAGGGCCTACTAACGTTTGTGGAAGTACACATTCCTGTATCTGCGGGCCGGCGTCAGGCGGCTCGGCGACAGACTATCGACCAAACTCACAACTCACACTCTTCGTGGTGCCAGGCACAGGTATGTCAATTGCCATGCCGCGACCTCAAAGTCCTTCCAAGCGCGTCAGCACCGACTCTCAAATGTAACGCGCGCGTCGCGCGGGAGCGCCTACCATCTGGTGGAAGCGGTGTAGACGTCGGAATATAAGAGGTATTCGCTGGGAGATGCTCTTCGGGGAGCGGGGGGAGCCATTTCCATAGCCAGCCTCGTCTATTGTGGTGGGGAGGACCATTTCGACCCGTGGTCTAACGCGTCTTGTCGCCACGATGTAATGACGGTCGAGGAGAACTTTGGGAATAATTGCAGGCCTTTGCCGCGCTCAATTAGGAAACGATGACTCAGCAAAAGCGTCCGAGAGTCGTCGACCCTGTCTGGACAATTTGAAGCACTTAATAGTAGCATATATACGTGTCAAAGACACAGAGGAGTATCTCCAAGCCTCGAATATGAGCTATACGTCCATGCAAGCGCACCGGAAGTTGTCCATTGACAAACCCATTGTTTACTCCCGCTTGGTCGACACGCGGCATTTGAAACTCCGAACGAGTGCGCCGCACTTCTTTTGTTCTCGACGTTCTCAGCAGCGACAACAGCTACGCCACCAACAGCGACCACAAGCATCGGCAGACGACTGCCAACATGGAGGATGACCACGTTCTCGACTGGAGCGTTGAAGACGACGAACAACGCGAGCAATACCCGCAGACTTCCGCGCAAGCGCCCGCGGCTGCACTCGACGAGGAGACCATATCGCTCGGTGGCGACGAAGAGGATGATGATGAGGCGTACTACGCGCCCCAGACTACTGACGGCGATGCACAGCAGACGCCGCGGGGCGCCGGAAGCCCCCCTGCGCGCGATGCAGAGCCGGCGCTAAACGAATCGGCGCGCTCATTGACGCCGGTGGGGCGGGCGGAGGACCCTCCTCAGTCTCCCCGCGCATCTAGTGTTCATCCGCGTAGCTCACCTCCCCCCGACGACGCCTCGAAGGGCCTTCAGCCGCGCGTTCCACACGCGCTCCCGCCCAAACCTCATGTGGCGCCGCCGATTCCGTTCTCAACTCGCGTCACGCCACACCATTCACAAGACGCGCCCGCCAGGTCCTCAAACAGGCGAGAGAGGAAGATGGCGGGCAATGGCTTTGTGGTGAGGACCAGGGAAGTGACAGAGGTTGCTTACACGGGTCCTCCCTTACCGCCAAACTGGCTGCCCAAATGGTCGCGTACGAGTAAACAGTTCTATTACTACAACGAAATCACGGAGGAGAGCCGGTGGGAATGTCCCCCAGTGGCGACTATCGTGCGTTGCAGTGCTCATGCCGCCTCTCATTGACACTGACAAGGTTACGTAGGACGACGCTGCCACAAAAGATCTCACTTACGACGATCGACACTATCGACCTGGTGGCGTTGCTTCACTGGATGATCTGCCTCAAGGACCTAGGCGACGCTCTCCTGTAGGAGGATCCCTGCGACGGCGTTCTCTTTCACCTCATGGCCTGGCTTCGTCGTCTCATGCGCCGCGCGAAGGCAACGGCAATGGAAGATCCAGAGGACGGGGTCGTTTCTCAGATGCGCCAGCGCGCCCTTTCAGAGACTCACCTAGGGAATTCGAGCCCGCCAATGACCGTACTTGGAAGCCCGCCGACTCTGCTCAGACCAGAGATCGGGGCCCCCTCGCTTCCGCAAGGGACGGACGTACCCCGCAAGCCAGGGACACATCGCCAGCGAGAGAGCCCTCTCCTCACTCCCGACCTCGTCAACAAGGTCCCACGTATGCCGAGCGCAGATGGCATGCCAACGACGAGCCTGCCCCCGAGATGTCCAACGCTTCCAGTACGTTATCCACATCAGCGTCCCCATACCCCATCTCGCCGCCTTCGTATATCCTTGGGTGCACGGCGGGGGCAGTACAGCATGTACTACTCGGCGTAAAGTTGCTCGTACCGACATGAAGCAGCGCAGTGCATGCCACGAGGCAGCTTGCCGTGTATCGGATGGCAGCGCATTGCACATCTGCGTGGTGCACGTCGCTTGCTTGAAGGATGCAAGTCGTGCTGTGCGCCTGAAGATAGCCCCCGCCGTGGGCCACACGCCCACGCCACCTTCCGGCTCCCTTACCTGTATCGCTCGGCGCTTCCCTGGACCCTCTCCTGTATCCGCGTGTACGTTCCGCCTCCTCATCATCTGCATCCCAGACCGCTCGATGGACATTACGACAACGATCGAAGTTGACGCGCCCGCCCCTCAAACGACGCGCAAACGCGACCGACCGAGTCGCTTTGACCGACCCGCCCCCCTTCCGCCTGCTGCAGATGCAAGTGCGCAGCGCTCGCAGTCGGTCGAAGAGGTTCCTCCACCGCCCAAGAAGGACTCGGCGCCGTCGATGTACCCGAACCGGAAGTTGCGTGCGCGGTCAGCCTCTCCGCCAGCGGACTCGGCTACCCAGTCTGAATCAGATTCACGTACGTGCATGATTCACCACCGTCGACGACTTTGCCAACGCTTCGCCCCCTTTCTCGTGGACTGCCACATCCTTTTGTTCGATTTTCGTGTTTCCAATAGGTCCTCCGCCGCCAAAGCGTGCTCCGCTGCCGCCGCAACATGCGCAATTCACCAACCGCTCGTCAAGGCCTCAATCACCGCCACCAGTGACAGTCGTCCCTGCAGAGCCCGAAGTCACGAAGGCACCGAGCCCGGAAGAGCGCCGCCCGATGCGCCCTCCGCCTGCGCCGCGTCAAGACAGGGACCTTACTGACCGCGACGCCGACAAGTCTATGGACTTGGACGAGTCTCCGGCGGCGCGCACGGGCGGCATGTATGCTGACCGCGAAGGAGCAAGTGATCGCGAGGATGCTCAGGACAGGATGTTCAGGCCGAGAAACCGGGACGTCCCGCGTGGAGGACCCGCAGGTAATCGCGGCCGAACGAGGGGACGAGGTGGTCCGCCGCAGAGGGCCAACGACTTGCCGCGAGGGCCGAGGGCGATGGCTAACGGAGTACCCGACCAGGCGCCGTCGTCGACGCCCTTGAGGTCGCCTGACGGTCCTGGGGACTTGCCGGCTGTTGAAGATGGTCCGAGGGGCTACGCGCCCTCAGGCAGAGGAGGGTACGACCGTCGACCGTCGCCATCGCCCATGAGGGTAGATGACCCCCTGCCCTTGGCGCCCTTCAACGGAAGAGGCGATAGGGGACGACCGCAGGTATGTCCAATGCTGTGATACGGATGCGTGCATTGCTTACGTTGTTCTCGTAGGAGCTGGGTCGTCGTCAACGTGGTGGGCGAGGGCGTGCTCCCATTTCAGGGACGAACAGTACGCCGGTTGCTGCGCCAAGGCCGTTCGGTGCGGCAGCCGCTGTGGAACGTGAGCCGCCCCCTCATCAGGAAGCGTTGAGGGCCGGGAAGGAAGTGTATGAGCGCTCGGTGAGAGATGATTGTGCTCTGGGCCTCGAGTATTCTGCTGACAACGTCTTCAGCCCGAGTTCGTACCGAGGCAGTCTGAACCTATGGCGAATAACGCATCATACTCGGTATGTTACCATAGCGGAAGTCTTGCAGCAAGTACTGACTTTGTACTTAGGAACCTCGCATAGTCTCGCCTGTAGACAGACGCGGTCGGGATAATGGATGGACCCCGCGTGGGCAAACCCCTACGCGTACGGGCACGCGTTCTGTAACACCACCACCCGTCTCTCGCAATCCGGCATCCAACTTCAAGGGCTCCCCGCCTTTCGACAGGCGGGCCGACAGCGGACGAGGTCGCTATCCAATGGAGCGTGGCGCGTCGTATCCTGACCGGCGCGGGCCCTACCCGCCAACTAGTGACCGACCATTCGAAGCGCCAGACGACAGACCTATGATGGACGATGGCCCCTTCGCCAACGACCGTCGCTTCGACAGCGGACCGGAGGACAATGCCCCACGGTTTCCGGAGTTTGTTGAGGGCAATGGGCCTCCGCATGGGCGCGCGCGAGGCGGACGCGGTGGTCGTGGTCGCAAGAATTGGCAGGACAACGCCCCGGTTATGCAGCATAGGGAGTTCGAAGAGCGCAGGGAGGACTTTGCAAGAGGTCCACCACCGCACGATCTGTACCCGCCGCGCGCGCCATCGCCACGGGGCGCACCTCTGCCCTTCTACGACGGCCCGGTCGATGCTCGTCCTCCGCCTACTGGTCCTGCGTACAACGACCGCGGGCCGGACTTCTTCCCCGACGCCCCTCCTATGCGCAACGGCCCCCCGATGCGCGGCGGTATGCGAGGGGGAGGCCCTATGCGCCATGGCCCGCCACCTCACATGCGCCTCAATGGCCCGACCGGGCCCAACGACGTGCCGCCTATGCACGCCGGCCCCTCCCCGCGCGACTCACCGCCGCTGATGCGCAACGGGTACGAGCGCCCTACGCTGCTCAGCCGGATCTCGAACGCGGAGGACGTGCACCCTGTGCCCTTCGAGGGCGACCAGTTTGTGCACCAGGGAGGGTTTGTACCTCGCAAGGATGGGCCCTCCGCCCCCTTCCAGGACCCGGCCTTCGTGCCCTACAAGCGCGCGCGTGAGGAAGGCGGGCCGGACGCGGTCGAGCGGTCGCCGAAGGCCATGCGGGTGATGGAGGAGGGAGCGAGGCCCGGTGGGGGTGGTGGGTTTACGCCGTCGTTTGAAGAGGGCGCGGGTGGGAAGCGACGGAGGGGCAGGTCGGGGAGGGGGAGGAACCGGAGGGGGCCTGGAGGTGGGGGCGGCGGAGGTGGTGGTGGTGGTGGTGTGTCGATGAACTCGTGAGCTTCGGCTGAGCGAGCTCGTGAGCTTCGACTAATAAGCGAGCTGGTGAGCGCGATATAGGGACGCGAAGGACACCAAGTGGAAAATGATCGATGTTTGTTTTCTAGTTCACGTTCCGGTTTAGCACTCCTAGCATGTTTGTCATTATCATTGTTCTGTGTATCTCAGTCTGCAATTTTCTCAGCTTTCATCGGAATGGGATTTGTGAGGGTCCTTCTGGAAGCAAGCTTCGGAGAGTTCGAGTAGGTCGCGCTGACAAGTCGCGTGAAAAGCATACTCGTAGTCAAGATCATCGGAGCAAGACTCAGCGAGTGATTGCGGTCAGATATTGCGGTGAGTATTTCAAGCATGCTCCGGTATACCGTACAAACTAAAGGTCACTATGCGGAACCACAAGGCTCCAGCGATGCCCTTCTGACAGTACGCCTCGACGAGGAAGTGGCCCCATCCCAACAACCACACGAAGGTCCATATCCGTCCCGACACCCCACCGATGGTTCTGCCAGTCCATTTCTGCCAGCCATCCTCGAGAATGATACCCAGACCCATCATCATGAAGAACATCGAGACACGGAAGGCGTCCCCGCCGCGGCCCATGCCGTGGAGGGGTAAGCTGTGGAGGAGGCTAGAGAGGGCGAAAGCGCCGAGGAGGCCCAGGACGCGGGCGCCGATTTTTCCACCTAGATATTTCCCAATTTTCCGTGCAGGCTTCGCACCCAGCACCACGAAGCTATGCCGGAACATCTGGTGCCAGCGGCGGCCCCACAAATCTTTGAGCGAAGTCGCAGTCCAGGGTTTATCGAACAAGGGCGGCCAGCGCGCGGGGTCGGCGCCCAAGAGGAGCGCGGTAGTGCGCACGGCGTCGTAGGGGTAGACGACGGCGGCGTAGATGATGGTGCCCATGCAGAGGGTGATGACGGTAGTAGTGAGGGGTGACAATGGCGCTCCAGTGTGATCCACGTACATCGACGCGCCCTCAGGGTTCCGGAGCGCCGGGTTGAGGGTGTACATGGCCGAGAGTACGGCATCGACGAGGAGAGTGTGCAAAGTAAAGGATGCGAGGGAGTAGAGGATGGCGCGGGGTCGGCGGGTTGGGTAGGTGGGTTTTGGGATGGAGGTCCCCCAGTTCCAGCCGATGCCGCGGGCGTTGAACATGAGGTCGAGGGCGTTGGAGAGGAGGGTGGGGAGGGAGGGTTTGGTGGGATTCGAGGGCGTATGGTCGATGCGGTAAAGGGGTCTTGGTGCTGTTGCGAAGGTGATCAGTTGCATGGCGAGGGTGAGCATGATTGTCTGAAAGGCGTCAACGATTGTACCGCAGCAGAGAAGTATAGACGGAGAACTCACGATGTTCCCCAGGTTGAAGTAAGTTAGCCTAGACTTGTAACTGTCTGGGAACATAGAGGTCTGGTCGACCTTCGCGGACTGCAGCATGAAGTATAGGCCGCATGGTAGCAGCGCCAGGCGTAGCAACCGGGTGCCAGAGAGTTGGACAAGGATAGCTTCGAGGTATAGCAGAGCATATGAGGGAAGAATGATTGTCAGCGCGGCATGACCATCGAAGGGGACGCTGTCGTCGAACATGACGCGAGGAAAATTGACGCGTCGTGATGCAAGAGTTCAGCCATGTTTGGCGCCCTTTGGCCCTCTCGTGACCGCGACCCACCTCTCCCGTGCGTATGCCAAGGACGTTGAACACATGGAATCAACGTGAGCTTCGGAGAGCTCTTATCTCTCTTGAACTCATACCGTCACCTTCACTGTTGGGGTTGAAGCTCGCTGGACTGACCTGCGCGCCTGACCGATGGACGATGGACGTCGATGGCTGCCACTTCAACCTCCCCGCACTATAGCCCAAGGAACAGAGCTAGGCCCCGCCTCTCCACTCTCCACGGTCATTCCCCGGCCCTCTTATCTCTGTCCACCTCCGTGGTCATAGTGCGTCCACCAATAAAATTTGAGAATGGAACCTTTTCGTACTCGGCCGATGCCTCGGCTGCATGGATCCTGTCGGGTTCATCATGCTGCGTTCGCCGCTGGCAGTCCTTATCTCTCGCTTTTGGCCTGCGCGCGCATTGAATCCCACTCTCTCAGGCTGGCGACCTGCAGCGGGGCGCGCATGGCAGGGGGGTCGGCATTATCGGTCGCGGCAGTAGTCGGTCGAGGGGCGGCGCGGGCGATGTCGGCGCCTACACCAAGGTGAACAAGGTTCTGCCCCTGCGCGCCTCGACACGATGACTCGCGCAGGTATGGCCCGGGCGTATAAAAAGCTTTTTGCCGCGGAACGCGGGAGCACTCGTCACCCGCCGTCCTACTTTATCCGCTCGCCCTCTACCTCCCTTGCCACCTCCTACCATCCCCCATACCCACTAACGAACGACAATGGTCCTCCCCTCCGAGCCCGAGTTCGAGCAGGCGCTCACCGAGCTGACGCTCAGTCTCGGACCCTTCCTGAAAGCGAACCCTGGTGCGTGGGTCTTAGATCTGCGATCGTGTGACCCCGATCTGACATCGCGCTGCAGAATACCAGAAGGCGCTCGACATTGTGCAGATCCCCGAGCGCATCATCCAGTTCCGCGTCGTTTGGGAGGACGACAAGGGCCAGCCGCAGGTTAACCGGGGATTCCGCGTCCAGGTGCGCATATTCAGCCATCGCATACCCCCCGCCCCTATTCACACACTTTATTCAATAGTACAACTCCGCACTGGGCCCGTACAAGGGCGGTCTCCGCCTGCACCCTTCCGTGAACCTCTCCATCCTCAAGTTCCTCGGCTTTGAGCAGACGTTCAAGAATGCGCTGACCGGCCTCAACATGGGTGGTGGCAAGGGCGGCTCCGACTTCAACCCGAAGGGCAAGTCGGATAACGAGATCCGCCGCTTCTGCGTGGCGTTCATGAGCGAGCTTTCCCGCCATATTGGCCAGGATACCGATGTGCCGGGTGCGTTGCAGAATATTCTTTGGATGGGGAGGTGAGCTGACAATTCTGTGCAGCTGGTGACATCGGAACTGGCGCGCGCGAGATCGGTTTCCTGTTCGGCCAGTACCGCAAGATGCGCAATGAGTTCGTCGGTGTTCTCACCGGTAAGGGCATGAACTGGGGCGGTAGCTTCATCCGCCCGGAGGCCACAGGCTACGGTCTCATTTACTACGTCGAGCGCGTACGTACAAAATCCCCTTCAGTCGCGCACAGTACTGATCGTCCCCCCAGATGATCGAGAAAGCCTGCCCCGAGACCAACCTCACCAAGAAGTCCACCCGCGTCGCGATCTCCGGCTCCGGCAACGTCGCGCAGTACACCGCACTGAAAGTCATCGACCTCGGCGCGACCGTCGTCTCCCTCTCCGACTCGCGCGGCTCGCTCATCGCGACCACCGACGAGGGCTTCACGCGCGACGTCGTCCAGGCGATCATGCAGCTCAAGCTCGAGGGCGGCTACCTCGAGTCGTTCGAGAAGTTCGCGGACGCGGGCAAGTACAAGTACTACGCGGGGCAGCGGCCGTGGACGCTGGTGGGGAAGGTGGATATCGCGCTCCCGAGCGCGACGCAGAACGAGGTGTCGGGCGCGGAGGCGGAGGCGCTGGTGAAGGCGGGCGTGAAGGTGGTCGCGGAGGGCTCGAACATGGGCTGCGATGTGGAGGCGATCGAGGTGTTTGAGGCGGCGCGGAAGAGGGGTGGGAAGGAGAGTGTGTGGTATGCGCCCGGGAGTGAGTGTCTTCAAGTGAGAATGGGAATACGGCTACTAACGTGCTTTCTCGCAGAGGCCTCCAACTGCGGCGGTGTCGCGGTTTCGGGTCTCGAGATGGCGCAGAACAGCCAGCGCCTCGCGTGGACGTCGGAGGAGGTCGACAGGAGATTGAAGGGCATCATGTCGGACTGCTACGACGTGCGTAGACTCAGTCCACTTGCGTTGAACTCATCGACTTACGGCTACCCCTCCAGATCTGCCTCGACTCTGGCAGCAAGTGGTCGGGCGAGGAGGCCAAGGAGGGCGTGCTCCCAAGCTTGTTGAGCGGCGCCAACGTCGCGGGCTTCGTCAAGGTCGCCGACGCGATGAAGGAGCACGGTGACTGGTGGTAATCGGTTCGTTGATGGGCGCGATAGTCATCGATCGCTCGCGATGACCGCACGTCGACTGGCGGACATCGAGATGCCAATCGACGAGTGTGTGTGTGTTGAGGACGAGCTTGACGCGGAGGACGACTGTAGTTGCAAAAGGCACCCAGCTGCCACACTTGCAAAAGGCCGACTAATAATACCTATGGCCATAATGGAATGTACTTCAAACGATCTTATGTAGGCTACGCAGGTCATGTACTTATTACATATGTAGAAATTACTCAAATGTATACCAGTTACAATGATGTATTCGGAGCGATGCTTGGGTGGTTGGGAAGGTGGACAGACAAAGACAACACTGAGCTTCCATACTTTGCTCGTTGAAGGTGAGTAGGACCAATCATCGGCTTTGGGGACTGTTGAATTCTTGCTAACGGGTGGCACAGGTATTCCTGTCCACGACGCCTTGCGAAACGTCGTTCGCGATTCCGCCTCACAGAGTTGTGGGTCCACGCGGAGGGCGGCCCGTCTTCCCCGGCTCGACAACCTTCCTTTCCTGGACTTTGCTTCCGCCAATCACACCCACGGCTCTCTTCCACAGCTTTCATGGCGGGGAAAGCGGAGATCTCGCTCTTGGCCCCTGCACCGCCTTCGCTTATGTCCATGGATCACCTTATCTCGTGCCAAGGCTGGAGACGGGCGCCAGTCGCGCCCCCGTCTTACCTTGCCAATATTATGCCAAGGAGCTTGGGCAGCAACTCCGGCGCCCCACACATAATACCTGTACGGGGTACGCTCGATGGTGCGTCATTTACGTGAGGGTGCGCGTCCTTGGCAGCTCGATTCGGTGCGTCCCGTTGATGAGAAGGTGTAAGACTGGTGCTCGCGAATCGCTGGCGATACGTTACGCGCGTCGTTTCCTCTCCACAACGTGCTTTCTAGCGGGGTGCCAAGGACTGCGGGCGGGTGGAGGCGATGATTGAGGAGAAAGGGAGGGTTGTGCTGAATGAAGCTCGTATATAAGACTGGAGTGCTTGTTTCCCCGCACCTTTTCGCTCGCCACGCCTTTGAAACCTACCATGTTGCCTGTGACTCGCACGTTGTCTGAGGACCCGACTTTGACTGGTCGGAGAAGGAGTCGTTGGCTTCCAGCAGTCCCGTTTGCTGATTTGTGGCGCGGAGAGGTCGACACGACCCGCTGCGCAACGCAGATGAATATTTTCTACTTTATGTCTGGTTATATGTGAGTTCCTTCGTCCTCCGCCCGCACACTACGTCTGACTCCTCTCAGGAATGCAGTCACCTTCTCCGCCATCTTCGTCTGGTGCGGCTTCCAGTCCGGCAACACTGCACAGCTAGCCATCGCCATCGCCAGATTATGGGAGGGCCACACAACAGCCTTTCTCATCGCGGACAAGCAGGCGTTGACGTCGGTCCTGACCTTCGTCGCCGGCGGTCTCGTCGCGCGGGCTTTCGAGAGGATGGGGCCAAAGTCTCGCGGGTGGTTGTGGCTGGGGACGATGCTGCAGGCGCTCTTGACGATGGCTGCCGGAATTGCGGGGTGGAAGAGTAATCAAGGATATCCGGGGATCTCAGACGATAGGTTCGTTGGTGTTCGTGTCATTTCATTGGTGCGCTTGCAAAGCTGACCGTCTGCAGATTTTCTGTCGGGCCGGCTTGGGACGATGCAGTGTCCTTCCTCTGCCTTGGCTTCATTTCTGCAAGTATGGGCCTACAAGGCGTGCAGGCCATCCGACTCAAGACGAATTCGGGCGCCACACGTAAGCAACTACTCTGCCTTGCCGTTGCCTCTTCACTCACTTCCTCCCAGTGCCTTTGACGACGACATGGTGCGAGCTCGTGGGCATCGATGGACTCTTCCGCTTGCATAAGTGGAATACGCCCCGCGATCAGCGCATGCTGGGGATCTTCAGCGTCATGCTTGGTGTGTTATCCTCTCCCCTCGTACCTTCAGTCCTCCGCGCGATTCAGAAGACCCAGACTGACAACCCCTCCAGGCGCCCTTACCGCCCGTGGTCTCGTCTTCCGCATAGGCTCGCCCGGCGCGCTCGGTGTCGCAGTCGGCGTTCGCATAGTCACCGCCTTCTCCTTTTTCTTCGTTCCCGGCGTCGAGCCCCCCGCACCCATGAGCGATATCGAAAAGACCGCCGACATCGAGCGCGAAGAGACTGGTAACACCACAGAGCTTCGCGACATCGAAAAGACCGGCGCCATCGAGGAGACGAGGGAGGTGAACGACAGGCGGAATAGCAGTGCCACAAATATGGTCGATGTGGAGAGTATTGTCTAGTGGCGATGACCTTGAGCCCTTCATTGCGTACTCTTCCGCTGTCTATTGCGTACTCTCCCGCTGTCCCAACGGTTTTTCATTTCTCATTCCGTACGACACTTAACGACTGTACATTAGATGTTGTACCCCTACATATACCATTGGACATGTCCGCAATACGGTCTCTACGAGGCGTAGATAGTAGTAGAAGCAATCCTGTATTATAGAGAGAGGTCTCTTGAGATACACGAAGGCCTGGTAGCCATTGCGTCCTGCAATAGAAAGCCGAAAGAGGACTTACTCTATCCAAATGCTGAAGCGCTGCTGAAGATGCTGGGTATTGCAGAAGTCCTCAGGCTCAAACTTGCTCGACATCTCAATCAGCTCTCAAGTGTTCACACATCATGACGCGTTAGCAGCACCTCTAGCAAATCCGCTCGAATGTGTATGCCAGTGGTATATAAGCGTGGGCGGTTCACCTGAGTGAGGGTTTGACATGAACTAGCAGGTGCCCTAGTCCGAGTCCGAATCGTCATCCGGCTTGTAGAACCCTCGCTCCGTAAGTATATCCGTCCATGGCGTCGGTAAGGGCCCGGGTTGAGGGACAGGACTGTCTTCCCTGCCTTCTACCCTCAGCACCAGGTCGCGTAGTCGCGGGTTCACTCTGGATAGCAATGTTAGCTTGTATGTGCGAGACGGCCACAATTTGAAGACAAGGGGGAAGAGAAGGACAGTGCGCACTTCGCAGTGATGGCAAAGACATGCACTCACTCGTCTGGGTATAGGAGCAGCAGGTCGTGTGGTCCTGGTACTTTGTACACACCGGCCACCTCGACGCCGACGGCTCGATGGTCCTCGGCGACGTTTAGAGTGTACTCGTAAGGGTACGCGACGTCGTCGCTTCCGTGGAAGAATTGTACAGGTGCTTTGATCTGCGATGGGTCAGTCGACGTAACCTGGCACCAGCATCACCTCGTGTACCGACCTTGCTCAGCTCGTTTTTTGTGAGAATGCGACGGTTCGTAAAGTAGTTCAAATTGGCGTTGCGCGCTTGAATGAGATTCTCTTCAGAGCCCATCCAGTTTCGGAAGCCTTGCTGTAGGAGCGTATCACGTATGCTAGGATAGGACTTTAGCGCAATAGCCTTGAAGCAGACCCATACGCACGCGCTAGCTTGGTTGTTGACGTGATTGTGAAACAGCAGTTGCATCGCGCCGAACACGATGTCCTCGAGGAAAGAAGCGTCCTTGGACTCGTCGAGCTGGCGCCAGAGATCAAAGACCTCTTTCCTGCCTTCATTCACGCCCTCAGGCTTTGCGGTATCGGCTTCGAATCAGTACAAGATCTGGGAGGATGAGAACGAAGCTCACCTCAGCGAAGGGCGCGACGGAGACGAGCGTGAGTGATTTTACGGTCTCGGGGTATGCGATGGCGAGTTCCTGGGCGACGATGGTGCCCACGCCGAGTCCCAGGATGTGGAAGGTGGGTATGTTGAGCGCGTCCTAGTGCAGAGTTTAGCCGACTGCGTGGGCATGGCGATTGGGTATTCCCACCATGACACGCTTCAGATCTTCGGCCGTCTTCAACGGGTCGTAGTCGTCCGTGATGCGACCTTCTGTATCACCGTGGCCTAGACGGTCGACAGCAACGAGGTTGAACTGGCGGAGGCGGGGGTCGTTGAACTGAGCTGCACGCGGCGTGAGCTTCGACCAGGATTTCCGGTCGCTCGACACGCACACTCGAAGATTTGCTGCGCGACATACACGCCGTGGATGCATAAGATCGTGGGTAGCGATGGGTCGATAGCCTCCGCAGAGACCTCGGACGGTGTGGATATATGATACCAAACTGATGCTGGCTGGCCAGAAGTCAGGGTTATGGGTACGTGAGGCATGACGTGGGTCAATGAAGCTGCGTAACGGCGTAAGTGCGTTGGGGGGATGGGAGGAAGTGCGGGAGCAGACACCCACTTACATCGTCGCCCTTATATATCCGGGGGATTTGAATCATGTTTGAGCGCACACTCCCAAGGCATCGTGGGGTGCGGAACCTGAACGGGACGCCGTGATGGCTCTATGGCGACCGACCGCTTCATATACGATGCCAGACAGCACCCTAGGGCTGATGGAGTTGTCAGAGGGCGCGGGTGGATCCGTCTATGAATCGCTGTTAGTGCTGAAGACAAAAGCATATCATATACACGCCCCGAATTAACGCGCTCGCCGTGTGTCAAGCGCATCAAATACCTTCCTAAACGGGCACTTCCATTGTATTGAGGGACGGACCTGAGACGGAAACAAAAGGACATCAGGGTACCTCCGATGCTCAATTCAGGGGACTCCTTGTTATTGGCAAAGACGTTCGCGCCAGATCGCTGTAGATCGCTGTCCCTGCCCGAGGCTCCTGAGCCCCGAACATGCTGGAGCTTGCTATAGGAGAGAGACCTGGAGGCTCGCTCTAGTATCGAAGTCGAGAGCCTCCCATGTTCGACGGCGCTTGCATTCTATGGCGATCTGCGGGAACCAACGAAAATAGGCTATATTCAAAGAGAAGACGACAGACGCGCCAAGAAGATCAATCGAGCTGCATCTCATTGGCAACGAACTCAAATCGACGCCAGCGCATCCAGGACGACGATCGCGAACGGCTCGTAGATAACCCTATGTGCTGATGATTACGCCGATGAAGGCCTCTCAGTAGAGGCGAACCATGTCTACGACGAAGTTCGGTGACCTGTACAAAGGGTCAGTCACTGGCGACAGCGAGCCGTCCTCAATATCACTCACAAATACTGATCGCCCGACGAACCCGAGATAACATTGATGGTCAGCTTATTCGTCGAGCCGTCCGTGAGCAGAGTACCGTCCGGTACGCTGTAGGAGTACAGGATGTTCTAAAGCGCGCACATCAGCATCGTCATACCTAACTAGGATCGTAAAGACCACTCACATTACCGCGCCACGTCCCGCGCGTCACGCCACGAGAATCAGGCTGCGACGGTGCAGCCGGGTTATCGCTTGTCCAGTTGTTGATGGTGACCTGGGGACGACCGCCGGCGAAGGCGAGCGTCGTCGCGATCTCGAGCGTGCGGGCGCCACCCTGGCCAGAGGAGAGCGTGAAGGTGACGGTCGCTGCTCCGACGTCCTTGAAGATCGCCATGGGGAACCCGGAGGCGTCGTTGCCAACGGTGAAAGACCTTGAGGACCATAAGGAACAGTTAACGTGGGATGAAGGGATTTGGCACGCACGACACTGCCCAGTTGCCCATACGGCTATCGCTCGGGCTGCAGAGAAGGATTAGGCTCGCATATAAAAGAGAGACACGGAAGAAGGCGTACTGCATCGTCTCAATCTTGCTATAGGGTACGTCAGGAAAGTCGGCTTCGAAGAGTCAAGGCGCGCACTCTGCATTCAAGAACCCTCGCGGCGTCCCGTCGTAGTCGCCAATTTGCCAGATGACATCCGGACGCTGAAGGAGTAAGTCAGCAAGCAAGGTCAACGTAAGGGGAGGTGTTCACTCACATCGATGGTGGACGCGATATTCGAGGACCCAACATTGCCAGCCGAGATGGTCACCGACTGGGAGGCGATCGCCAGCTCGAACTCGTACACTGCCAACTCGTCAATGCATGTGTGGTGAATATCATCAGCAGAACATACGCGTCATCGTATACGTCCCGGGCTTCATGTACGGGCTCGTGTATGAGCCGTCCGAGCTTGTGCGCACCCTTAAAGCGTGTATGTTAGGATTCGTATAGGGTGGAAACGTGGCGAAGGAAACGTAAATAGACTGACCAGTACTGCGCATCGCTGTTGGACCACCCAATGCTGATGTACGAGGACCAGTCAGAGTTGAAGCCGCTGGCTTTGCCTGTCACGCGACCGCGTTGACTCTCGGGCACGTAACCTTGGATGTCAAGGTCGTCGTAGAACGAAGTGTCTGTAGAGACAAGCAGCGGAGGAAAATGTTGTCAAACGCGGCGTTGTCTGGCTTTAACAATAGACGCACCGATGTCGCCAGAGGGCGCTGAACCCGTCGTGTATGTAATCGCGCTGAGCAGCGGTCAACGACTTGCTTGAACAACGGTATGGTGTGACTCACTAAGGGCCGTGCAATCCCATCCTGTACGACTCGGTCTGGGTGTGGCCGGAGTTCTGAAGACTGACTTCAATTCGAGCCCATCTCGTGCCCGCCAATCTTACCATATCTGCGAGGAAAAAAACAGCGTCAGCTTACATCCTCATACCCATCTAAGTTAGCAACGCTCACAAAAGTATAGCTCCTGCTGATCCCCGCCCTGGTTGTCGATGTCCCTAAAGAACGGTCCGCCAGACGATCCCTCGAAGCCCGTGCCGGGCACGACCATGTACGCGCCGATTCCGGAGCCAGTGACGCCGTGCACTTGATCGTCGATGAACTGACGCGAGGAGTAGAACTTGGAGCGTGTCTCGCCGTTGACGGTGAAGACGTCGGAGCCTTCGATGGCGGTGCCGCCTGAGGTGGATTTTCGTCAGATTTGGGTACGGAAGAATTTCGCTTGTTAGGAATGGGATTTGATTTAGAGGTTTGAACGACGAAGGCTCACCTGCGATATCCGAGGCTGCAACCCCATTGGGAAGCGCCGACTTCTTGAGCCGGGCAATGAAGCGCAGCTCGCCGACTGAGGGCTCAGAAGAGGTGCTGCAAAGTGAAGTCAGCATCGGTGCCCAAGAACAACGAGCGTCACTTACTAGGTTGCCATATGGATGCTAGGGTCATTGTACTTGGCCACGTACTGCGAGAAATATACGATCAGTCTGACCCAAAATCGCGGACGAGCCATGGCTAGCACGCACATAGTGAACGATTCCCGATGCCGTGCAAGGAATCGTGATGTAGTTGTTGTCGTGGCCGCCTTGGCTCTGTCCAATCTTCAGTGGATTGCTCGTCATCGCTGTCTGGATCGCGCTCACCCAAGTGCAACTAGCGCCAATCCCAGACGCAATTTGACTGTGCTTGCTGGAGTCTTGGGTCTGGAAGCGAGGATTACAATCGAATGTCTCGTGCCCGAGTCGAAGACGTACCTCCACATCGTTGAAAACGATAGAGGTGAGGTCGCCGGATGAACTGTCAACTATGGAGCATGAGTATGGGCGAGTAGAAGGAATGAGAGATAAGCGCTCAAGCGCGTACCCGTAAAGACCAAGCCAGCATCGGTGTCAACGATGAAGCTGCTTCCACTCTCTGTGAGGCCAAAACCCGCGCGCACAAACGGAAGCGCAGCGAGCGCGAAACCGATAAAGGAAAGACCAACCATGGTGAGGCCCTTACGATGATGGGAGTGCTTTCTCAAGACTGACTGACATCGCTGAGGACCTTATGTAGAGCCCTTACATGCATTTTTCCGAGCATCAGGCAGAGAACGCGCCGTCCAGTTCAGCTCGCGTCCGTTTCCTCGCACTGCGCTGCGGTTTCGTGTGAAGACCGGAGGCTGGTTGCTAGAGAGAGATATAGGCACGGAAGGGAAGACTTCGGAGCGGGGGACAGCGCACGGAGGAAGCTCAGAAGACCAAGCACAGTGAATGGTGGTCGCATGCGCCAGGGCAGAATGCAGCGGGCCGCTCGCTCCCATGATTGCCCTGTGACTGGGTTATATGAAGCTGAGTCTCGCATTATCGGTGTTATATGATGGCGACAGAAGGACAAAGGTCGGTAATAGAGCAAGGGGCACTCCTGGACACGAGGGGAGAGGACAAGCCCCGAATGGGCGCCATCGGCAGTTCGCACGTGCAAAATTCGTCGGTCCGCGCATCCCACTGCGTTGAACTTCGCTCAAGTCCGTCACCTGCCCGTAACAGTCTCCTGCTTCTTCCCACCACCACCACAACCGCGGCTTAACTTCATTCACCTGCCACATCAATCCCCAGGCCTCTCTGACTTTTCTCTCATGATCATGGCCGAAAGCAGCACAGAATCGGCACCTCTCAGCGCTGCTCCCCTGCGCGAGTTTACCATCATAATCGAGAAGATCATACCACCCGGTGTCAACCTCCGCGACACGACAGTCGACCATTACCTCAGACAGTCGCCTCCCTCATATCTTCTCGGCTACATCGTAAACCCAAAAGCGATATATGAGTGGCACAAGCGGAATGGGAAACAACGGGAGACGGAGCAAGAGACCCTCGACATGTACCTTGCCTGCATCAAAAAGAACGTTGGCATCGAATGGGGCACGGGCCTGCAGAAAGAGACCATTGACGGCGAAGAACACTGGCTTATCTTCTGCTTCCAGTCATCCAATAGGGAACATGTACTGGCGATCGACAGGAGACTCGTAGAGAACTTCCGTCGGGTGACGCGTATGGGCTCGGACCCCATGCTCATTATTTACAAGCATCCAAAGATGCGTTTGCTTTGCTTTCGCGGCCTCGCAGCCCTAACATCACGCCCTCCACAGTGCTACGTTTGCTAACAAGCACTGCTTCGACCCTCCGTTACGGCCCATCCTCGTTGTTATTGGCCAAGAACTCCCTGCTATTATTCTTGCGAGGCGCAAGCCACAGCTCTTTCGCATAGCATTGGGTGCGTCCACCATTGCTCGCGGTCAAACTTGATATGACACCATAGTCAATCATCCGTGTATCATATCAGGGCATCTTCAACTTGACCAATTTTGTTCATCTGCAAAGTAATCGCTTATGATTGTTTTTCGCCAAGCTGCTCCTCAGTAGTCTCGCTTTCTTTTCTTGACGAGGCTTCGCTATGCAGCTTCGCCCTTGCCCCCATCGTCCCCTTCTGCTATCCATCATAGAGATACCTTTACGTGCCCCACTCGTTGGTGTCGCCCTCCATACCATTCGTTAGAGTCCGAACGTACTTTACATCGGTGAGTCTGTGTGAGTGACGATATGTACATAATTACGTGGGCGAGATAATCCTCAAGCACACCGCATTGAATTCGCGCCACTGTACTGTGGCCATTCATCGCGCGGTGCGCGGAATTTGAGGCGCGCTCATTGTTCGGCACTCGCCCGGGTTCTCGGACCGGTAGCCTGTGTGCGAGAGAAGGCGCCGAGCAGATCGGCGCGCTTGACCGGCGCCATCACCACCTCTCTCGTCGTACGATTCCAAGGGCTACATACTCATAAGGAGCAGAATTCATTGCTGAGCCACCACTCAACCCTGCTTTTGCCTTGAACCGAAGAAACGATGGCGACAACTGCTACCCTCCCCGTCACGGAGTCGTCCGTCCTGATGAACGCCCCTGGGGACAAGTATCGCGGTGCGGTGGTCGAGGTGCGCTGACATGCGCTCGCTGAGCGAGAGGGAATGACCGACTGATGACTTGCGCGCGGTGCAGGATCTGCAACTTCAGCCCGCCTTCGCGCTACCATCGACAGAAGCAATCTCTCGGGCGATCGAGCTTGCTTACGATCGCGACTTCTCCCATATCCCGGTCCTGGACAAGCGGAGAAGACCTCTTGGCTATGTGGATGTGGCCAAGCTCAAGAAGACATGGGAGGCGGGCGGTGCGGACCCGGTACGTGGTTCTGTGTCGCGACGTCGTCTGAAACTGACCGGTTCTTTGCATCCATCCTTCATTCCCCATCGACTATATACCTATACTCATCCTTGAATGTCACTCAAGAGCGCACCTGTATCGCAATTCATGACCAGGTTCAAGCGATCATCATCAGAACCGTACACGACGATTACGCCGGCAACACCTCTTGCTGACCTTGAAGACTTCCTGAAGGCGAACCTCTTCGCATTGGGTACGTGAACCAGGACTATATGCACTTGTCATTTCCATCATCTGATCCTCACTCCACCCCTCCCATCCATTCACCGACACTCTTGCTGCGAACCTCCGCTGACCTTCCGTTCCAACAGTAACGGACGACGACAGGAAGTTCGTGCTCGGTGTTGTCACGGCGCAAGATCTGGAGAACTTTGTCAGTCGTCGCGGCTTCTGAGCTACTCGCGCACGTTCGAACGAAGCAAATCGCGGCTGAGCATCGACGAAGTCCCGGCATATGGGGACCTCCGTTTCTTGGGCCGCGGGCGCGGCTCGAAGCTTGAGGACTCACATTGCTTCTCGTTGACCTTCTACTCATTCGACTGGTCAGTAATTGGCTAGTTGATCCCATCCTAGTTCAACACGCAGGCAGTACTACTATGTATCAATATCAATAATTTAGAAAGAGGCTTGGAAGGCTCTGATCGTTTTCCTTACATCCTTGCTAAGCCTGCCTAGACATTTTACCTCTCTGTAAGTTGACACAAGCTGAGCACCGAGTGCGCATCGAAGCTGTTCTGTCTTCGACTTCGTGAATGGACGGTTGTTGTAGTCCGCACGTGATACGCACGCATTGAGTTAAAATTAAACCCGTCCTGCACCTTGTCCTTAACGCTCATCATCGCCTGCGGCTTGGAAATGCTCGGCTTCCTGACCTAGACGCCCCATATTACGACCTGCACACTAGACTTCTGACACGCTCACCTAATTGCCACCCATGGCACCGACGGCAGAAAAGCGCAAGGCCTCCGGCTCGCCTGAAGGCGCCAGGCCCTCAAAGCGTCCGGACAGCCCAGAGGAGGGCGAAGTCGACGACCCGAATCCACCACCAAAACCAATCAGCTTGTCACTGCCAGCGAAGCCCGCACCGGCGAAGAAGTCAACGACAGCGTTTCCGTTCAAGAAGAAGGAGGCGGGTCCACTCCCGAACATATTCGACCGGGCTGAAGCCAACATCAAGGGGAGCAGCAGTAGGAATAGAGGCGATTCGTACCGGCCCTCACCACCCCGCTCGCATTCGCGCTCCCGCACACCTTCGCCCAGACAACACCGGCTACCGCAGCAGCGGACTACACACAGTCCCTCTGCCTCTTCATACAGCCCAGCGCCAAGCCATGACAGCCGAGGAAGGGACTATGACAGAGATTACCGACGGAGTCATCACCACCGCAGGCCGCACGGGGACCGCGATCGACGGTTGTACCTTCCGACTGGCGATGAGCGCGCCCCGCGGCCGATCGACGAGCCTCGCTCATACCGCCCTCCTCAGGTGTCGGATTGGAGAAGTCGGGCGGATGATTACGACCGCTACGACAGACGCGGGGGCTATGATGACCGGGACTACTATCCGCGGGATAGACGCGACCGGTCACCTCCGTCTCGACGCGGGGACTCGTACCGGCCTGGTGCTTGGTCACCACCCCGACGCCACTCCGAAGCGCCACTGCCACGTCGCCCGCCCTCACTACCTGCCTATCGCCCTGTATCACCCGCGTCGTACCGGCCACAATCTCCTGGCGAATACAAGCCTCAATCTCCTGGCGCGTACAGACCGCAGTCACCTTCACGAGACCCCCCATCACGCGCACCTCCACTCGTATCCCCATCCTCATCCAAGCCGCCACCCCCGCCTCCCGCCGATGGCGCGCCTCCACCTCCCGTGTCACCTCCGCCTGCCCCGCCGCCAGACCCCAGGCTAGAAAGCGCTATACCCCCCTTGCCCGCGAGCCATGCCTCAATATCGATCACAATGAAGCGGCCGCCCGCGCCTGCAGGGCATCATTCTCCGAAGCCCATGTCGTTGCCACCAACGGACGCTAGGGCCGCGCACAAGGCAAAAGAGGCGAAGAAATCCGAGTCGCCGGAAAAGGAGCAGAATTTGCGAGCAGTAGTCGCGCGCAAGGTGCATCGTCCGCTGCGCTCGCGGGAGGAGGAGAAGGCGGCGTATGGGCGCGTCTTTACTGGCTGTGGCTTGCAGTCGGACTACGAGGTCACGACGAAGCTCGGAGAGGGTACTTTTGGGTATGTGACATGCCCATTCGCGCAGACTCAGCGACTAACTTGTTCCGCAGCGAGGTGCACAAGGCTCTCCATAGCTCGACCAACCGACTCGTCGCGCTGAAGCGCATCCTCATGCACAACGAGAAGGAGGGCATGCCGGTGACGGCGTTGCGCGAGATCAAGATCTTGAAGGCCCTGAAGCACCCACACATTGTCCCCCTCGTCGACATGTTCGTCGTACGCAGCAATCCCAAGGACCCGCTTTCGGTGTACATGGTGTTTCCGTACATGGACCACGATCTCGCTGGTCTACTGGAGAACGAGCGCGCGCATCTGCAGCCTAGCCATATCAAGCAGTATATGAAGCAACTGCTGGAGGGCACGGAGTATATGCACAAGGTGTGTTGTTTAATCGAAGCGTATTTGAGATTGCAAGCTGACGCCGGAGCAGAATAACATCGTCCATCGTGATATGAAGGCGGCAAACTTGCTCATTAACAACGAGGGCTGCCTCCAGATCGCTGATTTCGGCCTTGCGCGGGCATTCGATCCGAGGGTCTCGCAGGGTTTGGTGGACAAGCGGTACACAAACTGCGTGGTGACGCGCTGGTACCGTCCGCCGGAGCTCTTGCTCGGTGCGCGGCAGTATGGTGGCGAGATCGACCTCTGGGGTATTGGGTACGCATGCTGACGTTACGGCGGTCCAACGTCCTTGCTTACATCTGCCTAGCTGCGTCCTCGGCGAGATGTTCGTACGACATCCTATCCTGCCAGGCTCCTCCGACCTCGACCAAGTCGACCGCATTTGGCAGCTTTGCGGTACACCAAACCAGCAGACCTGGCCGAACTTCGACGAGCTTCCGGGATGCGAGGGCGTTCGGCGCTTCCAGCAATATCCGAAGCAGCTTCATAAGCAGTTCCATGCGTAAGCTTGATGTCCTAGTCGGCAAACGCGCGGGTGTTTACCGAATCATAGCTTCGGAAAGGATACGTGTAGCTTGCTGGACGCGCTGTTGACGTGCAACCCGCGCGAGCGTATCACGGCGACCGAGGCGCTCGACCATGAGTGGTTCTGGAATGCGCCGTTCCCGGCGGATCCTAAGAAGTGCGTATCACTTTCTCTTCCTCCAAACCGACCTTACTAACATCTTTTCCTCCTCCTCAGCCTCCCCCAATACGAAGCCTCGCACGAGCTTGACAAGCGCGGACACCATCGCGCGGGCCCGCCGCCCGAGCAGCGCAATCCCAACCCCAATGCTGTCCCGCCCCACGGTCCGCCGTTCCATTTCAACAGGGGCGGCGGGCCACCGCGCGGGGGGTTCAACCGTGGGACGGGTCCGCCACCTTTCAATCCGAATGCGCCGCCGGCGTTCAATGGGCCGCCGCCTGCTTTTAGTGGACCACCGCCAGTTTTCAACGGGCCGCCGCCGTTTGCGGGCGGTCGTGGTGGTGGGCCGATGCATGGAGGGCCGCCGCCGTTCGCGCATGGGGGAAGGTATGGTGGTGATAGAGGATATGGTGGAGACAGAGGGTACGGTGGTGGTGGGGATAGGGGAGGATACCGTGGCGGGAGACGAGGTGGTGACCGTCGGGGACCGCCTGGTGGTATGTCGCGCGGGCCAGCAGGGCTGCCGCCGAAGCCGGGCTTGCCACCCAGGCCGCCGATGGGGATGCCGCCGAGGGGAGACAGTGGTCCGCCGCCGCCGCCGCCGAGGAGTGGCAGCGGTGCGTCCTTGTTGAATTACGATTGAGGGGTGTGGAGAGTGGTAGGCTCTACCGAGTAGTCATTGATTGCCTCGTGCATTATCTTCTGTGTATATATTGTCTGTAGCATCATTTCTTCTTGTCTTGCAATCACAGTGTTTGCATCTACAGGCATCTCTCGGCCACGGTCCTCTGCAGAGACGTTCTTCGTGTCTTTATACCCTCTTGGTCTCCATTGCAGCGCAACATATCATTCCAAATCCTTGTCCTTACAGCTCTGCGGTAAGGTACCTTTGTTTCTCGCCCAGCGTCACCACCTTGCCGCTGCGACTGCAGGCCTGAGGCAGACTTCAAATTGAAGTTCAACTATGGTGATGTCATGTCATGCGTGACCCTCGGTCCCGCAGGCACGTGCGATCTTGAACTTCGATGTCCCCTATTGCTGTTTACGATTATTACAGCGACCTGCACATGATACGCAGAAGCAGAGAGACACAGTACTCTAAGTGTGCAGTCGGCGTCGAAATATGCTTACCGTACTGCATACCCATGGATGTCGCTGCGAAGTTCTGTCATGCAGACTGTCCTGAAGATATCCTGGATTTGGGAAGGCGCACGCTCCTAGAACCTGTGTAGAGATTCAACGAAAGGGATATATTGAGAGATTGCGAAGGAAGATGACTGTGCGGCATATTCGACGAAACACAGGGAGCGCAGCGAACGTATGCATCGACGGACCGCTACAGAAGGCATGCAACAAGTCATAGCAGCTCTCCGTGAATACTAATCGTCGAGAAGTACTAAAAGTGGCTGATGGTGTACTCATCTGTTTTGGGGGTGGTTTACTGGCCGCTTTTGACTGACTACGAGGACGTTGCATGGCTAGACTGCCTGCTATGCACGGAGAAGGGTGTGCTTTGTTTTCAGCGGCTCGCTTGAGTTCGTTATTCTGTGTTTGCGCCGCTCTCGTGAATGGAGCCCTTCACTTTGCGTCACTACGCGGTCACCACATTCCATCCGTCAGACAAGAGAGGGATTGTTGCCGGGACGTCGTCGCGACAGTGTAGAGCAAGTCAAGACTCTAGACGAGTACAGAGAGCGCGCATATGGAAATTTCTCGCCCAGGGTCGAATGGGTGTGGACGCTCAGGCAGAGACGACGCCCACAAGGATCAACGCGATGGTGACTGTGACGATGCACGCGGTGCGCGCACACGTGATGTTACGCGTCTGGTTTGTTTTTGGTTTGTTTGTTCTTCACGTGACGTTTCGAGGTGCTTGGCCGAAAGCGGTGACGGTGGTTTCCTCCTGCCACATCTCGAGTCCCGACCTGCTATCATCGAATCAGATTTCCTTGGCGGACTCAGCGGCGAGCAGACATGTCTTCGAATATTGCTGTACGCCGTGTTCGATTTTCTGCTCGCCGTCGTTGCTCATGACATCCCCAGACCCGCCGCACGACTAGGACGACTAGGACAGCCCCATCATCTAGAGACAGCGAGAACTGCCTCCCTCGCACTACCCGCACCACCCGCGCGAAACCTCCCTCCTCCTCTGGCGCAGCAGGTCTGCCCGCCATTTCCGAGAAGCCCACGATCACCCGGGCCACCGCGGCGACCGCCGCGTCCCGAGCGAAAGTCGGTGCTCTCGATGGCAAGGCAGACGCGCCAACCAAGCGGAAGCGCGAGGCCCTTGGTGAAGTCCTCGCTGTCAACAAGCACAAGAATGGCGCGGCCGCGACTGGCAAGGACAAGGTGGGCGCCGTCAAGGAGAAGTTCGACGGCGTAGTGATCAAGTCCAAGGCGGCCACCACTACCACTCGCCAGCCACTTCGCACGACCGCGACCACTCGCAAAACTACCAGGGTGACGACCCTCGTCGGCACGGAGAGCACGATTGCAGAGGTCGAGGAAGAAGTCCAGCCGGTGCATCGTGGCGCGGACGAGCACGCCATGGCTATCGACCCGCCCACTGCCCGCGACGCCCCTGCACGATCCCCCCGCATTCCTAGCATTGCGGCTCGTCGTTCCATCCATGCGCGGGAAAGCGTCACCACCTTCGCCCGTGTGGGCGACCGCCACCGCCCGGCAACTCGAGGCCCACCCGTCCGTACGCGTCAGGTTGAGGACGAGGAAGAGGCGGACCGTGTTCACAAGAAGCGTCGCACGTCGTCTGAGGCTCCGGACACCGAGGCGGTGGCACCTTACCAGAGCGAAGACGAGAATGCGCAAGCCGATGCCGACGAGATGCTGCAGCTCTTTGCTGACTCCGAGCCGGAGATGGACCCGGAGACGTCGCCGTGGGATGACCTGGACGCCGAGGACGGTGACGATCCCGCCATGGTCAGCGAGTATGTCGTCGAGATCTTCAAGTACATGAGGGAACTTGAGGTGCGTGGCCGGCGCTTATGGGCTGATTACCATCTGACTTTGTTCGTCAGCTTGCTACCTTGCCCAATCCCCGCTACATGGACAGCCAGAAAGAGCTTGCGTGGAAAATGCGCGGTATCCTCACCGATTGGTTGATCCAAGTCCATGTTCGCTTCCGCCTCCTTCCCGAGACCCTCTTCCTTTGCGTCAACATCATCGACCGGTTCCTCTCCGCTCGTGTCGTCTCCCTGGCCAAGCTTCAGCTCGTCGGCATCACTTGCATGCTCATCGCTGCGAAGGTGGAGGAGATCGTCGCTCCGTCCGTGCACCACTTCCTCATGTGCGCCGATGCGACGTATGCGGAGAACGAGATCCTCCTCGCCGAGAAGTACGTCTTAAAGACACTCGACTGGAACCTGAGCTTCCCCAACCCGGTCCACTTCCTTCGTCGTGTCAGCAAGGCCGACGACTACAATGTTAAGGTCCGCACGCTCGGCAAGTACTTGCTTGAAATCGGCTGCCTCGAGTGGAGATTGCTCGCCACGCCTCCCTCTTTACTTGCCGCCGCGGCTATCTGGCTTGCACGTCTTGCTTTGGGTTTGGAGAAATGGGTATGATGACCATGTTTCTTATTCCCTCTCCAGTGCTAACATTCCCTCCAGACGGCGAACTTGGCGCACTACTCGTCATACCCGGAAAGCGCGCTTGTTCCCACGGCCTGCCTGATGATCAATTACATCATCAAGCCCATACGCCATGAGTCTTTCTACAAAAAGTACGCTGGCAAGCGCTTCTTCAAGGTACGTTCCCCTCTCTTGAGTCAGTAGGCAATGTCTCATCATCGTATAGTCGAGCGTATTCATGCGCGAGTGGTGCTTGAATCGCTGGCCCGAGAACTCCACTGTCGACCTCGCGAAGGACCTCCCAATGCTCAAGGCCGAGATCCGCATGTCGAACGCCGAAGAGGAGATGCGGCTGAGGGAGGAGCAATCCCAGGGACCGGAGATGGGCTTACCTGCTGAGGGGCACGATGGCGAAGTCGATCCACGGCTGGATGAGACTGTCACGCAGGAGAACATGGACGTGCCGACGGCTCAGGCCTTCCAGCCGGAGATCCCGAAGCGGTGCAAGATGGGCTCCGAGTCCTCAGCTCGCCCACGCTCGACGCGCGCGCCGCTTCGGAAACTCTAAGGTCGGACGTACATGCCAAGTAATGATCTCATCCAATATGCCACATCTATGAATGCTGTCGACACCGTCACGACTCGCCACGAACCTCTACGGAATACACAAGCATCACCAGCAGCGTCTATACCCGCAACCGCCACGTCCAACTACACCGTTCGCTACTCCCTCCGCCCCGCCCTTTGGTCTCCTTCAGCCCGCCCGTTCGTCTCCTTCAGCCTCTCCCGATGCATCGACAATAGACGTGGCTAGCAAGCCCAGCCAGGGGCTTGCGCCGCACCCGGCGGCTGCGTATCAGCTCGTGCCGTCGTTCTCGCATCACCCGTGCATTCCTCACTGCGATATCCTGCTGTTTTCGGAGACCTTGGTTCATTCGCGCATGCGTACGTACGTCGACTTACCCCACTTGTTTTGTCCTTTTGCGACTTTGTTGTCCTCCTTTTTCTTCTCTTTCTTCTTTTCTGTCCTCCCTCTGAACTCCGTTCTCCATCGTCGCGTTCTGTCCTTACTATACAACATCTACATCTGCCCTTCGAACGTTGCTGGCCGCACGCGCTTGGCTGGCTGTCTCGTGGCTGCCCGGCTGTAGTGCTTGTGCTTCGCGCTGGCCCCAGCGGCTGGCGCTGGCTGTCTGGCCATAGTGGTCGTCTAACCGTAGTGGTCGCGCCGCTGCTTCAGTGGTCGCACCCCGCTGACTCGGTCGTCGTCCGCCCCTTTCATCCTGTTTCTTGTTCATTCCTTCTGCGCTATTTCGCATGCATACGTGCCGGTTGTGCCTTCGCCAGAGATGTACGCCGTATAGCCAACACTGTACAGTATCCCTCATGCAGCTACCCATATGCAACCACCTAGGTGGGCAATATACATAAGTTATGCAAAAGTTGAAGATGAAGTTCGGTGTGCATGTGAGGTTGGACTGAGGAACTAAATTGAGATTATGGGAGAACATGTGTCTTCGAAGACCTTGTCGAAGTCAAAGTACTCAGCTTCGATGTGCTATCGCAGATAGTCGTTCATTACTGCGCGAACTCAAAGACGAACGAGAAAAACATGAGCGTCGAATTGTCCGCATCGATACAGTGTCGTGATCTACATTTCCATCTTGTCCTCCTCCCACCCCGGGTTCTTTTGCAAGATAACGAACCCTTCCAACACATGCGCGAAGGGGAAAAACTCCTCCGTCGCCAGCTCCGCACGCTCCGTCGTGCCCAGCCGGACTGGCGTCTGGTGCGTCTGGAATCCGGAGATCGTCCGCGGCTTGCCTGCTTGGCCGACGACGTCCACAGCCTGTGATGAAGGATGAGCAAGCGAGAGGAGGATGGGCCAAGGACGAACGTACCTGACCAACACGGACGGTCACTGGCAACGGGTCCAGCTTCTCGTCGAGGGTGATCAAGAACCTCGGGAACATGGCGGTGACGAGGAAATAGAGCATCCAGTGGTACTTGTCCAAGATGACTGCGCGCAACGCATCAGCAACTAAGCCTATCACACAGCAAGCACCACTTACATCCTTTCGCGTCCGTAAACGCCACCAACGTCGCCAACAGACCCGCCACCGCCGGCCGATGCATCGTACTCCTATCGTTGAAGAACGGGTTCAAGCCGATCGTGCCCTTCCCCATATGCACCAAGCCCTGCGCGACGCGCACCATGAACAGGCAGTCGGGCTCCTTGTAGTAGTAGCCCGCGAGCTGGCGCAGCATCTGCGCGAGGCGCGCGTTGTTCGTGCCTGCGCCGACGAGGCCCATGGCGAGGATCGCGTTGAGCGCGACTTGCAGGTCGTTGTCATGGCTGTACTTGGAGAGCGTGTCGAGGATGGGGAGTTGTGGGTTGGAGGTGCTGACGAGGCCGATGGCGAGGGGCACTGATCTCCTGATGACGGGTTCGCCGTAGTGCATCTGCATAGGCGTCAGCGTAAGCACTGGATCTCTGCGCATCCAGTAGGGACTTACCAGGTGGTTGAATTGCCGGAGCGACATCTCAGCGCCAATCTCCTCGCCCATAGCAATCAATGCAACACCGATGACAGCGAAGGCCTGGAAGGTGTCATCCTTCGGCTCCTTCGGCGCCTCCTCGCCCTCCTTTGCCTCGTCCTTCTTTTCCTCCTTCTTCTCCTCGTCCTCTTTCTTCTCCTTCTCCTTCACGATGTGCTCGTCGCAGTGATGCAACATCGTCTGGACCTTGAGCACATTGCCCGTACCGGCGTACGCGCACGCGTCCACGATGACCTGCGCGGTCTTCGCCAGCGGGTGCTCGATGGCCTTCAATGTCTCGATGGTGGCATCGGAGGCCTCCTGCAGACCTGCAGTCGTCTTCAGTAAATAGTAGCAGAAGTCCTAAACATCCCAACTCACCAAGGTAGAGCAATCCAAGGCCCAAGCTCATGAACCGGCCCCACTTCTCGTCGAGGCCACCGTCACTACGATCCGCACGCTCCATGAACGCCTGCAAGATCGTCCCGGTAATCTCGCCATTCTCGCTCCCGACATAGATGAACCCAAGCGCGAGCGCCGCCAAGCTCGAGATCTCCATCGTCACCGTGTCATCCGCAACGTGCGGCAGCAACACCGACAAGAGATCCGGGTGCTGCGAGCCCGCGTACGCAAGAGCAAGACCCATGATCGCCGCCGTCTTCAGCGGCACGGACTTGTTCTCCACCTGGTCGGACAAGAGCGCGGCAGCCGCGTCCGCCTCCGTGCGTACGCCGGAGTGGAGGATACCGGTGGCGAGGAGCGCGCCGGCCTTGATGTGCTCCTCCGACGAGTAGGTGTACTTGTCGACGTGGCTGAGGCCGACGTCGGTGTCCCAGAGGAGACTGAGACCCAGGGATGCGGCAGCGCTCATCATGCCGTGGTCCTTGTTCTTGTATATCCAGCTGTTGCCCTCGTCGGCCTCGACCATGAGCTTGTCGTTCCCGAAGCCTGCATTGACGAAGGCGTTGACAAAGGTGCCGGCCAGATTTGCGCGCGCGGAGTCAACCGATGGTGCGTTGGGGCCTAAGCATCTGTCAGCACGCTATCGGCAGTCCCAATAGATGTGTTGACTTACGAGTGTTTTCCAAGTGGGTCTTGTAAACATCCTCTAAGCTCTTTGCCTCCGCCACGCCGAGCTCCTTCCCGAAGTCGCGGAAAGATGCGCTCAGGCGGGTATTGCTGAGGCATTCAATGAGGTCGTCAGGGAGTTCGTCTTCAACATCGGCGTCACCGTCCTCGTCAGTGGACGGTTGTAGCCAGGTGATGGGGATCGAGGCACGCGCGAGCATGAAAGCGAGCTGACGCTTCATAAGACTGTTTGCGGCGTCAGTGAATATACAATGTGGCATTAGAATACTGCTCACGGGTTAGCAGGGGCATTGAAGTCTTCGCGAATGAGTTCGCGGTCCCCAAGGCGTATCGCGATGGAAAGCGCGTCCGGGAACTTCGAATGCCTCGAGTATATCGAGTGCGTCGTGCGCAGGAACGCGACATCGTCCGGCGGAGGAAGCAGGTTCACACAGCGGATCATATACTGGCAGACGCGCTGGTAAGTGTTCTCGTCGACCAGCTCCACGAGCTCGTCGACAATCTCGAGCTCCTCCAGGAGATCGACCGCGTCGGGCTCCGCATTGTGGCCAAGCAGGAACACCGCGCACTGCTTCGCGAGCGTGCGCAGGTCGTCGATGCTGCCTACTTCTAGAGCGACGGGCTTCTTCTCGGCGGTCTCTTCGGGCGCCTCGCGGATGCTGTACTCCTCGCCGAGCTCGGCGGCGATGTGGCGAACGTATTCGTGTCCCCAGTTTCCGGGATCGGCGAGTGGGGAGTCGGTAGGGCGCATGGATGCTGCCAGCAGGCGATAGCGGAGTGTACCTCTTGGCTCTGTGTCTGAGTAGGTCATGGCGAGCACGGACAGGATATCGGCGAAGAGGCTCTGTTGGTCTATTGGCATGATCGTCCCTTGGATGCGCGGCTGGACGTACCTTGTCCTCTGACGCTGGCCATGCCTCATACAACTTCTGCAGATCGGGGTAGTGGGGTCGGAGGAACTTCAAAGGTTTCGGCACAGAGGTCATCGAGGATGTAGATGTCCTGATCAGCGTGCGTAGGGTTTCGAGAGCTGGCCTGTACAGGCTAGTGTTTGGTTCCTGCAAGCACCTATGAGTATCTGATCATCGAGACGCGTCTGCGAACGCACCTTCAGCCTTTCCACCAACATCTCCAGCTCATTCTTCAGTTGAAGATCCTCTTCAGACTACGAGATGTCAGCTGGGAGTATCCATTGAACATCAACTCCAATGGCGTACCATGTCCTCCGATTCCTTCGAATCATCGAGCTTGGACAGGCCCTCGAAGGCCGTCTTCTCCGAGTCCTTCTTCTCCGGCTTCTTGGGGTCCTCCGTAGGGACGGTGAGCTCGAATTCCGTCGGCTGGGGCATGATGGCTGGAAGTAAGGAATATAATGCAGTGACGCTCAAGACGCGAGACGCGTAAGCGCGGACGCGTCTGGATTTCCAAATGGGGACATTTCTTTGTGTCTGCTTGCCAAATCCTTCCATGTTGAACTTCCCACCCACACCCAAGCTGAGCTATCCACAGAGAAAAAAATGTATAGTGAGATAGTACATAATGATTGTAAGCTACGTAGGCTATGTAAAGCAGCGGTGCGCTAGTAGTGTACGACGACGTCTGGTTGAGATATCTGGAGCCGGACCCTCCGATGGAGAACGATAGCGAGTCTACAGTGGTGCAAAGGGACGTTGAGTGTTGGTCCTGTATGTCTAACAAGGCGCGCGGCCCCGTGTAGTAAAGCTTGACTTCCTTCCAGTAATGCAGCAAAGCAGCTCACCCCCTCTAATTATGAAGCAGTCCACCCCAAGCGCGCGGGAGTCCCTTCCTTGAGTCGGTGTTCCTCCGACTATTACTTCCTTCCAAGAACATGAGATATTCCTCGGCAGCGTCATTGAGGTCAACAGCGTGATCAGCAGGCCGTGGCACAGGGGAGGCGTTAACTACGTCGCGTACGGACCTGTCGCTCCGCATTGTGCCGCTCTTCGGGAACGTCGACGACGATGGCGTAGGCGGTGGGGCCAGGTGTCTTCGCAGGCTGCGGATCGAGTGTTGTCGTTTGGGCGGCACAAGCATCTTGGCCAGGTTCAGCTCGCCCTCATCCTCGCTCGACACGACAGATCCAGAGCTTAGATGATCCTCGCCGCCTTCTTCGTCCTCAAGTGCGCGCAAAGGATCGCTCTGAGTATCTGTACGAGCCAGGCTCGGTACAGATACGCGATCTCCACCTGCACGCTTGCCCTGTTTCCGCCCGCGTCGAGGAGGGCACGGATCCGGAACCTCCAGCGAAGGTGCCTTCCTGTGCGCCGTCGAGACGTTGCGTCTGCTGTTGTTCCGCGCAAGAGAGTTGCTCCTGCTAGCAGGCGCACTTCTGCACAGAACCTGCGTCTCGCTAATGCTAGCGGTGCTCACGCTGCGCTTCGATAGCACCAGGTAAGACGGCGGACCCTGCGGCGGCGGAGGCAATAGCTCGTTCTCCTTGCCCTTGTGCGGACCGCCGACATATCCCGCGCCACCAAACATCACCGCTCGCGCAACAGTTTGCAGCCACGTCTGTGGTAGCGGAGGTTGCTCGGAGTGCGACGTCTGCATCGGCGGCAGAGCCTGTGGTCTTACCACCGGCGGCGTGGACCTCGGACGCTGCATATGCGGCGCGGATAATTGTCGCGGGTGCCCTGACACATTACGTGCTGGGAGTGGCTGGTGCGCGAACTTCTCCTGCTGGCGCCGGAGCGACGCGATGGACGCGCTATGCCGCACGTCCCGCGGGAGCGGGCGATGCAGCGGCGCCATGGGGTTCGGCGGGAGCGGCGGCTTGTGCGCAATGCGCTGCTGCTTCGGCGGCCTGGGCGTGCGCGTCGGAGTGCGCGTCAGGCTCTCGACGGACGAATTCAGCGGAGACGTCGAGTACATGGGCGAGTTGCGCTGCTGCTGCCGGTTCGCCAGCGGCGACGTGCGCGTCGGCGTGAAGGGGCGCGGCGGGGGTGTAGGCGTGGGTGTCGCGCCATCGAGGTTGGGGCTCGACGGCCGGCTGTTCGCCGTCGAGCCTGGGATGAGGCCAGAAAAGAAGTTGACAACGGAGCCAACCCTGTCCTGTCTGAGGGGAACCGGCCGCTTAGGCTCGGGCGACTCGTGCTTGACGCGCTCAGACTCGGGCGTGAACACGCGCGTTTCCTTGTACCCCGCCTCGCGCAGGAGATCCTCCAGGCGCTCGTACGTTTGCGACGTGCCCCGTCGGTGCAGCGGCACGCGCCCCAGGTTGTCCGGATAGCGCGTAGCGCGGGCGCGCGCATTGCGCACCGGCGTCCGCGGCGGCGGGGATGTGGAGGAATTTGTAGAGATTGAGGACTGAGTGAGTGATGGCGATATCTCAGAGGAGGCGGACGACCGTGACATGGCGGACTGGACAGCTGGTCAGCTCGCCACTGCCGAGCAGGACGGCACGACGACGCACCTGGTAGTCCGCGGAATAGTTCTCTGCGCGGTTGGAATACATCGCAGCGTCCGCTGAGCTCCTCGTCACGTTCGCGTCGGGCGTCTTCTGGGCGTGTCCGCGTTGCAATTACAGTAATCGAGATTGGTCCTCGACACAATTAGGTGCATAGAATATTCGGGAGTGTAAGGCGAGTGCTGGAGATCCTAGGTCGATGCTGCGCAGACCGTGTTCATTCTCCAGTCGAGATGTCGAGGAGGGGTCGAGGAAAAGTGATGGTTTGCGGGCGTTTGCCGTGGGGATTTTTCCATAAGCGTAAATTGCTTCCGCCCACATGTCATACGCGCGTTTTCCTCCGCAGCCTTGGTTCGTACTTTGAAGAGCGATGGGGAGAGTCCTCTGTGAGTCCTTGACGGAAGAGAGATTGCTGGAGATTGGACGTCAAGTGAGCTGTGCCAGGAAGAAAGCAGGCTCGGCACAAGGCTACTGCGCGTGGCTGGCTCACGTGAGGCCATTCAGTCTGCACCCACAAATGGCGGCTGCGCGGTTGAGGAAATAGTGAAGGAGAAAACTACATGGGGTGTATTTGGTGGGGAAAAACGCAGGCCACAAAGGACGGACATCAGTGCTCTTCTGAAAGAAGGTATCGGTGATTCACCTGGAGACGCGCTCAAGACAACTTGACCGTTATTTGCTCTTCAGACGAGGAGAGCGTAAAGGTCATTGCGGAGCGATCGATATACAAAGGAGAATACAGTGCAAACCTAGTGAGGGGAAAAGCCAAGTGCTGAGCGCATCTAGCGCGGCGCTCACCAAGTCGGGTGCGTCGAACCGCCGCGCGAATGTGGCAACTTTGGGCGGATCTCTCGTGGGTAACGACAATGTGGGCATACTGTCAATGGCCTTGTTCAGACTCCAGGCATCCCGTGCACTGTGCCGTGGGGTTAACGCGAGCACAAAGAACGTCATGTTCAACTACACTCCAGACGTCAAGGTCAAATCATTCTTCAGCAAGTCCACCCTTGCATTATTACCTCGCGTCCTGATTGCAGCACCTTCCACACGACAGTGACCCTTCGCGATGGGCAAGTGACTGCATAACAAGCTGCGACGTTCCGTGCGATACGATGTGGCCAGCGCCCACAAAGCAAGCACTGACCACAAGACTCCAGCGCATACTCCAGTAGCCCAGCGCAAAATAATAGCCAATCAATGCAAACGGTGATGAGGACGACGATAACAGTATGCAACGGACGGGGGGAACGGTCGACAACAAATGCGGTACGGGGGGAGCGATGCGGCAATATAATACGTAAAGGTCCAACGTGGGCCTCCCGCTGGATCCTGCTCTCCAGCGGCCCATCTCGATCGAATAACACTAGGCAAAGGGGGGAGAGAAGCGACAGACGGGAAAAGGCATAAGGTGCGTCATGCGGCAGACGGCGATGATGTTTGTATGAGGGGGAAGCGATGAAAAGACGTAGTAGCGCAGAACGAAGAAACGGGAATTATGCATAAGTAATGGTTGCGTTAAGTAGAGGTTCCATTCGTGGAGAGGGAGGTAGCGAGCTTTTCTGTTATGTAGGCGACGGCGGAGGTGTTAAGGAGAAGACCCTCATGTCCAGAGAGGGTGTAAGTACCGCAATATACAACGAGAATTGAAGCGTTTCGAGAGCAGCATGCGACGAGCGATGTGCAAAACAGCGGTGAACAGCCAGCGCATCCCCAGGATGACGGCCGTGATTACAGTAGAAGAGCGAGGTTTTTTCGTGAGATCGTTCCGCCGAGCGAGAGGTCCATGACGTTCGTACGATGCATGAGTTTAGCGATATTCTGAAAGACGGTTTGCGACAGCGGCGACAAGCTCGGAATCGATACCGAGCTCCTTGGCGAGGTCTCCGTAGGATCGGTGAGGGGCGGGAGTATGAGTAGGCGACTCGCGCGGCGTAGACATAGAAGGCGGCTCGAAGACAACAGCCTCAGACGCGGGTGACATTGGCGAAGGGGTCTCGACCTGAACTTGTTCGCGCTTGACGCTCGCGATCACCTCGCCAATCTTGTTGCGCTGTTGGGTGGTGAAAGCTGGCGAAATGTTAGTTCTTGATCCCCTGCACAAACCAACGAGGCATACCTTGACAGCCCACAGCTGTGCGCATGACGTCAAGAACCAGCTCCTTGCTATAGGCGGCGCCAGCAGCGTTGTCCTGTGAGGCGCGTTCATGTAGCACACGGATAGCAGTGAGCGAAATGTCTAGTAACGCCATCAGCAATTGTTTGCGCCCATATACATTAGTAATTCACCGTAAAGCGCATCCCGAAGCCCCGTTGGCCAGAAGACACGACTATCCACGTCCGAGGGGAACTTGCTGAGGATGCCGGCTAGCGAGTAGAAGGGCAGGCAAGGCACTTTGAGGAAGGGCGACTACAAACACATCAGCCTGACACCGAATACATAGCAAAACTGTCCTGACCTCAGGAGACTTGATCAGGTTCATAAGGCTAGCGACCTCGTGTTGCGTCATCAAGCCCGTCTCCAGCGCCCGAATGACAGCCTCGTTGTCCAGCCCGGCGAGGGAAGGGCGCGAACCATCGAAACCACCTTGCCAGGAAGGGAATAACTATATCGACAATCAGAGCCGCGCCAGTAGAATAAACGCTCAACTCACCGCCCTCATCAGCTCCTCTTGGCCGCTCCGCGTAACGGTGACCCCACGAGCGCGCTTGCCAGAGCCAAGTACGGAGCTGCGCTCGTACCTGCCATGCGCGTTGCGCACGCCCGTGTCGTACGCCGCCTCGCCGCGCAGGACAGCACGCGCAATGTCCTCCGTCTGCAGCTCAACAAACGCGTGGCTCATCGTCTTGCCCTTGCGATCCAGCAATACATGCGCACGGACGACCGGCTGCTGCAGCCAAGCACTGATCGCAGGAGGGGTGATGTCCCAGGGAACATTATCGATCCTCAGGACCACATTCTCCTGCTTCTTGCGGACGCGAGGCGGGCTGCTGGTGGTGGCCTCGAGCGACAAGCCCATCTCGAAGGCGCTCTCAAGACCTGTGTATCCGCTGGCGACGCTGCCAGGCGAAGAGAACAGAGGATCGAAGAAGCTCTTGCCCTTGGTGTGATTCTCCTCCTTGCGAGGCTTGCTATCGTTGCGCGGTGGAGTGACCAATTTGAAGTCCGCGACAGGCTTCTTGCAAACCGCGCACTCCATGTCCTTCTCACCAACGATGTTGAGGGCGCTGGTAAGGCACGCCGAGCAAAGAGGATGATTGCACGGCGATAAGACGGCGAGCGTGGATGTGTTAGAGCGCGAGCACACGGAGCAGGAGGTCGGCTTGGACGGCTTGGACTTGACCATGGGAGGCGGTGTCGACGTGAGGGGCGGGGTATCAGAGTACTGTGGCGCTGGGATGTTGATTGCGTAGGAAGGTTGTGGCGCATAGGTGACCGGGGGCTGATAGGGTATCTCGGAAGTGTTGTAGTAGGGGTCGTGGATCGCAAAGCCTGCCTGAGCCTGCCCGGGGTACTGCGGAGGATACTGCATCTCATTGACCTCTGCAATGCTTCCCAAAGACTGGCCAAAGGGGTCGGACAGGCGTGCTGGCGCAAAAGGGTTGCTGTCCATTGACAGATGCGGGAAGACCGGCTCATACCCGCTGTTGTAACGGTCGCGGTACCGCGCTTGAGCGCTGGCATTGTAGGGTTGCTGTTGCTCTTGGTCGTACTCGTGCTCGTGTTCATGCTCATTGATGTCGAAGAGGCTGAATGAAGAGGTGTCCATAGCGTACGAGTTTTCGGGGGACCGGATCTAGAGTGCATCAATATAGAACATCGGGAGTGAGATGGTAGCCTACAATGCCAAACGGCTCGCGCCTGCGATCCGCAGCCGGGTCCGTGAGACTGCCCTTGATGCGGAGCTGGCGAGCCACGTCGGGATTGCGAGGAGGTGTGGACGTGAGGGACAACGAGGCGGGGTTGATTTCTTGACCTAATCTACGTCTAACGACAGGGGATGATGGCGGGACGCGGCCAACCGGGGTCATGTTGACAGGGACCGGGGCGAATGACTGTGCCCTTGGGCGCATGCGACGCTGGTTGGACAGGAAGGGAGGAGGAAGGAGTACTGCAGAAGCGGTCAGCATGCAATTCGATGCGCATATATGCGGGTCCTGACCTTCGTCTTGCACGTACTCGCTGTGGCTCATATCTGACATTGACCTATCGCTGTCTAGACACTTCATCAGTGACTGATAAGGCGCATATATGCACATCTTCTCACCCTCATCGTCACCGAATGAAGACATATCGCCCGACATGTCCACCAGACGGCCTCCTTCGACTCGGATGCCATTCTGGCAGGCACGGTTGCGCCAGTTCTCCGCGATATCTGCCAGGCTCATGTCCTTGGCGGCATTTCTCTCGATCTCTGGCGAGTTCAAACTGAAGTTGCCATACGATGTGACGCTGCCCGGCGTCGCTAAACCTGAGCTAGCCGAGGATGTGGCAGACGCGAAGGAGCGCAGGCTGAGTGGGGTATACGGGGAGGACGGCGTGTTCGGGATACGGTATTGCTGGAGGCGAGAGTGCGAAAGGGACTGCGTCTGGCGATGGCGCGGAACACGTTGCGGGGTCGTAGGCGCTGCGACTCGAACGGACTTGGTGGAGCGCGTCGCCTCGGGCGATGGCGGGAGACGTGCGGGGGTCGAAGGAACGGAGTAGGAGGCCGGTGCCTGGGTGGACATGGAGTTCGTCGTTGTCGTCGCCGTCGTCGTCGATGATGATGCGCGTCTTGAGGTTGCCACGGATGACGATGGTCGAGAGCAAAACGGAAGTTTTCGATTCCGTCCCACGTTGAGCTCAACGTGACAGCAATCACTGCGTGTTGTCACCAGATCACGGGAACGCGCGCGTATGTGACATAACGTGAACGCGCCAAAGTCACGCGGCGGCTTCCCGAAAAAACCAAGACACAGCGAAGCGCACAAGACCGTTTAGCTCCCCACGGTCTCTTGAACTTGAACTTGTCGCACAGATGCCAGGGGGATACCGTCTCGAGTACGCACCGTCTGCCAGGGCCGCCTGCAAGGGTAAGCTGAACTGCGGTGGCTATCTCAGTTGAACTGACGCGTGTTCACAGGCCCGAAGCCATGCAAGGGTAAGCGCGATGTTCGAGTCGAGTCTCGCGGGAAGCTCATAGCATGTAGGCACCAAGATCTTGAAGGGGGAACTGCGCCTCGGCAGCGTCGTGGACTTCAGGGGGAACACATCCTTGTGCGTGCTGTGGCCGAGCACGCGTCTCATTGCTGATCTCGCGCAGTGCGTGGCGCCACTGGGGATGCACAACCAACAAGGTGCTAGAAAACATTAAGGAGCAGTTTCCGGACCCCTCCGAGATCGATGGCTACGACGAACTTCAAGATGCGGATAAGGACCGCATAACGACGGCGTACGAGGCTGGCCACGTCGCCGAGGAAGATATCCCCGAGAGCGCGCAAAAGGGTGCTGAAGATGAAGAAGACGAGAAGCCCAAGAAGAAGGCACCCGCAAAGAAGAAGGCCAAGGAGGCTGACGAGGGTGGCGATGAGGAGGCGGAGGAGAAACCCAAGCGCAAGCGGGCGACCAAGGCTCAGGTGGCTACCCTCGTCATAACCCTCACTATCTGACACTCACACGATGCCCGCAGAAAGCTGAAGAGGCCGGAGAAGAGGCTGAGGAAAAGCCGAAGCGTGGCAGGGGCCGTCCTAAGGTCTGTCGGCCCGTTACATACGACGGTCCTTATCCTGACTTTGCTTCAGAAGGCTGCCGCAGAAGACGATGAAGAGGAAGAAAAACCCAAGAAAGCCCCTGCTAAGAAGGCCGCACCCAAGAAGCGCGCCTCCAAGAAGGTCAGTGTACACTGCAATCTCTTGATCCTTGGGGCTCACCTGCGCAGGCCGCTGAATCCGACTCTGGTGGTGAGGACTTCACCAATGCTATCAACGACGTCTCCGCGGGCGAAGACTCAGAGCCGGAGGAAGAGGCCCCTAAGCCCAAGGCGAAGAAGGCCGCAGCAAAGAAGGCAGAAGCCACCGACGACGAGGCTGCCGAGGAGGCTCCCAAGGCGAAGGGCAGGCCCAAGAAGGCTGCCGCCGCTCCGAAGGAGCCCGCCAAGCCGAGGGCGAAGCGGGCGACGAAGAAGGTATGTCTCTGCAGGGCACATCTGATCTTTAGCGTGCTCAATTGTATGTAGCAGGTAGAGGAAGAGGCTGCTGGATCGGCCGACGAGGAGGCGGAGCCCGTGAAGGCGAAGCCCGCTTCTAAGAAGCGTGCTACCAAGAAGAAGGTACGTGCTCTCATGTATGTCACTTGTGCTTCACCGAACAGTGCTCCGCAGGATGAGGACGCCGACGAGAGTGCCGCAGAGCCCAAGGCCAAGCCAGCATCAAGGAAGCGGACGACCAAGAAGGTCGGTACATCGTCCCGTCATATCTCTTTCGTCGCTTATGTCATTACCAGGTCCAGGAAGAGGAGGGTGACGCCGAGATGGCAGAGGCTGAGCCCGCGGAGGAGAACGGTCGCAAACGCAAGGTAACGTTCTTTCCTCAAGTACTGCACCTCACCGTCTTACAGGCGTCCAGAAGGTCGCCACGAAGGCCGCTGCGCCGTCTAAGAAGCCGCGCTCATCCGCTCGCTCCAAGAAGGAGGCGCCCAAGGAGGCCTCCGACGACGAGGAGTAATCGTGTTCGGGGTTTCCTTTGTGACCGTCATCGGCTTGCTTGCTTCAGCCATGTGTATCGGATCCCTGCGTATCCTCCCTTGCTCTTCCTTTGCCCTTTTCATCGATATAGACAAACCATGCTACGGTCAAGTAACGACAATGTAACGTCCACTTTGCTCTGTGTTCTGCTTTATGTATCGTGCTCTCTCGCCTGCTACAAATACAAGTTCATGAAATCCTTCCATCCTTGTGCCATCCCAAGATCTGACGACCGTCCTGGGATTCAGCCCGCCGGCTAGGCCTCGTCACCCTGCACCACCTTCCTCAAGCCGCGCATCTTATCCAAGATCGTGTCGTCGTCCAAGTAGCAGCCCTTGAGCCATCGATTCGTGTCCCCCTCCTTCCCTTCTCCCTCGATATCCTCGAATGCCGTGCGCGAATGCAGCACCCGCCGGTTATCGAACAACACCGCATCACCCTCCTTCAGCAAATACTCGTATCTGTTCTCCCCTTCCCCAAGCATATCCGCAAACCTCTTCATCGCATCGTAGAAGCCTACGGGCGTGTCGAGCAGCAGCGGTGCTTGGAAGGGCGGCGAGTAGTTGACATGCTTGAGCCGCTTGCCGACCTGCGTGAGCTCGAAGGTGGGCCGCTCGCAGTGCATGTGGTGCCCGTCATTAATGTAGTGGAAGGGGACGAGGGTTGATGCGAGAAGCTCGTAGGCGCTGGGAAATCTGTGGCGGAGGTCGTCCGCGGCCTTGAAGGAGTCGACGAAGATAGAGCTGCCGCCTGTGACACGATTGCGAAGGCAGTGGAGGATCTGGTATTGGGGCGGGTGCTGATGATATCTGTGGGCGGGTTAGGAGGTGGGGGAAGGGGAGACTTGGGCAGGCGTACAGAAGGTCCATGTGTAGGCCGAGGTCGAGGTTGGTGTAAGCGATGTTGCGACTCTCCTTGATGTTGCGCACGTTCCAGACGTGGCCGTAGAACGTATAGCGGATGCGTCCGAAGGCAGCAGCAAGGGAGCGCAACTCGCACGTCTCGTCGCCTGTCTTGGCAATGGGTACGCCCGTGCTAGATCCACATATCAGGTCAGTCGATGCACAATCACCAGGCTCCCGATATGGATGAATGACGCTCACACAAAGACGAGTCCGTATCTCAGCAGTTGCACGATGGCATCCAGCTGCCCTTGTGGCTCCTTCAGGGAATCATAGGGGACGAATAAGTTGTCCGTCTTCTTGATAGATGCTGCGTTCCAGAGCTCAGAGGAGATATCACCGTGGAATTTCTGCAGGTTCGACGGGGAGGAATGCCGCCTCAGAAACTCTGGAGTGAACGCCGATTCATGCCCATCTTCCCAGCGGATATGCAGCGCCTCGGGCGTAATCTGTATCCCATCCTGGGCCGGCTTGATATCGACGGGTATGTCTGATGAGCGGTGTAGCTTCTGCAGAGTCGATGGGTGGATATTCGTAGGGGATTGACACGAGTCGCGAAGCCAGGCGTAAGGGAAAGTAGTGCGAAGTTTCTTGAGGTAGATTCCCGCTGAAACTGCATTGTAGCTGGTGAAGGACCTCGTTTGTACGCCTGAACGCGAGGAAGAGAGGATTCTTGTCAAAGCTCGAGACGTCGACTGTCCGAGAGCCAGCATCATGTCTCTGTTGCAAGTGCTGGCAGGAAACAAGAGTAGTTGAACTTCGTCGCAATCAACGACCACGATAACACTGGGTCACTTGAGTACCAGTCCATGCTTTGGGGGCCCGTTCTTCGAAGGCAGGGACTCCTTCGTACGTGTAGGGGTGGAGTCAGAAGCATGAGATGTATTGCAAGACGATTAGTTGTAGCATTCACCACTATCTAGACTATCATCATTGCCCAGAAGCATAGAGTTGCTAGCGAAAGTGAAGCCATTCGATCTTCGACACCGTAATGGCCACTCGTGCGTGGGATGCACACGAGCGAAGATAAGGTAGTGTCGGGTGAAGAGGTCGGGCGATCGTTCATCGCGAGGCGCGCTTACTTTTCAGAGGATCCTCGCGGTCGAGCGTGTGCATTGCAATGCAGGTGTACATGTCATGATACAGTGTGCTGTCATAGACAAATAAATCAGGTTCTGGCAGCGGCGGCCTTCGCGTCCTCAGCTGCGGCGACCGCGGGGTTGACCTTCTTGCCGTCCTTCCAGCGGACACGCGGGGGAGGAGCACGGTTGCGGCGGCCCTCGCGAGAGCGGACACGGACGACTGGCGGTAATCAGATATACATCGAAGAGGGAGATCGGCGAACGCACCATGGGAGTGGATGGCGCAGGAAACGCAGTAAGCAATTTTGATGTACAGCTTGGGGATCGCGTATTCTGTTATCGCAGACCGATCAGTTTGCGTCGTAGGCGGAAGAAGAGAGCAAGACGCACCAGGGTACACGGAAGCATCGCTGATATCACGGATGGCGGCGCTCTCCACCATGTTGCGGACGGTGAAGCGCTTGATCGCCTTGTCCTTCGCGACGCAGCGCGAGCAGTTCGAGCAACGCACGAACGTTACATGGCCACGGCCACTCTTGTTACGGCCGCCATTTCTTCTCTTCTTGGTCTGGGGGGACGTATCAGCACCGTCCGTTGGGTGTCATCCGGGCTCCCGAGGCGCAATCCAGCAGAATACGGGGCTCAGGTGTCGTCCCGCGCGTCGACAACGCTACGTTGGGCCATCCAGAGGGCGTGCAAGCATAGTTCTGCTCACCATTTTGGTCGGAAGGACGGAGGACTTGCTGGTGTCGACGGACGCTGGCCTTGGGATAGCTCCCAAATTGCCCAGCGTGACTTCACGCTGTCACAGCACGTGGTAATGGTGGCGAACCGGATTTTGCCGGGTTACCTCTGTTGTTCACCATCTCGATGCACCTCTTTCATCGCTGACTCTCTCCTCTGAGGACTCTTATGCTCTATCGACGCGGCACAATTGAGGGACTCTGGAATGATGTGTGGCTCTGCACACAACTACCGGCGCAAATCCTCCGGATGTGGGACTTCCTCAGAACTTCGTCTGACGGTCGCTGGGATGCCTACTCGGCACGCTCTAACAACGGGCTACTATGAATTGCATGGAACCATAGTGACAGCTTCGTGCGCATGGACCTCAGGAGCTGGCGCTGGCGCAAACATAGCGACGAATACACGGCGATTAGTTTCGCAGGTCATCGCTGCCGCCGCTGATACTTTGCTGCTTGTCCCGTCGAGGATTCGGTCCAGGCCAATTTGGTTGGTAACTGGCTGCTCATATCACTCCAGATGCGTGGTCAGTCGTTTTCAATGTTTCTTCAGACATGCGTTCCCCTCGGCGCTTATCCTCGGTCTCGCAGCGTCTTTCCCTTGAAACACGAGCGTACCCGAAGTTCGGACGCTCCATTGTCCCAGTCATTCAGTCCCACATGCGCAGGAGCAACGTCAACAGAGTCGTGAATCCAGCGCCGACTGCCGAATGCCCGTGTCAAGAACCTGCGACATGGGGATGGGCGCGTGCGTCGGAGAGCGTGGCTCACGCGTGAGGGGCGCGTGCGACGGATCGCCAGAGCGCATCACGGACCCCCGGCATCATGGCTTCCGTTGTTCGCTGACCTCAAACCGCCGTTTGGTCTCGATTCGGAGTACGGAGACGGGTTTGCTCTGTGGATTGGCGCATCAGAGTGCACCAAAAACCGTTGCCTTGTGCCTACAGGTCATCCAGATTCTCGACGACCCTGTAGTGGACAGGAAAGAGGCGGCGTTCTCGACTCCCCGTTCTTCCTGTTCTTCCAAATCACGGCCATTTCGCGAACAATTCTACCGTGAGTTGAACCCAGGAATGGACTTGATTACTGTACGGTCCAGGATATCCTCGACCAATTATTTCCTCTTGCATATCTCGCCTGAAATGGAAGGCGCCCCTCAGTGGCTATAGCCGTCTTTCGACGCTTCCCGCTCTTCCTATGGACGGAAGCGCGGCCATCCGGTGAGTGCGAACTGTGTGTATTCGCTGAGCCCTTACTCCAGATCCTTACTAAGTAGGACATTAGACAACGAACAGCCCCTTCGTGGAATGGTGGTGGCGATGGTTTGCAGCCCGAGCGCAAAGCTGATTCACGGCGCCTAAGTATACTTGCCGTGTACTGCCGCTGACACACAGGTCCTAGATGCTCCGGAGGGTGTGCTGCTGGAGTTGTTGCGGTCGGCGGCCTAAGGCCCGATGTGTAGCACGTTCTCCGTCGTGCTACGGTAGCGTCGTCGAAATCTCAGTCCAATCAGTCTCCTGGTAACCGTCTGATCAGTTCCAAAACTGCGCGCTGTAGGCGGATGTGCCGCCCCGAGGTCGTCGAGGCCGTCCTCGACGGCAGGTTTGGCATACCCATCGCTAGCAAATGTGTGTGAGCCCACTGTCCTGACCGTCGGCATACCTAATCTGGAACAATGGCTTCGAGCAAGGAATGATGGAGAACAACAAGATCTGATAGCTGGAGTGTCGGCCGCATATCATTCAGGTCCAGCACAGCTCTTTTTAGAGTGTGACCGGTGACTACGTCACAGTTGAACTCGAATCGTGCGTGTGAACTCTTGCCTCTTGCCATCAGCGCCGGTCGACTTTGTCGCGATGAGTCTGCCGTACTCTGCTCAGGCCACATACCGCCGCTGGATTGCAATCCGTAGCGCCTGGGCGCTTATTTCACGGATACCATCCTTCGAATATGTTCTGCGTGGACCAAGGCTGTGCGGAATAATAACCTGTGGCACAGTTTGGCAGGGCGCTCGTGGCTGATCCGGCGCGGGCGCGTGTCTGAGCTCGACGGATCGGTTTGCCGGCTCTCAGCCTCTTGTTGTGAGCAACCACGTCTCCCAGCGCATGTGTCCGCGCAGCTTCGGCGGGCCCGCCAGTGCGGATGGCGGTAAACCGCGTGCGCGGCAATTCGACAATTTCCGGCCGTTTCGGTGAGGATCTTCGATATGGAGTATTGTACTCATCCTGTTTGTATCAGGATGAGCGCAAATTCGTGGCCCAGTGGGTACCTCGGAACCCTAGATTTTCTAACTTCGAAGTGCACTTCTACCTCATCTCGCGCGACGCGTGCCGGTACAGGGGTATGCGTGCCCCTTTGGCGGTGGCGCGCATTGCGTATATATACGCGCCCCTCGACGCGTTTTCCTCTCCAGCACCTGCCTGCTTCCTTCCGCCTCTCCATCACATACCCGCACCGGCCTCGTCCGCGGCACCTCATCTGTAGCCTTACGATCCCTAATCTCCTTCACGATCATCCACATGAACCCCTACGCACAGGCAGGCTGGTACAACCCGGCTAACCCTCACTCTGTTAACGACCGCCCATGGACACCGAATGCGCCCGCGCAGCCGTCGATCTTCGGCGCGCTTCCGTTCGCCCAGCCTGGCAGTCCGCAACAATTCCACTCTTTCACCTTCACAACACTACGGCCCAACATCCTCAACTCGACCGTGCTTGGTCCGCGCGACAAGATGTACATCGCTGTCGTGACGGACCAGCCCAAGCCTGGATTCACGCTCCTGCATCTTGCAGACGGCAAGGCGTTCGGCGTCATCCAGTGGGGGCAGCGCACCATCGTTGAGGTCCGTGACATTGTGCGCAAGCAGTTCGCCGGCGACTTCCTGAAGTTGACCGGCGACGGGACGTGAGTTGTTTGCTATCTATTCGAAGGCGATCTCTCATTACTAGCAGGTCTCGCTTCATGGAAGCCCGTGGTAAGACATACACTTGGGTTCCCAAGGGCGAGTTTCTATGTGTAAGCATCTCTTACTAGTCTGTATAGCGCGCCTACTGACAGGCGCCTCGCAGCTTTACACCTATGGGCATTCTACCCCCGAGCTCATGGCGCGCGTCTCGAGGGGTCGCGGCATCGTCACGCTCGAAATGTCCACCAGGGCCCTTCAAGTCGGCTTGATGGAGGTCGCCACACTGGCTACTGTTCTGATGCTATCAGGCCGCCCGCTCAACTAAGCCTCACTCTCACTTCGATCCATTTCCACCATCACACCCGCACGTAACTTATTCTCGCTCGCATTCGCTCACACTGTATCACTAGCTTTCGTTCTCGGGCTCATATCCCACACTATTGTATCGATCTTCGCCTTCCATCCCACTGTTTTCATACTACTTATTTGCTGCTTCGTTTGCTCACCTGTGTATTGTTAGCCGTCTCCGCGAGCTTGTATCCTTAACTTACCCTCTAGACTAGATCACTTCTATTTATCTGCTTGGAATCTATGGCTATGCTTCCCGCTCAGCTCGCCCGACTATGGTAGCATCCTCCTGATGCAAAGGCACCGTCGTGTGCTCCGATAAGGAGGTGTGTATCTTGGCATTCACGTGCGCTCTCATCCTCATCTTGCCTTCAACCACCACCATGGTCAACTGTTGTCCCGGGAATGACCTTCAACGCTCTGGCCAGTCCCTCCACGAAGACTTCGACCTCGAAATCATCGAGTCTTCACAACCTCTCCCTCTCGACCCCTCCCTCTCCACCGACCGACTGGACGAAATCACCGCGTTCCTGGAGTCGCAGACCGATGCGCTTCGCGAGCTGAACTGGAAGATTCACGATAGCCCAGAGCTCGCGTACCATGAGTTCTTCGCGCACGAGACGCTGACGAACTTTATGGAAGAAAGAGGGTGGGCAGTAACGCGTAAGGCGTACGGTATCGAGACTGCGTTTGTTGCGGCGTATGATAGCGGGATGAAGGGGCCTGTCGTGTCCTTCAATGCGGAGTATGGTGAGTATATACTCGTTTTCTATCTTCTCATTCCCTGCAAATAAGCAGGGTCATGCTGGCGCTGCGTCTGATGAGTTTACGCTCAACACCGTCTCGCAGATTGCCTGAAGGACATCGGCCATGCCTGCGGACACAATCTTATCGCAACCGCCTCCGTTGCTGCTGCGCTCGCTACCGCGGAATGTATGCAACGCCACAGCTTGGCTGGCAAGGTCGTTCTGTACGGTACGCCAGCCGAGGAAGGTGGAGGAGGTAAGATACGTCTCTTGAATGCTGGCGCGTACAAGGACCACGGGGTTGACGTGTCGTTGATGGCGCATCCTGGTCAGTATTCATTTGTCTTGCGTTCAATTGAAAGGTATTGACGACTGACAAATCTGCTTTAGGTATCGTCAGACCGTCTGCGCTGGTGCGAACGGCGGCATACCAGCAGCTGACGGTGGAATACTTTGGCAAGGAGGCGCATGCAGGTCAGTGTTGCCATATTACTCGCTCGATTTCCCACTCAACATATACCCTCGCAGCGGCAAGTCCATGGGAAGGCGTACGCCCCGTCTCAGCCATCCTGATAGCCTCAGCTCATCATAACACCTCGGCAGATCAACGCCTTAGACGGGCTCATCACGGGTTACAACGCTATGTCGGCACTACGACAACAGACTATGCCAAAGGATGTCATTGGCGTGAATATCACCTACGGAGGACTTGCACCCAACATCATACATGCATACGCTGCTGCCGGTGTTGTCGTGCGGTCGGAGGACCGGTACCGTCTTGTAGAGCTCGAGAGAGTGAGTCCGAGCGAGCGCCATCTGCTTCCGTACTGATATCACCATCCCAGCGAGTACGTGGATGCTTGGAGGCCGGCGCAGCAGGTTCAGGCGCGGAGCTGAAGATCACGACTGGGGGATCCTACCTCGATCATACACCAAACAGATCACTGGGTCGCTTCTACCGACATTACTTCAACCGTCTAGGACCGAAGGAACCGATACCCCCGCCTGAGGTCGACTGGCTCACCGGGTTCACTAGCGCGTCGACGGACCAGGGCAACATCAGCTACTCCATGCCGTCTCTGCACGCGGGCTTCTACATCGAGTCTGACGCGGGGCCGCATACGCCTAAGTTTGCCGAGGCAGCGCGGACACAGCAGGCGCACGACTCGGCGCTGATGACGGGGAAGGCACTTGCTGCGACGGCGGTTGAGGTGCTGTCGCGGAAAGGGTTGTTGAAGGAAGTTAAGGAGGAGTGGGAGAAGAATGTTGGATCACGCCTGAAGGGTCAATGAATTTGGTGAGTATCAGACGCGAAAGTTATGTGAGGGGTAGCTTACGTTCTTCCAGACCACTGTCGGGTTTCATGAAGTACAGTTGGGCCTTAGCTTACCGTATACGCGTTCGAGTTTTTAGGCATGTGACGGCGTCGATTTTCGGCCCTTGCCGCAAGACAACAGTAGGACTCAACCCGAACTTCCATCTCGCTGAGGACATGATGCTTTCCGCTCAAATCGTTTCTTCCCTTCTAGAAGAATATCTTGGTCTAATAATGGAGTATATACGGCTCATCTACGTGCAGGTTGTATACGACTTTCAAGTGCACGACTCGCACAAGCGGCCTAACGGTTTGCTAGGGACACTAGGCTTGGGCTCCTCACCCCAATCTCCGTCATCACCGACTGCATCTGGATGGAAGACTCTTGCGCGCCTAGCTTGCGCCCCTTGCTGTCACGCATGCTATCCTACGCGCTCCTCTGCCGTCAACAATAGCCCTCCTTTCAGCGGATCACGCAAGTGGCTGCACCTCCTGAGAGGAGCCCTCGCGCGTTCCGTACGTATATAAGGTGTAAGATGACATCCACTCCTCCCAGCTCGCGCCCGGCACCCTCAAGAGGGCAAGAAAATCCACATTCCCGGAGCCCATCGCCTATCCCACCACACCTGCTAGCCCGCCCAGATGCACATCCTACGCACGCTCCCTTTGCTTTTTGCTACGCTCAGTGGCGCAGCGCCTGGTATAGGGCCGCGCGATGGGGATGCGGACCATCTCACGCCGCCGGGCCCCTACGCGTCGACCGATCCCAATGCGCCGCTCTGGTCGCCCGATGATCCTAACGCGGATCCCCAGCCCGTGCGCGGGGATCTGGGCGCGTCGCCCATCCTTGGGCCGACGAACAAGCCGCTGGAGCTACAAAACCCGGACCTGCTGGCACCGCCATCGACAGATGTGGGAGATGTGCCGAATCTGAAGTGGCCGTTCTCCCTGAGCCATAACCGGCTGACGAACGGCGGCTGGGCAAGGCAGCAGACGGGTGAGTAGCTGGCTTTCACTTAAACATTGAGATGCTGACGCCACGCAGCGAAGCAGATGCCCGTGGCGACGGACTTGGCAGGTGTGAATATGCACCTGGAGGCTGGCGCTATCCGGTAGGAGCCTCATACGACGCACTATGACGCTGGCTCATGGCACTGTTAGTGAGATGCACTGGCATACTGCCGCGGAGTGGGCATACATCCTCAAAGCGCGTCGGCCTTCCATCTCATGCGCCTGCTGCGGCTGACGTCCTCGCAGGGCTCGCTGCGGATTAGCGTTGTGACTCCCGAGGGGCACGTCTACCTCGGCGACGTGAACGAAGGGGATCTCTGGTACGTCCGAGTCACGTCCTTCATGTGCACGCACATTCACCTTGCGTCTAGGTACTTCCCTCCAGGCATCCCGCACTCCATTCAAGCGAAGGCCATCCCCGAAGATGGCTCCGAGTTCCTCCTCGTCTTCGACGATGGCAACTTCAACGAGGATGAAACCTTCCTGCTCACGAACTGGCTGGCCCACGTCCCGACCGAGGTGCTGGCGAAGAACTTCAACATGCGCGGTAATGAGGGGGCTTTCAACAGCATACCGGCTCATGAGCTATATATCTTCCCTGGCGTCGCGGTCAGTTTCTTGTTGTTTACTCGCTGCAATGTGTCCGAACTTGCGAGCGGTGCTGACTGGGCCCTCTCGCCAGCCACCGGAAGACCCTGAAGACGACATGGTCGTGCCGAACGATACGGAGCTGCCTTACACATTTAAGCTGTCTGAGGTCCCGGCGGAGCAGAAGCAGGGCGGCAGCGTTAAGATTGTGGATTCGAATACGTTCAAGATCTCGACCGCCATCTCTGCCGCGGTTGTTGAGGTGGAGGTCGGCGGCTTGAGGGAGCTTCACGTACGTTCTTCTCTTGAACTTGCTTCGGTCTTGGTTGACCTGATTGCTTTTGCAGTGGCACCCGACTGAGCCGGAATGGACGTTCTTCCTCGAGGGCGAAGGCCGTATGACCGTCTTCACGTCGAGCGCGTCCAACACCTTCAACTACCAGGGAGGCGACGTGGCTTATATCCCACCCTCTTTCGGTGAGCAAAGATGATGGCTAATCCAACGCTGTTCCACTGACTTGTGACTGCAGGTCACTACGTTGAGAACACTGGCAGCACCACGCTGAAGTTCTTGGAGATCTTCAAGTCGGGTGAGTGGTTCTTGTAATCACCTTTTATCTTGCTCAATGAGCTTCCCAGATGTGTTCGAGGATATTTCCCTGTCGCAATGGCTGGCACTGACGCCGCCAGAGCTTGTCAAGGCCCATCTCGGCTTCACTGACGAGATCATTTCGCACTTGGACAAGGTCAAGCAAGAAGTGATTTAGATACCCTTTGGTGTATGGTACCACGTAGAGCTATACCATGGCGTTGTTGAGCATTTCGGTGGGAGCCTGTTCTCGAGCGTTCTGGTAAAGGTGGGGGTCCAACCTCGCGCCAAGTCGCACGCATGATGCGCAGACGCCACAAAATCGGAACGCTCTCGACTTGTCGAAATTTTTGGAATTCGTGTCTCTTCAGAACTCCATTCAGTTCCCACCACGACCACCAAAATGTCTGCAGTCCGTGCTCTCCGTCAGCTCTCCGGCTCGTCCCTGCGCCTTGCGCGCGTCTCGGTCGTGTCGCGCGCTGCGCCAATTGTTGCGCGTTCGGCGCTTGGCGCGGTGACCCCGGCTGCCCGCGCATTCTCCATGACGGCGCGGAGGTTCGGGTCGGGTACCAGTGCGTTTTCTTGGGTCTCAGGGAATAGAATGTGAATGCTAAGGGTGTCCCTCAGCTGACGTTGCGGTGTCGCAGAAGCTGCAGGAGGAGCTGCAGTACGAGGAGGAGGTCGCGGCGCAAGAGGCCGAGGAGGGTGAGCCCACCTTCCTCAAGGACTTCAAGGAGGCCGGCAACTGGAAGGTGCGTCTCCCTACTTCCCTCATTCTTTCCAACTTACTCATTCCCCACCCCCAGATCGTCGAGGACTCCGGCAAGGAGGAGGTCACCCTGACACGCCAGTTCGGCAACGAGACCATCAACCTCGTCTTCTCCGCGTCCGACGTGCAGTCTATGGAGGCCGAGGAGCCCGCGCTCGAGGAGGAGGGCCAGGAGGACGAGGAGCCGAGCTCGCCGCACTCGTACCCGATCCGCGTGTCGATGACGCTGACGAAGCAGGCCGCGCCGGGCACGCTCTCCGTGGACATGGTCTGCCAGGACGGGCACTTCGTCGTCGACAACATCGCGTTCTACCGCGACTCGAAGCTCGGGTCGGAGCTGACCGCGGAGGCGGACTGGGCGCGCCGCGCGCTGTACATCGGCCCGCAGTTCGACTCGCTGGATATCGGGCTGCAGGAGGAGTTCGAGAAGTTCCTGCAGGAGCGGGGGGTGAACGAGGCGTTGGCGCTGTTCATTCCCGAGTACGCGGAGTACAAGGAGCAGAAGGTGCGTTCTGTTTGCTGGCCTCCATGCTCGCTATGCTAACGTTCGATGTAGGAGTACGTTCGCTGGTTGAAGGATGTCAAGAACTTCGTCGACGCATAATTGTTCTCCTACTCACGCTATCCCTACTGTACTCACGCTGTATAATGCCTAACCTCCACTCTACGTCACGAATATATGCTCCAGGTCGCACATACTATCGTCCTTGTCCGAATCCCCTCACCCTGAGTGCCCACAGCAATCCTCGCCTAATTTAAGCCCATGCAACGTGCAATCCATCGCGAAGGTGCTTGAAAGGACTGAAGTCCATACATTCTAACATTTGGTTGGCTAACGATATGCAATCGTATTCATGTTACAGTCGTCAAAGCTAGTAGACGGGCGACAGGAAAATGTATCGTATCCGTCTCCATCGTCCGTCCTTGGGTCACTATGCATTACACTAATTGTTCAGTCCGTATGAGAGGGAAAGAGAAGGCAGGACGGTCCGAAACCATCGCAGAGTGGCCCGAGACCATCGTGGGTGCTGGTCGGGAGACGCGGCAAACAAACTCCACTCGAGAAGGTATGCGCGTTTACTCGGTCGTCACCGACTTGGCCCTGTAAGCGACGTCGTCAACAATCCTTCCCTTCCGCCCACAAAGCAAACCACCACTCACAAGTTCCTCGGGAAATCAACATCGTACCCAGCCTGCACCGCGAGGTGGTACGACAGCAGCTGCAGCGGGATGATGTTCAGCAGGCCCTGCAGACAGTCCACCGTCTTCGGCACGCGCACGGTCTTCGCCGCCTTCGGGATGTCCTGGTCGCCCTCGTTGCAGATGACGATCGGCTGCGCCTTGCGCGCGGTAATCTGCTGGAACGCGTTCATCACCTTCGGGTAGAGCGAGTCCTGCGTCATGATGATGATAACCGGCATGTTCTCGTCGATGAGCGCGAGCGGGCCGTGCTTGAGCTCGCCGGCGAGGATGCCCTCGGAGTGCATGTAGGAGATCTCCTTGATTTTGAGCGCGCCCTCCAGGCAGGTGGCGTACCTGGAGCGGTGTTAGAGCGGTAGACGAGAAACAACCAAGTCAGACTTACTGATAACCACGACCCATGAGCAAGAGCGACTTGTTGCCAGAGACGGTTGACGCGAGCTGCTGGAGCTCGCTGTCCTGCCCGAGCACCTGCTTGATCTGCGCAGGCAACGCGTGCAGGCCCTCGATGATCTGGTTGCGGCGCTCCGTAAGCGACAAGCGGTCCTCCGACAGTTGAATAGCCATCATGATGAGCGCAATGTACTGCGAGGTGTATGCCTGGGAGCGAGGTCAGACGATGCGGTCCTCAGGGAACCCTCGAATTGCGCACCTTCGTGGAAGCAACACCAATTTCGGGACCAGCGTTGATGTGAACACCACAGTGGGTTTCGCGAGAGATGGTGGAACCGACGGTGTTGACGACACCGATGCAAAGGGCTCCGCGCTCCAAGCAGTACCGCAAGGCGAGGATGGTGTCGGCAGTCTCGCCGGACTGGGAGAGGAACACGCAGGTGTCGTCACGGAAGATGGGCGTCTTGCGATCCAAGAAGTCGGACGCGAGCTCGACACTGATTGGGATCTCGGTCAACTCCTCGAAGATTTGGCGTGTCGCAATGCAGGAGTGGTAGGAGGTACCGCAGGCGATGAACACCATGCGACGGCAGCGGCGCATGATGGGGAGGTACGCGCGCAGGCCACCGAGCGTGATGTTGTTCGAGTCGAAGTTGACGCGACCACGCATGGTGTTGACGACAGACTCAGGCTGCTCGTAGATCTCCTTCTGCATGAAGTGGTTGAACTTGCCCTTCATGATGGCGGCAATCTCGATCTCGAGGGTCTCGATGCTGCGCGTCGCCGGGGTCGGCTCGCCGCCCTCCTCCTTGCGGCGGAGGCGGTGGATGTGAAGCTCGCCATCAGCGATGTGCGCAATGTCGTCGTCCTCAAGGTAGAGGACACGCTTGGTGTGCTCGACGATGGCAGCGGCGTCGGATGCGACGAAGAACTCGATAGGTTGGGGGAGACCGTCATCGGACATGAACGCGCGAGACTGGGTGCGGAGAACCTTGGGGTTGGCAGAGGGAGGGGCGAGGAGACCAGCAGGGGAGTTCGGGTGGACTACGCGTCGCGTTAGCTTGATTGTGTAGATCAAAGAAGTACTGGCACTCACGGCCCTCCATGCGGGTGTCCTTGCTGTCCTGACCCGCGAACTCGACATCGACGAAGTCGACCTTGAGCTTGCGATCGGTCTTGACACCGACGAGCAGGGGCGAACCTCGACGCGCGGTAACGATCTCGTTCGGGTAGTGCTTGGACTTGAAGACGAACGCGAAGGAACCCTCAAGCTCCTTCAGGACCGTCTTGACGAGCTCAGTAAAGGTAATGCGCTTGTCGGGCTGGGAGTCGTAGACGTATTTCGTGAGGATGGCGACCGCCTCGGTATCGGTGTCGCTCTCGAACTTGTATCCGCGCTTGGAGAGGACCATGCGGATTTCATTGTAGTTGGTAACGATGCCGTTGTGGACGATGCAGAACTCGGCCGTAGGATCGGACTTGAGGGGATGGCAGTTGACCTCCGACGGAACGCCGTGCGTCGCCCAGCGAGTGTGCGCGATCGAGACCTGGGAGTCGAACGTCTTGTTGACATCAATGTCGGAGGCAGCGATCTTCTGGCGCAGGCCGGCGACCTTGCCTACGTGCTTGAAGAAGACGACCTCGCCGGGCTTGTCGCCGTCGATGCCCAGACCAGCCGAGTCATAACCGCGATATTCCTGGCGCGCCAGGCCCTGGCACAGAATCTCGAGTACTTCCTGACGCTTCTGTAGCGATCGTCAGAACACGTCAATTGGCGACATCTCGATTCATGAGGGGAAGCGCGCTCGGGAGCCATCTCCGCGCGTCTAGCTGCTTCCTGGCGCGCATACAGCGACATCCGGCGCACAATCTGCGTGCAGGCGTGCTCCCTGCGATCCGTACTGGGTAAGGTCGGCTCACCTTCTCCTTCAAAAAGTTGCAGTATGCGAAGATTCCACACATGACGCCTATCTAGATGGATGGACACTGCAGGGCTGCAGAATCAGCATTGTGGTGGTCACGCGTCGCAGCTCGCTGGCACTCACGACGGGGAGAAGGACGGCGACGACGGGGACGAAGATGAAGGAACGAGGAGGAAGGAAATGGAGAAGGACAAGACGCGTCGCGACTGTGCATATAAGGACTTCCCGAACAAACAAACAAACATGATTGCGTACCGCCACTCGCTCGGTCACTACGGCCTCGGCCTGTGCCTGGCGACCCTCTCCTCCCGCTGCATGCGAGCGCATCGCCCCAGCACAGACTCCAACACCACAACACGCGCCAGCATTACCTCCCCGACGTCGCGCGCGGCTCCTAAATCCTTACGTCTGCGGGGAAAACCCACCGCGAAGGGGTCGTTATCGAGTCAACACCGAGCCCCCTGCGCGTCTGCATCTGTCTCCCGAGTCTTCTCGAATTCCATCCGGGCTATCTACTTCCATCAGAAAGCATCGACGCTCAGCATTCGCTGCTATGTTGCCTCCGACCGCTGTGAACTGTCCAGTGCATCACCGTTTCACGGCGTTCATCGTCTCCTCGGGCTCGGACTGTATGAATCAGACCTGCGCCACCACGTCGGGGACGAGGCTGAGCGCGTCAACGGTACGTCCATCCCATGCTATACGTCTCTCGTCACACCAGAGGAGGCGTCTGCGTCTTCCGACTTGAGGTCGTGGCGTCGCCCGTCAAGTCCCGCTGCTCTCGTGCCTCTAAAATGCATGCCCGCGCGCACCCTTGAGGCACGGCGCGACCTCTGAACATCTTTGAAACAGCCGCCTCCGTTTCTGTCCTTTCAATCTCAGCGACCATCGGTACAAACGACAGTTATGAGACTTTGCTTCCGGCAGGTCCTACTTGTTCCGATTACAGCTGACCTGGCTATTGTTTCTCAGTCTTCTACGAAGTCTTGTATGCATTCATCCGCTCGGACATCCTCGTCACTTCTCTCCGCCGAGGTCGTTTCGACGCGGTTCCGCACAGCATCATCCCGAAATCGCAAGGATGCGAAGTCCGAACAGGTCCAAGCGCGTTTTCAGCAGGACGTTTGACACCCTGGCCATCTATGGCACCAAGCCGTATGCACTTCTTGCACTTCTCGCTATATGTAAGTGCTTGGGAGCTCCTCGGCCTCCTTGTGAGGAGGTACTACAATTACTGTACGAGGACGAGAACTGGGAAGTAACCAGGATCGGATCGACTGAACTTCGCTCGGCACTTTGAGTCCTGATTCTCCTTCCTAGACTCCATCACGATGAACTCATAAACCACTTCATGCATTAGACGTGCATATATACCCTCGATAGCCCATTAGTTTACATATGCCCCCCAATACAGTCCTTGATTGTACTTTGTATGCGTATGCAAAGTCCATAACCGCTTTTTACATCGCCTATGCGATTACTTGCAGAAGGTGATGGCGAGGTTGACCTAGAGAGGATGTGAGCATCATAGTTCTCATTGCGAAGCAGGAAGATGGGAGGAGGGGGACGGGAGGAGAGAGAGTGCGAACACCGCTCCAGTGATAGCAAAAAAGAGAGGGCAACAAAACTCACGTTGTCCGACGTGCACTGGCGCTGTGCGCCGTAGTCGTCCGTCTTGTGGAACGCACCCGCGCAGTTGGCCGACGTGCAGTCGTTGCCAACGCCGTCGCAGCCGTTGTAGTACCCGAAGCCGGTGGGGACGGAGAACGTATGGCTGGGGAGGCTGCGTTAGCCAGCGTATTCCATGCGAAGGGGACGAAGGCAAGGAGCCAACACTCACGGAGGAATCAGCGTCACGTCAGCGCTGGACACGCCGCCGTTCACGAGCGTGAACTCGACCATGGAGCAGTTCTCGCCGTTGGCACCGCAGTTGCCGGTCTGGAGGAAGCTGGCGAACATGGAATTAGCACAATGGCGAGCCATTCGAAGGACATGAGACTAACGCAATGACAGCGGACGCGGGGCCGTTGAAGGTGTGATCGCCAGAGGAGATCTGCTGGAAGTTCTGGTAGATGACGGGCTAGGGAGAAATGATCAGCAGCCTGAACCCTCGCCGTTGCACGGAGTGAAGCTACTCACAGTACCGTACCCACAGGCGTTGTCGAAGTGGATGGTGTGCGTCTCCGCGGCAGCGAGAGCAGCAGCGCCGAGAGCAAAGAGGGCCTGGACGAAGAACATCGTGAGGATATGAGGAAGTACTGGCTGTAAGACGCTGTGCTGGCGACTAAAAGCTGGTGAGGAAATCGTGCCCTGTCGCGCTCCCTTTTATACCCTTCCTCCCCGGTCCGCGGATCTCAGCTTGACTGTCAGTCCTTACCCTGACCACCCCTACCTTGTCCATCCAGCCGCTAGCGCGTACCTGGGCACCTATGACCGCACACCCAAAATGCGCTCAAACGTACGCCAACAACTACGGCCGCGGGTCTCGGTGCGCAGATCCTCGCGCGCGGTGCGGCGAGGTACCGACGCGGGTGAATGGGCTTCATTGACTTTGGGGAGGGATCAGAACGCGAGTCTGGATTTATTGACCTCGAGTCGGAGCGGGCGCGCGGCGCGATCGCCCTGTTTGCTTTCTTACAGGGCGAGGGAGGCGGCGAGGGCGAGATGGTTAACGAGGATAGGAAAGGCGGCGAGCGAGCTCCGAAGGCCTCAAAAAAGGGCTGTCGGGTGGTGGAGTGGAGAGGATGTTGTAGGGAAGACGTACATGGATAGTTGGGATCATGCTAGGCTTCCCGAGTCGATCGGCGGTTGCTGGTCTCCCGGCGTCCCCTCCTGCCCATCGAAGTTGACTGAGAGGTCGCCCGGTACCAAGTAGATCATGACTATCAGTATAGCTCGCTGCCATCTTCCAGAATAGCCCTTGAACAGCCTGCAATATATTTCTGAGCGTAAGACCAGGTTACGGGCGCAGGAGGTGATTAGCATCGTTCGCTCTCGATGCGCGCCTTGTCCCTAAAAATAGATTTTTATAGGACCTGCGACAGTGTTGGGGATTGCTAGCAGGCAAAAAGCAGGTCCAGTGACCGGTGCTGTACGTTTGCACCGGACGCTAACCGTGGAGGTTCGGGATGAGAGCAAGTTCCACTTTGCGCTTGTTTGGCGTGCGAACGGAACAATCGGACCGCGCACGCGGGCGGCAGTTGCCGCAATTCTGTACCTTGGTCCCATCCGTACACGTCTCCGAACTTGTTGACAATGACTTCCATCCTTCGCTTCTCAATAACCGTGTGTAGCGACCCTGTCGAGACTTGGGCAAAGACCTGCCTGTTCATCGAGACTGAACGCCTATCTTTGCTTCGTGAAGGCTACTGGAATCCAGATGACTGGCCGTGCAATTATGACCCCACGCAGGAAGGTCGCCAGCTCACACCGGGAATCCAGACTCGCCGACAAGCTTCACAAGCTGCTCGTTCTGATAGACTGCCGCTAAACTTTGCTACCGCGCCAAGGTGACCCAACAATAGGGAAGATAAGCCGCAGGCTTGACGACGCAGATCGCTCTCCCCTACAACATCGTACGCTGCAGGCTAAATGTTTCCTATAACACGGAGGCTGGATCGGCCCATCGCTTTTGAGGTGCTCGAGGAAAGGGTGAGCTATCTGTACCCTCGCCCTCGCTTACCAGGTCTGGCCAGCGAAGATCTGCTTCGCTCTCGTTACGAGAAGCGTGGGAAGCAGCACGACGGTCGCCACGCCCCTCGTTGAGCTATCTTGCGTGCGAGAGAAGCGCGGACTCCCTGAAGCTGGGCAGGGCGACCACGTTCTAGGACCGCGGGGAGGGGGATTCCTCGCAGCCCAGCCGCCTTCGTCGTCGGCAACCGAACTTCCTCATCACGGGGAGGTCACGCGGTGGGAAAAGCGACGAGGGGTTGACGTCGCTGCGCACCACGGAGTTGCCACCAAATGTCCGCTCAGCCTATCGACCTGGCCAGCTGAGGGTGCTTCTGACTGGGGGTCTCAATTGGGTCTCAGGCCATTGGCGGTGGATGATTCATTCCCTTGGGCACGCGTCAGCCGATAATCGAGGGCGGGGCTGAGTATAAAGGTGGTAGCAAAGTGGCAGGAGGAGCATCAGCCTCCCGCCCCACTCACCTCACTCACAAAGCCTCACACCACTCTCCAACACTTCCATCTTCCACAATGGCCGCTGCTCGTGGTGCTGGAATGGTAAGCAGCTTGCTGTCTCAGTCGCTCCACCGTCGCTGATGTTGAACACAGGCTGTTGCCTGCATGGCTTCCATTGCTCTCTCCGCTGGCGGAATGGCTGCCTCCGCCGCCGACGCACGCACCTACGAGGGGCATTCTTCTATGCACAGTGAGTCTAGCACATTGCTCGAGAACCGCCTCAGAGTACTCACCCACGCGCGTCGCAGAGCCTGGCCTGGCGCACGGCGAACGCTCGGACAGGGCGATGACCTCAATGGAGGTCAGCAACATCGCGAGCCACGTCCCCCGCCCCGGCGACAAAATGCGCACTGCGATGAGGAGCAGGGCAATGTCTATGCACCAGCGCAAGTAAAGGGTCGACTATCGGATGATTCATCATGGGACATTCGAAGGGGAACAATGCCTGGGATATCATTGGGTAGCAGGCTTCACTGTATAAGCCGTGTCATTCTGTATTTGTAGGAATCGCATCTGGTCCGATTCGTCGTGGATTGAGCGTGGAGAGAACAGCTAGCGTACTGCGCGTCCCACTGCAGCAGGTACGCGTGAGCCCGGCAGGGGTCAGATGAGAGAACAAAAGCACAGCAACAATGCAACAAGTCAACACCGAGCAAACGGCCTGATCGCCGATCAGAAGGTGGCTGCCGCGCCACGCGTAACGCGCGCGCCGATGGCGCAGTCTATCGGCCCTTCCTTCCTTCTTTCATCTCACTAATCTTGATCCCACACCTGCGTCTCTCTCCTTCCCCCCTCATCTACGACGCACTCCCAGATCGACGTCCCCCATGTCCGCCGGTCCCTCCTTACCCAAACCGCGGACCGTGACGCTCACGAGTCGCGGGAACATTGAGTACATATCGGATGGGTTGTATTCTACCCAAGGTGCGAGATCTAGCCGCACTTCATAGCGCTTGGATGACGAAAGGGCATGTTCAGGCGCGGACGTCATCATCAGCGCGATAGGCGCGCGGCGGAATGTCAGCAAGCTCATCCTTGGTCATAACGAGCTGGGGGACGCAGGGACCGTCCGCCTCTTCGAATTCCTCCGATCCCCGGGCGCTGCGAGACACCGCATCAAGGAGATCAGCCTCAACTCGAACAAGATTGGCAATGCGGGCCTGCTGGCTGTAGCGGGCTTCTTGAAAGACAATACGACCCTTAATGCCCTATTCCTACAAGATGTACGTTCTAATTCATCTCCCCTATACTCGCCTTCCTGATTTCATTCGCAGAATGAATTTCTGGCCGACCCCGAGGTCGCTGCGACACTCGCGGACGCCGTCAACTCGTCCAGCCTTGAAATCCTATCCCTGGCTACAAACCCAGGGCTAGGCGACGGATTTGTCGCTGCCTTCCTCCCCCTCCTCAACTCCCCTTCGCTCCACGAACTCTACCTTTCCGCCATGCACCTCACTCCCGCGTCCCTTCCACATATCACCGAATACCTTGCCTCCAACCGTACGCACCTCCAAACCTTCAAATGCAACGGCAACTTCCTCGGCACCCGCGCCGTGCGAGAGATCATACGCACCATCGAGCGCAGCAACTACCACCTCCTCCACCTGGAGTTGTACTCCAACAACCTCGCGGGCGGCGAGGACGACTGGCAAACCCCCGATGGCGAGGAGATCGACAACGGCATCGCGCGCGCAACCTGGCAGACCTGCGAGCTGCAACTCCGGCGCGTGCTCATGCGCAACGCGCACCTCAAGCGCGAGACCGAGCACGACGCGCTCCGGCTGCTGTACTACTCGCGCGCCGTCCTCCTGCGCTCGGCGCGGAAACCGCGCGAACGCGAGGGCCGCTGCGCCGGCTGCAACTGCTACACGCCCGGCGAACGCAGCTCGCGGTCACCCTCGCCCGTCCCTGTTGAGATCGTGCCCCCGGCAGGCGCGCCCCACGTCCCTTCCCTCCCCATCGAGCTCGCGCACCACATCCTCTCGTTCTTCGCCCCGACGCTGTCGCCCGCGCAACGGGTGCGCATCTTCCAGTATGCTGCGCGGCCGGAGACGCTCCCACGGGTAGCGCAATGCGAAGGTGCGTCGAAAGGGGGTGGGGTCTGCGTTCCAGATCCGGCGAGCCTCGATTTCGCAGGTGGAGGTGGAGGGGGCAAGGTGTGGGATATCGAGGGCGGCGGACGGAGCAGCGGGTGTGGGTCAGGAAAGTGTATGGGCGGGGGCAGCTTGGTGTGCCATAGGGAGCAGGAGCGAGTCCGCTGGCTGAGCGAAGTGGGATGTAATGCATATGAACCGCAGCGCGTCGATAATACTCTATGATGGCCTTCATTACGACTGTTTGCATTGTACTCCGTTGCCGTGATATGAAGCTGACGTGTACGCCTTGCTTGTATTCGGCGATGAAGTGAACAAGTTGGATAAAAAAGAAGAGATGACCCTAGAGCAGTGGCCCGTACGGGGGTCGAACCCGCGACCTTGGCGTTATTAGCACCACGCTCTAACCAACTGAGCTAACCGGCCTGTCCATTCACTAATTTCAATGATATCTAAGTGTCGTAAAGTGTCGTAGGGGCCTTTCTCCGTGTCTGAACTCCGCGCAAGTAGTGGTGGTGAGTGATTACAACACACAAGGAGGTTAACTCCATCAATACATCCACATAGGCGTGATCACTACCAGTACGAATGAAAGAACCCAGACAGCCCTCTTCGCCAGCCAATGCCACAACTTTCGCGCATCGTCCGGCGTGAACCATAGCCACATCCTGATGACCGCGGAGAAGGGACCCATGTCGTCGTCCATGCCGACCCCATTCGCAAGGGCGCGCATGCGAACGTTGTACCAGGCCAAGCTGCTACCTGCGCCCACGAGCCCGATCTTCGGCAGCCAGGATAGCAACGACGACGTCGGGGTGAGGTTGGGCATGGGGTAAAACGGTGTGCGCCACCAGGAGTCATCCGCCGAAGTATGTTCCTCGTGAAGCTCGCGATTGAGCTTCGAGGGAAGCTGAGGACAGAGGACGGACATACGGCCGATGCCGCAGAGGTCGGCGCAGCCGGACGAGCCCTTGTCGCCGAGGAGGACCTGCTCGACCGCGTATGGCGTGGTGATGTTACCGGTGAGGATGATGAGTGGGCGCAGCGTTGTCTTGCGCTGCTCGTCGAGCATTGCGCGAATGGCCTTCGACACCCGGGTGAAGAAAGGCGGACGCGAGGACGAGGCAGCCATAAAGTCTGACAACAACTTGTCAAAGACGGTGCATAATACCTGAGTTCTGCGACGGACCTGGCTTCTCGTAGTCCCCGCCGCTGATCTCTATGAAGTCTATCGCGCCCCAGGAGGCGATCTCCGAGACGTAGCCAACCGCGACGCGCTCAGAGGGCGTGAGCTCTTGGTCGTCGGCGTCCCGTCCTGCAGCATAGTCGCCAGCACCTATTTTGACGCCGACAGCGAAGCCGGAGCTGCCTTCGGCGGTTCTGATGCCCGTGACGATGCGGCGAAGAAGCCGCAGCGCATTCTGAGGCGATGTGCAGGAGTATTCGTCTGTCCTTCGATTTGTCTAGACCATGGTTAGGGCTTCCAGCTCTCCATACGAAGATCAGCCATACCTTTGGCGAGAGAAATTCGGAGAGCAGGTCTGCAATGTCGTCAGATCGAAAAAAAGCTCCAGAAAGTAGCCCAACTCACACCCATGTGCGCAATGGAGCTGAACACCATCGAAGCCGGATTCTCGAGCAATATGCGCGCCATGCACGAATTGTGCGACGACCTCGTCGATGTCTTCCAGTGTCATTTCTCGAGGTGTTTGGAAGAGAAAGGCGTGGAGGGCATAAGTCAAAGCATCAAGAACGCTCCGTACCGGTTTCCCGCTACCAACACGTACAGGTGACGGTGCGAGCGGCGCGACGAAGGGTGACCTGCCTCCGATGAAGTTAGCCGACTGTCGCCCAGTATGATTGAGCTGAGCGATGGCTAGAGCGTGTTTGCCGTTCTGGCCCTTCATAGCAGTAGCAAGGAGGCGAAATTGCGCCAGCGCATCCGTGTCGTCCTCGTGTGGTATTACCATGTCGCGCCCGAGACTGAGGTGGTCTGGCGCGACTTGCACATTGCCAGTGATGATTATGCCCCAGGTTGTATCGCCGGCGCTTGACGACCAGCGACTGTACAAGCCACGCAAGTGACTTCCTGGTGGTCCGCCAAGCAAAGGGCCCAGGTGCTCGTAGAGTGCGACTTTCACGAGGCGGTTGCAGACGATAATTCGGGAGACGGGCAGACATCCTGGCGTAGAAACCTGCTGCGCCAGCACAGAGCCTCGCAACTCAGACGTGTCCTTCATCTATAGCCCCACGCACGGTTGCCAAGAAGTTAGAGGTCAAGGAAGACAACGCAGTGTTCGCCCTTAAGGCCTTAATCACACTTTTTCGAAACCCTAAGGCTTATCCCTTAATTTTAAGGCCTTATTTAAGGGCTTTGGTATGGCTTAAGGCCATAAAAGGAAATTTTGACCAGGCCAGTTATGGGTGCGCTCCCAGGATGGAACTGGTGTCTGTACTTCGCTCCCAATGTTGCCCCTCATAGCTGATGGGATAGCCGTGCTGGTTTGACGTCTATTAGAACACGGGGTCGCAATTTCCCTGACCGCCGACAGGGCCTGTGGGTGAATATCGCAGGCAAGTCAGCAACAACTTGAGCGGCTACTCTTGTTCAAGAGATTGAACGGTGAAGTGATTTAGAGAGCACACGCACCGCGGAGAATGTGATTCGGCAATCGCCGAACACGACAAACCAAGCCTCAGATACTTAATTATGCTGGCCTGTTGGTTTTCCAGATTGAGAACGTAAAATGTTCCCTATCTCTCTCAGTGGGGTCAGCTGAACCGGTCGGGCTTCTTGGGAGCGGGGACAGTCCCCCCACGTCACACCAATCGGCCAGACTACTTCTGACCGTTGGATGCAAAGCAAAAAAATGTAGCGGGGCCGGTATACTTCCAAAAAGCGCGCGAGTATGGTGGAAGTAGTCGAAGTGAGTGCGTCGTCTCAGTATTGCAGGGATCTGGTCACCGTGAACTGCCGTGCACGTGACACCTTAAGGCCTTACGCCCCGACCCTAAGGGCGCGCCGAAAGCCTAAGCCCTATGCTAAGGCCTTAATAAGGCTTAGGACGCTTAAGGCCTTACACCTTAGGGCGAACACTGAGACAACGCGGACGACCAAAAATTCGCGAAGTCAGAAAGCGCGACGCGTCCACGTGATCAACGCCTCTCAAATGCGCATACGCCACAAATCACAAGGACAAACAGAGCGCACCCATAAAATTCTCGATCGCGTCGCGGAAGTTCTCCATCTTCCTTCATCTCCTTCCTTTCCCCTACTCCTCTTCGCTGCTCTCAACCCATCTTCTTGGTGAGTACCATTCCACGTCTCTGATATGATGTGTATACTTCTCTTCCCCGTCCTACACGACCATGCCGAGGAACAGAGATGTCCGTTCGCAACGGACACGCGTCCTTCGGGGCGCACAGCGTACTTGCCAGTGCCATTTCGTCTGATCTTCATACCCCCTACTGCTCTTTGCAAACTCGTACTGACATCCTCTCCCAAGGTCTCCCTACTTTCCATCGCAAACGGCACCCATCTCCTCAATCGTGAGTCCCCCTTATCCCTACTGCAAACCACCGCCAGCGCCCTTTTATGATGAACATTCCATACATTCGCAGTTTCCACTCTAGCGTCCTCTTCGGAGTACTCCCTCAATGCGGAACGTCTATACTCCCCCTCGTATCGTGTTGAACCCAATTGGCATGATCGAGCGTGGGCCGCCTTCGGGTGCGCTGGGCGGGAAGCGAGGGTCGACGCGGTGAGGGGTCATAACGACCTTCCTTTGGATGTCTGATCCTAGGCGCTGTCCACCTTATTAGTTCCACGTCATGCTAACCTACGTCCTTCAGATCCCTTGTGCATCGCTATCTAGTTTCTCTGTCTCAGTTCGTTGACCTACTTTTATATCCTTCACATGCCCAATGCTATGCGATCCTGCTATACCCTTCTTTGCAAAAGATGTTGGTTGAAGTGGTGAAGTAGTGAGCTCATCAAGCGAATATATAAAGTTGTCGGACTTGCTGTCATGCTATTCAAGACACAAATGAAGAGTTAGCTGCAGCTATCAGTAGCCGACTCTGATCATGATAGGTGGTCGTGATGTGATCGCTGCCTGAGGATGCATCGTGTCTTCAGATCTCAGGTAAATCAACTGATCTTCCTGTTGTTCTTGTTCAGAGCCGACTTTCTCACAGATCCCCACGAGTCCTCCATCGACGGCCCTCCGTGCATCCGTGTCCGAGTCTTGGCCGAACCCCCACGCTGCAAACCTCGAGGCATGCCCGAGCCTGAAAGCCTTCAATTCCCATGTTCTGCAACGAATCATCACAGAAAGCGCCCCTCGTGTCTGATATCATGTCAGTCAGAGGCTTATACGCTTTCCCTAGCGCGCCTTAGCTCGCTCGATCCTAGCCTGACTTGGCTTTAGTGCTCCCTCCAATTTCAGCCACCGCACTTGCCCGCTCATTAGAAGAACGACCAAGGACACGAGTTACGTCCCTAGTGCGTCGCCAGAAGGGTCATGCTTTTCGACGGACGTTCCGTTTGCGACTCTCGCCGCTGTAACGGCCTACGGCTCCTAGCCACAAACAGTAATGCCGCTTCTACACCGAACTCCGCCTCCCGAACCTGCTAGGATCTCATCTCATCATCGCATGCACATTGGTACTCGGGCACACCTATCAGCTTCTTGGCAGCGATTTGCTATATATCAGGCTCAGGATCGTCCCGCGCTGACCACTTTCATACACCCGCCCTCCCTCCGTCATGACTGCAGTCGAGTATACGCCGATTGAGGACATTGACGAGGTGCGCGTTCCCCTGATTATCCTCCTCCTCCTCCTCGAGCTCATACCCTACCAGATCCACGCCCAGCTGCAGGCGGGGTTCAAGTCCGGCAAGACCCGGTCTCTGGCGTACCGGAAGTACCTCCTCCTCCAACTCGGCTACCTCGTTCAGGAGAACCGCGCCCGCTTTGTCGACTCTATTCACGCTGACCTGGGAAGGCCGAGATTCGAGACCGAATTGTGTGTGTGACCCTTCTCCCACCGCGGCGCCCACACTGACGAGATTCCCCCACAGCCTCGAGGTCAATGGGTTCCTCCAGGACGTGAACGCCGCTATCAAGAACTTCGAGGAATGGGCGAAGCCCGTGGTGCCGCCCTTCGATATCAAGACGTTCGCCATGAAGCCGAAGGCGCATAAAATCGCCAAGGGCGTCGTACTCGCTATCACCCCTTTCAACTACCCGCTGTGGCTGGTGACTGCGCCGCTTGTGAGTTTAGCATGCCTTCGTGTGGATGATTTAGCGTGTTCGCGCGGATGAAGGACTTCTGAGTGATGATTCTCACAGATCAGTGCCCTGGCGGCGGGGAACACGGTCTGCCTGAAGGTGGCTGAAAACGCGGCTGCCACGGCAGCCTTGTGGGCGGAGCTCGTGCCTAAGTACTTTGACCCGGACGTGCTTCGTGTGATAAATGGCGGGATCCCGGAGACTACCAGGGTGCGTGGTGTAGTTTGAGGCAAATTTCGGCCCGCTGACGTCGTTCCCATCGTGCAGGTGCTTGAACTGCAATGGGACCATAGTGAGTCGCCCGTGTTTCCGATAGGTTGCCTTTGCTGATGGAGCTGCAGTATCATATACTGGCGGAGGCGCTGTCGGCCGTATTGTCGCGACTGCTGCCGCAAAGCACCTGACGCCCGTCACGCTGGAGGTAAGAGTCAAATATTCATGGTCGCACCGCCATTGAGCTGAACGTATTCTCGTAGCTCGGCGGCAAGTCCCCTGTCATCGTGCATCCCAGCTGCGATCTCGACTTGACGGCGAAGCGCGTGCTACTCGGCCGGTATACGAACGCGGGACAGACCTGCGTCGCGCCTGACTATATTCTTGTCGTAAGGTCCATCCAGGACAAATTCCTTGAGGCCGTAGAAAAAGTGTAAGGAGTTGCATGTCTCTAAAGCCAGGGCTATGATTGACCGCTCGACAGGTACAAGTCCTTCACCGATGGCGACGCTACGACGAAACCGGGATCATATTCGAACATGATCACCGACCGGGCCTACAACCGCGTGAAGAAGCTGCTCGAAAGCACGCGCGGGAAGGTGGTCATCGGCGGCGAGACGGACGATGCGCAGAAGCATATCGCATTGACGGTCGTTAACAACGTGCCGAAGGACGACTCGCTGATGTCTGAGTACGTCTGCATCCGCTGTTAACTCATCGCAGTGTTAATGGTGTCTTCTAGAGAGATCTTCGGCCCCATCCTTCCCATCATACCAGTGGAGGACGTCGACGAGGCGATCGACATCATCAACGAGGGGTAAGCTATATTCGCATGCTCGAGGGACTTGGCGACTGATCTCTGATGCACAGGGACCGGCCATTGGCCATCTACGTCTTCGCCAACGACGAGAGGGTGAAGGAGAAAGGTTCGCATGCTTTCACACCCGCCATTCAACACCTGACGGGATCGCACAGTACGAACCGAGACGATCAGCGGAAGCATGGCCTTCAACGAGGTCGTGCTGCAGGTTGCTGGTAAGCACGATATTCACTGCGCCTTGGATCATAATTGAACTTGACTAGTCGACGGTATTCCACTGGGAGGCATCGGAGGCAGCGGCTGTAAGACACACTCGGTAGCATATGTCGCTCTGTATGCTGACGGATTGCTGCAGACGGCTATCACACCGGGAAGTTCGGCTTCGACACGTTCTCCCACATGCGCTCCGAGATCGACAACCCAAGTTTGTGCGTTGCGTTCGCAGTCTTCATCCTTTCAACCACCAGCTAACATCTCCCAGTGTCGAACGCTTCATGTGGTGGCGCTACCCACCGTATACGGTACGCATCCACGCTACAATCCTCAATTTCGTTCGACTGACCATGAATAACAGGACGAGAAGCTAAAAGCGATGAACAACTTCATGGCCGTCGCATTACCGCCCAAGCCCAAGGGTCCCCCGACGTCGGAATTGCAGAGAACACTTTGGGGCAAATGGCTCTTTTTGTTCGTGACTTTGGGTACGGCGGCGGCTGTGAAGAAAAGTCGGTCATGAATGAAGCTTAGCAAAAGTCTTGAAATTCCCTCTTACTTGTAGTACTATATATACTCTTGGCTTTATGAGCTCCTCGTCAACTGTTTCTGCTCGTCTTCGTCGAGAAGCAACTGAAGCGTCGCTCCGTGCGACCCGGCAAATGTGTAAACTGCGCAGGGCGCTGACTCACCAAGTTCAGATGACCGAGTGGTTAAGGTGATGCCCTGCTACGACCCGTAGCCTCAGCTAAGGCATTGTGCTTTGCACGCGGGTGTTCGAATCGCCCTCTGAACGAACCTTTTTCTCCTTCATTTGGACGAACCATTGGGCGAAGTACCGTATGTGCTCTTTGGCTGGTGCAAGGTCTCGCCCTTTCCAAAGATCAAGCCTTGATGCGGCGTCGTTGACCAGCCCGTTGGACCGCGCCAGCTCTTGTCATTGTTCCCGATTTGGCAATATTCGTGCGCACCAGGCATTCAAGCGCTCAGTCATGGCCACCCGGATCACCATTTAGAGGAACCGGCTTGCAGTTGGCGAACGAAATGAACTTCGGGTGCGCGCGACGTCGGTTGATCCATACACTAGCACATAGATAAGGCATTAAAAATTGTGGTAGACGATGCATTCACAATGTCAGCTTCGTCCGGCGAAGCAATCCGGGGTATACTCAGCCACCAGCGCGACGCCAACCTCACGACCTCGAGCGCTTCCAAACGGACGAGAACATCAACAACCTCAACTTCCCTGGCTTTACCTTCGACGGCGAGGTGCTCGCCGGCAACGCAGACCTACTGCGTAGAGTCACTAGAGTCATCCGCGTTAGTCGCTGAGACACACAAGAGCATGTCAAACGCACCCAAGCGCGCCTTCATTTTGTTTGTGAATGGTACGAAGCCGCTCAGGAGCGGCCACTTGGACTGTACCGGAGGCTCTTCAGTACGGCGCGCTTGAATGTTCGCCATGTACTCGTCGTCGCGGCGCTGGACCTCTTCTTTGAGCTTTCGCACGCGTTCCTCATAGTCCGAGCGTATCCTGGCAGGATATCAGTATACTATTGCTATACAAAACTGCTGCACTCACTTCCGAATAGCTTCCAACTCTTCCATGAACCCTGTCGGCGAAGGAGGTGCGGGGAGGGTGCTCAGGTCGTACGAGAGCGGTACGATGACCGGCGAAGTGTTGCCCAGGTCCGCACGATAAGTGAGGGCAGCGAGGATGTCGTCTTCGACCTCAGCAACACCATCAGCAGCTTGAGCGCTGCCCATTGCGGGGCCGTCCTCTGCGTCACCACCGGTGTGCGCCGCACCAGACGAAGACGCATCATCGTCACTCTCACCCGAGTGAGCCCCGTCGGAGAATGCACTATCGGCGTCCCCCCATGCTAAGCGGTTGGCTTCTTCCTCTGCGTCCATAATCTGCCAGTGTGGTATGTCGGAGATCTCTCTGTCGGCCGCACGAACACCCGCGAGCGACATTGCGCTAAGGGCAGCGGGTGGAGGGGGGAGTCCCTTCGCTGCACAGTCACGTAGGCACTCTCGACGGTCCTCGTCGTCCCTGAGCATAGAACTAAGCGCTCCACATTCAGTAGGACTCAGGGAATGAGGAGGATTGATAGGCCGATTCTCGGTCCTGATGCGCACGTCCGTACGCGCGACGTGATAGCATCCATCCCAAGGCAGTGGGTGGCAGCAATGGGCAGGTCTGCGGCCCTCTGGGTGTCGAGTATTCGGTCGGATAGGAACACACATCCGAGACTCGAAGAAGTCTCCCGGACTTTCAGCTGGGGGCCCTTTCTGAACGAGAGAGATAGTTGCCACTTCGTATGCCGGCGGGGGCTGAGGGACGCCGACGTTCTGTACAATTTGTTAGCTACCCCGCTTTCTAGAGCGTCCAAGCGCTTACCCCAATTGTGCAGGCCACATAGACCTTCGTCGGTATCTCGCGGGCCACCTTGATGACTTCCTCGTCCTCTATGTCCTGCAGAGACGCGACGGGGTCGAGGTGAAAAGTGTAATACGAGCCTGAATCAGGAAAGGACATGGTGAGGGTAAGAAGAAAGCTGCTGTCACGTTTCTATCAAGTCGTATAAAAGAAGCATCAGGCGATCACCGAAACACAATTGAACACAATACGTCCATGCCAGACAAGGAACAAAGGCATGCGGTGGAATGGCTCGCGGTTTCGAACCGGCGAATCACCGGCTCCTGCTATTGTTCCCGATTTGGCAACATTCACCTTCTGAAAACCGCGAAAACACTGCAAATTGCTGCCAACAGGCATATTATTGGTGGCCTCGTTTAGGCTCAGATAACCAGCGCAGGTGTCTGATGATCTCGCGCGATGCGCGCGACCTGCGATAAATCCGTAAAGAATAGCATATAAAGAAGGTATCAAGGATCGTGCTAAGTGATGTCAATCGTTATGACAACTTCGTCCGGCGAAGCAAATTCGAGAATGGCCCTGAACGACCAGCCCAGCCGCGAGACTTAAGACCTCGAGCGCTTCCAAGCGGACAAAAAAATCAGCAATCTAAACTTCCTTGGCTGCACCTTCGCTGGCGAGGTGCTCGCCGGCGTCGCAGACCTACGGCGCAAAGACACTGGAGTCATCCTCGTGAGTCGATGAGAAACACGAGAGCGCGTCGAACGCACCCAAGCGTGCCTTCACTTTGTTAGTGAATGGCACGAAGCCTCCCAGAAGCGGCCACCTGGACTGTAGAACCGGAGGCTCTTCGGTACGGCGCGCTTGGATGTCTGCCATGTACTCGTCGTCGCGTCGCTGGACCTCTTCTTTAAGCCGTCGCACGCGTTCTTCGTAGTCCGAGCGTATCCTGTCAAATATTGAGCATTCTGTCGCCCTACGAAGCAGCCGAACTCACTCCTTGATCGCCTTCAACTCTTCCAAGAACCCAGTCGGTGAAGGGGGCGCGGACAAGGTGCTCAGGTCGTACGAGAGCGGCACGATGACGGGCGAGGTATTTCCCAGGTCCGCGCGATAAGTAAGGGCGGCGAGGATGTCGTCCTCGACCTCTGCCACAGCGTTGGCAGCTTGTGCGTCCATTGCGGTGCCATCCTCCGCGTCACCACCGGTATGCGCCGAACCAGACGAGGATGCATCGTCGTCACCCCCACCCGAGTAACTGGTAGCGTCGGAATACGCACTGTCCGCGTCTCCCCATGCTAAGCGGTCGGCTTCTTCCTCTGCGTTCATAATCTCCCAGTAAGGAGTGTCGCAAATTTCTCTGTCGGCTGCCCGAGCACTGGCGAGCGTCATGTCGCTAGAAGCAGCCGGTGGAGGCGGGATTCCCTTCGCGGCACAGTCACGCAAGCACACTCGTCGCTCCTCGTCATCCCTGAGCATAGAACTGAGCGCTACACGTTCCCTAGGGCTCAGAGAATGAGGAGGATTGATGGGCCGGTTCTTGGTCCTGATGCGCACGTCCGCACGCGCGGTGTGATAGCATCCATCCCAAAGCAGTGGGTGGCAGCAATAAGCAGGCCTGCGGCCCTCCGGGTGTTGAGTATTCGGTCGGATAGGAACACACATCCGAGACTCGAAGTAGTCTTCCGGGCTGTTAGCTGGGAGCCCTTTCTGAACGAGAGAGATGGTTGCCACTTCGTATGCCGGCGGGGGTCGAGGGACGCCAACATTCTGTACAATCCGTTAGCTAACCCGCATTCTAGAGTGTGCGAGCGCTTACCCCGATTGTGCAGGCCACATATACGTTCGTCTGTATCTCACGAGCGGCCTTGATGACTTCCTCGTCTTCTATGTCTTGCAGGGACGCGACTGGGTCGAGGTGAAAAGTGTAATACGAGCCTGAGGCGGGAAAGGACATGGTGACCGTATAATGGTTGAGGGCAAGAAGAAAGCTGCTGTCGCGTTGCTACCGACCCGTATAAAAGAACCATCAGGCGATCACCGAAATACAATCGAACACAATACGTCCATGCCAGACAAGGAACAAAGGCATGCAACGAGGCCCCGCCCCGGACCGAGCCGACGGACTGCTGGCACCGCCACGCGGCACCGGCATCGGCTTCGGAACCGGATAAGGCAACTCCATTGTTCGACTTCGGGGCTTCCTTCCCACCATCATGGGCGTCCGTCTCTCTCTTGTTCATGCAATGACCAGTCCCAATTCAGGAAATCGACAATAGTTATTATGTCTCAGTGCGTCGTATATAAACAGCAGGTCCAAGTCGGGGCCTGCATCACTGTTCTTCAATTGCCCCGCCTTCGATGTCCTCACCGTCCCGAGTATCGCCAACAATGTCTCGTACTTCTTCGACTCCCAGCTCTCTTTCTGCACTAGGATATCAGCCGTCTTGCTTTCCATGCGCGCTCGAGTGCACCCTTGCCACACACAGCCCGACTCATCACCGCGGCAAGACTGGCCGGGAGCTCTCTTCGGGGGACATTCGCACGACCACAATATCCCTCTTGGCACCATTCTATGAAGCCCTCAAAGGATACCGCAGCGTCAAACTCGATGACAAGTCTTTGGCGCGTACATCGACTTTTTGCTCGCAGCCTTCGCGCTCTTCTTCACGGCGTCCATCGGTAGCATCGGGATCCTGCGCCTCTGGTAAAGGCGGACCCAAACGTCGACCCTGCGTCATTGTTGAGGCGGGAGCGGCCACAGCTAAAGTCATCCTCATGGGCACATTCGAAGGAGCCTACATAGATGAGCTTCATCCCATACTCCAGGAATATCTTGCTATCCTCTTCTCCCAGGACAGCACATATGAGGAAGAACGATTTACGAAGGGCAGACCCGCGCATATGCACAGCACTCCCGAATGGGCCCAGAAGCCCAAGCATCTCGGACACCTCCAGTACATCGTACCTCTCAGGCACGAGATTGACTTGCACGCCGCCACTGATCGCTGGGAGGTTCTTCGGAGGGGCGATGGCGGCTCTCCACGCTCAGCAGGCGACGGCGATACCGAAGGCTACTACATGGATGGAGAGAATATGTCCGACTTGATCAGTCACGCCGAAGTTATGTATGACCGCTTGAGAGGGCGCTGCCAAAGGAGGTCGTACAGACATGCACTTCGACAAGCACTCAGGGAAAGGGGGAAGGTAAGTTTTGCTTCAGCGCTCGAGCTCTATCGTCTCACCAACTAACTACCACTTATGCAGGCCAGGAATCCGAATCGCAGCCAAGCGTCGGTTCAAACTCGTCATTCGCGCGCCCCGTCGGTTGCGCTCGAACCCATCCCGGAGACACCCACGACACCGTCGTATGCCATGCCCGCTGCGTCGACGACGCCCGGAAGGGCAGAGAACTCGTGGATCACCCCTCGCAAGTTCTCGGTCTCATCCACCTCCAGCCACACGACGGCTAGCAAGCGCCGCTCCGAGTACGACGAGGGCTGCCCCAGGACGCCGAAGGCCGCGAAGCACGAACTCGATGCGTCGTCGACGCACTCTAAGAAGTCCAAGTTCTCAATCCCGTTCATGAAATCGGTGAGTCCAGTTATCAGCCCATGCCTCTCGTCGCGGGTGTCTCTCATTCTTCGCGCGCGCTTCTCCCTTCATCGCGGGCATAGTATCCTCCCTCGTGCACCATGCTAACGCCACCCCAGTCGAAGGCCAATACCTCTCAAACTTCTCTACCCTCGCTCGCTTCGCAGAACCAGTTTGCGGTCCTTGCTTGCTAAGCGTGCCGCGTCACATATGCGGCATACGATCTCGACAACGGGACCAACCGGTGGGACTGCGGGCAGTCTAGGTCTTCGTCGCTCTTCTTCCATGCACGGGGTATACGGACAGGCTCGGGATACTCGCAGGCAGGTTCCGCGTATCCAATTTGATGGACGTTATGACTCCGTGTAGCTTCAGCCCTTATTCCCATCGACTCTTAATCGCACTGTAGCATTAACGGCCACCTCTGTACCACCACTCCCCCTCTGTATTACCCCTTTCCTTCGGTTCTCTCTGTATTACACCTTTCCTTTTGCTTCCTTTGTAGCATACTCACCTCGGACGCAGCCGCGTTTACTACAGCACCCATACCGTATGTATATTAGCATTATTCTCTGCATCATTACTGAAGATCGTTTGAACTACGTACGTCGCATGACTAGACCTCAAAGTTGTCCTTTACAAGACCACCAATTGCCTGATCTCCAGTTTCGATCCGCTACTCGCGCTTCCTCGGCCGTCGGGAGCTTGACTTACTTCCTGTACGCTCAGTGAGCGTTGCCCTGGCAAAGGATAGCATACAGAGAAGGTATTCAGGTAATGTCATTCGTTACGCCGACTTCGTCCGACGAAGCAATTTTGGGAATATCCCTAAACGACCAACCCTCCCGGAAAGCTTACGACCTCGAGCGCTTCCACATGGACGAGAACATCAGCAATCCAAGCTTCCGTGGCTGCACTTCCGACGGCGCGGTGCTCGCCGGCATCGCGGACCTACGGCGCAAAGACACTGGAGTCATCCGCTTCAGTCGACCGAAAACACGAGAGCACGTCAAACGCACCCAGGCGAGCCTTCACATTGTTGGTGAATGGCACGAAGCCCCCGAGAAGCGGCCACTTGGATTGTGACGAAGGGTCTCCGACACGGCGCGCTTGGATGACCGCCATGTACTCGGCGTCGCGGCGCCGAACCTCTTCTTTGAGATCTCGCACGCGTTCTTCGTAGTCGGAGCGTATCCTGTTAGGGAATCAGTATACAATTACTATACAAACTGCTGCACTCACTTCCGAATAGCTTCCAATTCTTCCATGAACCCTGTCGGCGAAGGAGGTGCGGATAGGGTGCTCAGGTCGTACGAGAGCGGTACGATGACCGGCGAGGTGTTGCCCAGGTCCGCACGATACATGAGGGCAGCGAGGATGTCGTTCTCGACCTCGGCGACACCATTAGCAGCTTGGTCGTCCGTTGCGGGGCTGTCCTCTGCGCCAAACTCGGTATGCGCCGAACCAGACGAAGACGCTTCGTCGTCACTCTCATTCGATTGACTGGTCGCGTCCGAGTACACGCTATCGGCGTCCCCCCAGGCCAGGCGGTTCGCCTCTGCCTTTGCCTCCATGATCTGCCAGTGAGGAGTGTCCGAAATCTCCCTGTCGGCCACCCGGGCACCAGCAAGAGTTCTCCCGCTTGGGGCAGCGGGTGGCGGGGGTATTCCCTTCGCTGCGCAGTCGCGCAGGCACTCTCTTCGCTCCTCGTCATCCCTGAGCGCGTTGACAAGTGCTACACGTTCGGCAGGGCCCAGAGAATGAGGTGGGTTCAGAGGCCCATTCTCGGTCTTGATGCGTACATCTGTACGCGCGACGTGATAGCATCCATCCCAAGGCAGAGGATGACAGCAATGAGCAGGTCGGCGCCCCTCAGGGTGTTGTGTGTTCGGTCGTACGGGAACGCACATCCGAGACTCCAGAAACTCGCCCGGGTCATCAAGCGGGAGGCCTTGCTGAAGAAGAGAAATGGTCCCTACTGCGTATGCCGGTGGAGGTTGAGGGGCACCAATATACTGCAGCCTATTGATTAGTCGGTCCACATCAGCGAGGGAGCGCGTACATCGATTGTACTGGCTACATAAGCCTTGGTCGGTATTTCACGGGCGGCCTTAATAACTGCCTGGTCCTCAATATCCTGCAGCGACGCGACTGGATCCAGGTGAAAAGTGAAATACGAGCCGGGCCAAGGAAAGGACATGTTCGATGGCTATGAGGGGTTGAGGGTAAGGAGCAAGGGGTTCATGCGTTGCCGCCGGCACTCAGGAAGAGCCATCAGATGGTTGCATAAAACAATCGAGCAGGACATGGTCGTGCCAGACAAAGAACAAAGGAATGCGACGGAGTGGCGGACGGACACGGTCCGTGCCGGCGGATCACGGCTCGTGCCATTGTTCCCAATATGGCCGCACTTCACTTCCCAGAACGGCTTGACAACGGGGAAGTGCGGCATCGCGTCGTTACTTGGGCTGGATGTCGGGACATGTCTGCTGAAGGATTTTCATTCCCTGTTGCCGGCAGCACCTTCGTATAACCCAATGGAGCAAAGCAAAAGGAGTGTACAGTGGTATCTCTCAGACCAAGGTCCGCGCGCATGGTCACACTGATATAACGCATACTAGGGAGCTCTGCTAAGGAGCGCAATATGCCTCGTTGAAATTTCGGCCTGGGGGGTGCAATAGCCCCGATCAACAATCGACCACGGCGCTCACGCCTTCGAAGGTCTCCAAACGGACGGAAAGGTCAACAATCTCGGCTTCCTAGGCTTCACCTCCGACGGCGACGTACTCGTTGGCGACGCAGGCCTATGGCGCAAAGACGCTATTATCCGCGTTAGCCAAGGATCAACAAGTCAGTACATCCAACGCACCCAAGCGAGCCTTCAGCTTGTTAGTGATGGGCATGATGCTCGAGGGGACCGACCACTTGGACCGCGCCGGGGACTGTTTGTTACGACGTGCTTCAATGTCCGCCATGTACTCGTCGTCGCGAAGTCGAACTTCGTCTTTTAGCCGTCGGATGCGCTCCTCGTAGTCCGATCGTATTCTGACGGGTAAGATCAGTGCGATGTTGCTTGCAGAAAAATTTGCACGTACTTCTTGATAGCAACCAGCTCTTCCATAAATTCAGTTGGCGAGGGCGGCGCAGTCAAGGCGCTAAGGTCATATGAGAGCGGTACGATGACCGGCGAGAGATCGCGCAAGTCCGCCCGGTGATTGAGAGCAGTGAGGATGGCATCCTCCACGTCCGCGATATCATCGACAGCGGCGGCGGGATTTGTCGCAGCGTTGTCTTGGACGTCGTTCTCGGAGTGACCTGAACCGCAAGCTGGCGCAATGTAACCACCATCATCTGATTCAAAGTAGTCGCTGTTGTCGCTCTCGGCGTCCCAGTTCGGCTTGAGCTTCATTTTGAAGGCACCTTCGTTAGGTGGACTGGCAAGGCGTTCGGCTCGCTCGGTGGCTCTTATTTGCCAGTGAGGAATGTCCGTGATCTCCTGGTCAGCAGACCTAATAGCAGAGATCGTGTAGTCGCCGGCAGCAACGGGTGGCGGCGGGAGTCCCTTCACTGCACATTCACGCAGGCGCGCTCGTCTCTCCTTGTCATCTTCGAGCATATGGTTGAGCAGCACGCATTCCGCAGGAGCAAGAGAATGAGGGGGGTCGGTGGGCCGTATTTCAGTCTTAATTCGTACGCGCGTGCGATGCATCGCGACATGGTAGCACCCAACCCAAGGCAGCGGAAGGCAGCAATGCGCAGGTCGGCGCCCATCTGGATGCTGGGTGTTGGGTCGGATGGGAACACACATCCGGGATTCGCAAAACTCGTCAGGTATTTCAGGAGGGAGGCCTTGCTGAACGAGGTCAACGCTCGCCACCTCATACGCGGACGGCAGTTGAGGGACGCCGACAGGCTTGAAAGACTATCAGACTTCGAGAACTCGTGGGTTTCATACCACGCACCCAAGTCAAGCATGCCACATACACCTTTACCGAGAGTTTTCGGGGTGCTTTGGCGACATGCTTATCGTCTATGTCTTGTAAAGATGCGACTGGATCCAGGCGAAAGGTGAAATACGAGCCATCCGCGGGAAATGACATGGGGGGCGAATGTCAAGCGACGAGAGTGAGATCAAAACGACAGGCATAAACATAAGAAGCATCAGGCGATACAGGACAAACAATAGACTCCAGACACATCGTGCCGGACAGGAGCAAGCGTAGAACAATGGCATGCGGCACCTCGGACCAGGCCGGACCGCGCCGGCTCGTGTTATTGTTCCCGATTTGGAAGTGTGCTTGCGCCGCCACGGACGTCTGCGCCTAAGACATCAGCGCTGGTAGACCATGTATCGCGGCGCATAGGCAATCTTGCGATCAGCCATGTTCACCTGCATCACCATTCAGAGGTACCGGCGCACGAGTATGACAAACCACACAGAATAGTCTCCGAGTGCGCGCCGCGACGTACGCTGATCCATACTAACTAAGTATAGCATATACAGAAGGCATTAAAGATCGTGGTAAATGATGTCCAAACCTATGCCAACTTCGTCCGGCGAAGCAATTTTGGGTGTACCCCGAAAGACAAGAACATGCGCAAACATCACGACCCTCAGCGCTTCCAAACGGACGAGAACATCAGCAGCGTCCTTGGCTTCACCTTCGACGGCGAGGTACCCGCAGGCGACGCGGATTTACGGCGCAAAGAGACTGGAGTTGTTCCGCGTCAGTCGACGAGAAACACGACAGCACGCCTAACGTACCCAAGCGCGCCTTCACTCTGTTGGTGAATGCGAAGCCTCTGAGAAGCGACCACTTGGACTGTAGTACTGGAGGCTCTTCGGTACGGCGCGCTTGGATGTCCGCCATGTACTCGTCATCGCGACGTTGGACTTCTTCTTTGAGCTTTCGTACGCGCTCCTCATAGTCAGACCGTATCCTGTCAGGCAATCAATACACCGTCGTCGCTTTACAAGGCTGTCACACTCACTTCCTGATAGCGCTCAACTCCTCCATGAACCCAATCGGTGAAGGGGGCGCAGGCAAGGTGCTCAAATCGTACGAGAGCGGTACAATGACAGGCGAAATATTGCCCAAGTCCGCGCGATGCGTGAGAGCAGCGAGTATATCATTCTCGACTTCCGCGACATTTTCGACCGCCGGAGACGTTTCTCGCACGACGTCGTCCCGTGCTTCATTCCCAGGTTGGGTCGGACTGGAAGCAGGCGGGTCGCCCCGGTCAGCGCTCCCACCGTCTGAGTAGCCGCTGGCATCGGAGTAGTCGGTCTCGGCGTCCCAGTTCTCGTCAATTTCGACATGCAGCTCTAGAGAGGGCTCGGCGAGGGCCGCTTCCCGCCTGGCGGCCATGATTTGCCAGTAAGGTACGTCCGAGCGATTACTGTCGGCATTGCTGATGCTGGCGAGCGCCATACTGCTAGGCGTAGGGGGCGGTGGTGCGATCCCTGTCTCTGCGCAGTCGCGCAGGCGTTCTCGACGCTGCTCATCGTCGCCGAATAAGAATCTGAGCGTTACGCATTCGGATGGACCGAGCGAATGGGGAGGGTAAGTGTTCCGATTCTCGGTCCTGATGCGCACGCGAGTACTATGCAGCGAAACATGGTAGCATCCATCCCAGGGTAGAGGGTCGCAGCAGTGAGCAGGCCTTCGACCATCGGGGTGCTGGGTATTGGGTCGGATAGGCACACACATCCTTGATTCCAGGAATTCTTTGGGACTTTCAGGTGGCAGCCCTTGTTGAACGAGAGCAATAGTCGCCACTTCATACGCCGGCGGAGGTTGAGGAGCGCCAATGGTCTAAGTAAGTTCCTCAATAAGAGATGCTGTACAACGTGCATATGCATACCTTGATTGTGCATGCCACATAGATCTTGGGTGATATTCGACGAGCGGCCTCAGCGACTTCCTCGTCCTCTATGTCTAGCAGAGACGCGACTGGGTCTAGGTGAAAGGTATAATACGCGCCGTTGTCGGGAAAAGACATGTTCGCGGGCAATGGATCGCAAAGAACGTGAAAGCAGGAAGAAAGCAGGGTGATGCGCGCGAACGAATCATCCGACACCCATCAAGCCATCACGAGAACCCAGTGCGTCCGATACATTCATGCCGGACAAGAGCAAACTTGGAACAAAAGATGGACACCGGACCGCTGCAGCGCCGGCCGGTTCCGGATTGGGCAATTCAATTGTTCAACTTCGGAGTTCACTTCCTGCCATCACGCGCAGACCAGGACAGCCATGTCCGACGGTGCATGGACCATCCGACGAACAATGTACACATACTTCTTATGGCTAATCACGCTCTTCGTTAAATAGCCCGTCAAGAATGGACTACGCGCCATTTCCCTTCTCCTCTCGCAACCTTCACCTTGTCCCGCAATGCTTCTCACTCCTCCCGGCCTCGCACCTCCGTCTCATCAGAGGCCTCGCATAGAACGACCGCTATGCACGCGTGAGTGCGCTCGCGGACCAAGCCGTCACTGCGGCGGTAGGACTGGCGGACACCTCGCGGTAGGGGACATCCGTATCACCTACATCTCCCTCCTGGCCCCTTTCTACAAGATCCTGGATGACAATTCCTGGAGGTCCAAAGTGCGCCAGCCCTCTCGACGCTCATCGACTGTTCGCTCGCGCTCTGTCGCATCCCCTCGGTCACGGCAATCGACTATCGCATCCCCATCCTGTGCCTCTACCACCAACGGCCCCAAAAAACGACCCTGCATCGTTGCCAATGTGGGCCAATCCAGCGCCGAAGTCTGCATCATGGGTACGTTTGAAGGGGCCTTCGTAGACAAGATCCACAAGGACCTTCGACCCCACCTCGCCATCCTCGTCTCGCGCAAGAGCAAGCACAAAGGCGATTGGCTGCAGGACAGCAAGATGAGGCATCTTCATAGCCAACCGGAGTGGTATCAGTCGAAAGGCAACGTCCAGTACATCGTCCCTCTCATGCACGACATTAGCCTGGATGACATCAAAGATCGATGGTTGGCTTCCAGCCGCCAGAAGATCAACGGGGCCGAGCCACGCAGTCCTGATAGCTTGGCTGTCGATCCACCCCCAGAAGGATATTACATGGACGAACGCAACCTGCTCGGCTTGTACGATTACGCAGAAGAAACGGCCCGACAGCTGAAGTATCTGTCTGGCGACAGGGCGTACAGACGAAGACTTCGACGGATACTCGATGAGAAGATGGTGAGTCGCGCTCGTTCTACCTGTATAATTGTTTTTTTCTTACAACAATGCAGGCAACTAGTAAAGAGCCGGATCAGAGCAACGCGTCTGTCAAGACGTTCGATTCGTACGCCCCGTCGATCGACAGCGTCCTCTCGCACGCGGCCGCGCCCTCGATCATCGAGAACACCCCGTCGACGCCCGAGGAACCATCGCGCTGGCGCGCTTCGCTCAAACGCATGTCTACTGCCCTCTCCATGACATCCACCTCGATCCAAACGACGGCGGGCAAACGCTGCTCCGTCTCCGACGACCAGTGCCCCAAGACGCCGAAGGCTGCGAAGCAGGGATTTGACACGTCGTCGATTCAGTCCAAGATCTCCAAGCGTCCAATCTCGCTCAAGGAATCGGTGAGTCTCGTTTCCTGCCTCTGCCTCTCAAGCGGGCCAGGTCTGTTTATCACGCCAAGAGTGGAATGCCCCTTCATGTCGCGCGCGTACTTGTCCGGCCGCGGGCGTGGCTCCTCATATCGCTGTATAGCTCCCCTCATACACCATGCTAATATCGTCCTAGCCAAAGGCCAACATTCTTCCACCTTCGATCGCATCACCAAACCAGTTCGCGGCTCTCACATGCCAGTGAGCGTGCTGCGGTATACTTCACAGACAACAAGACCGACTGCAGGCAGTCTCATCCGGTCTTCGTCGCAGACGCGGGGTCTTCGCACGCCGCACGCGCGAGAAAGTCGCAGGCAGGCACTGTGTATAACTATAACGGACATTGCTACACTCTCCTAGCTTCCACTCTCACTCCGATTGCAGACCCGACTCCCACTCTCCTTGCCGCGTTGACGCTGTAGCATCCCTCTTTTGACGCGCTCTATGATATCATCCCTGTGACTCGCCTTGTAGCATACTGCTCACATCGGACGCCGTTGCGTTTACTATCATATCCTGTATATTAGCATTGTCCTCTGTAGCATAGCTGCAGAGTATCTATGAATGGTGATTACGATGACACGTACGCCCATGAGCTACATCGAGGAGCGCACCAGCATGACCATCCTTTGCAGGAGCAACGAGAGCGGCGACAAAGCGAACGTGCAGCGTGCGCAGCTGGCAGTCACCTCACTTCATCGACAACATGTTACCCTGGATCCTAGTCTAGTAGGGTGCATGTACGGCTATAGTACTGAATATGTGACACTCGCAGCCGGCTGTAATGTACAATAGGAAAGACAATGTGGTCACCCGCGAACACCCTTCGTCCTCCGGCAATTTCCATTGAATCCTCTCCCGGCGGAACTACGATATCTCCTCGGAAGGTCGGTGCCATCCCTCCCTCTTCGCAGCCCTTCTCTGCCCCTTCCGCCAATGAGCTGACCAGACGACTACCGACGCGCTCGGGCTTCTCTCGCGTACGCAAACTCCTACTACTTACTCTCGGGCGCTCAGGATGCTAGCAATCGTTGGCGAACGGTCGCCATGACAGCGTCCACATCTATGGCGATAGTGCCCCCGTTGGGCTCTTGGTTGTGCTGAGTGGAGGCGTCGGGCGTGTAGGGTCTGAAGCCGAGGAAAGTCAGCGTCCACCAGTGCGCACGATCGCCAATCGGACGTACCTGGTTTCCGTCCAAGCGTGATAGTCGATGCCGAGAGACTGCATGGCCAACTGTCGGTCGGAGCAAAAGGTGTTCGCAGGGAAAAACTCCAGGAGCGTTGAACGCGGCGAGGGCTTCATGTAGACCGCGTCCATCAGTTGCCCGCCGTGGACGCCGATGATGATCTGCGGCATGTCACTACACGTCCTTTGGTTCGCGTGAAAACCACCCACCTCCGACCGCGTAATCGAGCTCAACCTCCTCGTCCAGCTCGTCTCTTCATCATCGTCCGAGTCCACATGCACCTCCACCTCGCGCCCTAGCTTGCCCAATGCATCAAGCAGCGCCGCATGGTCCTCCGCCCTCAGCCGGGACCCCGTCGTCGCATGTTGCCTCTGGATGTACGTGATTACCCTCTTATTCGAGTTCGCCTCCTCGTATGTATCGAAATACTGCGCCAGTGTCCGCCGCTTCGGCTCCCACCAGTGCTTGCTCGCCGGCAGCTCCAGCGCGCCTCCATAGGTGCCCTTCCCGGCCTCCAGCGCCGCCCGCCGATCCGCGATCACGATGCGCTCGATGAAGTACGGCACCTCCATCTGGTGGTAGTCCTCCCATGTCTCGAGGAAGAGGGTAGAGAGGTGAGGAAAGGCAGCCTTGAAAGTGAAGGGGTGGAAGCCTGTGTCGGAGCGCCGCCGGCGGATCCAGTAGTCCTGGAAGGGCGGGTTGGAGTCGCAGTAGACGCGGATTTGGGGGAAGAAAAGGCGGGTGGGGGGTGTGAGGGCGGTGCGGGAGTCGGCGCCGGTGTTGGGGTCGAGGGAGGCGTAGGTGCGCCAGAGCGCGAAGAGCGTGGCGTTGTGCACATCGGCGTCGGCGGCCATCCAAGTTACGCCGCGCATGCTGGAGGTACGCTTTAGCTTCCATAAACGTGGTGATGAGTTAGAAACGCACATTCCGGCATGTGTGCCTAGCGAGTTGGGAGCATCCTTCTTGCTGATGATTTTCCACTCATTGTAGGTCTGGCCGGTGGAGGCGACGATGGTCTTCAGAGGGGGGAATGTGTCGGGTTTATCTGTGACGATGTACATCGTCTTATTGAAGAGGACGACGTTGTCGATCACATTGTACCCTGAAAGAAGTCAGTACACAGGCACTCTGAGGAGAGCGAGGGTTTGCGTACCTGGAGACTGCGCGCGCATCTTGCTCTCGGGTACATCGGTTCCCCATTGGATGAGCGCTTCGTCCATGGTTGCCTCCAGTTCCGAATGGTTTATTGCCTCCAAATTAGACGCCCGAGCAATATGGTGATGCCTGTGCCGCCGAGTGCCATTGTGCGCATGCGCCATCACCTCCGCAACCAGCACTTCCTGCACAACGGACTCCCTGAACAACTCGGCTCCATCGAGGGCTCCCGTAATGCGCAAGCCGTAGGTGACGCTGAGGACGAGGATGGAGAAGAAGATGAGCCCAATCTCGCGTCGCGAGAGCGGCTCGGTGAGCATTGCGCGCCGAGGTGGACGGGTCTGCGCCAAAGGGCGGTGGTGGTAAGGAGGGGAGTGGGATAGATGAGGGAGTAGTGAGACAGGCGGTTGATGCGCTGGACGGACGCCAGCCAACGCCCCTGTCAGGCACTTCGGCCCGAACCGAGCAGGAATTATTGAATTTGTGGCGATGACGTGTGGCACATTGGCCGACATGTGACGCGCCGTTCGACTTCTTGCTTCTTTCCATCGACCCTGCGTATTGTCCCCGATATGTCCAGCCCTGACAGACATACGGAAACCTCCGCCTCATCGCCTCCGAGAAACACGACCCCTCGCCGACACGCAGCCCCCGCGTGGGCGGAGATGGGATCCCGGAAGGACGAAGCGCGCGACACCGCGTCTAACCTGCTGGTCACCGACGTCCGCCAAGTGCAGACCTCGCACGATCTCAAATTTCTGCGAGACCTGGGGACCGGCTCGTGGTCGACAGTGCGCGCAGTCTCCCTTCGCCCAACCTTGCAAACGCCGATGAACATGCGATGATAGGTGATGGAGGCTTGTCTACCCGCCGTCCCTGAGAAGCTCTACGCGGTGAAGATCATCAGCAAGGTTAAGCTCATACGGGAGGGCAAGGCAAAGACTGCCATCGCGGAGAAGAACGCTCTGGCGAAGTTGGGCTCAGGGAAGCACCCTGGATTTTTGAAGCTGTATAATGCCTTCCAAGACCCAACGCATCTTTGTAAGTTGTTTTGCTCTCATGTCTCGAGTGTCCATTGATATGTTATCCTTTTTCAGACCTTGTCATGGACGTCGCTCCCGGCGGAGACCTCCAACTACTCGTCAAAGAGTACGGATCCTTCTCACCCCGCGTCGCACGATACTACGCCGCCCAAATCGTGGACGCGGTGTTATGGATGCATTCCCAAGGCATCCTTCACCGGGACCTAAAACCGGAAAATGCGCTTCTGGATAGCGACTTGCGCATCAAGCTCGCTGACTTCGGCTGTGCGTATATCGCACAAAATGCTGATGATCTTGGTGAGATTTTCAGCCCACTGGTTCTCGCACGTAGGTTGAACCATTATAAAGCACCTCGCAAAAGTACCTTCGTCGGCTCAGCAGCCTACGTCAGCCCCGAGCTGCTCGATAAGACGCTTAAGACGACCAGCGCTGCGTGAGTCTTGTTTACAATCAAAATTCTTCCTTTTGTGTTGCGTAAACACGCGAACCTGAGACCGCACGCACTTGAACCCTACGCACCGCACGCGCTTGCACTGTACTCACCGCACGCGCTTGCACTGTACTCACCTCACGCGCTTGCACTGTACTCACCTCACGTATCCCCAGCTCCGACCTCTGGGCCATCGGCTGCATTGTCTTCTACCTCGTCGCCGGCACCCTCGCCTTCCTCGCACCCACGGACTACCTCACGTTCAAGAAGATCGAGGTTCTGGACTATAGCTTTCCGGATGGCTTTGATGAGGATGCGAGGAATCTGGTTGAGCGTCTGTTGGTGAGTTGACTGTGCCTCCTTTTCCTGCCTTTTGTTCCGCCGGTACGACCGGTCGTCGAAGGTTACAAGCCAAGCCTGTGTCTCTCAGTCCACACATCTGCCCGTCAAATGCCTTCATGATGGCGGGGTGAGTCTTGCTGACTTCGAACTCGCAGGTCCTCGACCCTTCCGAGCGCCTCGGCGTCCAGCCAAAGTCAAGTTCGGATGCCCTTCGCGCGCATCCCTTCTTCGCTGGACGAAGCACGGAAACTGTGAAATCGGATTCGACGACCTCGTCTCCTTCCCATTCTGATGCCTCTACCGCTTCGACGGGCGAAACTCCCTCATCCACCTATACGTGCGAACCTCCCTCTTCCGCCTATCCGGGTGAACCTCCCTCTTCCGACACCCCTTCGTCCACTTCCGACTCACCGTCAAGTTCTGCCGGTACGCCCACCTCAACTCTCTCCCCAACAGCGACGCCTCTCTCTTCAACAGCGGCCCCTCCCTCCCCCACCTCCCCACCCATCGACTGGAGTACACTTTGGACGTGCAAGCCCCCCAAGCCCGAGACGGGCATCCGCGCGCCGACGCCGGCGGACGAGGAGCGGTCGTTCGACTCGTTTGTGGCGGACTTCGGCAACGCGAGGATTGAGTGAGTGGTGGTGGATGTGGCTGGCGAATGCGACGGCGCGGAGTGCTGAGAGAAGGTGAAGTCAGGCTTATGAGTGAAAAAATACTGGGACTACGCTCATGGCAAGCAAGGCAGCAGGAACAGATTACGTGCGAGGAATGTGCTCTTCGCGAGGTGAATGCCTTACATAGTCCCTTGCGCCACAGTCTAGCGAATCGTTTTACTGAATGGGGAAAGGAAAGCATCAGGGTTTTCAGAGATTCCGCCTAATGCAGTATACACGCATACAAGCCTTCGCAAGCTGTAGCAAGGCGGTGCAAGCTTACGTGGCTTTACGGGCCATTATGCTCCACAGCACATCCGGGTGTAATTCACAATTCTTGTAACTTTTGGCAAAGCCGTCGCACGCGTGCGAACTCCTTGCCATGAGCCTTCGATTCTCGCCTTCAACTTGGCAAAAGACCCCTCAGCCTGCTGAAAATAACGCCGCTCGAACGGATCCAAAAATCAATCCATTACCACCGGTTCTCTCAGGTTTATTCGTTGTTAATGCCAAATGGCTTTATTATTCACTTTGTAAATCTGCTACTTTTACTATGGACTATCTAATCTATTTGCAACTATTGGAGAGACCCAGCGCATTATAGGATTCCCGAGAGAAACATCTGTCAACATGTCAATGATTCCTTCAACTACCCAGCCGCTCCGAGCTCACCTTGACAGCAAACGCAACGAGTGCGCTGTACCCAGAAGGACATCGACTCGAGACCTGATTGCTGCGTCAGCTGGGGAGTCGAGGAAGACAAAAGCATCTCACCGGCACCAAGAAGGACTACGCGCTGTTGGCACGCCGCGCCGATATCAGTAAGTAACTGAGGCCATCAAGAGCGGGCTCGATGACGTACCTGTGGCTCCCGTGTGTCAGGGCTAGAGAGGACTACGCTGGGGGAATCAGAGTCTTCTTATGTACCTGCGCCGGGCGGGACATGGGCAGGAGATACTCCTAGATCGTGAGCAGGACTTCAACCGCTCACGTGACCCGGAACTTGCCAGCGAAGTCATCGGATCAAATCCTGCCGTACGGCGTCCCTCGAACCGACTCGGGACGCTCGTCCGCTCGGCAATATCACTCCCAATGTAGAGAATTGCTCAACCTGACTAAATCGAAGGCTGACCGTACTGTTGTAGGTCAGCGTGATCCTTTTAGCAGTTTTTCAGGTCCTCAGACGGCCCAGATACGCTTGCCTGGGCTCTATACTGGCGCTCAAGCCGGACGCACGCTGACCGTCATTTGACAAGCCGTCGTAAGCGTATTCCTTGTTCGTGACTGCTCATACTCCGATCTACTCTCCCGACCAGACTGCGTGACCTCGTGAGGCCCGCACTCCAAAATGCGGAATCCGCCAATTTCCTGATGAACGCACCTGCGCACTGAGAGGAAGGCCTGACGGAACACGGTGCCGGTGTATCACAGGTTGCGTAGGTCTTGATGCGACGTTCATAGTCCGTCAACGCGCTCGACAGTAAACGATCTGCAGCAGTGTTGCAGAGAATAATGCTAGTATACATGGCGCGATAGTGTACGCAACTGCGTCCGAGGTGACTATGCTACAGAATGCGTCAAAGGCAAGGGATGATGCAGAGAGAACCAAAAGAGGGAATAATACAGAGGGAGTCAAAGGAGGGGTGGTACAGAGGTGGGCCGTCAACGCTACAGGAAGGATAGGAGTCGGCGCTACAACGAGAGTAAGAGCCGAAGCTACAGAGAGTCGTAATGTCCATCAAATGAGATACGCAGAGCCTGCCTGCGACTATTCCGCGCCTGTCCGTATACGCCGTGCATGTAAGAAGAGCGACGAAGACCTGTAGAGACTGCCCGCAGTCCCACGGGCCGTTCCTGTCATCGAGATCGTATGCCGCATATGTGACGCGGCACGCTTAGCAAGCAAGGACCGCAAACTGGTTTGGCGAAGCGAACGAGGGTAGAGAAGCTTGAGAGGTATTGGCCTTTGACTGGGGTGACGTTAGCATAGCGCATGAGGGGGAATACTATGCCCGCGACGGAAGGAGAACTACGCGCGCGGAATGAGAGACGCCCGCGGCGCGAGGCGTGGGTAGAAAGCGGAACTCACCGATTTCTTGAGCGGGGATGAGAACTTCGACTCCTTTGAGCGCATCGACGACGCATCGAGTTCGTGCTTCGCGGCCTTCGGCGTCCTGGGGCACCCCTCGTCGTACTCGGAGCGGCGTTTGCTAGCCGTCGTTTGGCTTGAGGTGGATGAGATCGAGAACTTGCGAGTGGAAATCCACGAGTTCTCTGCCTTGTCGGCAGTCGTCGGCGCGGTGGGCCTGGTATACGACGGTGTGGTGGGAGTTTCCGGGATAGGTTCGAGCGCAACCGACGGGGCGCGCGAATGACGAGTTTGAACCGACGCTTGGCTGCGATTCGGATTGCTACCGGCCTGCATAAATGGTAATCAGTTGCTGCGAAGGTAGAATTCGAGCGCCGTAAAAAGACTTACCTTCCCCCTTTCCCTCAGCGCTTGCCGAAGTTCATATCTGTACGCCCTTCTTTTGCAGCGCATTCTCAAGCGTTGGTACATGATTTCGGCGTGGTTGGCCAAGTAGAACATATTCGGGCCATCCATATAGTGACCTTCAGTATCGCCGTCGCCTGCTGAGCGCGAGTTGCTATTGCCCGTCCGGCGAACCCTCCAGCGATCAGTGACGGCATGCAAGTCAATCTCATGCTTGAGGGGTATGATGTACTGGAGATGTCCGAGATGCGCGGCCTTCTGAGACCATTCTGGTGTGCTGTGCATGTGCGTGGGCTTGCCCTTCGTGAATCGTTCCTCTTCATACGTGCTGTCCCGGGAGAAGAGGATGGCAACATAGTCCTGGAGTACGGGATGGAGCTCGTCTATGTAAGCTCCTTCGAATGTGCCCATGAGAATGACCTTGGCTGTAGCCGCCCCCTTCTCGATAATGACGCAGGGTCGGATTTTAGGCCCGCCCTTATCAGAGGCGCAAGATCCAGATGCTACCGATGGACGCCGCGAAGAAGAATGCGAGAGTGCAACGCCAGGCTGCGAGCGAGAGTTCGATGAACGCGCCAAAGACCTGCAATCGAGTTTGACGCTGCGATATCCTTTCAGGGCTTCATAGAATGGTGCCAGGAGGGATATTGTGGTCATGCGAATGTCTCCTGTTGAGAGCTCCCGGCCGGTCTTGCCGCGATGATGGCTATGCGACGCAAGGGAGCAATCGGGTGTGCATGGAAAAGAGGAAGACTGAAATCCTGGCGTTGAGAGAGAGCTGGGAGTAGGAGAGGTACGAGACATGGCTGACGATACGCGAGACGGGGAGGCGGGAAAATTGAAGTAGTGATGCACCACCCAACTTGGACCTGCTTTTTATATACGGCGCGCGCCGAGACATGGTGACTATTGTTTACTTCCTTGATTGGGACAGGTCATTGCATGAACAAGAAAGAGGCGGTCCGCCCATGATGGTGGGAAGGAAGCGCCGCGATCGAACAATGGACTTACCAAATCCAGTCCCGAAGCCGATGCCGGTGCCGCGTGGTAGTGCCGGCAATCCGTCGGCTCGATCCGGGGCGGCGCCTCGTTGCATGCCTTTGTTCCTTGTCTGGCATGGACGTATTGTGTCCAATTGTATTTCGGTGATCGCCTGATTGTTTTTATATACGCGCCAGTGACAACGCAACAGCAGCTTTCTTCTTACCCTCATCATGTCCTTTCCCGACTCAGGCTCGTATTACACTTTTCATCTCGACCCAGTCGCCTCCCTGCAGGACATCGAGGACGAGGAAGTCATCGAGGCCGCTCGTGAGATACAGACGAACGTATATGTGGCCTGCACTATTGGGGTATGCGCTCGCACACTCTGGAAAGCGGGCTAGCTGACAAATTGTACAGAACGTTGGTGTCCCCCAACCCCCGCCGGCTTACGAAGTGGCAACCATCTCTCTCGTCCAGAAAGGGCTCCCAGCTGACAACGCGGGAGACTTCTTCGAGTCTCGGATGTGTGTTCCCATTCGACCGAATACCCAACACCCGGAGGGCCGCAGGCCGGCTTATTGCTGCCACCCACTGCTTTGGGATGGATGCTATCATGCCGCGCGTACGGACGTACGCATCAGAACGAAGAATCGGCCTATCAATCCTCCTCACTCTCTGAGTCCTGCCGAACGTGTAGCACTCAGTTCTTTTCTCAGGGATGATGAGGAACGAAGAGAGTGCCTGCGCGACTGTGCAGCGAAAGGACTTCCTCCTCCTCCCGCTGCTCCTAGCGGCATGGCGCTCGCTAGTGCTCAGGGCGCCGACAGAGAGATTTCCGACGTTCCTTACTGGCAAATCCTGGCCGCAGAGGAAGAGGCCGAGCGTCTTGCTTGGGGAGACGTCGACAGTGCGTATTCCGAGTCCGAGGCCACTGGTTACTCGGGTGAGGGTGACGACGCGTCTTCGGCTGGCTCGTCGCATACCGGTGGTGACGCAGAGGGTGGCGTCGCAATGGACGCTCAAGCTGCCAACGCTATTGCCGAGGTCGAGGACGACATTCTCGCTGCCCTCACCTACCGCGCGGACCTGGGCAACACCTCGCCGGTCATTGTACCGCTTTCCTACGACTTGAGCACCTTGCCCGCGCCTCCTTCGCCTACTGGATTCATGGAGGAGTTGAGCGCAATCAGGAAGTGAGTGCGACGAGTTTGTAGAACGACGGTGCACTCATCTACTACTGACAGGATACGGTCGGACTACGAAGAACGCGTCCGACGGCTCAAAGAAGAGGTCCAGCGCCGCGACGACGAGTACATGGCGAGCATTCAGGCCCGCCGTACCGAAGAGCCTTCGGTACAGTCCAAGCGGCCGCTCCTCGGAGGTTTCGTGCCATTCACAAACAAAGTGAAGGCGCGCCTGGGTGCGTTTGACGTGCTCTCGTGTTGCTCGTTTACTGACGCGGATGACCATAGTGTCTTTGCGCCGTAGGTCCGTGTCGCCGGCGAGCAGCTCGACGTCGAAAGTGAAACCAAGGACACTGAGGTTGCTGATGTTCTCGTCTGTCTGGAAGCGCTCGAAGTCGTGAACGTTCCGGATGGGCTGGTCGTTGAGGGTATACCCAAAATTGCTTCGCCGGACGAAGTTGACATTGCGATTTACATCAATTACCACGATCTTTCATACCTTCTCTATATGCTATTGTATATTGGATCAACCTATGCCGCACACACTCGAAGTCTATTCTGTTTGATCTGGCGTAGTCGGCAGCCGGCGCTTCCGTTTGGTGATGCAGGTGACTGGCTGACCGTACGAGTACCTTTATGCTGTAGTACATGGTCTACCGGCGCTGAACTCTTAGGCACGGACGTCCGTGGCGACGCACGAATACTGCCAAATCGGGAACAACAACACGGGGCTCTGTGGCAATGCGCCGGCACGGCCCGGGACCGGGTTGCGACGGCGCACTCCTTTGTTCCTTTCCTTGTCTGGGAGGACCGTGTCGTGCCCAATTGTCTTGCGGGAAGCGCCCAATGGCTGATTTATACGGCCAAATGGCAACGCAGCGACTCCTTCTTCCGTACTCTCATCACTGCTGCAAACATGTCTTTCCCTGATAACGGCGCGTATTATACTTTCCATCTGGACCCTGTCGCCTCCCTGCAGGATATCGAGGACGAGGAAGTCGCCGAGGCCGCTCGCAAGCTATCACCCCAGGCTTATGTAGCCTGCACGATCAAGGTGCGCAATGCCCCGCTTCGATGGCTTCTGGAAGCTGACAGCCTTCAGACCATGGGCGCCCCCCAACTCCCCCCAGCGTACGAAGTCGCGACTATCGCTCTCGTTCAGCAGGGCCTCCCGCCTGATAGTCCTGGGGAATTCCTTGAATCGCGAATGTGTGTTCCCATTCGACCCAACACCCAACACCCAGACGGCCGTCGACCTGCTCACTGCTGCCATCCGCTGCCTTGGGATGACTGCTATCATGTCTCTTTGCACAGCACCCGCGTGCGAGTCAGGACCGACTGTCGAGACGAGGATCCTCCTTACTCGCTGGGCTCTCCCGAGTGTGTGACGCTCAGGTATATGTTTCAAGACGATGAGCAGCGCCGAGAACTCCTGCGCGATTGTGCAGCAAAGGGCATTTCACCACCGCCCCCTGCTCCTAGCGACATGACGCTCGCCTGCATTGACGGTGCAGACAGGGAGCGTTCAGATACTCCTCACTGGCAGATATTGGCTGCTAGGCGGGCGGAGCGCCTCGCTAAACCTCCCCTCCCGCTGCACGTTGAGATTGACGAAGATTGGGACGCTGAGACCGACTACTCCGATGCCAGTGACTACTCAGAAGGTGGGAGCGCCAACCTCGGCAACCCGCCACCTGCTTCTGGTCCGACCCATACCGTGAATGAGGCACACGAGGACGAAGCGACGAACACGCCGGTTCCGCTGGTCGACAACACCGCGGACGGCGACAACGATCTACTCGCTCTCTTCACTCAACGCGCTGACTCAGGTGATGTGTCCCCGGTTATCGTGCCTCTTTCCTACGACCTGAGCACTCTCGCCGCACCGCCTTCGCCGACCGGGTTTAAGGAAGAGCTAAGCGCCATCAGAAAGTAAGTGCGTTAGATCTGGAGTGAAGCAGTACCTTGATTGTTTGTTAGGATACGAGCGGATTACGAGGAACGTATGCGACGGCTGAAAGACGAGGTCCGCCGCCGCGACGACGAATACTACACGGCAGCCATCGAGGCGCGTCGTAATGAGGCCCGTCCGACGCAATTTAAAAGGTTGATCCCCTCAAGTTTCGTGCCCCTCATCGGCAGGATGAAGGCTCGCTTCTGTGAGTCTGACAGCCTTGTTACTTTTTGTCTACTAACGTGTCAATGGCCTCAACTTTCAAGGCTCTCTGCGCCACATATCTGCATACTCTGCGAGGAAATCATTTTCGAAAGTGAAGCCGAAGAAGCTGGAATTGCTGATCTCCTCGTCTACTTGGAGGAATTCGAGGATGTGAGGCTTGCGGGTGAATTTGTTTCGCGGCTGCAAAAATGTACTTCACAGGCCGAAGCTGAGCTAATAGAATACCATCAAAACTATCTGTGGTGCCCTTGGCTTAGACTTGCCACGTCGAGGAAGAGATGTGATACTCACGGGGTTTGCCGCAGCGCGTCGAAGGAATGCGCCTTGTACCGCGTTGTTTGCGCATCTTTGTCCCGACGCGTTGATTGTCTCACGTGATCCCCCTTATATAGGGCTCGCGCGTCAGAGGCGGACGATCAATCTTGATTCCGTACCACCATTCCCCCCTCCCGCGAAACCTAAGAGGCCTCCCCACAGTATCAACATGGTGCGTGCAATGGCGTAGGGTCAAGGGTATACAGCTGACTTTTTGCGCGCGTACAGAGCGGCAAAGGTGTGGCGCATAGTGGCTTGGGGGAAGGGGAGGAATGGCTAACTGGCGATGATAGGAAAGTCCGGAAAGACCTCTGGTGGAAAGGCCGGTGGTGACGCGTCGAAGGCGCAGTCGCGCTCTTCGAAGGCTGGTGAGTAGGTTTTCGGGGGGAAGTAGGGACGCGTGCTGACGCGATGTAAACAGGTCTCCAGTTTCCCGTCGGTCGTGTCCACCGTCTCTTGAAGAAGGGGAACTACGCCCAGCGTGTGGGTGCTGGTGCGCCTGGTGAGTAACGAATACTCAAGAAAGTGATCGAAAGCTAACATTCCCCTCAGTCTACCTCGCCGCCGTCCTTGAGTATCTTGGTACGCGCCCTCACAACATTTACCCCTATATCCATCGTCTTACCTTCTTCCCTCAGCTGCTGAGATTCTTGAGCTCGCTGGTAATGCTGCTCGCGACAACAAGAAGCAGCGTATCGTGCCCAGGCATCTCCAGCTTGCCATCCGTAACGATGAGGAGTGCGTCGAGCCCCATATTCCCCTTAACTCAATTGACATTCCCCTCCTCCAGGCTGAACAAGCTCCTCGGCGACGTCGTCATCTCCCAGGGCGGTGTCGTCCCCCATATTCAGGCCGAGCTTCTGCCTGCCAAGTCCGGGTACGTCTCCATCTTATATTGCTTACTCAGCCTGTGCTAACGTCCGATGCAGCAAGTCGAAGGAGAAGGACGAGGAGTAAACGCCTCTCATGTCTTCCCCCTTGCACATTCTTATGCTCTAGCCGTCTCTATATTATCGCGTCGGTTATCCTGTTGTCGTATGCATGTAACGTGTATTCCTATCGCCTCTGCCCTATACATGTTGTGCCATCGCGCTCGCACATCGACTCGACGACTTGAAGTTCACATCATTCTCTCAGAGAAGACCGGTGAGTTCTTATCACATCACACGGGAGCGAGGCGGGGCAGAATGTGGCGGTCCGCTGACCCGCGTATGACGGGCCGCCAACGTCAACCCACAAGGTACTTATACAGAGCTGGACCGCGAGCGCATGCGACTGACGTTCTTTCCCCCACTGCGGCTGACGAACCCTCGAAGGCGACTTGCTACCGGTACCGTCTGAACCTACCTGAATCCTGCGCACCCTCTGCTTGAGTACTTGCACTGCGCATCATGTCCCTCGATCCCTTGTCCACCGTCGTCACCGCGCTCAAGCGCGAACAACTCATCCCCGATGTCCTTCCCGAGACATTCTATCCCTCTGGTGTCTTCTCTATCGTGTTCCCAAGTGGGAGGAAGGTTACGATCGGTGCGTTGGGTTTCGTCTTGCATCATCCGATCCCTTTCCGCGTTACTCCCTCTCGCATTTCCAACCCTCTCACGTCTCCATCCCCACTCATATTTCCGTCCCTCTCGCCTGATTCATCCCCTATCCGCATATATATCTCTTTCGTATATCAACGACTTACATGGCCCGCCAACAGGCGAAGAGATCCCCCTCGAAGACACGGTCGATGAGCCCGATATCATCTTCTCCCCCATGAGCGTCGCCGAGCCGGGCACGGGCGAGATTCGTGCAGGAGCGGCGGCGCAGGAGGCGACGTACACGCTTGTGATGCTCGACCCCGACGCGCCATCGCGCGAGAATCCGCAGTTTAGGTCGTTTAGGCATTGGGTGGTGAGTATTGCGCGGCTGTTATCATACTTGAGTAGTTGAGTGGATGGATGATGTGGAAGGACTGTGATGCTGAACGGATACCATAGATCACAGGCCTCAAAGCGCCTGCCGCCACCTCTGCCACGACGAACAATCTCGCGGCGCTCAAGATGAAGACCGCCACGACGCCATACCGGCCACCTGGTCCTCGCCCGGGTAGTGGGTTGCATCGCTACAGTGCGTAGTCGTCTCCTCCTTTCTTCGCTCCCCCCTTCCTGTATCTTCTCCGGTACTTCCTTCTCTTCGCATACCTCGGACTAGGAGACCAAGAAGCGGCTGACAGACTAACCTCGCCTACACGAACTAACCCCACCATCCCAGCCTTCCTCCTCTTCCAAGAGCCCGCCGCGGACTCGTTCGCCATACCCGAAGGAGCGCCAGAGTACGGCTCCGCTCTGGAGGAGCGCCGCAGCTGGAACGGGGTGGAGTTTGGGGAGAGATACGGGCTGAAGCTCGTCGCGGCGAATTTCTTCTTGATTAGGTCGGCGCCGGCGGAGGCTTGAGCGACGAGGTCGCTGTTGAATGAGGTTTCAAGCATGGATAGTATCGGGTGTATGCACGAAGAGGATCAGGTGTATGCACGAATAGGCTCAGGTGTATGTACGAATAGGATGCGTTGCGGATTAACCAAAATCTAGTATGAACTATAGCGGGTACTGTATTATAGTCGAACGTCTAGGTGGTCCATAGGTGACAGATCAACCTTTCTTGTCGAAGTACTCGGACACGCGGTCAATCAGGTCTGCCTTCTTGCCCGAGACTGGCAGACTCTTGCTCTTCAGGAATTCCTTGAGTTGGTCGACGCGAAGCTGAGAGAAACAGTTCAGCGCAGCACGTAGAATGGCTTACAAACTGTACACTCACCTTGCTCATCGTATCATTGTCGTACTTGGCGCGGATCTCGGCTTCATCGACGCTGGTGTCCTGAGCGTGCATAGTCAGGGCAGAATCCTCTCCGAAGGGTCATTATGTACTCACCGCTTTCCGCTTGGTCCCCGCCTTTGCCACCGGCGCTTCGACGACGTCCGCGCTGTCATCCATGACAAGGGCTTCCTTCCAGGTCTTTATCAAGGAGCCGATTTTCTGAACACACTCCGTGGTCAATTTAGTGATGCGCTCTCAGAACCTATCCACTGACCTTGTGCATAGAATCGTACGCAGGCAAGGTCTGGTCCTCAAACTCGCTGGGGTCATACTCTTCGCGGAAAGCACTGGCTTGAAGTTGTTCGTTGTGGTACGCCAGTGCTATAACGGATATGAGCGTCGCTATGTGGCATTCTATCACAGGGACGCACCTGGATTAGGATAGCTGTCCGGCGGATAGCCGCCCTTCTTGATGGTAATCTTGTGTATGAAGGGCATAGCGGCCTCCATCAACGGCCTTCCAGCTACAAGCGGGTTAGCACGCAGCTCCGGCGCAAGCACTCTGCAGTCGATACGCAGTACACCACGCGACGTACCTCGATACCCCTTCTCCACCGTCGCCTGCCTTATATCATCCGCAAACGGCAAGGGGATGAGATGGAAGCCCGCCGGCTCCGTCCACCCCGCGTCGTCCGTCTGCTCCATCTGCGGCACCATGGCGCAGAACGTCGGCGTTGCATTGCGGCGCGTAAGGACGCGGACGAGGCCGATCTTGTTCTTCTTGACGAGCGATCTGAGCAGGGCGCTGAAGGTGCGCTTGCTGCCGGAGTAGGCCTGAGGGCGTGTTAGTTATGATCCTAGTCATAGTCGGAAGACGTCGGAGGGCGAGGGCTGAAGTGCAAGAAAAAATACGCACAAGCTCATCCGGATAAATAAAATGCGAGTGCTTGATGTTATCCTCGAACGCAAGCGTGTCCGCGTCCTTGAAACCTAGGAGCTTTATGCCTGGCTCCAGGCCAAGCGTCCGGAACTTCTTGACCTCTTCGGCGGTGTAGAAGGGCTAGAGACGCAGTGTCAATGTTCAATTTCGCTTACGACCCTACACACGCCATCGAGCTCAGGTTGAAAAGCATTACTCACTCTCTCGCCCGCTTTCACCAGCCGCATGACACTGGGGTCAAAGTTCGAGCTCGTCTTCCCTGCCGCGGCTTCCTTGTCGCCGCCCAGGTCCATACCGAAGAGGATCTTGGTCTTGTCGATCTCTCTGTCAGTGTGCTATGAGAGGGTGTGTAGTTAGTAAGTGCAATGCTGATACTGAGGTGGCGTGTACTAGAACTGAGGCAGTGGGAAAGACTTACCTGATTGACATATAACGTCCGACTCTCCGCGACCTTGATCCCATTTTCTGTTTCAGCAAAGTAGCGGTACGCGCCCTTCTTTTGCTCAGTGACAAGGCCGTAGCTAGTTGACCGGTGAGTCCAATATCTACGCTTCAGAGCGAGGCGCTCACCCCTTGACACCAATGACGAAGTCCTGACCGAGCTCTAGAGGTATACTGAGGAGTGCATAAGCATTTTTCCGGACTGCAAGCGGATACTTTGCTCGCCTGAACTGCGCCCTCTTCGGCACCTCGTGGAACCGCATCTGCGCGAGCAGGTCCTCTATCCGAGATATGCTGATCGCCTCGTTGAGGACTGACGGGTTTGAGGGGTCGTGGTCCTCGTCGTCGTCGACGAGGTTGTTGGGGAGGAGGACGGCCTAGACAGCAATTAGGTCGAAACTCCCGGGTGAAGGGAAACGAGGATGCATACCCGATAGAACTTAGACACGTCGAACGGCTTGTCCTCCGTGCTGATGAAGAACGGCTCGACGGCAACGCCTGATTGTGCGAGGTCCACAAGTGTTGTCCGTGCACTAGTTAGCAGCTGTCTGTTGCCATGCCCAGGGTGCGGGTTGTCTTGGTTCGTAATTAGGAAAACGCGCTTGGTGGCGGTCTTCGGTGCGCTGGGAACAGTCATGAACATATTCATGGTTAGGTGAAACGGCCCGACTTACCCATCTCGCAATATCCAGTTCGCGCTGGTGAAGACGTCACCCATAGCCACGTATTTGTCCTCGACGGGCGGAAACTCCTCTCGTAGGGTGTTATTGTCCTCGCGGAACGCTGCGCAAGGTAAACCTGTGAGGTAATCCGATAGAACAAGTCAAGCCACCTTACCATTCAGCAATTGTATGAGCTCCTGTATACTTGGCGCGCTCAGAGGGCCGATAGGCTGGTACAAATATGTCCCTTTCTTGATGTCGGATCCTTGCTGTCCTTTCGCACCGCGCCTCGTCTGTTCGCAACCGTCAGCCACACTTTCATCCTCCAGCCACTTCAGACCACCCACCGTATTGAACAACATAATCCCAACCTGATCATTCGGCCCCACAATGATCTTCTTCTTCTGTATCTGCATCGCCGCGTCCAATGCCGTGAACAAGTGGCACGTCTGCGCGTCCTCGTACTCCGGGTCCTCGTACAGCTCAAGCATGCTCTCCGAGCAGTCTATGCAAAAGAGGATGACGTCCCGCTTGCCCTCGAGCCACTGTGGAATGGTGGACGGTGCCAATTAGCCCTCGGTTATTTTTCCGACTTTGCGGCCAAGACATACTGAGGTATCTTGCAGCTCCTCTTCTTCCTCTTCCTCGATGCGGTTCCAGTCGTCATACGGAGACATGATATGTTATCTCGGAGGATGCCAAGGGTGGCGGCACGCGGATGAGTGTACGAGTGTAAGAGTCAAGTCAACAATGGCCAAGCACGGTCCCGGCACACGCGTGACGCGTGGCGTCATGTCATGTGACGGTGTCCCATGTCCCCGTGGCCTCCTCGTGCCTCAAGTTGAACTCCTCCCTCTCGCTCACGGCAACTCTCCAGCCGGTATTCCCTTTCTTTCCTAGCCGCACTCTGTCATCCGCTCATGTTCCGCGGCAGCCGATCAACCACGCATGCAGATATAGACGCAGATTGCGTGTGCAGACAATACAGTATTCGACCCCATGACCCTCCTTCGTGCATGTACGCGCGGTATAGTAAGACAACAGGAAGCCCGTGATAATCTCTTTGATATGCTACAGCTTCTCAGCATCGCCCCGACGCTCCTTGGAGCGCGACAGAAGGATGAGCGCCCCAGAGGTCAGGGCGAATAGGAATGCAAACCAGGGCACGATTGCCACCACGCGCACTGGAAAACAAGTCAGCAGGGCGATACCAAGCGATAGGCGAAACACACGGTAGAGCTTGTCTTTGTAAACAGGCGAAAGGCCCGCAGCTTGTTGGATCTGCTGGACGACCGATGGCGGGACGGTGATGCTGCCGATGTGCGCGGTAACCTTCGCGCTGCGGTTCGCGTAGAAGACGTCGAAGGGCACTAGCGAGGCGAAGATGAAGGTGGCGCAGAAGAAGAAGAGTGGGGCAACAAGGCGCTGGGGAAGCGACCTGAGCTTGGGCAGCGCGATCGCGATCATGGAGAGGAGCGAGAGGGCGGCGGTGAGGCCACAAGCAACCGTGACAGCGATACCGGCGTTGAGGATGTCTGTTGGGGATCCACGCTCAGTTCGACGCCTTGTGGGTTGGCGCAAGCGGCGACTTACCTGTGAAATCGACCTTGACGGTGGTGCCCGTAGGCGCCGCCGCTTTCACTGCGGCCTTCTCATCATCCGACTTCTCCAGGGCATCGACAGCTGAGGAGCATATCAGCGACCCGCCCAGGTGTAGCATACATGCACTCAAGCAGAGGATCTATCAACTCCAGCATAGCATATATGCACTCACCAAGCGCGAGCCCAACAATACCGAACACAAACGACAAGAACAACGAGACGAGCAGCGGAAGTCTCAGCGGCGTCGTCCGGCGAGGAGACGAGACCCGCTCCTCGGACACCGGTGAGGTCGTCGTGGACGCGTTGTTCTTTTTGAGGGACGTGGACATCGTGATAGGGGGACGTGGGGGACGAGGTGGACGTTGATGGACGGTCTTGAAGTCGTCAACTCAGTCGTCTCCTAGCCGGTCAAGGGGGGAAGACGAGGAAGGAAAACCGGATGGCTGCCGGCGCCCTTTAAGTACCGCGCGCCCCAGGCGTCAGTCACGCGCGCCGCGTCTCAATTGACAGCCCCCGCGCGGACGAAATGTCCATGGTGTCATGTCAGCCTATTGACCGACCAACGGGGGCATTGTGTGACCCTGTGGGGGGCCTCACAGAAAGTTTGTGTTGTCAGCCGAAGGGCGTGGTGTCAGCCGAAGAGCATGGTGTCAGCCGAAGAAGATCTCAATTACCGCCCGAGAAGATCTGCCCGCCAGCCAATAGAGCGCCCCCGAAAGCGTCAGGGCGTCCAGTGCAGAGTGGTGTACGTAGGGAAAGTTGAGCAGGGCACCTCTGAGAGAGCATAGGCAGGCCAGAAGAGCGTAGGCAGGCTAGGGACGTCGAGTAAACAGGGCACCGAGCCACACGGTCCATCCCCAAGCACAATTTTTATATTCCCCAACCCCAACGCGCGGGCGGGCCAGTCGCGTCCAGTCCGCCGCCGACGACAGGAGCACAGAGTGGATGGAATTAGTCCTCCGGCGTAGCGTCGATCTCGATGCCTCGGAAGTTGTCCAGGCGGCCGCCTCGGAAGTCGCTCAAGCGGCGGGCGCGGAGCGGGATATTGACCGACGGCGGGGAGGCAATTTCCACGCGGAGAGTCGAACTTCACGCGGGAGAGCAGACACCATACGCGCGCGACGCCCCGTAGCAAGTGGGTGAACTTTTGCGTCCATTGAGGGCCGTTCCCTGTCCAGGGGATAGAAGTTACCGGTCGAACGCGTCTAGGGCAGTCAGAACAGCGACGAGGTAGACCGGTAACACGGTCCCTCTTACCTCGCTTTCCTCGTCAGAGGGACCGGTAAAATCCTCGGAAAAGTTGGCGTGGATGAACGATGTCGTCATTGCCGTTCCCAAAAGGCGAGTTTCCTTTTCCAGCGCTCTCGGAAGGCGGTCCGCCAGTTCCGACCACCCGACCGACTGCCTCAGTTCTGAGCGAAGACACCAAAGTTGGGGCATCTCTTGTATGCAGAGCTCGGGGACATAACCGAGTGATGGAGTACACATCGCTTTGTATTGATGGTGCTCCAAGTCAAGTGTACGGGCTTGTAGAGCGCCTTCGGCGTGCCAAAGCAGTGACTAGCAGTCTGACATGCGGTAACTCACGCCTAGGAGGCGAAGGTGTAAGTGTTGTCAGCCGTGGAATACCTGAAATCTGTTCTAGGGGTCATATATTCCCTCTGAGAAGTGCTTTCCGATGTAGATGGATGCAATACACAGGCCAAGTCGTCGACGAAGGGGCAAAAGCTCAAACGCTCGAAAAGGCAACTTCGCCATTTCGGGAAGAAAAGCGTGACCATTATGACGACATCGTTCATCCACGCCAACTTTTCCGAGGATTTTACCAGGCCCTCTGACGAGGAAAACGAGGCAAAGAGGGGCTGGTCACCAGGCTAGCGACGAGGGAAGGCAGAATACAAGACGAAGATCATTTGCGGCGCTAGGGCGTATTGGCCGAAGAACGCGCGTCGGGCAGCAATGGGAATTCCCACCAGAGTTCCTGGCCGGAAGGACCCTTTCCTCGACGACCACGCGGGTGTCTGCCTCCGTCGGCGCTGGCCCTGAGGGTCGCACCCACGTCTGAGGGCCGCCCGCAACCGCGTCTCGCCCGCGGCCAGGAAGAAAATCTCACTGCCGACGCTTCAGCGACACCGCGTTCCCAGAGCAAAGCAAAATATTATACACTCATAGAATACAGGTATCGTCACAATCAACCAGCAAAGTCCAGATAATCCCTGTTCGCCCCGCCCCACGACGTCGCTGGGCCCGAGCCGTATGGGTCGTCCAATACGCCTGTGACGCCGCCGGTGGGCCCCTCCGCCTGCTTGTACGAAAACTGGGTTTCGAACTTGGCTTTGAGGACGCTGACGACGGCGAGGAGCTGCGTGCAGGCTTGCTCGAGAGCGATCTCGGGCGTGATCGTGCCGTCGGTCTGGATACGGAGAAGGAAGTAGGGCTCGAGGGGGTGGGGAACCTTGTAGCCGGCGAAGAGGACTTGGGGGTTGTTCAGGAGTTGGCTGTAGGGAGTTGTCATAAGGTGTGATGCTAGTCGAGATTAGAAGAGGCGACGCACGAGCGGAGCATGTTGGCGAGGGTGTGATCTTGCTTGACGATCTTCACCGTAACGGCGTTAGGAACCTTGGTGTCCTCGTTGACCTCAAGGCTAGGGGATTTGAGGACGACGAGGATGCGAAAGATGAGAATGACATACAACTTCTCTTCGTCCTCGAGGACATATAACTCGTAACGATTAGGTTGATTCATGGTAACTGAGGGAACGATGAGCAAATGAAGGCTATGATCGGACAAGGCGAAGGATCATTGGGTTGAAGATATAATGCATTCCGCACTGTACGTTGTACTCGGTGGATTGACAGATTATGGTTTCTAATCATGTGGGGAAGAAGTAGGCAGCGAAGCTCACCTTAAAGATGCTCGGAAAGCGGATGGGTATGCTGGTGATCGTAAAAAGGACGAGGACAACCTCAGGCAGGTCGTGAAGCTCAGACGAAGTGGGGAGGAGGCGCCCTCAGGTCACTCTTTCACACGCGCACAAAATCTGAAGGATCAAGTTAGCGGAAGTTCGGGATCTGGACGATGAAGAAGGGTCATAAAGCCATGCATGTTTGTCGCGGTCATCGATGCACTTCCGCAGACGAGGGGTATGTTGTAATCCTGAGTAGGGGGAGGGAGATGTACTCACATATTGTTCTCGAATACTGACACTGCACGCAACCTAGACAAGACGCGTCAGCGGGCGAGCTCTACAGCGAGTGGAAGGGGGATCAGCCATGAAGGTTGAGATCATGAACGCGTTCATCGACAATAAATATGGCTCGCAAGCCCATCCTGCAAACGCCAACGGGAAGGTGTACATACCTGCAGTGGTGGCCTTGCGCAAGGCGCGTCCACTGCGAAAAATTGCCGCTTGGACGCCCGTCACGCGCGTGACAAAACGTGACTGCGTCACCCAGTCCTCATCGGACGTCCCGATTGCAGGCCAAGTCAAGCACCCGCCCACCACTCCTCAAGGTACGCCGAACTGCTGCCCCCCTGCCCCTCCGCATCGTGCTCGACGCTCCCCACGCTGCCGTCTGTCGCTCGAACAAAGCGAAACGAGCGAGATCTGCGCTGGATCGGTGTCCTGCGCCTCGGATACACTCCCATACACGAAAACTTGGACACTTGCTCATTCGCGCCCCCCAGATGCCGACGCGGTTCTCCAACACAAGAAAGCACCGCGGCCACGTCTCCGCCGGTCACGGTCGCGTTGGCAAGCACCGCAAGCACCCGGGCGGTCGCGGTCTCGCTGGTGGTCAGCACCACCACCGGTGCGTTTGCCTTCCCGCTTTCCTGCGACCCCCCTTGGCTGATTTGCCGCGATCTACAGCACGAACTTCGACAAGTACCATCCTGGTTACTTCGGAAAGGTCGGTATGCGCTACTTCCACCTCACGCGCAACCAGTACTGGAAGCCTACGATCAACGTCGACAAGCTCTGGACGCTTGTGCCCGCGGCGGAGAAGGAGGGCTTGACGGAGAGCTCGGATGTTGTGCCGGTCATCGACACGCTCCACCACGGCTACGGCAAGGTGCTTGGCAACGGCCAGCTACCAAAATTGCCTTGCATCGTCAAGGCCCGCTTCGTCTCCGCGAAGGCCGAGTACGTGTTCATATGCTTTGAAGAGTACAAGGTACTGACGGCGGTCGCAGGAAGAAGATCAAGGAGGCTGGTGGTGTTGTTACGCTTATTGCATGAGCGTTGTTGTATCCTGCATCTTATCTTCCACCTCTATGTGTATGCGCCCCCACATGAATCGATTATGCACGCATGCTTCAGCACCAGCATTGTACCAAAATTTCCCCGCGCGCTGAGTCCTTCGTGATCAAATCCCAAAATCGGCAATCCGAAAGGCAAGTCCTTCGTCAAGTTGGGATTCATCAGTACACCCGTCTTTTCGTAAACAAACATCCAGGTAGGTGCGTATAGATAGTCGTAACAAAGCATTCTGACAGGCGGTATACGGTATACGGTACAGTACAATGTTCATCAGTATATCATTCACTTCGAATCCAGCACGTCCAGCACCGACTCGCTCACTACCTTTGGTGGCAAAAGCAACCGCTGCTCGATCGTCCCATTATCCGACCCGGTTCCGTCCCTTCGCGTCGTGCACTTCAGGCCGAGCTCCGTCGTCGCGAGTACATGTCCTCGGGAGACGCTGACATCCCCGAAGACGTCTGCCATGATGCGTCCGTTGAAGACGTCGCCGTAGCCGACGGATACGATGTCGAAGTTCGTGGACATGATCTCCTCGCGCATAACATGCTCGAGGCGGGACACGCAGCGCGCGATGCGGCGGATGTGGTCGCCGAAGCGCGATCGGAGGCCCTCGCGAGATGATACGTGCGGGTCGGAAGTACCAGCGACGGTGAGAATGTCGCAGGTCCAGCGGATGATGGTTTCGGTCATCTCGTTGACTGAGTACTCGGTGAGGGTGGGGTATAGGGAATGGATGTGGCGGTGGGCATATGAGCGCCAGCGGCTACTTGTCGGCTGAGGCTCTAGAGAGAGAAGTCAGCGAGGCAGTTGCAAGAAGGGAACGGGTCGACGCACCAGCAACGTATATGTGCGAGTACAGCTGCGACAATATCGTGTCTCCCTTTTGGGGGAAGCCGATACAAAAGGAAGAGAGGGCGCGGATGATGCAAGTGACGACGCATGCCTGGACTGCCAATTGTACGAGTAGAGGATCCTGCGAGTGGTCCTTTGTAGCCAAAATTCGTGCCATGTTGGAACCAAGGCGGGCCGTGGTGTCCTGCAATGCCGCAGCCGAGCTCTTCGTGAGCGATGTGATACCGATAGACTTGCCAAACGGACACAGCTCTGCCGCGCTAGCAGCGAATTGCAATATTTCCGAGTTCAAGTCCTGCACGGACTGCAAAATCTGCGCGCCGGACCAGGAATCCGTCCGAGTCATGTAAATCTCCATGCTGCGATGTCGCGCATCGAGCTCTGCGTCGTCCACGTCGTCCTTATCCGCCGCACCGCGACTCTTGTGGTGCGCATGGTGTGTAGAAGACGTGGCAGTGCGCATGGAGGACGCCGAGCCGCGCTTACTGCGCGAGAGGGCGCGTCCACGCTCGCGCTTGAGCGCCTCGATCTCCATGTCGCGCGAGCGTAGCGCCTCCCGGGTGTCCCGCAGACTCTTCTCGAGCGCCTTGCAGCGCTCCTGGAGGCGGTCGACCTCAGTCTGCGAGCGCACCAGGTCGGACCGGGTCCCATCGTTATCAGGCCGCCGCATCGAATGACTCGGGACTGTCTTGCGCGCCACGATGGCTGTCGGGGGAGAGGAAGTAGGAGGACGTGGTGGGGGCGAAAGAGATCGAGGTCCGGACGACTCGCGAGCTTGTTCACGTAACGGGGGTGGCGACGGAGTACGAGCGCGGCTCAGGGTCCTGTGCGCCTCTACAGTATCGCTATCGGAGACTGTATCGGAGAGGTTCTCGCTTGCACCCGCGCTTGTTGTGTTTGGCAGGCCAAAGTCCGAATCAGGGGTGCGAAGCGCGAAGAACTCGACGGTCGACTGGACGATTTCCTTCATGTTGAAGAGGTTAGCGAACGAGAACATGCGCGGGGGAATAGAGCGACAGGTAAAGCTGTGGAAGAAACGCACGATTCCTGTGGACCAGCGCCTATGAGCCGAACTTGGGCCCTACTGCCGTTTGTGCGGTGCTAGTGTTGGCCTGCGAAGGTTTGGCGCAAAAGGGAAGACCACGCTGCGGCCTCGTTGCCGGCCTGCATGCGCATCAACTTCAGGATCAGCTGTAGCAACCACGCGGGACGCACTTCGTACCCACGGCTTGTGTCCGCAAGAGGATGAAGGGTCGATGGGAAGGTGCTTCGCGCCCTTTGTCGTCACCTGCAGCCGCTCAGGTTCGTAATCAAGGTGATGGTTTGGGACAAGGAGGAAAGGTGGCGACGCGGTCACCTGCCCACACTGCGACCTAAAGGCCAATCTCGCGTTGCCTTCTTCGTTCATCTTGATTGCCACGCAGATCGTAAAGCCTTCAGTCCGGGGTCTGAAGCATGTGCGAGATAGAGGAATGCGCGAGACTGCCGAATGAATCAGTGACCTTCGTGAAGAACAGCATGCCGGACGATCCGGACCGGTTCTAGCAGCACTTGTCCTGAACGACCACTGAAGTCCGTGTTCGGTGCATTCATCCTCGTCACGATGTCCAGTACCATCACCTTCAATGTCAGTCCTTGAGCAATCGCACATCGATAACAGTCTTCTGAGCCCATCGACAGACCTTGACGGGCTTCTTCGTTCACGAGGACATTGGCGCCGACTCTGCTGCGATAGGCGCGGTACGTGGCGTCTACTCACACACACCTACTCTATCTGATATCGCCTCAGGTCCCCCCACGATTCGGTTTGAAGGATGACTCGAGCGATCGCTGGCGAAAGCTCCTCTCACACGTCCACTACCTGAACGCCACCGCCGAGGATGGCGCTCTTTACAAGCTCTTCATCCTCGGGAGGCACGGACAAGGCTATCGTACGTGACTGTCGTTACCTACGTTCTGCTAAACCTAATTACTGAGCTATCACAAAGACAACCTAGCTGAATCAAAGTACGGCACGAAGGCCTGGGACGAGTAAGCTGCCGCCACCCGCGTCTCTCGAAATCCTGAAGCGAATGCCTTTCGCACGGCAGTTACTGGGCGAAGCTTAACGGCGACGATGAAATTACGTGGGGGCGTGAGTACAGTCGGCTCACCTTCTAAATTCCATTTCCCTCTCTTCATCAGCCTCCCTTCCTTATTTTCGTATACTGAGACGACCCTGCAGCCGACCCGGAACTCACGCCGCTTGGCAAGAATCAGGCGCGCGATGTCAACGCTATGTGGAAGCAGGAGATCCAAACTGGCATGCCGCTACCGTACTTTCTCTACAGCAGCCCCTTCACTCGTGCCCTGCATACGCTGCGCATAACATTCGGCGACTTCCTGTGTCAGACACCGAGGCCGTTGGTTCTGGAGGTATATTGATGTTTTCGTCCAAGTGGCCTCGCGCTTCCTCTCGATCTCTCCTGATCACACTTTACAAGAACTGCCGCGAAGTCTCCGGCGTCCACACTTGCGACAAACGGCGTACGCGGTCGTACATCGCATCTGCGTTTCCTGAGGTCGACATCGAGGATGGCTTCACCGAGGAAGATGAGTATTATGATGACGATGTTCGAGAGCCTCCCGAGAGCGTCGTTGCGCGGGCACGAGCGGTGCTCGTGAGGATTTTTGAGGACCGGGAACGTGAATGTAAGAGTTTTATGTCATCTTCACTGTCGAGGACCTTTCGTTCGATCCGACCGCGAACACTTACTACTGACTACAGTCATCTCCATCACAGCCCATGGAGGCTGGATCAACGCCTTCCTGACCGCAGTTGGAAGGGCGCACTTCGCGCTCCCGACGGGTGGTAAGTGGGCTGCTTGCATCCTCTTGCGTGTCGAGATTTGAATTCAGATAACTACTTCTAGGTGTCCTCCCTCTGATCGTCAAGTGTACGAGTATGTAGATTGTACGAGTACAACGGCAAAGGGCGATGGTACTGATTGACTCATGTTGACTAGCCTGCGTGAGTGCCTTAGGAAACCAGTGGGCGTCCACACAGCGATGAGGGCGTATGGCAGAGCAATCAGTCACAGTCCCTCTTAGCTCAGTGGTAGAGCGCTTCACTAGTATTGCCATTCAAGGTTTGCAAATGAAGAGGTCAGTCGTTCAAGTCGGCTAGAGGGAATTCTGAGTTGCATGCCCGTGGACTCTTTTTTTGCACTTCGCTTATGGTCTTCCGTCCTTCCTTGCGGCCCTTTTTCTGACCCAGAGGCCAAGTTCACCAGACGCGTTCTCCATCACAGGGATTACCCCACAGTCCTCCATCTACCGTCAGAGTCACTGTGCTTGCAGCGACCACGCACGTGCGTCGCGGCCCTTGCCACTTGCCACCATTGTGCCCGCTTCGATGGGGATTACCCCTTGATAGATCCAGCCCCCGGTCATCCCTGCGCGTGCTCAAGTGCTCGGTACGAACGCGTCTCCGTTTAATCCAGCTCTATGGCCCACGCGAGGTCTCCACTATGCGCTACATGCGAAGCGTCGACCGTCTGCATCTTCGCTGTGGAAAGCTATGGCCCAAAGCACTCCAAACTAGGTCTGCGCCTTCTGATCAGCCCCATGGCTGGAGGCGCATGCTCGCTGCGTCCGACGTGCCGTATTTACGCACGCATTGCGTGCGCAAGAAGTATGCACGTTCCTTCTTGACGACCGCGGGTATAAAGGTCGCACGTCGATGATGGGATGGGGTCTTCCTCTCTGGCTTGCCATTCGCGCGCTCTGCAGGTCTTGAGCTTGCACATAACATCTGGAAGAAGATGTTCCTCCGAACTAGTCTCGTTGCGCTAGCACTCGCGTGCGTCGTCAATGCTGGGCCTCATGCTAGAAAGGCCAGCAAGGACGTGGAGGTCAATGGGGTGAAGTATACGAGTAAGGTGAGTGCCATGGTCTATTGTCCGCCCCTCAAGAATGCCAGTGACAGCTGTCTACTTTTAGAATAGAACGCTGACACAATCTCTATAGGGCCTTGTGGGCTTTGGACAGCTGCCTGCGAACGCGAAGGAGGTCACGGGTGATACCCTAGGCGGCTTGGGTAGCGCCATCGCCCTGAAGCCCGGCAGCTGGCAGAAGCTCGACAATGGTTCCTATACCGGGACGTTATACGTGCACCCGGACCGGGGCTATAATGTGTATGTGCCGTCAATGCATCTCGTATAGATCATATCACTGATCTCTTCATTCATACAGCGAGAAGACAGTTGACTACCAAGCGCGCCATCACGCACTTGACTTCGTGCTCACGCCGTACACCAAGTCGAAGAAGCTATCTTTCGAGGACGCGCAGAAGACATTCCAAGTCACCTACACCGGCAGCGTCCTCAAGACCGAGCGCGGCGGGAAGAAGACGACGGGTCTTGACGCGGCCGCGATCCGCGACGCGTCGGGGATCGACCCGCAGCTGCCCATTCCGAGCACAAGCATCGATCGCCTGAGCTTGGATGTCGAGGGCATGGTTGCGAATGCGGATGGCTCGTAGGTGCCCTTCATTATCACGCAGTAATCAGCAGCATAACTGTCTCTATAGGTTCTGGGTCAGCGACGAGTACGGGCCGTACATCTACCTCTTCTCGGCAGATGGCGCCTTGTTGCATGCGATCGCACCGCCCGCGGCCGTGCTCCCCACGAGGAACGGAACAGTCAACTTCACGTCCGTCGAAGATCCCGACGCCGGGCGCGCGGCGAACCAGGGTATGTGTTCTCCGTCCGCCGGAACACTGGCAGTCAGGTTGATTGATCTGCTCACTTGTTGATCTGTCGTTGACAGGGTTCGAAAATCTGACCCTGGACCCCGCGACGCAGACGCTTTACGCGATGCTGCAGTCCGCGACCGTGCAAGACGGCGGGGACGATGATGAGACGTCACGGCACACGCGACTGCTCGCGTACGACGTGTCGGGCGTGTCGACGGCAGACGGCACGGGGAACGCATCCTTCTTCGACGAGTGGGTCGTCCAGCTGCCCATCAGCGGGAACAAGGGCAAGACGCGCAAGGCTAGCGAGATACACTTTGTCAGCAACGGCACCTTCCTCGTGCTATGCCGCGACGGGAAAGGCGCGGGCGACGATGACTCGAAGGCGAAGTACAAGTACGTATCGAGCCTACTGGACCCCCTCGTGCTGCCCTTGATTAGCTGCGTGGCGCTGCGGAGGCTAACACTGCTTGTTATGTCAGGAATATCGGGCTGTTCTCACTCTCGGGTGCGACAGATATCAGTAACTCGGCGTTTGATGATCCTGCGAATGCACTAGCAAAGGGCGGCGAGTTGGTCGACAGCGTCTCCGCTGCCGAAGTGATCGACTTTATTGACTTGATTGATGACGACGAGCTCGAGCGCTTTGGACTGCATAACGGTACGTAGCGCTTCGTTGCATGGCGCTAGGCTAGCGTAGCTGACGGGGGTGCTACTAGGGGGTGACGCTGACGATACATTGATTGCCTCAAAATGGGAAAGCCTAGCGGTAGCTTCCGTGCAAGACGATCTATACCCGGATGACTACTTCGTCTTCACTGCCGTACGTCCAGCGGCTGAGACAATTCGAGGCTATACTGATGGTTCGCAGGCCGACAACGACTTCATCACGACAGACGGTGTGTCTGTCGGTGAGCCGTACGACGCAGGAGCCGACGTCGCAAACCAATTCTTGGTTTTCCGCGCGACTTTGCCAGGGTATTCCGCGTAGACGCGCGCCACAGCGCCACAACCGTGTATTCTCGACGTCCAATCCAATATGCTTACCGTTGCACGCACTAGAGACGATACTTCTTGACACTGGTGCGAGTCGCAGATTGAGGCACCCTGCCCCGGCCAAGTCGGGGCCTCGGCGACCTTGGGACTGCCATATCGGGCAAATCCTTTGTGCTCGATTTGCGCGCACCGGGAGAATGTGATTCCCATGGATGGGAACAATCACCGTGCCTCCTTCCATGACGCCCTTCGCGACGCCGCCGCGTGGTCAGGTCCGCAGCCCCGAGCGCCTTTTGTGGCATGTTCTCGCCGGGGGCGTCATATGGTCCCTTTATAAACGCTGAATGGGCGGTGATGGACGCATCTTCCCGACAGCTTCGAATTGGCGATGATTAGCCTTGTGCCTCCGATGGTTTGCGGCGGGCGCAGCCAATGGGCGCTCGGAATGCGCTGACGAGGACGGATTGTCTGCAGCGGTGATCATGGATCAATGGATGAACAGCGTTGCCCGTGCGAGGTCGCGCTTCGCGGGGAGACGTTGCCGTTTACGACACAGGTCTGGGCCGTACCGACGGGGTTACGCTCGGCAAAAACGACAACATCAGCGCAGGAGGACAAGAGACAAGGTTGCGTCTCACGGCGCACGCGTGGGCGAGAGAGATCGATGCCGTTGACGAACAGGAGGAGGTCGCGCGACAAAGAACCTTCTGCAAGAGGCAGCTTCTTTGCGGACTCGGGTGTATACGTACGTTGCCTGGGCGCCTTGAGGCTCGCTTCAAGGGTGCGGAGAGGCGCGGCTGAGGATGTGAATCCGTTATGACTTCAGACACACTTCCGCCTGACTGTATTGACCCCGTACCGCGTGCTCGGACCCTGCATCTTAGCGCTCGGCGGCCGCCTTCTAAATAGGCGTGCCCCGCCCTAATGGAATCTGATGCATGCGCTTCCGCTCCATTCCTTCTCAACAATCAGTCCGTTGACCCTGTGCCGCCCCGTGCCGCCCGTCATATAAATACAGATCGGCCTTTCTCCCCTACCGCCCCTTTCGCGTACCTCGCTTCATATATCACATTCGCCGAAGCCGTACTTCCCCCTTCGCCCCCACACCTGCTTCCCACCCAATGGACCTCGACCTCGCACCCATCCACAGCTTCGAGGAGTACTGCTCCCAAACGCGCGCCGCCCGTCGAGAGGGCTCATCACATACGCATGGCAACCGCTCGCCACAAGCATGCCCATTACCGTCTTTTGGTATGTTTGATGACCACCGTACTTCCTCCCTTCTTGCTGACAGAAAATGTAGACGACCTGGGCCTTCACCGCTGGACCGGCACTATACTGCCGTCTCACCTTTACCTTCCGTCGTCCTCAAAGTCTCGGCGCGGGGTCACCCCAACGCTCCCGAGACCCTCCCGCGCACGGAGAGAGGGCAGCCCCTTTCGGCGTGCCACACAACGTTATACCGGCGGCGCATCAGCACGACGCGAGAGTTCGCTCAAACAGCAACTGCTTGTCACACGCGCCTACCGGTGCGAGGACAGCGACAGGGCGAGCCGCATACTGCCATCGATCGAAGAATACGCCGACGTCAGCGGCCACGATCCGCACGGAGAGGGGCGCAGCTCTTCCTCCGCGGACCCGTTATGTGGCTGCGCAGGGGACGCGGACGAAACACCAACGCCACTCCGCGCTGCGTATCGCGCCGGAGGGGCCGAGGGCGGCGCCTCGCCTCTCCCCCGGTTACGCGAGCTCGCGGCGCACACGCCCGCGTCGAGCAAGCGCAAATCTGCGGCCTCTGACGCAGGAGCAGCAGACGGCGGCGTCCGGAAGCGGTCGAGGATCGCTATCACGGACCTGATCCACTAGCGCTTCCTCCCCTCTGGCTACATCTGTCTCGCACCCGCCTCCCCCGCGATTCCCGCGTCCGCTTCCCCGCAGCCTCCCTTTGACCGACGGACCATCTTATCTACTGACTAGTATGCTCTCGCATGCATTGCTTATGCGCATCTTGTGCCCACGAACCCGTCATGAACTATATCCTGTTATGCAATTGCCCTGCCACACTGTATCCATAGCTGTTCATAGACACCCTGCATTCAAACATCTCGATAGGTAGAAGTCAAATGAAGAACATTGAAGAAGCACGTACAGAGCCTCGAGCCTTCCTTTGAGCCCACTTCGAAGCGAAACGCAGGGGCGAGAAGCCCTTCCGCGGACTCGAGGAGCGTCATCGATCCATCTTGAAGTCCGCGAAATTCAACATGTTACACGTGACCTCGGCAATAAACCCCGTGATCAGCCGTGAACAGTGTTCAAACTTCAACATGAGGTTTGATTGCAGATTTCGGGATCTGACGCTCGAATCTGGGGTTTCATTTACAACAACATAGCTTCAGCTATTCAGTTACTCGGTTATCATCACTCCGCGCGCGATGAAGCAGTCAATGGTCATCAAAGGCAACTCTATCAGCGTTGCCTGCACGATTAGACCGTGACTCAGTGCAGCCTACGGCAGCGCCATGGACATCGAGTCAATCTGATTAAATACACTAAACGTACAGGCAGGACGTCGGGCTACAGAAATACAAGTACATGGTAGAGCCATCTATCAACCGGAATAGTTCATGTCGAGCGTATAGGATGGCGCGCCGCCGCCTATCAACCCATGTCCGCCTCCTTCGTAACATCATTACTCGCCTCCTCTCGCATCAGTCTCCACTGCTACCTCGGCGACTCAAAGGGCTCTTACGCCTCGTCATCTGTTCGCCCACGTCTTATACCACTCTCGCGAGCTCCACATCCGTCGCAGGCGCGCTCGCGGCACCGCTCGCATTTCCGGTGTTGCCAGCGCTATTCGCGCTCGTGATGGGCGCGCTGGCTGCATTTGCCCCATTGACATTGCTGCCCGGCCTCGAGAACGCGCGCAGGAACTGAGGGCGTAACAGATTCCTCATCGCGTTGCCTGAGCTGGCGTGCGCGGCGGAATCGTCCTCTTGGGTCGGCGAGGCCGGCGCAGCGTCGCCTTCGGGGGCAGGAGGCGGTGGAGCGGAGGTGCTGATACGGAGAAGGCTGGTGTACGCTGCGAACGACGTCGTCAATATGCTGGCAGAACGATAGCGGACCACAACAGCCAGTAAGAAATAGAGGAAAAATATAAGTTGCCCTCTGTTTTGGTTGAAAAGAGAGGGGGACAAGACGAGGATTGTTTTTAACAAAATGACAGGAAATACTCACGTTGCCGACAAACAGGGCAGAACCAGCCCTTCGCGCGCCTCTTGCGCCTACGCTGCTCCGTCACATTGGCCAGGGGTGGCGGCGCAGGAACGACGGCATCCGCTGCGTTTCCACCTTCCTGTCCACCCTCCCCATTTCCGTTCTCACCCTCGGCCCCGCCACCCGCGCCTACGCCAGCGACGCCCGCCGCTGGCTCCGACGATGAGACATTGAGCGCCCCACCCGCGCCATACTCGACCATATTGATCGCGCACTCCTTACACGCGACGAGGTGACGGCAGGGCAGAAGGACGACCTCGCGCGGGGAGGACAAACAGAGTAGACAATCCTCGCTCTCGTCGTCCGCGAGGCCGGCGGTGATCGCCGCGGGTGGGTAAGTGTGGGTTTGCGTAGCAGAGGTGGGAGAGGAGGGGGCGGCGGCAGTGGGCACAGGGGGTGCGGCGGGCTTGACGGAGTGCGACGCGAGGCCGTAGATCTCGTGCAGCTGGAAGGTGTGCGGGCCGATGGTGGCCTCGCGCTTGACGACGCGGACGACCCAGGGGCGCGTGTCTTCCTCTTCGTCGTCGGGCTTGGGGGCCGGGGCGGTGGCGGTGTTTTCGCCAGTAGCCTCGTCTGCGTTGGCGTTCGACGCCTCGGCCGCGGACTCTGCATTTGCACCGGAGTCCTCGGTCGCCTTCCTGGAGACCTTCGGGCCGTGGCGAGCGACACTGAGGAACGTCACTTGTTCGTTCGGCAATGACAACTCCGTTCCCTGGTCATCGAGTGCTGCCAGCCGGATCATGAGCTTCACCTCCGAGCCCTCGTCCTCAGCATGCGGCGCCTGATTCGACGGGTCCAGCGTGTCCACGACAGCAAGCGCAGGGCCCGAGGCAGCACGATTACGCTGTCTATCGGCGTCGGAGCTCGAGTGGAAGATCGAGCGACGGAGATGGAAGTGGGTGAAGCGACGCGCGCGGTTGCCCGCCGAGTTGTCCTCGTTTGGGGGCGTGCTTGAATCTGAGGGCGGCTCGAGAGAGGTGGACGAGTCGATGGCCTCGGGATTACGAGGCTTGGATTGCTTGTGCGAGGGCAGGAAGCGCGAGAGCTCAATCGCGGCGCCATCTTCGACGTTGAGAACCTTGCCGAAGCCACCATCCGTCACCTGCTCGTACAGCAGCACCTTCGTGAGTGGCGCATTTGCATCCGCCTCCGACGAGTTCCCGCCCTTGTAGAGCGGCGAGTCTGGATGCGTGGCAGGGATCATCGCGTAGATGTAGATCCCGCATTGTGGGGAGTCGCAGTCGAACGAGAAAGAGATGCCGTGCTGTAGGGCGTGATGGGAAGTATCAGCAGAGTCGAGCGGGGCGAGGGGAGACAGCCGCAGCGTGGGGCGCTTGAGGTTGACGAGTGCCTGCAGGGTCGTGGTAGGCTGGGTGCCCTGATGACGGGTGTGAGACGCGGTATGCGTAAGATAGCCTCGCGCCGCTCACCGACTGGCTCTTCTCGACCCATCCCTTGACTACGTCCTGCGTCAGCTCATCCTCCACCAATCGCTTCTCATTGAGCGCCGTCCACTCCGGGCCCGTGTTGACGATCCCAATGCTAGGCCCGAACAGGGACTCCTCCTTCCCCTTACTCTCCTCCTCCATGTCGATCACAATGGCCCCGCCAATCGGTGCTGCCGCCATCGGTGCAGGCGTGTTGTTGTTCGCGGTCTCTCGCGCGAGATACGCCGGTGTCCTCAGAGGCCCCCGTGAGCGCGAGAAGGAAGCGTTGTCTGATGAGGGATAACAAAGTAAGAAGGTGTACGGGGCGTGGGGCTAGCCGAGGGTGATGATACCCACACCAGGTGGACCACAGGCTTGCGCCGCTCATCTGGGAGAACAGCGTGGGGGTCGCTAGGTATGGAGGATTACTGGGATTGAGGTATTCGTCTCTCCGCTATGCGCTGGCAAAGGGGGAGTCGGGCGGGACTGAGGTGGTGGGAGAAGAGGAGATGACAGCAGTTCCCCGGGATTCGGCATCATCTGAATCGTTCGCACGTGGATTTGGGGAACTCTCCATTCCGGACCGCCGTTCCGGAACCACCTTCCGTCTCCTGCTCCCTACGCTCATGTCTGTTCAGAATCTTACGCTTGAAGCCCTCTTCTGACCGGTGCGCGAGAAAAACAAACAACCTGTCAATTATGATAGTCAAGGAGTGCAAATGGTCACATCCAAGCGTACGTTGCCCCAGTCCCTGTCAGCACGGTTCCTCTACGGCTCTACCTCACGTATGACCCAACCGTATCAACTGAGTAGACGGAGGAAGACCCAGAATTGCTACGGCACTCTGCATATCCTGAATCGCTGGAGTTTCGTCCATAACCTGGGAATCCAACCTCCGATCACTTTGCCCGATTGAGGACGATTGCCACAGAACTCGACACGGAAGCAAAATACGAAGCCCAGCACACACCACATTACTTGCCCTTTGTAGGTCATAAATGCGGGTCGTGCGCACCATTGGGAGCTTGCGTTGTGGACGGACATTCCCTGGCCTTGAAGAATGGTCCTTCAGACTGCATCCGAAGAGACCGTGGGTGCTTGCCATAACACTCAACGGATATTCGTAGGACGAATGGCTGCGCATACGGCCTATGACTACTATGGCCGAGTCTTCGCAAGGCCGAGAGAATGTACTTGGAAGGTTCAGCGACACGCTTCCGCTCCCTGTACGCTGCCCATATAGATTACCTATAAACCTATAAACCTCACTCTAGAAGGTCTGCATTGCAGGTGTATAGTGCTTTCTGCGCTAGCAAGTTGAACGCGAGTGTAGCAAACGTCTCTCAGGAGCTGGAAACTCCAGGGTCCGGCGAAATCAACTGCGTCTTGAAGTCGAACCGTGGGAGATCTATATTGCCAGTTATCGGTCGGGCCGCCGCATGTTCGACTTCCTTCCCTGCTCTGATTCGCAATCGCCTCTTCGCACTCTCCTAACCCTTCTGACTCTGGATTCTGCCGAGGTGCAACCTAATCACAGCTTGGGTCGACGGTAGAGACCCGCAATCGGCCCGTACAGGTCACCCAGCGCCCTCTCCGCGTACATAACCCGCAAAAGTCTCTCGCCCCCGGAACACGAGTGGCAAAGGCCCTTTTTGGGGGATAAAAAAGTTTCTTAAAAGGTGCCTCAAAAGGCAGCTAAAAAACATGCTATTTTTGGGTTAAAAAGTGTTCGTTCTCCAGCGTTAAAAGGTAGCCTCAAAAAGCAGCCTTTGAGAGCAGCTTTTTATTCCAAAAAATGTATCACAAAAGATCTGTATATGAGCGGTAAACAGCAGTCAAATTCTGGCCTCAAAAGGAAGTATTTCTGTTAGACCTTTTGCGCATCAATAAACAGGTAATTTTGAGCCATGTATTTATGGACAGATATGGAGCTTTTTTAAAACCCAAAAGATGCCAAATATTCATGTGTTTTTACTCCCTCAAATCACCCTTTTGGCGCGCCAAAAAAGGAGTCGGGAGACTAGGCGGGAGATGGACGGGAGAATAATCAGGAGGCATCGCTAGATCATCACCCTATCTCGCTGAAGCTCCCGACGTCCCCTGATTCTTCACCCGCGTCTTCACCCTGCACTTCGGCTGATGATGTGGCATACCCGTCCGATTGCCCGAGTCACGTTGCTGTGACACTCACGGTCCGAGTGCATGGTCGTGAGATCGCCGCGTGGAACAGCATGTCACGCTCGCCACTTTACTATCTGACATCGCCTCTTTATTCCGCTGCTCATCTTCGCCGCCGACCTTCGCACTGCAGTACCCAAGATTACTCGCGTATGGCGTCGTTCCACCCGCGGGTCCTACCTCATCCTCAACAGTTACTTGAGCTTTTTCGGCGGAGTCACCGTCACTATCCTCAAGTTCTGCGCAATGCCGAAGGATGCGTGAGTGGATTTGTGTTCAGAGCGTGGCCGAATGCTGACGCTTTGCTCGCTATCTCTTTTTAACCGCCGACGACGATTGCAGTTGCCAGTCCGTCATTATCTTCCGCCAGATTTACAACGTCGAGACACAAATTGTTGTGAGCAATGAGTAGCTTTGTCCTCTCGGCGCCCAATCACACGCCCCGCCTCGTCGAGGCGCAACACTGCTCACATCGTGTTAGTGCTCATGCTCATCCGCGTCTACGCCGTCTTCTCCCGCGACCGACGAGAGCTTGCGTGTCTTCTGTCTTATACAGCCGTCGGCGTTAGCATTGGCTGGGTGGGCCCTTTTCGGGCAGTCCTCCGCCGCCGAACCTGCCGTCGTCAAGTGCTTGGTGTATAATCGAGGGGGGGAGTAAGTCAGTTTCATTTGTATGTCCGCGCGATGTTCAAGCTAAGCACCGTATGTCTTCGATCCGCCACCTCTGCCCCTTCGTGACCTTCATGCTCCTAGGGCTCTCGGCCGAACGCTGTTAAGGCGGTCGGCGCGGGTGACGAAGGAGGAGGGGAAACGGGGCTTGAGGCGGTCGGCGCGTCGCGTGCGAAGAAGGAGGAGGGGGTGGGGGCTGAGGGCGGTTGGCGCGGTGAAGAAGGAGGAGGGGGAAGGGGGGCTGGAGCGGTCGGCGCGCTTGAGGCGATCGGCGCGCCGCGTGCGAAGAAGGAGGAGGGGGTGGGGGATGAGGGCGGTGGGCGCGGTGAAGGAGGAGGAGGGGGGAGGGGGGGCTGGAGCGGTCGGCGCGCTTGAAGCGATCAGCGCGCCGCGTGCGAAGAAGGAGGAGGGGGTGGGGGATGAGGGCGGTCCGGGCGCTTGAGGCGGTCGGCGCGCCGCGTGCGAAGAAGGAGGAGGAGGTGGGGGCTGGGGGAGTAGGGGCTCCAGGTGGTCGGCGCGCTTCAGGCGGTCGACGCGGCGCGGGGTGACGAAGGAGGATTCTGAGAAGTTATGTATGTACATTCTGTATGTCGAAAGGAATGGCATCAATCTCTATGGTTCAATAAGTAGCGGTCGCGCTGTCTGATGGTATGCTCACGCACCTCAAAGGTAGACGATGTGTTGCGCCTCGCTGAAGGTCACTGCACTAACATAACCCGCACCCCGTATCGTCTCGGTTCCTCCCTCGGCCAACTGCTGCTGCAAGCTAGCGCTGACCCTCACCCGAGGACCCAGCGGCAACCCCTCCCATCCCTCGGTCTGGGTATCGTCCAACACGCCGTCCGCCCAGACCCGGCCGTAGGAATAGTGGTAATTGCGCATGTGCGCACAGAGTCGGTACAAATCGTAGGCCCTGTTGAAAATAACGACCCTGCTACAGTAGGCGCAGACGGCAGCTCTCTTCGTGAATATCGACGTCGCCTTGCATTGTCTGATCGCGCGCTTTCGCATGCTTCTGCTGAGCCTGGCGACGAAATCCTGGATGTACTGGGCGTTGTATGGGTGGTTCAAGCACATCTGACAGTTCCAGTCGTATTTTGGATTGATCGCAGACTGAGCCACTCACGACGCTTGAAGGTAAGGTACTTGTGTGGCCGACTGAACTTGTGGGGGGCGGAGGGCAGTGGTGGTCTGTCTTGAAAACGCTTGCGCGTTGGTCGGCCTCTTTTGATCCCATGCCACGCGTCACTTTCCCGCATTTATATACCTTCACTTGGAGAAAGAACACATTGCTCTGCACTGAAGGAGACACCACCAAGACACAAGTGCATTGTCTGTTCAGATCTCTTCTGCCAGACTGGTATGCCCCATGCACAGTCTATCAATTGCACCTCAGATGATATCAGCAACAGTCTGGAGACCTCTACCCATTCCCTCCAGGCTCATATGCCATCTACAGGGAGACATTGCCTTCCTGAAGTTCAACTTGTCATGTGCATGTCACGCAAACTTTAGCATTTCACGTGGGCATCATCGCGGCTCGGTCATTGCCGGACTCCTGTTGTCAAGGAACTACTCTCGGAGATGATCGGCGGCTTGGTGGCTTACATGGGTCGTTGCTTCTCAGTCGCAGCAGCATCTCAACGTCTGCACGTGATGCAATGGGACCTCTTTCGCATTCGCTTCTTCCGAAAAGCAGAAGCTACTTCCATCTCGGCATGAATTGAGGCCGCCTTGCGCGAAGGCGAAGCGTTCTCAGTGAAGGCGCCTTCCAAATCTGTAAAGCTCTTAGCCTCATTAGAGGTAGAGCTCACCTCGATGGAGCTGCTATAGGCTATCATGAAGACGGATTGACAGTGGAATCTCTCTTTGGCAAGCCGAAGCTCGCCCGCCTCGACCGAGGCGCAGCTCACATACACGAGCCCGCCATCTGCCTCTGCCGAGGTATATTTCGCCTCCAAAAAACTGACCGTCGCCTCTGCAGGGGAGAAGCTCGCCTCTATGATCCCGCCGTCGCGGGGACAGTACTTTTTCGGACTAAGCAACCGCCTTCAGGCTTACGCCAGCGCCTCAGCACGCCATGGATGCGCAGCCAACGCTGATAGCTCCCCAATCTAACCCCGCTGCATCCCGCATCTGGAGGCTAGGAACGCATGTCATGATCCAGACAGGCGCATGTAGGTAGGTAGAGAACTTCTCATACAAGGGCCTTGAACTGCGCAGAGCTAGCGTCGAGGCGGAACAGCAGCAGCCCCCTGGAGCCCGGAGCCCGGTACTTTGGCAGTAGCAGATCACCGGTGGGTCAGCTTTCTACCGCTTCCAACGTGCCCTTCATATGCCCCCCTGTATTATGGACCGATGAGAGGCATCCCGAGCAGTTCTCCCCGTCCGCGGCATCAACGTGGCGAGCCGGTACGCCGGCACGATCGGTGCGATTACCAGGTATGGTATGGTGGCTGTGCCCGAGGCCCCAGCGCAGCGTCAAGTTTGGATCCCATGAGCACCCTTCGAGCTAGTCTCGGGACCCGACACTGGTTTTCAAGAGGATAACCGTCGTTCTGATAATAGAGTCTGGAACGAGTGACGCGGGGCTTCGCACCCCAGCTTTCGTGGGAACTTTTTTGACCGATGAATGGCATCTCGCGGTTCCGACGTGCCCAACAAGGCCAACATGATCAGAATCGACGTGTAAGTGAGCGCGATGACGGGCAAGTTGAGAGGCCGGCCCAAGGCTAAACGGAAGGTCTTCAGCCATCTCGAGGCTTTCGGAGATGGCCGACGTTGCGGAACCGTCAAACTTCTTCCCACGAAAGCTGGGGTGCGACGCCCACTGCCACTCATCCCAGACTACCTTCGAGCCACGTGTGTAAGGGCATGGAGCTTCATTCCACGCGTTTACATGATGAATTCGGCTACATTACGCCAGACCTCAAAAAGAAAATGAAGCAGAAGTACAACGCCGATGACCTTCGCGACCCAATCCATGACCTTGTTAGTTGTTAGGTATGACTGAGGCTCGGCAGTGGGCAAACCCACCAGCTCAGCCGGACCCATCAATGACTCCGTGGGTAGAGGGGCACCGTCAGGTAGGACATGGATCTCGGCGACCTGAAGTAGCAGCCTAGGCCAAGACTCTATGCTCACAGGGAGCAGTTCTTCCTTGCCGATGAAGAGCACGCGGACGCGGGCTGCCCAGAATTTTCCCAACCGCGAAGTATCGTCGTGAATCGTCCTATGGGTTCCTCCCACTCCTTGGCTTGTGCCGCTGAGAAGTCGAGTGAAATCCTGAAACACGCCTCAGCAGATTTTCACCGACACGGTGTTGTGGCTTACCTCGAAACCCAGGACCTCGATCCTTCGTCTTCCGTACGCGGTCCTAAGACCATCGGATTGGACGATGACTACAGAGTCAGGGTTGGAAGGAGGGAAGAATATGTCCTCGAAGAGCATGACACAGTGAGGGAAAACTGCCAGATAGAAAAGTGGGAGGTAGAAAACTAGCACGTCAAGTGGCGGATATCGTCCTTTAAATCCTGTGAACAAAGCAAGCTTAAATCAGCTTCTGCATCATTAAGGCTTTGCACGACATTGCGTACGGGTCGCGATTCTTGATCTTTGTGCCGCGGCCGCATAGAGGGCGCCATTGTGACAGACCCAGAACAAGGCGAAAGAAGTGAACGTCGATTGCAGAGACTCAATCATTGTGATCGCATTCGTGCACAATCAGCATGCCGTTCGCGCAGTCCATTGGTCAGACACATAGAAGAGTGCGGCAGGCGCGACCCGACTACTCGGCAACCGGCGCCACCGAGCTACACCGGTCAAGTGCCTGACTGAGTGCCCTCTGCGCCCACGCATCGACTGACAACAAAAGCTAGGCAAATGTGGGAATCTGGTTCAAATAACCCTCATAAGCGCTGAACGTGCAACAGAGGCTCAGTTGTTGGACGTATCCTGTCCTGCCATATTCGGTAATCGCCGAGGCAGCGTAAATGAAGGGCACGTGCATGCACAATGTAATCACACTCAGTGATGTCACATTTTGATCCGCCGTCGCGCCTTGCGCACAACCAATGCAATAGCGGCAGGGACACGGTCTCTATGGACTGTATTTACCGCAATCTGTCGGTCTTTCTTTTCAATCTGAATCGCAGGTATGACCTTTGTTCTTGGTTTCTTTGAACCTCGTTCTTTGGTAACCAATGCGTTTGAGGCTGTCCTCGAGTGCTGCCTTTACCTTCCTTCGTGCATTTATATGCCGCCGCACCCATCCACTCGTCATTATTTGCGGCCCTTCCCAGTCCTCCATCAGGCAGGGAAGCCACTGAAGCATGATGACTGGCTGGAAATACTGCGACCTCGCAGATGTTCTCGAGCGCACGCGGGCAGAGTTGGCGAACAGTGAGAATCACCTTATATCCCCAGTACGCCTCTCTTCATCTCTGATTTTACGGTCAGCAAGACAAAACCTACAGGACACAGAGTCAATCTCCTCCGCCGTATCACGCCTAAAGGTGCTTCTTGAGGTAGGCCTTACCGTACTTCGACCGGCCAAGAGCTCGATCCTCACTACATTTGTAGGACTGCCAGCGACAGGCCTCTAAACTGAATGTCAAGCCCCCGTCGTCGCCGATAGATCTCTGCGACGACTCGGAAGGGAGCTCAGACGTGGCTGGGAACGGCCCGCGCGTGCAGGACGTTGTCCGACAGGTGCGCGCATTGAAGGCCAGTGGAAGAGCAATCCCATGTCATGGTGCCTTGCTCATCGCTTCTAGGCGGAACTCGCGGAGCTACAGGTACGCAGCGTAACTATCTATCATTCGTCGTCTCAACGTGTGCTAGGGGGATATCGAAACAAATGCGGAGAATAAACGCGCACTCACAGCCTCCATGGGCATACTTTCAGCGGAGAAAGCTGAACTCCAGCTCAATCAGCGAGTCTACCTTCATGAAATATCCATTAGCGAGAAGCAGGGCGAACTTATGGAAGAGGGACGGCAGGTTCGTTCTGTGTTCCCGGCATATTCTCTCGCTTGACGAATTACAGCTGCTGGCCGACAAACTCGCCACCAGCACCCATCTCCTGGAAAGCGCTCAGGCAGAGCTTCGGAAAGTGTACTGTGAAATTTCTGAGACGACTGTGGGCGCAAGGGTAAGTATAAGGCGCATGATTGGTCTATGCCGTTTCTCACCATCTCGCACACATAGAAAGCACTGCAGCTGGCTAAGAAGCGATGGCGCGACTCTGTTCGAAGTGAATCGCTAGAGCGACTTCACGACGAGCAGCGTGCGCTACAGGATGAAGCGTTGGGATATCAGCGCCAACGCGACAATGTGAGGTCATGCGTCCGAACTCATTTCCGCTTGCCTGACATCGTCAAGGAGCGTGCAGGACTTGATCATAAAATTGCGGAAAACAAGAAACATATATATGTACGCAAAGCCACGATCCCGTATGTGCGTCGCTCACGCTCTATGGCGATTTGATAGGAGCTGCATGAGCAGATCAAGGTATGCGTCTCGATTTTCTCACCAGTCAACGTACTGAAAAGTGCATGAATTTTCCAGGGGCACATGCTGCAAGACTTTGGACGAGGCGACGAAACCCTCGAAGTGCGTATCAGAATGCTCAAGGAACCTTTGCTGCGCTTAGACCCGGGTCAGTTGTCTTCCTCCGTTGTACCTATTCAAGATCTCACGCATCTCACGCTTGTTTCTGAGCCAGATGTACATTCGGTCATCGAGACGGGCAATGGGGTGAGGAATCAAGCAACCTTTTGTTCCTTCTTCTTATTGGATACAGCCTTCGGCGGAAGGAGGGCTTGACTCCGCACGCAGGTTGACGAACATGGCGAGCATGATCATCTACACAGCGAAGAGCAATGCCTTACAGTCACTTCAGGACTCGGCCGAAGACACCCATATGGAGGATGCATGCAATCAGCGTCCACCGCTGCGCCCATTGGCTCGGTCGTTAGGTACCACTCTGCTCAAGGAGGCGAGGATTTACGATCAACTCATGCGATCTAAGCTTTCATCACCGCAAGTATGCCATGCAGTTATCTCTTTAGACTTCCTTCTGACCGTCACCTAAGTGTTCCCGCAAATCAAGCGCTTCCGCGAAAAAAGGAAACCCGCGTGGGCAGCACCGATCGTCCGCTCATCGCCACACACCTTACTCGGCTAATTATGTACGCTTATTCTCGAGTTTCCCTTGTCTGACCCTGATTCATGCCTCGTCTAGCACCGGCGCGATTCTTGCAAAGCTTTCGCAGATTTCGACGCTCCGGATGGCCAGTCTTTCCGCTCAGCAGGGCGAGGGCAACTGCCCCCGGTCGGAAAACAGGTTCGCCAACGAGTTTCGCCTGATCCCGACGAGGACGTCAATAAGAACATCAACGTTGAGTACAATGACCTTCTCACCAAACTGTACTGAATTGGACGCAGCGACTCATATTCCGAGTGTTTACCGGTGCCTTCAACGTCCGCTTCTTCGACGATATCAGCAGCCTACAAGGCGTCAGCCTTGAAGTCCTCTCCGACTTCAGAAAAGATCCAGTGCGGTGCGGACCGAGTCTGCACAATCTTCGGCTCGATACGACATCCCGTGACTCGTCTGGATCTCTGAAGGCGGCGGCCTGGAACATAGTGGGTCGTGTATCTGTCTGAGGCGTACATTCCTAAGTGCTTATTTCTGATAGCTAGCTCAAGAACGTATTTGCGACGCCGTCATGCGCGGCATTGTCAGTGATACCGACGGCTCCCTCGAGTCTTTTATAGGGCATACGATCAGGCAAAAAGTCGGTAGGCGGTTCGACCGACTCTATAGGGACATCGCAGATGCGACTCCGAAGGGTGACGAGTCGCCCGACGATGCCGCCAATAGGATGCGTTCGCAACGAGCAGACCGTAACCGACATTACCTGTCCACCGTAACTCGTCAGCATGTATGTTGTCTCTACTTTGTATGTTTTCTCTCACTGACGCACAGCCACCTTTACAACAGAAACTGAGAAGACGCAAGCAGATAGCGAGCGCCATGTCACAGGCAGCTGCGTCTTATCAGGACAAAGAAGATCGTGAACGCTGGTCCGCCATCTCCCGCGTCCTTGACGAACTCAAGAACGACGGAATGTCCGATGAAGAGAGCGACAACGAGGAAATAGAGCTTTCCGGTGGAGTCGTGTCGGAGGAGCGTTATCGGAAGGTCCTGGAGATGGAGTGGCGTCATCCAGCACTTCGTTGCATATTGGACGAGGTCGACGAGGCCGCAAAGCAATCCCCGGACGTTTTTGACGTTCAGTCGGCGAAAAACGCAAGGCGACGGGTTCGTGTTGCACAGCAGAGCCAGAGAGGCCCTCCCCTGGAGCTCAATAGGACGTTGTTCAACCCTGCGTACCTCGAGAAGATCGGACCCGCAGGTGAAATTGCCTTGAAGGTTGTGGAGGGAACAAACTTCGAGTTCAGAGAAGCACCTGAGGGTCAGAATTCGGAGCGGAAATGATGTTCGAGCGGGAGTGAAGGCACATTGAAACATTGTCATTAGCATGGTATGGGCATACGGCAGCACTTGACACGCTAACGTATAACTGGGCCTTCAATCAGGGCCAATATGCCATCGGCGCGAGGTCTGTCTATGTAATCCCGCCTCATCCTTAAGGCCTTCTGCACGAAGTAGTCAAGCGCGTGCGGTGGATCTCGGGCTGTTAGACCTAGTTGATGGTGGGTGTCGCCAGTGCCATAGTGCTCGAGAGTAGTACGGTATAATACGATCAGATAGACGATGGCGCGAACAGCCTGGCTCGCATCATCACGCGGTAGCGTTGTTCACGAGGCAATTCCCAAAGCCCGGGCATGGAGATGCGTATCGTGAGGTCGATACCGAAGCAGCATCGGAGATTGCCTCACGCACATGCGATACTGAGACTGTCTCGTGGTTGAAAGGTCAGTGGGCGTTTTGCCTCGTTCAAGAAGCTCCCCACAATTCCCCTGAATCATTCTCCGCGAAGTCGAACACATCCTGCCCCACCAAAGCACTCGCCGGGAGAAGACCCGAGCGTGGAGCGCCGACGTCGCCGTTGGGTCCAGGGGCATTCAGGGAGCGCCCTCCACCCACAAACGATTATCTAACCGCTGCTGGGTCCGATAGTGCATGCTATCCCTCGAATATCAACACCACTGGCAGCAGTCACCGGTTCCATCGACTCGCTCGAAGCTCGCCCGCGACGCGGATCGCGGTGTGCGCGAAGACAAGGTCCGAGGATCCGGATTTGAAGCAGTCGCGCGATGCCTTCACGAGCTCGCGCAGGAGGTCGATGATCACGGGCTCGACGATATCGAGCGTCCGAGGATGCACAGCAATGAGGATCGACGCTGTCAAGTCCAGCCGGAAGAGCTCCTCGAGACGCCGCCAGTCTGTCGCGAGCGGGTGCTGAAAAGTCGCAGGACGCGGGAGCAGGCGCGTGAGCAGCAGCAGAACAGGGATATGGAGGTGGACAAGCAGGTTATGGTTATCCCGGCCAATGAGGCGCGCAGGTGCGAGCAGCACCTCCCTGGACGTCGATACAGGCGCCCCCGGCCCAATTGCTCGACAAGTCGGCCGCAGCAGCGAATAGAAGTGCGGCGTGGGGGAGGCGCTCGCCGCCAACGGCTGGCGGTTCACCAGGACCTCCGGCCAGATGCATTGCAGTGAGCGTCGGATCGTACGCCTCCTCGCCCCACCCGCCTATCGCCGTCTCGCGTAACGGTAGCGTACTCTCCGCCTGATGTCGTCCGCCATTTTCACGACCACCAGCAGCATCGTGGGAGGAGGAGCTCTCCTTCATCAGCATGAGCAGGAACTGACAGAACATGACGAGCGCCGCACCGCGTGTGAGCAGCGAGTCAAACGTCCAAGCTGGCGAGATGCCCGCGGGATCATCGTGCTCATGCCCCGCGCGACGGGGATGACAAGGGACTGGTGATGTTGCACGACGACCCGACGGGGCGCGCGCGAATCGGAGGGCGTGCGAGGAGGCGGACCGGCTGTCGTCGGAGCCGTGCGCGTAGCGTGGGCGGTGGGCGTAAGTAGAAGTAGCGTTGGTCCAGGGTCATCGCAGGCCTGCCCCGTCCGAGTTGAACAGCCGCACGGCCACCAGCTTCGCAGCAGCCGACTCGTCGTTGACAAAGTCGAGGATCGACGTCGTGTTGATCTTCGGGTTGCAGAGATCGCTCCCGTTGGGTAAGGTGATCGTCGAAGCACCGGCGGCTCCAAACAGTGGGTGAGGGGCACGAGCTCACGTCTGAGCAGCAAACGGTCGAATAGCAGACGAATATTCTACAGAACAGTGCGTAAATGTGTTGTATGGAGGTCCCAAGGTCAGCTTCGTCGCATAGCAACGCAAGCTGAAGGTCGCTCCGAGGTCCAGCATTCTTGAGGACCCGCTGGCGGTCACTGTTGACCATCGTGATCGATTGAGACGTTGGTCAATCGTGGATATCTTGTCCGCGTTGTCGGACAAGCGCAGGGGCGGGCGCAAGTTGACGAGCGGGGGGAGGAGATCGCCGAGAGGGCCGGTAGCGAGTCAAGCGCAGATGAGCTACGCTGATCACGGTCCGGTGCGCTGAGGAAGTGCACGTTAGAGCGAGCCTCGACGCGGACGAGCCCGGATTCACGCACTCATTTGCACGACGGGCCGCCATCGATGCGGTCGGTCGTCCTACGCATGGGAGCTGATCACACGGAAGAGCGGCAACCCGGTCCTGGCGCCAGCGGGAGAGACGGATCTTCTCAAGGGCGGTAGGCCAGCCGTGACTGACGCTCGCGAGACCACGCCAGCACGGACGCGGCGCATCCCCAGCATGACGCCGAGGCTTCTGGGAGATGTCCGACGCGTCGACCGAGCCCGGGAGCGAGCGAGAAGGAGCCAAACATTGCAGAAGCCGGGAGGGAGGCGCCGACCTGTCAGAGCCTGCTTGTTCGTCAGCGATGGTAGAAAGAAGGAGATGCAGAGTACGCACCTGCGACCCTCGCCTCATCGCGCCCTGCCTGCGCGGGTCAGCGTGGCGACGACTTCAAGCCGCTGGTCGCAAGCGGCACGGTGCCCCGAAGGAGGACGCATGTCCAGCAACGACGGCGAGACAGCTGTTCGTGCGTGAGCGTGGTCGAGAGAGAACGCAGGCAGGCGCTCACCTAATCTCACTGCCGTCGATCGTCCACGCCCCACGGAAGCCCCAGACGCCGGAGATGCGAGCGGCGCTGCATGCGCTGTGCTTTGTTGAAGAAAGCAAGGAAGGGGGAGCTTGGAAAACCGTACCTCTGAGCCAGGGAGCTGGGACATCATGGGGGAAGGGTCGAGGAGGCCGACCGACGGCATCTGCCGTCCGCAAGTGGCGTGCCGCGCCCTCGGCACCATCAAGGCGATTACTATGTATGGTAGGCTGGCTGTGTCCGCCGCGTCGCCGTCAGTTCGAATCTCGACGTTCAGGCCTTTCGACGTGCACGCACGCCCCGACAGGCGGGAGACACCACACAGTCCTCCTAGCTCATCAGTGCCCCACCCGATGGTTGCACCTCCAGGTGCTGTTCCTCAGTCTTCAGACCCTCGCCTCTTCCGCGGCATCTGCCGTCCGCATGTGGCGTGCCGCGCCCTCGGCACCATCAAGGCGATTACTATGTATGGTAGGCTGGCTGTGTCCGCCGCGTCGCCGTCAGTTCGAATCTCGCCGTTCAGGCCTTTCGACGTGCACGCACGCCCCGACAGGCGGGAGACACCACGCAGTCCTCCTAGCTCATCAGTGCCCCACCCGATGGTTGCACCTCCAGGTGCTGTTCCTCAGTCTTCAGACCCTCGCCTCTTCCGCGGCATCTGCCGTCCGCATGTGGCGTGCCGCGCCCTCGGCACCATCAAGGCGATTACTATGTATGGTAGGCTGGCTGTGTCCGCCGCGTCGCCGTCAGCTCGAAACTCACTGTTCGGGCGCACGTACGCCCGCAAACTTTCGTTCCAGAGCAATCGTCATCGAAAAGGAGACCTGTGACACACAAACGACATTCAATTTCCCCTACGGACCTGCTCATGCTATAACAGGTGCACGCTGCACATTGTCGTCAGGCCTGACCGACAGCCACATCGCGGTAGTTGGTACTGGGGAAGTAGTCTTCAACGTTGATCTCTTCGTAATCGGGGAGACCTTCGCTTTCTTCCTCGATCCCCGCATCGAATAACTCGCCACCAAGCTCTGAACGTGAAGGGTATAGGTCTTCAGTAAAGGATTAGTTCTGTGTCCACACTGCATGCAACCCGGCTTACCCAAGGAATCAGCCTGCCGTCGCCACATATCAAGGCGGTCCCACGTCTCACACTCTATCATGTTATACATCAGTCCACTCCCGTACGGGTAAGCACGACGCGGAAGACGCACCGAGCCTCAGGGTTACCACCGGCGTTATCCCAGCGTACTCTTGCATGCGATCCCTGACCTTCTCACGTACAGCCTCTGGCCAGTCACGGGGTGGCCCAATAACGAGCATATCCGGCGTCAAAACTCTTCGCACTGCGAACAAGAACTCGACGATACACTGGGACGGCAGTGCTTCCTGTACAAACTGCGCCCAGAACTCTCGTTCTATGGTCTGGTCGAGACCATACACGTCTTGCCACCGATCGTGTTGGCGGCTAGGAGCAGTAGCAAAGGACTTGCTCAGAAGGACGGATACCTTGACCTCCAAAGTAAGCAGACGTATCGGAGCGTTTGTGTGTACTGTAAGGCCACGCATCAGTCTCTCTACAGCGCGAAGCTGCGCAGAGCGATCATCTCCGTCTTCGTCCATCGAAACTCGTAGCTCCCGGAGACAGGGAAAACTGACGTTGTAGGTGAGCGGCATCAATTTGGCCATGATACCGAGAGGTTGATCGGCTTTCCCTAAGAGGTCGTTCAGCCACATCATTGACCATCGTCATGCGCGACGCTTACCCATGATGACCATGGCCATAAGCGGGTCCAAATGCAGTCGCGTCAGGGTGCTTTGCGAGGCAGCGAGCAAGTGATCGAGTGGGGCCGAGGAGCGAATGAGGAAGTGACGAATCAAGCGTAAGGTCCTCAACGCTGGGAAATGATTTCCGGGCGTCAGACCTTCGATTAAGCTTAATTCTATGCCTTCCCTGAAGATCAGCTCTTCTAGATGAGGCCAACTACATGACGGGTCTGCCACGATTATCCCGCCAGTAGTCCAAGCACGTCCATTGATCATGAGGAGCTTGCGCAAATTGGGAGCTAGCAACAGCGCAGATATCAGTTCCCGTCTGCTCATATGATCAAGATCCAGAGCGAGGTATTGCACATTAGGGGCTGCACGAAGCCATAGGACCAAAGCCAGATATTCATCCCCTGGAGCATCGATGTAGATGCCAGGCGCAAATATCAGAGTCTTTAGAAAGGGCAGGCCAGAGATGAAGAGCATGGTCGTAAGAGAGCAAGGCAGATCACGAAGCTCGACAGTACGCGCTGCGGGGAGGACTGAACGGAGTGCGTGTATAGAGCGTTGATCGTCGTATTCCACTGTGATTCTGTCGAATAGAACGGGAATCCCAATCCTGCGGAGGGATGAAGATGATGAGGCAAGCTGACAGGCAGTGGCGCGATCTGCGTTCGTCAAGATTATGGTCCATAGTTCTGGGAACAGATCGACAGGCGGGGGGTCTACTCGCTCATAAGCTAGCGATATTCCTCAGGAAATAGTGGTACTCACTAGCCGTCATCGTACAGAGACGATGATGAACAGAGACGATGATGATTCGTTAAAGAGAATCTATCAGCCTTTCAATACTCGCCTGTCAGGGAACCGGGCCGTACAAACCGAACTAATCTAATCTGCTTATCGGCTTTCCCACACTTTACTCTGCCTTACATATGCCGTCGGGCCGCAGCATCTACCATCTTACCTCCCATATTTGTCCCTACCGAGGCAGCTACAACGCGCGTATCCACATACGCAGTCTGTGTGGCATCGCCTGCTCGCTCGTCCGTCCGGCGCGCTATCTCAGCTCATGTCACTGGGACGAAAGACTTGACAATTGGCGCTAAGGATCGGGACCGGCGATTCCGCCCTCAGTGACGGAAGAATAGGTGGCGGTTGTGCTCACGCGACAACGGTGCAGCGGATGGTCAGCGCACCACCGGCGCAGAGGACGGCGAACGTCGCACCCCTCTTGGCAATCAGACGGTGATGGACCCTGCTGCGGTCCCTAATAATGCGACGCAAACTCTCGATATTGCGTGTCAGGGTGTGCAATATTCTGTAGGTCTCTTAGGCCTTCTTCCTTTCTTCCCACCCACCATCATGTCGTTTCCTCGTCGCGGTCCTTCCCCCTCGTCTCCGTATATGCTACGGATAGCTCTCTTTTATTCATCATCATTCTCGGTAGCGCCCTCTCCCGTTTCAATGTCTCGATCAAAACCGACATAAATCCCGTCGTATCACACCCACAGACCTGATTCGCGGTGCGCTTTTCCTCTCCTGATCTCGACTCCCCTCCGTTCATCGATGCCGTCAATCCCCGAGCTCACACACCCTTGCGCACGTCTTTGCCTACACCGTGGACGAGGCTGCCGGTGTTCGCATGAAGTGTCGGGTCACGCCATCAACGAGCACTCGCTCTTCTGGCCCCGTATTTGTGTGCGAATGGCGCGCCCTTACCAGGCCCTTACATCAGATGTCGTATTCCATGTTACCCCCTATGTCACAATCGTTGATGACCGGCGAAGTGCAGGGATGTCGTGCGCTATGCACAGCACCCTTCGCTTCGACCTTTGTCGCCGCCTCGGCATGCCATCAACGCTTATCGGAACTATGTCTTATCTATCTTATACTGATTGCCTCTTACCGCGCGCATCATTTGACCGTGGGTTTGTGCACCAAGGCCGCTGCTGTGCACGCGCGTAGAACATCATGTCTGTCTAATTACCTTGCCTTGCAAGCAGCGCGGCAGGTCGTTTCTCCGATACAGTATGCTGCAGGAGAAACGAAGATCGCCGTCCCAATCTACCGGTATGAAGTCATCCAAAGCCCTTTGAAGGACAAAGCATGCTTGGGAGTGCGTCTGGGTGCTAGTGAGCGCTCGCTACAAAGCAAGACACGCCGCCCTCACCTAAACATAACCCAAAGGGTTATGGAAACGCATGCAGCGAAACCGCCGCCCTCGGTGAGCGTAACGCTGTTTCCAGCGGCATCTACCAATAGGCAGGTCTTGTGCCCGCGGCCGGGAAATGCGGATCTTTTACGAAGAGTCAAGGCTGACGGTCTCGCTTGTTTCTGCGCGCGGCTGGCGCGGGGGGGGGGGGATGCCGCGAGCATGGCCTCGTGTACGGGGTTCGCGTATTGGAAGCCGCCGTGTTTGCCCCTTTATCTCCTTCCACTGTCGTCCACTGTCACATTAAAGCGTGCCTCGCGGCATCGGAGCCGAGTGTTGTCTGAAAGCGATGGTGAAAATTCCCTTCCATTGTCGTTCACTGTCACATTAAGGACGCGTGCCCCGCGACATCGGGGACGAGGTTGCCTGCAAGCGATGATGGAAAACACACTTCTTTTGGAGGCTCACCTTCCATGAATCTAAACAGTACCTGTCGACTCCGATGCCTTTCGCCCATTAGACCCCAAAGAGTTCAAAGGGCATCTATGGACATTTAAGTCATGCTCCGAGCGCTTGCCCATCCACTGACCCTCCTCGTACAATGCCCACATATCAAACCCCGCTGCCCAAGTCCAGGACGGTCAGCGACAATTTCATCTAGGTCTCGCGATGCTGAGTTGTATGACAGCTATATAGCAAAGGCGTACGCGCGCTCTTGTATCCTTGCCTTGAAGATCGAGGAAAAGGGGTCGTTCTCTCGTATCAAGGAGATAGACGACGTCCAAATCGCCGTTATCTCTATGCGGCAGATGAGCTCGGGTTTCGACGACAGCAGAGCTACGTACACGACATCATCGTCAATATCGCGGTCGGCGGTCGGCGGTACCGTTTCCGCGTCTTCTTCAAGAGACATAAAGCCCTTCCCGAGAACCAGGCCATTAAAGCGCTTCCCGGAGCGACGGTGACATTCGACGGTGACGTCGTGCTTGCTGCGATCGGACCAAGAGTCGCCATTCGCAACATGGGTCCTAGGGCTGAGCGAGCGGCCGCCGATATAGCCATTTGCAAGTATGTCTTACTGGCCATGTTGCAGAGCATGCACTGATTGATTTACGTTGATGAAGACTCGCGCGTAGACTCGGTCCTTTCCGAACCCGTAGACGATATCCGTCCGAGGTATATCTGTAGCGCCACAGCAGCTGTCGCGCATTCCGGAGTGGTGATGGAGAAAGTGTATTGACCATGTTATATCGCCTGAAAAGAATGTGATCCTAGCTGTCCTGACTTGATCTGGTGCTTCCATAGGTACACTGTTTATCAGCGCGCGTCCACGTCACATGATATGCCTGTACTCAGCTCCCGCTTTCGCGATTGGTCCATAATATTAACATCCTCAACGGTCATGAGGGTGTCTGCATCACATGTCTGGACAATCCGAGCGACTCTGGAGGCGGGACGTGCGCCTATTGTGGCGTACCCGGCTCTCCGCATCTCCTAGCTGTTCTCGCGCCCATTATTATGAACACCTCACCCTCTAGGTCATCTCGCTGCTGCTTCATCCTTCATCATATCTTTCCTCGTTCTCCACCCGTCCAACGCTGCTTTTATTCCTCCTCCTCATCTAACGCGTGCACAACCGTCAGAGTTGCGTCCCGAAGGCAGCGAGACTGTGACTCACGTTCGCGCATCAATTCGCAGCCGCAGCCCAGGTTATTCGACAAGTTGGCGGCGTACACCATGTAGTGCGAATATCGTGTTCTTGTTGACGCGGGTACGGTAACAGTACAGAAAGGGCCAGCGAGCGGTACCGTGAAGGGACAATCCGTGGCCAGAGCCTACGTAACAACGCTCCTCAAAAGCGACCCCCATTTCCGTGTATCGCCCATGACGCCAAGAGGAATACGCGGACTCTGCGGCCATCTCCGGTGTAAACTTCACAGGGTGATTCAAACCGTGGGGTATCACAACACTGATATCTTCCGCGCCCTAAATGGACATTTCAACGCCTCTGCGCGACCCCAAGGTGAGATGTGAAGCATATCTTTATATTGAAACGGGAGAGTGCGTTACCAAGAATGATGATGGACACAAGAGAGCTATCCGTAGCATATACGGAGACGAGGGGGAAGGACCGCGACGAGGAAACGACATGATGGTGGGTGGGAAGGAAGGAAGAAGGCCGCTCGTGATCGTGCGGCCCGAACGGCCGATCGCGTGCTGATCGATCACTTCGAAGTCCACGTTTTTGTCTCGCCCGCCAGCAGCCAGCTGTAGCCAGTCGTAGAACAACATCGGATAGGCGGAGGATAGACGCCCCCCGCAAAGGGACTGTAGAACGCACATGCCCTCGCCATATCCTGTGCACTGCAGACGCGTTGGTCATGTCCGTCCCGGTGAGTTCTCCGTGTCATGCATGATGCAACCTCTGAGCACGTTCGACGATCAGCATGTACTTTTTCTGCACCTCGCAGACGAGCAACAGGCCAGCACGCGTCCGTCAGCCCCGCTCCGAGACTCGCCACGGTGCGTCAAGCGTCATCGGCTACCTCGCGTGGGCTGCTGAAGAAGCCAGCGGCGCCTGTCGTACTACAACCTGCTGCACTCCCCACTGCAACGATCCAGCCCAATCCTGACAACTCCCGCCACGCACCATCATAACTCCACATCGTTCCCTCTATCAAAATGTTGCAGCAATGCAGGCTGATGTTCTTGTAGAGGAGGCCGAAGGTGCGTGCGCCCAGTCCCATACTGAGACACCCGGCTCATATGATGTCAGTGGACGCTGCGGCGCTTCACTGGGGAGAAGCGTCGTCGCAAACGCGGCTGCTCGAATTGCCCTTCCTGAGATGCTGGTCGCCTCGGGGCGTCCGGGGAGGAATGTGATCGACATGTTCTGTCGATCGGACCAGCCCCCATTGGCTATTCGACCTTTCCCAAGACGGTCTCCGGCAACACCCATGGGATTCACGTCGACGAGAGCTCCAACGTTCAGTTCCGTAGCGAGGTCATTCACAACGCCGAGGCGGAGGTCCATTTCCACCATGTACAAGTACTTCCCGCATCACTTCCGCATAACTATGCTCATTCCTACCGCAGCACGGTCGGCGACAGTTTGCTCTTCGCCGTAAAGGCCCGCTGCCCTCGTACGCGTATTGAGGGGTGCCTCGCGCGAGGATTACGCTCGGCATATGCGCGGTAGTCGCGTTCGGTATGCCTCGGAACGATCTCACTGCCGCCATTCCACAGATGTGGTCATGGCTGTGTATGGGTAAGTTCTGGCGATCTGCGCGCTCAAAGTCGATGCTAACCGTGATACAGTCTGAGCCATACTGTGAACACGCGTGTTGGGAGCGATCTCATCCGTAGCGTTAGGTATGTGCCTAGCCAGCGTCTCACGTGCCCCCTGCTGATCCTGCAACAGTGGCGGCGAGCACAGAAGGCTCTCCGTCGCGGAGACCACCATCTCTAAGGCGCCCGCCCGATGCTGGGACATCGCTTTGCCCGTGGTCTCGACTCCGCGACGGCGCTCGAGTACATTCTCACCCTCTGTAGCCATACCGAGTTCACGGGCTCCACGCCGCTCGTCGTCATTTCCTAGGCCTCCGCGTACAATCTCTTCGACAAGGACACCCTTCTCTACGAGGGCCGCCAGATCTACTTCGGCCGCACCACCGGCGTTAAGGAGTTCTTCCTCAAGACGGGCTTCGAGTGCGCGGAGCGGCAGACCACCGATCACTTCTTAACCTCGCTCACGAACCCGGCGGAGCGCATTGTGCGCCCCGAATTTGCGAAGAGCGATCTTTATACGCCGGACGAATTTGCGCAGCGGAGGAAGGAGAGTCGCGCGCGGCAGCAGCTGCTCCGCGACATCGAGACGTACAATGCGCAGTTCCCGGTCGACGACAAGCAGTACAAGAGGTTTCAGCGCTCGTGCCGCAGTCAGCAGCCAAAGTCCTTGTACGTGAGCCATTGCAGGCATATATATGCACGCGGGTACCGATCTTGTTGCAGGAGCGTCAAGTCCTCGTACACGCTCTCCTTCGGCAGGCAGATCGGTCTTCGTGCCGAGCCAGCAGCACAGGAGCGACATGATCAACTTCTGTCACAGTATTCGGTAACTTCGTCACGGGCCTCATCATCGCGAGTGTGTCCTAACATGCAACCGAACACGGACACCTTCTACCGTCGTGGGGCTCTGCTTCAAATTGCCGGCTCGACCAAGGCTTTCGCCGGTATGTACGAGGTACGCGCTTTCTACCTTGTTCAGAGCCTGCCGTGTACTGACTTCTGATTAGATTCTGACCCTGTACGCTCAACGCCCCATCGTCGAGAAGCACTCGCCCTTTGCTCTGTATCAATGGATTTTGGAGGCCGTGGCCAGTATAATTCGTGGCCTGCCGTCAAAGATCAACTACGATCAACCTCGCGTATATCCAACCTGAGCCGCGAGGTCGGCTCGTTCTTTCTATACCTTTATCTGCACGACGACCATGACCATGATCTTCCGAACCATCACCTCTGCGAGTCGCGCGCTTTTGCAAACCATGGCCTCGGCTAGTGTCTTCATGTTGGCGCTCGCCATCTACACTAGTACGTTGTTTTTGCCGACTCTTTGGACAGTCGTGCTCACCCGGCAATCAGACTTCACCTTTCCAACGCGGGACATGATGGTCTGGTTCCGCTAGATCATCTTCCCCATTGGCCACGCCTTCGAAATCGTCCTGGTTGTAGAGTTCAAACGGCGCGTCTTCAACTGCTCAGCACGTACACATGGGTCCCGGCATCGTGAACCTGTCCGGCGAGGACTTTGTCTGCGCAACGACGGGTGCCGTGCCGGGATCTACTATCGTCTATGGCATGGGCTACGTCAGCATGACCTATAACTATCATCGCTCGCTCGTCTGGCGCAACTTCGGTATTTCCATCGGCTTCATGGTGTTCTTCTGCGGGACGAATTTTCTCGCGACTGAGAAGATTGCGGCTGCGAAGCCTGAGGTACGACGACCAACAACTACCAATCTTCTCATGTGTGCTCACTGTTTTTCAGGGTAAAGTCCTTGAGTTGCAGAGGAGCCGTCTTTCTAAGCGCCGTAGCCAGCACGTCGACGACGCGGCTGGCGGCGCGAAGTTCACGGAGGACAACAGCGTCGGCTCGGACTACACCGTGGCCGTCATTCAGCCCTTCGCCGAGATCTTTCACCGGCACGACGTCTGCTCCGACATCAAGAATGAGAAGGAGGACCGCCGCCTGGTCGATAACGTCTGTTGGGTTAAGCCCGACACGCGACCGTTGTAGGTCTTTACGCCTCTCGTCATTGGGCGGCGTTAGTGACGAATTCTTGCGCCGAATGTGGCGTCAAGGGGTTATGGGCGCGGTAGATGCTCTGGATCTGCAGAAGACTCAGAGACAGAGGGGCAGCGGCTGACAATTGTGGCCCTGTGATCGGCGTGGTCGGTCTCCCGGAGCCCGCACTCGGATGTGGTCTGAAGGCCGGAGCGCGCTCAAGACGCCTAATGCGTCAAGGTGAATGCGCTTCCTGTTGTCTCGCCACCGCCTCCTATCCTGCGACCGGCTGTTGGGCGTTCGGTGCTATCCTTTTCGTAGACCTGCCTTTGCGCCAACCCTCCGCAAGTGGTGTGCTGGACGCACCCAAGGTCGATCGTAGCACACTGCGTGTCCTCCGGGTCGGCGGGCAACCTGTTTGGCGAGCCTTCAAGGGATAGCGGGTGAAGCGGGATGGCTAAGCGGGGGTATGGAAGCTGGAGAAGCGAAGGGCGCGTAGATGGGGAGGCGAAGAGGGTGGGGGCGATGGGGGCGATATCGGAGGGCGAGGTGGAGTACGATACGTCGCAGAGTGCACGTGCGAGCGCTTCGTGGTGCGCGTCGCTCCTCTCAAGCGCGAGTATCCTTTCTCCACGTATCGTTCCCACTCGAAAAGCAGTGCTTTGCCAACATATCCTACCTAGTTGTCCAGACGTCCCATCGTGCCTTCTGCCCAAGGGCTGAATACCCTGAGTATGACACGGCTCTCATATTGCTCTGGAGTTCATTCCAAATGGCTCACGCTCGCTCAAAGTCATCAAAATGTTTCGGGGCTGCTGTCGTGGAGGGCGTTCAATCAAAATGCGCATATTACCTTGCCTTGCAAGGTCTCTCCCCGTCCTTATTGAAGCCTGATATTTCGCAGGCACAATCAAAAGGTCAACAGCGCTCAATAAATGACCGAATGCTCAGTGCTAGAGCCGCAAGCCAGGTCGAGAACCGGCGTAGCCGGAGCTTCCTCTAGTCTTTCCCACCCTTAATTGACCCCATCAATTTGTACGGTGCTCTTGGACAACAACTGTAAAGTCACGCGCGCCACACGCGCGCAACGAGAGTCCAGTCCACAAGCCCAGCCCACGATCCCAGGCGCAAGGCAAGGTTAGAACCGGCGAAGCCGGAGCTTCCTCTGGTCATTCCGTTACACTAGCAGTTTTCGAGCCATACATATCCGATATTGTTCACGAGCCCGACTCCTCGGGCTTGACACCCCCACTGCTCTCTTTGAGCTGAGCCAGCTCTGCCTTCTGCTTCAGGCGAGCGGTATTGTTCTGTAGATAGTGCAGACGGCTACTGGCGAAGGCGCGAATAGGCCAACGGTCCTGAAAGTCGTTGCCGAACTCCGGGAAGAGCTTGAGCGCCTGTCATAGTCGCGTCCATTAGTAGGCCTATACTCGTGCAAGTATCTTACCTCCTCGTCAAAGACTTCTAGACGTGCCGAGGTTTGCTTGGTCACAGGACGCGATGTGTCCAGGAAGGAATCCACCAACTGGTTCATGGAGCGCTGCGATGTACTTGAGCGTCTCGTAAGTGACACAGTATAACGCTGCTTACCCGAACTGCATTGTAGCGGTCGGAGGGCCAGCCCAAGGCCTCCTTCAGATTGTAACCACCGTTGCCCGGCTTCCCGGGCTCACCCCGAGGCCTTCGAATGCGACGTCCATCGGTCGGAAGAGGGTCTGTGGATTGGCTAGGGGCAGGGGTAGAGCCGCCGCGGCTTTGAAGTGCAGACATCTGAGCGGGAGCTCGGGCAAATGGGACGGGTTCATGTCCATGATCGATGCCGTTGTTGTGTGCTGGGCCAACAACAGGAGTGCCGGTCTTCCATCCGTCGGGGCTGGCACGCTGCGGCGCGATTGAGACCGGAGGTGAGGCGCCACTCCAACGCAAGCGCTCGTCCTCGTCCGACCCTTCGCTCTCCGACCCAGAATCGCTGCTTCCATCGGTATCATCGACGACCAGACCAGCTCGTCCGCCCTCGGAAGGCTCTATAGCGGAGGGGCCCGATGAGTGAGCTGGCGCATAGGGTTCATCAAGTCGGTGGGACGAGGTACTGATGTTGACTTCAACGCTAACAGGGAGCGGGCGACGGTCAGCGGTGTCGTAAAACTGGTTTTTCACGACGACCTCGACGTGTTGCTTGAGGCGTCCGTAAGAAGCGGAGAGCATGGTGAACTGGTGAACTGGGAACCACGGATGCTGTCTGCGGTTTATAAAGCAGACCAAGACCGACGCGAAGATCCTTGCCTTTGCGTCGAACGGATGAATGGGCTTTTGAAATCTTGACCTTGGAGCGATGCAAGTAATGCTTTCAAGTAGACCACTAAAAGGCCACGTCAAAGCGAGAACAAAAGCCTGCTGGGGCTTTGGAGTACAATGGCGCAACGCGATGCGAACAATCATGTGAAGGAAGACGATGCTATGCACGTACCAGGCGCTTTATTTCAAGGTAAAGGGAGCAATTATGGTCATTCCATGGCCCCATCACTCTCGAAGGCCATTGTAGGGCTTCATGGCCAGACTCCATTGTCCATTGTCGCTGAAAGAGAGTGAGCGTCCATACGTCGCCCCTTGGCTGTCCTCATTTGGAATGTCGTGGGAACTGACCGCCACAAAATAGTTGGGAGTCCTTGTTCGATCCTGGTCGTTGACGTTGCGCGGTTCTTTTTGACCTAAGCACAGGCGCACTGTACCTTCGCAGCACATTGATGCAGACAATATTAGCATTGAATCTCAGGCATATATAGTGATTGTCCGTGCTACGGGTCTCCCTCCCTTCATAGAACATTACCGCCTGCGGTACGCCCACCCTTTCTTGAGGACTATTATCATAGCTGTGGCAAAGTTGGCATGCTCCCTTCGATTCGATGCCGTGGACACTCGATGATTTGGCACGATCACGGTACATCTACGAAGACGCAGGTGCGTTGAGTAAGTCCAGCTCACTAAGTGATCTGCCTGAACAACTACCTGAAGTAGTTCAGCGTCCTCTCGTACTCGCGCCCAATGCCGATCGGATTGGCCATTGATTCCCAATGGATGCTCACTCATCCAATCGCGCATGCAGTGATCCCTGCCTCGACGGATCAGTTCTATGGTGCCGAGCGAGAAAGTATCGACGAACCGTGCGGTGTTTTTCTGCGAGAGCTTGGCGGGTTTGTCGGCGTTCAGTTTCGCCTTGCCCGCTACTACGTCCTTACGGGCAAAATCTTGGTATGGCTATGGCGTGGACAGTCAGACTCTCGTTCACTCGTAGTGATGGATTGTCTTACTTTGAGAAGGCCAGCGTGGGCTCGTATATTCCTCCAAATTGACCGTTGGTCCCCCGCGGATGGTCTCCCGACCAATCACGCAAGCAATGATCACTATGCATCGTCATTTAAGGACTACGTTGCCACTAACCGTGCCGTATTCTCATTCCGCTGTTTAGCAATTTTGTTGGTCTTTTTCTTGATTTTGACAGGCTCTTTCACAGAGCCGGCTGATTCCTCCAGTGCAGATGTCGAAGGTCCCCTATCGGCTAGAGTTGTGAGAAGCCCATGAAGCTCGCTGGGAAGTTCAATGCCAGTGTTTGACTTGACGCCGCAGGAACTCCTCGTAAGGTAGGTCAGATTAGCCTTCCTCGCGGGGTAGCAAGAGAACTCACGATGCACGATTTCCAAGGATGCATGACGGCGCGGAAGGCTGCCCAGATATAGATAGGTGAAGGCTTTCGTGAACATCGGCTTCATGGGGTGGTGCTGACGCATCAACAGAGTACGGACGACCAGGTCCCGGTCAGCCGGCGTGAATTCGGGGCCGTCTATAAGTAGGGATTGGACCGAGCGTCCCATGGCTAAAAGGACTTTCTGCCGGGATATGTGAGCAGCGTACATCGTCGAGCTCGTAGACAAACATTGACATACTTGGACGAGATATAACTCTTTCATGATCTTGTTTATGATCTCCTGGCGATGATGGGGGCGCGCCTCGGCAGACTCAAGCATCTGCGCGAATTCAGTGTTTATGAGTAACGCGGCAATATGACATGCCTTGGCTAGACTTACCCGTCGCTGCTCTAACGATACGCTGGCTTGTTCATGGTGTTCCAGGACTCGACTTAAACGGGTACACTTGCCCATGAGTAAACGTGTACCTTCAGCTGGCTAAGAATGATGCCTCAGGTGTCCCTATTCTTTATGCATCTTTCCCGATCTGCCTCAGTGCTAGTCGCCCTGTTCTGGAGCCGCTAAGAAGGTTTCTACGGCTCAGCTACGCCCATCGCACCTGAAGTTCGATAATCTCCGTCTCCTTCACACACACCGCCAGAGTCGTTCGTTCGGGCGTGATTGTGTACCTCGCAGAGGGAAGTAACAATCCTAGTGGCCGCGACTTTGAATGACTGCGATGTCAAGATGCATAGAGGCGCTTCCTGAGCTCTCGCCCGCGACATATTTTTGCCAGCGCCGCTGAGTGATTAGTCTCCCTTGGCAGCCGTCTGAGTGATATCTTACACGTGCATCGACGTGAGGCTATCAGGCACAATTGGGCGAACCGCCGGATGGTTTTAGCACGAGGAGCGATGGTGTGCCAGATCCAGAGTAGCTGGGCGGCAGAGTGAGCGCACGCACTTATGCACCGGAGGGACGTCTGAGTTGAGCCTCCACATAACAACCGGTGCCACTGCAGTTGAGCGAAGGTGGGTGGATGGAAGATATATAGGTTGGCAGGCTGCGAACTGGCGAACTAGCTTCAGCAAGCAACGATTTCCCAGAATATAAAAAGGCATGAAGCAATGTGATGCATTTGTGAATGATCTTGAAACTAACGAGTAGGCCACTTCGCACCAGAGCGGCGGTCTTGAGTCGCGCCGGCGCCGCTTCTGATGGGTCTGTTTGGGATGAACCACGTGCTATTGTGATGAATGCCGGTCGGTCACGCAAGACCAATCCGGTATCAACAACGCGATGATTATCCAGTTGATGATTGTTCCTTTCAACTTCCTTCGACCTTCCACGATTTGGTATGTCCGCGCTAAGGCTACCGTTCAGGATCATGCGATGCTCTTTGATCTTGATTCTAACGTACAATCTAGCGAACCTTGGACCGCTTTTCGGACAATGCACTCAATTTTCTTCGATCAACTACACGTGGCTTTCACTCCTACGAAGACAAAGCAGCGTAAGGTCATGCCGTCTAAGCGCAAAGGAGCATGCCCTGGGTCAAAGCGGCGCTCTTCCCCTACCGTGGCCTGCTAAATATTGAGAACGTCGTCTCTTCCCCTTCATACTTCACAGGATGCGCAGGACACCTGGCCACGATTCTTGGCGTTACGCCGACAGCGATCAAGACGGTAGATTCTACGATACCGCCGATCGCCAGCCATTCCTCGCTGGAGTCATCCGCACACCGGTCTCTCGTCGGCGAATGGCACCGTATCCAACGGTCCAGCAGAGGCAGACACTGCAACGAGTGAGCCCAGAGGCCATGGATCAAGAGATCACGACACGCATAACTCCTCAGACGTCGCACTCGCACCCGCGCACTCTCGCCGTTCAGTCGTCCATGAATTCGGTCGCAGACAGCGATTATGTACCATGCACTGGCTCCAGTCGTAACAGCACATCGGACGAAGAAGAGGAACAGCGCCGTCGTCGGACCCGACCCCTTGCAATTTCCCCATCCCTTGACAGCGATCCTGGCGCATGGGTGGACCGCGTCGCGGACGATTGTGCTGGACTCTCGGACCGACCGGCTGGCAGGGCAGTCTCGCGCGACATTGACGAAGCAGCTACGGTCACCGTCGCTCCAACGACGGTCACTAAATCCTCAGGCCGACAGTCTGCTGGGGCGGAGCTGCGCGAAGCCGACGAATTGGCCACGGGCACAGCCGCTACGACGAGGGATGAATCCCTGGACCGACAGACTGCTGGAGCAGTGCCGCACGACGTCGCCGAAGCTGCTACGGGCACCGCTGCTCCCGCCCGAAGCAGCCGAGTCATCGCTGCCCGTATGCATGTCCCTCAGAACGGCACCTATCCGGATACTGAACAGGTACACAACGAGCTTCACATCCGCGCCTCAGACGACAACCGCTCGGATCGCGATCTTGATCGAGTACCGGAGGGAAACCCTTCAACTCCACGCGAAGCCATCGTCCTGCCAGACACGAGCGAAACGCGCACGCGGAAGCCGAATGGTGAATGTGGCAAGCCTGGAAAGGGGGGGTACAATCTTCAAGATGCGCTCGGCTGGCCTGCGCACAAGTATAACAACGTCAGGGTTGGTCGCTATTCGTTCATTATCATCTGACCCACTAATATAGTCCGGCAGAAGGAGATGAATAAGCTCGTAGACCGTATACTGGATGGTACAAAGTCCCTGACTAGGCAGGAGTCGGCACGCATGGCGATACTAGAGCTGGAGGTTCGTATATCTGAGCATCGCACCGACCGCCAGAGCAAGTACTAATGTTGGGCCCCGCAGGCAATCAAAACCTTCCCCGAGTTCGATACTGATTACGAAGAACGATGGCCTATTCGTGACTTTGCTGGTAATCGTCTGCATTACCTGCAAAACCATGCAATGCGCCGTTTGCAGAAGCAAGCGCTGGATACCCTGCGCAAGGGAGACGCTACGACGAGGCCTAAGGCAAAAAAACATTGATCGCTGATATACTTACTGCTCATTGTCTACATTATCGTATGTCCGGCGCAAATGATTACGGGGATCACACGGCGATGGTAAGGTGAACCGAGTGCACCAAGGGTAACAAGAGAGACCCACCAATAGTAATCGCCTCGGGCTGCCGAGGGCGCGGCACGGCACATGCGCTCGGTAGATGCCGCGGGAGGGGCGGGCGGCTGGAGACTGGGCGACAGCACTTGGGGCTGCAGCCACCGGCTCGAGCCCGGATAAGCTAGGAAGAACGCGCGGCGGTGCCCCCTCGCCCGAGCGTGCGTGCGAGTCGAACGGCCTGAACGGTGAATTTCGGGCGGACGCCGACGCAGCGGGCACAGCCACCCTACCATACATGGTAATCGCCTCTACCATACATGGTAATCGCCTTGATGCTGCCGAGGGCGCGGCACAGCACATGCGCTCGGCAGATGCCGTCGGTCGGCCTCCTCGACCCTTCCCCCATGATGTCCCAGCTCCCTGGCTCAGAGGTACGGTTTTCCAAGCTCCCCCTTCCTTGCTTTCTTCAACGAAGCACAGCGCATGCAGCGCTGCTCGCATCTCCGGCGTCTGGGGCTTTCGTGGGGCGTGGACGATCGACGGCAGTGAGATTAGGTGAGCGCCTGCCTGCGTTCTCTCTCGACCACGCTCACGCACGAACAGCTGTCTCGCCGTCGTTGCTGGACATGCGTCTCCCCTCGGCGCACCATGTCGTCTCGCTCTGAAGTGGTCGCCGGGTTGACTCGTGCAGGCAGGGCGCGATGAGGCGAGGGTCGCAGGTGCGTACTTCGCATCTCCTTCTTTTGACCACCGCTGACCAAGATCAGGCTCCCACAGGCTGGCGCCTCCCTCCCCAGCTCCCCCTCCCGGCTCCCGCAATCTTCGGTCTATTCTGGCTCGCCCTCGGGCTCGATCGACGCGTCGGGCATCTCCCAGAAGCCTCGGCGTCATGCTGGGGATGCGCCGCGTCTGTGCTGGCGTGATCTCGCGAGCGTCAGTCACGGCTGGCCTACCGCCCTTGAGAAGATCCGTCTCTCACGCTGGCGCCAGGACCGGGGTCCCGCCGCTCCGTGCGCCCGGCTCTATGCGTAGGACGACCGACCGCATCGATGGCGGCCTGTCGTGCAAATGAGTGCGTGAATCCGGGCTCGTCCGCGTCGAGGCTCGCTCTAACGTGCACTTTCTCAGCGCACCGGACCGTGATCAGCGTAGCTCATCTGCGCTTGACTCGCCACCGGCCCTCTCGGCGATCTCCTCCCCCGCTCGTCAACTTGCGCCCCGCCCCTGCGCTTGTCCGACAACGCGGACAAGATATCCACGATAGACCAACGTCTCACTCGATCACCATGGTCAGCAGAGACCGCCAGCGGGTTCTCAAGAGTGCTCGGCCTCGGAGCGACCTCCAGCTTGCGTTGGTGTGCGACGAAGCTGATCTTGGGACTTCCATACAACACATTTACGCCTTGCTCTGTAATATCCATCTGCTATTCCACCGTTGGCTGGCTCAGACGTCTGATGAGCCCGTCCTCCTCACCCGCCGCTGAAGCCGCCAGTGCTTTGACTTTGACCACCTTGCCCATCGGCAGTGATCTCTGCAACCCGAAGGATACCACGACGTCGATCTTCGACTTTGTCAACGACGAGCCGTTCGCTGCGACGTTGGTGACCGTGCGGATGTTCAACTCTGGACGGGGCAGGCTCCCAACGACCGTCGACTAACGCTACTTTCACTTACGCCTCCCCCCTCGCCCACGCTACGTGTACGGCTCCGGCGACAGCCAGTCCGCCTCCTCGCACACCCTCCGAATCGCGCGCACCGCGTTGGGTCGTCGCCCAACGTCACCTGTCCCTTGCCATCGCCGGTTCGTGAGGCATGAGTACGATGATCCCGCGGGCGTCCTGGACGAATGTTGTCAATGCGCCACGACGACCTCGAACCTATGGATCACCATCCTCACCGTGCATATCTAGTATCACCCAGCGCCTCTAAAGTGCTTGCTCACGGCTTCCAGCACCTCTGTCGCTGAACGGAGGCAGGCGACGTTGCTCTGCGTCAGTGCAGATCTGTTGGTTCTGAAGGAGAGCTCCACGTCGTACGAAGCTGTTGGTGGTCATGAAGTTGGCGGACGACTGCGGCTGGCGCTGCTCGGCGATCCAGAAGACCATCACGCAGGCGCGTAACCTACGGTTACACAAGATGGGGTTTGGCGGGTACGGGCGAAGAGGCGTACGATCCGACGCTTGCTGCGATGCATCTGCCAGAGGTCCTGATGAACCGTCAACTGCTGGCAGCAAGGGCCTCGCTACTACTACTACTACTACTACTTGCTGCTGCGGTCGACCTGTCGCGCGATCGAGCCCGGGGCGCCTGTATCGACGTCCAGGTTGGTGGAGACCATGGTGAGTCGCCTGCGTGTTTCGTTGGCTGGGACAGCCATGGCCTGCCCGTCCACCTCCACCTCCCTGTCCTGCTGCCGCTCACGCGCCTGCTACCGCGTCTCACGAATCTTCAGCACCCGCTCGCGACGGAGTGGCGGCGTCTCGAAGACCTCTTCCGGCTGGACTCGATAGTGTCGACCCTCATTGAACTCGTGCATCCCCGAACGCTCGATGTCGCCGAGCGCGTGATCAGCGATGTCCTGCGCGAGCTCGTGAAGGCACTGTGCGACTAATTCAAGCCCCGATCCGCGGACTTCATCTTCACGCACATCGCGATCTGCATCACGGCCGAGCTTCGAGTAAGTGAAAGGAATCGGCGACTGCTGACAATGAGGCTGATATTCGAGGGATAGTATGCATCATCGAACCTGCCAGCGATGAGGGAATCGTCTGCGGGTGGAGGGTGTTTCCTCCATAGTCCAGGGCCCAAAGACGACGCCGGCGCTTCACGCTCGGGTCTTCTTGCAGCGAGTGCGTTGGTGGGGCAGGATGCACTCGACTTCACGGAGAATAGTCCAGGGGAGCCGTGGGGAGCTTCTTGGACGAGGCGAGGCCCGCAATTGACATGTCGGCTACGAAACTAACTCGCGTACAGGCGATGCTGGGGCTTTCTCCGATGCTGCGTTGGGTATCGTCCTCACGAAGCGCACACGGACCTCCGTTCCCGGGCCTTGGCGGTCGCACTGCGAGCACCGTGACGAGTGCGCGCGTTCAAGGGTGGCTATCATGACATCTTTTGTTACGAGCCAAATTGACGACGAGGTGCTGGCAGTGGGATTCGTGCAGGGAAGTCCGAAGCCTTACCTTCTTTCACCTTGTCGCAATGAACCGTACTCCGCCTTTGACCTCAGACAGCTTCACATATGTTCTCAAATTTACTCGAAAATGCACGGATACCCGTCCCTCAATCCCAGTCATAGTCTTCTTCCCCTTCATCCTCCTGTCCCTGCCCTTCTTCGTCAGTTCTTGTATCATCGTCCTCGTTGATACCAAGGGCAATAATGCCTGCGGGCCCTATCTCTTCCAAGTACGAGGGATCAAACAGCGCTATGCTCAACTTTTTTGGCGGCGCTCGCTCGCTCGTCTGTGCTACCCTCACCCGGCGTATCCTGTTCTTCAGCGCGAGCTTGTTGAAGATGTCGGGGAATTGCGCCGGAGTCTGATCGACGTCGTCGAAAACCTCCTTAAAAGAAGGGTGGCGCCAGCGCATCTCGAGGACCCTCCTGCATGGTTGCTCCGCTACAACGCCCCCTGGAAACACAACCTCCTCGGTGTCGCTCTCTTCGTCCGACATCCCCTCGTAGTTCAGCTGTTCAAGCGACCTCAGAACGTAGGACCAATGGTCAAGCTGCTCGTCAGCCCCAGACATCTCGGCTTTCTCGCGCATTATACTAGCGATCTTTGCGCGAGAATTCAGTTTCTTCCAAGAAGTGGGCGATAAGTACCTTGTCCGCAAACGAAAAAGAAAGCGCGCACGTAGTTCCTGGCCATGACAGATCGGCAGTGCTTGTTGTAATTGGTGTGATTGTCCAGACATCGTTCCACGACCTCGTCCCACGTTTCGTCACCAATGGGTGTCGCCTCCGCGATGCCTCGATACTGCCGACCAAGTCGGTCTTCGACTTTCTGTGAGACCAAGTCGACATCGGCTGATCCGTAGCAGCCTGTAGTGTCATTGGAGATGGTGTCGAAGACGAGATCCACAAGCCTTTGGGTCGCAAGCTTTCCGAAGAAGCAAATCAGGGGAACTGTTGAGTGTGATTGAAAGGTAGACGATAGCGCACCATATTCCACGGGGAATTCTTCATTAACGTTGTAGATGCGCGGAATGTTGTGTCTAGCTGAAGGTTATGCACATCCGGACCGTATCGCGCGGGGTTTGATTCGAACAGCGAAAGCCGCTCGTCACTAACACCTGGCAATTCTCTGATTGCGTTCAGAAAGCGAACCTTGAAGGCCTTCTTGAATACCATCGTGACCAGCCGCTGGAAGATGCGTGAGAATCGAGGCAGAGAAGGCGATGAATACACCCGACATTCAGATTGGTATTGACTTCCTCAAAAGAAAATGGCAGGCCAGGGATTAGACGTTGTCGCGCCTGCTTGCGAAGGAAAGGCGAGGACTTGGCGTTGCCGTCCCCCTCGAGGCCTACATGGAATCGACCGGTAGCAGGGCCACTTCTCTTGCTTCTGTGCATGGGTGTGGGGCTTGCTGGAGGCAACGACTCGGTCTGGCCATCGTCGCTGTCATCAGAACTGCCCGGTCCGTTCTGAGGATCGATTACAATTCGCTCACACATGAGTAATGCAGTCAAGTACGCACTGATGGACGCGAATACGGGCTCAACCTTCGCCGAGCTGATCGCCGTTGGTCATACGAGGTTGGGCTGCGCCCTGGTCCTTTGCCTTCCGTAGTCGACGCTGCACTGGCCTGGCTGCGAGGGGAGACATCGAACTCTCCCGAACCGAATGCTGAAGCCAGAGCTTCCTCGGTCTACCATCGTAAGAAGCCGGTATCTCGAAAAAACCACGGCGCACCTGTGCAAGTTCCATCGGAGAGCCACGAGTGTGCTCGGTTGCGCGAAGGTCCCGCCCGGAATCATCCAGCATCTCCCCGCGGGGAGTCTGCAGATTCGATATTTGAGTTTCGCGGTGGCAGTAACTCGGACGTCAAACTTACGTTGAGGCTTGACAGCCTGCGTTCGAGCGCCAAATTGTAGTCCGTGAGCTCCTAGGTACCATTAAAGACGAGAGGTCTTCATGGGAAGCGTGAAAATCATACCGTGAGCTGGTTCATGAGCCTCTAACAACGGAGATTCAACGCGATGGTCATTACCAGTCAATTTGAATGACCGCACCTCTACTTCGGCGTGTGTAGCCGCAGCTTCCCGTTGCAGTTCAGTCAAATCCTATGACATGAGAACCAGAAGACTGCACGACAACTTCTCGCAACTCACCTGTGGAACATTTCTGATATCGTTCAACACCTCGCGTGCTTGTTCTAGTTCACCCTGTAGTTGGGCTCTCTCCAAGGCATGGGACTGTCTGCAGTCCCTCGTCTTCGCCTCTAGATCTTGTGTCTCGCTCTGCGCCCTTATAGTAAGTTGGCTAGTTCTCATATAGAACGTCAAAGTAACTTGCCCTCAACTTGCGGACGGTCTGTTGGCCGTCGCGGACTATTGCCTCCTTCTCCTCCGTAACGCATACCAGATGCCGTTGTTGTTCGTCAATAGTTTGTTGAAGTTTCTAATTATGTGTCTCAGGCTAGGAGGATTGTGTCAGAGCATACCATCAACGTACACGCTTGGCTTCGTCGACGGATTCAGCTTGCCGTTGAAGACGGCTGGCTATCCCTTGGGCAGCGAGTTGACTAGCCTCCAAGCCCACATTTTCTCTTCGATGAGCGCACACCGATGCTCGGAGCTCATCCTCGCGTTCATAACTCGCATGTAGAGCGGCCTGAGTTGTCAAGGGGAAGTCGGTCAGACCAATCATTGCGGATAAAGCAACAGATCACGCACCCGAAGTTCCGATGTCTTCGCCTGTGTCCATATGATAGCTATGAGCGTCGCTGGTCATTGCATGGAAAGCTTTCAGCGTACCGCCAGGTTTTCCATCTTCTCGAGTGCGCTCTCCTGTAAATGTAGATGCTGAATGAGTTAAAAGGGCTGTCGGGCTGGTAACGTGCCATACCATGCTTTTGCTGCACGGCGCGAGGAATGTGCGCTACGCTTGATCAGTGCGCGTTCGGATCGTAAGAAGGACAGCACCTCAATAGCAGGTTCCTCGAGCCCTGGTAGCTGCAGTCGACGGCCCATGGTTAGTAACTGATCGCGCAGCGCCTACAGGACGTGAGCAGGCAAAGTCGACGAGCTCAGCATTCTTCTTACGTCTATATCGTCCGCAAGATCCCAGGCGGTAGCCTGCATGAATCGAGGATTTTCATTGATGTTCGCGGCTTCACGTTCGCATTCCTGCAGAAGGCCATCGGAATCGACAATGTACTGGACGGAAGAATGGGCGTACCTCCAAGCTCTCGGCGACGCGCGAGAGAACGGCGTATGAAGTATGCGAGCCCTCCGTCTATATGTATTTGGAAGCGTCAGAGAGATTTCTCGTCACTCTCCCAACGTACCTGTGGGGTAAGGAATGTCATGAGTTCACGAGCGGCCGCCTTCGCGCGCCCTATCATGCCCGCCAAGCTGGTGTCCGCGTCCTGTATGTCTTCATTCATTGATCTTCAAGCGAGGAGGAGGTGCTCAGTCGTGTAGATGAGTTAGCTATCGGAGGAGCCACATGCGAGGCCGACACCGAAGGCACTTTATATACTGCCACAATTCGCGACCCTACAATCCGGCATATGCAGGTGTTTGAGTCGAAAGGACAATAAGTTGAAAAGAGGAAATAAGGAGAAAGCCTCACCGAATAAGCCTTCGGGTGCTTGCATCGTAAAGATGGAAACGAAGACGGAAAGAAGAAGCAAGGCTCACGCGTTTGATGATGACCAACAAACGTGCGTGATTGACCTTTAGATCGGATCAATGGGGACGAGATTGATGCATGGACTTTCCAACGGATCAACGGGAAACGCCTAACAATGGCCTCGTGGTCAAACGCCTTGAAAGATCTTTCTTCTTCAATCGGTCCCATTCACACCCTTCAACATCTGTTGCGATTCAAGGTCTTTGTCAACCTGCCCAATGAAATACATCCTGTGCGTACTTATAAATTGCGCGCTTCTTCAGCCATAGCTCCCCAATACGAGAAAGCTCTCTGATATGACACCATCCCTCCGACGCCAGTCTGGGCGTAGTTCCGTCCGCGCTCGTATTGACGCAGCTCCGTACTCCCCACCGAGCAAGACGAAACCTGTCGATATCAGTCGTGGTGTCCCAAAGAAGTCCAGGGCTCGTGGCATCACGCACAACGCGATCGCTAAAATCTCTGACGACTCTGAATACGTTCTTGTGGAGGTACGGTCTGGATTTTTCCCATTTGGCATCAGACTAAGTTGCCTCACAGAACGCTAGCCCCAGCTCTACGAACACAGTCCTAGCGGCCTTCGAGGACATACAAGCTGATTTGCAGGTATGTTCTTCGATCGAAATTTCTTGTACGAGGTTAAAGACGGATACAGGTCGCCAAGAGCCAGCTCGATGAACTATCGAAGAGAGAGAGAACCGCAATAACGTGCCCAGTTTGCATGGAGCCCAATTTTCTGCCTCGCATGTGCGTCAATTATCCACCGCCTCTTGTGAACCACCACTGATGTCCTATTAGGCTGAACTGTGGGCACGTATTCTGCCAGGCGTGCTTGTCTTCCCACTACCACGCTCAGCGTAGTGCAAACTGTCCTCTGTGTCGGGCGGCCATCCCTCTGTATCAAGATTTCCCCTTGTGCTACCAGCTTCGCGCGCAGGCTGTGGCGTGGGCGAATGCGAACGCAGTGACTGTACCTCCTCTGCAGAAATTCTTCTGTTTCCCCCCGCCGCGACCGCCATCGCCGCCTCGCCCTCCACGTCCAGCTGGTGAGGCTGCGTATGGCCCTATGCATATATATACGCATCGCATCAAGTACACGTACAGTCGCTCCTGTCGTCGCCGCTTTCAAAAACGCGGATAAGACTCTTCGGATTACGCTCCACTGCTTTCACTCGAAATACATGATGTTCTGACTGCTACCATCGCCCTTCTTCCCGGGCTTCTCGCTGCGTGATCTCCTTCCGGTACATCGCTTGTACGTGATATATTGGCCAGCACAAATTCAACCTTCATGTGACTCGCGCGTGCGTATCGACGGATCAAATCTCTGGTCTTTGTACCTTCGAACCCCTCACGGCGTTCCTGATCCGTCGCTGGGAAGTGTTCTCGCGTGCACAAGGCAACAAAGCGAGCATCCTAGATACCGGCCCTAGGGTAGGGCTACAGGGCGAGGGACGGAGCTGTTTAGACCGACCGGACCGTCTGGCCCAGCCGTATGCTTGTGTGTACAGTAGTGCGCCCACGGGCAGTCATCATCCATCCCTTCCGGGGCCTTCACCATTCCGCCCCGCGGATAGAGGCTACTCCAGCGTACGTATGAAAGGTTATTGCTGATGGAGTCGCGAAAGCGATCGCAGGCCGATTCTATGATGTCATAAGGGACATTCCCACTTTTCTCACTTGCTGTTCGCGGGATCACCATCGATCAACGACGGCCATTCTTTCGAAGACTGGGGTCAGGTTCCGACAACGCTTGAAAGCTTGAGATACCGTGGGACAGTTGTATGTTTGTAATTTTGGTTCGGAATATGCCGCTTCGGAGCCGGATCACTGAACACGTGCACGAATAGCAACTGCCATTGACGTCTGGACCTACCAGACTGCTGCTATAGTCTATGTTATGAACGCTATGGAAACACATTTGCCAGTCCTTTCGCTGCTTTATCTACGAAGATGACAGCCCCAGCGAACATAGAATCTAGATCGAGACGGAAGGCCCACTGCATGAGTGGTCGGCTGCAAAGGAAAAAACGGATGAGTAGGGGAGGTCGCTCAATACATTCTGTTCGGCGGCGCCATGCGACGTATATGCCCAAGGTTCGTGCTCGTTTGCTAAGACCATGGGGGCCTCAGCGTACGCGGGTAAGCCGGCGCTCGATACATCCTGTGTGCATGTGTGAGTGCGCCGAAGTTTGTATCGGACCAGAGCGTACCGCGACCTGGGAGAGGTTCTGCACATCGACGTTGGTATCGAGCCCAGACCGCCCGTGTACTATCTGGGAGACGGCTGTGGGCGCAGCAGGCTGTGGTAGCAATTCTTGGGAGAAGTCTTGTCGCCGCAGAGGTACTAGGTCGGCGGCAGACGCGGGGCGATCGTCCGCTGCCTCTCCCGACAACCACTGCGGGGCGGCACCAGGTCGGAAGCCCTGATGAAAGGGGATGGACGCTTCGAGGAGCATTGGAAGGGGTGTCGAGGTCTTTGGCGGATCGATGTCCGCAGGCAGTATCAGCGGTGGTCGGGAGGCGAGGTGAGGCAAAGACGACCGCAGTGGAGGCAAGGTCAGCGCCGCGGGTTGCCTAGAAGTTTGTTCGTCATCGAGCGTATCATCGGCCCGTATCCCGTACGAGTCCTTTGAGCCCTCGCTGTTGGCATCGCATGCGAGTACAGTCAATCGCGCCGACGTGTGCTCGAAGTCCGTATTGGTCCCACCACCACCCCTTCGTCGCGGTGTATACTTATAGTACGGGAACTCTTCCTGGTGTCGCTGCGCTACATAGTCCGCGTGCTGCGTCCACCTGTCGCGCTCTGAACCAGGGAGCCGGTGCCACTCTTCGCCGGCCAGACGGCTCAGATGCTGCTGGCGCTTCTCCACATGATGCGTCTGGCGCAGGAAGTGAGAGCGAAACAGCATGAATGCGTTGGGCGGGCGCGGAATGTGTGACTTCCTGTCTTTGCGTCGCGGTCGATATCGTGAAGGTGCTGGTAGAGTTTGCGATGATAGGGGGGGTCCATAATACGGATTCATTGGGAAAACGTATGGATGATCTTGAGTACAGTGGTGTATGCGGCGCTCAGCGCCGTAGAGGACGCGAGGAATTATATGAGGTGGTAGCAACGGCTGAGCATGGCTCTGATGAACTGTCGCGGGATAGGGCGGTGAAGGTGGATAGCCGTACAGTTCGTCAGGGGCGTGAGCGAAGGCGTAGTCATCGGAACTTCCTTCCAAGTAGTCTCGATGTGCGCGTCTCTGGGGAGGGGCAAGATGTTGCAGCGCCCGAAGGTGAGTCCGTTGCTTGCTGTCGCGTTCTGGGACGCGTCAGACCACGAACAGAGGGTCACTGTTCACATACCATGAGGTCCCATTTTGCGGGCGATCGTGGCTTTGACCTCGAAGGGGCGCGCTCAGACTGCGACAGCTTGACATGCTGCTGTTATAATCGCGGCTTCAGTTCTTCCGCTCTCTGGACGCAAAGAATCGCCCAGGGTGTGATACTGGAGGACAATGTAGCCATGGTAGTCTTGCATTATGCTTTTGTGATGTACCCCGTCTGTGGTCAGCGAGGCGAGGAGAGCACGAGAAGGAGTACAGGCGACGAGGCGCCGAGCCCTCGGGCGGCAGCCACGTGGGTGCCATGACGGGAAATTGGCCATCACGTCCTCGGACGTTGCCGGAACTTGAGGCATCGCAAGAGGCCCTTCCTTGTAACTTCCAGCTTCTACCCCTTAGTAAGAAGTCACAAATATCACCTTGCTTCTGGATTTGATTCTTTCTACCTCCTTCGCTTGTTCGCGACAAGATAGCTTGCTTTCAGCACGTCGGCTCCCTGTTTGTACCAAACGACCTCGTGCATGCAACGAAGCTCGACACGCATCGTCAACTTTCCACCCCCGGAACATGCGCGCTAGTCTTTCATGAGACAAACTCCGGCGATGTCTTATCGGAAGTTCATCGTCAAAGGCGCGCAGCACGTAGAACTCTTTCCGATGCCTCATGACGCTCCCGCCGCCCAGTCTCGAGCGCGGGAGAAACTCGTCAATGACTCACTGTAGCCTCCCTTCGAAGCTCGTGGCCATCTGTGTGTCCGCCAGTGCGTTGCTGTCAGCGCTTCATTCCTCTTTATTTCGACTCTAGCCTCTATCGCAACGACCATCTTTGAGCTGCACAAAATTGCCCAAGTTGTCGGTATGTCGCCATGAATTTCTTTAGTGCCTTGCATACATTGCACGCAGGATTGGAACGTGTGTGATGAAGACCTCGAGGACATGGTTCCGTGCTTATATACTGATACGCCTTTCTCGTTCTCAGAGACGTCCGTCTATATCCCCAGCGGGCAAGGCGATTCGTGCCATACAAAAACCCCCCGATGCGTCTAGCTAGAGCAGGCCGCCCGGTCTATTTCTCTCTCCCCGCGATCTCTTACTCTCAACATCGCTTTTATCATGCCGGCTGACCGACGCTTTCCCTCCAGACGTTCTGTGCGCTTATTCGAGCGCCCGCCTCCGAACTACAGTGAGTAGTTCCCTTGTCAGGTACCCGCGGTTTCCCTCACACCACTCTTCAGAGGAATCCTCGCCGGAGAAGGAGGAAAATGAGAACTCTGCTCAGCAGGACTCTGTTCCGGCGGCGCCACAGACGGATACGACCATTGTCACACCTCCCCCTGCGAGCATGGCCCTTTCCCTTGCGAGCACGACCCGCTCTTCACCACCTGCCTCGGCATCCACACCTGCAGACTTGAGCTCGAACGAGCACGAGGACGAATTCGAAGCCGCCTTGGCTTGCTTCTTAGAGACTCAGTTCAGCGCTGACGTGGCCAGCATCCGCGGCCGCTGCCTGCATATATGCAACGTCGCAACGGCTGCCTGGAAGGCCCTCACGGTCGCGGAGCGGGAACAATACTTCAACGCAGCCAAACACAAGCAGACGAAGGACTCGCGCGAACAATCATCTGTCGCGCAAGATGACGGCCGAGTGGCGAAGTCGCCGACGCCCCCCATGCTCATGCCTGCCGATTGGTCGGATCCTCAGTCCCGTTCAACCATGGAGAAGGTGTATGGTCTCGAAGAGGCGCAGAGGTTGGAGGGCAGTGTCAGCATGCACGCGCCTCCGCATCAGTCCAAGTCACTCCTCGGCGGCTCGCGATCGACGCGGTCGCGGTCGCTGTCTGACCTCCCCAACCCTCCCCCTGAGCCCACCGCCATGACTACCACCTGGTCTGATGCAGGGTATCGGTTCCCGGAGATGTCTAGCGACGATGCCGATTGGCTCTGGCCTGCCCACCTATCCAACTCGCTCGTCGGCAGCGCGCGCACGGCAAAGACACGCTCGCTGCCTGACGTCTTCACGCAGGCGGCAGAGTCGAGCTCCAGCGCCACCGTGGGGAACGCCACGCTCTCGCTGTCAGAGCAGTCTTTCCCAGCTGCCAGCAACGACAACTTTGCGCAGGGGTCAAACTTGGGCTGGACCATCACGGAGAACGACAAGATTTACAAGCCGCCCACCCGCTCGAACTCGCACTCCCGCCGTCGCGGTGACGACCACATACCACGTCCTCCCAACTCTTCTATGTTGTTCAGATCCGAATACTGGAAGGAGCAGAAGGCGAACGCCTCCGAGCGTAACCACCGCGAGGTCAGTCGCGCTGCAGCTCGCGATCGCGCCCGGCATGAGCTCTCGGAAGCGGGTCGCGGTCACTATCAGCAGCTCGCAGACCGCTTGAAGGCGGATCTTAAACGCCAGTATCCGGGTTACAAGTTCAGCCCTGAGCATCGCAAGGGGGGTGATGCGGCAAAGCCCGGTAAGTGACTGGCAGGGGCATAGGTACACCTAGACTACGATCCTTGTAATGCTCTGCTTGCATATGCTGATCTCGAACGCGTCCTTCTCCCCTTGCTTTCAGCTATTTTCATGACTCGACAGGAATGGTGCAATCACACTGAAGGTGAGCTCCAAGCACACGTCGCCGCTTCCCGTGGGGCGGGGGAGAGAGGCAGTTTAGGCTACTCGGCGAAAGGTTGCGGACTTAGGAGAGCTTCGGACTGGACTGCTGTGAGCTGAGTCCGAGTTTACGAGGACTTAGTGGGAGTCAAGCGAAGCAGGCGCTGCGAGCCCGGATATAGCCCAGTGACGTCGCCGCGTCCGAAGGATTCGCGGTGTTAGGGTTAGCGTCGGCCGTGGTCGCCTCCCCGCTCTGACCTCCATCGCCTCAAGACTCCTGAAGCCAGATTCCGATTACCCGCCCTCCTCTTCCCCTCTCACACTCGCTAACGCTCGGGGAAGCACGGGCTTTGCTTCAGGCCCTTCTCCTTGGGCCTGGGGCGGGACCTGTCATCTGCTACAGCGTTCAGTCGGCCGGTCCGCACGCATGTGGGCGGCTGTGGGTGTGCGTCACGTTACACACGTGATGCCGCCACATGCAGCTCGCCGCGGGCGGCCGACTCCGACAAACCCCAGCCCTCGTTGCAGTGAGTGCTGGGTTCTCTCCCACTCTTCATGTCATCGAGACTTGATCCATAGGGACATATCCCTCTACATTCCTGAGCCTTCTCTAGACGCGTCCTAGGGCTCGCGAGCTAGCTTCGCTTGAACTGGAATTACCCGACTGGTCCCCTCAAGAACATAAAGCCGAAGCAGCCGAGGCGTCGACCTGCGGGCCGATGCCACACGTGGTTTGATGCATGTCACAGTCGCGTTCTGGTCACACGATACTCTCTTTGACGCAGACTCTTCCTCGCGTATTCACTGCGCAGACGACACTTTGAGGTGAGACCAGCCAACCTGACTATCGAACTATCATTGATTTGGCTCCGACACTGACTCGTCAGTTCACGAAAGCTCACGAAGATTTTCTGCGCAGGCCACTCCACGTCCACGTCCATGGCCCGGCCTTCGTCCGAATATACATACTGGACGACGATTCCTGATCAGAAGGACGGGATAACCTCTTTATCCTTCTCTCCAAGGGGGAAATACTTAGCAATCACTGGTCAGCGTCTCAGACTGCACTGATATTTGATATCTAACGATCGTGTTGGCTCAATGACAGGCTACGACGGGGTGTCTGTATGGAATGTGGGAGGACAGGATAAAGTAACTGTGCCTGACTCTCGTGCTGAGTATCGCGAGAAGCATCTATACACTCGCTCAGCATGGTTGTTCTTCGTCGAGAATAGCGTCGAGATCTTGGTCCTATGTTCCAAGCTCGGGGACGTGTTGTTATGGACTTTCGACGAGACTAAGCAGGCGCGTGCTTGTTCAAGCTTCTGCCATATGTACGACTTACACAACTCCAGGCCTTCGTGCGCTCGAAGCGCTTGAAGCTGAGCGGCGCGACTGAGGTCGTGTCCTTGGACGTATATCATGCCGAAGTCCCTGCCGACGAGTCTGCTCTCATAGCTGCCGCCTTGACCAACGGCACTATTGTTGTGTCGACTGTCACCGTCAACGCTGTTGTCCTCGAAAGATTCATCATCACATTAGACCAAGGCCGCTTTCCCCAACGCGTCAAGTTTGACCAACTCGGCCACACTCTCGTAGTTTTTGATCGAGCTGGCGGTATAATGCAAGTGTGGTCTCACACAGATCAGAAAGCTAATCTTATGATTTGACAGCTCACGATACGATTGTGAATCGGGTATGAAGGTAGGCGTTAGGGAAGACGCGCCCCGACTCATGTAAGCCCATTGTAAACGCGAAGCGTCTGGCATATGTCTGACAATGTCATCAAGCGCTTCAGTCGCTTTCGATCCTGTCGCACAACGCTATGCAGCATATACAGGCCGATCCATCGAGATCGTCTCCATGAGCAGCGATGTACCGCCAGTTTCGATTCCTTGCGCGAACAGCATCCTGTATCCCATGCATCTAGCCTTTGGAGAGGGTAGCGAAGTCCTGCTGGCAGGAACAGACAACGGTCATGCAGTGCTTTACGACGTCAACAACCCTTCCACGGTTCAGGTTCTGGACTACCCTAAAGGAGGACTAGTACAGCCTGTAGCGGTGTGTAGTCCTGTCCGCTTCCTTTCTGACTGAAGCTGATGTACCACGCCTAGACATGCACTACGGCGGAAGGCCATATACTGGCTTTTGCGGGGTCCAGCATACTGAAGGCCACTGACATCATCATTTATAGGAAGAGAGCGCCGTTGCCGGGATCAAGAATGTCGAGGCGTTGCATTGCTTGCTGCAAGGTATTCCTGCCTTATTGCATTTACTGGGCTTGCATGCTTGGCATCTATATGTATGGGTACTACGCGCATAACGACGAAGGGGGAGGACAGTGATTCAGCAATTCAGCCATTTTTTCACTGTATCATTCCGTCTTATAGCGGTTCTGGTGACCATGAATGTAGACCTATCGTGCACTTCCAATGCCGCAACTGTCCTACAATCACAGCGCTCATCCCACATGATGGGGTAACCATTGCGCCAGTCGATGCTTGTCGAGTCTGCATTGAATAGGTGGATAACAAGGAGGCGTGTAGTATATTTCATGCCCGACGATGAATGGACCATTTCGACGCGGGAGCGTGCGGAAACCATCGAGAGCATCTCGCAGTGCGACCGCCAAGGCCCGGGAACGGAGGTCCGTGTGCGCTTCGTGAGGACGATACCCAACGCAGCATCGGAGAAAGCCCCAGCATCGCCTGTACGCGAGTTAGTTTCGTAGCCGACATGTCAATTGCGGGCCTCGCCTCGTCCAAGAAGCTCCCCACGGCTCCCCTGGACTATTCTCCGTGAAGTCGAGTGCATCCTGCCCCACCAACGCACTCGCTGCAAGAAGACCCGAGCGTGAAGCGCCGGCGTCGTCTTTGGGCCCTGGACTATGGAGGAAACACCCTCCACCCGCAGACGATTCCCTCATCGCTGGCAGGTTCGATGATGCATACTATCCCTCGAATATCAGCCTCATTGTCAGCAGTCGCCGATTCCTTTCACTTACTCGAAGCTCGGCCGTGATGCAGATCGCGATGTGCGTGAAGATGAAGTCCGCGGATCGGGGCTTGAATTAGTCGCACAGTGCCTTCACGAGCTCGCGCAGGACATCGCTGATCACGCGCTCGGCGACATCGAGCGTTCGGGGATGCACGAGTTCAATGAGGGTCGACACTATCGAGTCCAGCCGGAAGAGGTCTTCGAGACGCCGCCACTCCGTCGCGAGCGGGTGCTGAAGATTCGTGAGACGCGGTAGCAGGCGCGTGAGCGGCAGCAGGACAGGGAGGTGGAGGTGGACGGGCAGGCCATGGCTGTCCCAGCCAACGAAACACGCAGGCGACTCACCATGGTCTCCACCAACCTGGACGTCGATACAGGCGCCCCGGGCTCGATCGCGCGACAGGTCGACCGCAGCAGCAAGTAGTAGTAGTAGTAGTAGTAGCGAGGCCCTTGCTGCCAGCAGTTGACGGTTCATCAGGACCTCTGGCAGATGCATCGCAGCAAGCGTCGGATCGTACGCCTCTTCGCCCGTACCCGCCAAACCCCATCTTGTGTAACCGTAGGTTACGCGCCTGCGTGATGGTCTTCTGGATCGCCGAGCAGCGCCAGCCGCAGTCGTCCGCCAACTTCATGACCACCAACAGCTTCGTACGACGTGGAGCTCTCCTTCAGAACCAACAGATCTGCACTGACGCAGAGCAACGTCGCCTGCCTCCGTTCAGCGACAGAGGTGCTGGAAGCCGTGAGCAAGCACTTTAGAGGCGCTGGGTGATACTAGATATGCACGGTGAGGATGGTGATCCATAGGTTCGAGGTCGTCGTGGCGCATTGACAACATTCGTCCAGGACGCCCGCGGGATCATCGTACTCATGCCTCACGAACCGGCGATGGCAAGGGACAGGTGACGTTGGGCGACGACCCAACGCGGTGCGCGCGATTCGGAGGGTGTGCGAGGAGGCGGACTGGCTGTCGCCGGAGCCGTACACGTAGCGTGGGCGAGGGGGGAGGCGTAAGTGAAAGTAGCGTTAGTCGACGGTCGTTGGGAGCCTGCCCCGTCCAGAGTTGAACATCCGCACGGTCACCAACGTCGCAGCGAACGGCTCGTCGTTGACAAAGTCGAAGATCGATGTCGTGGTATCCTTCGGGTTGCAGAGATCACTGCCGATGGGCAAGGTGGTCAAAGTCAAAGCACTGGCGGCTTCAGCGGCGGGTGAGGAGGACGGGCTCATCAGACGTCTGAGCCAGCCAACGGTGGAATAGCAGATGGATATTACAGAGCAAGGCGTAAATGTGTTGTATGGAAGTCCCAAGATCAGCTTCGTCGCACACCAACGCAAGCTGGAGGTCGCTCCGAGGCCGAGCACTCTTGAGAACCCGCTGGCGGTCTCTGCTGACCATGGTGATCGAGTGAGACGTTGGTCTATCGTGGATATCTTGTCCGCGTTGTCGGACAAGCGCAGGGGCGGGGCGCAAGTTGACGAGCGGGGGAGGAGATCGCCGAGAGGGCCGGTGGCGAGTCAAGCGCAGATGAGCTACGCTGATCACGGTCCGGTGCGCTGAGAAAGTGCACGTTAGAGCGAGCCTCGACGCGGACGAGCCCGGATTCACGCACTCATTTGCACGACAGGCCGCCATCGATGCGGTCGGTCGTCCTACGCATAGAGCCGGGCGCACGGAGCGGCGGGACCCCGGTCCTGGCGCCAGCGTGAGAGACGGATCTTCTCAAGGGCGGTAGGCCAGCCGTGACTGACGCTCGCGAGATCACGCCAGCACAGACGCGGCGCATCCCCAGCATGACGCCGAGGCTTCTGGGAGATGCCCGACGCGTCGATCGAGCCCGAGGGCGAGCCAGAATAGACCGAAGATTGCGGGAGCCGGGAGGGGGAGCTGGGGAGGGAGGCGCCAGCCTGTGGGAGCCTGATCTTGGTCAGCGGTGGTCAAAAGAAGGAGATGCGAAGTACGCACCTGCGACCCTCGCCTCATCGCGCCCTGCCTGCACGAGTCAACCCGGCGACCACTTCAGAGCGAGACGACATGGTGCGCCGAGGGGAGACGCATGTCCAGCAACGACGGCGAGACAGCTGTTCGTGCGTGAGCGTGGTCGAGAGAGAACGCAGGCAGGCGCTCACCTAATCTCACTGCCGTCGATCGTCCACGCCCCACGAAAGCCCCAGACGCCGGAGATGCGAGCAGCGCTGCATGCGCTGTGCTTCGTTGAAGAAAGCAAGGAAGGGGGAGCTTGGAAAACCGTACCTCTGAGCCAGGGAGCTGGGACATCATGGGGGAAGGGTCGAGGAGGCCGACCGACGGCATCTGCCGAGCGCATGTGCTGTGCCGCGCCCACGGCAGCATCAAGGCGATTACCATGTATGGTAGAGGCGATTACCATGTATGGTAGGGTGGCTGTGCCCGCTGCGTCGGCGTCCGCCCGAAATTCACCGTTCAGGCCGTTCGACTCGCACGCACGCTCGGGCGAGGGGGCACCGCCGCGCGTTCTTCCTAGCTTATCCGGGCTCGAGCCGGTGGCTGCAGCCCCAAGTGCTGTCGCCCAGTCTCCAGCCGCCCGCCCCTCCCGCGGCATCTACCGAGCGCATGTGCCGTGCCGCGCCCTCGGCAGCCCGAGGCGATTACCATGTATGATAGGGTCCACCAAGCCTCCCCTCGGCTATAGTGGTTCTTCACTGCGCTAGGACCTTTCCGGCAATGACCGCAGTTGCGAATCTCGTTTTCTTTGGTGCAACACCCGTGGTCTGAGCAAATGCCTGGTGCGTAAGCTCCGTAAGATCTGAAAGGCATGCTTTCGATTTTATATCAGCACGATAGGAATTCAGGTAGACCTCTGCTTCCTTCCCCAAATACAGGAGCGCGGCAATCCCATGCGCGCCTACATGTCGCTGAGCCACGCTTGATCCTTCGACAGTGTAGCCGTCAAGCACAGTCTTTCTACAGAAGTGTCAGCGCATGTCGTAACGGCACTGGGAAGGAAAGTTGAGGAAGTAGTGTTTGATTAGCGTTGAGAATCGGCAATGTGCGAAGCGCCGTTATAGGGAAAATGCAGTATGGCCAGCGAACTCAGCGCGCGGTGGTGGTGCGTAAAAGCACGACCGTACGATTCATACCCCTGGTCCGTCATGGTCGCCATCTCGGTCCCTCCCCTCTCTAGTCAATGTCCATCCGTCAGCGGTCGTTCTGTTTCGCCTTGAGGACAAGGTAACTTTCATGGCTTGACGGTGGAGACACAGGACATCCGTTGGCAGGTCGCTCAGACTAGCGCGATGGACACAGCCCACCTACCAAATAGAGTATGGGCTTGGTCGATGCCGCGGAAGAGGCGGGTGTCCGCAGACCGGAGCAAGCTAAATCCCGAGCAGACTTGTGGTCTGCCTGAAGAGAGAGGGAAGAAAGAGGGAAAAGGCAGACCTTTGGTCTGCCCTAAGTGTGCTGTCCTGTACCATATAATATGAGAAGAGGAACATGAAGACGAGGGTACCCCGCTTCAGCGAAGCGGGGGGTTGCGGGTCGGCGAACGACCGGCACTGAGCGGGGAAAATCAACCGACACGTGACATTGTGGCTGCCACATCCCGCTCGGGCGGCAGAGCCTCGCCGACGGTACACTGCGAGGCGACTCCAGCTTGACCGACAGCCAGATGCCGCCATCGGTCAAGGCCGAAGCAGCCCAAACCAGAGCGCAGCTCTAAGGCGATAGCCTCACGAGGCGCAGAAGCCTTCGGCCTCAAACCGAGCTAAGCGATGGCCGTCGCTTCTTGACATGCGCATAAGGGTAACGGGCTGGAAATGGAAGACAGGAAGAAGAAGGATGGGTATGAGGTAAGGGAGAAGCCAGTGTCTTGGGGAAAGCGGACAGAAAGGGAGAGGGCCCGGACGGGACTTGTTCAAAAGAAGCGCCGCGCGCGTGATCCGTTTGGTCGGAGCCGAACGTCATGTGACATGCTCGTTCGAAACGCAGTGTAAGTCCGATAATGTACGAGTGGGACCCGGAAAGCGAGCCATTGCAAGCACTGGGCGAGTCTTAATCGCGAGAAAGCTATGAAAGTATGGGTAGTAAAGCCAGGGGGATGTGAAGAGACTCAGGGAGCTCAGGGGGAGGGAAGAGGGAAGAACTCTGTTTCAGGAAGGGAAAGGGAAGGACCGCTGCGCGCGGTCGCGCGAAATGTCAATGGAGACAAGGGATAGGCGCAAGTTATTTTATCGCATCGAGCATATTGGCGCCAATTAGATTTTGAAACAGGCGAGGGAGAGGGAGAGGTAGCGCCTCGGAAGAGGGAGACGGCAGCAAGGAGGGTAGGGATCAACGCGCGGGAGGGGCATCTTGGCGCGAACCAAGTGTTCAAAAAGGGTGGAATGAAGCAGGGGCTTAAGGTGGTGGAGAACGCTGTGGCGTGCGTGAGATACTAGGACGATGTTGAGATAACCTGGAGTGGTGAAGTGAATGAAGTTGATTATAGAAGCGTGGGTATCGGAGGGTTTCGTGCTTTGGGGCGACGTAGAAGGTGCGTGGTCGCTGGGTAGGGCAACGAGGGCAGTGGAAGTCGCGTTTGTATGTGCTTGGCGCGCGCGGGCGCGAGGAGTAAGGATTAGGAAGGCCGATATAGAGGCCATGTGAGGTCTGGGGTCAAGCGGAGGAAGGAGCCGCATTAGCGGGAGTGTGAGAAACGGTCGGTGTGAGCAGTATTGATACACAGCGGGCGCGAGCCTCATGAGGTGTAGGATCGCGCGGATCGCTCTAGCGCGAGAATCAAGATGAGGAGAGGGTGTTGTAGGTGAAAGGGAAATGAAAGGGGGGTTGCGAAGGGTCGGTGTATACCTGAGTTGGGAAATATCAAAGAGACGAGTATTTCGAGATCGACAAGGGGTTTGAGAATAAAAGGGGCAGAGGGGAAAAAGGCGCGCGGCTAACGATTTGAGTACATAGCAGATGGTGAAGGGTGGGTAAGAGGCGTATGGCGTAAAAACAAGAATGGACGTAGTGAAAGCGGGTGCATTGCAGCGACGCGTCGGGCACCAGAGAGCCTCGTAAGGGGATGGGCGATACGAGTGAATCCAATGGCGTGGGGTGCTCGGTGCGTCAGGGTAGATAAAAAGAGTGTCTAAAATATGGGGCTAGAAAGGGAGAGGATGTGGAAGGAGCCGTGTGAGCAGCAGGGCGAAGGAGTAGGCGGCTTGATAGGTATCGCTTGTCGAAAGGGGTGTAGAAGTCGGGCGGCACATTGGTGCGAGACTAGCGTTGTACATTCGTTGGATGCGATCCGGTGACGCGAATAGCTTTGAGGAGGGACAAGGAGAGAGTGCGAATTGCTGGCGTAGAGAGTGGGCAATAGCAGGGGCGCGTCGTCGCCGGTCATCGATATGACATGTCTGATCGCGTGGCGATTCAGACCGGCGTTTGCCCGTACTTCCTTAGCTTGCCTATCACTGCGCTAGCTACTCGTGCCTCGTGCTAGCGCGGCTCACAGGACAGCACCTGAGCTGTAGCCATCGACTCTGGCCTCGAGTGCGCTCGCAAGACTGCAAGCCGTCTAGCCCTCGTTCGGGCATACGTGCAAGTCGAAAAGGTCCAGCAAAGAGAAGTGTCTTGCGGCACCTCATCCCGACCCTCCTTGAATACTTTGACACAGTGAGGACAAATCTAGTAGAGTAACTTGAGATCCAAGACATAGCATACGTCCGTCACGTTGTGGGCGCAAACAGGCCGGCATCAGCGTCACCCAGGGCATCTACCATTCGCGAGACTGATCCCATTTGTCAGGAATGCAGCCCGAAAGACGGCTTAATGCTCTGCTTGCACGCGCTACAACATGTGAGCTCTCCGGCAGACCGCAATCAAAAGGAATGAGTACCAAAAAGATGTCGCGCTCTTCAACTGAACTGAGGCAATCGTACTCGATGCAGCTGATTTTCTGCGACAGGAAGCGCTGGCGACTCGCGTCTGCCAGAACCGTCCTACGCTTCTTGCCTCTGCTCTGATACCACACTTTATCTCCTTCACTACGAAGAAGCAGGTGAGATCAGGACGAGAACCGCTCGCAGACACGCACAAGTCCCGATCTACGAATGTAAGTATACTGTAGCGAGTCACGATCATATTGTGGACGCACAGTACAGGCCACCTCGAAGGAAGAGTTGAAGAGCAAGCAAGCGCTGCTTCCCGTCAATGCATACGCGCGTTTCACGTCCGTCGACTACTTTCACCGCTGAACAAAAATCCGTATTGAGTGATAGCACGTGCACTGTGCGTCAGCTTACAAAAAACGAGGGGGGCGAAGACCATGTCTTGAAAGACGGAGTCAATGAAACGAGACTGCATGACAGCGTTCCACACCGCCGCTGCGAGGGAATCAATAATTGAACTCCCTACCGCCGATTTGAGCACACACCGCGCTGATAGCCCGTATCCAGGAAGATGTCTCCTCGCCTTAGTCCCTCTGCAAGCGACGTCAATGACAGATATGCGAACGGGGAAGCAATGGACGCACCACAAAGCATCTGTACCGTATACTCGCAAGTACGAGGGTGCTTGGTGAGAGCCGGAGACGGAGACGAACGGTCGCTTCCGGCTTTGAGCGTCGCCCCGGTTTCGTCAGTGTCGTAGGAGGAGCAGTTCATACTGAGTTACTCTGGGGTGAGATGGGACCGGCTTGAGAGCGAAGGAGTACGTAGGAAGATCCAGATTTACAAGTCCGCGACGCGGTGAAAGACTATGAAAGGCGGAGCGATCGGTCCGGTGGCCGCTGCCTATTGGCCCTCAACTTCATTACCTCAAAGAGGCATCCGAAGACCAGGCGTTAACAAGCCAACCCTAGCATTCCCACGTACTCCACAGGTCCTCATACTTCAGCGCAACCTAATTATCAATCAGTAGTAAATCTAGGCCACACGCTTAGCGAGCTACACATTTAACTTGTGTCAACGCGCCATTACAGGGATTTAGTGAACATCTTTTCTTGCGGATAGTTCCCCACTGGTTTACAGTGTCGGCGCTGGCAGACTCAGTCAAGTGCACTACGATGATCCAAATCGCTCTTCAGATGGAACAGCGGGATCCCGGTCCTGGCGCCAGCGTGAGAGACGGATCTTCTCAAGGGCGGTAGGCCGGCCGTGACTGACGCTCGCGAGATCACGCCAGCACAGACGCGGCGCATCCCCAGCATGACGCCGAGGCTTTTGGGAGATGCCCGACGCGTCGATCGAGCCCGAGGGCGAGCCAGAATAGACCGAAGATTGCGGGAGCCGGGAGGGGGAGCTGGGGAGGGAGGCGCCAGCCTGTGGGAGCCTGATCTTGGTCAGCGGTGGTCAAAAGAAGGAGATGCGAAGTACGCACCTGCGACCCTCGCCTCATCGCGCCCTGCCTGCACGAGTCAACCCGGCGACCACTTCAGAGCGAGACGACATGGTGCGCCGAGGGGAGACGCATGTCCAGCAACGACGGCGAGACAGCTGTTCGTGCGTGAGCGTGGTCGAGAGAGAACGCAGGCAGGCGCTCACCTAATCTCACTGCCGTCGATCGTCCACGCCCCACGAAAGCCCCAGACGCCGGAGATGCGAGCAGCGCTGCATGCGCTGTGCTTCGTTGAAGAAAGCAAGGAAGGGGGAGCTTGGAAAACCGTACCTCTGAGCCAGGGAGCTGGGACATCATGGGGGAAGGGTCGAGGAGGCCGACCGACGGCATCTGCCGAGCGCATGTGCTGTGCCGCGCCCTCGGCAGCATCAAGGCGATTACCATGTATGGTAGAGGCGATTACCATGTATGGTAGGGTGGCTGTGCCCGCTGCGTCGGCGTCCGCCCGAAATTCACCGTTCAGGCCGTTCGACTCGCACGCACGCTCGGGCGAGGGGGCACCGCCGCGCGTTCTTCCTAGCTTATCCGGGCTCGAGCCGGTGGCTGCAGCCCCAAGTGCTGTCGCCCAGTCTCCAGCCGCCCGCCCCTCCCGCGGCATCTACCGAGTGCCGTGCCGCGCCCTCGGCAGCCCGAGGCGATTACTATGGATGTGCCTCTCGTGTGCATTTGGTTCACCGTATTCCTCCCGCGATCTGCATTACCATCTTGCGTAATTAATCAAGTAAGCTGCTATCCCCGCCGGCGCCGGAAGGCCTATGGACGGAGCAAATCCCCCCATAGCCCGGTACGTCCCAGTACCGTGTACCGGCCGCCGTGTCTTCTATCTGCGCTCGATGCTGACCTAGCGCACTCTAGCATTGGCCTCACCATGCTGACCACTGACTCCACATGCATGGCTACCCCGTCAGCCGGCAGCCGGCGTCTCTGCCGTTGACTGTTGCGTGGTACCCTGGCGGCTAGGCCTGTCGACGCAAGCGCTCGAGGTTAGTTCCCTGTCACTTCCCGTGCCCATGATCAACTCACGTCTCCGATGTTCACCGCTACGGCCGACCGGTCGTCCAGTATCCACCTTGCGGCCTGCACTATGATATCGGACGGACGGACGATCTCCAGCTGCTCTTCGAAGTCTTCCGACGTCCACCGCGCCTCGAATCCTGCTGCCCAGTATTGGAGGAAAATATCCCTATATGTCCCAGGCCGCGGTTTTGCGCGCTGCACAGCAAAGTAAAGTGCCCTCGACGAAGGGTACTCGAAGATGTGGCGTATGCGAGCTGCGTACCAGCGCTCGGAGAGTGGGTCGGTTGGACGGACACATACGAAGCTGTTGCTCCCTGTCGTGCAGTAGAAGCCTCTCGGTGCTTCGACGCGACTATAGCACGAGATGGTGTCGGTGTCCAAGATCTTTGACAGTTCTTGATCGACGTGCGTGCGAGGGAACTCGCCAGGATATACGCCAATCTTTGCGAGCTCCTCCTTGGCCTCTGCACTATAGCCAACGACGTCGTCGTCCGAGTCGCTGTCTATGTCATCCTCCACCGCCTTCTCGTCCGTTTCGCCAGCCACGAAGCGATGAGCCTTGTTTAAGAGAGACCGGCAGTATTGCAGGACTGGCGGACTACTGGGCAGCAAAAGCCATTGGCGAAATATCGACCCCTTGAGGAACGAATGAAGCATTGTGTGCTCGGACTCGCCTTAAAACGAGTTAGTCAGTGCCAGGATCACGAATTGGATGGGAGTTCTACGCACCTGGCTTCGAACTTTTGGGTATGCGCTGCAGTCTCCCAGCAAGGCGCTCAAATGGGAAGCACCACCAGTTGCGCGCAGGACCTAGCAACGACATGAAGTCAGGTATATGGAAGGCCATATGATATCCAGGAAATATGAAGCCAGGAAAATGCTGTCGAAGACCTAGTATGTGCGCCTTCAGCTGGTCCCGAAATAGCTTCTGTGATGCGGCTGTAACTGTGTGTTTGCCGATGAGGACGGTGCCGATGGTTAGGTTCATGTTCATCGCGAGCACCGGTTCTAATTCGCGAGCTCGTGGGATGGCATGAGGGGAATCGGGATGCCACCTCAGCAAAAGGGCCAGGGGAACATATAGGCGATATAGCCAGCGCCACTGACTTGCTTTCAAGGTGCCTGCGTTCTGCGACCCAAGGTCCTCCGGTGGTTTGTCCTTCACCCAGCTCGGTACGCTTATCTCGCGTACAGCCTGCCGGATGAAGCCGATAGTGGAGTCGCGGTCGATAACTATCCAAGGCAGGGCAGGCAAAGGTTTCGTCAATCGCTGTGCAATTATCAGTAACTCATCCACCACCGTCTGTTGATTACTGACCCAAGCAACGAGAAGGTCGGCCAATTTCGCTTTAGCTAGCTTCGCACCAGGCGCCGACGTTCGGAGTTGCCGACGCTGTTCCGACGAAAAGTCCTCTTGCACGTTTCGACAGACCTCCAACAGGGAATCTTGCAGCATAGACAGCAGATACTTGTGAAGGTCTTTCCGATGCGCCTCAGTATCCTCCATAGGCTGCACGAGTCGCTTCTGAATCTTGCCGATATCGACGGCTACCTTGTAGGTCAGTCTATTGCTGTTGTTGTCGCTCGACGTTTCCTGCGAGGTAAAGTTGGGTGACAAGCTCGACAGCGACGGCGGCGGATTGAAGTCGTAGTGGAAGGCTGGATGGCGCTCCTTCCAAGAATCTCTCGCGCCACTTTCAAGTCCCATGGCCTCGCGAAAGAATCGCTGAATTACAATGAGGAACCATGTGTGCATCGGGTCAATCACGACTTGCTGAGAGGGTCTCCAGTACAGCAGCCTCCAGAGCTCCGACCAACGAGCCCCAAATAACTGTTCAATAGCTTGCCGCGCGGTACGAGTGGCTTCTTTCCAGAGATACGCTCCCTTCCTAAGCCTGTCGTCGTCGGTGGGCTGCCAGGACTCGAAGTCTATCCTGCCCAGGTGGGCCTGTAGCCAGCATTGGCAGACGAAGCAGAAGTTGTGCGAGGTCACATCCATAAGACCTGCACTAGGTCTAGCACCCTTCAGATCAGCGATGAGGATGGCTAAGAGCACCCGGTATATGAAGCGATACGGCGTCTGCTCAGGATCGGTGGAACCTGTATAGCGGAATCGCGCGCCTCGAGTGTATCCATCCTCCAAATCATCTATCAGCGGGCGTAGATAATGTTGGTAGGCGGCTTCTTTTGCGTCCGGTTCGTTCGGGCCCTGGATTATGGCCAGATATCTGTAGGCGTCATCATTGCGCATCTCCAGCGGGAGATTCAAACAGGTGATGACGATCTGCCCGGTAGAGGCCTTACGGCCACGGAGTGAGTTGCCCTGGGCGTTGAAAAAGTCGATGTGGAGGGCGAATAGCCACCGCTTCTCTTCGCCCCTATCAGCGATGAAAGAGCGATTGGGGTCGATGGGGTCGGACAGGGTCCGGAGGAGGGTTCCATCTGCCACCGAGCGCTGCACCGTTGGCGCTACAGGGTTTCTGTCGACGTCCTCGCAGAATGAGTCACCGTAAGCCTCCATACCGGGCAAAGCAATGAGGCGGCCGAACCAATCGAAGAACGGATAGTATTCGAATACTCTCCGGGCGTTCCCCTGGTCGTCAACGAGACGTTCGCCGCAGATACCTTCCGATCCATCAGTCACCTCGCTGCATAGTTGAGGATATCGAGGGATATCGGACGGCGGAACATAGCTCGGCTTGTAGGTGCGGCTGCAGCTGAGGCATACTGCGTAAGGTATGGTGCGAACTCCAAGGTTCAAGCGACTCTCAATCGTCCGCACATCCTCAGGGGTGGCATCCAAAGCCCGCCTCTGGAGTATGTTGATGCCGCCGCCCAGCACGGCTATAGATGTCGCGTAGAGCTTTGCACACTTCAGGATGAAGTTCGCCCCGGGACGACTGGTTCTATGGAATATGCGCGAAGTGAGGGCGAGGCAGTAGGCGATGAGAGTTGCTGGGGGGACAGTGTCGAAATTTCCAGTTCGTAGATGGCCTAATGATGATATGAGTCCAGGTGATGAGACGCTATGCAGGCGTGACCTTACCGTTGTCTATGCGTAAAGGCGTCTTAACAGGGTATAGCTGAGCGTAGGCAGAGAGATATGCTTCTATGGTTTCTATGTCCGTGACAGCCTTCTTGACTTCTTCGGCGGCGACTGGATGGCGAATATGACGCAGTTTCTCTCGCTGCTGGGCGACCACGCTATCAACGCACGCCAGTGTTTGGGGAAAGTGATCATGATCGTGTTCCCGCATGTCCTGCAACATGGAAAGGCACTGGCGTAGCGCTTTCTGAACCACATCGACTGCTCCTAACGCATCTCGAGCGAACTTGTTGAGAATGGGTCGCGATCCGAGGTAGGTAGCGAGCGTAGGTGCAGCCGCTGTAGAACTCTGTCCCTCGGCATCCCGCGCAGCGTGAGGCGCCCTGGTCTGCAGATCCCATAAGCGAGGCGATAAATCGATCGTCATGAAAAAAAACTGGCCTGGATGAGTGTTGGGGACCGCCTTGCATGCTCCTCGCCTAGCTGAAAGGCAGTAGTTGCAAACAGTTCTTCTGCAGCCTCATCAAGAGAGACAGATCTTGATGTTGACGCAGATGTGGCGCTAGAAGTTCTTTCAGGCGCAGGCGCCGAAGGCTGACTTCGTCTGATGATGGTGGCTGGATCTTGCCTTATTCCCGCAAAAGCTGTCGTGGGCTTGCGCCACCTGCCCGCGACTGGAATTGGCGCTGTGGAGCGGGATGGCTGAGCCCCGCTACTTGGAGGACCATTCTGCGCCATGTTTTTGTAGCGTTCAGTGAGATCCAGTTTGGGCGCCATCGGAGTTGCGTTTGTGGGGGTCTTCAATTCACTATGTCAGTGATAGACGGAATGAGTTCGCATGAATCCTCACCACCTCTGGGTGTAACTAAGAGATTTACGGAGAATGCGGCGGTCAGGATTGATAAATTGCGAAAGAGTGCGCTTGGACGCGATCATCAAGATCCGCCAGTTTCGAGTTCGAATCCCACACAATCCATCTGAGTGAGAGTTTTATCACAAAGATGAGTAACAGAGCGTTGCTGAGCGAGTACCACACTTATAACCTAACGCAACTCGATCTCAAAGTGCCGCCAATAAGCAAGGAAGCGACATTCACTTATATATAAGGCCATTAGGCATGACATTAGTGCGAATGTCTGCAGACATGGATGCCGAACGCGTCGGAAATTTACTCCGGACGCTTTTCTGGATGATGTGGGATAAGTTCACCGCTTCGGCCTCACCAGAGTGTAAGAAATGGCCGGCAACATCGTCGCTGAAGTGCTTGCCTCGCCGGCGTACGATTCAGCCGCGTGTAGGCATTTCACCCGACGGACGCAGTTACAGACTCGGGTGGTAGGGGGAAGAGTCCGTCCCGCGATACGATGTAGCCCTCAAAGGGTGCGAAAAAGGTCGTCGTCGGGGGCCACTTGGGGCATGACGACGCGATTGTCTTCGAGGAAGTGGTCGAATTTTTTTTTGTCCAGGAAGGAAAGAGTTCGCGCATGAGAACGCAAGGGGGCGTATCTTGCGATAGTCGCGCAGATCGCTGCAATCTGGTGAGCTCGCCGAGACGCATGACGCTGCGGAAGCCAGTGAGAGGGAAGCTCCTATGAGCATTTCGTCGTAATATTGTGATGTTGCGCATGTCGGTCGTAGTTCCGCGACATCGCGACAGTTCAGCTGTCGCTAGCGGTTGGAGTTGAAGCATCTATCGGTCGGCGAGGGTGCGCGCAACTAGGGGGTGCTTGCGCTTTTCACGGACGTCGGGGAAGAAGGGCAAAATCCATTGCAGACAACCAAGAGGTAAGAGTCGAAGACCAGGGCTTGAAGTGGTGGAACATGCAGTTGAGCAAGCTCATAGTGTCGGGAGTAGGTCGAGCGAGTGGTTGTGCATGCTGCAAAAAGAGACGTAAGGATTTGCATCAGAGTCGTACGGGGCGGTCGACCCAGACGGAGTTGATCGAAGGTTTCCGATCGCTGCTTGAATCGATCGGCCACCTTCGACATCTGCAGAGCTGTACGAGCGTACACTCATTCAGCGCCCGCCCACCGCTCCCTTGTTCTTTTGCGAATTGTGTAATATTTGTGGGAGAATTGCGTCACTTCAAGACTACGTTAATCATATTTCCCCGACTCTGAGAACCCGGTCGGGGTGTCCCGCTCATGCGCTGAGCCCGGGATCTCTAGAGCCTGTCGCCTCTGCCTGCCGCCCATCAAGATGTCGGCGGAGAGCGGTGTCCCCAACCTGAGGAACGCATGAGTCCATTGAGAAGAGCGCGGCTCTGCATTCACGTGACCGCGACCCGCGCCAGATGCCGCTTGATCCGTGTTTGGCTTAGCCTGCCGAGGCGCTGCTCCCTGGTCCGCGGCTCGGAGTCACAGCGCTCACAACCTGCCTCGCCATTCGCGGCGGAGGAGGGAACTCTCTTTTCGAAGGACCATCAGTCTAACATATCATGCATGATCTTTACACTCGTGTCCCGCGGGGCGGTTCCAACTAACTGCTGCGTTGATTCACGAAAGAGCTGTGCCCCGCACGCTGGTCCAAAGTTATCGGACAATGGTTACTCTGCATCAGACTTCACTCTTTCTTCCAATAACAACGCCTCCGTGCTCCATTCTTCGAACGACTTAACAATGCGGTGCAGGGTCTTAGCGGAAAGATTCTGCCTCTTCAAGAGTCCATTGCTGCAGGACCCTACTCAAAGGTCCTTGCAATCAGTCTCACGCTCACATGCTCTGCACCCGGGTGTATATAATCGACGGGATCGACTGGCACACTCTGCCCCATCGCCTTCGATCATGCGCAGATCTACTGAGGACGCCTTCGGAGGCGATGATTCGAGCGACAACCCACCGCTTCAGGTATCTTTAATCCACATCTTTTTCTATTATCTCATCTATCATCAGAAGGTTAGGCGCGTCCAAATTCCAGAGGGTGACCCTCTGAAGCAAGTCCAGCAAGAATCTCACTTGCGCGAAAGAATAAGGGGGCTGAACGACCGCATTCATCGCCTGGAGAAGGAGAATACCTTACAAGCCCAGGAGCTATCCGACTTGATGGTCGGTCTGGAGATCTGCCTGCGTTCCCCCATTGATACATGCCGCTCCTACAGAACGTTGACGACGCGAACGTCCGCCTCGCCCAAAAGGAAACCGACCGCCTATATAAAGCTACCGTCGAAAAGGACAAACAGATAGCGACATTGCAGCTCACCATTGGACGACTACGATTTGGCTTATCGCATGTACATTTTCGTGATATGAGCGCAATCCTCTACCTGATCGTCGTCCTTAGCGGGATTCTGTAGACAGCATCAGGAGTGTACCTCAGGCAGGAGCCTTGACAGACCCTCTCTCGGTGCGTGTTCTTCTCTCATCAATGATTATCACTGATCTATTTATTGTTGTATTGCCAGAGCACTCAGCCAGAACTAGAGGCAGAGCGGCAGCGCGTCACCGAGCCTCATGCTACATCCCATGAACTTCAGGTGCGCCAGTACACCATCAAAAGATTTCGCCTGTTCTCATCTCTCTAGTCGAGAGCCGCTCGCGCCGAGGCGGAATGTGCAAAGTGCAAGCAGGAAATCGATGCCTTGCAGATAGCCGTGTTGAAACTCCAGGTAAGCCTCGTAAACATAAGAAGTGCCCGATACCCATCCGCTTGCAGAAAACACAAGAGGACGCTGAGGCCGCTTTCAAGTCACAGGAACAAGAAATGACCAAGGCAAGTATCGTAGAGCGCCTTGCATCGCGCCGCATAATTGATGATTTTCCAGAAACTACAGGCCGCTGAGGAAGCGCGCAAAACGCAAGAGAGTCTGATTGTCGAGCTGACAAAGCAACTCGCTATTCTCAAGGCAAGCTTTCTACACTACGCAGCGCTTTAATACCATGACTTACCGGTTGTAGAGAGCCTCTCTTGTAGTACCCAGCAGCGAGTCGGAATATGCGAGCGAGCGCTCAAGCCAAGCTCAGGACCCACGCCCTTCGCCACCCATTCGTTGTTCGCCATGTCATGTTTCTCTTCAGTCTATGCTGGTACGGAGCGAGGATCAGATCGCGAAATTGCAGCATGATGACCTGAACGTGCACCTAACTGTCTTGGAGGCCAAATGGGGCGAGAAACTTTGGGAAAGTTTACCTTCCCCGAGTAAGCCACCGAGGCGTCTCAAGCTCGACGCAAAGAAGGATCTCGTGCTTAGCTTATTCAAGCGGCATCTGGAATTATCCGCGGCCCAAGCTCAAGCATCTACAACTATGGTTCAGTAGAGATAGTGGCGACGCTTCGAGAACTGGGAGACTGAATGCGATATCATTGACCATGTATCAGTATACTAGAAGAAGCACCGGCGTCGCCGGCTTCAATTTTGCTTGGCAGCTGAGATATCGGGCATGGCCTGCGCACTGGGCTCTCGTTGCGCGCGTACGGCGCGCGACTGCGCCTGTTGTTCGAGGGCGGTAGAGACCTTGCAAGGCAAGGTTGGTAGCGCAGTGCACTGCTCGAAGCTCATGACGCCTACATCGTCCGGGATGGAATTGCGTGCACGCTGTGACAATGGCCGCTGGACGATCCAGGTCTCGCGGCGCTTTCCGTCACGTGGGAAGGCGATTGCCAATTACGGAAGGCCACATGTATAACCGGGCGTTACAGCACCCCGCTGTTCCAAGCCTCAGCGACCGTCATGCAGAGTGTGAGCAATGACGATGGCAAACACACGGCGACATCGCCGGTTGTCTTCGGCAATGCGTGTATCATCCGTGAGTCTGTCAAGGGGCCGCATGAATCGCTGTTCACCTTTCTGCTATCAGGCAGTGCGGGCGAGCTCTTGATTAAGCCAACTCAACAGGTCCACAGCGTTTATGGCAGCAAAGCCATCGGTCCTACTCCTAAGAGCTTCAGTAAATTCGATGCACTACATTTGTTGGAAATTTCGCGATGCCTCGAAAAGCGGCACTTGGCGCCTGAGGGCGCACAAGTTGATTTCAAGTCCGGCCATGTCATATGGACTTACCGGCCACTATGGTGCCGGCTCGCCTGCTCGCGCCGGCCAGCCGCCGCACAACCTGCAGCTCCACTTCACGTCCCTTCCCTGTTTGAGCCTTCTCATGTGGAGTCTGCGGCTTCGCGTCAGGTTGGTCGTTATGACCGTCAAGTCAGGTGTGCCCGCCGGTCGCACATGAGATGGCTACTGAGGTTTCTTATCTCGGTCACTAACCATTCTGCCTTCCTACCTTTCTTGCATAGCCCGGTGCCCGGTGCCTATTTCTGATCTTATTCCACCATCATGCGAGAAAAGCGATCACCATTGATTCAGTTATAACGGTACGTACTGTGTATACTGGCTACGTAGCTAAACCACACTGTTGGTCGGCACTGGGTTCGACAACATCCCACGCTATAACGAAGACAGTGCGCTAGCGTTGCAGCCAGCACATAACCGTCCCCTAAGCAGCTTGCGTCAGCTTGCCCAATCATACAATGTCATGGCGATACGTGCCGCGCCCTATATTCCTACGCCTTCGCCTCCTCCCTTGGCAAGGGCACTACATGCGCCCATCTCTAGCCCGTGTCTGTAGCATACACAAGGGTTCTGTGAATATGGCTGACAGTCATGAGAGCAATGAATATGGGTCAGCGCACCAGTTGACGCCCTCAAAAGGAGATACCGATCACATATGATGCGACCCGCTTGCTTGTGCGTATGAGGTGGGAAAAGGCAGGACATGTCACCTGTGGTGTGCCCTGCTTGCATGGTCAGTTCTGATTGGCGGGGAAAGCGAGAACACTCACCGCTCAGCAAGGCTCGAGCGCGTCCTCGTATGGCTCCGTATACGTCATCTCGCGGCGGTGACTAACTCGATCACCTCGCTATGCTGTCGAAGCTCTTCCTGGATAGATATATGAAGAGATGTTCAGAGTTCGGGCGATCATGTTGGCGGGGAGGACAGCAATAGATGAGAGTGAAGAACAAGAAGCCGCAGTCGATCGGCAACACGTGTGTAGATGTGATGATCACTCTGCGGGAATTGCCGCTCATACGGCGCCACCGCACTCGCACTGTCTTCGGACGCTATGGACTTTTGTCTGTGCTGGATACTACTGAGGTAGATATCACCCGGCCGATTTCACCCATATCTGAAACTTGGTCTACATATGTTTACAATTCACTCAATGTCTACTGAAACTTCGTTCTCCTGGAATTCTTGAGTCAGAGCCGCTGCGTACCCCATCGTCTCCTTGCAGTATTCCTCGGCGGCACACATGGCTGCATGTTTGGCACTCAGGACATCGATGGCCAAGTTGACATGGCGGCTATAAAAGTCCAACTCGACTTCGCATGAATGGTATGGGCAGCGAGCTTTCGTGCCGTGGGCCATGCAACGGCCTGGGGTCCCAAAAGGCAGATCGCAGTCGCAATCGCGCATCTTATGCCCGCTTTCGCAGATGCTGTGTCCACATGGCACGACGGTACCCACTGCGGGAGCACCGCATACACAGCAAGCGCCGACGTCACGCACAGCAGCACTCTGCCGACCATTAGACATGATGCATTCTGGAGGACACTGGATCATACCCAGCCATTGGAGGCAATGTCCAGTTTCGCTCGCGCTTCTAAGTACTCGCGTTTCGTCGCGACATGATCGTCCTGGTCCTTCCGACGAGCGAGCGTTGCTTGCTGAAGAGCCCCTTCGAGCTGCAGCACCCGCGCTGAGGAATCTCTGAGATCGGACTCCATTCGACTCAGTCGATGAGCGAGTATATCTCGCTCGAGTTCAGCTTCGCGTCTTTCTCTCAACGTCTGCTCCAGGTGGGCGTAAATCTTCACGAAGGCGTCAGCTCGTGGTAGACGCCGTGAAGGCGACGCACCTTGGGGAGGGGAAGGGTATTCATAATTGATGCTCGACACTCCAATGGTGCTCCTTATATTCCTCTTCAATCTGAATACCACCTGACATACGCTGCATAGCAGAGGCAACGGCGGCCACCGCTGATTGCTAAGGCATGGCAACAATCTGACGGCCGGTAACTATCACGGCGCCCGACGCATTCATTGAGCTCGCCGTCGCGCTAATGGTGTGAATCCCCTTCAGAAGATCGAGGGCAGATAGCAAGGAACAAGGCAGGCAGTTGACGTTACGTTACCATCGCAGCTCAGCTTCATCGTCCTTGATATTGCATGACCACCTACCCATATATTGCATGTTTAGAGACGGTCCGGAACTAGAGACATGGCCAGAGCATCCGCCAACTCCAGATGATAACATAGCCGCCGGCCTCGCGTCGCGCGGCAGCCGGCGACTCCGGCCCAGGTGGAGCGGGCGGAGTCCCCACTTGAGGCGGAGCCGCCGACTCACCTGTAAAGCATTGGCTCTGAATGGATGAGCCGCCCGGTGAGGTATGCTAGGGCACCAACGACTGGTAGGGACAGTGAGCGACGAGGGTCTTATGATTTCAAGGAGTAACAAAACCATAGAATCAAAAACCAATCCAGACATGGGAGATTCCTGTATTCAAACCTCCCATTCCCTCCAGTTGTAGAAGAGGGCGGTCTCATTCTCATCCATCGCCTTGTCGGGGTCTTCTTCGAACTGCTCAATCCACTCCTCTGGCCACCCGCTGGAGGGGCATTCCCCTGGAATGGGACCAACGTACATCCCTAGCATTTGGCGTTCATCAAAGGACCCTGCAAATCACCGGGGGTTGTACATACCTGGAGCGAATGAGACACGCGCGGTGACACCGATGCTTTGGGCGAGGTGAAGCAGCAGAGACCGAGCATGCGGCTTCCATTTCAGGCCTTCGTTCTCTCCATAAGGACGTCGCAAGAGACCGGAGGGATAGCGTGCTTGAGACGCCCGATGACCATCGTCCAAGTCACTGTCGGTCGCGCTGGAATCGGTGCTCTCCGAGTCACTTGCCTCGTCCTCTGCGTCGTAGATGATCAAGATGATCATGGAGCAGCGCCGTGGAAGCGCGAATGACTGCCACCATGAGAGCGTCAGGCGATCACCGCATATGCCTGTAACGTCGGCATTGTTCCCCCCTCGGTAGCCTCCTCCACGGCCCATGTCAGAGTAGAAGACGCTCATGATGAAGAATTCGAGGTGAAGTTCAGTGATGGGTGCTAACGCGTCGTTGGATAGGACGCGAATGAGGTTCTTGACGCCATCCATCTCCTGCAATCGGTCTCCGCGTCGCGTGAGCATCCGAACATGAAGCTCGCGGAGGGCAGGCAGATGCCCTTCGAAATGCAGGCCTGCGCCTTCTGTATCTGTGAGAGAGGTTTCAGTGAGACATGAGCCTGACATGATTGGTAGCCACTCACCGTCGTTCTCGAGGAGCATGCTGGAAGATATATGCAAGCGTTCGATGCTGCTTCGAACAGAGCCCAGGCAAGCACGCAGGGTGGTCCAAGTGACATCAGCTCCTTTGGAAATGTCAAGCGCGGTGAGGGGTGGGTGCCAGTGGGGCGGAAGCACGAGCTCAAACCACGCATCCGTCACCCCATTCCCAACGATGAGCTCTTCGAGCCTCACCCAAGGCGCAGTTTCACCGGATAGTGGCTCCCGCTGAGGGCCTTCTATGTGCTGTATCACAAGCTTCTTGATTCCAGTCACTTCGGACATAAGCGCAAACAGATCACGCTGGCGGCGAAGTACCAAGACGCAATCCAGCCTTTCTAGATGGGGCGACGCCCGCAGAAAAGGCAAGAGACAGGAGATGGCCATAGTCTCCCTGTAGAGCGCATCGTCGGAGTCGGGGGAGAATGTGAGGCTTTGAAGACGCAGGGGGGCGGATCGAGTGGCATGCGGGATGAGTTCACGAGCGAGCCTGGTATCATGCAGCACGAGTTCGCGCGCGGTTGCCAGAAGACCACGACCCAGCGCTTTTATGGAGCGCTCATCGTCTTGATCTACCACGATCGTCTTGAACATCAGGGGCACCAGTCGGGTGCGCAGGGCGTGATTGACGGAGGACACAACAAGTCGGGTGTCCCCGTCGGCATAGGTTGAGATATTGAGCAAAATCGTATCAGGGATTGCTGCAAAGGCAGGATATCTGCATCAGATACTAGAGACTCAGACTACAATGTCATACCTGCCACCATCTCTCAAGACCAGGACCAAAGGCGCAAGATCCGCGTGGCAAACACGCGCGTATGGGTTCCAGCCCATAATCACGTGACAATGCCAGGCCCGCCGGCGGACTATGACGGGGATGGCTTGACCTGTCCCTACTCCTTCTTGCCCCTGACTATGTCTTCCTGAAGGAACGGCAACTATCTCAATCACTGGCATGGTCTACAGACCCGGCCCGGAGACTTGTGCTGCTGTAAAGAGCTCACCTTCCTTATAAGGAGCGAACCGTCTCGACGTAGGGCAGGAACAAAGAATTGCACATTCACAGGAGCACACATTCAGGGAACAAGATGGCTAGCATATAGTGTCAGGAGTAATTCTCGTACAGACGATGGGGGAGGCGACTTTGCAGAACAGGAAGGACGCAAGATGAGTACTGCACATGAGGACGAGCGGCGAGCCGGGCAGGAGATCAATCCTCGGAGGCCATGTCGTCCTCCAGCTCGAGGTCCCCAAACCACAGGTCAAAGAGCGGCTGGTGCTTCTCGAGGCAGACCTTCAAGGAGGCGATCGCGTCAGCGGGCGTACGCCTGCCATAGTTCTGGCAGAGCCATCAGCACGTCACACACCAGCCAAGGGACCCTGTACGTACGTCGTCCAGCGCGGTCCGCACTTCGACGAAAATACTCCTGAACTCTTTCTTCACTTCGCGGACTTCCTGTCGGCGAAGTCTCGCGGTCCCGGAGTGTTCCTCGATGGACTGCTGAAGGCTGCTGACGAAGCTCTCCGACGAATCGAGTCTGGCCTTGGTGAGGTCGAGCCATTGCTTCAAGTCGTCTCTTTCAGCCTCTGCCGCTGCGCGCTTCTTGAAGGCGTCGTCGAGTATCGCCTGCACCTCCTGAAATGTCCAAGGCATCAGCGTATCGATGACGGCGGCACACACATGCGCGTACTGCAGTTGACGCGACTACGCGCGGAGGCTGTTCCAGCGATCGTCAGTGGGAAAGAAACAGGCATAGGAGAGGGGTCCACTGACCGCGCCGTCATCCTGTGAGAGAGGCAGCATGAGTTCGGCATATAGGCAGGCGCAACAATGCACTCACGTTTTGGTTAGAGGCGTTGGAGACGTTAGCGGTCGACATTGTTGGCGGTAGTGAGTGGGGAGACGGAGAAACAAGCGCCAGTGAACGCCGGGTATAAGAGCGAGGAGGTGACCCACCGTCTGTCATCCGTCCATTGAGGCCGGTGAACCCTATCTTCAGATCAGGGTCCTTCTCGCACCAGGTTGAAAGGCCAGCGAACCCTTGATCGCACGGCAGGTCCCCGCCAGGGTACGCGCGAGCACCCTGGTGATAGGCGGCCGGCGGTTCAGAAGACATCCGACGGCTACCAGATATACTATCCTGAGCCTGATCATGACGGGCTTCCCAAGAGTGTATAACAGACAGCGGGGTCGCCCATGCAGCTCTCCTGGCGTACGAGCGCATGAGCCCCGGAGCTAGGGTTGATCCAGCGTGGGGACGGTCAGCAACGGGGCGAGGACGAAAGATGTAAACACTCACCTGGCCATAGCGAAGCACGGCGGGCATGTTAGCATGGGACACGGGTGCAAGGTCACCAAAGGGACACGTCTAAGGGGCTTGCTCATGGAAGTCCTACTCAATGACGACATGGTAGAGAGATGCCGAGGGTGAGCGCGCGCACCTCCGCGCGTACTGTACAGGTTAGTACATTTCCATGTTCAGCCATCGGAAGCTCGACGCATGCAATGTGCCTGCACAACGTTGAGTGTACACCAAGATGATTGGACGATAGCCTGACGCTCGATGAGTATATATCGGAGAATACAGCGCACCGGGTGCGCATCTGACGGCCTCGAGGAGCTCGGGTGCAATGCAGGCCACGCACTGTATGTGGGACACATGATAGCGCCGCCCAGTACCCCGACTTAGGGACAGCGCGACGGCTATCCCTGTTGTCGGGGGACGACGGGCGACTCTATACACTGCCGTCGCACCGGGCAGATCGCGAGCGTCCTTGGGGCTAGAAATTATGCGGTATACGGAAAGAGGTTGCGTTATCGGTATGCGTACATCGTGCGACGTGAAGCAGGCAGGAGAGTATGAGCCTCACCCTCCCCTCACGCTCATGAAGCCGCCGATAATGCGGAGCGAGCTCTTGGAGCATTCGACTCCATCGCCGGCAATGTAGCTGCCTTTGTAAGAGTATGTACGACATGCGTAGCTGAATTTGCTCACTCGGGCACATTTGCGGGAAAACGGACTGCGCAT